CTAGTTTTAAGATAATAGTAAATATTATAGTTATCTAGTAGAGAGAAATACTAGTCTATTAAATAAACTAGATTACTAGATTACTAGAATACTTAATATTAATAATATAGATAAGTTCTTTTAGACTAGAAGAGAAAGAGAAAGCTATAAAAAAAGAGATTAGATCTTCTAGGTCTTTCTTATAAAAGAAAGAACTAATTTAGTATAAACTAAAGCTTCTAGAGTTACTATAATAGGAATAATTATATATAGCTTCTTAGAGATAGAAGATATAGTCTCTTTAGAAAAAGATATAGAGATAGTAATATAATACTTTTATAGTATGATTATAAAAGAAGAAGCTTCCTCTATATTATAATTATTCTCTTCTATAGCTAGATTTTTAACTAGATAGTAAGAGATATAATAATAGAAGATTAGATAAGTATCTTATATAAAATAAATAAGATTCTTAAAAGGATTCTAATAGAAAGAGTATCTACTTATAGTATTTCTATATATATATAAAGTATAAGAGCTACTAAATATAATATCTCTACTATTAAAAACTATAACTATATATAAAAGAAAAGACCTATAATCTACTAAATAGTATATATATAATAGAGAGGTAGCTATCCTAATTTATTAGATAATATATATATATCTTTACCCTTTTAAATTAACTTTAATACTATTAATATTATATTAATCTATATTATATATAACTAGTATAGTAATAAATATAAGATTAGAAGTAGATTAGAAGTTAAGAAGGAAGGTATTACTAAATATATTAATACCTTTACTATATATAACAGCTTTTGTAAATTAAGGCTTAATACTAAAGCTCTAGGGTATAATTATATCTATATTAGGGGGTAGAACATCTAATATTTCTATAAGAAATAAGATATTAGCTTATATTCAGCTTAAGTAATACTATAAGAATCTAGAATTATATCTATTAGAAAAGAAGAGATATAATAAGATATATAGGAAAAGAAGTATAGGAAGAGAAGTATAGGAAAAGAAGTATAAGAAGAGAATTATATAAAGAAAGAAAGTATAAAAAATAATAAATATAAGAAGAATAGTAAATAAGCTAAAAGATAGTATTAGTAAGCTTTTTGAATGCAAATAGAATTATATTATTAAAAGAAGGTAATATATTAATAAGGTAATACTAATTATTAAACTAATAGAAGGTTAAAGAGAAAGAAGGCTTATAGCTAGGGGAGGGGGTTAATACTTTATATAGACCCCTATAGATAGGAAGCTCTATAAAGGTAAGTAAGAGGCCTTAGGCTAATATAAGTATTTATAATACTAGAAGTAATAATTATAATACTATTTAAAAAACCCTATATAAACTATTATTATAGTCTTTCTCTTTTTACTATCTATTATATTATTACTAGAACTATCTAAAAATAACCAATAGGCTACTATTAAATCTAAGGCTATCGATTTAGAAGCTAGAAAGATAACTTATAAGACTTTATTATCTCTATATCCCTAGAATACTATAAATTATATAATAATCCTTAATATTACTAGTATTCCTTTATATAATATCTATAATATAATTAGACTATTTACTATATAGCTAGATATACTAATATAAACTATTATATAAGATAATATAGAATTAGCTAAAATTGAGCTATATAGTACTCTTATAAAGATAAATTATAAATATTTATAATCCTCTATATATATAGTTATATTATAGGTATTTTATATACTACTGTTCTATATAAATACTTATAATCGAGACGATCTTTAATTAAATAAGGGAGAATAAGATATTTTTACCTAATTCTTCCTATATATTTTATATATTATGATCTATTATATTTGTTTATATATAGTAATATCTATATCTATATCTGTTGTTATCTATTATAGTTAGCTGATTATATATAATCAGGCCTTATCTATTTACTATGTTTATTTAACTAGTATATATATATTTACTATTGTTTCCCCTAACTTAGTAATATATATCTGTTTGTACCCTAAGATCTCACTACTACTTAGAGTTTAAAGAGAAAATTAAAAATATAATTCTATTTTATTTTATAAGTAAGATACTATTCTTTTATATAGAAATAAGGATAGAAATTATATAGATCTTAGAAGATTAACTAATAGACTTTTTTAATTTTATTATAAATATCTATATATAGACTTATTATATTCTGAATTAGTAAAAGTATCTATTCTTTAAAGATTTCCTATATATCTTTAGCAGTTTGATAATTATCTAGAGTCTTTTTATTAAGATATTCTAATTATCTAATCTTATATAAAATATCTATAAACTAAAGTATACCTAATATCTATTATAGGCTAGTGCCTAGTATAAGGTTATATAATATATATAACTATAATAGCCTAATATATAGAATATCTACTTAGTAATTCTTTCTTTAAGCTTTTTATATATAGTATATAGCCTAGCTTAATTAGATGTAAATTCTGCTTTAGCCCTTTATAATATCTATTTTATATTATTATTATTATAATAGTTTAAAATAACTTAGAATATAATATTTAGATTAACTAGCTATTAATAATATTTTTAAATTAAGAATTAATTATTAAAGATAGAGATATCTTTAATTTTAATATTATAATTCTTATTTAGATAATTAAGATTACTAAATAAATTCTCTATAATTAATAGAAGATATATTATTAAAATAAATACTAATAGCTTAATATAGAAAATAATAAAATATTTATAGTCTATCTTAAGTTTCTCTAGCCTTTAGATATAGATATTTACTTCTCTCTCTTTATTTTTAATATTATTATTATAAAATACTATCTCCTAAATTAGACTTATTAAGTTAAGAATAGTATATTTAAGAGAGGCTATTAATATAGTTTAGTAACGTATTTCCCAAGCGAGCGGCCATCCTAAGCGAGCGGCCACCTGACCGCCTACTTTATAGTTTTAGTTATAATTTTAGAATAACAACGCCAATATATTAAAATATTTAACTAACTATTGCAATGGTCTGATCTATGTCCTTCTTTTCTATACTTGCGGTATATTAGTAATTTCCTCCTAGCTGGCTAAGCTAATAAAACATATATTACTAACTATACTACAGGAGGGGGAATTAGTACTTTAATTACTTATATAGTATACTATATAGTATCCTAGACCTCTTAAATAGTTATTCTACCCTTATTAGATATCTATCTAATAGACCACTAGTACTTTTACTTTTATTTCTTATATATAGTATATAATTTATATATTTTAACCTTAAGTAAAGTAGTTAAATATATCTAAATTTCATAAGCATTTAGAACTTAATTAATCTATTGATTTAGGGGACTTAGAGGGCTATTTAAATATTATTTTAATATTATTTTAATAGAACTAGCCTATCGTTAAAGTTGTTTAAAATTCTAGGATATTTTTAGTAAGAATTAGCTTAATCAACTAATTAGATAACTCCTAGAAGAAGTAGATATTCAAAGAATAATATTTAACTTTAATAGTATATACTTTAGATTAAATAGTATTAATCTAGTTACTACAAAACTATTTTAAATAGTTTTAGTCTAGAAGGCTTCCTTATAAATAATTAGATAAGCTAAAAGAAAGTTAAACTTATCAATATAGTTAAAACTAAGCTATATCTAATTTTTAATAAGCTATCTATATATATATTTTAACAATATAAAATATCTAATATTAAGTAGTTAATAAAAATAGAAAGAATATACTAGTATATAGATTAGAATAATATTATTCTTTTTATAAATTTAATTAAATTAAGGAGTTAAATAACTCCTATAACCATCTAGAATTAGAAATTAATATTTCCTAACTATATAATTAGTTATTACTAGAATAAAGTATTTTTAAAGCTATTAAAATCTAATCTTATCTATTATCTATTTATTTAGACTTATTTTAAAATACTAATTAAGTAAAAGATTATTAAACTAGCCTTAAATTAGTACTTTATCTTTAAAAATAATTATAGAAGTAAGTATATATCTAGATTTATAGATAATTTTAATAATTATTATCTATTTATAATTTCTAGGCTATAAAAGTAATCACTAATTATAGAATTCAGAGTAAATAATAACTTTAGTAGTTATTATTAATCCTATTATAAAGCTAATTTTATTAAAATTATAGATATCCTCTAAAAGAATACTATTTTCTTAAATTATCTAAAAAATAAGATTAAACCATTCTTTAATAACCTTTAGATCCTCTATCTTTACACACTTATAATTATATTATCTAGAGAACCAAATAGTCAGTTTTAGATAGTATTTAATAAAGTTTATAACCTAATTCTTACTAACAGTATAAGAAGAGATCTCACTATATACTATAAGTAGAATATTAGCTATTTCTTAAATAGTAGCTAGATAGGAGGCAGCTCTATATATATCCATAGAGATTATCCACTAGATAAGCAAGTTCTCTTCGTTCTAATTCAGTTTATAACTATTAGTATAAGTTTCAGAGCAATAAGGATAATCGATAAGACGACACCGTAATATAGAGCAAGGTATATCAAATAGACGTACTACTGTGACGACCGCTGTGATTTCTTGTTTTTTTATAGCCTCAATAGCAAGTAGGATTCTACCTTCCTATTCTAGAGAACTTTGGCTTAATTGAGTACGTTTTGGTAGTATAGTGGGTGTTTAAAGATGGTAGGACGCGATTTTTTGGTTAGGTGGCCGCTCGCTTGGGGTGGCCGCTCGCTTAGGAAATACGTTATATATTTATTATCTTTATTAGATAGTACTGCCATCGTACTCCGCCCGCCCTCTCAGCCCATAGGGTTTATAACAATATTGGGGGGGGGGCCTACGGCCGATCTGCCTGTAGGGCTTATAATATCCTACTATAGGATAAAATATAGGAGTTAACTAGGCTTAATAATATCTATAAGAATTAGAGTATAAGAAATAAATAATAATAGCAGAGCACATGATTTTATCGAATTCTTTCTGTCCTAAAGCCTAGTTCAAGCTAAATCACCCATAATATCCTCTTCAACCTCTAAGTCAGTAGCACCACCTAGGGATGGATTAATTTCCCCAGCTCCTGTCCAAGACTGGCCCTTGATAGAATTATCGATAAATTCATCACTGAGACCTAGCCTCAAGTTGCTTTCTTCCATATGGCCAAACAGACTTTCTAGCAATCGCCCCTGAATTTGAAGTTGAGCCTGCATTTCAATCTCGTGGCATTGTGGCAACATGGAGTTTGCCGTGGCGAAACGTAATATTGAATCGTTAGAGCACACTTGAGAGTGCACTAGAGTCGCGTCTATAGCACCAGACATAATGAGCGATGCTACCTTGGATTCGGTAATCCCATCATCTTTCCCGTTCGGTGGGGATGTTTGCGCCGAGAGTTCGCCCACTGTCAAGGCGGCAAATACTTTTCTAGTTTTCATCAAGGAATGCCTTGCAAATTCATCCAAAACCTGGGAAACAAGGCCCATGTTGTTGTCCTGAACAGAGAATTAGCCACAAAGGTGTAAACTATTGGTACTGAACAGGGTTCATCCACTCACCACGCGCCAGACATCTTGACCAGCATCTACCTCAGCCTCCAGTCTTTTTTTGTCACCACTTTCGAATGCTTGAGCTAGGTTGGAGTATGGTTTGGTGATAGACTGGATGGTCTTCATCACGTGCGGTGCGGTGATATTAGGCGGAGGGCACAGCTATATCTCATAATCGTTAAGAGGAATTTGATTACAACAAATTGGGATTCCAGAGGTGTTTGACTCACCTTGCCTTTCTCTAGAAGTCCTACCAAAATCCATTTCTTGTACGCCTCGACTATGATCATACTCACAGATCCTACTGTGGGCATTGATATCACAGTCCCAAAAAAATGGGATGCCTTGTCCCATTTCTTAAGCGCCATATAGATCATGCCTCCATAAAGGAAGTATCGTAGGTAGTCGCGATCTAGCAATTTTGATGAAAGTCCAGTTTCTTCATTGAGAAAACTAAGGCTGGACTCGTGCTCTGCACAAAGTATTTGTAGTGACGAAGAAAAATGCCGACCAGCGGAAATAGGAACGTGAGAGATCTGTCTTTCCAATACCGGCAAAGCACAAGTGTAAGCCTTAGAGAAGAGAGCGAGATGAGTCAAGAGTAAGTGCGTCGATGTTAAGACGGCACATGAAGGGTCAAGTCGCAGCATCGCATCTCTGACCAAGCGAACAGCTAAGAATGGCTGGTTGGAGTTAGTGAGATGCTCAAAACTAGCCACAGTAGAAAGGCCCATACCCTCGGTGAAGCTTGCGCAGCTTGGACTACAAGCTCGACTAGTTGGCGCCACTCATGACCGGCATACCTGACCTGAATAGGATCAAAGCTTCGTAGGAAATAAGCCGATTTCAACCACAGCTTCCCCGATGGAAGCAGATCTGCTGGCAAGTCCTGACCGGATGCTTCCCTGCGAGCACGGATTTGTAGATGAAGAAGAAAAAGGTAGGTGATCGAGTCTTGCGAGGGATCAAAGTTCTATACAGCATAAATCAGATGTCGGGTATTTTAGCACCCCAGAACCTCCATTCAGGCGCTGGGGAGAGTAAGAGGGAAAAACACAAAGTAAGAATCCTCGCTCACATTCAAGAGGGTGTCATCCTGAGCAACCGAGTCTAAATCTTTGTTCGATAGTAATTTTCGAAGAACGGTAACATGATTTCGTATCTGATGATTGTAGTCTTTGTTCAGTAGCCCGGTAGTTTTGCAGAGGGTTGCCGATGCTACAATAAGATCATCGGTGATTGACATCCTGGCATGGAGGCGGACCTACCCACGCCGTCTGTGTGTTTGTTGGATGGCTCGAAGGGATTCAGAATCCCGATTGCGGGTTCAGGGGTAATCAAAACGTTGAGATACGTAGTTATGGTGACTCGGAGAGGAAATTCAATCCGGGTTTATTGCTAGATAACTGGTAACGTGCGTGGTGGAGGAGCAAGCAGTTCAAGGAAGCTATGTGAAAGTGGAGATTGGGAGAGCTACTCGGAGTACCGCTTTGCCCCACCGCTCGGATTGTGCCCCTCGCCCTGACTCACGAGATTGCCCGCGTCCCTCGCTTTGCCCTAGAACAACCTGTGAACGTTCCCTTTCCATTTAGTTGGTACTCCATATTCCTCTTGCCTATTGTATACTGACTGACTTACATATTTAAGGCAATGTCATTGACCGAGTCAGCTGCCGTCGATGTGGCTCGCAGTGCATCGCTCGCCTCTCGCCGACTTGCGATTCTTCCCAATGCAGCCCGGAATGAAGCCCTAACAGCTCTCCATGAAGCTTTGGATCGGAATCGAGATTATATCCTTGGAGCAAATGCCAAAGATGTCGAGGCAGCCATCCATGCCGTTAATGATGGTAAACTCAATCACAGTGTCCTGAAACGCTTGGATTTGGCCCGACCAGGAAAATATGACGATATGCTCCAAGGAATCTTGAGCGTACGGGATTTAGAAGATCCTGGTGAGTCTACAATTTGCCCAACCTTGTTTTGTTTCAGAGTTTTTCTTCTTCTTCTTTGATGAGCACTCGCTTCATCGTGGTGTCAGGATATGGCTAACCCCTCGGCGTTGTGGTTACAGTGGGCAAAATCACGCTCCGAACCTTGTTGGATGAGGGACTGACTATGGAGAGAGTCAGCTGCCCCATTGGAGTGTTATTGATAATATTCGAGGCCCGTCCTGAGGTAATTGCAAACATTGCGGCTTTGGCCATAAAGTCAGGCAATGCCGCAATCTTGAAAGGTAAACCAACCTCAACCGCCTCGAAGAAGTGTGGCCGGCATTGTTAACAAATACCGAACAGGCGGCAAGGAGTCCTTGGAGTCATTTGTAGCGATTGCAAATGTTGTCTCAGAGGCTATTGCTAGTTCGTCAGTGCCAGTTTCGTCAATTCAACTTGTCAAGACACGCGACGCCGTTTCGTCTCTGCTTGCCCAAGATTCGCTCATTGACCTTGTGATTCCGCGAGGATCAAATGACCTGGTCAAATTCGTGAAGGACAACACAAAGATTCCCGTCCTTGGACATGCTGATGGCCTTTGCTCTGCGTACGTACATTTGGACGCTAATCCGCATACGGCAGTCAAGGTCATTGTGGATTCAAAAACAGACTATCCGGCGGCTTGTAATGCCTTGGAAACACTTTTAATCCACGAAGACATTTTGGACACAATCTTTCCCGCTATTGCAACTGCTCTTATTGACAAGGGGGTTTCTCTCCGCTGCGATGAGGCTTCAAGAAGTGCATTGTTGAAATCTTTGTCTCCCACTCAAACAGCCCAAGTGCAACCCAGTACAAATACCGACTATGAAACAGAGTTCTTAGACTTGGTGTTGGCTGTCAAGACCGTTCCTTCTGCTGGGTCTTGGACCTCTGCCGTTGAAGCTGCTATCGCCCACATAAATGAGCATTCATCCAAGCATACTGATATCATCTTGACCGAATCTCGAGAACTGGCAAATATGTTCATGGGTGGCATCGATAGTGCTGGAGTTTACTGGAACGCATCCTCTCGATTCGCCGATGGAATGCGCTACGGTTTTGGAACAGAGGTGGGGATTAGTACCAACAAGATCCATTCTCGAGGTCCAGTCGGTCTCGAGGGATTGACTATATACAAGTATTTGATTCGAGGCGATGGGCATGTAGCTGGGGACTATCATGATGGCGTTGGAGGGAAGAAATATGCCCATACCCCCTTACCCTTCTAGTGTTTCTCTCCAACCGTCTTTTCTTCATTCTTTTTTTCCATCTACAAAAAAAAAGTTTACTACATAGAATCAATTAAAAAGCCAAGAATCCAACGAATTTTTTTGTTTCTTTTAAACATTTCGCAAGTCGTGAGAAAAGATGAGGACTAAGCCGGATGCATTTTTCTTTAGCGCCCCTTTCCATTCGTAAATTTCTGATCTCGCCACTCAACCAAAGATATCCTGCCTTTCTAGGTACATTGACTTTGGTGCTTCCGGCCAGCTTTGGCGAGTTTTCCAGACACTTGGTGATCACCACGAGTGGAGATTCACCGTAAGACAAACGAACTCTCCAACCGAGGTCTACATCACCACTTTCACAAGGCCTCCTTAGACCTTGAAACCCTTGGAGCGTCTGCGACCACGAGCGCGCTCGAACTTTCGGCCCTTGCTGGCGACGTAGGGCTTCTATAGAATAAAGGCATTGTTAGTATTCTGTATCTTCTTGTAATCTGTTTTTACTCCGTCTTCGTGCACTTTTTTCTTTCTGGTTTCTCTTCCTTTCCCGCTTCTCTCCGGGTAAAAACTTCATCCGAGGGAAAACGATGTCGAATATTCATGACGCACCTTGTGGGAGTGGGGACCGAAGCCGAAGTGCTTCACAGCCTCGCGGGAGTTCTTAGGACCACGCAGAAGCAGAGTGTTGGCACCGGTAGGAGCGCGAAGAGCAAGCTGATCCAGGGTCAGGGTCTCACCACCGGCCTTCTCAATGCGGGCACGGGCAGTAGCGGTGAAACGCAGAGCAGCGACCGAGAGCTTGGGGACAGTCAGGAGGCGGTTGTCATCGGTGACGGTACCGATCACGACGACGGTCTTGCCCTTCTGGGTCTCGTTGACGTTCGAAACGATGCGCGAGATGGAGACAGGGGGGCGGTTGATGCGCGACATGAAAAGACGACGGAGGACAGTCTTGTTGAAGTTGGACTCGGTACGGCCTATCGGAAATCCCCGAATCAGTTTTCCTGGATCTAACACGAATTGCCTTCACAAATGCGGAGTTGCAAACGAAAAAAACGATGTTTCGACGGGGGTTCATACGAGCGAGGAAGCGGTAGAGCTTCACGAGAACCTGCAAATAGACGTTCTCACTCTTGGGAGCCTTGCGGTGGCTGTTGCGCACATGGTGCCGGTCCAAGTCGATACCTAGAAATTTGCAAGTCTCGTCAGTACTCTGAGAATAATTTCAGATAAAGCACAGGGTTGAAATGAAGCGCCGGAAAATTGGCGAGTACAGATCAAAAAGGGCCCTGCAATCAATCTACATACCCATGGCTGCTGGTATGAATTGAACACCTGGAAGTTAGCTTGCTGTCGCACCCGTTTGGAAAATGCAAGAGGTTTTTGGTCTTGGACTTTCGGCTGCACCGGTGTGTGTGGGTTGAGCCCTACGCTAGACCACATTGGGTAACTGAACGAGTCACGTGGGATCCATGCTAACCCAAGATTAGGTAATCCAGTTAGAATTGATCGATCACCTGATTGCGGTGCTCCACACCTGATGGGGCTCTGTAGCCAGATCCGCCTCTGCACGGAGTGGGTGGACAAGATCTAAAAGCCTAGAAACACGGGCTTTCATAATCACTAATAGCAACTGAATCATATGTATGCTTTTATGTTCATTTCATTTTTCATTTTAGTTATTTTATCTTGGTGAAATTTCGTAATGCCTGAATTACTAGGATCTAGAGATGGAGGGGGAAAAGTACAAAGAAGAAAAGGGAACCGGGGTGGGGGGGGGCTTATATACAAGAGATCCTCTCGAGAACCACACGTGACCATCTATCACCCTGCAAAAGAAGACAAAGGAGGACGGTTATATCAAAGTAACAAATAACAGGGAAAGGAAAAAGAGGAGGAACCACGAGAAGAATCTAGATGTGCCGCTACTAATCTCTATCATCCATACCGACCAGGAAATCCCGTGTCAACTCGAAACTGAGCCAGCTGCTGGCCATGCTGGGTGCAACCTTTAATAAGTTGGGTCCAATTCCTTTGAACAGCCCTCGTGCACCTTCCTCGGCCACGATGACTCGTACAGCATCCCAGATCGATTTATATTGGTATCCCATTCCGGTCATGGTGTTGATTTGAAAGCGTCGACGTAACACGTCACTATTTTCAATCAGCATTTCCTTTTCTATAAAACGGGAGTGGTCAAGGTAAAGTAGACTGACAAGGGGTATGTGCATGTTTGGGCTACTGCCCCAGAGATTGCACCTGCTAGCAGCTTTCGCCACGAACTTGGATTTTTTTCTCCATCTGGCGTCAAATAGGTTCGCACTGATTCATATGTCATGAAATTCAATCCAACCTAGGTGGATGTGTTAGTAATTGTGCTGATAGGACACACATCGCATGCAAAACGCAGAACTCACATAAGGCGCGACTCCAGCGACTGTAGGCACGATCCCACGATAAAGGGCAACGAAGCCCCCTTCCTGTTTGTATATAGACACCATTGTGCCAAACATGCCGGGTAATTTCTGTGCGGAGTCCCTGCTTCCAAGATCGGCGAATGAAGCGGATTGGATAGAAAGTCGTGTGCGTACAATGTCTAAGGGATATGTAAATGTAACAGATGTAATACCGGCCGCCGCGCCGCACATAAGACGACGAGCCGGTGTCATCTCCCCCTCGGGGGATTCAACAAACTATTGTTGATCAGTACCAAACATTTGAGTAATTGGGGTTCCCCGACTTGCTATGCAGGTACTCACTTTCTTATAAAAATTATAACTGCCAAATTGAACAGCAGAGTATGGAATAATGCGGATACAATTGGTCCCATTACCTCGCATAAATCCCCGCCAACCCTCCTCTCGGCCCATTTTCACCAACCCCTTCCAAATGGAGAGTTTATATTCTTCTCGCCCCACACTTTGAATCTGAAGCAGGATCTTTAAACGTTCGAGGGGCGATACAATGGTCCGAGAGACCGCGCCCGCCACTCCACCAGCCATAAATGCAGCAATAACTGGCTCGGCGAGGGTTCTTTTCGTTTGAGTCAGCATAGGCGATGGGTTGGGAATTGGTTCCTAGTGGGCAATGACAAATTTAGTGTGTTGGAACTTGACATCGGAGCTTGATTTGGAACTCACCTTGGTTGGCGTTGGATTTAAGGGCATCTCTCGCAATGCATTTTCATCTTGCCCGTCTTTTTGAGCCCCGTCTTGGTCATTAAGGCTCATTTTGGCAATATGCGCCTCGGCGGCTGTCGACTCACACAAGAGTGAAAAAAAAGATCAAGGCACTATATATGACCCAGCAATTTTGTTGTAAACTTGACCTGTTGGAGTCTTGAACCTGGTGTTATATAGGGAGTATACTCGGATGGGTGACGGTCAAATATGACGTTGATAGCGCGTCGCCAGTAAGGAGCCACGGGGAATCAAGAGCGTGTGGTAGCGGCTGGCTGGCCATGAAGTTTTTGCGAAATTCTCACTTGCTGATGCTTTACAGGTTCATTCTTGCGCAGACCCAACGGTTATATCTTATCCTTGATTTAATTCCTGCGCACACGGTCCCTTTCTCTCTATCTCTCTCTCTTTCTCTCTCTTTCTCCTCCTCTGTCTCTCTCCCTCTCCTTTTTCTATTGCTTTGGTGATATTCACTGGTGGTTGTAGAAAGGAAAGATGTGAAAAGAACGGTAAAGGGCGTCAAGGAGCAAGGCAATGGAGGTTTGAGATCCTAGGCTGAGGATGAAGTGGCCTTGTCGATGGCGATAATTGATGGCGAAAGGGGAAAGGTGAATTCGATCAGTTTCCTTCAAATCTCCGAGATTAATTGAAAGATCGTAATAGACTCTCAGGTAGTGTGTTTTTCCGAGGAAATGGCGAGGGTCAAGCTTCGATGGGGGAGGTTGGAAGAAGGTGAAATGCAAAACATCATCCCGATTGCCGACGTCTACGGTACCTCCCGAAGGTGCCACCCCCTAGGTATTACTAGCTATTAATAGGCTATATATATAGAAAATGAGGGTAAATGGGGGGGAGAGGGGGGTGGAGTGTGTAGTTTTTAATTCAAATGAATATTCTATAAAGTCCATGGACCAATTTATTAGGATAACTATTCTTTTGAACTGATAATATAGGCACATAGAAGCAGGTTTCTTCTATGAACAACCACTGGGTTCGTTTGCATCATTGAAAAAGAGCGATTCCTGCGTTCTTGGTCTTTCTCGTCCCCCCTTTCTACCAATTCTTCTCCTTCTCCCTTCCCTGCTAACCTTTGGGTTTCCTTTCTTCCTACATCATCAGCTCCTTGTCATATTGTTGTCATGTCACGATCAGGAACCACCCTTTATGTCACTGGCTTCGGCCATGGCACTCGAGCCCGCGATCTCGCCTACGAATTCGAACGGTATGTGACGCTCACACCCGCCGCCATCTATGCACGGTTTTCGATATCCCCTTCCCCCCTGCCCAACCGGTTACGACGATGATCCTTTGCAAATCATGGTTCTGGTTCTTTCCTCCTGTTTTCATAGCCAGCGATGTGCTTCCTCCTTAAAGCCGCTCCGCCAGCAATCGGTTTCTAGTCTTTACCCCAACAAATGAGCAAGAACGCCCCTTCAATCGTCATGCCTCTGATATGACCATTCTCGTATCTGAGTTCTCAAAACAAAACATTCGCTTACCAACATCATTAGCTATGGCCGCCTGGTTCGCTGTGATATTCCCGCGCCACGAACCCCTTCAAGTCGCCTGTGAGTTTCTTTCCACGCTGATGTACCATCTACATCTCTGACTCTAGAGCCCCTCCAAGATTTGCCTTTGTCGAATACGAAAGTCGTCGCGATGCCGATGATGCCTACCATGAAATGCACAACAAACGCATTGGCCGGGATGACCTGCTAAAGATCGAGGTAATGCCCCCTCCAATCCCTTCATTTGTCTTTCAGGATCGTGGTTCCTAGGCTCATATTTTCCACCAGTGGGCGCGTACCCCGCCCTCCGCATCTTGGAGATTCGATTCTGGCCGCGAGCCTGGCCGTGATTCTGGCCGTGATTCTGGTCGTGATTCTGGTCGCGACTCTGGCCGCGATCGTCGCCGCGAGCGTACACCTCCTCGTCGGGGTCGATCCCCTTCGCCTCGTCGCAGCCGCGGCGATTACTCTCCCAGACGCGATGACCGCTATGAGCGAGACCACGACCGTCACGACCGGGACTACGAACGCCGAGACCGCGACTACGATCGCCGGGAACGCGACGGTGATCGCCGAGACCGGGAGCGCTCGCGCGACCGCTCTCGTAGCCCTGATGACCGGGATCGCGATGCCAAAGATGACCGGGAGCGCCGCGATGAAGACCGCGAACCCCGTGAAGAAGATCGGGAGAATGTCCCGAATGGTGAAGACAGGAAAGGTGTGTATCTGTCATCCAATGTGGAGGATTTCGAAGACAGCAACTTATCTGGAACAGTACCCCTGGATCCCGTGCCTGCTGCTCATGATGAGCTTGATACTGCTGAGTAGATCGACTCAGTGCCATGCTACACCGAACCCTATCCATCTTCTCCATCATCGGGTAACCTGCCGTATCCATTATATTTCGCGCGAGAATAGGTGACTGATTAATGGATGGGACCTTCGAAGGTTGGCCTGTCTATGAACGTTCCTCGGCTCTGCCCCCAATATTGCACTAGCCGAGGTATCTCCCCATTCTTTTCTGATTTATTCTTCAAAGTTCAGTTTTGCGGGTGTTATCTTTTTCTTTTCGCCCCTGTTTCTTACATGGTGGAGGGTATCCATGACGGCTTCGTCCCCTTGTTTGAATTTTTTATCTTTCATATGGTTGTTGGTATTTATCCTGGTCTGCAGCTCGGAGTCCATCGAAACGAACATCGGAGCGATCCCATATTGAGTCCTCGCCCATCTCTCTACCCCCTCTCTCCCTCGTCCTAGCGTTTTCCTCGATAAATGCCGCCCGCCTTTACCGTTTCGCAAATTTAATTCCAAAGTGGCTTTCATCTTCCACACCCCGCCATGTTCGATCGGTCGGAACCCCCGGGCAGTGCTTTCGAATCAAATCGCCCCTGTAGAGTCGTATATTTGCAAGCTTTCCCCCACCCCCCGCCAAAAAGCCCAAAGATTGCTTGGGTATTTGTCATTGACCCACACAGCACAGCATTTCTTGTAGTCACATTGGCAAGAATAGATTTCTCGCATGATTTTCCTTCCGGTAGGGCTGTAGCTCTAGCGCTTGCGCTTTCTTTCACCAAGCTCTATGAATTTGGGCTATTCTAGTTGCTAGCGAGCTGAGACAACGACGGTATAATCCATGCTACATGTTTATTTACCACCATTTCAGTGTCATCTTGTCTTGATATATCTCCACTCTAAATAGCACGGTCAAATGCAGTCATTGAAATGCAATCGTGCCATGACGTAAAACCCCCCTCCCAAAAATGCGGGGACCGACTTCATTCAGTTGATACATGCAAACACCACCCATGACTTGCATCATGGAACCTTCAACGCGAAAAGGTATCAGTATCGCTATCGATGTATGTCTATATAATTATTACACGGTCTCCTGTTTTCCCTACCCGAGTTGTTTCTTTGTATGATCTGTGAAACTGACCCCCGCATAGAGAGGCGGCACCTTCACCGATTGTGTAGGAAACCCGGGAACTGGTCGTCTGGAGGATGATATTGTAATCAAACTTCTGTCTGAAGATCCTAGCAACTATCAAGATGCACCTCTGGAAGGTATCCGGCGGATCCTCTCCAAGTTTTCGGGCCATGACATACCCCGGCTGGAGCCTATCGACACTTCGTTGATACAGAGTATTCGAATGGGTACAACCGTCGCCACGAATGCTTTACTTGAGCGTAAAGGAGAAAGAATCGCCTTGATCGTCACTAAAGGGTTCCGAGATTGCCTTCAGATTGGGAATCAATCTCGTCCCCGCATTTTTGATCTTTCTATACAACGTCCTGAAGTACTCTACGAAGAGGTCGTGGAAGTTGACGAGCGTGTCACTCTTGAAGACTATGCAGAAGATCCATTGCGTAATATCACGGCTACACCACCGCTTGATATCACTGCGCATGATGCTGAGGTTGCTCGCGGCTTATCTTCTGAGGCAGTTAGGATTCTGAAACGACCATCCGAGGCTGCGGTAAAATCACAACTACAGGGCTTGTTTGATAGAGGTTTTCGTAGCATTGCTGTATGTCTCATGCATGGCTATACATACCCCGCTCACGAGGCTCTAGTAGGACGTCTCGCCACTGCAATTGGCTTTCATCATGTCAGCCTAAGTCATCAGCTTATGCCCATGATAAAGTTAGTTCCACGGGCGACTTCAGCTTGCGCAGATGCGTATTTGACCCCTACGATCAGGAATTATATTTCAGGGTTTCAGGCTGGATTCAAAGGGAGTATTGGGAATGAAAGTGTCAAGGGGCAGAGTGACGACCGAGGTGCCCGTTGCGAATTCATGCAATCCGATGGCGGATTGGTCGATGTAGACCGGTTCTCTGGATTGCGAGCGATTCTATCGGGTCCTGCAGGTGGAGTTGTGGGTTATGCGTTGACATCCTACGATCCTGTCACCAAAATCCCTGTTATTGGGTTCGATATGGGAGGAACCAGTACAGATGTCAGCCGATACGGAGCGGGTCGATATGAACATGTGTTTGAAACAACTACAGCTGGAGTGACCATCCAGTCACCTCAGCTTGATATTAATACAGTGGCAGCTGGTGGTGGTTCTCAGCTATTTTATCGCAATGGCCTCTTCGTTGTAGGTCCGGAATCTGCAGGGGCACATCCTGGTCCAGCATGCTATCGCAAGAATGGCCCCTTAACGGTGACGGATGCCAATCTATTTCTCGGTAGACTGGTCCCCGAATTTTTCCCTAAGATTTTTGGTCCAAATGAAAACGAGGGATTAGATGAACGAAAAACTCAAAGTCTGTTCGAGCAGCTTACACAAAAAGTCAATGAAGACGCGGCAAATACTGGACAGAACAGAAGAATGACCGCAGAAGAGGTCGCGTTTGGATTCATTAAGGTTGCCAACGAAACGATGACTCGGCCTATCCGATCTTTGACAGAAGCTAAAGGCCATGATACTTCTAAGCATAGACTGGCCACCTTTGGGGGTGCCGGTGGTCAACACGCCGTTGCAATTGGAGAGAGTCTTGGGATCAGACAGATCCTGATACATCGCTACTCCTCTGTTCTTTCTGCCTACGGGATGGCTCTGGCAGATGTCGTTGAGGAAAACCAAGAGCCGGAGTCCCAAACGTGGAGCGATGATCCAATACTCCGGCAAGAACTTGCAGAGAAGATGGCACAGTTAAAGGCGAAGTCAACTCAAAGGCTGCGAGGGCAAGGCTTTGATGAATACTCGATTGTGTTTGAAGAATATCTCAATATGCGATACCATGGCACAGAATCGGCTCTGATGATCCTGAAACCCAGCAAAGAGGAGTCTGATCTGCTTTTTGAAAGAGATGAATGGGCCTTTGGGAAGGCCTTTGTCCAACAACATGAACAAGAATTCGGGTTTACCTTGCCAGATAGAGATATCATTGTAGACGATGTACGCATTAGGGGTATTGGGAAGAGGTTCAAGATGTCTGAGAAGACTGTGGATCAGCAGCTATCAGAAGCCAAGCCTCGCAACGTGAAACACCAGGAGTATCGAAAGTCACTTGTTTATTTTGAAGGTGGACGGCTAGAGACTCCTATTTATAGACTGGACGATTTACAGATCAATGACCAAATCAACGGGCCGGGGATTATTGTCGACGATACACAGACCATTGTTCTGACCCCTGGAAGCTCAGCGCTTCTTACCAAGACCCATGTTGTCATCAACATCGGCAAATCAGATCCCAATGTCGACCCTCCTGAAATCAGTACCGATACCGTGGATCCTATCTTGCTAAGTGTTTTCTCTCATCGGTTTATGGCTATTGCGGAGCAGATGGGGCGAGCTTTACAAAAAACGAGTGTCAGTACTAATGTCAAGGAGCGGCTTGACTACTCTTGCGCGTTGTTTGATGCAGAAGGTGGTCTAGTTGCGAATGCACCGCATCTTCCTGTGCATTTAGGAAGCATGTCAACCTGTGTTCGCATTCAAGCTCAAATATGGCAGGGTAAACTAAAGCCGGGGGATGTAATTGTATCAAACCATCCAGAGTTTGGTGGCACTCATCTTCCGGATATCACGGTCATTCAGCCCGCTTTTAGCGACGGCAAAATCCTCTTTTACGTTGCCTCTAGGGCCCATCATGGTAAGACACAGCATTTATTGGCAGCATATTGAGGTGATTGTGAACCTATGGCCTCTTTGATTCGGAGGGGCAGAAAAGCGTCAAGGAGTGTTATCTTCTGAGAATATAACTAACCAGTTCTCATCTAGCCGATATAGGTGGAATTCTACCTGGGTCGATGCCACCTCACTCCAAAGAGCTCTATCAAGAAGGGGCAGCAATAAAGAGTGAGAAGCTAGTATCCGAGGGCGTGTTTAACGACGAGTGCATCACGGAGCTGCTGTACCACGAACCAGCACGGTATCCTGACTGCAGTGGAACTCGGTGCCTAGCAGACAATCTCAACGATCTCAAGGCCCAGATCGCATCCAACAAAAAGGGAATTGGTCTGATCAAGACTCTCATTGAAGAATATGGAGAAGATGTGGTCTCGTTTTATATGCGCCAAATTCAAGAAAATGCCGAGCTTAGTGTACGCAGTTTGCTCAAAGAAGTCAGCGACAAATTTACTGGGAAGAACCTGAAAGCTATTGATTATATGGATGATGGAACCCCCATTCAATTAGAGATTTCGATTGACCGAGAGAACGGCGAGGCAATTTTTGACTTCAATGGAACAGGGCCCGAAGTTTATGGTGTGTTATACCTCCGATTTTATTGCTAATGAAATTTTCTCTCTCTAACTGAACCAGCCAATATCAATGCCCCAGAAGCCGTTACATTTTCGGCAATCATATATTGCCTCCGGTGTCTCATTTCTGCTGATATCCCCTTAAACCAGGGTTGTCTAAAGCCAATTGACGTCCGTATACCTCCACAAAGCCTGCTGTCTCCATCGGGATCTGCTGCAGTTGTAGGAGGCAATGTTCTTACGGTATGATCTCCCTCTATATTCACTATAATGCTGCTTGACAGATCGCTGAGTTGATTTATCAAGAGTCAACGAGTTACCGATGTGATCCTGAAATGCTTCCAAGTGTGCGCCGCATCCCAGGGGGACACTAATAACTTGACATTTGGGATGGGTGGTAATAGAGCCGGTAAAGTGGAAAAGAAAGGATTTGGCTACTATGAAACCATCGCTGGCGGAAGTGGTGCAGGGCCGACCTGGGAGGGCACATCGGGAGTGCATACTCACATGACCAACACGCGTATCACTGATGCTGAAGTTTTCGAGCGGCGATACCCTGTCATACTGAGGGAGTTTAGCCTACGTACGAACTCGGGTGGTGCCGGGCAACACCGTGGAGGAGATGGAGTTATTCGAGATATTGAGTTTCGAATTCCAGTACAGGTGTCTATACTTTCTGAACGCAGAGTCTATCATCCCTATGGATTGGAGGGGGGCGAAGATGCCAAATGCGGCCAGAATCTTTGGGTGCGTCGTGTACATGGGTCGAACGCCAATTGGGAAGAACGCATTTTAAACCTGGGCGGGAAGAATTCCGTTCAAATGCAGCCTGGGGAACGTATCATCATCAAAACCCCCGGAGGCGGAGGATGGGGTCGAGCTGGGGACCAACATCAACTTCTTCGTGAACGAGATGCTCGACATACATGGCGCGGAGGCTCCATTGCCACTCGAGAAGCAACGCAAGAAGCAAGCATGTGAAATGAGCCGCTGGCCCCCATTTGATATGGAAAGGGTCCTACGAAGAGGGAAGAGGGAAGAGGGAAGAGGGAAGCGCACAGACTGCCTAAATTAATGGAACCCAACTAGATCAGTTGACGGTTATTCTCCTCCAGTTGACCTCATATAGCTCAAGGAAAGTGGGTGACCTACTTGTTCCGTATGTTAAAAATGTTTTTGAAGAAATGATGTTCTATGAACCGATCCCTCTTTCCCTTATTGAACAAGCCTACAGTATAGCAGATCATGGCCCCAAGTTTTTCTCAAAATAAAATCATGCATGATAAAATATGCAATTCTCTACAATAATTGATTGTGGAAATCAGACTCTCGGCTGAAACAGGTAATAAGCAGATGGGTTCATGCCATTAGTAGTTGCGCTGATTGTGGCATAATATTGGAAAGCTCTTGTACAATACTTTCATTTGAGCAGATGTTGCAAATCATGCTTCGCTCTCGTCCTCTTCACTGGTAGCCTCGATGTTCTGTTTAGAAGGACTAGCAGCCTTGTTGGATTTGCTGCGAGTTGCACCAACATCATCGTCACCATCGTCATCAGATTGAGGTCCATCTGCGGAATAGACAGGTCTCGGTACCGACTCGCCCTGTTCCTTGAGAACCTCCTCAATGTCGGGGAGTATTTTGAGAAAAGCAGCGAATTGAGCTACTGGCATAGAAATTCCCTGATGAAAGTAGTCCCCATGATATGAGTGACCGAGTATGTAAAAAATAATAATTGGTTTCCCCTCGAGCTTCGAAGGAAAATGAAGTATTCCAGGGGACACATACCTTTTTTCCTGGGAGCTCTTGCCCATCTTTCTCATAGTATTCACGAAGATTGACCATATTCTTGCCACGAAATGAAGAGACAGTTACGCGGCGCATCTTGGATATTTCCCAGTACTTGTCTCCATTCGCATCCACTTTCGGGGTGCTCTCACCGGCATTGACTTTGGCTTTCTTAGGTTGAACTTGAACATCAGTCTCAGCATCTTGCGTATTCGACGACCGCTTCCGAGAGGCCATGATGGAAATAGTGATGTAAAGGAGGGTGAGCAGCTGGTGGCAGAGCGTGTGACGTCGCGAGTCGCGTTAATGCTCATGATAACGCGTCAAGTCACATGGAGATAAGATCTTTCCTTGTTTGGTAAATTGAATTTGGCGGTTTAAAACATTAAAGGTATATCATTTCTGTAAGAGACACGAGTAAATTCTGAAAGAAACGGTTATTTTGCGTCTTGAATGTATTATATGCCAAAGTGACTCTTATATCATTTCTTCATGTATTGCGTTTATTACAGTGAGTTTGGTTGAATCGGAACAGCAGATCCGGTGCTCGACCCTATCCACACACCCGAGCAGAATATGCTGCCAAGAACTTTCACTATATGATATCTATATTAATTCTGGCACTATCACAGCGCCAGTACACGCAAGCCTTGTAAAAGAACAGAGAAAACGAATCCCTGGGCCACGCTTTGGACCTGGAGACTGTCGAAAATTTTCTCCAGGGCCTCCCGACTAGCAGCAGCACCCATGACACTGGTAAGTGCCTGTGGGATTCCTCGCTGCACAAATAGTCGACGTGCTTTGATCCGTAGTTGCTCTTTTTCCTCCTCTGTAGCTGGCGGGGGCCAGGCGAGTAGCTCTGCTTCTGTTGGCAGGGCATTTTCACGGAGCTTCTTCAAGTATTCACTGAGCGCATCATCTGATGTATGGCTTTCAATCATGGATTCTTGTAGAAGAGTTCGGATTGTCTCAAGTGTTGGACTCGCCGGGCGCAAAATGTACGACTTGGCCGCATTCAGCAGCGTGCGGCGGATATTCCATGCTGAAGATAGTGTGTATAACTCGTTGATTACCGCAAAGATCAACTCAACTGCAATTTGAGTCTCGTCTGCAGTAATGGGTTGCTGCTGCCGGCGTATACTCTGTGGGGTAGAATCAAAGTCATTGCTAGGCCTCGTATCGCTAGGAAGTGGCGGGGATGTTCGCCCAGTAAACCATTTATCTTGCATTCTCGCCGGCCCAATGCTAGACTCCGTGGATTGCCGACTCTCGGACTGTACAAGCGTTGACTCCGAGAACCCTGTGTCTTGGCCATTTCCAGCCTCACCTACTGAAGACTTATGTGTTTCGACTCGGGAGGATTCCGTTGCGGAGGCGGCTGGCGAAGTTATTGATCGAGACGCGCTCCCATCGCCATTTTGAAGAGCAGATAGGTGATCATAACTCTCTAGAGCACTCGGCTTCCCCGCAGAACCAAAAGAGGCCGGAACTTCATATTCAGACTTTGAGGCAATCTGTTGGTCTTCAGACCGTTGGTCGAGAGTATTGGTCGGCTTTCGACTATGGCCAGAACCTCCAAAGACCCCTGTCACGCCATCAAAAACTGCTCTGCCACCCCCAGCTACCCCCTTCGGAGCATTCGTTAATGCGCCCAATACCCCTTTGCCCACATTTTCGAAGGCGCTTTGGCTTGGGAAAGAAAACCCAGATTTTGTGGTCACATCAACTTCGTTGGAACCGCGCTCTTTTTCAAGAAACTGGCGCATACGGTTAGTTTCTGCAAGGGACTCATGCTTTACTGCCTCTTGTAGATAACGCTCCAATTCACGAGCAAGCTCATGTCTGGTTTTGCCCTTCCAAGCAGGCAGAGTAGGAAACTGCTCAGAGAAGCTTTGGATTCGATTTAATCTTGCCACCGTCTCTAGCATTTCATGCACAGATTGGAAGTCGGTATATTTCCGGAATACCATCCATCCCGTTGAGCGTGTTGAAGTTGGTTCAACTTGTAGTAGGTAATCCCAAGTTGGCTTCGATTTGACGGTGCCCTTTTCGCTTCCTGCTGCATCGTCATCAACCATGACCTGGGCTCCATGGAGGCTAACCGGTGACACGGAAACTTCTCGATGCGAAGGTGCCATTGGCCTTTGTGGTTCTGGGGATATTGCGCCCACTCCAACATCACCCCGCTGGTCCTCTGGCATCCATTTTGATGGGAGTTCCGCTTTATTATTGGGATCAGAACTTGATGTATCCGTGTTCTGGCGACACTGAGGTTGCGACTCGGGAACTGTGTTTTCCACATCCTGGGAGGCAATTAAGGCGCTGAGACGCTTGGCTTCCCTAAGAGCTTTTTCTGTTGCCTCATCTACCTGCCCCGTTCGGCGTTCAGCGGGTTGAGCCAGAGTTTGACCGGTTGCAGATTCAGATGGTACATTCTTGGGCTCATTTGGGACTTTGCCAGCACTGACGCCTTGGTTTCGTGCGCCCTCGACGCCAGCGTCGATTGCATGCATAATCTCGGATTCACCATCTTGGAGAAGATAGATTATCCATTCGTTTATGAATTCGGGACGAGATAGGCTGATCACGGTGGACTCTAGCACAACTCTCGCGAAAACTTCCCGAAGAAAATCTCGGGCAGGAGAGCAGCGATATGTTTTGGAATCAAGATAGTTGGATAAGATATCATCAGCAATCATGTTAAGCTTTTTCCTTTGCTGTTCTTTGGAAAGCACGTTGGCAAGGCTGCTATCCGGTGCATTCTCAAGATATCTCTCCACGATCGATGAGGTTTCCGTTGATGCTGACCCCGCAGTAGCAAATGCTGCGGCAAGCTCGTTCAAGAAGACAATGATTATAGAAGATGAGTTGGTAAGGAACTGTAAGAATGTTTCCTCCGTTCGTTTGCGTGACAGATGCGATGAAATGGTTGTCACAAAATGGGTTAATGTTCTTCGACAGGATTCTGGAAAGACTGCTTCCTCTGGTAGAATCGGCTCATACCAATATCTTTTCATCGGTTAGCCACATTGCTCTTTCGTTCATGAAGAGGGGGGCAGGGGGTCGGGAATTTGGCCGCCTTACTTCACATAGTCATTGATTACAGCATCCGTGAACGACCTCAACGCAGCAGCAGTCAGAGGCTGGAAAGAGGAAAATTCAAGGTCGGACAAGGTCAGATCCTCTGGAGCAGCAACCAGGTTGCCGTTGTTGCCGTCGTTGTCTGTGGCGGAGGGCTGGTGAAGAGACCAGTCTAACAATCGTTTGGAGACCTCAAGGGCTAGCTTCGGTCGCCGTGTGGATATTGGTAAACCATCGTCGCCATTGTTGGCCGAGGTGGGACCCTCCCACGATGCATGAAGAATGACGCCCAATGCGGCCCCAATCAATATAAGCCCAACTCGTCCTAAGATGACATAGGTGCCAATGAAAAGGAGGGATAGTACACCGAGCAGCCTTTCGTTGCTGGCGTGTGATAGAAATTCCAGTGACGAGTCAAGACACTCTTTCAAAATGCTTGTATGATATATAGATTCAGGGGACGCCGTGTCGGGTTGTGGAAGTTGAGGAGAGCGCGTCAGGTCCGACGGCGCCGGGGCGGGTTTGGATGCGGCCACATCATCGCTGGAGGAAACCATAGCGATTCTGAATGAGATATGTTAGTTAAGATATGGATTCAAGTAGCATCAAATTTGGGTCCTACCTCCATTACCCTCTGATGGGAGGGGACGTATAAAGTGTATTGAATGAGAGAAGAAATGCCAAGAGAGTGTAATGAATGATTCCAGGAGATTACGAGCTACGCATGTATGGTCGGTGCGGAGCCTTGGCCGATAAAGGATAAGGGGTCCCCGCATATATCAATGGCCACATACATATTACAGTTAATAGCCCTGGAGTGTTCATGTGAATATTTGAAGTATTGAAGTATTCAAGTATTAAGTCTTGTATTATTCGTGTATCCATTCATCATTGTCTCGGGAGGTCAATTGGAACTCCCCCTTGACATCTAAAGCAAAAAGAGTGGAAGTTTTTCTCCGCTATCCGAGTGAATCCAGTCATTCAAAGTGAATGTGTGTCATGCCGGATGATAAGAAAGATAGCGGGATGATCGTGTATCTACTCTCTAAATTTCTAATCTAAAATAACAAGAACCAGACGCGTCTCTCATCGAGTTCGTACATACTTGGTATGCGAACCTTGGGCAACAAGGATTAGACCGGCCTCGGTCTTTTTGGAAATCGTCACAGTTGTAAAGGCAAGCGACTTCCCAACCTTGTTGGCACGGCTTTCAATTTCTATCCAGTCGCCGTCGGTGGCAGTAGAGAGATAGTTCACATGAATATCTGTGCTGACCCCAGTTGAATCCAACCCATGCGATGCGATAGCCATTCCACCTGCCCAGTCAGTCACACAGGCTGAGAAAGCCCCATGCAAGGTACCCTTGGAATTAAGTTGGCGAGGACCGACGTGGAGACGGGCACGAACAATGCCCTTTTCAGCATCATAAATTTCAACTTCATTTAGAAGAAATTCGTAGATGGGACTGTTAGGACGAGTACGTTCCCACACTTTGAGGACCTGCTGGAGCTCAGTGTTCATGGCTGCGTTGATTGCGGGTTTGAAAAATTGAAAAACTGAAGAACTGAAAGAAAAAGATAAAAATTTGTGAATGAAGAAGAATAGAAGAAGTGGAAGGAAAAAAAAAAGAATCAAGTGGGAAAAGAAGGAAAGAAGCGGAAAAAGGTTGCGCCGACAAAGCAACGTGGGTCTGGTCTACTCCCGCTTTCTCCGATGCCGGGATTTACGCGACAGCATCTGGGACAAGAGAAAGTGATTGACGTCTTCGTCGCTCCAGTATGTGAGGTGACTGGCAATACTTGCAATTAGAGATATGTCGAATGCCCCTCTAGAAATCGGAAATGAATAAAAATTAGCCAATTACCAGATTAAATTAAAATATAAAAGAAAGAAAGCATGGGAAGAGGATACTTACTCTTGCACACTATAATCAACACGACCATTGGAGTTTAAGGAGCGCACTTTGGCGTCTTCAAACTTCATCTTTCGTTCATGCTCTTCAGAATCAAACTCTGATTCGTTTTCGTCGGGGGACTTGGTCGACGAATCCCGGTGCATCCTACGACTTTTTTGAAACCCATCGTACAAAGTTTCGAGATCTGAATCAATCAAGGTTTGGAAGTGATCTTCGGATTCATGCGACGAATGTTGGACAGATCCGGACTGAGTACGCTTGTGCCCCAGTGAGCCATCGGATGGTTTCTCATGGGCAGAGCCTTCGTCGGAATTTAACCCCAAATGCCGGTTTAATAAACTGCTAGCGACGCCAGATGTGAAGTTGCTCCAGAGAGAGCCCACGCTCTGGCCCATACGATCCCTGAGAATAGAAAGACTCTGACCAGAGGTCGTCCACAGATTTTTCTTGACTGACGGGAGAGGCTGGGGCTTGAGACTTGCCATCGCCGGGGAGACAAGCGGCTCGAGACGATAGCTAACAGGGTCTGATGGGTGAAAAATATTGTACAGGTCCCGACATTTCGGTATAGAAGAGATAGCGAAATGATCAGTTCTATGCCGTCCGGTACTGCCATGCGAGTCCTGTTTTGATTCTCCAGGGGTTCCAAGAGTTTGGGATTCAAGTTCAACGTCCAGTGCACTTTTGCGATTCTTCGCACCCACAGGTGAGTATCCGGCAATTGTTTTCCCCTTGAGCATCTGAAAAAGCGCTATCGGGGATCCCAGGCAAAAGAACTCTTCACATTCGAAATTTAAGGCGCTAGATCCGTTGCCTTCTTGATCTGAAGTATTATCGCTTTGTTCCATGTTCGCTTTATCCTTTCGGGGCCCATCAACGACACTCGGTTGATGGCACAAAATGTCGAACAAAATCGCACTGCCAAGGGAGTGTCCACAAAGGCTGACAGATCCTTGGAAGGATGGGTTGCGCTTCTTATACAGATGAACAATACGGTTGCACTCCTGTTTCACAATGTTTGAGATATGCTCACAATACCCACTTTGATAGAGGAGCACATCCATTGCTAGATCCGAGATTAGATTGCGTACAGCCGGCACACTTTCCAGTGTGATATCCGCCAAGCTAGGATATGCATCATCCTCGAGTGTATCTCCATCAGCCAAGTCAAGTTCCTTTCGGTTCTGCCGCACCCCTCGATAAGGAAAGTCCAAAAGATGGCGCCAGCATCTAAATTTAGTTAGCATGAATAAACCTTTAAGATGACCAAGCCACCTCTTTATGCGGAGAGCCTGTTCACGAGGCGAAGAAGAGCAGAATTTTTCACTTACACGGGGAGTACTTGCACGCGACAATTTTTATCGGTATCGGCGAATGCCGAGTTAAGGGCCTGAAGGTCGGGTGAAGCTTTATAAACACCTTTCAGTGTTTTTCGAAGGACATTCACGTCATGAATGAAATTGATGCTTTCCAGTCGCAATCCAAGTCGCTGGCCAATGCCATGGGTAACCAGGATTAAGTGCTCAACTTCCCGTTCTCTATCTTCACTATCGACTTCCCCCAAGTCTTCCATCTCTTGTTCTTCCTGCTGACGAGCTTGTTCTTCAAGTTCTGCCGGATTCTGTGGCTCTCCAGCAAGTGATGACATCTGTCTCTCAAGCGTAGACCTAGGCAGCTTACCAGAGCCAACTGATTCGGTAGATTCTCCCACATTTGGTACTTCTATCGGTCCGGACCCAGCAGACTGTGCAACCTTAGGGGTTGAGATGCCAGAGCTGGCTTCGGAAGTCGCCTTTTCGTTGGACTTTTGCTCGTGAGTCCGAGAATCCGTTGTATCCTTCGCACGTTTCTGTTCTACTAGACCACGTACCACCTTTCTACCAGAGACTCCGCCTAACTTTTGGTATACAGTTGTACTGACACGTGACATAAAATCATCAGTGTTGATCCAAGCCGTCGATGCGTCCTGGTAGACAACAACCCGGTTCATGTAAGCTCCAAAAAGACGGTATGGTTGAGAATCCATAGTAGGTCCAGATTCTTCACTTTTAGCATTTTGAGAAGCAGACTTGACTACTGGTTTCTGTGGGTGTGACGTGTCGGTTTCTGGCTGGGAATCTGGTTTTTCCTCCGGTCGATTCAATCTGTCCTTTATGGCAGGATCAAACAAGGTAGTCTCTTCAGAATCTACCTTCCATGGACGTATCTTGAGATATCCCTCTTCTAATTGGGTTGCAAGGTTTTCTTCGCAAGGCTTCAAGGTTGAGCCATCCTGGAAAAACCACGTTCCGCGACGAACTTCGTAGATAGGACCTATCCAGTAAGCTGGAATTAATTCCCGAAGCTCCACATCTACATCAAATAGGTAGTCTTCATTCACTGGGACTTTCTTTGAAATTGGGCTGGTGGTTGACGGTTGGGCTTCAGAGCTATCTTTACAATCTTCAGCCTCCGATAGTCGCAAGTATGTCGCTTCGATTGCTTGAGAGTCTTTTTGCGAGAAGGGTATGAACTTCTTTGGCGGAGCTGGTGGTTTTTGATCGACTTTATTCGGTTCAAGAAGGACTGGCTTCCGTTTTGGTGAGTCCACCGCATAAAACCATCTCACTTTCAGCGGTGGGCAATCCAAGGGGTAATGACGGAAAGCCAGCTTGTGTCGGTGGGTTACTGTATGATCTTCGCCTTGAGAGCGCTGAAGAGGTTCAATTTTCGGAGAGCGATCCGGCTGGGGCGTAGAACTCTTGGGGGTCGCCCAGGGAGAAAAGGACCCTAGGAAGGATTTCTGGTCAGCGCCCGCCATGGCCGTTGGCCACGTCCGACGCAAGGCACCCGAACGAATCAGTGCAGATGTTTGAGCCAATCTGTATGTATGCTTTGAAGCCGTTGAAAGTTAAGATGCCTGGTAGAGCAACGAGGAGTGGTTTGACAGCAGCGTAATGGAAGGGCAGTCCTGGGAATTCAACAATGATCAGCGAAATTAAGCAGCTCAAAGCTCAACGGCTTTGGAGTTCAAATGTTGTTGACACTCTGCATGACGTAATCGGCGGGTTGGCAGAGCCCCACTATCGATGCCCGGGGGTAGCATATAGTAAATACATATATATATATGTATATTAGTACATAGTAGTATGCCATGCTAATGGCGTACATCTTGAAGTGCATTGCATGCATTGCTATTCTAACTTGAAGGTGCGAATAAATGTCTCATGTAGAATATCCGGGTCTTCTTAAAGCCCATGATTTCAAATAGTGACAGTGTGACACTCGTTACTATATACTTTCCAAGTTCCACCAGTCTCTATATCCATTTCATTGTATATTTACCCACAGATTGATGACGGTTTCAAGTTCTCCCAGTGTCCCACGGACTTTGGGGTCATCTTGACTCAACATTGAGACCCGCTAGTAACTTAAATGTTCTGATTCATCATCAGAGAGTCAAATAGACCCCAGTCTGTTTCGTTGCCTTCCATACAGAAAGGGTCCAACCATCCTAAAGAATTGCTATCTTTCCACTGAATTGCCAGCTCAGACGGGGTCATCGTACTTTCTTGTGCTGGAGGATCTTCTAGAATAGCCTTTACCGCCCGGGCAACATATCGCGCATCTCGGCTTGCAGAAGACCTTTCGATACAAATGGCATGGGCCTGCTTCAGTAGCGAGAAAATCGTCTTTTCATAACTGGGGTGCATAAGTGATAGCTGTAGGTCCCTTCTGCGCCCGGTATGAATCACCAGACAAAGAATCATGACACCCATCAAGAAATCATTCATAGTAAAGTTAGTAAGCATCCAGCGCTCCTGGCAAAGTTGTCCTCCCGGTGCGAATTCCTTATACATCTCAATAAACTGACTCACTAGGCGTCGCCCGGCAATGAAGCATGCCTCAGTGCTAAACGTATTTCCTTGGCTCATGTACTTGCGATGAAGAACGCACAGACTTTTCAGATAAATGAATTCCACGTATATGCGTACCATGATCAAAAAAGGTGGATCTGAAACAGATTCAGATATAGGTCGAGTTCGTAATATTTTCGGTATGGTAGTGTGCATCTGTTTAATTTGATCATCTAGCTCGATGATCTGTGTCTCCGATTTGTCGTGAAAGCTTAGGGTCTCCCGACACACCGAGCTGAAAATGTTCATCTGTCGGTCTTTGACAATGAACCAAAGTATTCCCATGGGCTCAGTCTCTGCACGCGATATTGGAAGCACTTGGGTATCGACGTTGAAGTCCGCATCTGACAGGTTCCTTGGAGACTTTGTATCGCAGTTCTCAATGCATATATTGCTTGGAAGACCCAACTGAAACGAGATCATGGCGTCGAATTGTTTGAGAAGAGCCCAAAGCCGTCGGCGCATTTCCCCCTCGAAGACTGTAAACGAACCGACAAAGTCCGGGTCTCGGTGATAACCCAATTCGTAGGCCAGGCGGACTGCCATTGAGAAAATGACCCCGGCTTCTCGGGATGGGTCGAGACTTTGCATGCTTTTGCATTGGGCGTAAATAGCGAGTGCTTCCACCGCAAATGGCTGCGGGCGGTGATATTCCCCCGTCACCAAGCATTTGCCCGCTGCTATATGGAATTGTGCGGTTCGAGCGGTCACCTCATCGCTAGAGCACGGAGGAAGACCAGTCGCACCCTGTATAAGACTGGCTAGGCAACATATAGAGAATAGCACCGAAATCCAAAGGACATTAGTTTCCGTCGGGTTGCCCCAAAATGAATTATACTGACGTTGAAACTGGAACATATGGATAAACGGAATAATAAAGCTTTCCCCTCGGAAGAAGACTGCGAGTAGCCGATCTACCTCTTCTCTCGGTGGTAGAAAATGTAAGATAATATGCTTCGTCAAATAGCTTTCGGATGAGCCAAAAAGGACGGTCTCCTTTTGTGGGCCTAATACTAGATCCGGTGCGCTGGCATCTATTCCCGAGGATTCTCCTTCACCATCCAGAGTCGCTTTGAGCTCCTGTATGTCGTCGAGGATAGCAGACCAATGGGTTGAGCCAACATAATTTGCTGCACTCATATTTTGAGCCGGATCAGAATAAGGAAGTCCCATTAGATTGGCAGGTGATTGATCGTTGGTAGAGGTGCCAGTGGCAGAGGGTTTATCTGTAGGACGCATCATATCTCTTACAAGCGACTCTAGGTGGGACAGTCGATCTTGCGCTGTCAAAAGCTGCTTGTAATTTTGCCGGGGCTGCTGATACAAGCAGACGACCGCCTCACCTCTTCGTACGCACGAGGTGCAAGGCTGTTGGCGATCGCAGCGCAATTTCGCCTTGCGACATTGAGTGCAGACTAGTGATTGCAGGTGGAGTTTTATGGTGCTAGCAGGGTCTATAGCATTATCCTTTTGTATGCGAAATTTTCCAGTCAAGCGAGAAAAGTCGGCCATTTATCAAGAAACAGGTAGGTAAAGGGTTCTCAATACAAGAAGGAAAGAAAGAGTTGATGAGGTTAACCCTTTAGGGGGCGGGGGCGGGAATTCTTTCAAGGTTCCACCCATAACACTGCAGAAATAAGGCTCTGGAGTAGCACTTCGATGTTGAGGTTTACATACACTCTAGTTTATCCAATTACAGGGAACATTTTTGATTGTGGCTCAATCCAGGAATTTCCTCAGCCGAGCCGAATTTCCCTTTGGGCACAACAAATCTGTATTCAGTAAGAAATAAGTATCCATGATTATCTCCGAAGATGGTGCAAAGTACAAAGAGTTGAAGCCTTCGTACCCTGAAAAATAACTAAGATCCATTACTACATAAACGAAACAAAAAAAAGTACAATGGACAATCCAATCGTGTTGATTACCGGTGCCAACCAATACTGGGTTGTGTCTGGAGACAATCCGAGCTCTGTTTCGCTCTCATAAACCCTATACAATTCTGCTAGGGAGTTGCAGCATAGCCAACGCCAATTTGGCCATTGAGCAGCTTCAAGCCGAATACTCTAACAGCGAGACTAGCCTCACCGGTTCAAGTAGATGTGGAGGATGATGAGTCCATGCAAAGGGCCTTCGACTACGTGACCCAAACTTTTGGCTGGATCGATATGTTGATCAATAACGCAGGTAAGACTCGCATCCATAACTTGGCTACATATTCTAAAATCACATCTGATGGTCAAACTTACGAAAGATTCATACAAAGGGGGCCAGTTTGACCAACATATGTACTCAAGCTCCAATACCATGCGGGAGATGTGGAACAAATCATGGAATGTCAACACCACAGGGACCCAAATTCTCACCCATACATTTGTGCCACTTTTGCTCAAGTCCTCGAGTCCACGACTGCTCTTTATAACCAGCGGCACTTCAACCTTGGCAGAGTCCAAGAACCCAGCGTTGCCAATTAATCACCCGCCTGCGAAAGGTTGGCCTAAGATGAGACCATCTATTTCTGCCTATCGTGCCAGTAAGACGGGGAAACATGATGATGCGTGAATGGGTCCGGGTTTTGCAGGCAGATGGAGTCAAGACATGCTGTATTTCACCCGGATTCTTAGCCACTGGCCTAGGTGGGGATCAAGAGCGGAATCTGGGGCAGATGGGCGCAATTCACCAGGCGATTGGGGCGGAGTTCATACGAGAAGTGGCGGAGGGTTTTTTGCGACCAAGATGAAGGAGTGGTAGTCTGATGAGATGGGGTTCAGCCATGGTAAAGTATTGAAGTCAATAAGATTGTTTGGTGTCAACCTTGTTAGCGCACAATCAGCTTCGACGTCATTAGGCAGAGCAATTGAATGGTATCAAATACAGACTTATTACAAGTAAAATACGCAAATATTTCTAGTAAGTCTAGCTCCGGAGCGGCTTTGTTGCTGGATTTTACCGTAACAATACAATTTCCCCGTTTATTGATGCAGGCTACGCCATACGGTGGCTCATCGGACCCCACCTCCTTCTCTCACGCTCTCACCTTCGCTTTCTCTCCCATCCTTTCTTTACATCCCCCCCCCCCCCCAACTCTACTCTCCTCCCTTTGTTTTTTTTCCCTCGAGGTTGGATATTATTTGGGACATCGTCCCTACTCAATTTCTCGGTGGTTGTCCCTACCGGATCAACGTCGATTTCCACTAATCGATTACGCTATTCTTCGAGATCTGCGGTTCAAACCCGCTAGTGCCTGAACCCCTCGTTCTCAACACGTTGGTCTTTTCAAGATGAACGCCCTCAAGCTCCAAAAGTTTGTACCACAAGAAAAATGTTTTCCTCGACTGGCGCTGGATCACATTGGTTGCTAACTTCAAATCACTTTTGTCAGGCGTTTCCCGCAGCTCGACCAGGGCGAGATTTTCTCTCTCCAAGATGCATTCCACAAGTTGGATATTGATGATCGCGGCTATTTGGACGAAGCTTCCGTGATCAAGGCTGCTCAACAGTCTGAGCGACAACCCTATGATGTTGTGCGTCAGACTTTGAAGGGCGTAGAGCTCGATAGCTCCCGACGTGTCGAGCTCGAAGATTATATCGATGTATGTGGTTGTTTTATCCTGTATCTCCCACAAGACATACATGTTCAATCCCTGACACCCACTTAAGCTAGTTGCGAGACTCCGATCCGGACCAGCCCCCGGCGCTCAAGCTGCATCCAGCCCCGCGGCCGTGATTCAAGGAGCCGGCGCCGGCGCCGGCGCATCCCGGGGACATGCCTCCAAAGGAAGTGTCGGCGGTAGAATTCATGTCCAAGGTTCTTCGTCCAATGTCACACATACGATAAACGAAGATGAGCGAACTGAGTTCACACGACACATCAATGCCATCCTGGCCGGTGATCCTGATATTGGCAACCTTCTACCTTTCCCAACTGATACCTTTGAAATGTTCGACAAGTGTAAAGACGGTTTGGTCCTGGCTAAGTTGATCAACGATAGTGTGCCAGACACTATTGATGAGCGTGTTTTGAACAAGGCAGGAAAGAAAATCAAGCAACTGAATGCTTTCCACATGACGGAGAACAATAACATTGTTATTAACTCTGCTAAGGGTATTGGCTGTTCAGTGGTGAACATTGGCAGTGGAGACATCATTGAGGTCCGCGAGCATTTGATCTTGGGATTGATTTGGCAAATTATTCGCCGTGGCCTGCTGGGCAAGATCGATATTAAACTTCACCCTGAGCTCTACCGACTTCTGGACGAGGACGAGACCCTTGAGCAGTTCCTCCGCTTGCCTCCAGAGCAGATCTTGCTCCGCTGGTTTAACTACCATCTCAAGAACGCTAAGTGGGATCGACGGTAAGTTAGCTCTTAATTCCAAATTATCCTTGGGAAACCCGAATTTTGCTGACGAGTTTAAAAACAAAATTAGAGTAACCAACTTCTCTACTGATGTTAAGGATGGAGAGAATTATACTGTTCTTTTGAATCAACTTGCGCCGGAAGTTTGCTCTCGTAGTCCTCTTCAGACAAATGACTTACTTCAGCGAGCCGAGCAGGTTCTCACCAATGCCGAGAAACTTGATTGCCGGAAATTCCTGACCCCGACTTCTCTTGTTGCTGGAAACCCCAAGTTGAACCTTGCGTTCGTTGCCAATCTTTTCAACACCCATCCAGGACTGGATCCGATCACGGAAGAGGAGAAGCTTGAGGTAGAGGACTTTGACGCCGAAGGAGAGCGTGAAGCGCGAGTGTTCACCCTTTGGTTGAACTCACTTGATGTGCAGCCGGCAGTTAATTCGCTCTTTGATGATCTACGAGATGGTAGCATCCTGATGCAGGCTTACGACAAGGTCATCCCCGGCAGTGTCAATTGGCGACACGTGAACAAGCCCCCTGCCTCGGGCGCCGAACTGATGCGTTTCAAGGCCGTGGAGAATACTAACTATGCTATTGAGCTTGGAAAGCACAACGGTTTCTCTTTGGTCGGCGTTCAGGGTGCTGACATCACAGATGGTCAGCGAACGCTGACCCTCGGCTTGGTCTGGCAGTTGATGCGTAGGGATATTACCAACACCTTGTCGGCCCTGGCCCAGCGACTTGGCAAGCGCGAGATTACGGACTCTGAGATGATTAGATGGGCTAATGATATGTCCAAGAGTGGTGGACGCACTTCCGCTATCCGCAGCTTCAAGGATTCGTCCATTGGCACCGGCGTGTTCCTGCTGGATGTGCTGAATGGTATGAAGAGCAGCTATGTCGACTATGACTTAGTCACTCCTGGCCGGTCCGAAGAGGAGGCATATGCCAATGCCAAACTGAGCATTAGTATCGCCAGAAAGATGGGAGCCACTATCTGGTTGGTACCCGAGGATATTTGCCAAGTGCGCTCGCGTCTGGTCACCACATTTATCGGTACGTTCCTTCCCCGATTCACCACCATATTGCATACTTTCATACTGACATGTCTACCTAGGTTCTCTTATGGCTACTTTCGAGAAGATGTAAGAAGCGCAGCTTTCATTATCACATATCTACGTCACAGGTGTCACTCTAGTAGCACCAATCACTATTGCAGCTACGCTTCAGCCATGACATGCGGTTATCATACTTTTTGTTTTCTTATCTTAACCCTACACACTTACTTATGTTTCCTCAACGCATGTACATTCTATGCTTTGAATCCGGCGAAGAAATGGCGTGGTTTGAAATCGAACCGAAAGGGTTGGCTGTTGTGATTATATTGCCACTTGTAGGCAGGATTCACAAGGAGGAAACAACAACATCCCCAAAATAACGGCGAAAAATATGGCAATTCTCAAAGCGAATTTCTTTTTTGTTCAGTATTGCGTACCAATGATTCCTAAGTAGCTATCTCACTCATATTTCTCATAGATACTGGTTGAACCATGCCACAGCTTGAAGAAAAGCGGCTTCCTTTGCAAATTTGATGACAGGGTCGGAGAGATCTGCCCGGACCGCAAAACCATGCTGCACCCCACTGAATAGGTTAATCTGATACGCCTGGCTTGTTTTTGCCAAAATCTCCTCGGATTCATGGCGTTTCGGGGCAGGGAAGATAGCATCAGTCTCTGTGGGAAACGTGTGAGCTGTTGATTCACTTATGGGAATAATAAATCGAGGAAGTCACTTACCAGCCGCAGCAATAGACAGAGGACCCTTAATAGCAGCCAACTCATCAGCTTCCACAAAGCTGGGGTGAGCTACGTAGGCGACATCAATAAGTCCAGGCTGGAGCAGACGGATGGCGTATTTAGCCTAAAAAAAGGCAAAGCAGATCAGTAATTGTAAAAAAGGCCCACTACCTTTACTCTTCCAAAGACGATCCCTTACTCCGAAACAGTATCCAATTCCACCGATACGCTCACATCCCAGAGAAGACTTCATTTCCTGAAGAACAGCCTGGACGACAGGTTCCACACGAGTTGGGGGGTGACCAGGCGGGCCTTTCAGCCAGGCCTGTAAGTCAAACCCCTCAGGGCGATTCAGGGGCACAGGGTCACCATGGAATAAGTCTGGCATGACGACAAAATAGCCATTTGCCGCCAGCTGGTCTGCAATCAATTGAGCATTAACGAAACGGTGGCCAATCACGTCGGTGAGGAGAAGAATAGCCCGCTTGGTGGATTTGTTTTCCGGATAAGACAAGTAAGTCTCAACTAGAGGGTTTTAATGTGCGTCAGAGAAACTGGTTTCTTATGCTATATACCCTTTCAACTGGAGGGGGAGGGTCATCCAGGTCAAACTTACCGCCACCAACCTGTTGAAACTCGCCCTTGGCTTCGCCTTCATGCTTAACGCCGACAGTGCAACAAGCAGCTGGGGGGTTCGATGCCATTGTGGGATATAAAGAGGGTGAACAATTAATAAAATGTTTATGGAATTGGAGTGAGAGAGCTGATGGGATGAGAGAAAAAGAAAAGAGGTGCTCGATGACGTTTTTGAGGATCTCGATTCATAATCAAGAGGCGGGGAAGCTGATACATGTGGGGTCAACCGTCAGAGCCCCATCTGTATTTAGTATTATGTAGTATACTTCATACTTCATATTTCACTCATAATGGGTAATCTAAATGATCAAGTAGAGGCTACATAGCAGACTTGGACCTGTAAAGATCCCCAGCCAAAAGACAACGTTCCCAATCAATCTCCGACCGCGCATCAAACGCGTTCGGCTCAAGGCTACCAGGGGCAGTTGCGACATCTGCATAATTAAGAGATAACCCCGAAGTCGCCGGAAGATGCATAGCATGATCAATTCGTGTATGCAGGCCGAGAGTAAAAAGGTCACTATGCTAGCAGAAACACGCGACAGGTGGAATGCGCTGATTGAGCTGTGGTACACATGACGGAGCAGAAAATTGTGTACCGGACGATTCCAATCGCGGGCAAACTGATCCCACGAAACGGAATTCCACCAGTCTGCATAGAACCCCCGGTCGGCAAATTGAGTGATTTCAGCCAATGCATTAAGCTGTAGAGAGTAAATTGTTAAAACGACTATAATCAATTGAATGACCACTTGGTAGAGGGGTAGAGAGGTAGAGGGGTTTCTACTCACCACGCATTCCCAGATGACATAGAATGCCAGCAGGTATTCCATCATAAATGGGAATAAAAGATCACTTAACACCCACGGGAACTCTTGCAACCGCTCTTGCACTGTCAATTCCTCCTTCATGCGCATTGTGTGCATTACGACCGGGTATATCCAGTTCTGCGAAACGACAATCATGACCACAATGGTGCCGAAAGTGGCTAGAGTCTTCTCACCCACGTAGATCCAGTCAATCTTCTCCGTGCGGGGATATTCCAACTCATAGACAATGGTAGGGAGGCAAATGAAGTCGCAAAAGTTTCCAATTGTTAAGTTATGCGGATAATGATTTGTTGACGAAAACTGACCGCGGAGACCATCTGACAGGAGAACAATCTCTCGCTCAATCAACCTTTTCAAAGAATTCATCTGGTCCATTTCCAGTGGTGTCCCATTTTCAATCGTTTCGGATAGTGACAAAAGATCATCCAAGGCGCAAGAGCCCCCGCAGTCCTGGGGGTCAGTAGAATGTTGGTGTTCGTTCCTTCCGAGCCTCGTGATTTTAGACATCAGGGCTGCATCCTTGGTAGATGCCCGCTTGGAAGTAGTGAAGCTAGATGTATTTTCGGGCTTTTTGCTGTCACCTATGTGCTTCTTCAGTCTTCGTAACCGGACTTTCAGGAGGCCCTTTTTCCGATACAATTCGGACACTTTTAATGTCATGCCAGTCAGTAAATTTATGGCCGAGAAATCGAGCCCTCTCCTCAGGAACTTACGGTATCCGTTAAAAAAAGAGTAGCTGTGTTGTTTCATCAACATTGTCAAGCAATGCAGAACCATGAACACGGTATGGGTCCATGGCCAGTCTCGATGGTAAGTCCACCAGATGGCGACAGCAAGATATGATGCTTGCCATATCTATTCAAAGTTTCAATTAGCCAAAGGTTCTTCATTGTCTTTGAAGCTTCCTTCCTCTTTCCCCTTCAATCTCTTGGCGGGAACTCTGTTACTTACGTTCTGAACTATCCACCCAAGACCGCCCCATCGCAGATAGCCGTGAAAAATGACTCGCTGAAGAACAAGGCAGAATATGGTTGAACAACATAAAACAAGGTCCGAAAAACCGAGCACCAAGACATCCTTGCTGAGCATCAGCTGGATTATCTCATTCTTGCCCCAAATCGTGCCGTAAATTCGCCAATTGTTAGCAGCGACTTTGAGCAGGACCAGGGCCACGCCAAGCCAGAAGAGCGTAAAGAAGCCATGAAATGAGGAAGAGTTGAAATTTGGATTCTGGCGGTCAAAGGTGCTAAGCTGTCGGGTGAACTCTAGATGTTGAAAATGGAACCGGCGTTTCTCTGATCTGGCAGGTTTTTCAGTCTTTTCCAGGCGAAGTTCACTGCTCAAAATACTCTGAAGAACGTCTTGAAGTATTTCGGCATCCTCGGCGGTGAGTAGGTATCGATTTTCTTGGTCAGTCTCTTCGAGCTTTACTGACACGGTTTGACACACTGGTGCATCCTGTTCCAGCTTATTCGGAGCATGGCCCATGGGCATAGACGTGGATGTTCGCCGAAGAAGCTGGCTTTGACTTGGAGGTCCCATCGCGAATGACGAGAGATGTCGATGTCGATTTTCTCAATTTTGTTCCGGCACCGTGGTTCGGATAGTTCGGATTTTTTTTCCGTGGCGAACCGAGAGAAGTAAACATATGACGTTGTTACTTTCCGGGGATTGGATAAGTGGTAAAGACCATGCACATGTGTAGGTGGAAATACTGTATCTGTGAGTTGGTGGGCCTGAAATGGAGTGGGGAAACTTAAAGTACAACTCCGGATCGACTGACAACAAAGGAAATGAAATATCCCACCCCACCCCAACCAGTTTCTTTTTCTTTTTCTTTTGCTCCAACTTCCAAAGTTCCAAGTATAGAGGAGCAATGGATCTGCCGCTATTTACTCCACACTTGAAACTCTCCGCCTTGGGGAGCTCCGCACCCTTCTCGTCCTACTCAACAACTGAACTCTGAACATCAATCACCATGGATCCTCCCCAAGTACAACTCCCAGGCTCAGACAGGACTGACGCTCAGAGACAAGCTCAGAATGAGTCCAATTCGACTCAAAACACTAGCAATTCTGTCGAGATTGACATGGGAGGCACCCAGGAAACCGCGACCCAGAATGTGACAGCTACGGAAGATGCTACTTTGCCCGATGCGCAACCAGAAGCTGAAGCAGCACCAGAACCTCCTACTCCCGCGAAAAAGCTAGTTGCTCCGTCATTTCTGAAGTAATAGCATGTTTGATTCCTCCCATTCTCCCCTTCATCAACTCCTCCCCCATACGCCAACCTCCATATCAATATGACTTTCGACAACGAGAAGACTCTTCCACTTCGCGACGATCCGCTTACATTTCCCAGATTCCTTACTTCCCCAGTCGTTGAAATTGAAGTGGGCGAAGGTGATGGCCAGATGATTCTCACGGCTCATCAGACTCTACTCCTGGAATCGCCCTTTTTGAAACAATTAGTTGATGAATTTGATGAATCAGGCCCAGTGAGTTGTGTTGGAAGCTTCCTGAAGCCAGACTAACTTTTGCGCCATGTCTAACAATCGTACACCAGCGTCGCATTAAACTTCCCACCGAGAACGTCGAGGCCTTTAGCTGCTTTCTTGAGTTCCAGTACACCCACGACTACACCGTCGCCCAGAGTGAAGGCCCAGAACCATCGAATATAAATGATGACAGTGGAGAGCAGCTGCTCAAACATGCTCGAATCTACACCCTGGCTGAAAAGCTAGGCATGCCCGGCTTGAAAAGCTTGGCGCACAAGAAGATTCACACCCTAAACGGTACACCGCTTGGAGAGCTGTCTTATGCGCGCTACGTCTACACGCACACACGTGCTGATGATACTACGATCCGGAAACCTGTCGCTTCGTACTGGGCTTCCCGGGGTCACGTTCTGCGCCATGACCTCACCGAAAAATTCAAAACCCTGTGTACCGAGGTACCGGAATTCACTTATGATGTACTCTCAATTATCCTGGATCGCAAGAAGACCGGTCAGGCAGACATTGAGTCTGGCGTCCGTGGCAGTGCCCGGAAACGACTTCGCAGCGAGAAATAAATCGATTGGCCATCCTCGATGTACAGACAGTACCGGACATCTTTTTTTCTTAACGCTCTCACTCCATCTAACCTACTGTCAATGTCACTTTTACCTGCACAGGATCGTGTCTAGATATATTCTTGATTCATTAATAATATCATGAAATGACTAGAGATGTACCACAGGGAACTAACTATAACGTCCAGAGGGAAGTTTACTAAACTACAGGCTTCACTTGTCCTCCGAAGGTGTATTTGCAAATCCTGCTAATATATTTGCGTCTTTCCAGTTGGGACCATTAATATATATCTACTAGTACTAATATTTATAGTGTAGATTATTCTACACACTACTACTAGCAGATAGTTGCTTCAAAAATAAACTAATGTAATTGCTGATCTCATTAAAGTTTATTGAGCAAGGCTTTCGATCTCTGTCAGAACCTTTGGTGCGGAGGTCAGGTTATCAGAACCATCCTTGGTGATATGAATATTATCCTCAATGCGCACACCACCCACGCTCCAGTATCGTTCAAGAACATCCGCATTGATGTATTTACCGAGCTCTGCTGACTTCAGGACAGGATCAATGATAAATCGGCAGAAGTAAATCTAGAAAAGAAGAGCATTAGTTTCAATGACCATCAATGAACCCCAATCAAACACAAATCGAGAGAAAGAAAAGAGAGGAGAGGAAAGAAACGGAGACTTACACCTGGCTCAACTGTAATAACAGAGCCTGCTGGCAGGGTACCGCGCACACGCAGATATTTGAACATCTTGTCCGAGTCCTCGTAGTTAGGGTAACCACCGGTGTCATGAGTATCCATCCCTAAGTAGTGGCCCAGTCCATGTGGGAAGAAAGCCACGCTGACCCGCTTCTCAAATAGCTCATCCGCAGAGCCACGGAGGATACCAAGCTTCAACAAACCCTTGATAGCAATGCGGTGCGCTAATGCATGCACATCATCCCACCGCACACCTTCCTTCAGCATAGCAATGCATTCCTCCTGCATCTGAAGCACAATGTCGTAGATTTGGGCTGTCTCCGTCGAAAATTTACCATCCAATGGGACCACGCGAGTGATATCAGCGCAGTAAGTTTGATATTCACCACCCGCATCAATAAGGATATTTTTTTTCCGTTGTTGGGTTGCCGGATCAACGAGAGGCTTATCATTGCTGACATAGTGGAGTGTAGCGCCGCCCTCACCGCTGGCGAAGATAGGGTGGTAGGACTGCTCATTACAACCATTAGCAATGCAGGTGCTGATGAAGACGCCCTCCAGCTCGCGCTCATTTATCGCGGTCTGAGCTGCCTTCAGGGCAGCGATATGTCCCTTGGCGGAGATCTCGTTCGCCCTCCTGAGCAGTGCGACCTCGTAAGCGTCTTTCACCACGCGGACATCCCCAATAACGTCCTTCAAGACAGAGACATTGGTAGCAGAGAATCCCTTAAACTCGACGTCTGACGAGAATTGTTCCGCAATAGCGAAAGCCGGCGCCTTGCCGTCCTGCTTAGCCGCAATGGCAGCCAAGTGCGCATTGACATCGGTAGTATAAAGCACACGATCGACATCATACAGTTTCGCAGTCTCTTTGGGCGACAGAGGAAGGCCAGACCAGATGACAGAGTCCTCGTCGATTGGAGGGATGAACAAAGTCAACTCGTCTGTTTTGACGTCGTAGATCACCGAGGCATCAGGTAGGAGACATCCGGTCAAGTAAAAGAAAGGGCGACGCTGTCTTTGGAACGAATCAGAGCTGAGCAATAAGAAGCGAGAGAGCTTATAGAAGTATACCTGAAGGGCATTGGCTCATCATTGTCCTCGATGAGTCGGGTTTTCTGCGCCTCTAAGTAAATAGCGCCAACCTTTCCATGTCGAGCTTGAAGAGCCTCAACGACCCGCCGGGCATGAGCCTTGGCGGGATATTTAGTTGCAAGAATGGCGTCTACTGAAGACATCACGGACAAGTTGGATATCAATGGAGAGAAAATATTGATGCGAAGGGGGAAATGAAAGAGATTGTGCGGGGCAAAGTATTTGATTAGCTGGATGCGGTTGCATTGGCTGCGGGGCTGACTGGAGCTGTCAATGCGGCTATCTACGGTTGAAACTCAATGTAGTATAGTGTCAACATTTGAAATTAAATAAAATTGGTATCATTACACATCATGATCAATTAACAACAATGATCCAAATGAGCCATAGAAATATCACCGGATTGGACTGCCCTGAGTCTCTGATGCAGAGACTTCTTCAAATTCCATCTGCCATTTATCCACCTCGGCAAATTTCTTAGCAGCGGCACGTAATTCTTCACTTATATACCGCCTCCCAGTCCCCACTTCGGACTCATAATCGGACACATCCGACTCCGGTGGAGATGACAAGGATGATGTTGGGGATGTGATACGTGATTCGTTTTCTTTGTCTATACCCTCAACTTGAGGTGACTGTGGTCTTTGCGGCCCTGGTGGCTTTGAATTAGGGACTGATTTGGCCCGTGTATTCCTCTGCTTCTGGTTGACTTGTGTTGGTTTGCTCCCTAGTGGCCGAGGTTTCGTTGTATTGGCTTGTCGCTTCCTTCGAGGTGGGAGGTAATTCAATTCATCTTCATCACCCGAGGCAGCATCATGCGCATCGTCATTGCTTTCATCACTTGGAATATCCATTTCCCCCACCGCCCGATGTTTGCGCCGGCGTTGCCGTCGACGAGGAAGTAGCTTATTTTGGAGTGCCGCCGTAGACATATGAGCCACATCCCTCAGATTTGTCTTTGGGTTGCGTTGGTGCACAGCTGGCGAGTTATTTGCCGCTATGGAACTTTGGGTACTCCACATTGGACTGCTGGCAGGCGGTGCCATGGTTTGACTAAGTATATCCGAAAATGGAAGAGGTTGAGGTGTCTCCTCCGATTCTTGGAACCGTGATCTGTCTGGTATCGGGGTAGCGCTTGGCGAATCTGGAACCCTAGCCTGGGTATCTTCTATCGAGGACATGGGCACTTGTACCTCCACTTCCACACGCTTGCGTTTATTAGACCCGCCCGATGAGGGTAACGATTGAGAGGGTGACGCTGATTCCCCACCTTCTTTCGCTAGAAGAGATTTACTCCGCGACACGTTCAATGGGGTAGATTCATCCTGCGGACTTAAGCCACCTAGGAAGTCATCCTCGTCAACATCAGATGAGCCTTCCTCGGCTTGCATCATCTGCAAAATGCTCTGTTGTCGGGGGCGTCGCCGAAAATTCCCTAAGACTGATGTGTCGAAGCCAGGGGTCCCCGGAACACGCGAATTCACATCGCCTGTTCGGCCTGCTAAGGATAGTGTAGAAGAGTAACCACGGGATCTCGTCGGAGGTCGGCTTGTGCCAGGGCGACTGCCTGTACCAGGTGGATTGCCAGCAGGTGATGATTCGATGGCTTGTTCATGACTCCTAGCCAGAGGAGTCTGGTTGCGGAGAGCTGGTTGTGCATTCAGTGCAGACCCGCGTTCTGTCGCTGGCGATTTGGGATCATTATCATCGCGCGCCTTAGGCGCATCGGTAGGCTCTGGAGCCTTAGTGGATCGATTTCGTCTAGCCGGACGTGGCATATTGAAGAATAGCCGATGAAGGCAAAAAGCAACCGACTGTCAATATTGGGCGTGCCTAGCACCTTTTCTCGAGCGGTTAAAAAAAAGAGGAAGATAACGCGTGTTGTTGTTTTCGGGCACGCGTCCACGTGCGGATAAGGATAAGAGGGTTCGTTATCCATTGGCGGGGAAACTTTGTTTAGTGCTAAACAAGGTTCACTCTTCACCACAAGACTCCAGGATAATGTAGAACTCGGAAAACAGCGTAGTTTTATAAAGGGCGTAGATATTTTACAACTTTCTTTTGTTTTAGGTTAAGGTTGCACGCAGAGCCTGCATAGACATTATATTGTCTTCAAAGTATGTCTCTCTAGCTAATGCCATTCACAATGAAAACAAATCATTCGATATCGTGGCCGTCGTCACAGTTCAGCACCCCTCCAAGGTCGGGAGGTAGGAAGGGTGCAGCTAAGGTATAAACACTGATTTACAAGAAGTGAGAACAGGGGGGGAGGCAAAAGAAGGAGAAAGAGAAATATGCACAAATCCCATATCATGACAATTATGGTCTTCAAATCATATCTCAACGAGGCGAATCATGGTATCTTAAAAGACATGGCGATGGGTCAATATAAACGTCAAAAAATATGGGCAAAATGAAGCAGGAGGGCCAAGAAGAGGCCAGAGGTGGTCATTGGGAGGAGACCATGAGAGGGATATTAGGATGCGGATCTATCGTATGGCTGAATGAACGCTCAAATCAACACCCATTCACTACCACGCTTGATAAACTTATCAAGCATTAAGCCCATGTCGGCTAGTGCGAAGCGGCAAATATAGAAGCCAAAGAATTCAGCTGCATGCCGAGTGCTGAGCTCCAGACCGACATGAGTTTGGGAGGAGTGTTTGAGTCCGGGGTCTTCCACTTGCTGCGCAATTTGATCTGTTTGATTTAGTTAGAATAAGGGAAGCTGAGGGGGTGAAAGAGGGCGAAAGTTGTGTACATACCTATCACTTGAGCGGCATCGAAAACGCGTGCCAGGGCCCCCATGTAATGAGAATTTGGACCCGAGAAATCTAGCTGCGTGACGTTGCGCTTGGCATGTGTGGCAGGTCCCGATGTCATAGGGAGAGAATTGAGTGTCAAATTATCTTTGTTGCTTTCGCGCACGCTCGGAACAGGAGCAGAAGTTGTACCAATGCCGGAAGTCTTCGCTCGTAACCGTTTCCATGTTGGGAGGTACGACTTGTTGGATGTACCCGAAGTTCTGGAATGGGGAGGATCAGCATGTGCGGGATCGTCTGCTGTGGCATTCGGCTTGAAAAGCGGTATCGCTGTTTGAACACCGACATCGTGACCCATTTTCTTGGTCAACGAAGCTTGAGCTTGATCAAGCACGCTCTCAAGTGACTGCATCTCCTCTAAGACTGCATCTGCATCGTACATATCGACTTGTGCCAATTTAAGCAATGCGGCAGTCAAGAGATCACAAGTAGATATCTTATCCTCAACAGCCTTGAGTTTGACATTCTTTACTCGCCAGACATCACGGGGGATGAAGAGTTTTGTGGACAGATATCCACCATGCGGGTGGGTAATCGTCTGATAAAGGGACCGCATCAGCCAAAACGGACGTAGCAAGAAGGACTCTGGGCATGGCTCGAGGGGCAAAGGAGCGTTGGAAATTAGAGAATTTGGACGACCGAGCGTCGAAGGGGAATGGATATCAGAATCAAAAAGATTAAGACCCCCCGTAGGTAATCCGTTTTGTGTGAAATATGCCGCGGTTGGCGTTGGCATCACAGGGATATTGCTACTCATGGTTGCCTTCTGAGTATCTAGCGTTGGGAAGGAACCACTCCAGGGGGTAGTCGGAGAACCAGGTGCTGTCTCTGGATTCGGAACGGATACATTCCGAGATCTGAACGCTTTTGAGGCGGACTTATCTAGACCATCTGGGGCGGATGGTATTTTGTTCATGGGTCGAGCCGAGGTTGGTAGAGGAGGCAACCCAGCTTCGTCGTCTTCCTGGGTGCGAGTTTTGGCAAGATTGATGTGATCTGTGATAGACCCAATCGATACATTACGCTTTGAGGGGTGCAGGTTGGCTCGAAATCCTGGAGTGGTCGATTTGGAAGTGTCGGAGATGGGCTCATCTTTGGGCACTGGCGGCGGTGGTCGGCTCGTCAACGGGGTCGCAAAATAATCCAGGTCAGAGGCATTCGAGTCCTGACGAGAATGGGTATTGGTTTCGATTTTTAATTCGCTGGCACTCTGCTTTGACAGTCTCCGAGATCTGACACTTGGAACTGGGGGCGGTCCCATTGCGGGAGGTGGTGGTGGAGGAGGAGGAGGCATTTGTAGAGGTGCGCCCTGGGGTGGAATTGAGGGTAAACCGACAGACGGAGGGGAGGACGGTAGGGGAGTTTGTTCGGGTCTTTGATCAGAATGCAAAATATCGTCATCCTCTGTAAGAGTCGACAATGTGGCCCCAGTGCCTGTAATGTTGGATGCAGCTGAGCTCTCCCATGTCCTTCCGGACATATTGCTAGAGTCCGATTCTCGAGGAAGTGCCGACTTGGATTGTATACCAAATTCAAAATCGTCCATGACATAGCCTTTAGTCATTTCTTCTAGGAGGCGCTCTTCTTCTTCTGCCTCCTCATCAAGGTAGTCAGAATGACGGGCAATCGGATTCTCAAGTATGTTTTGCTCCTGGATGCGACGTATTTCCCGGCCACGAATCATAGCATCCTCGGCCTCGCGCTCAGCTTCACGCACACGTTGCTTTGCTAGCTCAATATTTCTGCGGGCATTGGTAACAACATCATCATTTTCTTCCTCGTTGTACTCTATGACTGGCTCTAATCCATCATCATATGCGGCTTCCACAGCGGCATCAAGAGCGGCATCAAACTCGGCTTCCGTATCCGTACTCATGCGTCGACTTGTGCGTCGTCGAAGATATACTGATGATGCCTTTGAATTTGCGGATGAAGGGGAGGAGGCGCCCGACTCGTCAATGGTATCGAGCCAGGAGGTCGATTCGTTCGCCTCCTGTAAAGAAGGCTCTAGAAACTGCCCGTGATAGGCTGAGTTGATGCTCGAGTTTCCGGGAGTCGACCGACCCGACTGCGAAGTTTTCGACAAGGATGTAGATCTTGAATGGTCTTCCAAACCAGTAGGTCTCAAAGACTGACGACGAGGGGGAATTGCCTCTGAGGGGAGTGATTTGGCGTCTTCTAGTGAGACCTGGAAGCCCAGATTGGAGTGAGTGGAGCTGTGCTGGCTCTCTTCCCCCGAGACACCAGTTGCTGAAGATTGGAAGATATCACTGTATGATTCTTGGCTTAAAGGGCGTTCTGGAAGGGCTTTGCCGTCAACATCCGGTAAGGGAAAATCCATGCGCTGGAGTTCTGTTATACGAATCATGTAGGTATCACGCTGTAAGACCATTAGCAGTCAATTCCCGTTGGTTAAACATAAATAAACAAGAGTGCCCTACAATTTCCTGTAATTTGAGCTTCTCTTCATCGCCGCCATTGCTGCGCAGCATCACGAATTGTAACAGTTGACAGGCGTCGGTATAGGCTTCCATTGCGCCCTCAAAGTTGGCCGCATTATCCAATAATACAGCCGTATTTGCCTTCTGCAGCGCCTTAGATAACATTGCTTTCTGGGTTTGGCCATACTGTCGGTTCTCCGCCTCCGCTTCCTCATCTGCCAATGACACTGCGCCTTCACTGGGGCGCGACATGTGACCTTGGCCATGAGGTGGTGTTGATTCAGATTGGTCATTTGAGGATGATGCTTGGAATAGATGGCTTGAGGCTGTGAAGGTAAGGTCTAGGTGGGGTTTCGAGTCCGCGGATAAAATATCCGATGTACTTATTTCTGGAAGGCTTAACTCCGGAAGCTCCCCCAGTGCCGGTCCCCTATGTGGGCTGTGACCGGACATGGACATCTTTGAGCTACCTCGGCGATGCCCTGTATACTCTGATGGACTCTTGCTAGATGTTGTAGACTGCGACCAACGGTTCAAACTTCCGAGGCCTTCTTTAATGGGGCTGCTGCTGCTCATCACGCCTAGACCCGTCGGGGTTACGGCCCTCGACGGCTTCACCATTCGAGCACGAGATCCTGGGCGAGAAGAACGAGAGGCAGGTCGATTGGGAGGGGCCGAGGGAGGTTCCATGAGGGATCCGGAGGGGCGTCTTGGGTGAAACGGTCTCGATTCATCTTCGAGGGCGGAGCGGTGTAGCATTTTCGCGAACGAGGAGAGAGTGGGTGCGAGTCGGCTGAAGCGCTAGGGCTAAAGGCCCAGATCAGACATTGAGGGAGTTTCTTATCCAGAAAAGAAAAGAAGAAGGGAGAGAAAACGCCGACGACAGTGAAGGACGACGTTGCTGATATCTTGACCGTGATCGTTGTTTTCCGGTGTTGTCTCTTTTTCTTCGCTGCTTTTCTACAGAAAGCCAAGAGAAAAGAAAAAGCAATTTGAGGTAGTTCTTATTACTGCGACACAAACAGGCAATTCTTAATTGTCAGAAAGATTTGCGGGACGCATATTTCAACCCCAAAAAAATGAAATCGAAAAGGGGGTTGGGTCACTGGGTGTCTTGTGCTGAGATAGATGCGCGGTCAACACATGGCTTCGAGATCGTCTATGACGGGGATGGAGGCAGCGACAATTGAACTAGAAAAAAGGAAGAGTATAAAATAAGCGCATGATCCAGACCGATGCAACCAAAATAACAAGGAACGGGGGTTTTCCTTACTACAATAGTCTCAATGAAGAGTTTCAGGGGCGGAGATTAATCTTCAGGGGTGCGGCGGGCGGTGGGAAAAGGGAAGGTGCGGGGAGGTCACTCCCTCGCTCTTTCCCTCTTTGCCTCTTTCCCCCCCCCCCCTCCCCTTTTTATTTTATTTTTAGGATTTTAGACTCGCGTGGGACCAGATTAGAAGAACCTTAAGGGGAAGGGGAAATGATGTCGTAGTATTCGGAGAAAAGGGGGGGCATACCTTTTATGAGATGTATATATGGATAGATCTCATTGGATATACTGCTTGTGTATCTATGTACAGGAATTTACTACCTAAGAATCTATATACCGAGTCATGTATGTACAGTCAACGGGTCAACCAGAGATACTAGTCTATTTCAATGGATAATGGATAATGGTGGATACTAAGTAATACAACGATCAATCCATACGCTGTACAACGTAGATATGACATATCCCAACCTTGAAAAGTACAAACCTTGGAAACTCTTCGATCCCAGTTATCTAACATCAAGGGAGAAACTCTATCCTTAATTTTAACCTCAATATCCCCTTGTATGTCGAATTATTTGACTGATCGGAAACTATGATGGATCCCTTTGCCCCCCTCCCAATACGACTCTACACTAGAAATGGATACAAATAACCCATTGTGATTTGTCCATTCTTCACGCTTAGAACCGGGCCCGATGTAGAACAAATTTTTCTTTTCTCTTTTTTTCTTTTAGAAATTAATTGGGTAAATGGATTCGACCCTCGGAACCAGATGAACCCCTCTATTATCCCGCTTAGACGCCTCTTGCCCTTCAATTCCCAATCTTTCTCCTTTCGCGCTGTACGTAGAATCACCATGGTGTCCAACCCGCGGGATCCGAACACTTTGAGCAACTACAACAACTGGCGCTCCACTCATATCACCGCCAACTTTGATATTTGGTTTGAGCAAAAGAAATTGGTCGGCAATGTCGTACACACATTCACCTCCATTACCGATGCTCAGTCTCGGGAGATCATTCTAGACACGAGTCATCTGGACATTGGCGAGATCAAGGTGGATGGTATCCCTTCCAAATGGGAACTACTCCCCACGCTGGATCCCCTTGGCACCCCGCTCAAGATTAGTCTAAACCAAGCTGTCAAATTGAATGACACCGTCGAAGTCGATGTAGGTCATCGCGGTCCCTTGAACATCATCATCATATACATCATAACCCATAAAAAAGAAAGAAAAACTCCAACTATACCTATGCAACCCACTAACGTCAGTATAGATCGCCGTGAAAACTACGGAGAAATGTACCGCCCTCCAGTGGTTGACCCCGGCACAGACATCCAACAAAAAACACCCGTATATGTGTAGGTCATCTTCGATATAACGTCTTCGTGTCATCTTGGTCCTTGTTTCCTGACCAACATTAGTTTCGCAATGTCAGGCTATCCATGCCCGGTCTATTTTCCCGTGCCAAGACACCCCAGATGTCAAGAGCACCTTGGACTTTAATATCACTTCGCCGCTTCCTGTCATGACTAGCGGCTTGCCAATTGGTGAGGGTGAGGCCTTGCCATCGGGCCCCAAGCGGTACCGATTCCACCAGTCGGTTCCAATTCCTAGCTATCTCTTTGCGATCGCCAGTGGGTAAGCAACTCCCCCCTCTCTATTTGTTCGTTGCATAATTTCCGTATGAGCTTTATTAAATATTCTTAATTATTCCTTCTTCCAGAGATGTCGCCCAGGCTCCGATCGGCCCCCGAAGTGTGGTGGCTACCAGCCCGGACAAGCTGGATGAGTGTAAATGGGAATTGGAAAACGACACCGAGAACTTTATCAACACAATCGAGGTATGATTGATGACCCCCGTATCTCTATGCAGGTCTCGATGTACTGAACCATATCAATACAGAAAATTGTGTATCCTTATGTCTGGGGCCAGTACAATGTTCTGATCCTGCCCCCAAGTTTCCCCTATGGTGGTATGGAGAACCCCATCTTCACCTTTGCCACCCCAAGTATCATCTCAAAAGACCGGGAAAACATTGATGTGATTGCGCACGAATTGGCTCACAGTTGGAGTGGAAATTTGGTCACCAATGCCTCTTGGGAACACTTTTGGCTCAACGAGGGTTGGACCGTCTATTTGGAGCGACGTGTAAGTCTCTCACTCAACAATCGCCTGTCGACCATTTTTGACTAACAATCGAATAGATTCTGGCTGCAATGTATGTGATTCAAGCTGAAAGGGAGAAGAATGAGAATGAAAGGAGAGTGATAGTCAATCGACATACAGCAATGCTAACTGAACTCCTTGAATAGTCATGGCGAGGCGTACCGCCATTTCTCTGCCATCATCGGTTGGAAGGCCCTTTCAGATTCCGTGGAACACTTTGGACATGACCATGAGTTCACCAAGTTGATCACTGATCTGAAGGGCAAAGACCCCGATGACGCTTTCTCCAGCATCCCCTATGAGAAGGGCTTCAACTTCTTGTTCTACCTCGAGAACCTTGTGGGCAAGCCGAAGTTTGACAAGTTCATTCCTCACGCAAGTTCCTATCCTGTGTGGAGTTAGCATGGTCTTTATGCTAATCCATTGCCGTTTGATCTCTTTAGTACTTCACCACCTTCAAGTGCAAGTCTCTTGACTCATACGAGTTCAAAGCCAATATTCTGGAATTCTTCCAGTCTGACGCTGAAGCATCCAAGCTACTGGACGAGCTGGACTGGGACAAGTGGTTCTACGCTCCTGGCTTGCCTCCCAAGCCGCAATTCGATACATCATTGGTTGATGTTGTATATGAGCTTGCTAAGAAATGGCAGACTCTCCCTGACTCGGCGTTCAAGCCACAGGCGAGCGATCTTGAAGGTCTGACAGCAAATCAGGTTGTTGTCTTCCTTGAGCAGATCCTTCGTTGGGGGCAGCCTCTGCGTCCAGAGCTCTCGAAGCTAATGGGGGAAGTCTATGGGTTAGCTAAAAGTGATAACATTGAGGTGTCCAACTTGTACCTTCAGGTGGGCATGAAGGCTGGCGATGAAAGTGTCATCAAGCACACGACTGAATTGCTGGGCCGAATTGGAAGAATGAAGTTTGTGCGACCTTTGTAAGTTTCCCCGCCGTCGCCGTCGCAATAATCACCACCCAATGATAAACTAATCCGCATGCTAGGTACCGCAATCTGCAGAAGGTTAACCGCCCGGTTGCTCTCGCAACATTCGAGAAGTATAAGGACTTCTATCATCCCATCTGCCGCGCTATGGTTGAGAAAGACCTGCTTGGCAAGAAGGAGAACTAGATTATATACAATATTATCTAGCAAAATAAATCATTTTGAAGATATGGAGCCATAGCAGAATATGGGTTTCAAGCTAGAAAGTTTTCAATTATAGAGCTGAGCTGAATGGAATACTGTACATGACTAAATTAACCTCGTAAAGGGCTGTGCCGGTGAATAGTAAAACAAGAACAGAAAAGAAAGCCCTGGGAAGCATACGCTCGAAAAGCATTTTATGTTCAATCTAATTGAAGCTTGGGGATTTATTTTCCTGCCCCAGCCATTCTCTTGTCAATGGCAGAATAACCAAAAATGCTCGACTCCTGAGCACTTCCTTGGCTCAGGGCAAACACCATATCACCCTCCTGCATCTTCGAAAGCTCCGATAGAACTCGGCGCATATAAGCAACGACCCAGGCGACCTTGGTCCAATCAATATCATTGCCATCAGGGCCGGTCGAGTTGGCTTTCCACAGATTCCGCCAGACGGCAGCGCCCAGCACCGCGTCGCCCTTGACCAGTCCCTCGTCGTATGCGGCGATAATCCCACGCCATTGGATGAAAAGATCCTTTAGATATTTATTGCGGATAGACCGGCTTCCCAGGTCATGTAAGACATCCATGCGGTGTTCAGCATTGTGTGAGAAATGATCAATAAGGTGGCGGGAGTAGGTTTGGACGCTGTCACGAGTAGGGAGAGCACGGAGTCGAACGGTCAAAAGGTACATATGGAGGAAAGTGATTTGCGACCAAGTAGAGAACGTAGGCTGCAGACCCAACTCTATTAAGTATCACAAGTCAGTATTTCGCGCATAACACCAAGAATGAGCCAGCCAGGGAAGTCGGCCAAGATCAGTCTTCCTCGGATACTACGAACCTCGGTACCACCAGCTATCACTAACACCCAAGTGTTCACCAGACTCAGTTTTAGGGATATCCACGCCCTTTTGAGTCGCTTGGGGAACCTGATAATCTGCCTGGCTTGAGCAGGACTCAAAAAGTTTCTGGGTCATTCCGTATGCGACATAAGTTTCGGCGGCGGCTCCCGGTCCGGTTGACACATTGCGAGTAAATTCGCTGTAATTATAGGAGGGTCTTGAGCGCAACGGTAATTCTGTGGTCAATGTTTTGACTGGCCCGAAAGCATTGCGCTTCGCGTTTCCTAGAGTCGAGAGAGAGCGGGATGCGTGTCGAACGAAGGGTCGCTAACAACGGTTAGTAACCTTGGGGGTGCAGAATCACGGAAATTCCATACTTGCTGGTGCGAGACCTGAGACCCAATCAGTTCCCGCGAGCACAGAGTAGTCAATCGTGTGTTCAACATTGCTGTTTGATTGAGGTGGTTGGAATCTATCGGCGATCTTTTTTGGATTATCGCGGTGTTTGCATAGTTTGTTTTGATTGAGCCAATCAATGCTGACGAATTATCCGTACATACAGCCCGGGAGTACATAGGTGTATAGTACTGACTCGCTCATCTCGAAGAATAGAATATATGGTCTACATAGGTCTAAGATAAAATGAAATAACTTAAATGAGATGTCGACAGTTTATGGAGTGAGCCTTTAGCTTCAGATAACTTTGTTGAACGAGATATAGCTCGAAATAAATCACATGCAATCAATCATTGCTAGTTATGGCTTTTCCATTGATCATACCCTTTAGAAGTCACTACTGTTGAGTTTGCGCAATTAAAGGTTAGGAAGTGCCTTTCTAGGGCCAGGAATAGGAGCTGATATAAATCATGATATTCGTTCAATTAGAAGTTTTTTTGTTCCATTCAATTGGCCATCTGGGCGCAGTTGGCCCTTACACATGGTAGTTCAGACCAGAATTAGTACAATCTGGGTTGGTGAATAAGGGCGTTTCAATTGCTTCAAGAACTGTCCCTTCAGCATGCCGTTGCAGACAGGGTTTATTTCCGTTGATTTCATTTCACATCGTATGTAGTGGACCCCCGCGTAAGAGTTCAATTATCTAAAACCACTCGTTCACATCGCTTTTCAACCACAGGCAAGACCTCCGAAAGTTTATTGGCATCTCGCATCAATGCTGGGACGTCATCTCGGGTGCTCGCCAGAATCTGTTCGATGTGTTAGATATTGTTTGCATGTCCAGGGCTACTGGGCTCGCTCGGTCATACCTGTCTCACTTTCTCGTACTCGGACTCCTTTGACTGATATTCTCGGATTATCTCTTGAGTCTCAAAATCCACATAAACCCGAGTGTCCCGGAGACGAATCAGAACATTATCCAATCTCATGAAAAACCTGGTCAAGAGAAGCAGGCGTCCTGGCATCACTCGAATTTTGCATGACAGCATGGCAATTCCATTATCTGCCAGTTCGTCTTCATAGAGAACCACTTCATCGAAGAAAAGAATCGGATCGGGACGCATTAGAAGTTCGATGGGGATAGGCTTATCGGTTTCTGTGAACGGCTGTGCTTTGGGACTTAAAGTACCCTTGTAATCGGTACTGTAAGACCAGTCGAATGGTTTCACGATTTCTTTGATACCCTCGTGTGTTTTCTCCCTGTAAGTCGATGATTGTCAGCATTCAACGAGATCAAAAGCCAGAATAATAAGCCACATGGAAACCACGTACCTGCTTTTCTGCCATTCCTTCGAATACGCCACTTGTAGCATCGACTGTCCAGTCTTGTCCACGCGGTCCAGAGCATCGAATGAATTGAAATTGATGCCCCAGCCACTCTTTTCGTGCTCAATCATCACATAGTTGTCGCCGAATATCATTTCTGGCGGTGTAATACCAAGATTTTTGGTCATCTCCTCGATCGGATCTGCTTTCAAGATGGGTAGCTTCTGGGTGGAGATGCGAAAGCCCTGGATGGAGATCTCCTGCGGGCGTTTGGAATGGTAGGCTGCTGCATGACCCGTAGGTTGCGCAGCTGGGTGCTTTGCATCCATATTTTGGTATGATTTTTCCCCTTCCCTTTGGCTTAAACCATGTTGTCATTGAGAGGGAAGCTTTATCATCATCCATCGTCGCGATAGCGATATGGAGTTGAGTCCCGCGGGCGGAGAAAGAGGCGGGCCGATGCCGTTGCTGGGGGGACGGAGTTGATGATGGATTCCAAACACCCGTTCCTGTCTCCTCTCTGTCTCTCTTCCCCGACATCTCCAACCCGATCTTCCCATCCGAAATCGACACCCAATGTTTTTCTAATTCGACTTCAATATCCTTCGTGTCGACCTACTAGCCCGTTGTTTGATTTTCTCTTTTGCGTTTCATCTCGTTGATTTCCCTCCGTCACAATGGCAACCAAAACGTTGGAGGCTCGGTTTGAGCACCTGTCCGTCAAGGAGGAGAACAACAACGAACGGAATTATGGAAAGCCTAAGGTATCTCTATCTCATAATACAGAAAGGTTGAATGCGGATTGCTTACTTCTCAGGCTTCAAAGGGCCCCTCCTCGACGACCACTTCAATGTCCGGCCTTGGGTCATCCCAGAGCAATTCAAACCGGGCTCAGTTACTGAAGCTGGCACTTCAAAACACAAACGAAAACAAGGCGAATGCTATGAATGTTCCACCATCTCCTGGTAAAGGGTCGAGTGCTTTAGTGACCCGGAACACCGATGAAAATGGCGATCAACGTACATCATCTTCGCTATGTGACCAACCCACGGTGCCCAGGGAGCTTCACCTGGGTATGTTTGAGATCGGCAAGCCTCTTGGTAAAGGCAAGTTTGGTCGAGTTTACCTGGCCAAAGAACGATCATCGGGCTTTGTATGTGCTCTGAAGGTGCTGCACAAATCGGAACTTCAGCAAGGCGGCGTCCAGAAGCAAGTTCGACGTGAGATTGAGATTCAGAGCAACCTTCGTCACCCCAATGTCCTCCGGCTTTACGGGCATTTCCATGACAGCAAGCGAATCTTTTTAATCCTGGAGTTTGCCGGCCGTGGTGAGCTCTACAAGCACCTTCGAAAAGAACACCGGTTTCCAGAGTGGAAGGCCGCCCAGTACATTGCACAAATGGCGGCAGCTTTGAAGTACTTGCACAAGAAGCATGTCATGCATCGCGATATTAAGCCAGAGAATATTCTGGTGGGTATCCATGGAGAAATCAAAATCAGTGACTTTGGTTGGAGTGTTCACGCTCCCAATAACCGCCGACAAACGATGTGCGGTACTCTTGACTATCTCCCTCCAGAGATGTTGAAGCAAGGGGCCCAGGACAACCATTATAGCGAGAAGGTGGATCTTTGGAGTCTGGGCGTCTTGACTTACGAATTCCTGGTTGGCGAGGCTCCTTTCGAGGATACCCCTGTCATGACTCAACGACGGATTACCAGGGCTGACATGTCCGTCCCTTCCTTTGTTAGCCCCGAAGCAAAGGACCTTATTAAGAGAGTAAGTTTCTGATAACCCATTGCTCCAAGAATGACTGGCTAACAATTCATAGTTACTGGTTCTCGACCCCGAGAAGCGAATTCCCCTCGATGAGATTCAACGCCACCCTTGGATTGTCAAGCATTGCGTGAAAGACGCAAAGCGAAGCTCTTGCTCTTCCAAGGAGGGCAAAGCATGAAGACCCTTGTGTGAAATATAGGTCTAACGGCGTTCTATTCCCTTCTATAATGTTGTTTTGGTCGTTTAAACGGATTATGAATCCTGGGAGTTTCGGTTTGCATTTTTGGAGTTCTGGGTTATTTTCGCTGGAGTATAACCAGGAAAGGCATTTGCGATATGGGACATGTGCTTTTTAATCTTTCTTTATTGCCAATGAAATATGGTATATTACAAAAAGATTTTCTATGATACAAAGGTGTTGGTATAAGAGCTGAGGGATATACATAAAGTTACAAGTAGAGAAGAGGTGCCAGGTTTATCGATAGATTTCATCAAAGGGCCGTGTGTCTCGGAAACAGCTCCCCCATACTTCATTCACCACCTGGGTTGCATGAGCCTCGTCTCGGCAAGTCGGCCGAGCCCTCACAGACAGAATTGCTCTTCGACGAACACATTCCTGATGTTGCTCGGTAAACTTCCATTGGCCTCGTCGGAAGAACTCTCGTGACCATCTGCATTCACCGCTGAGCGAGCTAGCTCGGATCTACCGTGTGTTAGCAGAGATGATACTCAGGGGCAAGACTTTCAGCTTAGTTCACGTACCTCGGAACATGCGGCGTGTCGCAAGTTGTCTGTCCAGTTTACCTTGAATCTAAGATGATCATAGGCATGGACCATCTCGTGGGCCAAAGTGTCCTCCAAATGTCCCTGGTCCTTCATTTCGTTCGCGCAAAGCAAGATGCCAAATTCAGGATCAAATCCTCCTGCTTTTCGGTTCGTGCAACGGCGGCAATAGATATTGTGACTGCCAAGATCGCCTCCTAGTTGTTTGATATTATCGCTTAAGTATCGGATAACGGGGCCTTCACGGATATTATATTTTAGCATGTCATTCACTCTTGATATTCACTAGGAGCAAATCTTACTGTATTGCAACAAGAAATCACGCTGATCGTCGCAGCGTTTGCAATCCTCAGTTTCATTTCGAAGGTCTCGCGCAACTCGGAACTGCTCGATGCCCTCGGAGGTCATCTTTCCAGTCAAGATGCGATAGATATTGCGGAACTGGGTCCAAGTGTCATCTCCAGCAACATAGCCTGTCTCAGGCTTGTCATTGATGGGTGTAGCCGCGCCTTGTGATTGAGAATCCGACATGTTTGGTAGTCGCCCATTCGAAAGATTCCGCGGAGGATGATGAAGACTCTCCGCAGGGCGGAGGGGTACGGCAGAAATCGGCGTTTCTTCCGATACGAATCGGGACTTCAAAATCTTGCATTGTGAATTATCGCCTGAATTTACGAGAAAGGGTGCTTTAACTTGGTCCAGTATACTGCGGCAGCTTGGTGTTTACTTGCGCTAAGCGGAATTGTGCATCTATGGAGGACTCGAGCCTTACAATCGTGATCAAACTCGGTGCGGGGATATATACCCTAAAGATGACTCGGATACGACTGTACTAACATTTACCATCATTGGAATAGGGACAAGCTCCATTGTCGACGAGAAAACACACGAGCCTATTCTTTCTATTCTAACTCTGATCGTCGAAACTGTAGCGCGATTGCGCAAAGATGGTCACCGAGTCGTCTTAGTCTCGTCTGGCGCAGTGGGGGTTGGTCTGCGAAGGATGGATGTTGATGAACGGCCAGATTATCTTCCTCGAATACAGGTAGGCTGAGTACCAAGCCCCATACATCTAACAGGACTAACTTCCTATCATATAGGCCCTTGCTGCCGTTGGCCAATGTCGACTTATGAGTCTCTGGGATAACCTCTTTTCTCATCTTCGCGTGCCCGTGGCCCAAATTTTGCTGACGAGGAACGATATTGCCGATGTGAGCTTTCCAAAGGGCTTCGTATGGTCTTTCTATACTAACATTGAATAAAGAATACCCAATATACCAACGCGCAAAACACATTCGAGCAACTGTTCGACATGGGCGTGGTGCCTATCGTCAATGAAAACGATACCCTAGCTGTTTCTGTAAGACATATATGTCCTGTACAATTGGATCAAGTTTCGCAGGTTATTGACTTTCTGGGAAATAGGAAATCAAATTTGGCGACAATGATACCCTTTCAGCGATTACTGCGGCCGCAGTCAAGGCCGATTATTTGTTCTTGATGACGGATGTCGACTGTCTCTACACAGCTAACCCACGTAGTGATCCTGATGCTAAGCCAATCGAAGTTGTCACTGACATTTCAACGTTGGAAGCTGATGTGTCATCTGCCGGTTCAGCCTTAGGCACTGGAGGTATGACCACGAAAATCGTGGCAGCAAAGTTGGGAACTAGTGCCGGTGTGATGACCATAATCACCAAGAGTTCCAAGCCAGGAAACGTCCATGATATCGTGAAATATCTCCAAGCAGTTCAAAAACTCACTGACCCCAACGACCCGACCATTGGCGACATCCCCAAGCCACCTCTTCACACTCGTTTTATCCCTTCAGATACCCCAATCCAGTCTCGGAAATTTTGGTTACTGCACGGACTGACGCCACATGGCACAATATACATTGACCAAGGAGCCTACGAAGCCCTCCTTGGCAAGGCAAGCCTTCTACCAGCTGGAGTTATTGGAGTCGAGGGCCATTTTGGGCAGCAAGAAGCGGTGCGCCTTGTTGTTGTGGATCGACCTTCCCCGGAAGCTCTAAATGGTGATTTCCTCCATCATTCACAAGAGCCGAAGGAAGTGGGTCGGGCTATCGTGAACTATGGAAGCATTGAAATTGCGCATATTAAGGGCCATCGTAGTACACATATCGAGGCTGTGCTTGGGTATGCAGACAGCGATTATGTTGCTTTGCGTGATAATATTTCATTCCATCCAGATGAGCGGCATAATCTTCCAGCTACTCCAGCCATGGTCCCAGCGATTGACTCGTGGGGTTCTCCGTGAAGTTATGATTTTGCATAGGAGGACAGACAGCCCAAGGTAGATGAGCTTGCACATAAATATACGTGTGGATTTATCTACACAATTGAACATGATACCAAATGCCGTAGCCGGCTACATAAAAAATGAAGACCACCTCAAAACTTCCAGCATGAATACAAAGACAATGTTTTAAGTTAAATTATAATTTACTGGATAGATAATCAAGAACGCTGCAAATGTTTCCACGATTCTCGGATCTATTGGGAAGTTTTACAAACTTATTAATCAATCCTTCCAACGGTCTAACCACTGCTGCATTCTCTTATCCAATGTTGGCATCGCAGCCGGGGCGGCCTAAGAAGATTAGTATCATGAGAAACATTTTACTTTCGAAGACCCAACGTACCGTGTTCTCAATACTATGAGTAGTCCAGGTTGCGTAGGCGGTATCTGTATATTGGACCGTTGGAGCAGGAAGATAAGCCGTAGCGATGGAAAATGGGAACGGCGGGTATTGAGGTGTAGCCGGCCTGTCTGCGATAGTCGTGCCTGCTCTCTTGGGCATCGGCGCATACTTCGTCAGGCCCAGCTGCTCTCCATAGGGAACTGTATGATAATCCACACCCAGACGTTTCCGTAGTTCATTGTGGTCTAGCTCGCTGCCTTTGGTGGGGGCTGGGAGCTGAAGAGCAGACTGTGACGCGTTCAAAGTCGGAGCTACCTCAGTGGGATCCAACAGGCTCGAGTCATCCGATAGACTGAACGAGATGGAAATCGGCTGCATCAGATTCACTGCAGCTGAAACTTTGGATGAAAATGTGCCTTTCATATTAGTTAGGGTGAAATGAGAAGTAAATCCAGACAAAGCTCCATTGGATGTGGAAGGAACAATCTTGAGGAAGCTAGATACGCAAAAAAAAAAAAAAAAAAAAAACTATTAGCGATATTCCATAGAAAAATGAGAATGCTTAATACATACTATGCATCCACATCATTTCCTCCCACGTTTGGGTTGACTCTAAATGACAATAGGTCGCCGGAGGTATAGGTAAGGTCTTCAATCACTGGCGCTAGCGATTCCTATCAGATCACAAGTATTAGGATGTGCAAACATTTTGAAGCAATGAAGAGAGGACCAAATGCTGGCGTACACATACATATTCGCCTGTTGATTCGTCTCCGGCACAAAGCCAGAACGTATAACGCGTCGAGGCCTCACCTTCAAAGGCCCAAACAATGTTCACAACATCTCTGCTGTCGAATGTAAGGCCACTAATTGTCTGGGCTGTAGTAGCTGTAAACAAAGTGTATATCGCAGGCCATAGTTGATGGAGCCTCATATTGGGATTTTGGTGAACGTGGCAAGCGAACGAGAATCAACACCGGGTAAAAGAGAAGAAAAGAAGCAAAAAACACGAATATTCGTAGACAAACCCAGGCCCAGCTTCTCCCCCTCTTCTCCTTCTCCCCCCTTCGGTCTTTGGTATGTGTGAGTCTCATTCCAACCCTTGACAAGTAAGTAAATGATGTGCACTAAGATAAACCCGATAAGCAGCGATAAGCAGCGATAAGCAGCGATAAGCAGGGGTGGTCCGTGCTATCGACACCTTGACCTACTCAACTCTCCTGTTGCCCGACCTTCCGCTCATCAGCCCACCACCCCCATCACAATGTCAAGTCAAGCCAGTTGGAAGTCTGTGACGGGCATTGCCACGTTGCTTTTTGATGGGAATCTGGTAGCAATTGCCATTGCGATTTTATTTACATTCGGTGTTCCGATCTTTCTTCATGTTGTCTTCTTCCGTGCTGTAGCATCGCCGCCGTCAAGCAACTTCTTGATGCTTGGCCCGAGTGGCTCAGGCAAGACCGCATTCACAACTTTGGTAAGCTCACCAACGTCTATTTTTTTTAATGGAGCTCCTCCATCTCGAAATCCTATTTCTCAGCCAAAATCGCATTTACTTACATTGTTCACAGCTTGAGGCAAAATCCTTCCCGGCATCCAAAAAGACGCATCTCACACACACCTCGCAGACCTCAACATTTGTGTCCGTGAGCTTGCCGCCATCCGTCCCTACTGCGTCTAACCGCTACCGATCTGTCAATGATCCTTCACTGAAAGAGGCTTCGCGGAACCCAGTTCGCTACCGCGTGAAAGACACCCCAGGTCATGGTAAACTCCGCGCTTCTCAGGGAATTGCGACCCTCCAAACAATGACTATCTCCAATGATACGAGCACCAAGATTCGTGGTTTAATATTCATGGTGGACACTGCGGCATTGGTGGATGAGACTATCTTGCGAGACACTGCGACATATTTGCATGATGTGCTGCTGGTCCTGCAGAAGCGTGAGCTGAAGAAGTCTTCTGCCAAGCGATCTATTGGGGTTCCAGTCTTGCTAGCTGCGAACAAACAGGACTTGTTTACAGCTTTGCCTCCAGGGTCTGTACGGGACAAGCTAGAGACTGAGATTGATCGGATTCGCAAATCCAAGACCAGGGGCCTGTTGGACGCCAGTGCTGATGCCGGGCTGGACACCGAAGAGGAAATGCTGGGTAATGATGACGGACAGGGTGTCTTCAGCTTCAAGTTGCTTGAAGAGGAAGTGGGCGTTAAGGTAGAAGTAGTGGGTGGCGCTATCAAAGGTGACTCGGAGGAAGAATTCGGCTCTGGAGTACGTCGCTGGGAGGAGTGGATTGGCCAGTGTCTGTAAATGATCGCTTCGAAATTGTTATAGTTTCTGCTCAAAATAGCATGACGAGCAGATTGAAAAGCACTTCTTGTTGATATATTAGCGGATTGAGCATAATTTGGTGGCACATATGTTTCATAGGTAGTGATACCTGTATTTCCCAAACCCATATGGCCTAGTATATGCACGTTGTATATCTACTTTTCTCCGTCCATGAATTAGGTTTATGACATATAGGCGGGCATTTGATTGGAGTAAGATCTATGCAAATTTATATTATCTATAACGCAATAACATTGCGGTGAGCAATGTATCTGGCTTGCAAGGTGTTGAAACAAATCGGAGAACCCACAGTGGGTGGGCGCCGTCCTCGACATGGTGAAAGGGGACAAGGCCAAAAAGCCAAGAAAAGAAAAGGACCAAAAAAAAACAAGGAAGATAAAGGAGGCCAGTGGACTGGATAAGAAAAAAGATATCGTTATATAGGGTGTTCAAATCCAGCCTCGATGGAACGAGTTCCTAGAAATGCATGGGGATCGTAATAATCATTATCTAAGCGTTGGTGTTCTTGTTGTGCAACATCCAAGTGAGCAAATCCACTTTGGTCACCACGGCCAGTGGCTTCAAAGCTCCACTGGCGTCCTTCTCTGTCACGACGGCAGCGCTGTTCCACTCAAAAAAGCGGTTCAACACGCTCAGAGGGGTGTCTATAGTGATTTCAATGAACTGACGACGTCTTGGCTGAGCTCGCAAGGTACTAGAGCCATTGGATTGGGCATTGGACTGGCTTGTCACACCCATATCACGAGGATCGGTGACAACTTCAGGAATCTTTGAGAAGTCAAACATCACCTCGGAAACGGGAGTTTGACCGGACACACGTCCATGTGTCAGACGACTAAGGACATTACCCAGGGTCAGAAGACCCACGAGCTTACGGCCTGAAGAAGCGAGGACAGGGAGTTGATCAAATCCCCTGTCACGCATGATCTCAATAGCAGCCTCACACGAGAAGCTGGAAGTCACAGTGGTGATTGGCTTTAACCGCAAAGCGCTGACCTTAGCTCCGGCCAGGGGATCTGCAGCAGCAGCAGCAGCAGCAGGTTGTTGCGTTTGAGCTTTGACTTCGACGGGAAGAGCAGCAAGAAGGTTATTGGCTGCAAGCCAGTCATCATCAGCAAACTTTGTTAGGTAGCTTCGGATGCTGTCTGGGAGAACGACAACAACCACATCGTCCTTGGAGAACTTCTTCTCCTCGTTGGCTTTCACCAAAGCAGCGACTGCGCTGCCACTGCTACCGCCAACCAGGAGACCTTCCTCGGCGATCAGGCGGCGTGAATACTGGAAGGACTCCTTGTCCTCAGTTTTATACCACCGATCGACGATCTTCTGGTCCAGCACGTCCGGAATGAAGTCGTAACCGATACCTTCAACCTTGTAAGGCTCGTTGACACGGGATTCGTTCAAAGAGGGGGGCAGAGCCAGAATAGAACCGAAAGGGTCAGCGGCAACGACCTCGATATTAGGATTGTGTTTCTTGAGACCACGGGCCAGACCAGTAATAGTGCCACCGGTTCCAGCACCGGCAACAATGGCCTTGATCTCGCCCTTTGTCTGGGTCCAAATCTCCTCCGCAGTGCCGAATTCATGAGCATTGGGATTGTTTTCATTGCCATATTGATCAAGAATGTGAGCATTGGGAAGCTCCTTCTGCAGGCGCTTAGCCACTCCAATATGAGACTCGGGGGAATCAAAAGCAGCTTCGTTGGGTGTTCGGATAATTGTCGCGTTCAAAGCTCGTAGGACAGAGACTTTCTCTGCTGACATCTTCTCCGGGAGGGTAATGATGGTTTTGTAGCCCTTGACCGCACCGACCAATGCCAATCCGATACCACTAGAAGCTATAGTCAGCAATGATTATCTTTGAGGGACCTTCGATCCACCCCGGGGAATCCACCGATGATAATCAAAGGTAGATGTGTGCAACTAACGTGTTACCACTGGTCGGCTCAATCAGGGTGTCGCCTGGCTTGATGCGACCGGAGCGTTCTGCCTCTTCAATCATGCGCAGGGCGATGCGGTCCTTGACGGAGCCACCAGCATTGAAATATTCCAATTTGGCATAGACGGTAGCATCGATACCCAGGCTGCGGGGCAGGCGATTCAGTCGCACGAGGGGGGTGTTGCCGATGTGCTGGGTAATAGTGTCCAGCGCCACTGGCGGAATACCAGGTTGAGTGGTGACAGACATGGTGATCAATGTCTGACAAAAAGTAAAAGAAAAGATGCGAAGAAAGGAAAAGTAAAATATGAGGTCACAAAGATTTTCTCAGTATACATATATACTGTAGTATTTTTTTATCTTATCGAAATTCGGTTATTGCCGCTCCGGATTAGTGGTCCTTGACTCGCCGCTTTTACTCTCGAGTAGAAGAACTGGGTAGAAATGGGTACGGCCTCCGAACCCCAATAAAACGCATCACGCTAGTACAAAAGGGTGGACGCTTTACTTAGTACAAAACAAGTATGATTTCAAAAGTTGAGATGAAGTACATCTACTTGGAGAAAATCAACTGTTCATCTCTTCTCTTATATCATAAAATGAAACGAATGCCTCCATAAGCAGCTCACAAGTCAACCCCAAACCATCCATTGAAGAATAACTTGTTCAAACCACTGGCGAGACCACCGTATAGAACTTTGGAACTCCCACTAAGCTAGTTGCGCCTCAATTACACTCTGTTGATCTCCTGGCGCTGACCACACATTGACAAGTTTCAAGGCAGGCTCAACCTTAGCCAGCAGCTCTTCCCACTGCGTTATAGTACGCTCCATTCCGTTGCAGAGATAAGGCATCAGCATGTCCATATCACATTTCAGAAGTGACTCATAGGTGTCTAGTAGAACTATCTCGTTTATGAGAAGACTAGACTGGGGCCTCATCGATTTGGCAGTGTTTGAAAGAATCTTCACAGACGAGATATCGTCCCAGTCATGGAGAACGGATTTGAGGTAATAGATATCCGCACCTTCTTCAAAGTTAGCCAAGCTTATCATTATACATTCAAAGTGTATGATATGCAGCTTACCCTTAATATTTTGCTCCGTGAAGAAGTCATATACTATTGAGGTTTGACTTTTTGACCTAATGTACTAGCAGGGATTCTTTTGATTGTCTCTGGTAAATCCTGTAGAACCAACTCAAAGTCCATATCAGGGAAATCATCTGCAAAGCGCTGTAGATCAATATTCTGGTTCCCACCAATATCCACAATAACCTTTTTGATTTCTGTTGAAGAAAGATGCTGTTTCACAGGGTATTTCTTATACCATGGAATCGAGATTGTTTTATTCCGGATGCTCATGCTATCGTCAAACCCCTTCTTCCATGCACTGTTCTTGGTAAATGTCTCCCATGTGGTCTCACCAAAAGCAGATTCATAGGCAGAAGGTGTCTTGCCGCCCCGGATATCGCATGGTTTGTTTTGATCCAGAAATTCCCCGATTTTATCGCCGAGTTGGAAAGTCATATTGTTTCTGTATCTAGTCAGCTATTATTCTCGAAGGGGTTGGACGAGCAGAAAACCTACGTGAGTTGGGTACCCCCGAGATTTCCAGGTATACATAGAGTCGAAGTATTCGCGTTTGCGGTATATGCCTGATATCCAACTTCATCAACGAAGGCAATAGCACCCATCATACGCATCACACACGGCCTAACTCGTCAGCTTTGTTCTAAACAGTTACTAAACATTGATAATAGTAGCCTACATATCAGAGAATCATGCCATCCAGTTTTCTCCGCCAGTTCCGACACTTTGAAACTCTTGTCTTTATTCTCAGCCAACAGCTGAAGCAACCAATCCTATGTGAATTGCTGCAACAAGAGAAATGTTTTCAACGGTCTTTCTGGATCTGGGCTGCCAGTTTCTCAAGCTCGGCTTTCCTCGTCATGTTGGTAGGTTGTATCCTCTCCTGAGGCTTGTTTTTTTGGGAGGCCTGTGTAGGTTGGAAGAATCTAATGGAACGAGTGAAATAAGAGAGCTGGGGTGTGAAAGGTTTCTCATAATAGTATGATGGAAGGGATCTATCTCTGGACGGTCTGCGGATCTGAATAGAGGGGTGATTTTGGGGGCTAAGACAATAAAGCACTAAATGACCCACTTAGGTTGTACACGAAGCCTAAATTAACAGTTCCTATGATGCTAAGATTGAAGCGTAACGTCTTGGATAACGACCTGGATAAGGCATAGTTCTATTTACTAGGGCATATACTTTCTTTCTGGCCATTTTAGCCTACCGTACTCGATTATCATCATAGAGATCTTTCACCTTCCAGACAGTACGCTATGGAAAACCGTCTCTACAACCTCAGACCTATTAATTCAGTATATATTAGGAATATTTTGTTGACTCCCTTTTTTCATTAGTAAATTATAGCCAGATTTCGCCGCAACTTACCATGTTGAGCACTTCTCGGCCTGTCATACAATGCCAAAATCACCTCTTCGACTGGGCAGAATATATGGACCTGAAGTCCTGGTCTCAGCTCAAAGGTCTATTTGCGCCAAAGATCACGATTGACTACACGTCGGTTGGACGCGCCCAACTTTCATTGGTACCACGGGCAACCTTTGTCCAAGTCCTTTCAAGCCCCGGCAAACTGGGAAATCCTGGGGTAGTTACACAACATTTAATTGGGACATGCAGATGCTTAAAGCTATCTGAGAATAAGCCAAAGGACAAGTTTCAGATCAAAGCCGCGCATTTGAGGAAATCGGATACAGATGATGGGAATGTGGTTGATAATGCGAATGCATACAGTATCAACACGTTTGAATTCGAGCTCAAGGAGGAAGGCTGGAAGATCGTGTCAATCACAGTAATGGCGAGGTCAATGGAGGGTGATTTTATGGATATTTTCAAGAGCAAGATTTAACGAAGTTTTTCTTCCAAGCTACAGTATAAGCTGGGTAGTCCATCATGTCATTTGCATATATACCAGGCACTTAATGAATCTGGTCATAGCTTCGCAAGCCCATCCTTTGACCCAGTCCAAATATATTTAGCAAGCTTATCCCGAGAATCTCGCATTCTTTTTAAGACCTCGTCCTTGGGAATGTCCAATAGCTCTTCAAAGCTCATTGGAACAGTCTCTAACTTTCCCAGTTTAATGAAATGCGCGTTTGAATCCCTCTGCTTGCCCTGCCCAATTTCCTTAATAGCCAGGCCCCATCGCTTCATCGTGTCACGGCTTTGAGGTAACTGAGGTAGAATGACGTTCCATACATGTGGCATAAACTCATATTGCACAAACGTGATCGGCACACCAGAAGCATGGATGTTCTTGACAAGAAATTTGATTCCATCCTCGTATGTCTCCTCGCCACACGCGATCCACATAGGGGGCATCCCCGACCAGTCTGTCTCCGTGGCAGGATCAATGAGTGGGTGACATAGTGCTGAGTTATCGCAGTGTAGATCTCCGCGAGGAGGGTTTGTAGGCCATATCTCATCTGCTGGGTAGTTATGCTGGACCCAAGGAGCCCCTTCCGACATCCATTCGAACCATTCGTTTTTCTTAACGGATGGAAGGGAAAGTGTTAAATCGGCGCCAGGGCTAATAAGCGCACAGCCTAAAGGCATTGTAATAGGGACTGTCTGGCCATTAAATTGAATTGCTGGCGTTGCATCCCTAGCAGATCTTATCATGGCCCGAAAGATTTGGAGAAGATGGAGATGGCAAAGCGATCCACCCGATTCGCCTACGAAAATCATTTTCTTTGGGTCGACAGGTTCATGGAATGCACCAGGCGGAGGAGCCACGAGGTAAAAGTATGCAGCAAGAATATCAAGCAAGATACTCGGGATGGTATACTGGGGTGCAAGACGAGGTTGAAATGTAAATGCGCGTGATCCACTCTTTTCAACGAGTTGTTTGATCAGTAGTTTAGCCCCTGGAGGACCGGCTCGGCTGGTAACGCAGATGTTAATTATAATTTTCTTCTCGAAGAATGAATACTCACAAGAAGGCCCCTCCACAAAGATAGAAAATAGTCTTGTCATTGTCGACATTCTGTTGAATTTGTCGAAACTTTTCCTGGTCGCTGATATCAGGCTGTGGCGCCTTTGGGTCTTTTACATCTTTTCGAACTCCAATCCATTCACCCTTGTAGGAAACGCAAGAGGCTAGGGGATCAAAATTCTCAACCCCCTCGCTGGTCGCTTGAAAGAGGTTCCATAAATGGGAGCGAAGAGCTTCTCCTTCTTCTTCATTTGGAGGAGGCATGTCAACCTTAGAGACCACGATCGGCCCTTTCAGTGGTCTTTCACGACAAGAGTGCGCCTGCATCTGGGAAATTGGGATCCAGGGGGCTGCCTTCCAGGCCTTGCGGAAGCCTAGAACGACATTTTTTTGATACTCGGGCTGATCCATCTCTCGTTGATGTTGGTTTTTTCCCCCTAAGCAATGTCCAAGTCTCTGAGAGGGGCTAGATAGAGACTGTAGAAAGAAGCCTAGGGGAAAGTCCATAGGATCCGCGAGCCTCGTCTCCCGAGGTCGGGGCAGTGACGGATTGAGTCAAGGAAGCGGGCCAACGTGGGGGCAGAAACATTTGCCTATGTATGATGGAAGCGTTGCAGCGGGTTGCAGGGATGTATAAGATACACCGATTTTCAGGTCTGGATACGCACACTCCTGGCAAATCTTGGGCGATGTTTTGTCCTGTATTAGGCTCGGACTTAGCGTCTTGGTGATTTTTTAACATATTCACAATCTATCCATGAAGATGTGAGGACGTTCAGCATATTGATGCAGAACTGGAGGCCTACGCTCAATTGCTTCCAAATCCATCATAGGCTGTGTTTTGAAACCTTAGATATTATCATGAGTGGTGCATCCATCCGACACTAAGTTGAGAGTTAAAGGAGGTGCATAGAGGATAATTCGATGAATACTAAATCAATTTACGTTCTCAGCGGCGATCTCTGTAGAGAGGTAGAAGAAAGGAAGCTTTGGAGACAGAGGATAGAAACTATATGGCAAAATAGCCAGTGTTGTGGAGAACCGATACTACCTACTTTGCCCGGGTGGATGCCATGTCCGTAAAGTATACTGGGTGTCAAATAGATGACTCTGAGAAAGCGGATGCTCGGTGAGCCTGAGCCCGGACTGTAAACTACAGACTGAGCCTGGGCGCCCTTACGACAAAAGCGGCGTTGTCTATATTAAGTAAGCCCTATCTCGAATGGTCCAATAGTGAGTCCAGATGGCCTCATCGCCTCATCTAAAGACCGATGATATCCGGCTGTAGCCAATAGACACCCGATTTCACAGGCATGAGTAAATCTAATGTCTTAATGCCTTAGGTGTCAACATTCTCCGATCTAACTAGAGGCTGGACTCTGGTCGAACTTCATACTTGTTGAGCTGGGGGTTTACTTCTTTTTTCCTTTTTCTTTTAAATAAAACAATTAAGGTTCAAAGGTTTCATATTAACTCCCCCTGTGACACCTCGAATTCTCCTACTCTTTTCCCTCAAGGATACTAAGCTTCATCAATAGGCGTGCTATGTACGGAGTAGGTCTCCAGCGAAATGGAAATGTCTGGCACTACTCATCTAAACATCCGATGTCTCCGTCTACACCATGCAAATTTTACGCTTTCTTTTGATTGACCTTGATTTTTCTTGCATGATTCGAGCTTACCCAGCGGGCCTAGCGGGGGTTTCTTGGCGCATGGTTGATCACTCCACACCAACAGAGCTCTTTCCTTTCAGCTCCGCGTTCTGTCCTGTTAGAGCCAAGCCAAGTCCGTGGCTGTGCATCACCTCGCATTGGCATTCTCCACTGAGCGACCCAGTCTTATCTCAAAATGATTTGGGTGTTTGTTTGATGCATCCAGGTGATCCTAAAAGGGTTCTCCGTAAGATACGAATGGCTGGTGTAACTAATAGGGTGGCTGGGTTGTGGGTTCTGTGCGCTTCTGGCTATTTCCTGCCCCCATTGACCACCCTTCGTGCATGGTGCATGACAAGGGAAAAGGGGGGAGGAAAAAGGAGAAGAAGGAAGCGAGCGAGATCCTCCCGCACGATCATGACTGCCAAGCCCTCGTGAAGCCTTCTGTTTGAATTATGGGGTCGATTGATTGGCTGTATCGATCTGCCAACGCAGCACAGTGGACATGTTTTGTTTTCCGTCTAGTATAATATTATAGAATCGACCCGCATTCTACTTTTTTTCCCTCAGCTTGCAGATGTGGGCACCCACTTCCGCCGAGGTTTATTTTCTTTGTGTTTCTCTTTCCTCTTGATCTCTTCTGTGCGCTATATTCCTTGGAATTTCTCGGTCGGTGTCCTCTGTGCAATTTCAATAGTTGTGTGTTTCCAACATGGGTTCGATCATGCCCGCCATCGAAGAGCCGCGCATGCGTGGAGGAGCGGACGAATTCGCCCATGAAAAGGATCGCCAACAAACCTCCACCTCTATTCTGCCAACTCTCGAGAAAAACCACCCAAGTCGTTATGTGCTCGGATTATTTCGCGTCGACAGCGCCGGAGAAAGCGGACGGACAGGGATTCATCCCATCCACTTCTTTCGAGTGGTTTTCAAGAGTGTTTGCACTGCTTCGATGCTGGTGAATATTCTCTGGCCCTTCGTTCCAGCTGCGATTGTCATGCATTTTGCTCGACCGGACCTGCATGTTTGGGTCTTTGTGCTCAACTATATTGCCATGGTTCCCTCCGCCAATGTCCTCGGATTCGCAGGTGGAGAGTTGGCTAAAAAGCTGCCCAAAACATTGGGTGTTCTACTGGAGACGGGGTTGAGTTGCTCGGTTGAACTGGTACTTTTCATGGTTTTGCTTCATAATGACAAGAAGGGAGAAGGCAACCTGATACCCGTTATTCAAGCTGCCATTCTCGGTTCAATCTTAGCAAACCTGCTACTGTGTTTGGGCACCTGCTTCTTCGTTGGAGGTCTTAGGCGCAATGAGCAGGTATTCCATGAAGCTGTCAGTGAGGTAGGCACCGGCTTGTTGCTGGTCGCTGGCTTTGGGTTGTTGATTCCCAGCGCTTTCTACTCTGCGCTGAAATCGGCCACCAATGCGGAATTTACTCTAGCCATGCTGCAAGACTATACCATGCAGATTAGTCGCGCCACTGCTGTCGTGCTTCTGGTCGCCTTTTTAGTGTAAGTTACTCAAGACTGGCAACTGATGATGACAAACAAATCAATTTACTGACGGTTCGGGGCAGATTTTTGATTTTCAATCTGCACAGTCACAACTCCATCTTCGACGACATTTTGGAACTGGATGAGGCCCAGGATGAGGACCGACACAAAGAACTGAAGCGAGCAAAGCTCACCTTTGCAGAATGCCTGGTGGCCATTGCAGTTGCTCTGACCTGTGTTAGCATGTCAGCCGTGTTCTTGGTCCAAGAAATTGAACATATCGTCGCCCGAGGAGTTTCTGATAACTTCTTGGGCTTGATATTAGTGCCCTTAGTAGAGAAGGCAGCTGAACATCTGACTGCCGTGGATGAGGCCTGGGATAACCAAATTAACTATGCCTTATTCCATTGTATGGCTCCCTCGATCCAGACCGCTTTGCTGAATGCTCCCCTGGCAGTCCTGGTGGGATGGGGCTTAGGCAAGGATATGAGTCTCAATTTCGAGATTTTCATGGTCATTCTCCTGGTGTTGTCCATTCTAGTTGTTGGCAACTTCCTGAGAGACGGAAAGTCCAATTACTTGGAAGGTGCCCTTTGTGTGTTGATTTACGTCATTATCGCTGTCACCACCTGGTACTATCCCAGTGTTGAAGTCGCATCGACTAATCAAGCCTAACCCACGGATTAATGTCAGCTCAAAGCTGTCGGTCACCGTAGTCTTATTATATGGAAGTTTTTCTGTCACGATCATAGCAAGCGTTCCTACCCTTATTAATAAAAAGTTCCTTCTTTTTTTGTTCTTTTTTGCCCTTGGTGTAAAATTCTCATATATACCACGAAGAATTTTTGCTTCTTGTCATAGTCAGATATATTCATGCTCATTAAGATGAGTTACATACTATAATGTACGTTTCAAATGTTAGTATGCGTGGATTTACTCAATAGGGAAAACTGTATACATGCACGTGATCCCGCATACACCGCAACCTTTGGGAACGCCGCGGATCAAGCTCCTCATAACCCACGAGTGTGTTAAGTCATATTGTCACTGATCACAAATTTAGCAAAATTAGTCAATCCATTCACTGAGTTCACGCTAAACCTCCCAATTGCAACTTTCTATTGGGACGGGGGTCGGCCAACTCTTGCCCTCCGCCTCGTTGAATTCCCCTTCGGCCCCGCAAAACGAATACGCCCCAGCCCAGATGGATTCTACAACCAACGCCGATACAATTCTCGCGATTCTCAAAGAACGGGATACTCTGGTCAAACGTGATGTGATAGAATCTGCCTTGGGGGATTCAACAGTAGGTCCCAAGAATGCGGAATGGGCGGCCAAGCATTTGCGATCAGAAACTCTACTATCGAAGGAGGAGCTTTCACTGTACGAGCGGTACAATTAGCTTTTCAATGGTGATAGCAAGCTGATCGCGAAATCCAGGTATACTAAACTAGAAAACTCCGGTGCCCTCCAGCCTATCCTTCGTGAACCCAGTCTCGGTGCGACGCGACCCTTTCTTGAGACCGACATACAAAGCGCAATCGACTCCCTCGAGGCATCAACGGTTACCATTAAACAGCAGTCACATGTGCTATCATTGCAATGTGAGGCGGTCAAAAAAAAGTTGCGGCGGGAAGGCTCTCTAGATCAAGATAGGAGTCGGGATATTGCGCGTTTGCGAAAAAAGCATGAGTCTGGAAAGCAAAACGCGACAGTCTTGGTAATACATGGCCCTCAGAACTGTCCAAAATACCAGCTTACCGAATTTACGAACGTTCCAGGCAAATGAACTCGCCGACAACCTCGAGGATAGTTTCAGAAGCGAGATGGATAATGTGGGAATAGAGAGCAAACGGATCTTGACGTCGTTGTCCGCTCGCTTGAAGCATGATGATAAGGCTTTAGCAACGATGGAGAGCTTGATGGCCGAAACAAAGTCAAATGGCAATGACGCATCTACTTTGAAGCGAGCTGCATACCTAAGTGGAATGCTTGCAGACTATAGTGCCGAGGAAATTCATTATCGCCTGGACCGACTATACCTCGAAGCAATTCAAGCCAAAGGCTTGGATCGCAGCCCAGCGGCGGAAATCGAGACAGTTACTGCACTAGTGGAAGAACTGGAGTCCCTCTATCCCGAGATCGAGATCCTGGCCGAAATGTCCACCAGGCAACAATTCCATGAGCCCATTCTACGTGAAATCCATCATGAGCACAGCCAGCTTCGGGCAGCGTCACAGACGAGGCTGGAGCAAGTGCGTTGTCCCCGATAAGACATGAGATATAGTAGTATTGACAACTAAACAGATTCTTGACGTCTTAATTGACATGACTGTATCCAAGGAAGCGTTGACAACTCAGCTTGCGGGTCGTGAATCATCGTGCGAGTTACTGGAGCAAATCGCAACCCTCCATCAAACCGAGACCGCAAGCCACCTGGTAGCTCAGCCCTCGTCTCGTCGGGAGTCTTTGAGACGACGATCCCTGCTGCCTGGTTCGAATACCGGTTCGAATATAGGCAACACGCGGACCCCTGCTTCATTGCCCGAGCAGCCTTCGCTGGAGAACCTCTTGCGTCGTATCGGAGTGTCCCCAGATTCTGTGCTCAAACCGCGCGTAGAAGACGGTGGTGCACCGGGGCTCTTTGACAAGCGCATTCAAATGTTGGAGACACTGCGGCATCTCGAAAACAGCGGAGAAATATCCTTAGTGACCCATTTAATGCAATCGGATCATGCCTCGCAGTTACTGACATCATCGTTGCGCAGCAATTCCCGATTTGAAACGACTTTGCAAGATCCTCGGTTAGAAGAGGCATTGTTGGGCCTGGAGGCAGAGCTCGCCTCGCTTAAGAAGGGGGTGCAAGGGTTGGATATTAATTTGCTCCATCAACGTGATAAGTCCCAAGTGAAATTCTTAGAACGATGGCATTAAGAATGATGCGCGAAGGGTGCCTAAATCCCGAAAGTTAGAGACTCGTTGGGTCATTGAGTCATTTGAACCCATGAGATATAGTAATTGGACCGCGAAGGAGAAGAGGAGGGGGCCAAAATTGAAGCAAAACATACCCTGGTTCACCAACTGCGCCTAGCAGCTTTTCACCGTCTCTGGGCCTGTAGTCTCTGTTGACGCCGAGGAACTCAAACTAGCGGCAGGAACTAACGGTCAACTGCACATCTGATTTGCTGATTTGCTGACATGGGGCTGTGGCTGGTCGGGGAAACTGGGCCGCGCCACAATCATGCCGGTAATAATGCGCTTGTGCATATCATAATTGCAAAATCGAACAAAAAAGTTCTTCCGTAGTCAGAACAAGACTCCTGACTCTTGAACAAAAAAAGCCTCAAGTGCTGCAGCCTTATGCTTTTTCCTACATGGAATCTTTCTCCGCGCAAGAGAATACCAGTTGCCTCGTGTTGCCTCATGTGACCAGCATGTGCAATCGCGACATTATGGTAGTTGACGGCTCAAGTTCATGTCCAAGGCTGATTCAAATCTATAATATTGCTCTCGTTTCAATATGTCGACATAATCCTCGTCTCTTAATAATAACGACAATGCGATATAGAGATGAGTTGGGTCGTTATGATCGTGACGTGTGTTTTCCCAGCTGACATGGCCCTGCGCACCTGTGACCAAAGTGTATCAGCCACGCCTCATCCCATTAACAACCTCTCTTAAGCACATTGCTGCCCTTTGATATTGAATAGGATAAATCATTAAGGTCGAGTACAGCGTCGATATAAAATGGACCATCGTCGCCATGGAATTCTTTTGTTCATCAAGCTTCGAAAAAGGCAGCGAACACATCCTATACTTCTCAAATCAGCTTTATATCCAGCTTTAGAGCATTCAAACCTACCTCAAGCGATATCTGCGAACACATAAATAAATCACCTGCTTTACGCTGATGACTGTTACCACCTGCTAGAAGCCTTCGTCATTGCTTGTCTACTGTTGTTCATACTTCTCTTTGATTGAGATAACCATTTTTCAATTTTCAAATATTTCTACCACTATACATCGTCCCTTTCTTCCCTGGTCAACATCTCCATCGATCAGCTTTATATCCAGCTTGAGAATATTCAAACCTACCTCAGACGATATCTGCGAGAACACAAAGGAATCCACCTGCTTCCATTCGATAACCGTTAGCACAAGCTAAAAGCCTGCCTCATTGCTCGTCTACTGTTGTTTATACTTCTCTTTGATTGAGACAACACTTCTTTCCAACTCTTCCTACCACTATACATCGTCCCTTTTATCCTGATCAAGTTTCCAATCGATCAGCTCTTTAGCAACAGAAGTTCTATCTCATCTTAAGTTTCTGTATCGGTATCAATCTGCAGGATACAATTTTGTATGCCAGAACGTGATCTTATACATACCATCACCATTCAAATCAGATCTCTCTCTCTCTCTCTCTCTCTCTCTAAAAAATCGTGAGTATATCCGCCTCTATGCCACATCATAGCTGTCGAGTTCTAACCTATTATTGTCTCAACCAGAGAGCAACATGGTAAACTCTTCTCCCCGATCTTCTTCACACTCCTCTGAGTCCGCAATCCGCGGGACAACACGTAAGATATCCGAGAGAACTTCAGTCAGACGTGTTAAAGCCTCCTCACGTGTGATGAATCGAGAACAAGAAAAGCCCGAAAGAGATGAACCTCAGCCCAGGACCAGACCCTCCTCATCTGGGTCAAGCACGCCTACACCTTCGAACAGCAGACGTTCTCACCCCAGGCCGGCTCAAGAAGAGGTCAAGGAAAAAGACCAAGAGCCCCAAATAATCGAAATCGGACCAAGACAACATGGAGATCAGCAAACTCAGCACGGTCGACAACCACGTGAAAGAAGTCCATGCCATGAGCCGACACCTACACCAGGCAGACGGGTTCGTTCTCCCAAAGTATCTCACAGAACACCACGTGTTTCCCAAGACAGAGCAACAGTAAGAGATAGGCAAGAAATCCGGGGTATTTTGAAACACCCTTCTGAGTCTGGCCCGGTACGCGTGGGTGGCGTAGAATATAGAGCAGAACCCGCAGCTGTCCGGGATGGACACAAAGAGATAACAGAGTTGGCAGATCGAGTCATAGGCCCCCTCAATCCATCAAAGACGTTGCGTTTCTTATTTGGTTGATTTCCTGTTCTAGAGTATCACAGCTCTCCGGGGCCTATGACTCGAGATACTGACTGTGCTATCTCTTTGTACCCACGCTGGACAGCTTCGGCTAGAGATGCTTGAGTTTTTATGTTAACTTTCACGACTACCAGCATAGCCTCGGGGTAAGCGATGAGATTAGGACTGTGCCCCGGAATCATGTTGGATCTCGCATCCCTCATCTTTGGGCGCTCGGGTTCGGATGGTAAAACCTGTGGCAACCCAGTTTTCTTGCTCTTCTATTACTGCTGGTTTATCTGGGATACAAATCGTGTTATGTAAGATGCTAGGGAGAATAAACCTATTCACCTAGTTGAGAAGGTGCTGTATAATACCTAGTATAGAATTTCTGCGCGCCGTTGCTGAGTTTGCTGACTTCTTGGTTGTCCAGGTTCAATTTCGATCACATGGATCTCTTGGCCTGTTTCCTTGACGGCTTCCTGAGCTGGCTAGGGGGGGGGGGGAGGACATCTCCTATTCAAAGGCGTAGGCCCCGCCATTGGCCCCAGCGAAAAATGTCTGGTTCTGCGCTGAGACTAATCAATTCCAGGCTTTTCTTGCTCTTGATTCATCCCACGGGGGTGAAATCTAGCACGTTTGATCCGATATGAAACGGGCATCTCATTGAAATGAGGAGTGAGAATGCCGTTACTCCATCCGATCCGACTTGTATAAAATCATTTGAGCAAGAGGAACTGGGTGCGATTGTGAATGAAATATAAAGGGCCGATCAGGTTTTCGGGTGAACGGAATTACAATAATCGGGCATATGATATGACACATCCAACATTTACTACACCATGTACTATAGTCTCAAAGTGCAACATACATTGATATTTACATCAAGTTCGTGACTCATGGGCATAGCGCGTAGACAATGTGATGTGTGATGTTGGTACCTGGACCCACAGTAGTATTTTGACTTGTTCTTTGCTGCATAGTTTCCCATGCGCGATCCAATAAGATTCCCGCGGCTCGACTTGAGCTTATCTTTCCCTTCGCCCCTCGGAACTTTCTTTGTCTTTCCAACTTTTTCGCTTTCATCTGATTTGTTTATTATTTCTACTCGTAGTTGTTCTTCTCTTTGAAACTCAAATTGGGAAATGCTCTTTGACCCATCCAGTTCGTCTTTCCAAGATTAAATCTCGAAACTGGGAGGTAAGTCTCACTGAACAATTGGCGCCCGCTTCTCCGGTGGCTTTTCGGGCATGGTGTGTTGACAAGTCAGGCAGCCAGGTCTTTCCCCTCCATACGTCCCACAGAATTTCTCAGTCGATCCGCATTTTCAGTGACCGGTTGTTCCTCACCACATCCTGGTAGATTTCCCCCACAATCGCGCATGTTGAATCATCCCTCCTCGCCACGGTTTGCCGCGTCTCTATATTGTCACACACGCTAAAGTTACCGCCGCCTTACTCTGGGTTATAAAATGAGAGATTTATCTGAGGATCCTCCTTGTGCCTATAGCTCTGGCTGTGCTACTCGATTCGTGACGGACCAGTTGCAGTGTTTCGGACAATAAGAGCGAATAATAAAACGATGGCCGCGGTCGTGACGCAAACTGAATGCGCCTCCAAGGGCACGCGATCACCAGCGTCTTTGCTGAAACTGGCTTCACCGGGAAATCAGGCTGAGATGGCCGGAACTCAACCCCAGACGCCAGGTGAAACAGCTGTTTTTGACATGTCACCGGACACGGCCCTACAGCTGCTTTGTAACAACATAGAGAAGCTGCGAAATACCTCGGCAATGCTTCCCACGGAGTCCAATACTCCACTCGGAGATGAAACCCAGATTGAAGGAGACTCCCCCATCCCGGCAGTGGGCCTTCATTGTGGAGATTCGGAACACGCGTCTGACAGGTCCCCAGAAGAAGCCTTTCAATTGGCGATACTCTCTCGGAAGTTCCTCTCCAAGAAAGTGCCTCCTATCCCGATCAAAGATTACCTATGCCGTCTACAGCAGTACTGTCCCATGTCCACAGCGGTAGTCCTGGCTACAAGTGTCTATATCACGAAGATGACCTCGGTAGACAAGGTTCTTCGGGTGACGCCGAAGAATATGCACCGCCTCGCGCTTGCCGGCCTTCTAGTGGCTACCAAGGCTTTAGAAGATCTTAGCTTTCCTCACAGCCGGGTTGCTAAAGTTGGCGGAGTGAGTGAGCAAGAACTATCGAAATTGGAGATTAGTTTCTGCTTTTTGGCAAATTTCGAATTACGCGTGGATGCACAGATGTTGATGGATGAGATCCAACTGCAGTGCAACCAGGACTCGCAGGCTAACGATCACGAAACAAGTCTTTCGTTATGATGTAAATGTATTATATACGAATATCCATTTAACATACATAAGAAAAAAAAAGATAAATAAGCAAAAAATCAAGAAATCCTTCCGAGAACCCAATAAGCTTAAGCTAGTTGAGGCTGGAGGATTAATACGGCTGCCTTACTGTGGCTGAGTAATCGTTTTTAGTGAGTTGCGGGACTTCTTTTCGCTGGAGAGATCTTTTGTTACTGTTTGGAAGTGTTTTCTGCTATTTCTCAAGTCAGTCAAGACCAGTTCTATCGAGATTCACGGAGTAGACTGGAAGAAGCTCATGTTCGTGACACTGTTGTACTCCGTAGTACACTCACCGCAAAAGGAGCGCGACAGTTGACGATCAATCTCTTAGCGTCGCTTCAAGGTTTCCCCGACGCCCAAAAAAAAGAGCCAGAACACTTCCGCCTCGTTGTCCTTAACAGAGCGACAGGCCGCGACTTCTTACTGCTGTCTGTTCAAACTGCACAAACTCTAGGCTTCTTGTGTTCTCGCGTGGCGATACATCATGTTCCCATAGAGAGCCTAGAGAGATTACCGAAACAACAGTCCCCTAGAATCGATCGACGCATCGACCGACGTCCCGAACACGCTCTCCCCCCTTGTACCACGATACACATATTCCATCATGTCTTCAAATAAATCCTCTCCGTCGGAGAATCTGGGTAGCAGCCCTTCAGCCCAAACTCCAGGGACCACCCCCGCAAATGGGAAAAGCACCTCTCCGAATACCGATGTTGAACTCAAGAGTATGCGGCCCGATGCGCCCAAACCCTCAATCCCACTGGGAGAGGACATCATGCAGTTGGCCAGAATTGGAGAAATCAGTGCTATGCAGAATTTGTTTGCGACCAAGAAATTGACCGCGAACCATCGAGATGAGGAAGGCATTACACCGCTACACGTAGGTCTCTCCCCTTTCCTATCAATGCGGAGAATTGGGTTCTACGTAAACCAGGTATGATAATGGGTAATTCCTAACTCTTCTGCTTCGTTTAACTAGTGGGCTGCGATCAACAACCAATATGCGATGTGCAAGTTCCTACTCGACTCCGGCGCCGACGTCAATGCCAAGGGTGGAGAATCGGTGGCTACCCCAGCCATGTGGGCGGCGCAACGGTGCCATTACTATATCGTTAATCTGTTACTCTCATACGGCGCCGATCCTCTCTTGACCGACGTGCAAGGGTACAACATCCTCCACCTCGCCACCATCGACGGAAATGCGTTCCTTCTCGTCCTACTCCTTCACCAAGAGATACCGGTGGATGTGGTCGATCAGCAGGGTCACACTGGGTTGATGTGGGCGGCGTATAAGGGATATCCAGCTTGTGTGGATTTGTTCTTGAGATGGGGCGCCAACGCCAATGCGGTGGATGAAGGCGGGTTGACCCCGCTCCACTGGGCGTTGGTAAAGGGCTCTTTGCCATCAGTGTTGAAGCTCCTGGAGTATGGCGCGGATCGATTTGCGAAAACCAGAGACGGGAAGTCCCCGGAGACAGTTGCACAGGAGATGAACACTCTGCGAATTTGGAACCGCGCGCTGGCCGAACGTGGCTTCGAGGCGGACGGTACACAGAAGCCTGTGCCTATGGGACTGGCCAGTCTCGTACGGAATAAGAGCCTCATGGCGAAATTCTTCTTCCTCTGGCCATTCTTGACCGTGCTTGTCGCTATCTGGATGTTGAGCAATTTGCCCATTCTCCTAGGTCTGCCCATCACGCTAGTCACCTTATTTGGTATGCAATATCTTGCGCAACAAGTTGCAAACCGTGGGCCTTCTGAGTTTAGGATTCTGCAGAAAACGGTAGGTTTCATACAAGTAGCTGGTTTCCGGTTGGCATCACGAGAAGACTAACATTTTTCTTCATAGCCATATCTAGCAGGTGTTTTCGCTGCATCGTTATTCTGGGTGGGTTTCCGTTGGATCTTCCAAGTGTTACCTGGTAGGTGTCATATTGTAACTGGACGAGGGAGCATATCTAACGAATCTCAGCAACATATTCCTCTCATCCGATTTTAAACATATCATTTGCAGTCTTTTACTCCTTGACCGCCTGGTTCTATATCATGGCCATGATCGGAGACCCGGGATACGTTCCGAAGATCAGCAGCCGAAACCAGCAAAGAGAGGCCGTCAAACAATTGTTTGAATTGTGGAAATTCGACGAGGAGAATTTCTGTGTTCCTTGCATGTCGCGGAAGCCTCTCAGAAGCAAGCATTGCCGACGATGCAATCGTTGCGTGGCCAAGCATGACCAGTACGTTCTACCTCCCCATGGTATCGTCAATATAATCCCCACTAACCCCCTTTAGCCACTGCCCATGGATTGACAACTGTGTCGGAGCCAACAACCTTCGTCACTTCGTTATGTATATCGTCAGTCTCGAAATTGGAATTATCCTTTTTGTGCAATTGACCATAGGCTGTCAGTGTCACCTAAGAACAAAAAACCTCGTCGAATTAGACCCAATATGCTGACTTGACACACAGATATCACTGATCTGCCACCCTTGAAGGATGCTCAGTGTAGCGTTATCAACGACACTCTGTGTGACTATGTATCCCGTGATGCCTTCACGCTAGTCCTTAACATTTGGATCATCCTCCAGTTGGTCTGGGTTACTATGCTGTGCGCTGTGCAGCTTGTTCAAATCTCACGCAATCAGACGACATTCGAAAATATGAGAGGCCACTCGATTGATCGGTCCCTTCCCAGTTCTCAGGCCTTTGCTTCCGCCATGACCGCGGGTACGACATCAATGGACGCGGCCGGCCTCTCTGCCGTTGGACAAGGACCCAATCCTGCTTTAGCACACTCACATGGAAACCGACGACGAGGTGGCTGCCTTTCGTCATGGTCGGCTCTATTGGGTATCGATACCTTCTTCGTCACTGCTAAAGATGGACTTCGAGATGGTCGATCCCTTAACCCTTTCTCCCGTGGTGTGACAACTAACTGCCGTGACTTTTGGTGTGACCCAGCCCCGATCTTCGGTAAACGCGAGTCTGGTGCCGCGATGCTTGGAGGTGAGGTGGTGAATTATAATGAAATGTACGAAACTCCGCTCCGCATGCATGCCGGCCGGTCTGGAGATGGCTACCGTAGTGTGGCGGGTGAAGAACCCGAACAGATGGTTTAAAAGACCATGGCCCCACAACATTGTTCTCCTTTTCTGGCCTCAGTGTTTTGGAGAGTGGCATTCACGACTATTCTTCCATTTTTTTTCTTTGAAAAAAAAGAAACTCATGGAGGCCCCCATGTATGACTGCAGCGACGGTGTTGCATTTTGTGGTATAACCATTTTTGACTTCTCTGTCTTCTGCCTATTTCCCTTAACGCTATATTTCTTCCCCCATGTCTTTCTATCATGTCTTCTCTTTTCCCATCGCATTATTCATGTCTCATTTACATTAGAAACTTTGTACAGTGGCCACTAGATAATGAACTCCATTTGAAACAATACCTTGCTCTGATCTTCACCTAGCGTCCCCGGGCCGGAGATATTTTGATCTTCACTCTCTCCCCGCAGTGTCCCTGTCAATGTGATAAGATTGAGGACCCTGCAGATAGTTTCCTAAGCAAACTGCAGCTCTTTGACGATCCCTGTACACGCCTGCAGTGTTTCTAGAACGCTACCTATTTCTGCATTGAACTCCGAGACGATCGACACAGTTGGGTCCCCATCCACGCAAGCTCACCCTGAGACAGGTAATGGGTCACTGCACCTAATCGAGTTAAATGTAGGGTTTTTTTTTTTTTTTTTTCAGGAACAGGAACAGGTCATCCGGCAGCTGCTTCCGAAGCTCACAGTTGCAGGGAATAGGATATGATCACCAGTTCTCCCTCGGATGGCAGCCCAACCCATCGGCTTCAGGCCGAAGAGGAAAAGGAAAGGAAAGGCAAAGTAAAAGCAAAGCAGGCTAACGCAAACCAAAGACCAGAATTATACTTTCAGTCCAATGTAAGGTACATTTGAATGTACATATTCTTGTATACGGTCCTGCCATCTCATCTCATCTCACATCCGATATCGCCGGATACAAGACTAACGCAGTTTGGAAATTCCTTCATCTCCACTCTCTGCATTACGATCTGATACTGTACCGAGATGACAGCAAACCCACATGCCAGGGAATCCTTCATGCTAAGCGATGATCCCATCTCGGATGCAATCGGAAACGAAGTCTAGGCTTCGAATTCTGCATGTATCAAGCCATTGGCGTCTACAGTGGGGCCAGGGGACACTTTTTTTTGCCCTTTCTTTCCACACATTGGTTCCCATTCGGATTCCTCCGACCAGCAAGAATAATCAATCAAATCAATCATGGGTCGTGCGGGGCCACCTACCAGAGACACGGAACAAAGCAAGGACAGAGATGCGCTATCTTCCGTGGCAGGAAAGAAGTGGACATGAACACGGTGACTAGGGACAAGTTGGGAAAGTGATTGGCGGGAAGATATCCACCTTAACGTATACAGTCAAGTCTCACAATTAGCGAAAGTGGTTCGAGTGGAAAACAAGAACGGTGAGAAGTTCCATACAAATGCTTGGCTAGACTAGAAGTTAAAACGAAGAAAGGAATGGATACGAAGGGGGCAAACCACGCCATTCGGGAACGCGGAAATGGGTGGGATTTCTGCAGACAGGCATAGTCCTGGAGTAATTTCTGATCAGATAAAAAAACTTTTATCTGATGGCGCCACGAGGGATCCACTTGGCATCTGCATCCAATGATATCCGGTATGAGGCACGTTTTTTCCTGGTACGGTGCTTGGCAGCTCACGAATAAGGACCCGGTATTTCGAGTTAGTGATTTTCGCCATTTCTGAATTCTCGTGGGTTCATCTGCCCTCTCGGGTTCGAGAGAATCTTCTCAACATAAGCGATCGACACGATCAGCACTCTCTTACTATACAGAGATGGCGGAACGAAGCGAATGTGGACTGATCAGCTTCTTGGCTAGGGGATGGGATTGATTCCATTCATGACTGAGACAGTAAACCTCGGAGAAATGCACGTTTTGGCCTTTTGGCCCAAGTCGCTTAGTCTCTACGGAGTACGGAGTCTCCGTTCGGAAACCCGTTCGTCGCGCGTTTTCCGAGGGTTTTCTTGGCCTCGGCAGTTCACCGTCTGAAGAAGATGGGGGATCCTGAAGGCTTATTTCTTATTCCTTATTTCTTACTTTTTGTTCGGTATGGAGTGAAGGATTCTACAGCCCTGGAGGAATCCACATACCTACATTAGTACTATACATATGTTGTCTGAGCCTTATAGAATATTAGGTAAAATTATATCGAATCCACATGTACCTGCAGGGCTGTCTGTATCTGTCTGTATCCGTGTAAGGCACTTTTAAAGGTCGCACGATTCAAGTTAGAAAGTAAATGAAGTAAATTTTCGTCAATACATAGATTTGATCGTGCAAAGAATCAACAGTCTAAAAACCTCGAGGCCAAAACATCTAAAAACAAATGATCCCAAATAAGGAGGTGCATACATAATAATCAGTGATGGATATCCCTCCATATTCAATTTTGGTAGGGAAGCTAGTAACAATGCGGCGTGATTTCCCCCTCTCTCCCGGTGATTAAACTGTATCAATCAAAAGTGCCCCGCCCAGCCAAGAAAGAGAGAGAGAGAGAGAAAAAAAAAAAAGGAAATCGGAAAAAAAACGGAGAAAGATTTTTACAGCATCGCGCGCAAGCGAGTGTCCTGCACCGAGGCTCCCGACAGCTGCTCCCCAAACACTGAGTCGACGATCTCTCCACCGCGCACCGCCAGGATGGACAGCAGACTATCACTGAGACCGTGGGTCTTCTCATTACAACCCTGTAGCCAGATACCAGCATGACGGCTCACCTTGCTATCATCCATCTGAACACGATAATCGCGACCAGGAGTCCAGACAGCCTGACCGGCAGGCCGTAAGCCACGCACTTGCTCCAGTAATTGCTCATGTGCGTCACGGAGGTATCCTGTAGCAACCATCAAGGCATCGACCTCCAGAATCTCGTTGGCATCGCTGTTATCCCCCTTAATTGATTTCACATGCACGCGCATGCGGGAGGCGGGGTTGTGGTGCTCAATGCGTCCAATCGCGCGCTCCGATAGGATACGGTGCTGCCATTGCTTCTCGTCTGGGTTCTGCATGCGCTGAAGGTACATAGTGTTGTAGATTTCTTCGATCAATTCCAATCGGACGACGGAGTAGTTGGTTGCTTTTTCGATCGCAATGCGCTTTTGGCGCTCTTCAGTTGGGAGTTTGAAGAACTTGTCCACGCGCTCAGGGTTGAAGATTTCGTTGACACTAGAAAAAAAAATAGAAATTAGTTTTTTTTTTTCATATTCTTCTTATATAGAGGACAGAACTTACAATGGAGAGTCATCACTGGGTCGCAAGGCAGTATCGCGCAGGATCAAAGTTGTGTTAGAGTTGGGGTATCGGCGTTGCAAGTCGTGGAAGATCTCAGCGGCACTTTGTCCACTACCCACCACAGCAATCTTGTAGTTGGCAGACTCATTCTTCAGAACAGAGGGAAGAGTGGTGCAGTATTTAGACGAATGCATAATGCGAGTGTCCTGAGGGAAACCAGGAGGCATCTTAGCCTTTCCACCAAGAGCCACCACGACCTTCCGAGCTCTACGAGCAGAGATCTCGCCAGTCTCGGTGTTGCGGGAACGAACGACAAAGTATTCCACGACTCCATTGGTAGTCTTACCAGGGACAACCTCGATGACCTCCTCACCGTAGGAGACAACGTTCTCAAATCGCTTAGCGCACCAGCGCATGTAGTCCTCAAATTCCATGCGCGCAGGCAGGAAAGTTCCCAAGTTGGTGAAGTGGATCAGGCGATCCTTGTTGTGCAAGTAGTTAAGGAAGGTGAAGCTGCTGCGAGGATCGCGGAGAGTAGCCAGATCCTTAATGAAGGAGATCTGCATGCGCGAGCCAGGAACCAACATACCCGAGTGCCAGGCGAATTGCTTCTGACGCTCCAGGAAAGTAACCTTAGGCTTGAAGTTTGAACCTTTAGACTTGTTGCTTAAAGAGGGGTCCATGGCATCGTGCAGCGCAATGCCAATTGCGAGAGATGCCGGGCCGAAACCCACACAGAGAAGGTCGTGCATTTCATCGGCACCGGTAGGACGTAGGAGAGAACGAGCGGGGGACTCGGAGGATTGGATGCGAGGCTCGACATTGTTCACCAAAGGAAGCTCGGGCTTCCGTGTGATGGGCTCCATGGCGTGTGAAGTAATTTATTTGAAGACTTCTTTTTTTTATAGCAAGCAGCTTCCAAAGACAATGGAGCTAAGGAATAGAGCTATAAGGAGCTGTGAATGAGGTGCAAGTATAGAGTAGAAAAAAAAGGAATCCAAAACCCGGAGGAGGTGTGGCAGTTATGTATTGTACAAAAAAAAGCCAGCAACTTAGCCGATCTTTTTTGGCAGCTCCACTCGGGGATTTCTCTTTCTAGACGAAGGATCGAACCGAACGGAGAAATTGACGTAGGAACGTACGATACGTTTTGGGGTTCCACACCGTGTACACAGCTTGTACACGGGAAACACAAAAAAATAGTAATAATAATAATTTGGTAAAAAAAAAAAAGAAAATGAGGTCGGAAGCGGATCAGATAAAAAATCAGCGAGCACAAGTGGATACTGAGTACGAAAAGTTCGGAGAGGCGTTGGAGTATTAGCTGGGCTTGTTATATCCAAGGTGCCTTTTATCAATCAGTCTCCACTGTAAGACAAACGAGTTTGTGTGTGTTGTGTCTGTCTTTTTTACTCTGTCTTTTTTCTTTGTTCAGGGCAAATTGCAAATCTACAGAGTATTTATACTTTTTTGCTTCTTTTTTTTTTTTTTTTTTTAAAGTAGAGAAGAATGGAGTCGGCAGCTCCAATGCATCGGGGCGATGGCCCCGGGGGGGGGGGGGGGGGGTTGACCTGGTTTCGATCGTCGCCTAAACCTATCAGATTGGCTACATGATTGCTCCCGGGGTCATAGAATGGTGTATTTTTTTTATACAATTTTTACTATTTTGTATTTACAGATTTACAGATTTGATTAATTCTGCTTCCAAGGATATTTTATTATTCCAAGCTGTGCACACCTGCGCACCTATGTAAGTTCCGCCCCAGCCGATGTCGGGATTTGGGTCTCTAGTACTTCTGGGGAAAGTTATCCGCGTACTGCGCGTGAGGTACCAGTGACCTTGCTTGTGCTTGGCAACGCACTGACAGTGGGGAAGTAGGGAAAAAATGGAATAAAATAAAATAGAAAAGAAAGTAGAAGAAAAAGAAAAGAAATTAATGCGGAAAAAAGCAAGTCATCCATGTTTCAAGTGTAAAATGCACGTGGGAAGAAAAAGAAAAATATTAAAAATTCATACATATTTACTATTTACTATTAGATCTTAAATATTGAATATTCCTCATCTCCCTGGATGATGATTAAATCCTTCATGCGGCAACAGGGCAACTTAGGCGAAAGAGGGGTTAGTGCCCGCAGCCATCAAGGATCAAGTTTTTGATCTCTGCAATCAATGATCCCATTGTATATGTACAATCCCACTGTCTACGTTAAAATAAAATCGGCTGGAACCTTCCAGCTCATGTCTCATTTTTACTTTTTCTCGTCGTATATTTTTCCTAAAACGTGGGGTTACAAGGTTACAAGGTTGCAGGAGAAGCAAAAAAAAAACCGGCGCTTAGACTCCGCCTGCATGTACTGCATGTACTGCATGGTGAACCTTAGCACTGGCATGCTAGATATCATGAAAATCACAATTAGCATGGCTGTTATAGGTCAGGGATTATTTCTTCTCGAACATGAGAGCCCCTGCTAAAATCTAAATCCCGTATAATAGAGGGGAATGCTTCTCCAGGGCTTAGGGGGGAATCTCAATACACGAGTGGAACGTCATCGTCCCCACAATAGGCCCAAGTTATAACTGGTGATTTGACCGTTGGACCGTTTAACGAAAGCCTAGCTTGATTGGGGGAAGAATATTGGAAGCAAGGAATACACTTATTACAAACCATTATAATCTACTAGAAAAAACAAAAAGGATCGTCGATATACTATGATCGATCTACTTAACATAAGGCAAACAGAGGTAGTATACCGCGGATATAGAATAATTACTTCAACATCCATGTAGTAATGACTTTAAATCCATGAGTCAAAACCGACAAATCCCGAGTCTCTCGGAGCTGGCTTCCTAGCGTAGGCATCTTCTTTTCTGGCGCTTGTCTCGGTCCTTTTAGCAGCAGATCGTCCGTCCCATTGTCTTATCCGGCCCGACGGACCTAAGTAAAGTAATCGCGGGGCTCTCGATATGGCGTTTTTCTCTCAAGTGCTCCAACTCTCCAAACCAAATCTTCTTCTTTTTTTCTCTACATACCACACCACCACAACCTTCCTACTAGAATTTCAAAAGTGTGTGACTCTCCGGTTAAAGCGAACCCACTTGCAGCCCCTCATTTCTAGATTTTTATCTTTCCACTTCTCTGCCCCTCACATCCCAGAGTACACAATTTTCCTTGTTTTGGTCATTTGCTTTTTTTTTTTTTACTTTACTTCCCACCAACTGCTTCCTAGATCATCACGGGCCTCCCTTTGTCGCAAGCAGCGACGCTCGTTCCCACTTAAGCGGCTCTCTCCTACATAAGACCCTCCACCACCCCCTTCTCGGGGCCCGAGGAGCCACTCATATCGCTTCTAATGAACAATCAATAAGCAAGATTCCATCATGCTCCATTGATCGCTGAGCCTTATTTCTCTATGGAGAAACCCTCGCAGTTTCCATTTCTGGATAGCCACGGCGCTGTGCGCGCCAGCAACGCTTGCCCGGTGGATACAGACGGCCCTTCATTAGAGTTGGTGGCCTGGATTTGGGCACGGTTATTGAGCTCCATTACAGTCGACCAATCCCCAGTCTTTCTTTTAAATGGATCGGTAATCAAAGTTGATCTATTTGCTCGTAGCATTCATCCTGCAAACTGCCAGACATTGTCGGTGATACCTGGGATCCCTACAAAGTTCACCGCGGTGGTCGTAGGAGACTACTCTCCAAACACACTTGATTCTACTTCTCTTCTGACGTGGTTCGTCAATCCAACAGCTCAAACGAGCATCTTGCATTCTACTACAGACATGGGGACTGCAACGGTACACCAAATGAATAATCGCCTTACCAACTTAATTCAAGAGCAGACAAAGTCAGGGTTACAGGTAGAACTGTCTGTCTCTGAACTTCCAGCCATGTCTGTCTCCAACCCGTCACCATGCATTCTACCGGGCTCGCAACTCCTCCATGAGCTGGCTCTTGGTGGGTCTTACGACCCTAGCGACTCCAATCATGCTGTTGAATTTCTGGCCGCAGATGGAAACATTTGCTGTTTATCATACCGTTCTTTGGATCAGCTATCATCAAAACTTGCGGCAAAAATAGCCCAAGCTGCAGCACAAACCAATGCCACGGGAAAAATGGTGGTTCCTGTACTTCTACCGCAATCACTGGAGCTGTATATTACTTGGCTGGCGGTTCTTAAAGCAGGTGGTGCCTTTTGTCCGTTGAACACCGATGCACCCCCAGAACGGATAGAGTTCATTCTTCAAGATGTAGCTGCATCTGTGATGATCACACAAGGTACTTTGGCGACTAGAGTGCCTCGCAATGTATCTGTAACCGTGATCAATACGGACGGGATCCTCGAGACAGTGGACGAGGACGAGAAATATCAGGAGGAAGGACAGAGAGCAACGAACCCTTATTTATACTCTGAAATTTTGCCATCTAATTTGGCCTATGTGATGTATACATCTGGTTCAACTGGTCGACCAAAAGGCGTTGGAATTTCGCATCGCGCAGCCACTCAATCTTTGCTTGCGCATAATGACTTGATACCCCCATTCAATCGATTTTTGCAATTCGCATCACCTACATTTGATGTTTCCGTTTTCGAAGTTTTCTTTCCTTTCATGCGGAGGGCAACCCTCATTGGTTCAGACAGGGAACAAATGCTTCTAGATATCTCCCATGTGATGACTGAGATGAGAGTCGACGCTGCCGAGTTGACACCCACCGTAGCGGGAGAATTGCTGCGAACTCGTGCGGCTGCACCTTCTCTACGAGTTTTGTTGACTATTGGCGAAATGCTCACAAAACACGTGGTGGAAGAGTTTGGTGGCACTGCTCATTCAGATGGCATCTTGCATGGAATGTACGGTCCGACAGAGGCGGCGATCCATTGTACTGCTGCAACCCATTTTCAGTCGAGTTCTGTTGTCAACTTGATTGGCAAGCCATTCAAAACAGTCTCTGCTTTTATCATGTCTTTGGAACCAGAAGACAAATCAATACCCCATGAGCTCGAAACGATTCCTATGGGGGAGATTGGTGAGCTTGTTGTTGGTGGCCCGCAGCTAGCAGATGGCTACATCAATCGACCCGAGGAAAATGCCAAGGCTTTTATTGAAAGCCCCTTATATGGCAGACTCTACCGAACTGGCGACAAAGCGCGGATGTTGCCTTCTGGTGAGATTGAATGTTTTGGTCGCATTTCTAGTGGCCAGGTTAAACTGCGGGGCCAAAGGCTCGAGCTTGGAGAGATCGAGCATGTCATCCTCCGAGCTCCGAAAGTACGAAGTGCTGTTGTCATTGTGAGCGGTGGAAGCCTCGCTGCGTTTGTATTGGCCAGCGATGAAGGGATAGGCGATCGTGAACTCCGCGACATATGCCGCCAGTGGCTTCCTCGCTTCATGGTCCCCGGCGAGTTTATCATTCTTAATCAATTTCCTCAACTTCCATCGGGCAAAGTTGATCGCAAAGCACTCGAGGCTCAATTTGCTCATCGTCGATCAGCTACCTCGTCCACAGGCCAGCAGCCATTCCGTGACGAGGTTGAAGAGACAATCTCATCGTGCGTTAGTGATGTTCTCGACAAGCAACTTTCATCCATAGAAAGCCTGGTATCAGGTGGCCTCGATTCACTTGCCGCCATCCGACTAGCCTCACATCTCTTAGATGCTGGCATTCGCCTTGATGTGGCACAGTTACTAGATGCCGACTCTGTGGATGGAATATGGAAGCTGGCCAAAGAAATGGAAGAGACGAAACCAACTGAAGATACCCAAGCTGGCCTTCACAGATTACGTCAACTAGTTTCTGATGCTGGTTCAGCCAAAATCAATGCTCTGGGGCTGAGTTCGCAAGTGGTGAACATCGAACCAAGTACCCATATCCAGCAGGCAATGATACTGGAGACAGTTCGACACGCTAGGGCATACTGTAACTGGGTGGAGCTAGAATTCCAATCTTCCATCGGGTCAATTGCCATTGAAAAGGCCTTCAAGAAATTATTGGAGCGAAACTCTCTTTTAAGATCTGGATTCGTTGAGGTAGGTCTCAAGGATCAAACTTATGCCCGATTTACTTGGAAAGTCCTCGATGAATGGAAAATTCAGAGACGACATGAGTTCAGCTATGATCTCTCTTTGGTTACAGAACATGACCTTCTTCATCCTTTCCAAATACAATTCAAGGAAAAGAAGGAAAATCTTCGGGTCCTGGTTCATATTCATCATGCGCTCTATGATGGATGGTCCTGGCAATTGATATTGAAAGATCTTCATTGCATTCTCAAGGGAGAAGAAACCCCTCCCAAGCCTGGTTATAACATAGTGACCGACTTTTTTATTGAGCACAAACTCAGTGGAGCTGCTGATTCATCATCACTATTCTGGCGTGATCAACTTCAGGACATGCCTACTAGTGCTCTTCCCAATTTTCATGGTCACATCGATACCACATCTGGTACATGCGAGGTGATCGATGTACTAGACATTTCCGTGCCAAAACTTCACGATTTCTCACAACGCCTAATGGTCAGCCGACAAACTATCTTTCAGGCCGCCTTTTGTTACATTCTTTCTACCTATCTTGGGTCTGATGACATTGTTTTTGGTACTGTCTTCTCTGGCCGCACCCTGCCAGTCAAGGGCATCGAAGTAGTCCTTGGTCCTTGTATTCGCACATTACCAACGCGGATGAAGCTTGACAAGATGCAAAACGTGGCAGATCTTCTTCTTGCAATTCAGAACATGAATCGAAAGTCTCTTGAGCACGGAAGCCTCCCCCTTCAGGAAATTAAAAAGTCATCCGGAATCGACCTCCATGAGAGCCTCTTTGAAACAGCCATAGTGTGGCAAGAAAGTATCTGGACCAATGATACAAACAGCGCCCATTTCAAAGAAGTTAGCACAGCGGAGTTTCTTGAGTTTGCTCTTTTGTTGGAGTTCGAACCTAGAGAAGACAGAATTCATGCGAAAGCGACTTATCAGAATTCTATCTTCCCCCGAGAGCAAATCCAGATACTTCTGGAGCAGATTGATATGGTAGCTTCAATAATTATTGATTCTCCTATGCTTCCATTACATGAAGTTGGCGCCCATCTCCCACTGTCGACTTTATCCATCTCAAATCAAAACCCAGAGACGCACAAATACCGATCAAGCCTTGTCACCGGAGTTGAGACAACTGCACTGGTTGAACCCACTCGACAGGCTATCGAGATTCTGATTCAAACGAATGAAGAAACTGTTTCTCCGCGACTTCAAACCCTTAGCTATGGACAACTGAACTCTCGAGCCAACCGTCTAGCTCATTATCTCATTCAACAGGGATTGACCAGATATCATTTGGCAGCGGTATTCCTCGACAAGAGTATTGATTCCTATATCTCTATGTTGGCAGTTGCGAAGATCGGCGCTGGTCTACTGCCTATTACATCTCAGACGTTTTCACAAGTTCTAGGATCAATTCGAACCTCTGTGGACATACAACCCTGGATCATCCGCCCGTCGACATCTCATTATGGCGCTTTGAACTCTTCACATTCATTCTCACAAATATTTCTCCCTGTCAACTTTGATGATTATTCTGACGAGAATCTCCTCACGACTCATGATTCCTTCTATATGGTTTGCGCCGACGACACCCCTGCCAACAAAGACCTGGCCACCTGCGCATATTTGTCTCATCATAGCTTGCAAAGCCATATCAATGTTCTCAAGGAGTCCTACCCCACTGCGGTAGGCTCAAAGCTTTTGCAAGCCGCCCCCTCTCCTCTCAACGGTAAGTTCATGTCCTTGAACTTAAGTTTGACTTTCTGACGTGATATAGCCTCTATTATGGAGTCTTTCCTTGCATGGCATATGGGAATTACCCTATGCTTAGCATCAACCGAGGATATGACAAAAAGGCCAACATACGTGATCAACACGATGAATGCCACTCACCTTCATTTAACTCCCACACTGGCTGGTCGCTTGAAGCCCGATGATGTTCCAAGTGTTCGGTATCTATTAATTTCCGGTGAAAAAATGACGGCTCAAGTACGCCAGAGCTGGTCTGGAGCTGGTCTTCATCACGGTGAGTGAAACACCTGCTAAATAAAATTTAACAAGCTCGAGGCTAACAATGAGCCAAAGGCTACGAAACGTTCGGTCTAGCGGGTATCTGTACTCTGAGTTCAGATGTGAAGCACTCAACATCCCTTGGCAACATTGGCAAACCGCTTGAAAATACATCTGTGATGTTATTATCCGATAAAGACTCATTTACTTTGGTACCCCGAGGCGCAACTGGAGAGTTGTGCTTTGGCGGCGATCAAGTTGTAGGTTTGGACTACATCTTCTACTGAATTCATTAATAACATTAATATAGGCTCGTGTGTTTCCCGTTCATCGTGATCAAAGTTTTGGAAACTTTGTTGAGCATCCTCATCTTGGTCGAATATATCGAAGTGGTGAATACGGCAGGCTGCTTCCAGATGGGTCTATTCTTTTAGTACCCGCATTGGATCAAGGAAGCGTGAAAACTCATTCAACTACATTCGAAGAGATTGATCATGCCGTTATCTCGTCAAAATTTGTTGAGGACACAAAGACCATGATTTTGCGCAACCCTCTTACTGCTCGCCAGCAGCCGGTTACGATTTGGATACCGTCATCAACTACTGAGGGATTCCCCAATTCTACTGATCTCGCTCTAATATCTCAGGACCTCTTCACGGAGCTCGATCAAAGACTAGCGCCATATTCAATGCCTACCCTTCTTGTGCCAATGCAAAACATGCCAATGACACAATTTTTCAAGACTGATTATGATCAAATTCAGGAGTATATTGAGCACATGAGCCTAGAAGAGCTTGAATCTTTCTCGCTTGAACGCGACGAAAACACTGATGGTGAATTTACTAATGTGGAAAAGATTATTGCAGGAGCCCTGGCGGCGGTGATCGAAGTTGACATTCAGAATATTAACAAAAACACGTCTTTCTACAAACTGGGATTAGATTCTTTGTCTGCGATATCTTTTTCACGAAAACTTCAGGAGCTTGAATGCGGAAGGATTGCTGTTTCTACAATCCTGCATCATAGCAGTGTTTCACAGCTAGGCCATGTTATTACTCTAGGGACTGATAGCAACCAGCCCCGGCCAAATGGCCCACAAGCCAGCTCATTGACAATATTCGACGAAGAATTCATTATTGACATCAAAAAGAACGTCGCAGCTGACCAGAATTCCTCTGTTCAAGATGTTTACCCATGCACACCTTTGCAGGAAGCAATGTTAGCCGCAGACTCTGATACGAGTTCTGCCTACTTTAATCATTTATTGCTCCGTGTGAACACAAAAGTGGAAGCGTTGAAAAGCGTGTGGGCTCATATGCTTCTGCGACACGATATCCTAAGAACCTGCTTCAAGCCAACTTACGATAAACGATCTGCATTTGCGCAGATCGTACTGTCAGAAGCAGCTCTCCCGTGGTCTGATGTTGAAACTTCATCTCATAATTTCAACCAGGATGTTGCGAAGACCAAGTCTGAGTTCGAGCACCAGTCACCAGTCAATGGAAAGCTTCCTTACTCTTTAACTGCCTTTGCCGATTCTGCCACCCACGAGACGCATCTCCTTTTGTCAATCCACCATGCATTGTACGATGGAGAGGGTATCTCAAACTTGTTACGCGATATCCAGCTTGTTCTGAACGGAGATGAGCTTCCTACGCCAACACCATTTGGTGCGTTTGTCAAGTACACGGCCTCCGTCAGCGCTGATCAATCCGACAAATTTTGGGATCGATATCTAGCTGGGGCTTCCCCAACTCTTTTATCCAGTTCACAAAAACTACAAGATTCAGATCGCGCATTCGCCTCAAGCCAAGTTCATGTGAATATTAAAGATTCTCTCACCTCGTTCAAACAAAAGTGCAAGCAGATCTCTGTAACGCCTCTGAATGTTTTCCATGCGGCCTGGGCTAGACTGCTGTCATTACATTCCGACTCCTCCGATGTCTGCTTTGGCAATGTTTTCAGCTGTCGAACCGTTCTCCTGGAGGGAGTGGAGAGCATAGTCGGCCCTTGTTTCAATACACTTCCCATGAGAGTCAAGCTACCATCTACTGCAACAAACTCAGACATCTTGAAACTTTCGCAGAAGAATAACAGCCATGTCCTGCCTCACCAGCTGTCTTCTTTGCGCCGAATTCAAAGACGGGCTCTCAATGGACACAGTCGGCTTTTTGATACTCTAGTCATCTTCCAGTCAAGTGATAACGAACTAGACCCCCGTTGCTGGGAGCTTGTGGAGGACGAAGGAAATATGGGATTCCCACTTATTTGTGAAATCATTCCTCACGAAAACCGAGACAATATCTCTGTATGTCTCCATTTCCACACATCAGTTCTAACACCTGCAACGGTGGAGCTTCTCTCGCAAGACTTTCTGGCTCTTATTGAACATACACTACAATATCCCTCTGCGCAAGCTTCCGACCGAGCAATTGTTGGAGCCGGCTCCCCTCAGATCTTTGAGTTAAATGGCCCGTCGTTACCTGAATCTGTCCATCGTTCCATAGCAGATTCACAGATAGCTCGTCCGTGGTCATACCAGGAAGAAGCTCTTCGCGATATTATCTGCAAATTCTCAGCGGTCGATGAAGATACTGTGTCATTACATACTACGATCTTCCAACTAGGACTAGACAGTATTCATGCAGTTCAGATTGCAGGCCAACTTCGCAGTCTGGGCTTTGGAATTTCAGCTGGTGATATTCTTGAGGTGGGTTTCGTGTCCTCTATTTCTCTATATCATTTTTCGAAGCTGACTGACAACAAACAGGCCGCTTCAATTGACAAGATTGCATCGTTCCTCGAGTCCAATGGGAAGGAGGACAAGAATGTAGAATTTGATTTTTCTTCATTCGAGGATCAGCACCTTCATTCTGTGTGTGAAAATTATGGCCTTGCAACCCAAACAGTGCAAGCGTTACGACCTTGTACACCTGTGCAGAATGGAATGTTGGCCCTTTTCACTCATTCTCATGGGAACACATACTTCAATCACATGCGTTTGAAATTCTCCAAGCCGCTAGATCGGGCGCTGCTAAAAGAAGCTTGGATCAAGGTAATGGATCAGCACGATATGCTTCGAACTGGCTTTATTCAATTAAGCAATCAGCAATATCCTTTTGCCATGATCACATACCAAAAAGGTCTTGATATTCCATGGAATGAAACTTCAAAAGCCTCAGCAGATGTGCCAGCCACTCACGAACAAGCGGTTTTGAAGAATCTCCACCAACCTCCATGGCAAGTTATCGTTGAATCCTCTGACACTGTGGATACATTGCATTTCTCTGGCCTCCATGCCCTTTATGATGCTCAATCATTAGAGTCAATATTTTCTGATGTGATGGCGGTCTACGAAGGCAAGAAGCTCATTAAGCCAAGTCCGATTGAAGCAACACTTGGGCCGCTGTTGATTGAGAGCCAGAAACAAATGCAGTCCACACAAGAATACTGGCAAGGACTTGCCACAGACATGCACCCATCCAAGTTTCCAGACATGCATCCTCTCCGCACAGAGAACCCCAAGCTTATCAGTAGCTCTGTTCGGTCTTCAACGTCTCTTCAAGATTTGGAGGCTCGCTGCCGAGACCTTGGTGTCACACTACAGGCCGCTGGACAAGCAGCATGGACCCGACTACTCACCGCGTATACGGGTGAACGGAATGTCACATTTGGCACTGTCCTTTCCGGACGTAATCTGTCAGCAGCAGCACAACATGCTGTATTTCCATGTCTAGTGACCCTCCCATCCCCTCACAACATGGAAGGAAGCAATCTAGAATTACTGCAACGCACTTTGAAAAGAAATGCACCCTTGATAAAGAATCAGTTCACACCGCTGGCGCAAATTCAACGCTGGCTAGGAAGTGATGAGCCGCTTTTTGACACATTATTTGTCTACCAGAAGTTTACAAATCAGTCAAATGAGACGAAGCACTGGCAGATCATTGATGAAGACACAAGGATTGATGTGAGTCCTCCAAATTTCTGGATAGGATATATGCTAAAAATGCTAATTTCGCTAGTACCCTGTGTCTATTGAGCTGGTCCCCTCTTTGGCAGATCTTGAGATCCGAATCAGCTACAGAAGCGATATCCTTCCGCAGGCCCAGGCACTCACACTCCTTGATCAGTACGACAAGCTCCTGAAGCATACTCTCTCCTCTCCAGATTCAAGTGCAGATGACTATCTGTTTTTGGAGAATAAATTGCTTTCCATTACTCCTGCCAAGGAGAAGACGTTGCCTTCCCCCGTCTCCCTGCTGCATCAATTTGTCGAAGAAAATGCCGTTAAAATACCAGGTAAAATTGCATTCGAATTCGCATATGGTGCAGACTCGGACAGTCTTCAGAAGCACACTTGGTCCTATCAACAATTCAACGAGGATGGCAATCGAGTGGCGCATTTCCTGCAAGCTAAAGGGGCAACCCCTAGAGGATTGGTCGCGATTTGCTTCGATAAATGCCCGGAAGCATCAGTAGCCATTTTGGGTATTCTGAAGGCTGGCTGTGCTTACTTGGCCATTGATCCTTCTGCTCCTATCTCCCGCAAGCAATTCATCATGGATGACTCCCAGTCCAAAATTCTCCTCTGCAATTTTGCAAGAAAAGCAGAGTTAGAGGGTCTTAATAATGTTATAATTGAAGCAATGGACGAGCCCGACAAGTTGAAGGAGTTTTCGTATGAATCGCCGTTGCTTTCACGAGAGATTCAGCCGGATGACACCTGTTACTGCCTGTATACCTCCGGCACCACCGGTACGCCAAAGGGCTGCGAAATAACCCACGACAATGCTGTGCAAGCGATGCTAGCCTTCCAAAGACTTTTCTCACCGCACTGGGATGAGGACTCTCGCTGGCTACAATTTGCATCCTTCCACTTTGACGTCAGTGTTCTCGAACAGTACTGGAGCTGGAGTGTTGGAATTTGCGTCACCTCATGTCCACGCGATCTTCTATTTGAAGATCTACCTGGGACCATTCAAAAGCTTCAAGTCACACACATTGATCTGACTCCTAGCTTGGCAAGACTGGTACACCCAAATGAAGTCCCATCCCTTACCCGGGGTGTTTTCATCACAGGTGGTGAAGCATTGAAACAGGAGATCTTGGATGACTGGGGGAAGCACGGAGTTATCTACAACGGATATGGACCGACCGAAGTTACCATTGGATGTACCATGCTTCCTCGAATGCGTTCAAATGATAAGGCCTCCAACATAGGTCCCCAATTTGACAATGTTGGCTCGTACGTTTTCCGTCCAGGGACATCAACCCCAGTTTTACGTGGTGGTATTGGTGAGCTTTGTGTATCTGGTCCATTGGTTGGAAAGGGGTACTTAAATCGAGCCGAGTTGACAAAAGAGCGATTTCAATATTTGCCTGAATATGAAGACCGCATTTATCGCACAGGTGATTTGGTCAGGATTTTATTTGATGGCAGCTTCCAATTCCTTGGTCGAATTGACGATCAAGTCAAACTTCGAGGCCAACGCCTCGAAATTGGAGAGATCAATGAAGTCATCAAGCAGGCGACACCAGGCGTAAATGAAGTGGCTACTTTGGTTGTCAAGCACCCAAAACAATCCAAAGATCAACTTGTCTCCTTTGTGACCAGGGTGAATGATTCCGACAAAAGATCCAACGCCGTGGAAATTCGGGCCTTTGCCGACGACGGTGCGACACTTTCAACAGTTAAGGCTGCCTGTCATGCACATCTCCCAGGGTATATGGTACCAACACATATTATACCATTAACTTCTGTCCCTCTGTCTGCGAACAATAAAGCAGATATGAAGATCTTGAAGAGTCTCTATCAGGAGCTTTCTCTTGAGGAGATTCAGAGCTTAACAGCGATGACCACCATTCAAGCTACGAAAACCGCACAAGAAGAAAAGCTTATCGCCGTGTTAACAAAATTCCTCGGTTCTACAGAATTGGCCATTTCATCGTGGTCCAGCATCTATGAATTGGGTCTCGATTCTATTTCTGTGATCGCATTTTCAAGAAGTCTCAGGGAAGCCGGATTTTCTCAAGCTCAGCCTTCACTTATAATGAAATGTAAGTTCCGAATAACCTCATTGAATTTTCTTTTCCTTCTCTAACTTCTGTGAAGATCCCACCATTGGCGCTATGGCCTCAGCTCTGGAGGCATCCACGGAATCGTCCAATTCACAGCGCAAACTCCACAGAAATGCAAAGCGTGCTATTCAGGCATTTGCCCACAAGCATTCTCATTCTTTTATTCAATATCTTGGGTTAACTGGTCCTGAGGTCCAGCACATTGCACCTTGCACAGCTCTCCAAGAGGGCATTATCTACCACTTCCTGTCCAGCACCAAGCCCATGTATTGTTCTTCGTTTACTTTCGACCTTGATTCCAACATTGATTTAGACAAGTTAAGAGCAAGCTGGGAACAGGCACAAAGCCAAATTCAAATGCTACGAGCGCGATTCTTGTCCTCTCCAGATGGATATGCCCAAGTCATTCTGAAGCACGATGCGCTTCCATGGTTTCAATCCAAGGTAATTTCAGAGGGCGACATCGAAATTGTCCAAAAGGAAAAGCAACAACTATGGATTTTCAAGTTGAATGACTTGTCCACGAATCTTTGGGAAGTGGGAGTAATAACCTCACCTGAGAAATCGATCATGTGTCTCAACATTTTCCATGCTCTTTATGACGGGAACAGCCTAGGTCTTCTTCTCAATATGGTCAAAGATATTTATCACGGCCATTCAATGATACCCGACAACATTTCACACTTTTCAGATATGCTGCATTTAGGACCACTCTGCAAAGATCCTAAGGCAGAACTCTTTTGGAAAGACCACCTCGCAAACTGTCAGTTCAAGCCTCTGCCCGGTCTAGAAGAAAACCAAGGGACCTCTTTTGTTCAAAAATCCAGAATCAGTACTACAGATACTTTGGATCATTTGAAAAAGTCGCTTGGTGTTAGTGATCAGGCTATTCTTCATGCTTGCTGGCTCTTGACTCTCCAACGACATTACAACTACGTACCAGCACTTGGTATCATTGTTTCTGGGCGGACAATTGATGTGCCTGGTATTGAAGAAGTGGTTGGTCCTCTTTTCAACACACTCCCAAGCAACGTGCAGCTTCGTGGTCTCAAGTCATGGGCAGATGCTGCTCGACGATGTCACGAATACCATGTTTCAACGATGCAATTCCAATATACCCCTCTTCGTGACATTGTGAAGTGGCTTGGCAGAAATCCGGATGAACCACTCTTTGACTCACTGTTTGTCTTCCAGCGAGAGAATGTGGACGATGATGATGAGTCAACCAGTACATTGTGGGAACCAATCGACTCAGAGGCCGAACATGAATATCCTTTGGCCTTTGAAGTCGTTCGACATAATACCAAAGGTCTCGCATTGACCCTGGCTACTAAGGATCATGCGATGTCCTCCCAGATGGCCCAAGAAATTCTCTCTAGTTTTGAACAAGTTCTGACAGAGTTCGCGAAAACCCCAGAGCATGAAATGCCGTATCTCAATGGAGTTATGGAAGCAAGCCCCGGAGAAGATATTGGGGAACCAAAGGTCAAAGGAACTTCTCATCATCTTGAGAATGGATGTTCCTTTGAGTGGGGTCCAGAAGCTTGCACAATCCGTGACGCTATTGCAAGTCTTGCCGGAGTAGATGGGGCTTCAGTCAGCGAAGAAACTTCAATATTTGAGGTGGGCCTTGACAGTATTGATGCGATTAAATTGTCATCCAGGCTGAGCAAGCTGGGGGTCAAGGTCCCTGTGAGTGTTATCATGCGCAGCCGCAACATAAAATCCATGGTTGGCAATATGGCTATCTCAGACCATCATGAGCAAAACGGAGCAGCTTCAATGCTCGGAGAACTGGAACAGGCTCTGACGGAGTCTCTTAAAAGAGAGAATCTCATGCCTGTCGATGCCTGTCGAGTCCTACCAGCTACGCCAATCCAAGAAGGCATGATCGCTGAAATGCTTTCATCTGGTTATCAACATTACTATAATCAAGAGGTTCTTAAGATCGAACCACACGTCAATCTCAAAGAACTCCAAGGCGCGTGGATTGCCGTGGTCAAAGCTCACCCTATTCTTCGAACCTCTTTTGTCGAAGTTTCGGATCCGCAGATTGTTGCTTCTTATGCTCAGGTCATTCACGATGAGAACGCCTTTGATTTCCAAACTTTGCATCTCGATGCAACTATCATGAGCTCTGTAATTGAGAGGCAGCGCGGCAGGGCCTCTACTGAGCTCAAGGGTCGCCCACTACTAACCGTCACAATTTGTGTGGATGGGAATGACCGCTACCTCATTCTCTCCATTTCTCATGCCCTTTATGATGGCTGGTCAATCAATCTTTTGCATGAGGATGTGGCAAGATCTTACAACGGAGAAGCTTGTACTCGCCCATCATCTGATATCATTTTAGAACAGATTCTCGCCTCCTCGGGTGAACAGGCTGTCAATTTCTGGAGGACGTCTTTATCAAACCTCACCCCAGCAGCTTTTCCACCTGGGCCTCACTCACAGACAGATTCAGACGAGGTCCATCGTGCGGAAGCTGCCCTCTCAGTATCGTTCAAGGAAGCAGATGCCTTTTGCAAGCGACATGATGTCACCATGCAGGCGCTTATGGTCGCTTGCTGGTCTCTTGTTCTAGCTACACATGTCAAAGAACTGGATGTTGTCTTTGGGCTTGTATTTTCAGGCCGCAACGTAGCGGAATCTAACAATATAATGTTCCCGACAATGAATACTGTGGCTATGCGCGTTATTTTGCATGGTACTCGCTTGGATCTAGTGAAGTATGTTCAGGAAATAATACTGGAGACGTCAGAGTACCAGCACTTTCCCCTGCGGCGAGCCAGACCCGACAATAGCTCACGCCCGTTATTTGACACTCTATTCATCTACCAGAAACGACCTTCCGAGGCTGGACGAAATGCGCAGAATCTTTACAATTCCACTGGTGATGGTGCAGCGGATGTTGAGTATCCAGTTTGCGCTGAGATCGAGGGTGTAGGAGAAGATCTCATCGGTCGCGTGGCATGTCGTGCAAGCGTACTTGGAAAAGATGATACAATGGAACTACTAGGGCACATCGCACATGTCCTGACTTCAATTATCGATGATTCATCTCGAGAGACCATCGGTTTTACTGATGATCATATGAGTATATGTGGTCGGCCGGTCTCTAGAGATTCGTCTAGTCAAGGGACGGACTCGATTGAGCTGCGCTCCAGGTCTAGCTCGACAAATTGGTCGCCGATGGAGTCAAATATTCGCAGTGTGCTTTCCGTTGTGTCTGGAGTGCCTGAGAATATGATTGATCAGGCATCGAATATCTTTGAGCTAGGCTTAGACAGCATCAGTGCCATCAAAGTCGCGGCGCTTCTGAAGAAGCAGTCCATAAAGCTGACTGTCAGCGATATGCTCAAAGCGGGCAGCATTACAAACATGGCGAAGGTAATGGACACTCATCATGTGGATCTCACACAGAAAGAAGTAACCAGCGCTTTACAACAATCTATTAGTGGTATTCAAGTCAACTCGCTCCTTGAATCCCATGGCGTTGACACAGAGCACATTCAAATGGTGATGCCTACAACCGCTGGACAAACTTACTTCCTGGCAATGCACTCTCTGAACCCGGAGGTCTTCTATCCGCAGTTCTTCTACTTTTCCTCGAAGCAGCTGAGTCGAGACATTCTCAACGATGCTTGGTCTTTGCTCACAGACCAGACACCTATCCTCCGCACGGCCTTTATTCCTACTGATAGCCTTCGACTGCCGTATATCCAAGCTGTGTTCGACACTGTTCATAATCCTGTTTGCTGGCATGAAGACCTTGATACTCAGGCTACGGCCGCAAATATTGAGCGCAAATTTGGTTCGGTACCGGTCGAGCTGCATGCTTGTCAAACCAACAGAGGGACGGCGCTTACCTTGAAAATTCACCACGCTCTCTATGATGCGATAAGTCTCCCGGCTATGATGGATGAATTCTCCCAAATCTGCAACAAGGAACAGTTCGAATTGAAGTATAGACCTCGCGACATCTCACAGCTCGTGGCTATCCAGCATGTTCGTTCGCCTGAGAATGTTCGGCGGCAATTCTGGCAAACATATCTGGGCGAAACTGCAACTCGAGAATTCGAGAAACAACCCGTGGGGGAATTTGGCGCTATTCAACAACACTATCGGCCAGGGCTTGTTTCAAATATGTCTCGAGCCGAGACGGCCGCTAAGCTGCAAGGTCTTAGTATCCAATCCATTTTCCTAGCTATGTATTCTCGCGTCCATGTCCAAACTTTTGGAAATGCCGAAGAACTTGTGATCGGTCTGTATCTTGCGAATCGATCGTACGTCACGGAAGGGCTGTCTGAACTCGTTGCTCCTACGGTTAACATTGTTCCACTGCGCCTCGACAACAATATTTCCGGCGATCGGGGGTCGCTTTTCGCCGCTGCTAGAAAAATCCAGGATGATATCAATCTGATCAACACTATTGAGCATGCTGGGATTTCCCTTGTGGAAATCGCCGAATGGACAGGGGTACGCATCAACACCTGTATCAACTTCCTGCGACTGCCAGAGATGGAAAACCCCATCGACACAGGCGCACCTCAAGTGGCGTTCCGAGCTATGCAACAGGAGGAGCTCGAGAATTTGAATGGATCTAAGCTTTCCAAAATCGCCCCGTCCCTGACTCATGGTGACACTGCAGTCCTGTCCAGCGATACGCATGTAATCCGGGCGGCTGCTTCAACGGCGGCTATGAAGAATGTTTTCTGGGTAAGTGATCTATCTTTATTTTTCTTTACTATGAGTGGCTACGAGCGGACACTAATGCAATTACTTACAGCCCACGATCGATGTGGAGGCGGCCATCCGAAAAGATCGATTGGATTTTGGACTCTTCGGCCCCAATGCTCGACTTGACCATGATACTGCTTCGCAGATGATTGCAAACATGCAACAAGAGATGGGGGTCCTACTGGATTCTCTATTATGATTTCATTTTGAACTGAACAGTTTTTAGCATCATGGAGTTCAGCGCGAGGGGTATTCATCCCATCCCCTTCACCATTTTTTTTGGGTTCATTTACTTTGTTTATTGTTCTCTTATTGTTCCCGCAACGAACCTCCTTTTCCGTGCATATATTGTTTCCATGGATACTTCTGGCATTTTGGATGTGTTCTTTTTTTCTCCTATTGCTTTTTTTTCTTTCATTTTCATTTTAATAGATCACAATTCGACAATTGCATGAGAACCCGAGGGGTAGTACAGTCAATGGTAGCCCCCAAGGACCCACGGGACGGGACGGGCGGATCCCGACGTTGACAGGATGTGGGCCCCCACTCAAAACAACCCACTAGACTGTATGGATAAGAGTCAAAATGATGACGATGACGATGATTAGAGCATGCGATAGATTCTATAGATAGTAATTGATGATATCAGACACGATTACAATTTTGGGGGCTTGATGATTCCCATGATCTTTTTAATGTAGTTTTCCAAATCCTCTCGAAATCAGCAGACACTAGGAATGAATGGAGTGGGTGGGGAGGTGCATTCTGGTATTGGTATAGATCATATGGAACCAGCTGATGGATCAGATGAGCCATGGCGAGACATCACCCAAGGTGGATGTGGTGGATTTGGTGGGCTCATGGGAGGCAGCCACTTCAAGCAAGGGGAATTTCGCGTGGTCAACAATGGACAAAGACGGGATGTTTGGGGTCCCCCCTCCCCCCTAATTTACTAAATTGTACTTACTTACGCGCGTGGTACGTAGTATTGAGTATGCATAAGGCAGTCTGAGACAGCATTGTACTTACCACCGTACACATGAGCGCGTAGCCAATGCTTCTGTTTTGGTTTTGGTAATACGTACTCACTCCTGCATATCTATCTTTATAAATCGTCGTATATACGTCATAAAAACATACAAAACAACATTAAAATTAATTTTTTCTGTATTGTAGTAAGAAATCCTCCTCGTATGAATCCTTCCACATGGAGATATTCAAATATCAAGCCGTCAACAGTACCCAAGGGGCCTTTGAGCGATTTATGCTATCAGTTGAACAAATTTTTAATAAATAATTTAGCCCCAATATTTTTTCTGATTTATGATTTTTCTCGTTTTTAACTTTCGAATGCTCAACGAATCGGGGAAACGCAGCTGGGAACGCTGAGCTACGTATTTTAAGGTGGCGTCGTGGTTCGGCGCAGGGGCGAAAGTTGATGAACCATGCACGACACTCGAAACTAACTAATAGCAAGTGTAACTCTGTAACTAGGTCTAGAGTGTGATATTTACATAAACCAGATAGACCCGTGGGAGGACAATGTGCTACTTTGTTCTGTTTATACTCGAGTGTGGTACTTCTCTCTCCATACTGTTAATTATACAGTGCCGGGTACCCACTCTTACATAAGCCTATTTGTTTATGTCACGACGCGTCTCGCCCCCGCCACTAAACCCATTTAGGCAATCGAGGATCAACAACGCGGCGCGTTCTTACTTCATCTCCATTTATCCTCTTCCAATCTACATATCGTCCTCTCTAGGGAAGCCACACTCTAACATTCCTCTCCCGTTCCCTCGGTTTCTTTCACTTCGCCCATCTCGAAAATTCTTCCCCGATCTCGCTCGATCACAGCCACATTCTTCGCGCCCTCGACTTCGCTTATCCTCCTTCCCCCGCGCGTGGGCTGATCGGATCACCACGATTCGCTAAACGAGGGGGATCTACCCCTTACACTACCCGTTCTTCTTTGAAACACTGGGAGAAAGAATCCTGCCTTCAACATTTGCCGCCGCTCAGTCTTTTGCCTCGAGGTTCATAGACATCAGTTGCGTGGCTCAGCAGCTGGATGTCCGTGTGTTCAGTCTGAAACATTCCAGCGCATATCTATTTGTTGCACGATTAAAAGACAACAAAAAACATTAATCAATAATAATAATCATAATCGCGGAGGATCATTTTCGCGACGCGCCTTGTTTGCGATTCCCCCGCGCGTGCTCGGAGGCAGAAGCCCACCGAATTCCTTGACTCTCGCAATGCGTGGATGAATGGCCCGCCTGCCCTTTCCCACCCTCGATTTCAAGGTTTGCTTCTTTTGTTCTGCCGCTGTGCCTACTCAGCATTCCAGTGGTCAAGAAGGTTGCGTGCCTAGTTCTACTGCGCACTCTTTTTCCTTGACTCACTCCCCCTCGCCCAAGTTCTCGTGTTATTGCCCCTCCCGTCGCGTCGCGAGCGCCGAGGAGGGTTCTGGTTTTTCTACTCATTGATTAGACTCTTGTGGTATCAACGTTTTCGACAAGTCAACCCGAATTCGATCGGAGTTCTAGTGTGATTGAGACGGAGCAGAGAGGGGGAAAGCAAAGATCGCCATAGTTTTTGCCCGGGTCAGCTCTCATTCTAGGATTCTTGTTCGGCACGTTCAACACAACATTCCCCATCATGGTTGCAACCTTTTCGCCGCACCGGGACTCCGGTGGTACCCTTCATCTATCATCACATTCGGGTATTCATCACGTTGATGCTAGCTCTGCGATCCGTCAACTTCGACGGTCTTTGTCGCGTTCGCCTTCCAAGAGTTCCAACTTTTTTCTCAACCCTCGCTCTCAGTCACCATCTAAAACTACAGCTCCATACGTGTCGTCCCCTCTGTCGCCCTCGAGGCGATCTCACAACAACTTTGTGCTCTTCCCATCAACTCAACAATCTCCTTTGGCCACGCCATATCCGCCCAGTGCAAAGATTACGCGACCGGCCATGCGACGACGAACTTCACCTCGTAGCCCCGCCAAGCGCGCTTTGACCGTGTCAACAGACGGGGGCAACACCACTCCAGCTCAACCCATAGTTATGCATCAAGGTGAAGAGAATGCCTTGACGCTTGATGATCTAGCTGGCCCGCCCGAGAGCACAACTCCCGAAGGCTCTTGTTTACTCGGCGTGCCATCCGCTGGGCAAAGTGAGACTCCACTCGCGGTTCGCTCTACGCTTTCTCGTATCGAAAAGCGGCGCAGTGGAAATTTCGGCTCCTTCGCAACAGTCAGTCCTCTCAAACGAAGTGACGGCATAATGAATCTAGATCAGGCGTCTCGAGGGAGCCCCTCAGCAAAGCGACGGAGTGTGCATACACCGAACTTCTCAACGGATTTCAGTATCTTCGATAACAACGATAGTAGCGCGCCTGCAAGCCCCTCTATTAATGAAATTCCAAGTCACCCAGTTCCAATGCACCCATTGAGTCCATTTGCAACCATCCCAAAGCGCTCGTCATCTCTCAGGCGATCCACCTTGCAGCAACGGCAAAGTGAGCGCCCATTGTTTGGGCGGCCCAGGGCCAGCGGTGACAATGAAGCGCCACCTGGTACACCCTTGGTCGTTCGTCCGCGCATGTCATTTGATAGTGGCCTGTTTGAGGCTGGACAAGAAAATCTCTTCTCTCCTCGCCCAACCCCAGCGAGCTCTCTCTTCTCTCCCTATCCAGCCCCAGCAAATTCTCTCTTCTCACCAAATCCAACGCCAGCGAGTCCTCTCTTCTCGCCCAATCCTCCACCTGCTGCTGCTCCGACTGCTACTCAGCCTCCTCGGCCTTCCGCTCATCCTCTGTCTCGAACGATCACCCAGTCATCTTCTGGCTCGAGCCTTGAAGACTCGCCAACTCACGAGCCTGTCCACAAGCCCGAAAGAGCGCGACCTGTCTTCAACTTTTCCAAATCTCTTCCGGCAGGTGCTACGCGACCTGCGCCTATACGTCGTGTAACACGGGAAGAATCAGGCTCTGGAGATTCGTTCGCAACGCCTGACAACTTCAAGCTAGTCAAGCCTCTCCCAGCTGCGTTTATGTCAACCGGCCTGATTTCCAAGAAAAATCGCAACGCTGAAGAGGCTTCCGGCTTCAACAAGAATATGCCCGACACTCCATGCAAAAGACCAGTCAATCTATTTGCTTCCGGGCTCAATACATCCTTGGATAAGCCACGTCCATTCGCAGAAATGGAAACTGCGTCTCAATCCCCATTCAATCCTCCTCCATCCACCGTTCGACCCAAGCCTGGCCCTTTCGCCCGCGGGATGGGTATATTTGGGAATACCTTCAATCGCCCGGCACCATCTCGTCGGGGCAGCTTCGTGAGCATTGATGGTGATGATTTACAAGCCCAATCGCCATCGTCACGCCATGACAGTCAGCCACTGACAGACTCCGATTTCCCCCCGACTCCCACTAAACAAACTTTCCTCCCCTCTCGCACCTATCCCCCGTCAACCACACAAATCGAACCCCTGGAACGCCTCACAAAGTCAAGGGCTTCCAACAGTCCAACACCCTTGCGTGACAGATTTATGGAGGCTATTCCCCATACACCTCGCGATCAGTTCTTCCCGCCAGACCCGAGTGGTCTGTCAATCTCTGTGCCCAGTGACTCTCAGTCTCTCCAACCTGATTATGGTAGTCAGGATATGCCTGCCACACCGACTGGACCACGCGATTCCTTGCTGTCCAGCAAACAGCCTAGCTTACAGCTCAGTGGATTCCACACGCCTGACGTGGACCCTAGTTTGACTACACGATTCGATAAAGTTGAACTCATTGGCACTGGTGAATTCTCTCAAGTTTACAGAGTCGCTCAACCTCATGATGCCTCTTTCCCTTCGATGTTCTCTCTTTCCTCAAGTGGGCCCAAATCGCCAACTGCTTTGCCGCATCAAGTATGGGCTGTCAAAAAGAGCAAACAGCCCTACCTGGGGCTCAAGGATCGTGAGCGCCGCATCAGGGAGGTCGACATACTCAAAACTTTGGTCAGCTGTGATCATGTTGTTTCTTTCATGGACAGCTGGGAAAACAATGGCCACTTGTACATTCAAACCGAATTTTGTGAAGAAGGAAGCTTGGATGTTTTTCTGGCCCAAGCTGGCCTTAAGGCCCGCCTTGATGACTTCCGCATTTGGAAAATTCTTCTTGAAATGACTCTAGGATTGAAGCAGATTCATGATGAAGGCTTTATCCATCTTGACTTGAAGCCTGCCAACATTCTAGTCACCTTTGAAGGTGTTTTGAAGATTGGAGATTTCGGCATGGCTACCCGCTGGCCAGCAGAGGATGGTATTGAGGGCGAGGGTGACCGAGAGTATATTGGTCCCGAAATCCTCATGGGTCGGTTCGATAAACCTGCCGATATCTTCTCGTTGGGTTTGATTATCTTTGAGATCGCTGGCAATGTGGAGCTTCCTGATAATGGAGTTTCCTGGCAGAAGCTCCGCAATGGTGACATGAGCGATGTGCCAAGTCTAACTTGGAGCTCTGAGACCAGCATTTTCCGCGATGCAACTGGAAATCCAATTGGTGGCAGTTCTTCATTTGAGGAGCTGTGCACTTCTGACTTGGGTGACGATTATTTCGGCGATGATTTCCTCACCACTCGCAAATTGAATTCTCCCCAGCCCGCTCAAGGTCAAATCTCCCGCAGCGGAGAGCTGATCGATCCGCCAGACTTCATGGTTGACGCTCACCATGCTCAGGCATTGGATAAGATTGTCCGCTGGATGATTTCCCCTGAGCCGCTTGATCGACCTACAGCCGATGATGTTTTGAGCACTTATGGTGTACAATTCGTGAACCAGCGTCGCCGTGCCGGAGCCACCGTGTTCGAGGGCAACTGGGGCCCTGCCGACGAGATCTTGGCTGAAGATGCCGAAATGATCGACGTGTAATCTATTTCCTCACCACACCACACCTTTTGCATATATGGAGGGTGTTTTGAGCTTTTCATGACCAATTTCCTTTGTCTAATTTCCTTTTTTCTGACGATGACTCGACTCTCCCATCACTTTCTCGAGCGCTCTCTTTTTTCACGCCTTCCTAACGACCGTTCTTTCTTTTTCCTGCTTTACCAACACCTCAAGCCTCTTGAATCCAGAATCTCCTTCCGGTGAACCTTTTGGTCCCATAGAAGCGTTCTTGTGACCCATCAGTCTGTCTTTCGTTTTCTTGTCTCCCTCGTTCTTCCTTTCATTACTCATGACTTGGTGGAGTTTGCAAAAGAGACCATACCCCTGGAGTTTCAGCGTGGCGTTCCCTCGTTCCTACGGCGTTTTGCTGTGTTATTTTCTTTTTTTTTCTTCCTTTGTATTCATCTGCCTAGCATTATCCTTGCCCGAAATGTACCATCAAACCGCGCAACAGGGTGTTCTTATGAGATGGCCCTTGGGTTGCGTCTCCGGAACTGTTATCCTGGCGTCTTCTCTATTCGATTTTTTTTCTTTTTCTATGGGACATGATATCTTTTATGGATGTTTGGAGTGTTGACCGGTTGGCAACGAGGGCATGGTGATCTAGCCTTGGGCTACATCTTGGGCGTTTTCATTGCTTGGCGAGGGTTTTTTAGCATTTGTGCTCTTGTCCTATTTTTCTCTTGACATCTTGCTTGATGATGAATGATTGTCCACCATGGTCTCTGTTAGATTAGCGAAAATCTGCTTCTGTACTTCGGACTCCTTTGGATTCATTGTGGTACCTAGAAATCCATCCTTTCCACAGGTTCGTGACCATCTACATTCAAAAATTATCGCGTAGACGTATATGGATACATCGTACACAAGTTTTTATAGCCATGTCCATTCTTCTATATATCTCATTCCAATGTTCTGTCTATCTTCGATTTAATTTATTAAGTGCTCGTTAATTTGTATGGGTCACGGTGTTGAGGCCGCCTATGTACAGCACGATAGTATATCCAGGTATAGTAGGTATGTAGGCAGTGCTCCTGTACTACAGTCACCCCGATAAATAATCCCACTCCAGGCCTTATAATATAATATTATAGTATAATAATAGTATACATCCCAGAGCTTAGGTATAATATTATCTAAGTCTCTAGAATTACCTTAACAAAAGTCTTACTAGAGACAACTAGACAGATGTTTGGAAAAACTTTTAGAAAGATGTATAGTGTAATATGATGTTCAACGTGTATTCAAAACCCACTTCGAGGTGATAGTAGTTAGCAGTAGCACCGATTGCCACTGCGGCGCTGGACTGGAGTCTTGGCATTCGACCTCCGAGCTCCGCAAATCTCCAACTTCTAATTTCGACTATCACCATCCTCACTTATTTCGCCTGCCAACTAGGCTCTAATCTATTTTCAAAACACACTTAACGGGGCGTCATGTGCCACATCATCTAAAATCGCTCCTTTTTCCTCCATCACCTGACAAATATCGAGGTTAAAAACCACCCTCATCACCCACACAAGGACCCGTACGCATCATGGACAACAAGACTTTCGTGTCGGATTCCTTGATCCGCCTCACAGGCGCGTCAGATCCGATCGCTGTAGACTTTGTACTCGCCGAGGCTAGCTCAGCAAAGTCTGTCTCCTCCCTTCAAGGCAAATTGATTTCATTCCTTGATGGCAGCCCCGATGAAATTGGCGCATTTTGCGGACAGCTCTTCTCTCGCGTAGGCAAAGCACCTACCCCCAGCAGCTCAGCGGCCCCCGGCTCCACGAACAAACCATCTACAAAAAAGAAATATAGTATGGTGGATATGGGCGAGGACCTGCAACCGGAACCGACATTGGGCCCTGTAAATGTGGAAGCAGAGCGCGACCGACGAAGACGCCGAGACCGAGAAAGAGATTCAGACCGAGATAGAGGCCAAAATAGCAAGGATTCAGAGGCTCAAAGTCGTTGGGAGAAAGATGATACCCGAAAGCGCGACCGCAGCCGTGACGCCGAGAGCCGCGATCGGCCGCGATCGAAGAAGTTGCGCAAGAAGGATGCCGACGATTTCGATGACCGGTGGGGCGATGAGGATATCCCAGAAGATGAGATCTACTCCGACGCAGGCCAGGACGACTTTGCCGAATCACCCTCGAAGCGCACGAGACTTGAAGATGGATCTGCTTCTCCCCGCTCCGCATCCCCAGCCGAAGACATTGATCCCCAGACTAAAGAAGAACTCGATCGCCAACGCGACCTACGAGAGAGAGACGAATTTGCGAAACGATTGGCCAACAAAGATGATAGTCGCTCTAAGAAGATCGTGGAGGATCGGACTCGCGACGGTGAAGCTGCACGGCGCCGAGAACTAGCCGACAATGCCGATGCCCGGGCGCAAGTAATGCCTGATTTGCGACTTCGCTCCCGCCAAGAATATTTGAAAAAGCGTGAAACGGAACGATTGGCATTATTGCGGCGCCAAGTTGCGGAAGAAGCTGCTGAAATACGCGAGAATCCGAATCTGACTCGTCGCGAGAAGGAGGAATTCGCACGCAACAGAGAGGTCCTGCGGATTGCCGAGGAGCGATTACGAATTGACGACCACCGCGATGGCTATATGATGCCGGATGATTATATTACGGAGAAAGGAAAGATCGATCGCAGAAAGAAAGAGGATGCTCTATATAAGCGCTACGTGGAACGCGACGAGGCCGGACAAGAGAAGTTTGTTACAGAGCACGAAGAGTGGGAGCTGGAACAATCCGCCAAAGCCAAAGCTCAGATCAACAAAGCCGAGTTTGTCGATGAGGGTGATTATGAATATGTCTTCGACGATTCCCAGCAGATTAATTTTGTCATGGACGCCAAGCTCGAGGGCACCCAGAAGCCATTGACCCAGGAGCAACGCCGCTTTCAGGAGCAGGTGAATGTGGCGGAGAAGAAAGCTGCAACAATGGAGGAGACTCGAAAAAGTTTGCCTATTTACCAGTTTCGCGATCAAATCATTCAAGCTGTACACGATCATCAAGTTCTCATCATTGTTGGTGAGACTGGTTCTGGAAAGACAACACAGATTCCCCAGTATCTTCATGAGGCTGGCTTCACTAAGGGCGGCTTGAAGGTCGGTTGCACGCAGCCACGTCGAGTGGCTGCAATGAGTGTAGCAGCTCGTGTAGCAGAGGAAATGGGCACCAAGATTGGAAACGAGGTTGGCTACGCTATCCGTTTTGAGGACAACACAAGCGACAAGACCATCCTCAAATACATGACAGATGGTATGCTCCTTCGAGAATTGCTGACTGAGCCTGACCTTGGTCAATACTCAGCACTGATGATCGATGAAGCCCACGAGCGAACGGTGCCAACTGATATTGCATGTGGTCTTCTTAAAGATATCGCTAAAGCCCGACCAGATCTCAAACTTCTGATCTCTTCTGCAACAATGGACGCACAGAAGTTCCAGAAATATTTCGATGATGCGCCAATTTTCAATATTCCTGGTCGAAGGTATCCCGTTGATGTTCACTATACATCTCAGCCAGAAGCAAATTACCTAGCAGCAGCCATCACTACCGTCTTTCAAATCCATGTTACGCAAGGTGCTGGCGATATTTTGGTGTTTTTGACTGGACAAGAAGAGATTGAAGCTGCCGAACAGAGTCTTCAAGAAACAGCTCGAAAATTGGGGAGTAAAATACCAGAAATGATTATTTGTCCTATCTACGCCAATTTGCCATCTGACTTGCAGTCTAAGATTTTCGAGCCTACGCCGCCCAAGGCGCGTAAAGTGGTTCTGGCTACTAATATTGCCGAAACAAGTCTGACCATTGATGGAATTGTGTACGTGATCGACCCCGGCTTTGTCAAAGAAAATGTGTTCAACCCACGGACGGGCATGGAGAGTCTAGTAGTCACACCGTGCTCTCGAGCTTCCGCTAATCAGCGAGCTGGTCGTGCTGGTCGAGTTGGCCCAGGAAAATGCTTCCGACTTTACACAAAATGGGCATACTACAATGAACTGGAGGAAAACACTACACCCGAGATTCAGCGCACGAACCTAAATGGTGTGATTCTTATGCTGAAATCTTTGGGTATTGATCAACTCCTGGACTTTGACTTCATGGACCCCCCGCCAGCAGAGACGATCATTCGAGCCCTGGAGCAATTATATGCCCTGGGAGCTCTCAACGATCGTGGAGATTTGACCAAGGTCGGTCGACAGATGGCCGAGTTCCCAACAGACCCGATGTTGGCGAAGGCGATCCTGGCGGCAGGTCAATATGGCTGCGTGGAGGAGGTCCTTTCAATTGTGTCAATGTTGAGCGAGGCCAGCGCACTGTTCTTCCGACCGAAGGACAAGAAGATTCATGCAGATAGTGCGCGCAACCGGTTCACCGTTAAGGACGGTGGCGATCATCTCACACTGCTCAATATCTGGAATCAATGGGTCGACTCCGATTTTAGTGTCGTTTGGGCCAAGGAGAATTTCCTGCAGCAACGTAGTCTCACTCGGGCGCGCGATGTCCGCGACCAGCTTGCCAAGCTATGCGACCGTGTAGAGGTGTCTGTCAGCACTTGTGGTGCCAGTAACTTCATGCCGATCCAAAAGGCCATTACATCTGGATTCTTCCCCAATGCTGCACGTCTCCAGCGTGGAGGAGATAGCTACCGCACGATTAAGAACGGCCAATCGGTGTATCTGCATCCATCCAGTACACTGTTTGAAGTCAACCCACGTTGGGTCATCTACTTTGAGCTGGTGCTTACTAGCAAGGAATACATGCGCAGTAATATGCCTCTGCAGGCTGAATGGCTGGTGGAAGTTGCGCCACACTATTATAAGAAGAAGGACCTTGAGTCACTTGGATTGGACCGTAAAGTACCCAAGGGCACTGGGGCTACAGGAGAGAAGAGTCGGACATGATGTGATTCAATGTTGTTCATAGTTACAATTTTGTGTTGAATTACGCCTATTGAATGTAAAATATGATGAAAGATATTCAAACCAACATATGGAGCAGTGGTCAAATCTATACTTCATAGTCTAGTTATAGTTACAGCGACACAGTACATACATTACTATACTATACACTCTGTAGTAGAAGAGACGTCCAGATGTTCCAACCTCGGTTTCTTCGGTCGCCTTCTGGACCAATCGGAGAGCAGCTATTTGTGATGCTCGTGACCGCGGTAAATGGCTAACCTCGGCCCCGCATTGCCCCATTCATTCTACTCCAGTTCAATGTGGCTTGTCCAGATCCTCCAACATTGAACAGACGTTCCCTAAATAACGTCACCTTTGATCCTTTTCTCTCTTCCCTCTCTTACCAACGTATTCCATATCACATACTCGTGGAAATATCACTATGTCGCAAACATTTACCCCAGCCGATGTCGCCGCCCACAACACCGCGGACAAGGGCCTGTACATCATTGTCGACAATGCCGTGTACGATGTGACCCAGTTCGTGGATGAGCACCCTGGAGGCGCCAAGATTCTGAAGCGCGTAGCGGGCAAGGATGCATCCAAGCAGTTTTGGAAGGTATGTCAATTTGCTTATTCTTCTTCATCAATATCGATTGCTTCGACGCACTCCTTGGTGAAGCAAAGCTAACTCCCTTCTCTCCACTAGTACCACAACGAGTCCGTGCTGAAGAAGTACTCGCCCAAGCTGAAGATCGGCGACGTGAAGGAGGCTCCTAAGCTGTGATCACAGATCGAAAAGAAGAGAACCAGAGAGATGTGTTCCTTACCCTACACGATCGGAGTATCTCCGCCGGGATGAGATCAGACTACAACCATGGAGGATGTCAATTGTCAGGATCTAATAGACTTGGGATCTTTGAATGTATGCAGCGATAGCGAAGAAACCTCATTTCGAATGTTTATACCCGCGTATCTTTTTGTGATATACTACATTTTTGCTTGCTTCTTTCATCCAAGAGTTTTATTGCCTTCGTATCCCAAACGTGATATAATTACCACAGTGGATTCCTTCTCTCTTATGATCACGTAAGATACATAATAGATTTCCATAACAGGAATTTCCAGCAAATTATAAGAAATGATAAATTAAACCGCCGAGGGATTTGAGAGCAGATCTATTGTGGGGGCATCTCGGTGTTATTCTAGATCTCATTGGTTAAACACTACATATCACTGGGGTTAGGAAATAAGCCATGAGACCTTTACCAAACTCCGTATAGTTGAACTATGGACGACGGTGGGTATGAAGTATATCCTCGGCGTTTAATGAATTCTAATTGGCAGTGATCCTTAGAAGAAAGTTATCTTGAATGGAGTTATGTGTTATGTGCGGCGATGAACGATATTTAAGTCGCCAACATCCCCTGCTTCAAGTTGTAAGCTATCTTTTCTTTTCATTCCCAAACATGAGAACCAGAAATTATCTGAAAATATTAATATGGCCCAATTTGAAGCAGATGCTTATGGTGAAGAAGTCTGTAAAGTCCTCTCTTCGCAGATCAAGGACAGCAAAGGTATTCACCGGGTTTCTAAAGACGAAACTTCAAGATAAGCAACTGACGCAATGCAGTTTTGGTCACCGGTGTGACTCCAGGCAGTATTGGAGGTGAAGCAGTGATCCAAATCTCATGCCGTGCACCAGCATTGCTTGTTCTCGCAGGTCGGAATAGCCAGGCACTTCAAGAACTAGACCGAACAATCAAGCTGGAAACCCCTAATGTCCAGACAAGACTTCTTGTTATCGACCTGAGCTCTCAGGAGAGTGTTCACAAAGCCGCTGTAGAGGTCAAATCTTACCCTGAAACACTAGATATTTTGATCAACAGCGCAAGGGTAATGGCATCACTTTTCTCTCTCACAAAAGACGGACTCGAGCTGCAATTTGGAACAAACCACATAGGTCATTTTCTCTTTACAAATTTGGTGCTGGAAGAGATCTTACGACGGGGAGCTTCCGGCACTCGCGTGGCCAATGTGAGCAGCTTAGGGCACAAGAGAGAACCTATCCGGTTTGATGATTATAAATTCGAGGTGTGCTTCCCTAAACATATCGACTCTTGTCTGTTTATTGATCTAATAACTAAACCAACAATCTAAACAGGAGGGCAAAGTCTATGACAAGTGGCAAGCATACGGTCAAAGCAAGACTGCTAACATGTTTTACTCTGTATCATTGGCAGAGAGGCTTGGAGATAAGGGAGTAGAAGCATTCAGTCTTTATCCCGGGCGAATTGTCACCCGACTAGTCAAATATTTGACGAACGAGGATTGGCTCAACTCTAGTTTGTCATCTATTCAGTGCTCGACTAGTTATATTTTAACAGACTTACTAACGCATTAAACCCAGGATGGAGGCATCCCGATGGGACTCTCAACAACGACCCAAAGTTCAACTGGACGACGCAGAGTCAGGGTGCCGCCAAGTTGATCGTAGCAGCATACGAACCAAAAATGTCCGGTGGGTTATTTTGGAACAACAATGTGAGACCAATGGTTATCGGTATTGACAAGATACACAGACAATAATGGATCTTATCTGGCCTGTAATGCAGTGAGAAATGACGAGGCGGCAGATTATGCCCTTGATCCTCAAAATGCAGAGAAGCTGTGGATTCTTAGCGAAGATCTTGTGGATCAGAAATTTTTCAAATAGGCCTGATAGCTCTTGAATCGGGCTTTAATCGAGTATAGAAATACTGTCTTGAGCTAAAAGAGAGAGAACACAGCAAGGTAGAAAACTTTCTTATCTTTGGTAAATTTATGTTCAGTGATGTAATGAAGAACACGATTATTAGTATGCCTCTAATGCCATATTATCATAAGGCTTTCGCATCTCGCGTGGGAGATAGATTCTATGTGCAGCCGGAAGACTCGCCGATGCTATTATCGAAGTTCCCAGCCCGTTTCCAGTGTTAAAACCAGCCTGACACTGGGTTATATGAGCAACATAGAGACGAAAAATGGCATCCGTTTCCTTCATCTTTTGTTGAAAGTCGCCATAATTCTCCAAAGAACTTCGTTGTGTAAGGGAATATAGTGCCTCAAACATAGAATCATAGACTACCACCATCCCTAGCCAATAAATCAACAATAGGGGCATCCTAGAAATGTTTGGGAAGTTAATAACCGCCTGCTGCCGGCGTGGATCGCCTTGAGCCATAAAAAGTGGTTGATCATTTTGACATTGAAGTTGGCAGTACCATGTAAGAAGTTTAGTTTCGTAACTGGTCGCGGCTGTTAACATACGCTTGGCAGCTGTCAGGCCCAAGCTTCCGTTTTGTATGTTTTTTGATAGCCATAGAATGATATAGCTGCTTGGAGGATTAGTTCAAGAAGCTGGTCAAACATGTTCGAAGACCCAGTCCGAAAGTAAGGGCTTGGGGGGGGCTGAGAGAGTCCGTATTACAAATGCGAAGAAACTACACATAGTTTAGTACAAAAGCTGTCATTCTCGATATGATGCAATGCCTTACCTCCATAGTATACAACCGACGCATGTCGTGTTCATTGAATAGATTCCTATTTTGACAATGAGGCTCCTTCATCAAATCACAAGCTGCCTTTACATGGATCGGCCATGCATTTTCCTGGTTTGGGATCGGATTATAAGTCTCATACAGCGCTAGGATCATTCCGGCGCGAATGAGATCGGTAGGATCCTTGAGTTCCCTAAGACCAAGAATCTGTTTCATGAGTATACTATAGTAATAATTACTATTTTCTGCTAGAGCAGAATCTTCTTGAGAGACCTGGCCAAATGCATCAAGGCAAGGATGGATAATGATGTTTCCATAATAGTTGACTGCGAGTCTAGAAAGCCGGAGAAATTCTCCACCCACATGTCTTTGGAGGAAGATAGTCGTCCAAGAATCGAGAGATTAATTGCTTCTTGCCCTGAAATATGGAAAGAGAAGATTGGTTTTCCTGACATGGAAGGTCCTTTCGAAGCATTGTGCCATTTCTGTGTCGCTCATCAGCATGATGTGCCTGTCTGAATAAAAATGCGTACAATTGATTATATCCACCGCATTTTCTGTATGAGAATTTACACCGGAAACATTCAGGCTTATTTTTGTCGCACTTGGAAACGCCACTAATCGATCGAGAGAGATGGGGAACCGTGATTGAATAAATGAAAGAACTAGCGCACCTTGACTTTCCTGTTTATACATGTTCGACAGCTTTCAGCGCGCCAGGAGCTTCTGCCTATCGTGATTTACAGTTGCGTGCAAACGGCCACTTCTGACCCATATTGATGTGTAGGGAAGTGCTGTCGTTCGCAGCTATTGTGTCAGCCTCATTGCCCTGAGGCAGTCATGATAATAATCACATGACCCTCAATAGGCATACACATGAATAGACGTTTTGAGAGTCAGTCACTAAACAGCATGGATTTCGGAGTAGTCCTATAGATTTCACAAATGGTTGGAAGATCAGACACGAAGACTAGTTCGGGTATAGTGAGAATCTTGATTTCAACGCCTCTTCTTTTTCCTCCGCTGTCTAACATCGGGAACCTTTCGCACAATGGTATCAACATGGTCAAAAAATCGCAGAACCCTTCAAAATAAACAATAAAAATGTATGTTAAACAAGAAAGAGTAGAAAATAAATAAAAGGCATACAGGCCAAAAACAAGAGCTCTTAGGTATATACAACGGCACATGTTGGGGGGCAGAAGGAAGACAGAAGACGGAAAGAGAAAAGAGTAAAGAATATAAATGGATATCGGGAAGAATGGAGGTGGATGCAAACCGACGCTCAAGGAACGCGAAAAGCCACAATGAAAGGTTTAAACAATGAAACTAAGATGATTTAAAACCCACGGAAGGGATCATCGGGTCGGAATGAAAGTTCGCTGTCGTCAACAGAGGGAGCATCATACTCATATCGGCCTTGACTCCATTGACTAGAAGCCTTGCGTACATGTCGCTGGCGTGGTAGTGGTGGTTGTGGGGGTGCAACACGAGGCCGATTAATTTGTTCCGCGTGATGATCTATGAACGCTTCCATACGGACAGTGCCCATATCGAACATGTTGCTTGCAGTGGTGTTGGTTGTACGGCCGCTTGCTTCGGAGGTGCGACGGCTCATGGTGCTACCGCCACTTGCAATTCCAGGAGGGAGACCGGGCGGTGCGACAGGCGAGAAATATGCCTCGGCGGACCCGGCAGTCGTGCCACTATGAGAAGAGGGCATGGTACCTTGGCTCGAGAAGCTGCGGATTGCGTGAAGTGCAGGAGGCCGAGGTGCCGTGTTGCTGCGCTTGCGATTATGTTGATTATGATTAGAGAAACGTGGAACATGAGGGGCATCAGCAGCCATTGAGTTGAGACTCTCTAGATCCTCAGTTGGGAGTTCAGGCACTGGAACCGAGGCGTCGGGGAAGGAGCGTTTGCCCTTGGGCATAGGTCGTGGGCGACCCTTCGCTACACGAATGGAGTCGCGAATTGGATTGCGACGTAAGGCTGCGTGGTGAGGTATGGCTGAAGCAGCTTCCTCTTGTGGTACTGGTGGTAATACAGCTAGATCCTGAAGACCCATTGAGGAATGGCTAAGGAATGAAAGCGCAGTTAACCAAACGTAGTGGCGTTCGATGGTCAGTGCGGTGAATTTGAGAGCACGTTGCGGTGTGAGTACTAGGATAGAGCGGTTGAAAGGAATTGGAGCTCCAGCTGAGCCCTTAGGGAGTGGGTTGTCATCTTTGACATCCAACACGGATTGAATAGCAACTAGATCATGTAAGTCAGAGAATAATCACTTGCGAACAATGAGAATTGCTTACACTTCCGGCCACTCTTGCCCAGCAAGGCAGGCCCACTTGTTGGTTGTTTACTGCTCCACATAATAGAACCTTCGTAAGGTGCCAGCCAAACCCATCGCTTATGGCGCACTCCACTATTAGTAATATTGGCTGATACTTCGTCTGGATTCCGACCTTCCCAGGCTTCTTTGGATTCGCCCATGCCGAATGACTTGCGCCGACGAACATACTTGAACATCCATTCGCCAACCATCGTCTGAGCAATTGCATCGACAACACTCGTTGGCTGTACACCGCCTGTCGAGTCACGTCGTTCATTATCCCAGTTCATGGAAGGCACCGCTGGGCGATGAGAGGGTCGTTTCGCAGGGGCCCGACGCTCGCGAGGAGCTGTGATATCATCAACTGGAAGGGGCGGGCGGTACACAGGACTCTCGGGCGCGAATGGGGATGCGGAACGAGCCGGTGATGAGAGTGTCTCTGGACGCTCAGCGAGATCGCTTTGGGACATCGTGGCAGCAGAGCGAACTCGACGAAGTGTTGGTCGTCGCGCCAGATTTGTACGTGCTCCGCGATCCGAAAATTGCCGGCCAGCAGAGCGAGTCGGGCTTGGGGGTCCATCACTGCCATTCAATGGAACATTGCGCGAGCTGAGACGAATTGGAACTGGAAATGGGGGTGCAATACTTGAGGTGACACTACCGCTGTCAAGGCTTGGGTCACTAGGACTGCGAGCACGAGGCTTTTGGTGTGCTACTGCACCACTAGAAATCATCGCCATTTTGCGCATTCCAGGTTGGCGGCCACTCGAAGTTGTTCGTTGAGTTGCACGGGATGAGGCGCGACCAGTCTGAGACGGTCGAGATTCGGGGTCTGATACATGTTCATCTATCTCAGGGAGAGTCATTTCATCTAAGCTTGGCCTTGATTTAGCATTGACCAACTTGCCTCGGCGGACGGTATATGAGGCAAAGGGTCGATTAAGAAGCTCATCATCAGTAAATATGTCCCGCTCTTCTGCCCCCGGGGCTTCATCATCACTGAGTTGCTCAAACCCAGCGAAAAGGCTACTAGACCTGAAGGGCCGTCTCAGTCCGGATAGGACATCATCTGAAAGGGGCCCATTATCATTGTTTCCAGGATATGCCTGGTAGGCCGGTACAGACTCCGAGGTCTGGGCACGTGGGGGTTTTGCAGGGCGCTCCGGGGGCGGTTGTTGCTGTTGCATCCTCTTGGCTGAACGTGGAGGAGGCACAGGTGCACGATATGGCTGGTAGGTCTGGGTGTTGGACTCTTTGATTTCAGCTGCGGTGGGTAAATCACGGAGAGCTGAGGGTAGTAGGCTAGCAGGAAGCTTGACAGGTCGTTGGTCGACACGAATTTCTTCAGTCTGAATGGCAACGGAACGGCCTTCCGTAATTGACCTGAAGTTGGTCTGAACAGATACATTTTTGGTTTGCGGAGGAAGCACAACGCTATTACGAGGCGATGGGGGCTCTGAGCCCGGTGGGTGGATCGCGATCATCGGGATATCCATTTGAGATTGGATATCATTGGGAGATAAAGATGCCCTCTCGGCTTTGGCGGGTTCCGGAGTCGGCTCTGGATCAGTTTGGGTAAATGCGGATGCCATCTGGACTGGCTCGGAGGTCTTCTTCTCTGGTTGGATTGGCGGTTCTGCAACCTTGGGTGTCCATGGGGGACTCGGGAGTTCTCCAACGGTCTGGCAGGACGATGAAACCATTTCTACGGCGATTGTGAGCACACCAGTGTCTTTCATGTTGAGATCATTGCTGCTCTGATGAGTCTCGCGGTCCGTATCTTGTAATGGATGGCTGATCACATCGCAGCTGTCATCTGCCTTTTCTGGCATACCAGGTGATGCTGGAGGGGAGTACTGGATTCCTATATCACAGTACTCCACAGGTATTTCTTCATAATGCAACTTGGATGGGCTATTCATTTCCAAGGCACGGTTCTCCAACGCCGTGACCGAGCCTGTATTTTGCATAGAAAGCCCGAGAATCTTTTGAGCCTTTGATGCTACTGAGTGAGATGATTGTGAAAGGACAGACATTGGTCGTTCTTCAGGAAGCGCCTCGGGCGAATCTGGTCTCTCATCCTCACTTGCATCAAACTCTTCTTCTTCATCAAATGCCAATTCTTGCGCGAGATTGAGGCCTGAATCGCCTTTCCCAGGAATCATACTCATAACCGAGTACCGAGCATTATGGTAATCGGCCTCGTTGTTGCCCTCGTCGGAAGTCACGCTAGTCATGCTCGTACGCCGACGACCTTGGCTGCTGGAAGCTACGCTAGCTGTGTCGCTTCCCTTGATCTTGCTTTTGGCGGAAAGATCATTTTCGCTATGCTGAGAATGAAGTGTCCCAGCTTCCTGAGCGGCTGCAACCTCATTCAACACTGTCTTAAGGCGACCCTCTACAATATGCACCTTGCGCTCCATACCCCGCCGCTCATTTTCCCATGCTTCTCGATCACGGTTCCACAGCATATGGGTCCGCTCGACTTCATCTTCTCGATGGCGTGCCTTCTTTTGCGCATGTTCAAGTTTCCTACGAACATCGTTGATATTTTCCACGGCATCATCTCGCTCACGAGCCAGCTCTGTAATTGCTGATGAAGACCCACCTTCTAGAAGCTGGATCTGATGTCTTAAAGATCGAGCATCGCGGGTAACCTGTGATAAATTGTCCCCAAGTGTCTCGCATTCGGTTCGCGATTCATCCAAGGTTTGTTCTAAAGAATCGATTGCTTTTGTTTTATGTTCAATATCTCGACGTAATGAAAGAATTTCGGAGACAAGAGACGCATGAAGCGTAGGTGTAATTCTGCGGGGGTCGAACGGGGACAGTGTATTTTCCTCCACAATATCCTCTTCTTCACTTTGTCCATCCGGCGAGAAGGCGGGTGTAGGTAGGCCCGGTGGCGAAGATGATGGTATGGGGGAGGAGTCTCGGTGACGACGTCGTGCCGGCCGAGATCTTGATCTCGATTTCGATTTCGATTGAGCTCGGGATGGACTCGACGGAGCGGGAGACGGCTCGACCATAGAGGTCTCCGGGGACTGGAGATCTGTGGCCATCTCGCAGCTACGCGTTGAGTTGAAGGAAACGCTTTTAAACCATTACCTGTGTCTTCTCGTTTCTTTGTGCTGGCCAGAGCACGACACAGCCCAGTTCCATAAATCGGTGTTCAACGTAATTCGATCATTCGTACAGGAGAGGGGTTGTTGCTTTGAAAATAAATGATATCTCATCAATTTGCGCGTTCTTCGCTGGCCGTAATGCAGAGGGGAAATAGAGTAATTGGTCCAACGGTGGCTGCTGTGCGACAACCAGTCAGCCACTCGTTACAACGCGGATGCGGGATGTACGCCTGAGCGCGAGGAGAGCCAATGCAGCCGTTTTGACTATGCACGGAGGCCTCCAGGTCTAGGAACTTACAGATGATGCAGGTTTTTCAGATATTGGGGGTGGGACAAGGAAGATCGAGAAGACGAGTCAGATGTCAACCCCTAGAACAGGACTTTCACCAGAAAAGAGGGTCGATCGCGATCGCTCAGCACCACCGTACTTTATGACGGGGGGACCGGAGAGGTGGACACACTCGACCGGGTCTTTTTTGGGATTCGGGACACGATCTACCAGCCAATCCTTACGAACGAGGCAATGATCTGAGATAACCAAGGGAAATTGTCCGCTACAGATTTCGTAGATTGGAGAGTGACCTAAGCCTTTAGGTCAGCCTTGCCAGTGTCGGAACAGTGCCGGATGCGAGGAGCATAAACGGGGCCATCGCCATGCACGAGAAAAAAAAATTAGAGCCAGGGGTGTTCGTTAGGGGGACATGGGGAAGCTAGAAACCCACCCGATTAGCCCAGCTGCAGCTGGCTCCACCAGAAAGCTGCCACCCAAGACACTAACGAGCATGGATCTTGAGCCTGGTTAGGTTCTCATATCCGAAACATCAATATTTATATCGATGTATGTACCATGTGTGACAGACTTAGACGTTGCAATTGGGATTGAATAGGGTCAACAGTATGTATTGAATGATTTTGTTGCCCTCGGGGCTGGGGAAGCTGCCAGCCACTATGAAATCTCGTAGATGCCGAAAAAGGAATTTGATAATAAAAAAAAGAGATGAATTTCAAGATCATAAGGGGAACAAAATCAAAGTTAAAGTGGTGAAAGATTCCGGTCATAATTCATAGACGTTGATGCAACATCCGGCCCGAAAAGTCAAACACAGCTCAATTCGCGGCCATTTTAGATAGATAGGAAAAAAGGCATCTGCGACCGTCCGCTTTCATTCGCAATTTACGCTGGATTCTGTTGTAGACTCAACTCGGGGAAGGTGTTCGTCTGGGATGGGAGCCGGAAAGTAGCCCCACCGCGCGTATGAATGGGTCCAAACAACGCGTTCAGCTTTTGGGTCGAGGTCGTGCGGTCGGCTGTGCATCGAAGACAAAGAAAACATCAAGCCACTCCTTATTTTTGTGGTGATTGCAGCGTCCTTAGTGGATAGTAAAAGAGACTATGATCCATTGTGCTGGTTAACAATAACCATAATCAAGACCAATCAAGACGATGCTAGGCCACAAAGGAGATGAGTGCGTCAAATTGATTGGACTGGAAGCTGCATAGGGAATAGGAGGGCTGGTTAGCGTGTTTGGGGATGGCTGTTCCCCTGTTCCAGGCGTTGGCCGGTCCGCCCTAGCAAGGTTCGCTCAAAATGATCGTCGAAGGTAATTTCGTGCGATGAGAGCCTTTGGTTTGCACGGGATATGTAGGCCGCGTTTCAGAATTTTAGAACGGGCAAGCTGCATCTGACCTGGCGGCTGGGAGTTGGTGACTTCGTATTTGGCGTGGCACTGCAAAAATATCTCTATGTTTGCTGCCACCCGAAAAGTCCACGAGTCTGACAATAATGAAGCTAATGCAATAAAAAGGGGGAGGGGAAGAGAGAACGGGGGTTCCGTTTCCGCAAGATCCATCCGAGGTACCCACCGAGGCAGCTCCAGCACCCACACAAGAAGCTGCGTTCTGTTTTGATCCTCTTTTTGGATTTGGGTGAGAATCCACGCAAATGTCTGGTACGCGATGCTCCCTCTATGAGAACGCTGTAAATGCTGTTCCGCATATTGTAGTCTTCCTCCACGTGTATCGAAATTTCGAACAAGGGTCCCGGCCACGATGGTGATAGTTATTATCTATCATAATTTTCGGATGTTGGGCGCGGCTAAATGAAAAATAACTCGAGGGAGATCATTGGCCCATGGGCTTCGATTGAGACGACAAGGGACCATGATAATTGGCAATAATGTGCTGTCGAGTCCGCTGTGCTCCACCCCCTGCTGCGTGACACGAGGTTCCATCACTGCTAGTCTCGTTGATAAATCGACTATTTGATAGTCTCGGAAGACGGGGCGAGGCCTCTTCGAAGGAGCAACAATCTCCACGAACCATTCTGGGGCGTTGATCCCCACTGTGAGGGGACCCGACGCAAACACGGGCCGTTTGACAGGTCTATTTGCAGCAACGAGCTGTTATTCGATCGGTTATGGGTCAAAGCCTGTAGGTTTCTTTTTTGACAGGAACGCTAATGCAATACTCGAACTTTGAAGGCGTAGGGTGGAGGTGAACAATGATTCCAACCCTTGGGAGGTTGATATGAAGAGTTGAAGTTGAGGGGTTTCAAGAGGGCAAGGACAACAGCACTTCTTTCCCCCGAAGTCAAACCAGACATACATTCCAACCCTTCTACACCTCCAAGACTGTGGGCATACTCAAGTGTATATACTACAACCAATTCCACCCCTTCTTTCCAAGGTTTAGACATACCAAAGGGACGCCTTAACATCTGGACTCCTCTGCTATGTATTGATGATAACCCCACCCTGTCACTACCGAATACTATATCAGTATTCGTATTGATCTGTATGATTTTGGTGGTTCAATATGTTACTCTACCATGTTTCCAACAGGGTGAACAATCAGCCTGATAAAATCGCCACATCCCGTCGCCACCGACGTCTTCAATCTGTGGCCCAGGATGACCTCGGCCCGTGACTCAGCCGCATCTATTACCGGTTACCTATATCTAACGTCGTAGTTTAAAAAAATAGATCGCCCCAGGGAAGACCCTGAAAGCTTCTATAGCGAAGTCTTACTTTTTCCGTCACATATCTCCGGGGTTACGGTTTTACAGATTTTCCCAGCCTACAGCCTACCAACCCGCAACAATGTCTACAAAGCATGCGCCTCAGGTCTTGTTTTTCGACACGTTCGGTACCGTCGTCGAATGGCGATCTTGTGTCACAAAAGCCCTGCGTACCGCTGTTCAAAATGCACTAGAAGATCCAAGCAAGGACCTTTCGGAGGATGTACGCCAGCGTGCAGCCAATATGAGTGAACCAGATTGGCAGTCTTTCGCCCAGGAATGGCGGTCGTCATACAGCGTCTTCACCAAAACATTCGACCCCTCCAAGGAATTTGTGTCTGTTGACCAGCATCATTACACCGCTTTACAAGATCTTCTTCAGCAACGAGGGATTCGAGAGCTTTTCAATGATGACGAGCTATGGGAGCTGGCTTTAGCCTGGCATCGGCTTGCCCCATGGCCCGACAGCGTTTCGGGACTAAAGCTTCTAAACACCACATCCATCACTTCCACCTTATCAAATGGGAACTTGGCTCTCCTCGAAGATCTCAAGCAACTTGGTCAATTGCCGTTTAACCACCTCATCAGCGCAGAGAACTTTGCAGCGTACAAACCATCGCCAAAGGTCTACCTTGGTGCAGCAGATCTCCTTGGACGGGATCCGGCTCAGTGTGCGATGGTGGCGGCACATCTTCAGGATCTAGAAGCAGCCAAGGAATGCGGGTTTCAGACCATTTATGTAGAGCGAGAATTGGAGGAGGCCTGGCCCGCCGACCGCATTGCACAGGCCAAAGCAGAAGGCTTTGTTGATATTTGGGTGGGATTAAATGAAGGTGGATTTGTTGAAGTGGCCCGGCGACTTGGAATTGAATCTAACGTCTGATATTACATGATGCTTATGTGCTCGGTTTGAAATCTTTGTCGCTAATTCTCTAATATTCGTCGACATAAATGCTCTTCTATGACATCATGTTGCAATGATGAACTGATGATAAAATAACCTACCAAATCCCAATGGAAAAAAAAGATTAGGAAAGTTCACTCTTTAGTATAGTCTTTAAGCTACTGTAACCGTCTGAATATTAAATATAAGACGATCGCGAATAGAAATAAGGTTCTAGTCGCTTTCATCATGAGAAATACACAATGTGCTAACTACCTTGACCGCCTGCTCATACTAAGTTGATCGAGATCACTCTGTGGATCTTCAAAAGGAAAGCCCTCAAATTCCTTTTATTAACCTAGACGAGAGCTCAATACCTACTATCAGCATGCTTATTGGCGTCCGTGAACAAATATGTTAAGAATATCTCAAAACGTCGCTGTCAGTGGTATACGATTGGCGCTATAGAACAAGAGAAATGAGAATATCTCTCGTTTCCTTGTGACCTAAAATCGTGTTGAGGTATATTAGGTCAACGGGGCACCATTTTGCTGATGTTCGATCACGTCAGGGGCGATTATTCCCAGGAAAGCTTCAATTGAATGATACAGTACGCACTAATTTAGTATTATTTAAGACTGAATATTCCATGGCTACACCGTCAGTATCATATTTCAGATTCTTTTTAAGACGATTCGAAACAGCCTGAAGTACTATATAAGTGGTAGTCAGCAAATAAGTATCACCAGACGCCATATCTCTAGCCTCGATAGTCTAGAACTTTAGTGTCATCAGATTTGTCACATGTGAAAGATCTTTCGACTAACATTCAATAACCATTGCACTTTCTAGAGATAAAATTTAACAGGATGAGAATTGAACTCATTAATAAGACATTCCAAGCTTATTAGGCCGCGACCTTCACAACAATATGACGACGGCAAAGAAGTAAAAGTTCAAAATCATCCAGAAGGGGTATATGTCTTAGAAGAATTTGGGACAATTACTTGGCAATTCCTGCAGACCCATAGCAAGACCCGGTGAGTAGTAGACGGGGAAAACAGGATCTGAAGGAATTGGCTTTCGGATCAAGCTCAATATCTAATCTGATCCGCAGAACTGTTGGACACGCCGAAGTCGGCATGATGTCTCGGAGAGCGTGTCTTTGGTCATAAGATTCTCGTAATATTATCTACGGCGAGAATGAAAGAGACTGAGATAAAGCTCCACCTGCGATTCATAGTCAATGTGCATTCCGATTTCTCCTACAGATCGTTGTCGCCAAGATTTGAAGATGGAGTCGGTATAAGCTTGTACACTAGCGTCAACCTTGACCGGTACTTGTTTTAGTCTTGATATTACCTGGATCATTACTTACCTGTGATTCCAGGGTTTTGTATGTTGTCATTTTACAAAAGATGGGCCACCTAACCAATCTAACCATAAATGATCAATGAGCCGGGGCCCCGAGGAGCCCATGTGGATATTCTTTTGTAGTGAATACATATTAAATTTTCACTTATGAGGCATCAACAGCACGATTGAGCGCGCCACCCTAATTAAATCCTTCTTAATTCCAACAATGATATATGACAGCCACACGGTACAAAATTCTTCAAGCTTTTGGCAAGAGAATACCAGGTTCACATCAGTGGTATCTGTTGCTCGCAGTGGCTACCTGAAATTAAGAAAATCGAAATCTGCGTGCCGCTTTTCAAATCCACAGGTAATTTTTCTAAAGTCTGGAACCGGTTTGGAAGACGGCACTTGTGGTGGAGTCTTGCGGCCGCCGATCATGACCGGCATTTCCGACATTTTCAGGAACGGTCAGCAAGTTTCGCCGGGAAAAGTCCTGGAACTCAAGCGCCTGGGTAATGTCAGATTCGATTATACAGTAATCCTTCAAGGCAGAAATGATCAATCTTATCTCTAAACAGCCGAGTTGCCATCTAGACAGTGTTACAATCTACAGTAATAATCAACAGCTCCATTGCGTTACATTGCTCAGTTAACCTACATTCGTAATAATCTTGTAATGGATAAGGATAAAGTTGTCTAACATTGAATAAGACACAACGATGTGGATGAATGCAAGAAATCTCACATGTTTAGTCATTCATGGCCGTAAAGAAGTAGTGGACGTATATTAACCAGAATACACTTCATAATAGTTTGTATATAGGGCTAATTGATGTTCACGGATATTAGACTAGTTTCAGTTACATCGTTACAATTTGCTGTCCACCCACTGTGGTGCTCTTTTTTCAGCAAAGGCTCTGACTCCCTCGTGGAGATTCTCGCCTTCATTCAGCGCGAACTCCCAGTTTTCACTAAGCAACCGACTAGCGTTTTCTGCACTACCATCCTCCCAACCAGCCACGATCCCAGCACGACTAATAATCACACTGTCCGGGCTGTTGTTGACAATGGCGGTAGCGCAGCGTAAAGCTGCCTTCACAACAGGTCGATTAAGCACTTCGCAATCAGACGCACCATCCTCTACCACGGCATTAATCAACCCCCAATCCTTTGCTTCAGTAGCAGTAATGCTTTTCCCAGTCAGCGCCATCTCCATGGCTCTTGGACGGCCAATCGTACGCGCTAATCTTGGCAGGGAACCTGCCAGAGCCACAACACCTCGTTTTGCCTCTGGAAGTGCAAAATTAGCACTTTGGGCCGCGAACACCAGGTCTACATTGGCAACCATCTCCATTCCTCCTCCGAAAGCCAATCCATTAACTGCGGCGATAACAGGCTTTTTGCCGTGACGCCGAGATAAAGCACCAAATCCAGATCGAGGCATCGGGGGTTGACTTGCGTGCTCTCCATTTGCACGACGGGCATTCGTTTGATTCCATTCTTTCAAGTCCATCCCAGCACAGAAGGCCCGGCCAGCACCTGTTACGATAGCACAACGAAGTGAAGGCTCGCTATCATACCAAGAGAATAGCGCCTCAAGATCATATTGTGCAGGGCTGGTCATTGCGTTCAGGGCCTTTGGTCGGTTAAATGTCACCATCATCACATGGCGATCTGGGAAAGAGATGATTGCATCCCTTGGTAGCGGTGGTTGCCGCTCGAAGCTGTGCATAGAACTCATTGTAGATTTGAATAATGATTGATGGGAAAAACCAGGAGCCAGAAGTGTTCTAACTGGTGCTAAAAAATGCCAACACAATAGGTAAAATGTGGGACAAGATATCTACACACGACACCCACGCGACTATGATACCTATTCCTCCCTCCTATGATGAGAAAAGGGAAATGATCTACCTGCGTAAACTCATGAAACTGCACTCTCGCTTTGATACCAGGCAAAAGCCCGATACGAGGGGTATTACAGCGGCCCATCAATACCTTCAATGTTTCAACCCTTGAAAGATCAACTTTGTTTCACCGTAAGCTATACGGGTGGAGCCAATGTGAATTACACTTCGGTGAAGGACACAGACGGACAATCTGATAACAGTCTGAATCAGAGTAATATTTTTCGTCCTACGAAATCTTACTAATGGTCAAGAATTGGGTAATGGGCACATAGGTTCTCATATTTCCGAGAATACTCGACTAAACCACTGTTTGCACCAGTATCTCGCACAATCCTCTACAGGGTCTCAACACAAGCTTTTTACGGGACCCTACTTTTATTTACGCCAAGATAGTCCTAAATTTGAGTTTCAAGCTGAAATTCAAGCGTGGGGCTCGCACATCATTTACTTACGTAGAGAGTGGGACTTCTACACGGTACCGTTCCAAAATTCAAAGATTGATAACCCCTTACTCACAATGACAAACGTCATGGCACCTATACCAAGAACAATGTCGCACAGCCTCTTTGCCAAGATGAAATATGGATACATATATAAGCCTAACCACTACCATCATAAATGCCACCTAGTGAATGATGTGTTGTGCAGTCAAAATTTATGCGTGAAGAGAACTGCCGATCTTGTCCACATCTCCACCATACGGAGACTCCTCCCGGAGAGAAAAGGCCGCTGACAAAGCACTTTATAACAGTTACCTGAATAAATTCATCATCTAAGAGTAATTCGAATTCGGTGTTTATTACAGTGAAGAATTGTTTACAAACGGTTGTGTAGAAATTTTGGACCTTTAATACAATTGAATCAAAATCGCGTTGTCTAGAACTATATCCGAGATTTAAAAGCCAATCCAGTGCCTGCAATGTGAGCGCTTCCTTGGTTGAACGGACAAATCTGGAAGAATCGCTCCCTTGTACACTTCACAAGGCTGGCCCGTTTGTGGGGCAAATCAATTATCTGATCTTGATGAAGGCCGAAAGTGTAATCGTAAACGAGAACCTTGTCGTTGTTGGCCATTGGCTCTCCGATGACATTTTCCGTGCGATGGTCATCAAGGAAAACATAATGAATCATGCTAGGCCACCATGCCATTACACGATGAGGCCCTCGGAATGCATCGTTGCCGACAAGAGTATGGCGCCCGCGATCAAAGTCCTTAGATGCGTAGTGTGCGCCGATATTATCTTCCTTCGCCCAAAATATTTCATAGTAGGAAAAGAAAGTATCATTGAAGCGACCCAGCACTGTCAAGGTATGCGGATCTTCATACTGTCGGCGCAGGTAATCGCGGTGCTCATCCAAGGTACCTGTTTCCTTCCACCCTTTGGCAACACGAGGGTCATTTTGCCAAGTGTGGAAGAGGTTCAGGTGCTCGGGGTTTTGGTAGTCCAATGCAACAAGCGAAAAGTGTTCATCCAAGAAAGGTATGTAGCGGCTGTAGACGACGGAGCCAGGAGTCGGTTTGGGATGACGGCGAGGGTGTCGACGGTGTGATGTTTCAGTGGAGGTAACAGTATAGTCAAGGTGTGGGACTGATGCAGCTAAGTTCCAGCTAGGAAGCCAGATAGGTTGAAACCCTAAAGGAGATGCACATCCCTGCCAGAAGGCACTGCGGAAGACGAGTAGCTCATTAGGGATGACTTCCCACTGTATAGAATCGCTAACGGGCTGCGGGTGGTCGCTAGCAACCATTGAGAGCTTAAGAGAATGCGCCAGAGCTTCAGCATTGTTACCTTGGAGCTGAAGACGGAAAGTTTCTATCTCTTCATGCAAGGTGAATACCGTGTAGAGATACAACCAGATTTGTCCGACCGTTGGAATTGAGCTTCCCTCCCAGCTGCAATGATACGATGGACTGCGCCGCGCCCGTGCCCAGGCCATGTTGTTGGAATCAGCGGGCAATTTCTCGCGACTTATTGGTACTGGATTCCCGAGATATAGACCATCATTATGTAGGTTCTGAGGGAAAGGTTGTGCTTCGTCTTCTTGTACTTTGTGCAGCTGAAGCAGCTGATTATCCCCATACGACTTGTCAGAGGGTACCAAGTGATAGGTTGTAAGGTATGGATGCGGCAATCGGATCTTCACCGGTGCCATTGTCTGAGGATTCAAACTCATAATGAAAAGGGTTCGAAAGGTCCCAACGAAGTAGGAACAGGTCAAAGAATTCTGTTGCTGAGAATATCAAGGAATAGAAAACATACGCCTCTCGAGATTTACATCTCTAAAACATTCAGACACTTACGTGGGGCAGCAACAGCCGATTTCGCACCTCGTCACAAGCTATTCGGCCGGTGAATCATAAATTGTACTCGAATTATGGAGGCATAGAAGGAAACTGGGCCGTTGATCTCTCTGGGGCCAAGGAATTTGTAAATTTTCTTAGATACACAGGGCTAGATCAAACCCGTATTGAGTTTGTCGCGCTCACGAAATATGGAGCAAATGTCTCACCCAAGATATTGCGCCTAGGGCCAAGCAGTATACATACGTGCATTCATTATATGCCAAGACTACTTATGTTTCAGTGCTGATACTGGCCGATCACTGATTTATCGCACAACAGGAGAACTCGCTGTCCAACATTGAAATCGTCTAAATTAGTAGATATTGTATGTACTATGTCTAATATCCTGTGGTAGCTTCTCATGGGTTTTTTCGTTCTTTCTTTTCTCATAAATTTGGTATGTATGTATGTATGGATGGGCTGATAATCTTGACTTACCGGTCGGCATATCTTCGTCGGGTCATTTCACAACCTTAGAAATATCGTGGCTGCGAGTGGAACTACTGTGCAGTGGGCCAAACCATGCACACTATGTGGAGACTGCGGCATATAAAATCAAGCCTTGAAAATTCATACCCGATCCTGTATTGAATGTTTTGAAATGGTATAACACGTTTTATCTGGACCCTAAAAGAAATGTATCTAATACCTAGTGATATCTATTTGTATTTTCAGTCCTGAAAATACGGCATGGAACCTTGGGAGGATTCCAGCGCTACAGTAAAAGTACTATCTGATCCGTAAATTTCTTATCTGATGATCATATCAGATTATCAGATCATGGTAGAACCATGTAACGAAGCCCGAGAGGACCAAAATTCTAAGCACGTCTAAATTCTAATACAAGTTGCCATGTAAACTATGTTTTTTTCCAAATGTTACCACCTGCTAAATACAGTAATGAGGGTTCAGATCAATAAAGTTAATCTATCTGAATTTTGGACGTCATTCAACATTGTAAGTCAGCAACTTCTTACACCTATATGTCTGTACGCGCATTATCAAATTATATTTCTACTTTTGAGCCTTTGCTTTTGTAACACCAGAATTGATTTATTCGAAGATCTCAGTATGAGAGGGTCCTGGTCGCTAAGTAATTAATGAGTGTTTCAAAATTACAGATTGAGTGGGACGGTGTAGATCAACACGAAAGAGCCTTGTTCCCAAATGCCGAGAGCGGTGGTGATCAAGGTAAAAAGATCGACAAGATCAGCATGAATCTCCATCACGTTAAAAAGCCGGGCCACAATTCTAATCATTACGTATACAGCCCAGCAATACGTTTGCGGCTTGGCCATTGTTAGGAAATACTCCGTATACAAACTCGTCATGCAGATCATGCTGTTATTGGGATCAAACCCGAGAGTCCCACGGAGCAATTAAGTACCGATCGCTGTCAACTCAGCTATGGCATTCATATGTACTTCGATACCGGAGCTTGAGTAGAAAGGACCCACATAGAAGACATAAAATCAAGCCCGGGGGCTTTGCAGCTACTAAAGCTTTGATTTTGTATGAGCTCAATTTCCCCTTAGTTGTGATCAACATGTCTTCCAACCAGTGGTCTGTGAACACTAAGATTTGCCTCCCTCGGCCGTACCTTACAGCATTTCATCTTGTCCCATTAAACGATGCTCTTAACAGGGATCAAGTCTTTCAGCTGAGCAAAGAAGAATCCTTCGCTGGCGATGGCCCTCTTCCTGGGGAGCTCCATAATGAAGATATTACTTTCACCAAGCCGACAGCCTCAGTGGCAAATGGTCAATCTGTTGCCGCTATACCTTCTCAGCAAAGCTCTCGACGGCTTCCGATAAGCGTCTGTGCATGGAACATTGCAGGAACTATCACGACCAGCCATATATGGCTGATAATTTACACAATCCTCATCGCTGAGCCGGAGTTAGAAGTATTTGGACTCGAATTGAAGGGACCTGACAGCGATGCTATAGCCGAGGAACTATGTTTTTCGATGGTGGCCATAAAATCCAGTAAAGAATCTGTGACAGTCTGTCGCAATGCTTTCTGGCAAGGATGTGCTTCTCCATTGGGCTCCTCTCCAATCTGGACACCTTTCGCAAGAAAGGTCGTGCCGCATTCACACTATGTCACCACGTCTACGCCGACGATACGCCGCACTCATCCACTCCGTCCCCCGAATTCTTCACCAGGGTCAACTGTGTATAGTCGATACATCCCTAGCCTGAATAAATTGTTTTCGTTGGTTACCGTTGACTATAAAGAGCCAACCCACGTGGAGTTCTTTCACCAGTCAAAAATGCCCGCCGCTACCTCCCACTCCGAACCCTATGGCGACTCTCTTGAAGAAAGTTTCGAATATCTTCGCAGGAGGAGTGATGATCCACACACAATTGGGCTGCTTGGTCAGTTTGATGAAACTTTATTTGGTTACTTTGAAGTTTTTTGGGTCAAGGAGGATCCTTTGGGGGTGGCAGTTGACGCTGGAGATTTTGACCGTGGACTGAGTGGCTCGGTGGGATATTCTGCCTTCAAAAGTCGGCGCTGGCTGCAAGCATGCTGGTCAAGCTTACTTCATTATATCTTTCTTGATGAGCATCGAACAGATAGTATCATCACCGAGGCAGAATTGGGACGTGAAATGTTAGGTGACGCCTCGTTGGAGCTGTTGGAAGATGGAATAGTGGACTTACCACACCAGCGAGCTATACTCACCAAGAACACACGAGAGGCTTTCTTTTCCCTGTGTCCATTTGATGGGATATTTATATATGATACCTTGCAGATTCCTTCTCGTTTATAGGATCTGTGTCTTAAGTCTCTCTACGCATACAACAATGAATGCCGTACTTAGTGGCAATGGATTGTTCGAATTGAATGCCATGTTGTTACATATTGTAATTTAATTGTGATAGATTTGATTATTACAAGACAACTTAAATGTATTTGATCTTTTGTAATCGGCAGAGGGGGCCTGTTATCTATCAAGTTTAATCTCATTTATCTAAGTGGCCGTCTATATATGAGTTGCCTCATTTTGTACGCAACTATTATCTGATCAATATAAAAGGCCCCTTTTATAGTCCTGAAGACTGGACTTAAAGACTGGGAAATAATTAATACCAGAGCTTTCTAGAATTGATAACTTAGTTTCTTAAATCTTTGTATGTACCATTTCTGGGTGGTACTAACCCAACCTATAGCAGTTGCATGATTTCTTTTCAGCTGTAAGTGCTCTCAGTATCCTCCTCACTAAATCCTGCCGCTCCTACGAATTGTCAAAAGTGACGCCCATAATTTATTTAGAACAAGATATTCAATTATTGATACAGCAATATTCTTTTCACTTTTGGGTCGGTAAATTTAACAAATTCTATTCCCGTCGAAGAAAGGTAGTGTTGAACGAGGTTTATGAGTTCAAATTCTCGGAAATATCACAAACATTCTAGATATAACTGCGCGTTTGTTTGGCAGACTTTAGAACGAATACCAATACGGCCATGAAAGTCTCCATATCTTCCATGCCTCTGGATTTTCTTGTCAAGTATAGCAAATATTTCAAACCTTATCGTCAGAAGACGTAACTGCTTAAAAGCCATTCCCATATGTATTGGACGTGGGTCTTCTAGCTCTAGCAATAAATAGCAACCTACCTTATAGGGAGGGAATCATAATCGTCGTTCTCGATTTGCATAGAACTATGAAGTAGCCTGGTTGCTCCACTTATACAGTGTTGTGATCTCATCCAATCCTTCCATTGCGTCTCCTCAAAGGGCGTATAGCTAGGGTGATCTAGATATGAAGCTAGACCGCTGTGAATGCAGTACTTTTGAATTATGAAGAATTGCTTCAATGGATATTTAGTTGGAAAGCATTGATGTTATTAGCTCCACTGACGCAACTCACTGACGCAAGTCCACTTGGCAACTAGTCAGAGTTCCGACTAGGCGTGAAGATAAGATATTAGCGTCTTTTGAACGACCTATCCAGTAATTCAGACCGAAATTGCCCCTTTTAATGCCCCTGCATGATGAACCATTTATCTCAAGTTATTGGCGTTTATGGCCCCATCACCAGGGAACCAACGATTTCTTAAATTAAGCTCCTATTAACGCGCATATAATGAATCGATTGCCTGCTGCGGATAAACCCCGATGCACAGCCTTCTTCAGAACTGGACCGAAGCCCCTGAAACGAGCACCGAAAGGCTACCCAATGCCCTATTTCGTGATAGCCCGCCCAAGAGCCAATACCCTGGGATTTTCCCTGACGATCTATTTGGGGATTTCAGAACGCGCAAGAAGCACATAGTCAGATTATTGCGCATGATCGGTTGGAAGACCGAGGTCCCCCATCACACGGGATATGATAAAATTGTACATAGACTAAGCGAGACGAGGTCCATGTTCGAATGTCACAGTCCAACAGTCCAGGCCAGGCCAGGACAAGGCCATAGCGGACCGTTGAACGCCATATGGCGTCTCCATCTAACGGCGAGCAGGACGGGAGGATCCGTTCCTGGCCCCTGCCCCTTCATAAATCGACAACCGGTTATTGGCAATGAAGAATGAGCATTGTCTCCCCCCTTAAACCTTGGCCCCCTTTTGCCCATCGCGTCGGGCCTTGCCGCCATTCCAGTCATTGGCCATGGCATGAGAACCACTGGATTGGATCATGCAACAGTAGCATGGAGAAAGAAAGAAAAAGGGGGTGAGAGCATTCCTGATATCAAATTCAAAATACATACTGTACTCGCACGTCGCTACGATATTGGGAGAAAGCCTCAAGGCCAAGTCAGACTATTATGGATAGCTATCCCAGCTGTGTCTACGGGTGGAGTTCCGGTCATGCGAGATTAAATTCAACGAGACTAGATTGATATTTATCTAGCCACGACAAAAGTTCTGCCCAAGCAGCCCAAGGAAAAACATGATTGGAAAGAGAAGGTGTGTAAGGATAGTATTCGAAAAAACTCAAAAAAATAAATATCTCAAACAAAGACCAAAAAAGCACATACCTTGCGATGAGAACTAGGGTTAGCACAAAATACATCATCAGGCAGGTGGTCCCCACTGACGGACCCAGGGCGGACTAAGGCCGAACGGCGAGAGCTTGACGAAGGATTCTCCGATTGCCCAGAGCAGTTCCCCATCGCGGGAACGATGGCGTATCCCAGTCCTCTGGTCGCGGACCACGGAAGTAGTATACCGGACGCTAGTAGCCTTGGAAAAAGCGAGAGATTGGCCCCATTGGTAGTCAAGGGGGGTGAGGAAAGGAAATTAGATTGGAGACCAGACGCCTCCAAACACACGAACAAGTCAAAACTCCACCATACCATCCAGGCAGGCCTGGGGGACGATCTATCAGGCGGGAATTCACGCGCCGTTCCGCGGGTGGGTGCTTTTCCGGCAAAGTACTGTTGTTACTGAGAGCAAAATTTGGTCACAGCATTGACGTGATGGAATTGAGCTGTATCTAGTTTGTCGGTGAAGAGTAAAGGGAAAGGAAATATGGGGAGGGGAGAACAAAGTTGATCGGGTATACAACTCAAAAAGGGGGGACAACAAAGAACAAGGGAAAGCCGGCCTCTCACAACTGGTGGATCTAACCTAGTTCGAGCTTGGCTTGAACCTTTTCGGATGCGATTCTAATCATGGTCCAACAAGCTCAGTCATATTTGGACTTGAATTTGAATTTTCTTTTTTTCTGAATTTTTTCTTTTCTTTTTGGCGGGTTTTCTTCCCTTGATACTTCCGTAGGTTTGCCCCATTTTATGTACATATGCAGCAAATTATTATGATGGTTCAAATGAAACTACAGTGGAGAATTGATAATTGTCTAGGAATGATCATAATTCATCAAATGGGTATGTAACTATACTAGTAGAACATCAGGATATTATATGTATTTGGGAAGGGGAAAGGATATGGCTGCAGTGCACGGATTAAAGGAGGATAACCATATTAATTAGAACCGGCACTTATTCTTTCCCACGTGTGATAGGATCCAATTTGCAGAGCTTTCCGGGCCGCATGGCCCCTAAAGAAATTATCTTGTGGAACGGAGTCGAGAGGCACGGACTCGCTTAGCTGGAAGCTCCCGGGGCTCCACCGGGGCAGACAAGCAGCTGCCTGTCATGGTTTGGTGAGGGTTTGGCTTAATCTCCCCTCTGGGCCCGTTAGCTTCTGGGCCTGGAATCTTTTTACCCACTCCAATTGACCTTGGGCGGCCGAAAGCCTCTTGTTTTCTTTGGTTCTGGCTGCCGTCTCCTATTTGACTTTTTTCGCATTTCCTGTATCTTCGCGGTACGGAGGGGAAGAGAAGGATGATCCGGCCCCTCTTGCGGCCATAATTGCTTTTTATTGTATTCTTTCTTTTTTTCTTAGTCCCCTCTGTTTTCGGGTTTGTGGTAACATTTGAAGGTTTTTGCTTTTTTTTTTGTTTGAAGAATGCTGACAGATTATCGTCAGTATTACTGGCACGTGAATGAAAGGATAGGTCAAGAATCAGTAATCCCTATTATATATGAACTTGCGAGATGGAGTGGATGAAGGTATGACAGTGGGGAACCGGGAAGTCTAACTAGCGAAGCACGAGTCTTGGAGACCATTAACGAGACCCATAGTGCGAAAGAGGAGCTCAAATAAGACACCCATGTTGGTTTACAGGGTAGTTAGTGTACGGAGTACTTACCTTTCTTATAGTCCCGGCCAGGTATATTGTGTATGGCGTATAACATATGCAGATATGCATATCGGCATGCACGTATATATCAGTAGGTTTGAGTTATAGATGAAAAGAAGCAAGTAGACGGATTCTATCTACGGGGGGACATTACAGTAAACACGAGTCAAAAAGGTCCAATCTATCCATACGAATCCATGAAATCCATGAACTTCCAGCCAATCACAATGCTTCCAAGCCCGAAATTCTCCGTGGGGAATGGCTTAGTCAAGATCCTTCCGTATCCTGCATTATTTTTTGCTCTTTTTTTTCGCCCCTTGAACACTCGAGAACTTGTACAGTATGATCTCATTGGGGGCAGGCATAGACCTTCGTGCTTCGTTTGGGTCCGAGGATCGCTTGATCGCTTGTTGATAGATCTTTAAAAAGAAAAAAAAGAAAAAAAACCAAAAAGGTTTTTTGCATCGGCTCATTCCAGTCGAGATTGAATCTGTATGATTCCTTTTTTTTTTTTGCTGTGTCTTTTTAATGTTCTCCCGTACCCGAGACGGTCTCGGAGGATTGGCAAGAACCAGATGGGGAAGAGCCCAGCCCGGTGGTTCTATATGATCCTGATAATTATGTCTAGCTCGAGGTGGTTTTAAGGGATTTTAAAGAAATAAGGGAATTTCCTAGATCGATTTACTCGTGGACTTATTCTCGAATTTATTTTTTATTTTTATTTTTATTTTTATTTTATTAAATCATTTACAGTATATTGGGGCTTTTTTTCTTTAGGGGCATCTTTGGTGGTAACTCCGGAAGATGAAGAGGATTATTTCTTTTTCGTTTTTTACATATTTATTATAATCTATATTATTTTTATTAGTATTATTTATGAAGACTGTTATTTCTAACATTCATTTAATTTCTTGATTCGAGGTTATAAGGATATGCCCATAATTGGATGCTGCTCCCTAAAACCCCCCCCCCCCCCTCTCTCGTGCCAGTGCTTAGTGCTTGCTCTCCCTCTCCCTCTCTCTCTTTCTCTCTTCCTCCTCTCCAAAACTCCACTTAGTTCCAGCCACTTTCTGCCCGGACCAGACTTCGCACAATCCCCCTCTTTTTCCTTTTCTTCCCCTCCCCCTTCACACAACTTGGATTTGCGTCATCTCGGTCAAACTACACAATTGGGGGGTTCTCTGTGTGGTTATTCTTTTCCTTCGCTGTTCTTTTTCCAATATCGTCCTCCCCGCCAACACCCCTCTTGGGTCCCTTAATACCCCTCTCAAATCTACCTTGTCCCTGCTTGCACCCCCAAGAAAAAAAAAACCCCCCTTTCGCTCACCATGTCGGGGAAAATGACATTGTACAAGTTGGTGGTCCTGGGTGATGGAGGTGTTGGAAAAACTGCTTTAACTATTCAGGTTTGTCTTAACCTCGTCCCTCGCCCCCCCGACCGTGATTTGGGGGGAGATGGTGCTCTAATCCAAGCTCCGACACCGCGAAGCTAACATGGTCCACCACCTATAACAGCTTTGCCTGAACCACTTCGTTGAAACCTATGATCCCACTATCGAGGACTCGTATCGCAAGCAAGTCGTCATTGACCAACAGTCGTGTATGCTCGAGGTGTTGGACACAGCCGGCCAGGAGGAATACACCGCACTGCGGGACCAGTGGATCCGAGATGGCGAAGGCTTCGTCTTGGTCTACAGCATCACTTCACGCGCCTCCTTTTCGCGCATCACAAAGTTCTACAACCAAATCAAGATGGTCAAGGAGTCATCAAGCTCCGGCTCCCCATCCGGCCCCAGTTACCTAGGCTCTCCCATGCAATCCTCCGCGGGCCCATCCCGACCCGTACCCGTGATGTTAGTTGGTAACAAGAGTGACAAGGCTGTCGAGCGCGCAGTCTCCGCACAAGAAGGTCAAGCACTGGCCAAGGAATTAGGCTGCGAATTCGTCGAGGCCTCCGCCAAGAACTGTATCAATGTTGAAAAAGCTTTCTATGATGTTGTCCGTATGCTCCGACAGCAGCGCCAACAGCAGCCGGGCGGCCGGGGCCAAGACCGCCGCCAAACACGCGACCGCGATGCCGGCCCCGAGTACCCAAAGTCCTTCCGTCCAGATCGGACTCGACATCGCAGCCGATTGCAGTGCAATATTCTGTGATCGGCCGGATCCGTCCGGGGGGGTAATGGGGGCATTGATTATATTGATGCCCCCATTCACGTTTCCTATTTCTTTATAATATTCTGTTCCCTATTGGTCTTGGGTGCATTTGGAAGGGTGGTTCTGTCTTTTGGTTACGACCTTGTTCGGCGTCCGTGGCCTCTTTTCTCTCCCTCATCTATCTTATCTCTATCTCTATCTCTATCGCTCTCTCTCCCGTCCCCTCTCACTCTTCCTCTCTTGCTCCCCTCATCTCTCTTCCCCACTATACGCCATACCTCATCCTTTTCGCTCTGCCCATCATTCCAGGGCCCCCACAAAGAGAAGCGCTATCCTCTTGCTCAGCTAGCCCATGACAGGATTCCCTGCTGATCTGTCTCAATGCGGGCCATTGAGGGGTTCCCTTTGCCACTTGGGCTGCGGGATCCACTGAGGCAACCATTTTGGTTTGCGCAGCATTCCCTCCAGCTCCCCACCACATCGTGGGGACCGAGCAGATCAGAAAACATGGGAAGGATCATCGGAGCATAATTGCATTTCATTGGAATTAATGAGGCCACAACGAAAAAAAATTCTCTGGCGACGAGGCCAAAAGATCGCAGTCGCGCATTAGCAGGCATTTCGATATGATACCCTACGACTGGCTTGTTTCTATTTTTGAACTTTTGGGATGATTTCCTATTTATCTGTCGGCCCTTTATGCAAAGTATATAGACAAGACAAATCATTTTATTTAATGGCCAATTTCAATCTCAACCGCTTGGACTAGACCAGATAGTGCAAACACCAACTTAGGACTCATTGAATTTTTGGACCTATTGCATGTCTCGTACCCAGAAAGGAGGCGAAGTACGGAGACGGATAATAGCTTTGGCACTAGACAGCTCTAAAAACGCCCAAAAGTGAGATCGTGTTTCAGCTCTCCAATTGCTCGTGATGAGCTATCGGGTCCCCACTCCCGGCGGAAAATGAGATACCAGACTGGAGGTACAGAGCGGGTACCTAGTCACACGTATGCTTCCCTCGGTAAAAATTGTCACTCTCGGGTACCGCAATGCGGGGAAAGCACGGACTTCCAAGGTTCCTCGGGTCATACTCTCCCCCGCATTTCGGCTTGAAGTTCCAGTAGGCTCGCGCGACAAGCCCTTAGTCCTGCATGAGGCAATAAAAAAAGGGAAGGGATCAAATGTATGCATGTTGCATTCTGCACTCTCTGCATTCACTTCCCCTCGAACCGATCCAATCGTCCCGGTGAAACCAATACCCTGAACATCAAACCTCGCAGGAACCTGCATGGACGTATGAGAAGCTCCGTCCAATTATTTCCATCGTGTTCATCCCAGACATATTAAACGATGACGCCACATCCACAGCAGGCTGCACTGGAACACTCCCTTCGTGATCCGGAGGGGTTTTGGTCTAATCCGGCGGAGCGGCTCCACTGGCACCACAAACCGTCTAAAGCTTTGACGCGACAATCCAAGACCTTACCCAGCGGGGTTCAGCACGAGCATTGGTCATGGTTCGCCGATGGAGAAATCTCCACTACCTACAATTGCGTAGACCGTCATGTGAGCAATGGCCTTGGAGACCAAGTAGCGATCATTTGGGAGTCCCCCGTCACGCAAACGACGGAGAAATTTACATACAGCCAACTACTGGATGAAGTTGAGGTTCTTGCGGGGGTATTGCGCGAGGAGGGGGTCCGCCAAGGCGACGTGGTGATCATCTACAGTAAGTTGTACAAGCTCCACTCCGCTAGCCTCCTGCTATTCATTCTTCCCAAATTGGTACAATGGTCTAACTGCTCCCAATTGGCTAATAGTGCCGATGATCCCTGCCGCGCTCATTGCTGCGCTTGCAATTACCCGGCTGGGCGCCATCCACGCAGCTGTGTTTGGCGGATTCGCCGCTCAATCGCTAGCACAGCGGATTGAGGCTGCACGGCCACGAGCCATCATGACCGCCTCGTGCGGGATTGAGGGCTCCAAGGGCCCAGTGTCATACCGGCCTTTGGTGGAAGGCGCGGTTGCAGCTAGCAAGTTTCAACCAAGCAAGGTTATTGTCTGGCAGCGTGATCAACTACGCTGGAATCGTCCCGATAAGCTCGGTGGCCAGCGGAACTGGCAGCGACTAGTCAAAAGTGCTCGCATGCGTGGCATTCGGGCCGGACCGGTGCCCGTCAAAAGTACAGACGGACTGTATATCATATATACCAGTGGTACTACAGGATTGCCGAAGGGTGTGCTCCGAGAAGCTGGTGGTCATGCAGTCGGGCTTGAGCTATCGATTCGTTCCCTATTTGGCATCAGGGGACCCGGTGATGTAATGTTCTGCGCATCAGACATAGGATGGGTCGTTGGGCATTCATACATATTATATGCCCCGCTGCTGGTCGGTGCGACTACAGTCCTCTTCGAGGGTAAGCCCGTCGGGACGCCCGATGCAGGTACATTCTGGCGTATTGTTGAGAAACATGCAGTCAATGTACTATTTACAGCACCAACAGCCATGCGAGCCATCCGCAAAGATGATCCAAACGACGATCTTATTAAAGACATTGGACAGCGTGGAGGCCTCAAATCACTCAGGGCACTCTTCCTCGCTGGCGAACGTAGTGAGCCCAGTATTGTGCGCGCATACCAAGATCTTTTGACGCAGTTTGCTGCGCCGAAGGCCATGGTTGTGGATAACTGGTGGTCTTCAGAATCTGGATCCCCAATTACTGGGCTGGCACTAAACAGCCAAGCTGCTGCTCCCACCGGATCACCAGCTGTGACTGACCGTCCACTTGCCGTTCGGCCTGGCTCAGCAGGGTTACCCATGCCAGGATTTGATGTACGTATTGTCGATGATGAAGGTAATGAGGTTCCCCGTGGAACGATGGGTAATATCGTCATGGCTATTCCATTAGCGCCAACGGCATTCACTAGTCTCTTCGAAGATGAAGAGAGATTCTATAAGGGATACTTAAAACGATTTGATGGTCGATGGGTAGACACCGGAGATGCCGGTCTAATTGATGAAGATGGTTATGTGCACATCATGTCTCGATCAGACGACATCATCAACGTCGCTGCCCACCGCTTCAGCACAGGTACGTCGGCCAGGGAGAGCAGCACCGATCTTCCACCATACATGTCACGTCTTTGAATTCCAAACTAGAGCTAACATTATACTTTGAAACAAAGGCGCCATCGAGCAAGCAATCCTGGCACACCCCTCTATCAGCGAAGCTAGTGTTGTAGGTATCCCAGACTCACTCAAGGGACATCTCCCCTTCGCATTCGTTCAACCCCGCGCAAGTGCCGAGTACCTAGATCCTTTACCAGCGATACCCTCGCCCCAGTTGTTCAAGGAAGTCAACGCACTTGTCCGCGAGCAGATTGGTGCCATTGCCTCTTTAGGGGGTATGATTCAGGGTCGAGGGATGATTCCCAAGACTCGGAGTGGGAAAACACTACGACGAGTCTTGCGTCAGTTGTTAGAACATGGGGTGGAAGGCCAGTATGATGCATCGGTTAGCGTGCCGCCGACTGTTGAAGATGCGGAAGTGGTGGAGATTGCGAGGGCAAAGGTTAGAGAGTACTTTGAGAAGAAGACGAAGGCCAAGCTCTAGATATCTGTTCTGAGATATGACTAGATAGGAATCATGGGTGCATGTGTATAAGATAATTTTTCTATAGTTAGATATGAGTTTTGGCTAATCGATGACCTAAGGCCATTTGCAATATTCTTGCCAGACTAGGGTTTTTGAGATTGAACAGTCTCTTCTTCCATAAGGAGCATCCATGACATTCCAAATACTATGTAGGCAACTTGCAAATGTGAACGAATCGACAGCGACAGAACTCATAAGCATCGAGGCTGCCTCGGAAGTACAGGATCGCTGTCTTGGAACTGCCAAGCAGACTTACTATTTACGCTACAGCCTTCAATGACGATCCTAACGAGACACTTTACAAACTACATGTACCATGATACCAAGAGTGTAATCGTAAAGAGTTAAAAATCAAACATTATATCCAGGAGAATCTCGCGACAATAGAAAAGCGCAGCATTGGCCAAGAAGAAGACATAATAACAACCCATAGGGTCAATTATGTATTAATTGAAGAAAAAGACATGTACACCCAGAAAAAAAAGATATCACAAAATGAAGACCCATACCCATAACGTCCAACGCCTAGCACACGGCGTGTGCACAGTATTAACGGGTCCGAGCATCCGCACCGGGGATTCCACATTCAGCAGATGGAGGAATCACCAATAAAGATGCCAGATGAATCAAAGGTGTGCATACCGACGAGCCAGTGTCGAAAGTGACTTGCTATCCTTTTAGAAGCTCACGCTTACAGGAGGAGGGCGACGGCACCGAAAACGGCAGCCAGACCGGCACCAGCGCCGGCGACGTTGGAGACACCGGCGTTGAAGGCAGCCTGGGTGGTGGAGGCGGGGGAAGAGCCGCTGCCAGTGGCGGAGGGGGAGCCAGGGGCAGGGGCAGTTCCGGTGGCACCGGCGCCGCTGGGGACGTAGGGGGTCGAAGTCAGGGCAGCGGAGGAGCTGGGGGAGACGACGGGGGTGGAGGGCAGAGGGGTAGAAGAAGAGCTGAAGAGAAGAGAAAGTTAGAAATGATGATCATGGTGGGTTGGGTTCTTGGCGAGTGTTTCGCTTCAACATTGAATGTTGATGTTGCCTGTTGATAAGGGGTAGGAAGATGCGCTTACCACTTCTTGCACTCAGTCACGGTGGAGGTAATCAGAGGACGGGTGACAGTGTAGTGACCGGTCATGGTAACGTGGCCAGGCTATATTTGAAACAAAGTTAGATATTGATCGAGACTGATTGGGTCCATAATATGACGGAGATAAGATCGACGGAATATGGGAATGTGGACATGTCGATCTTGACATTGCGCGCAATATGGATATAGATATTCAAGATAAGGATTCACATACGCTGGTGACGTGGAGAGTAGAGCTGCCGTGGACAATGGAGGTAGCCTCGGGGCAGTAGGTGGTGTACTCAGTGACGGTCTCAGTGATGGCATCGGCAGCGAAGGCACCAGCGGCCAGGGCCAGAACAGCAGTGATGGAGAAACGCATGTTGATGGTGTAAAGGGTTTTTTGTTTTGACGAAAATTCGACACACAGGTGTAAAGAGTGACTGGGAAGTTGTAAAGAATGTAATCGGCCAAGAAGGTCCGGGTAAGTGAGAGAGTGTGTGAAGACTTTGGGGGCAAGAGAAGAGAAGGGAGAAAACGGGGCGAGACGGAATGGTTTAATATACCATGGCTCGACTCAGGTACCCGTGCGCTAGTGCACAAGGAAAATGCAGGAAAAAAAAGGGGGGAAGAAAGGTCGTGGCAATTAATGGGAAATTAATATATTGAATCAAACTAGACGATAATAGGTAATGATATTCAAGTCCGGTCACTATGGACAAATCACAAGTCATGTTGATCTATAGTGCGTGTTCGGAACACAACCCACAGGCAAAAAACCCAATCTTCCCGCGCAGAAACTAGTTGGTCCAAGAAAGAAAAAGTGGAGGATCATTTCCGTCTTGAGGGCCTACGAGGGCTTGGAAATGCGTTTTAGTCTTGGTCGAAGACAGTCTAGGCCATTATGCGTTTGTTGAAGATCAGAGTGCGAACATGTTCCTTTCAACTCGATACACAGTCTAAAACTCATGCGCGAAGTATAGAATATTCCATCGCGAATATGAAAGAAGCTGTCATTCTCCCTGGATACATTTTGACAGGAGGATCCAGGAGGACCCGTACTCCGTCATTTGTCTTTTAGCCCTTTGGGGGTCCTGGAAAACCGGAATCCACTGGAAATCGACTTACGCAGACTCTCGTGAAGTGGGGCCCGCGACTGTTTTCCCCCCAACCCAGAAATTGTTTGATTGGCCCAAGAGTGGACATGATGATATGAACACACACATCTGGATCAGGGAGGCTGTCCACCGCTTGATGCGGGGGGTGTGTAGCATATGAAACACCAGCAAGGGCGTTGAACATCACATCATGGCAATAACAACACCAGGACAACCACCAGGATCACCATTTCAACAATCTTACCCTAGCATGAATGTTGATCCCAGTTGTGTTCTTGTGCAATTGTCTGCCCTAGCAACAAGTAGTCGGGTCACGACGAAGAAATTTCAATCCCCGCTAATTTCCAGCTGACGAGGCAAATCCACTTGATAGAGCCAAACTCCCATTTGTCGATCTTCCATGGTTCCGGATATTGTCATTGTTGTTCTTGATAACATATTGCTTACCTACTGTATTCGGTTGCTTTTATCAATAAATCACAATTGAATCCTGCCTGTAATGTACATATCATGTCCAAAGCATTGCCTAAGCTGAGGCTTTGGGGCGGAATGGGAAAGATGCGTCATCCAGCCTAATCCCGAGAGCCCAAAGAGTTCGGGCTCATTTTAAATTGGCATGATGTGAGCTCACGTAATCTGATTTGCACTTCAATCTGTTAATGTACATTGTGCCTTGCCAGTTGTGATATGCCCATTGAGGAATCTGTAAGACCTATGAAATGTTTTGGACACCAAAAGTACTACGCTGCCTTTTGTAGGCACATTCAAGTTCATTAGTCCCGTGTGATATATACTAGTATCCCGAGGTTCAACTTGAAATACTCTACCCATTTCAAGCTCCAACCTTTGAACCTTGAAACATTCCTACTAAGCCCAGGTTCCCGTTGCTGACTTAAAATACGTACTCAAGACCTGAATCGAGTATATACAATTGTTCTTCGAAGTTACTATTCAAACCCCAGATTACTATACACACCTCGAAATCCTCCTCTGCGCCCAAAACGGCTAAATATGAGAAAACTTATACAACTTTAAAGACCTCCGTATAAGCTTAAAATTTAATTACATCCTTCTGATGAGATACATAGCCAATGATAAATAGATAATCCAGAGATCAACCTCCTTAGCCAGGTTGATGTATGGAGACGTCGTACAGAGTGTGGTAGAACCGTTTTTGCACTAGGTTGTGTGCCCTCCAAGCTCCACGCGTGGGTAGGACGGTTGACCCAGGGCAAAGAAAACAAGACGAGATCCACAAGAGCTTAAGGAGTAGGTGTATTGGTATAGAGCTCAATGACTCAATTCGTATTTTTGAGAATGCTAATTCGAATCTGCTATACTAAATCCCATGCATCCACACCCCAGTCAGGAGACCCTTTTTGGCGACAGCTCCTAACCTACACAACAGTTCCAATCCGATAATAACTGATCCCAAATGGATGGTGAAAGGCGCGGGATCTTTCAGCAGCGCCCGTCCAAGGTCGGCCCAGAAGGCCAACCCCGACGAGTGCTGAAACAGGTAGAACGCCGTCTCTTCATCTTGGATTTAGTTGTGTGAAGAGAAGAAAAAAAGACGCGAGGGAGTTTTGCCGAGCGAAGAAATAAGGGAAACCCCGTGCACGGACCAGGCGGTGAACCAAAACGGGTCTAGTGTGGTTTTCCGCTTTCCGCGGGCAACGGGGAAGCTGCGACCGGCACTCCGCAGTATTAAAGCTGCGGCTTCCCTATCGAAGCACAATTGTGTGTACCGTTAATTCTTTCTTTCCACCTTCTTCGTCACCATGTCTCTTGCTCGCTGCGGGCGTCTTGCTCGCCTCTCTCTTGGGAGTGTTCGACCGGCCGTGGTTGCCTCCCCGCGTGCCCTTGTCGCTAGGTCCGTTCCTCTCGTGCGGGGAGTATCTTCATCAGGCCCAGATTCGCAGCAAAAGGTATATCAGACCCTCAATGGATCGAAATTAAGTCGGAATATCATGTCTAACATGCATCACAGCTTCTTTCCTCCTCTCTGAAGCAGTCCGACCCGACTGTCTACAACATCCTCGAGAGTGTACGTCATCGCTATGAGCTGTTTGATATCGGGTCTTTATTAAACTTGGATCTAGGAAAAAAACCGCCAGAAGCACTTCATCAACTTGATTCCCTCCGAGAACTTCACTTCACAGGCTGTTCTCGATGCCCTAGGCAGTGTGATGCAAAGTATGTAGAACCTCCACCCCCTCATCTCCTTCCCCGCCTCCCTTGAAACTTCTTCTAATCGCAATACAGACAAGTATTCCGAGGGTTACCCGGGTGCCCGTTACTACGGTGGAAATGAGCACATTGATGCATCAGAGCGCTTGTGCCAACAGCGTGCGCTGGAGACTTTCCGTCTCAACCCAGAGGAGTGGGGTGTGAACGTGCAGCGTATGGTGCCACTCCGACTGCCAATGGCAAAACAATGGACCCGGACAGGATTGCTAACATTACCACAGCCCTTTCCGGATCGCCTGCCAACCTCTACGCCTACTCCGCCCTTCTCAACACTCATGATCGTCTCATGGGCTTGGACCTGCCCCACGGCGGTCATCTGTCCCACGGATACCAAACCCCCACTAAGAAGATCTCTGCTATCTCCAAATACTTCGAGACCCTGCCCTACCGCCTCGACGAGTCTACTGGTCTGATCGATTACGATGCATTGGAGAAGCAGGCTCAACTATACCGCCCCAAGCTCATCGTGGCTGGTGCCTCTGCTTACAGCCGTCTGGTTGACTACCCTCGCATGCGCGCCATTGCCGACTCCGTTGGTGCCTATCTGCTGACTGATATGGCTCACATCTCCGGTCTTGTTGCCGCCGACGTGATGCCATCACCATTCCCCTACTCCGATGTGGTTACTACTACCACCCACAAGTCTCTGCGTGGTCCCCGTGGTGCGATGATCTTCTACCGCAAGGGCATCCGCCGTACTGATAAGAAGGGCAACCCCGAGATGTACGACTTAGAGAACCCTATCAATGCCTCGGTATTCCCCGGCCACCAGGGTGGCCCCCACAACCACACTATCACCGCGCTGGCCGTGGCGCTCAAGCAAGCTCAATCCCCTGAATTCCAGGAATACCAGAAGGTTGTTTTGGCCAATGCGCAGGCGCTATCCGACCGACTTGGTGAGTCCACCAGCAACGGTGGTCTCGGGTACAACATCGTTTCCGGTGGTACTGACAACCACCTGGTTTTGGTGGACCTGAAGAACCGTGGCGTGGATGGTGCTCGTGTTGAGCGCGTTCTGGAGCTCTGCGGCGTGGCCAGCAACAAGAACACTGTGCCTGGTGATAAGTCTGCTCTCAAGCCCGGTGGTCTGCGTCTGGGTACCCCAGCCATGACTTCTCGCGGCTTCCAGCCCGAGGACTTCCGCAGAGTTGCAGATATTGTTGACCGTGCTGTTATCCTGACCCAGAAGCTGGACAAGGCTGCTCGTGAGCAGGCCCAGTCGCGTGGAGTCAAGAACCCTGGCACTCTAAAGGCCTACTTTGAGTACCTGGGTGAAGGTGAAGAGGTTTCAGAGATTGTTCTACTTCGACAGGAGGTTGAGGACTGGGTAGGCACATTCAGCCTGCCTTGGGCCCAAGATCAGTAGATTTCCCTTCTTCTTTATTTATTTCCCCCATTCTTTTGTTCCCCTCATAATGTACATTTCCCCGCATGATTCAACACGAACATGATTAGCAAGACCTTTTCAACTTCAATTTTATTAGATGAGCTCTGAATTTCAAGCATTGAGAATTATATCTAGAGGAAGAAGCGCATATCTGCAAAACTAAAATGTAGAATAAATTAACAGAGATTTCGGATGTACAGAATTCAATCGCTGACGTAATAGGAGGGGAAGATAACCGCACGCGATACGCACGGGGCTCATCTCGGCTTCAATCCCGAGGTTGCAGGGTAGAAAGGTCTTCGCTTGTCATTCTTAGCCCCATGTCCAAATTCACACGCTCTATCATAATTTTACGCTTGCAAGTAGTACCGGGTCATTCGAAAAATTGCAACTATGAAAGTCAGCCAGGTATGAATGCATAGTACTACTTTGTGCCCTGAAAAAAGGACACGACTAACTGCTGCAGCTGTACATCTATCCCGTCAAATCGCTGCGTCCGACCCTTGTCGGGTCATCTACTCTTACTTCAGAGGGATTGCAATATGACCGCCGGTTTATGCTTTTGAAAGTTGAGCCTGGTGACAATGGATCCAAACCTACGCTGAAGAATATGCATATCTCACATTTTCCTGAAATGGGACTGTTTGAGACAGCTATGGAATTTCCAAAGGATAAGCACGAAAGTGGGAAAGTCATAATTACATACAATTCACCATCGCAGCAAGATCGATTGGATATGAGGCCGCGTGAAGCTAGATATCTTGAGATACCTTTACGTTTATCCTCGGTTAGAGGAAGGAAGAAACTCCAAGTCATGATGCACCAGAGCCCAACGACAGGGTATGATATGGGATCTGAGTATAACGATTGGTTTAGTGAATGCTTTGGATACCCTGTTGTCCTGGCATATCTGGGTGAAAACTCAAGGGGAGTCCTGGGTACCCTGGCTCCGGAGAGGCGGAATAGACTTGCTTGGTGGACAGTATGGTACCAAGCTCTGACGGATATATCTAAGAAATCCGTGCTGTTCTTAGTCTTCTGGGTGTATTTGCTCATTCGCGCCATTCATTTCTTCATCAGCACAACATCTAATGATACTCTCAAGCCTCAATCCGCTTTGGGGGCAACTGCCACCGTCCTCATTGGCTGGGTATGGATTACTCATTGCATCTTTACAAAGCTACAAAAAGCACATATCGGCTTCTCCGACTGCGCACCCTTTCTTGTTATCTCCCAGGCTTCTATTGATAATGTTTCCGCCCGGCTGCCAGAGGGAGAGGAAATGGATCATACCAAGTTCCGGCCAAACATTGTTCTATCGGGCGCCGATTCAGCTTTCGAAGAGGACTTTTGGACCGAGCTTGTAGTAGGACCAGAGAGGGCACGCCTCTTACTAACTGGGAATTGTGTGAGATGTCAAAGTCTTAATGTCGATTACCAGACTGGTAAGATGGCGGAGGGTGAGACAGGGACAGTGCTAAAGAAATTAATGAAAGATCGACGAGTAGATCGGGGAGCTAAGTTCAGTCCGGTGTTTGGACGATACTCGTTCCTGCATTGGACTGGTCGTGGCGACATGGTTCGGGTGGGTGATGAGGTAGAGGTTGCAGCTCGTGGGAAGGAGCGGACTATTACGGGTATGTACTCCACGGCTGTATGAACTCGGAGTGTTATGAGTACTGGAAACTGACTAACTTTTCTCTTTCTCGGTCATTATTAGATTGGCCCGGTCTGACCAATTAACTACGGATATTAGGTGCCCAAGCTGTAAAATGTGTTGGGAATTTGTCTCAGGTATCCTAAGCATCCCAGAGATTGTGAGACTTCCAAGAGTCCTTGGCTTCCCCTACCTTGGGTCTTGTGAACTTCTACAATTCGGAGTACAGTACATAGTACATAGAATATGAAGGATCCTACGTATTTGTAATTAACGTGGAATTTGACCTTTTTTCAGCTCGGATGTCACGGAAGAAGACTTGATCTCTCGCCTCCCCACTTTGAAATTCTTCAGCCCTGTCTCTCTTGTTTTATTCTAGAAAAGCAAAGAAAACTGCACCTGAAGTCTCCATCGCTCCACATCTGCCATCCTGATTGGTTGCACCGCCACTATTACATCAGACCAAACTCCCTGCACCGCCACAGAGTCACCTGACAGCAGCGCTTGTTCCATGGATTCTTCAATCAATAGTGGATTCAATTTCCAAGAATAACCGACCTGAAACCATCATCTCTTGGGCTCAACATTGAAGTTCTCTGTGTATTCAATTTGGTGTTGAAATCAGAGCTTTTTGAGACATCGCCAGAAGGTCCATATTCCCGTAGCCCGCGCCTCCAACCTGTGGCTCACCCGCACTCAGCCCCTCCACTTCGAATCGATCGCTGCCTGCGCCGGACCTGCTGGATTCATTCTCTTTCTCTCCTTGTTGTCACACCTCAAATTAGCGCCGCATTCGATAACTCGTGGTGTCACTAGTGTCACGCTTTCTCTTCCACGCTCTGCACCCGACCGGTCAGGCGCCAACTGTCTCGCGACCTCGGTGCATAAGGCGCCACTAAACCCCGCCGGGGGTAAATTGTCGCTGCAGGAAAAAAAAAAGGTTGAGAGACGGTCTCAGTTTCTTTTAACAACACACGCTCGCGGTCGTCATGGAATCGGCCAATTTGCGTCGCAAAGACACCACAAAGGGTCCGCCGCTGCGGATCCTCTCTCTCGGTAAGTAGTCTTGAGGTTACGTTCACATGTCCGAGTATCAAGAGTTAAGACTGACGGAATAACAGATGGAGGAGGTGTCCGCGGATACTCGATGCTTATCATCCTACAAGAACTAATGTACCGAACCTACGTCGAATGCGAAGGAAAGCCCCCACGTCGCGATCAAATACCTAAACCCTGCGATCATTTCGATCTGATCGTAGGTACCGGCACCGGCGGTTTAATTGCCCTCATGCTGGGACGTTTACGCCTTGACCTGGAAACTAGCAAAGAGGTTTACGTTCGCATGACTCGCAAAGTATTCGAAACAGATAAGACCATCGCTGGTATTCCTTACCGATCCACACTATTCAAAGCGTCGAAACTAGAAGAGGCTATCCGGGAGTGTGTACGAGAACACACCGTTTTCGAGGCGGAAGGAAACGATTTACCGTCCAATTCTAATGCCCGGGCCTCCATAACGAGTCTTCCATATAGCTCTGGATCATCAGTGCCCCAGCGCACTATGAGCCGTGGAAGCTTCAGCAATCAACCTCAAACAGGGAGCTCGAGAACTTCTGCTTTCGTCAATGGACTGCGCTGGGGTAACCCCGAAGCCACACTTTATGATAATCGGGAATATCGAACGAAGACGTGAGTTTCATCCGAAAATTGACCCAGACATAAATATTCGTAACTAACTTAGTCCCAGTGCTGTTACTGCGCTCTACAAAGGCACACCGCGCAACGGACCAGTGGTATTTTTGCGCTCCTACGACTCTCGTCGAGAACCCCCACCCGAATTCGACTGCACAGTTTGGCAAGCTGGTCGAGCCACCTCGGCCACTGGACTTGCATTTAAACCCATTCAGATCGGCCAGCACGTTTTCATTGATGAAGGACCTGGCACTTACAACCCGGCCCCACAAGTTCTTGATGAAGCAGTAGTGAACGAGTGGCCTGGTCGAGATGTCGGTGTTTTTGTTAGTGTGGGTACAGGACGTCGACCTTCCGGAACCAATAACCGACAACATGAATGGTGGGAGGATTTCTTTGGGGACGCATTGGGCACCTTTGCCGAGGCACGACGTCGACTTATCACTAAGATCGAGGGCTGCGAGGATATTCATCAACAAATGTTGCGAGATGGCCTTGCAAAGCGCCATGTCAGCCAGGATAACTACTACCGTTTGAACGTCGAGGTTGGCGTGGGTGAATTTGGTATGAACGAGTGGAACCGTCTCGCGGATATCAGCACAAACACCCGACGGTACCTGGCCAAGTCCGAAGTCAAGAAAATGATATTGGATGCTGGTGTCAAGTTTGCCAAGATTGACCGCATGAACAAGCGCTTGGCAGACCACGCCGCGGCCGGTGGTGACCGCGATGACATGTCATTTGACCTGGAGCGGGAAGAGATCTCCATCTCGGAACCTCCAGCCCAATATACGGTGCCCCCACCTTCGCATGCATTCGCTGTCGAGCTACCCGCCGACCCCCTTGAGAATTTCCCCCGCCCCCCTCAAGGCTCTCCTCCGCCCATGCCTGCCAGTGTCACCGTGACTGCACCACCGGGAGACGATTCGCTTCCCGTACACCCAACTCCCCAAGATGGATACCCAGGCTCCCCTACTCGTCACTCAAGTGGCGAAGTTCCCTCTTTCCGACCGAGCAGTGAATACAGCCGACCATCATCACAGCAGCAGGGCTCCCCTCGTCAAAGCGCAGACCATGTAGCCCACCACAACGGGCTGCATATGCCGCCGCCACCAGTCCCACCCAAGACGCCCATTCCATACCCCGCTCAGGACGATTCAGGGGGTATTTCAATGCCTGCGCCACTATTTTCCCAGCCACATATGCCCGTATCCAGTAGCAACGGTAAAGTGCGACCACCATATCCAGTTGATGAACCTCCACCAGTTGTGACTCGGACACGAAAGCCAAGCTACCACGTGCGGTGATTATCGGGTGATTGTCCACACTCTGGATATTCTTTATCTTTCGGGCTTACGATTTTGTTTTTGCACCTTAGTTGTTTTTTTCCTTGGATTTTCTATGCGCTTGTCTTTTGGCTTTTTTTTTTTTTTTACTGGATACCCTTCATTTGAAATGATGAATCGGAATGGACCCACCGTTGATAAACGGGTCAGAGAGATGGTGTCTCGGCGTCTTCAAGCTCTAGGAGGTTTGTCTTTTCTTTATTTACACCTGGGCAGAACCATTCCCGGTACTTTTGAGGCGCGAAGACAATGATGAATGACGACGCTATGATCAGAGAGATCTGGAGGGGTCTACACATGGTGTATAGTATGTATTCGAGAATCGAATCGATTAGGAAATGAAATAATTGAATAAATTTGAGTTATTATAGAGATCGTACTGGGTAGTAGGTTGTGATCATATAGAACCCTGCATGCATGCAAGACAGGGCGTTGCTATAACTTGAAGGTTGCAGCCAACACTTCAGAAAGAGCAAATAGGAAGGTTATTGAGGTAATGACAAGCCAATCCAATAATACAAACCCGCGGAGGAGAATAAATAGTTCCAAAGTGAAAAGATCAAGGTCGCTGTATAGAATATAACCACTATGATCTAACAAAAACAAAATTAGTCTATCATTCAGACGGAGATGGGATTTCGGGGTAACAGAACTTACTCCCACATGAGAGCTTTTCAATGATGTAGCAAAATCCCAGTAGACAATAATGGTCAGTCCAGCAATGTAGACATATAAACTTGCAGACAGTAACATAACAGGTAATTGCCAAAGATAGAACTGTGAGAACCCAAGACGCTTGGTTCCGACCAATGGAGCTGCCCCATTGCCTCCAAGAAGCTTTCGAACCACCGTAAGACTATCCGGGTAGATTGCGACACGTTGTAAAGCAACGAGTTGTTGGGACGCACACGCGATTGCTGAGATGGAAAGACATAAAGCACTGTACCAGAAGGCTTTGACTAGCTCTAAACACACAGGTCTAGTGTCCGAATTGGCAAAGTAGGACCAACTAAACGAGCTCGTAATCACACCACTAATGAGAGTGCTCTGGAGGCGCGGAGCCAGAAAATAATCAGAACATTCCATCTAGTTGGGCATATAACGCTTTTTCAAATTAGCTTCGATGGAGGCTTAACATACCACTAAAATTGTCGTGTTAAGTTGTTGTTGCATACCATCCAGCCACCTCTGGGTGTGGATATCCCGTTTGTGTTCATCCGGTTCGTTGAGTAGTAAATTGACAGGCTCGTACGAGACCTTCCAAGCAGACGTATAGAATGGAATAATGTTCTCGGGAATTTTTGACCATTGAATTCCCGGTAATGCTAGTTTCTTTTTGGGCCCTGGAGTATTCAAGTTGGCGTTATTAGTATTAATGGACATGGGTTGTGGGAGTTGAGAATCATTGGCCATTTTGAAAACACTTGGAAAGTAAATATAATAGAAAGAAATAATAAGAAGAAGTAAAGATTATTAGGCGCAAGAAATGAGTAGTACGGAGTAGTTGGCTGTGAAGGAAAATGAGGTCACTCAAGTGGATAGTGTTTTGGGGCTCAAAGGCGGCTGACTTGGTAGGCCAGTACAGTAAGTCAGCCGGCTACTTGAGCCGGCTTGAATCAGAAGTGAAGGAATTCAGATATGAACCAGCAAAAGTAATTCCGAATCTTGATGTGTTTTTGATGGGTGAGTGGTCAATCTGGATCTGGCATAGCCGCTTGGGTGCTTTGATCTCTTCCGAATTTGGTCATGATCATCGGCAGAAAAAGAATGCGGACAGAAAACAGCCTGGGGCTTAGATACAGATAGCTTAATTGGCTGCCTTGTTACGTGAAAGGATGCTTTACTTTAGCTGTTGCCTGGGGTGCGAAAGATGCATATCGATTGGCCATGCAGCTTGCGGCTGAGTTTTACTTCGCGCCATGATCGCTGCCTATGTGCTGGCTGCCCTTCGTTTTCTTCCGACGAGACATCTATTATCTTGTAAAAACTTGCCAGCTTCGAAGGTACTTTAATATATTTACAAATTCACTCCACACTAAAGCCATATACATCCCTTCTTCGCACTGCCAAAGGACATATTGTATTAGAAATGCCATTTCCCTTGGGTAGTTTCGGCAAATCTTCGCGAGATGATCGAGCCAGGGATTGGAGCTCGCTTACAAGACGTCAAGAGCAAAGAGATGTCTATCTTATAAAGTGGGGCCGTACACCATCTTCTCCTTGGAGTTTCCACTACGCTCTTCTCGTTGCTCTTCAATCCGGGGGTGGTTCACCTGATGAAAAAACGAGAGGATCCACAATTGGCTGGGGCTCCATGGAGAACGGAAATTCCGCCAAACGAGGAGCAAAGGCATGTGTCCGCGATTTCAATTATGCAAACGAGCAGAAAATGGAGAACACTTATGAGTGGTTGGGATGCACCGAGTTGAGCGATGAACAAATCAGCAATATTAGTATGACAACCCCCTTCCGCACTTCGATTTAAACAATCTAATAACATTCTCTGTGTCTAGTGTCAAATTACGGAAAGACCTACAATATAGTGATGAATAACTGTCAAAGAGTCACCTGCAAGGTGGCAGACAAAGTCACTGAGACTTGGAAGCAAGAGGCAAGAGCGCAGGAAGAAGCATACAAGAAAAAAGAAGGGCCTAATGGAGGAATGTACACGTTTTTCAAATTACAGCGAGAGAGGCGTGAAAAGCAAGAAGGGCAGAATAAATTTGGCTGGCCCCCCGAGTCTCCCAGAGACCAAGGAACCCAAGCAGTCTCGCGATTAGGCATGGCGTCGCTTGGTCTCTAACTGAAGGCCTGGCAGACCCAGGCTATGAGCTTGTATGTTGCATTGTGGCACCTATCTTATTGTATCTAAGTTTGCATCTATGGCAGAACCGAGGACAGAAGACCAGTAATTAGTATCTTCAAGTTGTAACTTATCTTTCATTTCCATTTCGAGGATACTAAACATTTGATAAAGTACTATTATTTAAAGATTGAATACACCATATTGCAATGTTAACATGAGATATTCACGCCTACATTCAGCATCAGCCCATCCACGAGTAGGAAGTAGGAAGCTCGGCGGAGGGCTCATAGATTATCTTGAAGATTCCAGTTGGCTGTAACCCAATCTAGCCCAGGAGCATTATAGGAAACGAATTGAAGGTTTTATGCTAGGGAGTATGGGTACTTTCGGATCGAAATATGGGCTGACAAGTAGATAACAGCTCCAACAGCACCCAGGGCCGAGATGACAGCAAACCCTCTCAAGAACTTCGGTGAATCTTCGGACGGAAATAAATATGCACCGTAGATCAGGGCCAAATTTGCTACGGCATTGACAAAGGCAAGGCTGACTGCTCTTGTTTCCTGATCCATCGAAGCAAACGTCGAGGAGCTATATGCCAATGACGAGGCATTGGACGCAAGCAAGCCAGATGCCATGAAAATCAAGAGAACATAACGTGCAGTATAGTTATAAACAGCACATATGATTATACTGCATATTGTGGCGAGAGCCATCATGATGGCAATAACGAGACCACGGTGGTTTGGAATCTTGTCATTTAGAAATCCAATACCAAGGACGGTTACAAAAGCCACAGCATAGATAGGAACCACCACTATTGCATGTTAGATCAAATCCTCTGAACCAACGAAAGTGTTGCTCACTATATTGCGCCATGTCTCCCTCGTACCCTAGACCTGCCACGAGGGTTGGATAAAAATAGGACATCGAGGCCGATCCACCGATGGACTGGTTTTATTTAGCGATATTCACACTCATCAGTCCCGGGCAACGAACCGTGTAGCCAGCAGCCAGCAGCCATGTGCGCCAGTTCTTCAACGACTGCTGTATCGCTTTGATAGAGCTCAAGGGCGATTGACCTTCTGCATGAACATTCAAATTGTCCTTGGCAAGCCGCTCGACTGCTATTTGTCTTTCTCGTTCAGAAAAGCGTTTTGTGGTCGATGGGAAATCTGGAAGAATAAACGCTGCGATTATTGCAGCGGCAATCGTTGTTGCTCCCTCGACGATCTATTGGATTGTTAGAGATACATCTGTGATATGAATATTCAACTTACAAAAAGCCAGCGCCACCCAGCAATTCCATAAGCTCCATCTAGAGAGTCCATGATTGCTCCTGCAACGACGGCACCAAAGGCGCCTGAGAGAACAGCGGCCGAATAAAATATAGAAAAGCGACGTGCTTGCTCTGCCGGTCTATACCAAGACGAGAGAACGAGCATAACCCCTGGTGCGAAGCCAGACTCAAAAAAGCCAACAACGATGCGAACAGCATATAGAGCCCCAGGAGTCTGGACTAGGGACATGAGGCAAGTCACAACCCCCCATGAAACCATAATTATGGGAAGAAATATAGATGGACGAGTGCGAGAAAGAAGCAGATTGCTGGGAATCTCGAAAATGATGTAAGAAATAAAGAATACAACAAGCGCAAGTGAATACTGATCTGAAGAAAGATCAAGGTCTTGCTCCATTCCTGCAACCTTGGCATTTCCTATACTGGTTTTAACTGATCAGAGGAAGTAAAGTATTCAAAAGTATATCGATAGTGCTTACTTGGTACGGTCTGCGTACGACAGCAGATATAGAACCCATAATGTTGGCATGAGAATTATATCCAAACGACGAACGAAACGTCTCTCTTCGTCACTTTTGATATCAGACATGTGTGTCGGAGAAGTGCTCCTTCGTTTGCTAATTTGAATATCCATGATGATCTAGAGTTAACTTGAAAATCTCCCCAAGTCAAGGAAGTACTCAAAATCACTGAGAAATGTTGGAGTTCAACCTGTCTGTGATGAATTGAAGTTATTCTAAGTTTGTCACGGATGGAGTCCTCTCCTAGCGCTTGAGAGGAAAGCCGCGCCTATATAGTATCTCAAGGTCGGCCACGTCGGGGGGGGGGGGTGCATGTAGTAGCACGTAGTAGTCCTTGGGCTATCCCCGCACTAGACTTATCATAGTATTTTATCGAAGGATAGGTATCCATTGAGCTGGAATTCGAGAATTGATAAAGAGCCTAGTGGTAAATCAATCTGTCGGCAAATGCCGCCAGTCGTCGATCAAAGCGCACCTGAGCAAAGTCCTCAGATTTACGATTGGTCAACGAAATACTGCTATTGGATCTGACCTCTTCCCCTCTCTCCCCGGGATTTGTCTCTTCTAGACACCCTATACACTTTATCTAGAGTTATCAGGTGGCTGATATTTAAAGGATGATGGGGAAGCCATCAGTAACCCGTATGTCGGCAAACGCCGCCAATTGTGATTGGAGCGGGGTAGATCCGATATCATACGGATGTGAGTTTTGAAGTAAATAAAAGTTGGCATTAAGGTGGGATAATTCCCAACATTAGAGTCACTATTGGACAATATAGTCCTTCATAAGCTAAATTAAAACCCATAGCCAAGCTAATTCCCAAAGATAGTTTGCCATTAATTTGACTACCAGGATTCTTCCAATGAACTTTGCTCCTAGCCTCGAAGTGAATTCTTCGGTGTATTGTGACAATGTGTATACAGTTGTCGGCATTTACCGACTTCCCATGGAATGGCTTCTTATTTTATCGCCAGCCCAAGCGAATATATCCAGCTCAAAGATTAATTCAAACCAAATTTCAAGGTGAAATTTGTAGACGAGAGGAATTTGCGGCAAATACCGACATACCTTTGTGCCATTCCTCAGCTCGGGGACGAATGAGCAATCATTTGGTTTAGGATCTAGCCTATATAAGTTTATTATTACATCCGTTGACAGTCCATTGTTTATGCGCTTTGATATAGTGACTTGCCCAAACACAACATTGACTCACAAAAAGATGAGCGAATTCAAGCATCAGTCTGTGGTTATCATCGGCGCCGGCATATTCGGCCTGTCAACAGCCCTCGCAATAGCCGACCGTCATCCTGCCACACAAATCACCATTGTCGATCGGGCTACGCCTCCTGTTGAGGATGGAAGTAGCGTGGACACTACAAGATGCATACGCGCGGGTATGTAGTTTTGTTTGATTTTCTACTTCAGCAAGTAGATATTTATTGATAAATTGGGGCAGACTATGCGGATCCAATGTATGCTAAATTGGCCGAGGAAGCTCAACATGAATTCGAAAATGATCCAGAATTGAGTAAGCACTACTTCAAACAAGGCATGTCGTTCGTGACAGATGGAGAACCTGGACCCATGCTTGATGTTTGGAGCCGTGGTCTTGTGAATATTAAAGCAAACCCCTCTGTTCTGATCCAGACAGAAACTCCAAAAGCCGTCTACCAACAAATCCATGGTAAAGGCGCCGAGATTGTTCCACTGAAGGATCTGACGCGGCCAAGAAAGTGGAATCGGGGCTACTGCAACTTGCAAGATGCTTTTGTGGATGCGAAAGAGATCATCCGCGTTTACTACGAACGTTGCCTATCCCGTCCGTCTATTTCCTTCGAATGTGGGGTTCCAGTTCAGCAGATCCTCAAAGAAGGTGGGCACGCTAGAGGAGTTCTTCTAGCAAATGGCAAGGACATACTTGCCGATTTGACCCTGGTTGCCGCGGGCGCTTGGTCACCTAAGCTCATTGACCTGGAGGGACTTGTTAGCTCATCTGCTATCGAGGTCGCCTGGCTTAAATTAACTGATAACGAAGTGAAGCAGTGGAGCAAAATGTCTATCACAACAAATCTCAGCACTGGCTTCAATATCTTCCCTCCTTACAAGGGTGAGATAAAATGCCTCCGCCGTTCTGCTGGGTACAAAAATACAGTTTCTATTCCACATCCAGAAAATCCCTCGAAAATAATACAAACCTCTCTTCCTCGTACGATAGTGACAAATCCTACGGATATGATTCCCGCTGAGGCTGAGGCTGCACTGCGTGAAAACTTACGAGAGATTATGCCTCAATTGGCCGATCGCAAGTTTGATCGAACCAAACTCTGCTGGTGAGCTTTTATTCGATTAGACTCTCCACTTTCAGCTCCCAAGCCCTTGAATCTAATATTTATCTGGCAGGCTCTCTCAAACCCAGTCTGCGGACTTCATCATCGCTCCTCATCCCTCTATTCAAGACCTCCATGTGGCCACAGGTGGTTCAGCGCATGCCTGGAAGTTTCTCCCTATTATCGGTGGCTTTGTTTTGGATTCCATGATGGGAAACCTCGATCCGAAGCTAGCTGCCAAATGGGCATATGCTCCCAAGGGAGCTGACGGTGGGAGTTCACCCAGAATGGGTGGCAATGCTCAGGAGCTTCGGGAATTTGTTCGCAGCTCGCAATTTGCTCGTAGCATGCTCTGAGTGGTTTGACAATTTTTGGCTCATTTCGCTTTGTTGATCTTATATGCAATCTCTCTATTTCTTCGATTTCACATTCGCCTTGGCAAAAATAGGTTGATAAGTTTCGAAATTGAGGTACATAGATGTCATGAGATCCTCCTCATGTCCGCCAATATCCCATTATGTTAGTTCAAAAAAGCCATATCTATATACTCAGTACTATCTTTACCAAAATCATGCTCGCTCTGATGTTGACAGTAGAATGGACCAGCACATATTGTCTCTTTTACTAAATACCTTATCTGGAGGCATAGAGCTGCTCGAGTGGAGGTACCTACAAAACGGTAATTTTACGGTCTAACAATCCACCTGGGCATGGATGGGTGGATCAGCCCGGTGTCGGGAGCCACACTATAGGTATCTGCCAGGTGCTCGGGTGGGGCTACATGTAATCAGTTTACTGTATTTTACTGCTCCCAGGGCCTCGGCGCCCCCCACTTTTGTAGACAAAGTGATAACCCCACTGGCCTTTCCTCTAGAGGCTCCCACCTCGCCCATTTCTCCTCTCGTGACATATTATCGCGTGCGAGAGAAAATGGTCTTATCTTCAGAGAAACCAAGCCCGTCACCACGTGAAAAATGTCGAAGAGGCTCCGGCAGAAATAGTACTACAGCCTGTATCCGCTGTCACCAGAGGAAAAAGCGATGTGATCAGAAACTACCGGTACGTTCGTTGTACTTCAGGTCAGGCGTGAAGGAATTCCCATATTTAGATGGGCTCGAATTGGAGGCAAGTGCTGAACTATTCAAAGAAATGCCGTTCCTGCGATTCAGCTGGAGTACAATGTATGAGATATGACAGCATCGCTGGCAAGCAAGTTCCAAGAAGGTAGGGAAACTTTCCGTGTTTTACCCCATCCCAATCTTCCTCACATATGACCATTGCTTATTGTTTGCATATTTCAGCTATGTACACGGCTTGGAAAGAAGAGTCGCGTACTTAGAGTCAAAACTACGCGCGCAAAATGTCGATATGCATGATTCTAACTCTTCACCCACTATTCCAGCCGCCGAGTTGACACCAGGCGGCTTTTCAACTTCAGGTTTTCAAATACCAGACGAGAATCCAGCTACTACCCTGACAGGCGAGCTTCTGTCGTCGGCTGTTGTCTCTGATGCAAGCTCATATTCTATGGAATTCTTGCGAAGGACCCAAGGTAGACCTGCACCTGAACCTTCATTTTCTAAAGTTTTCCTGGAACATGTTATAAATTCCACTCTGATGGCCACACGCGCTCAGAATGACCCCCCTTCGCAGAATAGTATGGATCTGCTCACCCCCGCGGCTCTTGTTGGTGATTTGGACACTAGTCCGGTCTCACTTCCCACAGAGCCTGCTGCTCAACATTTGGCAAGCATATATTTTAGTCTCTCGAGCATTGGCATGCCCCTTTTGCACGAATCTTCATTTCAAGAAACACTTCAATTTGTCTATAGCATGCCCCGCATAGTAAAATTGAAAGAAACACATACTACCACAGAAAGCAGGATTGCTGTGTTCTTCGTGCTTGAGGTTTTTGCAATTGCCATTCTTTCAATACATAAGCAAGAATCACGCATTCCAACCTGGCTGGCGGACCGATATCACCGTCTAGCAATCCATTCTCTCCATGAAGCCGGTCTACCAGATGGCCTGAAGGGAGTTCAAGCACTCCTTCTCCTAGGTCAGTACTCTTATTATCATCCAACCATTTGCTCTGCGTGGAGAGTTGTTGGCTCGGGTCTTCGTGTTGCAGTAGAGCTTGGACTACACCAGGATGCTCTCCGTGACCAAGTGGACTTTTTCACTCTTGACAATATGAGGCGAGCATTCTGGGTGGCATATGCAATGGATAGAAATATTTCAATGATGTTGTCAATGCCATTGTCTCTGTCAGATGGTGCTATCTCAGCGGAGGTACTTGCAAAAAAAAACCCTTCAATAAAGGTCTCGATGCTAAAGCCTCACAGTTTCCTAGTCATATAGAAGACACGCATATTAGACCAAATCAACCGATACCAGCCTCCGATAGTCCAGTGTCTAATTCCAAATGCACCAGCCTTCACTTACTTCGCTATCGCTTAATCCAGTCTGAAATCCAAACAGTTCTCTATGAAAAATCATCGCACCACTATTTAGCCCTTCAACTTGACCAGTGGCAATCCAGTATGCATGAAAGAATTGAAGCATGGAACAAAGACATTCCAAGACTTGAGAACCTTACAGACCATGAAAAAGGTGCTATTGAGAGGCTTGAAGTCTCATATCACACAGCTCTCTTCTATCTGTACCGTCCATCTCAAAGCATACCATCGCCTTCAGGTTCACAATTAATCGTCATGGTCAATGCAGTACGAAGGATGATTGAGCTTTACCGTCTTTTTTTCTGTGATCATACCTTGACTATATACTGGCAAGCTGTTGAAAATGTTTCTTGCGCTGGTATTGGCCTTATATTTGCTTATGTTCAATCGTCACGAGTACGAGCGCACATTCCATTCGCCGATCTTCAGTCCCTTGTTCACGCCTGTTCATCTGTGCTATGGGGCATGGTAGAGCATTTCCCCGCTTTCCGAGGCAAGCGAGATGCATTCGATACAGCCGCTTCCAAAATATTGAAGGGTCTCAGGCCTGAAATGCAAAGTATCAATTCAATTGACGCATCCCATACTAACGAAGAATATCTAGAGGCGACTAGTAAAGAGCGGACCCGGGCTGAGAACTACGAGCCCCCTCTCGCGTGCCCCTGGGCACTAGATGTGTCTTGGAGCTTCCAGGCACCATCTATTGAATCGAATATGGATATCGGTTCAACCCATAATGGAAGATATTCAAGTTTTTCTGGTATAGAAGGCGATATCTTATCGGGTTGTCCTCCAAGCTTTGACTACGGATTGAGCTTTTTATTAGAACCGATGTAAATGAAGATTCATGTTAGTTGTTTGGCATATATTTGACCTGAGGAAAGAAATTAAGACGAAGAAGAATAAAATGGATTGAGGAAAAGAGCTACCGGACTCTCATTGGCCGAGACTCTTACAGGGCCCCACCCATTAGTTCTGATGAGCTACGCACCTTCAATGTTCCTTCCTCTCAGTTAAATTAGTAGAGCCGATGTCATGTACATATAAGGTTACATATTCCTTGGAACCTTCCAACATTGAACTCTCTTTTCTCTTTGCCACGGGGGTCCAAGTGTCCATGTACTATACTCGATTCGCCCCACTTTTGATTGGAAACTTGTTACAGTTTTCCCCACAACCAGCCATCTTTGTTTTTATCCTAAACTTCTCCTATTTCTCCTATTTCTTGTCTTCTCTTTTTTGAATTTAAGAACTTTCTTCTTTTCTTCTCTCATAAGCTTACTCTTATTCTTTTCATCTCACTCTTTATCTTCCTCTCTGTGTTATTACTCCTCACACAGAGTACACAAAACCGTCGTACTGATACGGTCGCCCGCGGCAACGCATCTCCACGTTAATCGCCCCGCCCTTATCTCTCCTGACTCGTGGTTTTCCAGAAACATTCCCAATATCGATCGATCATCTTCATTCATTTGAGTTTCGAAGAAAATCTTCTTCGATATATTCAAATACAACACAACCTCGATTTTCACTCGATCGCTTTCCCGATCTCGCCCAATTTCCATTGGATAGCACCCCCAACGTCACTCCTACCTTATAAGCTTCGAAGGCGTGACGCCGGCTGTGCAAAGTGGCCTGAATAAGTGTCTCAGGTAGTCGCCGAGTTTCGTCTTCGGACGACTCCATCCTTGCGACTCGAGTCTTATTCCCACGGCTGGCCAGGGTGACTCTCGTCTAGTTTATTTTTTCAACTTCTTCCTAATCGCCTCGTTCACCATGGATGCTCATACATTGTCGCATGCATCAACCCTCCTCGCTCGATCTGACGACTCGAGCGGTCGCCCAAGCTATTACAAGGCCATCGGAGTTTCCTTAGCAGTTGCATCAGGTGTCTTCATTGGAATATCATTTGTTCTGAAGAAGGTGGGTCTTCTCAGAGCAAATGTCAAGTACAATGAAGAGGCAGGAGAGGGTTATGGATACCTGAAGAACTTCTTCTGGTGGACTGGAATGACTTTGATGATTATTGGCGAGATCTGTAATTTTGTCGCATATGCTTTTGTCGATGCTATTTTGGTGACTCCTCTCGGTGCGCTGTCGGTAGTCATCACAACGATCTTATCGGCAATCTTTCTCAAGGAACGACTCAGTTTTGTTGGTAAAGTCGGATGTTTTTGCTGTATTATTGGATCGGTGGTGATTGCCATGAATGCACCGCAGCAGTCTTCCGTCAGCAACATCCAAGAAATGCAGCATTACGTTATTTCACCTGGGTTTTTGACATATACGGGTATCATCATTATTGGTGCAATCTTCACTGCACTTTGGGTGGGACCTCGGTATGGCAAGAAGAGCATGTTCGTCTATATCAGTATTTGCAGTATGGTCGGTGGATTGAGTGTTGTGGCTACCCAAGGTCTGGGATCAGCTATCATCGCCTGGATTGGTGGTGACCCGCAATACAAGCAGTGGTTTCTTTGGGTGTTGTTGGTCTTCGTGGTCTGCACTCTCCTAACAGAGATTATCTATTTGAATGTACGTTTTTCCTCTTGTCGTTATTATGGTTGGTTTCCCGACAAGTATACTGACCCAATGTTTTCATAGAAAGCATTAAACCTCTTCAACGCCGCCCTCGTTACCCCGACCTACTATGTCATGTTTACCAGTGCCACCATTATAACGTCTGCCATTTTGTTCCGAGGTTTCAAAGGAACCGCAACCGAGATCTCGACTGTTATAATGGGCTTCTTACAGATTTGTGCTGGTGTGGTGCTTCTACAAATATCGAAATCTGCAAAGGATGTACCGGATGCCGCGGTGTTCAAGGGTGACCTGGATCAAATTCGTGAAGTTGTCACACAAGAGGAACCCGAATCGGAGCCCAGAGCAGACTCAATCCGTGGCGCTGCTTCTATCATTCGCCGCATATCGACTGCACGTCGCACCATGGAAACCGAAGAGGCACGACGATTTTTCCATGACAAGCATGAGGATACTCTTAAACCACCAAGTGAAAATGAGATTTTTGAGTGGGACGGCATCCGCAGACGGAGAACTGTTGTTGGAGAAGGGCCAACAATGTCTCGTACATCGACCCCTCGAACACCTTCAATTAAGCAACCATTTCCCCCTCTCGGAATGTCCCGTTTCCCCGACCCAGATGATGTGGATGAGCATCGACCCAGCACCAAACAGAGCGGACATTCGTTCTTCACTGACTTCCGCTCTCGAGCCTCAAGCATGCTCAACCCCCAGTGGACTCCACTAGACGAACAAAATGAGAAGCACACAGGCTTAACTGATAGTCCTGTTGAAGCAAACTTTCCAGAACATCTGGACGCCCCCAATCGAGTTGGTCGTGAGCGAAGCGACACTCCCCGATCTATCTCATGGGCCGATGAGAAAGCCGAAACCCCGGGTCTTGAGCCACCAGCAAACGCAGCTCGTCAATTCTCCTTCCACACAATGTTCCACCGCACAAAAGCAGAACGGTCTCCATCTCCCAAGCGCAATGCTAGTCCACCCCGCGGTATTCTGCGCCGGACCAACGCGCAAATAAACAATGGAACCGAAGAAGAGCAACTTGGCCTCGTGAAAGGAGATTCTCGCATCGCGCCGCCTGAGGAGAACCTCGGAGAGAAAATAGAACGCTGGTCAAGCAGCGAGTCAGAGATGAATGAGGTCCAGCCGCAGCCTCTGCAAATTAGTCGCCCTCACGGCGACTCCGTGTCTAGCATGTCGACAGCAGCTTTTCCACCATACGAGGATAACCACCACGCCCTCTACTCTGCACCGGGTGCTTCTGCATCCAACCCCTACTATCTTCCATCTACACGGAGAGAACTCACATTACAAGAAAATATCGATGAGTACGAGAGTGTACAGTTGCAGCCACCAGGCTCTCGCAACCGCAACCGTACCCGAACAAACTCATCACACGGCAACGCTCCTCCACCCGCCTACTCCTCCTTCTCAACCCACCGCCGTCCTAACCCACTGCCTCCATTGCCTGATGAGACAACTCTCGGAGTGAGAACTGTCTCATCGGATTCCTCCGATATGGGCGTCGCCTCCATTTCTTCTTCAACAGAAGGCCACGACGAAGACAACACAACTGCTCGTCCTTCCTATCCTTCTCGTCAAAACAGTGGCTGGCGTCGGCATATGTCCGAAATCAGCAGCAATGACGGTGATACTTATGAAGAGCGAGGCCATAGCCATGGCCGCGGTCGTGACTGAGCTTTTGTCTGAAGAGATCTAATTTTGTACGACTTTTTCTGATCTGGACATAAGTGCTATTTTGTATTTACTACGGCGTTTCTGATGGTTCAACATTTCCTTCCATTTCGGTGGAACTTTCCAACCGCTTATTGTTGTATATATTATTTTATTATGGTGATGGCTAGGACATAACACACTATGTATGAATATGGATGTCATGACAGATGACGATAATGAAAATATTATGATTCAATTTCCAGCCAATGCCCAATAACTCTTGCGTAGTATCAAGAAGACAGGAACAAGGTTCTGTAATTTAGAGTCAAAAAAGATTGTCTTAAAAAAAATTCAATTCTCATAAATGCGAGCAAGGATCTGTCTCATCAAAGTGATGATTCATGCACATCCCGGTGTCATCTCAAACGCCATAGAACCCTGCAGAAAGCCGCCATGCTATGCAATGCCGTGTACAACGCCACACTAAATGCAATATGTAAAAGAAACCCAAAAATAAGAAAAGACGCCAATATGCTCAGCACGCTCAAGACGATTTAGTCCAGTCACTGAAACCCCAACATTCCAGCAACACTCTTCTGTCCCTTCTGAGCAACATTCAAAACTGCAAACCGAAACTCAGCAAGCCGTTTCCCAGCATTAATACTCTCCAAAGCCCTAGTAATCAAAGGTAAATATGAGTCAATTAAAAAAAAAGCGGAACAAAACATACCATTCAACACTGATGATCTTCACGCCTTTCCATCCACCCCTAGCGATCTCCTGTTGCAGTTTTCGAGCAGAAAGACCACCACCAGCACCGTGTGCAGCTTCAGAACCAGTATTCGGTTGTCCGACAATCATATGGGATACTGTCTTTCGCGCCATGAAGATAGATATCTGCGCCCCGTGCTTAACGAGTAGTTGTTTGAGCTTATGATCCGAGATAAGGGGGAGAGTCGAGCCATTGAGGAAGACAGTGATGCCGGCGAATATTTTTGGAACGTGTTCCGACGTAGAGATGGAGATAGCGCTAGATGCAGAATTCATTTGATCATCCAGACTAGGCTTGATAGATGGTGGCAAGGTCGAGGGTAATATTTTCGGGGCAGTCTCGATTAAAGGACCAGACCTCGAATCCGAATATCTGTCCGTATTTCTGTGTCCATCCCGGTGTGTATCCAATCGATTCACATGGTGACTCGGTGTCGTTTTCTTCTTCTCCGCTCTCACTAGTTCATCTCCGGCTTTCCGCTTGCTAACACCCATGAAACTGCGAATATCCTTCACTCCCATGTGAGCTCTCTTAGCTTCCGCATCTGTAACCCATTTCCATTCCCCGGGACCCTCAACAGATTTGTCTTTGAGGATGTCCTCTGCGGGACTCTTCTCGTCCTCTAAATTCCCCTCATGAACCGATTGCAATGCGCAAATCCCATCGAACGCCAACGTCTGCGCAGAGTTCGCATGGTCTTCCTCGCGCAAGCAATCTCCAATTTGAAGCTGTCGCTCAAGCTTCAGTGACCGGGTATCCCTCCATGATACTGACCCGGCATACGCAGCGCGGTGTTTCTGGTGTCCTGTGGAAGCGGAGCTCCATGCGTCAAATCTTTTCCAATTCTGCGGGGAAGGGGGGCGTTTGCGGGGCGGTTTGGTTTCCGTTGGCATGACTCGTATCTATGGTGTGGAGAATGGTAGGATCGGGAGAATTGCGCTTGTCTTCGGGTGGAGGTTTGGGATCGGTGCGGGTTTCTGAGGAAGGAGCTTTGCTTTGATTTTCATCAGGTGGGGTGAAGTTGACTTCATGTTGGCTCGGAAGGACCTTGAACCACGGTTCGAATATGTTTTGATTTTGCTGTTTTGGGATAGGGTACTTTGCATCACGTGGCAACGCCGGTTGGAATGGAGGGGCTTTTGTTGGTTTCATTCAATTTTCAATTGGAAAATAGTTTATTTAGAGTAGTATTGGAGCTGTTTAACTTGACAGAAAGGGTTGAATGATTCATATCTCATTCCAAGTTTTGTGTTGTCGAAATGGCTCGATCGAGACTCGGAGTTGTGTCATCTATATATATCAACCGGGTCAATTTATCGAACGAATTTAAAGCTACAATGAACTTCAAGATATTTAGTTTCATCTCCTACGATAGACGTGTACGTTGAAATACACATTCACATTGGGAATTGAAAAACTGCCAAGTTTGCAGTTCATTGATACTATACATGTATGCCCACCTGATGTTTGTGTTGTTAAGCATCTAAATAGGAAAAAAGATAGTAAAGACACTCACATCGCCAGTATATTCTTGATATTTAAAGCAAGTCGTTCGAAGCATTGTCCGTATTCGAAATCAACCCAAAGAGCATGGATTGGGAAGTACCCATATCTATATAATATCAGATGCCACCTATAGATCGTTCTTAGTAACAAGACCTTGACATATTGAGTTGCCTAAGTCATGGATGGAGACAGGCCTTGACCATGCTACAGAGCTTTGATTTCAGTTTAAACTACTTTATATACTAGAGGTACATAGATAGAGTCAAGTCAAGATACCATACTCATACAAACTCTCACATCTTCTAGAAGCCTGCTGCAATCCGCATCTGACTTCAATGCATTCTGTGCTTTGTACTTCGTACCTGGCTGGCCCCGATGCACCGACGGCACTGGCACCTACCCGCTGTGCGTAGATAAATGCATTATCTCCAGCCATCTACAAGCACCAGAAAAAGAAAATAAAGCTCAGAGTATAAACTCACCAGGAAAAAACGGGGGATCGCCAACCTACCCAACAGACACACTTTCCACGGGAAAAAATCTGTCTACGAACTGGGCACGCCTACATAAAACTCAATGCAAACTGACGACGAGACACGAAACGAAAACAAATCAAGAGCTTCCAGATCTTTCCCAGCTTGAATCCTGTATCAAGGGATGAATGGTGGCGGGTGGGGGAGGGGGCGCGAGAAGCAAGACAAGACAAGACAAACCGAAGCCGAAACACGAAAAACAACCCAACCCGTCAGTGCCAGCCAAGTCGAACACCAACCACCAACCACCAACCACCGCCAGTTCGTTAAGCAAGTTTTTCCAAGCCACGCCGGAGACATCCCTAGATAGAGAGATGAGGACAAGAGACATTTCGCACAGAGACACGGACGCCTGAAACCAGCGGTGTGCAACATACCCCCTCCATCAGGTTGACCAGCATCCCCAGCGTGGCAGACCCCAGAGTTCTAGGCGCAAGATGAACCACAGACCTACTGCAGGTGCATGAGCCATGATGGGCTGGATGGCATGCTTCGAGAATGTGGCGATCCCACGCGCCCAGAGAAGAATGCGGGAAGGATGCGCGCCAGAGACAAGACAGGACAGGACAGAGACACTACTGCGTATATGCTGTATGTACAGTGCAGTACATTGCGTTTATGCACATTCTTCGATCGGACATCGGGGCCCGGGGACAGTGTCTGACAAGAGACGGTGAAGGTCAAGTGTGCAGAAGCTCATGTACATCGGGGTGTGGGAAGAGGTGGAGAAGATGCAGTCATGTCTTTAGCTCTAGATCCGACAGTTTTGGGCTACGGAGTACGTATGTACATATTTACTGGCTACCATGTGCAGCATGTAGATAAGAGGGATGGAAATAAGCATATTCTTATAGGGTTGTCATTTATTCTAGATCAAGAATGAAACGAGACTTTTCAGCATGGCAGGAAGCTTCTATGATTCTTTTTCGAGACAGGTGCATTAGGGAATCGGGGCGGTATGTCGTACATCTTGAACTCTAGTTCTTCCCTAGGTACCCTAAATCTGACCTTTGAAGGTGGAGATTTGCTCGAAAGGAGAAAGAAAAGGAAAGACAATTCCATCGAATCTTGCTACCTAGAGTACGACAGTATTATGATCATGGGTCTTCTTTCTGTGCCTACTTCAGTTTCAGTTCCCAGAATTATCCAGCTCAGCAGGGCCCTTCGTGTTTAGCAAGATTCAAGCCGTCGATCCCTTCTGTTCTGGGGTTCAGCTCTCGTCACAACATTTGCCTCCTAGTGTGTTGTATCCTCTCCAGTCTTGAATGTGATAAGAAAAAGAACCGAACTGTTCCGTAATGGATTTTTGATTTCTTTTTCCGAATAATAATAATAATACCTAATAAATATGGATACTACAATACTATGTACATGTACTTCTCCCAAGCGATAGTATCATCATTAATATCGGTTCCCGATTTGGACCTTTCCTCCGTCCATAAGTCGCAAAAAAGAAAACAAAAAACCCCCAAGAAAAAGAGACAGAGAGCGTGGTTATTTCCACGAGATCTCATAAGAAGAAAGCCCCGAAATGCGAAATTCGCATCCGATCCAGAAAAAAAAACCCCCCAAAAAGCACCAACGGTGAGATCCACAGTTATCCTAATAAAATGAGCAAAATGAGCTATGAGATAATAACCTGTGCCACGTCTGCACGCAAGGGGGGCAACTAGCGGTGAAATCCACCATGATCTAGCCCGGCGGAGAGCGCGCTCGCTACGTGGTGATGGCCACCGCCAGTCATTGTCCGGTCGGATCGTCGATCGGCGGGCAGTTGCAGCAGCAGAGGGGCTTGTACCCAGCCAAGAGACCAATAAACAACGAGGAGTTCAGTTTTAGTGTCGTTACACCTTTTGGCCCGGACCATCCTGGGCGTTCAGTGGAGGCGACGCTAAGAAACGAAAAATCCCCTCTTCAAAAATTCAAAAAAGAAGGAGAGAAAAAAGGAAAAATAAATTAAAAAGTGAAACGAATAAGGGACTAACATCATCACTTCCAGCTCCATCCGTGATACAATCCTTTTCCTTTCCGTCTTCTGATTTCCCCCGATAAACCCCGTCAGCACTGAGCAATAGGTCAATAGGTTTTTTGAGGCTTCGGAGGAAACACCAGAGATGGTTTGGTCCACGATTTGCCGTCCTTTCCCCGTGACACTAGAGTGCGTAAAGGCAAGATGAACGTGCAGTCGATCTTCTCACGGGATGAATGCAATGCGAGGTTAAATCAGGTCGCACGGCCCCGGGCTAACCGCGCCCAGATCCTAGACTTCGTGGTGTGTTGTCATTCGTGGTCGGTGCTGGTGGTGTGGCGCCTGGCAATGAATTCCAAGATTTCTTTTCTAATGGAGACGGAGGGCGTTGAGGGAGGAGAAAATTGGCTGATTGTCTGACTCGTGGGACATGATAGGGAACCAATTGACTGCTAGAGATAGTCTTCTAGGCTAAAACAGAGTGCGATGTTTTCTTTTCTTTTCTTTTCTTCACGTTTTATGGCTTAATGGCTTAGGAATTATAAGTAGGGTCTGTGTTGGGCCAATTAATCCGGGGCATTCCATAGCGCCAAATTGGCTCTGGTCTCCCTGGTAGATATGTATTGGTCTATAATGCCCATCAAAAATAAAAAGGATGAACTTGAAACTCTTGTATACGATATCCATTTTCCTTTCTAAATACGTGTGTACGAATTCCAAACTCCACGAATCAACCCTCTGCACAACCCCATCATCTACTTCGGGCCAACAAAATACGGAGTATCGAATAAGCGAATCGTGACCCCCAAAACTCATACAGGGAACATCCCTGTCAGTAACCCCCGACACTGATTCGTGACTTGTCCGACCAAAAGTCCCCCTTCTGCGCCCCCTCTTTTTCTTTTTCTTTTTTTCTTTTCTCATGCTGTCCCACTTAGTCTAGAGGAAAGAAACTCCGATCCCGCAGCTCCCAAAGTCTGATTACATTATCTGGCATCCAAACGTTTTTCGGTGTCAGGCATAAATCTGCGACAGACATGGGAGAGGCATGGTCAAGGCCCCTGGTGAAACCTGTCATGGTGACCAGAAGTAGAAGTCTGCACGGACAGTCCACTGCAGGGTAACTCATCGCTGCAAGGTACGGGACGAACCCGTCGATCGATGCTCAACGTAATCCCAAAAAAGGATCTGGGGCGAGAGAAGGATACCCTACAAGTCCTCTAAGCCGACGGATCATGACTACTGACTAGTGTTCCGTGCCGTCGTATGGGGCGAAATATGGGATTCCGGTCGAAAGGAAGGAATTCTTCAAAAAAAAAAAAAAGGAAGCTAGGAACAAATGATTTTCAATTTAATTATTTAGATTATAAGAAATAATTGTTAAATAAACGAGGATCACGACAGAAAAGAAAGAAAAAAAGCTGCTAAGTGGAGGTGCGCCCCGAGCCGATCGCAAAAAGGGTTAACCTGACGATGATGATGAGATGGAATATTGGACGGAAATTGGATGTGTTCAATTACCCGAAGGTGATAGATACTACATTCAACCAAGTATACACTCGTCACAAAATCACTCACAGAGTCTCCAGGCTGGAAAAGATCGTCCAGAGGAATCGGAGCAGCCCAACAGAATAGGATAAGTCCGCCATTCCATTCGGTCCTCCTTACGTATCTTCTCCATATTCCAGCGATTAGTTTAACGGGCGGTTCGAGATAAATGTTGATACATCACGTCCTGGGGAGAGTTCGTGGCTCCAAAATTCATTTCCATGGGGGGACGTGTGCGTTAGGGTGGAGACCCCGCTAGCGAGTCACTCCCCTAGTGGAGAATCCTGAGGATGTTCCAAGATGGCCAAAGCTCTCTTCTCTCTTCCCATTTGATTACTTCCGAGGGCCCCGATGAGCTAGAACAAGATGGCCGAAATCAGGGAAATTGAAAATAAAAAGAGAGGGGGTTGGGCAAAACAGGACAGAGTATACAAGGCCGGAGGAGTCAGGTAGCTCCACTTCAAGCGCCCTCCTTAAAATCAGTACTTTATTGGATTGGATGAAACTGGGAGAGACGGAGTACTCCGAAGTTCATGGTCCAAGAGGAGTATACATGAGAATCTTCATGGTTCTTTTTCTTTTCTTTTCTTTTCTTTTGAAAGGTTTCCGGGGGCAGTCCAGATTGGAGGGTCGATATCGGCGGATCCTCTACTGTACGCTGTATGCGCAGACGGGTATCGGGCCGTCGATAGTTGTGGTGCAGGGATCTGGCCCCTCTCCAGGTCCTTTTGGTGGATTTAATTTAATTTAGTTTTTATTTTTATTTTTCGCTTTTCTTCTTTTTGCATTTTTCACAAGAATTTTATTCTTTGAATTATCTGGCCCTCCGAGAGCCAAGAAAAAGAACAAACCAGTGGTACCTGCTTCTTCCGGAGGAACCCTCCCCCCCATTATCCACCATTCCTGCAGAACAGAATAGCTACTAGAGCTTGAAGACTCCATCGACCTTCTCCCGGTGAATCCAGTTCTAACCTGTAGCCCCGTTTTTCCCCGAAGCCCCTCCTCCCCAGTTCTCCCCGGGTCCGTGTGGTCATCGACTGACGCCACTAATGAAAGTAGTCCATTGGGGGCGGATTGGCTGGGCTCTAAGGGATCCTAGTCCGGAGTACAGTCAGCGGCAAATAGTCTGATTTCAATAATGGAAAATAAGATAAAAAGTAAATAGAAATCATAATAGGGATCTGGCAAAGATAGTGTCGACTAGCCGAAACGAGATGATCCCCCCGAAAATAATAAATTCCACGCCCCTGTCCTGCTTTGACATCTGTCAGCCTGAGCAAAAACCACCGATGCCTGAATGAGCTGGAGCGGAGGATAGTGTTCCGCACGCTGAGTGGTTCAAGTTGTCTCCATTCTGCCCTCCAGTACTTCCATTTGCTACTGGACGTAGTTGTTGACGAACAAGGACGCAAGGGATTCAAGGCACGAACACGAATAGACAGGCGGTGTATGACTACAAAGAAGTTCTCCCTTGCTGGCTTCGCTGGCACGGGAAAGAGTAAAATCTCCAACAAGTTCTAGATCGGCATTTACTCCGTACTAGCGATAGAACTACAGTTGCCGCCTAAGTAAACGAAGCTGTAAATCCATCTACGGAGTAGTCTAGGTAGTAAAATGTGAAAAAGAAGAAGGGGGCGAAAATGAAAAGGCCAAAAAAAAAGGAGTATTATGTAGTATCTGTATACGAAGTAGAAGGGCAGGGAGTACGAATTACCATACTGTAGAGTACCTCGTCAAAGGAACAGGAAGGATTTATCCCATTAGCGACGAACAAGAAGGGCAAGAGGAAAGATCTCCAGACAAAGAAAGTAGAAGGGAAAAAAAAAAGGAAAACCACGCAAAAACGTCATGGCGAATGCTATCACGCAAGTCTCAGATGGTCCATCACGGGGCAGCTTCCCACTTTGCTCTGGTAGATTTTAATCCGGACTTTCAACCGACACACATTCGGTAAACGCTTCAGTCGTGGTGGTACTGAGCAGGGATCCCGAGAGAACACAGACCCTTGATCGACTTAAGCCACCCGTGTTTCGTGGTGCGCTCTGAGCCACTGATTTCTTGCCCCCCTCCTTCTCCTCTTTGCTGCTGCATCCCTGTGTGTGACGCGCTGCCCACTCCACCGTTACTCACGTCTTGATCTTTTGTCTTTGGAGGATGGGGAGAATTGATTCAGATGGTTTCTTTTGAATCTTGATTTTATTTGCTTCTATTTTCTTCGAATTATTCTAAAGAATAGTAAATAGAATAAGTGAATAATAAAATCTAGTAATAAAATGGAACAATTACTATAGAAAAATAGTAATAATAATGAAATAAATACACGGGCTTCTACTTTCTACGATCGACGGGCCGGGCTCTTGTCCCATTGAGATCCATAATATCGACGGGAGTCCGTGTGTTCCTGTTCGATTAGTCTCTGGTCTGGCCGCTCTTGACCGATGATGTTGCTCTGTGACCTTGCATTGGGGTGGAAACCTGAAAGGTTGATCCCATTCTTCTCTATTGTTATTCTTTGCTGTACATGTAGGTACCGTGTTTGCATGTTTCTATTTCTAGGTCTTGATTTTCTGCAGAACCAACCAGTGCTATATGATTGGATATTATGATTATACTCTAGGATCTCCCATAATAACCATCTTAAGCGCTGGGCTCTGTTCTGAAACTCTAGGGCGAGGAGAGGGGGGAAAGGCCCCCCCCCTAAGTGATCTTTGGTTGACCTCCTCCCCGGGTAATCGACCATGCAGCTATAGTCTTAGTCTCTGCAGCCGCTGAAATGTCTTGCACGGGAAGAGAGGGGGGGCTGATTTGCTTGTCGATCGGGGAGAGTCTCGACTGTTTCGTTTCGATTTAGGAGTCCATCCTCATTGTGTTTTCTTTTGTTTTTTCTCTCTGTCTAGTAGAGTGCTAACTTGCTAGTGGCTCTTTCTACCTCGGATGACCTGTTAGAGTATAGTATCTGTCTACTCCGTACTATTGTATCCCTGGTTCCTTGGAGTGGGGCCCGCACTCGTGGGGGAGAGAGTTAACCATGGTTATTGTCGACATCCCTACCGGGGGTTGGCAGTTCTATATCCGACAGGGAACGAACTTTTAGTATACAATCTATCCAACCACCGAGATTCGACCTGGGCAGTTCATATGGAATTAATGAATCCGTCAACTTGAACAGTAGGAATAGTGATATGTGCGTGGCAGTATTATTGACTCCACCAGATCCTAAGCGGGCCCGGACGATCAGCGTCTTGCTTGTCACACAGACCAGGATCCTCAGCTCGGTGGATCTCTTGGTTTTCTTGCTTTTGTGAATTATTTTAATAATTTGAATTATGATTATTCTTTCCCCTCTTCTGGTTCTCTGACCCGGTTGTCCCTGCATTTTATTTGATATGGGAGAGAGTGGATTTTGATATGTAGAATATTTATTTATATTTGATATTTGATTATCAGCAGTATTCCTGATGAGTGAATATTAAATTTAAATAATAATTAAATCATTTTTGTCAATATTATATTCCTCCCTTTCCCTTTCTAGTAATAATCCCTTTTCCTCTATCAGTCTACACATATGGAATAAAAAACAAACCCCATTCAATTCTAATTCAATTTAATTCCCTTTTTTAATTCTTTTTTAATTATTAAATCATCTCGTCCTTGCTTCGTGGCGGTTGACTCGATCCCCCCTCCTCTCTCTCTCTCGCTCTACTCTCTCCACTCTCCCAGTCTCCACCAGTGTGATTCGATGCTATTTCTGTTGAGAGAGGAGAAACCTCAAAAAGGTGGTCGGGGTTTTCTGCACCCAGGTTTCCTTCTCTTCTTTTTTTCCTCCCAGCCATTTATTTCTATATTTCTATATTTCTATTTTATTTTATTTTTCCAAATTATTCCTCCACAGCCCTTAGTCATCCCCCACTGATCGACTTTCCCGTCCTGCGGCTCAGCGTTTATGTGTTCTCTGTTTCCCCCCTTCCAAACGCCTGCAGAGGGATTGCGTTTGCTGCACGCCAGCCTTCTGTGATCTCCCTCCCTTTCTACCAAGCACCTTATTTACTCGCTGCATGCTGCATTGTTCGTTTCTGTTGTTTGTCACGACCCATTAACGAACATTTGATGACTGTTTGAATTTCTTGCTTGGAAAAAAAAAAGCTTCTTGCTTGAAAGACCTTATTATCTTCTTCCCAAAAAGTCCATTCCCCACACAAGGAAAAACGTCCATTGTCGCCTTTTTCTTGTCACGAATCTTTTCGCGAACTTACGATAACATCTGTTTTTCTATACTGTTTGCTGCTTCTTTCACCTACTCTTATCCAGGACAAGGACGTTGCATCTTCCCTTGCCCATCTACCCATTCCTCTATTTTACCTTCCACCCCCCCCCCCCCCAGTTGGACGCCGTGCAACCAACTCAAATTCCCTGGAAGTGCCTTGAAACACCACACATCTACTTCTAGAGCTCGCCGGATTACCTAGTCCGACGGTCTCTAATCCATTCCCCTACCGCGACTCTTTTTCCAGTGTTCCCCGTGAAACCGAAAAGCTGGAGCTGCCGTCGATTTCGCAGGTCCACACCCGCGGTCCTGCTGACATCCCCTGGTACAACCCCCACGCCGCCGAACGACCGTTACTATCAGGCGACAAACTCCCCGCGCTGAGCCTACCGACGGCTACCCAAAACCCATCGCGTGTCTATCAAGACGCCAGTGGGAGCTCTAGTGCCCGTACTAGTCTGTCCAGTGTCTCTGCGGTCCACGAGCCTCGGAGCCCACAGGCGGATCTGGGCGCCCAGGGCAGGCTTTCGCTCGATTCCGAGTATAGTATCGTGCCCAACGAGGCTTACTATCCCAGCCCGACCTCTCTCGGCAGCATGAACCAAGCGCCACCTTACATGGATGTCCATTCCCATATGTCTTCCGCGCAACCATACGCTTCACAGGCCGCCACTGCCGGCACAATGCCTCATTATCCTTACCACCAGCAACCACCAGTATTGCAGCCCGCATCCAGTTATGGCCCCCCGGCTTCATATCCTCAATATGGATACCATCACGGTGTAACATCGCCCCCCACAGGGCATCCGCCACCTCCAAGCTCGATAACTGGACAAATGCCGCCTCAAATATTGCCACTCCCAGGAGGTAAGTTGATGATTTGAGAAGGAACAATTGAAAATGGAGAAAAAGAGATGAGAGCTAATAATGTCATAGTTAACAACCACTCCGTTGCGGCTGGATATGGTAACAGTACCGGATCGCCTCTGCAAGGTTATGTTTACGACGCCACGGGTCAAGTCGCTCCTCCAGGAGCCAAACCACGGGTGACCGCTACTCTGTGGGAGGATGAGGGTAGCCTTTGCTACCAGGTCGAAGCTAAAGGCGTCTGTGTTGCGAGACGAGAGGGTAAGTCAACGCAGCACATCCATCCGTATTTGAAATATTTGAAACTGACCTGGGAGTTTTGCAGATAACGCTATGATCAATGGTACAAAACTGTTGAACGTCGCGGGAATGACTCGTGGTCGCCGTGATGGTATTCTGAAGAGTGAGAAGTTGCGCCATGTGGTGAAGATTGGTCCCATGCATTTGAAGGGTGTCTGGTGAGTGATTCCCAAGCCTGATGAAACTTAATCTCCAAAGTCTTAGAATGTGTTATTAATCAAATCTTTGTGATTCAGGATTCCTTATGAGCGCGCTTTGGAGTTTGCGAACAAGGAGAAGATCACTGATCTTTTGTATCCGCTTTTTGTGCACAACATTGGTGGCCTGCTGTATCACCCAGCAAACCAGAACCGCACGAACATGGTGGTTCAAGAATCACAGCAGAGACGCATGGAGGGACCAGCTGCAGCTGCGCAGCGTACTCCCACCGCACCGCAGCCCTCGGCATTGCACCACCAAGCTATGCAGACTCCCATGTCCTCCCAGATGTCGCAACCTCCTTCAATTGGCGGACGTCCTGGGATGGACCGAGCCTTTCCCACTCCCCCAGCCAGCGCATCCAGCCTAATGGGAGTGACTAACCAAGGCAGCTCATATGAATGGGGTGGCCAAGGCATGAACTCTGGAGTGCTTCACACCCAGCCACTATCGATTGACACTCAGCTGAGCAACCAACGTTCAATGCCCACTACTCCAGCCACTACACCCCCAGGAAGCAACATGCAGGGCATGCCGCCTTACCAACCCCAGTCTGGCTATGATAGCTCCAAGCCATACTACTCCGCACCGCCTCAATCTCACTCCCAGTATGCACCGCACACACCCATGACGCAACCCGGAATCTCTTCATACGGCCAATCTCTCCCACAATCGCTTCCAAATGTGAACTATCTGAAGAGTGAGATGGCACCGCCAACAGGTCGGGCTCCGGGCGCCCCCGAGTCTGAAACTCCCGAGTTGAAGTCTGACCGTTACTCCCAGAGCCACGGTGATGAACCAGTTCCCCAACAGGAGCCTGAGTACTTGCAGGACCAAGGCGCGGCCTACGGATCCAACCGCGGCTCCTACACGTATACCACCAACCCATCCGTTGGCTCTCTCACTGGAGAGCACTCTCAGTTGACTCCGGAGATGACTGGCTCACCTCAACAGAACGGCTCAGGCCGCATGACACCAAGAACTAGTGTCAGCGGCCCTCCACCTCATTGGACCTCTGGATATAACACCCCTCCGCGTCCATCGGCCGCTACTACTTTATACAATGCCGTCAGCGACACTCGCGGTACACCTGCAAATGGAGACCCTTACTCCATGGCATCCAGCACAACACCAGTGTATTCCACTGTGAATGGATCCCTTGGAGGTTCCGGCGGGAAGCGCAAGCGTGACGATGACGATATCATGTCCCGTGAAGGTGGTGGTGGTGAGTACGAAATGAAGCGCCGCCAGACCCTTACCGACACTAGCATTGGTGGTCCCGTTGGAGCTCCTATCCTGCAGCCCATGAAGACCGGCGCCCCAATGCCTCGCCGCCGATAAAACAAACTCTTTACTCACAATCTTCTTGTCTCTTTGTGTCATGTGTTATTGCAACATGCCTCTCTTCTCTGGATGGAGTTTTGGTTTTAATTTGTTGATAGACTGCGGTTGCCTCATGGGATAAGAAACAACATTCAAGGCACCGCAGACTTCGGACGTTCGACACGATTTTATTTCTTCCGGCTTAGCACCCAAGCGTGAAGTTTCCAACCTGTCCTCATTCACGATGGAGATACAAGTCTTCCAGACATTTTTTCTCCTTGATGATTCTTTTTTGGGGCTTGCATTATTTTCATGGTTTTGGCTTCTATTCATTGTTTTTCCACGGAACTTCTTGGGTTCTCTGTGGTTTGTGAAAAACTCCAAACCCATTGGCACTCCTAAGTACGAAGTTGAAAGTCCTTTTATTTATTTTTCAGCAAAGTGATGACACCGGATACGGGCATTGGAATGAGGGCTATGATTTGGCTTTTTGTTTGCTTTGCATTGTGCATTAGCCCTCCCAACCCAATCCGCCTTGATGACTATGATGTGACGAATCTCCTGTAACGAATCTTTTATGTGTGCGATTTCTTTACATCGCCCTGGCTTTACTTTTTATTTATCCAATTTTTCTTTTGATATTTCGAGTTTACTGGTTTTTGGTTTCTTGGTTTCCTTTCCTTTTTCCTTTTGGCCTCTCATTTTCTCTATGCGCAGAAAAAAGGTCTTCTTTCCTAGCATCCGTGGGTTTCATTTACCCTCCATGGTTATGTTTTAGAGAGACGATATGATGGTAATGAATGCTCATGAACTAAACTGATTTCACTCGGTATAATTGCTTTTGGCCCTCGTGAATTTTCGAAATGGAACATTCACTTGATTGTGTTTTTCACTCATCTGTTCTGCTCTTTCAATGTACCTTAGGTACCCAGGTCAAATCTCAGTCCGGATTTTCTTGGTGTTCTAATATTAGTTCCTCTCGTAGACTCTTCCATCTACAGTCTAGAATGAATACAATCTCCTTGATGTCGTCCAAGATTAGGTTCATACAATAAAAACAATGCCATGAATATCGAACTTTTTATTCATGTCAATACAAACCCAAACCCTTCCTGTTTTCATCTATTGTGAGTCTAAGAAAAGCATTTGCATCCAATATCCGCCCATCATATCTATCATGATCCAAATCTAGTATTCCATTCCATTCCATTTCATCAATCATGTCCGAACCATGGATCCATATAGACAAGGAAGAGGCAAAGTAAAGTAAAGTAAAGCAAACAGAAAAACCAAAAGAACCTGGATATAGACAATGGCGCCTCGTTTCAATCCATAGCATGTAAAAAAAAAGAAACCAAAAATCCCAAAAATCCCCAAAAAATCAAAAACAAAAAAAGAAAGGAATTTGCAGAATGTACTAACAAGAAGACGACACGACAAAGGCAGTCAACATAGACACTAAGCTGGCAAAGCCTTACGCTTACCAGCCTGCGAGAAGATCTGTTGCCAGATCTCCAACCACTGTTGCTGCTTATAAGACAATGGGCGATGAGGATTCTTAAATGTGGTAGCTAGCAGCTCACGAAGACGAGCATTCAGAACCTTAAGTGCAAGCATGGATTTCCAATCTCGCAAAGCGAAGCGAATGCGGTTTGAGTCGATAGATATAACCCCAGAGTACATCTGTGAAGTGATTAGTTATCGAAGTCTTGACACTACTCTCCTTAACTTGACTCACCTTGAACTCGGCTTCGCCACAAAGCAGGGCAATTGCGAAATCGTCCACAGCACTAGTCTCATGGGCGTTCAAGTTGCGGTTACGCGCTTGCATAATGTGATAGTACGAGAGCCATTTAACAGCCGAATCAGCACGTTTATTGATGGATGTTGGGTGAAGAGTAACGGTTTGGTTGTTGGAAACGTTGCGCCATCCCTTTCCTTCCCGAGTGAGGAGTTTGGGATAAAAGCTCCAAGCGACGACAGAGTTTACAACGACGTCGTTATTGCTGTTGATATCATGTTCTTCAGGGATGATGAAGAGCTGGCGATTTCGGTTTCCAGATCGGGCCCTATGAGATGTGTTAGAGGTTGTTGAAGAGCATGAAACGGGACTTGGGATTAATACTTGTTCAGCGCGGTTTTCTGGGAAGGATCTAAGCTTAGTAAACCTGCATCAGCAATTGAAACTACCAACTGCATTTTGACGTCCTCAATTCCCAGAAGGGTCTGCGGATTCAAAAAGTTCTTCCTGCAGAAGGAGAACTCATTTGAGCCGGGTGTGCTGCGTGCACGCCTCCAGCAGCAATATGCATTGTACACCGTTAATAAATCAGAGTCGCCTGGATTTTAGTTAGCTAAGTTAGAGCAAGTTTGGAGGGAGTGACGTTACCTCTTTGGAATGAGTTTCGTGCTGCGTCTCGCTGCGAGTTTGAGCCCATGGTATTGACGAAAGGCGACTTGGATGATAAGATGGCCGCAATGCTGACAGCTGCATCCAGGCATTTGAAGAATGCACCATGCATGATCAACTTGCCCAGGAAGACATCGAGTGGCAGCTTGGCGAGCTGTGATCCTAGTGGTGTGAGACTTTCATTGCTGGTGAGAGCCTTGACTTCTTTGAGAGAGTCAATAGCACGGCGGATGTTCTTGGATGATGGCGGGTCCAGAGCTTCTAAGAGGGTTTGTTCTACCTCGCCCAACTTGCAGATTTTGACTCGCAGAACCAGATCTTGAAGAGACAGTCGAAGCATTTCAGGCGTTTGTTGGCCAGCAAGCTAAAAGCAGCATAGTCAGTTGATTGGTCGTGTCATTTTTCTAGATTATGAAGATCGTTGACGCTTACTAATTTGTCATGCCTGTGTCTCGTGAAGAGGTGGAAGCAGATACCCTCCTGGACACGACCAGCTCGACCACGTCGTTGCTTAGCGTTCGCTCGGGAAATGAATGACTCGACCAGTCGAGAGAGCTGTCGTCTTTCGTCAAAGCGCATCATCTTTTCCTTTCCAGCGTCAACCACAGCAGTGATGTCCGGAATTGTGATACCTATCATATAAGTTAATTATGGTATACGATTGAAGGTCCCGGGGATGTTCTGTACCTGTTTCCGCGATGTTCGTGGCGATAACAATCTTTCTCATACCCTCAGGGGGGATGTTAAAGGCCTTTTCTTGGTCTTCACTGGCAATGGATGAGTGAAGGGCATGGACAATCCAACCTTTTTGGAAAGTGGTTTCTGCGAGAAGTTCATCATTCAAACGACGAATTTCAGCTAAACCAGGCATGAAAACTAGAATGGCTTTGCTGTAGCGCTCCATATCAGGAGTGGTAGCGATCTTAAGAAGTAATCTCTTGATCAACTGGTAATCCAGCCTGTACTCGTCAAACTTGGCTACCGTTTCTCGTGTTTGCTTTGAGTATTTTTCCAGACTTGCTTGTAGCCCTCCAGCAGTGTCAGCGCTAGAATCTTCAGTCTCGTCAATATCCTCATCTACAGTGGTGTTGGCATCATCTTCAGATAAGCGATAATTGGTCATCTCGACTGCATCTTCAAGATACTTCATTTCCACGGGAAAAGTTCGGCCGGGGATATTGAGAACTGGTACACCACCAAGATAGTTCGAGAAGCGCTGTGCCTCGAGTGTTGCAGACATGAGAATGAGTTTCAAATCAGGCCGCTTCTGCATTAATCTCCGCAGAATGACCAACAAGAAATCACTGTCAATTGTTCGCTCGTGGACTTCATCCAAAACAACGTGGGTGACATCTTGGAAATCATCCGGTCGTTCTAACATGCGTACAACAACACCAGTAGTCCTAGATAGTGCTATGTCAGTTATGACTCGTGGTCATGAAAGATAGACGAAAAGTACGAAAGACATACGCGTAGACAAGGCGAGTGGACGAGCTGATCTTGCTTTCCAGTCTGACGGCAAAACCAACGAGGGATCGCATAGTCCCCACATCGTTCTTGCTTTCTCCAAGTTCTTCACTGACTCGCCGAGCAAGCGAGATCGCCGAAATTCGGCGTGGCTCCGTCACATAGACTTTGCAACGACGGCCTTGAAGCATTTCATGCTCAAGAATATAGGACGGAATCTGTGTACTCTTTCCACTTCCAGTCTCACTGCAAATGATGAGGGCTTGATGCGTATCTAACGTGCTCAAAATCTCATCCTTGAAGCTCCAGATTGGAAGATTCATTCGGCCTGGCATCATCTTGTGGAAAGATTGGGTTGATGCTTTGGCATCCCAAGCTTCCCTTATCCTTTCATCTTGGTTGATGTAGTTCTCACGGATGTTGCCTTTCAATGGGCTACCAGGCTTAGAGCCGGTTCCATTCCTCTTGCGGAAGTTGTCCAGCAGCACGACATCATCCTCGAATGTACCATGGTTATCCTGTGCAAGAGTTCTTAGACCCTTGACTATAGATTTGTCAATCTCATCCTCTTGTGTCTTCTTCAGATTTGAGAACTCGGTCCAAAGATCCCTCCAGACGGCAGGGATCCGCAGATAAGCTTTGCCCTCTTTAGAATTCTGAGGGAATAGAATGAATAGTGCAAGCGTTGAAACAAATCCCTCTGCCTGCTGGGCATCTGGTGTTGCAACAGAGTCCATCGAAACAAATGTAGCATTAGAGTTCGACTTATGTGTGACTGAATCCACATTCAGCAGAAAGGGGCTTTCCTGTGGTTTCGACCAACGAACTTCAACGGCCTTTCTATTTTGGTGACTCGAGGACGAAAAGTCTTGGTAAACCACTTTACAGGAAGAGTCTCGTGCTTTGCAGGTTTCTTCCAGAACTCGTCGAGGACTGAGACCGGTGGACTTTCCAAAATCCCGAAGCGTGATCTTGGCTCCAACATCGGGAGGCGGCAGACCTAATATTGACCCTGAGCCATCGGGCTCATCCTGGAACATGTCACCGAGAAGGCCTGCAGCTTCATCCATTTCTTCAAGGGATGGCACGGTGAGGTTGGGGTCCTCCGGTTCCGGCTCGGGTTCCGGTTCTTGTTCATCTTTCTTTCGCTCGACTGGCCGACGAAGAAATGCAGCATCCTTCCGAAGTTCTTCCAGCTTATCTTTCCAAATATATTCTGCTTCCTGACGCTCAAAAAGAACATCGCGTTCTATTTTGGCAATCTTGCGCTGGAGTTTGGCCGCCTCAGGGTCATCGGATTGAGTTGTTCCTCCGCCACGGTTCTTTTTGCCCTTACTTGGACGGTCGAAAAGGTCTGGTTGAAGGCCGTATAGCTTTGTTTGTAGCTCCAGCCACTCAGGAACCATGGTATCTGGGTCGATTGAACTGTCCGAGTCATATGAAATTGGGGGCGCAACCTTTGCAGCTTTCCAGGCAGCTTTGGGCTTTTCCTGTTTCGTGCCATTCTGGGTGTTACTGGGAGTCGAGGATCTCGATGCTTCTGATTCTAACAAGAGTTAGTATTTCATTTGTTTTCGAAGTTCAACCAAAGTCCGAGTTTACCAATCATCCATGATGTGACCTCTGCGTCTTTTTGAGGGCGAGAGTTTGTCTGAGTATATGAAGGCAGGTCTTTCTTATCGCTGTGCTTTGCCAACCACTCCAGAGTTTCGTCAAGATTCCATACAATTTCTCGACTAGCACTAGTGGGGGTCTCTTTGAAGTAAGTCAGAATGTGCTTCAGTGCTTCCTCAACTCGATTTTCGGCAAATCCAAGCTTGAGTAGCGTCTCCTGCAATGTCCAGAGCTTGACCAAGAGCTCTTCTTCGGAGCTATCCTGCTTTACACTTGCACTCCGTCCATTCGATGTAAGGTAATCGTGCTCTTCAGAGTCAGCTAGCTCCAGAATTCTATCCTGTATATCGACCGGAAGCCAATCAAGGAGGCCCAGCGTCACTGATTGTTGCCGAAAGACACGTCGTTCCGTGTCAAGCTTCGTGGCTTGACGCACCGCGTCACCCTTGCATTTTGCTGAATATTTATCAACTAGAATTTGTAACTCTGCCTCTTCCAAGTGTTTCTCGAGCTCCTCCGGGGAGTAATTCTGTAGCGAAGGGGGTAATTGTTCTGTGCCCGACTCTGCAGGACCGTCTTCTTTGTCTACGGGCTGTGGTTCGTTCTGTGGAGTAGGCTTTGATTCTGTGGCGGTTGATGAGGGTGTATCTATACTCTCTGGCTTTGGTTTAGAGGGCACGGAGACCGTTGCAAAGCCCCGCGCCGGATTGGAGGCGGGCTTCTTCTTTTTCTTATTGTTTGGGGGCATGCTCGGAGGTCTCTGCGGGGATGTAAAAGTTAGTACAAGTTAAGTCATATGAATTCTTCAAGAAGGAACATCAAAAATGGCCTCGACCAAGTTAACTCACATCAGAAGGGGTGGTTGATTGTGGTAGTTGTAGAAACAAGAATCAATTAGCAGTCGAGTGCGGCGGAGAGGCTCTCGGTGATTGTCCCCACACAAAACTCTTTATGACAGCATTCGATCGATTTCAGCCCACTTTCAACATTCCACCCTCCCTCCCTCACCCCCTACAACCCTCTATCCTCCACTCCCCTGTATTGACCTATTCCGATCATGGAAGGAATTCCATGGGACAAGGTCAAGGCTGGGGATCTGGATGCCTTGCGGGTCGCTCTCTTCTCGAGTTCGACCTCGCGCAGGCTCCGGGCCCTGCAAGAACTTCGCGACAAGAGCGGTAAATTTGCACCCGAATGAACACCCCCCAACAAAGCCATTGATCGACTGACAATCATTTATTTAGGGTCTGAAATTCCAGAAGAATTCCACCATGACATTATCGTGCTTCTCTTCCAAACGTATCCTTTTTACATCGACCGACCTTCGCGCCAGGCTGTTCAGCAATGCATCCGCGCACTCCTCCGAACCTCGAATGCTCCAGAACACCTCAAATATCTGACTGAGAACCTAAAGGTAGAGGCAGCCAGACCTGGTTTGTCTTCCGTCTCGGGCTTTGTTTTGTTGGAGTGGTGTTGCAGTATCTTGCAGCAAGCCAGCGAGAACTCGGCTACACCGTTGGAACCTGTGCTGGACCTCATTGTGGTTGATGCCAAGGCTTTGGACAACTGCCTCACCCATACACCGAAACCCTCCGTCAAACAATCGGCTGTTCGGGTGACCCGCCGTGCCTTACGCGCAGTATTTTCAAATGAAACATGGGGTGATGATGCTGTGCGCCAATCTGTCAGTCGATTGACCTCAGATTCCGCGGCAGGATCTAAGAATGCACCACTTCTCGGTGTGATCTCAGGCGTATGTGCCCGACTACCAGATCGGAAAGCTGCCGTCGAAGAATCTAAGCAAGCTATCCTGGCATACTACGTGAAGGAAATTGTGAGCTCAAAAACAGTCTTGCCTGCTCATGCTGCGGAGGGACTGTCCGACTTCTTTGCCAACTTTGTCACGTATGAGGACTTGACTACTGAGCTGGTACCTCCAATGGAGAAATCTATGCTGAGAGCACCAGAGGTGGTTTTCTGTGGCGTACTTCTCGGACTGGGTGCATCCCTACCCAAGGAGATCGACCTTTCCGAAGTCGTTCAAGGTCGCCTATGCAAACATTTTCTGTCTAACATGAAGTCTAACAATCCTGTGATTCGACAAGGAGCTGTCAATTCGTTCAAAGCAGTACTTTCTCGATGTCACACTGAGGCTGTCGTTCTAAAGATCACTAGTGAGATCGTGGGTCCCTTGAAGACAAACAAGATTACGGCACCAGAACATAGATCCGCGTATGCACAAGCAATCACTGCTATTCCAGCATCAATTGACGCTTCGAAAGAAACTGTCCAGGGGCTTGGACTTCTTTTCGCACGAGAGTCTAATGAAGCCGCTCTGGAGGAGGAGCTTAAAGCTTTCAGCCAACATCTTGCTTTCCTTATCAAATCGACCGTTAAGATTGCGGATGATGTTACAAATGCCATCGTAAAGGGAATCTCTGACAAGCGAGTGCCATTTCGGAAGATATGGCAGCTCAGCTTGGGAGAGGTCCTTTGGAATTCCGATATTACGGCTCTCAAGAGCCCCGATGCCCAGCCTCTTGTTACAAAGGTCCTCACAAGAATGAAAGAGATATTCGTGGAAGTTTCCTCCAATCCACTGCCTTCCGCCCAGAGTGGTGCACTTTCATCTGCACATATCTTCCTGGCTCTTTTCCAACGTATCTCGGATATCGAGGGGACAGAAAAATCAACTTGGGAAGAGAAGGTCTCACAGTCCATGACGATGGGCACAAAGCCTTCATTCCTTCTTAACCCCAAGGCCTATTCGAAGATTGGAACCGTATCAGAAATGCGGTGGGTGGTCAGAGCTTTGGCTGCCGTCGCCTGTGGATCAAAGTTTACTGACGCAGAGGACGCAGCGAAGATCGCTTGGGCGCAAGCTTTCATTTACGCTATAGCCGGCCCTGCTCTGCCAACCAACTTCCGCGGGGATGCCGTGGAAACTCTATCTTCTGTCCACCAGAAGGAGGTAGCTTCCTTCGGACATATTATACTCAAGGGCCTGTGGGCCTGGATCCATGCTTCCCGCACCGCCGAAAAGGAGTCTGCTGCCGCCTTTGCTGCCCCTGGAAGCGAGCGCTCGCTTCACTTAGTTCTTAAAGCCATCTGTCCTGCCGTTTCAAATGAGGCATCCGAAGGCACATCCTCTGACTTGCAAACCCAACTCATCAACATTCTGGTCCTCAGTCAGCAAAGCTTGATTCCGGGAGCGTCCTGGATTGCTCTATGCTTAAGGACCGGTATCGACCCGGGGAACCTAGTCCGTGCTCATCCCGCCGAATGCATTGAACAATTAGTTGGCGTCAACTCAGTATGTGCTACAATTCAAGCCCGATCACTTCTCATATAACAAAACTAATAAAGATGGTAGGACCCTATCCAATCTTCTGTGCCAGATGTTAACTCTGCTGTTTGGAGTGCCGCAGGAGATTTGGCATTTGTCGCCCCCGATGTCATGATCCCCCGTCTTGTCGATCAAATCAAAGCAGACCTAGATGGCTCTCGTCTATCTAAATTTACTGCTACAGACGCAGCAATTTCTCGCACCCCCGAAGGTACTGCTTTTGTCGACGTCCTCAGTAGTAAGTCAAAATATCCTGCTTTTGATAAGAATACCAAGGACTATGATACCCTTAAGTGGGAAGAAGAGCTTCGGGCTCAACTAGCAGAGAAGAAGGGCCAAAAGCCAAAGAAGCTCACAGCTGAAGAGCAATCTAAAGTCAATGCCCAGCTTGCTAAAGAAGCAAAAATTCGCGAAGATGTGCTTCAGGAAGTCAAGCGAATTGAACGAGGAGCTGGCATTATCCGAGGTCTTGCAACTGGCCCCGCCAGTGATGTTGAAGGCTGGATCAACGCAGCTGTTGGGTGTCTCCTCTCCCTTGCTCAAGCAGGCGCTGGTTTGTTTGTCGGTGATGTTGTATCACAGGCCTTTGTTGTCTGCGCCAACAAACTCTCTTCACGCCTAGGAAACCTCAGACCATTTGTGGGTATTGCTATCTTACGAGCTATTGGTAACACAAATCTGGCCCCGGAGCTGGAATTGGAGCATCTTGGTCAACTTGTCACGAGAATCTTGTACCGCCTGCGCTTTGCTTCTGAACAGCGTCCTTTGGATACCGCCTCTCTTGCCTACGTTCTTCCATTAGTTTTCCTCATTCTGAGTCAGAATGGAATTGACGAGGTCAAGGGTGAGCAGGAAGGCGAGCAAGTTCTGCTTGCTATCGAACTCCTGTCATTCCACTCTAATTCATGTAAGTTTTATAAATATGACTATAGCGACCTGGATACTGACTACTTTCTTTTCAGTCTCCGATGTGCGTCTTCCTCGTGTCGAAGTTCTCCAACACATCCTATCTGCGATGCAAAGATATACTCAACACTATAAGTTGATCAAGGATACATTGTTCAACTTCTGCCGTTGCATTTCTCCTAACATTAGCAACGTGGAACTTGACACCCTTCTAGAGGGCAGTATTGTCCCTGATACCTCCGTGCGAACGTCTGTGCTACAGGTCATTGAAGCCGAGATTGACTTGACCGATCTCGATTTCTCTGAACATATTTGGCTAGAATGCCACGATCATGTGGAAGAGAACGTTGAACTAGCGCAAACGATTTGGGAAGACAATGCGCTCGAAGTGGATGATGATGCGTTCCCTAAAACGATGAAATACTTGGACTCCAAGGATAGTCAGCTGCGTGGTGCTGCCGCCCGTGCATTAGCTCAAGCTATTGAAATGGATAAGAGCAAATTTGATGGCATATTCGCAGAACTCCAAGCCAAGTATACTGAAGATGTGAAGCCCAAAGCCCCCGAGAAAGACGCCTATGGAATGCCCAAGAAGATGGACAACCCCGACAACTGGGAGAGCCGCAGTGGTATTGCCTGGGCCTTCAACGCCATGACAAAATTGTTCGAGGGCGACCAGATCATTTCTTTTCTACGCTTCCTTATTGAGCGCGGTCCTCTCATTGACAAGAACTCCTCTGTTCGACGTCAGATGCAAGAGTGCGGAAAGTCTGTGATCGCTGAACGTGGCCAGCTTAAGGTTGAAGAGTTGATGAAGCTTCTGGAGACAACTCTGGAAACCTCCGACAAAGCCACCCAGAGCTCTGACCTGCTGAACGAGGCGGTTGTTGTTCTCTACGGAGCTCTAGCTCGACACCTGAAGGCTGACGATCCCCGTCTACAAATTGTGTTGAAGAAGCTACTTGCCACCCTTCCAACTCCTTCTGAAACTGTTCAGTCTGCGGTTTCAGAATGTTTGCCACCCCTTATTCGACTATGTGGCCCTAAGGCCTCTGATTATGTTCAAGAAATGCTCGACCAACTGCTGAATGTTAAGAGTTATGCTACTCAGCGAGGTGCCGCGTACGGCCTCGCAGGTATTGTCAGCGGAAAGGGTGTTTCAACGCTCCGGGAGTTCAGGATCATGAGCTTGCTTAAAGAGGCGACTGAGAACAAACGGGAGGCTCACCAGCGCCAGGGTACTTTCCTTGCCTATGAGCTTTTTGCTACTGTTCTTGGACGCACCTTTGAGCCGTATGTCATCCAAGTCGTTCCCCAGTTGCTTGGAGGATTCGGTGATGCTAGCATTGATGTCCGTGATGCCTGCCTGGACGCTTCTAAGGCTTGCTTCCAGAACCTCAGTTCTTATGGTGTGAAGAAGATTCTTCCTACCCTGCTCGATGGGTTGGATGATACTCAATGGCGCAGTCAAAAGGGAGCATGTGAACTCCTGGGAGCCATGGCTTATCTTGACCCGCAGCAGCTTGCCGCCAGCTTGCCCGATATCATTCCCCCTCTTACAGTGGTCCTAAACGACACTCATAAAGAAGTCCGCAACGCCGCAAACCGCAGTCTTCAGCGGTTCGGAGAAGTCATTAGCAACCCCGAAGTCAAGAGCCTGGTTGGTGTCCTACTCAAGGCCCTGAGTGACCCGACCAAGCACACCGATGAAGCACTGGACTCCCTCATCAAGGTTTCATTTGTGCACTACCTGGACGCTCCTTCACTGGCTTTGGTTGTCCGTATCCTTGAGCGTGGTCTTAGTGACCGCTCCAATACCAAGCGGAAGTCCGCTCAAATCATCGGTAGCTTGGCTCACCTTACTGAACGCAAAGATCTCATTTCGCACTTGCCAATCATTGTGGCCGGCCTTAGCTTGGCTATTGTCGACCCTGTGCCCACTACTCGTGCCACCGCTTCCAAGGCCCTGGGTTCCCTTATCGAGAAACTTGGCGAGGATGCTTTGCCCGATCTCATCCCCAACCTTATGATTACACTCAAGTCCGATACTGGCGCTGGAGACAGACTGGGCTCTGCTCAGGCCCTGGCAGAGGTTCTCGCTGGTCTGGGTGTTACAAGACTCGAGGAGACACTGCCTACAATTCTCCAGAACGTCTCCAGCTCCAAGGCTGCTGTGCGCGAAGGATTTATGACTCTGTTCATCTTCTTGCCTGCTTGCTTTGGTAACAGCTTCGCCAACTACCTCAGCAAAATCATTCCTCCCATTCTTGCTGGTCTTGCTGATGATATCGAGTCCATTCGTGAAACCTCCCTCCGTGCTGGTCGCCTATTGGTCAAGAACTTCTCTGCCAAGGCCATTGACCTGCTTCTTCCTGAATTGGAGCGTGGACTGGCAGACGACAGCTACCGCATTCGTCTCAGTTCAGTCGAGTTGGTTGGAGACTTGCTCTTCAGTCTTACTGGTATTAGCGGTAATACCGAGGCGGACGAAGAGGAGGAGGAAGCCACTCAAGCAGGCCAGTCTCTTCTTGAAGTTCTTGGAGAAGAGCGCCGAGATAAGGTTCTCTCTGCTTTGTTCATTTGTCGCTGCGATACTTCGGGCTTGGTCAAGAGCGCTGCCATGGCTGTTTGGAAGGCATTGGTCGCTTCCCCGAAGACTCTCAAGGATATGGTGCCTACCCTTGCTCAACTCATCATTCGTCGGCTTGGTTCATCAAACATGGAGCAAAAGGTTATTGCCAGCAACGCGCTCGGCGACCTCATCAAGAAGGCTGGAGAATCAGTGCTGTCCACCTTGTTGCCTCTGCTTGAAGAAGGCCTGCAATCTTCGCCAGATGTCGATGTCAAGCAGGGTATCTGTATTGCCCTGCGGGAACTCATCACGTCTGCCAGTCCTGATGGCCTGGAAGACTATGAGAAGGTTCTCATCTCTACTGTCCGGGTCGCTCTCGTGGATAACGATGAAGATGTCCGTGAGGCTGCCGCCGAAGCCTTTGACGCTCTCCAGCAGATTTTAGGAAAGAGGGCCGTGGATCAAGTCCTGCCTTACCTGCTGCACTTGCTCAGAAACGACGAGGAGGCTGAACAGGCTTTGTCTGCACTGTTGACCCTGCTCACTGAGCAAACCCGTGCAAACATAATCCTGCCTAACCTCATTCCTACCCTGCTTACCCCGCCGATTTCCTCCTTCAACGCCAGAGCCCTCGCATCTCTTGCCGAAGTTGCAGGAGGTGCAATGACAAGAAGATTGCCCAATATTCTCAACGCCTTGATGGATGGTATTATCGAAACCAAGGACGACGAACTTCGCTCGGAACTCAGCACTTCCTTCGATACTGTGTTGGTGTCCGTTGATGAGTACGATGGCCTGAATGTCGCCATGAACGTTATGATGACTCTTGCCAAGCATGATGACCACCATCGCCGTGCCGAGGCCGCTCTCCATCTGACCAGGTTCTTCGCTGAGGCTGATCTCGACTTCTCGAGATATTACCCAGACTTGATTCGTGTCTTGCTAGTCTCATTTGATGACCGAGACAGCAGTGTTGTCAAGGCTGCATGGACCGCCCTCAGTGGCCTTATGTCTCACATGCGTAAGGAAGAGATGGAAGTTTTGGCCATCCCCGCTCGCCAGATTTTGCGACAGGTCGGTGTTCCTGGCGCAGATCTTCCTGGCTTCAGTCTTCCCAAGGGAATCATGGCTATCCTGCCAATTTTCCTTCAAGGGCTTCTCAACGGCACTGTGGACCAACGAACACAATCAGCTCTGGCAATTTCCGATGTTATCGACCGTACTGGCGCTGCTTTCTTGAAGCCTTTCGTTACTCAGATTACTGGTCCTCTGATTCGTGTCGTGTCCGAGCGCTCAGTCGACATCAAATGTAAGTGTTTCTACGATACGTCTTTGCACCAAATACTTGGGATGCTCATTTTTAACTCCCTACAGGTGCCATTTTCTTTACGCTTAACAAGCTACTCGAAAAGATTCCATTGGCTGTTAAGCCTTTCCTTCCCCAATTGCAGCGTACATTTGCCCGTGGTCTGGCTGATTCCTCTAGTGAGACACTGCGTAATCGCGCAGCCAAGGGTCTTGGTATTCTGATTACCTTGACCCCCCAGTCGACCCTCTGATTGCTGGTAAGTGTTTCTCTGTAATAGACGCATTTCGCATTCAGGGAGAGACATAGCTAACGTACATCTCAGAACTTATTACTGGATCCAAGACCACTGACGTGGGTGTGAAGAATGCCATGATGAAGGCCCTTCAGGAGGTGGTCGGCAAGGCTGGCGGCAACATGAGCGAGGCATCTCGGACAGCCATTCTCACTTTGATTGATGATGAGTCTAGCGACGAGAATGACAAGGTGGCTATCACTAACGCGAAACTGCTGGGTGCCCTTGTCAAGGTTCTCCCTGAGTCTAGTGCCACTCCTCTGATCAAAAACCGCATTCTCAGCGGCCAGCTCTCACATGCGTCCGTGCTCGGGTTAAACTCTCTCTTAGCGGAGGCGCCTGCATCCCTGATCGAGAATTTCTCCACCGAAACGATTTCGACCATCTGTCAGGGAATTGCGGACAAAGATCCTTTTGTGTCTGATAACAGCGTTCTCGCTGCTGGCAAATTCCTCCTGTCTGAGGATGGCAACCATAGCTTCGAGACGCACAAGACGATCTTTGAAGCTCTTGCTCCTGTCATTCCACCAGGCGCTCCAGTTGACACCCGCCGCTTGACGCTTGTAGTCATTCGGACTATCAGCCGTCTCCACCCGGAGATGACTCGTGCTCACCTGGCTCTGCTAGCACCGCCCATCTTCGGTAGCGTTCGTGACCTAGTCATCCCTGTGAAACTAGCCGCGGAGGCTGCTTTCCTTTCAATATTCTCCGTGGTGGAGTCTGATACTGAGGTCTTTGACAAGTATATGGCCGGCCCCGGTGCCTCTCTTCCACCCGGACCCAAGCGCAGCATGTCAGACTACTTCAAACGTGTTGCTATGCGTCTTGCGGGCCAGGCTCGTGAGCGCCGTGTTGCTGAAGGAGGTGAAGGTGGGCTCGGTCTGTCGAATGATGAGGTCGATGATGAAAAGGAAGTGTGGAGTATTGGCAAGGTGGATCTGGGAGAGGATGCATTTGCCGATGATTAAGTGATGTCTATGAATGAATGCCCAAGTGACGAATGTATCCATCGGAGCATTAAGAAAGAAACGGGTCAAAGAACTCAAGGTCGCAATCTACATGCATGTAGAAGTTTCGGCCTTGTATTCGTTTTTGTTTATTTGTGTGATTCGTACAAAAGCTGTTTGATGATGAAATGTCGATGATTATATTGTTTCAAGTGGATTCTCAAATTTTGCCTCAATTAGATGTATAGACTTGTTCGTACAGAAGATTTTAGCCGCTAATTGAAATTTGCATATCGATGCCTTCTCTATGAAGTACTTAAATGTAAATAGATATCCTTGAACATGTCATTCGGGTGTGAAGCTTCCAAGGTTGATGTTGATGTTGATGTTGACAATGACATATTGGATTATGTCAGGCAATAGTGGGGCGCTCTGTTAAAGTGGGGATGAATCCTAATGAGGTTAGTCTATATCATGTGACCTTATCTCTTGATACAGATCACGTGCGGTGATCTTAAGAAGAAACGTAACCAACGCCTTCTCTTAGTGTAGACAGTGGGCAGTTTCGCATTTAATTCCTTGGAAAATACTCCTCGATTTCAATTGATCTGTATCTTTTAGATTATTTTCGGCTTCTATCGTTCCCTCCTATAATTCTATCTCGATACTCCGCAGATTGAAAATTTCAAGGTTCGGATTACCCGATCGGGCTAGGGCTAAGGGTGTAACCCTAGTACCCTAGTGTGGAAGGGCACTCGCTTACCAGGAATTAGCTAATCGGCCCGCCCAACTTCTCACTGTCTGGATTTCCCAGTCGAGTGCCCTACGAACATCATCCGCCAACCGACCGTCGCCGACATCAAGATGTGAGTGCCATCTGATATACACTATCCCCGAGAGAATCCAAGCCCTGTGATTTGAATTTCGCGAACTCGCTAGATCGCCATGTCGAACAGAGGAGAAAGGATGGATCTTGATTTGAAGCAATTGTGTGCCAGTGGCTGACCCCGACTTTTTTTCTAAACAGGGTCAACCTTCGCACCCAGAAGCGCCTCGCCGCCTCCGTGGTCGGCTGCGGCAAGCGCAAGATTTGGCTCGACCCTAATGAGATGAACGAGATCTCCAACGCCAACTCCCGTCAGACCATCCGCAAGCTCGTCAGCGATGGCCTCATCATCCGCAAGCCCGTCACCATGCACTCTCGTGCCCGCGCCCGTGAGCTCAACGAGGCCCGCCGCATCGGTCGTCACCGCGGTCTGGGTAAGCGCAAGGGTACCAAGGACGCCCGTATGCCCAGGTATGAAGGATTCAATATCGAGAACGTAACAGTCATCTCGGATTCGATCGAGACGATTTGATATTAGGAGACATCCATGCTGATTTGGTCTCTTTCTACTTTACAGCCAGGTCCTCTGGATGCGCCGCATGCGTGTTCTCCGTCGTCTGCTCGTCCGCTACCGTGCCGCCGGCAAGATCGACAAGCACCTTTACCACGAGCTCTACCACCTGAGCAAGGGTAACACCTTCAAGCACAAGCGTGCTCTGGTTGAGCACGTAAGTTGATTCCTCGAGCTGCAATTCCATTTCCCTTTCCATCCGGCTATCGATATGCGAAAACCAACCCCGCCACACTTGAAACCCTCCCCGCACAGCACAGTCTGCTGACATTATTTCTTCGTAACTCCAGATCCAGAAGGCCAAGGCTGAGCGCCAACGTGAGCGTGTCCTCAAGGACGAGATGGACGCTAAGCGTGCCAAGAACAAGGCTCTCCGTGAGCGCCGCGCTGAGCGCGTCGAGGCCAAGCGCACTGCCCTCGAGGCCCAGGAGTAAATCCTTTCAAAATCTCATTCCATTGTGTGACGTTTTTCTCATGTTCGGCGATGGTGCGGAGGTTGAAAGCGGTTCCCTTGTGGGCTAGTTCCGGGATTCGGCCCCTACAAAGTTTTTTGTCCCCCCTCGAATTCTAGGTCGGCCTTTTTACTTTTCGACTCTTTCCTATAGTCGGACTCTTTTTTCTTCGAAAATCTTTGGCGACTGGCGGGGCTTTCTGGAAAATTGGGAATGTGGGGGCAATAGGAAGATGCGATGATGATGTGATACTCAAGCTTCTCTTGTTAATATCGAGAAAGCAAAAGGAAACTACTTTTTTCTCTCAAAACAAAAAAACTAAAAACTTCCCCCATCGGCATGGCGCTTGTGTGTTACGAAATGTGATCGCTTCCTTTCAATCTCTTGCGTCTGGGCTCTTATGCTTGGCCCTGCATATCGTAGAACCTTTGTAGATAGTACACGTCCACCCCACTCCCCCCCTCTCAGCACTCTTTATTGCCTGTTCGCAGCCCGCTGTCTACCTTATGGAAACGAGGCACTCATTACCTATGGTCCCCCGGGAATCGATTGACAGCTTACGTGTGTATCAAAAGAACATTGAATCTTACGCTTTCCATCTCAGACTTCGACGAAACATCTGAATTAATCCGTATTCAAGTATATGAACCATTGTTCAAATGTTGTATGTAAATAAGGTTCCAGCCCTGGAGACAGAATATACATTCAAGTTCAGCCCAACGTCTTTTCCATCTCCACAAAACACAAGTCCTCCGCTAACACGAGGTGCGGGAAAGCCTCCCTAGGAAAAGGCGAGACCTCACCTGTCTTCCGGTATCCTCTCCGCTCATACCAAGCAATAAGCTCCCGTCTCGTTGATACGGCATTTAGCCCAGCCTTCGTCGATCCCCAAGTCTCGTGACAGTACTTTTCAGCATATTCTACCACTTGGCGCCCAACGCCAGATTGTTGATAGGCCCCGTTCACTGCAATCATAGCAAGACGCGCAGTATCAGCTTCGCGCTTTGAGATTTCAATAGAAGCCACAAGGTCCTTGGTTTCATTGTCCGAGGGGGCTATGATGATTGCCTTGTCTGGGTGGGTGATTGTGGCGAGGACATCTTCGAGGCGAACACGGAAGTTCCGGCCGAGTTCCATATCTGCAGTCCAATTTTCGCGTGTGTCTTCTGCACGAAATGCGTATTCCACGAGCTCCCGGATTGATGGGGCATCGGCTGGTGTTGCCAGTCGAAATTGGAGGTGAAGACTCATGATGTTAGAAGTTGATATGTAGAGTTGACTCGAGTCTTTGGAGTTGGCTTGTTCAAGTTTGTGGCTTCTTGTGCATAAATTGGATTTGGGATTTATATATTTGCAATTTCACAAGGCTGTGATATGACTTCCAAGGTTTTCTTCGTTAATATAATGTAACATCGACATTTGAAGTTCGATGTAATGGGAAGGGCGTCAAAACGCGCTTGGCGGGTATTTATATTTAGCACTACAAAATCGCGCAACTTCAAGTTGAAACTGCGCTTCAGCACGTCCACAGAGTGTCTACTCAATAATTTACTCAGAAATCAAAGCGCAAAAGGTTAACAGGCAATAAATGACTCGCTTTATTGAACTACCTTTTTCCTCAATGTTGCCAAAAATCCGTATGAACTTGCCATCGTTTATCGCACGATAAGATAAAAGACGTGGCCCCATATTAAATAGAGTAAGCACTAGATTACCGTCAGCCGCAGTAAATTTTAAGATCGAGGTAAATTGATGAAGCTTACCATCGCTAAATTCCTCGAGCGTCGAACAGATCAAGTGTGCTCAGCGGTCGTGCAGCTTAGATCGAGGTTGGTCCCGAGGTATTCACGGGCTTCGAGTCTCAAGTTGAGGTGGCTTCTAAAAAAAAAATCAATAAGGATGTAAAACACCGAGCGTCGAAATTACTTACTAACAGGAAGCGCATAGATCTGAGAATGTCGACGATTGATGAAGTACACGATCGGTTGCTCTTCATTTGACAATGGAGGTTCAGGCAGCTCCCCGTTGTAGAAAGTAGAAACACTTAATCCCCATTTCCATGAGAACAACAAAGTTATTTTCGGTGACTGTCACTTCGTCTTTTACTAATTCAGCTGGAGGTCCTGTTAACAGATCAGGCATAGTGGGGCTCCAGAGCATGGTGTGTTCGTCAGGGTCATAAGGAGGACATCCCGGGCCAAAGACGCCCTGTTTAGCAGTTCGTTCGATGAAGAAATCCCAGTTGAAATAATCTGAGCGCATCCATCTATCAACGCGAGCAACACGAGGAGGTCAAAGGCAGTCGTATTCTGCGATTTCCCCAATGGGCTTGGCTTGACCTGGTGCATATATGATGATAATTCGGCTTTGCATCCATCGGAAAGGGAGTTCTTCTTCCTCCTTCTCATACGCGTCGTGAGATAAACCCCTCATGCTGTATTGAGAATGAAAGAGAAAATTGAGATATATTTAGAATCGATTTGGTACATTGATTGACTGAGAGGGGTGAGACAATACACTTGATTTGATGTAAGAGGTATGGTAAGAGAGGAACTTAGAGGGCTGAGAGAGAGAGAATCAAAATAAAAAGCAGTGTAAAGCAATGGCTTAAATAGACGCTTGTAGGTAATTAGGCACCAAGAGCGGTAGTAGTGAATGCTACAGGCATAATGTCACAACATATCTATGCCTACAGAAGCATAACCGTAGAAATCCCATTAACTTCCATTCATAGTACATGCCTAAATGCACGTGGTTTTGAGTAATAGATCATAAAAACGAGAGGAAACTATGAAACCGACTGTGTAAACAATGGAATATTACCACATCAACTTAATATTCTTACATTGCTGCTGTTGTTGATCATTTCTTCATTGTATTTGTCAACTGGTGGAGTATCACAGTGAGGCTCGGCGGAACCAATCATATCACGGGGCACGTAAGGCCTCAACTTGAGGTCACGACCCCCGCATATCCTCGGAGTATTCCAAGGTTTAAGGCATACAATATTCCACGGACTTAGAAAGTTCTTTCATCCATCCATCCAGGTTATCCAAATTATTATGTTGCCCAAGTAGAATAACAATAACAAAGGTGTTATCATCATGTCAGCCACTACACTCGAGGAGTGGGTTAAACTTGAATGTAAGTGCATTGTGGTGTTTACATCCCCCGCATAGTACAACCTGACACGCTTTTAGGTCAACCCACAAATTCTTCGGCCAACGGAGTTCTAACATGGACAGCTTCTATCTCGAGATCGCGAGTTTCTACTGCAGATGGCCTGGGATTGAGTGAAAATGCGGATTCTGGTGCCATGAACAGCCTAGAAAGCTTACTTCGCATAGTACAGCAACTGAAGCTCAAGAGACTTCGCGCAGAAGAAATCGAAGAACTCCAATTTGTTGCGGCTGGTGAAACATTTTCAGTATCACGATGTCATTATGAAGGGAAAGTGGTCGCCGTCAAGCGCATTCGATTGAATGAAGAAGGGTCAAATTCCGATCGACGACATTTTCAGCGACGTTTACAGTCAGTTCTACGAGAGATATCAATTCTGTGTCATCCACCAATTGCCCACCACCCGAATATCATTAGTCTTTTGGGATATGGGTGGTCCATGCAAATGCAGCGGGTCTCCCCTTTCATTTCTCTAGAGTTTGCTACACATGGCTCATTGAGAGATTACATGAAAGAGCGGAAACGATCAATCAAGACAAAATTGATCCTGGTTGGGGATGTGGCAGCAGGGTTAATGGCATTGCATAAGTGTGGAATTGTGCATGGTGATTTGAAGGCTGATAATGCGGTGGTCTTTTCTTCACTAGATCGTCCGTCCATGTCGATTGCCAAAGTCTCTGACTTCGGACATTCTATCTTGGTGAGCTCAGCGTCAGAAGAAAAGTCGAAATACGTTGGGACAACATTGTGAGTCAATGTTGAAGATAGTAGATAAAGAGACTTTTCTTTGCTGACTTTGTAGATATAATGCACCCGAGGTAGCCAATCAAAAGAACCAGCCCATCCCCCTTGAACAGCTTCATAAATGCGACATCTGGGCTTTTGGGCTCTGCGTGTGGGAAATTCTCGCAGATGGAGAAATTTATTTCAAACACAACTGGCGAACGGATCCCGTTTACCATGCTCCTCCGTCCTACACCTCGCCAACTTCGCCTGTAGACCAAAAGTCCCACGAAGAAATCCCGATCGGAGAAGACAACGCGAAAAAAGACGAGAATGAAGAAGAGAACGTGCTCGGTAACTTCGATCTTCACCATACCAAGACCCTTGCACTCGATTTCGTGAATAGTATGAATATTCCAGGGATTGGATTTGAGAAAGGTTATCTTCGCCCATTATTGAATGGCACATTGTGCAATGATCCCACCAAAAGAATGTCCGACCTGAGCTGTACACCAGTCATTGGATTTTGGAACAAAAACTTTGGCGCTTTGTCTTTGCAATCGAAGCTTGCCATTTACACATTTTCAGGAGATATTCGATACTCTATATTCAGCAGGGACAATGGCCCGTACATCATTTGGGAGCAACAGGAACAACTGTTGCAGGATTTCGAGACCGTCGCTCAGAAAAATGAGCCCCAGAAAAACAACGGGTCTGCTATATTTCAGACAATGCTTTGTTATGTGAATGTTTTTGGTACATCGATGGACTTATCCAAGGCTTCACAATTTCTACACGCGGCTGAGGAAGCAAATCATTTGGTAGCCTGTATTTTGGGATGTCGATTGCAAAATGCATTCTCTGGAGATCACGTTTCTACAAAAAAGTATAGCGAGTGCTTAGCTCTTGGCTTTAGCAAGATTGGGCAACATGAAAAGTCGACCGCTATCTCAGTGCATAATGGCGAATCAGTCATGGAATTTGCAGATTACTCTGCTCTTAAAGACGCAATTCTGCACGAGCGTACCTTTGCGGACGTTGATAAAGATGACCTTGAGAAAATCATCCTCACGCGAAATGGATCTTCACAGAGCTGGAATGTTTTAGAGATGGCCATACAACAGGGAGATATTGATCTTATGGGCCGATTACTTCCGGCTTTTAGCCAAAAACTAAATGAACCAGGAAAGAATGGATGTATTTTGGTGCAAGCAGCTCGCTGGGGCCACGGGGACATGGTTATCCGGCTTCTACAAGAAGGAGTAACTATCTCGCATAGGAGTCCAAGCTCCTATCTTCTGCACTGGCTTTTTTGCCTTGACAAAAGTGACCTACTTGAGGTTCAGAGGCTGCTGCAAAAGAGAATGAGCCAAAGTGATCGGCTTTCAGCAATCAGCTGTGCGGTCGTAGAAAAATTTCCACTCCACCCACAATGGCCATTTGTGGTGCACGGCACACCACTCGCAACTGCAGTTGCCTCTGGTAGTCTCGCGGCCGTGGAAACCTTACTGAGTCTGAAAGCTGATCCAACTGCGGCAGCTTTTGCCAGCACTGAGGAAGACGACTCGGCACCAGTGTTGACGCCAATTCATCTTGCTATATCTTATCATTTCCCGGAGATGGTCAAGAGGTTGTGGTATGCCGCATTTGGTCAGAAAAAAATCAAACTGAATGGAGGAAGCCGTTCACATAAGCTGGGTCGCTTCCCAATCGCATGTAGTATTAGTCTAAGGACCAACTGCGAGCGATTTGCGATTCATGGAAGTCGTCATCGACAAGTAATCCAGGAGACCATTGATCTGCTTCCAATCGAGGCATTCACTCAGACGTCGCCCGAGGGCAAGGATGCGATCACGCAAGCAATAGACCTTGAAGATGTCGAAGCCGTGGAGTTGATCCTCCAAAGTCACCCGATACTTGCTCGTAGACGACTCTGTCAGCCAGGAAAAGACGTTATGTTCACATACCCGTTGCATTTTGCCGTTCAAGTAGGCTCCCTTCGGGATAGTGAAGAATCTGCACAGATTGTGAGTGTTATTATGAAACTTGACCCAACTGCTATCAATAGACCGGATAGCTCCTCAGCCAAACCAATACATGTTGCTGCTATGGGGACATCGGCCCGTATGCTAAACACGCTTCTCGAATATGGCGCCAAACCTTTCGAGCTGGATGGCCGCGGCCAAACACCACTGTTCTTCTGCAACAGTGCAAATGTCGCGAAGGTGCTGTTGTCAAATGGCGCAAATATTAACCATAAAGATCAATTAGGCTTTACCCCTGTTCACGCAGCGATAAACCAAGGCGCAATAGAACTCTTGCAAGAACTTATCAATGCTGGTGCAGAATTGAAGTACGTTGCTGGTGAGAGTGGGTCGCCACTACATTGCGCGGTGAAGAAAAGGTCTCTTTTGATGGTAGAGATGCTCTTGAAGGCCGGTATGGACGTCGATGTGAAGGACACCAACAATCGTACATCATTACTTGACGCGATAGACACAGGCCGCTCAGATCTGGTTTCGGTTTTGTTCGAAAACGGTGCAGATCCCTTTATAATGGATAAGAATGGCTCATCACCTTTCCATATGGCCCTGTCCTGGCCCAACGCCAGTATCCTGATTAAATTTCAAATATCCAAAAAGCTCGAGACCCTATCCTTTGAGACAAAAGTGGCCGCTTTATACTTCGCAGCTGAAAACTCCGAGCCCGGGACATTGAGATTATTTCTATCAAAAGCATTCGGACCAGTATTACGCGAGAACAGACCTGTTTTCCTATATCGTCGGGATGTAGATATAGCAGTCCACAAGGCGGTATTGGCCTCTCGAGCAGATCTACTTGGGACATTGTTGGACTATGGACTCAGGGTCGACCCAGAAGACGATGACGGCAACACACCTCTTCTACTAGCTTGTTTAATGGGTCGTAAACGACCTGGTTTTGATCAATACTCTCGCGCAAACGTTTGCGTCACACTCATTAACCACGGAGCCAACATCAAAAGCAAGAATAAGCGAGGAATCAACCCTTTCTCTATCGCTCAAGCGCATACGGATTATCATGTAATGTCGCTTCTACTCGACCATGCTTTCAGGTTGAGTGATCTAGATGCGAAGTCTCGTATGTTGGACTCGATCAAAGGTCCCGAAAAGGACAAGCAACACTGCCAAGAGTCCCGAGAACTCATTGGCGATGAAACGATTGACCTGCAGTTACTTAAACAGGCAGCGATAAAAGAGGAATGGAGTTTCTTCATGGCCTGCATCGGAGGGAACTTCGTGGGAAAGAACGATCTGCTTCAAATCTTCTCAAGACCACGATCGTACCGTGGGGTCGAACCAGTCGATAGTCTGGACGTTCTACGCTATCAATGTGTCCAAAGAGACCAAGAGATCGTTCGCTATTTACATCAAATAGCAACCTTGGGAGCCACTATTGAATCCAAGGTTCCTTTCGGAAAGCGAAATCTGCAGACAGAATGCTCTGAATGTGCAGCTGGTCTGAGTGCCACTTTGTGGCCTAAGGAGGACATGCCAGCATCATAGGACACAGGTGAGAAAGACAAAGCAACTCTAGAAAACTTAACAAGACGGACTAAGAAGCGATTTTCAGGATCCCAATCTAAAGACTCAAGTAAGGAAAACTCAATTCACCAAAAAAAGTGGGGCTGGGGTTCAAATGAGCTCCCCGATGACCGAATGTCTTCTGATGAAAATGAGTCCTATTATGATGCTTGGTAATTAGCGACAACAAGGGCCGGGAAAGAAAACGAGGAGGGAGATCTGGAAAATAATGCAAGGAGCCCAGAAGAAAGCGAACATTTATATTTTGAGAGCGCAGTATCACTGAATAGGTCCCTGGGGAGTTCGCTTAATGATTTAGCCAGTCCCTCGAGGGATTAGGCCATTCACGTGTTGTTCTTTGGTTTAATTTGAATAATTGGACTTATGTATGGAATCCGTCAGAAGAACATGGTGTCAGTTGCCACAATAATCTCAAGAATTAGCACATCTCGCCCAAATAAAATGCAGGATTTCATCATTTACGAGCTACGAGGTGGGACTCTACTACAGAAGCGAGCGGAGTATCGGACGGCGATTTATCGGACTAAGCCTTACTCGGTTCGGGATCGACGACGCCGATCCAGCATCATCCCGAATGTAACAGCGGGCTCCTTTGAAACATTTCCTGGAGAAAGAGACTCATTTGTTCGCTTGGTATGAATCTTCACATGAGAAAAGAGGAAAACACCCCACAGAATACGATTGTTTGTCCGCTGTCTCGTGAAGTAATTTCCGATGGATAGCCCCGAACCATGAAGATCGTCGCTCTCTACCCAATCAGACGCATAGTCCTTCATGTTCCCCGTGGGGCATGATGTTGTGCTGAAAGGCATGACTGGGGGTGGTTGGGGAATATAAAAAGCACAGAAGAATCCTGCATTCCAGGCATATCCACTTCATTTCGTCCATATTATCACGCAGTCATGATGTTGCCAATCAATGTTTTAGCACTTGCACTGTTAGCCCCAGGGGCTATCTCGACGCCTCTGCAGCCCGGGCGCCGCCAAACTAGCCTCAGCAGCTTCATCCAATCAGAATCCTCCGTTGCCCTACAAGGTGTGCTGGACAACATCGGCGCCAATGGAAGCAAAGTATCTGGCGCCTCATCTGGAATTGTGGTGGCGTCGCCATCCAAAGTGAACCCTGATTGTGAGTGCTGATTTGCACATGATTTTTGTTTTGTTTTTCACAAAAATACCACATATGATGCAAGGGCTGACATTGGCTATTAGACTTTTACACTTGGACGCGAGATGGTGCCTTGACCCTGAAAGCTTTGATTGATGCATTTATTGCTGGAGATAGTTCATTGGAATCCACCATTCAGGAGTACATTGATGCTCAAGCCAAACTGCAAGCTGTGTCTAACCCATCTGGTGATCTATCTGATGGATCCGGACTTGGAGAGCCCAAGTTCGAAGTGAATATTACTGCTTTCACTGGTGACTGGGGTCGTCCCCAGCGCGATGGACCAGCTCTACGAGCCACTGCTCTTATCGCCTACGGCAACCATCTGGTGTCAGCTGGAGAGACATCTACAGTTAAATCCAACATTTGGCCTATTGTGCAGAATGATTTGAACTATGTTGCACAGTACTGGAATCAGACTGGATTTGATCTTTGGGAGGAGATTGAGGGCTCTTCCTTCTTCACCATCGCTGCTCAACACCGTGCCTTGGTGGAAGGAAGTGCATTTGCCTCTAGCCTCGATGAAACCTGCGCTGGTTGCGATTCACAGGCCCCTCAAGTTTTGTGTTTCCTCCAGGATTTCTGGAATGGTACCGCTGTCATTTCTAACTTGGCAAATGACGGTCGCTCCGGCCTGGACGCAAATTCCTTGATTAGCACAATCCAAACCTTCGACCCCGAAGCCGCCTGCGACGATACGACCTTCCAGCCTTGCTCCGAGCGTGCACTGTCGAACCACAAGCTGGTTGTCGACTCCTTCCGCTCGATCTATAGTATCAACAGTGGTAAATCTGCCGGCAGCGCTGTTGCGATCGGAAGATACGCCGAAGATACTTACCAGGGAGGCAATCCATGGTATGCTGGACTCTCTTCTTGCTCATTTCCAATTATGTCCTTGCCAAGTTTCTAATAATCATACCAGGTATTTGGCCACTCTGGCTGCGGCCGAGCAACTATACGATGCTCTTTACCAGTGGGATAAGCAGGGAACGCTGTCGATCGGCCAGACCAGTCTGCCATTCTTCCAGGCTCTGGACTCTTCGACTGCCACTGGAAATTACTCCAGCTCTTCTTCCACATACTCCTCTCTTACCAGTGCCGTGAAAACTTATGCTGATGGCTTTGTGTCGATTGTCCAACAATACACTCCCAGTAACGGATCTTTGGCAGAGCAGTTTACCCGAGACGATGGCACACCGACTTCTGCTGGCGATCTGACTTGGTCTTATGCTGCATTTTTGACAGCTGGTGATCGTCGGAGTGGAACAGTGCCTAGCAGCTGGGGATCTTCCACTGCTAACGAAGTTCCATCTCAGTGCTCTGGTAGCTCTGCGACTGGCAGCTATTCGACACCATCAGTTGGAAGTTGGTAACTTGGTAACATGATAACTTGAAATTGGTACTATAGTCAAACCAGTTAGAAATTTCATTACTTGCGAAAAAACCTGGCATAGTGTGTGTTATAATAGAGATCGTAAATTCTTTTACTTATTTTTCTATAAACTGCACAGTTGACAAGTGGTAAGCACCCGATCGGGACAGATACCGCGAGGCTCGAATCAATCAACAGAAACTAAACCTGATTGAGTTTAGTGGCTTGGATGTGGATCCTGCGTACGAGAAGCAGCAGGAAGAGGAGGGAGAGAGGAGAAACGAGAGGCTCTGCGCCCGAGGCCCTTTGCAGCCTAAACTTCTTAATCCAAAGAAAAGTCTCTTCTATTCCTTCTTTCCCTCTCATTTCATCTCTACTCTGTTTTCTTGTTTACCAAGTCTCTCATTTCATTTTTTCATTTTTTTCATTTTCATTTTTCTCTCAACCAATACATATCAGCTCGGTGGACCATGGGTCGCCTCCACAAGGACGATCGCCCCGATACGGCAGCATCTTCTCACTCACTTCACTCTATCGACGATGACCTCCCACCTCCTTATACCGATGAACCCAACATTGGCCCGAGTTCTCACACATCTACCTCGGGCACTGCTCCCCTCCCAATCCACCTCCGCCTCGTGGATTCAGCCTACATTCTCCCCGACTCCACTATCAAGGCCGATGATAAGTGCGCGATTTCACTCGCGCCAACTCTCTCGCGAAACAGCAATGAATTATTCCACGCAATCCGGCGGCAGATGAAGTTGCCTCCGCGGCCATTAATCTACGTCAAAGGCACGCACACAGAATCAAAGAGCAATGCAAAGAAGGGAGCCAACAACAGCGTGACGGATTTCGAGTTCAAGCTTGATCTGGCCGAAACCATGCTGACTGGATGGGAGGGCGAATCGCAAATGGGCATCAAATGGGTGGAAGAGGAAGTTTTGACCGACGAGGATCATAAACCCGCTTTTCGTGGGGGAAGATTCAAGTCGCGCACATATGTAGCGAATTCCCTACGCGCACCTCACTCCGAGGATAGCGATGCGCTTCTCGCTTCTGATTCAGTGCTTGGTGCCGATGATGCGCCCGAGCAACCCTCCACAAATAATGAAGCCCAGTTGAAGATGTGGTGTGAACGGTTTTGCAATGATCCGTCAACTGTGAAATCGTATGTCATCGTCTCCCGAGAAATCCATATCGTCCTTAGCACTGATACTAATTTTCTCTCTCCTCGTCGCAGATTCACGCTCCATCGAAAAATTAGTGGGTTCGATTGGAAAGCGATGCGCAATGTACTCGCGTCACATATCCGCGAACTCAATTACCTTGGCTCAGTCGCCTTCCAGTTCGATATTGCTCAACAGTCCGTCACCATATATTCCCCCCATTGGATCAACCGTATGCGTGCCAATCGTTACATTTGGTGGGCCTTCGTGATTCTCCAGCTCTGGATCATTGCATGGCCTATTATTTGGTTTATGGAAAGCCGGTATGAGCTGGTCCATACGCGCTGGCATTCTTCTGTTAGCTTTGATATGACCGGACTATCCAAGGAGTATGCACGCGGTCGTGATGAGGCCACTCTTGGTGAATTCTGGGCACCGGCTGTGAAACGAGCGGCGTGGAGCAAGCGATGTGGACAAGGAAATACTTTGACCAGGATGGATGCCGAGCGGGTCCAAGGGTTGACTCAAAACCAACTACTTGGGTTGGAGCAAAGAACAGACTCCGAGGCAGAGCAAGAGCGACGTGGTCGAATCAATAATGGCAACGGTGGCTTCATGGATCATGTTGTTGGATTTGTTCGTGGAGTTGGTGAAGTTGGACAGGATTGGAGATTGACGATGGGCTGGGGAGGCAACTCGTAAATCCAGATTATTATTCCTCTTTGAATTCCATTCATTTAATACTTTACCTGAAATAAGACATATTTAGCCCCGGTATCGCAGTTAATAATATGATCTACAATTTACATTGACTTGCATCATGAACCTCAAATTTCAATCGTTACCAGCGACCGTCCACTCGGGTCCCAATGCAAGACAATGCATCCAGAGTACCGACCGAACAAAGAGACAAATATCTGCACACATTGAGGCTGTTCATATCTAAGTTTAGGTTAAGGTAATCGCCCCATGTTTGCCCATCTAAGCTCGAAATATGAGCCTCTTCTGTGATTCATGAACACACGGTGTCTCCGAAGATACGACCTCGAGTGAGTCATAGCTTCGAGTTTAGCTAATTTTGATTGGCGATGCTTACGAGAATTCCGACACTAAATCTTAGGCTTGAAATGATGTCTTCATGGTATAAATAGCTGGTCTACCCAAGGTTTGTCGATCCCCCAACATTCTTCGGGCCAGATTTGAAGGTCTGACCAACTAAAACCAGATCAAGAATGCACTAAAATACAAGATTAGCAGTATATTGCCACCTTCAAAACTGGATGAACAATATACCATCGGTTGCTGAATTATTCTAGCCTAGGAAAATGAGTGAACCCTCGGCTTCAACAACCCCTACAAAATCCATAGGCTTCAGAGAATTTTGTGAATTCAACGAACAAACTTTCAGTCGACTCAGAGGTACAAATAAATGGACTAAGCACTACTTGGACTCCAAAAGCCACGAGCCTCCACCTTCATCATCGCCCCTGGAAATCTCCCTCGTGATTGAAGATCAGGGCGAAGGGGAACCACGCCATTGGTCTCTGTTTGTAGGTCACGAAAACGAAGCGGGTCACGTTTATCAAGTGACTGGCGATGCTGAGTTCATGAAATACGAGCCGTCCAATGGACCAGTAGATATCTCTCTTTCTCCCACTTCTTTCAATGTGTACAATCTTGCACAGTTGACTGAGCAGCAAGCACGAGTGGTACAGCAACTGGCAGAGCAGGAATGCCCCCCCAAGGCCCAAAATCGTCAGGCAGTTGTGGAGAATTGCCAGGGATGGACATTACGTGTCATTCATAATTTGGCGGAAATGTGTATCATCCCCATCGCTAAATATGATATGGCAAGCAGTATGCTCCAGCCTGTGTAAATGGGTATGTTCAAATGAAGGTGCTTCCATTCATACTAATAAATATCTTAATGGCATGATTATATTGCAATGATCCTTCAACTTCTACTGATGGACTTGGAGCAATGTATAAAAATTCTTAGCAGATAGATCGCTCGTAAATAAGCAACAAAAATGTTCATGATATCTAACAACTTTCATCAAAGAGACCCATGCTATCAAAAATCACATAAGGCGGTCCACAGATTAGGAAAAAAAGTCCGTCATTCATTCAAGAAGCATCGACTATAGAGCAAGTAGGCCAGCTACATCTTCTATCCCAGCCTAGGCATTCTCGGCGCAATCATAACACGCCGCGGCTGTTGTATGTGGAAGAAGCCCTGGGCTGTGCCGAAGTCGACATCTGAGTCCTCCGCATCGTGGGTATCATGGCTTGACAGTGAGTGTTTCGAGTCAAATCTATTATTCCATTCTGTGCCTTTCTCTCGATAAATCTGGCCAGAACCATCTAGAGCAAAAGGCTTAGAGCTAGATCCGCTTGTAGTCTCCGATCCACTGTCACAGAAAAATGTTTCTCTCTTGCGTTGAGCGCCACCCAACGATCGATTTGAGTGGTTAGCATGGCTGTTTGGCCATTCCTTGGTGTTTCCCTCCCAGCTGTGCGATGATTGTCTGCTGTTCCGATGGTTGATATAGAATGCTCTGAAAGCGGCACCGGAGGCGAGAATCAAGCCGAAGTTTGCGCTCATGGTAAGCCAGTATAACTGCCAGAGATCATATTTTATACCTGTGAAATCCGATCCAGCGGCCCGAGCGATTGACAAGGCAATCATGATCGAATTGAGGGAGAAGAATATTACTAGGCCGAACTTTTGCTTTCCTCCCATTCTAGTCTTCCAAATGAGCGATAATGGAATTGCCATAACTGGAATTGGCGAAGTGAGACGTTTAGTGCATGCTAGGTTATCAGGTAAATTTTATAGCAGAAACTTACTCATCAAGTCTCCCAGGATATCTAGGACTATTTGTGCTAATGCATAACGAGCGACACCATTCATTCCTCCCGTAGGACAAGAGACTGAGCTTCATGGTGAGAATCATGCGTTTTGGAAGATGTAATAGCGAGAAAAGGGTAAGTAGAGAAGGGGGACTTACACATCTTGATATCCCAATGAGGACAGCTAACGTAGAATACAAGGACGCCAAAGATTGTTGTGACAACATTGAACAAGAAAACAATCCACCAGTGGATTTTCCAGACGGGCAAGCGATCAACCAACTTCCAAAAGAATGCAAGGAAGAAGAACTTGATTGAGCATACCGAAAGCCAGGTCACCATTAAAACAGCGACAGTCCATTTATGGAAGTCCAATGACTTTTGAATCATGCTATCGGGAATTTCATCCAGTTGACCATTGAAGGAAGGGAATCCACCCAAATAGAACCCTGGGACAATTGTCTTCTGGTACAGCATAACGATCGCTGAAGTCATAAGGCCAGTCGCCAAGATCAGAATTCCATCGTCAATTTGGAGAGTCTTTTTGTGAATATAAACACGAAGCACGAAACAACGAACGACTACTGCAACAACGGCTAGTCCGAAGATTATGCCAATTGAGACCTAATTTCAAATTAGCGCATTAGCGGATGAAGTTTGCCATTTGAGGGACGCAGGCAGGAACACTCATACTTACCTGGAAGGCGGCCTTCGGTATAGGACCGAGATTATCTCCTGCCATGTTGACCTATCTTCCTTGGTTTCCGAAGTGCATGCATAAATGAGTGTTTAAAGATGAGGGGATGAGATGACTTTACAGGTTGGTGGAGAGAGAGAAAAAGGCCATGCCATGTGGACTGTGGCGTCATAATCAGCTTTGATACGAACCTGCAGATGGGGTCCAACAATCCATCGAACGATGCGCATTGACGGCTACACATTTCTAGTTATATCGGGCTAGTTTGGTTGACGTTTGGCCCCAGGATCGGAGGCGCACTAATACTAAACAGGTGCTAGATAATCTCCGGCTAAACCTCAAACGGCAAGCGACTGTAATTTACTGATCCATGGATAATACAGATTTTTTGTAGTAAGATACCAGTTCGTGTATGTAATTTGCTGGGAGGGAGACCAAGAATAGCCAGACCTGTGGACCAAGTGCTAAAGCCATAGAAGCCTTTCATTTGGAGCTCGCAATTATTTCCTTAATATTCCGCGGCACATTTAAATGAGAACTTCCCTATCAATAAATTTAATCATTGGTCTTCCCATTTCCTGCCTCGCTTCTGTCAGCATCTGGGGCCTCTTTGACAACACCGTCTGCATTACCACGTACACCGTACTTCTGTACTTACGGCTCCATTTCGCATGGCGGTGGCAACTATGGGGCCAGGAGCCCTCGATTATATTCATGCCAATGCAGGACGACTGGCTATCACTATAGGGTTAATTTTAGCCTCAAGATTCCTTTATCTCTTTTTTCAAGTTCGCCTGTTATTCTATCGCCTCCGCAAACAGGGCTTGGTATGTTTTTATTTGCCCCGACAACACCAAAAATATCAACCAAGATCCACTGACCCGAAGATAATATACAGGCTGTTCCTGCATATAGCTATTGGACTGGAAACCTTCTAATCCTGCCAGAATTTCTGGCAAAAATTCCGAAAGGGGCACAGCAGTCTGACGCATTTACCTTGCTGTCATACGAATTCCCCGAATTCGATAATTGCTTCTACATCGACCTATGGCCATTTGCCAAGCCACTCTTGGTTATTACAAGCTTAGACTTGGCAGTTCAAGCTTGTCAGACGTATGCACTGCCTAAGCCATCAGAGCTCGACGCGTACTTTCACCCATTTACTGGAGGCCCCAACATCTTTACGACAAATGGCCCCGAATGGAAAAAGGCCCGATCATTATTTCAGCCCGCCTTTGGTAATCGAAGGATAATCCAGCAGGTACCTCACATTGTAGATGAGGCTCAAGTTTATGTTGAAGTTTTGCGGGACCATGCACGCAATGGAGAGACATTCTCTCTCAAGAGAGTCACCTGTGATCTTCTCATGGACATCATTGGATCTTTTACCTTGTGAGCTTTGGTATCTTTTAAAATCACATCACCCTCCAATGCTGATCATGTTAATTAAGAAATGATCATTTGAACTCACAGCGTCAGCATAATGATCTGGCTGCGGCTATGAGAGCCCTTGCGGATTGGCACGTTCAGGATGAAGAAATGAATCCTTTCATTCGTTGGAATCCAATGAGATACATAGTCGAGTGGCACAGTGCCTACAAAATGTCTCGATATATTGAAAATGCACTTGATAAACGCTACGAGGTCTGGAAAAACAAAGATTACTCAGAAGAGCCAGAATCTATGATGGATCTTGCTATTGCAGACTTTATGCGGGACAGACCGACGAGCCGCAATTTGGATCCTGAGTTCAAAAAATGGGCAACCATACAGATTCGAACTTTTTTCTTCGCCGGACATGATTCAACTGCTGCAACAATTGTATATTGCCTGTACCTGTTGTCCAAAGGACCGGGGATCTTGGCCCAAGTTCGTGCTGAGCACGATCAGACTTTCGGTGCCGATATCACAACCACGGCGCAACAATTGAAGGATCGACCAGAATTAATAAATCAACTTCCTTTGACTACTGCAGTAATAAAGGAAGTACTGCGCCTCTACCCGCCTGCCTCTGCGTTGCGTGGTGGTATGCCAGGTGTTTACTTGGAAGACAAGAATGGCCATAAGTTCCCGACAGAGGGCTTACTTGTTTGGATTGTGCATGGATCGATCCAACGCAACCCGAATTATTGGCCGGAACCTCATTCATTCATTCCAGATCGATGGTTAGTTGCTCAGGGCCATCACCTTTATCCCCCGAAATATGCTTTCCGCCCATTTGAAGCAGGGCCGCGAGACTGTGTTGGACAGTCGCTAGCAATGGTCGATATCAAAGTTGCCTTGGCTCTTACAATCCGCGAGTTCGACTTTCATGATCAGTACGCGGAGTGGGATCGACAGCATCCTAATAGAAGTGGACCCAAAACGGTTTTTGGGGAGCGTGCGTACCAGGTTCCCCAAGGGGCTGCACATGCTGTTCATGGAATGCCGTGTCGAGTTGTTCAGCGACCACAGACTGGCCATTTATAATCCTTGCAATTTTAGAGAACTTGTATATTATAAGAATAGCTGAACTTTGGAAGTTGGTATCTGATTCAAAATCTTCAGATTGTCGGCAGTAGATAGCCTTCTCAGACTCAGCCTAGGTCGCTAAAGACAAAGCTTTAAAATAATTCGCTACGGTTAAATTACGGGTATATGAAACCATGGAAGTACGAATGGCCCCACAGTGACACGTTTGATTCCCAGCAAGCTAAGAGTGAGTACCCGACGGTCGGGGGTAAACCCATTGATGAGCGAGACTTAACTTCTTGATCAGGCTCCAGGATCGACCTCAACCTCATTATTAAATAAATAACGGACGCGGAAGTGGTTTCTTTTTCGTCATAAACATTTGAGTGATCACCATTATCTGGGCATCTACATCTACACAATCCTTCTGCTTTTACCCCCAAAATTGATTAAAGAGGCAAAAGTTGACATCATGGCAAATCCAGAATTCTCCCAAGCCGCAGTATTTTGTTTTTTAATTGTGATACCTTTCTATATCACACATATTGTGATTTCCATTCTGGATACGTTCATTGTTGGGCACAACCTACCTCGGGCTGATTCGGCCACAAGGTCGCATCTGTGCAATCATCTGGCTGCCACCGGACTCTCCAGATAGTGCTTGCTATTATTCAATTTAACGACGTCATGATTCTCAACAACCAATGTGTGTTTTATCCAATGAATCGGATTTCCTTTACCGCCCTCTTGGCAATTGTGATATATTGGAGAGAGCTGATGCCACAGTGGACCCAATGAAGGCGGGGTCAAACAAGCCACCATTTAGTTCCTTTCTTACCCTCCAAAGAAGTTAGCGACACCCATTTTCGTCAGTGTGCCAAGATCACATGAGGGCCAACCTACGTTGGAATTTTGGGAAATTTTATGAGGTCGACAAGGCGTCCAGTCACAACTGAACCTGCCAAGATGCAAAGATACGAGGGCCATGAGTTGTCTTTTCCCTGGATTATCTTTGCATATTCTGACACTTGAGAGGTTTCATGTTCACGTCAAATACGGATTACGGCGTGTCTTATGCTTATTTCCTCTGGTGAATTTTGTTCATGATCTGTCAGACGACTCAGACTCCAAGCCTCGCTTCTTGGCATAGTCTCTTGACTTTCCTCTCTACATCTCGTGATACTGGACACGGACTCTATAACGCACTCAGCACTCCGTCAATAAGAGAGAAAGGGCCGATAGCAATACAGCCATGGGCTGAACAGATCTAAACCAAGGCATTCAAATGATTCGATATTAATAGTACTAAATCAATTGATACCCATGAAACTTATTGCATTTATTACTTAGATTAAGCAATGGATTTCTGCTTCACTAGTGGATGTTTGCTGAACACGCTACATGAAGCTCAGATCAGATTTGACGAAACGACGAATGAACTTCCAGAATGAGAGAGACCATCCGAGCTACCATTACGAAGCAGCCAATGAACTCCGCCGAAACGTACATTTAGGGTCCAAAACGTAGATTTTGCGGGTGTTGGTCTGGCTTAGCGTTGTTATCAACCGAACCTGTATGAACTAGTATGAAGTTACAGACAACTGTACTCCATACGCGGGATAACTTCTACTGTATCCCCTATAGACTAACATAAATTTAGTTTTCATGGAGTGGCAAGTGTGAATGATTAGAATGATCTGGTGTTACTGCTAGACCTAAAAACCCAGGGTAATCATTCAGGGCTGTGCTGATTGTGGTGCCTTGGTCACCTCTCATCTGGGGTTCCTACCTCCGTAGCTTAGTTAGCCTTTCTTCTTCTCTCATAATCTATCATGACGTTCACAAACATTCTTCTTCCTTACTCTGCAGATCTGGAAATTCCTAAATGTCCGTGATACTATTGTGCTGCTGGGATCCACCAGTGCTGATATCAATAAAAAGATATAGCATCTAGGCACCAATACTTACGATTTTGTGCAGTGGCGTTTTGGGAGTTTTGCATGGCTTCATTTTTCATGTTATTTCCTTTATTTTACTAGGTAGTAATAGAGTAATAGAATTCATCATCATTCTAGTGATTTATACTTGTGTTTCTATCTATATAGAGCTTACAGTGCAAAATGTACTAGTAGACGGTGAAGGTTGTTATAGGCTCAGGGGGATTTCTCACTGGACACTATATTTCTCCCTAGACTACTCCATATTCATTAGTACAATATTGCCATTTGAATATAGTGTCTCTCGGTATATTTGTTTGCTGCTTTGTGCCCTGATATTTCCTTGAATTACCAAATAGGCTTAAATGTTCTGTATAAACCAACACCAAGCGACTGCTACATATTATTTTTTCTTCATTTCATCCAACATGATTCACAGCATGAGTCACAATAATGCTTACATAGTAGCTGACTGATGTTTGCTGATTATTTATTTGCTTTTTTGACATAAACCACTGACCATTCCCGCATCAGATGACAGTGCAGGAAGGACAGCGTTGACTTCAATAGTGCGATATTGCTTTTCCAGATTCTTTTTCTGAGAGCAACTGCATCGTCGGCTAATATAGCTTATATCACAGTGTTACCACACTAATAGACAGACCTTTATGTCGTGGCTCTACCGTGTTCGCCACATTCTTGGTTTCCAAAGGTTCATCTCGGAGGGAGCTGGCACCCTGAGCATGAAATGGGGATGTGTGACCTCGATAGTCTGAGAACTCGTTCTTCAGACATACATTATAACTTCTCCATTTTTCTTGTTCCGAGTTTGGTATAGTTGATATGCAGAGCAGTGAACTAGGAAATACCTGCAATTTGAAAACGCGGATCACCCAACTAGAGCCCAGAATCGAGCTCAAGCCACGAACAGCTTGTTGGTGCAGAAAAAGCAAGAAGCAAACTATTGCTCAGCAAATTTGCTAGATACCTGCTCAAATGTCACACAGAGAGTAGGAGTTTCGTTGCCACTTTGTAAGAAGCATAACTTTACTATATGATCTATTTCTATCCAACCCCTCCAACCAAAATCTGAAATGATGCTCCTCCGTTGGACACACATTTCACACATGGCCGTAATGGAACTCACTCTTGCGAGGTATTATGACTTCTTTCGATATGTTCTAGGTGTATTGCTCTTTTTAGCAAGTTACATCGTCGCAATTGTGCTGTACCGTCTTTTCCTAAGCCCCCTTGCCAAATTCCCTGGTCCTCCTCTCGCAGCGTCAACACGACTTTACGAAACTTATTATCAAATACTGAAGGGCGGTACATTCACCTGGCATATCGACGAACTTCACAAGAAATACGGCCCTGTTGTGCGGATAACCCCTTGGGAGATACACATCAAAGATCCAAGTTACTACTACACTGTCTACGCAGGGCCGGGGAAGCATAGAAACAAAGACTCCTGGTTTAGCTTTATTTCAGTCCCACATTCAATCTTCTCCACAAATAGTCATGACCTCCACAGACCTAGACGAAAGGTTCTAGGACAGTTTTTCAAGAGGCAGGCTATCGTTGAATTTGAGCCTGCGATTAGAGCTACACTTGAGTCACTCTGCAAACATTTTAGCACCGCTGTCGAAAGCCAAGAAGCTCTAGAGCTCCATGCCGCATTCTACAGCTTTACCAGTGATAACCTTTCTCGATACGCCTTTGGGACGCGAGATGCATTTAAATACCTCGAGGAACCGAAGATCCCAGATACGTGGAAAGACAGTCTTACGGCAATGTTTGGTTTCTGTAGGCTTATCAGACATTTTCCCATCATCTCCCATGTTGGACACATGTTCCCACGTCCAGTCTCCTGGGCCGTGCCATCATTTGGCTGGGTTTATCGAATGGAGCAGGCAAGGCATTCAATACTACAAACTTAAATCTAGGAACCAAGCAATACTAATACTTTAGACAGGATGTACGAGTTCGCGTCAAGAGAGCAATTCAAGACAGCGAGCAAAGAAGCGACGAAAAGAAGCAAGCATATCTACCTGTTACCCCAAACGCAATCTATCCCGCAATTTTGGCCGATCCAGAAGTTCCCCCAAGCGACAAGAAGCTACGACGCCTGGAAGATGATGCCATATTTCTTATGATGGCAGGCACAGATGCACCCGCTCAAGTTCTTGCAATTACTATATTCCACATACTGAACAATCCTGAGGTTTTCAAGAGATTGAAAACAGAACTTGTCAATGGCTTACCAGATATAACAACTACCTCTACCCTGGAGGAGCTGGAGAGCATCCATTATCTTGTGAGGACAGTATCCAGGGCGTACTAGGCGTACTAGGACGCTGGCTAACTCATTGACAGAGCGCCGTTATCAGAGAAGGTCTTCGACTTTCCTCTGTTGTAACAACGAGACTTCCTCGTTCTGCACCCGATGAGGTTCTTCAATATAATCAATGGAAAATTCCAGCAGGGGTATGAACATATCATACGAGCAAATAAATCCGATTGACTAATAACGAAATCAATAGACGCCGGTAAGCATGTCGACCTATTTCATCTTGAGGGATCCAGAAATTTTTCCCGAACCCAGATCTTTTCTACCAGAGCGCTGGCTACTATCGCGAGATGAACTCAAGGCTCTCGAAAAATACCTTGTTCCAGCATCTAAGGGAACTCTCGGTTGTCTGGGTCAAAAGTAAGCCAAATTGATTTGAGACTTCTAATTATATACCACTAATGCTATCCAGTCTGGCATGGGCATGGTTACATATCATTATAGGAACACTATTTAGAAGATTTGAACTGACCCTACATGACACTACCGAAAGGAATGTGGAAATGACCCAGGACAATTTTATCGGGCAAACAGATTCTGGTATGAATAAGATTCAAGTAAAGGTACTCGGAGAGTACACTCGTTGATGGACGTGTGGTATTGGCGAAGAGAGCTTTAATTTCGGCAGTTCTCGATTTACTCAAGCTATGATTTCTTTCAATAATTTGGTTGAACAATTATCTATCTTCTTCTTTGCACTGGCATGCTTCTACCTAGTTCAAAGAAAGTAATAAGTGTGATCGAGAGCCTCATCTCAAAGATTGTAGTGTCTGTGTTCGAAGGTGGTATTGGCTATGTTCAATCCGAGAACGATACTATATCACTACTAGACTTCCCGAATTGCGCCTCCCAGAATCGATTATATCTCCCACCAGCTTGTAAAAGCTCTTTGTGTGTGCCCTGTTCCGCAAGTCTTCCGTCTTCTATAACCAAGATGCGGTCGGCGTCCATGATTGTAGAGAGCCGATGAGCAAGAACAAATGTTGTGCGTTTCTCTCTCAGTTTTCTCAAAGCATCCTGAATGATGTTTTCAGTCTCAGTGTCGACTGAACTTGTCGCCTCATCAAGGATAAGAACTGGCGCATCTTTTAAAAATGCCCTTGCGACCGCCAATCGTTGAACTTCCCCGCCAGATAACTTCACACCATGCTCTCCCACATGCGTTTGATACCCACTAGGGAACGTGAGAATCTTGTCATGAATAGCCGCAGACCGACAGGCCTCATGAATCTCCTCGTCAGTAGCATCAATCCGAGCATATCTCAAGTTTTCCATAATCGATGAGTTGAATAAGAGGGGGTCTTGAGGTACAATGCCAATGGAATCTCGTAATGATCCCAGAGTAATAGCTCGTAAATCATGCCCATCTATCGTTATTTTACCAGCGCTGACGTCGTAGAAACGCATGAGTAGCTTCATGAGCGTAGACTTCCCAGATCCCGTCCTTCCGACCAGTGCGATAGTTTCTCCGGGTGATGCGGAAATATTAATGTTTTCTGTAGATTGTCGCTTATTGTCGTAGGAAAAGCTCACATTTTCGAATACAATATGCCCGTTTATTCCGGTCAAGCTCAATGCTCCTTCTTGATCGCAGACCGTTGGGGGCGTCTTCATTAGGGTGATGAGGCGCTCAGCATCTGTCAAATTTGCTATGATGGATCTATACCTGTAGGATAAACCTCGAATCGGCCAAACAAAATAGCTCCAGTATTGGAGTAGGAAAACAAAATCCCCTGGAGTTGCCTGTTTACTATATATTTCGTATACCACAAGGGAAGAAAGAAGTAAAAAGTTCGTTGGCATAATAATCTCTGTCAATGCTGAAGTGAAGGCATCACGAGTAGACCAGGTCAGCTTTCGCGTCAGATATGTGTCGACAGCATTTCCGAAACGATCGTCCTCGTAATCAAACATGTTGAAAGAAGCCACAGTCTGCCAGCTTTCCACGGCCTGGTGCATCCTTCGAGCTTGCTTTCTCATTGATCTCATAAGTTTTCTCCTGAACCGAATGTTCCAACTAGATGTTATTATTTGAAGGGTAAGGAATATAAAAGATGCGATGACCATGCAAAGGGCGACGGATGAGTGAAATTTAAATATCAACACCCCAAAGGCAATCACGAAGTCGAATAGCATCGGTATTATCTCGAGGATCATCACTTCAAGAACCCTTGTGAAAGATCTTCCTTGCTCAATTGTTGTCATTACTTCTGCAGAGTCTCGACTAGAATGAAATTCCATGCTAAGACCCATAACATGACTGAAGGCCGCCTTTGTTATTTCTCGATAAGAAAATTGTTGAATGGGAATTTTGGCTAGACTCTGAATTAACCCCAGCCCTGCATCGTCGTGTAAAATGTAAAGAGCCCAATAAATCACGAGGTCCTTGTAAGGAAGCTGTCCGGCAAACAGCTTGTCCGCGACAATACCAAGCTGACGTGGGACGAGGATATTGAGAAAGCGATTAGCTACTAGACATCCCAGGCACACCGCAACACAGGCCTGAACTTTGCGATCTTGCCTGGGAACCACATAAGGCATCATGAGTTTAATTCCATCACGATAAGACGCCCATATATTTCCGGTTTTCTGCTGTTTTCCCTTGGAGCTAGCTGAACGCCCATATTCGTCGTCGGATTCGGAATCCGAATTCTCGAACTGAGGATCGGCAGTTTTGGCAGCAGTACCATATGATAAGCAGTTTTCTGTTGTAGCATGGCCGAGGAAAGGTTGCGCTTCCTCAGCACTATGTTGCTCGTCTTTGAGCATGTGGCTCAGTCGGAAGCTGGCCCATTGGAGTATATAGTCGATGAACAATGCCAAAATAATAACTAATCGGGAAATTTGAATGCTTGGAAGAACTTTTTCTTTGCTGGACCAATCTAGAACGGTGAGAATAGATGAATAGAAAACGGAAATCACACAGAAGCTTATCCCTTCCCCGAAGATTGGTGTCTTCCGTAGAGAGATAAGGGCCCAGCCCGTCGCGTAAAACACGACAGCGATGTTTTGATTAAGTGAATACTCGAACTCATATGAGCCTGTAGCCAAAAATAATGACTCAGATGCAAAGGCTAGGGCCGCAAGCCAAGCCAAGAAAGTCCGGACAAAGTATCTAGTTCGAGGAACAGGATTACTCTGCAGACTGTTTCTATGGCTGAGAAGAAAGGTCGTGAATAGAATCAACAGGCCCGATAAAGTTGCAGTCACATGGAGAGCATTGCGAAGATCAGAAGAAAGCATGCTTCAAATTTCCTGGGGAAAATCGACTTAAGGGCCGTGAGAACAGGCAGAGCTTGGCTGCACACGAACAGTAGATTGAGAGGATAGGGGCGAGTCGTGACATTTTATTGATCTTGACTGGTATGCGAGCGCAAGGTTGTGAGGTGAGTCATCTATACATTCCACATGTTATTCCCAGCCATCTCTCTGTGAAAGAGGCTCAAGGGGATCCTACTAAGCCCCCGGTTGGCTGATCAATCCTAGCAGGCCCTCCCTGGAAGCCTATTAGGCGCCCGTAGTCCAAATAAGGCAACTCCGGAATCCCAACCGCACGGGAGACATGAGTGATGCCTAATTTTCGTACCTCAATTCAAACAGGGAACAATGAAGGTCGAATGGTGATCCTGATATCAAGAAAATTCTCCGGATGTGCATAAGCTGTTGTCGCGTCTTCCAAAGTGACAGAGCTGTTGTTACATGGGGTCCAGTCTAGCCGCGATAGGTAGGCTTGGAGAGTAGTACCAACATTTCATGCCTCTTGCAACCACATATGTGCAATACGTTGAGCCCCCATTTTCCCGGGGTGGTGCCTAGTATCTACAGTAAACACTTCCAAGGTTACCGGTCGGAACTGGCCAGTCTGATCCATGCGGTCCGGTCCGTATCCGAAACAGCGGCTAAATGCGGCTATTTAAGCTTCCTCGAGATGTAAATACCTTCGCATATACAGCAGACTGGCCGACATCGGACGTGTCTACCCCAGCTATATTAAGATTCAGAGTCAGACTAGATCGATATTCGACCATGCATCTAGCCGGCCGGTAGAATCTTGAACATGATGGCATCAACTGTACAAATTTCCAATGTGAATGAGAGTCCTTTGTCTCGTCGCATTTTCATCATCGGAGGGGGGATAGTTGGCGCTTCGCTCTCGCATTTTATTTCCCAAGAGCAAACGGACCGCGAGGTGATCGTTATTGACAAATGTTGGGATGAGCTGTTGGGATCTACTGGGCACGCCCCTGGTTTCGTTGGCCAGCTCAACGAGTCATCGGTATTGACCAACTTGGCGAAAGATACAGTCTCCGAATATCTCAAAGTTCCCGATGGATTTAACGTTGTTGGAGGACTGGAGCTTTCATCCACTCACTCCGGGGTCGAAACGCTATATCGGAGACGAGATCTGGCCCTAGTGGCAGGTCTACATGCTGAGATCCTTTCGCCAAGGGATGCAGCCTCTCTTGCTCCTGATTTCATCAACGCTGCTTCTGTAAAGAACGGCTTACACTTTTCATCAGACGGAACAGCAAATGCACAAACTATTACGTCGTATTATTGCCAACAAGCACAATTCAGAGGAGCGAAACTTGTCGAAGCGGAAGTGACTGGGTTTGACTTCAAAAATGGCGAGATAACAGTTATTCGGTCTTTGGCTGGGGATATACAAATCCACGGAAGCACTGTTGTACTTGCTACTGGTATTTGGACCTCTTCCCTGGCGAGCGATGTGCCGTCTCCGATCCCCATTGTACCAGTCGCTCATCCTTATACATTTACGCCACCCCGACCGTATAGATCTGGAACACCGTACCCATTCATACGTTGGTTAGACCATCACGTCTACGCCAGAGATCACGGAGATCGTGACGGTATGGGCAGCTATGACCATTCTCCACTGCGTCTGGCCGCCGGCCAAACCGCCATTGGACCGTGGCCGTCCGAATTTGAAATGGTCTTATCCGAAGCTTCGTCGCATCTCAAAAATGGAAAGAATTTCCTAGTAAATGGAAGCAGCGCTGATATGAACAAAAAACGGCCATTTAATGGAATTTTCTCTGTCACTCCCGATAATCTCCCACTTGCCGGGAAAGTGTCGGGTATATCAAATTTGTGGCTATGTGCGGCGATCTGGGTTACCACGGCTGCTGGCACGGCGAAGTTCATAACAAGGGAAATCCTTCGCGATGGCGATCACGCAACCCCTGAGGATGAGGAGCTTCGCAAAGCTTTGAGTCCTGTTCGATTCCAGGGGATTGAGACAAGCATCCTGGAAAATCAGGCTTTGGCAAGGTATAATGACATCTACAATAGGGAGATATAATCTAAGCTGCTAGCATGGCTAAGTGAACATTGATAGCTGAATAGTAAGTAGTCGAGTGGTACATGAAGGACCAAGTTTCAATTTCATCGAGTGGAAATCCTAGAATTAAATTTATTGTGTATCAACCTCCTTTTTGAACATAAGAGAGCAAGGCTAGCTGATAGAATCGAGCTTAGCTTTGAAGTTTGAAGAATTTCGGAGCTACGAGCCCCGTCGCAGTTTCTCACTAGAACTGCGTGTAGCTGGAGCGCTTAGGGGTATATCTAAGCATGATAGCCTCCGTATCCTGATCTGTAGGCTCTCCGGATATGCCATTCCTACCATTATATCTCTGTGAAGATCCAAACACATTGCTCAAGTGGCGTTTGGCAAACGGCTTCAGGGCCGGAACTGAAGCGCACAGGATTCCAGCGTTGACCTCAATATAGGACCAATAAAATTGTTCAGTGATGTCCCACGTGTAATCAGCTGATGTCAAAGCCCCAAGCATTTGTACAGTACGTTTGATTGCAATGGCACACACGAAGATACCGGATGAGAAGATCAAAACAACTGACACTCTCTGAGCGAGCCGCATATTGAGACCCATTATGACAGGGATGGGAAGCACGAGTGTCAGAGCATCCATGACGATGTTTGCCACACTAAGGACCGTCATAATGGTACGGGTATTAAGGCAGGACCCTGTTGTGATAGTTATGTCCCAGTTTTTGTCGATGGGATTGCATCGGAAGATGAAAAGGAATGTATAAACGAGGACATAGCATGTCGCGATGGCCATTAAGCCCATCGTGAGCATGCGGAACCAGAACTGAGGAGAAAGGCGAAGATAAAAGGCGAGGATCGAGAGCTTAGAGAAAATGACGGCCCAAGCGTAGAAGAGAGTGGCGGCAAGGGTCCACTTTATGGGGAAAGCTTTGTTAGTATCCTAGTATCTGGCCAGAAAGAAGCGGATAAAACTCACAATGCCAAGGCCTGGATTATACTGAGCCATTGTCACATTCCACATGTGGAGGCCAACACCAGTCTGCATAACTAAATTCAACAGATTTTATGTCAGTCGCTTGAAAGCGCAACGCCAGATGAGGACACACACTTTTGAACGAGACAGGTATCAGCACTATTGAGCACACCAGAGCGCAGCAAACGAACACTGGAGCCGAACAGAAGTATTAGCATATCTTTCAGTGCTATGACTAAGAAGACTTTGCATGCGACTTACCATCGTCCATCTGAAATCGTGCCGCGGTAAGAAAGATGCGTGTATAAAGACGGAGTACCACAATCGCCAAGGCGATGACTGCCGTCGTGATGGCACATGCTGCCATATTGGGCTGAATAGTGTCACCCGCAAATCGCTCCACCCCCGCAGGGGGATTTGCCATATACACTGTCGAAGCCATATTCACATTTGAGTGCCAAATGAAAGATACAATTCTGGACTGGGAACAAGAAAAATATGTACCCATCGACTTCGTACTTTCGCATTTTTCATTCTTCGGATGTTTCTCTTTCCTAGCGCATTTTAGTCACGTTTTTCCGGACTTGCAGGATGTCGCATCCAGACAACTGGAAATTCGTTTAGAGGAGGATTCTAATTTGGCGGGAATATCCCGACACAAGCTGTCAAAACACGATCGGCAACTTTAGTTAAGGTCCGCTACCCCACACGTGGATCTAACGTCCCGCGGTGGTTTTCGTTATTGGCTTTCGAGACTCCGGTGCACGAATCCTCCCGGGACCCTTGCGCCCCTGACCGAGCAGAAGCATTTCTGCAAGGCAGAGGCGTCAGGGGTCTCGGAGCAGTGAAAAGCCTAGAGCCACAATGGGCTAGCGATCTCCTCAAGCTATAATTGCCAAGTACGTACCTTATCCTTGGTACCGGGGGCCAAAATAGAAAGGAGCGCAGCAAAGATGGGGATTTCCACAATGTGGACGTGGGTGATGTACATCACTCCAACTACCAATATGAAACACTTAAGCCTTCAAATGGCAGATTTGTCGTTTGGAATACCTCAAAAACCCCGCACATCGGGCCATATCAACAAAAACAAAACTCAGAATTTGATCTGTTGTAAAGGCGCTGTGCGGGGCCCCGGTAGTGGTTTTTCGCCTTGATTCATGAAACACTTGACCCACTTCACACTTACTCCATCCATGAGTAATGCGAATTTCTATGAATAGCTTATTGGTAGGGGGAGGATCCGCGGAACGAAGGAACGTGCTAAGCAGAGTGGATCAAATGAGGAGCGCTATCTGGATCAGTGGATAAAAGATTTTAGAACGAATGGCGCTCCAACGAAAATCTATTAGTAACTGCTCCTCTTTGATTCTTTTCTTCGTGGCTCCAGGGAGCAAATTCGTGAATTCAACACTGAGCAAATCAATGGCACTTGAAATGGTTCTTTCGTTGTCTCCCGCTGCTCTAGCAGTTAGCGTGGTGGCCATTTTCTCCGCATACTGGCTGGCAAGCTATGCCTATCTATACTGGCTGCATCCTCTGGCAAAGTACCCGGGTCCACCACTGGCGGCTGTTTCAGAGCTGTGGTATGCATCGGCATGGACAAGCGGCCTGTGGAATCGGAGGATCCAGGAGGCACATAACCGATACGGTGATATTGTGCGCATCGCACCCAACGAGCTGTCGTTTGCGACCGCCCAAGCCTTCCGTGACATTTACGGCGCTGCATCGAAGACTCGGAAGTTGTTCCCCAAGTCAGATCGGTTTTATGACAATGGCCACCCGAATATCGCCTTCGTGCTAGATCCTGAAGAGCACGCTCGTCAACATCGAATGTTTGCACCGGGGTTCCGTCCCTCAGCTGTGCGCACACAAGAGCCAATTGTCCATTCCCATGTCGACCTCTGGTTAGAGCAGCTTGCTGTCCGCGGTAGCAATGGGGCCACACCAGTCGACGTGTCTAAATGGTTTGAGTGGCTAACATTTGATATCATCGGCGAACTGACATTCGGCGAGTCCTTCAATGCCACACGCGACAACAAGAGCCATCCATGGGTATCTATCCTCCTCGATGCCACCTACAGCGGTTCCATATTCAATTTGCGCAAGCGATTGGCCTTTGTAGGCCCACTTCTGCGCTGGATGCCGTATGTTTCGGTTACAGCACGCGCTGCTGTCGACTCTATCACACAGCACGGTGCCATGACGCTCGCCAAGACACGCAAGCGAATCGAGGCCGGTCCTGCGCATAGTAAATCCAGCGACCATGCTCCAGTCGATGACTTCTTGGAACACGCCATTCGTGTTGGTGGAATGTCGGACACAGAACTCGCTAATCAGGCTATGGTCATGTTGACGGCTGGGGCTGAGACAAGTGCTACCGTTTTGACGACCGTTCTGTGGTACCTCTCTCAACCAGCACATGCACATTGCCTTGAACGTCTACAAGCCGAAGTGCGTACAGCGTTTCCCAGCCTGGCTGATGTCACCGGCGACGCAGCTGCAAAGCTACCCTACCTGAATGCCGTGCTTGAGGAGACTATGCGATTATTTCCTCCTTCTCCAGTAGGTCCTCCGCGTGTCAGCCCTGCTGGCGGCGAAAGCGTCGACGGCACGTTTGTCCCGGGTGGCGTGTATGTATCAGCCGATGTATGGACCATTCACCATGACGCACGAACTGTGGGAGAACGTCCAGACAAATTCGAGCCTGAGCGGTGGTGTGACACACCAACGAAGCCATATACCGTACCTTTCAGCATCGGGCCACGCATGTGTATCGGCATAACCCTTGCGTGGGTCGAAATGCGCATCGCACTGGCCAAAGCAACAGTGGCCTTCGACTGGGAGCTGGCTCAGCATACTAGTGGCAGTGGAGACTGGATGGAGGAGGCGAGGCTCAAGCAGCTGTGGAAGAAGCCGCCACTGATGATTCGCTTCCGATCGTCAGAAAAGGCGGAGTGACGTTGATTGATAGTGTTTGATTTTCTCGTCAAGATGTCCAGGATGGTGGTGACTGTATATGTACGGTGGTGGTCTTTGGCATTTTGTAGTATAACACTTTGCTCTCCAGGAGCCCTTTCGAGTGGAAATTTCGTGTCAACCACAATAAAACCGCTCTTAGCACTGAAGCTTCGCATATCTGAATAGGGTCATGAATATATGTGAATCATCATACCAAACGGTGAGGAAGTTAGTTCTGGTCACTGGAACGCGGCGATAGACTCCTTACATTAAGCATTAAGCACAGGTCGTGCGGTAGCTTCAAGCCAGAACCTTGAAAATCCCACCCGGGCCATCCTCCCAACGCCATCTGAGCTAATTCAAGGCTCTAGGTGGGCCAGTTGTGACTGAGAGGACCAATGTTTTGCACGACCTCCGCTCGCAAGCTTCAACGCCACAGTCATATGTATGCGGAAGAAATGATAACGATAACGATAATGACGCGACGCGTTTGTCCGCATTGTATGTAGAACATCACCCTTTCTACTATCCTTATAGCATTTGATATTTGGGATGTCCTATGTATCATTTCCACATAATATTTATAAGGAGATCCACTGGTGGATTAGCCGACTCTTCCCCTATCAAAGAGCCAGATCTCTAGCATGGAGCTCCACACTCTTCACCCTCTTGACGCATCGGTATCAGACAGAGCTTCAGCAAAAAGGTAAAATCCCAAGGTTACGGACTTGATTGCTTCACTCGAGTATATCACCCCAAGCAGACTATTGAGCTTTGAATGTTGAAATTTTTCTTCGACTTCATCAACTTTTAAATCAGTATGCCCCCTTCATTCTCTGCTGTATCTAATCGCCTTTTGTCGAATCGTAAAACAACAGCCACCATCAAGCCACTGATAAAACCTAAAGTTGTGGTCATCGTCGGCCATCCAACATACACCTCCAACAAACCAGCCAGAATAGGACCCAGGAGCTGGCCACCTGCGAACGCGATATGGAAAAGCGCGTAGGCTCGCGGGACAAGGCTGCTCAAAGCATCGGGATCATGCTTCTCGTGGTCTTCGATAGCACGAGATATTTCTGCCATGGTAACAATCTCCATTGCGAAGATCGCCATACCCAACATAGTCAAAAGCCCGACTAAAAGAACTATATCCCCCGTACTATTCTGTGTGACTAGACGCATGAGAATCCAGGCATTAGCTGCAAGAATAAAGGCAGTAGCCCCGGGGACTCGAATTCCGGCTTGAGAAATGATATTGCTCATATATCCTCCTGCAAATCCGGATATATGTAGAGCAATAAGCATGAATCCAACCGCAGTCGAGCTCCAGCCAAAGTTTTGCATCACGAATACAGGCAACGTCTGTCAGTGGGGCTTGATTTCAGTAAGATGCGACGCCCTGAAGCAACCCCGGAACTTGCTTACTGTTTGTAGGGATGATAGAATAATCGAAAGCACAGTAGTTGACATCATCGGAAGAAATAGCTCCTTGGAGAATAGAAGCTTGAAAACAGTTGTCTTTCCTTCCACGCTGGTATTCCGGGCTTCTGTATCCAAGTATAAAGATCTCAAAAGGGAGGTTTGTTCGTGACTGGAGTCGGGAGATGCCGAAGACTCCGATATAGCTTCCTCGGCTTGACGTTGAAATTGATCATCTGAGCTCTGCGCTGCCCAGCCAGGTTCATTCTTTTGTAAAACCCTCTCTTCTGCAATGTCTATTCCCATTCAGTACCTTGAAAATAAGCCCGTATCTGCCGAATTGCCATAAATTTACCTGGTACCTCAATTATCGTAAACCACAGCCCCAGATTTAAGACCACCAAGCAAGCCGGAATGGCAAGCATGCCATAAAAACCGAAAATGTCGTACATGCTGCCCCCGATCGCAGGTCCTACAACGGATGCCCATGTCATCGCCGTGGTCGTACGTCCAATGGCTTTTCCAATACGCTCTGTCGGTACATTATCGACAATCATCGCTAGCCCGACCACCAATGTAGCGGCAGAAGATAGCCCTTGCAGGCCCAAGGTAATGATCAGTAGAGGAAGCGACCGAGAAAATGCGAATATTCCAAGCGCGGAACCAAGCAGTGCCAATCCAATTGTGAAAGAGAGTCTTTGAAATCGACAACGGTCCTCTAAGTATCCGAACAAGGCTAGATATAAGCGACTCGGTCAGTCATTGTTTCAAAAAGCTTAGTAATGAGAATGGCGTACGGGATCCGACAAAGACAGCACTGCCATACACGGCTAGAAGAACAAAAATCCACGTTTGAGCTAAAAGCAAGAGTCAAAAGCAGTTAGAGCGCACGAGGGATAACGATGTTGAGCGAGGTACTACCATATTTCGCAGGTATTTGGATTCGATCGATGAGCGTCCGAGGGAGAATCGGAATAATCTAGGAAAGTGATAAACATCGATGTCTCATACCTCAGCACTGGGATAGGGTTCATACCATTGCGTGGATAAGCGTGTCCTACAGTAGTGGTGTTATTACCAGATATGCGACCAAATGGGTATGCCACTCACAGTGAAAATTGCGATCGACACCACTCTCAAGACAAATGGCTCAGAAGACTGTAAGTGTCGCCATAGAGCATTGTGCGAGATGTTCATTCTCGTAGTAAGACGTAAAGCGAGCCTTATGCTGTAGAGAGAGCACGGCTGTTGGCATAGCAAAGAGTTGAGGAATAAGTGAAGATTATGAGACCTCTGGATCTGCCAGTGCATTTTTTTTAATTGCAGTGTGATATGCCTTTGCGTTGTCCTGCAGGTCAGCTCCTAGCGCTAGTGGGTCAAGCAAGCATGATACATTTAAGTATGCAGTGGTTTGTACTCTGATGGGCCCATTGTAGCCAATAGAAGCAAGGTTTCTTTCGTATTATGCTATGTATTATGTTTTGTCAGGGCTCCTCATTTTTTTTTGGTTCCAGGATGTAGTCTTCTTTTGTTTTGTTTTCTCTTTTTTATCTCTCTCCCTCCCAACCAGCACAGGCTTGAGGTTTACGTGGCCAGAGTCTTTCGTTATTTGTTTCGACTGCGGCGAAAATAAAATATTCTGTGAATTCACGATATTTCCCTGAATACAAGTATTAGGTAGCTTGTATCTGTGTAAATTTTACCTCACAGTGACCCTTCAAGCTAATCAAGAGCAGGTTCCTTGGATATATACATTTATCGAAAAGCGCAAATATAAAAGTTCATCCAAGGCAAGTTGAAATTATTGCACGTCACATGGTTATTAAGAATTGATTACATGATTATTAGTAGCCATTAAAACCAGGGTAAGAACAACACGGCAGGGAGACGATCAGTATCTGTTGTGCAACATGACCTGCAAGGGCGATCTTGCCAAATCACCTTTCAGCTCCACAATTTCGCCGGCATTTTTCTCTCCTTTTTCTCTTTTGTTGCCGCTCTCAAATGTAGATAAAATGAGACTTTTTTAACATAGTTTATGGATTAAATGAAGCTCAAGGAAGAATATAGTAATCGGAATGTATAGATTTAGATTCCTAGCAAATGATAAAAAGGTTCAAGTTGGACTCAGGTCCCAATCTTCTTTCGAAAAGCCCATGCTTGTCACTCAGATGCAATTGAAATTGGCCCGTAGAGAATCACTTGTTCCATACATATTCTGACTTGAAATTGAGTAGATTTTCACTGAGTACCCTCGGCGCTGTACCTCACCTCTGGATTGCCAACAACCAACATGTATTGTGAGACATCAGGTGAAGCCAAAAACTTCGGCGAATCTGTCGATGCAAGTTCCTTGAATGCGGGGTCATTGAAGACTTCCGCCGTACCTTCGCTTGAGTCGAATGTCACGAAAGCCACTCCATCCCACCCTGACTGGGGATAACTAAGTGCATTTTCAACTGTTGCTCTGTCGTCGATGCCCTCGTGGAACTGGACCGGAAACTTCGATCAGTGTCTATTCAGGAATTCGTGGGAAAAGTTGATTTATCAATACCTGTTCGTATTTGATACAGCGTTTCTTCACAACGGGGAGCGCCAGAAACAGCTCCGCATGAGGACCTCGCCAATATTCACTGAATTGCTCTTTTGTCGTGCCTTCTTTTCTCTTGGCAAATATAATGACTTTGACTGGCGAGATTGAAGTTGAAGACATTTCTGAATCTCAAGTATGAGTGTAGATTGGATCAAGTGATAATAGAATTAGACTTTATACGTAGACGAAAAGGAACGAGAGAGCACGAAAGCTTGAGGATAATTTCCTCGGGGAATTTCAAAGTGCGGGGACATCACAATAACCACGACCCCGCCCAACTTGAACTTTAGCCGGAGTCTAAAATTAGAAGAATAAGTGGCTTTAAATCGGCTAACAACACCTGCAGGAATAGTGACGGAAGATAACGGAGAAGGAAAGCAGTGCAATGAACTCAGCTTTAACAAATTCACCCCTTAGAACCAACTATATACGTGCTTTCCTAGAGTCTGACATATCTTTTTCCCCCAAGGCTCGGAAACTATGAAGACATCTTGCCTCTAAAGGAGATTTATATCGCGATATACTGCGGGACTGTTCCAAATGTGAGCCCGTCTACTTGCGAAATACAATATTGCAAATATGTTACCTGTTATCAAGATGGGCTCTTGAATACTAGTGTCTCGGTGATGATATATGTAAGAACTTGAACGGAGCTGTCCCAATCCTGGACACAATCATTTTAAGTTCAAGTTGGTCAATTGGGACTCAAGCTACCTGGCTCCAATAATTACAACAATGAGTCGTTTGGAGGATAGTTGAACTTCAAGTTGCCCACACGAATTGTGATTATCGATTTAATGACTCACTCATTCACGAACTGGGGATCGCGGTGACGATACGTTTGCATTGTCTTTGTTATTTTGTTATTTTGCTATTTTGTCACTGAATATATGCCTGGATAGAACATTGCGCCGATGAGATTTTAAGAAACCGTAAAAAAGTGTCTTAATATGACCATGTTATGCATTTGAAGCGAAGAATGGTTGCATCTTAGTAACCTGTCATCAAATCCAAGTCAATAGCCACTTACCACATCTCAAGACTCGAGACATGAGGCCCTTTCTGCATCACGCTCGTCAAATACTCGAGCCTCACTTTTTGTTGGGATTCAATGGGTTTGGCCGCATCAGTAGTTTGGTATGCCCCACTATCCTTCCGGCCTAATAGCATGTTCCTCACACGCAAGGACTTTCTCTGAACTTGGTTTCAAGTAAAAGCTGGGATGCTTTCCATGTTAACTCCTGATTCATGAGCTGGGTGGCTGGTGATTTATTGATTACACCGCCCATGTCGCCTAGCAACATCCTTGCTTGAAAGGTTCCACTTTGTCTGCGAATCATCTTCGACGTATTTCTGTGGCATTATCAGCTGATCGTGAACATAGCATGCCGGCAAACCCAGCCTCTGGTTTCGCTTTCGGGGCAGCAGCAGACTGCTTCTTGATTGAACTTCAGTTCCTCACTTCTCAGTAGTAATGTTGATGGGCATGGTTGCTTATGCATAGCCTAGGCCATTTGAGCGGCTTTGACAAGTGTTCATAAACAGGAGAGAGGGCTGTTTATGCTACTCGATCATACTAAGCCTTACCCACGGAGTATGTGCAGTCCCCAGGATCCCCCCTCCGCTCTGTATGGCCCCCAAGGTTGGACGTTTCCAATTTGGTACTAAGGCACTAATGTAGAATTTCTGTATGGAGTAATATTTTTTTTTCCCACAGAACGTCACTGAGAGAAAACTAACTAGTTAAATCACAAGCCACATCGCTGCCTTATATCTACGTCATCAATATCAGAAACCCCTTTTGTGTGATCGTCGCTCGGCTCGGCACGCTCGACCATCGCCAAGGAAACTTTCGTCCTCTCACCGACTTGTACATCGTTGGATTCCAATCATTGACTTTTTTCGATGGACCTGCTAGCGACATCTTTTGGTTACAAAAATCCATCACTTCTTTGGAGTGCAGCCTAGTCTCTTGGCGAATTAATAACGCTCGCACAGAGAAAGGCCCGCACACTGCTTCCAAAATGGCCCCATGGCAATGATGGCATCGTGTCCGACATTCCAGAGCTTCCTAATCGAGCTTCCCGAGGGGTGTGACTTATACAAAGAAACAACAGTATGATCTGTCGATGGCCCCTCAGCCCTGTAGGGTCATCGGGGAACCGAATGCAAACAGATTAGGCTGGTGGTACTCATCGTGGGGCGAAGGCAGAAGTATTCCATTTTGGCCCCAGCCGAACATGCACGCTAGGCACCTAGCCGGGTTCTATAGCACAAAGATACATTCCTGTATCCAATTGGAGATTGACAAGCCGTGGCTAAGACCAACGGAGTAGCGTTAGACCCTGTGACACCCCAGCTAATGCTAGCTAGTGCATCCTACACGTCCAGGGATCTCGTCTTACATCCCAAAATCGAGCAGAGATCGTTAATGGCGCAGTTCGACTGGAGTTTCGCCCTCGGGGGGGGGGGGGGGGGGCTCTTTTTTTGTTTCATTGCTAATGAAAACAGGCTAAGAAAGCAGGGGTCTCTTCGCAGTACTTATATCGGACAGACCCCCAAATCCCGTGGATTTCTTTCTGTGTAAACAGTTTGCCAAGCTTCCCATTCAATATGCGTACCTCCTTCCTCCTCACAGCAGCCATCGCTGCATTTGGCGTCAATGCCGATGATTCTACTACCACAACCACCACAAACACCGCAACCGCCACAACTCTTCCCTACTTTTCTCCCTCTTGGGACTGGCACATGATCACTCATGGCCGCGGTATTAGCAAGACTGCTGCCAGTATCGCGGACGTCAAGTCACAGACCACCACCTACCACGTCGGCTGCCAAAAGGGTGTCCCGACCGGAGAATGCAGCTTCCCCAATTCATGGACAATTGTTCAGGGTGCAGACACTGCCAATTTCAAGGCTGAATATGTCGCAACAACTTCGGACGAGTCATCAAGCTGGGATGTCACAATTACTCAAACTTACGACTGCTCGCTGCACCATTCAACTGAATCAGCCAGTTGCAGCATGAGTGCAAGCATGAGCGGCACCATTGATGGGGAAAAATCCAAGTCTTCCACCTCTACTAAGATGAAGTACAAGTCTGCTCCTATGGGCACCTCCACCGGCTCTTACTTTGCTTTGTTGGTCACTGCGGGCCTGGAGTCTACCACCAACTCCAAGGCAACTGAAACTGCTGCTGCTGCCAGCGGGAAATCAGGTGCCATGATCACTGCTGCTCCCATGGTTGCAGCAGCTGTTGCAGCTATGCTGTAATGAACGTCTAAAGGAATGGAGATCCTTATTGGAGAAGTGAAGCACGCCTTTTTTTTTGGCATTCTTGATACCTCATGTCAAGGATGGACGTTATGCTAGGATACCCCAATGAAATAAACGAAAATACTTTCATTGTTTGATGCATCCCGCCGTATAAGACCACCCAATTTTTCTTAGCCATAAAAGAAAGCTTTTTTGCTTGAATTCATTCAATGTTCACTCTCATGGGCACGACTTCTTCGGTCTAAACTAGCGAGATGGAGCTAAACCCAAGCAGGCTCATTCACGTGATAAGCACCAATCAGAATTTAAGGAAATGTCCCCACTTCACGTGCTATGACGAATCGTTCTTATCTAGCCGCCATCTTCTCCAGGCCCCGTGCGTCCATATGAGAGTTGCTAATTGCACCACAAAAATGGCTAACGCCACCATGATAAGCTCACCGCCGTATTTGTAAAACCATAAGGCACTAAGGCATCTATAATTCTGCCGGCAGCATGAGTACGGTCCGGAATCAAACACATATATAAAATCTCCATATAAAATGCATCCATTTTATTAATGCTTCAACGACATTTATTATGCTAGCAAGTTGACTCATTCCAAGCTAACCCAAAGAGGAAACAGAGGCTGATTTTAAAAACACCGGCAAATGCATTTTCAGCCGAATTAACTAGCAAATCTGTTGATCTGCGGACACCCAGGCCTTTTATACCTCTCCACGCCGCAATTTCTATATATTGGCGGCCTCCTCTGAGATTACTGAGTTGGTGGCTGTTGTGAGTCTTGTTGTGACTATTGCTCATAAAACTCACGATCTACAGTATCTTTAACGGTATCTAGCTGCTCCCATAAACTTAGGATCCACCCCTGTGATCCCTCTGGGCCTCGGGTGGCTTGCTGGGCCCCCGAGGCCTGTGATGCTGTATACGATCCTCGCGATATCTATACCCTCCGATCATCCCGCATTCTTGGCTCCTGTATACGAAGAAGAGCTGGATGAAACTGTGGTGAATCAGCCTCCTGAAGATGCCACTGTAAATGGAAGAGATCAAGAGGAAGTGGCTTTTTCTTGTTATAATATGGAATAATTTGATGGATGTATGGAATGCCCCTGCCTTTGCTGTATGTACAGGAGATAGGAATTTGAGGTTTTTCGGTATGGATAGGTAGATATGTGTTGATTTCTTTCTCCAGACGGTGAATGGCTTTAAGTGAGACTCTTTGTATAAGATTTGGTAGTAAAAATGTATAGGATTGATAACCTGTGAGTTGTCCAAGTATCTGATCGTATAACTGATATTAAATATCTGTATATTGATGTTTAATTGTCTGTTTAAAGATATTAAAGGCTTTAAGAAGAGAAGTTGAGGTTCCCTATCTTAAATTAGTAAAGAATTATAAAGTAATAATAGGAGAATTACCTGTTGATCACGTTTAAATGCCTAATGTACAGATTTATTCTGAGATGTTACAACCTCATCTAAATGAAGATATTGCTGTGTATAATGATGTAAGAATATCTTTATATATTAAGGACTAAGCCATTCCTTCTGGATATAACAAAGTAGCTTAGCAAAGATCTTATGGTAGTAAGTTTACTGGAATTCCCTCTATTTTTGCTCAAAATCTTAAGGGGTTAAAGCAGTAACAACTTTATACCAGAGCTGCTTCATTTTGCCCTATCGAAAAAGCTTTTCTTGCTGTAGACATCTATTTTTCAAAGGCAATATTTCCTGTTTTTTTGCAGCTTCTTTGATTTCCTATTCAAGATACTGCCAGATTGGCGTACGTGCATAGGTAAGGAGATATTTATTAATATACTATAGGTAGAGTATATAATTAAGTGTAAAAACTATTGGAATTGCACGGAGAATTGCAAGCTCTTTGTCTGTAAATACAGTCAATGGCTCAGGAATTGATTCTACCGCTAATACCGATTGTAATTGTTGCAATGCCCAGTAAAATAAGTCGGTAGTAGAGTCTGATATAAAGCAGAAGCTAGTAGAGAATGTCTGGTTTGTTGATGTTATTCCGGTAATATCAAGCAACGGCATTTTGAACTTATTAGTTTTGAATGTTGTATCTATCCAAAGAATATAAGGAAAAAGACGTAAAAACCCAATAGAAGTCCGGTGGATGGTGAATAAAGCAAGCAAAATATGGTCGTCATTAGATCTATGGTAGATGTACCAATTCCCTGAATTTGGGAGATCTTGGAGAAGTGTTTGAATAGATGAGCGGCCACCAAGTCGTTTTTTGTTAAGATCCATCTTAATATTATAGATATTCTTTATAATAATATATTCGTCTTTATTCCTAAGCCGATCTATGATCTAGCAAGGCCAAACCCCATCCTGGATCGCCTGTTGAATATCCGAAGCTTTTTTTTTTACTACTATTTGGCGAAGATAGGGAATATTGATAGCAGATGATGGTGTATAGTTATGGCTACTATTTTGAATTCCTAGTAGCTATATATCCCCATCTTAACGAAGAATAACCTTAAATGGATAGTTGTACTTTTTTGTACAGCCTCTTCTGCGTTTTTTTATATTAACATCTATAGTCCGGCGGTTACGATATTCACCACCTCACCAGTATTGGTAAATAGCCTTAAATTATACCCCACTATAGGAATTCAAATATTTTGAAACAACTACATAGCCTTGGGTAGCTACAAATTGATTCATCTCCATTTAAGCTTCATCTAGTAAAGAATACTCAAGTTTCCAGGGCAGAAGCAGCTGAAATAAAGGGAAACTTGGCATAACGTCTAAGGAGGTATTAACCGATACTTCCTTAAGAAATTAAGCTTCCTCGTTATGAATTATGTTAACAGTGTTAAGAAAATCATCACAGAACGTAGGAGGAGGGATAGTTGATAGCCTAGGACTAGACACAAGAGATTCAGTAGATTCCAGCGATATAATGATAAATAAATAGCTTCAAATTTTTAGGGGTAGTAGAGGAAATAAGAAATAATAATACTCTAAAAGGAGAAGTTATTTTAGCTAGGGGAGGTATTAAAATAGATGTTTAAAATATTGTTATTGCTTATAATATTGATATAGTAACAGTAGTAATAATAATTCACATTCCTGAGATAATATGGGCCTCTTCTGGCCAATCAGCTTCTCTCTACCTTTCTGTAAACGGCAAGTCACATACTCACTATACCTTACTGTGCCCCGCCATTTCCCTACTAACTATTTACTTTTATGTAGTAACTTTATATATTTTTACCCCTAATTTGATTTACTACAACAATACTATTTTAACTCATTTTTAAAAACGCTTCTAGATCAATAAACATATATCATTAAATAATAGCTAGCTCAAATATAATCAATTATCATTAGATAATAGAGATATCCGGGCGCTCCGCAATAGACGTCTTTTTTAATGTAGTTTGGTGTGTTATTGTGTGTCGGCACGTCCACTGCCTCGCCTGACCGCCCATTTTAATTACACCGCCTTAATACCGGCTGATAATACAAATACGGCAGAATTCCCAAAATGGTTTATCGTGGTGGCGTTAGCCATTTTTGTGGTGCAATTAGCAACTCTCGTCCATATACTCTCTTTCAAACTTGACATCGTAGTGGCAGGTGCCTTGTAAGAATGGACATTCCCGTGGCAGAAAATGTCTTGGGCACCCTTGGGGCGGTTCGTTTGCCAGTTAGCCTTCTCAATCTACGTATCCCACTAATGAAGCTCACAGGTTTGTTGGTCTATCCAGGTAGGCCGTTGTTTTACGTCTTAACTCACTGGTGCTAATATTCCTCAGCTTCTGCCTCAAATTATCATCAATTACAGAAGACACAACACTGAAGGTCTACAAGGGTCAATGATGCTCTTGTGGGCTGCGGCGGGTGTCCCTCTCGGGGTATACAACATCGTGGAAGAGTTCAATGTGGCTTTAAGAATACAGCCTCAAATACTTACAGTTTTGAGCCTTGTTACTTGGTCGCAGTGTCTTTACTACGGAAAAGTAGGCTTTATCTGCCCCCTAAAATCATTGTATACATGGTATTGACTGCGGAATAGAAATATGCTATCGCAAAGTGCATTGCCGCGGTCGCTTCTCTTGTTCTTATTTTGGGTGGCATCGAAACAGGCTTGATATTTGCGTTAAAAGAAGCTAAAGCGCACGACCTGAGGTGGCCTCTTATTTTGATGGCTGTTTTAAGCGCATGCTTGCTTGCAGCAGGAGTACTGAGGCATTACTGGGACATTTATGTTCACAGAACCGTACGAGGAATCAGTTTCTTTTTCGTCGGCATCGACGCAGCCGGCGATGTATTTTCGCTCGTATCCGTTTGTGAGTCAAAGGGAAATTCGTCGTGCATCAGTAGTGGCTAATATATGAGAAGTGTTCGGACCGACTATTGACATACTTGGCATAGTCATATATGGAACCGAGTTTGTACTCTGGTTGGGCATTTTCGCATGTGGTGGCGTATTCAATCTCTTGCCTTGGCTGAAGTCGCGGTCAAAGAAAGTTGAGCCTTCACAGGAGCCCATATCTCTCCATCCAATGCCATCGTCAACTTCCGTGTTCAGAACTGCATCTGCGTCTGAGGTAGTAGAGAGGCGGGGTTGGCCGCGTGTACTTTAGCTTGATATTACGGCACGGCTCTATGCAGTATGTCAAAAAAGCGTCGAGTAAGTCCTCTTTGGTATGAAAATGGGGTCAGAAAGATGGGCGATCTTGTCAGATCGACAGAACTCCATTTTGACTGTTTGTATAAGATACTTGACAAAATTCTATTGAGCAACACGGTACTACAGGTCAACAATAACTCATCGGTGGTGGATCACTGCAAGACAGGACGTACAATTCAGCAAGGGAGAAAATAAACTTAGATGAGCATATCTCTGATCAAGGCTCGAAAGCTAATTTGTGAGAGTGGAGTTAAATCTGATTTGGAATACTCGGCCTGCACAATTCATTACTTATAATATATTTATGGTATGCATCTATATCACTTCAGCGAGAGGCTAGGTTAAACGGTAGGTTGTTAAAAGATGCAGTCCTCTTTATCTCCGTAGCCTCGGCGTTCATAACCTGCTCGAGTTCTCGATCCCGGTGAGAAAGCCGATCGCGGTCAGTGAGACATGGCCTAACTGACGCATCCCCGCGAATCCCCCGCATTTACCCCGACAAATGGGTGCTTTAAAAGGCTTAAAGATATCATGGGTCAGATACTTTACTAAACGAGCAAATAAGATCGGGATCCTCAGTAAGCATCCTTCAAGTAGCCTAGAATAATGTCGGAGAGAACCCCTTGGCCTTCCTCGACTGAATCAAATCAACAACCATCCAACCTTGTACATGACTTGTCTCATATTCCAAGAGATCCACTAAATAGAAATCAAACATAACATTTCTAATTCACTAACAGTCTCAAATCTCGAAGTTTCTTCTTTTCGTCCTATTCACTGAATATGGAGAAGGACGACTCTGAAGCCGTCCATGTCGAGTCGGCTGATCATGAGAAAAAGGAGTCCAAGTTCCTAGCATGGACAACCGAATTCGCCTCTCGAGATGATGATTGGCATCGACAAGAGACACGAAAACTACTGTGGAAGATTGATATACATTTGTTACCCTGGATTGTGTTAATGTACTTGACCAACTTTTTGGACCGAAAGTAAACACTCCTTGCGATGACCAAGTGGAAGCAATTTACTAACAGCGCAAAGTGCACTCTCGCAAGCAAAACTCGGCACTTTGGAACAGGATCTTGGTCTGAAAGGAACTGAATTCAATACAATAACATCGATTTTGTTTATTGTAAGTATTTGTTGTGTCAAATTAGAGTCTCTAGAGACCCACTAATCGACTACAGGGATATATCCTATTTCAACTACCATCTAATCTTCTTCTTACTCGGGTTCGACCTTCTCTGTATCTTTGTGGAATGATGGCTCTTTGGTAGATTCAATACTTCCATTGGAGTGGCTTCATACATTTCTAACTGTGACAATTCTTCTTTTATTTAGGGGCACGATCTCCGCACTCCAATCCACAACGAAAAGCTTCGCTGGAGAACTTATCTGTCGGTTATTCCTTGGTATGCCGCTTAAATAAACCGTTCATGTTCAATCAAGTACTCACCAGAACAAAATAATATAGGAGCTGCCGAGGCGCCCTTTTTCTCGTATGTTCGAATCACCTCAGGCTGTCCACACTCAAGTGGTCCTAACATCCATTTATTAGGGGATCTATTTTCCTGATGTCCTCGTGGTACCGCACAGAAGAACTGACCCATCGCATCGGTATCTTTTATGCCGGAGTTGCTCTTGCAAACATGTAAGTTGTCAGACCGGTGAAAATCAGTGAATCACATCATGATACCCTCATATAGGTTCGGTGGGCTCATTGCAGCCGGTGTCATTGGTAATCTTGACAACGCTCACGGGCTAGCAGCCTGGAGATGGCTATTCATCATTGAAGGCTGTGCGACGGTCGGAATCGCGTTGATAGCAATGTAAGTTTTCTTCTATCTTTTCTTCTGGATATAATCTCATTGTAAGCAGATGGTTTATGCCGAACTACCCCAATACAACGCGTTGGCTTTCTCGTCAAGAACAAGATTATGCCCAGTGGCGTCTCGCGCAGGATGCAGCGGGTGAGGAAGATGACCGTTTCGCTGTGAGCCCGTTAGAAGCCGTCAAAATGGCACTTTCCGATTATAGGCTTTACTTCTTCATGCTTCTCAACCACCTTAACCTGCTGGCACAATCATTCACGTAAGTAAATCAGCTAGAAAAATATCTCACTCAGAAGCTAACTCGCTTTAATAGTTATTTCTTTCCATCTATAGTGGAATCCTTGGGCTACAGTAGTACAGTTACCTTATTCCTGACAGTACCCGTTTGGTTCGCGACATTCCTCGCTGTAATATCTATATCCTATCATTCCTCGCAGACAAATGAGCGGAGCATCCATATATTCTGCTGCATGTTGATAGGTGCCATTGGCAATATCATTGTTATCACGACCAATAATCTGGGCGCCAGGATGTTTGCCATGTATCTCATACCGATCGGCACGCTTCCTTCATTTCAAATGATTCTCGCATGGATTACATCTTCATTCTCGCGGCCGCTGGTGAAGCGATCAGTCGTCGTGGCTATGTGCGGTATGTTTGGGAATGCGGCATCGATCTACGGTAGCTACCTGTATCCGGATTCTCAAGGGCCAAGATATGTTCCTGCTGGTGTTGCTTTGGCATGTGTCTGTGTCGCGTGTGGGGGATTAGCGCTGATAATTCGCTTTGTGTTGCAGCGAGAGAACAAGAAGTTAGATAGGGAGAACGGTCCTGATGACGGGGCACGGTATATTCTATGAGGACTTTGGGATAGTATATCGAAAGCAGAATTCACAAATTTCATGATATATGTAATGAATGGTCTGTACTAGTCATGTTTCCGAGGTCTCCTTCTCCTGTACAAACACAAGACTTTGGAGACCGCGCTGCGACTTTACTTGGCCAGCCTTGAAGCGAGACAGTAAAAAGCCATTGACAGAATTTAGTATGTTAGCCTCACAGCCAAGCATAAATCGCGGATGTGATATAATTGAAAGTAGATAAAAAGGGAAAATCGGAAAACATATCAAGCATAAAGTAGACAGAAAGTAGAAAGTAGATTAGTGAAGCAATTGAGTTTCCATGGTGGACCACAATAGCGCAATAGTCGGCTTTCTATCCGAAGCGCTGACTCTCCACTAGATACGGATAAAGCACGGAAAACCAACTTCATGTGATTGATCCTTACATAAATAGAAGTGCACATCGAAAGTCATCCCCTGCATTCATTTAGAACATATATTATATTCACGGACCTTTCTCAAAAATGACTGCCAAGCCCACAGTCCTTCATCTCGGTGACCCTATCAAATACAACCATGACTTCTACAAGACCGAATTCCAGTCCCGCTTCAACGTCATCCAAGCCACAGAAACAGATCGTGCATCTTTTATTAAAGCACTGAAAACCAAGAAGTAAAACATATCCCAACCCCATCCCAAAATCACAGCATACTAATCCCAACTAGATACGGGGACTTCTCGGCACTATTCCGTCCACACTTCCAAACGGGCGGATTCATGGGCCAATGGGACTCCGAACTTATCCCACTTCTCCCAGATAGTACGCGAATCTTTGCCTCCGCAGGCGCAGGCTTCAATTGGGCCGACGTCGATATCCTAGGCCAGCACAAAATCTGGTATGCCAATGGCGTCGGAGCCTCAGACGAAGCAGTATCCGACACAACTCTATGGATGATTCTAGGCGTATTTCGAAACTTTACTCGCTCCCAACTCGCAGCTAGAACAGCTGATCCGGCAATCTTCACGGCGGTTCACAAAGCCACAGCCGAGATCTCACATAACCCGCGCGGAAATGTATTGGGTATTGTTGGATTCGGGAACATTAGCAAGAAAGTTGCTTTCAAAGCCAGAATGGCCTTGGGGATGAATATTCATTATTTTGACATTAGACGTGCTGAGTTGGAAGAAGAGAAGACTGTCGATGCTACTTATCATGAGTCATTAGAGGGTTTGTTGAAGGTTGCGGACTGTGTTACTCTCCATACGCCTCTTAATGAGTTTACGCAGGATTTGATGAATGAGAGGACTTTGGCTTTGATGAAGCCTGGAAGCCGACTTATTAACACTGCACGAGGAAAGGTGGTGAATGAGGATGCTTTGATACAGGCTCTTGAAAGTGGGCATCTTGCGGCTGCGGGTTTGGATGTGCATTATCATGAACCTCAGGTTTCACATAAACTGGCCAGTATGGAGAATGTTACCCTGACGACACATGTTGCTGGTGGAGCGTTGGAGACACGAGTCAATTTTGAACTGAATGCCATGAAAAATATCATCCAGGTGGTGGGGCCCAATGGCGAGTTTACAGGAGAGCCTCGTACACCTGTGAACCGGAAGGCTTTCGAGTCAGAGGTATAATGGATTACTTGGCTGCTTGGGAAAGATAAGACTTTGTTCTACCATTCTTTTCACAGGAAATACATTTTGTATAGAGATGAAATACATGAAATATAGAGCAGACTTTGCATCCACACGAGAAGGTTTGTTTCATTTAGCATGAGTACTAGTTATTGTAGTATATTTCCCAGAATGACGTGGCGTCTAAGTATTACAGGGCTTTATGCCGCATACGCAACCTGGGCCCAGGATGTTTCATACAATCCCTCAAGATCAAGTCTGTTTCAAAGGTTTGTGCTAAGTGTAACCGACCGCGGCCAGGCCAGAATTCGAAGGGAGAAGGATTAGATAGATGAAATGTAAATCAGCTACTAAAAAGTAGATATCACATTGATACTCTTTTCTCTAATTATGTACATACAGTATCATTTGTAAGCGCCATCAAGGCGCATTAATTACACAAGTTTTACCTTTTCGAGGCGATCTCCGCCTGATTGTAGAATCCGCACCCCAGCACTACGAGCACTATTCCCGCCGCAGTCTGTGGGTTAAGGTTGAAGTTACCTAGGAACACAATTCCCAACATCAAAGTCAAGGTCTGTCGAATATTTCCCCAAACAGTGATAGCCAAGGAGCCCGCAACTTTGGTAGCCTGGAAAGAAGCGATGTTCAGGAAGAATGCCAGCATTCCATTTCCGACCAACGATGCACCAGCGATCATGGCTGGGAGTTTTGAGCTATCGCTCTCCTCAGTAACCCAGACATTGGCGCCGCTCAGCTTTGAGAGCTCGCCAACGCTTATACCAATTACGAATGATTGGATTGAGGCGTAGATGGACATTCGATAAATCAGTTCCAGTGAAGAGAGCGAGAGAGATCCAGTCATAAGACGGTTGGTGATTATGATCTAGTTGATGAATTAGTCAGATGAAACTCAACTTCCCTGGGAAGGGTTAAAGATAGAGAAAGAGGAATGTATGTACCTTTAAGACACCGAGAACCACGCCAATAACCGATATGAATAGTCCCCAGTAGGTGAATTGGAGCTCACCAGAAGCAGTCATGGCGGCACCCATGACGATCGGTATGAGGGCGAGATAGGTGTAAAGGGAGTAAGAACGTGCAAATATGACACGTTCGAGAAAGACAGTGAAGATGGGCGATGTATTGCGAATAATCTGGAAGAATGCCAGACTGACGAGGGAAAGTGAGAAGTTGGAAAAGAAAATGTTCACACTGAAAAGGACGGAGTAGGCAACTAGGATCAAATGGTCACGTCGGGAGAGCGTCGACAATCTGAAATAGCCCATCTTCAGAAGAATGACTGTTCCTAGCCCAGAGAATGCGCTGTGTAGACCTGTCAAAAGCCAAGGGCAGGGGAACTATTGCGATATGATCAGTTTCCAGATTCATAAACTCAAGTGCATACGTTACTTGAGTGAGTACTTACCGATCCGAGGATGATCTTGTTGTGAATAGTCAAGAGCATACCCAATACCAACAGGGCGCATAGCCATGCATATTTCACGCTGGGTGGCGTTTTGTATTCGACCTCCAGGGGAATTTGAACGCCCGCTTCTTTATTCAAGGCTTCTAAATCATCGTCCGGCCTCGAGGAAACAGAATTGCGAGGGGACACATTTGACATGAGCTTCATTTCCGCCTCTTGCTCTCCACCTTTTGAATAGCCCATGTTCGGCGCTTAAGGAAAGAAAACGAAAACAAAAGAATGACAGCACGAGAAATAATCTCTCGGCTTTAGGCAGAGTATGAGGGGGAAAGAAGGGTCAGGGGAACAGCGGATCAAATCAATAAAACCAAATAAGCAAAGTGGCGCAGGGTATAAACAGAGCTAGCCCGGAGTTAAAAGTAACTGAGACTCAATTGCTTTTTTTATCCGAGGTCTCCGATTACTGTCTCGCTTTTCTCATTCAAAATTCAACATTTACCCATGGATACGTGGGTCAGTCTCGCGCCGAGAAAGGTTGATATAATGATCATGGGTTGGCAGCCTGGGCAACGCAACGCTTTACTTGATGATTGGAAGGTATTCCAGCGAGCCTCGCCCCTCTGGGGGCCTGTGGCGCAATTACAGCTAGTAAATGCAACATCCACAAAGAAAGATCCAAAAAAAAACTTCATATATATCGGTTGGACCGCGGGGGGCCTATAAGGTCCTATGTACAATGGAGTGGGGGCACCCATACATCGGATACAACAATAGCACAATACCACAATACCACAATACGGTAATCTCGTCGTATCGAAGCGGAAAGTTCCACCAGCCGGATGACATAAGCCAGTTTTATGCAGTGATGGAGTCGAACCAGTGAGTTTCCATGGTTGAAGAATTTGTAAAAGTTGTTGGGTAAATTCGAGTCAGAGATATGAAAGCGAGGAAATAATTAGTCTCTCCCAAGAAATTAGTTGTCTATTCCTACTGCACATATGATGTATGTTCAATGTTGAGTGCACTGATAAGGGGTTCAAATCGGGAGTTCGACAAACATTGAACCCCTTATAACCCAATACAGTAATAAATGAGTGGAACCCTTCGGCTAGATTGACGACGTACTGTGAGACATGGATAAGAAGCTTTTTTTAAATTTCTTGGGGGCCTAATTTAATTTACCCGGGATCTGAGTGGACGGTCTGCATGGGTGTGGGTCTGCATATCTTGTACAGTTCAACCCGATGTACAGTTTAATAGCCTGAAGGAGATCGGCAACCAGATTTTTCTCCATCTTTTTATGAATGTTCATATTGCTTTTCTCTGTGTTTTTCTGTGATCTTGTCTGTTGAAATTACCAAAAGAAAGGGGCAATATCCAGAGATACGTCTAGAGTAATCTTATTTCTTATTTTATGATGATGCCTAGAGTCTCCTGTGCGATGCATAATAGGAGGCTTGGGACAGGCCCCGCTTGGGACCCTGAGCTTACCTGATTAGGCTTGCGATACACACAATACACGAGGTCTTAGTGCCATCTGGGGCCCACGTGCACCAGCATTGGCAGGGACTGGCATCACGATGGTCCACTGGTGTATATCTCGTCGGTATCTGTCAGTATTCATGCTGTATTTATGCCCCGTAATGATTAGTGGAAGTCAAGCTTTTTACTGCGCCATAATAATACAAATAAGCCAATTAAGACACCTTCAGTGATTGCTTCCCATCCCAACCAGATTGCTCTCTCCCCTCCTTCTCCGTGCAATGCTCTGGTTTTGATCTTTAAACCTTTACTCCTGGCCACTCTCTCAGCGAGTACAGGGGTTTTTACTCTTGCTCTCAATCCACCATGTCTGCTTCGTCGCGTACCTATGGTTGGCCCCGGAGGAAATCTCTTCTCATCTCCGCCGCCCTGCTGATAACGAGTATACTCCTCTTACTCGTCTTTCGCGATAGCGTCCAGGCCACCGCGTCAAGCAGCTTTGACTCGGTCACCTCCTTGTACGTTCTCTGGATTCACCCGCCAAAATCAAACAAACAATATTAACCTGCCATTAGTGAATTTCTCCATAATAAGCCCGACTCACAGGCTTCGGCATACTCCACGCCGTCAGCGACCCACTTACCGGCTGAATCTCAAGCTGCCAAAGCATCTTCTCTCAATCCATTCACTTCTTCCCCGGGTCCATCCTCGGGTGCATTCTCTTCATCGCATTCTTCTTCTTCCATCACTACCCTGCTGGACTTGCCGCTCGGTATCTTTGAGCTGATTAAGCCGCACATTCATTCCATCACCGCCGAGTCTTTCACAAGTCGGACCGGCAAAACGTATCAACTCCCATCATCTCCCAAATTCACCAAGCCATTGAGGAAAAATGTCCTTATCATGGACGTTGAAAGCCGTGATCTCGGCGGCCCAGGCGGTCTTCTCGATGAATCCACCCTAACAACAGACACATTGGAAGGTCTGACTTTCGGTCGACTGAACCATTACATGTTTGGTGAGAACTCCTATACCCTCCACAACTCACCATAGAACTTCATCTCATCTAACTATCCACAGCCAAGCTTCATGGGTACGATTACAAGCTAGTTCAACTCCCAGATGACCCAACCCTCCACGGGACATGGCACAAGGTGCCCGCCATGCGCGAAGCCATCAAAAAGTACGACTGGGTCGTCTTCATGGACGGTGATGCTATCTTCACTCACCTCCATCTCCCCATCGAATGGCTCTTCAACCGCTGGGGAATAACAGAAAACATCACCCTCGCGCTAGCCGAGGATCCAGAACGATTCACAAACATGGTGAAAGGTGATCCAAACCTCAACACCGGCGTCATCGTCGCCCACAAAACACAACACAGCGAAGAACTGTTCGAGGCCTGGATGTCTTGCCCAGATGAGAAACGGTACGAAGGCTGTGGCGTCTGGAGAAAGAAGCACACCCACGAGCAAGCCGTATTCAACGAGTATCTCCGCTACGATTACCCTGATGAGATCAAGATTCTCTCCTGTACAGAGGCAAACCGCTACCCCGGCTCTGGGGATTGCGAGGGGGAATTCATCTCGCATTACTGGCCTTTTAAGGATATGATTCCAGGTGGGGTTAAAGAGGCCATGGCACAATATTTCTGGCCCTCTTTGCAAAAGGCCTATTCGCAGGATCGGGCGGATGTCATCGTTCGAATGGAAGGGGACAGTGTTCGCGTGGGCCAGGTTGAGCCTCAGCCTGAGGCTCAGAGTGACGCTGAATTGAGTTAATGGAACGAGGACCATGATGATTTCTATGTAAATCACATTTAACGGGCAATCATTTTCGTTTGGATTTGATGCATTTCATTGTATAGACATTTGAATAATTGTACATGCATTAATAAACATATAGAGTCGAGCTACCATTTTTTGAATATAATTTATCAAAGAACAATTAAAAGACAACTAGGATACGTTTCGTGGATTTAATCCAATGAGTAACATTCCTCTATGTACCTAACCTAAGACTTAGCCATCTCATACTACCCACCCACGGACCTCAACTCAAAACTATACCACTACTGTGAAGCCTGCCACGCCTTAACATAAACAGGCAAATTCAACAAAAATTCCGTCCGCTTAGGACTCCAACCAAGAATTGTCTTCGCACGAGAAGCATCCGCCTTACTAACCAAACTCAAAGCCTCGAGAAACACATTCCCCTGAGTCCCAGTATACTCAAGTGTAACCTCAGGTTGAATCCCCAAAACGACCTTAGCACCCTCCAAAATCTCAACAAGCGAAACCGTCTCCGTCACCAGATCAAAAATAGGCCACGAACCCAATCTTCCATCCAACCGATCAATCGCAGCATGAAATCCAGCCGCAACATCATCTACATGGACAAGTCCCGGGACAGCTTTCCCATCACCAGGAACAGAGATCAGGGACGAAGTGCCCGACTTCGCCTTCGCCCCTTCAGCAAGTGCACCCCACCATGCTCCGAAGACCCACGATCCACGTCCGTAAATCGTATGAGGGCGCAGAATAGCTACATCTAGCTTATCGCGAGCGGCGAGGATAGTCTGTTCATACGCAGGTCTCCATGATGATGCCGTCGCGGGTTTATCTTGGGAATAAGCACTTGCAGGTGGGAGGAGGTCATTGATGCGCGTTTTCTGGGATCCATGGTTCCATGCACCGGAGGTATAAACGAAGCCTAGCTTAGGGCCGATGATGTTGTCTTTTTTAAGGGTCTTTTCGCGTTCTGTAGCTGCTTGGATGACTCCAGCGAGGATACTGCCTGCCTTTTCGTAGGCCGCGGATGCGTCAACAACGATATTAATGGAATTTTCGATAATGATGGCGCTAAGCTTTGCCGGGTCCGTTATGTCTTCTTCGATGGGGAAGATCTCATTCGAGAGGATATTCTTTGCTTTCTCAGGGGTTCGAGCAGTGCCCCAGACCGTGTAGGTGCCGGCTTGGAGAAGTGATTTGCCTAGTGCAAGGCCGAGGTAGCCTGAGCCGCCCAAAATAAGAACATTAGGCATGATGAATGGTGTATGAGTTTATTTTGAAGTTGGAGGGAACTTTTCTCAAGATAAAGATATCCGTTGTTGAATTTTGATACTTGAACATGCACCTTGGCCTCTTTATACGTCACACGATCGTCGCTTCATCTTACCCATGGTGCATACTTGTCCTGTTGATCATGAATTTGTAAGTCGCAAGAGAGCTAGGTCCGAGATCATACTGTTTAGCCGAGCAGAAAATATCGCAATTTCTGTTTCTCCGGAAATGGAAACACTTCTCAGGGTCTTTAGACCCTCAGCAGATGTGGGGCTCGGAGATCGACGCAAAGCCGAACAATCCAGTTTGGAACCCCACCAGAGCTATCTTGCTAATTTCATCTCAAAAGCCCGAAAGTCCGGGGCGCTATTTTACAGTGATAATGTTATCTCGGATCTTCGGAATACATAGGGGCGATATCCGGGAGAGTGCGTTTTGATTACCAGTTCTACTGCCGAAGTACACACAGCTAGGAATCCCTTTGATTCCTACCACAATACAATCTTTAAACCTCACAAGTTCACCAAAATTCATCAAATCCACGAAATCCATCCAACTTACTAAGTTTACCTTTGAAACTCGCAAGTCACCGATACACCGGTTTGAATATAAGCTAAACAAGGAGAAGATCCAGTGGGACAACAGACAAGCCAAAGACACGCAACAGTTTATCAAAAATCACCAAAGTAAAAAACAGCAGACAATAATCTCTCCGAAGAGACACCCGAGTATACCAAACATTTCCTCGAACTTAATTCGCAATGGAGCATCACTTGGCATTACTTTCATAGTTCCATCAATTTGTGAACGTGCCACAACAATTGTTTGGCGTATTCTTGGTCGATATCGTATTTTGCCGCGTGTGCTTCTGATCTGGGGCTCATCATCCGGAACAGTCGTTGCAAATATAATTTCCGGTTTATACTAATTTATAGTTATCAGAATTACAAGATTAACTAGACCCTAAGAGTCAGCTAACCGCCATGCGGCATCAGCTTCGAGCTTTAGTATAGCCTCCGAGACCCCAACTTCTACAACAACACTTGGCCACGAGCCAGCGTCATGACTGGGTCCAATGGACTCAGGACTTCCGGAACCGTCGAGCTCCTTTGAAAATGTACTCTCTGCATCATTGCTTTCTTTTGGCTCTGATGTGGAAATAGGCATTCCCAGGTTGCTGACTTGCATGGCTTGAGCTTGGACATAGCGCTCCATTCTCTTAACTGCGAGTTGATGCGCATTATCTACAAACTTGATCACTAGATTTCCAGAATCTTTATCGAACGTCTTACTTCCGTATTTTGAAAAGTCTTTCTCGGCGATGTCTGCCGAAACATTTCGGAAAATAATGTATTTGGCGATTTTCAAGTTGACACTTCTTTTATGGCATTTGAGGAAGCGACGGATCAGCTTTACAGATGAACCAAGTGCCTGAATTCCATTATTCTTGGGGATTAAGTAGCAATCATCGGGGAGTATGAAAGAATCGTCCAAGATTGGTCGTGACGTTGTACTCGTCGGTAGTGCGTGCTACTCAAAAATGTACTTAGCTAGTAACATGGAGTTCGACATAGTTTGGTGATCATGAAATTCTGTAAGCTAGGGGTCTTGCATGAGGTAGATAAATGCGAGTAAAGGAGTAAACTAGTGGCTCGTGTGATTTCAGGCTTATCAGTGCACCCAAAAAGTTCTAGTAAAGAGTTGAGGAGGGAATCGGGGATCGGGATTCTGTATCGAACAGTTATTTTCATACAACCTATGGTTTACCTTCACTAAGTTCATAATCTTGATGACCACTATGAGTATTGGCATCAGCCTTAGGTTATTAAAATGCCCCCGAAGAATCCAGCAAACCATCTATGAATCTCTACAATGTCGACATCTGGACGCATAGATCTGGATGACTAAGCATTGTCAGTCTTGATCGGGCGCTAGTCCATAGGTAGTAATTTTCCATCCTCAGGCATAAACAGCTCCTCCAGATGACTTTGAGGCTCTTCAGTCTCACCAGCCATTGCAACATAGTCAAAGCTCGTGTCGCATTCACCATCCTTGGTGCAGGCACCATCTCGTTCCTTTATCCTCGACTAGAACCCGCTCACAAAAGTTTTCTATTGTCTCGAGTACCGAACGATGACCCTCTTTGTCTGTCCTTGATCCAGCGACCAGAAGCTTCGCCTTCGGAGGCCTCTCCCTCTCTTTCAATTTCACCTACACACGCCGCACCCACTTGGTTGACATACCCAGCACTCGTCGATATGGATCTTGCCAACACGCTCATCCGCAGCGTTGTTCGCGCCTTCTATGAGACCCGGCACATTTTGGTCGTGGATGCGCTTTTCATCCATTCGGTGTATGATCCTCCTTTCCTGAGGGGTCAAATTTACACAAAGAACAACATAACTGACAAACCTTAGCCTTCATGCCGAGGATCTTGCATTTTTAATGGGAATGCAACAGAAAGATCTTCGCAAGCTATGCGCTCGTCTTCGCGAAGACCGATTAATAGCAATGTAAGATTACCCTCATCACAGAGAGTCATCTTTTACTTCCTTCACATGGACTGACCGAAGTGATTGATCACTTTCAATCTAAACAGAAGCACACGCGCTGAAATCCGCGATGGCTCATCTCGTCCCGTGAATCGCGAATATTATTACATCCCACTTCACCCCGTGATCGACGCGATCAAATACAAAGTCTCGCAGTTGACATCGAAGATCAAAGCCCAGTACACACCCAGCGAAGAGCGCAAAGAATACATTTGCACCCGCTGCAAATCCGAGTGGACGGAACTAGACGTACTCAGTCTAGTTTCAGAAGAAGGCTTCGAGTGTCAATACTGCGGAAACATCCTCGACCGAACAGAAGATGTCAAAGGCGTGGATGGAACTGAACGCACAGGCCACGAAAAAAACAGCAAGCTCATGGCTCAGCTGGACAAAATGTTGAAGTTGCTCAAGCAGATCGACTCTGTCGAGATCCCTGCCAACGACTTCGAGACAGCATGGGACCACAAGGTTGATATTGCGCGCAATCAACAGACACACCCCGTTCGCGCTGCGATCCCCGTTCCACCGAAGACACAAGATGTTATTCGGGGAACCGCCAAGACCGATTCCGCGGCGCTGGAAATCTCTCTTACATCCTCCGAGGAGAAAAGTGCCGCCGAGCAGGCAGATGAAGCGGCTCGCAAAGCGGCTCTGGAAAAGCAAAATGCTTTACCTGTGTGGCATACACAGTCTACCGTTAACAACACAGCGAACAATGTGCAAGTCAAGAGCGATTGTGGTGTGCCTGTGAAGGCTGAGCTGGGCGATGAAGATCAGAAGCCCAGTCTGGACGCACTGGATGACAAGGTGGCGGCTTACTACGCTGAGATGGAGCGTGAGAAGGCTCTCCAAGCCCAAGAAGATGCCAGCAGTGAAGATGAAGATTCGGATGATTTTGACGAAGAATTCGAAGACGTGGGTGTCTCTGGTGCAAGCGGTCCCGCCACGCCCGCAACAGTAGCTGGTCCTACCAGTGTTCCTACGCCTTCGTCTGTTGTGGCTGGTGTCAAACGGGAACATGACACTGCATCCAGTGGTGCCCCGTCTTCTGTTGGCACGCCTTCTACTCCCGCCGACGATGGCCCTGCCGCTAAGAAGGTGAAGACCGAATCCGAAGCTACGATAGAGCCAGTGATCAAGTCTGATCCCGATGCAAAGTCCGTGGAAGATATCAAGCCGCCGGTTGATGCTAAGGAGGAGTCTGACGAAGACGAAGAAGAGTTTGAGGACGTATGAGATGATTGTATTGATTGGCCATAAAGACAAAGAAAAGCGGATCTTAAATGCCATTTCCGTGACATTGGCGCTGGCGTCCATGTTTATTGTATTAACAAAAAACCAGTCTCCATCAAATCCGCGCTATTTACATAAGCCATTATCCAAATATTGCCAAAAGAAAAGTACAGTAGATCATCTCAGCTCTATGCTACCATTTCGAAAAAAAAACTCGTGGGCACTTTTATGTATCATTGAGGCTATCTTCAGCCCATAGCTTGGTGTAGCGAGCGAAAAACGACAGAAAAGGAATAGCAATCCCCGAACCCCATGAAATAGCAATGAAAAGGTACAAATCTTGAAAGTCATAAAAATCGTAGTTGAACTTGTCATCACAACTCCATGTCACGCCCGCTCGCTCAAGTTAAATGATAGCACCATAGCCACGGGGAAATGAAATCGAATTTGGAAAAGGGGGAAATGGCAAAGAGGACGGATTATGCAGGTGGAGGTTGCGCAAGGTTTAGACTGCATTTAAGGAGACGCCGCAAGTCCCATCTCAGAGTCGCTGGCTAGTGCCGATGTTGCTTCCCATTCTTCGGCAGAGGGCATATCGGATTCTGGGAGCCCAACTGTTAATAAATGTCGTAAGTATCTGAGTATAAGGGCGTACCTGAGACGATTTCATCGGGAACATGGACTGTAATTTGGTCGAGCAGACGCAGGGTATCTAAGAAAGTTATGTTGGTCAATGGACTCCATAAGAATAAAGGGGCAGGGGTGTTCATGGTACCGTTGGCCTGGTCGACGAATTCCTGTTCGTCTTCAGCATTGGAATCGAAATAGTTTTCCACGCAATGGGTGATGGTTGAGGTAATTCCGTAGACCAGCCTAGACTCAACACTTGCGGTCTGTCCTGTGAGGAAGGTTCTGTTGACTTTTTCAACGCAAGCTCTGCCCAGCTGCTTGCCAATCATAATGTTCAAAGAAGGCGGTCCCTCCGACATCTCTTCATCGCTGTCCGTAGCAAAAAGAAGCCTGTTGGCAAGATCGAGTGTCTCTAGGCGGACAACTCTCTCGGGGTCAATAAGCAATGTTGGAACAAAATCTGGAATTCTTTGTTGAACAACAGATAAAAACCACTCGGTATTCAATGAAAGTCGCTCATTAACGGTATTCGGGGTACAGAGCTGGCGGAAAAAGTCAAGGTGATCCACCCCTCCACTGTTGTTGATCGAGTCTACTCCCTTGGCCACAAAGTCAATCATGTTAATGACTTCTGTGTCGTCAGGTGCATGCTTGCAGAAAACAATTGCAGCTCCGAGGAATGGCGCACAAATGTCAGCTGGGGACAGTCGCAACCCGACTTCTAACGTCTTGACGATCCGGTCCAGGACCCGCGCCTCTGGCTCTGCTACGACAAATGTTGCGAAAATGTCCAGGCATGATTGTTGGAGGCCAAACTGCTCATGCTGGAACATCTTCATCAAGAATGCGAGACTTCCATCATCTTCTGAAATGAAGATGTATTTGCTTTCATATTCACTGAGCGAATACTTGCCATTCGGCAACGGGTGCCGAACTGTGGCATCTGGAACCGGAGGAGTGGTAAAATCAATGTTTTTGAAGAAGACCGCACAGAGTATCATCATGTTCGTATAGATGAATCGACGGCCCTTTTCCAACATCCTCGTGTAGTGTGGGTAAATATGTCGGAGCTCCATCTTATCTTCCTGATCGAGCCAAATAACTTCTAGACACAATGCAAAGACGCCCTTTTCAAGTAACATGGCAATGACCTCTGATCCGCAATCGGCGAGTTTGAGAAAACAATCGAAATAATCTTCCCATGCGCGAGGGACTGTATGGATGGAAGGCCAAAGATTCAGCAGCATGGTCAGCATACGCCGAACGTGTCGCTCAGCTTCGCCTTGCAAGCGCAGGCGCTCGGTTTCATCGATATCAGTATCCCTCAAGGCCACTCTCAGGCGTTTCAAAGAGCCCATAATGAGCATAATTCCTTTCTGTCGAATATCGCTATTCGAAGTTCGCAAGATAATATTGCGGAGGGAGGTTTCCCGATCGGATACCCACTTGAGGGTTTGAATCGCAGCATGTGGATTTCGGCTGAGCAGTTTGTAAATCTCAGTACAAATCTGATCTGCACCTTGATATTCTTTTGTTCGAGCAATCAATTGCTCAAAAGTATCCAGCCCAATTTCCACGGCTAGGAGTTCAAGTTCCGGTCGATGAACATATGCCGCATCGGTATTCCGTAACCGCTCAAGTAGGCGTTGCACAAGACCTGTGTAGCATGGGTCTAGAAGACAGTATGTACGAATGAATAGCTCATTGTCCATAGCAATGTAATTCGCATATTCAGTTGGCACTGGAACTCGTACTGGGTAGTCTTCCTTCAGCGGACGGTAAGACTGTTTTGATAGTTCCATGGTTGAAACACGTTGATAGAATAGCATGTAGGCATTCCACACTTTGTTGATATGAACCCCACCCATACCTTGCATTGACTCACCCTGGCCACCAAAGCATTGGTCGGCGATCGTGGAAGGATCGAAACGAGTGACATCTGAATCATTGAATTCAACCCATGACGGGAGGACGCCTGCAGCGGGCCGCTCTCGAGTGTACGAGTAGTAATGACCGGATTCCGCGGTACCAGTATGAACTAAAACACCAACCAATTCGAAGACATCCGGCTCGATGGGGGTTTCCGGCTCAGATAGATGCTCCACACTGTATGGCGTCATATCGATTTTATCTGGAAACTGAAATTCGTCGTTGATTTTGCTTCTCGTCATTGTGACCATGTCGAAGTCAAATCGCTTCAGATGGAAGATGAGGTTATCAGGCACATCCTTTAGGCAAGCTCTTTTGACAGCATCAACATGCCGACCACATGCCGTGCAGGAGTATTTATTGTCACCTTGCATAATCTCACCTTCGACATAGGCCTGCAAACTGTCTTCAAGACCTGCCTTGCCCTTGATATCACACTGGATAGCAGAGAATGGCTCCAACCTCTCTGAGATATGAGAACACTCCTTAGATTTGATTTGTTGAACCAACTGACCACCGTAGAATGAGCGGAATTTCTTTTTGTCTTTTGAGTCGACAATCTGAGCCTCCCATCGATCGAAAAGTAGATTGTAAAATTCGTCGACGTCCATCTGAATTGTAACGTCAATCGCCTCGTTGTCATAAGTACGAATACTTTCAACAAAGGACTGCGGGTCCACGCTCTTCGTCCAAGTATCTTGCATCCACGCGAAGAGCTTTTGGGTTTCGTCTAGAAGTGTCTGAGAAGATTGGGAGTCCACAAGATTGAGATGAAGCATGAAGTCCCGGAATTCTACATTCATGAATAGTTGCGTCATCAGGGAATTAAGATAGCAGGTGTTCGAGAGGTTCTTCAATCCAGCATATCCCTCCGGAGCTCGAATCATTTTTGACCGGTCATAACTCGAGTTGGGGCCGTATGAAACGTCGCGTGGCACCACGTCTTCCAAATGCTTCAAAGTTCGGTTCAGGCTTTCATTGCTGCGCTTGCACAATAGAGCGACAATATTGTGCAACTTAAGGCGAGTGAGTGAATGCTGCAGTGGGATTCGGGGGGTCACCGGGCCTTCAACGTCGTCCATAGACAAGTCGGGGATAAGAAACTTGTTCATTATTTGGTCTGCAAGGTCAAAGGTCTCCAGCTCAATATTGGCCAAGTTCGCCATATCAAGACAAAGCTCCACCAGAACAGCAAACCCAAGAATAAGATCATCGACGATTTCACGTCCAACAAACTCCTCTGTCTTGTGACGGAGCATTATTTCGCTCCATTCCTTAAGATACCGACTGAAAATGATATCCCGCGGCGACTTCTCAGCAACAAAGCGAAATATCCAAATAGCGACTTTGAAAAATTCGGCCGAACGGGTAGAATATTGTAAACAGTCGGGCATAGACTGAGCTAATGAGTTCCAAATTGTGGCAAGCATGTCTATTCGAACAGGACTTTCGACTGGAGTTTGTGACTGCACCCCATCGTCCGCCAGCTTTGCTGATTGCTTGTGAAACTTGGATGGGCTGCAAATCGTTTTGAGCCTCTCGGAAACATCATTTCTAATGGATTGTCGGCATTCCTTCAGAAGTAACCCATGTATCAGTTGGTCGAATTGAGAATGCTGTTTCACTGCCTCCCAGAATTTGTAATCACGTGTCGAACCTTCGACAATCACCGCAAACGAGGTGCAGATAAGCTTTTGAGTACAGCTGGCCGTCGCAGGTGTTGCTGGTATAGATCGGACAATGTCGATCACACTCAAAATGTGCTCAACAAAAGGGGCTGCATCTTGAATCAAGGGGGAATCGTCGTGTTCAGAGCGGGAGACTAAACTTTCATTAGTGTGATAATCTTTTACCGCGGAACGTGGGGGGGCTTACCAGTGATGGCATTTAAAAGACATTCCATTGACGATGTAGCTAGAGCAAGTCGAAGAAAGTTATGTTTGAGAGATTGCAAAAGTTCCGCATTCATCAAAAGTTCCACCAATATCGCAATGCTGTGAGGGACAAAGGTTTGTTCGGGGTTTACCTGTTCGATATTAGAGGGAAGATGCGTCAAAGAGTATTTTTGTAGCCGTACCTCGATGACTTCTTCGCGAAGCTTCGCCTGGAGCGCATTCAGTGAGTAAAATGCAACAAATGGCTTCGAGAGAGGGAAAAGGGCCTCGTTATTCTGGCTTTCTGAACTGAACAGCTCTGTTATGCGTTCTTGCGGTGGGAAGACGCTCAAAAAGTCGAAAATTTCCCTTGCTAAGTCATCCTTGAGGGATAAAAGCTCATAAATTTCATCAAAATGTTTGAGAACCTCAGAATCAACGGTTGTAAGAATTTGGCGTTTATTATCACGAGGCACATCTTGGGAATCCGTTGCCTTTTGAATCATTAACAGGCCGCTAGAAAGCTTCATGTCTTTCACTAAAGTTTCCGGTTCCTTAAGCAGGTCGATACGCCGACCTCCCCAGATTACTTTCATCTTTGAGAACCCTGTGAGTTGTGTAAATTTGTCCATTAACTCCGCTGCCGTCGAAAGATCGCCAATTTCCAGCTTATTTACCGAAGAAGTGGAGCTCCCAAATGACTGCCAAGAGATCTCTATTGGGTTGCCCTTCAATGGCCGGTCTGGAAGGCGAGGTGGAGACCCTCTCGGGGGACTGTAGTGCGGCCGAGATCGCAATCCATATAAGAATTGTCGAAGGAATAGAAGAGAACGTCTAAACTTGATCTCATCCGCACCCATACTCGAGGATGGAAGGTCCTGTTCCATGGACCCTTCATCCGTGTCGGTTCCTGTTGGGGTCCGCAAAGTTGCAGCAGTAGACTGAAGCTGATCGATACAACGATTGACAATCGAAATGTGAGTAGCTTCAACGGCTCGGCGTGGAGAAGTCCGGATAATCGGATGGTCTAAGTAAACTTCGATGGCAAACTTTGTAACCTCGGCCTCGATCGTGCCCGGAAGGGCTGTCAAAACGAAGGTCCAGATACGCTCCATTCCAGGAATGGTTACAATTCCATCCTCACTCGCCGGCGAGGGTGGGTGGAACCTAACATCATAGCCAATCGACTGCTTTGCAAATGAGAGGAGTTCCGGAGTGTAGGCGGTGGGCGACAACTCAGGTAAATATTCATGAATGCATCTATCCAGGAATCCATTTGGTTTGGAACTCCGACTCAACGTTTTGACCATCAGGCCCCAAGCGGCTGTATAACCATCATCTCCCAGCTTATTTGAAGTGAGAATTTCATTCCAAAAAGATTTCCCGAGATCAGCCGTGATTGTGTCTGGTGCCATGTCGATGAGGCGGAACAATAGTGCAATTCGCGAAATAATACCATGGTGGGAGAAACCATCGCTGGAGTCTGTTTCGCTGTTCACAGTGTGGAGAAGGTCTTTTATGACCAAACGAGTCAAACCAAACTCTTCCGCTAACTTCCTCATTTCTTGCGAGTCGTCATTCGGAATGAGAGCGCTGAGCACCTGGATACTTCCCGCAGTAAATTCATTCATGTCGGCAATATCCTGAATGCAGCGCTCGTACATCTCCATCCTATCGTTCTCACTGATTCCGAGTCTAATGAATCGTTCAAGGTGTCTGCTACCAAAATTCTGTAGCTGCTTTTTCTGATCGACAGAAAGGCTATTTGCAGCAGTACTCTCTCTAATCAAACGCAGGCAAATGCGCAAAGGAATTGTGTCCACATGAGGGCTTCCAGCAGTGTGATCGGTGGGTTGGGATATTTGATTCAGCAAACTGTCACAAAACTCGAGGACACGAGCATCGAAGCGGTCTAATGGGAATTCCAAGACCTTTGAGCAAGCATAAAGTAGTTCAGGGGCATCGCGTGGAAGCAAACAAAATGTTCGGATAAGCATCGATAGAACTTCGGAAACGAAACGGCTGTCTTGGCTTTCTGTCACCGTTTTCCAAATAATGTCTGTTTCCTTATTTGTATATGTCGATGTCACTATCAAAAAACCAACGATGTTGCTGCTGCGGCTGATCAATTGGGGGTGAGAGTCGACGCCAACAAGATAATCTACTATCTTGTTGTCCTGAATGTAGTGGACCAAGTACTGGATGGATGGCGATGTGACTGCTGTGAGGTGTCCGCTGATGTGCTGCTTCCAAACAAGAACCAACTCCGACTGCATAGTTTCCACACCATGGGCTCGAAGTTCCATACGGCCTTCCATGATTTGCTTCTTTAATACTCGGAACTTCCACCCCCATGTGATAATCAAATGTTGTTGTGTCAGATCGGCATCTTCTGGAAGCTCGATTGAGAGGTCTTGTGACAAATGATGAACAAATTCGTGGTCCCGGGCAAGTAGCGATTGAAAGCTGCGAGGAATTTGACGCAACAGCTGTTCGCTTACATCGCTAGTAAGCCATGGGGCCTTCTTGACGATCCATTCCTGATATTTTCCATCGATCAACCGGATGGTATCATAGATTAGCTTCAGGTGCTGTGTTTCAGAAATCGCAGAAATTCTTGATTCTCCAGTCGAGTCCCGTGGCGGTTCCAATGTACAATCGATGAGACTGGTCAGAGCAAGGATGATGGGAATCAACGTGTTTATCCAGTGTGAAAACTTGGCAGAGTTCTCGATCAGCAGCGAAGCATACTCTGCGAGATCCGTAATCACCCCTAGGGCTATGGCTTTTGCCCTAAGCCGAGTTAAAAATTCGTCTAGTTCTTCACCGTAAATGTTCTGGAGGGTGCGGTAAAACGGAATGCTTTGAAATTGTAGCGACCAGGCGAGGGAATTCAAGTAGCCGCGGGCCACGGCCTCTTGTCCTTGCGATTCGGGCTCATCTGCAGCCTGGCGTAAGGACACGATGTCAATGCGAAGCAGGTGAAGCGTGATTTGGATGTAATCTAAAAGAAATTCTTCCAAACATATCCATGTGCCTCTGCCATCATCTATTGGCAGTTCTTGGCTGTGAACCAGTTAGCTTCAAGATAAAACGAAGATAAATGCCAACAGAACGGGGAAATAGAGATAGAAAGATAAATCGAACAAAATTAATGAAACAAATTCAGTCATTTGATGGTTGAAAACTTACTTTCTGCGCATCATGGCCTCTACCAAGCTTGGCAAAAGCTCCCAGAATTCAAGATCTTCGACAAAGGCACCAGGGGTTAGTCGGTCAAGGCTGCATGCGCAGTCATCCATCCAGATCTTCACCGCAGTGAGAAATTTGACCTCGCGATGATCCTCTGTTGGGTTGGTTAGTCATGAAATACATATGGATAGATCGTCAGAGAACATTACGCTTTTCCATCATCAGAATAACCCGTCGTAAATTGTCTCGTGAGTTTTGGTCCTCTCGGTATCTTGGGAATGAGTCGATCAATGAGGCTGTGTCGTGGACCTCCACCACCTCCCGTGTCGCATGGTCACGCAATGCGTCTTCAAGAGGCCCCCAGCTACCTGTGTTTGGGTACTGGTCCATGTCCTCCAGCTCTGCGACCTCGATTTCTGGGCTCTGCGCCGGCGATGAGGATATGGAGACCACGTTGGGGGATGTCGTATCGGGGATGTCGGTATTTGGGGTTGGAGATGGGGGTTGTGAGGTGGTGTGAGGTTGTTCAGGTTGTTTTGAAGGGGGTGCTACCTTTTCTGAAGGCATGTCGATATTTGGAGACTTCACGTTGATCGTCACTTTACTGGGGCGACCTGAATCCGGGGTGAGATCCATCTCCGAGGCAGGAACGGCTGCGGGAGTCGCGCAGGCGTCAATGGACAATGACTCTCCTACGCGACTTCCACTATCGAGGCGCGGACGTTTCCGGGTCGCCTGGGGATCAGAATCTTCCATCGAGTCGCCGTGAGATCGTGTGGAGTCAATCAAGGACGCGACAGGTGGGGTGTGAGAGCTCTCTGGCGGGGGTTCTGCCATGACATTTTCTGCCAGGCAAAACGGAGAGGGTGAGGTGAATCTTTGGAGTGAGAGATAAAAAGGAACAGGGACGGTGCGGGGTAGACAATTCTGGGTAATTTAAAAACGCTCTGGAAGCTTAAAGAGATTAGGGTGGGAGGAATGAGAGAAGCGGTAGAGGTGAGTTATGGAGTGATAGCTTTTTTTCTCATCAGGCGGGAACGCGCCTGGGGAGAGAGATCGGTGACGTTGTACTGTGGAGAGACACCAAAGAACCGGATCAGCGCTTAATCGCTGGGCAACATCCAATTAATCCAAGTATGTATGTTATATTACCAGAGGCAAATAAGAGTTACAGGAGCTATTTCTCCTATTTGTATTTTATTGTACTTTTGCCCTAAGATTTTTACCTTTAAAGCATTATCAGGAGAAAATGATGTGGAATACGTGTTTGAGTAGTATATACTTCACTGAGAGCTAGTACAGGCAAACCACAAACATGTGCTCTAACAACAAATAACGAGCAACATTTCTGTAACGAATAATTCTCGCTCAAGCCCAGGTTTTAACAAAGCATGTTTTCTCCACATCTCCGTTTGGACTAACTGTGCAGACTGATGTAACCCAGAGACTGGCTTCCATTGTTCTAGTTCATGCCCACATCTGTGCAAAGGAAGATCTATTGTAGCACCAAATACGTCCTGGACATGATCTGAGATGAGTCCAGATTGGTAGGTAAATGTGTAGTATACAGACCTCTGAAACATGATCATGTTATACAAATCTTGGAATTAACAAAAAGAAAGAGGCTGGTATGATGCACCAAAATAAATCAATATATACACCCTTCTTCAGGGCTCATCAGTAATCAATAGATTCAATATGTACAGTACCTTGAAAATCATCTAGGTATAAGGTATGGTATTGTGACATGACATGGTCGCTCATCTAATAATGCAACAAAACCCAAATGAAGCAGAAAGATTCGGAGATCACCATCACAGCTTACTCTCCGGTGCTACCCCACCAACAGCACCACTCATAAATGGTCCACTTTCCTCCGCTTCTGTGCCGGTGATGGGCGTTGACTCGGCTCCAAAAAGAAGCAATTCCCGGCCACCCCGAGTACTCCACCAGTTGACGCAGCAGTGAGCTCGGTCGACATCCATCTCACCACTACTCAGGGCCTCCCAGAAGCGATCAATACAAGCATGACGCATAGCTGGGTCGGCAATGGCATTGATCGTCTGTGCTGTAAGAGGAAGCCAATCTTCTAGATCATGAACTCGAAGGAATGACAATGAATCGACCAATGCGAGGGTGAGCACAGCTTGCGCAGACAGGGGGAGTTCATTGCCTGTATCAGCCGATGAGCTATTTCCAGCGGTTGGGGCGATAGGCGCTGAAGATGCCTCCAGTGCGCGATCGCGTACCACTTCAAGGAGGATAGAAGGAAGCATTGGTTGGCTGTTGGCTAGTGGTGAGGGAGGCGCTGTGACTTCGATGACTGTTTTGAACGCTAGACGGAACTGTCTAGCAGACAGATTTTCGGGAAACACCTGGTGACGGTTAGCGTTTGACTCAGCATTATATATAGAAGTAAAACCCACGGCAAATAAATTATCAATGTAGAAAGGGAGATGTCTCGCAGCGAGCTCCGAATTGTGGGGAATTGCAAACACAACTAGCACCACACTGTGAGCAGCCTCGAAAATCTCCAATAGAAGACTATTTGCACCGGCTGCTAAATAGGGGAAGGCGGCAGATAAAAGTAATTCTTCGTTGACCTCTGGTGATAAAACAAGAGGAAAATGCTCAGCAGCATTCAAAAAGAAAAGATCCAGACATCTTTCAACTGGATGGTCTGGAATCTGGCCAATATCACTGGGCTTGATACTTCGTAAGAAGTTCTCAGCCAGATCGGGATACTGGGAAAGGATATCGACGGCAGCTAAGAAGACGAAACTTTGTTGCGATGATCCATTCTGCCCTGTGCGGGAGGAAATGAAATAGAGGTTGCGGAGGATATGAAGTGATTGCATCGAAAGGTAGGGGGCACCTAATAAGCCATGGTCAGTCTGAGTCAACGGCAGGAATAGTCTTTTGTCTAACTTACTACCATGAGCTGCAAGAGCGGGGTCATTGATTGTTCTACCAAGAACGGCGCGGAGGACGATCACCACAGAGTATAAACAGTTGCGAAGGACCTTCCAGAGCGCAGGAATTGTTGTGTTTAATGATTCTGCATCAAGGAAGTCTTTCTCCTCTGCCAAGTCGATCTCAGACAGCTTATTTTGTCGCCATTGCACCATCAATGTCCGAACAAAGTCAGCTATGTAGTCGACTGATTGGGAAACTAGTCGAGGATTCTGCGCATTTTCGATAGAGTGCGATATAAGTCTGGACAAAGGGCCCAATGCTGATACCAGAGGGCGATTGGAAATAGTAGAGAAATATCCAAAGGTTGCGGAGTCGACTTTCCACCGGAACTTCTTCCCAGGCGCTTCGATCACATCTTCATCAATCGCCCCCAGAAAGAATCCACCTTCAAGTCCCTCTGCAGAGAGAAAGGCTGACCGTACCAGCACAGGCAATAGGATATCGTAATTGATTTTGGACCGTTCATAGTCCGACAAGAGTTCAAATGTGTAGTTTAGCACCATGGCAATGCAATGTCCATCTGGGCCTGCATCGGCTCCTACTTCCTCTAGCGCCAATTGAGCCGCAGTCGCAAGCGCACCCTCCAGCTTGGTTCGAATATGCCGCGGGAGGCCCTGTCGATTCTGTCCTTCAAACCCTAGCAATACACCGCTGAGGAGAAGCATATGTCTCCAACGCGGGGACTTGTCATCCGCGCCTTGAACCACGGCCTTCACCCATGCTTCGCGATCAATATTTGGTTTCCTGTCATGTGGCATACGAGGCTCGTCTGTTGTGTCATTCTGTAGGATTGCAATGGCAGCTGTGTTGAAAATGCTTAGGATCTTGCGACAAGCATGTAGATCGGTGGGGTGATTCCAGAGGGCAGGGGCGGAAAGAAGTTGCGAAGCAAGTAGGGTCAGGTTCAGCGGATTCCCTAGAATGGATAAGAAGCTGGTCGCGGTTGGGAGAAGTCTAGGGAAGAAGAGCATTAGCTATCCGTGATGAGCGAGCGCGCGTGATAGTTGGGTGTCACCTACCCAGCCGCATCTTCAAAGCTAGTAAATGACTGCAGCGACCGTAGCAAACGGGCAAGTGAGCGTTCAGTCGCCATTGCGAGCAGACCACAGAGGGGAAAGTAAGGCCCACGAAGTCTTGAACATCGCCTTAGGGGAAAGATGGGGAGAGCCAAACCGCGGAGAACCCCATGCCCAGCCGAGGTCCGGGTGTGGAGCCGCAAACAGTGCAAACACCAAACGTCATCATGCTCGTGGGCCCAAACATCCAAGATCAACGACAACTAGCTTCCTCCGCGCGACCGGCAGATGCCTTTGAACCTTCAACGCCGCCATCAGACCATGTTTTGATCCTACCCGCCCTTTGCAGACGCTGAAGAAGCGCTGCAATCGCAACCTCATGGCTAACAACCGAGTCCCTATCAATTACAACACGCCAGCGTTTCCCTCGTTGTACGATCCACTCCCCACACATCATCGCAAGGAGGCCCACTATCTTTATTACACGCATGATATCTGGCGCTTCACTCTGTACTGGACTTTGATCTTCTATGGCGCAACTCACCTCACTGTGGCCGGATGTGCGGTTTTGACACATAGTCGTAATTGGAGCGTGATATGGCTGGTTCCATTGTTGTATAGTCTGGTCGCTGGAGTGGAGGCACTTATGGCTGGGAGCATCGTTGGACTTGTGTAAGTACTAAACATCTCCTTTTATAGTATGCGTCTAACAGTTTATAGGCTCGGTCAACTCTACGAATCAGGCAATTTCAGGATGTCGACTTGGGTGCCTATGATTTGGGCTGGTGTCAATGTCATGGTCCTTGTCCTGACTAGCTTTCCCATGCAAGGTGGCCTGTGAGAATACCTGCATATACGCTACAAAGAAGTTTCGATTCGTATCAATAAAGAGGATTCGAAAATATCCCATTTTAATTCCTATAATACACCGAAGAAATTTAATATGTCGCAACGAATGCGCCGTCCAACCTGATCCACACAATGGGCCATCACATGCTGAATATAAGTCCCGTACGCCGGTCCCGCAAACATGATTCGATTCTGCACTCAAACACAACATAATATCTTCCACATAACTATCGACGTCCGCCGTCTGGCATGCCACCTTGCAATCCAGGCAAGCCGCCCATTGCGGAAGCCATGTTCTGGAGATTGAGATTTGGAGGCATCTGTATACCCTGAGCCATCATCTGCTTTTGAAACTGTGCCATGTCCATGTTTATAGGTGGAGCCCCACCCATTCCGGGAAGCATAGGAAACCCGGGCATCCCGCCACTCGGAGGGCCCTGCTGGGGTGGAGGCGGCGGAGGCTGAGAGGACATAATTGCTGCCAGACGACCAGGATCCATTCCACCCATGGCACCTGGTAATCCTGGAGGTGGTGGCTGGGCTGCACCAATACCCGGTAGTAGACCGGCGCCTTCAGGAGGAGCCGCTCCAGGTCCACCCTGAATTCCGGGTAGAGAGGGCCCACCAGGCAGCTTTTGATCAACCAGGCTATCAGCCTCATCTTGCATCTCTTGTTCTTCTTCTTCGCGCATTTGCTTGCGACCGAACCCGCGATTCCATGTTCCTTGGGCTTCTGCAGCCTCTTCGCCGATGTGGAAGCGATCTTTCATGTAGCTAGTTTCACCGGGTCGAGTCCGGGACCAGAATCGAGTGAAATTGTCCTTAGACCCAGAAGCAAGAATGTGACCTAACGGGTGCCAATCTAGAGACCAGATAGTAGCTCCATGGGCGTACTGGACGCGGTGAGCAGGATAGATTACCTGCGGGGGTGTGTTTGCAGGGTCTGGACTGTCATATGGCGCAACAGTAGGAACAGCACCACTGGGTAGGTTGGGTTCGTCAAGAAGATAGTGGTAGAGTGACCCATCCTCTGCGCCCGTAGAAATCAAATTGCTGTGAATTGGATGCCACGTTAGAGAAGAAACCGGCTTCTCATGGCCGCGTAGAATGCAAATATCGCGCATCATTCGTAGGTCAAACACCCTCGCCGTCTGATCCCGCGACGACGTAGCTAGGAGATTGTTATTGACTCGTGAGAATCGAGTCGCGGTGACTGTGTTCTTGTGACTGTGGAGCGTCGTGAGGCATCGGGCCGTCCTTGGATCCCAGAACTTGACTTGGTGATCTTTCGAGCCAGAAACCAACAGACCTTTGGTGGGATGCCAGTCGCATGATTTGACATCCCAATTATGTCCAGTCAGTACGGTATCGCAGGTTCGGGTGGTAAAGTCGAAGATCTTGAGAGTCGTGTCGTCGGATGCAGAGAGGAATTTAGCATCACTGGGAGCCCAGGCCAGATCTCGGACCGCGTCATGGTGAGCATCATCAATCGTTTCGACGTTGTTGAAGTTTGGTCGCCAGTATTTAACATCTCCCCTCTGCCCACCCGATATCAGCCAATCGTGACTATGAGACCACGCCAGTGAAGTAACTCCGGCTTGGATTTGATCGTAATGCGCCTAACCACAAATAATCACTGTTAGTAGATGGTCCGTACACTAGACTTTCCAAATCAGGTTCACATACATCCATAACTGTCTCAAAGTTGAACGCTGTGCCATTCCAAAGCATGAACTCGCCGGTATGACCGCCGGTCAACAGCCGCCTGCCTTCGGGAGTCCATCGCACCACAACGATTGGCTTTTTTGACTTTCCAATGGATTGATGGAGATGTCGGACTGGAATAGTATCGACCGGAGAGTGAATCCTTCCAACGGGCGGAACGACCTGATGATAAAGGATAGGTCAGTTTCCTGCTGTTTTTTCTTCTTCTTTCTTCAACTTCGCGGATTTCTCGCCGCTATCCGACACTCCGCCCGAGAGGTAGTCTGCGCAAACTCACATCAACCGTGAAGCTGGCACTTGGTCTTTCCACCTCCATTCGATGTCCACCTTGGTAGCGGGGTCGTCGCGTGCGCATCCATTGTACCATTGAAGATCCATAGTCCGTGACCAGTCCTGCGCGAGGTAATCCGTTAGCTCAGCTCTTGATTCGGCTGGGATACAACGTCCTGCAGGCGAAAGACATGGAGCGTACTTGGCCGACGGGGTCCGACGGGACCATCGAAGTTCTTGTTAAACCTCCCACCAAACTGGGCGTCGCCCCCATTCTCGTCGTATGAGGCCATTGTGACCGTACCCGGAGGCGTTGTGTTTGGAAATTGGTGTTGGTCAAAAGGGTAGTCGCAGAATCATGACCAGTGGGGGGTAGCCGATTTGAAAATTTGAAACGGCGTCAACGAGGGGTTGCCCCTGCGTCTTTGGAAGAATTTCGGGTGTAGAAAGTAAATGGCTCGTAATGAAGGCGTTGGGAGGAAAGTCGCGGAGCTTGCAGAGTCGGGACTCCTTGGAAGGAAGCTCTGCCGTCGTTGATTGGCCGCCTGGGCTATCGTCGCGGTGCTTGCGCTATGATGCCTTGGTCTTCCCCGCCTACAAATCTGGCCTTCAACGGTTGTCTTGTTTGAGGTTCTTTTTTTATTTTTTATTCTCCTCTTACCATGCTAAATGAACATTGACTCCCAGAACATTTGCTGTGTGCCTGGTTGGTCACTCTTCTAAATCATCTGCTGGTCCACTGCTCCTAACTTCCCTCATTGACCCCGTTCGGGTTCGCTTTGGATTCAGTTGCGCCATTCACTCGCGGGGCAAAAAGATCCCCCTCAACAAAATACCCCTAGCTCGTCGGAGCTCACAATGGCCTCTCGAACCCAAGCTACTACGACCGCCCATGAGCACTCAGAGCCTTCAGTCTTGACCAATGACTCTGCTCCGAAGCAAGCCGAGGTTCAGATGCAGCGGAGTGGGCCAAGACGCAGCAAGTATCGCCATGTCGCTGCATACCACTCGCAGCTACGACATTCGAGCCTCAGCAGAGATTCAAATGAGACGCCCAGCTTTTTGGGGTTTCGGAATTTAATGGTGCTGGTTCTTGGTAGGGATTGACACCTCAATACACCAACCAATGAGGATGTATAAGCTGATGATAAGAAACAGTTGCAATGAACCTGAGGCTGATCATTGAGAACTTCATGAAAGTATGTACCTATGTCAATTTCAATGAACCCAAAGGAAGAAGAGCTTTAAATCTAACCCTCTTTCTGTAGTATGGCGTGTTGATCTGCATTAAATGCCATGACTATCGCAAGCAAGACTTGATCCTAGGGTCGATTCTCTTCGCTCTGGTCCCATGTCATTTGATCGTCGCCTATGTTATTGAACTATCTGCTGCATCTTCAGCGAAGAAGGTAGTAGGTGAACAGAAGAAGAAGACAGATGAAGAAAAAGAGCGTGATCAGCAAGCCTTCCGCTCTACTTGGCCCTACACAGCTTTTCTCCACACGTTAAATGCTACACTGTGCCTGGCAGTGACCAGCTTTGTGGTGTATTTTTATATCCACCATCCAGGAATTGGAACTCTCTGTCAGCTACATGCGATCATTGTGTGGCTGAAGAACTGCTCCTATGCTTTTACCAACCGAGATCTCCGTCTGGCATTCTTGAATCCATCTGCCGACCCCGGACTCCCAGAAATCTATGCTACTTGCCCTTATCCAAGAAATGTCACCATTGATAATCTAACTTACTTTTGGCTCGCCCCTACACTGGTTTACCAGCCAGTATATCCACGCACGGAATCTATTAGGTGGTCTTTTGTTGCCAAGCGCCTGGCTGAATTCGTTGGATTGGCAGTCTTCATATGGCTACTTTCCGCACAATATGCTGCGCCTGTTTTACGGAATTCAATTGATAAGATTGCGACGATGGATATTGCTTCTATTCTGGAGCGTGTGATGAAATTGTCCACCATCTCTTTGATAATATGGCTTGCTGGGTTCTTTGCCCTGTTTCAGGCCTTACTCAATGCATTGGCAGAAGTTATGCGATTTGGAGATCGTGAATTTTACACTGACTGGTGGAACAGTTCTAGTTTGGGTGGATACTGGCGATCCTGGAACCGACCTGTTTACTCGTTTATGAAGAGACATGTATTCTCTCCCCTGGTGGGTCGTGGATGGAGTCCTCTAGCCGCGAGTGGTATGGTCTTCACACTCTCTGCAATCCTGCACGAGATGCTAGTGGGGATCCCCACCCACAACTTCATCGGTATGTTTGATGGAATTACCTGTTGTGATAGTCCCGATGTTAATTTGATGTTCTTTAGGCGTTGCATTTTTCGGCATGATGTTTCAACTCCCCTTAATCGCATTCACTGCGCCCCTCGAGAAGATGCGAGACCCGCTGGGCAAGACTGTCGGAAATTGCATTTTCTGGGTCAGCTTCTGCTTGGTTGGCCAGCCACTTGGAGCCTTGCTGTATTTCTTCGCATGGCAGGCCAAGTATGGCAGTGTAAGTCGCATGTGATCTTGATTCTGTTCCGTGCCCATTGTCTTGTTGACGAGATGGTGGGACATGTAATGGGTTTTGTTCAGGATCAGCCATAATTACGAACGCTTTTATGATCCTGTTATGCATTTACTGCCATATCTCTGATTAATATCTTGCTTTTTGCTGGATATAACCCTCCAATGACAATTATCGCTATTCAAATTTTCTCTGGTTTATTAGCGACGTTACTTGCCCAATTGAGCCTCGATATATAATGCTTTCAATAATATTACTATGATCCTCATTGCCCCCTCGATTTTCCAACCCGAAATCCATTCCAACGATGTGGCGGAAAGCAAAGTCCATAAGCTGGGCGGCCACGTTGCAAGCTGGTGCCTGTAAGCAATTATAAGTAACCTAGGTATGCACGAGAATTTCCAACCAATCACAAATCAAAGGTCCACAGCATTTCCCGGTCGTAGACCTAGAGATTGAAACCAATCGAATGATTTAGAAACATTGACAATGCGTCAGGGGAAAGCTTCGTACGGGACGGATGAATAGGTTGTCCCGCTCGGAGCTCGGGGCGTCGGGAGTCGACAATACCGGGTCCATTCCGTCACCCCCACACCCTATGGCATTAGAGCTATAAAAGAGCTCCATTCCAAGGGTTCATTTTGCCTCAACATACTCAATTTTTTTTTCAATATCTATCAAAATGACTACCATCACTCTCCCTGAAAACTACGGGTAAGTAACCACGCCCAGTCTTTATCTCAATGGCCTTGTTACTGACATATCCGTTCAGCGCCGTCATTGGTGTTGCCCTCGGCGCAATCCCTGTCCTGGGCTTCATTCACGGTTTCGTCACCGGTGGGCTCCGCAAAGAGGCCAAGGTGCCTTACCCACACTCATATGCAAGCATTGAGCAATGCAAGGAAAACGTATGCTAATCCGAGGCCTCTGAGCATATACTCTGAATCTTGCTAACAATCATTTTACAGGCCAAAGCTGAGAAGTTCAACTGCGCCCAGCGTGCTCACACAAATTTCTTGGAGAATGCTTCTCAAACCATGCTCTTCACTCTCGTTGCTGGTCTGAAGTACCCTGAATTGGCTGCTGGTATCAGTGGTCTCTGGGTTGTTTTCCGCTCCTTGTTCCTCTACGGATACGTGTACTCGGGCAAGCCTCAAGGTAAGGGCCGTATGATGGGCGGTTTCTTCTGGCTGGCCCAGGGTGCCCTTTGGGGATTGACTGTGTTTGGTGTTGCTCGTCACCTCATCTCCTACTAAATTGGACCTTCTCAACTCTGTACTGTAATGTTATTATGTGAATTCAAAACAATTGGGAATTTATTCAAACACAAGCATTGGGATGGTAGAAAACTGAGCCACAATTACTTTTCCGGGGATGTGGCGGGTACTTAGCTCCACTGTGGCGTAGTCGTTGAAGAAAAGTTTCATATGAAAGTTGACGGAACTTTTGTCATCTTGGGTTGATCGGTTCACGAGTGAGTTGATTGGGACTAAATCGGCCATTCTTTCACGGGAAAACGAATCTTTGTCCTTTTCCTAGTTTACTTCAATTTCACGACTTTGGTTTCCACATTTTCCACTCCAATAACTTACCCCGCCAACCCCCTCCATCGCCCACCATGTCGTCCAAGTCACAACTGCCTTATGCTACTCGCGCGACCAGCCACCCCAATCCCCTCGCTCGGAAGCTCTTCGAGGTTGCTGAAGCCAAGAAGAGTAACGTGACGGTTTCTGCCGATGTCACCACCACCAAGGAGCTTCTCGACCTAGCCGACCGTTAGTGAAGAACAAACCTTTTCCTACTTCCACCACTGAGCATATCACTAATGCGACCATCGGATCTCCAGGTCTCGGTCCCCACATCGCCGTGATCAAGACTCATATCGACATTCTCTCCGATTTCAGCTCCGAGACCATCGATGGCTTGAACGCCCTTGCCGAGAAGCACAACTTCCTCATCTTCGAAGACCGCAAGTTCATCGATATCGGCAACACCGTCCAGAAGCAGTACCACGGCGGTACCCTGAAGATCTCCGAATGGGCACACATCATCAACTGCGCCGTTCTACCTGGCGAGGGTATCGTCGAGGCTCTGGCTCAAACCGCCCAGGCCGATGACTTCCCCCACGGCCCAGAGCGCGGTCTTCTGATTCTCGCAGAGATGACCTCCAAGGGATCTCTCGCAACTGGCGCCTACACATCTGCCTCAGTAGACTACGCGCGAAAGTACCAGAGCTTTGTTCTGGGCTTCGTTTCAACCCGGTCATTGGACGACGTTCCCTCCTCCGTCAACGCCGCTGATAACGAGGACTTTGTTGTCTTCACAACCGGCATCAACCTGTCTTCCAAGGGAGACAAGCTGGGCCAACAGTATCAAACACCGCAGTCGGCTATTGGTCGTGGTGCGGACTTTATCATTGCGGGGCGTGGTATCTACGCGGCCGCGGATCCTGTTGAGGCTGCCAAGCAATACCAGCAACAGGGCTGGGAAGCCTATCTGGCTCGTATTGGTGGCGCTAGCCAATAAAGATACCTTATGTAAACAAATAAATAACATTCTAAACCTAAACTTGACAGATGCATGCCATAGCGCTTGCGATTCCGTTGTCTCGGAGGACTTCCGCGCAGATGTCAATTCCTTTCGTCGTTAACCATTTAAAAAGGCCACTGTAGCCTCGTGGAGCAACGCAAACAGACAATCACGCCACATAGATTGGAGCTTCAATTTTTACATTGCATGGTATCATCGATAAGATATACGATAAAGCGCCAGAATTATAGAATCATGAAATCTTTCACACTGGAAAATTCGCGGAACCCCAACCCGCGATAGCATCAAGATAACTCAAGATAAAGCGTGAACCCTGATAAACCTAGCTAGTCTTATTATCTACGACTCTGGCCAAAGAAGCACTAGACGCAGATAAACATCTCGTTGAGCAATTCTTTGCGATCAGGGAGGCTAGAGACAGCGGATAATCTTTATACGATCCCATAAACAGGCCTTCAACAGCTATTCACAAGGAGAATTTGTTTCTTGGACGAAGAGAAAGTGATGTGCATCAAGAGGACGATTCATCGAACTGGTCATGTTTCTTTCTTCCCTTTGATATACTACATTATATCCATTTCTAGTCTCTCCAATGCTGTACTATAAATTTACCTTGTATGGAATATCCCGTCCCCTCGAACTGATAATTGAGCCAATGTTCCACGCATAGTTCATAATTCGACATAGATCCGAGTTAAACTTCGGAGGCACAGTGTCAGGTGAAAAGCGTTTAATCCATTCACCACAGACTGGGGCTACTATCCATATGCTAGAAACTTGTAGCTTCTCACGGTAAATGATCGGGTTAGGCCTAGCATAGTAGGAAAACAGAGGAGGAGCACATAACAACTTGAAACACAATTCCGATCGATAAAGTACTATCACAACTACTCCAAAAGATAAAGAATCCCTGCAACCGTCGGATAGTTACACTCGGAGCCAAATCTGCAAACCGAGATATGAAAATAACCTTCGTATCTCCTCATCTTGGCTTGCTGTTCAAGACCATTCCGTCATTTACCGGAATGGCGCTCGGCAAACCCATCCACTCAAGCTTCCCCAGTCCTTTTTCCTCCCCTGACACCATAACCATGAAGCTCGGACGTGAAGTGCGTGTCTCTTTCTCGTTCTGATTGCCGATCTCTCCTCACAACCCCTCTCGCCACAGCCAATGAGTAGCTTCATAGAGCAATCGCACGGTTACCCCAGATAACCGGGTGCTTATCTTGGGGTAGACCCACAAGATAACACAGCTTGATAGGAGGATGTAGGCAAGGAGGAGAAAGTCTCCCAAGAGAAAAGATAACGCCGCCACGGCCCAATATTCCGCTCTAGCACTAGGTAGATGGGGTAGGTTGATTGGCACTAGTCAGCAGCTCCGTCCAGGATTCCATGGCAAAATGCGGAGTCGATGACTTTATCTATCCGCAGGAATCCCTTACATCGATGAGGGGGAACCGTGGGACGTGAAATATTTCCTTCAACTGTTTTCGGTCTCTTTTCAAACTTCTTTCTTTTAACAACACTACATACCTATCCCTGTTTTGTTAAGTTTTCGAGGGTAGCTTCCTCTCACATATCGAATTATGGCCGATGGAGAGAAGGCATTCGGCGCCTCGTCCGCAGTTGATGTGGAGAAGAGCATAGGTGTCGGGAAACATATTGATCCTACATTGGAGAAACATACCCATGATGCGGATGAGGCGATGAAAGCTCTCGATGAGCTTCAGGGAGAAGCGATTGAGTTGGATGAATCCACAAATCGGCGACTGCTGAGAACTATTGATTGGCATATGATGCCAATTATGTGCTGTATTTACGGGATGAATTATTTGGACAGTATGTGGGAGATCGGGTTTCCCCCAGATGCATGGTTACATCATATCGGCATGTGCTAAGTGAGATCATGATATAGAGACCACATTATCCTATGCAAGTGTCATGGGTATCAAGACAGACTTGAATCTTGTTAAAGACGATTATCAATGGCTATCAAGTTTATTCTATTTCGGTAACCATGCCTATCTCGCTGCATTGGGTTGATTGCAAAGAGAACTCATCGACTAACGCTTCTATCTAGGCTATCTCGCATGGGAGTACCCAACCAACCGCCTGCTGCAGCGGTTGCCTCTAGGAAAATACTCTGGCGCCTGCATCTTAATGTGGGGTATCATTTTGAGCTGTTTCGCCGCCGTAGGCAACTACTCAGGGGCGATAGCAATTCGTCTTTTCCTCGGTGTATTCGAAGCTGCCGTAACACCGGGCTTTGCGCTGCTCACATCTCAGGTTCGTGTCCAAAGGCATCTTATGCTTCATTCGAGCCAAGAGCTAATGTATCTCCCTCCTTGCAGTGGTATACGAAAGATGAACAAGGAAGCCGTGTCAATATCTGGTTCAGTTTCAATGGTGTTGGTCAAATCCTAGGCGGCGTCGTCGCATACGGAATTGCAGTCGGCACTGCTAAACACGGATCATCGATTGAGCCTTGGAAAATCATCTTCCTAGTCACCGGCCTGTTAACCATTGTACTAGGAGTTGTTTTTCTATGGATTGTCCCCGACAGCCAATTGAATGCACGATGGCTAAGTAAGGAAGATCGGATATTAGCGGTCGCTCGAGTGCAGGTGAACCAGCAGGGAATTGGAAATAAGCATTTCAAAATGTATCAAGTTAAAGAAGCGCTCTTGGACCCAATGACATGGGCGTTCTTTTTCTACGCACTTATTGCTGATATTCCCAATGGTGGAATTACGAACTTCTTCAGTCAGCTGGTATGTACTTTCTTTACTGATACCCCCGTGACACATAGCTCGTCATTGATGCTAACAATGATATGAAACGTATAGATCACTAGCTTTGGATACACAAATGAGCAGAGCTTGATTCTGGGTGTTCCAGGTGGTGCCGTGGAAGTGATCGCACTTGTATTGAATGGGTACATGGGCCGTTGGACAGGCCAACGACTTTTATGCAGTTTAGGCGGCCTTTTCTCTGCGCTCATTGGCATTATTCTCATTGTGGCTCTCCCTGAATCCAATAACGTCGGTCGGTTGATTGGATACTACATGACCCAAGCGAGTCCCACAGCTTTTGTGGCGCTGCTCGCTATGATCTCGTCGAACGTGGCTGGATACACCAAAAAGACCACAGTAGCAGCCTTGTATCTTATCGGGTACTGCGCTGGTAATATTATTGGTAAGTGATGAATTTCCCATTATGAGATTGAGAAGAAAACAGAAGAAGAGAACCTATGGTCTAACAAGTTACCATTTTAGGTCCCCAAACCTTCCGTCCACAAGATGCACCTCGATACGTGCCCGCCGAGATTGTCATTATCGTCTGCCTTGCTGTCTGTATCTGTATCATGTTGTTTGTCAACTGGTGGTATGTCAAGGAGAACAAGCGCAAGGCAGAGATCACATCCCAACCGGGCTATGTGAGACTGCAGAACCAAGCGTTTTTGGATTTGACCGACCGGGAAAATATGGATTTTGTTTATTCTGTTTGATATTATGATTTGATGTATATGTGCGAGAAGACTTTGTATATCCCATCTCCAGACATTATGTGGTTGTTGAGTCGGCATTGATGTATGTGTGTGGACTGTGAGTATGTACTAGCCGGACTGGAACCCACCACGAATGATTACGATTATTTCAAAGCTCAAAGTTCAATAATGTAGAATTAGGATAGTTTTAGACTATGTGGAGATGGCATTATAAATACTTCTCCTCTCCTCACTTCTCTCTTATTATGAGTGACGAATTTATTGTGCTTCCAATTGGATCGGTATGGTATAAAGCGTCCGAAGTAGATGCGAAGTCACTGCGAAGTATCTATTATCCCGTCCTCGTTACGCCGATCGCATTTAGTTTAAACATTGAAGTGAATCAAATTACCAAGTTTAGGGGAATATTTTCCATGCTTTTGAAATTTTCCGATTCCCACAATGACGTGTGGAGCAATACAAAAATCCCTATGAGCAACCTTCGAACTCATATTGCATCATGATTGTTGTGTATGTGTATTTGTCTTAAAACCCCTAAATAGGTCTCTACTAGCTATTAGCGCGGATTCTCCCCTTCACCGACAGTATAACAAGCCTCGAATATGATTGAGCCGGTCAAGTCTAGCCTGTTGCTTGAGTACGGGAAAAAGACCGGTGGGCAATTATAATCTATAGTGGGGTCTACCCAAGCCGTCATCTTTGTACCTGTGGTCGAAGCGCCCTTTTGGAACTCCGCAGGATCCAAGCCTCCACCTATCAACACATGGTGGCAGTGGCTACAAACACCGAAACAAATGGAGCTAAGGATGATAAACTTAGAATTCCGGCTAGCTTCATGTACTCTGCTGTAAGTGCTAATGCACAGCGGCACTAGGCAGAGAAAGAAATGCGAACTAGATCCTTACTGCGTATTCCGTTCCACGCGAGAGAAAAAAAGACCCTGAGAGTTTGTCTGGACATTATGGCCGATCACGGACCCTGGTCATGTCATCTACCTTGGAACTGATGATGGTGATGGAGGGGAAGTCAGGAAACTCTATACAAATCCCGGACTTTGTTTAGAAACCGACCAATCTTTGCTGTCTTCAATCTGCTGATTCCATTTCTTCTCCTCTTCTCAAGTGCTCTCTGTGTCTCTTTTTCCCCCTCCTTTCGTGGGGCAGTTGTTTTGAAGCGGGGGCCGAAATGCACTAAGGCGTCAAGCCAAGGTTAAGCCAAGACCACTTGATTAGGGTTCTGACCATTTCCCACGATGATTTGGAGGTCTGACCTGCAGGTCCAGCGCCTGCTCTAACGGAAATGGATCGTCTTTCCTTTCATGGCACGGCGAAAACCGGCATTCCATAATCCAATAGACGCTGAGGGGGACGATCAAACTGACCTTCTTCTATTTTCCCCCCTGCAGTGACCAATCTGCAGGGGCGTTGGGTCTCTACCCATGACGATCCAGACCGTGCCTGGTGAGAAGTGGAGCAAAGGTACATTTGTACTCGCTCAGAAGGTACAGAAGGTACAGTAGTGTACAGTAGAGATCCCCACTTGGTGTGGTTCATTTTTTTTTTGGTTGAAAGAGAGAGGGAGCGGTGTGGGCGTAAATAAAGTCGGGGAGGAAAGAACTTAAGAAACACGGGGGAAAGTGGGATGTAGCAGTTTGTGTTTCATTTGCTTTGGGCTCTTCTTTACACTACAATTATCTTCTGTGCATCTTCTCTGCATTCCCTTCTTCAAGTTCTTTGTATATACCCGTTTCATCTCTATTTTTGGGCGGCGTCTACTACCCTTCGCCACCTCTCGTATACATACATATACACCATGGGATCATCCCTCTGACTGGTATCAGAGCCCGCATCATTATCACCGGAACTTACTGATCGGCGTCACCCGTGGACATAGTCCTGAGGTTAAAAAGCAATGGCGTCCGTCACATGTGGTGGTGGCAACCTTCACATGGTCGCATCTGCTGAACTCGCAGTTGCGCATCTGGGTTTAGATCTAGTTGCCAAACTCCCCTCTGAACTGGCCATTACAGAGATTACAGAAATCACAGAGGGATGTTCGACTCCCAACTTGACAAAACCATCCTCGTTGGATATGGATACCCCAAGAGTAAAGCGGATCGATCCGCCCCGCTCAAAGTCCTTCAGGGCCCCAGATTCCCCAACAAATACTACAAATACTACACATCGGCCTCGAGAAGCGTCTCGCCCAACATCCTCAGCAAACTCCATTCATCACTCTCGTTCGGCCTCCCGAAGCACTGTTCGATCAACGGGCCGTCCTCCAAGTCGCCATAGCTCTTTACATTCATCGCGGCGACCGGTTACCACTGCTAGCATTGTATCCGTACCTGCACGCGCACTTCAACAAGAAAAGCAAGATTCACTACTAGCTTTACATCGAGAATCCTGTCGTCTGTTTCAAGACCCACTGCCAACAGACGAGTCCCGCCCAACATTATCTCTGCAGCGGACAACATCAACAGCCCATCGCTCGCGACGAGAAGGCCGTGCCTCCTCCGAGATAGGTAGCTCAGTACCACCATCGCCCATCGCATCCTCCTCATCTAGCCGCCGACTCGAATACGAACCCCGCGCCTCTATAAGCTCTATAACTACACCTCCATTTCTAAACACAAGAGAACGCTCCAATACCCTCCCCACCACATCCAGCCATGTCCATAGTCCCTCTGCGTCCTCCATCAACGTCCCGGCGACGGTAATGGAATGGACCTCTCCCTCTACCCGACGACAAGAATATGAAAAGATCGATCGCGCCAGTCGTGGAATGCGCGGTCTTTGGCGCCGTGTAGCTCCACGCTGGTGTCAGGCTAAAGACTCGCGCGTTCCTTTCTTTGAAGAAGGCAAAACCAGCCGTGAAGGCAGCGTGCGACGATTCCGTATGGACCTTCCCGATGAAGAAGAATATGATCTGGGTTTAAGTCCAAAGGATAAACCCCAAGTTCAACTGGTAGATATATCAGACAGGCCTCTTTCACAAGATGGTTGCCCTCGACGCCTCTGGACAGGTCGTCGATCTAAGACTACTCTCCACTGAGAAGCTCATACCTTTTAATCGCAGTTTATATTTCTACTGTCAATTGTTGTGGGTGGTCGGGTTCTCTTGCTCACAGCACACGCAAACATAAACACGACTCTACTATGATTATACATTGACGACCACTCTGCTTTTTGCATTGCATTGCATGGCTTAACGCAGCCTTGATTGAATTCCTATGCTTGAATCCCCTTCTTGTTGGCGATTATATGTCGAGTCTCTTGATGAGCACCACTACCGACTCAGTTACCCCTATACCCTTTAATCGGTTTGTGCACTCTTGCATACACACTCAAGCCGGAGATACCCGTTTATTAATTATGCTGTAAATACGCGGCTTTATTGGATTTTCCAGATGACAAAATTGAGAAACATATTATTCATTTATATTACCCTTGCTACGTAGCAAAAGACCCCGGGACTTAGCAGCTATAAGCGCATACTAGCCACGAGCTGACTCCAGAGCTGGCTCCACACTTACTTGGAACCACGTGAAATCGCGCAAGTGAAAGCACATACCCTAGCGATGATTTTTGTTCTTTTTCTAGGCTACTTATACTTCCTTCCGATGGCCAAATTATGCAGCATATGATTCCCACATGTGCACAGAGTTCCTCGGATATGGGTCAAGACACATGAATCCTAAGCTGCCCCTGCATCTAGGGAAGCGCCATGGAACAGCCGTTCCACCTGTGGATCCGGAGCAATATCTAATCTTGGTTCGTCAGATTAGCTACATTACTTAGTGCAGTAATTGGCTCAGGTGAAGAATTGAAGGAACCCATGTATGGACAGTTCCTCGGCAAATCCACACGATGTGCATGACCTATGTACGCGAGATTATCTTTTATATATAGAAAGTGACGTTCCGCACTTGCGATCGATAGAAAACCGGTTCCTGTTCCTGTTCCTATTCATGGACCCACGGACGTTCAGACCCGAACTTGAGATTCGGGGAACAATATACCTGTTCCTCACAATCTGAAAAATAAAGTATTCAGAAATAGCAGCTGAAAATTAGATCCTAAAATAAATAGACAAAACCCGTTACAACAGTCTGTTTCAGAGCTTCGAAATAGGATAGAGTTGCGGGAGAACCGATTCTTCAGTTCGGTCCATGTCGATCATCACCTCGGTTGGTTTCCGAGCTTGGAGCTTTGTACATTCCACTGTACATAATCGGAATGCCACGCAAGGGGAAGAAAAAAGAAAAAAAGAAAAGAGAAAGAGAAAAATCCAATTATTTAAAAAAATCGCTCCATTTGCAAGCATGAGAACAATAAACGGGTTTTTGGATCCTTAACGGCGGGTTACCGTTAATTGTTCTAGGTGCCCTACTGTTAATATTAATATAATATTAATGGCCTGATCCCAGCTGCTTCTTTCCCCCCGATCGATCTAATCAATTTCCACCCTTTCACCGACAGAGAAGACAAAAATGCTGTTCAGCGCGTCTGTCGCGTTACTAGCCCTCCAAACGGCATATGTTTCAGCAGAACCCATCGTGAAAAGAGGAGGCCCCATCGGCGATGCCACATTCGACTATGTAGTTGTCGGTGGTGGGACAGGAGGTAGTGTCATCGCCACGCGACTAGCTCAGAAGTCGTTCAAGGTTGCTCTTGTCGAAGCTGGAGGGTACTACGAGGTTGAATCTCTGGCTGCTGTTCCTGCGGCCGATGTTCTTCCGGTTGGATCGGATCCTAGTACTTCATCAGCTGAGGATTGGGGGTTCATAGTTAGTGGACAGCCCGGAGCAAATGAGCGATCGATACATTATGCGCGTGGGAAATGTTTAGGCGGATCGTAAGTGGACTGGAGACTGGAAAAGAATGAATCAAATTAACTGATTCGTTATTAGGTCTGCGTTGAATTTTATGATCTATCAACGGTATGTCATCTCGAGATGAGATTGTTGACTTGGATGAAGCTAATGTTTTGGTCACTATAGTCCTACAATTGAATCAATGGAACAATGGGCGACGGCAGTCAATGATAGTAGCTACAAATTCGATGATGTGCTACCATTTTACAAGAAGAGCGCGACATTTACCGAGCCGAACATGAATATACGCGCGAAGAACGCCACGCCGGCCTATAAAACCGAAGGATTCGACATGAAGAACGGAGGCCCGTTGCAGGTATCGTACCCCAACTACGCACAGCCTTTTTCATCCTGGATGAAGCTCGGTTTGAATGATGTTGGTATCAAAGAGGCACAGGATTTCAATCTGGGCACCTTAATGGGAGCTCAGTACTGCTCATCAACAATTGACCCGAGCAGCGAGCTCCGCAGTAGTTCCCAGGCTTCATATCTGAGCACCATTACGGCTCCATCCCTGACGACATTTAGCGATACTCTCGCGAAGAGAGTTGTTTTTAACAAAGACCGAAAGGCGACTGGCGTTGTGGTGAAGGGGGCACTGGGCAACGATGTAACGCTTTCCTCGTCGAAGGAAGTGATTATCTCTGCTGGAGCCTTCCAATCGCCACAGCTATTGATGGTATCTGGCGTCGGCCCATCTGATCTCTTGAAAGAGCACGATATCGAAGTCATCGCTGATCGACCCGGCGTTGGGCAAAATATGTGGGACCACCCATTCATTGCGCCTTCATATCGTGTGCAGGTTGAGACATTGACTGAGTTCGCTACAAACTTGATCTACGCCGCAGGTCAGGTGTTGAGTGGAGTTCTTTCGAAAAATGGACAATTGACGAATCCAATTGCGGATTTCTTGGCTTGGGAGAAGATCCCTCAGTCTCTGCGATCGGGATGGTCGAAGAGCACACAGGATAAACTAGCCAAATTTCCGGGCGACTGGCCTGAAGCTGAAGTAGTATCTGACTCTCATAAGGAAAATATCTGAAAAAGTGTACTAATGATTACTCTTTAGTACATTTCTGGCGCAGGTCACATTGGCAACGTCTCGAATCTCCTCACGGACCAGCCGAAGGACGGGTACCAGTACGCTGCTATGCTAGGCGTTTTAATCGCACCTTCATCAAGAGGAAACGTTACACTCAAGTCGGCAGATACCTCGGATTTACCAATAATCAATACAAACTGGCTCGACGACCCCGCTGATCAAGATATCGCGATTGCAATGGTTAAGAGAATGCGCGAGGCATTCCAAAGCAAGGCCATGGCTCCTGTGGTTATCGGTGACGAGTATTACCCCGGTACTCAGGTGAAGTCCGATGCTGAAATCTTGGAATATATCAGGAATAATGTTATGACATTGTGGCATGCGGCTTGTACCTGTAAAATGGGTACATCTGACGACGATATGGCGGTTGTGGATTCACAAGCCAGAGTGTTTGGAGTGGATGGTCTTCGTGTCGTTGATGCTAGTGCATTCCCTTTCTTGCCACCTGGTCACCCCCAATCTACTGTTTGTGAGTATTTGATTCCCTCGACGTTGTGATCAATCCTAACAGATGAACAGATATGCTTGCTGAAAAGATTGCGGACGACATTATTCAGGGATGATGTACTTTTTCATGTAGATATTCTGCTCTATACTTCAGCTTGACAGAACTTAATAGCATGTTTCCATCAACTATGCCATTCACAGTTGAAGTTGCTAGATTTGGTTTTCAAATTTCTCGTATAAATCTTTTTAGAAAATAAACCATGGTTTCGGCTACTTCCGGTGCCAAACCCTGCCAAGATGACATCTCCCACTGGCACGCCCTTCAATGACATACCCACCAAGCGTGTTTAATACGACGCCAGAAAACCCAGTCAGGTAATTCAATTCAAACTTCACAGATACATAATTGAATAACTTCGAAATGCGGCGGACTACAAGGCCCGAAGGCCATGAGCTTGACAATCTCGACGTTGGTCCAGAGAACCCGGATACAACCGTCAGTCTTGCATTTCCAGAAGGTGGCCGTGAAGCATGGACCTCTCTCTTAGGCTCAAGCTTGATAATGTTTCCCTCATTTGGATTTCAAACAGCCAGTATGGATACCTCTAATTGATCAGTGGATCTCATCTAACAGTTTTACAGTCGGAACTATACAAGACTATATCAGCACCCATCAACTATCCAACTACAGCGTCGGCGATGTCGGCTGGATTACAGCTGTCCTCTGCTTCCTAACGCTATTCCTAGGTGTACAAGTTGGACCATTATTTGATCGCTATGGTCCGCGCATGCTATTAATCTGTGGATCACTCGCTAGCGTGGCTTCCTATCTACTCCTCGCGCAGTGTACACAGTACTGGCACTTCATGCTTTGTCTTGGAGTCTTAAGCGGAATATCCTCCGCTATCTTGACAACTGTTGCCATCTCCGTATTAAGTCACTGGTTCTATAGACGGCGAGCTCTCGCATCAGGCCTCTGCATGTCAGGCTCGTCTGCCGGCGGCGCAATCATCCCTCTACTCCTACGTACACTGTTCGGAAAATACGGATGGACATGGTCTATTCGAATCATCGCCTTCATAGCACTAGGGTGCTATGCTGGTGGGATAATTCTTGTGAAAGGCCGACTTCCAACCGGTAGACAGAGCAGAGCAACGATCGATTTCCGCGCATTCAAAGCGCCCCGACTTGTCTTTTTGGCGGTGGCGTTGTTCGCATTTGAATTCATTATCTTCGGCTGTGCGGCACTATTACCAACATATGTCCGATATGCTGGTTTAAATGTCGATGTGCAATTCTATTCACTTACAGTGCTCAATAGCATGAGTCTTCTGGGTAGAATTTTACCCGGGTTCATGGCTGATCAGATTGGTCGGTTTAATATTCTCTTGTTGATGGCGGCTTTAACTTTAATTATGATGGCTGCCGTATGGATTCCGTTTGGGTCCCAGGACGAAGCTACGCTTTATGCCGTCGTTGCGATTTTCGGATTCGGATCAGGAGGTTGGATTTCGCTGGCGCCGGTGTGTGCGGGTCAACTGTGTAAGACGGAGGAGTATGGTCGATTTTATGGTACACTTTATTCCGTCGCTGCATTTGGAGTTTTGTTGACTGTGCCGATTGGTGGTGAGCTTTTGCAATCCACGACGCCCCAGATATTGGTTGGATTCTATTCCGCTGTTCTGATGGTTGGGTTGACTGGTGTTGTCTTGTCACGGTGGGCTCTGTTAGATTGGAACTGGAAGTGGAAGGTCAAGGTGTAATAGTCTAACCCTGGAAAATCGTAGAGTCTGGGCTGGACTGGGTTGGGCTGGGCTTTATAATGTGAAAAATTGCATGAACGATAAAAAAGTGTATAGAGATTGAGCGAACATATTTTGTGCAAGTGCTTCAAATGATTCCTAATTCAACATGAAAATCATAATTCCTGGTGACGCCAGACCGATCAGAAATAATGCAAAAAGCGCCGGGTATATACAAACCAAGTTCCCAATATGCTTTTCAAGACGAGTTCTCCTTGTCTGTACAATTCCGCCTGCTTAGAGAAGATCAAAGTCATCGAGCTTCTCTCTGTACCGCATAATGTTCCGCTTGATCTTGCTAGAGTCAACCCAGGTAACAAAGTCCTCCATGTTGCGTGTAACCATAAAAGCAGGGTCATTCACAACCTCAGTTCCAACGCGGACCTGGCCTTGCTCGATGAAAGTCGTAGCCTGTAACAAAGCCAGTTAGCCAGAGAACCCCCAATACAAAAGAACAAAACCAGCAGCAACGATGTGAGAACTTACAGCCTTAATAGTCTCAACCATGCCCGATCGGACCATCAGAACAGCCAAGCGTCGCCGACAGAATGCCGAAACAGTAACCTCGCGCTCGACACGGGATAACGCAGCACCTTGCTCTCGAGATTGCTTCAGAATACCCATACGCCACAACTTGTCGAGCAGCTCGGATTCCAGCTTCCTGCGCACGGGGTCGGACTCCGGATCTAACTGGGAGAGCTTGTGGGCGAGCGAGCGCATGGATCCGCAGAGGGTGTTATATTTCTTGTAGTCCATTGGATCTTGGAGGAGGTAACGCTGCATAATCTGGTGCTCGCGGTGATTGCCATCGGACTTGTAGGTATGGAAGTCGACCTTCCGGAGAAGCCTGTGAATTAACTTGATTAGATTCGGTGATGCCGACTGGAGTGATGGGCATTGGAGATTGGAGATTTGCGTGGCGGCATTCGCCTTTTGGAGGGACTAACTTTTTCTCATGATGCTTTAGTTGACGAACCATATTGACGTGTCAGAGATCGATCACTGGTGACTGGAATGGCTTTGTACGAAATCAGGATTGAACCGCAGTGACTAGCTTGAGAAAATCCGCGATAACATTTTTTTGTTATCGAGGCGGTGAAGTTCTGCCCGCCTCCTATCTTGGCTCATTAGTCACGTGGTAGACCCACCTTTTAGTATGTATAGCATAACTACATTTCAAGAGAGGAGATATTGGTCGCAAATCAAACCAAGAATCATATTATTTTTTTTAAAAAAAGATCAAACTAAATTACAAATATGTTCAACCCACAAAATCGCAAAATTTGTACAATCCGAATAGAGGAGCGCATATATACCATAATATAACTAGTAGCGGAAAAGCATTGAATGATAGCAATGAAAACGGGAATATCACGTTCAAAAGGGATGCTCAGACGAAAGAAGAAGCAAGATTTCCAAAAAAAAATCATACAATTCTTACCTTGGAGTAGGTTGTCAATCGTGTAGTTTGGGCAATCTTCTCGCTTAGTGCGCGTATGTTCTGTGCACCCATAATATCCAACAAAGAGACCTCAGCCATCAATTGCTTGACAATCCAGGCGAGGAACTCCATTGCCACCAATGAGTCAATGCCACCAAAACTGTATCTTTGGGCATCTATCTCAGATGGTGGAATCGCAAGAAGCGAAGATAGTCTCTCGACAATCCCGGCCGAGACCACATCCACAGTTTCGCTAAGATTGCCTGTCGCAGCGATTTTAGAAGCAGTACTAACGCTCTTCTCGCTGTTTGTTTCGGTAGCCTTGCTCATGAGAACGTTACGTACATGTGTAAATAGCGCAAAGTCCAGGTATGCTGGCTTGGGAATATTGTGTTGCCGACATATTTCTGCCGTCGGAAGGCCAAGAATCAGTTGCGAAGGAGCGAGAATATCACTTCCACTCTGTTTCTTGAAACGACTATCAATCATGAATTCAATCGCTTTGTGAATCTCTTCTTCATTGAGAAGTTGAAATAGCGCATCTTTCTGGCCTCGCACCGAGCTTAGGTTTTCTGAAACCCAACCGACACTGGATACACTACCAAGGTCAATGCTGCATGCATTCATCCCCAGTGCCGTACGATAGGCTGCTAGTGCATCTTGGAACGTGTTGCCGGCCGCATAATTTGACTGACCACGATTTCCAAAGATCCCAGCGACGGAGGAAAGCATTGCAAAAAAGTCTAGGTCACTAGGTAAGACTTCGTGTAGGTTCCAAGAACCCTGGACCTTAGGCCCGATAGCTACCTGCCAGTCTTCAAAAGAGATTCCTGCAAAAGATCCATCCTATTTTAAGATTAGTAAGGGAACCTCAAGGCTGTCTGGAATAACTTACTCGAAGTACCATTGAGGCCTGGATGCAACCCTTGATGGGCGGCAATAACGTAGAGCATTCTTCAACAACAGCTCTCAGACGAGAAACATCGGCGATGTCGCAAGCAAAAACACTTGCACGACATCCCATCTCCTCAAGACTCGTCATCATTGTTCTCACAGTATCTGTGATACGTCCTGATCTCGATAGGAAGATCAGACTTTTGGCACCCTGCGAAGCCATCCAAAGTGCCACGCTACGCCCTATTCCTCCTAATCCACCAGCAAGGACATAGGATGCCTGATCATTAAACCTGAATGGCTGCATAACATCAGGAATCATAGAGATCTTATCTGATGAGCTTGGGACGAAAACGGCTTTTCCTCTACCCCCATTGCGCTGCACAGACTCAAGTCCATCCTTTATCTGCGAGAAAGTCATAACATCAAAAGGGCGGACTGGGGTGATCTTCCCGTCCACATATAACTTGAGTGTATCGTCAATCAGTCGAGCGACCAGCGTTGGCCGTTTTTCAATTATCATATTTATATCAATAGTGGTCACCGTTGCACATTTCAGTAGGTGAGCCAAGTCAATCATGGTATTGACACGGGTAGCCTTGCTCGAAACATGAATGAAATGACCGAACGGAGCGAGACATGCCATAGTCTCTTGCAAAGCCTCACCAGTCAGGGTGTTGAAAACAACATCGACCCCGACGTGTTTTGTAGATCGCACGATGCTCTTAACAAAATTGGCATCTTTGCTAGAGAAAATGTTGGCTGTTGGTATGTCGTACTCGGACTGAAGGAATTTTTCATCGTCACTGGTGGGCACAGTGAGGTAAATGGTAGCCCCGATCATACGCGCATACTGGATAGCTCCTTGTCCGAGTGCTGTCGCACCATTATGAATCAGGATCGTGTCCGTTTCACGTAGATGAGCTACCTCGGCGAGCCCATAAAGTACTGTTGCGTAAACGGAGGTAAGTCCAGCAGCACTTTCAAGAGGTATATCATTTGGAATCTTGACAACCCGCACTTCGTCAGCGCGGATCAACGTTCTAAAGCAGTGAGAGTCGGCTCCTGCTCCTGTAACAACAACTTTATCTCCTGGAATGATGCCATTAACTGCTGAGCCAACTCTTTGCACCACACCAGAAGCCTCAGTTGAAGGAGTCGTAAAATTGAAATCTGCCCTAATTGCAATCGCACGAGTGTTCACTTCGACATCATTTTCACTCAGATCCTTGTCATGTTGGCAATCTTTAACCCAGCATAGCTCGCGTGAGTCTGGAGAAGTAGCCATCATTTCAATGGGGTGATCCACATACCCCAGCTCCACGAGATCAGGAGATGATGAGGTAGATGATTTGGAATTTAGAAAATTGTCGGCACTCTCCCACTCATGAAGACGACTAGTATATACTATCCCACCGCGCAAGAGGTACTCGGCGTTTCTTTCGGCGTGAGAATCACCCAAAAATTGATGCAGGCTAATTTGATTAATGCAATGGGCAAAACTATCATCAAGATTGCCCTTCTGGTCTGCAACAGTCAAGGCCACTATGTTGGATTCATCGGAATTTCGTTCATACCGAGCTGTTCGAACGACTCCCAAGCTCATACTAGACAATGGCTGCTTATGAGGATCAGGCATCACCCAGAGAATGTTCTGACACTCTGTAAGTAGCTCCCTGATTACATTGAAGTCGCATGCATTAGTGCCAAAGAAGAATGGCGCTTCAAGGTCAATCAAACTAATGCAAAGGCTGTTCGTACTTAGCACACGATCCAAATTGGATAGATTTATGACTGCCACACTGGGAAAATTGTGTTTCATAGTATCTCTTAAGTGATTCACGGTGGCTTCCAGTCCCTTGGATCCACAGGTAAGAATGAAAGCACTGGGGGCAACACAATTTTCATTTGAGATAGCCGTAGAAACCAAGATGCTCTGCCAGGTCAGATCTTTGTCAGTCGAGCTCGGGTATTCGATTTGAACTCCAGAAAATCCGGATTCAGTGAGCAAAGTGTGCCACGCAGACGCTGGAATGTATGGACACCACTCTCGAATAGGCTCATCGCCAAACCACCAACCAGGCAGTTGACCGAAGACAAGAGGATACCATAAGAAATCTTGTCTAATACCCTCTTGCATAATGAGTTGTCCGCCGGGTCGAAGTAACGATCGCAGATGTTTTAGAGACTCATGAAGATTCTTGGTTGCGTGAATGACATTTCCTGCAAAAATCAAATCGTAGCTCCCGCATTCAAAGCCCTGAACCTTGGGACCTTTCTCAATATTGAGTGTTTGAAATGACATAATGTCCCTCCAAGCATGGAACCTTTTCTTCGCCTTTTCGAAAAAACCAGCGGAGATATCGGTAAACGTATAGCTTGAGATGTTCCCTCCGGCTGGATTTCCTCCTGGTGCCAAGATTTTGAAGACTTCCGATGTGAAGCTACCAGTGCCACCGCCGATCTCAAGTATCCTCAGTCCTGAGTGTTGATGGCGTAGAAGGGAAAGGTAGCTTTTTAGGTGTCCCGGGAGGTCAAACAAATGAAGGCCTTCTTTATAAACTCCTTCCATAACTTTGTCCTGGCCAAACATCAAGGCAAGAGGATCGACCTCTCTCCGCAATATGGCGGCGATGTTGCGCCCAATTCGAGCTGTGATGGCCCCTTCAGCGCTATGTGCTTCAATTTCACTGAAGATGGCCTGTTTCGCAACATCGTCATGGCGAACTGCTTTAAACTCTGCGTAAGGCAAGTGTATGATCTTATCCTCCTCTAACATCCCTTGATAGTGGACCATCCATTGATAAAATTTCCTCATGTGAGGTTCAAGCTTATTTATGTCAAGTCCACTAAGCTCACTCAGGCCATCACAAACATAAAGCATTGATGCAATTTGGAGTTGCTTTATCCAGTAGCGATGCTCCTCATCATCGGCCACTGGACAGGAACTCCATTTGCATGCTTTGACGGAATTGATGAAACGAACATCAGGTTTCCATTCGATGCTAGTGCAAACTTTTCGCTCGTCATTCTTGAGCGAACTTGACTCAAGAGGTGTTAGCTCAATACCGTCCATTTGGATCTGAGGATTTCCTTCCATGTCCATAATACGAATCTGGCCTTCCAGCTTCCCAGATCCAGAACTAGACACAGATGAATTTCCTTCAAACTTGCAAGATGGGGCAGAGCTTAGAGAAGATGAGATCCACATCTCCCTCACGTATGTGGGAAGTCGAATATGATCGAGACTCGGCTGGCCGATGAAATCAATGGCGCCAGCTATCATCATGTGTATCATACTGTCCATTGTAGCCGGGTGGATCAAATGAGGGTGTAAATACTGCACTGGCATGGCCTGGGCAATATCGGGAACTGTCACCACACCAGTCATAATTCCAAGCTTCGAACCACTTATCTGCACATCTCCAAGGTTCCTGAAAAGTGGACCGAATTTGAGCTCAATGTTCTCAAGGCTGTCGTACGTTTTGGCAAACTCAATAGCCTGAGTACACAGACGGCACGCTTTTTCAAGATCCAGCTTCCAGTCCCGGATCTCCTCATCTCTTTGACGCGCATTTGCGCGACGATCATTCTCCGTCAAATGTTCGACCGCAATGTAGCCCGTGCAGTGTTCAATCCAAGCGTCACTAGACTCGTTGAAAGAGCTAATCTGAAAACGACGCCAAGTTCGGAGATCAGATGGACCATCTGTAGTGGTCATAGAAAGGCTCACTTCAATGCCATACTTGTCATCGGGAATTATCAAGGCACGATTTATTGAAACTCGCCGAAGCCGAAATCCTTCGATTTTCTTGTCGTGATACAACTGCCGAGAAGCTTCGATAGCCATGATAAGATACCCCACTCCAGGATAAACAAAGTTACCCGTTACCTAAGATAAGTTAGAAGAAATCCATATCGCCAGCCCTCATTCTGAACATACCACATGATCCCTTAACCAGGGATTCTCATTCAATCGAATGAAATGTCGCCATCTAGGGGAATCGGGATTCCAGTCAGAAACGGGTGCACCAAAGAGATCGTGTCTTGGGAACTTTCTGGATCGCAAATTCCGGCTGAGCCGACTTTCATATAGGATCCTTTCAGTGTGTTTGAATTTGTATGGCGGGAGGTTGATGAGGAGTCTCGCCTGTCTTAGAGAGCGTTCCCGAGATGCATGATTCACCTTATGCAAGTCAACCTGACAACCATTGGCGGCCAGATGTCCCACCGTGGTGAGCAACGCGTTCAAACTAGGATCACTGCGTTTCAACACCGATAAGTACTTATGACTCGCCTGAGCATTGTCGGTTGTCAATGTCTCTTTGATCGCACTTTGAAGTGTTGAGTGAGGACCTATCTCCACAACAAAAGATTGCACATCGGAAAGCCCTTCAGCAGACAAATCTTCTATTGATCGAGAGCTCATCGCCTTTAATCCGCTTGTAAATCGGACTGGAGATACCATGTTATCAACCCAGTATTGAGCAGTGAGACTATCCGTGGTAGCTTCTGATCCTGTAACAGTTGAAAACATGTAAACGGAGTGTGGTACGGCCAATCTCCTGCCCGATGAGAGGTTTCCCATCAAACGACGGTAGTCATCAGCAATTGGTTCCATATGACAAGAGTGGTAGGCATTTTGAACATTCAGTTTTCGTGCAAAAATGTTCTCAGCCCCCAAGCGCTCCTTCAGGCAGTCAACAAGCTCCTCATCTCCAGAAACAGTACTATTCTTTGGACTGTTGTAACAGGCAATAATAAGCTCACCAGGATGGTCTTTGCGGACGCCTTCCAGATATGGCTCTAACTTGTCTGAACTCAATCCAACCGCCATCATTGCACCTTTCGCGGCATGGTATTTTGATGAGACATAGCCGCGGTAGTATGCAGCTTTCCAAGCTCCCTCTCGAGAAATCTTGCCAGCGGAGTATGCAGCAGCTATCTCACCAGATGAGTGACCTGTCACGTACGAAGGGAATATATCCCAGCTGGCTAGAAGATCCACAAGTGCAACTTGCAATGCAGTACAAACTGGATGCGCAATCTCCGGAAGACTAATACGAGAAGACTTCTCGTCTGTAAGGAGTTCGTCTAAGGGGGAAAGTCGAGTTAGTTGAAAGAAATTGACATGGTGGGCTTTCGATGGAGAACTTACCAATAAGGGACCAGGGACTACCCAGTCGACGAACATATTCCGATGCCTCTTCGAACGATTCTCGAAACACCGGGTACACCAGAAGAGCGCTTCCCATGGCTCGATACTGCGCCCCTTGGCCAGTAAAAACAAATTGAATTTTGGGCGCATATGGTGCCCGAATCGGCTTAGAGAAGTTGTCCTCGGATAAATTCCATGCAAGCTCTTTAACAGTGGACGCTGTTATGAAGCTTTTCCATGGAAATACTGAGCGCTTCTTCGAGAGGGTAAAAGAAAGATCTTCTAGAAGAAACCTGGTATCTTTCGGCCTAGTCAACATGGAAGTGAGGTACTCATAGTAGTCCCCAACCATTCTCTTTATGCCATCCTCATCAAACGCTGACAGTAAATATATCCTAGGAACATCCACATGACTTGGTCGTGACCCTATTGGCTCCAATTCTGGGGATATAGAGGAGCCATCTGTTCCAGGGGTTTCAGGTCTGTCAAAAACAACGCCACGTCGCGGATGATCAGCCTCGTCGAGAGAGTCAGATCCACTGTCAATCTCGTCATTTTTGAGCTGACCCAGAAACAGGGCTCGATCTTTGGTATAAATGGTTTTCGGAACCAATGTTTTTGTTTTGTGAAAGGCTGACATGCGGCGACTGTGCAGATAGTGGTAGGCATCATCCAAAACACAATGGGCGTTGGAGCCCCCAATGCCGAATGAATTGACAGAAATTCTGCGCAGACCTTCCGATGGCCATGGTAAGACCTCTTGTGGAAATGAAATATTCCATTCTGCAGCCGGGACCTTGGAATTGACTTGTTGCATATCGAAGTTGGGTGGAATAACTCCCGACTCGAGAATCAAAATAGATTTGATAAGGCTAGCCACCCCGGAACCTCCTTCCAGGTGACCGATTGTGGACTTGATGGTTCCAATGTAGAGGGGCGTATCTCTACGACACCTGAATGCCTTTGCGAGAGCCCCTGCTTCAATCGGATCACCAGTGCTAGTCCCAGTGCCATGGGCCTCAACAAATCGAGTTTGTTCCATGGTCAATCCGGCTCTCCAGTATACTTCTCGAATCAATCTCTCTTGGGCTTCACTGCTTGGTACAGTGATTCCAGATGTCCGGCCATCTTGATTGACCCCAGTTTCACGGATCACTGCACGGATTGTATCACCGTCTCGGATTGCAGTACTTAGAGACTTCAAAACCACGGTACCCACGCCTTCCCCACGAGCATAGCCCTCTGCTCGGGAGTCAAAACTGAAGCACCGGCCTTGAGTTCCGAGTAAGCCGTGGTGGCTCATCCCAATTGTCTCCACTGGATTCTCCAGGATGCTCACCCCGCTAACCACAGCCTTGGAACGAAGTAGATATTAGCCTCCTATCCCCAGTCGCGTCATACATGAGAACTTACCATGGTAGTCTCTCGCGCCCGCAGACTTTGAACCGCTAAATGTAGGGCTACTAGACTGCTAGAGCAAGCGGTGTCGATCGTCATACTGGGTCCTTTGAAATCAAAGAACCAACTGACCCTATTTGACAAGATTGCATTGACCACGCCGGTTGGCTTGTACTTCAATGCAGTCTCTGGGTCTGAATTCAAAATTCCCAAGTAATCATGATTGAACCCGCTGACAAAAACAGAGGTGTTGGAGCCAACGGCGGTCTTCATTGGAATACCCGCATTTTCGAGGGCATGGTAGACGTTTTCCAGCACCAATCTCTGTTGGGGGTCTAGAGTCAAAAGTTCGGTCTTGGTAATGTTGAAGAAAGATCCATCGAAATGGGCAGGATCCTCTGAGAGAAAATGGCCCCCTTGGACATGGAACTGCGCCAAAGAAAAATCATTATTAGTCTATATTGCAGTTTGAAACGCATCTCAGGGGGCGGTACTCACCGTCCCACCATGCTCTGGGTCAGGATGGTAAAATGCGGCAGCGTTGAATCTTTCTTCGGGTATCTCAGACCACGTTGTGCGAGCTTGGACTAGAGTATCCCACAGGGCTTCTGTGGTCGTGGCGCTCTGGGGACATCTGGTAGCCAGCCCAACCACTGCAATAGGTTCCACGACATCTGGTGGAATAGACTCATTGCCAGTGCTGATCCTCAGTGGAGTCATGTTGGGATGTATTGAGAAAAGAAAAGTTCAATGGGGTTGAGGAAAAATGTCTTTGGTTTGATCTGTGAATATGATCTTGTAGGAAAGATGAAGGATGGGAGGATGGAAGAAGAGAAGTGGAAAAAGAGGGATATGAAGATATAAATAGAGATTTGAGCGGCTTTGAATTTCATGGGTAAATTTAATGGTAAGGAAAGATAAGTCCCAAGGGTAGAGATTCAAGCAAGTGAGTGATCGAGATGGAGTGGAACGTGGGAATGGATGAGAGCTGTAGTCCCTTGGGAGCCAATGATTTTACTGTATTCATCGAGCACGTTCCTCTGCCTTCCTAATTTGGACACTTGCAAGTAACTAATTCTCACTGATGTAAATATCTTCAAGTAATTGAGGCAAGATAAGTGTTATTGGGTGAATCTATTGTAGTGAACGGCATGATTAAAGTGGGGCATGATACTTGCGGGTGAAGTGACAGCTAGGGATTAGCTCTTCGAGAGTATTAGGTACATTGTACACATCAATAACGGTGTACATTTAGCGTCAGGGTATATTTTTCATTACTTCATGCTTCGTCATCTGGTTGGGAACTTTTGATGTGGCATCTAGAAATTCGTTCAAGTGAAGTGTTAGTTGCTGTTGTTAGTATAGAATATACTTTTGAACCTTGCAAACAAGCCATAGTATTGACTAGGGTCAAGATTAATTATGGAAACAAAGAAATGGACACCGCCACCTACGATCACGGATGTATACAATCCATCATGGGGAGGAAGTTCAGCTATCCCATTGTGAGATATTAGAAGCCGGAATATACCATAATATCCCTGGATGATGCACAACACTATACCAAGATAGGAGGTACTATGGGATAGTACTCCAAGCAAGTTGTTTCACCTTTCGATCTATTATGTCAATCTTCCAATAACTTGGATTACTTGCTTCACAATTCTCGTCTGAATTTCTTGTGTGAAAAAGGGGGGTAGGAATAAGGATACACTAAGGGAATATAAACGAAATAGACACATCCAGTTTTGCTATGAGCTTGAATCTCATTCACTCTAGCTTGATAATTAGTGGGCTATGATCACGACTAAGCAAAGCTAGACCATCAGGAGAGTTTATGCTCTGACAGGTTTCTTTGTTTCCATTGCATAGACTAGCGCGTGTGGAGCCAATGGAGATCCTCCTATCTCGTAGCAATGTACATTTTCCCGTGAATTTAAAGCTTTTCGACATGCTTCCGGGCGCGCTCCACACCCAACGTGGGAACTCAGGATTGGTGCATAACTCTGCCGCGGTGCGAAGTGTTGATCGATATATCAAAGAAACGAACAGGTAAGATAGCGCCATGTGGGTCTGTTTTGATTAGTGCTCTGTGGGTACGTTTGATCATGTTTGCTACTAAAGCCCCCTAATCCAATCACTTGATACATAGAAGCAGACTTCAGTAGCCGCCATGGGTCTCCTACTCGATTTGGTTCTCATATTTGAAACTTAATTGTACACCATGACCTCATGTAGGTAATACCGGGATAATTTAAGTCTGTACGTCCCGTATAAGTTGAGCCACTATTAGATCTGAAAATTGAGAACAGCCCAAGTCACTTGTCCCATTGTAGCGTGATGTTCGATCGGGGATCGAAAGGGGATCGAGAATCAAAGTAGCGGTCTGGTCCAGAGAAGTACAATATTGTGCCAAGGAGCAACGATACATCTTTATTTCATAGCCCATCTAGAATCTGAAATGTTCCTCCCGCATTGAATTCTTGAATTCAATATTTCCTATTATTCAGTTATTCCCACTAAAACCTCCATAATTTAGAAAGTGTTGGGGTCGTCAAACCGGTCGCCTAGATTGTCATCAAGGCGTCCCTGTTCATAAAGCCGGAGAACCAAGAAGCATAAGCTCTCCAGGGTTTTTTATTGCATAACCCAAGCCATCCCGCTGTTATTATCTGTATTTTAGGCCTTTGAGTGACATTTGTTGGCTACGTGCACGGGATACTAGTGCTTGGATAGTCATTGTTCCTTAAGCAGCACTTCCCAAAGTTAGGGACGAGGAATATCCCAGGGCATTATCATGGAGATTTTAGATCGTGACGTATTTTATCAAAAAATCAGCTACAAAAACCCCCGAAGATCAATTTTTGATACTGCTGTACGTAAAAAGGTCAACATGAGATGTAGCAGGCCCCACAGTACAAGGCTTGGGGGCGGCGTCTGCCGTGTATGCCACACAGCCTTGAATTGCCGTGTCGATCAGTTTATGCAGATAGCATAGCTGCACTCGCTTGAATCTTGCATTTTCTTCATCCAGAAAAACTGGTGCCAAGCTCTATTAGGAGTTGAATCTTTAAAGTGAACCCTCCAAACATGTGATTATGGCGAAACAGAAAAAATGCAAAAAGCCCAGCTGCCACCATGGCTCATTGCTCTGGTATGTATCTGTTTACCATTGATTGTACCAGTGGTCATTGTGGGTGACGCATTAATATACGGTCACCAGAAGTATAAGATCTCGAAAAACGAGCCAAATACTCGACCACTTCCTCGCCGCTGAAATGGGAGCTTCGGATCCCAGAGTTCAACCTCATAGTATTAGTGAACTGGGGAGAGTTACCCCTTTCCACTTTGCAAGAGAGAAGGGGTTCTAATCTTCTATTCCTACTTGACAAATGCGATGATGGTCATTATGAACCAAATTGCGTATTCAAGGATTGACCCCTTCACAGAACGAGATATCCAAAATTGGCTTCCCTAGAAATAATGTATGTATATGGTGCTATCTATAATTTCCCAGCCCTCTTTTGCTTTGCTATTTCCGAGGCTAAATCTGCAATGTACCCCTTCGTGACAGCCTGTTTCTCCTCTAGGGTTTTGTTGTTCCATTCAGCTCGACGTTTCCTTGGCCCATCCTCCCAGCGCTGACTCTCCTTCACAAACCAATCACCTAAATGATCTGCAAGCTTGCTTAAATCATGGCCAAACGGCAAAGTATGTTCTCCTCTTTCAATCACAACCTGTTTAACAGCGCCAACCTTCATTCCACCATTCCCACCTACGCCAGTTCCCGTGATGCGAGCTCTCTCATCTCGAACCTTAGCAGGTCCAAGATCATGAGAGTTTCCTCCATTCACATAGAGCACCCAGGGTCTCATTCCAGGTAAGAGGCTCCATCCAAATTCGAGCTCCGGTCTATAGAATGGCCCTTTGTGAATACTATCAGGATCGCTGTCAGGCACGAGCGCACGCTGTTCCAACGTCACTTCATCAAGACCGCCCGGTCCCATTCCAATTTCTCCCGGGTTATGCCTGAGAACCAGAGACGCGATCTGATTTTTCGGCGTTGTCAACGCCCAATCAGATCCCCAGGACGCATGATGCTGAAAAACACCATATCGCTTCAATCTTTCTCTCGCGCCATCAGCCCAGGTCTCTGCCCCCTGAGCCTTCGCAGCTTTTATCTCCGCCTCGTCCCTCGTCGCCCACGAATCCTTCCGCTGCAACGTTCGAAATATCACCGAGAACATGATATGCTTCCCATAACTTGCATCAAGGCCCGGCTCGACAAACACAAGAGAATGGAACAGCGTCGGATGCCAAGAAGATAAGCACGCTAGCTGGGCAGCGCCCACTGAATGGCCTATTCCGAAAATTGGTTTCGGCATCTCGTCGCGAAAGTGACTGATCATGCTCCATAGATCGCGGGAGTGGTCAAGCCAGGTTCCGTCGCAGCCCAAATTATCCAGGTTTGCGATCGCGCTCTCTCCCAGATTGTACATATCTGCTATCCAAATGGACTTGATACGCAGTTTTGCTTTTCTTGCGCGATCATAGATTTCGGCGAATAGGGGTTCGTAGATCTCTTTGATAAATCCTAGTCCGGCACTTGCGATTATTGTGATCGGGTCTGCATTGCTCGAAGAGTATTCCACGTCTTGGCGAGGTATATATTGTTTTACTGCGAGATAAACCCCTTTTTTCTCATCGATTATTGCGTGTGGGTATTCGCGAAATGGAGGCACAGTTATCAAATGCGAGATAATTTCGAATGGAAAATGCTCTTCAAGAGGATCAATACGAGTCGATCGGGCCATGATTTGCTACTCTTGAAAGATGTTCTGGGGAGAAGGAAGACTTTCAATTGGCACGAAACAGAACATTGAGAATGGGGCGCGTAGAGGGTGAAAAAGCAATATTTATTTGTTATCTCCTGCGGATTTTCGCAATATTGTCTCTGCTCTTCGCTCCCTTTTGCCATTCATGCACGCTGACATGCATTAGTTGAAAATAGGGGTGACATGGCGAATCGAGTGGCCAATCAGTGGCTGGATGCACGGGTGCTTTTTTTCCCACTAGCTGAGTCTCAACAAATTCGATGGCAATATGTTTTAAAACATCCATCGTTTATCACTTCCGTCAAATAATCGATTCATGTGCTATTCGACCTTATGTACAAGTTATTGAAGCAAATTGGCTCCAGTAAATTAAAGTAGATCACTCAAAGACAAGACACCTAGAATCGACCAAAAAGCGAATCAAACCAAGCATTAGTTGCTTGCGTCGCTCAAGATTTCCTCTGCGGCCTTCTCTGAGACCATGTAGGTGGAGACGGCAGTGAATGTTCCAGGAATCTTAGGGTAGACAGAAGCATCGACCACCCGCAGGCCGTTAACACCGCGAACGCGGAACTTAGAATCCAGAACAGCCATGGGATCGTCATCGATACCAATAGGGCAAGTGCAGGAAGCATGGTGTCCCCAAGCAGTATTTTTGATGTAGTCGTGGATATCCTCAGTAGAAGTAATATCCTTTCCAGGCAAAATCTCATCAATGTCCAGCAGCTGGCGGGAGAATGCATCGCGAGCCAAACCAATAGCCTCGGTGATAGCTTCCAGGTCAGCCTCGTAATCTCCGCTACCGGTATCGAAATAGTTGAACACGATATCGGGCATATCGAGTGGGTCGGCTGAGCGCAGCTTCACTGAACCAGCTGAGTTGCGTGGGTGAGCCTTCAGAATAGCCCAGGAGAACCAGTCGTGGTGCTCGGTGATGTTGATGCTGTATCCGGGGAAGTAACCACGGAAATTAATTGGACCTCCGAATACAAAAGCATCGAAGTCGTCATCCACTGCATTGGAACTCTTGTATAGCATTGTGCTGGCGAATCCATTCGATGAGTAGATGCCTCGGTTACCCAGGATGGGGTTCTCCCATCGCTTCAAGCACGGGTCGGTATCTTGTTCGGAGGTGAAAGTGCAGCCGTCCAGTGCAGTGAAGTTGTATGGGACGCGACCCTGAACTGCGGTCTCATAGTGGTCTTGCAGGTTTGTACCGACACCGGGGAGATCAGAGACAATGTCGATTCCGAACTGACGCAGCTCATCAGCGGGTCCGACACCACTCAGCTTCAGCAGTTGAGGGGAGTTGTATACACCGCCAGCGACGATGACTTCGCGGGAAGCATTCACGCTACCAGGGGTACCACTGCCTGCATCGCCGGAACGAGGGCTAGCACGGTACAGATACTTGCCGTCGAGAAACTCGACGCCAGTCGCGCGGGGGGTGCCAGTGGAGTTGTCGAAGTTGACCTTGGTCGCCTGGCAGTTTGTGCGGATATCGAGAGGGTACTTCTTTGAGCCGTCAAGGTTAGTCGCATCTCGAACGGAAACGAGGAACTCGCGAGGTCCATTTCGCTTTGCGCCATTGCTAGCTAACGGAACCTGGTAGTATCCTGGGTTGGTGTCGCGGGATCTGGAGTTTGCATTGGCGTCTCCGGCAAGAAGGGTAGCAACATTGAAGATGGTATCTGTGACGTTGCCCAGAGCGAAAGCTCCGCCGAGGAGCATGTCCAGCAGCTGGGGATCTTCGAGGACGATATTGATAGGCGCAACCTCATCGTGCATCCAGCCATCGTATCCATGTCCTGGTAGACCGGGCAGCAAGTAGTTGTTGTTCTCCAGCTTCTCGAAGTACTTGCGCATGTTATCCGGGGCCCATGATGCATCGCCCGTTAGGGTTGAGATGTAGTCAAAGTCGGACTCAAAAGGGTAGACGGTAACCAAGGCATTGTGAGCTGTGCAGCCACCGAGGGTTCCGGTACGTGGGTACAAAGTTCCCTTCATGGTTGAGCCCTCAGGTGGGCTCAGGCCAACATACTGATCGCCATCGGGTGTCTCATAAGTTGTTTTGTAATCGAGGGCCTGGCGAGAGTCATTGGTATAATGGCGTACAAAGAAGTTCCAAGCAATGGATTCATCTTCGGAGGCCTTGGCGGAATATGCTGGGACAGTATAGTTGGTGTTCTCGCCTTGGTCATCACCTGCTTCGATAAGCAGTGTTTTATGACCAGCAAGAGCTAGTCGAGCCGCTAACGGACCACCGCCAGCTCCGGACCCGACGATAACGTATTCATAACCGGTGAGTTCGACTGATGCTCCCAGGCTGGCCAGGGAGAGGGCAGCCAGGCCAAAAAGGCGAGGGAGAAACATGGGTATTGAGGAATATCAAAAGTGAAGGAGTGACTAGAGTTGAATTTTGAATGAATGTCAGGATTTAGGATTGAGAAAAAAAAGGCTTTCTAAATCTATGGAGCACCGGGACTATTTTCATATTTATTCCAATCCACAGTGATTCATGACGAGGGGGATCGCCATTCTAGTCTCGTGGGTCTAGTGAGAATTTTACTTTCAGGGAACTAATAGAAGAAAAAAATTATTGAAAAGGTAGCCAACAGCATGTAGAATCCGGTACAAAGGGGCAAGCTAAGAGCTTTTCCAAGCGAAATGACACTGGTGATCAATAAAAACTGCAAGCCATTAGGTGCATAGTTCCACTCATGGACCCTCAGTACCACTGAGTAACCAACCGGAGGCATTGTCGAGACCCCATAGTGAGCGACAATCGCACCTGTTCGAGCAGGAGAGACGGGCTAGTTGGTTTTGTAGTGGGGCTTTGCGAGAGGAAAGCAATGCCGAAGGTGCTTTGGGCGCCTCTCAAATGCATTAAACCGAGGTATAAGTATGGTTGAATATTGGATCCTATTGACATACGTTCTTGAGGATAGAACCTTGATGCTGTCATCTCAGACATGCAGAATTAGTGTCTTGTCGTGCATATCAATTGAGTTTGTTCCTGGAAGCATTTGATCGCGTGGATCCGACCCACTAGGAACAGAGATCTGGATCGTGATTTCATATTGTGGACTTGTTTCGCTCCACAAGACAACGCGAACTCGTCACTTAACAAGTTTCTGCCTTTTAAGCGGGTCGGGGATTGAGCAAGAATCTTTGGGATAGATCGGATGACGGGGGTAAATCCGATCATGCTGTTCATCGGCTAGGTGGTTATCAGCTCCGTCATAGTTCCGCCATAGAGGTGGTTGTGTGGGCCAAAAAATAACTTCAACAGGTTTGAAATTTGACCAGACCAAGTAGAATTATTGTCTGTTGGCAATGCAGATGCAATATAATATGCCTTGTCAATTAAACTGGGCTTCCAAGGTCGGTGGTCCCTGTTTTACTGTTTTTATACCATAGTATACCGATATCAAAGCAACTTGAAGAAACGGTTATAGGAACATTTCACTTGATCGGGAGTAGATACTATGTACGTGTTTATGAGCACTTCTTGGTTTTCATTACTTCAGTAATAGAACATTAAGAAATACACAAGCTTAGAAGTATACAAATAGAGTTGATTATGACATGAGGATGAATTCTATGATATTTGCTGTTCGGACAAAGTATGAAGAACCGAGTCTAGTCTAGCTGTTCCACCGAGGTCCTCAAAACAGGTAGATTCAAAATGCAATCCAAGAAATATACAAAATTGACTCGCCTCACCCAACTCAAAGCTCATCCTTATCATCCTCCGCCGGCGGAGGCATCGGTCGCCCGCTATCAGCAGCCAGATCAACACCGATTTTCTTGCGCCACTTCCCCCATAAAGAATGGAAGTCCTTCTCCATCCCGCTCTCCATCTGATCAGGCAAAACAACATGATACTCAACATAAAGATGACCAGGACTATCCTCTCCATCATCACCATGATCATGCAGATGTCCCTCACTATAAGCCGGCATACCTTCACCATGCACCGTCTCCACAGCCAAAGGCTGCACAACCTCCCCTCGCGACCGACCAAGACGAACAACATGGCCATCCAGATGTGTCAGATTACGCGACCACTCGCCCATCCACGCCTCGCGCAGTGAAAGGGTCTCCTTCCAGAAAAGATCCTTGCCCTTCCGTCGGAAGAATGTCCCATCCGTACGTTCATGATCATCAGATCCAAGCTCTGCCTCCTTCTCCTCAAGTATAACGATCAAGTCACCCGCAACGAAATCAGGACTCTCATCCGCCTCATTCTCGAAAACAAGACGTGTTCCACGTCCCATACCAGGTTCAATGGTCGCAGAGGTCTCAACCTCCTTTCTAACAATCCGATTTCCATGACAGACAGAACAAGGATTCTTAATCTTCTTCCCTTGTCCACCGCACTTATCACACGCCATCTGAACTTGCTGATACATTCCCGGCGCAAGCTGATGCTTCCTGATAACACGACCATTTCCACCGCATTGATCACAGGTCACGACCTCTCGATCTTTAGACCCCGTCCCCTCACAAGTATCACAAATCTGCTGCTTCTCCACGAGAAAGTTGATCTCGCGTCCGTTATAGAAATCCCTCAGTGGTAACGCAGCCTTAACTTCCATATCGGGTCCACGTCTATGTCCCGCATGACCGGAGTGGCCACCTCCACCAAAGAACCGAGAGAACAAGTCGAATGGGTCGCCTCGTCCACCGGCTGATCCACCCTGGCGATGCTGCTCGACACCATCGTGACCATACTGATCGTAGACTTTTCGTAACGTAGAGGTGGAGAGGACATCGTATGCGTCTGCGATTTCGACGAATTTCTCACGGGCATTTTCATCTCCACTATAGAAAGAAAAGATTGATTAGCATTCCGGTTCCATGGATCGATCACATTGACAAGAAGGAAAAGCAAATGCTAGATTCGACAAAAAGGTAGACTCACGGGTTCTTATCCGGATGGTATTTCTTGCTGAGATTTCGATACGCGCGCTTAATATCTTTCTCAGAAGCAGACTTATCAAGTCCAAGCACTTTGTAGTAGTCCTCAGCAGCCAGAACAAGCGCCGAAAACAAGACGACCGCTAATGCGACGAGGAATCGTGTAAGACGCATGTTGATACCGTTATATTTCGACAGTCGCTATTCAACTATAATTCACTGCGGGGTGTTGTGCAGTTTTTTGTGTTAACGGTGGCTTTCCGCGACACAGCTCTTGCGGTGCTATGCGGGAGCTTGTTGAAGCTGCGATATGCGTTGGGTCGGAATTGTCGATTAGGTGGATGTCATGAGGGGTTGATAGATTGATGGGCGTCCTGGGTGTCGTTTCCAAGACACAAGGAGAACAATGGGTTAATTGAGAGTTGTATAGTCCTGTTTGGACCTGTGTTCTACGCCGCGTTGAATGTGACAAGTAGCCTTATTAAGTAATCCTTATCGTGACGAGGAACAATATTCAGCCGGGTCACGTGCTTGTATACATTGGTGTCCGATAACGAAGTAGGTGAACATTGAACATTTATTCGAAGATTCTAGTTAAATGAAGAAGAAAAACTTAATTAGATGTTGAAGAATTCAGTCATTGCATAAAGACATGTTTCATTATCGTGTTCATAGCTATGGATTATGAGAGGCCACTGAAAATGTCTTTCGACAACCTGAATTCTGATACATATTTGCGCCATAACATCCTACATAATTCATAGAAACAATTCGAATTAGTCGTAAGTCATGATGTGTTGCTAGAAAAGCAAAGGCACCTAGAGCTTGATTCAACGAGTTCCAGCCACGTCGAAAATATCGTTTCGCCAGGTGTAACCCAATCCATGGGTCTCATCTCCATCTTCGATCGCCTCCTGGGCACGGGTGGCTTCGTCATGCCAAGTCTTCACGATACTGCCAGGGGCGTAGATGCCATGGAACACACCACTTTCAAGAGGCTCTAAACCGATTCGAGTCTCGACATCGTCATCGGCAGGTTTCAGACGAGCCAATACAGCACGTACAAAGGTCGCCAAATCTTGGGGATTGGCAATGCGAGTAGCACGCAAGCGCTCACGAGCAAAGACCAGTTCGCGGTTCAATGCGAATGCAGCATTAACGATTTCTTCGGCAATTTTCTTCTCCAACACCCGACGAACAAGGGGCTTCAGGAAGGGCTTCGTGAGCCATAGCAGGAATCTCCACTTGCTTTTCTGGACTTTGTAGTCAAGCTTGTGGATGCGTACACGTACACCTCGTAGAGTGAAGATTTGTTCCAGTCGACCACGACCAATTTCGATGTCCAGAGAAATATCAATGCCGCGACGGTCGAGGAAGAAACTAGCAATTCCTTCGTCTCTCAGGCGGAAGAACAAAGTATGGGTTTTGAACCAGTAGCCAAAGTCCTGGGCACTGATATTCAGTCCATTGACAGCGACATTAAAGATGGTTCTGACAGTTGTATCCGTTCGTTTTGCATGCTTCTTGATAATCTCAATGTCATTGCGCGTGTGGAGGTGCAGGCGGTAAGGCAGGAAAGAGGAGAAATTGACGGTATGGCCAGGCTCTAAGACTAGGTTCTCCACCAACAGGTCCATTTCTGGCGCAGAGATCTCCAATCGGGGGATCGGCACATACTGAATCATACGTAAAATGACAGGGAAGACCACGTTCGCCAAGTCCGCGGGGAAATCTGTCTTGTGGTTGTTGTATGCATCCCATGCATGTCCATAGATCTTCTTTGTCGCGTTGATCAGCTTGAACACGGCGGGATCATCCGGGATGGTGCGCAAGGTACGTCTAGTCTGCGCCAGGAAGTCATTTACATCTTGACGAAGACCAGTCTCCGACCCGACCTTCTCCGACTGTTGCTGCAATTCATTTAGTTTCTCTTGGGCCGAATCAAAGAATTCCGGATCGGTGAGCATGTCCTGCAAGGAAGTCCCGACTTCCCCCATTAGACTCTCAAACTCGGGATCCTTGTCGGCATGACGTAGGACGTTATGGAACTTTTGTTGAAGCTGGTCCCATTCCTCCGCGTTTCCGAAAGATCGCAGCAAACCCCAAAATTGATCCACAGCTAATTTCAAGTCGGAATTGACATCGAAATCTTCATGTGCAGCCGAGGCAGTATCTTCAGCTGCATTAGCGTAGAGAACAGCATAGCGCTGGACCAACTGCGCGATAGTGGACACTGAGTCTGAGTAGTCAGTTCGCTCTCGCAGTCTCTGAACAGTTTTTTTCAACCGATGCAGCAGTGTCTCTTTCTCCTGGCCTGCAAGGTGTTCCCGAGCGCTGTCAACTGCTGCCCCACCGGTTTCTGCAATGCCCTGACCAGCAACCTGCGCTGCATGGGCTACTTCCTCCCGAATCTCTTCGCGCGAAACTGGGTGTTCTTCATCAGCCCCGGGACCCTTCAATGCTTCCTGTTCTTGCTCGGTGGGCTTAATCTCCTCAGCTACCTTTTTCGAGGTTTCAGAAAGGGAAGCCGCGGTGTCAGAGAAGACTTGACGGCCAACGGTAGCGATATCATCGATAAAAAGGCGAAAGTCGGCATTGGTTAAAAGTAAGCTCCCAATAGTACGGAAACTATCATAGGCTGCCCCATTCCCCACGTTAGCGGATGATCGCGATACCCAGTAATGCCAAGAATAGTAACTCCAGCCCAGCCGTCAACCTAACTAAGCTTGTCGGGAATCGGGGGGAGGGGGGAAGGGTTAGACATGACCCACCTGCTTTAGTATCAGCGCGTGCTTTCACGTGGGCCGCGTGGTGGGAGACACGGGAGCTATCCAGTACGACTCGGGAGCGAGAGAGGCGCCACAAGAATTCCTGCAGGAGATCCTGGTCGTTTTTGTTTTTCAAGAACTCGATGAATGTTTCAATCCAGAGACGGGCGTCGCGTACTAGCTGGCGTCCATAGGTACCTATGTCCTGATTGCGAAGATTGAGCACATCCGAGCTGAGTAGGGTGCGGAGGTTGGCGATGGTTTGTTCGGTGGATGGCATGTACCCCTCGGAGAGGGCGCGAATCATCTGGTAGGAATGTAGCTTCTGGTGGAGCTGACGCTGGCGGGGAGTGTCATCCTCATACCGAGGGAGCAGGGGTTCAGTCTCGCTGGGCATGGTGGATGAGCCCTGCTAGAGCTAAGGGTATATGAGGGGGGAGTGATTATTGGAATGGCTGAGGATAGATAAATAATATTAATTTTGAAAAGGATCCTAACTGAGATGTACTAGCTCCAGTCAGGTCAGTAAGGTGGTATGTCGTTGTTGGTGAAGTTCAAGGGGTGGAAGCTCTCTCAACCTGTTTTGGGTGAGGGATGATGACGACACTCCAGGCACTTGTGTCACTCCTTGTTTACACTACAGTCTACAAGCAGGATTAGTATTGATTTGGTGATTGTTGTTTGATCGGTGATGTATGATTATTATTACTTCCAAGTATAATCAATATTCAAGTATGGAGGATACGGAGTACAGCTTGAAATGATCGACTGCGTACACATGCTAGAACAACTCGGGGCCGGTCGGGGCGATCTGGGGAAAGCTACTGGTGCCACTAATGTACCAGGAAACCATTCCCTTTTTGAGTTTAATGGTACATTACTTGTTATGGATGCAATAATTGATCCATTTAGATGCTTGCATATGTATTGGTTTCCACTTAATGGGGGGATACGGGCCTGACCATGGATTACGGAGTATATAGGCTTCGAGATGGTCATAGGTGGAGATTATACTCTGTCCAAATATTGGGGGGATATCATTTCATAATTCAGCCCAGCATTAATCCAGCATTGTACAAAGAATCAATTTCATGGTTCACAGCTCATTGTATAAAATACCTTCGGCCGAAAGCCACCAAAAACCCACAATTGCACTGAAGCTATACAGTATACGAAGTTGGAGTTACCTCGAGTGGATCACTTCGGATAGATCGGGCAGGAAAAAAGGGAAAAGAGGGTACTTTGGAAACGAAAATGCATGATAGAATTTCATGCGTATTTCTCAGCAGGTCAAGCCTTTCAAACCGTTGGGGAGAACAACTCGGCGAGACCTGAATGTCGCCATGCATAAGCACCCGGCAAGGGATCCAATCAAGAAGCCGATGATAGGTGTCTACTTCCGAGCGACACGCGGTAGAGTGGGTTCATGGTAGTCTAGAATTGGGAATTAACTACTATAATTCATAATATAATTGGAGTTTCTGTTTTATTTGTGGGCAAAAATAGAAAATAAGGAATAATCTCCTGTAAGGCCGAGCTATGGGGGCTGGTCCCTCTATTATAACGACCCCAATTCTCTCTCCTCTTGGTCGGCGGGAAAGACCATTCAGATTGCAGCATCATCGTGTCGCCAACGCAGCCAAACATGAAACCGTTCACCGGTCTTCCTATTCTTCCCTACCATTCTCCGCATCGTCTCCGCCCGATGTTGAGGGTGTTTTCCTATCACCTAGGCGGCGGCCTCCGCTTGCCGCCTCCCGCTTAGCTTTGGGGGGGGGGGAATGCCCGTCTAAAGAATAAGATTGATTGGCATAGGAGAAGAGGAGCTCGGAGGACAGCAGTCCTACTGGTTCTTAGTGGTTACTTTGTAGTCTTGAAGACTCCGTTCTCAGTTTTCTAGAACAAAAATCAATAATTCCATTCCGCGACCCTTTTTTATTTTTCAAATTTTTCTTTTTTGTTGAGATTTTAGCCTGTAATCAGCTCTGGCACCGAGAAGACTCCACTTCGGCACTATCTGCGGCTCTGGAAGCTGTATGAAGTGGATGCGGATGGCTGGGCGGGATCCATCAAGTCTCTCTCCCCGGCCTGGTGAACCAATGATCTTCAATGCTGAACAACCCACGCATGGTCGGAATTTGGTTTGAGGTCTACCGTGTAGATTTCTTTCCTGAGGAGGAATAGGAATGCACCCTGCAATAAAGGGGAGAAGAACAGAAAATCGCGCAATAACCAATGCACCAAAATGTACATCAGGACGCAGTCTACCGTGTATGATCTATTCCTGGTAGATCGTGCTTGATAGTACGTCGTAGAAAGTTAATAGATCGTCGTGCAAGCAAGACGCGGTGTATAATGAGGTATATATGTACATGTTAGTTAAGTTGGACTATTTCATGATGTCAGTCTTGTTAACCAGTAAGAATTGCAAGAATTGCTAGAATTATAAGTATTTTTTTGATTGAATTTTCTGGTTTTTGTCTCTTTTTGCTCTTTTGCCCCCGAAAGAACTTGCGTACCATACAATCCTGTAGACCTGTAGACTTGGACCCATAGTATTCCACTGTCTCCCATGATTCAAACCTCCGCAATTGATCAATTCGACCTCCTCCGGCTCCACCCCGACAGCTGACTCCTTGCTGGATCTGCTTCCCGAAAAAGAAAAGAAGCTTTGTGAGGGATCCAGATTCCACCGGGCAATTCAAGCACAACGGTTCGCTCCCATCACCGAAATATCCACATCCACACCTCCTGGCACTCCCCATCCCTTTGTAACATCTCCGAATCTTCCCGACCCCCCGAAATCATGTCTCTGTTTTTACTCAGTGGCCTTGTCCGCGTGTCGATGAAACGGCCCCGGTTAATTCCATCTTTGCCTCTCTGTCGGAATGTCCTGGATGATGTGCGCTCGAATCTCCCAGGGGAAGGCTAGCCTGTTAGCTCGAGCACATAAAACCACACGGAGCTCGCCCCATCTTTTTTCATTCTATCATTCTACTTCTTCCTCGACGACTAAGCTACTTCGCTCTTCGTCTGACACAATGGCTCGCTTCTCTCCTCAGCAACAAAGCCGCCCGGTCCATGCGACCCCATTCTTGAACCACTCCAACACTCCCTCGTACGTGATACCCATCCTGGCGCAAAAACTTTATACATACAAAAAAAATCGAAAAAAGAACCACTGCAATTCAGCACTTCCATCATAGACACATATTCTAACATTCCCTGCTTCTTGCTTCAATAGAGATGCCAACTATGACACTGCCAACCCTACATACATTCGCAAGTACCTGCGTACTTACGGCCTCACTCCCCCTCGCTCCGAGAGCTACGAAACCCAAAAGACTCGCTGCCTTGCTCAGCTCGGCCTGAAGAACACCTCCATCGATAAATTCCTTTACTTGCAAAATCTGCGCAAGAACAATGTTCACCTCTTCTACCGTATGGTAACAGACCACCTTCGGGTACGTATAGATTGAAAAAAAAAATCCACTAAGGGGATCAAATGAGCCTATGATTGGCCACTTGACTCCCGACACTATTCCCAAATTCAACAAGACGCTAACAAGCGCCTGCAGGAACTCACTCCCCTCATCTACACCCCGGTTGTTGGCGAAGCTTGCCAAAGATGGTCAGAGATCTACCAAGGCCCAGAAGGTAAGCGATCCTCGAATCTGAGTCATATCACGAGACAAAAATATCGAGACGAAATAGAACCGGGGAAGCTAACAATCCAATCAAAATTTAGGCATGTACATTAGCTGGGAAGATCGGGGTAATCTGGCTGCCGTCATTGCCAATTGGCCCCAGCCTAATGTCGAGATCACATGTATCACCGATGGCTCCCGAATCCTCGGATTGGGTGATCTGGGCATTAACGGCATGGGTATCCCCATTGGCAAGTTGGCGCTTTACACGGCCTGTGCGGGTATTCGCCCCGAGGCCACCCTCCCCCTGACCCTGGATCTGGGTACCAGCAACAAGACTCTCCGGGAAGACCCGCTGTACATGGGTAGCCGCCGTGACAAGATCAGTGCCGAGGAGGAGAAGGACTTCCTCGATGAGTTGATGGCTGCTCTCACCGAGCGCTGGCCTGGGTAAGTCAATTCGCGATATCCCGGGTGATCGCTTTCCCGCATTCACCCTTGCCCGGGCTTTCCCCTCATCATCCCCACATATTCAGATGTTCTAACGAGGTTTATTTCTATAGTATCGTTATTCAGTTTGAGGATTTCAAGAACCCCTTCCCCGCACTGGAGCGTTACCGCGATACCTACACCTGCTTCAATGACGACATTCAGGGAACTGGTGCGGTCATTCTCGGCGGTGTCATTAACGCTGTCAAGCGCTCCGGCCTGCCTTGCAAGGACCACCGCGCTGTCTTCTTCGGTGCCGGTTCCGCCGGTGTCGGTGTCGCCAAGCAGATTGTCGACTTCTTCGTTCGTGAGGGTATGACCGAGGATGATGCTCGCTCTTGCTTCTACCTCGTGGACACCAAGGGTCTCGTCACTGCCGACCGCGGTGACAAGCTCGCTGACCACAAGGTTTACTTCGCCCGCAAGGACAACAACGGCGAGCAGTACAAGACTCTGGAGGATGTTGTTGACCACGTCAAGCCCACCATCCTGATGGGTCTTTCCACTATCGGTGGTGTTTTCACCCCCGAGCTCCTCCGCAAGATGGCCGACTGGAACACCACCCCTATCATCTTCCCTCTCTCCAACCCCTCTTCCAAGTCCGAGTGTGACTTCGAGACCGCTGTCGTCAACACCGACGGTCGCTGCCTCTTCGCCTCCGGCTCTCCTTTCCCCACCCACACATTCACCAACTCCACTGGTGAGACCCGCACATACTACCCCGGTCAGGGCAACAACATGTATGTCTTCCCCGGTATCGGTCTGGGCAGCATTCTGTCCAAGGCTGTCCGTGTCACCGACAGCATGATCTACGCCTCTGGTGAGGCTCTCTCTAAGGCCCTCAACGCCGAAGAGATTGAGCGTGGCTTGCTCTACCCCGACATCACCCGCATCCGCGAGGTCAGCGTCGTCGTTACCCGCAATGTCATCCGCGCTGCTGAAGCCGACGATGTCGACCGTGAGACTGGTCTGCGTAACATGACCGACTCTGATCTGGACAACTGGATCAAGGCTCGCATGTACGACCCCCACACCGAGGTCCGCTCTCTGGAGCGTGAGGTCGGCCACCTGCTTTCCAGCCTAGGCTCCCTCTCGCCTCTTCTGAACGGTTCCCCCACCGAGGAGAAGAATGCCAAGCTGTAAGACTCACTATCACCACTTCTCTTCCCCGATGATCCTGCCATATCGCATCATTTCACCAAAAGCACCCTCAACCAAAAATCCAAAAATCCAAGCAACACATTCTAATTGCTCGACACGTTTAGGATCGCTGCGTGATTTGCTTCACATGTCTCATGATTTTTTCATCGCACTTCATTTTTTTATTTTGAGCGCGCTTTCTTCTTTTCGGCCTTGATTTTTTTGGGATGGACACGGACACTTGATTTCTTTCTCATTATGGAATACCCTTTCATTGTTTTTTTATTCGCATTTAAGTGTCCTATGCATTGGGTTTAGGATCCTATCATCACTTGGATGAATAAAAATTGAACATATATTTAAATAAGACTATTTCCTACGTAAATAAAACCACTTGAAACAAATAGACTGGACTTCAGAATCGTAAACAATAATATCAGTACATGTATGTTATGTTATACATAGTATAGAGCACAGACAGGGCCCAACATGCAACCTGCAGCCTTACCCATTCACAAATCCCTCATTCTTTATGCTTAAATTTAGTCCATTTGCGCAGAACCCCATAACCTTGATCTCTTTTCTCGACGCAACAAGCACAACAATGATTATATCTTACATCATATGAAGCGAACAGTGAAAATATGAGCTGTCATTACTCCCGGGCTTCTGACATTACGTCTTTGTCAGTGCCAATGGTTCAATGGTCAAGTCAATAGTTAGATGGCGCAGTGGAATTAAATGACAGAGACCGAAGAGCATTGCAATCAACCAAAAAGCATTGACGAATAGGCGACCACTGGGCCAAATATGATTTTAAACGGGTCAGGGCCATACTATAGACCTAAGGACCAGATCACAACATCAATTGATGTTGTTCCTGAACCTTGGAAGTCTTCCCCATCTAAGGAGCCCGGATGAACTTAACTGCCCGAATTCCCCATTTCACACGAATTTTTCCACTTCGGCACCTCGGCCAGGGTCCGCCACATTGTTCAATTAATTTACCTGGATCGTGATTGGGCCAAGACCCACCAATTTGAACCTAGATTGGCTCTGCAGAACGGAGCATCGATCTCTCCGCATGAAGGGGCCGAGGCAGGTGGTATTTGCGCCACCGTTAAAGATTCTTCTTCTAAAGGCTGGACGGCAAAAGGAAATTTTTTTATATTCTTTTACTCGGAGATCGTCTCGATTGATTTTATATAGAACGTGATAAGTGACCAGCGCGCTTAGTGAGTTCGTTTTTGAGTTCAATTGGCAATTGTGGTCTCTTATCTGACTTGGTGGGAATACGCAGGGATTATCATATACTACTATTTCTAGTATATACACTTTTCGTGCATAAAGACCAATCACAAGAGATAGAGCCCCGCTCATCTCGCAAGGGTATGCAAAAAAGAAAAGACTCAGGCGCCATACCGATTCACGACACAATGCCTTCCCCATTGGCAGACCCCGTCCAGCTCCCATGCGGACTAGTTCTACCAAACCGTCTCTCCAAGGTAAATAGCTCCCAAAGGTATAGACCATCGCGATACTAACACATATAAACAGGCAGCAATGGCCGAGCTCCTAGCCAAAACCAATCAACCCAACCAACCGCTTTCAGAAGCATACTCCCAATGGGCCCAAGGAGGATGGGGCAGTATCCTAACAGGCAACGTCCAAGTCGACGTAAACCACCTTGGAAGTCCCTACGACCCAGCTCTCCACCAAGAATACAAGGGTGAAACTTCTTTAATCGCTCAATGGAAACCATATGCCGATGTCTGCCAAAAGCATGGCACGCCGACTATTGTACAAATCTGTCATCCGGGTCGACAGTCTTTTCGTATAGCAGGGTACCGTGGTATGTTTGCTAGTACTATTGCGCCTAGTGCTATACCGATTAGTCTCGGGAGTGGATTTATTGAGCGATTGGTTGCTTGTGTGGCGTGGACGGCGCCGAGAGAGATGACAAAGGGTGATATTGAGAAGGTTATCAGGCAGTTTGTTGATACAGCACGGTTGATGGCCGATGCTGGGTTTTCGGGCGTTGAGTTACATGGTGCACATGGATATTTGATTGGTAAGAGTAGATCATGATTGAAGATTTTACATCTATTGATTTGAGTTGATAAGTATACTAATGAGGGTTTGAATAGATCAATTCCTTAGCGGAAAGGTACTTCGAAGCTACAACCTATCTTATACAAGGCGTGATAAGATTATGGAGACCATATACTGACCTCACAAATTTTTAGACAAACATTCGCACTGACGACTACGGTGGCACACCCGAAAAACGCGCACGCTTCGTTCTAGAAATCCTCACCGAAATTCGCAAAGCAGTACCCCCAACCTTCGCAATCGGCATAAAATTAAATTCAGCAGACCACAGCTCCGCCACATTCGAAGAAACAATGACCCAAATAAAACTCCTAGTCAACGCCGGAATAGACTTCATGGAGATAAGCGGAGGCACATACGAAGACCCCAGTATGATGGGCTATTCGACATCGACCTCGAACTCAAACACAGCACCGACGAAGTCCGAGCGCACAGCTGCGCGTGAAGCATTCTTCCTTGAATTTGCGAAGGAAGTACGAGCTCGATTTCCGGGTTTAGTGCTCATGTTGACTGGTGGGTTCCGGAGCCGTGTCGGTGCCGAGTCGGCAATTCAGGATGGGGCGTGTGATCTTGTGGGCATTGGGAGACCGGCTGCTATTGAGCCTGGGTTTCCGTTGAGATTGCTTGATGAGAGTGTTGGGGATGAGGAGGCTAGATTGCCTTTGAATAAGGTTCCTGCGCCTTTTTATACGAGGTGGTTACCGAGGAATATTATTGGGGCTGGACTTGAGACGGTGAGTGTCTTGGTTTTGTGTTTCTTTTTATTTGAAAAAAAAAAGAGTTGAGTTTGCTAATTTGTTCTGTTGGAATAGACTTATTATTCTGGTCAGATTTCAAGGCTGGCGAGGGGATTGGCTACTTTTGCTCCGACTTGGTCATAACGAGCAGCTAGGTGTTATTGTGAGGTTCAATATAGAGTACCTAATGTTCTACGTCTTGGTGTAATTGGTATTTCCGAGAAGCAATTGATACGGTTCAAATATCTATTTTCAAAACTCAGGGTGGATGATTGGGAATTGCCAGGGGCATGTTGAAAATAGTGTGGCAGGGCGAGGCAACACCTACACGCCTGTCACAATCGCACAGATAAAAAATAACTGATAAAGAATTCTTGTCTTTTCTCTGCATAGAAGTACAATATGAAATGCAATGGCACTTTGAAACCGTATAACAGTCTTATTTACAAATCTTGCCCCCGAATCACCCATCTGATCCTCCGACAGACTCCCGATAGCCTTCAAAGAATTGACTCATTGTGGTATAGTATTGACTATCTGGCTCGCAGAAAGCATAGCGCTCAATCGAGTTGGATGGCGGATCGAATTCGCTAAGTCGTCGGTAGCACGCATCACGATCGCGGTGCTTCGCCCATGCAAACAACTTCTCGAGATTCTTGCATTTCATCACCTGGCCTTCACCGGCTCCATTAACAGGCAGTAAAGATGGCATAGGCGTGTCGTCTGCTTTGCACATAATGTCTTGGCGTAGAGTGTCAAGGCAATGCTCCACGTGGTGCGATAATGCCGTATAATTTCCTTCTCCAGAACCTAATTTTCTAAATGATCTGCGAATGATTCTCTATAGACAGATAATGTTTGATTACTACCCGGGTATCTAAATGAAAAGATGATTGCATTCTTACCAGACAATGAATTTGATGGTATACTTTCAGAAAATAGATCTGTCTCTTAGATGGGTCCCAAGGAAACTCCCAAGAGTGTGTGAGGCCCATTTCCTGAGCCCACTCCGTCGTTGGGGCGATGACCATAGCGTCAAGACTCAAATTTTCCCACATGTAATCGGCGTGAGTCTCGTTTTCCCCATTATACTCGGTATGTTGGAAATATTGTGTTGGAACATCATATGAAAGCCCCGCTAACAGTAAAATCGCATTAGTTAGGAGAATAAGGGTATAATGCCGAAGACCTGTTCACTTACAATATGGGGACTTTTGAAGCTCAGGGATATTGCAAGCGCTCCACTGACCGAAGCCAGGAAATTTCCATTGTATGGGTATCCACCATAGATTGAAGGATAATGATATTAGGAGGCAGATTGCTAGGAGTACGGTGCTCCAAGATTTTAAAATTGAGGACAAGCCCCGCCGACTCATGTTTTGAGAATTTTCATCGCTTTTCTCGAGGCCATTTTCATTATCGGACCCACTAACCTTTTCGTACTCGAAAGGCATTTTACTAGGTTAGACTTAAGAGATTTAATAAAATAGGCCAAGGGAGTGGCGGCTCCTTTGAAATAAATCCGATAGCATGAACACCATGTATTATGGAATTAAGGAACAGTGCGTCAGTAGAGTAGGACCAAACCAACATACCCGTCAGCTCTCTTCTAAACCTCCGGGATTTTGGGCAATGGATGATGTATATCGTAACACGGGCACTTTTTGTATGTTTGAGAGTATGCGTTGGCCCTTCAATTCGTGTTACCACATTGCAATCCTATCCTGCATGCTAGCTGGAGCGAAAATGCTCCACTGCGGACCTGTCAGATCAACATTCATCTGCACCCACCATAATTATCTGCAATACTCGGGCGATACAGGATAGCAATTCTCTAGTGCCTCGTATTTGTGAGATAGTTTGGGGGAGGTATCACTTCATTTAAGCGCCTGATCAATGTGAATGTGTCTCACAGAAGTATATGCAAGTCCAATCTTTGCTATTTACCCACGAGCTGCTTGTGATACCCATTATCTGCATGATAGGATATATAATTCAATGTAGATTTGACAGGGGTCTGCTGCATCAACCAGTCTCTTTGTTATTTTCCCATTTATCCGAGTCTTTTCTCAGGAGAAAAGCTACCTAACTCAAGTTTCATTAGCAGAGACGGCCAATCTCATCACTTGCGACTACCATATTTAGTCTAACTACTGAATCGAATCACTCGTTTTACCGAGAAGCTTTATATCTTAGCATCTCAATCATGTATGTTATCTGACTGAAGTGACAATGTCCACAGGGGCCTTAATTATTTTATATATATATTTTTAAATATTTTTTGGGATTTCGCTAATTTCACTGTCAGCTTTAACGGCAGAGCGAGCCTACTCCCCGAAAACGGCAATAATGCATATCTCCGTTGCTATTATTGTGGCCCTGGCTGCCTCCGTCATGGCTAGACCGACAGAGCAGTACCGTGATGCGAATCCCGTAGTGTGGGCCGATGATCTTCAGAAAATCGGCCCCGCCGCAATAGGAAAATAAGCGCCACATGCCAATATGTTTGGGTTTTATCAAGGGGGCATTTTTTGATGGTATTCATATGTACTATGTTTTTTATTATAGGAACTATGGATGAAATCCGTTCATTCCGGAATTATAAACTTGCTCCAGTTCTGTTGACCTGAGACGTCCAGTAGATTCACTATCCATGAGCCTCGTAGATCTGGATCCATATGATAATCCTGATTGATCAAGTCCAACTGGCTTGAACATTCCGCTGGGAAATGACTCCAGGAACTCTCGAAGAAATGGCACGCATGTGGATATAATCGTTACTGTCTGCAGAACTTGACCGCACACCATCCACGGCCAGAGACTAGTGGATAAAGAAGAACCAGTCTCGTTAAAACTATACACATAATGTAGTTGAATGCCAGTCACTATAACGTCTCTGGTTAAGCAGGATCATCAGCCATTGTGATTTTGATCATCATTTCAAATCCAGATTTAATTAGCGCAACTCACAATACCCGAACACTCAAACAACCGATAACGGCTAAACGCTTTCGCATCGGCATATGAAGTTGATAGATTAATATACTTGGAACCAAGACAAGAGCGCTGTCGATTATTATATTTGCGATGCCAGAATAGCGCCATAATGCTGTCTATATTTTTATATCAGTAAAAGAAGCTCAATTCGAAAAAAGTCCAGTTTTTAGACACATACCACATTCACACATTTACCTGTTAAATCCCAGACTTTTGGCGGCTTGCACTGAAGACATATCGCAATCAACGTCGTTACAGTCCAAATTATCAAAAAGTAACCAACGCCCGCAATAGATTTCGTGATAGTTGTAAGATTGCTTCCTGAAAGAATTGTATAGAAAAGAACCATAAAGGGCAGTTTGCCGAGGCCGATTGTTAAGATGTGAAAGATCTCCGTGATATAAACGAGTTTCAGCATCTTTTGTAGCTGATTATCAGAATTGACTGACAGCGGTCGTCCCAGTCCGTGTGATGCAGCAAGGGTTATTGACACTTCCGCTATTATCGATGATGTCTGTAAGATATAAGCTCATCTGAAATCATCAAGATTGATTGACATTGTTGGTTAATATTTACAAGAGTTCCTAGAAGAAGACTCAAAACCAAAAATCTGCGTCTGAGCAGAACCCAGCTTGTGAGGACACATGTTGCTATCACTCCAATAGCTACTATCAGAAGGAACAGAGAGACAATTTTGATGGTTGCACTGTGATCGTCCATAATACAGCAGGCGGGGTGGTATTCTGCACAGGAGATTTTTAGGGATGGTTAATAATTATTTTCATGATGCTCATCCCAGGTATTTGAGATGGAACTTTTTTTAAGGGCAAAAATAAAATCAGATCCAAGCTCCCAAATATGACTTTATTTAGTTTCGGAAGCTTTCAGAGTAATTTCACCAGTGGTCTGAAGCTCGGAAGAAATGGTTTGCTTGCAATAGGTGCTTGGATAACAAAATCCCCATCCACACTGACTAATGCGTAAAATCTTGAATCTGACTTCAAGGTCTGCTTGATGATACGCATGCTGTCATGGAGCCCACATCATTATGATTATCTCCACTAACCCCAAATAAGACATTTAAATAAAATATCCTTGACCTTGTTTTCAGGCGCCCCATAAGCAGGAGGCAATTCGTACTACAGGTACAATTTGCGTTTCTACTCGCTCAGCTTTTCTAGCATCTCGATTGTATTCTTGTGACACATGTCAGCCTGTCACCCCTTATTTGTATTACGCTAGGGACGTGTTGTCTTGGAGAGGCTTACGGGCTGTCCCACATAAAGAAACCCAGTTTGTTTTGATGTATTGTGTTTAGAGGCAGGCCGGTTCAACATCCTCCCTGTCTTTATAAAGTTCTATTCACTAGAACTTTTGCCTGCATAGCAGCTCCAAAAGCCTTTATGGGATCGCTCTCGCGTTCTCTTTTCTTTTTTTTTTACCGAGTTTCTATTTTGAACAGCATCATACAGCATGAACTCGTGTGTACCAGCTGAAAATGAACTGGAGACCCCATTGAGAGTAGATGATTGTCATTCCTTCCATGACTGGGGTGGCGGAGCCATCCCCAGTAAAGATGCATATGAGCTAGCCAAGGTCGGAAAAAAAGAGGTACTCAAGGTATCAATTCCTCTCCCAGATAGGTGACCAGTGTACTCTTTCATATCAATCTTAAACTGACAGACTGGATAGCGGAGATTTGGATTGGCGAGTACTATAGGATTTGCCTCGAGTTTGATGCTAACATGGGAGGGCGTTATTGAGTTTGTATTCACTCTGATATACAATAATGAAGAGCACTGACAGTATATCAGTTATATGGGGTTGCCATTGACAAAGTATGCTTTGACTCAATTATCCGATGATTTGATTATCATTAACTTTGCCAAAAACCACAGTGGCGGGCCAGCTGGCTTAGTATATGGCTATATTGCGGTTTGGTTAGGATTCACCAGTATCTTCATCGCACTGGGAGAGTTGACAAGCATGATCCCTTCGGTATGTCAAGAGTCCCTATATGACTGAATCTTAACCAATAATAGTTCTCTCGTGGTAGGCCGGTGGGCAGTATCATTGGACCAGTATGCTTGCTCCAAAGTCTTCAACGCGCTTTTTTAGCCATGTCACTGGTGCGTAAATGAAAACTTTCCCTGAATATTGCTTACATGCATATCTGACAAGAGATAAAGGGTCCATTTGCATAATCGCATGGACGGCAGCTTCAACTAGCACGGTATACACAGCTGCAAGCATTTTTCAGAGCACTGTCGCATTAAATCATCCTAATTATGACCCCAAAGGGTGGCATGTAACGCTGATAATGTGGGGAATTCTGCTATTATGCTCGTTGTTTAGCATGTGGCTTGGAATGATTCTCCCTATACTCGAAGTACTGATCGGCATCACACATGTTCTTGGATTTTTCGCATTTCTCATCCCGGTTATCTATCTTGGCCCACGCGCAGATGCAAGATCGGTATTTGTTCAAACCTATAATTTTGGTGGATGGCCTGATGTCACATTAGCAACATTTGTTGGTCTAAAAGGAACTATAGCCATGTTTCTAGGTAAGACGGGTACCTATTTTCCACATACCTGGCTGACTTTATTTATGTAGGTACTGATGGTGTGGTACATGTGAGCTCTACTGGGAGGATTTTCAAATATTGAGTATATATTGACGTTTATCTAGATGGCTGAAGAGGTAGCAAATAGTAGTCTCGTGGTACCACAGTCTATGCTATTTGCCATTGTCATCAACGGAATCCTCGGGTTCGCCATGTTGATTGCTTTCCTATTCACTGCTGGAGATCTTTCCGCGATTGTAAAGTCACAAGCTACTTACCCCTTCATGCAAATATTGGAGAACTCTACCAGGAGCAAGGGAGCTGCTGTTATTCTGTCCTCTATGATGGCTGTGATGTCAGTATTTTGTGGATTGGGTGGAATCTCGTCTGGAAGTCGCATGTTGTGGGCATTTGCGCGCGAACGAGCTATTCCAGGCTGGCAATGGATACACAAGGTTTGTCAACCCTCTCCGAAAAATGCAGCCTGGTTCTTATCTAACCATGTTCCGTGAGATTAGCTCGATCAACGAACAGCGGTACCATTTCATAGTACTGCTATCATCATAACCGCAGCAGGTCTGATTGGCCTCATCAATATTGGCTCTTCAGAGGTATTGAACATAGTTTTGTCTTTGACTATGGAGGCCTTTTTCTTTTCATATATTATCCCGCTCTCGTTTCTTTTGTATCGAAGATTGAAAGGAGACATAAGTGAGCCAGGGCACGGGTCGAAAAATGGCCTCATTTGGGGTCCTTTCCGACTCAAGGGTCTTTTTGGGATACTTAACAATATCTTTGCCCTTGTATTTGCTAGCGTTGCCGCATTATTTGGATTCTGGCCTTCACAAAACCACCCACATCTCTCGAATATGAATTGGAGTTCAGCCATATTTGGTGGAACATTAATTTTGGCTGTGATTTATTACTTTGGCTGGGGACGAAAACATTATATGGGGCCAGTTATGGAAATTCAAGCTCCTGCTCAAGTTTTGGAACCTAGATCGAATGCACCTGATATCTATAGAGACTGAAGTGAAACCAGCAATGTCAGCTTCAGAACAATACCACTATACTGCCTAGGTGACGCTATTCCAAAAGATAAGCAAGTAATAGATCGCTATTTATTCCAATATGAAGTTTAGATATAAGGCTCTAAAAATAAAGAAGGAATATTAGATCTAAAAATATTCATTTGTGCATCTTCGTTCGGTTACTTGGCCAAAATGCTGTGGTATCATTAATCGTTCCCAATATGTTCATAGCCTGTCCAGGTGATTGTCATTCATCATTGTCCCTTTCTTTGTGTCTTTTATTGAAGAGCTTCGAGTTGTTGAGATACCTCGTTGTTGCCTTTCAGTAGCGACTCAATATATTTGGCTGCTTCATCTAACACGTATTTTCGAGTGAAATTACTGCCTTCAAGACCGGGGACAGCACGACAAAGATCTTGATAGCCTTTTCCTATTGCCTCTCTCTTCTTCTTCTCAGAGCGACAATGACATAATGACTGTCCAGGTCTCTGGGTGCATTTTCGCTTTTTGCTCGGTGGCTCTGCGTCTTCTGTTTTGATTGTGGTTGGAGTTTGAGCGACGGGCGATGTTGACATGACCAACGGTGTTTTGCTCGGTTGATTATCTCTTTGCTTTATTGAATCAAGTTGCTCGTCATTAAATAGAATTGGGTTTCTTGTTTCGAAAAGGTAGTTGACAGGATGTTGTAAGGCTTTGATGTCCAGACTTCCGTCAATGATGTCAATCCCGCTACACATGCAAGCCATATCGCGAAGCAAGTTTCGGGCCAACCGGTCTTCCGTCCAAGTTCCGATGGGGGAAGAGAAGCCATGGTAACAAAAGCTAGGATCCGATCCCCATTGTAACTCCTCGCCGACACTTTGAATGGATGCTCGCTTTTTCGTGTAATGTCGTGTGCCGTTGTGACCGCTGGAGCATCCTTTGGACGAATGGTGGGGCTGGGATATTAAATGGTCGGTTGACATTTTGATGCGCTTGTTTTTGTTTGTCTGCTAACTTATTTCCAAGTGCGAATAATGGAAGATCGAGGACTCAGATAACAATGCACATTTGATTTCTGAAATAAGGCGGGATCAGAGGTGTTTGAAGGCAGTGACTTTTTTGTTCGGTCACATTATGTGCGCCGACCCCGAAGATCGACAACGAATGAAGAGCAATTAACGCGTCAAGAATGTTGGGACCTAAAATCCCAGGAAGTTTATTGTGGCTTGTTTTGCTAGTGTCTGAGCGAATCATGAAATTGCGAAGTTGCAACAGAGCAAAACTTGAACCCCCTGATAATGGCCAACGCCGGGATGCACCCGATATTCTGCATGGTCCGGGTGCATTCCGGACGACCCACTTACTACGTGGTTGATATTTCTTACCTCATCATGCAACATATCAATTATACTCGAAAGGAAATATGTACATCATCATGATTGACATTTGCCGGTGGCCGATATGTTGCAGAGAGTTAAAAACAAAATATAATAGTCGACATATCAAATGGCAGTAGAAAGCGAAGATTGTTGATAACCGCGTATCACGTGAGAATAGATTCCGGGTCAATTCCGGACGTGACAGTGATCAGGTCTGGCTTCTTCATCTCCCCACACCTTGATGGGTCAAAAGTTGCAGACTCCCTATTGAATCGCATTTTGAGCCGTATGGAATTATTTGATTCTGGACCTACAGATTGTGGCGCATATCAGGATTTGAATATGGCATGGGGTTGATATACAGCTGAAACGCTATCAACATATTCCCTGTATTATTGAACTGAAGAATGCTGTACACCATCGTTACCTGACTTTATTTCCATTATGTCCGCGAGAGACAACGTCAGAGCCAATAAGCGGGGAACTCCCCGTCGCCGCAAAATCGCATTGGCATGCGAAACATGTCGAGAAAAGAAAGTGCGGTGTGACGGAGAGAAGCCGATATGTGGGCCTTGTTCCCGACGATCATACCCAATCGATCGCTGTGTCTACAAGATTGACAATGCTCGCTCTGCAAGTAATGATGAATATTTGAAAGTACTCCACGATCGCATCCGTGAGCTGGAGGAAATATGTACACAAAATGGAGTTTCGGTGCCATCTGCATCTCATGATGACCACGAGGATGACAGAGAGACGATTGGTGATCTTAGTACCGTCCATACCAGCACAAGCACAAGAGCCACGGATCTGGAGTCTAGAACCTCTGATGCTGCAGAAGGCTTGCTTGGACTAGGCTCTCATTTGGCTTTCCAACATGCATCAAGTCCCGGTTTACCAAGATCAGCTCAACGGACAGATCAATCCTCCATGAATTCTCAATTAGAGACCAAGGACCCGGAGCAAGATAAGACTCCATCGCATGAAACCATCAGACATCGTGGGTCTATGCAACTATCATCGGGTAACATATACCCTTCTCCACTGAGTGCACATGGCAATGTGACAGCAATGGGTGCAATATCCGTTGGAGATGATGGGGACTGCAACGACTCGCCCAGAGAGCAATACTACGGTAACTCCTCGGCGGCTTCATTTATGCTTCTTGCAAGAGACTCGGCATCTATTAGATCTTATATGCAAGCATTGAGGCGTGTTGGCCAAGAACCCCCAGGTACATTAACTCACAATGCTGGTCTCTGGCAAGACGTCAACACCACAGCTACCCCTCCGGGATTTCAGTTTAGTGATTTCTCCCTACCGCCGAGGCCACTTGCAGATCATCTGCTTGAATGTTACTGGGAACGAGTTTATTGCCTCTATCCGTTCTTTCATCGACCGAGCTTTGAACGGGCTTATGAAAATCTATGGGGATCAGCAAGGTGGCCGAAGCCTGATTTGCCGGAGTTAAATATTGGACTCGGGGGCTCGTTTGACTCTGGTCCTCAGTCGATTGTCTTCCACTGTGCATTAAATGTGATCTTTGCACTGGGTTGCCATTTCTCAGATATTCCTGCGGGAGAACGCGAGACCGCGGTTTATACCTTTTTTCTGCGCGCAAAACGGTTCGTTGGTCTAGACTTCCTAGATAGATCCACGATTGGCGTAGTGCAAACGCTGCTTATCATGGCACTACTTCTACAGAGCACTCCCTATCCAAACCGTTGCTGGAATGCGATAGGACTTGCCTGTCGTGTTGCTCAAGGGCTTGGTTTGCACGAAGCTACCACCCAACATTCAATCAACCCCCTGGAGAAAGAGGTTCGCTGCCGAACATGGCACGGATGCGTAATGATGGATATGTAAGCTTCTTGGAGTCCTCAATTACTTGGGCTTTTTATGGCGACAGATTCACTGACATATTATACAGGATTTTGAGTATGACATACGGCAGGCCCAGCATGACATCTCATATATCACCCGTTCATCCCGTTCCTCTTCCTGCTATGCGACCGCGCTCTGAGGCTGAAGATCCCTGCGCGCTCAGTGAACAGCCCTGCGATCATAGACTTGGATACATCACCTTCTATGTCTCTACCATTGAGCTTTATAAACACCTCGAATCAATTCTAGCAGATGTTTACAATGCATGGCAAGGTCGCTCAGATCGACATCGTACTGTTTCCATCAACGGTGTCAGGCAGAACAGTTTGGATGTTATCATGGAACTTGACGACAGGCTCTCGGCATATGAGGCTAATATCCCTCCTGTACTTAATTGGACCGCCTCCCAACCCTTAAGCCCCAGTGACTCTTCACAACCAATTATTCAACGTCAGCGGAACGTACTGAGGGCGAGGTCAGCCACTATCTTCTTCTTATTGACCCTTGCTCGTAGCCCATTGCTAATGTTATCTAGATTTATACATCTCCGCTTGCTCTTATATCGTCCCATGTTCACACAGACCTGTTCTGAAGAGCGAATTGGCCTTTCACGACAATCCTCTACGGACTCGAGAAAAGGCACAGCTAGACTCGAGAAGAACGTGATCTACACATCCATGTCTATTAATTGTGCCGCAGCTTGCGTAACGGCAGCCATCGAGTTGGTCTCACTTGTATATGAGACATACCAGACCTCGGTAACAGATGCTTGGTGGTATAATGGATTTTGTATGTCACCTCCGGGCCAATGCAGCAAACGCCGAACACTGATGATTCTCTGATAGATACATCCACAGCCGGTTTTGTACTGATCATGTCGCATTCCTGCAGTACCATATTGAACCAGGTTGATTCACGCAGTGTAGTCGATACATGGCGTAAATGCGAAGAGATTCTCACTCACATGGCGTCTTTCAGTATTTCCGCACGAAATTCGCTTCAGTTCCTTCAGGCAACACATCACCATATAGTCAACAATTATAACTGTATGTATTTCAAATTCAGATGCGAACGAACTTTCAAAGTTGATTGTGATTTTGGTGGCTTACTATGGGGGACCATTTTTTTTCTTTTTTAGCAACATGTCTCAGCGAGAACAGCCATCTTTTCACTCCAAATCAATCGCAACAGAGGAAAAATGCGCGCACTGAAACAGATCATCAGCCCTCTGATACGTCTATCGATGAATCGGACTGTCAAAATTTTGATAATATTGGCTCGGGTATCAATCCCTTAGCTAATTGGGATGAGATTGGCCTGGGACAGGAGGAATTCGGGTTTCTTGGGAGATTTGACGTGCCTGATATTGCCAACTGGTTCCCAGATCTACCAGATCCATCAACTATGTCGAACTAGCAATGTGGTGGTATCAATTCGTCTCATAGATCATTATTATCTTTGTAGAAAATTGAACATGGAAATATTCCACATTTAGCAGGACTTAAAGCATTCACTTGTCATTCCTCTAAAGACATTGATGTATTTCAATTTATGATTCATATATTCAAGTGCCCAGCACATGATTTTCTGCGCCATAAATTTCAATGGTCTCAAATATCCCAGATCGTTCCCCGGGTGGCACCCGTCATGCACGCTGACCGGATAAGTCGGCATTCATTCACGCGTCCCTCAGTCACTGGCAGGAAACACATAACATGTGTAATTAAGACGAAGCTCCTGCATTTTCCCCTAGAGATCTCATGTTTCAGATTCGAAGAAGCCCGACCCCAGAATTCGAACACGTTCTATCCCAAAATGGCCCTTGTTGATACCCATCATCATTTTGTCCCCGACTTCTATGCTCAAGGTATACAATCTCCTCTCGGATGAAATGAGGCGCTCCCAAGGTACTAACATGTTTCAAGCGGTCGAGGAGGCCGGAGGGGACCCATCTGGCTGGCCAACCCCTTCTTGGTCACTCGAGGGCTCGATTGCGTTCAACGAAAGAGTCGGCACTACCAAAACAATATTGTCATTGACAGCTCCTGGAGCTATCATAGCCCCGACTGACGAGAAAAGAAGGGCATTGGCACGCAAATCCAACGAATTCGCCGCCGCAAAGCGTGATGAGGAACCGGACAGATGGGGATTTTTCGCCGCCTTACCATGTCTTCTTGATACCGAGGGCGCCTTGACCGAGATAATATACTCTCTTGAAGTGTTGAAAGCTGATGGTGTCACACTTTTCACAAGATATGGTGCTGGCAATCAGTATCTGGGCGATGCAGCCTTCAAGCCTATCTGGGAAGAGTTAGATTCGAGGAAGGCAGTCGTCTTTATTCACCCTACGCATGCCGCCGATACAACGCGTGTCAATCCCCTTTTACCACAACCAGCCATTGACTATCCCCACGAGACCACGAGAACGGCCGTTGACATGATCATCACCAACACCAAAAGAACATACTCGTCCTGTAAAGTGATTCTCTCTCATGCTGGAGGTACTCTCCCATTCTTGATTACTCGGATAAGCACCGTGTCCAGGGAAGCGGCTCCCACGGCCCGTATATATGGAAAGACTTCAGAGGAGATAATGGAGGATTTCCGATCGTTCTACTTCGACTTCGCTCTTTCAAGTTCAGAGGCTGTACTTAGATTGGTACTCGACGTTATTCCTCACGATAGACTTCTTTACGGTCAGCTACTACTGAAAGTCAGGTTACCAACTTCTGTAACTAACCATTTGCAGGTTCTGATTATCCATATGCATCTCCCGACAAATCACTTGGTTTCAAGCAAATTCTGGACGACTTCCCTCTGGAACAGGAGCTTCGGGACAAGATTTACTTTAAGAATGCAATAGACCTTTTAGGCTAGCTAGTCAAAAAAACATATGGATTACTTTTGCCGGACTCTATATACACTTGAGAATTAATACTTCCAATGGATTCTCGATGGAAAAAAAGGCTGGTGGAAACGTTTGGCCACTCCGGTCGGATATGGTCCGAAAATCCACACCAAAATTTGAAATGTTGATGATTTCGGCTGATCCGACGGCGCTACCTCAGAACCTTTGTCACTTTTGAGGATCGAGGGGTCGAAACGTTTTCTTGATCGCGTTTACATTGCAGTAGAAATTTGGAATAATCCATTTTCCGAAATTCCAGGTTTAGACCCAAATCTCCGAATAAAATAAAGGTCGCAAGCAGGGCCATGTATTGAAATCAAGATGTTCGCTCGGAGCCGTAGCAATGATTGTTTAGGTCAGACTATCCGCCGACCTATTGCTTAATGTACTTTGTATGTGAGCCATGCACGACATTCACAGCTGATCCTTCGACAATCTTCGAGACAGTAACTGTAGTAAACGCCAGGGTCTTTCCAATCTTGCTGATCTTGCATTCAATCTCCAGGGTATCACCCAATTTGGCAGTCGAAAGATAAGAAACGGATAAATCCGTGCTGACGCCAGTAACTGTGTGACCAGTTGATGCAATGGCCATACCAGCAGCCCAGTCAATCACACATGCCGACAGTGTGCCGTGCAGTGTGCCCTTCGAGTTGACGTGAAGTGGTTGAACGAGAAGAGTGGCACGTATTAAGCCATTTTCTGCGTGGTAGATGTTTATCCCTTCAAGGAGGAGAGCATAGATTTGACTATTGCTGCGTTGACGCTCCCAGACTGATATAACATGATCGAGTGTTGCCTCCATTTTGAAGAAGTAGCGTAGAAATTTGGGAATCTGGGGGAACTGAGGGAAATAAAATAATGAAGAGTGATAAAGTAATGTTGAGGCGAATCCATTTTGGGCGGAATTTGTTATTAGTGTTAGTCAGCCACTTTCCTGTACACAGACAACTCTCCAGCAGATATAGTTGTCTCCTTAAGTAATTATTGCTTTTAATTAGCCATTTATGCTTGTCAGACTAACTCAATTCATCCAAGAAGATATAATTGGAAATTTTAGTACTTCGAGCGAGGTCGGAGTTCCTGGACTCTACTGGAAATGTGATAGCGGGGCTATTGTCAAAAGGAACTACTATACGCGCAATAAACTTCTATACTTAATCTGACTCATAGTATTAACATTCCGCTCAAGACCCTCAGAAGGACTAAGTGGCCGAGCAAGAAGGAACAGGGGGCGATCAAATATGCGATTGATCTCTTCCAGACTCATTCCGGCAGTTTCAGGAACCATAAAATAAGCGTATAGCAGCGCCGACATGCAGAAGCCAATAAACAAAAAAACGCTCCCCATTGATGAAGACTGTTGAGCATCGAGGGGGTCGCTTCTTTAATAGCAAAGTAAAAGATCCAATGGAAACATTGGGATAATTCTCCACCAAATGATCGGATTTTGTTAGGCCATAGTTCAGCGCCGAATAGATAGGGCAAGCTATATAGAACTATGGCCCACCCAAACGCGTGGATGTAAACAAACGCTGGTGCTGCATCCGTAGAACCTTTGCTCATATCGTCTTTATGGGTTTGATAAATGTTGATGTAGCCGGCTATATAGGAGTGGCAGGTAATTTGAACCGATATGCCAATCATGTGAGATTTTCGGCGTCCAACAAGGTCGATGAAAAAGAGCGATGCAACAACACAGCAAATCAATTTTGTGACAGTATAGAGACCTGTTGAGTATACCTTCACATCTGAATTTGTGATTTCAATCAAGCCAAATATTGTTGGTAAATATTTGGTGATTGCATTTGCCCCAGACATTTGTGCCAGGATATAGATGATGATTGTTAATTGTACCCGTCGTAGATTGGAATTTACCAAAAATGCCTCCTTGATGATTTTTAAACTGCTGTTATTCCCAAGGCCAGCTTCCTTGTCTCCAATGTGGGATGCCATGCTATGGAATTCGGTGGCCACCATGTCAGAGTCGGCCGGGGACCCACGAAGCTGGGCTAAGGTGGCAAGGGATTGGTCGTGCTTATGGCCGAGAAGTTACCATCGAGGAGATTCCAAGACGAAAAAGGACAATACAATACTTATTGCAGGCGCAAATGTCTGAGTGAACCAAGGAATCTGAAACTGTAAATCCTTTGTGGGTGCAACATGGATTGAGCATCCGTACACAATGAAGACACCCAACGCCTGGCCAGATATCATGCAGATATTGAACTACAGAGTCATTAGACCTCAAAATGGCTCGGGAGCAACTTCTGATATTGCCATTGGACAGACAACGGATAGGGATCCAATTCCCAGACCAGCGACGATTCGACCAATGTAGAGAGCCGCGGCATTTCCGGACGAAAAGCACGATATAAGGGAACCGACAATATAACAAAAGTTGATATGTATAGGCGAAGTGACATTAATCGGCCAATTCGGTCATTGAGTAGAAATGAAAGGAGTGCACCGATACCAGCACCCAGGTTGACAAGGGAGACAATGTTTGATATGGAATTATCGTCGAGGTCGTAGGTGTTTTGGAAAGATGGAAGTTGTGTGATAGCAGCGGCAGATCCCTCATCCCAACTTGATGATCTATTTAGTTGTGTCGGCCATCTGTGGTGCATATGGGAAAACGGACGTAGTCGCTCCCGTTTCCGCACCCATATTGCAAACAGTAGCCATTCCAGTTGCTGAGAGAGACTTCGCACCAGGCCCGAAGTATTCAATGGTTTACCCGGTACCTCCCTTAACAGAGGCTATCCCAGCTACTGCACTGATGATGTCTTTTGGAGAGGTCCATCGAGATAGTTCGCCAGTCAAGCGCACACCCAACACCTTGGACGCCTCGAGCTCCAGAGGAAGACCCGCCCTAACATCAACCGAATCAGCACCTCCAACCCCAATGGCAATCATTCCCAACCCGCCAGCATTGGGTGTATGTGAATCTGTTCCAATCATCATTCCACCGGGAATCACATAATTCTCTAAAACAATTTGATGAATAATTCCCGCTTTAGGCTTCCAGAAACCCATGTTGTATTTTTGGCAGGCGCTCTCCATGAAACCATACACTTCTTTGTGAGTTCCCAAAGCTCTAGGCAAGTCTTCTGCCTCGCCATAGAACTTTTTCCAAATAAGTTAAAGGTCGCTTCAGCCTGGGAAGAGAGAACATAAAAAGTTAGTTGCAGTATAAAATCACTCATTATTTTCACGTACCGATCTCTGAGTGATTGGACCCTCGAAGGGAACTTATTCAAGTTGATGGTTTGCGATTCCAGTCAACTCAATGGCACTTGCGCATGAGAATCGGTATTTCTCGATTTGCAGAGGAAAGCATACGATCTCTAAACGGGAAGGATAAGGGCGAAAAGCTCAAGTTTGGTAAAAAGATCCTGGCGTCAACCATCGGAGGTGCACTCAGCTGCTGGAATCAGCCATTCGAAGTGAATTCTTGACTGGGGTGGTTGGAGGAACGACGACTGACAGGCCAGGTCCTCCGAGTAGAAATGCAATCTATGAAGAATGACCCCACACGCCCAGCATCTCCGACTATTGTTTCCACATTCAAACATATTGTTGTAACATCTGGCATCAAAGGATTGTTCCGGGGTGTAGTTCCGCGCATAGGAGTTGCGGCTTGGGCTACAATCTGCATGGTAGGATTTGGCGACACAGTAAAAGAGATGGTCAACCGAAAATGATGAACCCTGGTTCCATTTCCATTTCATTGCATATTATCTTTCTTGTTGGTTTGTAGTAATTATTTTAGATTAATGACTGCAGGGGACAAAAAGCAGACCACATAATTATTGGTAGAAGTAGAACTGATCGTATGCTACAAAGCATCAAAAAGAGTAGTGTCAGCGTGGCTCCAAAATGTCCCCGACAAATTCTCTAATGTCTCAAAATCTGGCATCCACAAGGGATCGCTCTGATCCTGGTCAATCCAAGGTGCGAGCTGTAATGCCATGCGCACAGCATGATCCGTATCGTCAGGAGGGTAAGCCCCGCCTGCAGTTTCAGGGGCCAAGCCAGTTGGGTTCGCTGCTGGAAACTTCTCTCCACTGGGCATGTCAGAAGCATTGCTGGTCCCTAGAGAAATTCCTCCACGCTGGGCTGTCATCAACTCGGCGATTCCCGCATTACGGGCAGTTTCATTTCCTTGCAATTTCTCCATAGCAGCGTTCACAAGTAATTCAAAGGCATCCCGATACTTTTTCACCCATGCTGCTCTTTCACCCATGACAAATAGAACAGTCGAGCAGGCACGAATATCGTTGCTCATGCTTACTGACCAGACTTGTTCGGTATGGGTCCATAATGCATAGAGAAGTGTGATTCCAGCCATAAAAACCGTTTGCACAGCTAAGAATGAATGACCGTATTCTAAGGTTTGGTGAAGACGTTTGTGAGACTGGCAGATATCCCCGGCAGCGCGTAGACAGATGTGATAATAGGGGTCAGTTATGGGTAAAAGTGGAAGAAATGGCTGGATCAAAAGCCGGACTGCTCTGTTGTAATGTAACATGGGGTAATCAAGATCAGCTCCGCTAAATCGTAGGAAGGCAGATTCTTTCCATTCTTCCAGCTCGAGATACAAAGGGTTCATTTTGGGTCTTAATGAAGACAAGGGGCGGTCGGCACGATATATCTTATGCTGGATGCGAGAGTCGATGCGGCGAAGTTTGAAAAGATAGATTGCGAAGGTAAGATTGGTTGTATGGGTGAGATTCTGCGGAGATGCTAGCAATGTCGGGTCCTCTATATCATCATCGACATCTCGTGGTAGATCGAGATCAATATGGCGATCAGATATACTGAACGGTCGGCCCAGAGACATTGAGACAACTCGTTCCAGATAATATACCGTCCAAAAGAGCCTTCGTCGCATTTGGGCGGAAAATGGGTCCATATTAATCTCATTTGCCTTTCGGTGGAGGCCAAGGTCGATAGCTGTGCGCATTGCAAGCCCGATCATATACCACATTCCATGACTAGATGCGGTACGTAGATGATAAACAACAAGAAGAACCATAGCTTCAATGTTCTCAAGAGACCTAGAATCACACATCGTTGGCACATATTGAAGAGCAGTAGTATAATATCGCTGAAGAGTAATTAGCTTTGACCATACATTGGAATTGAAATGGGAGAATTGGTAGCTGTAATCATGGAACTCAAGCACGAAATTTGGCTAAATTTACTGCAATCGGGATTATTCAACTTTGACTTACCTCCGGTGGCGTGTGAGCATATTTTTTATTGTCACTGAATTGAAGCATAGTCGAACCAATAGCATATATCAAATTCAGTTTGAATATCGTAAATCGATCAGATTGTGTCAAATCTTCGCGTTTTGTCTTTGCTAGGCGCCATCGGTCTTCATGGAGTCTCCAGGTTCTCTTTCGGTCCAAGAATGGGTATCTGGAGTGAAGCCTAATAAAGTATGTTTCAAGGATTTTGTTTCCTATTTCATCGTTGGGGGGCTCAACGTTAGTAGTACACCGATCTCGGGCACTGGTACAGCCACCACTGGGCTGCTGTTGAAGCTGCGACTGATCTGACAGGGAAGCGGCTGGATTCTGGGAGTTTTTCATCGATGTCCCGGCTGGTTTCTGGTTCATTCTGGAAATGAATTGATTCCAAACGCTAGTTTGAACCATTTCGCCCAAATTAGCAGCTAATGAGAGACCTGAGCTTGCCCCTACATAGGCGGGTGCCTCGGAAGAGCTTAATGCGAGGAGACCAACAATCTCTCCGACCGGGTTATTATCAAGCCCACCTGCAAGTCCAGGAGTGGTGATCTGGGGTGTAGTGTGATCGACTTGAGAGGGCCATAGCGAGGCTGTGGAATTGGCTCCAGATGCCCCCGGGTCTGTTAGACCTGTATCGGTTTGGCCGAGTTTCCTTTCCAAAAACGACACACGCTCTTCCAGCGCCCGGGTATAACTAGATATAACAGTGTGAGATAATCATTTCTGAACATGTAATAGACATAAATTCGTCTAAATACTCACTCATTTTGACGGTCGGCGTCTTCTCGTACACTGGACTTGTCACACGCCACCCCCGCCTTCTGACAGTTGGAGCATGTTGGATATTCATTGTCGCACTGCATAAGTCAATTCAGAATTACAAGCAGACAAACCCAAATTAGAACCAGTTAACTCACCTTCTGCTTCCTTGCTTTGCAGCGAGTGCAGGCCGTCCTTCCGCGCTTTCGGGGGTTGTGATCTCGGGATGCCGGGCTGGCCTGCCTCGATAATTCGGGGCTATTTCCCAGTATGTTCATTTTAATTCATTATGGTCTTTGAGTAGTGTTCCGAGCATCGAAAGGGGATATTTCTGGGGTTTTCACTTGCAGAGTGGTCCTAGATGTAGAGCCAGCAAGATAGATGTCGGAGTGAGAACTGAGATAAACGTCCGAGGCCCACAATGCCAAGACCTCAATCCATCTTGATGCTACGCTGTGGATCTGATACCGAGCTGAGTGGGATTACTTCTTGAGGATGAAATCGCTTACTATTGATTGCATTTCCTGAAATTGTACAAATTTGTACATATGAAATTATGAATGGATGTTTATTGCAGAGCGGGTCTTTACTCTTATAATGCCAGTGCGACCGGATACTTAAGAGCTTTGGCATTCTACTAGTAGAAGGCAGGCGGAGATATCACTGTTCGAGCTTTGATTATACTTGAAATATGTGCAATGACTGCATGATTATAGGTAGTGGTATCTAATGTAATATTAATATAAATGACATATGTACGACCATTTCGCACAGAATCGACAGTATGCATGCTTTTAGTGTTCAACGCTATGCAGCTTGGGTATGCAGTATTAAAAGAGACCGAAACCGTATATTTTGTTCCACTTCCCTCCTTGTATTCCATCATCTCCTACTTTTGTTCTGCGCTTTTCTTTTCTTCGACATTGGCAAGCTCGGGTTCCGCCCGAGATGGGGGTATAGAGGATTCCGCCAGTGTCGAGGACATCGAGTGGCGTTTCTCGGTGGTATCATTAGCATCGTGGTTTTTAGACTCATCCACTTCGTGAAGAGCAGCCTCAGTATCCCGAGCAGCTTCTTCTGCCTTCCGCTTTTCCTCCTCGATCTCTTCTGGTTCTTTGGGTCGCTCAAGGCCTCGGTCGCGAATAAAAAAGCATGCGAGGAAACACACGCCGATCAGAGGAACCTGAAGAATGAAGACTGAGTGTGATGCTTTAGAGTATGAAGACAATATCTCCGCCCATTCACTTGCGCTGACGCTCGATTGAGAAGGAAGGGAGTAAGTAGACTCTGCCAAGTAGGAGAGCTGGCTAGGTAGATCGGATCGAAGAGTCGCCTGGAGAAGGGCAGCTGAGACAGCGAGACCGCAGGAACCGCCCATGCAACGAAAGAAGTTGCGATTGGAAATCGACACGGCTCTTTGAGATTTAGTAGAGTGGGCTTGTAGTGCAACCATAGTTGGCTGGAAGGTAAAGCCAACTCCGATACCCGTGATCCCAACAATGACGGCGATGACAGCCGGGTGCGTGTTGCGACCAAAGAGTAACATCAGGCCAGCACCACTGTATAGTCAATATTAGTTTCAAGTAATATATAAAGAGGGTGATTTAGCTTTGCATACAGAGTCCAGAGTCCAAATCCAATCCAAATAATCTCTCCATAACGCTTCATTCGAGAGATGTATTGCCCAGAGCATACAGAGGCGATAGACTGGCAAGCCACCATGGGGGCTGTCAAGGCTGCAGATACAATGGGATCATATCCACGTCCATTTTGGTAGTAAAGAGGAAGATAGTACAGATAAGACTGATAAACCGCTCCCAGCATGAAACACTGTAGGAAGAGAGCACAGATCACACTGTTCTTAAAGAAGACCACTAGGCATAAATTAGCAAAATAAATCAGTGTGCGTGATTCAGGATTCAAGACATACTTGGTAGCATTGGTAATGTAGCAACCTTCCATTCGATGAAGATAAATGCAATAAAGGACAAGCCACCAATGATAAGCATACTGATGACCATTGGAGAGTCCCATTGGAAGTAAGAGCCTCCGCCCGAGATAGGGATTAATAGAAAGATAACTCCAATGGATGAGGCGAGCACACCCCACCAGTCAATACGTTTGACATTCTCCCAGAAATTACCCTTGCGCGCATTGTTCGGGATGAGAAAAAATCCAACCACGGCAGAGCAAGCAGCCAAAGGCGAGATCAACCAGAAGAATCCGCGCCATGTTGAGTCCATAATGAAGGCTGCTGCAATGAACGGTCCAATAATATTTCCAGTTCCCAGAGCAGCACCCAAAATGCCTTGATACTTCCCACGCTGCTCGAGGGTTACAACGTCAGAGACAATGATCATAGTCAGAGACATTACACCGCCACCAGCAACTCCAGCCAAACCTCGGAAGACATAGAACATGGTAGAGTTGACAGAAAGACCACAGCACATATCTGCAAGGGATAGTAAGACTAGTGCAGATATGTAAATCGCCTTTCGGCCAAAGATATCTGAAAGTCGACCATAGAGCACAGTAAACACAGTATTGGCGATAAGTGAAGATGTTCCAGCCCAAGAGATAGTATCTTGAGCCCCCAGGTCTCGTGCGATAGTTGGCAACGTGACACTAATACCGTTTTGATCTGACATGGTAATAAGTAGGGATGTGGCCAATCCCGTAAACACAACCATAAGCTGTCCAAAGGGAAGAATATTGGTCTGGTCGTGCAAGGCCTTCTCGGCCGCACGCTGTCGATTTGATGCCATATTTGTGGCTAAAAGGCAATTTTTGTTCCCAGTGAGATGTTGTTTAATTCCAAATGGCTATTAATAACATGCCATTTAAGTGAGATGTGGATATCCTAGTTGAAGATCGCGTGTCGGAACGGACTAGGAATGCTTGGCCGAAATTTAATGCAAAAAATGTATGCACAACAACAAGTAAAGGAATCAATCAATGACAGCGGCGGGGATATGGTCACATAAAACCAACTAGGGGCCATTGAAGGATTTTTTTTCTCCGCATTGAAGAGTTTGGTGCTATCCGGCTTATCGGCAAATGATGCTGGGTATCCATTGGAGACTGTCGCCGCAAAACAAGATTACAATCGGATGTGCCTCCGACGGGCCTCAAGGGGCCCTGCATCTTCACCCAATCTTGCACCGGTGGACATGAATCGAGTCAAGGCCGGTTATATTCCGCGTCATCTGTCTTGTGGTTGGTGAGTGTGAGAATCGACAGTGGATCCGCCACTTCGGACATCCGATCGGATAGCCGAGCTGGATTAGTCATTGCTTTTCGGACATCATTGAGATGCATCAACTCGGCATTGTTTGATGAGCCATTCCTGTAAACCCCTCTTGAATAGAGCAGTGCTATGACTCACAGTGTGAATGTCGAGATAAACTTCTTTGTACGATGTAGTGAACCTTAGAAATGAGTTTGCTGTTTGTGGCGAGAACGCATCGGATGTCCGATATGTGTGATATCACAGCGGAAACTTCCCCTGTCAAGCGGAGTAATTCTAACGCGGCGTCAACCGGTGTCAACAATTCAAGCTGGGCCCACTGCATGCGATACTCACTACCAAAGTGGATCCGCGATCCCTCATTATTGAGGAGACATGCTCCACGAGTATCTTCTTAAAGTCAGCTTTGAATCAATCTCATTTTCAAGGCAATTGAGGATCGAGAGAGAAAAATCGCTAGGGTAGTTGCATCCAGTACATTGGACAGGATTGAAGAACATGCAAAAAGCAACACAAACGCCCAACGGCAGTCGGCAACAAAATAGTTCAGCCCAAATTCATGCAGATAAACAGGGTCACAGTGTTCAGTTGTCAATCTTCTTTTCGGGGACTAGTTCATAGTCACTTGAACCTATCTCCGACCTTGATAAGTCTCTCCAATAAATAGCTACCTGCATGGCTAAACATCCTTGAATCTAACTCATATCCTCTGTAACCTCAATGTTTGCCGAGCTCTTCAGTCTTTCTTCACGACAGCCGTTCCAGCACATCTGTATGATGAGAATTTTCGGGCTGAAATACGCTGCTCAAACTACAAAGAAATGTTAGCAGCCGTAAAGGAACCAATCTCCAGAGCCACTTTACCATCTCATCTATCTCTTCCAGGGTACGTCCCTTAGCCTCCGGCAAGTATAAGTAAATAAATGCTGCAGCAATGAGGCAGGACGGGAACCAGATATAGCCATACTTTGGGCTTGAGGAATAGTAAGCATTAGTCTTCGCATTACATCCAGTAGGACTAATAGGAGTAGCTGACCCCCAATTTAGCGACGCGATGTTGATGAAATACGGTGCAGTGAATGTGGTACCCACTAATCATAATTTATATCAGTTGTTTCGTTCAAACCTTAGAAAGTGTGAAAGTAGGAGATATATTCACTGCTCCAAGAAATCCAATACCCGTCGCTAGACCGAATGTGTATGATCGTAGCCTTTGAGACGGTAACTCTCCGCCTGCGACCCAAGCATAGGTAGATATTATTCCCTAATTCTGGGTTAAATGACACCCGTGTAGCTTGTGAAATGTGTTGACTTAATCTACACTATAGGCGATAATGAAAATAACAGATAAACCCACGATCACCTTGCCTGTAGATTCAGTCCTTGGATGCACAGTATATACAGCGGCAGTGATCAATTGGCTGAATCCGCAAACTATAAGACCTGATATCAAAATGATTCTTCGCCGACCGATACGCGTAACGACGGTCATATTGAGCAGAATAGCCACGACGCCTAGCGCAAAGAAAATGCAACTGTTCTGGAATGCATTCCCAACATTGGCCATTTCGAAGAAGTAAGTGCCATAAGCTAAATACAGAAGTCAGTGATAATTTACATGATAAATATTAAGCGTGAATTTGCCAGGCTTTTACAGATCATATACATAGCCCCTGAAGCAGCCTGGGTAGTGACTGCACTCACGGCGAGGCTTGTTCGACTGCGATCAATCGAGTTGTTGAACATATTCCACACAGAAGCGCCACTGACAATATCGTTTTCTACTTTAATTGCATGCTGAACATCTTCCATTTCATTATCTGCGGTCTGCTTGTCGGGCTTCAACTATATCCCATTAACGGTCAGTGAAAGCTCGGAATAAGATATACTTGAATGTATAGCTGGGCAAACGTCAGAAGAAACCCATTGCCAATCCCAATAATCAAACGCCCAGCATGAAGTCCTCCAACAGTGTCTGTTGTTATCATCATCACGATGTTGGCGATGTATACCAAGACAACTGCCACATGTATGCTAGCTTTTGTTCCAATCCTTGATGAAATATGTCCTACTTTGTCAGCCCCTTGTAATGTTTTCTTGATCAGGAGACAAGTACCTGCGGCACATGATCCAAAAAGGCACCCAGTACCATGAGGGATGACATTAATTGTTGTCGCTCTGAACTAATGTTCCATCCTATTGAGCTAGTCGGTTCCTGGTACCCAAAGACCTATGTTCCAAAGAAAACCGGATCATGCAAGCGACATTGAGATCAACGAACATGCCATCAAGGACTTCCAGTGGAGCCGAAGTCCATTACTCTTTGAAACGCCCGTCACAGCACTGAATTTCAAGATACTATATGGAGTAGTTAGAGAGCCGAGATCCCAGACCGAAAAAGTTCGGAAATGTTAATGTGCATATATGAGGAAAAACGAGGCAGCTGAGGATCTTCAAGAAGCTCGAACGGCTGCTATGATTCTTCATGATCCGGTATTTAAACACTGGAAAACCTCTCCATCCTTCCTCTAGGACCATGCAGAAATTTTTCTGGTTCCTATGAGCAAGGATCATTCTGTCGTTTGGAGCGATTTGATTGGATCTTCGTCTAATATCGGCGAAAAGAGTCATCTGTCGGGTTCACATTGATCTTATTGGTCCTGAGAGGTGAAAAGAAACACTTCATACCCACGAGTCTTCTGCACGTCAAAGCACGGATAGGGGGTTGTCTTGGTCGGGAATGAAACGACTGTCTACCACTAAGCCCCTCGTGGGATGCAAGCTATACGGAGGCGTTATAAATCGTTGAGGTTTCGTCACCACATGCACGAGCTCCGTATCGCGAGCTCTGTTAATAATCAGTTTGCGCCATCGATATCAATGATTATTATTCGTTCATTGACAACTAATAGCCGTTCCGGAAGATGACCAACTAGGGTGCCTTGGAAAATCCCCGAGCCAAGGAAATTCGTCCGGAATCATGCTAATTATGGAGAAGATCAACGATGGCAAAATGCGGAGAAGCGGGCCCACACAACGATTTGTCTCTTGAGTGGGGGAAATTCGACTAATGAATTGTACTTGTGGGGGGAGGGGGTGGAGGGCAATTCTGATTTAGGCGGATCAGACAAGGCCTGCGTGAGCACGTTAAGACACGATTTGGCTATAGTTGATGGCTATATATGATTGAAAACTGGATTTTTGCAGCATAAGCTCGTATCAAGCCTATCATTCAAATGAAAGTCGTAGTTAGTGTTGAAAGATAAATCCTGCAAAATGAGAAACACCAAACAGGTTAATCGATCCTGATATTTGGTAGGCGACAATATGCCCCATTATCAGGAAACAGTAAGAACATAAGATGGTATCAAGCAAGAAAACAAAACAAAAACGTTCCAATGTCATATCTCATAGTTGTCGCATGATCCCGGCCATTGATTTATCTCAAATCCAAGAGTAGCTATAGGCCCATAATATGAGCATGTACAACGTGAACTGTGAAGTCTGTCGAGGAACCTGTGACCATATATAACAAAACCGAGCCGTCGTTAATTCGTGACGGCAACTGAACGAATGTACATCGAGATAGAATCAACTTCCAGACAAGTAGCCAATGGAGACTGTTTCTTTGAGTCTCCGCTGTATCTCCTCTATTGAAGGTCCGTCTTTCGAACATGGAATATCCAAAGGACTTCGCAAAATTCAAAATGAAGTTTCCAAACTCCTACATTGACACACTAGGTGTTCGTCGGTCCAATAGGAACACCCAAGCCACTATTTGCCCACGGATTCTGCATGACGCGGGTGTTCATACTATTAACAGAATAACCGCCATCTTCAACGACATCGCCAGCGGTGTCATCTGGGCCATGTTGCGAGGGATCACCATGTCGGGTGACAGCGCCCGCAGTGGGGACAGAATGATGAGGCATATAGGCACTACCGGGTACATGACCCTGGTTTGGGAAAAAGCTTTGGTTCAGAGCCCCGCAATGGGTGCAGGTAAATTCAATTTTGAAGTCTGTGAGAACCATTGACTGCATGCCAGGATGGTCGTTTCGTGGCTGATAATTTGGAAGTTTGGCATGCGGATGACCTGTAGCTGGTAGGGATGCAGCATTCACATATCCGACTCCAGGTTGCGATACGGTCATGGGACGCGGGTTGTTGTTCATGGAGGGCTGACTTGGAGCTCCAATCGGAGGAGGTTGGGGTATCTGAGTGGACTGGATAGATTGGCCTTGGGCTGACAGCACAGGGTTATCTGGCGGGTCGTTGGGGTCCACAGAATCATCATCCATCAACGTGGACTGCAGAGGGTCTGACAGCCAACGATTTTCTGATATCTCCCGATATGCTGGTCCTGCATCGCCCTGCGATTCAGGTTGGGACTGGGTAGGCGAGTGCTGATCACCTGTACTTATGATATCCAGGGTCATAGCTTGATCATTATGATTGGGGGAATCTTGTGATTGTAGTTTAATCAGCGCACGCTGTGCTTGTCTTGTGGAAATATCATATCCATGGTATCGCTTCACAGCATCCACAACATCTTGGCTTCGTATTTTCGCATCCATATCGAAAAGCTTGGGGATTTCGCTGAGTAGAAAACGCACATGCGAGGCTTCAGACCGGACCGGCGTTCGGATTGAAGAGTCTCCACTCCTTCGGCAGCTATGACTGTCCTGCAAGCTAGTGATGTAGGTCGCGTTCTTGTTCGAGCGACAAACTACACGAAAGAAACAATTGGCTCCAGAGCGACAGCCAATAACCACACTCTTCTTATTGCTGCGTATCACACGAAGCTCCCAATGCTGCCGAACAGAGATGTTCCGGATCACCGATTTGAATTCCTCTAGGGAAGAAAACCGTTGATCCACATGGAGTCCTGAGTACATTTCTGTCATCTTGGCGGAGGCAGCACGCTCGACACGTTCAGCGAGGAAAGACCAACCGAACAGAGCACGCGTTGGTCGTTGATTTTCTGGCGACTGCTTCCATCGGGGTGTGCGATCTCCGCAGCCCTTAAAGAAGCAACCACTTTGTTATAGGGGAGGTACACGAGAGACTTGCGCGACAGTCAACAAGCCACAGCTGAAATCTTTTTTTTGTCGCTCACTCAGCCGGGCATTATCTAGGAATATATTTCATGGGAGCAAATGCACCGAGAATATACTCGTGGAACAAGCTCAAGAATGGCGCACGCGCAGAGGAGTTGCGGGACCTAGTGGAGGTGGATTAATTTCTCTGGGGAAAGCAGCCGCATGGGCTGAACCGCCAGACCGCTCGGCTTCACTTTTCTTTCTTATTCACTCTCCACTTCAAGGCTTCTTACTCGTCGGTTTATCACTTCACTAATCACATCTGCATCCCCCCTCCCCCCCCTCTTTCCCGATTTACATTGGTCTTTTTCAAGCTTGCAGCTTGACAATTTCAGTATAATTTTTCAGTCAATCTGCTGGAATCCAGGAAATGGCGTCCTACGGGCTGCTTGGCCAACCAGAAGAAGGTCGAGTCCCTTTCATGTCTAATCGTTTACCTCATATAACTGACTGATAATCTTTACTGCAGATGCGCTCCACAAGTCGCGTCTTCTAAATGTCGAAGAGAAACCTTTCAAGAGAATTTCCAAACGTCTTCTTCACCCCGAATCCCTCATTGTCACCAACTCCTCCCTCCCTCCCACTCCGCCCCCCGAAGAACCAGAAGCCGATGCGACCGCGACCGCAGAATCCGAAAAGCAAAAGCGATTGGAAGAATGGCGTACTTTCCGCGAAGATGTAACGCTCGACTTCGCCGCTTTCGAAGGCAGCATTGCTCGCATCCAGTTTCTCTTAACCAGTAATGAAGAGGAGCGCCAGCGATACGCAGTCGAGAAAGTCCGCATCGTTGACACGATGCAGGCTGTGCGCGGGAATACGACCGATCTGCGCGTCCAACTAGAGGAGGCTCAGAGATTGTTGGCTTTGCGAAAGAGTTATGATGACCTGTCGGACAAAATCACCAGGAATCGATTACTGAAGCCGCGAGAGGAACAACAGGGGAATCTCCAGAAGCTCCAGCTGGAGATTACGGACTTGGAAAAGGAAAGCAAAGACTATGCCAAGACTTGGGCGGAGCGACGTGAACAATTTGGTCGCATTGTGGAGGAGGGTATGCAATTACGCCGCCTGATTCGCGATGAGAAGGAAGAGGTCGAGCGGAGAGAAGGTATGCAAGAGGGCGAGGATGGTGACGAGGGCGATGTCTCTTCTAAGGGAAAGCTTAGTGCTGCAAGTAGTCCTCGTCCAGATAATGAGAGCGCGACTCCCTCGCAGCAAAGCCAGGATGAGGGCAAATTACAAGTTGAAAAGGGATCGGGTACAGCAAGAGGCGTCTCTCCGTTGCGGAACGTTACTAGTGCAGATGGCGCCCAAGGTCAGGATGACACCAACATGATGGATGAGGGTGAAATCACTGTGGAGGATGCTGGCGAACAATCAGATGAACTTGAGGAAGGCGAAGAACTTGCGGATGATCGTGAGAAAATGGATACCACTTAAAGACTTTTAGCATGTACATTACAAGCATGGCGTTATGGGTTTGATTATATTATGACGATGATCTTTGAGGCGCTGGTTATTCTCAAAGGCTCTAGATTACATACATTCCAATGATACTACACCTCAAGGCATCCCTTCTTTTTTTTTAATTGTATCATAAGCTTTTAGAATAATGCAGGATACAAGTGTTGTCCTTTATGAGATCTCACGCTCAGCCGTCTTCGCTTTAGCAATGGCTTCTTTAGCAGCAGTGATGTGCTGCACATTACTCCCGGCGCCCTTCTGGCCTTCCTCGGTCTATGGTTCAATGTCAGCACCGTGGTTTAATCATAATGTAGAACTTGAGAGGCACTTACGATCAAAGCCTCCAATTCCTTCACGCTGTCTGCAATCTTCTGCTTCAGAGTAGGCAAGACCCTCTTGGTCTCCTCAAGAGCCCGGTGCTGGGCAAAGTTAATACAATCCAAAAACTTTCAATCGAATTTCATATCTGGGTTCTTTCAAAAGGAAAAAACGTAGATTCGAAACGAAGATAAATCGAAGAATAAAGACGCTTACCTCCTGTTTCATGAGGTACTCCTTGTTCTCATCATCGCCACCTTGGCCGGACTCCAGCTTCTTAATCCGCTCGCCCTGCTGCTCTAGCTCGCGGTGATAAGATGCCTCTTCTTTGACCAAACGAGTCACGGAAGAGGTAACAATCTCAATCTGGGAGCGAGGTGCCATTGTGTCGTTCGATCTGTTGGATAGTTAGATATATGATACTATGTTGCAGATGCAGCTTTATGCATGGAGCATATCATTTGAAGCAAGGGAGACTTTGAGCCACTTTTTCATTGCCCAGTTGATGATCCTTATAGCTTAATCACAATGTCATCAACAATAAGGATCATCGCCACAAGCCAAAGTACAGCTACGACCTGCAGCGGCTATATTGCATATTGGGTGAGGCTTCTTTTCGCGTGCCAGCTTCAAATGGCAGATATAAAAAGCCTCGGAAGTGAATAGATTCTGCAGTGAAGCGTACCTTTTTGTTTTTGATATCAAAGTCAGCTCAAGTCATCTAATAATGAAGTCACCAAGAATTCCATGAGCCCCTCATGATGCTATCAGGGATGATCGTGTTTGTACTGTTTGCACGAGGGGGAACCTCACGTGCGCTACATAGTGAAATGAGCATCCTATAAAAACTTTGGAACCAAAATTTGAGACTGATAGGCCCCGAGTAAGTATAGATCAAGCACAAACACTACATACCATTGTTTGGTCCAGCGTTTGGATTTCAGGGATTCAATGATGATGTTTCTGCAAGGAATGTTGTGTACCATTAATTCACTTCTCGATATTCCATAGGTATTAGCATGTTCCATTCCTATATAGGGGCGTCACTCCTCGTGTGACTACAAAGCTTTCGATAACCAAGTAGCCAGAGTATAAATAGACATCCGTTAATGAACTCTCTTCTTTCTTACACAATTCATGGATTCCTTGGACTCTTTGAATACCACTACTTCATAATCGCCCCGCAAAGTGATTGTGAGCCAATAAGCGCCCGAGCTCACCTGGCTGATCACCGGAGTCAGCCTCGAAGTTAGCCACCCTTCTTCGCAAGCTACAACATTCAAGGGCACCATGTCAGCCATGACCATGTCAGGTTTCATTTGTTATATTTAACGACTTCTTCTGTTGAGATCTTTATATATTGCATGAGCTTCTCCCTGCGTGGCGGCCTTCTGCTCGAATCTTCGATCGTATTAGCCCGGCATGCCAGCCCCGTCACTCCTGCAGCTGGCCACAAGCACTGCGATCAAGCACGTTAAACGTAAGTACACTTGCTTAAAGGCAAAGCTCCTCCAAGCTCCTTCTTACTTTGGTAAAACCAAGCTAACTAACATGACATTCTGCCAAATAGTGCTCAATGATGTCGGAAATCTACCATATGCCCTTGTTCGCCCAATCCTACTCAAAGTCGATAACCCAGAGAAGCTCGTATGTCTGTCTAATCCAACATGAATCCGGTTTCTTTCGTCAAAAGGCCAAAACAAATCGGAACAGATAGAAAGGAAAAGAAAAGCAAAGAATTGCAACTAATTAGTAAATCTCCCTTGCGAATAGCACTCGATGGAGCAACTATCTCCACACCTCGCCGACGAAGACCAAGAAATTTGGCTCGAATTCATCAGACGCGACATTCCACAATGGGACCGATATGAGCTGCCCAAATCCACAAACAAATGGTACGAGATATACTGCGACCTCCAAGAAGACGTCCAACGAGCCCTCGATGCCGACGCCGAAAAGATGAAAATGGCCCTGGACGGTATCAAATCGGAACGAACACGATTGACACCAAAGATCATTGCCGGCCCAAAAGGCAAAAGCACGAGATCATTTCGACCGGGCCCCGGTATCCGATCAGAACCGAGAAAGCCGACTATATTCACGCCCCAGCGCAGAAATAATGCTCTGGCAATACCGACTAAGCATCTTACCAATCGTGCAACACAAGTCAGGCGGGCGCCTCGGTCACTTATTGAAGTGCACCGGCGGCCAACAGACCCGCCTGTGCCGTCTGCTCCTGGCTCCGCTTTGACCGCATCGAAACGTGTTGATAAAGATGCTCGGGCACCTGTTGCACCAGGGCGGTTGAACCAACACCCATCATCCTCTTCTCTAGCTGAAAGGGAGGCACGGTTACGAGCAATTGCCTCTGGTAACCCGTTGCCATCTTCAAGCACCAATACAATTCGTAAGGTGCCTATTCCCTCACGCCACGCTTCCTCTCCAGCAAAACAACCCAATCTCAAGCGCTCTGCCACATCTCCGCCTCCATCCGCAAACTCTGGTGGCACCTCCAGCTCAGCACGAGCATCTGACAAGCCTCCCGCACAATCAAACTCTGTTACAACTACTGCACCGCGCCCAGCTATGCCTCGAAAACGACCTGATAGCGTTTTCATCCAGCCAAAACGTCGGCGCATCACCTAACCTATAACCACTAGCCATATACCTCAATATTCTGTCACTTAGCGTCCTTTCGTCCTTTTGGTCTTGAGTGTTCATTTTGGGTGTTCATTTTCCTCGTTTTTGTGTCAATATTACTGTACTGCATCTTGGGCGTTTGGCCTGGTTTGGGCTTTTTTTTTTCAATAGGGGTGCAGATCGGTGCACATGAAACATGCTTGGGACATCTACTTGGACTTTAATATTGAATATATTGAATATATTGAATATATTCAAGTGATTTGAAAAGTTCAGCCTAATAGTCTTTGCCCCATAAATTGATATTTCTTATTTTCCGGGTATTTGTTGCAGGGACATATAGGTAGATAATACGTAGTATCACATAGGCACCGCGCAAAGCTTGTCCATGAAAAAAAGATGAATGAGCGAGCTCCTTGGATGCTACTTGACGCCCACGGGTCTCAAATGATTCGAATGTCATTCCATGGCGCCTGGGATGCATCACCATCTGCAACCCAGCCCATGACCTATCCGTTCCATTTACGAACTTCTGCACGTAATTTTCGACATGGCTTGAATGCAAGAGGTCTTAAAGCCCCAATGATATTGCTGTAAAGAGAAGAGTGTGGTATCTAAAATGGCATAACGGGTTACAACGCATCGCATCCTCCACGCAGAGCGAGCACAAGATGGAGTGTGGCACCACCCTCGAGGTTGTATTCTGAGGCCGTCTTGTCATCCGCCCTAAACACCGAGTAGTTGTTAGTGAGAAATTCTCGTCCCATAGGGCAATGTTTATGCAGGTGTGGCAGCTTCGAAAACGTACATTTGCTTTCCACCGTAGATAAGTCGCTGCTGAACAGGAGGGATACCCTCTTTCTCTTCAACGCGCTCCTTGATACGGGCGACCTAGTGTTCCAAAATCTCAGTTCATGGTTCTTATGGGAAGTGTCCCTCACTCTAGCTTATTCATGGATGATAAAAACGGTTCGTGGCGATGAGGCGGGGTGCGACCGGGGAATCTCACCTTGTAGTCTGGCTCAATATCCAGCTCTATCTCCTTGCCGGTGAGTGTGCGGACCCTATGACACGAGGCAGGGTTAGCAAGATAGCTTCGGAGTCCCGATATGGTGGAGGTTCGATGATGCAATTGGGTGAAGGAAGAGCAGATCGAAAACTTACTTGATCAACATCTTGGTGGGGTGGGTAGCTGGTGCAGCTTTTGAAAAACAGATTCAGTGGACGAGACGAAGGAGCTCGGGAGGCAAAAAGTCACTGGCGAGTGCTGTAATGCATATGAGTGTCTAGAGAGAAGACGAGAGAGCCGCTTCTGGCGGGGTTTTAGGTGGGGCGGTGGCCTTATTGCCTAATCGATAACAAGGCTAAGTAATAAAAAAAAAGCTGCGATGCTTCTCCTTCCTGCGAATAAACGTGGAATGTTTACGTGAAAGGTTGTCGAGATGTATGCAGTCATGTAGTTTTCTATTACTCACTTTTTACTGCATATGCATAGGTAATACATGTTTACTCATAGATAATCGTCTATGACCCTGCATTTATGTATGTAGGTACCTTAATCGTACTGTATATGTTTACTCTACAATAATCTGATGTAAGTATTGGTTGAAGTCAACATTTAAATAATAAATATTCAATCAATCAAGCATTTCAAAGTTTTGGGGACAGGTGGTAACCCCACAGTAATTTCTAATCCCTCAAATGCACCCAGGTGATATTTTGTACCCCGAGGTCTTGGAGAAGGTATCCAACCGGAGTTCCACATTTATATATCCGTGTTGGCTACAGCTATCCTACTGATCACATGGATCCAGATGTCTCAACCTGGCGTGAACTTCTTTTTTTCTCATCCGTCTCCATGGCTCGAGTGCGAAAGATTTTTACAGTTGAACATTTAAAGGTCATACCTAGAAGCACTCCAGGAGTGGATTTATCAAAATCGGGAAATTGAGAACAACCTAAAATGACTCAAACATCCTCCGAAGTGGCCACGCCTAATCAATTTCAACAATTTATCACCGGGTGTGGGGACGATCCGGTAAGCTCTTTCTTTGACCAAGGGCATTACTAAGACATAGACCACTGACTACAATCGCAGAAAAGGATTCAAGGCGCCTATGAAACACATCGATCTAATCGTAATGCGCAGTTCAAGGAAATACTACTCATTCCCGGTTTCCGCGAATGGAAATTCGATGAGGTCCTCGAGAAGATTTTAGAGGCAGATCAGGGCATCGCCCAGTACAAGGACACAAGAAACAATCTCTCCTTCTGGGCGCGACCACCTAAGCATATTCGCAAGCTGGTCTATGATATCCAGCAGGAGATCGCATCTGTAGCTGGACCATGTATGTCATGTTGCCCCACGATTAATAGGAATTGCCTTCTAACTTCATTGTAGCCCTTTGGCTTACTCCCCAAGAACATCTCCATCTGACAACATGTGAGATGGTTTCAGCATCATCAGCAGTCAAGGTGGATGAAGTAGTTGAAACCCTCCAACGAACACTTCCTCTCGAAACCATTGTTGATTATACTCTTACACACAGCCCGCGGCTTGGTCGCCCGGTTGTTAGTTACGACTCGACGGCTTTCGCTCTGAGCTTTGTTCCTGCCGCTGAAGATGATCATGATACGTACTCCTATCATCATCTACGTCGGGATCTCTGGGATATCGCCTCTAAGTCTGGATGTCAATTCGCGTCCAGATACAATGTTCCTTCAGCCCACATAACTATTGCCCGGTTCGCTGTTCCACCAGGGGAAGATAAATCAAAAGAACTTGATGGTTTATGTTCCAAGGCAAACGCGATTGTTAATACAATCGAAGGGATTAACCAAGAGTTGAGATCAACTGAATGGAAGCGATTTGGAAGCCCCACGCGGGGTGAGTGGGTGGTGGGACAGGAGCGAGGGCTTGAACTGAACAAAGGCCGATCATGGTATGGCAAGGGAGATGCTGTACTGATTGGGAATGGATTTTAGATTTGTTTGAGAGCTTTTTCACTAGCTAAAGATACAAAAATCCAACAAAATTACTTAGAATCCCTCGATTTTATATAGAAATCATGATAAAAGATGCAAACATTGGAAGGAGCGCGCTTGGTGCTTTCCCGATACGGAACAACGGATGATGAGTCATCCACCCACTCAAACCCCCAACATGGTTTAGCGCACTCCCGAATAGGGCCTAAGCGAAACGAAATCCCACAACCCAACCATCTGCTTGCTCTCTCCGACAAGTGACAATCTAACGACCACCCACCTCGCTACCCGGCAAGTCAGTCAAAATGGTAAGAATTGCACCGTCTATCTCCAACCTGCTGTATCCTCAAGTTCCCGGTCGAAATCCGCTGCGAAATCGCTTTCGGTATTGTGCGATGGAAGTTGAATTTGTGTGGCCGGACTCATGATCGTGAACGATGACCACTACCGACCGAATACTTCCCTCGCGGGCTTCCACCATTTGCCTCGACATCCGCTTCTCGACTTGCGCGACAATAACTACACAAGACGAATATCAAGAAGAGAGCTCGCAAGAAGTTCGGTGGCGAAATCAACTTCTTTGACGTGTTATCGTACATGCGACCGACCGATTCGATGCGATGAAATCGAAGGGCCACCACTACTGAGTCTGGTCATTCGAAAGAGTATCCTGAATCGGTCGTAAATCTCATAATACCAACTAGGACGCTAGTACCGAACCAAGCGACGCGACCGCACAACCTTCCACCTCGGGCTTGAGATACACGCGGACGGAGACTAAAAAAATATTCGTTGGCACAACGGAAGCTTATCAATTTTCTCTGCGCACAGGTCAACATTCCCAAAACCCGCCGGACCTACTGCAAGGGCAAGGAGTGCCACAAGCACACCCAGCACAAGGTCACCCAGTACAAGGCTGGCAAGGTGAGAAAACACTGAAGCTCGACAGTCAACACCAACAGAACACAGCGCTGATTTCAATTTTTCTTATGAAATATAGGCCTCCCTGTTTGCCCAGGGTAAGCGTCGTTATGATAGAAAGCAGTCCGGTTACGGTGGTCAGACCAAGCCTGTCTTCCACAAGAAGGCTAAGACCACCAAGAAGGTTGTCCTGCGTCTCGAGTGCACTTCCTGCAAGGCCAAGAAGCAGCTCGCCCTGAAGCGCTGCAAGCACTTCGAGTTGGGGTATGTTTCCACTATATTCCATCACCACATGGTGCCGATTGATGCTAACCTTTCTTTTCTCTACAGTGGTGACAAGAAGACCAAGGGTGCTGCTCTTGTCTTCTAAGCGTTCGATTTCCTTGTTCGGCTTCTGGGTTTCCTGCATTGCACAAGAAGCTTCGCTGTTTTGCGAAGGACATATGATATGGGCAATGGAAAAATGAAATAGGAATTCATACCTTCAAAAAACAAACTATGACAACCTGACGATGAGCCTGTTTTCTGAATAGTAGATTCATCCAAGTTCTCGTTATCATCTGGGCAGTAGGTCGTACCCTGTAGCTTGCTCCATGCTAGATGGTTTCTTCCACTCTTTAACGCTGTCTCGTCCTATCCGCTGAATCACTTGGAAGTAGCCTATCTACACTCTTTGTCTCAGGAGGGCCTGGCCGTAGAACCAATCGTACAGAGTCATAATCCATCGAGTATCTGAAGCTTCGGAAAGACGTCATCGTACACATGATGCTATGAGATCTGAACGTATTTTCAATTTTGAGGGAAAGGCCGACCGGCATAGGGTACTTGAAGCTGCAACAACGCACAACCTTGGCAGTGTCCAATTTGTTGAAGGAACTTGCTTGAGCCCCATACATCCATCTATAGATTAAGCCAAAACGGTTGTTTGGTATAAAAACTAGACATTGATCCGCCTCAGGCTGGGCATCGCGGATGAAACGTTCTTAATAAATGGATATACATACTACTGCATACACCTGTTGGCTGGCCGAAGAGTCATATTATAGTAGGTAGCGGTAACTTTAGCTAGACATGGCTATCATTAGTTATGTAGGGATGCCTCTTTTTCGAGGCTTAAAATTTCGAAGTGATTACGGTTTATAGTATATAATCAAGTCAGGGATTTGTTTGCTGCTTCTAATTGTTCCTTTACCACATCCATAGTCGGAGTAGACCGGACGTGACACTTGAGTTGTATATATAATACTACTATGTATATACGAATCGTTGGGAGGATGAAGCAAGCTCGGGGGAACTGCCGAGCCCAACTCTGAGTCCAGGCGATAATCAAGATCCACATCAACGTAAGATGTGGACTTCTATCTGGAGGTTATTCTATTCGGAGACAAATAAAGCGAGAAACTGCTGGGAATGACCTCCACCCCCGCACCCCCACGCCGAGATGTGCAGAACAGCCAAAGTCAAAAGCCACCAAACCTGGGCAACTCACCCAATGAAAATGTCTCGCTCAATGACGGACCCAGAAGAATGCTTTCCCGCCCTTCTCCAATATCCAATAATCTTGCTATTGGACAATCAAACAACCGGCTGAATCAAGCCTCTCGTATTCAGCATTCTCATTTCCCCGCATCCCCAGAATCCATGTCATGCCAACTCGGCATTTCTCCGAGTGCAAGCACTGAATCCTGTCTTTGTTAAGACCGTGTGACACTGCCTCGATCGGTCGAAGCCCGCATAGATAACCCAGGGATTTCCTGCATGCTGCAGTAAAGCAGAGCTTGGAGCTTGTTTTCTTTGTCTTGCTCTTCGTGACAATCAGATTTCCTCATAACCACCCGGTGTTGTTTGCTGGTCTCCTTCGGAATATAGAAGAGTCAGAAGAATCATTCGTCATGGCGCTGTGGTACTCTCTGGGCATTGCGTTTTTCGCTGCGATCGGCACCTTCTTGTTTGTATGTCCCTAGCTCTCTTGCTACCGGAGCATCATGGGGATTTTCGCATGAGCTGGTGGCTAATCGTTTGAATCTAGGGGTTCGACACTGGAATCGCAACGACGAGTGAGTATTTCGGCTTTTCCTTCCCTGCAAAGCCTGAATCCCCAACTGACCCCCATTAAATAGCAATTGCGCATCAAAGCTGGATCGATTATATGGATAACCCTTCAAAGGGTCTCACAGGAGCAGTATGTTTAACCAATTCATTGCCCGCGCACGCAGAATATGCAACTGAGAAATACACTGGCAGGTGGTAGCAGTTTATATTGCTGGCGAGGCGGTCGGCGCTTTAACACAAACCTTCATCGGCGACAAGCTCGGACGAATTAGATTCATGCAACTCATGTGCGTGGTTGTGACTATTGGCACAGTCATTCAGACTGCCTCAGTCAATATTGGGATGTTTCTCACCGGGCGCGTACTAGCCGGGTTTGCCGTTGGGTAAGTTTAAGTCAAACTGGAAGAAAGGAAAAGAAACGAAGTTTTTTCTCTCTAACTTTGATCAGCGGACTCGTTGCTACCGTCCCAATTTACCTGAGTGAGATATCTGATCCTCGCTTCCGTGGCTTGATCGGTGGTATCTCTGGCTGCGGCATTTCCTTTGGAACCATGGCTTCTAACTGGGTCGGATTCGCCTGCGGTTACGCACCCTATGGTCCTGTGCAATGGCGACTGCCTTTGGGTATCCAGATCCCATGGGGTATTGTCATGTTTATCGGGTTGGCGACCTTCATGCCCAACTCACCACGTCAGTTGATTCGAAGTGGAAAGGCTGATATGGCCCGCAGCGAGTTTTCTCGGATTCGACGCGGAGGTCAGGTACATGAAGTGGAGGAGGAGTTTGCACTCATGCAGGCGCAGATCGAATATGAGATGGAGCGAGAGATTACTTCGTATAAGGAGATTTTCAAGTTATTCCGTTCTCGTGTGATGGTGTATGTTATTAATTGGCCGTTCTCAATTAACCGGGCAAGTCGACAATGGAGAACGCGTACTGACCAATCGCTTCTAGTTCTATTGCTGTGCAGACGATGACGAGTTTGACAGGTGTCAATGTGATCCAGGTATGTGAAATAAGATCTGAATTCTAAGACAGTATGATGCTATTTGAAAGACCAGACGACGCTAACTATGATATAGTACTACCAAAGTGAGCTCCTCTGATCTCTGCCCATTTGTGAAGAATTTCTCGAATATTAACTTGTACCCTACTAGCTATCTTATATAAGTCGCTCGGCATTGGGTCACACACAATCCTAGCTCTTGCCGCGGTTTATGGAACCATTGCCTTCTTATCTAATGCTATCACAACCAAGTATATGACGGACCAGTGGGGACGCCGGAAGTATGTGAGCCGTTAGGCGACGCCCCCCTTTGCAGCTGATATCATATTCATCGCTAACTGTGGATAGGATGTTGATCACTGGCCTGGCAGGTATCATTCTAATCGAGATCTATGCGGCCGTGATGCAAATGAAGTTCCAAAATACAGACAACAAGATCGGCAAAGGATTTGCAATTCTGGGAATTTATCTCTTTGTCGTTTGCTATTGTAAGCTATTCTCCGTGATTGGCAATGTGTTGTCTGCTTACAATTTTCTATCCAAAGACGGATTCCTTAATAGTACGACATGGTTGTATGGGGCTGAGGTCCTCCCCATTGCTCTGCGCAGTAAGGTGATGGGTCTCGCGGCTGCATCTCACTTCATTGTCAATGTCGCCAGTAAGTTAAATGATTTTTCTCAAAATTTGAATACTTGCTAATTTATTCTTCTTTAAAAAGTCACTGAGGCAGGTCCAAGTGCATTTGCCAACATCCAACAGAATTACTATTATGTTTTTGTGGCATGCACTTTTTTCTTCCTTGTTATAGCTTACTTTTATTTCCCGTACGTCACTCTCAAAATAATTATCCGAGCTCGGGATAATTCAGTTTTATTGATATTTTTTATAGTGAGACCAAACAAAAAACCCTCGAGGAGGTGGCCGCCGCTTTCGGAGACAATGTGGTCATAGCAGATGAAGGTCCTAAGCGAACTTCGGTGGTTGGCCGAGCGGACCATATCGAGTCCGCACCTGAAGACCAGGCGTGATTTTATTTTGTTGTCAGATACATGCACGGTACTTTTTTATACAACATTGACATTATGACATTCCATGGCAGGAATTAAGTGTGTACCTAAACGAGTAGAAACATTCCGAGGCTGAAGACACCTTCCCCAATAAGCAGGTCCAATGGGGCAAACCAGGGTGTTTTGGGCGCCGTGTTCCAGTCTTGTTACTTTTAACTTTATCCAGTCTGCTGGCTGCCCTATTACATCGTTGTAGACGCTTGAAAGACAAGAGCCGCGTGTGTCAAGACACCAGTTTCAGCCACGATGAGCCCCACTGCTTCTCAACCCTGGAAGACAATGCAACTATTGATGTCCACTTTGCCATGTGGTTCCCCTGATTGGAATTTTTGATATTTACAATAAGTTGATCAATCACAGCCTTCGCACTTCCATTCTCCTGAGTGGATCGGAGATCATATTTTAGATTTTAGATTTGAAATTTGAAATCTCTGTCGTAACGATGATGGGTCACCCCTTATCCGATGCAGGCTGGATCCTTCCGACGACAGATTGCATAAAGAAGAAACTCAATAACCACGAGTTAGACCCTGTCTTATGACGATCCCAATCGACTGGGTGCACATGTTCCTAGATTCGTAGGGTCCCGGGGAAATAGGTCGCTCACGCTATTTGCCACTGTGCATCGAACTATCGGCTAAGATCTGGGGGAATATCGGGGAGGATCAAGTGCATCTGTGCATTCTGGTTATTGGGAACCCGGCTTTCAGGAACACGAGGTCCAAGCCCCCATGCCGCTTCTCACAAAGTTAAACAAGCTAATAGTTTGTGTTGGCATTCCGCACATTCCCGTTCATTTCCGTCATTCCTGGGGATAATTGCCATGTGGAAAATGGGTCCCCCTTACAGGGCACTAACGAAGAATTTGTGTTTCATTAGTGATTTGCATTCCCTTTCCCCAACCATATCCATCTGTCGCACCGGGATGATCGACCTTCATCGAGGAGGATGGAGATCGCCTCCCTGATCTTAGCCAATAATTCGATGGTGGAACAACCCATCGAACACCCATCGAACACCCATGGAAAACGCGGCGGGAGCTGCCCCGTTCACCGACCACGGTCTCGGGTGGAGTTTTCGACGGGGAAGTCGTGTTTGTCACTCCCAAATGGAGTAAATTGTGTACAGGGACAAACCGTGGGACTTGTCAATCCTGTCAATTATTCAGCTTTCAAAACTCTTGAAGTGTCTAGTGGAGGCAATTATATGATCCTGTGTCCCTTCTCACACCATAATTTAATATAGTCCCAGCTGGATAGTCCTAGAAATAGCCACACCGTACTCCACATATGTGTCCGCAATCTTTAAAAATCATGACAGCCTAATTGTGGCTCACTGTGGCTGATTCTGTAGGAAATTTTCATTTTTCTCGGACAAGTTTAACAAATCCAGTATGGTGGTGCACCGTCATCGGCGATCCAGACGCACTAGAATCTACTGCGGCCCTATGAATGATCAACAAACCCGCTCAGGCCTCTTCAGTGGCAAGGGACTGCTGAGCCAATCCTTAAATAATCATGAAGTGAAAATTTTTCCTTGCCCTTGCCCACTCAGAGTAACCTTTTTTCGTTAATTTCTTTTTTTTATGTAAAGCCTATGTCAAGAAATTTTGACGGAAGTATGTTTTCGGGACCCCTTGATCCTACTGCAACGTGTTCACGCTGTCTTTTCGGCTCCTACCCACTACATCCAGAGCCGAAATTCACAGTAAGGTCAATGCGAATTCTCCTCCCTGCATGATGATCAACAGATGTATCATTTTTGACTCCTGTCTAGGTTGTTGCCGGTAAGTATGTCGGCATGGGGGGAGTTAACAGCTGCCCATCGGCTAACTATCGGAAGCGTTCTACATAATAAAAAAATAAAAATAAAATAAAAAACAATGAAATCAAACCTTGAATGAGTGGGCCCATCCGATGGAACAACAGAAGTTTTCTAGAAGCATGCCAGGCTCCACAATGGAACATCGGACGCCCCGACTAGCTTGTCTACTAGTTCGGATGCTGTCATTACGGCACTTCACGAGGACATGATTTTTCATTATTTTGAATTTACCTGACTGGTGGTGAAGAAAGGGGCAAATGGCAACGTTCTGGCTCAGCTCTGCCGGATAAACGATCCGTGGCTTCTTGACGGTTGCCTCCTTTTCTAATTATTCTATAATTCTTGTTACAAATTCCTTGCTCATCCGGGGAGTTTATAGCATGACGCATCCTTACAGTCTCCCCATTTTCCAGACTTTAAAGCATCGCTTCCCCCACCTTTCCATGAACTTTGGTGGATAGCTATTTTTTTCCGATCCAGATTGAATGGGCCCTTAACTTCAAAATTGGAGCCGCCACTGATCCACAAGGCCCATCACCGGATATCCATATCACCGGACAAGCGAACTACTTTTGATTCTTGCTCTTGTTTGCCATCTATGCCTGTTTGACAGATTGTCGCCACCCAGGAAAGGATATCGAAAGCTTTGATACTGGCCAGTGCACATTAACATCACCCCTCATGACTTCCTCATCTCGCTCGACCGGGAAGCGTCTCCCGATCAGTTGTCAGGCATGTCGAACGAGAAAGATCCGTTGCTCTCGCGATGGACGTCCGTGTCAAACATGTGTACGACGAGGTCTCGGTGCTGAGGATTGTATCTACCTTGGCCAACCTCGTCTCTCTACAGAACAACCTCAATCCGGAGACCCAAATGTTCAGAATGAATTGTTATCGCGAATCAGAAACCTAGAGGGTCTTCTCCAAAAACAAGTGAACTCACAAGCTGGGACCCCAGTTGGAGCTCCGAATTCTCCACTGGGTGCTCTTAGTGCCACCGGGAGTTTCTCGGAGTCTGATGTCGGCGGAGGATTGGATTCGTGGGACTTCCGGAGCCCTATGTTGGGCAATATTGGTAAGCTTCGCACATCCCCTTCGGGCCATGTCCGCTATGTACCGCTCGCTTCGCAGTGGGAATCGGTGGTTGCCAAAAGCCCCGCTGCGGAGTGTTTGCGGGACTCCGATGCCGATATAGCAGACGATGATGATCTACAAATACCATTGGCCCGGAATGGGAATGTTTCCCGGACCGAGCTTTTGGCTCTACTACCACCTGGTCGGTATTGCGATAACTTGAAAGAAGTTTATTTCAAAGTTTTTTCACCGGTATGTATGTCTAGGAAGCTTTGACCCTCACCAGTAGCTAATATGTTTGAAAGATTTTCCATATTCTTCATGACTTGACCTTTGAGGCCGAGTATCAACAGTTTTGCCATGACCCTGGTAGTGTTTCTACCTCATGGCTGGCTCTTTTGTTCGCAATCCTGGCCATCGCTATCAGCGCCTTAAACGACGACGATCCACTTCTGTCCGACCTTGGTCGAGAGAGAACAGTCAGCCGAAACATCAAAGCGTTATCAGCACGTTACCGATCTGCTGCACTCCAATGCCTGGCTGCAGATGGAGTGATGACGAGGCACTCTATCAACTCACTTCAAGCATTAGTGCTAGTCAGTTATGCCCGACTTCACCGCGGCCTACCATTCTGGACCCTTCTCGGACTTACACACCATGTTGCCATCTCCATGGGCTGTCACATCGACCCAGAGCGATTTTTCCTTGGTCCCATTGAGCGCGAAGAAAGACGACGAGTATGGGCTGGGTTGATGATGCTCTACACCATCCAAAATACATCCTTTGGCAGTCTCGAGCAACAGCTACTCACCCAGGATGTGAGAATGCCAGCTGATATAGATGATATTGATCTTCTCACTGGACCAAGTGTCCCCATGACTTCAGATCCATCTTCCTCCCCCTCTTCCGGTCGACCTACACAAATGACCTACCTCCTCCTGAATTTCCGACTACACAAACTTTCCAACAAGATCTGCGAAACAATATTTACCTACCCTCAGGTGTCTCACTTTTCCATTGCTCAACTTGAAGCTGAACTCATGGCCTTCCGTGAGCTGTGCGATGCGCGATATCAAGTCGATATAAATCCAGATCCTCTACCAGTACATCACCAAGCCAACCTCAACATCCTCCACAGTCAAGTTCACCAGCTTGTTCTCCTCCTCCTCCGACCTAATCTATGCCGCTTGCTTCAAGGCGAAATCACTCCTGAGACGTGCGACTCTCGCGCGAAATGCATGACGTCCGCCAAAGCAGCCCTATCTATTTTCCAAAATATGCTTGAAAGCTCACAGTTTGCCCCTTATAAGTGGTATACTAGCGGCCTGGGTAGCTTCAATGCCTTTCATGCAGCAGTCGTTTTGGCAGTTGGCCTTCTGAACTCAGAGAGCCAAGCCAAGTTCGATGAAACCAAAGAGATGCTGAGTAAAGCATTGGACATGTTTGCCTCTCTCTCAGTGAGAAGTACGTTTTGCAGCAAGGCGGTTCCTATCGTCCGACAGATAATGTATGTTCTTGAAATCCACCACGCATCCATTCGACTGAGCAACTACTGACTTGTCTTTAGTGATAGCATCTCCACTCAATATCATCAAGTTCAACAGCAGCAACAACAACATCAGCAGCAGCAATCTCAAGCCCAGCTTCAGTCTCAACAAACACAAGCGCAAATGTTCGCTGCATTGGCACCTACTATGTCCAACGTTAACGTGCCCGATAGCTTCATGTTGCCTCACTCGCAATCTAATTCGCCTGTACCAACTGTCGCGTCTTCTTCGAGTGACCCGACAATGCAGTCGAGCTTTGCCATGAGTATGCATCCTCAACATTGGATTGGTCCCACTTCAGTTCCATGGGATACATTGGGGTCTGGCATGCAATATGCATTCGAGTCTGATGTGGTATAACCTTCGAGAACTCAAATTACTCTACCAAATTACTTGGTCTTTATTATTTTATGTATTGGGGAAAAGGGGTTTGGGGGCATTTTTCGGGCGGCAGAGTTTGAAATTTAGTTTTATGAGACCACGACGAATGAACGATACTCAAAATTGATAAGTGAACATTTCAACCCAAATTTATAATACTCTCTTCTTTAAAGATAAACCTTGTAATCTGCCCTTGAATATAGATATAGAAAATAGAATTGAGGAAGAAGGATGTGAAAGCATTAGAGAGATACATGGTAAAACACGAGCACATGAGATTACTGAGATATGCCAAACTCTAGAAGAGATATGATGTGTCAACTTGTAAAGAAAGCCCCTAAGGCAATCTTCAATTCAATTCTTACGCCTATATCGCGTATCAAGATATGTGTGTGGACAATGTGTAACTTTCGAAGTCGCACCATATGTATCACGATCTATGTTCATTCACCTCTTAAGCCCCACCACACTCCTGACTGTTATTTTCTTGAATAATCTTTCCAAAATTTCAGGTACACTGGTAGTGACGAGTATAAGTGCTAAGACTCAGGAAATTGTTCAAGATATCCTCAACACAGCATGGACAAGCGAGACAGGCTATTACCCTAGTGGAACGAAGGGGCAGATATCTCGGACCTTCTGTATGGAGATGGAGGAAGGCTTCTTCAGCATTATTCCAAAATAGAACGTGAGGATATGGAAGACCATGTTAAACGTATCGTAAGTCCAAGTTTGTCACATTGCCTCGACCAAATTGACTAATATCACCAGGGCAAGAAAGGCTGGGATATCAGGCGATTCCCATGCTTTCGAATATTTTTGTTTTTACGTCTTGATCTATCCCATTCTCCAATCTACCCCAAGGTTATTGAGGAGATACGAGCAAGAAGCTTCTTTTTGGACATGGGGTGTGGACTTGGGCAAGACATCCGACGACTCATTCTCGATGGTGCCCCAGCCGAACACCTAGTTGGATTGGATATTGAACCTGCCTATATTGATTTGGGCTACGAACTATTCAAAGACGCTCCAGCCTTCAGTCTAGATTCATCGTACAGGACTTTTTCCAAGACACTCCAGAAATGACTACCCAGGTCGGAAAATTCATGGTGATAAATTGTGGATATTCCATGCATCTGTGGAATTATACCAGACAATTGGATGCCGCGAAGCGCATGATTTATCTAGCTTCTCCAAGGGGCGGATCGATCATTACTGGTATGCACTTAGGAAGCCACAATGCAAAGCTATGGACAGATCTACTGCCCGAATTTAAAACCATGTTTCTTCACAACAAGGAAACCTTATCGAAGCTATGGACGCAAGCTAGTACTGGCACTGGGACACGCTGGAAGTTTGAATGTGCTATAGAGGAAGATGAGAATTCCAAATTCCTCGGTTCGGATGGCTGTCGGTTGCGATGGTATGTAATGCAGGAGTGATGACCTTCATACTATTGGTTCTATTGAGGCAACAAGAATCTCATAATTCACTTGCGGAGACCAAATCCGCATTCCTACTAATCCCCACTTCACACATTCCGATTGAGATGCCAAGAACACCCAGACTTGTAAGATTTGGATTTTGTCTATTCCACTACATAATCTAGGGCTCAATAGGCTAGAACCGAACGAGATAGAAATAATTGTACCGAGCAGTGGAATGTAAGCGAGAAACATCACTTCAGCCGCTCCGACGTAGTTAAATGTGTGTTGCACTTTTCGAAATTATAAAAGGTGCCTGCATTCCACCAACAAGCCGGCCTACCTCGCGAAGAATTCAACCCCAGTTCAAGCAGTTAAGCCTACTTGCTCGCGATGCACATCAACGCTTTTCTCGGCGTGTTAGCCCTTGCTGTTGCTAGTACTACTGCCACATACTCATCAGAAACCCGTCGCTCTCATTCATCATCTTCGATCAAAAACTTCAAAAGTAAAATCAAAAATGTGGTTATCTTGGAAATGGAAAACCGCTCCGTGGACAACATACTAGGTGGCCAGACAATCGAGGGACTAGAAAACCCGATCAAAAATGGCCCTTTTTGCAATCCATATGACCTTACAGATGCTTCCAAGGGCCAAGTGTGCAGCAGTGCGAAGGACTTTGACTCCATCCTGGATGATCCAGATCATAGCGTGAGCGGCAACAACATAGAGTTCTATGGAACTTTCACGCCGAACAACAACGATATTGCCAGCGGCGAGCTGCTCCCTGATCAAAAGGGCTTCGTGCACGAACAACTACGTCAATACGGCAACAACGTTAATAAGACTCAGTTAGCGACCGAGGTGTTAAACTACTACAGCGAATCGGAAGTACCAGTTTTGACGGCTTTGGTACAAAATTACCTTACGTTTAACCACTGGCATTCAGATGTCCCAGGTGTGAGTATGCCGATACCTATACTGTCAGATTTTGAACTTAATTCTAATTGACAGATGATAGCCAACGTATCCAAACAGAGCCTATGTTCTTTCTGGAACCTCAGCTGGCCACGGCACCAACGACCACTCATTTGATGCCGATGTACACGGGTTAAAACAACGATCCATATTTCAGCAATTATCAGAGACAAATCACACTTGGAAGAACTACTACACAGAAGCAGACACTGGGATGGTTGACGCTTACTTCTTCGATTGGACATTTACCAGCGGCAACACTGATCTAGCTCAACCACTTGAAAACTTCTACGACGATGCAGCAGCCGGAAATCTTCCTGAATTCAGCTTTATTGACCCATCCTGCTGCGGTACAGACAGCAACTCTATGCATCCAACTGGCCTAGTCTCCGAAGGTGAATCCTTCATCAAAAGCGTCTATGATGCATTACGCGCCGGGCCTCAGTGGAACGAAACACTGTTTATTCTTACATTTGATGAGACGGGCGGGTTTCATGATCACGTTTCACCTCCATTAGCTCCGCAACCAGACAGTCTTACCTACACGGAGAAAACGCCAAACGGTAAAAACTACACCTTCTCATTTGATCGACTCGGAGGTCGGGTTCCCACACTTCTGATATCGCCGTGGATCGCAAAGGGCCAGGTCGAGCAGAAAGGTACCAACTCCGACGGAGATATGGTATCATACTCTGCTTCATCTATTCTCCGCACTCTAGGCTATCTTTGGGATTTTGAACCGTTTACTCGCCGTGTCCAGGGATCTGCTTCATTCGAGCATCTTCTTCAGATCCAAATGCGATCGGATACACCTGTTCAACTGCCAGATCCGAAGCCTTTCCAAGGAGAATCTAAGTAGGGCTGTGACTTTCATAGAGTTGGATCTATGATGCGCGTTTCAGAATGGAGGGAAAAGATGACGCATGGATCATATACGTAATACCATAAAACTCATACTATCTTCCTCGAGGAATCCCCCGTGAGTCAAACAGGAATATAAAAGTGCAGTTGATATGATACTTGTTACACGGGCCTGCAACTTGCACATATCTGCCGGGTATATGTGAAGCAAAAGCAACGACCCGACGTCATGCACGACGTCGAGACAAGGTAATCTAGCCAGACGGTCAATAATCATTTCGAGAACTTGAAGCCTATACTATTGTCAAGACCACATAATTAACTAAGTATATCTAGCTTAGACTATCCACTGCAATAATTTGTGGGTGTTTAGGTATCATATTTAGCCTCGGTAGACTTTTGGCCAGTCAACTACTTTAGGTTGATAGTCTATATGAACAAAATGTCCAAGGTTCGTACCCACTGAAGTAGACCAGCTTTATAGATAGATAAAGAGTAAAATGTCTAGGTGAAATACCCTATCGTTCACGAGTATCATGCTAGAGATTGAATCTGAGTCATAATCGCCACTCCGCAACGGTGTTGTCATTTGCCGTCGCCCGTAGCACTCTGCAGGGGTCTAAGGTTCTGAGCGGCACACCAAAGTATTGAAACGTGGAAGGTTAGATTAAACCACCTGTTGGACTTGAGTATACAATCACAACAATCAGAATCTGGGTGCCTGAAACCGGATTTCTTTCTTTAGCTTCCAAGAAAGAAAGATCCACTATGAACAAAAGGCGGCGCGCCCAGTCTAGGGCTGGGGCACGTAATTTTCAGCTGCCGTCCTGATTCCACGCCTTGTTGCACTAGTCTCCACTCCGCGCGAGATGATAGGACCCTCGTTATTGAAAGAAAGCCAAAAAAGCCAAAAAAAAAGCGTAAGAAACGAAGGGACCTTGACGTCATGTAAAAAAGTGACAAGGTAATTTTTGCCCGATAACCGCGCATGGGGATTCAAGTTTCAACTCGGCGAATAGTAAAGTGGGCGGTCGCATCCCCTCAGACTGTTAATCCCTGTAACTGGGATAGGTTAGAAAGAAGTGTCATACTGTCTCTGCAGGCTTGACATGAGTGGGCGTGGGTGATTTTAGTCTCTGTTTTCCATGCGCCCAGTGTCGGGCAGCGGAAGCGAAAGGGTGGAGACGAAGCTTTGTTCGTATTCTTCTGCACAGTACACTATCTGGTAATATGAGGCACTGCAAATCTGCCTCATGTCGTTTTATGAAGCGCCCGGTTTTTTGTTTATTTTTTTTTTTGTCTCATTGTTTGGATCCGGGGGGAAGAGACAACCTTGGAACCCGGTTAAGGCGATTGGGGGGCAAACCGTGGATTGGAGTGGATTAGAGGCGGGAAAAGTATGAATAAAAAAGAATAAAAAATGTAAATGTAGTGCCAAGTCAAAACAAGACCAATCTAAGCCACAGTACACCGATGATTTGCCACAGATTCTTATGGATGGTTGCGCAAGTTGAGATGAGTTGAAGGAGTTGAAGTCGGTGAAATTTAAGAGCCTTGAGCCTCACGTGGTGGTGAGTGGTTTTTGTCTGCTTTGCATCTTTTCACTCTTCACTGTGTTGGCTATTTCATTACTGTCCTCCCCTCTCTCTTTATCTTTCTTTCTCTCTTCAACCTTCTCACCTTTCAATCATTCTTGAAGTATTTTCTACTTTCTTGAACCCTCTCGTCCAACCTGTTCCTGAGATCATCCAGCGCTATTATCAATACATCGAACAACATCAACGCATTCCTCGGAGATTCGGAGCAGGAGGCTCGGCTTGATCTGCACTAGGTCACTGGTGTGTCATTCGGGGATACTGTATCCTGCAATCCTGCAGTCTTGCAGTCCCACCATTTCCATTCTCTTCTGGAAAAGACCCGGGTTATCCCAGCGCCAATCGGATCGGCAGATTCAGACCCGTATTCGTGAACTAAGTCGACTTACTCACTGCCTCTCTACCCCACTTGAGTCTGCGCCCCTCCAATTCCCTGCATCTACATCATCCCCCTCCCCCCCACACATACTCTTTCTCCCCTCTTCTGTTTCTCTTTCCTCCAAATACCCATCCCAAGCGCACAATGTCGTACGTCTACAGAGAACGCGAGCGCGATCGCGACTATGATGACCGAAATGTTACAATCAAACGATATGTCGTTCCATCCGACACCCGAGACGATCGACGTGATTTTATGAGCAGCCGAGATGATTCCTACGGCGACCGTGAGGTGGTGATCCGTCGCAAGACAGAACGTGAGGAACCCGTTTCAATCCAGCGCTATGAGAGAGACATCGAATATGACCAGCCCGTTCGTCGCTACGAGCGAGAACATTATGAACGTGAGTTGTCCAGACACCCCCGAGGCTAGCAGTAGCTCCTCCAGACCCTTGGAATATCTGGGGAGGCCGCTTTTGCCGCTGTTGTGACTAGCAGGCAGTGTCTTGAGGGGGAAAAAAAGCAAAAGAACCCATTGTTAATAAACATCATGATAAAGCTCGTTATGTCAGCCCTCGTCAATCCGAGTACGAAATGGATGATGAATACTACCGCCGCCGTGTCGATGACCGCTCTTCTCGCAGAGAGATAAGCCCCGGTGATTCGATCTCACAAGCTAGCCGTCACCGAGGCCGCAATCGTGACGCCGAATACAGCAGCGACGATGAGTACTACTACCACGAAGAGACACGCAACTATGATGGTGACCACCCCCATCATCGCCGTCATATGGCCGAAGGTGCCTTGGTTGGTGCAGGTGCAGCAGAGCTGATTCGCAGCCATCGCAGGCGCGAGGGTGATGAGGTCAGTCATGGTGTGAACCACGCCTTAAAGACAGCCGGTGCTGGTGCTTTGGGTGCCGTAGCGGTTAATGCTGCCTCCCATGCGCGTGAATACTATCGCAGCAAGAGCAGGAGCCGACGCCGTTCAGTTGATGATGATCGTTCCCACCATTCGCATCGCCACAGCCGCCATGGTAGCGGTCGCTGGAGTCACAGCCGTAGTCGCAGCCGCTCTAAGTCGCATTCTCGCGCAAAGACCCTCATGGAGGTTGGTATTGGTGCCGCCGCAATCGCTGCTGGTGTTGCTGCCCTAAGAAACAACAAGGCTGCCGATGAGCGAAAGAGCCGCTCGCGTACTCGTTCCCGATCTCGAGCCCGTGCCTCCAGTACCGGTCGCTCAGCGTCAGGCAAAGACGATGCTCGCAGCATGTCTGAGCGTCGAAAGCACATGGCAGGAGCTGGTTTGGCTGGTGCAGCAGTGGCCGGACTTGTTGAGCATCACAGAAGCAAGTCTCGCTCCCGTAAGGGTGAGCGTTCCCACAGCCGATTGAGAAAGGCCCTCCCCTTAGTTGCCGCTGGTCTCGGAACTGCAGCTGCAACTGGGCTCTGGGAGAAAAACAAAGCCGATAAAGAGGGCAAAGAGCCTGGTAGCCGTGGAAGAAGTCGATCGAAATCCCGAACTCGTGGATCTTCCGATAGATACCCTGACCCAACCCGGGACTCTGCAGGTCTGATCGAGTATGGCAAGGACCCAGTTACTGGCAGCATTCCCGCTGAGCACTACTATGGTGCTCCGAATGGGGACCCCGCTTATTACTCGGACGGTGGCGAATACAACCGACGTCCGAGCCGCAGCCGCAGCCGCAGCCGTGGTGCCAGATACAGCGGTAGCTCATCTGGTTCGGATCGTGGATCCCACCGACGCCATAGAAAGCACCGCAGCCGTTCTAGAGACTTGGCTGGTGCCGCCTTGGGTGCTACAGGCTTGGGATATGCTGCCCACAAGTACTCGCAGTCTCGGGAACGGAAGAAGACTGAACGGGAGCAAGACAGGACTCGTAAGTTCGTTAAAAATCTCATCGAACAAATCGTACCAAGCTATTAATACTGACCTTTTCATTAGGGTATGAGGATGCTCACCATGATCCCTATGAAGAGTCTTATGACCCGGCACCCTACCCACCTTCGCCTCCAGCTGCCAATTACCAGCAGCCTCCCCATGACAACTATTACCCCAACAATCCCAGTTTTCCTCCGCCCGCTGCCTCGGCTACCAACCTAAATGAAGCCCCGCCTAATGCGTATAACCCTGCGGATTACCCACCTCCCCCAGGGGCAGCGCCTCCATCCCAACCCTACAACTATGGAGCACCTGGACCAGGAACCGAGCAGTATGCTCCACGGGCGCGGAGAGCTGACGAGAATGTGAGTACTCCAAAGAGCTCCATCCCACCCATTAATAATCTCAACGTACACAATGGTGTGTCCGAACAACCAGAGATACGCGTAATAAACAGTGCCCACTGACACACTACTTAGCAGGCCTAGCGGAATTTTCTGCCAAAACGACTTCGAAGTCCCTTTCTCCGCAATCAGATCCTCAGATACACCCAAATCCATCATCTAAGTCTGTTTCTTTCAACATCCAGTCCCAGAGTCCACAAAGGCACGACCGCGGCTATGAAACGGACGACAGCGACTCGACTATTGACGCCCATGGGCATAACTCTCATTCTCATCGGACCAGCCGTCGTCGTCGATCCAGTTCTATCCCACATCCGCCCATGTCTTATCCCCGCTCCTCTAATAGTCGTGAACATGAATCTCGATCACAACCCCATTCATATAAGCCTGCAAAGCCATCTAAATATCAAGAGCCAGATTCCGATTCGACGATTGAGATGCCCGAACGCTTTGATACAAACGGTCATCTTTTGCAAGGCCGCGAAGACACCGAAGCCACAACGATTGAAGATTTCATCAACCGGGCAGCAAAACTCTTTGCTTGATGATTACTTTTCTTCGAATACAAGATATGATCTAAACAGGTCAGAGGTGAATGGTTGAAACCAAATAACCAATACAAAAGATTTTTTTCAAAAAAAGAAAAAAAAGAGAGGATGGGCGAAAGGTTGAGTTCCGGAGATATCGGTTTTTCATTTCCACTTTCTTTTTGATTTTGAATTTCGTTTGGGCTGGGAGGTTTCCTGCTCTTTAATGTATTTTGACGTTTTATGATGACCCTTGCAACTTTGATTTTCTCATTTTAAACTTGCTATTTGACATACTTAGCTGCTTTACTTTTTTCGATTCCATTTGCTTGATACATTATCCTTGGCTTTTGATGTTTTGTTACGACTGATGCCCACAATGATCACGATTCATGACCCAATATAAGCGAGATACTCAACTAGATCCTTCTGACTACAAACTCCATACATTAATTGGGATATAGACCAAATGTAGATAGAGTCTTTCCGGGAGTTTGGGAAATATGCCGACTCCCAAGAAGAAAGGCGGAGAATGTTGATGCCCGAGTAATCAAAATTTCCAAGGTTTCGATTGCGTAGCAACTGTAGAAAAAGACTAGGTGCACTAGCTGAAGTATAAATGATGTAAATATTAAAAGAAGCTTTGCTGGCAATCTTTGGGTCGAATATTTCCACAAATGACATGCAGGTGTCTCATGATATATTTTTCAGCTCGCAAGTAACGTTCCGAGCCCTGATGATCTGAATTTCGGTAATTTCTGTCCCTCCTTTCAGGTAACGGATGCTTATTTTCGACTCCTGATCTGTCGGCACGATATCTCCCTGGGGGTTCCAGAGCGGAGCTTGGTAGTCATTCGGCAGAGAGCAAGATAGTAGAAAGAAGTTCAGCAACTTGGCGGTATGAGCTTTGCGTCTTCGATCATTGCTTGGTTCGCTGACGCATGGGCGTTTTTCGGTCGCGCATCTCGTGCATGGGGTCGTGCCAGAGCACTTTATTGGGTCAGCTCGCTCGCCAAATGCAGGAATGATGTTTCTGACCTTGGCCCTTTCCTTCTGACACTCCGTGCAGGCAAGAGACACGTTGCGTCGCTTGCTTGTCGTTGGGACGGCTTCGAGATGTTGCATGTTGCTCCTTTCATTTTACATGGGTAGGATCTTGCGCAAGTAGCTGACAGAATATGGTGGTGATTCGATCAATGGTGCCTAGCAAGTGTTTAGTATAGTGGGATTCTTCATGCTTGGTAACATTATATTGAAGCAGCCAAATAGGCTCTCAAGATCAATCCACAAGCTGGAATGAGTCTGGCTCTGTGTACTGTGTCATGTTTCTAGCAGAGAGCTTCTTACCAAGAACAATTTCTAGTGTAGCTAGATGCATCGCCCCATATCCGCCTAGCAAATCTTATTGTCATATTGGGGCTTCTCAACTCAACCTAGCCTTGTTCCTCTAAGCCTTGTCAAGGTATAGACACCGTAGAACGAATTTAGGCCTCCTTTAGGTTTTAGATTGAACGTAAGGTAAAACAGTCGGTAATGTTTCGTATTCCTATTCTATCAAATGTAAATATGTAATATTTCTTAGCGCAGTTAATTGCCATTGGGCAGGCAGCTAGCCCCAGGGGTGTCACCGCATATTTTTCCGTCGGGCGACAATTGAAATTGATAACATTGCGTGGTAGTACTCCCGGACTATAGCATACCACTGTTATTCAATGGCACACGCTACAGTGTCGACATGAAAAATATCCTCCGGGGTTCTCCCTACATCATGCAGATGCCATCACAGTCCGCGGGTACACGTAGATTACTTGAAGTCGGCCTGAATGGATCTATTTCATTGACACACTGGCAATACTGTGCGATAATACCAAAATAATTGTATTAAACCATCATACAGAGCTTGGAAAAGTCAATAGAGATAAAGCAATGTCAATGAGCAGCAGTCAAGGCCCATTGAACTTTTTAGGTTCATTCCATACTTGAAATCATAGCAATGAAGAAGGCATATGCAGTGTTTCCACAGCTTTTCCCTCGGGCTGTAAAGGAAAACTAGACCAACAGTCCCGCCAGTCGCCTTTCCCGGGCACTGGTGGCCAGATCTTACGAGGAAGTTGGGAAATCTCTTCACAGAGATGATAATAATCATTCTGTGCCCAACCGTCGCCTTCTCGTTCTACCTCCCATAACCTCTTTCCAATCTCCTCTATGTATGGTGATTCGGGATTCTGGAAATTGTATCGAGTAATCAGATATGAGTGTGTCAAGTACTTCAGTAGACACTCTTCTCCCCAGCTGAACTCATGTGCGAATGGGAAAATACGAAGGTATTGAAGACAGGGAGCCTCAATATTGACCAAGTGCCAGATCCCAAGAGCCAGCTTCTCATCCGTAGCCGCATTCATGAAAGTTTTTAAGTGGAGTTCGACTTCTTGTGTGTCATTACAGGGTCCTCGTCTATCCATTCTCCTGTCGAAGTTAAGGCCCAGAAAAAGGCTGCGAAGCTTCGAGAATCTTCCGAAAGCTTTGTAAATATCACATTCACTCTGGTTTCCCAACGACCTTGGGACTTCGAGGCGTAGCTCTTCTAAATTTGGACAATCAAGTGCCAGTCGGTCAATATCAGAAGCCTTGGGCTCGGCATGCTTAGGATGATGGCCAAGATAAGGAAAATGTAAGATAAGTCCTTTTAATGATACACCATGGTGTTTGACTATCTGATGTAAACCCTCCACCCAGGGAAAATAATGAAGAGAAAGATATTTCACTGGATGAAATGCTCGTATTGCAGTGGCGAACTTGATATAGCCTTCGTCATGGGTTGACTTTACACGTATCTGGATCAAGAGTTTTTCAAGGCTGGGCAATAGCTGACCAACTTTCGCTAGATTCTCTGGATCATCAGAGAAAAGCTCGAGGGTGTGAAGATTAGAAAGACTACCAGTAGCGGCGAACTTGAAAATAATACCTTCGCCGAGTCCACGTCCAAGGATTCTGAGTGATTCCAATTGTGAGGTTTGTTTAGAAGGATGAGCAACAACAAAATCGTGCCATTTCTCCTTAAGCTTGCCAAGGGGGAATTCTAATACATCAAAATGATGATCTAGAGAAAGATGCTTCAGCCCCGGAGATGTAACGATATAAGACAGCACCTCTTCCAGGTTTTCATATGGAGTCGAATCATTCTGCATGAATCCCACATTGAGCTGGTGAAGAGCCGGTAGTTGAAGAATATCAATATCAAAGTCTAAGTTGTGTTCGTAGATCGTGTAGACGTACTCATAGTAGTCTTCAGCCCATGCTTGATATTCTGAATCAAGGATGCTGAATTCTACTACCTGATTCCCAGGAATCATCACCCTACAATTCGGGTGGTGATGCAATATAGCTTGCTTCAAGCCACTTGTGAAATTGGTTTCCATGACAAAATGAAGCTGATCGAGATGTTCCAGGCAGGCTATTAGATACTCGACAGGAGCCCAGCTACCATACCAACACAGCCGGTCATAAAGTCGGTCAAAATAGAAATCCGGACACGGACGACAAGCTGTCATCCAATGTCCCAGAAAGCTTTCCCTCGTGGCTGCTTGCGTCGCGGCATTGATTCTAAAATTGATGGCCCAGGGCTCTAACTGCCATTGGAGATTTTTTTCTCTGACTCCAAGACATGGATATATTCGAATTCCCACGATGTACAATCTCCGAGTGTATTTCCTAAAGCGGCGTCCTTGGGGGCTCTCAGGCTCTGTCACCTCCGAGACGGCGGCCTGCAAGCTTTTCTCATCCCAAAATTTGATAGTGAGGTCTTGATAGAGAATTGGAACTGCCACTTGATAGAAGAAACGGTTGACTTGGCTCAGAGATGATAGATCTGTATGCGGGCCATATGGAGACTCAGCCTCGTGGAGCTATTATTCACTGGCATTAGCATCTCAGTATACCAAGAAGTAAAAGGTTTTTCAAATTTGAAATTCTAATGCTGGAGTGGGTTATAGGGACGTACATAGAGGCATATTTCGTTCAATATTTCATATGGAATACGATTCATTGTTTTGATTTTCTTTCGAGCTTAGATGTCAACATCTAGAGCTCAAGAAGATAGAATATGTCAAAAGTATGATAATGAACAGGAGACCGAATTTCGAATAAGATATATGTCTTGTACTAAATATATAGAAAGTGCAAAAGAAAAAAAGAAAGAGCGAAGAAGAAAGAGAAAATGAACTATCCTCCTTCCTGGGAATGTGTCAAGTTTGGAAGCACCCGCCCATCTTGCTCTTTGAGGTACCGCCGTGCGTCACTATCACGCCCCAAAATAGGCTAGTAGCTGTTAAAGAAGCGTTAAAATTAAACAGTTCCCTACAAACATCTACCTAGTATCGCTTATCTGTTTTGCAAGATCAAAGGAAGCACGGTAGAAATTGGTGAGTTATAAAAGGAGGGTAATGACTGGTGCACACATCTACAGTAACACAGCCAAACATGCCCTATATCTTTTCATAAAGCCCGAGATATGAGATAGTAACATAGAGATACATAGATACAAACAATCATAGGAAAGGGCAGATAGCCAGGACAGGTGAAGGTAGCAATGTACTCAGTACTGCACGCCCTAGAACCCAAATCAAATCGTGACACATAGCAAAGTCCACATCCCACATAAGCCAATAAGGTTTTGTACAGAGAAATGTCAAAAGAAGAGACAGTGGAAAGAACCAAAATCTTGGGTATCCCACATGTCTTGGACTTGACTGTTACATAACAGTTCGTTAATAGTTCAAAAAATAGGGATGTGATATCGCAGATGGGTATACAACGGGATATGAAATGCAAAGAGACAGCAATGGCTCATTAGTAAGACCTTGCTTTTGCTTTGGAGGCCTCAGTACGGAAAAGGGGAAAGGAAAAAAAGGGAATAATAGTAATAAAGGGGTGAAGAAGCCGTCATAAGAATGCAAATCGCTCTATCGCTAAAGAGATGGGAGTGGGGATGCTTCCAAAAAATCAAGCCGTAAACTGTCGTTTAAATTTTACTGGCCGGAGCTCAGGTTGAGCATCATGGTCCAGAAGGCGTAAAGAGGGGTTGGCCTTGGTTGAGATCCGAGCAGTCTCATTGCTCGGGGGTGTAGTGTCTGGATCATCACTATCTTCGTTGGGCACGTACTTGACGGTTGCACTGATAGATTCCGAATGATAAAGGGAGCTGAGTGGCATGGGATATTTAATCACACCCCGAACAATCAGCTCAAAGGGATGCTGAAGTACTCGCTCCCAGCGTTCGGTGCCGCCTTCTTCCGTCTTGTTGCCGGGTCGACCAAGTCGAATCTGGGCCTTGGACGTAAATGGCTCTTTACCCCACGGAGCTGCAGGGAATGAGAGAGGCGAATCGAATCGAAAGACTCTCCCAAGTAGCATGGTTTGGGCATCACCCTCCGGATCAGAGATAGGATCAGTGCCTTCATCGACGCCATCATTGGTATGAGGACCTGAAGAATGACCAGACATGGCTGCCTTGACGCAATCCATATTCCCAAGACATCGGACAACGCGAGACAACTCCCAGCGGCGACGGCTCTGCTTCACTCGAGGGAAACCATCAAGTTCGTCATCCCGGTGCTCGCGCCACAACTTGTCGGTCCCCACGAATCGACTTTTAGCAAAGATATTGAGATCAGTATCGTCTATTGTGACCGGGAATATATTCGGATTGATGGCAGACACATTGAGATCCAGCATAATCTCTTGCTCCGAGGCAAGTACATTCTCGATAGCAATGACCTGGACGTCCAAGAGTGTTTTGCTAGCGGCGATGAAAAAGGAAACTGCACCACCAGCAATAATGAGTAGCAACAAGAGAATAATAGTGCACGAGCCATAACGTGAAAAACATCCACGTTGCTGTTGAGTAATATATTCGATCTGTCGCGATGTGCCACCAGGACGTCGGATAATGCGATCGCCGCGACTGCTTCGCGGTGGACGGGAAACCAAAGGAGTCCTTTCATCATCAGCGCCTTCGGCGTCAAAGTCGTATCCGTAAATATCGCCCGCTTTCTTAGATCCATTGATACTTCTATAGTTCGGCGATGAGCGAGTATTAGAGTTTCGCGAATGTCGATGCCCGCTGATGAAATGCCTAGGCGACTTTTGGCCTTGACCTTGAGGGAAAAGTCCATCATTGTCCATAATAGATGGCGGTCGTGTACGAGGTCCAATATGATGGTATCCTCGCCCGGGCGTAATAGTTCCACTGCCATCAACCCTCGAAACGCTGCGACTATCAGAATCAACAGATTCACCATCCAGATGGGAATTATTTGTGAACTTCATGCTGCGTTTGATAGTCACGCTATGGTTACCGTCTCGCATGGGTAAACGCGCGCGACCGGCTAGCTGATCAACTTGGCTTGCCATTGAGGTGGCACTGGGTGTACGAGAGTGATATCTGCGTGGAGGATAATCAATGGGGTTCGACTCATAAACAAATGTCTCATCGGAGTCCGACACATCGGCTTCGTCCACGGCGCTCGCTACCTTGGCTTCAAATATATCTGCTTTGCTCGAAGTAGGCCCAGTCGGAAGAGCGTTAGGTCTTCGCTTTTTCTTGGGAGGATTGCCGCGAGACACGGGCGCCGCCCTGACTGTATCAGTAGACCTTTTATTTTTAAGAGTGCCTTGTTCAACACCACGGCTAGCGTGTCCACGCTCGCCAGCTCCGACCCCTAAAGACACTTGTGGGATAGAGCTAACAGTCTCGGTCTCCACAATCATGTTGCGCACTGAGCCATCAGCAGGCTTCCCACGTGCACCTGCACTGAGTGAAGTAGATGATCGTTGCGGCATCAGAGTCTTGGGGGTCTTAGTTCCTCCCGTAGCTTGAGACCGACCTTCCTCTGCTGCTTCAGAGCTTCGATTCTCACCGCTATCACTTCCACTCTCGGCATTTTGTTTCTTTTTTGCGGCTCGAGGCGTCGGGTCTTCATCGATTGTGTGTAACCTAGCGTCATCCGGAGTGACGGGTTTGAGGGCCGTATCACTGGAAGGAGTTGAGGGATTACTGGCCATTTCTTGGACCGTTTCCAGGGAGGGCCCTTGTCCGCTGACACCCCTTGCGACGGGCCGAGGTGTGCTTCGATCGACTGTCCCATGCTCTTCTTCGGAAGGTGGCAAAGGTATTCTTTTTTGTGAGGTATTCGGGGGAGTCGAGTCTTGATCCGTACGGCGATTTGCCGACCATGGTGGCATGTTCTTTTCTGGACTAAGGACATTGGCCGGAGGATCGGGGGCAGGAGGAGGAGGTGAGAAGAAGGGTGTATTGTTTGACTGTGTCGATCCGCGCTGGCCAGATGGCGAGGTGTGCACAGGTATACCAGATGAATGGCTGTTGGAGAATGATCGGACCGGACTGGCTCGGTCTTGGCTACTTCGGCGGGATTGAGAATGCACTCGACTAGTCGAGGTGTTCATAGAGCGCGTAGAGTATCGGACGGGGGATGATTCGCGGGAGGATACGGCAGAGTTCGTTGTAGAGGTCGAGGAGGAAACGGGTATACTAGGGACGAGCTTAGGCACCTGGGACATGGCCTGGCCCTGGGATTTGGCGGTTGGGGTTGACATGTCTGGCGTGATGTCTTCTTTGACCGATCGAGGCGCGGGTTCCGAAGGCGCGTCTACATCTTTGGCCCCCCTGGTTTGACCGGAGTCACCGTTGAAGTAAGGCGGCCTCTCGGACTCCGCAGGCATGGTCGCTATCGAGTCAGAGTGGGCTGACACGATGCAGACAAGTCAGGAGACCCAAGAGGGAGCCGGGCAAGTTGGGCAGAAATGAAAGACCCGAAAAGGGCAATGAAAAAGCAAGGTGCTGCAGCAGGTAGAAAGGCTCGACGGTGAAAGTGATGACTTGTTGGCAATGGGTCAAGAGCGAATAAGAGATCGCCGCGGTGTACAAGGGAGAATGTTGTGCAAAGGTACGGGATCCTGTTACACGAGTGACGATGTCGCAAAGTAATAGCCGATGTCCACATGCCATCGAGACAGGAATAGGGTGTGTAATGTTGTGAATCTCCAAGGAACGACCCCGGTTAAGAATTTGATTGCACCAAGGGCAAGGGCGAGGGTTGGGGGAGTTCAGTGTGGGTAGTGGGTACAGACTATTTCGCCTGTATGGGGAACGGACGGAGTGGTGAAGTGGGTTTTTGGATTAGGAAGGTCGAGCATAAACGATCGGAAGATCATGAAACGGCATGCTTTGTTTCCCGGGGCCAGAAGCCAGACAAAAACAAGAACGTCTAGAACAAGGTGGTTCCGACAGATGACGGACGTTGGTTGGCGGATTTATTTGGGGGCTGACGGGGGCCGCCGATCCGGTTCAACGTTGGCCTTGTCTTCCTTGTGTTGGAATGAGAGACGATGTGGCGTCCAACCGTTGCCGAATGCGCCTGCAGAGATGTCGGTGACCAAGACCTCGGGTAGAAGTCAAGAAAAACAGTGTCGTGGCTAACGAAGTGGAGGGATTCAGGGCCGGGCCCGTTATGAGACCAATGATCGTGGCCCACGTCAGGTTCTGAAGGGGCACTTGCACCGCAGGGGACCACGCGGATGGGTCTAGAAGGGATATGCAGTCCAGGAATCCACTTTGGAATGGAAGCTGACTGCAAGTAATAGAATCAGGGAGAGTTTAATGGGGGGAAAGAAGAAAGACGAAAGAGGAGATCAAGGGAAGAGAGCGAGAGAGAGAAAGATGGGTAGTTGATATGGAAGACCAAGACCAAGACCGTTGAGAGATTCAAGATGCAGAATCTGGGGCAGAAAAACCGAGACGAGATGATGACGCGCCAAAGGTAATAAATGTAATTAGTTGTTGCTCAAACCGGGCAGTTTCCAGCCACTTATTGCGTTGACTTTGTTTATGCCTGATTTTGGCCTTAAATACAACGGTAATAATAATACACCGTATGATGAAGTCATCGCTCCCAAATACAAGGACAGCTGCACACCATGTTTATTATATGGAGACTGAAATGTTGCAAATTCTATGATGGAGGGTATATGTGTTCCCAGACACACCAAATCCAGAATAAAGTACAAGTCCAAAAATAGGGGAATAACAAAGAAAGTGAAAAAGACAAAATCCCAACAAGCTTTGACCCGTATATCGTCATCAATTCAACGCCATCGCATACTCTGAATCACACCATGTATCAAGCCAGAGAAATAAATAAAAAATAGGGGAGAAGAGATAGAAAGTAAATGTAGAGAAACCATGTTACAAAGAATCCAAAAGCGAAAAGTCCCACCGGAAGAGGCTAACAGCAGCCAAGGGTATCTATAGTCGAGGGAATGGAGATGGGGCTATGATGAAAAAGAGTCCCCCATCTACACAATCTTATATACTCGTTTTGCGATAATGAAAGAGACAAAGGCAAATATAAACAAGCCCAGAGTAACTAGATGATGTCAGAAAGCCTCAATCAGATATAACAGAGAAAAGAAGAAACTTACTGGACCAGAACCAATAGAGATTGTCGATGTCCTGACCCGGCACTTTGACGTTCATTCCCCACATACCACAAATAATATTCATGGGGAGAACGATAGTACCGAGCACTGTCAATTTTCCTAGGACATCAGCAGTCTGCTCCTGCCGCTCATTCATCAGAATGTTGATTTGTGCCAAATAATTCGAATGTGCCCGAGAAAGAATCCTGTAAAACGATGTTAGTGACCGACTCCCAATTGAACATCACCCAGGCTATAGCCAGGGGCAGTGGCAAGAGATGAACTAACGTTTCATAATGAGTCAAATTACCCGTCATAGTCATAATATGATCTTGAATATCGCCCAAATAAAGACCAATTTCAGATTTCGGCGCAACTTCCCACTGTTCGTTGCAACGCTTAGCAAATCCTTTGACCACATCGGCTTTGTTGCTTAGAAGTCGGTATAATCCCATGACCTTCTTGCGACACACACCAACACGCCGCAGCATTTCACCGGGTGCAAAAGAGGGAAGTACGCTATCACCCGAAGATGCTTCTTTGCTGGACGAGTGCATCTGCATGATCATTTCGTCAATCTCGTCAACTTCGTCCTCAATGGCCTGGATAAGTGGACCAAACACGTCGGTAATATCGTCAATCAAGGCGTAAGAGATCCAGTCAGAGCTAAGAATCAAGTAGTCCATAAGCTGGCGAATACGCCGTCGTACATTGGCTGGATGTGGTGTCTGTGAAAAATGGAACGATATGATTCCATCACGGAACACAACCACGTACATGTTGACAGGCTCAAGGTAGTCCTCGCTATTCCTATCCTGCTCGAAAGTACGGTAATTGACAAAATAGTAACTGCGAAACAGTTCTACTTTCTCTCTCGCTTCCTGCATCATGATATCCTCGGCAGTCAGCGCATGGATGCCAAATGTCTTTGCAATCACGCGCATCTCTGCGTCTGTTGGAGAAAGCACATCTAGCCAAAACGTTGGTCGAGGGCCATACCGCTTGGGCTTTGGCGGAATATTGGAAGCAGATGGTGAGACTTCTCGAGCGGATTCAGGTCGCCCTTCACTAATGACAGATAGCCGCTGTGGATGCCCATTGGTAGTAGAAGGTAGAGCAGTATCTTGCCCATCCTTGAGGGGATTCGGCACTGCGGGTGGCGGATTTCCATTGGGTGCATTCTCCTGAACAGAATGATTGGCATCATCTTCTTCTTCGTCGGATGATGAATCCTCTAGCTCTGGAGGCTCTGGGATAAATAGCTCACGGAAACTACTGCCTGGTTGCACAAGCTCAGAGATGGTCTGGGCGTGGATGGTGCTTTGGAATTCTTCATTGAAGTAGGTGAAACGATAAGGGGCTTCGTCTTCTTCACGGCGCCACAACTTATATTGGGGTCGAAGCCGACCTTCAACAAGCATCGGCTCATTGATTTTTTTGACTCGAAGGTCCCCATTGCGACTTTCTTTCTCCTCTCGACTCCACTCCTCCAAGACCGATAAATCGGGCCAGCGTCGATGTCTGCGTCGCCGCCTTTCACCAGACTCGTCTCGCGGCAATTGAGACCCTTCATCTCCCATTTCTGACCCTCCTTGGGGTAGGCAAACATCCTCAAGGGGATTGGGAACAGTGTGTCGCCGAGGAACAAATCCCCGGGTTGGTGATTGTCCAGAACGAATGGATGAAGGCGCCGAATGCTGATGTGGCATACCTTCAATGTTGATAACTGCATCATTCATCCAATTGTATGAGTCTCTGCGAGCCTCTGGACCTTGCGTCGTAAAATCAAACTCTACGCCAGTCATCATTGCATCGTCGTAATTCATCTCCGGGCCCAGCTTTGGGGTGCCGGGCATCGATGGAGGGTTGTTCACATCAAACTCTCGGTCTTGGTCTGGAAAATACGACGTGCTGTGGCCGGGTGAGCATTGTGACGAGGGTGTCTGGGCAGATGTTCGCCGGGGTCGAAAAGAAAGCGGGCTTGTACGAGTATCTCCGACGTAGCGGGTTCGAGCCGATGTAGTGCCTGGTGTCGTTCGTCGCATCAAGGGTGTCCGATCGGTGGGTTCATTTCCATCGCTGTCATCGTCTTGATATTGTTGAGGCCATCCTCCCCCAGGACTGTTTCGAGCTCGTGCGTCGGGCCCCCGGAAGGCAGAAAGCAGAGAACTAGGGCGGAATGTTGAAGTTTGGCGGCTGTCACGGCGCGGCCGCATCATAGGTTGGTCTCTGTGATGAAGGAGAGCCAGCGATTAGCAAGATTCACGAAATGGGGGGAAGAATCCACCCAAGGGAGATACCCCTCAGCTTCCACGGAACGAAATAGAGGAACAAGAGCAAAAATAAGCCAGTCGCCTTACCTATGATCAAGCAGAGCATCACTCTCCAAGCTCGTATTACTCAAATTGTTGCCCAATTTAAAAAATGACTGATCGTCCTTCGAGGTTGGCCGATCGCCGTCCATTGACTCTCTAAGCCCATCAGCTGCCGAGGAGCTTACCGGTCGTTCATGTGTTGTTTCAGAGGCAGGTGGTAGGAACGATTGTTTGCGATTCTTAGGCTTGCGTCGGCGGTTCTTGCGCTTACTGGCCTTGGATTTGCCAGCAGCATGATTATCAGGCGCGGGGGTTTGAAGGCGGGCCCCGGAGGACGTGGCCGAAGCCTGATCTTGGCCCGCACCGCCCATTGGACCCTTCCCAGTTTTGTTATCAGTGGAAAGTGGATAGTCGGTTTGCTGGGGGCGTAATCTAGGGCCAGGAGAGGAAGAGGAGGATTGTGTTAGTCGAAGATCCCCTAAACCTGGCGTCGGCGTAAGAGGAGGGTCCATGGCTGCGGCTTATATTACGCCAGTCCAATCGTTGCTCGGATTGATGAGCTTTGGCCGTCGGCAGCTCAGAGAAGGGGTTGAATAAAGTCCGCTGATCGCACAAGCCGACCGAGTTAAATTGGAGGTAACTATGTCGGCGATAGAAACCCTTTGAGATACCCCTAGTAGCTCCAGTCTTTGAATCCCATGCGACCAGGCCCACAAGACGATATCATGACAAGTGCAGGAAGATCGGCGTGTTTTAGTGATGGTCGAGATGCAGACTGGAAGGTGGAAGTGGAGAGAGAAGATAGTGGTGGCAATGCAGTCTGGAACATGAAGCTTTAGACTCTGCCAAACAAAGCGATCAATCCAGATGAGACAGGATACAAATAATCAAAAATAAGAATTTACAATAAGTTGCACAGGAAGTTTGCTGAAAAGCTGGAATGCTGGAAAGAAAGTGGAAGATCGTCACGATGGTGGATACTTTACTTGCAAGGTTGGAGCGAGCGGGAAGATGTCAACCACGTCATAGCATAGAACAGTTCAACAAGCATGGCAGCTACACCAGACCATGATAACTTTTATATAAAAGGGTTTCTTGTCTATTTTCTAGAATATCAAGGTGGCAGTAATAAATACTTATTTGCATTGATCCTTTAAAGGATAACTCGATCATATAAACGCATAGCACCTTGCCCCGTTGGTTATGCTGTGGATAATTGACTATATCCACTATGTCCACGAGGCTCAACTCAATACAACGAGACTGTCGAACCATCATCTCTCATATTTCTGGCTCTGGAATGCACAAATTGAGTCACTGGGAAGATTGAGTACCATCCGATGAGCCGGAATCTTGAGAATCACTGAGTCGCTACTGTTTGCTTGGAAAGTGCACTACATCTATACGCACTAAGGCATCCAGGGGCACCCAAGACTCTACAATTCCAAACGAGACAGGATTATGAAGAAGCAAATATGAGATAACCAGAATTATATGGTATGTAGAATGACTCTATTACAATTGGCATGCCAGAAGTACAAGGTCGTCGTCACTCATCAGACATCAAAGATAGTAAATACATGTCCAGCGGCCGTTATCTTCCATGATTGAAGAATAGATCAAACATAAGAGACAAGAAAAGAAAAACGTAAACAAATAATCAACTCCAGATTACATCAAATCAACCCATGCCATCCTTGGCTTTAGAGATTAACCGAACTCGTAGATAAAGCCAGGACGCCACAATATCCATTTTGCACCATCCGAGAAGAAGAAAAAAAAAGAAAATAATAACAAGAAAACAAAAACGTCATATCGCATGATGTATACAGGGTCAGTGAGAATAAACAGATCAGAGTGTGACGCCTCAGAACTGGTTACTTCCCATGTCCATTGTAAACGTGGAGGGGGCTATACTGTGGACAGATTTGTTCGGGTGGTCCAAGGACATCCGGTCTCCACTCACCATGCGAGAGACCTTCTTGTCTTTGCCAGGGCGGGCGATGAGGACTTGAGCAGGGCAGACGACAACTTCATCGTCGCCCTCGCCAACATCATTGCCCTTCTTGACAACAAGAGGGAAGAGTACTATGCGTACAACAGCCTGCTCAGATTCCAACTCATCGTTGGAGCTGGTTTCACCACTGCGTTCGTTCATCAGTGATGCGTTAAAGAACACCTGACGGGCTAGGTCTCCATTGGTGTCATATTCAGGCTGCAGCGGAGGGAGCATGATGAACTCCGCCAATTGAGTGCGCATTTCAAGGGAGAGGTTGACAGAAACACGCAACACCTTGCGCAGGGATTCGAGTAATTGTGCCTCGACTTGGGAGGGGGGTGGAAGTACGCGAGACAGAGTGCCGAAGATTTCTAAAGCGACGGCTTCAGTGTCGCTCTCACGCTGGGAGGCGAAAGCGGGGCGACGAGACAGCAAAGTTAAAGTGGTTGCGCGCCAACGGTGTACGGAGCGACGAGGACCAACTTCAGCTAATTGTTTCTCAAGGGACTTAAGTTTCTGTCGTTGCTCCCGATCCATGCCAAACAGGTATCGGGTGAAAATGTATTCCCAGACCATGGTCATCACCACGGACATAAAGATGTCACGTCGACGAACTCGATCAGCAAGAATGGAATCGGCATCAGAGCCGTCGAGGAGGGCATTATCGAAACGATCAGCGATCTTCTCGTCATGCAGCTCACTCAGAGCTCGGCAGCGACGGTGATCGGAGTGTTTTGAGAAGCGCAGCACCCACTGCTGAACGTGACCGCAAAGCTTTTGGCAGGCAGCGTCAAAGTAATCCTCATCCCGGAAGACAAGTGCATTGTCATTTACCGACGCGGAGATCTGCTGCTGAAGTTCCTTGACCTTGTCGCGAGCTGCCTCCAATTCTCCACGGAGACGGCGCAGCTCAGTATCCTTTTGCGCCAGGGCAGACTCGATTTCTTGTCGAACGCGATCGTCAAGTTGGCTAGACAAGTCTGCATGTTGTGATCGTAGCACATCCAGCTCGCGCGTCGACGATTCGCGCACGTTGCCGACTTCAGCGGCGTGGGCTGCCGTGAGGGCGGCATTGGATGCTGTCAGGCCTTCATTCTCCTGGGTGAGGCGGGTCATTTCTTTTTGTAGCCAGTCCACCGAGTTCTTTAGTTGTTCCACCTCGGCTTCTTTGTCCCGCAAGTCGGCGCCACGAGTGTTGAGAGCCTGGTCGCTCTTTCGGCGAGCGACGCTAGCATTGCGCAATCTGTCTTCAGCTTCATCACGAGCAGCGACGAGCAATCTATTTTCTGAAATGAGTTGGTCGAGACGGGACTCGATATCTTGTAAGTGTTGCATGCTGCGGCGACGGCGGACACTAGGCGGTCGGCTGGGCGACCGCGGGGAACTGGGCGTCTCACCCCAACCCTCCTAATAAAAAACAACAACATTAGTAAACAAACACCAAGCAACCGCCAAATTAAACCGATCGGAAAATTCAGATAATCAAAAGAAAAAGAAAAAGAATAAACTATCAACTTACATAGACATCCGACATGTTTCGTAGGGGACGCTTGCCCTTGTCGGTGACGGGGTCGTAAGAGGAAGAAGAAGGAAGTTGATCGAGATCGAGATTTGGGGGAGGCTGGGAATCGTCTAGCGCACGACTAGCCGCCCGCAGATCACTACTCGTGCTCCGATTCGTGCGACGTAGTTTTCCCTTGCTACCGCTAGGCTTTAGAACAGGCATGCCTTGCTCGGGTGTTTTTAAAATTGGGGAGTCGCCAGAGCTTCGGCTTCGAGAAAGGTCATCTTGGCTGCGACGAGCTTGTTCATTTTCCGGTGTCGGCCATGCCTCTCGGTCTCGAGAAGTATCTGTAAATTTCCGCACGGGGGTGACAGGTCGTACAGGTGATCGTGAAGGTGGAAGAACATGTTCGGGCTTGATCTCCAGACGGGGCGTCCCGTGCTGAGCCATGGTCGATTTGCTCCCGGCGGCTGGTTCTTGCTCCGCAATCGTGTCTAGCGGAGTCCGGGGTCGCGAAATCGAGTCATCTCCATACGGACCTCCGAACAGTGACCGGGATGGGGAAGGGGCCCGCACGGCTGCGATGGTCGGTTCTTCCAAGTTCCAAGTTCGGGGGGTTTCTTCGTGTCGCCCGTGGACAACGGAGGGAGTTCGGCGTAATCCACATGGAGATTCAGCGACAGTCTCCATTTGTGATGGCAGGAGATGCCGGGGAGAAGATGACTCTTCGGTTCGAGTAGAAGGCGATGAGCCAAATAGTGTAGAAGATCGTTCTTTTGAGGTGGAGTGCATAGGGGTAGTTGAGGGTTCTTCCAAGGAACGCTCGTCATGCTCGGGAAGCTCTGGCTCCTGTGTAAGTTCTTCCGTAGAAGGAACCTCCGCTGGAGGGGTATCCTGTTCCATTGATAAATCAATGTCCTTTGTAGCTTCCAAAGGCGCCTCCGCGCTATATTCAACGATTTCTTTGGTGTTAATAGGAGCGTTGGGGAGTGCTTCCGAGATGGGGATCGCAATGTCGCGATTCGCTTCCAAGTCCGCTGTCATCTCTTCATGAGCACTATCTTTTACCGACGGTGTTGATCGTTTCAGGCGAAACCCTGCGCGGGGTATGTCGGGGAAAAGGTTGGCAATAGTAGAGCCTCCGGGAGTCGTAGTCCTGGCAGGAGGCTCGGTCTCAATCTCCTTGGGCGCTGGGGTTTCGATTGCCGGCTCAGGATGGGAATCGGAGGCAAGGTCAACCTTCTTATGAGATGGCTCCTGGGCAGACTCTTCAGACTCTGCCGGGGTTGCTTGCTCTGACTTGCGCTTGTTCTTTTTGGCCTTCTTTTTGGCACTCTTGCTAAGTGGCTGCTCAACGGCAACCTCCGGCTCATTTGCTTCCTGTAGTTCTGAGGGGATGGCATTTTCATCGAAGGCCTCAATGACTTCGGGAACAGGGTTGGGCACTTCAGGCTCAACCTCGACAATTTGATCAAAGAGTGGCTCAGCGTTGGCAGATTTGTTGTGGTCCCACTCGATCGCAGGCCACTCTTCGTCCTCCTGGTTTGGCTCACGTAGTGTTGGAGCTTTCAGATCGGTTTCTTCAACCGCGAATTCCTTGTCAATGAACCCCACAGCCTCGGATGGCTGAGCAGCCTCTGCGGGAGATTCATCTATGGGCAGAGGATCCGCCTCCGGTATTTGCGTGTGCTGAGGATCGACTGCGGCTTGTAATTCTTCGGTGGGAGATGCCTCAACGCTTGTAACTGCCTCGGACGTTGCGACCTCAGCTGCCTTGTCTTCTACAGCATCATTATCTGGGGAAGGTTCCAAAATGAGACCCTTCTTCTTGGCTTTTCGCAGTTCCTTCTTGGACATCTTCTTTAGATCAAGTACAATTGCTTCTGGCTGTGGTGCCTCTTCGGTTGCTTCGAGGTCACCATCCACCGGAGTCGGTACCTGAGGCACCTCATCCTCGCTCTTCTGTATTTCTTCCAGGAAGACATCCTGTCCAAGTGTCTCAGTAACACTCTTGTTTGCTTCAGGCTCAGCAACAGCGACGGTAGATTCGTGCTTCTCGATAAGCTCTGGCTGCTGGGCCTCTAGCTCTTCAACTAAAACTTCAAGGTCAATAGGGGACTAAAATTCATGTTATTGTAGGTCAAACTTACGGGACCGAGCAGTCGACTCTCCCTGATCTGGGGTCTCAATCTCAGGTTCGATGACGGCTTTGCTTGCCTCGTCTTCACCAAACGCCTCGATGTCGCGAGTGGCGTCAAGGCTCTCGGAGGGTATGGCTAGATCCGTAGCTTGAGGCAACTCTTCACTAACTAATGGGCCCGCCTGGTCAACAGGCTCTTGCTTAGACTTCTTCTTTGCCTTTTTCTTTGCCTTTTTTGACAGCTCAGGCGTTTCGGGCTCGACAGAGACGTCTTCTTGAACCACGTTGTCGAGATTTGCGCTTGACTCCTCCGTAGCCTCTGTTGGTTGCTCGATGGTTTCAATTTCCCTCTCGGCAGTATCTTCAACAGGTTCGTTGGAGGTTGGCTCGAGCTGCTCCTCAAGATCGCGTTCCACTGAATGAGGTCGTAAATCGTCATCAGCTGCAGGGGTCGAGACATCTTCTGATGCTTCGATCGGTCCGGAGGCTTTATCGGCTGTGGTAGGCTCCTCGACGGCAGTATCTTGCTCAGAGGGTTTATCGTCTTCGACAGCAACGGCAGCTGCGGCGGCGGCGGCGGCGGCGGCAGCCTTCTCGGCTCTCTTTTTCTTCTGCTGCTTCTTGCTCAGGCCTTTGAATTCATCAGCAGATTCCTCTGCGGTAGGTTCCGCAACTGCTATCTCTTGCGGGGCATCTGTGGTAGAATCTTCTTGTGCATCCTGTACAGGTGTCTTTGGGGAGACCTCCGCGGCTTCAATTTCATTGCTGGTAGCTGTTTCCTGCTCTTCGGCACCAACTGATTCGACAGTTTCAGGAATCCGCTCGGCACTATCGGAAGGCTGAACGGGGTCTTCGTCGGCAGTTACTGGCTCCGTGACTGCTGCTTCTTCTTGCACTGGTGCAGGAGCTTCGGGAATCTCAGTATCTAGAGATCGCTCAGCCGCTTCACCTTGCTCTTCTTCCTGGGCCTTGGCCTGTGCTTCAAGTTGCTTCGCACGCTTTTTCTCCTTCTTGCTCATCTTCCTCCCCAATTCGGCTTGCAGGGGCTCGTCCAAAGAAGCTGGCTGTTCCTCAGTAGCTTCAATCTCTTTTGAAAGGTCGAGATTTTCAGCTACATTGGGCTCAGCTGCGTCGTTGGTTTCTTCGGTCTGACCAACAACAACTGCTTCGGGCTCCTCGACAGCGGCCACCGGCTCGACTTCAGCTGCTTCCTCGGCTCCAAGCTCTTGGGATGGTTCAGGAACAGCTTCTTGGCCTTCGGTGACAGCCGGTGATTCTGGCTGGGTAAGAGGCTCCTCCTCTGCCACCCCTTCTTGGACCTTCTTCTTCTTTTTCTTATCTTTCTTCTTCTGCTTCTTAGACTTCTCGGACTCCTCGGCGGGAATTGCTTCGCCGCTAACAGGCGTAACGGTTCCTCCTTCCGTCTCAACGGGGGTCTCAACTGGCGCCTCGGGGGGCACCTCAAGTATTAATTCCTTCTCAGCCACCTCATCTTCTGGTGCAGATGGCATCTCTTTCAAATCAACATTTCTATCAGTTTCCTTTTCTGCGGTCTCCTCCAATACCGTAGATTCTTCAACATTCTCCTTCGTAGCATCAACATCAAAACCAACCTCCTTTTCCTCTGAAATTTGTGGCTCCTCTGTCACAGGAGCAACACCAACACCCTCCTCTTTCACAGCAGACTCACTCACATCGCCAAAATCATTTGAACGCTCAAGCACGGGAGGGGGAGGATAATCTGAAGAACGACTCTCTAACTGCCGCTGCTCTACCTGCGAAGATACGATGTCATCAGTCGAAGTCAATGTTTGTGCCGGTAAGTCGGGCATTTGTGTGTCGTGGGACTGAATGTCTTTACCGTCATCTTCCGCGGGCGAGGGAGCCATTTCGGGTGCAATCTGCTCCGTAGAGGCTGTTTCGGGGGCAACGGCTTCGGCACCAGCTGCTGTGGTCGCGGGCAAGGTTGATTCTTGTGCTGAGGTCGTCGACTCATCGGCAGGCGATTCGGTTGTAGATTCTTCGGCGCTGACATTCTTGGACTTTCGCTTCTTTTTCTTTTCGGCCTTCTTAGCTTTACGTCGCTCCTCGGCGGTCATTTCAACATCGAGTTCCGCCTCGGTAGTTGGTTCAGAAGCGCCCGCTTCTTCGGTCGAAGGCTCAATTTCCTTCTTGGCGGGAGGTTGGGGGTCTTCCAATTCTTTTGGAGCGGCGATCTCTTCCTTGCCGGCATCTTCGGTTTCTATGGTTGTCGGCTCGGGCTCAGTGGGCTGAGCAGCCTCAGATACCTCAGTCTCATTGGGCTCGACAGCTGCCTCTGGTTGTTGCTCGGTAGAAATATCCTCGGGCTGGGCTTCAGAAGCTTGGTTGTCGTCTGGCTTGGGCACCTGGCTATCGTCGGCGGGGATGTCCTCGATTGCAGCGGGCTGAGAGTTATTGTCAGGTTGAGGCTCAGCAGCAATTTCTGGTTCCTCGGGTGCCTTAGAAGGAGCAGAAGGTTCTTCTGGGGTCAACTCCAGAGACTTGGCTTTCTTCTTGCGCTCCTTCTCCTTCTGCTTCTTGCGCTTCTTACGCTCCTTGGCTGATAAATTGGCCCATTCGGGATCCTCTTCCTCCTCCTCGGCTTCAGCAGCTGGAGTTGCGGGGCCTTCAGCACTATCAGGCTGCTCATCAACTTGGACTTCAGTCGAGGGGCTGTTCTCTGGCTCCTTAGTCATCTCTTCGACGGAAGGCTCAGGCAGAGACTGCTCTTTTTCTTCTGGCTCGGAGGTCGCGTGGATAGCTTCGACAGCCTCAGAAGCCTCAGAAATGTCTCTGGGGGCCTCATCTGCTGTACTTTGAGCCGGACTGGTCTCAAGTGTGTCTTGCCCAAGAGAGTGTTCGACGGGTCCTTTGAGCTCCTCCGATTTGACGGGTGTCTCGGTCGCTTCTAGGGCTGGAGTGGGCTCAACAGACACAGATTCCGGTAATTCAGTGCTGTCCGCGGGAGCAGTGGACTCGACTGCTGGCTGCTCCTCGGCCTTTGCCTCGGCCTGAGCCATATCAGTGCCATCCTCAAAAGAAACAGATTTGCGCTTGTCCTTCTTCTTTTTCTTCTTTGATTTGGTGGACATAACTTGGGCTTCTGTCTCTTCGATCTGACTAGTTGGCTGGTCCGCTGTAGACGTTTCTTGTAGAGCATCATTTAGGCTTGCCTCGTCGAGCTGTTCTGTTCCTTCTATAACATCATACATCAGCATAATTTCATGTACAATGGGATCCCGGGCCCGCTTACCAATGGGAGTCTCTTGAAGTTCACTGCCCTTCAATTCCTGAGAGGCTGCCTGAATATCCGGTTCTGTGGTCTCGGTGCTTGGCTGGTCAGATAAAGAAATTTCTTTCTGACCTTCATCTATGTTTGACTCGTCAAGCTTCTCAGATGGTTCTATCAATCAATTGTTAGCCAGTCCTCCTCGGAATTAACGTGAATTGTACTTACCAGGGAGTGGCTCAGTATGAGGCTCCTCTGCTTTTGGAGACTGGGGCTGGGATTCGGTTTGCGAATCTTGGTCCGCACTGGCAGCTTGTTCCTTCTTCTTCTTCTTCTTATTCTTCTTCTTGGAGCTCGTAGAAGTAGACTCAGCTTCCTCGGCTGGCGCAACAGTCGCAGATTCTGTAGGTGTGGTACTCTCTTCACCCACAGCAGGAAGTTCCAAAGAGGGTTCAGCAATGGGAGTCTCATCCATGGATTTTTCCACATCGTTCGTTTCTTCAGAGGGCTTCTGCTCAGGGAATCCTTCGGCGGTGGTGTCAGGCTCCTTGGTAGTCTCGTCTGGAATCTCATTAATCGCGCCAGATTCAGTAGCTGAAGACTCAAGGGGAACATCTGCTGTCTGTTCAGAAACGGGCTCAGGTGTATCCAAAGGAACATCCTGGGTTGGTGGCTGCTGGGAGACTTCCTTGTTGACAGCGGGCACCTCTTGGCTTTCTTCAGACTCAGCCTTGGGCTCAGTCTCCGATGGAATTGAGGGCTCATCAACATTGAGGGCCTCGTCAACATTGAGGGCCTCGTCAACATTGAGGGCCTCGTCAACATTGAGGGCCTCGTCATCTGCCGAGGCAGGAACCTCGATGGGAGGGGAAGAATCAACATCGGCGGTTTTTTCATCTGCTTGTTCTACGGCAGTCTGTTCAGAAGAAGCTTCAGCTTCGATGGGAGTCTCAGCCTCCAATTGCTTGGACTTCCGCTTGTTTTTCTTCTTTTCCTTCCTCTTTTCAGCTGCAGACTTTGGCTGCTCAGGCTCGGTAGACTGCTCAGGCTCAACGGGTTGCTCAGGCTCAACGGGTTGCTCAGGCTCAACGGGTTGCTCAGACTCTGCAGGTGTAGATACAGGTTCATCCTTTGCTAGCTCAGTCTCTTCGGTGGCAAAGGCGACCTCCTTAGCGGGCGCCGGGGTAGCGTCATCTGCAGGCTGTTGAGTCTCAGATGGCTCGCCTTTCTCTTCTTCTCCCTGGGCCGTCTCAGCTGGGCTAGTTACCTCATCGAGTACGATATCACGCGTAGACTCGACATTTTCAAGATCAGCAGAAAGGGTTTCAGCATCAGTCGTCACTTGAGCGTCCTGCTCAGGCACCGCTACATCGTTCTCAGTTGCGGGCGCTGGAGTCTCCTCGGGAACTTGGACTTCAACGATAGAAGGCTCAATATTTTTGTGGGACTCAGCAGTAACGTCATTGGCCGGCTCAGCTGCAGGGGCTTCGATTTCTTTGCTTGGCTCAGATACTTCGGTCTCGGGAGCAGGTTCAGGCTCAGTGGGCTTCGAGTCCTCTGGGACAGAGCTTACACTTTGCTGTTTGAGCTTCTTCTGCCTCTCCTTCCACTTCTTTTTCTGGGTCTTCGATAAACCAGGCGGTGGCTCGTCGGACAACTGTTCAACTTCTGGTGTCTCTTGTGGCGCCGGAGTCACCTCTTGGACAGCCTCTCTCTCGGCCGGCTCGGCAGGGGCCTCTTTAACGGCATCTACGGTGGGCTCAGGGTCATGAACGTCTGATTTGAGGCCCAGCTCCTTGGGTTGCTCAGTCTCCGTTGAGAGTCCTTCCGAGGCAGCTGTTTCTTGCAACTGCTCGGTTGAAGTAGCTTCGGTCTCGGCAGCTTCTGTCAGTGCAGGCTGCATGGCCTCAGATTCGACAGGCTGAGTATCGGGCTCAATAGGTTGGGCTTCCGACTCTGTAGGCTCGGTGGGCTGAGGATCCTCGGCTGGCTGAGCAGATTCAGCAGACTCAGAAACCGGCTCAGTAGACTCAACAGCAGGCTCAACAGCAGCTTCAGTAACAATCTCAGGAGCAATTTCGGCAGACTCGGTAGCGGGTTCGGTTGACTCAGTAGGCCCAGCGAAATTAGGGTGCACAGAAGGATCAGCAGGCGCAAATTCCGCTGTTTTATCTTCATCCGGAATCGAGGAAACGCTCTGCTGCTTCGCCTTCTTCTTGGCAGCCTTCTTCGCAGCCTTCTTTTGCGCAGCTGTCAAAGGAACTTCGGGTTCAGCTTCAGCCTCGACATTCCCAACAGACTGAACTTCATTTTCCACGACAGTTGTTGCGGGCTCTACAGGTTCAACGGGCGTTGGCTCGGCATCGGCAGCTGGCACAACCTCAGGCTCCTTTGGTGCCTCAATTTGCTCAGGGACCTCCTCTGGGATATCTCTTGTCGTCTCTTCGGGCTCAGAGGGGCGGATTTCTTCGGCAATCGGAGTTTCATCGTTAGAAGGCTCGGTAGTCGCTGGCTGTTCAAGGTCGATTTCTCTGGTAGCTTGGTCGGGCTCGGGTTGTGACTCGGCAGATGGCTTCTCTTCAGAAGGAGCTTCATTTCCTTCGGAGACAACAGACTTCCGGTTCTTCTTCTTGTTCTTCTTGCTCTTCTTCGAATGTGTCTCTGATGGCTCTTGGGGATGAGCTTCCTGGGACTCGGAGGCAGGAATAGCTTCTGTGACAGCTTCGGGGATGACTTCGGTCACAGGTTCGGCGGAAGGCTCAGCAGAAGGTTCAGGTTCAATATCATTCTTTTCCTCTGGAACCTCGGGTTGTTCTTCAACGGCCTCCTCAAAGGCATCTTCATCTGTTTCGGCGGCTTCCTGGGGAGTCTCTGCAGGGGCAGAAGCTGGCTGGGCATCCTCTGGCTGTGCTGTGACCTCATCTGATGGTTTCTGTTCTTCAATTTCTACTGTCGGGATAGGTTCAGAGGACTCAATTGCCTCAACGAAAACAGGCTCTGCAGATTCCTGAATCTCGCGAGCTTCTTGGAATCCGGAAAAGTCTTCCTCAGCTTGCGCAGGGGCATCACTGACAGGGATTTCTTTCTCTGCAGACTCATCCACAACTGGAGCCTCAAGAGATCGGCTAGCTTCGGCGTCTTCTTGGACCTCAGGAGGAGCATTTTCTTCTGGCTGGGGTTGGAACTCGGTAGCTGGAACAGCTGCTTCGTCGGTGGTCTTCTCGGCCACATCGGCAGACACATTCTCATCCTGAGTAAGTGAAGAAACGCTCTTGTTCTTCTTGTTCTTCTTCTTGGCCTTGCGTGCTTCCTTCTTGGAAAGACCCTGAGTGTCCTTGTCCTGTTCGTCCTCGTTCACTTCTGGCGCAGCAACTTCAGCTTCGGCCGGTGCATCGGATTGGGTTGGAGCAGATGTGATGGAGTCGGGAATTTGCTGCGGCTGATCCTCAGTAGCAATAGCGGCAGCTTCCACGGATTCAATGGGAGGAACAATATCGGAATCAAGATTGATATCTCCTGACCTTTCCACAGAGGTGGGCTCAGGCTGGGGCTGTTCGTCCACTACAGCGGGGGCCTCAGCATGCTCCTCGGTATGAATAACGGGTACAGACTCGACATCAATATCTCGAGAAGTCTCCAAAGCAGTGAGCTCGGGCTGAGATTCAGCCGAAATTTTTGTCTCAACAGCTGGAACGGCTTCAGGCTCTGTAGAGGGGATATCGGCGGTAGTAGCTTGTTCCTCGCCAACCGATGAAGCCTCAGCAGGAGTATCAACGCTCTCACTACCTTGCTTCTTCTTTGCCTTCTTTTTCTTTTTCTTCTGAGACTTCGATTCCTTGGCCTCTTCAACAACTGCCTCTTCGACTGTCTCAGGCTGGACAGGCTCAACGGGCTGTTCAGAAGATTCAGGTGCTAATTCTCTGCTAGCTTCAGCGTCCACCGGTAATTCTTGATGCTCAAGTTGCTGGGGAGGATGCTCTTCAATTGTGGCGCCAGGCTCGCCTAACTCCTCGGCGACAGCATCATGGGCAATATCCGAGAAATCGAGTGATTTATCGCCGGAAGCAGGCGGCAAATCAGTAGCTTCATCAGCAACTGGCTGCTCGGTGGACTGCGGCAGCTCCTTGTCCGTGGATTCAGGAGCTTCCTCGTAGGATTCGGCGGCAGCGATGGCAGCAGCACCAGCGATTCCAGCAAGTCCGAGCTCAGTTGCAGTATTCTCGGAGGGCTTCTCTTCAGAGGTCTCCTCATGAACAGACTCCGGCTGAACAGTGATATCGCGGTCATGTTCCTGAATAGTAGCGATATCTTCCGGTAGGTCTTTCACGGCAATAACTGATCCTGAAGCGGAAGGGGGGGCCTCCGTAGATTCAGAAGGAGGAACATCGCGACCCTTATCAGGGTTCTCTTCCAATAAGTCCTCAAGAGTATAGAACTCGGGCTTTTGCTTTTGCTTCTTGGCACGCTCGAGACTCTCACCAAAGTCTTCGGCTGTAGGCGTTGCTTGTTGAGAGCCGAGCAGGTCCTGATCTTCGTATTCATTCGCACGTTCAGTCGAAATCGTCAAATCTGAAGGTCTCCGACTAGAATCAAGCGGAGTAGGATCAAGTGGCTCCCAGCTTCGAACGGCATCTTCATCATGCAATGATCGGAGGTTTTCAACGGACGGAGCGCGAGAGGAAGTCTTGCTGGATGGGAGGGATGGAAGTTGTTCGTCGACTTCTGGCTCTGTCTTAGATGCACCATACTGCTCAACAAGGTACATTGGGCGCATTTCACCAGAGTACTCAACAGATTTGGGGCGACGATGGCGAGATTGAGGTGGAGATCCTGAAGAACCAGGCGTTATAGGGAACTCAGCAGGTATCGAGCGTTGGAGGCTAGGAGATGTTGGGGGTCGGCGGAAGTGCAAAGGCACTGCGGTTGGCGATTCAGTCGAGCGGTTGATGGACATCCGTCGAGATTGGGTGTGGTCTCGAGATGTTTCAGGGGAGGAGGGTCTACTTTGGGACTTCGGGGTGGCATTAAGGGCTTTTTCAGTAGGACGAGGGGAAGCAGATTGGCTTCTTGGACGATTGTGAACGATTTCTTCTCCCAACGTTAAGCCAGCTGCTGCGAAAGCAGCACCCTCTGCCATGTTTTCAAGCCCCGAAGCACCGCTTTCAACGCGCTCAGCCGCGGGTGGCATTTCGAGGCTTTCCTCTAAAAAAGAGTTTTCGCCGTCGTCATTATGTTCCGATTGTTTCCAGTCCTGTACATGGGATAATACCAATGAAATGCTTAGTAAATGTAACTCTGTTTTTTTTGTTCTGGTTTGGGGTGTGTGCAATTTGGATATATCAGGGCGTAGCTGAAAATATCCAGAAGAGTAGGTAACTATATGGCACATAAAGTGTACAAATGAGGCGTGCAACAACATAAACAAGAAGTCAATAAGAAAAAAAGAAAATTCAGAATATTATACCTTCTCAGAATCCCGACGTCTCCCCGAATCGACAATGTCTCCGTAACGTTGTCGGCGCTTCTCCTCCTTCTCTTGTCTTTTCGATCTGTACTCCTCCAGATTCGCCTCGCTCTTCACACTTACCTTGTCGGAGTCGTAATCATCAAGCTTGTCACCGCTAGAGCTGCGATGACTAGAGTGTCTCTTCCGTCGCCGTTTCTCATCATCAACGCCGGCTTCAGAAACGGCCTCTCGAGACGCACGCTTGTCTACAGACGAAGATCGAGACGATGTACGAGACGATGGGCGCTTTTCTTCCGATGTTGACACCCGAGAGCCAAAGAGGCTGCGCAGAATTCCACCAGACTTGTCCTTTTCCTTCTCATCTTTGCCTCGGCGCTTCTCCTTCTCTCGCTCATCAATTCTAGCAGGAGAAGATGTGATTGAAGCAGTATCATCGAATACACTGTCACGGGAAGAGCGATGGCGATGCTTGCGGCGCTCGGACTTGTCTTCATATTCAGGGGCAGTAACTGCAGACATGGCATCATCGTCTGCGGGGAGTATATCGCTATCACGGGAAGAGTGATGACGGCGCCTGCGGCGTTCGGACTTTTCATCATCATCACCAGGAAGAGAAACGGAATCGTCATCGCGAGAAGAATGGTGACGACGTCGACGACGCTCAGACTTTTCGTCATCATCACCAGGAAGGGAAACGGAGTCGCTATCGCGAGAAGAGTGGTGGCGACGTCGGCGACGCTCGGATTTTTCATCATCATCATCATCATCAAAAGTCATAACAGAACGAGCATCATCATTGTCATCAGCAACGGAGAATGTATCACTGTCACGCTTGGAGCGGCGCTTTCGATGTTTCTTCTTGTCCGCGTCCTCATCTTCATTCACATCAAAGCTCTTGGCAGCAATAGCGGCAGCGGCAGCGGCAGCAGCCGGACCAGCGGCGTCACGTAAAAATTCTAAGTCATCCCCGCTACGACGTGATTTCTTAGACTTTGTCGGGGTCTCAATTTCTCTCTCAACTGGAGCAGAGAAAACGGAGCGAGAATCGTCACGGTACTGCGAGAATTCTCGAGTGTCTTCAGGTGTATCAAAGCCACCGGGCATGGAGAGAACATCGTTCTCGGGCGAAGTAGATCGTACACGCTTTTCATTTAATTCTTCCATCGCCCTCTGGGCAATTGAGGTTCGTTCGCGGGGTTCGGAGGGGGATACGATGTTCTTTTCGATGGCTTCAGGCTCAGAATAGAGTGGCTCAGCTTCGATGACATGCTCGATGGATGGCTGCATATCCCTAGACTTGTTTGACTCGTCATTCTCAATCTCGCCTTCGACAAATCCATGAGATTTATCCTGGTCCTCTATCCACTTAGAGCGAGGAGAGAAAGTTCCTTCATCTTCAGAGCCAGGTGGAGAAGTACGGGTATGGTACTTGGGGTCATTGATCACGACCGAAGGATCGAATCCAGCAGCTTCAGTTCCAGCGGCGACAATGGCAGCAAACTCGATATCAGTTCCAATATCACGGTTGCTGGTAATATCTCGAGACTTGTCGTCAGGTGGGGTCATGGCGAAATCTTTATTAGAATCATCCAGTGGGGAAATATCATAATCAGTCGGCTCATGCTCAGAAGAGGAGAAAACTTCGTATTCATGGGTTTTGTCGTGGCCCCAGGAGACTCGAGAGCCAGTCGTGGATCTTTGCGGCTTCCATTCGGGTTCGGACTCCTGTTCTGCTTCGCGCACTGGCTCGGGCTCGGGTTCGGGCTGGGGTTGTTGCTCAGGTTCTGAGTGGCGTTCAAGTTCTCGCTGGCGACCTTCAACGATAACATCTGGAGGGCCAGCTGTAGGTGTTGTACCAGTTACAGAGCCATTAACGCTGTGATCAGGGGTAGGTTTGGTGAGCGTCAATCCGGGTACGTCCCAAGGGAGGTTACGATCTTCATACGGTTCTGGTCCAAAAAAGAGCTCGTCTTGTTGCTTCTCAGGCTGGTGGTCTTCGCGCTCGCTAGCGGGAACGATTTCAACAATCGTAGGCTGGTGTGTAGGTTCTTCGATATCCTTGTGCTGATCGGGGCTACGTCTGAACTCTTCTGGTGCGTAGAAGTCTGCATAGTTTTCGTAAACGGGGGAGGCTCGGCGTGAGGAACTTCTGCTGCGGTCTTCCTTATGCTCCACGGCTGGAGCATCGTCTTCAACGGGTACAGGAACGTCAGATTTAGCAATAACGGATGATTCCATGTCTTGTCGAGCTTGTTCTCGCTCCTTGCGACGCTTCTCTCGGCTCTTGCTATAACGATCTGTACTGCGGTCGGAGGGTGTTGCATCATCGGACTTGCTAGAGGAAAGAACAGTACTAGCAGCAACACCGGTGAGGGCGCCAGCGGCGACAACCTCAGCAGCATCCTTCCAATACGTATCTTTTTCTTTAGTAGCCTCGCAACGATGGCGTTCTTCCTCATCTCGTTCTCTGCGGCGTTGCTCTTGGCGCTCAGTCTCTCGACGTTCAGCTTCTTGGCGCTCAGCTTCTTGACGCTCAAACTCCTGACGTTCATACTCCCGGCGCTCGTATTCACGACGCTCAAATTCACGTCTGGACTTCTCCTGTCTCGCTTCCTCTTCTTCGCGATCGACCAATTTCACGGGCTCTTCTGAGAAGTCATCGCGCGATTTTCTGTCACGTCGATCTTGCTGACGGGTTTGTTCATCTGTCAAGGCGAATGAGACGGAGGCCAGATCCTTGGTTGTGGATCGACGCTTGGGACCAGAAATGGAGCTCTCCTGAACAGGGAAAATGGGGGAAGAGTCTCTGCGGCGGGGCTTGCGAAAGTCTTCTCGACGGTCTTCGGGGATCCACGCGGGCTCTCGGGAGCCTTGAACCTGCTGACGGTACAGATCACGATCATTGGCAAAGATAGGAGGAATATCAGCAGGGCTGTATGCAGGAATAGACCCGGGCAAGCCACCTTGGGTGGTGTAGACGGCTTGTGAAACAGGTGTAACAGGCTGAGGTTGTTGAAGAGGAATGGGTCCGGGACGAACGAGGGGTGTTTGGTCTCTCGAAAGAACAGATGGAGACATCTTGATGGCATCAAAGCGAGCGGGGTCACCGGTAGCCATTGGATAGACTTGCTGAAGGCTTCCAGTGCTGCTTGAGACTCGGCTATCACGGTCGCGGGCAACAGAAGCTATGGCAGCACCACCAAGAGCACCGACACCAGCTGCAAGGGCAGCATTGGCAGCGGAAGATTTCTTTTCCTTCTTGCTCTTCTTCTTTTTCTTGTTGAAGCCAAAAAAGTTCCAACCGCCAGGGCTTGAGTCAGATCCAGAATCAGTGCTACTAGCACCGAATGCTAAAGCAGAGCTAACACTCTGGGAAGATTGATCTTCTGATTCAGCATCAATCCACTCCTCATCTTCATTGGCGGAGGAGGCATAGTTTGAATGACGGGATCGGGACTCTCTAGCAGTGAGAATCTGGCCAGTACTCCGACTACGACCATGAGGAGATGAAGCAGCAAGAGCTGTTGCTGTTGCGCCCAATCCCAAGATCGCGGCATTGACATCTTCGTTCTTCTTCTTCTTTCCCTCCTTCTTCGATAGCTTGGCTTTTGCTTTCTTCGAAAAACCACTTCCAAAAGCAAGATCCGCATCAAGCGAAGATGAGGACGAACTGTTGAAAGAGAAAAAGCCTCTGCGCTTACTCCGCTTCTTCTTGCGATTGTCCGAAGACGAAGTAAAGAAAGAAGTAAATCCACCAACAGACTTTGAAGAGGGTCGAGAAACATCAACGAAAGATGCGCTGGAAGAAGATTCCTTTCGCCTTTGACCCCGAGCCGGTGAGCGACTGCGAGATCGCTGGTGTGATTTTGCCACGGCCAGTGCTGCACCACCAACTGCGGCACCCAATGCGGCCTCCTTCACGAACGAGTGGCGGCCAGATCTTGAAGAGGATCTAGATCGAGAGCGCGTACGACGAGAATACTTCGAGTCAGACTGGTAGTGATCGTGTGGAGGTGATCTAGGCCGGCGAACAACACCTCGTGAAGTATAGCTTTTGCGATCAGACATAGAGGCAGTCTCAGCATCGTAAGAGGAGACGCGCTCATCAGCGACACGACCAGACCGAACACTGTAGGAGTCATTGAATTCTTTGCCTGCAAAGAGCCCTCCAGCTAGCACTCCCGGAAGCCAAGAGGTAGACTTGTTTGACCTTCCAGATCTCTTGCGTCGACGACTTTCATCTTCCGATGGTTGGTACCGGCTGAGCTTGTCTACACGAGAGCCACTACTACTGCTGTAACGATCGGCAGAGTGGCGGCGCCCATGATAATGATGTTGGCGAGGTGCGTCAACAGAGCTTGTGCCGGGTTCGAAACAATACTTGCAGAGACCAATAGATTCCGTGTAGTCTTCGAAGCGACCGACGCCTTCCGGGTCACGCCAAAAGTCTGCAAACTTTGACATGGGGCTTTGCTGGCGGTGTCGAAGTGCTAGAGCACCAGTGCCATGGGGATAAAAGCCAGGGTTCGGGAATAGCGTACCCTGCGGGTCTTGGGGGCAACATTGCATTGTTGGCGCCAGTGGTGTAAGGAGGCGCACCAGAAGGAGAAGGAGATGGGTGGTCATAGTTGTGGAAATTGTAATGCGCTATGTCTTCGGGGTTAGAGGAAGGCGGGTGGTCATGATGGCTAAGCATGTACCCCGCTGCAGCGCCCGCAGCCGCAACGCCAACACCAGTGCCGACGCCATGAGAATGAGAATGAGAATGAGAATGAGATTGAGATTGAGGCGGCCTGTTAGTACTTGTGGCAGCCGGCTGCGGGTACGAGTTTGACTGCGAGTATGAGGTTGATTGTTGTACCGCAGAAGTCGAATGTTGGGATTCCTCATGGTAAGAAGACGAGCCTCCGCTAAGTCCATAAGCAGCTGCGCCAGCTACGCCAGCAGCGGCAGCGGCAGTAGGGATAGCGCTTGATGAGGTTGGCTTGGAGGAAATCTTCCCAGGCTTTGGCGGTCTCGATGAAGTAGGCTTTGCTGGTACTGTCGCCTCGGGGACTGTAAATTCATCATCAAAGTAAGCTGCGGCCGCACCAACCTGACCCATAGTACTGGGCTCTGGAGGGGGGTTAACAGAGGGGGAAGCTGTCATCAGGTGAGCTTGGCTGTTGGGAATCACAGGCGGTTTGTGAGGTCGAACACCGGGCTGTTCCGAAACAGATTGACCTTGGTCGCCGTAGTAGTCTGCCGCCGCGCCTGCAGGATTATTAGGAGGATAATAAGGTTGCGCTACATCGGTCGGGAACTGACCAGGGAACTGATGTTGAATATGTGGATCATGTGTCTCTGGCGAGGCACCATGATGAGGCGATCCAGATGATGGCACATCGGCACCAAATTGGCCTGGGAATTGCGAGAAACCAGGAGGGCCCATGTCGGTGGCGAACTGCGCAGTCGGCGCACTGGGAGGCATAGACGTCGAGATGGGGGGGGTAGGGCTCGCCCGATTGTGTGCGCGGGCGCTCACGACGCTCGCGCTCGTTATCCAAGTCATCATCCAACCCTCTCTCACTCGCTCTGCGACTCTTTCTCTTATCGCGATCTCTGCTTTCAGATCGATCTCTCGCGCGGCGATGGGAGCTTTTGCTGTCACGATCGCTATCTCTGCGTTTTGGTGTCCGCTCGATAATCATAGGATCGGGGCTTTCGATCGAATCGGGCTCGGCGGTAACATAGGTCGATGCGACAGAGTCGCCGGCGACACTGGGCGCGGCACGTCTGCTGCCTGAAGCGGAGGGCGAGTAAGACAATTCATCCAAGCCACGATCACGGTCGTCACCCCGTGAAGATTTGCGACTATGGGAGGATTTTGTCGAATCGGCTCTGCGACGGGTGCTCCTGGAGCTGGAGCTTGTCGTGCTTCGGGCATCGGAGGATGACCGGCCCCCGCCCATGAGGGCTTTGAACATGGTGGGCAGAAATTCAGAGGGATGCCCAGACGGGACAGGCCACCATGTGGGAGGTTAGGAATGTGTATTAATGGGGGGTAAGGGAGAGGGGAGAAAGGGGATTGGAATGTTGAATGTTAGATAGATGAATTGGGGGAGGCTGGAAAAGTCGGGGAAAATAGCGTTGTTATGGTTTGTTTTGGGGAGTAAACAACGGAGCTGAACCGTGGATCGTCGAGCGGAGTCCTTCTAGTACTAGGGTGAACCCACGGTCGCTCTCAGACGATCGGGAACTTACACTTTTTCAGCCTTGGAAACTCCCGTTACCTGTACCAAGATTGAGTAGATTTCGAGATCTTCGGGAGGGGAAGAGTATATGCACGATGCAAAACAAGTCGGGTATCAATGCAAGAAGAACAAAAGAGAAAAAAAAAAAAAAAAAGGATCAGAGCAATCGAGTCGGTGGCACAGGATGAAGTGTCTCTGCACTAAGTGGAGCGAATCAAAATCGCGGTGAAGGTGGAGTGCACGTGCCACTGCAGATTCGACAGCGTCATGGTTACTGCAGAATTGGTGTGTACATTAAGGATGAATACTGGATCTATGTATATTATATATGAAGAAATCATTATGATCAATTCTATTGCTGTACATACAATCAGTATAACTTCAAGTTTTCGCTTAAAATGTCTGTCCTCGGCTGTTGTTGCTAGTAACGACTGGATATATATATCGGGCATAAGTACATGGGATCGATGCACGTCAGCATATTTTCCAAGGTTCAAATTCAAGTTCTTTTGAACGTTTGAAAACAGTTTAAATCCAATCAATGCACAAAGAAAAGAACTAAATATCAAACTCAATTCATAAACAAAGACACATATGACTAAGATGGGAATAATAAACAGCGAGAGTATGTAAACAAGCTCCACCCGTAGGAAAACCGGGCACGAACCTTGGATCCTAAGGTGGAACCCATATTTACCTCGATCGAACCCGATCAATACCAGTCAGATAACTGCAAAAAATAAAGAAAAAATCGAAAAAAGCATAAATAAAAAATAATCCACAGCTCACTCAATCAGCCCTCATCAATCTCTCCAATCGACACCGAATAGAATGCTGAAACCAAAGCGGATACCCCCTCAACCTCTCCGCAATATACCCCGAAGAACCAGGAACCATAACATGCCCGCTCTCCCCCTTAAGAACCTGCTTCACCAAAGCCTCAGCAACAGTCTCCGGATAAAGCAACGGATTAACAAAAGAATCCTCCGGCGTCAACCGATCAATGAGTGTTGTCCTCGTAAAACTCTGCGTAACAAGCACAGTCCTAACCTTCGGAGCAGAGTACCTGGTCACCAACTCCGCAGCCAAACCTTCATGAAAAGCAATAGCCGCCGCCTTAGTAGCAGAGTAATCGACCATATTGGGCGCAACAGCATATCCAGCCTGCGAAGCAACAGTCACCACCATTCCATGGTTATCAGAGACCATGTCTGGTAAGAATTCCTGGGCAAGCCAGTAGTGCGCGAGGGAGTTAACTTCGAACATCGCGCGGGTTTGTTCGGGTGTTGTGCCTAGGATAGTACGACCGGTTAATAGGCCTGCATTGTTGATTAGGATTGTTGGGCGGCCGAGGGTGGCGCGGATTTGGGACGCGGACTCGGCGATTGCTGTTGGGGAAGTGATGTCGCATTTGTAGAAGCGGACGGTGTGTGGGAGCGGGTCGGTGGGGGAGGGTGGTGATATGTCTAGGATTGCGACCTTAATGGAGCGTTCGCCGAGGAGTTGGGCGATGCGACGGCCTATTCCGCCGCTGCCGCCTGTTAGGACGATAACTTCTTTGTTCCAGTTGTAGTGGTCTGTGACGGCGTTGTTGATGCTGCGTTTGTCTAGCCAAGCGCTGAGTCGTTGGAGGATAGCTATTGTTGCGAGGGATTTGAGTGCTTTGAGGAGGTGAGGGCGGGATTGAATGACCTCACGACCCTTGATGGTGTATTGGGCTAATGCGAGGAGAGGTAAGAGCTTCACTGGATCGAGCAGTGTGCGTTGAATCCAATTACTCAGTACGTCGGCCGTGAAGCCTGAGCTTGTAAGCGCCGTGATAGCTATAGGATAGGGCTGACAGATGAGACTTACCTTCTCTCGAGGGCCATTTTCTTGCTGGAGATGATGCCATTGTGTCTAGATGATACTGTTTAGGAAGGATACAAAGCTAGTTGATTTGATCTCACGGGGACAAAAGCTGTTCAAATACGTTGGAGTAAATGCAAGTTGTTGATCTGTTGGGCATAATTAGCCCGAGTTGATTATGCGGGGCAACCGAGGTCCGCGTGCATAAAAATTGCACTTGATCCTACCATAATCATAGTCTGCTTGACTGCTTGGCAGTGGTTTATTCATGGGCCAAAGCCCTTTATGATTTTTTGTCGAATGCACAATTATTATCTCAAGATAAATGGTTTCATTTTGCAGATATCCCCTTAAAATGACACCAGCCGCACAGAACTCAAGTCCATATCATATAGCATGGATATAGCATAATCACAAACCAAAGCTCCGTTACAAAAACATGGTCAAAACAACACAGAAGAAGTTAAAGGTTATCCCAAAAAGCCAACTTCCCAAAAAAAGCTCTCGTAGGGGGAATATAATCAGTATCACGAGAAAAACACAATTCGATCGCAGATGTCGCCCTGAGGCTGCTCATGATGAAAAGACAAAAAAAATAAAAATGCAACCCAGATAGTTGGAGATAAAGACACAGTAACAGATAAAGGTATCGATGTTAATGACAATGTAATAACCGCATTGGAACTCCCACTCCAAGAGTGCGCATCGCACATCAATGAGATTAGACCGTTTCAGGGTCATCAAAATGCAGAATGGTCTGCCCGCACGATCACAGAACCAAACAACTGGATTCAAATGAAATGTTTGTGTGACGCGGGGTTGAATCGTAGGCATGAACACTCCAATTTAACACCAAGGCCTGCACGGCCAAGAGGATCATAAAACTCCCAAACCCCCAAAAAGATAAAAGACAAAAAGAATAAAACAATAAAAGTAAAACAAGCATATAATGTAGCCAATAATAACTCCTTCATCATGTCCAAAAAATTGGACTAAGTCGGTTGTATCCTGAAACTTCCGTTACCAAAGACTTGCTCATAAATTTCGGTCAGAATGCGAGCATCAGCCCGGAGAGTAGGCGAGATGTTCTTGCTATACAATAAGAACTTGATAGTTCGTCTAAGCAATCTTTCAAGAACAGGTCGTTCCACCAGTTCATTCAACTCTGACATGTAAGTGGCTGAAAGGACAAGCATGTTTCCAAATTGTCTAGTGTCCAAATTAGTATGAGATTTCATTTGTTGGTTTCCGTGGGTCTGGGGATGACTTACGCATGGGCAGTGCCGAAAATATTGGTCACCACAAGACGTTCTTCCATTCCATCGAAGGCTTCCGTGCTAAGGATTGCGGATTCGACACAGACCTTACAGGCACGACAAAGCTTGCGCCACTTCTTCTTCTTTTCTTCCATCTCCCACTTTGCTAACGCCTCCGGGGAGAGATTCGGTGGTGTGCTACCCAAGTCACTCTTCATACGAGCCATGCTAGCCCCTCGTGCAGAGCCTGAGGTCATCGATGGAGACATTTGATTTGAATTAGAAGAATTTGCAGAACCGGGTTTGGCCTCCAATGGCATCTTATTGTAGTCCTTGTATTGTTCAGGATGGTGGAGCGCATGGAACAGCAATGGTCGGTGAATGATATATCGAGCTCCGTAGTATTTGGCTCTCATACGGGCGGAATTGATTTCAGTTGCGGGTGGATCTTCATCTTTCCATTTCATGACAGCCGGGAGGCTATCGCGCCAGAGGTCAAGGTTCATACTTAGAGCCTCTTGCACCGATGATGACCACCGCGCACCGGCGCCCGCATTTTCTGTAAGAAATAGTTAGTAAAGGAGCCGGGTATAAGAACAGCAATAGTGATTAGTTGAGTCAACCTACTTTCTACTTTGTAAAGATCAGTATGAACGCGATTAAGAACCTTGCGAAGATGAATTTGTGCCGAGTAGTGCAGCATCATTCTGGTAGGCTTGGCATTAAGGTCATCGGGAAGGTCGATTGTATATTTGCCCTTGGGTAAACCAATCCGACCCTCAAATCGAGAGATCCCACTGGCTGGAATGTCAAGTTCTGCTAAAAGATCACTTTCAAGCTGGAGACAAGTCCAATAGGCAAAGTTGTAAAGATCCTTTGTCATTCCTTCTTCAAATCTTTCGTACCGTCGTTGTCGCACAAGCACCTGGCAAGCACGCGCAGCCTGGCAGATCCAGCCATGACTTTGGAAAGGATGGGCCAATTGACTGGCATAGAGACCCGCTAGTAGGCCTGCCTGGACGTGCTCTAACTCTACGCCTCCTTGAAGATGACCCAAGATGGCTGTAGCATATCCGTACAGAGCCAGACCGGGAATAACCTCCAGATTCTTAACATGTCCATATTCGTCACGACTATTTGAAACAGGCCGCCTTGAGAGGGTTTCCCGGACCAGGGTTGCTGGTGATGATGAGAATGATTGAGTTGGAGTCGTTGTCGTCATCATCGGAGTGTTGTAAAAGGACGCGGCGGGTTGTGGGATAGTAGCAGAGTCTGAGGTAGCAGGAGAAAGCACAGAATAGGATATATTATTGGTGTTGTTTGCTTGCGCCAGATGGGATGGTAAAGGTGGCCACGGTGCAGGGACATATTGGTTCAAGTAATTGGTTGGCTCATCCATAATTGGCCCAGGGAGCGGATTTTTCGCATCACAGATAGCGCCAACAGCAAGGATCAGGAGGAGAACAGCATTATCGATATTCATACCAACACGCAGTCGAGTATTGGAAGAGCTATCGGCACCTCGTACACCATGTGGGTCGCCATGGGACCGCTTCTGTCGCTTCGCACTCCGATTATTCTCCTGACACATAGAACCTGCAGAGTCACCCTGCCCCTTGGGCGGTTGCGGAGCGTAACAGCGAAGGAATTCCTCGAGGTTTTTCTGCTGAAGCTTTTCGTCGAGGAAGGGATGAAGTGTGTACATGCGTTCCATATAGCTTTCGAAGTACCGCCTAGCGGTCTCTGGTTCCAGATTCAGCAGGCCAGACCTCGTGATTTCGGCCTCGAAGTCACCGGACATTGATTCATTATTCGCATCCAAAATGCCATCGTCGGAAGCAAAGCTGTTACCAAGACCATGGGGTTGAGGAGGAAGTGATGTACCATCGGCTGAGAAAGAGTTCTCGCCTTGTCCACGGACGCTAATGAGGCCACGTTCTTCTTCTAACCGCATGACGTAGTCTTCGTCATACTCCTTGGGGTGAATAAGTTTCTTGATAACAGGCCACATTAGGAGCTTATGTGCCGCGGTCGTATGTTCAACTGGTATTGACAGCTCTCCTTCATTATCGGCATTCTTCATCTCTTCAGCCAGAACAACAGCCGGCAAAGAATCCGATGCCGTTGCTGGCCCTGCTGGGGCAAATGGCGGAGGCGGCTCAGAAAGTTCCGGTTTCATAACCAAGCTTGGTGGTTCAGACTTCATGGGCGGCTCACGGGAATTTGAAGCGCTGCCGACCGATTCTCCTCCAAAAAGTTGAACGATCATCTGGCTCATATGCGCCAGTTGCGCACTCTGGCTCTGAAGTTGGATCGTTTGATTTTGAATCTGCGCCTCTTGGCTGTGAATAATCTGCCCTAGTTGCGTGTCCTGCCCTTGAACCAGTTTTCTAATCTTCTCAAGCTCGTTCATGCTACTATCTCCAGTCTCTGTAATCTTGTCAATGATTTGCTGAGTGCCCTTTTCTTGCCTATATTCAAAACATTAGTCACCCAGATAAGCTTGCTTTTTGTTACATGGAAGACAGACTTATGCGGTGGAATCTCTTTGTAGACGCAATTAATGCCATTCTCTTTGCAGTGACTGCAAGAAGGTCGGCCCTCATCACACTTTGCCTTTCGTGCTCGACATTGGTCACACGCCTCAACGAATTCATTATGTCAGTAAAACAGAAAATACAGACTTTCCGGGGCTATAGTAAATCAAGTGAAACTGACTTGGGTTGCTCTGTTGGCCTTGCGCTGACGGGCCGCATTTGAATTATAATAAGCATCATAAGATGTAGGTGTACCGGCGGATGGAGGAGGCGGGGCTTGCATATACTGCGTTGTTGGAGGAAGAGTGATCGGTGGTGTAGATTCGCTCGAGACTTGAGGTTCGGGTGGTGGAAATCCCATACGTGGACGATAATCCGCCGTAGCAGAGTGGGGTGAAGATTCGGGAGGTGATCCATTTATCGGAGGACGATAACCAGTATGCAGGGGACTGGGTTCTGAAATGGGATGTGGAGGATGCGGAGGATGTGAAGGCCCAGGTAGGCTATTCGGGCGACCGTACGGTCCATCTGGGGGAAGCTGCGGTAGCTCACGGCTTTGCATGGGATATCCTTGTGGGGGAGACGGGCCCTGCGTTGGTGCGGAGAGGCGCCGTGATTCCGGGTGCTCGTACGGCGGAAGATATGTAGGCCGCCATTTGTTCTCATAGGCGCTATGAGGCGGGGGCGGCGGATGGCCCTCGTGTGGATGTAGGTGATTCATCTGAGAGGATCCAAGTCACGACTGCGAAGGTTCCAAATGAGGATCTGGATCTGAGACCGGGTGTCAGGCGCAACCTATTTTCGACCAGTAAAAACACCTCGGTGTACCTTTCAAACGTGATACCGTTATTCGAGAAGATAAGAAAAAAGCAATACAGCTTAAAAAACCACCGCTTAGATACACATGTCGGGGTTGCGACTGGAACGAGGGGGAGATCGGGGGAAGTAGGGCGTGTGGAGGGGAAGCTCTTCGATGTCGCGCGCGCGCAAAAGACAAAGCTTGTAGACGAGTAGTGGTGAAAGACGGCGGAATGTACTCCGAAACGAGCTTCGGGTTCTAAACCAGATCGTTTCTTTGTTGTTTATTTGCGCCGGTGGCTCCAGGTACACAAAAAATTGGGCGCGTGGTGGTTTGCGGTTGGGAAAGCTTTCTTTGTGACCGGGGGTGGAGCGGCTAGACAAAGAAATAATCAGATACGGGAAGATTGGAGCAGGGGAAGTTCCCCAAGGTATTAAGAAAAAGAAAAATAGTGTAAGAAACGTAAGAAATCACAGTAGGAAGCAAAAGATCCACCAGAACAGATAGATCGCAAAGGTCGAAAGTACATATAAGCATGGATCCATGGTCAACTCTAAGGAGGGGGAACTTGGTATGGCATCGGTATAGGATCTGTATCAAATACAGCCCAAGGTGGATCCACGTACATCATGGATCCATCGGGATACGGTGTATGGTAACGAGATTTCGGCTGTGACGTACCTGGACTTTCTGATCCAAGTCGGGTTTTAATCTTAAACAGGTGTTGTGTCTCTCTCCTCTTTTGTGACTTCTGATTTCTTCTCGTTTAGTATGGATCGAAGGTCAAAAAGGAAGCTAAGCCAGACTGTCGGGTCGATGGAGTATATAGTGAGCTCTGGGGCCGAAATGACCGAAAGAAGCGAAAGGAGGATGATGATGATGCTGATAGTCAAACAGTTAAGAAACGACGTTCCAGTCAGTCGGGACAGATACTACTGTCCACCTCCAAAATCAAGTAAAATTAAATCCAAGAAAGTGGAAAGGAAAAGAAGCGAGGAAGCGGGAATATAACTGGACCGGTGGGAAGAGGGGAGCAAGATTCGCATGGGATCCAGTTAGAATTACGTCCGTAGAGATCGACACACCCAAACTCATCACCGTGTGAGCTGTTTGCCCCTCCCTGGATTGCACTACTCTCTCCCCTTCATGTACGATGATAATCCTCGCAGAGAGTTTGAGGAGATCGAGAAAAATTTAAATACTTAACACTCGATTAATGATTAATGGGGGAAGAGCTTGTCCAGATCGGAACTTCAAACTGATAACGACAAAGGTAACTCTACACCGTCATGAAGGTGACAGGTCTGCTTTCCCGTTGACCTTGTTGCCTCCCAAAGTGACAGAGATGAGTGGGTCTTTCCAGCTGACTGGGGAAAAAAGAATAAAAATAAATAAATACAGAAAAGATATTAAAATGTTTAAATATTTTAATGTTTTAATTAAATTATATTTTTTTTATCCGGAAATAATCATTCTTACGGAGTAAAGGGGTATCAAAGCAACAAAAAAGTACATACTTCACAACCTGCGAATGGAGAGACTACTAAGCCACGAGGATGTGTACTGCCCATCTTTCAAGGTTGAGTGAATACGGTTAATTTGCGTCTTCATTTCTGATCAATTCTTCTCCCCATACTAGTTTCAAATCCTCCTTTTCCCGGGGGACTGCTTTTTGAGGCTTGGATCTCTACGGACCCCATGTCAACAACCCTGGACCAACCATTACACTAAACCAGAGGGGAAAGAGGGAAAAAAGAAAAAGGATAAAAAGCAAAGATAGAAAAAAAAAAGCAACAAATTTCGGTAAGTTCGTCCGTAGCATCTCCGCATGTGGAGTCCACTTTCAATGGGTAATCACCGCTCCTCCGAGGAACGGAATAAGGGAGAAAAAAGAGAGGGAAAGAAAGAAAGAAAAGGGAAAGGAACATCCCGATGACGATGGATGCGACGACAGGGATCACCTCCCAGGATCCTAGTCCCCGGGAAATCTTAACACGCTTGTTGGTAGTTCCTACCAATGACCCGCCGCCACTGGCCCGAGTCTATCGCCCCGATCTCGATCAGAAAGAACAAAACTATATCCTGCATACATAGTGTAAGAAAAGGGCTGAGGGGGGAGGAATAGGAAAGTTCAATGCTGCGACACCGCTTGCAAGGGGTGCGAAACAATGTCCTGGTTGACAAAGTTTATTGGTTCACCGATTCAAGAGTCGGTGGATCCACAGAACGAATACTGGGAAAACACTAGAACGCTAGAACGAATCCTCGAAAAAAAACAAGACCGCCCCGGGATAATGGTTATCGGAGTCAAAGATCAACAGGATTTGGACCCAGAGCTTTGGTCAGCATGAGCTCTTGAAACGCATGATCGGAGGAGTCTAACACATCTCCCTTTCAGTGGAACTAATTACATGGAACCTGCTAATCTGCCAAGTACTGGGGTAGTATATGTAAACAGGATTTGAAAGCTCGCCTACCTCCAGTATAGTAAACGAAGAATTCGAGGGCTCTGGGGATGTCTTTACCCCGTATACATGTATTATTCAAATCCCGACCTGAACAAAGTTTCAGGATCTGTATTGTAATTAACGTTCATCCACGGAATCAGACCGGGGACAGCCGCTCTTCTCATCCATGGGAAAACCACGGGAATTATACAACGATCCACCGGTGACATTTTTGACTTATGACAGATTGGTGAGGGGTTTGGGAGAAGGGTGATGCATATGGAATGTGATAGGCCAACCAAGGTCTGAATTTGCCGTCGCGCCATAGCCGTCAATTACATATGCTCAGCTGGTTATAATCCGGACCAGGCTGGTCTACTAGGTACAAATTCAACGTTGTAAACTGCAAATCACTACGTTTTGATTCCACCAATAGCTGTAGCGGTATGCTAGACTGGTTCACAACAAAGGGATGGACTTGCTTAATTAATCTTGAAGATAAATGGAAAGATAGTCGACGCCTTAGGCGTTGTTTTACTACCTAACTTAGTATGTTTGATCATTCAGTCCCAGATACATACTATATACATATAGCCCCTCCAAGCTCATAGAACTTCTCAAGGTTCAAACATTTGAATTAGCACGTAGTACAGCATTCAACTCCGGGAGATTCTATTCCTCCATTAACAAAGAATACACCGGTCTTTAACATTTGAAAATATCGGACATGGACATCTATTACAAAGGCGGACACCCATTATAACACCTCTTCGGGATGATTAGCGTCAGATTCCCAAATGATATCAGACCGCAACTCGGGATATGATTCTTGCCCGAAAATCAGGGATCAATCTAACTTGACCAAAACAAAGAATCCTGCTACCCAACACAACGGACCTTTTTTTATACTCCTTTTCCTTTCAGTCCAGTTTATCCTAATCATAAGAAAGGAAAATAAAAACCACTTGAAAAATTAAACAAACCTGAACGCAACGGTATCACAAACAAACTCCGTTAGCGCTGAAATGGTTTCTTTTTCTGCTCGGCCCGTTGAACTTGCTGATCAACACAACACGGCCAGTCACACAAAGGGACGCAACAAGCCCTGGAGAATATGGATTTTTGCTTCTTCTGACCGTTAAATGGTGTTTTGTGCAGTTGTCCGGCCGTCATCATGTCCGAATTCACTAGACCGTGACCGTGGCCCAGTTAGATGGCAGGATTGCAATGACCGATGCTGCGGGATTAAGGTGGAGGCGATGATGGACATAATTAATACCCGCAATTCACGGCTGGTTACAGTACAATAGCTCTGACCCAGCCGCCCGCTAAGTAAACTAGGTAAGGCTCACTCCAATTTTTAAGAAATTATTTCAATTTCTACTTGGATAATTCTCCATTCTCCGTTCTCCACGGTTGATAGTCAGGGTTGAGGGGCATACCTGTACAGTGTACCTAAGTCCACGAGAGAAGAATATTGAGTAACAAAAACGTTTCATCTCGAATATTCCAAATAAATTTATCAATCAGGTCTGTGGTTTGTAGGATCTCCACTTATGTAAAAATTAGAGCTGAGTGGGTGTTTTATTGGCTAATCATACACTTTTATTCATATGGGTCCCTTTTCCCAATTACGCACCCCGTGGACTCATTAAGGGGCTGTACGGTATAGTACACACCCAACACTATCGAGTAAGACATGGACTTAGGGACTGTAGATGCCTAAAAAAGCCACGACAAGCTCAAAATTAAGCTGTTAGTCAAATTTGTCCCTTCAGCTTTTGATTAACTTCTTCCCATTTCGCCCGGCTGTCTCCATCCTATCTCTCGGGTCCGTTGGGCAGATCCTGCCCGATGGCTCGTGTCAATCGGGACTCCATAATCCGTATTGGGCCTCAAATATCAGTCCAAGATCCTAGGTTATAGCAGACTGCCGGGTCCTCTCTGTACCCCTCTCTCTCATACTTTTACATTTGAAATATACCCAGGCGCCGCGCCACCCTCTAAGTAACAAATTTTAAAAGATCCAATATCCAATCAATAGTGTCAACGCGTGAAAAAAAAAAGAAACTACAAACAGCAGACATATCCAAATCATGTGGTTACTCCGTAGGCTACACGTAGAATCCATTTGATTTGATCCTACGGTATCTGCTTCGGCCGAGTCGCGATTTCATCCAGTCCAGTGCTCAGTCGCAGACACAGGAACATAGATACCTAATAGTCGCGCTCAGATTGCACGCGCAATGATGTTAGGCTGTGTACTCTGCACGCCATGCATAATACTGTGCCTAGTGATGATTGAGTTCTATTCGGAACCAATTAGCAAATGCAAGGGATAACGTCTGTCTAGGGCAGACCCCGGAGAATCTTCAAAGCTCAAGGCAAGCCAACATGAGTAACTGTGGTTGGCCAGTCCTTTAATGCGGCTGAGACAGGGCCTGCCAAGTTATAATGCATTCATCTCTATGGCTGTTGACATTACTGTTGTTGTTTACTTAAGTCTTGGCTAATTGGCATCCCTATGACATCTGCCCGTGGATGCTTCTAATTTTTGTATTGTTGTTATTCCTTTTTTCTCCCGATAAATAGATAGGTAGACAAGTGCAATACACACCAGAACCCCAGTTATGCAAGTGAAGATCCACACTATCCCAATGAGATGCAGGCATAAGGCTCACAAGACCCAATGAAATGCTCCTCAAAGCAGTAGATGATCATCCCAGTATATTTTATAAGAAGAATTTCCCCATTTCCCCAGGTATATTACCAAATCCGGCATGCCACAGCGCATAAATGCAAATTTGACGCGGGATGTCGCATTCAAGCTAAGGTTGAGCCGTAGGGAGTAGACAGGGAACGTGAATTGAGTCTCACATCCTAGCGTCCCAACCGAAATCAGAGCTATGCTGCTGGATCTACAATACTGCGGCAGTGGCGGTGGATAGGCAGCCGATGATGCAGAGAGTCATGGCCAAGTCGCAGCTAAAGCGAATAGTGCAACAGGGGTCGACAGACTATGTGTAACCGACTTGATCGTAGGTACTTTCCTTCGTAGAAAGACCAAGACCCTGAAAACACGAAGGCTGGAATGCATCTAGCTGCATGTACGGAGTACAGTACTTGGTATGTACAGTACGTAACTACAGTAATGACATACATACATGTGTCCACCTTGACAGAGAATACATGTACATTGTAGACGTCCTATGGTAATAATCGAATTAACAAGCTGAAACTTGTAGCCTCGCCCCAATAAGGACATGTCACGAGTGTCGCCCATGCCAGATACGCCGATCGAGTGGCCCAAGCCAACTCGGAGGAATCTCAGCAATCCACGAAATGGAAGTAATTTCCCAGTCTATCAAAATCTCAGGAATGCCGGGGAGTGAAAACCTTGCATAGAACACGAAATGAGAAAAAGAAAGGCGACCAATGTGCATCGACATTCGCATATGTGGCAGCGTTCATCTGACAGTAGGGAAATGACAACAACATCGTCATCGCCGATAGTGGATTGTGATTGGTTCAGCCCGAATTGATCGGGGATGGGATCAAGCTGAAAGAGGAACCCGCAGCTGATCCTCATACGCACTGAACACGACAACAGACCCTGAGAGGCGCGTTCTGTGGTCTGTGTCCAGCCCCCCTGTAAATGGTGACAGCGGGATCGGCCGAGGCGCCTGGGTTGTCTCCTCCCCGGGTACAGGGAAGACCGAATCAGCTCCAGCTTTAGTTGCAGCTTCAGCTTCAGCTCCGTATAGCCTCTCGATGATCTCGGGGTTCCCGAACAGAAGGCATTTAGATTCTTTCATTTCATGCTGAAAGACACGGTCGGATCCCCACTGTAAATTACAAGTTTTGCCTCGAGAGACGAAAATGTGATCTGTATTTACGGTGAAAGTTCAGTGCAGGAACTCGCGAGCTCTGTTTGGTCCATTCTGACGCACTAGGTACTTTTGTTGTTTTCATCTTCAAATTTTGTTTCTCCTTGGTTTCTTTTGTGTACTATTGTTCGAACTTTCTCATTTACCCCCTCTTTCGTTGCCTCGCGACAAGCACAGACACTGGTGAAACTGACCTGTTTCTGATCTGATCCCCAGAGTGCACTGTCCCCAGAACCCCAAAAATCCAACAAGAGTATCCATTCACGTGGTTTGCATACCCATGTGGCTCAAATACACTTCTTTACGAGCTTCCAAAAGTCCATTGTTGCCCTGTGGCTTTGTCGATCATAGAATCTACAACAGCCTGGACCTTGAATTAAGACCATGGTTATTTGGAAGATGCCAAGTCGGACCGCGTAGGTGTGCTGTTTGAGTATACATAGAGAGCCTCATATATGTGCTGTGATTTGAATACGAATTCACTTACAGTTCAGCAGATAGTATCTCATTAGACTTTTTCAAAAGCCAATGAGCCTCCTTACGCTGCACCCAGCCCCTTGAAATAACAAATGATAAAAACAACCAGCAAACGAATCCAACATTAGACTCGCAGGAACTACTGGTCCGTTCACTTCTGTAAGGGGAATCCAGCGCGGTCGTGTTGAAGAAGAACTGAATCAGGGATCTTGCAGATGCGCGATATCAAGATTCTAACACCGTCAAGCCACAGAAACACAAGTGCATCGGGAACCTGCCTCAAATTAAACAGATTTAGTTACCCGCCTATGTTGTACCTCGCAGGTTCCCTGGTTTGTTGCACCCTCCCGAAGTGGAGAGAAGAGCTCCGTCCCGACAAGTTCAAGGTTGAGTTCAGGTAAATCCAGTCCGAAGGTACGCTAATGGGGGGAACGCTAAGACCCGTCCGGAATCCCAAGGCCTTGGGTGCATGATTTACGCAAGACATTGTCGGGACCGAATTCTAGTAATCCAATCTACTCGGTATAAACAGTAAAAAAAAACAGCAAGAATCTCTAGAGAAAAAGAAACAACAACAATTTACGAGGTAATTCAAAAATATGGCCCAGACCTACACCTCTCATTGAGATCGTCCTGAAGAACGCAATGGGCGCGTTACAAAAGTACGAACTATCCCCATTTCGAGACTCTGGCCCGTAAGAGGTGGTAGTGGGCTACCTCGTGGTGGCCCGCACTGTGCTCGTCACGAATGGATTTCTGTGCTCGAGCCTTGTATTATAACTGATCCATAGTTATATTGAAGCTAAAGACAGAAGTACTGGCCCCGAGGAATCTAGAGTGAGGCGGGCATGGTCCTTAGCGTCGCCCCGGGGAGAAGATTTGAATTTCAAACTGAACTGCTTGTCAAAAGTCCTGTTACCGAGGGCGGGCTGCGTGATGTGATGGCCACGCGCAGAGAGCACGGGTACTAGCATTAATGGGGGTTGGGGGTGGTGAAGGCGTTCGGTTGAAACCGGATAAAAGGGAAACATGTTGAGCAAACATTGCTCTCTTTGGGGACTTGCAGAACCTAGACAGAATGGCTGGCCATTACAATTGATATCTGGTAATCTTAAACAAAGCAATAATGAATGCATTGGTCAAGACAGGGTTATTTCTTTTGATAACACCTGCATGATGTCTGTTTGGATTTCAAGCATGTCCGACGAATACTTCGACCTCTCCTATACTCTATAACGACAATTCAAAATAGGACAATACTCCGTAGAACCATATCATACTACTTTCTAACAAGAAACAGGGCAGAATGTAAGTTGCATAATGAAGATCAGAACCCCCAATATCCAAAAACAGAATAAACTGCCCGGGTACCTAAGCCAAACTACCTTTACACATCACTGCAAGTACTCCGAACTCCATCGCAACAAATAAACTGTGACATATACCAAATGCATCAAGATCACTCCGCTTCCTAGTTCAGCCTGAGTGAGATCTCCTCGGAAATAGCTGCTTACAATACCGATTGATATCATAATACAGGCCAAGTGGCTGCATTAGTCGATGATATGGACCCAAAGCCAAAGATTTCACTCGACATCAAGTATCCATCCCACCCTCTAACCGATCTCCCATACATATACTCTGCATTTCTAGCCCTGCGGTACTGGTACAAACCTAGTCCATCCACCGCGAACCAAGAATACTACATGACCCGAGAACAAGGAAACGTCCGGGTGGGAAAATCAGAACAGACCGCCGGTCACGATAAGCGAACCCCATAACCTGGAAAGTTACGGGGGGAGAAGTCGGATCTGTCCCATCCACACTGCAACCGTCCCACATAGCGAGTGCAGATCAGCATGAGTGGAATTTCAAGCATGACGGTGAAGATTCGCTCGACCAAGAACCTACTCTAGATACCACCTCAAGGTTTTGAACGAATCTTGAAAAGCGGGGGCTGGTTTCAAGTACCCAAAAAAAAAACCAGATATATACAAGGATATACAATATTTATGCAAAGCCTATAACCCACAACAGTACAAGATAGGCAGGTCTGTTTCCCAGCGCAAATCAGACCAACCTATGAAGTAGTCGTCGGAGGATTGTAATTTCCAAAGAGCGGAGAGGCCTGGGCGCAAGTAGACTAGCCTCCATCTCCATTCCACCAGGAGGCCACTGACTCGCTAAATCATTCCATGGCGCGAAGTGTCAAATTGATGCATCACATTTCCGCTTACAACCCACGCCAGATGTACTGGAAGAGGAAAGTTCTTCGATCATTCTATCTATTGACCGAATAAGTCCGCTACAGGTTGGAGATGAGAGTTTTGTCGTGCCGCGGTTACTTTCTTCACGGTTTCGCTTAGGTTTCGTTTGTTGACAGACGGCTTTATTTAGGGGTCTGAGAGCTAGATCTGGATTTGGAGTGGATATATGATCTGCTTATTGGGAGATCGGGCGGATGGATGCTGGGATGATGTACTTGATTTGCGCTGGGGGGTATGGGTATTGAACGTCACGGTGTCGTTAGGTACTTTTGGTTGAAACGTACTACCTAGGATGTAGCGGCGAATGCTTGGACTGGGGCGTCGATGGGCGAATACGATTGCATTTACTATGCGTATGCATGCGGAAGTGAAGAGTAAAGGTTGTATTGGAAGGTTTAGACCTTGTTGAATAGAAATGATACATTACAGGATTGAATGCCCAGATGACTACGATGAGTGCACGCTATTTCGAATTTACAAAGTACATAACGTAAAAAGACAGATAATGAATGTTATTGTCCTAGATGCAATTTTCACAGACGTGGGGATAATGGCTCGTTTGGAATAGACCCTGTAACGGGATATCATTCTATATGGCCTCAAAATAATCTACCTATAAGAAGTATATCGGTCTTTCTGTACGTAGTGTGAACAAAAATGACCGGGCTGGCAGCCGCACAATTGGGCTTCATATGGCACACACTCAAACGTAGATACCAAGGCCTCGTTGAGAAATCTTCTAAATCTTGCCAGAGCGCCAAACAAGAAACACGAGAAACAGTATGCCAAATATAACGCTTCGCTTCAACAAACGACAATCATCAAGGTAACCGCCTAGGATTTCAATGTGATTCAAGCATTGATTCAACAAATCATCGTATGACATATTAATGTTGGTGATATTGACCGCAATAGACATTGAAATGTTGTAAATAATTCAATAACAAATTGACGGTAGTGTTGAAGTTGGAAGAGATTGTTCAGACTCTATATGCATTTTGATTGAATCCAAAGTTGAACCCAACATGCTCGTAAATGGAGGTACCAATGCCAATGGTAATCGCAAGCCGAAGGCACATTCAAAAATGGTATAGACAGCGGCCGCCCAAAGAATCCATTCTATGTACATGATGCAATGCATCCGGGGGAAGAGGAGAGAAGGAGGGAAGAGAGCGATGAAGGAAATATTCAAATAGATGCCGTGGGAATGCTAGGATGGTGGAATTCGGGGCGAGAAACTAGTGTCGAGGCTATGCGGTGGCTTCAAAATCAGATCGGTCTTTGCTGGTAGTGGAACAGGCTCCAAACGCCCTTGAGTCCCTCGACTCGATCTTTTGCATCAAGCAAGTCGTACCATCTGCTGCGCTGCAGCTTCAGTACATGCCAGGGCTGGTCTGGGTTATCGGACTCCTCTGGGAAATCACTTTCACCCGAGGTGAGGATGTCGATATACCTCCGGTGAACTCGGAGATGCAAGATCGCAATGTGGTGGTTGATCGATGTGACCATGTATATATCATCGAATGGACTATCCCTAGCTTTGCCAATCTGCATGTATCGCATGCGCTTATCCCAAAGACTGGGACCAGGTTGGATAATCTTCCATTTCTCTCCACTGGATAGCTTCCGCATAGCACTCGGTCGACGTCCCAAAGAAGTCACAAACGGATGCTCGAATTTGTGTCGTTTGGGTGCGCTCTCCGCCTCAGGTACAGAAGCGTGAGGCTGGCTATGAGCCGCACTAAGCATAGATTCTGGTATAGGGATTCCATGGATACCACCATTTAAGAGGTCATCCAGGATCCCATCATTCGGAGCACCGCCAAATCGTGGTATAGTGGTCCACCACTTACCCTCTCCAGGTCGCTGCTCAACACCTCCCTCGCGGGCGCGCTCCTGTGCTGCAAGCAACATGCCGCCCACTTCGCGAAACAAGTCGCATACTTCTCCAAGACCAGTTCCAGGTGCCTCGCCCTCATTTCTGAAACCAATCTCGGGACGGCATTGTGCGATAAGAACGGGCCCTTCTAGAATGCCATTCCGAGCGACCTGGCGGTCTCGTGGAGACCGAGCTGCCTGGAAGGATTGACGTACAGGGAAGAGCAAGCTCTTGACCGTCAAACGCGGGGGTAAAGTTGGAACAAAAACCTGGCACCCAAATGGCCAAGCTGCCAACTCTAGAAAAGAGCGAATGGTTTCATCTCGGACATCGTCAGGCATCTCGTGACCAGCACCAAGGCGACGACCTGTGTACTTAGCCACAGTGAGATGAGAAGATTCTGTTTGAACAGCACCGTCACTAGAGGTCACAGAAGTCTCCAATTGGTCCAGATCCATTTTTGTTTCGGTCAGCTCTGTTTCATTATCGATCGCCATTTGGTCCCCTTTGCTCTCCCGTTCAGGCGGGTTCTGGTCTGGTGTCGCCGGCCGCTCGAAGTAACAATCCAGACTTGTATCCCAGTATTGTGACATGCACTCTAGTTGAGCCCAGAATTTCCTTGTTTGGGTCACGCGGACACGATCCCGTCCCTCGCGGGGAGGCAGTCGGGCGACTTCCCGGAAGACGTCGTCCTCATTTAGCATGAGCTCCTCTGCCAGAAGTTCATATCGTTCCTTGGGAGGATATGGAAGGCCATTGCTCATCAATGGACGAGTCTGGTCTGCGCCGGCGGGGACTTCCGGACCTTTTTCCCACGGTGGAGGCGGGACAGACAGTGCTTGATCCTGTGGGAACATGTCGCGAATTTCCACATCATGGTCGACTTTGAGGTTCAACGGGGCAAATCGGTCCAGAGAGATATCTTGGGGTCGCTTGATGGAGGCCAGCAGGTCGAACATATCAGGTAATGTCGACTCGGCGGGGTGGGGGACCACATCGGGAAGCCGGTACACGGGGAAGTCGAGCGGGGTTGGGTTTGCGGGGGGCTTGCGTTCTTTTTCAGGGTCTGAACTGACCGAGGGGGCGTCTGTTATAGATAGAGAAGAAGATTGGTCAGTGGACGAAGCACATCGATAGGGAGAGTTAGGGACCTCATTGCCGCAGCTCAGTATTGGGGAAGCTCACTCATCCCAGGACCCCAGCCAAACATGATGAAAGGGTGGAAATGCAGACGAACAAAGTCTTACATGCTCTGGAGGGACCAGAGTTGAATCGAGTTAAATAAAAAGCCGATGATTGAGGCTTGGGAAATGGGTATCAACAAAGGAGAATAGAGTTGGTGGGCACCAGGGGAGAGAGAAAGCGTAGACCTGGGACTTTTGAAAGTGGGGAAGACCAGCTGCGCACTATTGAAGGGGGGGGAGAACAAGTCACGGCAGAAGCCCATGAGTGAGGTTGATCACGGCCACAGTAGGTCATGCAGGTCATATAGGGAGAATGTTTCGTGAATTTGATCAAAAGACTAGTTTTTCAATATTATATTACTAGAATGGATCTAAATATATAATTATCATCTATAATCCTCCATAGAAAACACCGTGTGCCAACTGCTCAGTGCTCTAGCCTGCAGCATTGATTCCCGCATGACTAAGCACCATAGTGTCTAAGTTAGTGTCTGCAGTGATTCTCCTTTATCAACACTAGAACATACACACACTCTTTAATTAAAGTCGACAAGTCGAATTCTCTTTCCTGTTTCATCCATTCCTCATCATTATGAGATCCTGCAGAATATCACATTCACACCAACCCGGGGTAATGATCGCCCCATCCTGCCAACCCCATCCGCACCTGTGATTGGTCCCGGGCGGGTTAAGCGCTGCTTCCCTCACACAATGGAAGCGCCGACTCAAACTTGAAACAGGAAACGGACCCCTAGTCACATAGAGGAGGGGAAAGAATAAGAAAAGCTTTCGGGGGGTATAAAGCGCTTCGGTGATCAGGGTGGCTCATGGGAGACGGCTGTTTTTAATCTCTTTGGCTCCCACTCTATGGGCCATACAGTACTTCAGTACATCTAGTCGAATCTGATATTCGACGACAGTAAGAAAAATAAAAATAAACCAAGAGACCAACATCTACTGAAACTGATACTACTTTAGGTGTCAAAGAAGATTATGGCCCCTACACAATTAACCTGCCCTCACAAAGCGGAAGGCCATAGGATGCCTTTTTGTTAAGGGTGTGTGTCCTTGTCTTCCTCACTTTGAATGACGGGAGCACAATCTTTCTTTCTTCTCACCTTCGCGGTTCCCAACTTCTACCATTGAGCACAGACTCGAAAATTCGTACTGATCCTGTCCTGAAGACGTGGTAGTCATGGAGAATGCACCTGTGGCAGCCTCTTTAACTCATCATTTGTCCGATTTTGAGAACGTTAGCAACCCGGCTCGTGAAAAGACTGAGGTCACTTTGACTTCGCTTCTTACTGAGACGGTTCATCCCACCTTGGTTGTCACCACAGCCATCACTCTTCCTGCTATCCCACCAGTAGCATCCTCAGACACACCATCTTCACAGACTGTCCCTTCATCCATAAAGACCACTGCATCGGAAAGTACTACCGTTGAGACGACTCCAGCTCAGACAAGTCCAGTTCACACGACTAAGTCTCAAGTGGCCAGTGAGCTATCAAGGTCAACCACTGAACTCCCCACGGCAACACCAGAAACTTCGTCTACTCCATTGGCCATGGCAACTTCCTCATCCCAGCAGGTTAATGCAACACCTGTTCTCGAAGGATCGACCAGCTCTGCTACGAGCATCATGGACTCTGTCATGACTTCAATCTCTCCAACCGCCGATTCTTCATCCATGCTACAGCCCTATGTGCCATCTTTCTTGACTTCCAGTCATCATTCCTTGCCAAATGCGACGCCAATCGCCGCGTCATCTGCGCGTGTAACCTCTCGTGTATCTGGGACTTTCATAACTTCAACCAGTCCCGTGCCCGTGCCGACTTTGGTTGCAGGATCAAACGATACTACCAATACTGCATCAGCAAAGGGCAACCGCAATCATCATAACCTCGGAGCCATCGTTGGTGGTAGTATCGGGGCAGTCGCAGCCTTGGCAATTATTATCATGGCATTTATCTTTTTGAATCGTCGCAGACGACGCGCTGCACCCCACACTCGTGAAAACAGTAGACAAAGTCTTATCCGCAATGGCAACAGCAGGGATTCAATCAGCTCTTTCAACAGCCCGTACCCGCGTGAATATCCCCAGTCATTCTCCTATCCTACGCGCACTATCTCTGTTCCACCAGCCCTCTTTTCGCCGCTAGCCCCAACTGTCTCTGCACAACAGAGCTACCTAAACCCAGCGATTAGCCAGTATGATGTGACACATACAGTCTCAAATCAGGACCTATCGCTCGACAGGGTGTATCTTCGCCAGATAATAAAGCCCGACATCCTGGAAGATGACTACGCGGACCTCGAACGAAGCCCTGTCTCTCCAATCATCGAGATATCTCCTCCATCGCGCTCTGTCTCAAATTACTCGCGTTTATCATTGGAAGGTGACCGCTCTAATCGTGGCTCTGATCTCCCCAACTACTACGAGGTAGTTTTTCCTTACGGGGCTGAAGTGGGAACCCATTTCTCCGCAGAAAGTACCTTGACTCTCCCGGATACGCACAGCAGTCGTTCTTCCAATTTTCTTGAAAAGCCACAGACCCATGACAGTATCCGCAGTGATCCGTTTGACCTGGAGATATCTGTGTCAGATGTGGAAAATGAGATACCTCTGCCCCCTCCCCCGGCCTTGATCACCCGAAAATCCCCTTTCTAAGGATTTCTTTCGATCTGATACTCTGTTTATCCATCTGATATTCTGTTCTTCGATCTGATATTTTAGTTTTCGATCTGATGTTCTATTTGTCAACATACTATTTTGGGCCCTTTTTGGCTCCATGTATGTTGGCATAATACCCCCTTGTTCAATGTTCTTGCGCCGGTTTCTATTTCTATACCGGCTTTCACAATACCCCATTTGCATATACATTTCACGTCGCTTTCATGCCTCTATTGTTAATATTACTACCCTAGTTTCCACAACACCCCTATCGACAACACCACTCTATCTGACAGCAAAAAGCTTACATTTCCCTTTCCCTTTCATACCCCCCCCCCATTTTCCAACCATCTGCCCCAGTTGCCCCAATGCCCATTTGACAGCAACCGGTTTGCTTTCATATTTCCCCTTGCTTTTGATCACCTACTGATCAATTTTCGTGCCCCAGTTTGCACAATACCCCATCTTACAGCAATTAGTTTTTATTTGCATTTCGTTTTGCATTTCAGTAATCTGGTGTTCGGACTAGGAGTCATTAAGCGCTGAGCGTGATACATTGTCTTTAACTTATTCCCCACCGTTTTCTGAGAGATCACCTTAATACGGGATACAGCTTACATCCTTGAAAAAGCCTGGATTGTATGTCCAAATATTAAATAACCCGAATTTTCTCATAAACTCATATTTCCGTGATCCATATAAATGCAAATGTAATTGATTTCATTTCTGGCTTCTGCATGCTCTGCTCCAAACATTGAATCAACTCAACTGAAATTCCAAGTTATCAACAAAAGAAATGCCTAGCAACTGCATTCGGTGAAAATTCTCGGACCTTGCCACAAGAACTTGAAGTTGATATATCAAATTTCACCAATCCACTAACCTGAAAAACAGTCCTTTAATCACGGCAACCGGGAGCAAAACCTACAATCCTCCACTGAAATTTAAACAGACTTTCTCCCAACAAAGCCCCCTCAATTCAACAAAGAAAATAAAAACTATAGGTAAGAAAGAATCAAACAAATAATTTACAACTCGTAAATCCCCCCACACTTCATAGAACCCCAAGGCGAAACCTGAAACACATTATCCTTATAATTCGCACAATCTCCACTACTCTCAGCAGAAGTATAAGACTGCGACGTTCCATCTGGATCAGAGCAATCAGTCGTAGTAAAGACTTGACAAATACCAGATAAATACCACGAAGTAGGTGTAGTAATCGTGCCTGCATCGCAATCGTTTGAGTCCAGCCCCCCATTAGTAAACCATCGACACCACGTCCCCGATGAAGACGGCTTGCTGGAGATACTGTTTCCGTGTAGATAGAGACAGTTTCCGTAATCTTGGTTTGATCCGGAGAGCACGTAGTAGTCTCCTGAGCAATCCTCTTCACTGTAAATGGCTACTTCCCAGGGCGCATAGTCTGAGTCTGAGTCTCGTTTGGTTGTGCTTTTTGTGGTTGAGCTGGATGTGGATGCATCTTGGGTTGATGTTGATGTTGAAGAGTGTTTAGTGGTTGTCCAGTCTGCTGTTGTTATTGCGATCACGTCGGATGTTGATTTGGAGCTTGAGGTGGATTGGACTTTGCTGGAAACTAGTGTTGTAGGGACGGTGGAGGTAGAGACTGAGCCTGTTGGACACCCGGAATTCTCGTCCACGGTATTGCCGCACAATCCGTTGGAAAGGACACACTAAAATGGTAATCAGTACGAATCACCACCGTTTTTATCCACATTATCCTAGAGAATCTCTTACCTGGCAATCTGGAGCAATACAAGGATTCAATGAAGCAAGATCAGACATATCGCTCGGACGTGCAGTACCCGGAACTTGAGGTCCACAAATTGCATTCGGGAGAGCATGCGGCATCGGCGGCGATCCAGAGCTTAAGCAAATGAAAGCTCCACCAACTAATCCCTTAGAACAACCAATCCAATCATATTCCCATGTATCCTTGTTATAAGTTTCCAGATCATCTACCGTGATGCCATATGCAGTCGCGATCCGGTCACATGTATCCGCAGGCTGTACAGTGTGAATATAGCAAATGCCATCGTCACTGGCCTCAAGTGGAAGCTCCAATGTTCCAGAGGAACAACATACTGGCTGACGACTTGTGAGTGATGTACAGAGAGAAGAGTCGGTGTTGTATGTCGAGAACTCGGATGTGGTGATACCACATTTTGCAGCTAGAGTGTCACAGGTGTCTCCCGTTTCGATGATGATAGATGAGCAGGCAGTGCTGCGTTTCTGAAAAATATTTTAGTTGAAATGGTTCGATAGACCGGCTATTTGATAGAATTTTGGGAAATTTTAATCACTAACTTCAAGCGAATTGCCATTTACTTGGGATATCAAAAGAAGCCCGCATAAAGCGAGCAATGTGGAAAATTGAAACATGCACATGTTGTACGCGTACTCAACTACATGATAAAAGTGGGAGAGGCTCCTTTTATCTACAAAGCACTGATATTCAAGTCAGATTACTTGATCTTGATCTGGAATCAAAGATGCTGTTCATTGAGGCAAAATGAGTCTTGCATGAAACTGGCCTAATACTAATGTAGACATAACAATGGGTTTGGCGTGTGGGAGTATCCGGATCTACGGCTCTCATCAATAGACATGGGAACGAACAAAGGGAAAGTGTATCAAGTCTCTGACGTCTTAGACGAATCCTATACTCGAATGTAAGTAAGTTCACCCCGGATGTCCTTTGTTGCTGGCTCCAGGCCATTCGTTCGTTCCAGTACCGGACTGACCACTCACAGGAACCAGCCACGGGGACTTCGAAACTGAGATGTAAGGGCTCGCCTCTTTCATGGCTCATAGGAAATCATATATGATATCGCATATAGCCATGTCAACCAAACTTTGGATATCAAGACAAAGGAAACGACAGAGCCGCATGGCTCGAACCGAGAACAGCCAAGTAACCATGAAGGCCTGACCCCGTGTAGCCTACCCGAGCTTGAGGGATGAAGCATATGATATAGGTCACGGTCCCTTGGGGATTCAAGTAATCGTCAAGTATAGAAAGAATTCAGTGACACATAGATATTTTCAGATCCTGACGTCTTAAAGAAATGTCAAGATGGCTTTCCAAGGTGGTACTCAATGTTCATCCCTCCTCAGAGGCGAATGGCATGCAGGAAAAGCCAAGATAAAGAAGTTTGAAACGAGCATCTACAACTTGAAATTAACTGTGGCGGTATTTCAAGGGTTGAAGGCATAATTTAAGATGGGAGCACATGTCTCATCTCTTTCAAGTTGATTTGATTTCTTTCTTTTTTCTTTTTTCTTTTTTTTTTCTTTTTTTCCAATACAATGCCTACAGTGAACAAAGGGTTTCAAGTTTAATAGAAGGATAAACGCATCAGATAAAACAAGAGACTAGTATTAGTCTTAGAACTACTGGTCATAATATCTGTTGGAAATTGGAGAATCATATGGCCTAACGATGGTACGTGAGGCTATTTTGTGTACTGCAAGTTGAGCGCTTGGACGAGGATTTTATTTCCTCTCTTTGGTATGGATGTTAATTGCATCCAAGCCGCAAATCAATGACATTGTGCATACTAAAAACAATATTTTCGCTGTGTAAGATTCCGCTTATCCCGTAAGCTCTAATCCCATTGCCCGTGCATCCGTGCCAAATGTCGGGAAGCCGAACGGGTATAGCGTCGTATGACTAACTCCGAGTCACCGTATTCGCGTAGATCCAACCTAATTGTGTTACCATTGGGATGACTGAAGTGTTCAATTTTATAAATAATGATAATTAAACTGTCTTGAAGAATCAATTGCCGACTCAGAACATTTCATTGAAATCCCAGCTGTACACGTGGAATGACTGCACCGCTTAGAACTCTGGGTCGGGATGGCCCCCAAGTCTCACCGGTTGGACTTGGCATGGGAAGCATCGGTGGCTTCTATGGATCTGCAGGTTGTATAGACGACAGAGTAGCACTGCTGGATCATGCCCACGCAACTGGGTTAAGATTCTGGGACCTAGCCGATGTTTACCTCGACAGTGAGGATGTCGTCGGCGAATGGGTCAAACGATCCGGCAAACGCGACGAGGTGTTTATAGCCACAAAATTCGGGATGCATCACGGAACCAACGGTATCCAAATATCTCGTTCGGATGCGGAATATGCCCAAATTGCATGCGAGAAAAGCCTGCAAAGACTGGGAGTTGAGACGATTGATCTTTATTACTGCCACCGGGTGGATGGTGTTACGCCCATCGAAAAGACCATAGAAGGCATGGTGGAACTGAAAAAGTATACTATTCAATCTACCCTTCGTTCCAATGGATACTTTTGCTAATGAAAGCATACAGCCAAGGAAAGATTCGGCATATTGGATTATCTGGCGTTTCACCCGCTACTCTACGCCGGGCGCATGCAGTGCACCCAATCGCGGCACTTCAAATGGAGTATAGTCTCTTCTGCCTAGAGATCGAGTTGCCCGATTCAATGATCTTAAAGACTTGCCGTGAGCTAGGCGTTACCATCGTAGCGTACTGCCCAATTGGTCGGGGTATCTTGAGCGGTCAATTCCAATCTCGCGCAGACATCCCAACGAATGATCTCCGCCTAATGTTGCCCAAATACTCCGAGAAGAACTTCCCCAAGATCATGCAAATAGTGCAGAAACTGAAGGATGTAGGTGAGTACCATGGACGCACGCCGGCACAAATTGCTCTTGCGTGGCTTTTGGCGCAAGGTCCAGACATCATACCCATCCCTGGTACGAAGTTGACAGAGAGGATGGATGAGAATGCGGCTTCTGCGCTTGTCAATTTGAGCGACGATGAGGTGCGAGGTATTAGGCATGTTGTTGAGCGAAATATCATTGAAGGCACTCGATATGCTGCTGCGTGAGTGACTCAATTTGAGAAGTGTTAGTCTATATACTGATTGGTTGTATAGTGTTATGGCTCAGCTTCAAGAGGATACCCCGGAACTGTAAGGGTTGGGGACGGGTATGTAAAGAAATGGGCAGATTGCCAATGAGAATGTTAGGATTGCTATTCGGAAGCTATCTTTCTGTGACATCCTCTCAAACGTTGGATCGTGTGGAGGATAGGGTATTGCAGCGGTAGATCAATTCTGAATACAAAGAAAAAGAAAAAAAAGAAAATCAACTTACTTCCCCAGAACCCTCCCAAGAAAAGACGCCAAAGAAACGCACATGTCTACTTCGAGACATGCACATCGGGATCGGGAAACCCATGTTTTCTCGAGACTCTCAAGAGATTGTTCATTATTTGCTCGCGGCTCGGGGCGCTTGAGCATTCGCCGGTGTAGAAGTAGAAGCACCACTTTGTTGAGGAGCACCAGGCGCTACACAGCTAGGCTTATGCATCGGCCAGTCAAGCTTCTGACAAGCTTTGGTGCAGTAATAAATCTTTTTGCACCGAGCGCAACTAAGCAACTTCACATCGAGAGAAGGTGTAAAGCCACAAACCTCACACAGCCTATTCACATTATCTCCAAACTCATCAGGAGGCGAACTCATAGCGCCGCCCATAGCCTTCAAAAGCTCATTGGCAGCACGGCGCCAAATCGTATTTGCCGTCAGAACCTGTTCTTTGTCGGCAACTTTCACTTCACACATCTCGCGATGAACGCCGAAAGCTGTTAATCTGTTGGAAACAGCACGCGCAAGGGCTGGATCGGCTGTGCCCCAACTGTTTGGAGCCCAGGGGCTCATGTCGGAGTTCATTTGGTATATTAATTCGCCTTCGGAGTCGAATCGGGAATTGAAGATTTCGAGCAGAATTGGAACGATGATTTTTGCTTGTTCTTCTACTGCGAGCGGGGTAATTCGTGCGCGACCGTCGTAGTGGTAGTGGCCGTTGTAAGGATTCGCCACGAAGACAGCATTTCCGGGGACTTTGGGGAGGGAAATGACGCTGAAGATGTAGTGGTTGGGAGTACCTATGTCGTCCATTTCAGGACGACGGAGTCTGTTGAACTCTCGAACTCGGTTTGCTAAGCTCGACATGGCGATGGAGTGATGGGGGTGATTTTTCTACCTCTTGCCCTTTCGTTTACTAGTTGAACGCGTTTGTTGATTGTGCCCGCGTTTTGGCGATTGTCTCGCGATAATCGCGACGTCACCGCCTCGGTAGCCCATGAACGTGTTGATTCACTTCAGGCACCATACATTCAAGCTTGCAAGTACCCATCCAGTCACTCTCGGGGCTTGTTTACCTACATGCAGTCGCTTTCTTGAATGTACTTTCTTCTCAAATTTCACAGTAAAGTATAATGCCATATGATACAATGGGAATCGAACGATTCTATGCGCAAAGAAACCATCCTTCCTCAAAGTCAATCATGAACAATTGAAAACACTAGGTTTATACAAGCAATCATTCATCATCCTCATCATCCTCACCAAGGGCCACACATCGAAAACTTTTGCCTTTGGAACCTCCCTTCTTTTCATGCACTAGTTTCTTTGGTGTTCCTGACCCCGGGGCGTTGAGTATATAACTCTTCTCAGCTTTACTGCAATCGCCCGTACTAATTGATGTCAACAAAGGCTTCATCTGAGATTGAGGGAATTTAGACACATACCCGTAAAAAGAACATCGGTAATAGTCATTTCCTGGTTTGAGATTCAACCAGTTTATCCAAAGTGCGTGTTCTATCGGTTGGCATATACCGGCTTCAACGATATACCCTGCTGTATGGCTTCCAAACAGAGCGGGTGTGTTGATGTGTAGCTCATACTGTTGACCTGTGAGCATAAGGCCTAGCATGGTATACTAGCCGGGTGTTGATCAGTCATGCAACTTACTTTGGGCTTGTCGTTGGCCGACGCGAGCGAGAAAAGCCCCAGGGCTGCAATGATCGGGAAATGCATGGTGATTTGTTAGATGATGCTCGATGCCCAAGTGCCCGTAATGGTGGAATAATTCACAGAGGAACTACTGCACCTGAACTGGGGCAAGCCTTATTCATAATTGAATTAGCATTCCAGGGGTCTTGGCTCGCAGGGATATTTCGTGTCTTATCTTTTCCAAGGTTCTCAATCTCCTGCTACAGTCAGCCAGGAAGGAGTCGCCCCTTGATAATACGAATACTAGTACCATTGGACCCCCTACATACCACTCGGAGAAATAATGTTACTAGCAGGTAATGATTTGGGATTTCAATATTTCTTCCATGGTTTGATAATAAGAACTGGCAATTTATAGAAATAGTGGCAGAGGTGTGTATTGGGCGGCAGGGCTCCAAATCCGGTCCGGCTAAGGGTAGTTATAACTTGCAATGGAAGGGATGAATCTGGGGAACGGTCTACACATAGGCTAGTATGAATCATCGATGCCTTAGTGAGGAATTTTGGGATGTCAAAATGGGATACCGAAGCCTGGAATGGATAGCGATCCCCTCACAAAGTAGCCGCACTAGTATTTAGTTTTCACCAATACTTCTATATCTTTAAATTTCATTCTATTTCATTCTATTCCTGAAAGCTTTGACAAAATCATATACAAAGGATATATGCTCTGTTCATGGGAGAAAGGAACGAAGCTTCATAGATTACCCCCTTTGGACATACTCGAATTTCCAAAATGCAGCCGATATTAAGGCCAACGAAGTCAATGCAAAGCCGACATCTAACCAAGAGGCCGCACGAATTCCCTTAAGAAAGTTTTTGTCACCAGGTTCAGTAATCTTCATCTTTTCCGCCTGATTACCGGAAGAACTCGCAGAAACAGCAGTCTGTACCGCGGTCGAAATTGCTAAGCCAAATGCCCGGCCAAGCTGGTTAAAAACATACATAAGGGCCCCCGCAACAGCCTGATCATCTTTCGGTAACACAGTTGATACAAAAAGCGTGAGACAAGACCAAAAGCTGTTCATACCAATAGCAAAGGAAATCAAAGCCCAGAATTCCCATTCAAAGTAGCTCACGTTATCCGGCAGAGGTAATCCGAATAGAAGGGATGAAGCTGCCAGAAGAAGATGACTGGCGACGAACAAAGAGATTGTCGGGACTCTCCCCAAAGCAAGTGAGACCGCTATTGGTGACAAAATTCCAACCAGGCCCGTTGGAAGAAATCGAAGCATCGTTTGGATGAGTGAGAGGCCCTGGTAATCTTGAAAGAAGTATGTTGAAAATACCAGCATATTGTTGAACGAGGCACAGAAGAAGCAGTTGGCAAGCATGGTAACGCTGAAATGAAAGTTGCGAAACAAAGATATCTTGAGAAGAGGCGGCCTATCTCCTTTCTTTTCCAAGCGCAATTGCCAAGCGACAAAGCCAGCTAGCATGATTATTGAAATTGCGATCAAACTTGGGACATAGGGTGTCTTCCAGCCAACCATATTGCCCTCCGCGAGCGCAAAAAGGAGCATAAAAAGGGAGACTGTGACCAGTAGTCCTCCTATCCAGTCAACATCTCTAAACAGGTCCCCGGTATTTGCATTTGCTGAAGCGGTTTCGTTCTTGGGAATCACATATATACTAGCAACAGTTATCAACCCGGTTAAAATGGCCTGAATACCAAAAATCCATTGCCATGCAGCATATTGGGCAACTGCGCCAGACACGATTGTACCGAATATGCTCCCCAAAGGTGAGCCACAGGCTGCGCAAGGGTATCAGGTCATGTCTCTTTTAGACTCGATCATATAGCATTCGACACAGATAACTCACCATATGCACTGAAGGCATAGTTCTTTGCCCGACCCGGAGAAGAGAATGTCGCACCCAAAATTCCCACCGCAGTAGGAACATTTGCAGCTGCACCCTAGATGAATAATTAGTTTTGATCGAACAGGTACAAGCAACTTAAACTTTTGATTTCATCAAGCCGCACTCACCAAGCCGTGCAATCCTCGAAAGATAGCGAAGCCGATCTCATTTGGAATGAATGGATTGACAGCTGAAATCACAGTAACCCAGAGCGAGCCCAAGATAAATATTGTTCGCTTGCCATAGATATCGGCAATCCTGCCCCACAAGAGGAGGAAACATCCAAATGTCAGTACGTATGAGGTTACAATCCACTGTTGTCGAGCCTCGGGAATGTCAAGCTTGCGCCCGATCGTTGGAAGTATGATGACCACGCTCTGAGATGCGAATGTCTACTCAGAGTTGTCAGTTTCCGAGATCACTAATGACTAGGGAAAAACTCGAGGAGAACTTACGTTGATGAATGCAGCACCAGTAACAGTAGCAACAAAAACGATTGAGGCGGACCTTGACAGAGCGGGTGCATTTTCGACAGTATTCCCTTCCTCTTTTGTTGTTGAACCCATGAGTAACAAATTCCCTCAATTAAATTAGATCAATGGTCGTAAGGGGTGAAACAGCTCAACCAAGTTGCAGAATAACCCAGGGCGCACGATAACTTGAACTGGACGGGGGGGGGAAGTGCGCAGATAGTTGGAGTGAGCAAACATCAATCAACTTGACTCCCCTGATTAATTTCCACTCGAAAAATTTAATCTTGCTTTTGCTCATAGACAGAAAATCTGAATGACATTCCTTTTCAGATCTACGATTTGCCTTCTGAATATAACCCCGGACCAACTGCATTTGCAAAATGAAAGGTTCAATAAACCTGCATAAACAAACCATTTATCTTTCAGTCAGACGGTCCTTCTCTTACTAGCTGCATCTCAACAAGACAAGATGTCTGGGGAGATCAGGCTACGTTGTAGTTCTAGATGTAGCCGCATGTTTTCCATGACGGTAGTGAAGAAAAAGAACATTCCGTGCGAACATTCCAGCCTCATCGGCAGTCACCTGGACAACGAAAAGAGTGTAGCACGTTAGAACAGGTTTGTACAAGGAGTCTGAGTCGAAACGTTGCGTAGCGTATTTTTGATTAATATCCGACCAGAGCCACGCTGTCCTTAATCAAATAAGAAGCATGCCACGGCCCAATCTACAAACGTCCGAGATATCATCCACCGAGGATCCGAACTGTTCCTCCTGTTTCCAGTTTTCCTTCAGAACATTGGAGGCACTGATAACGTTGACACAATTTGTCAAACCCCAAAGCATGCGCAAAGAATTCAGAACAAAGTTCCGCTGGCTCTCTGACGAACAGTCGAGACCAGCAATAAAGACAGGCCATATAAGGCACTTGAAAATTGTCGTATCACCTTGTAGCGCTTCAATAGAGCCAAGTAACTGTATGATCAAATTTTCGGTGTTCAAGATTGACGTCTTCACGGCACCAAGCACTCGATTTCCATATAGCAATGTCGCAGCTTTGTACGCTTGTGATAACAGGCATATTTTTATCACTTCATTCGCCGAGGGTGCTGCATGTTGTTGGAAGGTTGAAGCCCATTCAAAACAATCAAACTGCTCAGTCAATTCCAGCATCATAACGGTATTTTGTAAATTTTTATTGTTCGTAAATTCGTTTCCGCCTTTGGACTCCGCGAGCACATATCTTTGATTAGAAAAAAACTGGATCGCTCTTAAGAGAAATTTGGGGCAGCCAAGAAAGCTCCTGACGATTGACTCTTGATGAGTTTCCTCACTGCAGAGAAAATCTTCAGAGACGATATTGGAGGTTCCATAAAGAGAAGTTCCAAGTGTTTCAATTCTAATACACATCAGTGATAACACACAAAATTGTACCCCCCTGTGATTTCAATAGGATTGGTAACATACAATGAAAACTGGTCCTTAATAAATCGTCTCGTCTCTTGAACCATATTCCCAGGGTCAATGCTGCTATGAGCATCTGAGATAGGGTCGAGGAGGGAACGATTAAGAATCAGTAAGCCTTTTGCTCCCTGAAGGTGAAAATTCCATCCGTCAATCCCCGATTCAAGAATATCAAGAAAAATGAGAAGAAGGATAGTCGCCATGGTTTGATCTCTCCTGCAAAGTCCTGATTGATGCAATGACGATGACAATGCCTCTATAGTTTGCTTTTTGTATAGAAGAGCATCCATATTGGCATCCGCAAATTGAGAATCAATAGTCGGGTTAGTTGCATCAAATGAATAGCCGGTATTAGCATAGTGTCGAGCCGCAAGAGCAATTATTGACTTTCGTAAAGTCGGGTCCTCCAGTCCGATAGACAGCAAGTTGCGAAACGGATTGCTGCCACTGTCAAACAGAATAAACAGCTTGCAGATTCTGTTACTGTCTTTCTTAAATATTAGTACAAATTACATTGCTTTTCATCAACGGCACGCATAGGCTTACAATAATCAATGTAATATTTCGATCGCTGATCCAAATTGTATATACGTGGGTCCTGCAGAGCAAACGAAGGTTTGTTAAGTATCTTTAAGTGCGTTGCTGAATGAAGCAAGGCTTGAGTTTTCTCCGGCAATGCTGGTCCTTTGAAAACATGGCCTCGCAGCTTTCCCCGAATCGCCACACCTTTAACCCATCTCAGCGGTCTTTTGTCATGGCATTCCAGACCGGCTTTCTTGCATTTGAAGCAAGGGGTTTGAGATTGGTCGCATTGAACTGTACGGCTGCGGCATGTCCAGCATGGTTTCAGCATCGAGAAACCTTATGTGTTGAATGTCATGGATATCAATGCACGGCTTACTGAGGCGGATCTACGGGGTCATACAGGAGGCTGACTGACTGGAGATGCACGTGATGATCACATGTAGCGGGTCGGAAGTATAATAATCCGTCACCGCGGGTGGCCTGAATAGACCAATAGGGCGTCATAGACATCAATCCCCCAACTGCCAAAAATTGAAAAGCCATAATCAGTTAACTGAATTGATAGTATGTGAGATGTAAGCAAACATGATCTAGAGCTTATATCGATTACCGCTGATAAATCGCATACCCCGAGACAAGACAAGAGCGCATTGGGGATCGGGATGTGTTTGCAGCCCCACCTGGAATAACATCCTAATCGGGCTTAGGGCGCCCCGCCACGTTAATCGATTTAGAGCAAGATTACTGGGTGCAAGAACTATTCGGAGTCACCATGGCGTTGATTTCACTGTAACCCGTTCTCAGTGGCACGGAAAATGCCCATGATTTGTAAGATAGAGGATGGAAAATTGCAACTTCCAATTGAACACGAGGTGGCGTCCTGCTGGGACTTCGATATTTAAAGGGCTTCGTTCGCGCCCTCATCTCTGAGAAATCCTCCAATACAACAAGCTCCTTTTCAACTTTTCAACTGTTCTGAAAACTTTTAAACATATCAAACTTTTTTCAATTTCTCTACTTCAACATGTGCCACGAGGAGATCGCAACCAACGGCTGGACTAGCACCCCTGCTAACGCGGGTGCTATCTTTGGTAATCGGCCTTTCATTAACAAGCCGGAGCCGCTTGCTATTAAAGAAATCGAATTTCCATTTGATGATCCCACCGTCGCGAAGACTTTGAAGTATGCAAAGGAAGAGTTGCACCCCAAAACCTTCAATCATTCAATGAGGGTTTTCTTCTATGGTATGCCGGCATGCTCCACGGAGATCTATTAAGATTGAGACTTGTGTCTAACATCTAACATCTACATAGGCATGGCAATCACACGCCAGCAATTCCCTAAGCAAGCTGCTACACTAAGTCCTATTACTTGGGCTCTGGCATGTCTGTTGCATGATATCGGATCGACGGAGACAAACCTAACAGCGACCCGAATGTCCTTCGATATCTACGGCGGCATTAAAGCCCTCCAAATTCTCAAGGATTTCGGCGCGACTACCGACCAAGCCGAAGCAGTCTCGGAGGCAATTATTCGACACCAAGACCTGGGAGTTGATGGGACGATCACATACGTTGGTCAACTGATCCAGTTGGCTACCATTTATGATAACGTTGGCGTCCATCCCAACGTCAAAGATTTCGGTCAAATTATCCACGAAACAACTCGGACCGAAATCAACGAGGCCTATCCACGAACGAAGTGGTGCGAATTCTTCGCTAACTTTGTGCGCGAAGAGGAGACAATTAAGCCTTGGTGTCATTCGACTCATATCGTCAACTTTGACAATATTGTCGAGGCCAACACTCTCATGAAACAATGGGAATGAGATAGACTTTATAAAGTCCCTTGAGCTCTAATGTCGACTGTCACGATTAATGTGGCGGCGTTGAAACACCATGGCATGGGTTTAATGAAATTTAGACTATAATGGTACCATATGAAGTCCTTGTCTACGAAAGAAAGGCGTTCGCATACATCCGATTGCTTCCGGAAGTGGGGTTTTCCAAGTGTCTGTGTTTTGTAGTTCCCGCGCTACTTTATGTACCCTGAAGACTTTTCCTATTTCTCCTATTTGTTATAGTTATTAGGCTATCAAAATATGATGCGTTTTCAGCTGCTTCCTTAATGTTACTCACCGAGTAGACATCGCTGTGCTGGGTTTTCCACTCAGCCCACATTTCTCCAACGCTAGCCCCTCGGTTATCTGTTTGGCGCCATGCAGACTTTGTGTCAAGCCAAATTCCACCTGTTTTAAGAATTTCTCTATTGCAGCGCCAAGGAACAACACTTGGCGAATCATTTTTTCCCTGGGGACCTTCAGGTGGATGGGAATGGTCTCCGCGGTCCTTACTGACTTTCTTTGTAGATAATAGGGGAACTTGGAATAGACGTCATCCACAATATCTCTGCTCCTTAATTAATTGGAAGGAAAGTAGAAGCTTCATGTTGAGTAGGTCAAGCATAGTGGATATAGATAGTGGAATCTTCATTTATTTTTGAGAATAAAGTCCCATGCTTGTTTTGTCCACCACCGGCGCCACCAGCCCCGCCGAACGCCCTCCGCCGGAAATATCCCCTGCTCACTCCGCCTCGTCATCCACGCTCGACAAATGTCCTTAGGTTTTACACTCACTCTACCGAAGCGACTATATTTTCCCGGCGTTGATAAATGAATGGTGGCAAAAAGATACCCCGTTATAATGCACATCGCAGATACCGATGTTATCCCGGGAAGGTCCGTGCTTCACCTCTGGAGACAATGTGCCTCCTGATTACTGGTCGGAAGATATCGACAGATTGAGGGTGCTCCGTACCCATTGTGATCTAGTGGCACTCTTAGTGAGACTTGGATTGAAACCATCAAGGTTTCAAGCTCGGAAGATTATCCCCGTTGGCTGTTACCCCTGCATGTTCTGAAGAACCACCGCAACTGCCATGATCCACTCTGGGGGTAGCTTCAGCATCGTCCTTGCTCATTCCAGCTATTTTGGCCACCAATTATCAAGTGAAGATCCGGAACAATGGCTCCCGGATTGGAGGATAATAGACCATTCAGCGCATAGCTTCTCAGGTGATTCGGATGTCGATCCTAGTTTGGTGGATAATGTGGATTATGCTCGGCAGAGTGAAGGACCGCCGATGTCCATAAATGAATTAAGATATCCTGCAGAAGTTGGGTTTTGACAGAGAGAACCAGAGCAACAACAGTAGCAGAACTCTGAATTTCTCAAAACAAAATGACCAAGCTAGCTGCCTCCCTCATGCTGGCTGCTTTAGCAGCTGGCGTGATGGCCTCGCCTGTCGCCGAGCCTGCAATCACCGCAGCTCCAAACCTCGCCAAGAGAGCTACCAGCTGTACCTTCTCCGGATCAAGTGGTGCTTCAAGCGCAAGCAAGTCTCAAAAGTCTTGCTCAACCATCGTTCTCTCCAACGTCGCTGTGCCTTCGGGAACAACTCTTGACTTGAGTGACCTCGCGGATGATACAACCGTGAGCATAGCCTTCATATCTACATTTGATCATTAGCTCTGGGTTAATGCTGATCATTTATGATTTTAACAGGTCATTTTCGAGGGTGAGACAACTTGGGGCTACGAGGAGTGGGATGGCCCATTGCTTCAGATTTCTGGCACCGGCATCACCGTCCAGGGTGCATCCGGCGCGTACCTGAACGGTGATGGATCTCGCTGGTGGGATGGTGAGGGAAGCAACGGTGGAGTTACCAAGCCTAAGTTTTTCTACGCCCATGATCTTACCGACTCGACCATCACCGATCTTTACATCGAGAACACTCCTGTCCAGGCTGTAAGCATCAACGGTTGCGATGGACTGACAATCACCGATATGACCATCAACAACGAGGCTGGTGACAGTGAGGGCGGTCACAACACTGACGGATTTGATATTGGTGACAGCACCAGTGTTGTTATCACCGGTGCGGAAGTGTATAACCAGGATGACTGCGTCGCAGTTAACTCCGGCACTGTAATGAATCAAATCCAAAATTCATGATATACTCGGAAACTAACCTTGTTACAGGATATCACTTTCGAGAACGGGGTTTGCTCCGGTGGTCATGGATTGTCCATTGGCAGTGTTGGCGGTCGCTCTGATAACACCGTGGATACAGTCACCTTCAAGAACAATGAGGTTAAGTCCTCTACAAATGGTAATTGAGTCCGATCCTGCTTGTATTGACACATTAGCTGACCTCGCGTTTTTGTTGTTTAGGTATCCGCATCAAGGCCACTGAAGGTGATACTGGAACCATCAAGGGAGTTACCTACACCGAGATTACCCTCTCGGATATCTCTGAGTAAGCCACGCAAAAGAAAACAGTTGATTGATCTTTCACTAACACTGCGTCATAGTTATGGAATTCTCATCGAGCAGAACTACGATGGCGGTGACCTCGATGGCGGCACCCCAACCAGTGGCATTCCCATCACCGATCTCACAATCAGCAATATCTCTGGTACTGATGCCGTTGACTCGGATGGCTACAACATTGTTATTGTCTGTGGATCCTCTGGGTGCTCAGACTGGACTTGGACCGATGTCAGTGTTACCGGTGGAGAGACATACAGCGACTGCGAGAATGCCCCTGATAGCATCAGCTGCTAGGTGTTTTCAAAAGTCAGTCCTGGCCTGTCTGTATGCTAAATTTTGTCTTGTGGAATTCGTGTTCAACTTGCGTATATTATTCTCCTTTTTGAAATTTGGGGTCAGCGCAATGCATGTTTCAACCATTTTTTGTTTATTTTAAGCCTCTCGAATAATAGTATGATATTCGACTATATGAATCCTGCGTGCTTTTATGTATGAGGCCTAAAATATGTAGACTTGGCCTTCTTATTATCCCTCGGAGATTGCTATTTACCGAAAATTTATCAACAACTCGGGACTTAGAAAAGTCCGCCAGGCCAGCCAAGGCCCACTAGCAGCCTCCCATCCTGATCTATCCACGCGGTAATCCTTCGATCACTGAACGAACGATTTAAATTGAGCTTCACGCCCAACTACTTTGAAAGGGTGTCTTCTCAAGCCAGAATTATGGCTATGAATCAGATTCTTGATTTTTTTCAACCCATGAACCAATATTCCATAATACCGAAATTAGGAATTGGTCTCGGAGCTCTATGCTTCGTCGGTCTTATTTCTAGAACCAATTCATACCTCTCTCAAAGAGCTCTCAATAGGCTTTATGGATCTACAACGTGGAACCGAAGTGAAGAGATCATTGTGGTTACCGGCGGTTCCAGTGGAATCGGCGCAGCAATTGTTAAAGAATTGGCGACTCGAGGGACTAAAGTTATCATTTTTGATATTAACGAGCCACAAGAGCAGCTGAGTGAGTAGAACGACCGCCTTTACATAATTATAAAAAATTGACAACCATATCCAGGATCCAACATATTCTTCTACAAAGTGGATCTCGCCTCCTATGAAGAGATCAAGGAAATTGTGGCGCAAGTCCGATCCGATCATGGTGACCCCACAGTCTTGATCAACAATGCAGGCGTTGAATTCAACAAGCCCATACTGAGTCTCCCAGAGACCCAGCTAAGAAAGACATTCGAAGTGAATATTATTTCGAATTTCCTTCTTGTCCAAGAAGTCTTACCTGCTATGGTGTCACGAAACCACGGACATGTCGTTACAGTTGCCAGTCTCGCATCATTTACTACAAATGCTAGTAATGTCGATTATGCATGTACCAAATCCGCTGCGCTAGCCTTTCATGAAGGACTCAGTCAGGAGCTTCGGCATGTATATAATGCACCCGGGGTTCATACCACGTAAGTTCTTTTCAAACTTCCTGCGGTTTTATACCATCATAATGACAAACTTGGATTCTTAGCATTGTGCATCCTGCATGGGTGAGAACTCCGATGATCAAAAAGATGGTGGCGAGTGGAGTTTTTGACGGACAGATCATTGAACCGAAAGATGTGGCAGAAGTGACGGTGGATCAGTTAATGTTGGATTCGGGGGCTCAATTGTTTGTCCCTTCGAGTCATTGGATGGTATCTATGGTAAGAGGATTTCCTTCTTGGTTACAAGAATCCATAAGGAATCAGCTGTCCATCAAAAGATTAAAAGCTTTGAATTAGTGCTTCGATAGAGGGAAAATATTTTGTTTCCTTTTTTGTTAGGCTATAACAATACATTGAGTTTAGAATTTCAAACATAAAAAAATAATCTGTATGAGTGTGACAAATTTTTATAAAAAGCTCGGTTTTTCGTACTTCGCGGTCGGTGAACATTCATCACGATAGAATCCATTTGAAGCCTCTCGCTACCTAGCGTGTTGTCCAAGTTCTCTTCCACATATTTATTTTTCATTTTCAAAGCTGTATTTCGATTGGTCTTAGTGTGTACCAGTCCTAGATTTAGCCCAGAATTGATGGTTGCTATGCATCTAGACTTCGCACCCGGAGACACGGTTCAAAATCCTATGATGTAATTGTAGATCCCGTTCATGCATGCGGGGCCATGGCGGCCTCGGATGAGCAATAGTTCAGCCCCCCACCACCTCACCAGGCGCTATGTATTTAGAGAGGCAATTTTGGGCTAAGCTTTACGAGGGCTTGGCTTTCTACTCTAAGCTTCAACCGAGATCTTGGCATCATAGCATGGAATCGAAAATCCTACGACATTTCGGAATGAGATGGATTGAGGGGAAGGCTCTGTTTATCTAAACCCGGATACTCCTCATGGGTCTTTTTTGGTGGGGGCCGATCACTTAGCCCATAGGAAATATACGTACGACTCGCAGAGATTCCCAGAACTCTTTTCTCTTCTCCCCACCTCATTCCAAACACTGGAAACAACACGACCCCTTTTTTGAAAGAAAAGTGCATACAGGACTATTCATGACTTATAAACCTCACGAAACCATCGCAGGCGATGATTTATATGGACCAGGAACGTTCATAGACAAAGAAGTCTTACCAGTTCCTGAGGATGCTCGCAGAATATTCGAAATTTTGGCTTCCCGCACACCGGGATTTACCAAAGACAAGGCAGCATGGGACACCGTTCAGTTTGAGGGGAACCCCAATCCCATGATACCTGGACCCATCAAGTCTCCAGCGGTATCAGCAGCTCTGCATGCAATGGCAGGTTTAGTGGGAAATGAGCTCTTAGAGCTTCGCGACGCAAAAAAAGTGACTGATAACAATGTGACAGTTGATACCGACCATGCTGGATTCTGGCTTGGTACCATATTAACCACGTACTTTGATGGAGTCGACGCCTCATCGCTATCGCGATCAGGAGAGTTGAATAAGCTGTTCACTCGAGACTTCCAGCCAGGATTCGGGAGGCCCATTGCGCTTCGCACGACAGCGATTTATCAGACAAAGGATCCAAAGGTTTGGTACCAATTGCACGGCTCGCTTAATGCGGACAAAACACTCATTTCCATGGGAATGGATCCAAATGTCGTCTTAGGGTCCCCCCTAGAGTGCTACGAATATATCCAAGATCATGTTCGACAATGGAGTCCGGATGAGCTTGAGATGCATAATGTGCGCCACGGTCTTTGTGGAAGTATTTGTTATACCCCCGATGCATGGAGAAAGACCCTCTTCGGGAAGCGACTTGCGGAACATCCTTTAGTGAAGGTTTCGGAGGAATCGTATGCAAAGCCCACGCCCAAGGTGCCTCTTCCTAAAGTCCAATCTGATCGACGACCACTTGCTGGAGTCAAGGTCTTGGAGATGGTGCGAATCATCGCGGGTCCGGAGCTCGGGGCAACCTTGGCATCATATGGAGCAGACGTTATTCGAGTAAACTGCAGCCGGTTGCCAGATTTGAACGTAAGTTGAAGCTAAGTCTTGGGGTGACATGGCCACTGTCCACGAATATTTACTGATATTCCATCTTAGCTACTACAAATGACATTGAATGCTGGAAAGCGTACCATTGATCTCGATATCACAAAAGAGGAAGACATGGCTCGTCTTCGTGAGCTTATTGCAAATGTCGATGTCTTTGTCCAAGGCTTTAGATTGGGATCACTTGGTCGAAAGGGGCTTGGTCTACATGATCTTCTCAGAGTGGCAGCCAATCGGGACAAAGGAATCATCTATGTTGATGAGAACTGCTATGGTCCAGACGGACCATTCGCAGAACGTCCCGGTTGGCAACAGATTGGAGATGCCGCCTCGGGCAGCTCATATATCATGGGTCGATCCCAGGGTTACGAGGAAGGGAAAAGCACATTGCCATCTCTTCCTGTTTCCGATATGATAACTGGTATTGTTGGGGCCCTGGGTGTGATGATTGCGCTCCGGGAACGTGCTATCAAGGGAGGTTCCTATCATGTAATGGCTTCGCTCGTCGCTGCAGACACCTTTGCACTAGAAAAAGAAGTCGGGCTATACCCACCAGAAACTCTGCGAGGTATCACTGAACAGTTTGATTTTCACCCGATCACCACAGATCTTTTTGTGACAGAGATTTTGAGATTGGTCATCGATGGTTGGAAGAGAGGTCTTCCTGGATACCTGGATGAGAACTCGAAATTCATGATGACTTTCGATGAACCAGGATTTTGGGGAAGGCAGACACTTTTGAAACCTGTCGCCAGACTTGGCGACCAAGAGGCCACACCGAGGTGGACTACTCCTCCGGTGCCGTATTGCCACCACGATAGGGGAATCAATTGGAAGTGAGAGTAGATACGCTTTCATATTTCAAATTGGACTTTCGGGTATCGAGTGAGACCAATGGAACGAATTTTGTACTGATGTAGCGAGACTTTCCCAAAAGGTTCCGTTAACCTGGTATATACTAGTACTACTATATACACATCATGCCACCTTAGATCGCAATCGTTCTTATAGACGCCAGTCTTTTTTTCCTATATTGGGTACTAGATATGTGCGTGAACTTCAATCAATCATAGTAGATACTAACTAGTACGCACTTGTAAGTCATACAGCCCTGCCTGTACTAGGTGAGTGATGTCATGTTTCATCTCACAAAAATATAATCCTGGTAGGTGAAAACTAGAGAGACCGAGGTTTCTATAGAAACCGGAGGCGAAACTATTCCTAAGGAAATAGAGAGCTTCATCTCGGACGGAGTTGTCCAAATTCAATTGACAAGAGAGAAAGCTACTCAATGTCGTTCAATAGGCAACCTTCCTTGCACTCGTCACCTTGACGATGAACTTCCCCATAGTGTAATGCAGCATAGCACTTGCCACCCCTGCCGTACTGAAAGCCTCTCCTCGATCTCACTAAATGAAAATTAAATGTCAAAATCACCTTAACCTCAAAAGCTCAAGTCAGAATTCAACTCTTCGTTTTGCCATCTACCAGTACCATCGCCATCTTAGGAGCAAATGGTCATACGGGCAAGCCGATTGTTAAGGCCCTTGTCCAAGCTAATGACCCCAAGTTCAAGGTTATAGCCTTCATCTCACCTAGGTCGGACTTTAACCTACAAGCTACAGGAGACATCCAAGTAATCGTCAAGAAACTAGATCTTGCACAAATCAGAGGAACTTGGTAATATACTGGGAGAGGCGAGAGTCGATACAGTTATAATTGTTCTTGAAGGTGAAATTCTCGCAAAGCAGCCAATGATTCAAGATGCTGCCGCCATTGCTAGACGGAACAGATCTTATCCTGGTGACTTTGGTATGCACCAGATTGCTTGGTTGCCTGATGGAGAAGCATACATTCACACCCTGTATGTCAATGAATTGTGATCGATTGCTCTTATGTCCTACTAGTAGTTTATGGATATGGAAGCTAAAAATGAAACTTTTTTAAGAAGCTATCAGACACCCTGCGATCAAAAGTAGTCGCATGAGCTATACTGTTATCGGGTGCGGAGAGTTCTACGACGCGGCTGAAAAGCCACTTATGTGCCCGTGGCTGGGGAAAGATAAATCCACAAACAAAGTTGTAATCACACTCTAGGTCGTCGGAAACCCAGACGCAAAGACGGGCATCTCTTCTCGAGTGGACGTTGCGAAATTCGTCGTTGCGACGCTCCGTCACCCCGAGATATCAGAAAACAGAATTCTAGGTTTCCACAGCGACCATATCTCACATAGAGAAATGGCACATATCCTAGAGAACAACATAGGAAAGCCCGTCAAGCTAAACATGATCTCAATGCAAGAGATGCAGGATATTCTGAAAAACCCCCCATCTGCGCCGCAGGAGGGGCAGCACGGAAATACCTTCCCAGGCAACTTTTTAATGACGGTGCGATATCTTCAAGGCCATGGCATGTTTTGGAGACCGTCCGGCATGCTGCATAATGATCTGTTCCCTGAAGTGAAGACTGTATGTTTCAATGAATACATGAAGAATCTTACTTCCGATCGCGACAAGTGATGGAATTTCGCGTGCTTGTGCAAATGCAACCTTGGACGGTTTGAAGGGGTGGTAGGTTTCGGATTCCAACGGGGCTCCTAACGGGGCTCCTGGCAATTTGAAGATCTTCGTATTGTGGGTACACGACGGAGAGAAATGAAAATGATCAGACACAAGAATTGCCAGAAGTGTATACATAGGGCACGACTAGCGTCCAGTGTACCAGCCAATACTATTGGATACCAGTGCCAAGGCATATCCAGTTGGATACAGTGTTTGGTTGGTTAAGAGCTGGCGATTTGTGGGAGATTACTGAACCCTAACCTCGAACCAATTTTGCGAAGGAGAGAAAAGAGGCTTGCAGGGATTAATAGATTATTTGGATGTTTATACGAATGAATACCGAGTTACTCTGTACTCGACTCTTGAATCGTGGTGGAGTAGATCCAATTCCACTGAACAGGGGCATGTTTCATATAAACTTTCTGTCTGCCTTATTCTCGGACGTCAGGGGGACTTTTGACATCGGCTTATCCGATAAGTTACTCCGTACGGACTACGGGCTGTGGAATGATGGCTATCGTGGACCCTGGTTTCCACGGCCCCATATGTGCGATCCACTTCAGGGCGACGCCAAGACGAACCCCGGGAGGAGGAAGGGGTTGCAGCCCCGGAGGAGCGAGATAATTTAGGCAGAAAGGGGCCCTCATCTGTGCACATGCACCGGCCATGTCGAGTGCCGAGAGATGATCAGCCCGGGAGAATCCTGGGAGATATTCCTCCCGTGGTTACCGTCTGCAGAGAAGACGATTTCTACTCAGTATTCGAGCGCCGTACCAAAGGATTTTCAATGAAATAGTTTGTATGAATGTAAATCTGGTATTTCGCATGAAAGTTATGTAAGTATGTGGTTAAAAGTGAATGGTAATGAAATTATATACATCGAAAACCCAAACTCCAAAATCGTCTCATCTGAAAGGCTTCAAATGCAGGAAAATCGTCCGACCATATATACATGTATCGATACGTGTAATAATGTAGCAAATCTTTACATAGGTGCCATGCACCTAAGCAGTGGTCATGGGCATGCTAGTAAGAGGCAGGGCCTCAACAGACTTCTCGTCTTGCTGGAACATCTTCTTCTCCAGCTTAAGTGCCATTTTGGCACAGAACGGGTCAACATAGGTTGTCCACATGGACGCACAAATGTAGACCAACACGATCCAGCATGGGATAGAAATACCCACAACCCAGGGAGGGCGGATAGGAATCCAGTGTGGGTGGAGTGGCTCACCCTTCTCATCTAAGAGAGGCTGGCCGTTACCATCCACTGGCTCTCCATCCCAGGGTTGTCCAGTGATACCATAGAGCATCCAGCAAAGAACAGTGCGCAGAAGAGTTCCGTGGACGAGGTAGACGGCGAAACTTTGCTTGCCGAGCCATAGAAGCAGACGGTTTGCTAGGAATTCCTTGGTTGAAGGAGACAGGTAGATCGCCAGAATAATCAGATCGACTCCGATTGCCGAGTAGCGTTTTCCGATATTCACATCTGGTGGGAAGATATAGTGTGCCGCTTCGAACATGTAGTTGGACCACGTGGCCCACTCGGGGTGTTCGCCAGGGTAGGAGCAAATCATCAGACCGGAGACCCAGAGAAGTGTGACTACGACTCTGCGAGGCCACTTGTGACGTTCGATAAATTCCTTGAAGGAAACTTGGTAGGCGAGATCACTAAGGAACATACCGTAGATGGCTTGCATTTGGAATGTTTCTTTTCAAGTTGTTAGCTATGAGTCTAGTGAGATAAAGATTTGGATTGTGAAACATACCTGTGTTCTTCGTGGCATCCTGGTGGAAGTAAAGGTACATTCCCAGGTAAATCCCCAAGCGGTATCGGAACTTGACAAACATAACAATGCAAAGCATAACATAGACCAACATCGATGCCTTCAAGAGCGGCAAAAGCGCCCACTGGTGATCATCATAAGCCATATAACCTGTAGTCCAAACACCCAAGAAGTTTTCGAAAAGGCGAATAAACTCCTTCCAGAGCGAGTCTTCAAGATCCGGAGAAGCATAACGGCACCACCAGCAGTCAGACCGGTTCGCGGCGATAAAGGCACCACATTGAGCCATAACCCAGGAAATGATTAGTGCGATAGTGGCGGGGAAAATGAGACGAGGTGGGCGACGGAAGGCACTCTTTGCCACCGATGTGAAAGATCCAAGAAAGTCACCATTGCGAGCCTGTTTGATAGGCTTCAATGCGCAGACATAACCAGTAAGAAAAGCGAAGATGGTGACACCAAGACGTCCTTGCCAGGGAATACGAAGAACAGGCAACTGAAGAAGGCGTGGTGCGATATCTACATCGTCACGGGGCGCGAATAGATCATAATCCCAAGCACGCGCAAGATGGGTGAGCACGACGAGGAATGAGGCAATACCTCTCAGACCCTAATACCAAGCTATTAGGTTCAAATGATCTTGAGGCGACAGCATATAGCTATAGCTAAAGTCGGCAACTTACATCGATCCATTTCACACTTTTTTTGGGATCGCCCTTGACGGCGTTAGGATCACCAGATTTCCATGGGACGTTTTCCAAGATACGAGAGTAGAGATGGGCGGGCTGTATATAATCCATAGTGTCGAAATGTCAAAAATGTCAAAAATGTCAAAAGTTGTTAAAGAGTGGACGAGTCAGTTCAAAGATCAGTCATCGATACATCTACCTCTTAACCTGAAGAGAAAGATTATCTAATACAGGCAAGGGAGTGTTGGGGGACCGGATCACAGATCGACTTGGAAAGGGAAAAAAGAGTGACACGAGGGAGGTGGGAAAGCCTCCTTCAAAAAGGAACAAATGCCAAGATAGGGCAGAGCGAGCTGATACGAAACGCAAGACGAGTTTCTCAGGAAGAGAAGCAACGCGAGTGGGGAGGATTGGGGTTTTGAATAATCTGTGGCGGGACAAAGAGATCCACTGCCCAGTTAGGGCGGAGGATAGGAGGTTTCCAAACCGATGGACTGTTCCAACGCATGAGACCCAACACACCTTCGGCTGACCCGGGGGGCCTGGCTTGCAGCAGCCAAGAGAAATGGAGTAGATCAATTGCCGAAATTAGATTTAATAAATATTAAAACGCCAAGAGAATCGTAGGAACTGATGGCTGGTTAATTGCCATGAGCCCCTTATCTGTATTCCTATTCTGGCCTTTTCAACCACAGTGTTCCATTGCATTGATCGTAGGGCTACTTGTAGTAGATGTTAACTCGTGAACAACCGCGTTTTAAGAACGACGATCCCCGACATTCTGCTATAGGAGTTATTTTGCGGAGTTCCGTTGTGTGGTATTTCTACAGCCACAGACGCATGAACAAGGGGGCTGTCACCATGATCTGGTCGATTACTGGCTTGTTAGTTTATTTATAACCAAGCATTCAAATATTGATGTGTATGCATATATTGGGCGGCTCTCGCAAAGTAGTACTTCTTTCGTTTTAACTCAGAAGCTACAAAGCCCCCTCGTTCATAGTACTGTTTAAGCCGCTGTACGACATGGAGCCATGACTAGTATTTCGCAGACAAGGCGGGGGAAATGTAAATAAATACGCGGCAAGCTTACGTTGCATGGATTGGAAAAGGAAATGAAAAGGGGAAAGAAATGCACTGTGCCAATCAACATGGAGTCCTTGGTTGTGCGGCACTGGATGTGCTAAAAGTCGTGGAAAATTGCGCGAGATTTCCTTGTTGATCGAAACCTGTGGGTTCCCATGTTTGACTGGCGCCACCACCATGAATGGATCCTATTATTAGCGCGAAATATGCGACTGTTCCAGGTGTCAAGTTCGAACGGACATTGACAACCTGGGGTGTTGGTAGAAGAAACTGAAAAGAAAAATAATTGTGGTCTATTTGTCTTGGCCATGTCTTACATTCCAAACTTTCTTTACGATGCCACCGAATGACAAGATCAAGCTTCCAAAGGTTCTTAAACGAAGTCATTCCCACCGTCGAAGCGGACTGGTGAGGCCCCCTGGCTGAAAACTAATTATGAACTTTTTTCTTTTTCTAATTTCTTTTCCAGCGGGGGATACAATTGCATACACTAGTGAGAAAATGGCGTCATTTTACACAATACATACAAATTATATTGTACAATGAAGTTCAGGGATCGGCGGCCGATGCTAGTAGCGGGGACGAATCGAAATGATCCTGATGGGGACTGGATGGGGGGCCCTGATGGACCCGGAGACCCGTGGACCTTAACCCTGCACAAAACAAACACAAACACCGGCGCATGTGCTTGCTAGGCGAGATATGGGCTTGTAAGCCGTATTACGGTATTTAATGCTTGATAGTGGAAAGCGCCTTGGCGTTTTTGGATCCAGCCACCCAATCTCTCTTCTTGGCTTAGAGACTTTTCGACCTCGGGAATGCAGGGTGGAAAGTTTTACGAGAGGATTTTTGGTTTGATTTTTTTTTGTTCGCACAGTTTCGTATTTCATATGATTCGGAACATGAATATGAACGAACATTCAACTCGATCTACAGGGCTGAATCTCGTATTAGATACATGTTCGGAGTGGCCCATTACAAACGCTGGCGATCGGGCCAGTGCAGTTACAATCCCTGACGCCGGACAGGGACGGAGCATGTTCCGTAGTAATTTTTCTTGGCTTCTTCTTCTTCTGGGTGCCGATCTTGGGGCCGGAGAAGGTACCCAGGTTGATCGAATTGGAGACTTGCTAGGCGAAAACGAGTCAGCGATACGGGAACGATAAATAGATCAATGAAATCGACGAGTCAATAAAATTTACTGGGGTTCCAAGGTTTAAATGGTAAGAAAGAATAAAGGAGGAAATTATAGCCTGGTTTGAATTTAAGCCGCCTCGGTACAGGTCGAGTTCCGGAGTAGACAGATAAGGTCAACAAAGGATCAAAACGATCTCCAAGAATCGGAAATGTGCAAGAGGATGTAAAGCGGTGAAAAGGAAGGGGATTTGCGACTGTCACCCTGATATGAAGACTCTGATTCGCTGGATTGGAGACTCAGCCCAGGGTCCAACTGGCCAGAGCCACATGCAGGTTGTAGTCTGTATGTCTGGACGGGAAATATTGCTAGCACTTGGGCAAATTAGATCCAATTTCTAATTTCCAACGTGCTGTATCCTTTGCTGACTGCCAAGACCTAATTAAATAACAGATCCAGCTAGTTCAGGTCGGTCTGTCACAATCTTCATATCCGTCCACAACAGGGAAATACCAAGACTTGCTTCCGACAAAATTCTTTGGAACTTGGCGAATCACACCCTGACTCCAACCGAGTAGCCGTATCAATAGCGGATGGTGGCGCTCGTGCATAGGAACGACCCCTGAGCCCGCCAGGATGTTGCCCGCCTAGCGGTCTTGGCCGGATCCATCCACTAATTGATGATTCGTACAAGTGATCCCGCCACGTTCTCGATCGTTCAAGTCGTGCTCTTGGCTTGATCAGCTCGCACTTCTTCGCATTTCTTCGGTAATACGAGGTAGACATATACGATACGGAGTGCGTGTCGCGTGAAAAGGGCAAAAAGGGGTTAATGGGTAGTAGTAAGCCTTTATCCCTCTCCATATTACTATCACGCCATTATTAGTCTTCTTGAGCACATCGGGGAAAGGACCGATCAATCTAATCAACCTGGTCTCTTTGGATTTAGCTTCTTTTTTCATGATCTTTGATCTTTGGAACCGTTTAATGTAAACCAACTGTTGTCATTCTCTTGAATCGCATTGAAAACATTTCTCCGACCATGCGTTTGGCATACTTGGGGTTGGCGATACTGTCATGGCCGTTGACTCTCGCCACAATTTTACAAAATGGCCAAATCAAGGATAATCCGTATCCTGGTCAAGCACCTGTGATCGCGCTGGACGAGTCATGGAGGAATTATGGAGCGGATGTCCCTGAAATCGCCTACAAGGGTCGCTGGGATAGCCAACACATTTCATGTACGTTAATGATGTCCTCAAAAAGAATGTTGAATGTTCTGACCGTCGCGTAGGGTGGTCGTTCGTCTCCCAATATCTCCCACCCCTTGAGTCACGCGAGTCGCGCTCCGAAAGCCAAAATTTCTAATACGTATTCTTTTAACCATCAGAGCACCTGGAATTAAACTTCAGTTCTCTGGCAAGAAGGTATTCCTACCCAGCCATATCGTTTTGTCGCCTCTTATCTAATCGCATATCGGGATGGATAGCTTGCTATTAGCTTCGGACCACAAACCAATGAAGGAACTCTGGTCGCATACCGGTAAACAATTATCCTGGCCGAATTGACCCTGACGATCGTTTTATTAAGCCTTTATACTATAGCCTGGGAAACCTCGACTGGCAATATTCCAATGTCACGGCCGACGCTACCTACCAATTCATCGGAGATTGGACCGAGTTGGATGAGGGCTTGGTGAACGTTCAAAAGACCTTTGAGATGAGAGGTATGTTACGCAGTACCTGCAGCTTTTTCTCATATTTACATACTAACTTGAATCGCAGTCACAAACTGGGGCATTGGATAAGTGATATCTACCTTGGCTTGCGATCTTATCACTAACTTGTCGCACAATTCAAATAGCAGGTGTCTCCACAGGAAGCAACTACGAGCTTACCGTTCCTCCGAAATTCCAAAAAAAGGTCGAAATTATTGGTGGCAGTATTGCCTCGGGACAATATGGATCCTACGAGACTCTTTCATCCTGGGCCTACCTCTTTGTGGCTGGTCTAGGAAACGTTGAGCACACCTTGACCGTAAGCCTGCTCAAATCGTACCCACGGTGATACATGCTAATCATATTCTACGATTGCAGAGCTATGCAGGCGCTTGTCTGGTGGATCAACAGTGTTATGACGGACACGCCCGCGGCATGGTATGTCGCTTCCTTGAAAACACAGCCCTAAAATCCCTGTTGCTAACAGTTGTGTGAAAAGACATGGTACTGGCACCGTGCCTCCGACCCCGGCAGTCGATCCCGCCAGATTTGGCCTGAAGAACCCGAAATCTTCGACAACTCAGCCGAGCAGCCCGCCGATCTCGTTCTCATCCAAATGGGCGGCAATGACTTCCGACATCCGAACGAAATCCCCGGCCGAAACTTCTACCATGCATACGTGGAGCTGATTGAGGATATCCATAAGACCTGGCCCAACGCTATTGTCCTCATTGTGGTATGTCGTATTGCCTACTTTTCGTTCTCATGAGGTTGGTGGGATATGTATTAACTAATATCTCCAGTCACAATGGTGGGTTTGGCGGAAGGAAGGACTCAACTACAACCCCAGCATGGCATACGAGCAAGAAGGAAGAGATGTCCACGAGCATTTCAAGGACCGCGGCTTCGTTTATTACTTTGACACCACCGGAATTCTACAACACAACGATATCAACCCGATGAACCATCCCACAGACGTTGGTCACATCAAATTGGCCAGCCACCTGCTGCAATGGACAAAACTTGTCCTGAGGTGGAACCTTGAGCCTCTTGGTGAGGTTCAACATGGCACACTGTACTGGAACGACATGCAGGATTATTAGCCGTCTGTTTTTTTTTGTGTGCTCCTAGAGTCATCTCTGCATAATTATATTGTACTATAACTTGAACCCCCAAGGTCTAGAGGGAGATGAATGTATATACCATGCCCTAGCGAAATTGACATTTATCAAAACACTCCGCTGTTTCCGTTTCTGTCTGTGGTCCTCTTTTACTACTACTACTACTACTACTACTACTACTACTACTACTACCGACCAACATTGAAGCTACTAGGATCCAAAACCTGACTTTCTTTTAGAGCCTTGGAAGTGTCACGGGTAGGATTTGATGCAAATGCCACGTCACGTATGTGCACTTCCATTATAGTTCATGACGTGAATTGCGCCAGTGACCTGAAAACTCTCCCGGCGAGACATGCTAATGGTTATGCAGTCTCTTGGCGTCGCAGAAATATGCGAGCCTTGCTAAATGAAGCCTTCGAGTCATGAACATACGAGTCATACATGCCTTTCCGTGTCGGGGAGACCCGAGACTCTAGGGTAAAGCTTCTACTACAGCCTTGTTCGCACGTTTCGAGTATTAATGGTTTCTCTCAAGGAATCACTTGGCCCTTGCCAAGCTTCTGCCAAGTACAACAGGAATCCTTTGGTTAAAAGTCTATTTGGACATTCCAAATAGCTCTATATCCCATAGTTAGAGGGAAATGACGTCTCACAAACTCTTCCCAAATTGTACCTGCTGGCTTGGGAATAAGGTTTTGTATTTTAAGCAATATGAGCTTGGTTGAATGACTCAAGGGATAAGAATGGTAGCTCGTCGAGCGCCAGATGCTAACTGTTGATACAACTCACTTGCCAACTGGTCCCAGGACTGTCAGTTCTCAATGCATATTATTTAGGAATTTCTGCCCTGTATATGATTATTTGGAGTGAGTACCAGTATCCCCGTTGCTCTCTGTCATGTCTACTTTAGTGACAAGATATTTGATAGTAGTCCACAAGGACAAGCGAATCACACGCCTCAACAGAAAGGGAAAGTATATAGGGATCACTGGCATATGCTAACCATAAGTGGAAAATCATTTGGTTGGTTATTGAATGGCTATAATTGTAGCCCTAACCATCTGCATCAATGGTGACAACTGGAACAGCACGGTCTCGCGCATATCACTGCAGCATAGGTAAATGCGACTAAAAACTCGGTGCTTCGAAAATTTGAATTCAAGACAAGGGGCAATCAGAGGTTTACGTCTGTTTTTGAATCACGACAAAAGCATTCATTCCTAAATAGGAAGACAGCGAGAAACTAGCAAATCATTGCTGGCTAGCTGAAATATCCTCTCCACAAACCCATCAACAGCAATAGTGGGTCCGAGATCGCCAGGAGTATCAAGTGAAGATACCCCGAAGGAACACGGATTGTTATGAATAGCCCTTGGGGATATGGCATTGAGCAACAGGTTGAAAAAAACCATCACAAGTCATAACAGTCGAAGGCAATGCTCAATCAAGGCCTAACAAAAATTCTCATAGCGAGCCAAGCGTCGAAAATGAAGCCACCGAGGCCTCTGATAATGTCATATGTCAATTCTATTCAAAGACTTACCCCCCGTGTTGAACCCCGAAAGCTCCACGGGGCTCATACTCAAACAACTAAGATATCCTTTATGTATATCAGTTATCCTCTGTGGTTGATTGTACTGTATTTAATTTTGCCTCAAATAGGAAGTATCGGGTGCTCCAAATGTGAACAGGGAAGAGAGCCGTATCCGCTATTCAATGGCTCCTCGGTTGAACCTAAACGGAGGTACCCACCAAGTACTACTAGGTATAAATGGAACTGGGCTAGGAAGGAAGGACAAGCCAGTCAGAGTTGGAGCTACAGCCCATGTCGCATATAAAGATTAGAAAGACACCCAGTCAGCGTAACGTGAACTATGCTAATCTGGCCCCACTTACTCTAAGGCACCAGATAGTATTATTCTTATTGGTACACCTTTACCTAGGGATCCATACAAGGCTGGAGATGTTGTACAAACAGCCAATTTTATTCTGCTATCGATCCAAACGAACAAAGACCAAGGCTCAATGGTGTTGAAATCAGCAACTCGACGATGGTGCACCTGATATTTAATTTTCATGGGTGCTCTACAACACCCGTATAATGAACCCTGGCCCTCCAAAGGCAATAAATGGTGGTGAAGAGAGTATTTGGAATTGGGACCATAAGTGGGACCATATACTTCTCCGTTTCAGTTACATGTTTACCAGTCAAACCCCAGAAGACTTTTATCGGAGGTGGATGGATTGAAAAATCGACCCTAATCAATACACTGATGGTACATTCCATCAAGATCCCCAGGGCCTAAATTGGTTTGAAAACGGAGACCTGCGAGAAGATTTGTACGGTCCACTTTGTTTTCCATTCATGCTTCTTCACCCGGTGAAGAATCCCGAAGAAAAGAAAGGCGAGGGCATGGCTGTCCCCGTTTGAATTTACTTGTATAATTTCTAAAGCAAAAGGCCCCCTAGCCATGTTGAATATTCTTCCACTCTCCACCTGAGTATAGATTGGCTATAGGGGCTGAATATTGCTTTACCGCTGCAATAAACACTTTCCATTCGGCCAGTTTGAGGCGATATCTTCTGCAGAAAGGATATCTTCGAGTCCAGTCCTTTAGTGTAGGTACAGTCAATTGCTCAAATAGTAAAATTCAAATTATCAAACACTCCCGTGCAAGCCTTTGTCATAAAAATCACATAAAAGCATTGTTATAATAATGGGTAATGGACGTCATCCCATTTTGACGAATGTCCAATCCCCACGTATCGACAACCTAAGCTTTCCAAGTATTGACTGCTTAGCATATTTCTACCGTCAAATATGAAAGCAGGCTGTTTCATATCGTCCACGATGGAAGGCCAGTCGATACTTGTTTTTCCGGATTGCTCATGTGCGCCATTTTTTTCAACGCCATTTGTTCCTAAGTCATTGACACCATTGACACCATTGACACCATTGACACCATTGACACCATTGACACCATTGACACCATTGACACCATTGACACCATTGACACCATTGACACCATTGACACCATTGACACCATTGACACCATTGACACCATTGACACCATTGACACCATTGACACCATTGACACCATTGACACCATTGACACCATTGACACCATTGACACCATTGACACCATTGACACCATTGACACCATTGACACCATTGACACCATTGACACCATTGACACCATTGACACCATTGACACCATTGACACCATTGACACCATTGACACCATTGATTCCATTGATTCCATTGATTCCATTGATTCCATTGATTCCATTGACTTGGTGAGAGGCTAAGATGGCTTCGGGGGTCTTAAATTCATCCCATTCTGTGGCAACAATGACAGCATCGGCACCGACACAGGCTTCTTCAGCAGTAGAGAAGACACGAAGTCGCATTGAATCCTCCTTTGATGGACTGACATCTGTATATATCTGTGCTTCCGAAACCATCGGATCATAAACACAGACAGTAGCTCCTTCTACCAGCAACTCCCGAACCAATTGAATTGATGGAGAATGCTTGGTATCTGATGTATCTTTCTTGAATGAGAAACCTAGAACAGTAATATTCTTCCCATTGATGCAGCGTTGCATACAAGCGAGAATACGTTTCATGAATCGGGTTTGTTGGTCCTCGTTCATTTCCAATACAGCATTCCAATAATTAGCGACGGGGTTGAGCCCCAAGCTGCGTGCAAGATAAACTAACGCCGCAACATCCTTTGGGAAACAGCTTCCTCCCCAGCCTAGCCCACTGCGTAGCATTTTCCCACCAATTCGAGGATCGGAGCCACATCCTTCAGCGACGGAATCAATATTTGCGCCAACAGCCTCGCAAATAGCACTCAATGAATTGATGCTGCTTATGCGCTGTGCAAGGAGTGCATTTGAGGCTAACTTGGACAGCTCCGCTGACCATTGATCCATAGTAATGATGAGCTCGGGAGGGGTCCATTTTCTATAGATTTGCGCCAATTTCTCTGTTGCCTGTCGACCGGATTCTGTGCGTTGGCATCCAATTAATACTCGAGATGGATGTAATAGATCCGTGACAGTGGTGCCTTCAGAGAGAAATTCTGGATTGGAAAGTACTTCGAATTGACAGTTTCCTTTTGATCCCGAGACGAGCTTTTTTATTTCAAAATTAGCAAGCAATTTCAAGAGAAGGAAAATGGAGCATACCAAATCTTGAATTCTCGAGGCTGTACCACATGGTACTGTTGATTTCTCTACAACGATCTTATCAGTGGTCGCTACGTCTGCTATTGTGCGAATCGCTGCCTGAATGTGGCCCAGATCCAGCGCCATGCCACTTCCGATGCCGAATCTTTTGGTCGGAGTATCGATACATAGCATAATAATATCGGCCTCATGGATCGCTCTTTCAATATCACAAGAAAAAACGAGATTACAAGCATCTTTGCGCTGTCTGACCTCAGCTATGATGTCACTCAGACCAGGCTCATACATGGGCAAGGCATCTGAGTTCCATGAATCGATTCTGGCGGCATTCTTATCGACAACCGTCACTGTAATTTCGGGACAGCGATATGCAATCACTGCGCCTAATGGTCCGCCTGGTTCTACAGTAAGTTGATGGTTTCTTGTATCTAAAAGATGCCTTCTTGGCACTCACCAACAAATCCAGCGCCAATACAAGTAATGTTTCGAATCATGGCCGGTCGCTGTTCAGATATTGTGATCTGTCAATCTATTGCAAATCACCAAAAGTGTAAAATAACACAAACTCAGATTAAGATATAGTTGACTTTCTTAGAACCAGCAAAAAAGAGCGAAATGTGTCCTTGTTGTGTTCATGGACCCCTCGCGAAAGTTGTGGATCTGTCGATTACGCCTGCTCCTGCGGCTGAGGCATGACACAGCCAGCCACTTCTGCAGTCCTGTCCCACGATGAACACCTATAATTATATCTAGTTGGTTAATCGCTGAATTGGTACCCACACCATTCCTCACTGGCATTCGTGCAGAACAGCGCCAAAGACGAAGGCTCCGCCATTATCTAGATTGCAAGATCTAATACGTCAGGTCAGGTTCGGGCACCAGCTGAACACTCATGCTAAATAGGAAGGTAGATCGGCATGGCAGCGAAATGACGCACCATAGTTATTATCTTCACATCACACAAGACAGCGAATTTCTCCAGTACGGGCCCATGAAAACGCCGATTTCCTATTTGGTACTTGCATGCAGATCGTAGAACAGGGTTATTTCGTTGGAAGCCCTACTGCCTGCAAGGAAGCTGCATGCATTTTATTCATTCAATGGCATTTTCAAGCTTTAGAACGACTGGATTATGTTAATGAATTCCATGTTTCTTATATGCCGGTTACACTACGTAACGACCCCAAGACCATACATGTGTAAAAGGCATGAACATTGATAAATTTGTCGAACTCTTCCGAGGAATCATCTGCTCTGCTCCATATGCCACTTAATAGTCTCAACTAGACCATCTTTCAACTTCACCTCAGGCTCCCACCCCAAAACCTCTTTCGCCCTTGTGATATCCGGTTTTCTGGTATTCGGGTCATCCGCAGGTCGCGGCAAATAAGTAATAGGCACCCTGGGCATTCCTAATTCTGCGACCATGTCCACGATAATCTCAGCGAACTCGCGAATTTTGAACTCGCCCGGATTACCAATATTCACAGGAGCTGCATAGTCGCTGTTCATGAGTCGATACAGTCCTTCGACACAGTCTGTGATGTACTGGAATGACCGGGTAGCCGTTCCATCCCCAGTGATCTTAATTGGTTGTCCAGCGAGCGCATCGCCAATAAAACTGGACACGACTCGGCCATCACTGTGCGCCATTCGTGGGCCATAAGTGTTGAAGATACGGGCGATGCGAATTTGTAGATCGGGGTATTTCTCCTGGTATGCATAGCAGAGGGCTTCGGCTACGCGTTTGCCTTCATCGTAGCAGGAGCGAGCGCCGAATGGATTGACATTTCCCCAGTAGCTTTCCGGTTGAGGATGAACTTGTGGGTCACCATATACCTCTGTGGATTGTTAAATCAGGTTCAAGATGGGGATGAAAAGTTGAGAGATTGACTTACCCGACGTGCTGGTGTGGAGAACGCAAATTTTATTGGCCTTAGCTAGTTCCAATATGTTCTCAATACCCTGGAAACACGTCTTCAAAGTAGAAATTGGATCTCTCTGGTAGTGGATCGGACTAGCAGGACAGGCTAAGTTGAATATTTGATCGATGTTCTCGAGGCCCAGTCCTTCGAGTGGCATTTGAATATTGTGACTGATTAATTTGAACTTTGAGTTCTTTTCTAAATGCTCCAAGTTTGCAGGTGATCCCGTTTGAAAGCTATCGATGCCAATGACCTGATGTCCCTTCTTCAACAAAAAGTCGACGAGATGAGATCCGAGAAACCCAGCAGCCTAAAAATTAGCCATTTGTCTTTCAATAAACGAGAATCAAATAACATACTCCGGTAACCAAAATCCTCAAATGTGTGATCTCTTCAGACTGAGCCATGATGCGGGGTTTGCGGCACAAACGACGCTCAGATTAGACCCGAAGAAAGGGAAGACAACAGTGGCACCACGCGAGAAAATATTGAAAACTAGGAAGCGTAATTATTGCAAAATGAAACATATATCGCGATTTTGTTCAGACGTGACAGGGTGTAATGATATTTTGCGAACCTAAGATTCCAGGGTCGCGTGAGAGCTTGAGCTGAACCCGATTGTGGCGTGGGAAGATCAGCGGTGATGGTGGGGCCCCACAACTTCAGCTGAATGGATCCACAACAGTCATTGATGATGATCGATCCTGATCCATACTAGATCATCATCGGTACGATTTCAGAATCGGTTGTGAAGGACCAGCCAGAGCAAATACTTGGGTACATTCCCGGGTGATCTCAGGGCCTGCCTGTTTAACATGGCATTTTCTGGATATAGTAAATGATTCAAAACGACCAATCTTTGATTAAGAACTTTGAGGAACAGACCATATTTGAGACGGGGAGCTTTGTGAAATCTATTGCTTTTGACTCGATACATTTCCAGACAGTTTATTAGCAAAGTTTCGATATAGTAATTCCTATAATTTACTTTTCTCCCTATATACTAAATCAGGCAAAATCGGAAATCAATTCAAATGTTCATTGTTTACACGAGCTATCAATGAAAATGTCCTACTTATGGCCACAAGCTATGACTGCTCTGGTCTTCTGTACTAGACTAAATTTTCATCTAAACTACTCCTAGGTTTAGACCACCGTACCGATGAAATCATGCAAATCACTCTGGGGACCCTCTGTAGCAGCACCCACAGCATGATTATGTGCCTACTTATTCCAAAACGGAATCTTCAGATAATCCTCACTTTTTCGTTCAGTCTCACCTAAGAGACACGCCCACAGATATTGGTTGGAGACTGGACGGCGCATTTTAGTGAACCATCCATTAGCTACCCAGAATTTGATCCAAGAAATGGCGCCATCAAAAACATAGTCAGAATTAATTGCGTTAACCAGAGTATCGAATCCCCCTTTTGCCCGTTTGTAGAACCGACAGGCTGCGATGGCAGCCCGTAGTTGTGCTCGATGTGTCGTTTGCAGGTTATGATCTTTAGTGGGCGATCTATCTTCGAGAGGATATCGAACACCGGTAATGTTATGCTCGTTTGGCATAGGAGAACTTAAGATGAACGACCAGCCGGTCTTGGGCTCTTTTCCAGTGTTCTCAGGACACGCACCACTTGCATAAAGGAGAATTCTTTTCGGGTCACCTCATGGATGAAACGTCGGACAGGAAGAACAAATTCCCTCAGAAGCTGGCAAGAGGGAACAGAGTCTTTGGTGAATCCATTGGGCTTTCTGGTGAAAGTTTCTCTAGAAAGACGCATCCTCTACCCCGCTTGAAGTAGTGAATCGATTATCTGGGCATAACGTGGGCTTGACCCACAAATTGGTGGCCAGTCGTACTGAGACGTCCCCGGCCGGGGTCAAAAGGTGGAATTTCAAAGCGAAAGGGCATTTTGTTCGTATCGGAAAGCAGATGAGCCTGGAGGTGTGCTTCTGTTGATCTGAGTATGTGTTGTATAGGGAGAGTGAGAAACACAAGAGAGAATGTTAAGAGATCAGAGAAGGTTGAGAGATCAGGCAACGAGAAAGGTCAAGTAAAAATAGGCTCGGAGAAGATAGAAATAGCCACAACGTCTCTAACGGTATCTTTAATGTTGGGCGTAATTCAACTAGACAGCTAAGGCTCGTTCTCAATCGATACATGATTCTACCTGATTCATACCAGCAGAAGGGTAGAATATAGGAATTACTATAACACCGTAATGGCAGAGTTAGTCAACCAACAATCAGTAAGACTATAAGCAGCTTCAGCTGCTTATTTTCCAACATTACCTTACCCAGATAACTGTATATATGGGTATTTTAGATTATTGAAGACTCCAAAACTTCAAATATTATTTAGGTACTCCTGAATTATAAAAATACATATAATTGAAACCTGTTATTTAGTAAACAATGGAGATCAATATTTTTACGAAAGAAGTAAAATGGGGGGAAGAGAGAGGCAGCGCAAATCTTCATTTATATGATATGAATCAGGTGTCTCTTTCAAGCCCTACGTGTAATATTTATATTGTGAGTGATGATCTTGTCAAAGTATAGACTACCCAGTCGTCAAGTGCCATGTCGATTGTTACGGGTAAAACAATAACGAGACTAGACTCGAAATGGACTAGAGACTGGCCTTTCGCATCTGGGGTAATCAGTGGGTCTTTGGGAACCATGATCACCTGGGCATCTTGATCATCTTGCAACAGCTGCATTCCCACGCCAGAGTCAAGATTTTTATTAGTTCACACACAATGTGTAATAATGAAACAACTACAGTATCAATCCACTTATTCACCGAACAAGAGTGTTGTCAAATAACAAACATGGATACCTCCGCCGTATGACGTCAACAAACCCCTCCTTGCTCAAGCAAAAGTCTATCCGGTTTTTTGCACAGCAAATCCTTGTCATTCAAAGAGTCATCTGCCTAGGGAAGCTCAGTTTCTACTTTAAATTATTTTCTTTCTGACTCTCCTTAGATTTCTCAACTCTCCATTCCAAAATATCACTGAAATTCATCATGCCAGACGGTCACAAATTTCCTGTTGATTTGAAACAATTCAAGCAACTCAAGCTTGACTCCAAGAATGCAAGCCTAACCGCTGAGCAGAAGAAGGATCTTCTGAGCAACATTAACATATTCAGAGATGCAATTATCGCTTTCACAGCCACAGGCGCTGCCCGCGGCGTCTCCGGCCACACAGGAGGTCCATTTGATACCGCTCCCGAAGTCTGTATCCTCCTCGCGTTCATCAATGCCAATCCCAACAACTTCGTCGATGCCTTATTTGATGAAGCAGGCCACCGAGTCGCCACCCAATATCTCCTAGCTACCCTAGATGGCAAGATCGACCCAGATCACCTCTTGAACTACCGTGATGCCGATTCCAAACTTCCCGGCCACCCCGAACTCGGATTGACCCCGGGAGTTAAATTCAGCTCTGGTCGTCTTGGTCACATGTGGGGTATGGTCAATGGTATTGCGATGGCAAACGGGGGTAAAAATGTGCTGATGCTGGGCTCCGATGGATCTCAACAAGAAGGAAACGATGCCGAGGCTGCGCGCATTGCGGTTGCTCGAAACCTCAATGTCAAGTTGTTTGTCGACAACAATGATGTCACAATTGCTGGGCACCCATCTCAGTACTTGAAGGGCTATGATATTTCGAAGACTCTTGCAGGTCACGGCCTTCACGTTGTTCGCGCTGAGGGCGAGAATGTGGATTCGCTGTACGGTGCCATGGCTGAGGTTATCAACTACAAGGGACCGGCTGCTGTTGTCGTCGACCGAAAAATGGCTGCAGGTATCGAGGGCATTGAGGGCGAATGTCACGCTCACGATGTCATCACTGTTGATGTAGCCCGCAAATACCTTACCAAGCGTGGTTACAGCAAGGAGCAACTGGCTTTCTACGACGAGATCAAAGGCCGTTCCAACCCATACAAGTACTTGGGCTCCAGCCAAGATAAGGGAGCGAACCGATCTATCTTCGGTGAAGCTGTCAACTCTATCCTTGATGGTCTAAGTAAAGAGGAAGCAGCTAAGCGGGTCATGGTCATCGACTCTGATCTTGCTGGCTCAACCGGCTTGAAGGCAATTCAATCCAGTCACCCGGAAGTCTTCGTCCCATCGGGTGTTATGGAGCGAGGAAACTTCTCTGCTGCTGCTGGTTTCGGTTTCGGAAGCAATGGCCAGCGACAGGGTGTTTTCTCAACATTCTCTGCTTTCTTGGAGATGTGCATTTCCGAGATCACTATGGCACGTCTGAACAACTGCACTGTGCTTTCGCACTTTTCGCACAGTGGAGTCGATGAGATGGCCGATAACACTTGCCATTTTGGATTGAACCACTTCTTCGCTGATAACGGTTTAATGGATGCCGAGTCAACATCTCTCTATTTCCCGGCGGATGGCGAGCAGATGAAGGCCGTGGTGAATAAGGTCTTCTGGAACACAGGCTTGCGCTTTATCTTCTCCACCCGCTCGAAGGTCCCATACATCCTCAAAGAGGGCACTGATCAGAAGCTCTATGGTGAAGGCTACAAGTTTGTTCCTGGTAAGGAGGAGGTTGTTCGCAAGGGAACTGCCGGCTACATTGTAACATATGGAGACATGCTCTACCGCTCTCTCGACGCAGTTGAGAATTTGAAGAAGAGTGGCATCGACGTTGGTCTGATCAACAAGCCTACACTTAACGTTGTCGATGAGGAGGCCATCAAGAACTACGGATCCAGCCCATTTATCCTTGTCGTCGAATCAATTGCCCAGAAGACTGGTCTTGGCTCCCGTCTCGGAACACACCTGCTAGAGCGCAACCTCACCCCCAAGTTCAAGTCCATTGGCGCCATCAAGGAAGGTTGCGGTGGTTTGTTCGAACAAGTCAATGCTCAAGGTCTGGGGCCCGAAGATATCATTGCTGCTGTTAAGAGCTTGGCATAAAAATAATCTGTTACGATGATGATATCATGATGTTGATAAAGTTTCATTCCATAATTCCCTTTGTTACATCAATTTGAACCTTCAATATATATCTAACCACCTCCAACCTTAACTTATAATGTTATTAAACATGCAGTGATAGCTTATTCATAATCATCGGGATGGAAAACCAATGCTCGAATCTCAATGCTCTCGCGACCAGCCTCATGTTCCGTCTCAGGATTCACAAATGCGGAATGGGGTACACGTCGCACCCTACCATCCGTCTTTGAATCAAAGCACTTGATCAAAGTCACCAAATCTGGTGTCTGCGCATATCGGAAGTACCACTTCTGCTCCGGATTAGATCGCACAGCATAGGTTTCTCCCTCTCGATTGGGGTAAATGAGCTTAGTAACAATAAGATCGCTATCCCGCACGGTATTGCCATCGGCAACGGTGAGGGGATCCTTCAAGATAGTTCTAATAGGCCGCCACACATTTATAATTTGATATCTCCCCTTTAGAAGCTCGGGTGCATCTTCTGGAATGTGGAAGGGAACCCTGGTCTTGGCGGCGTCGAATGATTGATCGATGTGAACCCGTTGGACAGGACCACGGAATTGACTGGAGACGGTTCCGTCTGGTGAGGCGCGGCGGATGGTATGATCGAAAATGAAGATGCGAGAGGCTCCGGTCCTTTTGTGAATAGAAGAGTAAGTTATTTGCAACAAATTATAGCTGTGAGGTAAAAGGCCAGGTTCAGCAACATGGGAATCTGTCACATACGCATCTTTAAGCAACTGCTCGGTCTCAGGATAGTACTCCCGTTTGATTTTTTCGTCGTCCACGAAGTCCTTCTCTTTACTTTCATGATAGTAGAACTGAAATCCTTGGCCGTCGAGCGAATAGTCTAGTTCGTGGCCGCTAACATCATGGATAGTAACCGGGGTGGTAGTTATGGGCCTCTCATAGGTCTCGGGTCTACCCACGTAAGATGGAGCTGGAGGAGAGCCGTCCTCGTTATCTTTATGGAAGTTCAGCGTAGTCTGAACGTGGTGTGGTGCATCCGATACTGGAACGGATGGTTTGTTCGCTGGGATGGCGTCCACGACACCAGGAAGCTGTACGGCAGCAGAAGCCATGGCTGATATAAATGTGTATAAATTTGAAAGGTTGTATTAACTTAAGATGAAAGATGAACCTAAATTAGATAGACCCTACGGTACGTTCTTATACCTTTGAACTCGTCGTGGTTGCGGGGTTGGAGGATGCTCATTCGTCATGACAGCACGCAATAATCGTCTTACATTGAGAAATGCTGATAAATTCAAAACTGTACTATAACATGGGGAGATGCAGATGACCTTGACAACGTATGATTTGAAATAGAAAGACCTCGGGATTCGGGATTTTTAATCAACTGGACGGTACGGGTTTCATATTGTAGTAGGTAGTTGTGTCTATATCTAAAAATAAGCAGTCACCAGTTGGTCCGCTGTTATCCACACAGACATTCGTGAGTATCACTGAAGGACACATTGTTCGATCCACGCTAAGTCGTAGGCAACAGTGAAATAAATAGGACCAAATGAATCAAAATCATATAAGAAGGTTGAAGTGATAAGTTGTAATGTGGCCCACCGCTCGAGTAGTCGGACGTCTACTTGCTAGAGATGACAGGTGCTCGATTTCGAGCTAGAAGAACTCGACTGAATTATTTCCACATAACATTAGCCCGAAATTGGGCTTTCTAGGCCCCAAAGGATTGAGTCCGGGCCCAGTAGTACTGCGTTGGGCTCTAAAGAATCTTACTTTTGAGTACAAAGTTTTATTCGCACAAAATTGATACAGTCAGTGGCATACGCAACTGTCTAGCTGTCGAAAATGAGAAGTCAAATTAGGGGGGGAGAAAGAAGTGAGCCGTATACTGTGACCTTGGAGAATGATTTACCTCTACCATCCTACGAGATACAATCATCGATGCAAAGGGTTTAAAGTATTAGAAAGAAATTTGTAGGCAATCAAACTATCAACGTATGAAAGGAAACCGGGTGTATGTCTCATTAACGTACAGCAGGATCTCAAAGGGATTATCTGGAGGTGTCCTGCAGTTGGGGGTCATGTCATTGTCGTGCTGCCCTCGCTCAGACAAAAGTCTTGGTTGGAGAAATCACCGAACAAAAAAGAAACTCAAAGATGGAAAGTAGAAAATGAGAAGCTCATCGTACACGAACGCCATGAGGGAAATAGAGAGAAAAAAAAAGAAAAAGAAAACGGAGAAAAGAAAAGAAAAGAAAAGAAAAGGATCTCACACACAAGGAGAGATTAGTTATGGGACGACATCCGCAGAGGGGAATAGTAAAGAACCTATTGTGACAACTTGGCATCATAGACAAAAGAAGTGAAAGTGGGCTTTTTTGCATTTCGGGCATTCCTTGTTCTTAAAACATGAGGGATCGAGTCTTCTGCCGGCGAGCTTCGGCACTGGGCATATCGGGCTGTGAATAGGTGTGCTTGTGTCGAGGTCGGGGGGACTGGGGCGCCGGCGCCGCTGATCCCGCTGAAGCTGGGGGAGCCATCATTGTGCTCTGTCTATGTGTGACGGGTGAAGAAGGGGCGGGGATGCCGCTAGGAGCGAATCGGTCGATGGTCTGACGACGGGATTTGACACTTTGCTCGCGCTTCAGAACGAGGTTTGCCCATGGCTTGATAGCGCCGTTTCCTGAGGTGGAGCCTTTGCCAACAGCCTCGGACATCACTCGCAACCAACCTTCCTTATCCGCTGCACTGTCGGCATAGAAGTCGATCACTTCACCATTGCCGAATCGGATACGGAATCCCTCTTCGACAAACATATAACCTTCTTCCTCTTCAGCAAAGGCGGACTTACGTCGACCACCGCCTTTAGCAGGAGTTTCCTTCTGCATCAAAGATGATCTATCATCAATAAGCTTCGCAGCCTTGGCCAGGTTGATAGTTGCACGGGGCTGTCGCGTTGTTTCATGGTACGCGGTTAATTTAGAGCCCTGGAGCTTGAAGAAGCGGCGACGCCAGAACTGCATATAAATTAGCAAATTGAATCGATGGGATGATCGCTGTTGTAACTTGGGACTTACCGGGCAATCACCACCCTGCTGAGATAGAAATCCCTCCCAACTGCGCGCAGCAACACTTTCGGCCTCGCGCATCTCGCGAATGCAGGCATTCATACTCTTTGGCATATCATCTTCCTTTCCGCCCTTGGGCTTGGGGACAAACAAAAGTTGCAATTCAAGCTTGCCAATTTTGTACGGGGGTCGGCGTTGAGCAGTCATACTGGTTGCGCTCTTCTTGCTCTTGACACTGCTGGGCTGCTCGTCGACGGCCCACTCATTGAAACATGGAATGTCAACAGTATATGGGCGACCAAAAGCATGTGTCTCGTGGTCACTCAACGCTACATATGAGCGACCGAAGCTACCATCGCGGGCAACAACATTCCGAAGACGCTCCCAAACTGGGGCATTGACATCCTTCTTCTGTTGCTGAGACTGCATCTGTTGCTTCAGATCTAACTCCTTACGGCGGCGAGGTGACGCAAAGACACGGCTAAGAGCCGATGTCTTCTGGCGAGACGGAGAGCTGGGGTTTTCTTGCGGGTACATCTTATTCTCGTCAACCTTCATCTGCAGGGTCAGTTGGAACTCAAGGTCATTATGAACAATGAGCTCAAATTCTTGTCCGATGGGAGCTGATTTCCCAAGTTCAAGCCAGGATGTGGTGACACAGTGCAAGCCATTGTCCAGGGTAAGGGCAAAGTATGATCGTTCGCCTGTAGAGGATTAGTAACTGGGGAATGGAGAGAAACTTAAATGGCACGTACCGCGTGGCAGAGGAAGATCAATGTACTTGATTCCGACGACCTTGACAAAAAGCCTGCCCCGCTCTTCTCCATCTTCGTATGCATCTTGACCAAGAGGCTCATTCTCATCGATGGTTGGTGGAGCTTCTTGTACGTTGCTCTGGTGTCCAGGAAGGGGAGGAACTGCGCCTGGAACGGGCTTTTTCTTCGGAGCAACGCCTGCCATCTTTACACTCGGACGTCGGGTTGATCCGTTCCAGGGAACACTGGTCCATGTCTGCTGACTGGCTTTCCGTGGAGAAGAACCAGCAGACCGAGTACCGCGGGGATCGTCTGTTGTCGAGTCAATTGGGAGGGCAGGGTCTTCTTCATCGCGATTGCTCGCAATCACGACCTTGGTGTTTTGACGCATGAGGTAGCCTCTCTGTTGGATCGTAGATTTGTTAGCGATAGTTGCATCAGTCGGTGAAATGGGTAGTCCTGGGGTAGCAAAATCGAACGATGTATCCAAATGGGTCGCTGGAACAGGGCAAGAGTCAAGTTGGGAAAGAGCTAGTTGGAACGCCACCTTTTGGGACTCGATAACACGGTCAAATTCTTTCGTCAATCCCGATCCAAGGCTTTCCTCCTGGATGCTGAATGGAATATCCAATTGCATCAAACTTGTCTGCCTTTGGGTGAGGTTGTTAGGCAATGTCAGTTGGGGTGCGGCATCAAGTTTAGGTGCATCCTTCTCGGACTTTTGGGAATCATGCGAGGTCTGTTGAGTCAATTGCGGCAAAGGTGGCACAGGAGGGGCGTGCTGTCCACTAATCTTGCGTCGAGTAGCGGCCATCGCATCCATATCCGCTGGGGTGAGCGAGGGACGAGTTTTAAGTCCAGCGCCCGGAGCTCTAATTGTGGCAATGGGCTCAGGAACAGACTCGTCCGAGGAGATTGCTTCATCTAGGTCCTCATCTTCGAACGGCTTCTCTTCCTCCTCTTCCTCATCCTCCTCCTCCTCCTCCTCTTCCTCCTCCTCTTCTTCTTCTCCGTCATCATCAGAAATGGGATGGCGGATAACAGATTCCGGGGTAGAGGGTTCGGACATAGGCTCCTCCTTGATCTCGGGAGTCACGGGGCGTCCGAGAGATTGACGAATAGAAGTCATATCCAAGTGTTGGTCTTCCTTCGGCTCTGAACCTTGATTTTGCTTCTCGGCGCTCGAAGATAAAGGAGGAGGGTTTTCTTCACCGGCAACTGGTGTAGTTTGGGCAGAACTATTGTTGTTCTCGTGTTCGGCCGCTTCAGCTGCCGATCGCAATGAGTAATTACTGTCCTCGTCGTACTTGGCTCGCTGGTCACGAGAAGAAAGACTGTTGCTCGACGAGTTCTGATAGTAATCAGGGATGGCGTATAGTTCATCGTCGTTAGCTTCCTCTTTGATAATAACACTCGAAGCATCGTCGTCGTCCGTTTCGAGAGAGGGGATGGGAACATCAGGATCATAATTATCGTAAGGATGAGGGCTTGACTCCAAATGGGAGTCATCACCGAACACGTCATCTTCATCATCTTCGTAGTCATCACCCTTACGAATATCCCGAAGAATTGAATCGCGAGAGATCCTAGGAGGAGAGAAAACCGCATCTTTGGACAGAGCATCGCTCTGGTCGTTGGCACTTTGCTGTTCGGAATCCTTCTCAGTTTCCGTAGTCTTATACGGAGCGTCGTCGACCTCTTCACCCAGGTGGGGGGTCTTTTTGTCTTGAATCATCATGAGAGCAAGTCTTTCCTCCAAGGACATCCCGCCCTCCATATCAGATTTGCTGTAAGAGGCAGGCGCAAGTGGAGCCGGAAAACCACGCTGACTGCCACTGCCGAGCTCAAACGCGCTCGCGGTCTTATTGGGCGAAGTCGGCCGAGAGCCAGACATGCGGGAAACCGATGGCAGCGGGGGTAGGGGACGTCGCTCTCCATTTGAGTCCAAAGACTCAACCCGTGTGTGATGGGAAGATTCTCCTTCACGGGAGATTGGACGCTCCTCGGCGACTTCCTCGTCGACTGTCTCGACGAACGACTCCTCTTCTTCGTTCACACTTCCTGGGCTCATAAATCGCCACTCATCAGGCAACACAACGGGTGTCTTCTCAATATCCTCGAGAGACGCATCAAAACTATCGTCACGCTCCATCGATGATTCATGTTCGAAGCTAACCTCGTCTTCTTCCTCTTCGGATTCGTAACTGGCTTCGCGGGACTCCGACGTTACTGAAGACGGGTCAGGTGTCCTCATCTCATACTCGTTGACTTGAGGAGGCGCAGCATCAAAAGTAACGCTTTTGTTATGCCGATGTCCAAAACTATCGTACTCCGACCAGATATCACTTTGTGGGTCAAAGCCCTTGCCGTATCTGCTACCCTTGGACAATGAGGATTTTCCTGGAGATGGTTGATCTTTGCTGGGGGAGTGAGGTCTAGGTGGCTGCATGTCGAACTCATCATCTTCGGCCAATTGCGATTTGGCGAGGTTCATTTGACTCTCACGATTCGGAGATCGGTCTGTGGCCAAAGGTCTTATTGGTACAGAGACGTGCGCTGGATCATATTCTTGTCCACCTTCACGGAAGATATTGTGGTTTTTAACTCGCGACGCGCGCTTTAGGTCTTCGAGGGAGGGCCGTCTCGCTGGCAAGATGCAAGCTTCCGGATCATACGGCACACGGTTTTCAGAAGCCTTCGGAAATGGCGATGGTGAGTCTCTTCCCTTCCAAAAGAGACGAGGGGAGGCTGAGTTATTCAAAGGTGAGATATCGTAAGCGGGCGCATCGCCACTGGGAGCCTGTCGCAAAATATTTAGCTGAAGAATTCGGGAAGACACCGACTATTTTGTCAATCTTACTTTGGTAGTTTGGTTCCAGCTGGGGGAATTGCGTCGTTGCGCCATAGGGCTCACTTCTGAAAGTGGCCGTTGGCCAAGTCCGCCGGCCATCCTATTGTTTGGTATGATGAATGGCAAATGAAACACTCAAACCACTTAACACACAAATAAACACAGGATGTCTCTGTTCCTTGTATTAGCTACAGTTCATTGCGTCAAACAGCAAAGCAAGTCGGCGACAAGGCAAACTGATGATGCTCAAGCAGGAGAACACAAAGCATACCTTAGTCAATCAATATTGGACGTCGCGTGGATTATGTTTGCGCCAGCAAGTCTTGATACATAAACCGTGCAAACGTAAAAGTCGTGTCGGTCGCCTCAGGAATGTGAATGCGTCACCAAAACAATGCCACAATGGTCCGAGTCAACGCGAAAAGTGAAAGACCGTGAAAGTAAAGTTTTTAAGAGAAGGGATACCCAAGGGAGAAGGATAAGATGAGGGGTGAGAGGATCCGATCTCGATATCTATTCCATGGATCAGAAAGTGGATTGTTACCCCAAAGCAAGTTGCACTGTTGACACTGAGCCGGAAGTCTCCATAGCAACGCGTTTCAGCTGCGGAGGCGCTTTCCTTGTTTTGGACGTAGCTGATAGATGACTCAGCGTTGATAGCAGTCACATGTTATGACGGCCTCAAGGATCAGGTTATGTGGATCTACACTAGACCCAAGTAGGTATAGTGTGGAAATCAATCCTGAATAGTCAATCCGCGATTTTTCTTGGTCTGGAACATTTGAACAACTGAGTCCTTCTCAATTATCAACTTACCCACTCCCTTATATTACTCTGGTCGACCAGGCAGAATGCCTCTACCCGTTCGCTCCTCAGTATGCTTCCTATGCCAAACTAGGACGAGCATTGTTACTCCACCGACTGTGCTGTCGACATGGCAAGCCACGCGATCCATGGGTACTGGGCGATTGCATCGCAAGGCCGCTCGCATGGCTCTATCCCCTAATGTCGCAAAGCAGTCCCTCAAGAAGCCACGCTCGAGCCGAAGTGGACCTTTTGCAAGCATGAACCAGACCGAAGCTCGCATTCGAGATGAACCCCGTCCCCGATCCCCGGCCGCTCTCAAACGTTCTGGCGATAATACGAAATCGAAAAAGCCTGAAAGTCCTCTATACAAAGCACTGAAAATGCAAACAACATTGTCTCCAGTTACCTATGGCCGTCGGACAGCGATCAAGTCCAAAATTGCCGACATTACCAGTTTCGATCACATGCCTCTTCTCCCTGCTGTCAGACAATCAATTTTCACCCAAGCTCTGCCAAATTTAGCAGATGTCACGCCTACGCCGATCCAGCGACTCGCTATCCCTGCCCTCCTAGATATGAACCCCAACCGCAAGAAGCAATCTACCCCAGTCGCAGAGGACGAGCACAAGTACAGCCAATACCTTCTAGCTGCTGAAACCGGATCAGGAAAGACATTGGCATATCTCCTACCCGTTTTGGATGCTATCAAGCGTGAAGAAGTGATTGACAAACAAGAGGAGGAAATTTTGGCGGATCAGAAGACGAAAGAGCGTGAGGAAAGATTGAAAACTCGGACATTTGAGTTGGAACCAGAAGAGCCACCCATGACGAACGAAGCTCGCCCGAGAGCGATCATTCTTGTTCCTACATCTGAGCTGGTGGCACAAGTTGGAACAAAGGTAAAATCTCTTGCACATACTGTCAAGTTCCGATCAGGAATGATCTCCTCAACCTACACTCCCCGCCGCATTAAGAACGCACTCTTTCACCCAGAGGGAATCGACGTTCTGGTGTCGACGCCTCATCTCCTCGCATCCATCGCAAAGACAAATCCTTATATTCTGAGCCGTGTCAGCCACCTTGTTCTGGATGAGGCTGATTCTTTGATGGATCGTTCGTTCATTCCTACCACAATGGAAGTCGTCGATAAGGCCGCCCCTTCGCTTAAGAAACTGATATTCTGCTCTGCTACGATTCCTAAGAGTCTGGACAACCAACTACGAAAACGCTACCCGGACGTCAGACGTCTCACTACTCCCAACTTGCATGCCATTCCTCGACGCGTTCAGCTCGGAGTCGTGGATATTGAGAAGGAACCTTACCGTGGTAACCGTTCTCTTGCCTGTGCCGATGTCATTTGGTCGATTGGCAAGGCCGGTGAAGCCAGCGAGGGCGAAGAATGGGGACCTGTCCTCTCCGCATACATGGGACCCAAGGTCAAGAAGATTCTTGTGTTTGTCAATGAGCGTGAGGAAGCGGATGAGGTTGCGCAGTTCCTTCAGAGCAAGGGTATTGACGCTGTCTCGCTGTCTCGTGATTCCAGCTCCCGCAAACATGACGAGATCCTGGCCGAGTTCACAGAGGCTGCTCTCCCTCCCACATCTGAGGAGATCACGTTGGCGAAGAAGCAAGCACGCGTCGAAAAGCAGATTCCTTTGGAACTTAATGACAAGAAATCCGAATATGTGCGTCGCTTGCCAAACACCAAGGTTCTTGTTACGACCGACATCACCTCCCGCGGTATTGATACTTTGGCTGTGAAGACCGTGTTGCTATACCACGTGCCGCATACTACCGTTGACTTTATTCACCGACTTGGTCGTCTGGGACGCATGGGTAAACGTGGTCGTGGTGTGGTTCTTGTTGGCAAAAAGGACCGTAAGGATGTTGTTCGTGAAGTGCGTGAGGGCATGTTCCGCGGACAAGCTTTGATTTAAATATGCATATTCTAATATTTGTACTGTATAAACATGTATCATATTTGGCGTTTCTGTTTTTGTAAGTTTTGGTCTGGGCCATGTGGGAAAAACGAAGGTGACATAGCGATTGCTATGAAGATACATTTCTGTTAGTGGATACCAAACCTGTTCATGGGGGCGATCGCCCATTTGAACCAGTGCTTTTCTTGGAACGATCTGCTCTATGTATAAATTACACTGAAATAACCTGTACATAACTCGAAGTCCGTGTTGGGCGCCCATCTCCGCTTATAATCTGTCTACAGTAATAAACATATCTACATATTTTTATCTCATCTCAATAAATGAAAACTCATAAAAAAACCTTGGAATCCGTTTGGATACAACATGCACTACTCCATATATTGAGCTGAGACTGAGTGTCCTGATGGTGAAACAATAACTAAGTGGAAGGTATTTACAAGAATGTCAGGCTTGCCAGTAGGCTCGGCTGTTGAAAATATTAGTATATGTATCGGCCTCTGGAGGTCGGGTTTGGTCAGTTTGTGGTTCAACCCCCGCACCCCAAGACTCGAAAAACCTTGTTATAGGTCTGTGCAAAGAGCCTCATTCAATGTTTGAATAGGTTTACTTATTCCCAAGAGCATGTACTACTAGACGCAATCTACCTACTCCAAAGTCTGATAAATCATACAGGATATCTAAATCAAGACTCTTGACTATGCTATTTTTAACATAGTTCCAAGGTTCACGTTCTTAATTGCCGAGGACGCGTAAACTCAGGCCCCGCAAGTCTCCGAGGCTAATGTATACAGTGCTCTCAGGTCAAGTGCTCGCTTCCAAGGTTGGCCACTCACGATTTTAGTGAAAACTTTTCTCTTCCACTGCATTTTCCTTCTCTACCCCTGAAAACTTATGATATATGATCTCTAATCATCGGAGCCTTCAACGAGAAAAGGCTGAAAGCTACATCGTCCAAAAGACGCTATTGCGACCGGTCCCAGTTACTAGTGGGCACCAAGTTGACATCTTAAAGAGCTGACGTCACCCCTCAAGGAGGCTAGAGGTTGAAAAAAAAACCTAAAGAATCAAGGCAAAATCAACCTTTCTTCTGATTAATTCAATATGAAGGTGTCCACGAAGATCTTACCATTATGGGCTCTATGCATTCTTCAGAGTGGCTTTGTGGCCGCCGAGTCAACTACAGAGACTGATACCGCAACAACTTCGACAGCGTCTACAGAGTCAAGCGCGTCAGGAACGTCAGGGATATCGGATACCGTTGTTATTTATGTGACATCGGAAAGCTCCGTTGCCGTTCCTACGGGCGATTATATCACTTATTCCAACACCGACACTTTTTCGTCCGCTGCACTTAATGCTACGACAACAGGGAACTCGACAATCACTACATCGGCGACAGATGTCGTTATTGTGGGAACAGCTAGCTCCAATTCCAATAGTACTGCGACTACCTCCTCATCCACTGCTACCAATACCCAAGCATGTAACGGCCATGTCGACTTCTGCTCAAGAAAGTACTCCAACATCACAATGGTGACGGCGCACAACAGTCCATTCGTGAAGAAGAACAACATCGCGGCTAATCAGGATTACACCGTGACAACCCAATTAGACGATGGAATCCGAATGGGTAACTCCTCCCAAAGTACAATCATATACATAACATCGCTAACAATCCACAGTATCCTTCGAGGCACACTACTACGAAGATGAAATCTACCTCTGCCACACATCTTGTTCCCTCCTCAACATGGGAACCCTAGAGGCCTACCTAACAACAATAACGAAATGGATCAAGAAAAACCCCTTCGAAGTCGTCGCCATCCTAATCGTAAACTCAGACTATGTATCGCCAGGAAACTTCAGTGGACCCATCCAAAACTCCGGCTTAATCGACTACGTCTACGAGCCCTCGAAAGTCCCCATGAGCCTCGACGATTGGCCAACATTAAGTGAAATGATTCTTCACGGTGAACGCGCCGTCGTCTTCATGGATTATGAAGCCGACCAGACAGACTACCCGTATATCTTGGATGAGTTCTCTCAGATGTGGGAAACGCCTTTCTCGCCTTTGAATCGTTCGTTCCCTTGCACAGCGCAACGACCACCAGGCCTTAGTACTGCGAATGCTGAGAAAAGGATGTACATGGCGAACCATAATCTTAATCTAGAGGTTATTTTTGATAGCGTGGATATCCTGATTCCCGACTCGGCGCAGATTAATGTGACTAATGCTGTGTCTGGATATGGAAGCTTAGGAGTGATGGCTAATAACTGTCGAGGTATGTGATTCCCAGGGAAAAATTATTGCCAGTATAAAACTGACTCAATGATTAGCTGAATGGGATCGACCGCCTAATTTCTTGCTAGTCGATTATTATGACAAGGGTGACTTCGCTGGATCGGTCTTTGAAGTTGCTGCTGAGATGAATAATGTCACATATGATGAAAAATGCTGTGGCATGTCATCTGATGCACCGGGCAACTTCAAGTTTTCACGAGTCTCGAGTTGGTTGATTGGAACTGTTCTATTTACTACATCTTTGTCGTACATACTATGATTTGGGATATAAAGAGTATATAATTTATAGCAGCGAGCGAATTTATTTGAACGATTCAAGTCATACATCATAAGTGCATTGCGACTGGCGCTTTTTGGAAGAAAGGAACAAAAACAACCAGGTGTATCACGTAAAATATACAAAAGAAAAAGCATAAACAAAACTCAACTCAAAGAAGATCTTGTCCAACAAAAAATTGCCAAAGACCATGTGGATCGCCGCCATCTGACCCAACGCCGGGATAAACGTTGAGAAATGATAGATCAGATTGACTATCAGACGGCGAGGTATTGAAATTCCAAAAGTTGGCAAAATTTGGGTTCGAGTCATCCTAAGTCATGTTAGCCAAGCCCATCAAGTCCGCGAGACATCAAGTGTACACACCTGAACACCGAGGGCATTGTAAAATCCGGAGCCGAGAAATTCTTGTGGTTGTTGTTGCTGTTGCTCGTACCCTTTCCCAGTAACCGGGCTTGAGAAAGAAGGCTGTTGATAAGGAGCCAGGGGCAGCTGTGGTGCTACTGAGGTTGTAGTTCTTGGATCCTCCATACTAGGAGTGCGGTTTCCAAGCGTCATATTACGGGAGATACGGCGCAAAACTTCAGAGAAAGGAGCAGGTTTCCTACCCAGTTGGTGCTGGGCTGCTAGGTTGAATGTGTTGGTTTGAGTAGCAGATCTTCGAGATTGGCTCTCAGAAATGAGTTCACTATAGTTGTGGCAGGGGGTTAGACAAGGGCCTCGGACACCGGGAAGGTATATGTACCTGATTATGCGGAAGGCGGACTCAACAATACGGCGGAGGGACGTATTACTGATTTCGCTGTACATGGAGAATATTTCACGGACCATATAGATAGTACGCGTTCTATCGTCTATCTCATTAGGGGGTAAGTTGCTAATTTGAACGTATGTTAGCTTTGTCAAGGGAACGCGGATTGAAAAATTATTGCCTCGGTGCACTTACTGATCAATAGCCCAGAAAAGATCTAAGAATAAGACCATTGCCGCACTCAGAGTGTGAGAATATACGAACCTGGATGTAGTTTGATGGCGTATTAGCCTTCAAATCCTCAAGAAACGAAGGAATATTTAGGAACTTACCACAGCGATCCGCCAGTTGTCAGGTCTCGCAGATTATAATGACAGTCTATGACAATTCGTGCTGAATCTAGGCAGTTATCTCGGGACAGAGCAAATTTAGAATCCTTGGAGTAACCTCGTGATAGAAATGGCCTATTGAGGCGGACGATACGAGAATGTATCTGAATAAAAGCTTCTTTAGCACGGGAACAAGTATAAAATGAAGGAGGATGAAAGATTTACCCCCTCTAGAGCAATATCTAATTATGAGGAATTCCAGTTAGTCTCAAGTACGAATAGCAATAAATTGGTTTTTGCAGATAGAGTGTACTTACTTCGTTGTCGTCGAATTTTTGGATCGTTATTATCAACCAGAGGATCTTCTCGTTGATAGGCGTCACTGAAAAAGTTGTATTTAGCTTAACATATCACCAAGACAGCCTGATCCTCAAGTGTCTCAACTTACGGGAGGCCTTCTAATATCTTGCGGTATCCAGCATCCAATTCCAAGACTATTCCGGCAGGGAGATTAGCGATAAACCATTACCCAGTCCCTAATAGCGTCGGGAAACCAACCGGCAGAGAATGAAAATCGATCAGCGTATGTAATAAGCTTGTCAAATGTTTGACGAAGCATATTAGCAATATTCCACTTATAGACCTCAAATGAGCTCGATGTGACAACCTGTGCAGGCCGAGCCGTATACCGCCAATCCGTCGGTGACAATTCCCAATCGTCGACATTATCAACCACCTGTGACGTACATTGATCTGGATGAATGGTATAACAGCGGAAGCGTGCTGACGCAGACATCCAATCCGACCATTGTACCATCATCCACACTCGAAGTCCCATGTAACGTTTGACGGCATTTTTACCAGGGGGCCACGCTGGGTCATCAGGGGGCATTCTGTCATAGAGCAAGGATTAATACCCTTGGGTTTCGTATAAAAAGAAGCTTACAACTCACGTTTCAGGATTGTGGCCCAGCCTATGTAAACCCATGAGCTGGGCTGTACGAATTGCCAAAGCATTCCAATTTAACATCATGTCAGCTTTTCTCCAGGCACTCGAGGATTGGAAGAAAGAATTGGATAGAATAACAGTCCTGGGTGGATTCATTTATTAGCTTATAAAATCGACATGGAGTGGATAGCCATTAGCCTCTCACGTACTGTATCGTTCTGACCCGTGGCGTAGCCATTGCGTCACCAAGGTAAAGAGCTTTCAGGCTCACTGCGTGGTATTTATTTGTGATCTCGCTAAGCTTCTGGTGAGTATACCCATGAAAGGGATGATTGGGGGCCGTTGGTGCCGTGGAGCGGTTATCTAATGCGAGGGCCATAACCATGAAGAAAACAGCCAACCACAAAGGATCAACCTCATTTTGGCGTTGCTGAGCAATCATCTCCCAAAAGTAATTCATTTCTGCTTGAAAGGAAGGCCAGCTTCAAGTTGGAGGAAATAGTCAGCTAGCTGGCCATCGAGACCTTGAAGTGCACGCGATAAGAGTAGGGGACGAAGGGTGTTGTGAAGTTCTGCACTCACTGTAGAATGCGAGATCGCCAATGGATTATGTTTTTGTATTGCTCAGCTAAATAGTAGCTTTGGCTTAAGCTTGGCAAATTCTCGAATATACTGTGCATAGCATCAAGTTTATGTCCCATTAGGTGCTGTGGCGTGTCCGGCTCGGAGCCCCCCTGTTGCATAAGCACAGGATTGAAGCGGTCTAATGTAATGTCCCACGGTGGCGCAACGATACTGGTCAGAGCCGAAGTGAATTCTTGATCCTGTTGTTCAAGTTGATGCCGTAACTTTGGAGGATCATCTTTGGCACTACCTGCCAGGGCTGCCCCTGAGATGGTGGTGAGCATATTCCCTCTCCAATATTCATGAGATATCATCGAGTCATTGCCAGCTTCCGCTTCATTTGTTTGCGGGTTGAAAGCAATACTCTCCAGCACAACTGCGGCATTTTCTGCTGCATCGTCGTAGAATGCCGATAGTCCCTTCGAAGGAGGGCCATTTGACCGAGTAGCGGATGAAGTGGCATTGGGCGCATTAGCAGAAGGGCGGGATGTTGTGTGATCATTTCCATTGCCGGATGCTCCCGCCTTGGAGATTTGCGTATCTCGAGGCAAACTTGAAGCCTCTCTGGAATCTTGATTCTCGATACCCTGTTTCGATTGGGAAATGTTCGAATTTGACGGTTGCTGGGCCATGGTGACTGCTTTGACAATCTCAGCTGGCAAACTTTCAAGGGTATCTTGAAGAGATTCAAGCCGCCTTTGAAGATCATCGACTTGTGTTTTCAGCGCAAATGGCTGTGGCGATGGCTCAACCTTGGCATTTTCCCAGCGGCATGAACCAGGCATGCCCCTCCTGACACAAGCCATGCACGGAATATTGCGGTCGCACTTTATTTTTCGTCGTCGGCATTCAGAACACGAAATTGCCATCCTAGGTCTTTTTGGCTCTCGATGCTTCTCTTCAGGGTCATCTTCATTACCGCTGTCGTTTGAGAGTGCTTGCGAGTCCGACAATGATTCGACCTTGCCATGAGATCGTTCATAGTCATCCGACTGTATGATTCTATCAATTGGCCTCTTGCCTGATGGATCAGCCCAATCATGGTGAGATAAACTGGGGGTGACGTTGTGAGGGGCCCTGGTCGCTGAGTCCTCTGCAAATGACGAGGGCTCGTATTGCTGGAATGACCGACCGGAACCAACGCCCCACTGTTTATCCCTATCACTGGAAGACGGGAAAGAGCTCATTGTGCTGTCAGTGCACTTAGGGCGTATGCGTACATCCAGAGTGACCAGTCCAAGACAAAGTCTCGCGATCGGATCGCTGGATTGAACAACGTGGAATTAAGGGCTCCCTTAGCCTGTGCCTTGTGGGGCTTGGACCCTTGGAGCGGGCGAACGCAGAGTGGCTGCAAAATTTAACGGGACAAAACAACTAACAATTAGCGTGGTACTTCCCAGCCTGTTCAATTATGCAATCTGGGGAGAGGGAGGTTGGGAATGGGAAATTCGGTAAGTAAAGCTCGGAGATCAGACCGGAGTGTCCGTTGATAAGGAAGTTCTGCACGGCCCCACGTTTTAGTGTGGTGGATTGGTCTCGTTAGTCTCAGTCAGACACTTGTAGCCTTGATCTCCGGGGTTAAAGTGGGTTTCTTTTATCGTCTTCAAACCAGCTCTGATCATAGTTGGTCATATGAGCAGAACTAGAGTGCGAATGGACATAATTTACCATTAAAACCACCAATCTCAGGCATCAAATCCTCAATTGGCCTCGGAATACTACCCAGCGAATCAGCATCGTCTCTCTGATCATGAAGATCATCTCCCGTATTGAGGGCTCGCGCTTGGCATTGGCGCTTGGCATTAGCAACATGCGCGTTCTTGTGGATCCCAGCGGTCTTCACTCTGCACAGAGCGCCGTGACCTAGGTTGCATGACTATTGTCAATACATATTTCATCAAAAACTCCATCAGTTACCGTGTAGCGTGTTCCAGGCATATTTGGCTGAGTGCAATATATTCCAGGTGTCATTTAACACGCATAGAAGTGTCTTGGCAAGCACAAAGCGAGACAAAAGTACATTTGATATCATGATAACCTCTTGAATTTGCTCGTTATTGTCAAAATTTGGATCCTCCCTGAAGACCACAAAACAGATTCCGGACCCCATAACCTTAACCATGAAATCCGTTCTGTTCAAGTTTATCAGCGCTGGATTCGAAAGGCGTAATGCGGCAAATGTCGACACTTATCCACTCTTTACTACCGCGTATGTTAAGAGGCCCAATCATGGATTAATTTTCCGACCCTCAACCAAACGTTGGACATAGGCCTAAGTTAGATGGAACCCCCCTGGCATTCTGAACGAATAGAGTTGCGGCTATTGAATCCGGATTTTTGAGGATTCATCAGCGCTTGCGTGCCATGCTGTTGAGTTTCTGGTTCATGCACACACGATTTTTGTTCCCCTCATCCCCTTTCCCTTCCAGTCAGCTTCTGATAATCTCGAAGGTGGTGACACAAGTGGACCACTCAGTACAACAGGGTTCTTGGAAGTCAGTTGAAAAGCCACATTTACGACTCGATCGCTCTGATCGATCGTGTGCTTTAGATCGATGGCATCTACAACAAATCCCGATTCGGCCGCCACACAAGCCCTTCCTATTCCCATAAGCGACCATAGCCAGGAAAACACATCCAGTGGGCACCAAATTGCGATCGATGAGTTTGATGTGGGTGGAGCCGGAGTTTCATTGAAAGCTTGCCTATTTTTAGTAGAGCGATGAGCCGGAGTTTGAGAACTATGGGTTGGATAGCACTTCATTGTCTTCGAGTATTATTCAATACGAATATGAGAATGGCCGGCGTTACCACAGTAGGAGTTTGGTAAGCTCTACAAATGGCCTTGATTTGTTGGAAACTCGCAGTATCGCTAACACCATTCGCAGGGGAATTACATGTACTTATCAACTCTATTCACCAGCATCACGTTCAAGAGTAGTGACTAATCCAAACAGGATGCCGAATGATGAAGAGGAACAAGATAGAATGGATTTGGTGAGTTACTCTGGATTCCCTTCTCATGATTCACTGGACTGACATGAATAGGCACATCATATGTGAGATTAGAGTCATGACCCTTGTGGTCAACCTACCGCTAACAAGCCCACCAGATGGCTCATGTTAATGAAAGGAGAATTGCATAAAGTCCCAGTAAAAGATCCTCAGCGTGTCCTAGATCTCGGGACTGGAACAGGCATTTGGGCTCTTGATATGGCAGAGTATGCTTCACCACTATATCTAGTATGATACGGACGAGCCCACACTGACACCCTGCAAGAAACTTTCCCCAGGCCCACGTTATTGGTAATGATATTAGTCCTATCCAGCCAGGCTGGACTCTTCCAAATGTGGAATTTATCGTGGAGAACTTCGAAGATGAATGGCTTTACGAACACGACAGTTTTGATTTCATCCACGCACGACTTTTAGCAGGGCTTGTGGACTACCATTCTCAACCTCTATGGGTCGTTGTTTAACTTCATTCTAGATGCGTTGCAGATTGGCCGCAGCTCATCCGAAATATTTATGACCGTGTTAAACTAGGCGGTTATTTCGAGATCCAGGAGAGCGTCGTATGGGCTTAGAGCAATGACGGCTCATTAACAGCCGACTCTCCATTATTTCAATACGTGCAAGCCCTTGATACAGCAGGCCGTGCTACTGGCCGCGAACTCAACATTTACTATAAATTACCACAATTACTAAGTGAGGCGGGATTTGAAGATGTGACACAGTTTACATATCTTTTGCCTTATTCACCATGGCCTCGCGATCCATATTTAAAAGAAACCGGCAAGTATCAAGCCTTTCAAGTCAACCAAGCAGTTGAGGTTTATGGATTGAGATTATGCACTCAAGTGTTGGGGTGGGGGAGAACCCGTCGAAGATTTTCCAAGCGATGGTTAAGAAGCAACTTCGGGAAACGAGCTTACATGCCTATGTCAAGGAGTAAGTGGGCTTTCTATGCATTCTCCACGATCTGCTTTCTACACAAATAGGGTTGTTGTATATGGAAGAAAGCCTTTGAACACTAAACGTTAACAAGATTGAAATAATGAATGGCCAATCATTTAATAGACCATTATATCCAAAACCTCTCTACACTTGAGAATCCTTCCTAGCCAGTAATGTGACTGGAGGCCAATAAAGTTGACCACCATCCATCTTCCCGATACTCTCATCTAAAGGCTCTAAGCTGTTCAACCATTCAGCCTGACTAGGGATCGACGGAAACTTTTGCCTCAAATCATCCAAAGCCGCCCCGAGATTCTGCATAGCAAGCATAGCGTTACTGATAGCCAGTGGTCGAAGATGCGGCGCCCATGTTCCGTACTGAGCATCAACTACTTCCAATCCCACGCCGGCGCTCTGTACATGTTGATCGAGTTCCTCAAGCCATCTGGAAGACCAACTAGTCAGATCAATGCTTTACTTGCGAAATTTTAGAGGATAACTTACTGAAAGTCAAGTTTTGAAGGAAGATGTACACGATCTAGCATATTTCGAATCTCGCGTGCAGCGTCACCTCTTGTTACGAAGCTACCGAATCGCGCATCTTCCCATTGAAGGTATCCTCCAGGTCCTTTGATTAATATGGTCAGATTTGTTCCTGGTTATACCTTGAGTCGTCTGACACCCAAAAATAATAAAATCTACAAGATAAAATTCTTCAACTTACTGAGTAATTTAGCAGCGTGGCGAATGAGAGGGCTCGGATCATTTTCGCGGGGAATGTAAGCCCACATGCGGATATGCACCACGTCAAATTGACCTTCAAGAAATTCAGGGACATCATTCATCGAATCAAGTACCCCAAACGTAACGTTTGAAGGCCAATACTCCTGATTAGGAAGATGGGCATCTGAGATATCGTAACCGACGACCTTGGAGTTTGGAGGCAGAGTAGGAGCTAGTTGGAGGGCCCAGATCCTATAAAGAATGTTAAATAACCATGAGAGAACAATGAGATAAAATTTACCCTGTCCCTGTACCAAGATCTGCAATCTTCATACCATCCTTAGTTTCTATCTTGGGATGGAGCGAATATCCTGTGTGTAACTGCCACACCAGGTGCTGAGAAGCAAGTCTGCGGGGGCTCAGTCAGCGCATCCTCGGGATTGGAAGAAATGAAATGTTCCATGCCTGCATGCTTCTGCACCGTCTTGTCTGAGTAGGTATGAGGCGTTCTTTACGAAACCCATGCCGAGAACCTTGAAAATATGAAAAGTGGAGGTTGCTTAGTTGTTTAATCGATGTTCAATCGAGAGATAATATTGCGCACGGTTTATTCCTGCCCCACCTTCAATCCTTCATCTTGGCATTAGGAGTAGTACCTAAAGACGGCTAAGATTGAAACAAGAAATGTCATATGATAGGAATATACAAATATCGCGTGCGGGATATGGGTTTAGATCTTTCTTGTTCTCCAGTCGTTCTTTCGGGTATGAACGAACCTTATAATAATAAAAGTGCTATATCCCTGCCTCTCCTGAGGTTCTTATTCAAGTTTGACTTACAGTGCCCCCAAAATTGGGCCAATACATTTTAAGGACCTGCATGTTGGCTGTCAAGCACAAACCTGATTGTGCTGCTAGTATTTTAGTTTTCAATCAAGTAAAGAGCTATCGTGTCGAACATCAAACAAGGTGACCAATATTTGAAACAGTCGTTCTTATTTCAATAAGCCAACTCAATTATATACGCGTTGTATATGGTATTCTCCAATATTTTAAATCTAGAAACCGTACAAGTGACCGAAATATTCAATGCTTAGGCGGGGATAATGGAAGCTCGCTTGGTTCGGGTAGACCTGCAGTGCTACTATAACAGGTGCTTGACCATATAAAGCGACTAAATGAGCTTCGTCATGAGACTTAAATCAAAACACGTTGTAGCCACATGGAAAATGTCGTGCTAGAGGAAGCTGGAACCTTGGAAGGCAATGCTATGACAAGATTCATGGGAAATCACCCGTGATACTCGTAGCTTATGGTATCCATGTGAGCCAAATGATAATTATTGCGCAAGAAAGTTGGTCTGGGCGAGTAAGCTATTAGAAAGGATGACTAAAATCAGCAATCCTACATTGAACCTTTATGTGTGTTATGATAACAAGAGAAGTCGCCTAGTATGTAAACTAATCTTAGTGTCAGGTGTCATGTCTGATGCGACTCGAGCAACAAGCACTAGGAAAGACCCGTCTGATGACCTATAAATCCGCTGTATTTTCCTCAGTATAAGTGGTAATATTTCAGGAACATTTCATCCTAAAAACTAGAAATTTGACCAATTCACAATCTAATTTACAGCTGGTATTCATGTTTGAACGAGGCGGGGTACTTGACATCTGCTAACGGATCCTTTGTCTCGTCTGCGCATCCGGGTCATCCGAAGAAGCGAAATTAGGATATTCATGTATTAAAACTTGTTGCAAGGCAAGATCACTATAATTCTTGGCAAAATTTCACCTAGAGTGCCACGTATAAATGTGAATAGAATATGTCAATCTGGACCAAGGTAGGGGAAATCCGTGCCCTTTATGCCAAGCCAGATTTATTCTCCGTGGCCCCACATAATCCAAAGCAATACATTCTCAACCTTGGAACTTTGGACAAGGATATTGACTTGATTATACAGATTCATTAATACTGAGAGACGTAATATGTGGACTCTGTCATTCTGCTTAAATATATTCGATTAGTGTGATTCAATTCGATCTCCTAGCCTTGGCAATCTGCATGACACGCCTATGTAGAACCAAGCTTGAGCCAAGCCTAGATTGAGCCATTGAGCTGCCAGTGGAACCAAGCATTAGATTCATATGTATAGTTCAGCTGACACGAGTTTCGCCGTCATCGAGACTTCTGTAGTGCAGTGCTGACGTCCCTTTTTGAATATTTGCATATATTTCTTCAAGATATAAAGCTGCTCTTCAGACTGGAGTCTTTCAAATTTTCCTCAAGCCAAAAAATGTCCAAAGGAAAAGTTAAAGTTATCGTGGCTGGTGGAGGTCCCATCGGACTGGGGGCCGCTCATGCTCTGCATCTAGCTGGTATTGATTTTCTTGTTTTGGAGCGCCGACCTTCCATTGTTGAAGATGAGGGGGCTATTTTGGTTGTCTGGCCTCATACACTGAGAGTTATGCATCAATTCGGGATCTTGAAGAAACTCTTAGCGCTTGGAGGAGAGCTTAAACATCACCTGTCTTTCACGGTCGATGGGCATGTTTTTAACGAAAGTCCTCGTTGCACGCAAGCGCAAGAGTAGTATGTCTTTTTCATCCATATTCCCTTCTTCCTCTTCCTCTTATCTGGTCAAAGTTTATTTGACTGACCAGTTCAAATTAGTTACGGGCATGCTCCGATTGCTTTCCATCGAGCCGAGCTAGTCAAGGTCTTGTATAATGGTCTTCCCCAAATCGCAAAGGAAAAAGTCATCACAAACAGTGATTTAGCGACTATCGAAACAGACTCTACTGGGGTTAAAGTCACTTGTCAAAATGGAAATGCCTACTTGGGATCCATCGTCATAGGGGCGGATGGCGCCCAAAGCAAGACTAGACGAATCATGCGAGATCTCGCCCTCCATGAGAAACCCCATCGGCCCTGGGACTCTGAGGATCCCTACGTATCCAATTTCAGGCTCCTGTTTGGAACATTTCCATCGCCGTCAGAGCCGGGACTGGGCTATGACACTCAAGCTCACAAGAAAGCAGCCGTGTACTTTAGTGGCCCTAAGCGAGCATGGTTCTTCCTATATGATAAACTTCCAACACCAACCCGCGATCATATCAGGTATACGAATGAGGATATCGAGACATTAGGTGCTGAATTTTCAGAATTCCCTTTAACGCGAGATTCCAAGGTCAAAGATGTCTGGCCACACATGGAACAGAAAGGCATGACAAACTTACAAGAGGGAATCGTGCAAAATTGGAGTTTTAAAAGAATTGTTCTTGCCGGAGATGCCGCTCACAAGTTTACCCCGCATTTGGGGCTGGGGTTTAATGATGGTATCCAGGATGTCGTGGTGCTTTGCAATGGCATACGACAAGCTTTGAATGAAACAGAGAAATTTGACGGAACTCTCGATCTTCCTAGTATTACCGAGGTTCTTGAAAGCTATGAAGCTTCTCGAAAGGGTCCAGAGAGTTCTTTGTTGGCTGATTTAAAGAATTCGGGCTTCGAAACCCGAATGCACACTTGGTCGAATACGTTTTATTGGATTTTGTCACGATATTTAGTCACTCCACGGTGGATTGAAAGTTTCATTGTGAAAAGCGCGATTTGGCCGGAGTTTCGCAAGGGGAAAGTACTAGACTATGTACTATCGGACGAGCCTATGCAAGGCAAAGTGGAGTGGTTATATCCCATGCGTTCGAAATCTTGAGAATCAGATTGTGGACCCAGTTTATCCACTTTCAAACAAGCCCTTAAACATGTGTTCGAATGTTTGCCTGGTATTTATGCACCATTATTGCTTCAAGCCCACCCATCCAAGTTATTGAAAGTTAAATTCCGTCTATTGATTTTGATTCTTCCGATAAGCCCTAAGTAGTGGGTCCATGATTGGTGTTAATAGAGATTCTCGACAACAAATTAGGTGCTTATTTGTCTAGACCTCGAAGAATTCCCGACACGCTGTCAATGAGGATCGTTTCCCCTAGTCTAGTGGTCGATCAGGAGTTCATGATCTGATGGGGTGGATGTATCCAGAAACTCGGGCCCTAAGACATTCCCGCTTCAGGGAACTAAGGTTCACTTAGTGGAGACGGCCCACAGAGTAGGTGTTAAGCGACTCACGTGTCTAAAGCTATTAGATCACCCCGCATAGAACCAGCGAGGAGTAATTAGTTTGTTTATCTCTTTGCCGTCATTATGGTTTCAACGGTTGCTGTAGCTGGCGCGACGGGTGGTATAGGAAGAACACTCGTGGAACAGATTCTAAAGGAGAACAAGTTCTCCGTGATTGCTCTAACACGGAGTGTACGTCATCACTCGATCCCCGTAATTCTTAACGAACCTTGTTAATTAACATATCGATACAGGAGAATGTTAAATCGCCTGTCAGCGGTGCGCAGTATGTGCAGGTAGATTATGAAGATATCCCAGCACTTGCGAAACAATTAGAGACCCATGCAGTGCACACTGTCATCTGCGCCATTGGAATGCTGGGACTTGATTGCTCCGAAGCTCAAATCCATTTAATCCGAGCTGCTGAGAAGGCGCAGACTGTGCAGCGATTTGTTGCAAGCGAATGGGGGTACTACACCAAAGAAGAGTAAGTCTGATATGCCCTCTAGGCATCTTTTGCTGAAATAAACATACCAACTTTCTGACAATCTCACAGGAGAAGGACTATCGATCCAGGAGTTGACTGGTTCCTATCAGCTGCAGATATCCTGAAGGAAAGCAGATTAACGTACACTCGTCCAGTATGCGGTGCTTTCATGGATTTATTAGGCACAGGCTCGCCGCGCATGAAATCACACATCCCACCTATGACCATCGCAGTGGATGTTTTAAATCGAGAAGCATGCATACCTGCGAATGGAAGTAACACTATAACCATGATCTATAGCTACGATGCCGCGATCTTGATAGCAAAGCTGCTAGAGCTCGACGACTCGGAGTGGTCCGAGTTCAGCTTCTGCGCTGGGGTGGATACTACCTTGAGTGAAGTCCTCAAAACAGCAGAAGAGGTCTGTGGTAAGTAGATTCTTATATCTCCCTACGTTGTACCGATATTATATAGTAGTCTAACTAGTTTTTATAGGTGAAAAGTTCAAAGTGACGTACATGGAACCAGACGATGTCAACAAAGGAGACGTTCCTAGTATGAAGCCGCTCGAAGGAAGCGGAATCCAGCACGATGAGCAAAAGGAGTATGGCTCTTTTGGCTATCAACTTTATCTCGCCGACGGATTTCACTTACCTACACAAAATCGAGTGGGTGATAAATTTTCAGACTTCAAGCCCACGACTGTTCGCGAATTCTTGACCTCATGCTGGGATAAGAAGGCTTAGGCAATAAAGTACATGGATTTGATCATCGTCAAATTGCCAACGTTGATATTTGTAAATAAGGACTGGAGTAACGTTGGAACGGCTGAGCGCTATTTTTTGTGAACATGGGGACGCAGTGATCGTTCAAGCAACATTGACTATACAACTTCCATACGCATGTACACACTTTAAGGATAACCTGACTAGAAAAAGAGTAAATTGACTAATATCAAGAGAGATGTATGGATATCATAATGGAAGAGGGCCCAGAGTAATTGAATCAAAACGAAAAACGGCAATGACCGGGAAGCGGTCATCCAAACAAAAACCACCCGAGGGTATTTCATAGCGATTATCAATGCCACCATAATCCAAACCCGAACGTATGTAACCAAAATCCGGGGGTATAATCGAGAGAAACGAAAGGATCCGTAGAAGACAAAGTTGAAACGAGGAGAAAGAAAGGAAAATAGATAGACGACAATCATGCGAGTTGGCGTTCTATGTTTCGTGGTCCACTGAGAAGTGACGGTGGGATTGGCGACACACGACCATAGACATGAGCTTCCCGGGAGCCAGGCTGCGGAGGTGGAGGTGGTGGAGGCGGAGGCCGACCGAAGCCTGGATGGGAAGGATGAGGATGAGGATGGGAAAACGGATGTGGTGGCGGAATCATGGGAGGTGGAGGTGGACCGCCAACAGTCAGACGATTGAAATCGCCTGGGAGCTGTTGTTGGGGTGGATAGCGGTATTGTGCGACTTGAGGGGGAGGAGAGGCTGCGTAGCCCATTGATCGAGTGGGATCGTTAGGAAGGGAGACGAGAGATGCGTTGAGAGTTCGGGTAATGTCTTCGAGTGTTACCTCCATCGGCGCGATGTAGGTTGTATTGCTTCTCTCGGACCACGCAAGGACATGGCCACAAACACGACCGGTTGACCTGTCAAATACCCAAGCACCGGAGTCGCCGGGGGCTGTGAAGCCAAAAGATGGTTAGCTTCTTTTCTTTGCCAGTTTACTTTGATACATAGGCAGTGAGGTATGTTGCTTTTAAGATCCGGTGGAAACGACTATGGTTTACCGGCTTAATGAGGAAAGGAGTCACATAAAGGGGCATGCATAATAAAGCAACGGCAGCAAGGGTATCTAATTAAGAATCGTATACACATAAACATGAATCGGAGGTGCGCCTCTTACCTCCAAAGTTCCCATGGACGCAAAAGCTCGTCGAAAAAGAGTGTCGACCATGCATTTTGACCAGAGTCATTGCCTTCGATATCTGCCCTGATTGCAGACCACTTGTGCGGCCACAGCAATGAACCTTTAGTCCACCCAACTCCTCCATCCGAGTGACTTGGTTGAGAAATATAGGTGGCGGTTGAGCGGCCCGCCCAGGAGCAGGCCTTATGGCGGAAGATGAGGTAGTGTCAATTATAATATTACGGGGATCCATACGAGCATCATCCACTCTGATAAGAGCCCAGTCAATTTCGTGCTTGATCCCCTTCCATACCCAGCGACGCACGCCTGATGAGGCATGGACGTAGCCCAAAGAATGTGATGCAAGATGCTCATCATCTCGATCTTCAGGGGATGGAAAGAAGTCTTCATGCACGTCATCAATGGCTGGTTGGGTGACAAATAGTCGTGGCTCTTCCCCAGGCTCTATGCCGGTAGTGTCGCCAATAGATGCGGCATCGTCATCATCATCGGCATCAATAGATTCATCGTCAGAGGATTCATCTTCGGAGAGCCAGTATTCATCGTAGCCCGCTTCGGTGCCATGTGGCATAACGTCATCGCCATCTTCAAAATCAGAAAATTCAAGCTCCAGGTTGATCTCTGATTGATCATCATGATGATAACTTGACAGATGATCCACGTTACCGATAGTGGATGTGTTGCGGGGCCAGTTGCCAGCAGAGCGTGTCGGCAATTCATCTTCACTTTCATCTGATTCTTCCTCGTCACTTAGTGCTTCGAGCATATGATGAACTGTCAAGCCATACGGCATTCCATCAACCAGGACGGCTCCACCGTATGAAACAGGCGGGAGGTGTTCCTCGTTCTGAAAGGCACCAATTGAAGCGCCGCATAGAGGTCTTTGCTGGTAACATGGATTCAGTTCTCGCTGACGAAAGGGCGTCTCGTTAGATCCATTTGGGCGCGTCTTTGCTGGCTTGTGACGTTTCTGACGGGGCACTTTGGACCGCTCGATATCACCTCGGATAACAATGAGGTCCCAGTCGTCACGGCCTAGCTGGAAGTGCTTCTTTAACGCGGAACGAACTTTCTTCACGCTAGCACAGGTTACACAGATGGTAGTTCGTGCAGATTCAGGAGATTCTCCAGTCATCATGAGAGTCGCTCCACACGATTCGCTTGAGTCTTTCAAGATCTTCTGGAGAAGTCGACTAAGCTTAGGCATCATTTGAAAATTCCATTCTTGCCAATGTTCATCAGGTATCTCCAGATGAGGAAGACGCTTAAGAGTACGCTTCTTGGCAGGTTTTTCCGGGCCTTTGGCAGGTATCACTGCACCCCAGTTGTCACTTGGAATCTTTGGGAGATTTTTATCAAGGTTAGCCGGCTCATTGGTATGCCTATAACCGCCAGTTTGTTCATTTGCAAGGGTAGGCTCAGGGGTGGGAACAAGGGCCAAGGGTAGATAGTCATCGAGCTCTTCAGCCGGTGGCGCTGAAAATATATCAATCCCACAACATGACCACAGAATCTTACAGATTGTGTACATGAAGTTCATCGAGAATGAGAATGTTCCGTCAGGGTCGGATAGGTCGAGGACGGGATAATGATAAATTTGAGGAACGCGAAGCGCGAGGTCGGTCATAGGCTGTGTTGAAAGGTGAAAATTAGGGGCGTCGAGACAAAGCTGGACGGCTTGGAGGTATGCGCCACCACACTTTGGACCAAGCTTTTTGACATAGAGATCTTCAATGCGGTGCTTAAACCAAGTACGGTCATACTTCATCTTCCACAATCGCCCAATAGGTGCCCACAGACCAATTTCCAGCAAGACCAACCCAAGCGAGTACAGATCATAGGCCCATGCGCCATCATCATCGATATTACGCTTATCCTCTGGGTGACGGTACATGGCCGATGATAATGGTTCAGGAGTGGGGCCGTCTCCTGCGAATCGGACTGGTGTGGTCAAATAGGGTCGGCGTAGATCTGGTGATAGTCCGCTTTCGTCATTGTTTGCGTCTGCACGGCCAGGAAAGAAGATGATATTGCTGCTGTTGATGTTACCATGCACTGCATTCTGGCTTCTCAAGTGCAAAGCGGACATTAACAGATCATAAGCAAGTCGAAAGCGGATCTCAAGGTTCGGCATTCGTTTCTCACGATAGTCCTCGGCGGAAGGTAGAAGGTCGACAAGGGAAATAGGTTTGAGTTCTTTTAATAAATCGCTCGGGTTTCGTAGAAATGGGAAATAATCAACAGGCATCTGATAAAGGAACGCGAATCGTGAGTTCGGCTCGTCAATTGAATAGCCAAGGAATCGTAGTAGGCCAAGGTGAGAAATTCTAGCATTCTGCAACAGCTGCTCGAGAGATTTCTGTAGCTTTTCCAGCCGAGAATTCTGTTTGTCTTTGTTGGAATCCACAATCATAGGCATGAATTCAACTAATACAGAGACCTGTAATTCTCTAACCGAGCATTGTAAGGTGGGAGAGGCGGATGTATCTAATCTTCCCACGGCGCGCGAGTTGGAAGATACTGCGACAGGTTCATATGGGGGAGGGTTATTATCTTCGCCGGCTCCATAGAGATGCAAAGCAGATCGCTCGATGATAAGCTGGTGGGAGGAGAGGAAGTGTCCGCCTTGTGTTGTAGATGGGGAAAAGGTGTATTGGTCGAACATTTGCTTGGGGCTCTGGACTTTCTCCTTCGAGTCTGAGAAAGAGCCTTGGGGCGAGTCAAAGGGTCGTCGAGCGATGCCACCATGCTTGGTAGATGACATGCTGGAAGCCATGTTTCGCCGAGAGCGCGACAAATCATATAGCGTATCGATACATCCAGTCAGTTCATTCAAAATAGTTTTCGATCGGCTTATATCATCGTCCGTCCATTGGGTCTTGAGAGGTCGGCTTCCGAGGGGTTCTTTCGATAGGTCCATCTTGCGGTCTTTCGAGGGGAGCATCGGAGGGTCGAGATGTTGTACTCTCTCGGCGTCATTGAGCAAGTCTTGGATTGATGACATGACACTCTCGACGACGTCACTAAAACCAGCCGCAGTGAGGGATTCATCGATATCATTAGGCTGAGCGGCGCTGGCGTCGCTCCAGTCCAGCCCCCATGAGAGTAAGCGATCTCGTTGTTTTTGGAAACTTTGATGGAGGGCAATAAGTTCGGGGTCATCAAGTGCTTTCGATGCGGTCGTCACACTTTCGCAGGAGGTCTTGGTATCGGTGTACAATTTCGTGAGGCGGCGCTGAAGGAAACCGCCGCCTCCATGGCGCATGACTGACATGTTGGCGAAAGAGGTGCGATCACGGTAACTGGACTCCAAGGATCAAGATACAGAGTCGCGTACGTTCAGAGATCCATGTCGAGAAGGTGATAAAGTGAAGATACCCTAGAGTAGAAGGGATGCAGATCAGGAGAGAAGAGATGAGCACATTCAATGGGTGCCTGGACGCGACGATTAGAGTGATAGAGCGAATGCGGGTGGATTGAAGGGAATCCTGTTGCCTAACCAATCAGAGACCATCCTCGCTCAAACGGAGTGGGGGGTGGGGAGATCACGTGGCAGGCATCGCAATTTGGTGTATTTTTGCTGCCGAATGTGGTTTAGCGTTTCAATCATGTGCCAGTATTATTACATATGTCTTACGGCCTCAGGCAGCAGCATATCTGAGACTATGAGGATCGACTGGTGCCTTTTGACTTACTCTCCCCAAATTACTCCGTTTCATCGCAGACAGTTCTGTTTCACCACTTGAAGGAGTCAATGTCTATCAATTATCAACTAAAAAGAAATTACCTAATGTACCTGTACAGCTGATTTGTTGTTTCAGAAATGGGGGAAACAGAGAAACCAATGACCAAAAAAGAAAGAAAACTGTAAAAAAATAAAAATAAAAATAAAAAACACACTTTAAGGCGTAAGGGAGAATCATGAACACATGTAAAAATGTCACCTAAATGTGTTATCAATCCAAATTTTTCCTGCCTTCAGCCAGTTATTACCCGCCGCGAAACCCCAACATCCCGTGCACGCTTCTCGCTGAAATTATGCAATCGCTCACCGATGAGGTACACATCATCGCGTATGCTGATGCGCCAAATCGCCACTCGTCGTAGAACAAGGTGGATCGTACACACGGCTAGAACAAGTAGAAGCGTGATAGGATAGGCGTATCGGTATATATTTTGATGCGACTGGACCCAGTAGAAAACAGTATACCGTAGAACTGCACCAAGAGAGAGCGGTACGGCAATTGCTGCTGTTGTGAAAAGTAAGAGGGGTAGCACCAAAGCCCGAGTAGCCAGGCGCACATTGGGCCGGAGCCAGCCGTCACGGAAGACACCGTTCAAAATCGCAGCTGCCCAGGATTGAGGATGCCACAAGATCAGCTTGATTGCCATCTGGACGTACAGGACCCCTAGCGTCCAATCCTGAACGACGTGGACAACATGAGATTTTCCATCCCCGAATAGAGTATGTCCGGGGATCAGTACGTAAAATTCAGTAAGGAGTGCGAAGAGAGTTGGTAGTAGGATGACCACAGTCAATGAGATGTAGAGAAGACGACCGGCATCCAACGCAAGCTTTGCGCCGAATTGTCTTAATTGATCTGGGGATCGTAGGAATGCCCATGAGTTGTCATGCATGGCTCTCACAGCAGCTCGACAATAGCATGCAAGATAGGCAACACCTCCAGCCACGCATAACCCGCTAGAGAATGCATATATGTCATTGACAGGAACTGGGTTAGGAAAGAATATCGAGATCATCTTTCGCCCAATCACCAACGGTATTATCGTGCTGCCTACCCCTGTTGTGGCAGCAAAAAGCCAGATAAGAAGAATGAAGGTAGCGATGCGTAAGCGGAGAAAGGGCGGGACGTAGATCTTGGTGAACATGTTGCTCGAACGACCATGCAAGCCATCATCCAAGTCTGGCTTTCCATCAAGACGATCATTGTCCTCGGTGACATCCAGGAAGACTTGCGTCCCTTTCGGGATACGAACCTGGTCTGAAGCAGGCGCTCGGACATAGCGGCCGTCTCGTAAGAAATATACGTCACGGTTTTCTTCTTCTGCGGTAGCCTGTTGGGTCGGTCCGATCACAGGATGCTCCCAATCGCCCTTGCTGCCAAACAAGAAGCCCCACCAAGTTCGATAGACATGGTGACCTTCTTCCTCGGGGTGCCTGTCCGGGAAGAAGAAGTTGCTTAGGCGTAGAAACTGTGCGCATTTGTGGAACCACCAGTCATACAAGTCGTTCAACCCGTCTGAGGGCTTGAATGATTGGATGACTAATGGCATAACGAAGTTGTAGAAGAGAAGATCGACGGGAAATTCTAGCATAGGGGCACTTGCTGACCAGTGAATTGGTAGAACACCATCAAATGCAAAGTGGAGACCCCATACAACTCCCCCAAGACAAACTATGACTAGTGCTCCGTAAACAAGCGCACTGAATCCAATTTTACGGAGTTGGGTGGTAATGCTTCGCTCTAAAACGTCGCGTATGGGGTGGAAGGTCGGGTCATCAGGATCTCGTATAAAGTCTAATTAAAGCAAACATTAGTCTTTGTTCTTTCAAAGCCCAAAGCAACAGGAAGGAAAATCTTACATAAAACACCGGTTCTGAGAATCTTCCTGCACATAGACACAAATAGGGCAAAGTGGAACATATAGCAAGTGCCAATGAACCAGTGCACAAAAAGCGACGTGAGCGGATACACGGTTGTGAAAGCGACGCGAGACAAAATCGTTGCATCAGAAAAGAGAGGGAGCAATGCAACGTCCAGCAATGTACCACAGTAGAGGGGAAATACAATCATCTCAATGCCAATAATAAGGATGACTTTCATCACGCCTCCGGCCTGGAGAAGAATCTCGGCAACAATACCTTCTATCCGTTGCCCACGATTGGCTCCAACTAGAAGGCCGGTGATGCGTAAATAAAGGAAACCCATAATTGTTGCGAGCAGATATCCCATCGATATAGCGATGACTCTGTCCTGGGTGTCCCACACAGCAAGATCATAGTCAACAGGTAAGGATCCCGACGCTGCTTTGGCGGCACTGCTATTGATAAGCTTCGTCCCAGAACTCGAGAAAAATTGGGTTCGGGTAAAGTTCCCAATATGCTGCTGAGCATGCACGGCGTACTCCTTTACTTGAGAAAGGTCTACATCGAAGGACAACGCCGCAGGCACTCCAAGTGTGAACAGACGTATTGGAAAGTCATGTAAAATGAACTTGACAAGACCAAATGCTGTCCAAAACAGAGTGGAAAGCCGAGCCTGGTGTAACTTGAGTGCCTGATGGGAAAGAACCGAGAACATGGGTATATCAGATTCGTGAAAGACAAGAAATGCCTTGACAACTTTGTTCAATCGATGAGTGCTGGCATCTATGAGAGAAAGAGAGGCACTTGTCACGGATTTGCCGCGGGGAACCCATTCTCCAAAAGGCACAAACGCAATGAATGGACTCAAAGCTATTTTGCAGATGAAGCTAACCCAGTACATGACGTAACCCACGACGCCAATCAAAGTATCAAGAGCGATGTCGGCCACGACGGTGATAGCAGTCATTGGAACGCCAACAATGAGCTCCAAAGGATTTGCCAGTAAGACCAAAGCAATCTTGCCCCAAAGGTACGGGAGCCATATGCCAATGGCAACGGTGAAGGCAATCAAGAGGGCACAGAATACACCGTTTTGTAAAAGGCCGAAAATTGGACCTTGCATGCCAATTAAATCCATGATGCCCTCAAAGTCGTCGCCTTCAATCACATCCACGTCGTTGGGATCCAATCCAGCCTCAGCTGGAGCAAGTCCCGCGTCGATTTGTTGATCTAGCCTGTTTGGCACTGGAACAAACGGATCTTCCAAGGCCGGATCTTGGACAATGTGTTCATCGTCAGCCGGTACAGCCTCCGCAAGATCATTGTCGCCCAGTGGAATTTCACCCCAGAACCAATCGATTAATCTCTCGGTGACACTTTTAGCCACCTGGCTGTCTTCCTGTTGGACTTGTGCTTCTGTCTGTTCTTGCGATTGTGATTCTTGACCAGAAGCCTGGGCAGAGGGTTGATCTTGCGGTTGCTGTTGTTGGAGCTCATTGTGGTTGTCTTGTACGACGGGTGTATTGTGGGTAGCGAGAAGCTCATGGATGTCACTAGTATCTGCGCGGTTCGGGGGTGTGGCCAGACTTTGGTCCTGCGAGCCCGCAGTCAATGCAGTAACAATCCAGCCCAACTCCTCTTCCAGGCCCTCTTCATGAATCAGTCGTAACGTTTCATCTCGGTCCCCATTAGAACGAGCCAAAATATCTCTGAAGGCCGTGACACCAGTATTGTCAAAATCTTCATGAGGGCGGAATCCGTGGTTTTCTGAATTCTGCCCTACATTGGCATTAGGATTTTCGAAGATGAAGGGATGGTTAATCCCGGTTGGTCTCTCAATTACGGGAAGTCCATCGTCTGAATCAGTCCAGGACGGAGCAGGGGAAGCAGGGCGAGGCCAAAGAGGTGCTTCCTCGTGTTCCTCCCGTGCCAACTCATTTTCTTCGTGGATAGCCTCGAAATTTGGCCGTGGCAGAGGACGGTTCTGTCGCCCCGGCTGGAGTTGCTCATTTACTTGGTTCGCATTTGCAATCAACTGCACTGCTGCCTCCCGCTCCTCCTCGGCGATGTTAGCCATTGGCTGTTGCTGGACAACCCATTCTCGAATCAGGAACAGAAGTATGAAGGCTACCACAACCAGGAGTGTGATGAGTTGTCCTTCCAAAGTATCGATGATCATATTGTTGATGGTCGGGTAAGGTGTCAATGTCATTAGGACCTTCACATCCGAAAGCCACGATGGGTACCGAGGTTTGGACAATCCAGTGATATTATTTGGATTCGAGCCATTTTGGGCACCGGTAGACGTCAAAGCGGGAATGAAGAGACTTGGGATCACTTTCTTGATTAAGGTAAGCATTAGAGGATCACCAACAGGGTAGATTCCGTCTGAGGATTGCTCCGTCGGTACGGCACTAGTAACTGATTGGATAGCATCTGAGACCGTCGAGGTCACGGAATTGAGCACGGCAGCACTAGCTGCGGTTCCATTTGCAGTGCCTTGCACCAAGGCCTCCGCGGCAGATTGTACTGTCTGTTGTTTAATGGAACCCGTAGATGACCATCGTCCATCAGCGAGCCAGAAGAGTGCTCTCCATATTGCACGCATAGACCATGGCAACCATCCAAGCCAGACAAAGGCGACAAGGACAAACCGCAGCCAGGTTACGAATGTGCCGAAGGACTGTATCAAGGCTTGCTTCATAAACAAGGGTGTTGGAAGGCTTTGGGGCATATTTGGATCGTATAACTTGGTGAACCGGAAGGCAGTCTTGCAGAGCTCACAATGCTTCTTCTGGGAGTGCGATAGCCATTCGACTAAACAGCTCTGGTGAACGAATTTGATACTTCCACTGCATTTGCAAGGATAGAATAAAGGCTCTTCATCTGTCGCTTCTCCGTGGCATATACGACACGTATCCACATCCTCAAGGCCTTTTTCCCTCTCATCGAAAGCTGGATCGTTCATCAAGTCGGGGAATGACGAGAACCCCGCCGGGTTGCGGGACTGGTTTAAGTCCATGTCCATTGTTGGTGAAAGGTCACGTCAGGTTGACGGTCAAGCTGATGATTACCAAATACTCATCCTTTTCTCAACTGGCATATATGTTCGGAAACTGTAGATCGTTGCGAGGGTGATGGTATGAGGGCGGAATCGAGAAAGCGGCGTAGGTTCAAGCTGCAACGGAAAAGAGACAATCAGATTTGGGATGAATAAAGACGATGAACTACAAGCTCATGTTGTACCTACCTTTCAAACAATAGAGCCTCACTAAACCAGGCAATCGCCGTCGAGTCGCGCCTTCAAATGTTCCATTGTTCGTTGCTTCGTTTGGACGGCCAATCTTGCTGACTCAGCTCGCATTTAATTTACGGTCTAGTACACTGTGTTACAGAACCAGGCCAGCTAATCCCCGCCATTTACGCTAACGACTCCAGATGTCATACAGTGGCGTAACAAAAGTTCTCATAAAACTTATTTTGCCAAGGCCAAATTACATAATATTCTGCCTGAGTAGATCCTCCGGGAACTCCATTTGTTCCAATAGTATTGACATTGGAAGAGGCGGTAGGTCTTCACCGCCCGATTACTAATACTTGGCAAAATAAGTTTTATGAGAACTTTTGTTACGACAGTGTACCTGCCACATGCCGTACCAGTCGGTATTATATCTCTTAGCGCAGGTGGCACCGATGACCTCACTCTTCTTCCATCACCAAACAAGCTCCCTGTTTTCGTGATCGTGTTGTATCAAAACGCAAATTCTTGGTTTGGGAGGAGCTTTTTCTTTGATGTACCAGTCTTATGGCAGCTAAAGCGCCCGGCACCTCATAATTTCAATTTTGTTTTCTTACTGCCTCGGAGTTAACTACACAATCTGCCCGTGCCGTTAAGTTCTGCTAGTGCCAAGGCCGACGCGAACATTCCGCCTACATAGCTTCACCTTTCTTTCCAAGGTCATTATCAGGCCATCAATAACTCAGGGCACCTACACTGCACCGCTCGATGAGATAAAAGGTTTTGATCAATATTAGAAATTTGTGCAAACGATTTCTTGTTCGAGTCTCCCGGAATATCGCCTTTTCGGCTTTTTGAAGGAGGTCTTCCGGCCTCGACAGGGCCCAGATAACCATGGCAGGGACAATAGAGAATGGCCATGCAGATGCAGTCCCCAAGTCGACAAATGGCCGTAAGGATGTCGTGAAGTCTGGTAGGAAAAGCGGATTTCTACCATGGACCATCATAAGCCTGGTGATACGGTACGCATTACGATTTCTAGGTCTCAATCCGATTGTTTTTATTACCCATGCTAATATTGTGAACTGCTCCATTTAGGCTTACCATTTGGTATACACTCTTGACGCCCTTCTTACGATGCCCATCAAACCTCTCCGACTTGAATGACACGTCTCCGCGAGTCTGCAAACCTTACCTGATTGCGCGATCACATGTGCAACCCTATGTCACTCCATATTACGATGTCTACGCCGCTCCCTACGTTGACCAGGCTCGCCCCTACGTAGACGTCTTCAATCAAAATGTTTACGCTCCCACCTCAAAGTTTGCCCATGTTAATTATGAAAAGTATGGAGCTCCCGCATTGGAACAGGCTCAAGCTTATGGCACAGCCCAATGGAACGCCCAGGTGACTCCGCGAGTGCAACAGGCGCAGGATAAGGCCTATCAGCTTTACTTGGCTGAGGTCGACCCATACATTCAGCAGGGGGTTGCAGTGGTGTCGCCTTATTACCAAAAGGCTAACACCGTTGTACTCACTGTTTATTGGGATCACCTCGTCCCCTTTTATACTCGATCGCAGCCTTTCATTGGCAAAACATACGCTACATCGCATGGGATTTTGACAACCCATGTCATGCCTGGTGCACGCTACACTTGGTCTTCTTTGGTCTACTTTGCCAATAGCTCTTTGTGGCCGCATCTTACCGGTCTCTATTCGGAGCAAGTTGAACCCCAGTTGGTCAAGATTGGCCAACGCCTGGCGAGCTATAGGGAAGGTAAAAGATTACGCGCCGTTCTCGAAGAGATGGATAAGTATGACTCCACAAATTTTACGCATAAAAGGCCAGCCATTGACACGTCGTTTTTTAGTTCCTCGGATCAAAGTAGTTCGTTGATTAGCTCCACATATGCGGAATCGGGTCGAACTACAAGTGTCATTGCACCTTCTTTTTCTTCTGGTTCTTCTACTACCTCGACGGCCACATCTGAGACTCCGTCTGTTGCGCCTACTCTTTCACCCGCAGAAAAGGCACAGCAAGATCGTGAGCGGATTGACTCCGACATTGAAAGGTGGCAAGGCAAGTTTGCAGCCGCCGCGGACAGTGGTATTGAGGACCTTGAAAGTCGTCTTGAGGATATCGTAGGCGCTCTGGTGTCGAATAGCGCTAATAGTCACGGTCTGAGCCTCTCCACAGCTCTCGAAAGTGTAGCTGCCAAACAGCTTGACTTGATAAAAGAGCGCATCAATGAACTTGTCGAAACCCTTCCTGAGCATGATGCCCCAGAAGAGGAGGGTGATGCTCGCGATCGATTAGTGAGCGATATTCGAGCTTCCGCCATCTCTGTTCGAGACCGAGCCCATGCCCTTCGCGAGTGGTCATTGTCATTTGACGTTGAACTTTTGCGTCGTGTATCTGCCGCGGTTAATTCCACTCTTGATGTCCTTGACGGCATTCGGGACCTTGGTTTGCAAGAAATTGGTTTGCGCTGGGCGTGGATGGATGGTGTAACTTACAAAGATTGGGCAAGATATCGCGACGTGAAAGCACAGCTCCAGGACTGGCGCGATGAAATTCATCGAGTAGGCATGAACCACAAATCAGTCGCAGAGGCCAAGGCAGTTGTCTCCGATATTTTGGATCACGGCATGGAAGTTGCTCAGGAGGCTGCCGTGGAGCTTGTCAGATTGAAGGATGTTGGTCACTGGAAGATGGCCGCTCGTGAGGTTAGCGAAAATTTCGAGTCCAGGTCTGAGCCACCTCCCCCGCGTCCAAAGCCAGTTGTTGAGAGCGATGCGCCGGAGGATATTCCCGTTCAAGAAGATGAGGAATCTACCACAGGGTCGGAAGCAACAACCGCCCCTGTTACCTCTGACAGCCAAGATGATCTCGTAGATGAGAATCCTTTTTTACCCGACGACACAAGTGACACTCCAACGGAAGTCGAAGAGGAGGATGAGGAGTCATTTTTGGCTGATAGTATTGAGGGGGACGCGCCAATGCCGACAAAGGCTGCTTGGGGCGGAGTCGCTGCAGCTGAAGCGAACGCATATCAAGAACCTATTCTTGATGATGATGAGCAAGATGCCGTCCACAGTGTGGCCAGCAAAGCCGGGAATGTCTATTCGGATGTGTATTCCCAAGCGCATTCAGCTTTTGCAGACTCTACTGCAAATGCAAAGATTCTTTACGACATTGCCAAATCTCAAGTCATGGGTCAAGTAAAGGAGACCACTGCTCCCGCCCATTCTCAGGTTCTCTCTTCTATTGAGTCTGCATACTCTGGGGCCATCAAGTATGCAACAAATGAATTTCAGTCAAGGATTGCGACGGTTAAGCCAACTCCCCCGGCTTCACCGACTGGGCCGCTAGCCCAAATTTCATCGATTGCTTCCTCCCGTCTGAGTGAAGGCCTTAGCGCGGCCTCAGAGCAACTGGCTCATATCCAGCCTATCCCTTCTCAAACTAGTTTGGCACGTCTTGAACCTTTCGTCCTCGATGCTCAACGTCGCTACTATGAAGCTGTTGGTCTTGCTCACGATCATTATGACGCTTTCGTTTCGACCGCTTCTGATGCCGTCTATGGTACTCCAACGCCAACTGCGCCTCCTCTGGGCATTGAGTCCCTCATCAGAGAAGCCGGTGTTCAATACTCGCATGCTTCCTCGTTGGCTTCAGCTAACTTGGCTGCGGTTATTGCTTCAGCTAATTCGATGGCGTCATCCCCGGAGGATCAGAAAGCACAGGGTGTCGTTGCCGATGCTTCATCAAGATACGAAGCTGCTCTGTCCGTAGCATCTGCGTCGCTCTCTGTTGCATCCGAGACTGCCAGCTCTGCTCTGTTTGGTACCACGCCTGGACCCTTGAAATCTCTCTCCAGTCAAGCATCTGAAAACTGGGAAAACCTCATTTCGAAGGCTAGCGAGCAGATTTATGGTACGCCTGCTCCGTACTTGGAGCAACTCCAGGATCGCCTAGTACAACCACAACTCGACGCTGTCAAGGTGGTCGTATCTGAACTGCTCATTGGCAAAGAACCCTCTTTCACTGAGAGTGTTATGAGCAGACTCCGTGCTGCTTATGAAACACCTTACCCCACTGCGGCGTTCTCTTCTGCCTCAAGCTACGTCAGTGAGACTTACGAGTCTGCGTCCTCGGCTGCCGATGCATTCGCATCCAACATTCCTGACTTGGATAATATCATGCAAAATGCAAACGAGCAGCTTCACGCGGCTGTTGAGGCTGCTAGTGTCGGCGTTTATGGTACCCCTAAGGGTTCTTGTGAAAAAGCCACCAGCACTGCATCTGAGGCATATGCGGCAGTATCTGCACAAATCAGTGACTCGGTTTATGGGAAGGAACCTAGCTATATTGACCTCGCAAAGGAGCACATCGAGGATATCCAGTCGAAGGCCAATGCAGCTATTTACGGTGAAGAACCTGGTGCAGTAGAAAGCGCCACAAGTCGCCTTGCTGCGGCTGTCGAGGATGCTCAGTCTCAGTTGGCTGAACTCGCCTCTGGCGCGAGCAGCGTTGCCTCAGGTGCTGCTGATGCTGCTGTCTCTCACGTCGTTGAAGCAACAAGCAACATCAAATCCGCAGTCTCTTCGGCCAAAGACGAACTTTGATCCGTGGGTGTTCTACTTGTAATATTTTCCTTCTTCTACGCCTGTTTTACGTTCCCTGTTTCCTGTTGAATCATATCGCGCTGAAATTGGGCTCCCTGCCAACGGCATGTCATGCTCGGTTTCTCGACGCATTATTCCCCATATAGTTTGTCACGACGGCAATATGTTCACGATACACGCCCATTGATGTTATTTGTTGGATCTTCATCTCTTATTTCGGCAGGCTTTTTCTTTCGGTGTGCTCTGTTGCCTCAACGAGTTATTCTCGCGTTGGGGTAAGTATGTAATTTGATTCCAGAGTAAATAATAGTATCTATTCAATTTGGCGGGGTTTGTTCTCATCGACATTCACAAGGGCTGCTACGCCATACCTAGTATGTAAATAGATCCCCAACTGCAAGCATACATTGCTCATGACATGTATTGATGAATCCCCAAAGCCCTCGAGTATTCAATCTCAAGCCGAAGGGTCGTGGTCCTAGTGGACCTGAACTGTCAAAGTTTCCAAGGTGGAAGCCTTCAAATTGTTTTCTCTGTCACTGAGATGGACATCTAGCGAGGGCGAATCTTTGCCCTATCACCTCTCTTCTCTTTTTTCATCTCCCGCTTGCTTTTAGCTCCCTCGCTGTCGCCGGCTCCATCGCCAGCTCCGCCACCCATGCCTGCAAATCCCTTCTTCACGCCCATTACCGTGGTATAAGCGAGGTAGACAGAATAAAGGGGAACAATGGCCCATAGCCACCAAGCACGGTCATTGAAGATACATACGGCACCAATGCAGCCTTGAGTCCAGTACAGAATATCCCACATGTATTCTGTCAAACCGGTGGCATTGAGATCTTCACCAGCTGAGCGCAGGGATCCATCTTCGTTGTAGCTCGGGCGTCCAACGCGATCCAAATAGTATTCGATCAACAAAGTAGGAACAGCAAGCAAGAAGTAAGGTTTGAGCGAGCGAGGGCGTTGGAAGATCTGGTGGAGGACAAGGAAAAGAACATGCAGTGTGGCGGAGATCATATGAGTACGGTTGAGTAGTGCCCCATTACGAGTAGCCAAGGTTTTGGCCGCTTTCTTTTGAATGTTAGAATGTTCAGGAGAGTGCAGTAAATAGCTTGCATGAGGAGTATGACTGGCTGGAGCTCACCTGTGCCATGCTGGATAGATTGTGGCAGTACGCCTGGACCACACAAAAGGGTAATGTGGTAGTTGAGACAATAGCTCGGGCAAAAGAGAGAAATTGGAGTTCGACGCCTCTTTTCTCGTTTTTGGATCCAACCCTAGAGGATTAGGAAGCAAGATACGTCAAACACGAAGCACACGAGGGAAGCGGAGCAAGATGATCTCCGCCATCGATTGTTGCCCTCCCGACCCACACCGCCCGGCAGAAACCACTAGCCCTGGACGATGCAACCAAAATAAGACGAGGCACCAATTCTGAACTTGCATTACCAAGAACCTGTAACCTCCCCGTTGACTGGATACTTTGCCAGGAGAATGACTACGATGCTGTGAGAGACTCACAATAGAGTCCACAGCACATCCATTCCATCTGGCAGCCTTCGGTCTTTCTTTCCGCTCTTACCGTTTCCGTCAGTTTACATTCCTTTGTCTGGTACAGCCCGTTAGCATCCCGATCACGATCATTGAAAGATCCCTACTTCTAGGAAAGTTCGCCCCAAAACTGGATAGCCACCGACTACTCATATTTCATGCGTTCTGGTGTTGATGGGTTGCTGTGCTTCGGAACCTGATTCGACTTCGCGCGTTTCATCCCCGCGTCTTGGAGAACGAGAACCCTACCTAAAGCGACAAAGTTGCATAGGCCATCGACATTGAATGCAAGACCTCAACAATCGCCTTTAAACACTTCTCAGGCTCCTTACTTTTTACGTCTTACTTACTTCCGAAGTCCCTACGATCGCTGTTTTCGCGTTCAACCCCACGCGCGCCCCTCACCATGTCGTTGTCAACAGGCCATGTCGCTGGCCAACTACGCCATTTGATTTACTACCACCTCGATAACAATCTTGTTCAAAATGCGCTCTTCCTTTCCGCCCGATTACACGCCTATGAACCACGATCTTTCGAAGCGCAATATCTTCTGGCTCTCTGCCACCTGCATAATGGAGAGGTCAAGACAGCTTATGAATGTAGCCAGTCTACGGGCTCTAAAGGCCTACATGCCGGTTGTGCTTACGTATACGCGCAAGCATGTCTGGATCTCGGGAAATATCTGGATGGCGTAACAGCGTTGGAGCGCAGCAAGAGTCTTTGGGCATCAAAGAACCACTGGAGTGGGTGTTCCGAGTGCCTAGTTTCGATGTTGCAGGTCGACTAATGATGAAATGCAGATAAACACAGTGAAACACAAAGGCAGCACTTGCCCGATGCGGCTGCGGTATACTGTCTGCAGGGAAAGTTGTTCCATGCTCACAAAGACCTGAACAAAGCGGTAGACTGCTACGTGGACTCGCTCAAACTTAATCCGTTCATGTGGGATGCGTTCCTAGGTCTGTGTGCAACTGGTGTGTCAAAATCTTTCATTTGAGCCCAATCGAGACTATCAGCTAAGCATTAATCAGGTGTTAATATCCGAGTCCCTAATATATTCCAACTCAGCCCCGAATTACTCGCAATCATCTCATCTTCTCCCGAGGACTTGGACACAACATCAGACCGAATAACTCCAACGGAAGGCATTTTCCCTGCACAAACTACTACCAATTCTGGACCCGACCCATTTATGGTTCCCACCTCACGCGCGGATCACGATGCTACTTACGGTAGTTCTGCTCTCTGGGAGAAGCTGAATGGAAGCTCAGTTGGTGTCGCATCAGTTCCGCCTCCGGTAATTCATGAAGGCATGGAAACGCCTCAAAGCAGCGGGTCAGAAGAGTTTCGAATCGCAAATGGAGTCACCGATCCCGAGTCCGCCTGGGAGCCACCGTTGGCCCCAGTAAGGAAAAATCGCACGACCGTCCAGACAATGAGTCTAGATCACACCGGCCAGCCGCCCCCTAAAATGCGGCCAACGGGCATCCGTCCCCGTGCAAAGCCAAGAACAGAAACAGAAGAACCACCATTTGCGCCCTCGGACAGAGAGCCTCCACCAGCACCGCGGATCGGTGACCGCAAACGAACTATCTCTGGTCAAGTTGCACACCCTCTTCCTCCACAACCCACAGAACCAGGTGCCCCTCAGCGCCGCAGTGTGCGACTCTTCAATCAGATCAAACCTACAACTAGCAAACTCTCCAGCAGTACATTAATGGGCAGAGATGGACGCGAAGTTAAAAAGGTCAGGAGTGCGACATCTAGAGGACGCAACGGCTCAACTTCAACTGTTGGCCGGGTTGTTAGTGGCAACCGAAAGCCGATGGAGGCCCATGACAATGATGGCAAAGAGTTTTATCGCACGACATCTATACCCCCCGTTCCACCTCTCCCCAAAAACGCAGAAAAAAACAAAGAGATTGAAGCATTGAGTTGGTTATTGGGGCTATTTACGAAACTTGCTTCGGGATACTTCTCATTAAGTCGTTATAAATGCCCCGATGCGATTCAGCACTTTAACTCCCTCTCACAAGGACAAAGAGAAACTCCTTGGGTCCTCGCTCAGCTTGGTCGGGCTTACTTTGAGCAAGCAATGTATGCAGATGCAGCCAAGTATTTCTCTCGGGTTCAGACTTTGGCGCCATCTCGGGTCGACGACATGGAGATCTATTCTACCGTACTTTGGCACCTGAAGAGCGATGTGGAGCTTGCTTATTTGGCACATCAATTATTAGAGGTTGATCGACTTTCACCTCAAGCGTGGTGTGCGATTGGCAACTCATTTGCACATCAAAGGGATCATGATCAGGCATTGAAGTGCTTTAAACGCGCAACGATGCTGGATCCTGAATTTGCTTACGCATTCACCCTCCAAGGACATGAGTACGTCGCAAATGAGGAGTATGACAAGGCCCTGGATGCCTATCGTCACGGAATCAAGGCTGATGCTCGGCATTACAATGCTTGGTATGGCCTTGGAAACGTATACGATAAGATGGGCAAGCTTGACGAAGCTGAACAACATTTCCGCAACGCTGCCATGATCAACCCTACCAATGCAGTTCTGATCTGCTGTATTGGGCTGGTGTTGGAGAAGAGTAATAACCCTAAGAATGCGCTCGTACATTACGAACGAGCTTGTTCTTTGGCGCCGCACTCGATATTGGCCCGATTCCGCAAGGCTCGCGTGCTGATGAAACTTCAAGAACACAAGTTTGCTTTAGCAGAACTTAAGATCCTTAAGGATATGGCTCCTGACGAGGCGAATGTGCACTACCTGCTGGGCAAGTTGTACAAGATCCTCCACGACAAGGCTAACGCAATCAAACACTTTACAACGGCGTTGAATTTGGACCCGAAGGTAAGCAACATGCTCGTCCTTTCAACCTCTCGCCTCAAAATTTACCTTTACTAACTCGGTCACAGGCTGCACAGTTTATTAAGGACGCGATGGAAGCATTGGATGATGACGAAATGGAGGATGACGATATGGCATAGGCCTGTGGTGCTTTTACATCTCACAGTTGCCTTTTCTTTTCTTTTGCGTTTGATTTGGGAGGCACCCGTCTTACGAGCTCGGCGTTTCCGGATCTTTTCTGCACAGCATCCCTGGGGAGTTTTCTTCTTTCTTTTCCAAGTCTAGACATTCAGGCATGGTGTATTCTGTACATTAGTGAGTGGTTTGGGCATAACGATGAACCCCAACGAACGCATAGCATAATCCATTATTATCATCATCTATTACAACATTGAATTTTTCTGAGATTTGAAGTTACTACTACTATTTCAATCTTAACTTCTTGCAATCCAATTCAAGCTTTGACTACTTAGACAATGTAAACTAGTGCCTTCCAAGGTTGGTATACCCGTGGACATGCTAGTGCATATGGAAATATATATGTGCTGCATGATGCCGTCATCTGCCACGATCAGCTGGCGGTGAGTCGGCAGCGATTGAAAAACAGTGGGCTCCACCTCCGCAGTCCATTCCCGCAGTATGGCCGTCGCTCCCTAAAGATTTCTTTCCCCCTCCTCCCAGCGACATTCCAGGAGAGTCTGGGTTGAGGCCACGTTCCAGTGATTTAGGTAACTACATATCCATCCTCAACGATTCCAAGTGGGAGGGCATATTTTCGCAAGGCCCACGCTAACCGCACTCTCTCAACAGTTTACTGTATCCATCCCACCGCCATGTCAATCGGTTCCTATATTTTGTCGGGCGTCAGCTCCTTCGTGGTATTGACAGTGTCACTTTTCGCCATCGGCCAAAAGGTCCCCCGGGCAGCATTTGTTGCTCGCTGTCTCGCTTCGTACGGATCCCTCCTCATATGTGCAACTTACGGTGTCCTTGCATCCATCGTCCTCCGTCTCGCCGGCTATGGCCGAATCTCCCAATGGGCCACCGCCCGCAGTTTCAAATGGGTGATGGCACTCACCACCGGCGTGCGCTTTGAAATCGAGGGTGCCGAGCATCTCACCACTCGCCCAGCCGTCTTCGTGGGTAACCACCAGACTGAACTGGACGTACTCATGCTCGGCAACGTTTTCCCGCCATACTGCAGTGTCACGGCCAAGAAATCATTGCGCAATATTCCTTTCCTTGGCTGGTTTATGTGGCTTTCTCGCACCGTCTTCATTGATCGCGCGAATCGGGAGACTGCTATGAAGGCTTTCGATGGTGCCGTGGATGAGATGCGCACTCACCGCCAAAGTGTTTTCATCTTCGCTGAGGGTACCCGGAGTTACTCCGATGAGGCCATGATGCTGCCTTTCAAGAAGGGTGCTTTCCACCTTGCTGTTAAGGCTGGTGTACCTGTTGTCCCTGTCGTAACGGAGAACTACGCCCATATTTTGTCAGTTCGTGCTATGCGGTTCAACTCGGGCACTATCAAGATCAAGGGTTCGTTTCATCTATATATGAATTTGTGAATGGATTATTTATTAATTATGATCAACCAGTCTTACCTCCAATCGAGACCAAAAACCTGACACCCGCAGACGTGGACTCACTCACCCAGTCCACCCGCGAATCCATGCTAAAGACCATCTTGGAGATGGCCCAACCGGAAGACAAGGTTGAGTCTCGACCCAATGGTGTCTCGACTGCTATTGAGATCTGAGAACTTCAGCTTGATCGCGGGCAATCAAGATATGCTTCATTTCTTCGATAAAGATGGAACTCTACTGACGCACCCGTTCAAACTGGATTAAACATGCTATCTCAGAACGTCGTCACCTTAGAATATACTACCATGAAACCCGAGTGCAGTGAACTGGGTTTTCGACGATTGCTGCTATATATCCTCGTTTCTTGAACGGTACATACATAGATTTTGTTTTCAGGCGCAGGGGACTACTACAAATAAAAGAATCCACCCATCGTCTGTTGATGTTCAGGGTAATGGAAACTGCCCCCGACTTGATTGTTTCACTAATGAGAAACTCCTTGTTCGTTTATTATTGATTCTGAGGCATCAATCGTCGCTTTTCCTTTTTTTCGGGGACCTAAATAACTCACACCTCTCTCTTCCCACCCTCCTGATTTCTTCCTCCTGCTTCATCCTCGATGTATATATCCTTAGCACGAAAAGACATTATGATTTTGGTTATAGATCCTAAATGCTATACATGTATTTTGCAGTACTTAGCATAAATGTATTGATTCTAGGGCTTGGAGGTTCTTTCATCTAATGATGGTTCGAAAAGGGAAGATGTATGTATACCCGTGGACATTCAAACGTGTCAACAGATGTATAGATGTAGGTGGAATTTTAACAAAAACGCTACTATGCGGGCGTAGATAATCCAACACAAGAAAGAACACTTTTGTTGTTTATAGGATGAGCACAACGGCCCTCGGCACAAGGTCGAATATCAAGATCGATATCAATCTCTTGCATGGGAAGCCATGGATCCTGTATAGGAAGTGGAATATGCCACGGATCCATATCCCCAAGCACCTTCTTGGTATTGATAGAAATGCGATGCTTTTCTTCGTTATCATCTGAAAAAACAGATATGTGACCGGGAAGGTGATGATCTCCCTCATTATATTTAAGATTCGGAAAAACACCGACGGGTAGCCCACAGCCAGCAGCAGCAACGATATAATCAGACTCAAACGCCACCAATTGAAGACGGACATCATCAAGCGGTTTCCCTGCTTTGCTGACCTTTACACCCTCATAAGGGGAGCCCCAGTTCTTAGGTGATTGCGGGATATGTTTGGGATCTTGGGATACCATGTATGGCTTGGAGGAATTTAAAGGATGAACAGGATCAGGAGGAATAACGTTCGAGAATTCAAGTGTGCGTAGCCATGGCGCAAGAAGGGCATCGCCTGTCATCTTCAGGTATGCCTCTTTGAGTGCCCAATATGAGTAGAAGAGACGCATGCCAAAGCCGACGATTGTTTCCTCGGAACTGGTGTTGATAAATGTACTTGCGAAACCCAAGGCTTTTGCCTGACGGAGCGCGGCAGCGGGATTCTTCATCGTTTCAACTTCGCGGTCTGAGAATACCTCGGTGAAGATAGACACATGCTCAAGGTACTCGTGCATAGTCTTGACAACTCTGCGACGGTTTTCGTTTACACAAGTCACATCAATACCCAGACGAGGACCAGGTGGTATTTGGTTTGCGGTGCTATTCCTTTGCATCTGTTCATGGCTGGGGACAATAGTTCCCGCTAGGCCTGTAAGGCCTGCTTGGTGGGTGACGTTGAATTCCACCTGGGTGTCGGAACTGGATTTGTAGAATGGTCGATTTTCAGGCATTGCAGTACGAGTAAGAACAATTTCTTTCCACTGCACCCCACATGCATGGTGGATGTACAGATACTTGAGGAGATGTGATGCTAAGGACATGCGCTTATCGGCAGCATGATAGTATCTCTTCACGGCTGTTTGTTCATCAGGCCGAAGGAATTGTAGGAGCGGCAAGTCTTTGCCATTGGCTTCCCAGTAACGACTATCAATGTACCAGCGGACTGTTGTTGGGAGTCCTGCCATGGAAGAGTCAATATTCGCAACATTGGGGCTTTCTTGCTGAGCATTGTCCAAGCTGATCTTATTGGCCCTCATCTTCAAGGTTTCGTCCAAACTTGTTCGAGGGAAGGGGAGAATAAAAGCTGATGGGACTGATTCAATTGAGCCGCAGTTTGCCAATTAAGCCGTTCGCTGTCTTAAACTTATAATTTGAAAATGAGGAAATACGATGGTTAGGCTTAAGTTAACTTGGACCCCACTTTGAGGCGATACTTTCGGTTCGAAGTCAGATTACACGCTGAGATCAGGCTTATCGTGCTTATCGGCAACCAGGTACGGACTGCACGTGCTGATAAGAACTTTCCCCGCGGCAAACGGGCATCACGTGCATAAGAGTCATTATCGCCATGAAGGACAAACTTTCTTTTCATACTTTGACCAACAACAGGAAATGGCAGTTACAGTGGGTGTTCTCGCCTTGCAAGGCGCATTCATTGAGCATGTGCTTCTGTTGAAGAAAGCCGTCGAGCAAGACGCTTCTGATTGGGAGTTCATCGAGGTGCGAACACCAGAAGAACTCGCGAGGTGCGATGGTCTTGTTTTGCCTGGTGGCGAGAGTACTACAATGTCCTTGGTTGCCGCTCGATCCAACCTTTTGGAGCCCTTGAGAGAGTTCGTCAAGTAAGTGCCTATCAACACTAGTTGCCACAAACTTTTAACTTGCACCAATCTAATGCGCTGACTGAATAGGGTTCTTCGCAAGCCAACATGGGGTACTTGCGCTGGGCTGATTCTGCTCGCCGAGTCGGCCAATCGCACCAAGAAAGGTGGACAAGAACTAATTGGTGGTCTCGACGTTCGGGTCAATCGTAACCACTTTGGCCGGCAGACAGAGAGCTTCCAGGCCCCGCTGGATCTCCCATTCTTGGGCGAGACCGAACCGCCCTTCCCCACAGTCTTTATTCGGGCGCCCATTGTGGAATGCATCTTACCACATCAGAAGGGTGTCCAGATTGACGAGGTCGAACGGGAAGATACTGTGGTCGCGCCATCTAGGCAGGTCAAGGATGCAGTGGCAGAAGCAGCGACGGCCGACAGTGTTGAGGTGCTGGCCACCTTGTCAGGACCAGCGGCCCGAATTGCGACTCAAGGACGAAGCATTAGCCCCAACGAAGAGCTAGGCGATGTTGTTGCTGTGCGACAGGGCAATGTTTTTGGAACCAGCTTCCATCCAGAGTTGACGGGAGATGCTCGTATTCATGCATGGTGGCTGCGCCAGGTGCAAGCTGCTGTTAACAAAAGGAAGAAACTCGGACAATAGATCAACTTATAGAGCGTGCAAAAGAAATGTAAATAGGGTATCAGACGAATAGAATTTTCCAATAATTTTTTCTTGTCGGCTAATTGAGTTCACGCCTGGAATAAAAACGCCGTTTTCCCAGCACCAACGCTTGATGTCCATTATATGCCTACCGTCCTGCACCATATTCGTCCTCTTCACGTTGGCGCTGCTCATCGTTGGCACGGCCATACCCACCTCGACCAGGATCATACTCTTCACGGTACTCGTCACGAACTTGACCACCCGATTTACCACGTCTGTATACAAAGATTAGCCTCGACTGTGCGGGTCGGATAGCGACATAGGACAAGTCCATTGTCCACATACCCATATTGCCGACCCTCTTCAAATCCGGGATCCAGGTCAGTGCGAATAATACGCTCATCCAGCTTGGTACCGCCGACATATTTCAAGCAATCTAGAGCGTCTTGGTGGGTATAATATTCGACGAAACAGAAACCGCAGGGCGTCTTGTTGAATCGGTCAAGGCCCATCACCAACCGCTTGATTTCGCCGCACCTGGGCATCGATGTTAGTGCCTAGTACTGAGGTCGTATCTGGCGTGTTCTCCAGTACTCACTTCGAGAAAAGTTCGTGGATTTGTTCCTCTGTTGTATAGAACGACCTGTCACCGGGTCAGTTGCATGTCGATTAACGCCTAGCTTAAATCCCATCACGTACAAGTTACCCACGTAGAGGGTTGTCGCATTGTTCAGTTTCGATGTAGATTCTTCTTCTCGTTCTCGCTCTTCATCACGCTCATTATATCTGCGACGCTTATTCTGTTCGTTTTCCTCCCATTAGCACTGGTTTTCTTCTAGGCGCAGATATTGTGAAAGTGATAGGCCTTGGAAATCACTTACCTTGCCGGCATAATATGCGCTAGGGCGATCTAGCCGATCGACCGTGTTAAATGCTAGCAAAGACATTGTAAATTTTTCGTTGTGGAACTGAAAGAGTGTAGCAAAGAAGAAAGATTGAAAGTGGAGATGACGATGAGAAAGGCGGACAAGGGAGCTCGGAGAAGAGCTTCTTAAGATCTTGGCGCGCGCCCAAATTCCATTGCCGCATCAACACTTTCGCTTTCAGCCCGCTATTGTTTGGGCGAGGATGCTTTGACCCTTGCACCTACTTTCTCACAAATATTGGATTTTATTGGATTTTACCTCGATACCCCTATCTCGATGCCAAAGGTTAATAGCTACGCGCCTGCCTGGTTATGCCGGCCCTCGCCTGGTGCCAGCATTTTCACCAGTGCCGACGTCAAAAGCCCTGCGCAGCAAAATGGGTCAAAGAACGCTGCTCTAAGCGCTGCGAATCGTACAGTTGCGAAGCGAGGGAATGAAGTCTTTGCCGTCGTCGACAACGAAATTCGCTGGTCTGACCTTGCGCGAGTGAAGAACCGTTGGCAACAACAGGCCCGACAAAAGAAGAGCTCTACCAGTCAAGCAAAAGATCAGGGAAGCAACGCCGAGGTCCCGCCATACAGAGTATGTTATCCCTTTGCATCCTCGAACCACATGTTGCTGGGACTTATCATACGCAAGGTAAAGACTAACAGGTCCTAGGTTCTAGCGGTGCCTGTCTACGGGCTTATCAAACAGATCATCCCCTCTCCGAATGGCGCATTCCTTGCTATCATCACCGAGCACACTGTTCACATCGCTGTTCTGCCTGATTCGTCCCGTTTATCTTCTACAGACACCTCTCCGATTCGGTTGAAAACCTACCAGCTTGGCCCAACCACTCATGTCATTCCAGAAGCCCCAGTGGTGTCTGCATTATGGCACCCATTGGGCTTGCATACAAACCTGGGCGGATGTATCGTCACCATAACTGCAGATGCGGCAGTGCGTGTGTGGGAGTTGGATCGTAACAACCATTGGTCCTTTGACCAACCAACCCTGGCAGTGGATCTACGCAAGTTGGTCGACGGCAGCTCGTCTGATCAGGACTTTGCACCCTCGGGGTTCGGCAAGAACAAAGGTTTCTCTGCCGATATAATCGACATGGAGGTTGCTTCTGCTTGCTTCGCGGGTAGTGGAAATGAGAAAGAGGATGCTTGGGCTCCAATGACTCTTTGGGTTGCGATGCGACCTGGTGACCTTTACGCGCTGTGTCCATTACTACCGTCCAAGTGGCAAGCACCGTCTACTACCATTCCTTCACTTTCCTCGGCCATTGTTCCCAAAATCACAGCCCTTGAAGGTGTCCCAGAAGATTTGGAAGAGGAGTTGATCGCTGCTCGACAGCAGTATGATTGGCTGCGGGAGATTGATGACCAAGAGCCTTTAGACCCTCCTTCAGATTCGGGCAATATCCAGGGCGCCGATGTCTTTACTCGACCTGCGAACCCAGGTGCTATTCCACGTCTACAGGGCCCGTTCCGTTTCGATGCCGGGGACGAGTTGGACGATCTCGACCTTTGCGATATCCATGTCATTGCTGCTAGGCTGAATGTCGAAGATCTTATGATGGGCGAGGAGGAGGAGCTCGCGGTAGAGACTACTGAAACTGATAAGCTCTCGGCAACAGTCATTTGCTTGTCTAGTGGAAACGGCCGTGTCCACATCTGCCTCGAGCTTGACGGTGTACAAGGCCAATGGCTGCCAAAGGCAAAGAAGAATTCCTTCCGCACCCCACTCTCAGAGCCGTCTGATCTTGTTTTGGTGGAATCGCTCGATACTGTCAAAACAGACGGTGTAGAGTCAGTCGCTTGGCCTGTTTTCACCAAGGATGTCCACTCGCGTTACTCCTTCTTCGTCACTACTGCTACCAATGTAGTGTCTTTCTCCATGTCTTCATGGGTGCAACGCCTCGAGGCCGAGCTGCAAACAGAGGATCCTTCTGGATCTAGCTTTCGTCTGCAAGTCCTGTGTAGTGGAAATGTCGCTCAAAGAGAGCGTATCCTACAGGTTTCGGAGTCCGATATCACACCCCAGAAAGAACATCTTGCCGCTTCTCTGGTTTTCTTTGATTTCGATCTAGGCTATCTCCTATTAACCTACTACCCCTCAAATCCCTACGCGGCTGTCATGGACTCTCCAGAAGATTCGTTTTCTTCCGCTTTGGACTTCCATCTGTCTGAACAGCGAGTGTCTCTTCCGGGGTCGCCTGCAGCACTACCTCGACGGGCACCCTACCAAGTTCCGGCTATTCTTTACGCAAAATCTCCATTGGACTCTTTTGTCGATAAACACGTTCCACATCGCCAACGCCATACTCTCAAGGAGCAAGTCCGCTTGTCCCCAGCAACCCTTGATCTTGTGACCACCGCTCATCGTGTCCTTTCGGCGCATACTAACGCACTGGAAAGAGCCGCATCGGATCTTTTCCGCCGATGTGAACGATTGCAAGGTGAGATGAAAGATCAGTTGAAACAATTGTCTGATGTTGCAGAGCGCATTCAGGGCGTGACAAGCGAGATCGATGAAGATGGCAAGCGAAAGGAGGGCAGCCGCAACGGAGATACCCTAGACAAGAGATTGCAGGCCGCAAGTGACAGGCAAACGGAACTCGCACAGCGATATGACGCTCTGCGTAAGAAGGTTATTAATTCAGGCGGCCGTCCCCTGAGTGAGAAAGAGAAAGCTTGGGCTATCGAGGTGAATACCTTGTCAGAGTCTATTGATGATCAAAAATCGAAGAACGAAGAGAACCAGCTTCTTGCCGAACGTTTAGAGACCGTGAGTTACTTATCCGATCGAAGAGTGTTCCAAGTATTGCATCTAACAGATCCCAGGTTAAACAACTTGCCCGTGACCTTATGACTGAGACTAAATCCATTGCCGGCAAATCTTCCGTGTCTCCTGAGCCTAGCAGCCCATCTTCTCCGGGAGGTGCTCAACCTAAGGTTCCACAACGTCTCCAGCGCCAGAGGGTAGCAGATGCCATGAAAATGGTCGAACGAGAGTGAGTCGACGTTCATAATCTATTTTCTAACACAATCTAACGAAGTTATCAGGTCTGCTGTCATCGACGCTATTACCTCTCGCCTAGAGCGTCTCAATACGAGTCTCTGATGACGAACTACTTTCTCGATCAAAGTTGATATGCGTCTCTTTTTTTTGGAATATTGGGCGCATTGAGTTTTTGAGCAATCCATGCTTCCATGCCTTAGGTCTGCACCTTATGATGTTTTGATCGCCCGCGCCAATCCAATCTAAATACTGAATTCAAGATACTGCGGTTAGATATTTTTATGAGCAAATGACTCCTTTTAACTTGATACTATGTACTTTGCAAGTCTATAACAAGAGTATGAAAATGGTCTGCATAGCCCTTCTCTCAGTTGCAGAGTGTCACTGCATTATGAAGAGAATAATAACACTTTGAGCGGTGAAATGGAAGCATTATCGTCCGGGCAGCATTCGCTCCCCTGTATGGCACTAAGATCAAATTCCTTTGACTTCTACGGCTTAGGTCTACTTCAAAATTTCTTCTCTTTTTTGAAAGGTAAATAAATAAATACAGAGTGATGTGAATAGAATGAATTCATTTTACTCTAATTGGACCCTAAGGACGCCAATAAGCATCCTCCACTTCTGGGGACAAGTGAGACCAGTGCTTTTATTGTGGTAGCTGTAAGCTTTTCTTGAAAAACCGCCAAAGACAGCCTCCTCCAAAAGAGAACAAGAAAGAAAAGAAAAATCCATCAGTATGGATATGATAAAGGTGTCGTTTTATTCTTGATCACATTAAAAAAAAGAGCTCCAATCTGATCAATCGGCAGCTCGAGAGTTTTCCCAAAAGATATCGCATGCATGGAAAATGAAACCATCAAACCCCTCGACTCGATATTCAATCGACTAGATCAAACCCAAATTACTGCATACTGTATCTCTCGATGTTAGAACTTTCATTCAACGGCTCGGTCATGAGGGAGGGAGGTGTTAGAAATGCATACCGTTCAATAAGGTGAACGCCAGAGGCAGTCTCTGTAATGCCGCTGACTTGGCCAGGTTGGAGGGCAAACGCTGCGTCCTCGAACTCCTTTTGCATCTCGCCAGGTCCAAAGAAGCCACTTGAGGTTGTTAGTTTCGCGATCGATAAAAAGCCTGCAGAAGGAATGAAATAACTTACAGATCACCCTTCTTGCGGGCACTGCTGCAATCAGACTCGGAGACAGCGAGATCCCCTAAAGAGATTTCACCGGACTGAATGCGGTCCTCGTGGCCCTTGAGGATCTCGATCGCCTCCTCCTTGGACCGGGTGATCTCAGCTTCCCGCCAGCTGCTGGGGCGTCGGCTGTCACGATGCTTGACAAGCAAATGGCTGCAGCGGATCTTGCCCTCAGCTTGTCCGGCACCATCGGCGTTAGCAGCAGGAGTATGATGATGAGCCATGTAAAGCTTCAGCTTCTCGGTGTCCGTATCGGCAGGTGGTTCCCAACGAGATTCTTTGGTGGCGGGGTTGAAGTAGTAAGGAAGGTTCTTGGAGTTCGAATGACGAACTTCCCAGCTGAAAGGTAAGCCTGAATCAGCCTAATTAAGCATATTAGTTGTAGTTTTACCATGAAGTGACTTGGGTCGAACAAACCATAGTGAATGAGAATAATGGAGACAAAATGAGATTATTCTGGGTCTTGTTAAGCTAGGCTGGGGGAAATACTGAATTCACTTAGAAATGCGGGACTGAAGTTAGTTACCTCAGCAACTTATGCGGGGGAGACAGCGGTGCAAACACTGCAAATTCTTCGCCGACTCATCTACCTGTTTTCTGCCGGCAGAAAACCACGATACCTGTAATACTTTGAATAATTTCAGGGCTTGGAAGTTAATCTTCAATCCTGCTAGCTACGATATCCATGGTTTTCGAGATGTAACCTTTCAAGCTTTTTCTTCTAAAATGAGCATACTAGTATACTCTAAAAAATTTAGAAATAAGATATTTCTCCACTTGTATTTCTAGTTGTCTTTTCGCTTAGTTTTTTATGTAGAGCTTACAGTACAGATAGCGGTGTAATAGGCGGTAAGAGTTATCTTGGGTTTTACCCCGATGATCTCTATGGGCCCCCGTACACATCTTGATCAGCACTTACCCGCTTGAGTCTTTTACCTTCTTTGCTTCTACTGCCATCCGACCTTCGACATCCGGCGAATTATTCACCGATATCAAACGATATTTGAATCTTCTCAATATCATACAACTTCGCATTCGTTCTCAGTATCGATTTCATTCTTCGGTTCAATGTCTGCCAGTCCATCTCCTTCTGCCGGTGGAGACACCAAGCAGGCTGATCAGATTCATTTCAAATTCTGCCGCGAGTGGTAAGCTTGCTACTTTCAATGACCTTTTTGGACCATTACTAATGGCTCTCATCAATTAGTTCCAACTTGTTATATCCCAAGGAGGACCGGGCCACCAACCAACTTATGTTCACCTGCCGCACTTGCCACGTCGGTGAACCCGCCAGCTCTTTTTGCGTTTACCAAAATAAGTTACACAGCCAGGTCGGCGACACCGCTGGAGTCACGCAGGATGTGGGCTCTGATCCCACGGTTTGTCTCTCCGAATATTTCTCCGTTCCCGGATTCTTTCTCTCTATCCCGGGCTTTTGCTCTCTCTGTGGTGATGAAATCACCTGCTCCATCTGCGGCGAGATTCCCGACAAGGCTCACTCCGAAGTTGAGGGTCCAGGTAGCCCAGAATGGGGCTCTGAGAGCATAACCAGCATCCAAACCAACGGCTCTTAGTTTCCTTCATGGCTGACGTTCTCTGTTCATTCTGCTGTATTTAGCTTCCTCGAGCGAACAAATTGTGCCCTAGCTGTGGTGAGAATGAGGCGGTCTTCTTCCAGTCACAACAACGATCTGCGGAGACTGGAATGGTGAGTCCCCCCTCCCCGGCCGGGACGAATGTCTTCTTTATGTTGTCATTTACTAACTGTTCTCGATAGAAACTTTACTACGTGTGCTGTGCGTGCGGCAATGTCTCCATGTAACGACTCTTTACGATCAGCGATTCCCCGGATACCCATTCACGGTCTTTATTTATTTTTCGGCATTCTGCATGCTTTGGAGTTTGGCGGTGAAAACATTTTATGTACTCAGTCGTTCTGATGCTGAAGAGGGTTTCTATTGATACAAAAAAATTATGCTTTTCACAAACGATACGCTTTCCCAAAATGAAACCAGATAGATAGCTGTAGAATATTACACGTGCACGGGCGCCAGAGACAAGATCTTGGACCATTGCTTATTTCGGAGTTCTTGTCCAACGACACCTGAGCAGAAGAGACAATGGATTAGCATCTGCAAGAAGACCCTGAGACTGAGATTATGACCACATCCATGGAACTCACCATTCATTCTTGTGCCAATGGGATCACCCGCCTTGTTGATCAACACACAGGCATTATCACCGAAGCGCACCAGAGAACCATCTGGCCGTTGAAGTTCCTTCTTCACACGAACTACAACAGCATGTCGGATATCACCGCGACGGACCTTGTTCGCAAGAGCAGTACCCGATCCCTCGGATCCAGCGGCCCTTTGTTTCTGTACGACGACAACGATTCGATCACCTGTATCCCGAACGCATTAGCTTCAGCCCATTTTTGCCATTCCCAATTCCCAATTCATGCATATCGCCTTATTCTTGTTTGAGGTTGGCTGGGGACTAACCGATAGTCGCGGCCCGCTTCTTCTTCAGGACATTGACGCACTCGACAACCGAGGCGCCGGAATTGTCGATACAACTCAATAATGACTGTGTTGGAATAATCAGCACAGAGCTGCTGTGGGGTTCGTGTGAGTTGGGCATACCTTTAGTTGAATCATTTTGGGGGCATTGAGGGAGGAATGGGCTGGATCGAATCGCATTCGCGTTGATAATTTGATTGGAGTCGGAACGGAGTTTCCCCGGATGGAAAGTTTCGCCGAACAATCATTTTATACTTGGCATTTACTATTGTCGGTGCTTCATAGTAGTTGTTACTTAGGCTAGATTGAATTTAATTAAAGATGATTGATCTCTACCTAGTTAGTGTGCAATCATCGGAAGATTATTTAGGAATTAACCTCTTCTCGAGACCCAAACGGTCAAACTGGATATGATGGTGGAACCGGCGGGAGGTTGAGTATGCCACACCCTATGTAAAGGATAATAGGAAGGTCGAGATGTGTGATTGGAAGATGATTGAAAACAAATGTTTGAATGTCACAGGAGAGATGAGTGATGTCTTTTAAGATTAATATTTATGTATTATATTTTTTTTCTTTATATCTCAGTGAAGTACATGGTATGCAAGGCCCCTCGAAAATGTGGGCGAGTCAAAGAGGCGGCGAGCACGGGCCGAGTTCCTGGAACGCGGGAAAAGAAGTGCTGGTTCCCCTTGGACTTGCGACGGGAGCATAGCCTTCTCAGCACCAATTGGCGCCCCCATGAGTTTACTCGTCGTCATGTTGGGGCTCTGATTGTATCTCATTCCTTTATTCACTTTCCCCGACGCCATTTCTCGTTCATTTACGACTTTCTCCCGCACCCCCCTCTCTTCCCTGTCCTCACCTCGCCCGCGTGCTCTTAGACGCCGCGCAATCCAACCTGGTCTTTCCATGAGCACATACCGTTCTTTACTCCAGTCTCTAGGCCGGTCGGTGTCAGATCAGTCATGGCACCTAAGAAGTCACGCTCGAATTCTCCTGCGACCGAGTCCCGTAAACGCTTGACCTTGATGAACCTGGCCAGTTATGACGATGTCGCAACGGATGCGCTGGTCGATCACGTAGGCAGCCCATACCACCATTTGATCATTTGATCATTTGATCAGTCGACTAACGATAGGATATACAGGCTCATTTCTGGACCACCACACGCAAGAACCGTATCAAATACAGCCCGGCTCGCGGGATCCACGATGACGACGTAGGGCGCATTCTCCTTCATGATGTAGTCGTTGCCAAAGACATTCCGACAGCGGAGAGCAAGCTACTGCAACTGCCAGGCCTGAGGAAATACATGGCCAATCTGGCTAATTTTCGCGAAAAGGAATGGTTCTGTCGTCATCTCCGCAAATATATTCAAATGTATCACCCTGACTGTCCGTTCGAGGTCACCACCACCAACCGGTACATCATTACACAACACGAGGCCGCTATTTGCGCTCGCAAGTTCATTCAAGCCGGACAGGAGATCAAATTTCTTGCGGGAACCTTGGTTTCCATGACCAAAAAAGAGGAAACCGACCTGGGAGAAAGGGATTTCAGTGTGGTCATGTCCAGTCGCCGGAAGACCCCTTCGTTCTTCCTCGGTCCCGCTCGGTTTGCCAACCATGACTGTGACGCCAATGGACGTCTAGTCACTCGAGGCAACGAGGGAATGTCCGTAATGGCCACTCGAAATATTTACGAGGGGGAAGAAATTACTGTGTCATATGGGGAGGACTACTTTGGTATTGACAATTGTGAATGTCTATGCTTGACCTGCGAACGCGCTGCCCGTAATGGCTGGGCACCCCAGCCACATGTGGACTTGGATGCGAATAGCAAAGAATCTACACCAGCATTGAATGACGGAGACACATCCACAGAAGGGCCTAGCAAGAAACGCCGCCACGCTGACTCCGAACTGGACACGGAGGATCCACCCTCCTTATGTTCTACCCCGCGCAAGCGAGCGAAGTTCCAACGCCAGGTTTCTAAATTACGAGAGGAGATCTCCCTTACTGAGGTCACCACAACCCCAGAGTCTGACCTTCCTCCCACGCCTGCTTCCGATTCTGGTTCTATTGCGGTTTCTACCACGACCATGGTTGATCGTCATTCTAAGCTTAGGCAAGAGATCAATGTTACCGGAATTGTTGACCTGACTGCTGGTTCACTCTCAACCACTCCGGTACCGGACCGGTCAGCCCTTTCTGCGATTAACGACGCCCCAGTCATTCCAATCGAGTCAATTGAACCTAACAATGCACCGGCCGCGAGCCCCACTAATTGTCCATCACCTGGCTCTACAACCGCTGAATCTCCGCGATCATCTACTTCAAGTGTTCCTACCTCGGTTACTGAGACTGGTCTCAAAAGCCAGACTGACGAACTCCTGCAGACAATCAGGGGCGGCATCACTGAGATCCCTGCCATTCAGTCGGGCGAGGCCATACTTTCGAGCGAAACAAAATCGCTTGAGCTGAAGGAAACTCTCGAGACAGCCTCCGACAAACCCAAGACCCGTGGGCGCCGACGCAAATGGCACGTCGTTAATTCCGTTGAAGAAGAGACGCCCACGGCGCGAGTTCCAGGAGACTACACAAGAACGGCTCGACTTCTAGCTCAAAAGTATGATCGCTGGGTAGAATGCCAGACCTGTGACTCTTGGTTTGTGCAATCAAATTCATACCAGACCCGTCGCGAATGCCCTCGCTGCGAGCGACACTCCAAACTGTATGGATTCCAGTGGCCAAAAACAGACGATAGCAATGATGGTGAAAGCCGGGCGATGGATCACCGCACTATCCATCGATTCCTCTCTCCTGAATCCGAGGCGCGTGCGCGTGTGTCTCGTCGAGACCGCGGTGTCAGTTTTGGTATCACCCCTACTCCTGAACTTTCGGATACTCGAGCCGATTCAGAATCGATTGATATTCTGGAGCCTCGTCGCAATACGCGTGCGAGCCGCCGCCTCACCCGGGAGCTGCGACTGACGATGTAAAGAGTTATAGAATGTATGAGAGAGGAGAAAGATTGACAGTCCAACTGTTCATTTGTAACATTAATTTTCCCTTTGAGGCATTTGATTTGGTGTTTTTATGGTTCAAGGTGCATCTGGGACTTGAATTTGTTATGGTGGTTATGGGCGATTGGGGAGTCGGGGGCTGGATTTATCTTCACAAACATCGGATTACGGACATATCGATAATAAATGAACAGTACACCTAATCTGCGAGCTCTACAATCTACGGTCATTTGATGTAGACTTCTTATCGGGTCGATCAACACCGAGGGTGGTCATCCCCGCATTTTGTCCCCGCGATCTCCAGGGTTTTGTCAACAATAACTGCACCAATAACAGGCGAGATGATATGTAGTGTTTTCTACTACCCACTGCTTGACCGATGATACCTCAAGCTTTTCGGCGTAATGCTTCGCAGCATCCTTTTATCCTTTTCTCCGGTTGAATCCTGCCATCTACAGGGAGCCGTACTTGCCAAAATGAGGTATTTAGCACGCGTGTTCCCAGCACCTGCACCCCCCCACTTCCATTGGCAGTTTCATTCTTGTTGTTAGATGATACTGAAACTGTATTGATATCTCTTTTTATACAGCGATGATATCCATATATTCATTCTTATGCCTGTTGTTGGCTCTCATAGGCGCGGCAAATGCCTATGAGAACCCCGTAGTCCACCTGGACTATGGCACCTTACAGGGCAAATACGACACAACGTACAACCTCTCATACTTTCGCAAAATCCCCTTTGCCGCTCCTCCAACAGGCCAAAATAGATTCCGCGCACCCCAGCCCCCGTTGAAGCTGAACAGCAGCATCTATGACACCGACCAGACATTCGATATGTGTCCCCAACGCACAGTCAATGGGTCCGAAGACTGTCTATACCTGGGCCTTTACTCACGCCCATGGGTTCAATCAGAAGATACCAGAAGACCTGTCTTAGTTGTGTTCTACGGCGGCGCATTCATCGAGGGCGACGCGCTCTTCGGCATCCCCCCGAACTCATACCCGGTTCTCAACGCAAGCACTTTAAACGACTACATCGTAATATACCCCAACTACCGCACGAACGCCTTCGGCTTTCTTCCCGGAAAAAGCATCAAGGAGTCATCGACCTCAGATCTGAATCCGGGTCTGTTGGATCAGCAATACGCGTTGAAATGGGTACAGAGCAACATCGACCGGTTTGGCGGGAACCCGAAGAACGTCAGTATATGGGGACAATCTGCGGGCGGGGGTTCTGTTGTCGCGCAAGTACTGGCGAATGGACGAAATGGAAACCCAAAACTGTTTTCAAAGGCTCTTGCTAGCTCTCCTTTCTGGCCTAAGTCGTACAGGTACGATGAGCCTGAAGCGGAAGCTATCTATAACCAGCTTGCCAATTTGACTGGGTGTGCGGGCTCTAGTCATGACCATGAGACGCTTGATTGTCTCAAATCAATTGATGTACAGACCATCCGGGATGCGAGTCTGATTATCGATGATGATAGTACCTATACCACTAGCTCATACACATGGGCCCCGGTCATTGACGGTGATTTCTTACATGATACCCTGACCGATGCTGTGCGCAGTGGAACTTTGAATACGGATTACATCTGGGGAATGTACAATACGCACGAGGGTCAAAATTTCATTCCTTCTGGACTGGACTACGAGGAGTTGACAGGTGGATACAACTCATCTGCAGCAAGCTTTCACGAGTGGCTTGTTGGGTTTTTGCCTGGATTGTCGAGGACGCAGATCGAGCAGGTTCAGAATGTGTACTATCCCGTGGTTGGAAGCACTGAAACGATTACTGAGTATAACACTACATATATTCGTGCTGGGTTGATCTATCGAGATGTGGTTCTTTCTTGCCCAGCTTACTGGGTTGCTTCAGCGGCACCTGAACGGGGCTACGTTGGTGAATACTCGATCGCTCCAGCTACGCATGGAAGCGATGCAATTTATGTAAGTCATTGGGACCTTCTCAGCTCTCAATAAAAGCGTTTAATGATGAAAATCAAAACAGTGGGACACCGTCAACTCGATCCAGAAAACAAACCCTGTTGTCTACAAAGGATACGCTGGGGCATTCGCTAGTTTCTTTCAAACCGGAGATCCCAATGCCCATAAACTGACCAACTCTTCAGAGCCAGGCGTACCGGAGTTAAAGGAAACAGGAGAGGAATTTGTTATCGTTGATTATGGCTTTGGCACTGCTCGTTTGACCCATCTGGAAAAACGATGCAACTTTTGGAAGAGCATTGGGAAAGATATTCCCATTTGAACGGAATAAGTCAATACGTACAGATTATCTTGGCAATAAACAATGTTCCCAAGCTAAATAGTAGACATAATGACAAGGCTGTCTTTGATGCTTTTTAATTTGTTATCTGGCACTCCTCGTAAAATGAATGTCCTTGATTTTCTTTAACAACCGAAATTTCTGCTAACTCAATATCTAAAGCTGAACCGCTAATTTGTTACAGTATATATCGAAATCAGTTTCACCACTTGGACACAGAGATTCTTTCTTGAACCCTCTTCCGAAATGTACTAATTCCATTATAGTTACTCTACCCCTGATCTCCTTTCTGTGACGAGGTGCCTACGTTTCTACCTGGATGGAGAAAGGGTGCGAAAAATAACGAATAACAACGTTGAGGAAAAGGGTAGAGAGAGAGAGCTATGTTATGTATATGTAGGGATCCTACTCTCGGACCAATTACCTAATTAGTCTGCATCTGAGATTATGGAATACTAATGATTGATCGTGGGGTACAACAGGCAGCTTTGGTGATTTTCGCGTTAGTATACGATTGAGCTCAAGTCGCCATAGTTCAAGTGTTGGTGCCACATCTACCCGGTGGTGCTGTAGCCACCATTGCTGACGGTCACGGACCACATTGTCACATGCGGCTCCCAAGGGCCAAAGCTACAGGCTAGTCGCTTTCGAGTACATCATAATTTTGGCTAAAATTCCTGTCTAAATAGTAGCATTTTAATTTCAACTAAACTCCTCGTGTAATAACTATATAGCGCCTTGTCTAATCAGGTTAAAGGAGATGTTCACATAGTGAGGTGTCCACCTACCATCGCCCCCATTACTGGCCCCAATTACTGGCCCCCAATTACTCGTCCCAATCAGTATCAGCACTCATTCATGTCATTTCGTCCTTTTGTCCTAAATGAACTTTATGTATTTTATGTACAACCAATCAACCATCTCAAAAGCTCTGTTCTTGTATTAACCCCTTTTCTCTGTGTAGTCGTACTGACAATTCATCTCCATTTTCTCGCGTTAAATCGACGCGTTGTTTATAGAGAGGGCGGCAGCAGCCTTACGGCCCTTGCACCGCCGGCCTACTGAGGCTTGGCATTTTTAGCGTTACGAGAACTTGTTTAACGCCACTGTATGTCTTAGGCATCTCTGACCACGTGCCACTCTGGCACGAGAACTTATCTCGAGGGCTACCGCCGCCCTCCCTTCTTGTCCTTTCTACTTCTCCCTCAGCTTTGGAATGACGTATTCATGCACGTTATTCCAAAGCTCTAGCATCTATCAAAGTATCTTATATCTCAGTAACAGCACTATACACAATTGCTATACTTACCATATATATGAACTATTATTTATTATTTCAGAATGGCTTCATCGAAATGTTGTCTTCCATAGCGGCGCAGAAATCTTTATCGGGCCTTCCTAGGGGACTATACTACGAGTACACTGGATTTAAATTCCTCGATAAATTTTTGACAGCATCCAATGTCTTTTTCTGGCCGGTATTCCAGCCCCAGGAAGAAGCACCCATATTACCATTTTATGGTATAGCCCTCACAAGTACGATGGTTCAAATATGGCTAGTCGTTGTCTTCAAGATACATCGACATAGGCATGGATTATGGGCATTCATAAAGTAAGTCTATTTAGCAATTTCTAGGATTATGAAGCAAGCTAACATATAATCTGACAATAGGATGATGTTTCTGGTCGGTCCACTCATCCAATACCTTAGCCCTAGAGTTGCCATGCCTATCATATTATTAAGGTTTATTTTATCAAAACCAGTCAGTAAACAGGGTTGCCAATCCCCCGTAGGCTCTTTCTCTCTATCATAAGATTCAACAAGACACCCCCAAAGCACTAGAACATTAACTAAACAACGTCCTCGATATCAAATCGCAAATCAAAATCACCCGCGACAACTGTAGCATAGACCGCAATGCGTGCAATTCGCTTGACCCCTTGTCCGTAAGCACCCAGGACAAATCTACCAACAGACTTACCAACTTTGCTACCAAGCAAAGCTCTGTACCCAGACGAGGAGGCCTCCCACGTCTGGTTGGCTGTCAAACGATTTCCCAGACCGTTAGATCGACAAATAGCCATAACAATATCGACAGTGTTGAAGTTCATAACACATGAAGCAAAAACATACCTCAAAGCCCCGAGGTCAAATTCGCGTTCATAGATAGCTTTTGTCAAGTCACTGATATACACGGGACTGGCATTTTTTCGAGCAATAACATCCATGAAGATGACACCCTGACCAATTTGGCCAACCCACTTGACAATGTCCTCGCCACGCGCAGTCTTCCTGACCATCACGGTTCGGTATGGGGAGTGAGCAACATCAAGTGCAACTGTATCTGCCGGGAGACCAAGCTCCGACACATAGTTGACGAAGTCAATTGGAATAATTTCTGATTGTAGCTTGTTAACCAATCGGGTGTCTGAAGATCTGCCTATTCCAAATCAATTCTAGCAATCCGGCACCCGGGAGCGTTGGCGGATCCCATCCATTGTTCCAACTCTTGTCCCTCATACTCATTTGCTCCGTATTTGTACTCCATTTTTGCTATTAGTTTAGTAATTTTAGGGAAAGGGTGGATACTCTGCTTTATTTGTATTCTGATTATTAGAAGAGTCGATTGTGAAGATTGATGTTGGATGAACTGGTGAGAGACTCGAGGGACGAGGGTTTTAATAAGCACCTGCGACGCCAGAATTGCATAATATGACAAAGAAGGATATTGTATAAATTATTGTTTATACATAGGTCATTTTATGAAACGTCTATACAAATCTCTTTATACATGATATGATAGATATAGATAATGATGATCAAATGGGATGACACAGCAGGGTATAGTGGCAGAAATAAATGTAATGTGGCGGAGTAAATAAGCTAGAGGATAAGAAAAGAATGTAGACAAAGAATATAGATTGTTTTGGAACATGAAACCTCAGTTAAAACCTCTCTTTCCAGTTACACTATTCCATTGTGTCATTATATGCCACGACAGAACCTATTCTGAAGCCTTTTGAGGTGGGGAGAGTAAACCAATTGTATGAATAGAACAAAGAAACAATAATATTCACAGATTTCTCAATTATTCTAATAAGATTTGTTGCCCTATATGTTTCATTGTAATATTTTTAGATGCTACAGAATTGAACAATGCTAGTATCAGATAAGACCCATAATAATGTAATAGTAGTTCTCGGAAATATGACCATTATGCAAGTTTCAGATGCAAAGCGCAAAAGGTAGCCTGCAACATTCTTGATATGAAGTTCGTACGAAATCATCGATATTGCGACGATTAGAGGCTGAACTTTGGCCATCAATATATGGAAGGTACCTCGGCCGTTCTTCATATCTTCACAAGTTAACATATTGAACTGTCAAGGTACCGCTTAGTACTATGGCTACACAGAAGAACTGTGTTTAATGAAGGAGACTTCGAGAGCCATCTGATATACAGGATCATTTCTTGAATAGGTCTGCATGACTTCGGATGCTTCTGTTTTAGGCTCATATAACTTAAAATGGAACTCTACATATAATTTGTGTCATGAGTTTCCACGATCGCTATTTTATCCAACTGTTCAGGCAATCTGAGCTTCTGGGAATCTTAATCTGGAAATGTGGATACCTTGAAAGCGTCGGGGTGTGCGTGGCACCTGTAAAAGTAGGCAGTGTTCCTACGTTCCTTTATCATAGGCCCAATGAAATTCTTATGCTTCTTCATTCGGCTCGTTTAGAGCAAGACGTACCTGGTGCATTGACCAGGACCGAATTAGAAAGCAAAATGCAACGAATAATAATGCGAAGGATCGGCTGTCGATCATGGAGTTGGGGTTACACAGCATCAAGATTCGGTATTTGAATAAGTTTCTGGGGGGAGGATTCCCGGGGTCAGGGAATGTTGGGATGTCAAAAAAACTGTATAACATTGAATCTTAAATATCCTGAATTATAGAGCTCGGCATAACGTCCGTTGGGGCTGGAGTATAAATTCTGAACAGTTGCCAGTCAAATCATAGCAATGATCTTAGTAGAGATATGATTTTCAATATATTGAATGTTACTAAAACAATCAAAATTGACAACAATGTGGGGGTTTTATAACGACAAGACTATTCTTCTTACTGGAGGTACTGGCTTTGTAGGAACTTCAATCTTATACAGGATCCTGTCTCAGGCCACGCCACGACGTGTCTTTCTTCTTTTGAGAGGTAGTCAACAGTGAGTACTTTGTGCGCAATATTTGAATACATTACTGAACTCCAGCAGAAAAGCTCGGAACACATGGGCCGATTTGTTGTCAGACGCCATAGCCGACTCGCTTATCCAAAACCCTCGAATTACTATTGTCAGTGGAAATCTCAAGTCGCCCAACCTCGGGCTCTCAGATTACGACTGGCAATGCCTCATGGAGACTGTCGAAATAGTTGTCCACACTGCCTCGCCGATCAATCTTGTGGCTAATCTAAAAAGAATGTCGGAGCTTGTCATATCGCCAACCATGTTCCTGGCAAACGTCGCCTTGCAAATGCCGGAATTGCAAAGATTCGTTTTTATCTCGACTGCCTATTCCAACTCTCACCTCTGGGCCTTGGGGAAAGAAGACGACGTTTTTGTCAAAGAATGCTTTTATACCTTTGATACAGATCGAGGTCTTTCAGAGCCCGCAAGTGAATCATTTGAGAACACTACAAAGGGGGCAAAAGAGGAATGGGAAAGCATACGAACGTGCCATACGACCGATATCTGGGAGGCTTTTGATTTCCCATGGGCGTATGGGTATGCGAAGAACTTGACTGAGAGGCTTCTGTTGGAACAATTTTGGAAAAGAAACGCCCTGGAAAAATTCCTTATCGTGAAGCCATCTATCATCGCACCGGCAAAAAGATGCCCATTTCCAGGGTATGCAAGAGCAAATTCTGTACCCGCGGCAGGATTCGCAGCAGCCATCCTCATGTCCCCTGGGCGTCATTTCAAATTTGCATCTCGTGCTTCTGATCCACTGAACAACTCAACACTGGATGAGGTCCCCGTGGACATTGTCGTTGACCGGCTACTTGTACATTTGGCTTGTGGAACCAGCGGAGTGGTTCATGCCGTCAGTGGTAAAAGAGAGCGGTTATCTCTTTTTGGATACATATGGCCAAGGATTGTGAAAGAGCGCCCATTTCCATGGGAAATCAAACCAGTTTGGAAATCTTCTGATTGGAACTCGACTGAACTTCATCTTGCCAATCGAATTTTCAAGTTGGTAGGAACTTCATTTGACTTTGAGGATACCAAAACTGAGCGCCTATACGCCAATCTCAGCCAGCGTGACAAGTCAGATTTAGACCTTTTTACAAGTGAACATAAGCCAACGAGTGAAGAGAGGAGAGCTATTGTTCAGGATATGCTGCTTGTATTTGGCAAAAAGCAGCATATTCCGTCGTTCATTATCAAGTCATTTTTTCCAGCACGAGATACACCTAGAACGGAAGTTCCACCGCTACCCAATATCAAGGACAATGAGAGGCTTTAGGTAAATGGGCTACTATAAACTCAAACATGTGGAGATCTTTCTTTCTTCTACTATTTCGGGAAACCCAGAATGAAAGTTGTGTCTACATAAATTGTTATCGAATAGTTGAATGAGATGTCAAGTGGAGAGACTTGTGAGACTGGATATTTTTATTCAGACAAAATAGAGACTTAAACAGATTCATGGCCGTGAATTAGAAGCGTATAATGAATCAGCGAACACTTTTACCCCGGCCTATTTTATTGAGTAAAGCTAGAAAAATGACGAATATCCAAGTCCAGTTAATCATTCCAAGGTTTCGGATCATGAAAATAATATAAGAAAAGTTCATGGGATTTACCAGCGAGTGCGGGGTCATCTTTATCTTGCACGCTAGTTACATAATGGGGGCCATCCTGCATTCATATCGATGCTAGCATGACTCATTTCCCCTTATGAATCTGGCGAGCTGTAAATCAAAAGAATGAAGATTTTGATGCTTCACGGTAAGACCTCTATAAAAGTCTTCATACAACGCGTATAAACTTTCAATGCTGACTGTTCCCCATTCTAGGATCCCGTCAATCGGGTGAACTGTTTCGAGCAAAGATCCAAGGGCTAGAGAAGCTAGTCAAGCAAGCCTTGGGGCCAGTCGCGTCCAAAGATACAGAGTTTATTTACCCAACAGCTCCACTCGCCCGAGAGGTTGAAGATGGAGCCTCAGATCTACGAGATCGCCATGGCTCATGGACCTGGCTGCAACCCGAGACAATTGATGATTTTTACCCCAAAATAAACGAGACCTTGGCCTACATTGCGACAATTATGAAAGAGTCTGGACCCTTTGACGGTGTAATTGGGTTCAGCCAAGGTGGTGCATTAGCTGCTATGGTCGCCTCGCTTCTTGAAGAGAATAGAAAAGAAGGATTTGCACGTGCAGAAGACAACGCCCTGTTATATCCCAATAGCTTTGCGGCTCTTGATCATCCTCCGCTTCGGTTCTTCGTTTCAATTGCAGGTTATGCTGCGTCGAATCCTGCTTACCGAGCATTTTATGAGCCACCCATCCAAATACCGAGCTTGCATCTCTTAGGAAGCATGGATACCGTGGTGGATGAGACAGCCTCAACTAAACTGACCGAAATCTGTGAGAATTCGACTGTTGTTTGGCATCCGGGTGGCCATACTATTCCCAGTGGAAAACGACAACTCATTCCAATTGCATATTTTATCAGTTCAACACTTAAGGCATGATCCAGAAACTATCGGTAGTAAATACAAAATCTTTGCGTGAATGATCATACAGAGATTACTCTGCTCATAGTCCTGGATATCTCCCACGGAGTCATGATAAATGGCAAAATTTGCTTTCCAAATTTACCAAGAGCCATTGAATGGGCACTTCAGCCGCTAGCGGTGGTAGGCGCTATGTAGTGAGACTAGTATGGCTCCACTGTACTTTAACCTTGATCAGCCACATGATACGAGATATCCAGAGATAGCGATACGGGTGGGCTTATTAGGCTTATTAGCTTTGCCGCCAGTAGCATCAATGTGCCGCCATAGGGCTTGGCTTCTAGGGTAATGAGTCAGAGCGACAAAAGGCTATCGGCCGAAGATTTTCATACATAGCTGATGAAAAATAGACTCCAATTTAATTTAACACACTGGTCACACCTGTATTTGAACAGAATCAAACATTCTGTCTATCCTGTCCATCCTGTCCATCTTGCGATTCTACAAATACTACCCGTCTCACCATGTCGCTACCTACACAACCTCGCACCTGGAAGCGCGACAACTTCTTAGTCTCCACTGATAAAAGATTTCTCTCCATCGCTGCGATCAATGGTGCTTTCCAGCAGGACCTCATATACTGGGCCAACGCTGTCCCTGATGAGATCCTACAACAGATCATCGACAGTTCGTTCTGTTTTGGTCTCTACAGAAAAATCAACACTGCATCGAACGAGAACACTTCTGGGTTGAATTCCGGTGACTCAGTATCCCCGCCGAGTGATAATCTAGAGCAGATTGGATTTGCTCGCCTTATCACGGACAATATCACTTTTGCTTATATCACCGACCTGTATGTCCTTCCCGAATATCAGGGCTTCGGACTTGGAGGTTGGATAATCGACTGTTTGGATGAGGTGTTGGAACCTCTGCCTTACTTACGATGGGCAATGCTGCGAACTTCGATGCTGAAAAGTCAAGAGTCATATGAGAAGCGCCTTGGAATGGAAGTCCTGAAGTCTGGGTCAATCGCAGATGGGCCAGTGATGATGGGGAAAAGGGGGCGAGCAGGTCGAGCATAATTATAAGACAATAGTTGTGGGGCTTTGAAATTCTTGAAGTGATTAATCAGCGCCGCCTTCATACTACATTGTCTCGATTATTTTAGGGTTCTCGCAGTATCTCCTATTCCAAAGGTCTAGGATATTGCATCCTGCGACAGCGGTGACCACATGTGCATGCTTCCTCGTTCAAATGTTAAATAATAAAAATGATGGTAGAACCCGAGTCTTCATGCATGGAACCCAATTAGAATACGCTAGCCCCTCAGCCCCGCTATAGTAGTGTGGGATTATGGTTCAAGTGTGGTGGAAGCTTGTTGCCCCGTGAAGAATAAAGTCTCCCTTCTGACTGGACTAAATCATGAATCGGCGTAACTTCCTCCGTCTCGGATATTTTTTTTTTCCTAATCGCAGGATGAAGAACCCTGCAGAAGCCCCACTCTCTGTTGGCTGCAAGCGTGCAGGATTGATAATCAAAGATCAGTGGAGCAGGGGACCTCGGTAGTGGGGCTATGACGAAAAACAAGACATTTAAGAGCTTCATAGCAATCTTCCTACGCCCGATTCTCAATTTTTACACTTACATCAATCTCTCTACTCGAACTCACTCGAACTCACACATCACAATGGCCCCTAACGTCCTCGTTGTCCTCACCTCCCACGATGAAATCCCCGGCAAGGGTCCCACTGGCTGGTTTTTGGTATGCATCAATTAACCCCTCCATAGCGGTAAGCTACCAAATATAAGGTTTATACACTTCATATTTGGGAGCACCATACTTAGGACTTGCACTTGAAGAGAGTCCAATGCTAATTGATTGATTAATAGCCCGAGTTCGCTCACCCCTACGATGTTCTGTCCAAGAAGACCAACCTCACCATCGCCTCGCCCTTGGGCGGCGTTGCCCCTCTCGACCCGGGCTCAGTGCAGATGTTCGCATCCGACCCTTCCTCTCAAGCATTCCTGAAGAACAACGAGTCTCTGTGGAAGAACACCGAGAAGCTCTCCGATATCATCCCCCGCGCTGATGAGTTCGATGCCATCTTCTACGTTGGCGGCCATGGTCGTACGTCTCACAACTCATCCATGACGTCATCACTCACCAAGCTAGATTGGGCTAACATTTCTTGATTTTTAGCCATGTTCGACCTTGCCCAAGATCCTGAATCCCTCAAACTTATTCAAACCTTCGCTGCTGCCAGGAAGCCTGTCGCGGCTGTCTGTCACGGTCCCGCCGTCTTCGTCAATGCGACCCTGCCTTCTGGCGAGTCTCTTCTGGCCGGTGCCGAGGTGACTGGATTCTCCAACCTTGAGGAGGATCAAGTGCAGCTCTCTTCTTTCATGCCTTTCATGTTGGAGACTGAACTGCAGAGGAAGGCAGGTAGCTATGTTAAGGCTGATGAGCCTTGGGGCCCTAAGGTTGTTTCCTCCAGGGTCGCTGGCTTCGGTGGTGCTCTTATCACTGGGCAGAACCCTGCCTCTGCTACTGGTGTTGGTGAGGCTATCCTTGCCGCTTTGGGACTGTAAATGTCCTTTTTTGAAAACGTATCGTGACGGTGCTTGTTGATACGCACTGTTGAAATATTTATGAAGTATGTGTAAATGAATATTGAGAAATAAAAACGCTTGAACATCTCCAAGAAATTAATCCTTTATATTCGATCATCCATTCTGTTATTTCATTAATAAAGTACCAATGCCCGAGAAAGGCGACCAGCATAAGAGTCAATCGTACAATCTTAATTGCAACATCAATCGTATCCTACAGTGCTGTGCTTGTCACTCGTTTCCAAAGGCTCGAGTTAAATTAAAAACAAAATTTCATTGACTTCATATCGAGGTAAATGGGATGGATAAAGTAGTCACATCCCTTTCTAATGCGATTCTAGCGCTGTTTCTTCGATTCCGTGATATCCACATAAACATGACCCAAGGGACCCTCCCCGGAGCTCCATCCCCCATACTCGACTCTATACTTGTCACTGCTGTCAATCGTCTCGACAAGATTGACATACTCTCCACCTCTATTCTCCCAGTGGAGCTCACAGATCTTTTCAGCTCCATGAAAAAGGTCCAGTCGACCCTCGCTACCACGACGGCTACTGGCATTGATTTCGCCAACACCATCAGATTTGATGGTGAGCTCATCGATTTCTTCCTCGCTCATCGATCGACGGCGGTTATTTGGGTCCCAGAAGTCACCGCTACAAGAAATTAGTATAAATGAAACAAACTACTGGAAAAACTTAAAAGATGGGAGTAAGAGATACCCTTCAATGACGGTGTTCTGGACAGTAACCTCGTTCTTGAGGTGGTCTCGAATATGGAACGAGACCCATTGGGAGTTGTACTTGTCCATCTTGACGAATTTGATGATTGTGTGTGCTTGTGCTTGTGCTTCTGCTTGCTTGGGAGGTATGCAATTGGGTTTTGAACGCGGAGTGAGAATCCTGGGGGTTTTATACGCTCTACCCCACATGAGCACAATGCGGGGGTTTACTCGTGACTGATGACTCGACGACGTAATTCACATTGCGATGCCGTGGTCATAATGAATGCGGTTGTATGCGATGATTGGTCTTCAGACGTTGATCCGTGGAACCAGCGGCATTTTCCACCTATGTAAGGTTTGCGGGGATCCCTTTGTCAACCTTGTTAGTACTGTCGCAAGCGCGTGTGCTATGTGGGGTGTTTTGGGTAACCAATCCTAGTACAAGAGACTCAATTAATATACGCGTACGCTGTGTGCGGATGGATCGGGTAAGGAATGTGCGTGGGGATTGGTAGAGAGCACCACTCAAGGTGATCGAACTCGGATGTCGCCACCTAGCCTGGTGAGCTATGCTATCGGGCTTTGTTTGGCTACTTTCTGGTCAATGCTGCATGAGTGCCTAGTCAAATAAAGCTACATAGACCCCGCATTGATAGTCTGTAAATGTTGCCACTGCTCATTTTTGTGCCTATTGAGGCGCCCTTGATAATGAGTCAACACTATCTTCCCCAGAATCCAGAATCCACCTCTCCCTTCAACCCCAGGAACACTGAGCAGCCAGTGCCGCATCAGACCATGTCTGAAGTTTTATTTTTATCAAGTCTTTACCGATCTATCTACACTTGTGCATTCATGGTGTATAGAGGTAAAGAGGCTCCGAGCCAAGTCTCATAGACGATCCCCGCTGAATCCTTGCTGAAGGGTCATAATGTCACAATTTACCAACCATATACACACCGCCCGGGTGGTCTAGTGGTATGATTCGCGCTTAGGGTCAACTCTATGCAATAACTGCGCGAGGTCCCCGGTTCAATCCCGGGCTCGGGCCTTTCTTTTTTTTTCCCTGCTTTCCCCCTTCTTGTTGAAGAGGATATCATTTTGACAGACTTCCACCCAATAAATTTCCCCCAAAATGGTCATTCAAGTCAATGAATGCCAAAGCCAAATAATATTATCATTATAAGCTTTTTTAGCGCCAGGTTCATCTGCAATTCCCACAATATTTGCATCATCACATGGAAGCAACTTGAAACTTACATAGTAAGCTGTGACAAATAGTGCGGCAGTTTGACAGAAAGTAAACACTGATCTTTGGCACATGAGCTTCAAAGGAAACATACTATCGTTGCCGACTCGCTACTCATGTCCAAGAAAAACCAATAGCAGGAAGCCAGTTAAGGCCCAACGAAGAGTGATATTCCAGCTAGTATTCATGTATATTATGTTCCAGCCCATTCCAGCGCAGGATTAACGTTACTTGCAAATGGCACAGAACCCATAAAGCCTGGTAGATCGAGGTGTTTAAATTTCTCGCGACTAGGTAGCTCTGCGTGCTCCGGGCGTTCAATTGTTGAGAAACCAGTAATGGTTTACTAAAGGACCCAACTTTCTTGTATGTACTTTTGGCCCAAATTAACAATATTGCTCTTCGTAGGAAGCTCCCACATGCAAATTGAAACTTAATTTTCGATAATTTAATCCTGTCCTGGTGATGTGTACCATAACCTTCGCCGGAGACTGTTTCCATGCATCTATCATGTCTGGTACGCGGATAGTATGTCCATGAGCGGGGTCTATACGACTCGGAGAAAGCGAAAATAGCTCAAAGTGCCAGGAGTTATTGGTGTTTTTCCAGTGCACCAATTAACGAAAGTGGTATGGGTAGAATCCTTCAGCGAACTGCCCATTGGACCAGATGTTCTCGAATGGGGCTCCCCGCACACAGACCCAGATATGATTTGCGCGGCCCCCAGATGAGCGTGGAGTTAAAGTTTTCCACTAACAAGACCCCGGATTCACTTTCACTCTCCTGAGTTTTCATTTCGTACCTCTATGCTTGGCCCCCTGAGTAACTGGAAGGGTGTATCAAACACCTTCCCAGTTCAGGAGAGATATCTCAATACTACAAAACAAAGTGTCATGAATCCCCATTGAAGATGCTAATTGTCCCACTGTGACTCAATTCAATGACTGATATCTCTGTCTCTCTGGGCCAGGACCCAGAGGGCCTTGTGGGGGGTTATGAGGGCAATAGCAACGCGATCAAAATAACCATGGGCGTTCTTGTCGCCTTGCTCTTGTATAACGCAATTGAGCTGACGGTCTTGATATTTACAACCTTCCAACGATATCATGGGCTTTACTTCTGGTCTATGATGCTTTCGACAATCCTAGGCCTTTATCCCAGTGGCATTGGCAATCTTCTGCATTTCTTCGACATTGGGCCGTTATGGTTAGCCTTCTTGCTATCCAACATTGGCTTCTATTTCATGGTTCCCGCCCAGTCATTGATCCTATACTCGCGTCTCCATCTCGTCCTCTACAATCAACGACTCCTCCGATTCATCCTCTACGCGATCATTGCAACTACTATCCTCATCGGCCCCCCAGTAACAGTCACAACATGGGGCTCAGCACTCGTCGAAAGCCCTGGCTGGAACGCAGCATACACAATCATGGAACGTTTACAAGTGGCCTGGTTCTGCGTGCAAGAGTTCTTAATATCATCGCTCTATATCTGGGAGACAGTTAAAATTCTCCAGATGAGTACTGCGACTAGCAAGCGTCGGAAAAATATCATGTACCAGCTGCTTGCTATCAATGTCCTGAACGTGGGAATGGATGTGGCGATTATCGTTGTGGAATATGTCGGCTTGTATTATTTGCAAGTCCTTCTAAAATGCACAATATACAGTATTAAGCTGAAGCTTGAATACGCTGTCCTTGGAAAGTTGACGGCAATTGTGGAACCGTCACATTTGGAACTGACGCCGAGTGGCGAAAATGATCTTTCGGGGATCTTTGCTGTTCAAAATGACAATGTGTGTGACTCAATGCCGACCAAGTGTCATATTGAGCTTGCCTCTTATAGGCTACATAACGATGATGTTTGAGCCAGGGATCGTCTGTGACAACCAGCTCCGTTGTTTTCTTACTGTACATTGTCATGAGATCGATGATTGAACAACATCGTTTCTCCTGTTTATACGAAATTATCCAAATAATATAATGAACCATATACGTACCGATCAAACACTCAATCTAGTCTAGTCGATATATATACGCAACAAAACAACAACCAGGAAATCAGAATCAAAGAGCGCATGAAATTAATAAAAAGAGATATCTCCGCTATGAAGTAAAGCCATTGAACACGCTGCGAATTATATTCCTCTCAAGCATTCTCATTAAAGCTAGGCAGCGCCATTTGCAATTCCATATTAAGCTGGGATTCCCCTTCTTCCACACCAACATTATTTGAATCTTCAGGAACCTCCTTCAGCTTTCGGCGTCGTTTCAGTGTAGGTTGCAGCTGTCTCTGACCAGCAGGACGAAGGGCTTTACAAATGAGCCGAACCTGCGCCTCAGTATAATAAAGCCCCTTCCTCCTCAAATGGTAGTAAACATTTTGTCTGTTGACTATTTCCAGCTCTCCAATAGCAGCCTTAGCTTGTAGTATTGCATCGATATTAAGCTGGTTTTTCCGCTCTTCAGGTGTAAGCCGGAGGGAGACGCCAAGACGACGCCGGATGCGTTCAAGAGTCCGCGATGACGAAGGCGTGCCTTCGTCGGCGAGGATCTTGAGGATATCTTTCGTGCCAAAAAGAGGGAGGAGTTCTTTGACTCGGTCGCGGATTTTGGATTGTATGTTTGGGGAGGGTCTAAGGAGCTCCCAGGCTCGAAGGCGGTCTTTCAGGGTGGTTCGGCTGATGACGATTTCATATCTATTTTGGAGGTGGTCTATTATCTCTTTGTGGGAGGCTTTGGGGAATAGTTCGACGATTTCATCCTTGTAGGGCTCGAGATCGATGCGTGGGCGCGGCATGGTGTGGGGAAAGCTGGAGGTTCAAGAGTTTTCGGCAGGTGGCGGGAAAGAAGCTGGTAAACGTGTGGGTCAACCCGTCTATGTATGGAGTACTGTGACGAGCGGGATCATAGCCACCCCGCTTCTGATAATAGCTATTATGAGAGCTGCGCATTATTGTAACCAGGTGTACTACAAATTTTCAATAAAATAACATTTAACATGGACGTACTTTGTATTTTGTATTTTGTGATTTTTCTTTGTTGCTCAAAAGAGGCTTTGTTGATATAACTAATAATTTGCGAAATGGTCACATCTGCCCAGCTAACTCAATCGGTAGAGTGCCAGACTTTTACTCCAACAGTAATCTGGCGGTTGCCGGATCGTACCCGGCGTTGGGCGTTATTTTTTATTTTTTATTTTTATGTTTCTCGTTTTTTACCTCTCTTTCCTAAAACTGTCTACTCTTTTCAATATTCCAAAGTTCTTTATTCTATCCGTATGAAAATCTGTTATATTCTTTATAGGTGGAAATCCATGCTTCCAACCAAGACAGAGCAAACCGTCTGGCGAATCTTCTCACTCGTTGCTTTGGGCGCGCCCCGCCCCGGTGTTATATATACACATAAGATCTCTAATCGGGATAAGGTACTCAAAAGATACTCAAAAGATACTCAAAAGAATCAAACTATCCAGCCCATGTATGATCAAACCTCGCAGTGCTTCTCGTGACAATTATAACGTATTCCGTTTCACGTCGGGGCTGTTTAATTATTATGTTCATATCACTAAGGGAGTTGCCAGCGGGCTCTTACTATACAACGGTCGACTGGCTTTCCAGCGTTCCCCATATTTAGACATTTGTTGATACATCAAAGGGCCGAAACAAGTGATGCCCGAGCTTTATAGAACAAATTCAGGAATCATTCCAGAAACCGGCGCGCCATAATGTTGAAACGCGTATCGCGACTCTTGACAGTTGCAGGGTCCAGATTCTTCAGATAACCAGACGCAAGCTGTGTCCATCCATGATACGCCAGTTGCTGAGGATACATCGCACCTCTATTGGCATTGAGCGTTCGTTTGAAATTCCCGACCTCATCTCCTTTAATCGGTTCATGCATATACTTAATATGCTTCTTTGTCCAAGTTGGCCAAAAGAATGCTGCTGGGGAAAGGTCGCAAACTTCATCCGGAAATAAAACAGATAACTCCTTCGGCAAGATGACAGAGTGATAGTTCCACTCCGAACGAGAAAATGATACGTAGCTCTCGCGCCAACGTTCAATGAATGACGATCCTTGTCGAGCAATTATCACGGCATTGCATATTCCATGGCGGTCTCCACCTTCATTTCCGAGGATGAGATCTTTCTCCAAATGAAGAAGGCGATCGAAGTCGCGGAGGGGTATAACATCCGTGTCTAGGTATATCCCACCCTCATTGTATAGAATATCCAAGCGCAACAGATCCGATATATGGGATATCTTCCACTTTTGTTCCACCTGTACAGGGTATTCTTTCTTCAAGTCGTGTTGTACCAGGGTCAAGTGATTGGATACCTTTGCAAACCACTGGTTTTCTTTGTTGAGGGAGGTGTAGTGGAGGACGATCTGATCGGGTTGAAGCGAGATTAAAGTTGCTCGGATGGACAAGTATGTAATGAAGTTCAGATCAGGGTTGTTCAGCCATATGAAGTGAACAATGTTCGGGATTGGATTTGTCGAAACAATATCATTCGCAAAACACTTTTGTTCATCTTCGGTATCGTGAAAGTCGAATGTCTCAACTGCGCTATCGTCCGATCGGTCGATATGAGAACCGAAGTGATTTCTGGATAGGAAGAGTGTGGATAGAATCACTGAAACTGCGCAAAAAATTATTATAGGCTTGGTAAAATATTTGATTCGAGACATTTTGAGGAAAGATGGGCCCTGAATCTATAGGGGGGAGTCCCCGGGTAAAGTATTAGGGGTTTGTTGGCCGATCTCCCGTGAGGCTTGGATCTTGCGACACGAGAGCCACGGAATATCCCACGTGCGTATATCTTGTCCATGTTGGGGAATTAAATAGGGGAAGTTTCAACAGACGTGTTTCAACTCTGTTAGGCCTTTTTTCTTAGGCTCCTAGCTAAGTTACGCGACAACTGAAAGTCTTATCGGTACATAGGATCGTTATCTATGTGCCTGCCCATCTAAGCCTTGATGTTAACGTCCATTAAGGTGGTCTTCATGAACAACGTTAAAACAAGCAATCTTTAGCAATATTCGACGATTTCGTTGATTGTTTTCCTGTAATCGATCTCCTTTGGGCTAGGAAAGAAAAAGTCCAATCTAGTTCGACAAGTCTTCCTCCCATATTCTTAAATTGACAGGCATCATTAGCCATAGTTCCTAAACCATAAACTAACTTAACTACTCTATGCTTTAAAACATTACTATACCCCTCAACTGAGCTTTCATCCAAGAGCTGTGGTTACTATGGGCGGCATTCTAAGTATAAACAGTTCACTGGTGCTACCTACATGATAGAACACCCATGAGCCCAGCATGAAGACCGCCACGAGATCCATTTCCCACCTTTACAAACCAAAGCCCGTACAACTCAGCACCGAAGCTTTTAGAGCCAATGAGGTGTCATGTGAAGGTCAGTTCCCCTCCACACGCTCATAAAAAGTGGACCTGAAGCCCCTCTTCTTCATTTCACCTTGTATTCTCCACCCTGCAACAGCAATCACAATCACAAGCCCTATAGGGCTGAAGCTTAGCATTAGCCCAAAGCTACATTCATTAACAAGAGTCCACATAACCGGTAAATTCCTCTCGAAATCTAATTGGAGATCTAAATATGGCTAAAAGTAACACAGGTAATATCACACCAAGCGTCGGTGGGTCAGTATCACCCTCACCCAATTAATTGAAGAACATAACCGCCGACAACATGGGGTTTCTGAGAATCAAGCAAGAGATCACTTCCCAAAGAGATTGATGGCCTTGTTCGAGGGATATAAGGCGATCTGACTGCCCCGACCAACGGCTTCTTTCCGCAGACAATCTGTTTCCATTCATCCATATACTATATCAATTCACCAATACACCAATTCACCACTCGTACCTTTGAAGAATCATCTGCTTTCCACAATGGGTCTCATTAAACTTCTTCTCAAAGTCATCTTTGTCCCCATCGTTGTTCTCATTGTCATCGCGATCGCTATTGGCATCTGCATTAAGATGCGTCGAGACAAGAAGAAGGAAGAGGAAGAGGTCCAGCGACGAGGCTTTCAACCCCCTCCTGTGACGCAATGGGTCTATCCAGATCAACTACAGAGCCCTGTACAGAAGCCGACGCCGGTTGTCTATCCGATGCATACGCCGGGGCAAATGGAGGCAGGGATTGTCAGGCCTGGACCGTGATAGAAAATAGGTAAGAGAGGAGAAGAGTCCAGAGATGACAGGCTGGGGAATCATTCTGACTTCGGCCCTTTAGATCACGCTAGCTTTGAGTATCCGATGCTGGCTTTTTAATTAGCCCATGAGTGGACCAAGTAGGATTGTCTGTTTTGCGCTAATTGTCTGTTTTGCGCTATATCTGTGTCTTCTCTTTGTCTCATAATTATTCTATTTTACCATCTTTCATCCACGTCTATTCTCGATCCGTCCAAGTGGTGTCCGATGTTCAATATTTGATATGCATATTGAAAATATCTCCATTATACTTTCTAGCTTCCCATAATTCACGAGTTTGCCTAGTTCATGATTGCGTACCCATGCTTCAAACCACTCCAAACTTGAAAGTTGAAAGCCCCAGTATGACCATTTGTTTTAGTCCCAAGAGAAGATTGATCATATCTCCTCAATTGTACTTCTTACCCTATAGTGTGATTCATATTCTACCAATAGAAGATTTTATGATCCATAATTCTGCTGCCTAGCATCTGCATCTTGACGCCGTCCGACCATTTCAGGGGAAACACCTCAGGTCATACAGACAACGCGCCAGTCCAACCACATCTAAACTAAAAGCTAAATATGAAACAATTTTCTTTGACATATACCCTGTCCAGCTCGAAATTCACAGAATAGACGTATAAAGAGCACTGGAACAGAAAATGAATGATGTCGTATCTTCGCTGATCATCCTGCCCTACGACAGGGCTGAAGGGACTAGTAGTGTTCGGGACTAGGCTTGTATTAGTGATGGGGGTGTGGGCCGGAGGTATTTCATTCGTTTCATCACCAAATAGGAATTATGTCGCAGGAGGGCTATTAATGTTAAAGGCGTTCTCAGTGGGATCAGTTTTCTCTACTATTTTGTACTTTTATTATGGGCATATCCTCTTCAATGTCTTAAAAATCTCAAAGCTAATACCTCGAGGTAGTAAGTCTTCCTAAGGACAGGATTCGGGGGAAATGATCGAGCCATCATAAATCACTGGAATAAAAAGGTAATCTCAATTTTAGACTACCATACATTCTACCTAATAATAGGCCATAGGATATCTCTTTCAACGATTTGTCCACAGACCTGTAAGCGTCTTCATGCATTTAAGATCACGTGGTCTCGCCTATTTCCTGTTCAGGTCCATAGTGGCAAAAATCTCCACCTCTTCAACAACTAGTCCGGTATGGTGTAGTGGCTAACATCGCTGTCTCTCACACAGCAGCCGGGGGTTCGATTCCCCCTACCGGAGTTTCTTTTTGCTTTTTGCCACTCTAATTATCGACTTTATCATTCTCAATAAAATATCAGCTAACAGTCCTGGTCTATCATCAAGTGTAGTCTAGATTGAGGAAGGATCTGGTAAAGTGATTGAGATTCCTTCCAAACTACTTTTTAACCTAGCATACCTTTCACGGCATAGACCCAATACAATTCACTACTATAGATTTCTAAGCAGAGTGATGGAAATTCTTTACGAGTTCAGAAGAAAATGATACCCAATTGGAATATATTGGACTAACTATTAACACAATAAAGCCTATCAAAAACACCGATGCACTTAGTAGCTTTGCATAAACAGTATTAGAAACAGAAAGAAAGAAAGAAAAGAGGCGAAAAAGAAAAACATCAACATAAGTCATGACAAATTTAACAAAGATATCCCAGTACCGGTATGCTTGCGTATGCGTTTCGAATTTCAGAAGAATCAATTAGAAGTTCAGTGGACCAGACCATTGATTGAATCTAGGCAGAACCAAGGAACTTCAGCACAGACTCACGCTCCTCAACAGGAAGCATAGAGAGAACCTGCTGAACACCACGGAGACCACCCTCCTTGTTTCCGATGAGAAGCTGAGCAACCTCCGATGCAATACCTTCGGTGCGGAGACCCTCAACCTTAGACTGCACGAGCTTCTTGTTATCCTCGTACCAGGTGGCAACCTTGCGGTCGTCGTGCTCGATTTCATCGTCGAGCAGACCGGTCCAGGAGCGCAGAGAGCGCAGGTGAGCAACGCGGGGAGACTCGGTGTTGGTGTGGACGGGGATACCGGTAGCGGGGATGGTACCAGCGGCGCCAGTAGCGGGGGTTTGAACGGGAGCAGCAGCAACCATGCGCTTGACGATGAGCTCTTCGCTGAGACGGCGGCGCAGACGCCAGTAGAAGAAGCGACGGGCGTTCTGCCACTTGAGGGGTTGACGAATGGTGTTCTTGGCTTGCATGCGGCCGGCGCGGTCGTGGAGGTCGGCGAATTGGAGAGCGATCTGCATGTAGACGGGGAGGAGCTGCTCTTCGCGAGCGGCCATCTTGGTCTTGATCTCGGACAGCTGCTCCTTGGTGAGGGTTTGGTCTTCCAGGGAGCGGCGGAGGTCACCGTATGTAGGGTCCAGACGGGCCATGGTGTCGAGCTGCTTGTCACGGCGGTACTTGATGTTGACGATACCTTCGGGCTCGAGGACACCACCGCGGGATTCTTCATCAGCGTACATCTCCATCTGCTCGGGGTTGATGGTAGGATCAACGACGACCCAAGATCCACCACGGAGTTCACCATGGGGAGGAATGTAGACGAAGATGGGCTGCTCGTACTTGACGAGAGCGTCGACGATGTAGGAGCCGTACTTGAGAACCTCGTTGTACATGTCACGCTGACCACCAGAGAAACCTCTCCAGTTGGCAAGGATCATGACAGGAAGTTGCTCACCGTTGTTGAAGTCGCGGAGAGCCTGGGCGGTCTTGTAGGCGGAGTTGGGGTACCAGACACCACCGGCCTCTTGGGTGATCATCTCCATAGAGTCGGGGTTAGCAGGGTCGGCAGGGGTGACGTTCTCGACTGAGCGAGTCTCAACAGCGATAACACCCATGGGGATACCACCGAGACGAGCACGACCAACAACGACGGTCTTGGCCCAACCGCCAAGAGCCTCCTCGAAGGAGTCCTTATCGAACAGACCGGAGAGGAAGCCCTCCTCCTCCTGCTTACCTCCGATGAGCCAGCGGACATCGTAGGCCTGCTTGGCAGGGGGGGAAGTAGCCAATGTCACGGTCCCAGTCATCAGACCAAGCACGGATGGGGACGGGGGCACCCTTCTTGTCGGGGACGAAAGACATCCACTCGACAATCTTCTGAACACCCTCGAAGTCATCGGTGGCAGTCATGTGGGAGACACCGTTTTTGTACATGATCTGAGTACCACCAAGCTGCAAGTTAGAAGTGTAAACCTCACGACCCAGCAGCTTGTTGATGGCAGGGGCACCAGTAAGGATGATAGGCTGGCCCTCAACCTGGATAGCACGCTGACCAAGACGGACAAGGTAGGCACCGATACCAACAGAGCGACAAGTAACCAAGGTGATGGTGAAGATGTCCTCGTAAGCCTTGGAGGTGGCACCGGCAATAAGACCTGAGCCCTTCAGACACTCAACACCAAGACCATCCTTAGCACCAATAACGGTGGTTATCTTGTGACGCTCTTCACCGTCCTCGTTGATGGGCTCAGTAATAACTGTGCTCTCCTTGCTAGCATCGAAGCGCTTCTTAACCTCAGGGGTGAGGTAGAGGTACTTGAAGCCAGCCTCAGGCTTGGCAGGGTTGTTCCATGCAACGGAGAATTGAGGAATCAGCTCATCAGCAATACCGATACGGGCACCAGAGTTGGCAGACAAGTAGATACGTGGGATACCCAGCTTGCGAGCGAGCTCAGTGCACTTGTGGAAGAACTTGTCTTCCTGGGGGCCGAACGAACCAATCTGGAAGGTGATATCGTTGGCAACAATGATGAAGCGACGACCACGGGGGTACTCAGGGGTGCGGGCAGTGACGAGCCATCCGACCATACCGTGAGAGTTAGTACCAGGCTCACGGGAGACCTCCACAAGGTTATCAGTGTCATCAAGAACAAGCTCGCTGTAGTCGATGCACTCGCCAACAGGAGGACGCTGAGAAGCGAGAGAGGGAATAGTGGCGAGGGCCTTGGTCCAGCTGTTCTGGAAAGCCTGGCGGAACAACTCGGGGAAATCGTAGACGTACTGAGTTCCCATAAGGTGAGCCTTGTAACGCTTGGGCTGCAGCCACTCCTTGGTGGGGTAAGGTGTAGACACGGGGCGCATGTGCATAGAGCCGAGCTTTGTGGTGCCACCAATGCTCTGAAAGATCCACTCGCCCTTCTCGGACTTGCGCTCGATGTACAGCTCAACCTGAATGATGAATCCGTAGGTGTTGCTGATGATCACACGGAGAGGGTAAGGCATACCAGTGCTAGGGTCAGTGCAGAGGATACGGATCTCAGCACCAGTGACACGAGTGCGCCACAGGCGACGACCGAAGCGGTCGAGGAAGCCAGCCAGAGCTTGCTCGATATCAGCAGGCTCAAGGTTGAAGACAGGCGAGAAGTTGATGAAGATGTGGTTCAAGTCGGAGTTGTTGTTTCCGATAATCTCCATGGCATCCAGAATGTCGTTCATCAAACGATCAGCCTCCGAGATAAGGTACTCGGCAGTAGGGATGTCATCACGGAGACGACCAGGGCGCACCACGGTGCGGACGAAGTAACGCTTGTCAACAGCCTTGTCGTTCTCAGGGCCCTTGCCGAGAGCCTCGTAGACGTGGATGTTACGGTTCTCAGTGAAGACGGGCTTGATCTTGAACTTGGACATACGACCCAGTTCAAGCTGGAAGGCCAGAGCAGGCTCGTTGTGACGGATACTAAGGTCCTCCTCGTACAAAGGTCCACGGAAAGTGAAGTAGCCGGGGTAGACACCCTCCTTGCCACAGATGAAAGTGACACGGCGAATGCGACGGGCAAGCAGCTCCTCCTTGGTATCGGAGAGCAGCTTCTCCATCTGAGCAACAAGCTGGGCATCGTCAAGGTCCTCGATATCACGGATGGCAATGTTGCAAACTCCAGTGAGCTCGCTATCGTTCTCAGTCTTGATGGTGCTTGTGGGGCGACGCTTGCCCTCCAGATTGGCGATCAAGCCGCTGCTACCAGCAGCAGCCTTGGCGGTACCAGAACGAGGGAAAACCTCCAGAGCCTTAGCCAGAGATTCCTCAGCATCCTCCAGATATTGGACGGGAATGATCACACCCTTGCGGACGGGATCACTGGAGGTGTCGTTGATCATGTAAGACATGTCGCTGATAGAGTTGAGACGCTTGAAGGGGCTAGGGATCTCAGAGATAGGAGTGCCAGGGGCAGAAGGCTGAGTGGAAGAGACAGAGCCGAACTCAGACTGGCCAAGCTTGCCAAGGGTGAAGTCCCAAGACAAGAAGGGGCTCTCACTAGAGGGGCTGTAGTCAATGGCCTTGAGGGTGTAAGCACGGTAAGCACGGCGCACGTAGACCTCGAGAGCAGCGAGGGTAACCCATGGGTCGTTGTGGACGAAGAAGCGGGGAAGGACGTCGAAGACAGTATACTTGGAGTCAACAACCTCCTTCAGGGCACCGAAGTCGGGCTCGCGGTGCTCCCAGCCAGTCTCGCCATAGCGGGACTCCACAACCGAGGATCGCAGGATGTGCTCCATCTGGGACAGACGCTCCTCAAGGGAAGGCATGGCGCACTGGATAAGGACCTCACGGGCCTTGAGGGTAACCTTGGCGGCGGAACGAGCCTCGAGCTCGGTAAGCTTCTTGAGGATAGGCTTGAAGTGGGCGCTAACATTGCCAACCTCGGGCTGATTGGGGCGGTACATGTCAAGGATGGCTAGGATCAGGTTGTTCTTGGAACCGATACGGCTGTGAGACAGAACAGTAGCAACGACCTTGGTGATCTCCTCCTTGTTCTCCTCACGGAGCTTGAGGATGACATCTTCATCACGCTTGGTACCAGTAGAGAAGAGTCTCTCGACCTCGTAGTACTGCTCAAGGAGGCCAATGAAGACATTGTATTCAGCAACCTTCAAGCCATCAAGGTACTTGTTAATAACGTGAACCAGAGGCAGGAGAGTAGTGCGGAGGATCTCAGCATCAGCAGGGTTGACATTCTCCTCAATGAAGCGGACAAGGGTCTTTTGAAGCTGCTTAGCAGGGAACTCAGCCTGGCGAGCGCGGGCCTTATCAACAACGGTCTGCAGCTGAGCGTCCAGCTTCTGAGGCATACGCGAGTGCAGAGCAGAAGACTGGGCATTCCACTCTCCGTAGGGAAGGTCAGGGTTGCGAAGGACCTCAACCAGCTGCTTCAGGGTGTTGTTCATGATGACCTGGTTGTCGAAGCCACGCAGGATGTTCTCCAGGATGCTGTGGAGCAGAGTGAAACGCTGAGGAGGCTTGGTACCGAGAACGACAGGGGATCCAAGCTCGGGCAGCTGGCCAGTGAAGGGGTGGGCATGCTTAACACGAGAGGGGTCATCCAGAGCGAGAATACCGAGGATGTCACCAGCCTCAAGAGTAGCTCCAGGCTGCTTGATGAGCTGCACAATACCGTCTTCTTGGGCGATGAGAGGCATGTACATCTTCATGACCTCAACTTCGGCGTAGGCCTGACCGGCACGAACGTGCTCGCCGTTGTCAACGGTGAACTTGACCAGCTTACCGGGAGAGGGCGAACGGAGCTGAGTAGGGTCGTTCTCCTGCTCCAAGAGACAGGTCTTTCCGTCAACACTGAGACGGGTGGCAGCAGGCTCCTCCTTCCAGTAAACGTTGTGACTGCGACCGTTCAGCAGAACAAGCAGACCACCGTCAGCCAGAGCGCGGACACCAACGGAGCACTTGGATCCGTTAATGAACAGGTGGTAGCTGTCAGGGCCGGCACGGGTAGCAGTGAACTTGTAGCGGTAACCCTCGTAGATGAAATCAACGGGGAATACGGTCTTCAGGACATCCTTAGAGGGAACCTGACCCTTCTCAAGGCCACGACGGTACTCATCGACACCAGCCTCACTGGCAAGGTGAGCCTTGGTGACAGCACCGCAAAGAGTGGCGATAATGGGATCGGGACGCTCAGCAGTCAGCTTGTTAGAGATCAGCTGATCCAACCATCCGGTGGTGATGGTGTTGTCCTCGAAGGCAGGGGTCTCCAGAAGCTTAATGAGGTACTCAACGGTGGTACGGAAATCACCACGAATGCTCAGTTCCTTCAGCGCCACAACCATGTGCTTTCGCGAAGCGGAACGGTTCTCACCGTAGGCGAAAATGTGACCGAATTGACTGTCGGAGAAACTGTGAATACCACCAGCTGTACCGACGGAGAAGTAACCCCAGACATTGGAGGAACTACGGAAGTTCAGCTCGTGCATAGTACCGCTGGAAGGCTTGAAACCCTCGCCAGGGTCTTCAGAGGTGATACGACAAGCAGTGGTGTGACCCTTGGGCTGTGGGCGGCGCTGGACCTGGAAGCTCTCCTCGCTAGAGAAGTCGAAGTCGATCTCGGAAGAGGTGTTGGGGTCAACACCGTATAGGAGACGAATGTCACGGATCTGGTGCAGAGGGATACCCATGGCAATCTGGAGCTGGGCAGCGGGCAAGTTGACACCAGAAACCATCTCAGTGGTGGGATGCTCGACCTGAAGACGGGGGTTCAACTCAAGGAAGTAGAACTTGTCATCGGAGTGGGAGTACAGGTACTCAACAGTACCAGCGGAAACGTAACCGACCAGACGACCCAGGCTAACAGCGGCCTTCTCCATGGCCTGGAAAGTAATGGGCTTGGCGATAGTCACAGGAGCCTCCTCGATAATCTTCTGGTGACGACGTTGCACGGAACAATCACGACCAAAGAGGGAAATGTTGTGTCCGTACTGATCGGCCAGCAGCTGCACCTCCAAGTGGCGGGCATTTCCAGCCAGCTTCATGATGAAGATGGGCGAACCAGGGATCTCATTCGCGGCCGCATTGTACAGAGAGACGAAGTTCTCCTCGCTCTCAACCTTACGGATACCCTTACCACCACCACCTTCGGAGGCCTTGATCATGACAGGGAAACCAATTTCCTTGGCCTTTGCCAGACCCTCCGCGGGGGAGTATGTACAACCCTTGCTGTAGATCTCATCCCTAACGGTCACAATTCCCTTATCGTCAACTTCCACATCGTCGACACCGGTTCCTGACCAAGGAATACAGGGGACACCGGCGTGTTGTGCGACAATGGTAGAGGAGATCTTGTCTCCCAGCGAGCGCATGGCCGAAGCGGGGGGACCAATGAAGATAATCCTCTTAGGGGAAGCAGCCAGAGACTCTGGTAACCGGGGGTTCTCAGAAGCGTGACCCCAACCAGCCCACACGGCGTGGACATCCATACGCTCTGCCACATCGACAATCAACTCGACGTTGGCGTAATTATTATTATTTGTACCACCGGGCACTTCGACGTATTGATCGGCCATACGAATGTAATCGGCGTTTGCGTGCAAATCTTCGGGGGTGGCCATAACAGTGAACTGAATAGCGCGCTCATTGCCGAAAGTTTCATAAGCCCATTTCCGTACTGAACGGATCTCTTTAACGGCGGCGATACCGTTGTTGGCGATCAGCACCTAGAGAGAGAGAGAAATCGCGAATGTTAGTTTTTAGTTTTTTTTTTTTTTTTTTTTTGGTGGTTGTTTTCCCCTTCATCTTCATATTTCAATCCCAATCGCATGGATCTTGTACAGATCTCATTTTTCCTCCCTATTTCTGTTTCATGATTCCCCGCTTCTTCATATGTAACTTACCGAGCTGATCACGGAGTGACCACCATGATTGGCAACAAAGTCCTTGACGGTACTGGGAGGCGCTACTTCCAGGTTGTTGCCACCGATAAAATGTGAGGGGAGGCCGCTAGGGTGTGCGTTGCCGTTGGGAGCACCCATGATGTGTATGTGTCGATCAATTTAGACCGATTCAACGCCCATACAGAGAGTCGTGGTGTGTGTGGGTGTGAGGGAATTCGGATATTAAACAGCACTGCTGCCAAGAGAGAGAGATAATAATGTACAAATGGATAGGAATTCCAGTGGCTGATCACGGAGGAAAAGAGGAGGAGAAATCTAGAAAGAAAGAGGGATGATCAGAATGGAGAAAGGCCACAGTAGATTAAGGAAGTGTTTCGAAAGCAAAAGTGCTATCGAACTCCCGTCAGCAGTTCCTGAGTTGTGGCAGGGGCCAAGGAAAAGCCGCAAGCGGAACTGGGGCGAGAGGAACACTTGAGAGTTGTGTTGCAGAGAGATGTTAACTAATCCACGTACCGTAGAAAACCACCACCACGAAAGAATAGGGAATAAAAAAATTATAAATTGGTCAAAATGATCCTCAAGACCAGAACTGGGAGTTCATGGATATAACAACAAACCCTTTTTATTCTCTTTTTCCCACGATTAAAAAAAAAAAATTAAGTTGAGGAAATTCATTTCTGCTTCGACCCCACCAAGTTGTCAGAGTGGATCCCCCTCCAAGTACCTTGTCATAGTAATCAATATGGCAAGGTACATGTAACCCTCGATGGACTGTAGTGTAAGTGGAGGCCCCCAACCAGGTACCTGTTGACCACGCCGAGCTTTGTTGGGCGGCGTCTTCCAACATTTTCTTCCACGCCCAATCATACTCGCGGCCCCTATCCACTCCAATCACAACCGATCCGGACCACACTTAACTACAATGGGGTATAAGATAATTAATTTTAATAACCCTATACACTGTCCTGGGGACTTGGACCTGAACCTGGACCTAGATCTGGACCTGGACCACCTAGTTACTCCGTAATACTTAGTAAATACTGTACTTCTGACCATCATCTACCGGAACTAGAGGGGGGGGGGGGGGGAGGAGATTGTGCTGACCCCAGATCGGGTTCCCGTAACCACTGAACACCAACGCTAGCACTGTTGGTCTCTCGGTTCGGGGTAACAGTGCACAACCCCCAACGGCGAGTATTCACGGCGGGTTTCGCCCCTAGATTCTACTTTAGTTCTAGTTCTGCATACATTAAAGATTCAACAACATCCCGTTAATTCCCTTTGCTTCTGTATATAAGGATGCACACATGACCCATACCTCGTGAAGATTATCCCCGATGTCAGTTATCGTCATGCTCGGAACATAGTCTCTATACCATTTTTCCGGATCCGCCCCGGGTCCTAAATTTCGGCCCCTTCTGCAGTCTGCATGATGACGTTGAAGCGTTAGACCAAAAGATACTCCGATGAATGTACCCTCCGATGGTTGATCCCTATAATATCTACAAGATTCTACCTACAACGCAGGTAGGTGTACGACCACTCCCCCGGGGCCATCTTGTATATTGTTTCATAGTCACTCTCTGACAAGTGTCAGCCCCAAGCGTATTTACTTATTGCGGTGGCCGACACTTATTCAAATCAACGTCTGTACGCTCACTTTTCATATGAAAATGTTACCTCCTGAGCTAGTAGCTACGAAGTGGTCATATTGGGAGTCAAAAATCATTTATACAAGGAAGTCTCCGGCCAAATAACCTTCCATGTTCCACTTCTAAGGTTAGCCATTTTGAAACTTAGTGTGCCGTAATACTCTTACACAGAAGCTAGCTCCGGGGCCAAACTATCCTTTATTTACCGTTATACCGTGTTTTATTACAAACCCTATTTCGGAGATTATTCAACTCTATGCCCGACTACAAAAGATGCACTCGAAGAAACAACTCTAATTTTAAGACACACTATGAAACTTGAATTCATGCGAGAAGAAAAATCGTGGGTATTATTTAACGCCGCGCGACTAGGAATATGAAAAAAATGTTGCTGAGACACAGCTTAGGACGTCCTAGAATCCATCCAGAACGAGATAGACCAAGAAGGGCACATGAAGTAAGACGTAATAGAGTAGAAGTGGGGGAGAAAAGAAACTCAACCACATACATACATGTATATGGCTGGTCCCTCACAAAGACACGCCACCAGGGGCGCCAGGACTAAAAGGGCTGTACAGGAAAGTGCAAAATGGGGAGAAAGGTCTAACAAGGTCGATCCACCACCCAGGGGGGACCGAATCATAATTGCAACAGGCAAAACATGTAAAATGCAGGAGCAGATTGAACTCAGAAATCCCATTTTCCCAGGCAATAAAAACAAATGGTCTGAAATCTGGCAGCAGTCAAGGATCATAGCGTAGACTAGACTAGACAAGAATGATATCCCAGTGTATAACAACTATCAACTAGCCATGTGGGCAAGTTCAGTTCTCCTTGGTGATAACGTATATCTCATAAAGACCCCCACCAATGGTGGCGAGTTTAAAAGGTCTCCCCCAAATCATTCACCTGCTTCCCAGGCGGTTTCATCCCTGGGCCAATGCTTGATTTGAAACTCCGGGGTGTGGGGATGGCTGAAACACCACTAGTGGTACGCTTCTTTAGCCCACTTGGGGTTGCGATTCCCGAGACTGATGGCCGTCGCAGATCTAGCGGGATACGGGAAATCGGCGTGGAGACGTCACGGTCCTCGTCAATGTTAGACATACTACCGACAGAAGGTGTTTGGCCATTGTGATTACTCAAAGAGGAACGGGGCCGTCGACTTTCAGTAGTTGGGTTGGTCGAGTAATGACCCAATGGGGTCTTAGCACCAGGTCGGCTCTGTCGGCTTTCTGGTCGGACGGGAACGCCTGAGTGAACACTTTGGCTGAAGGAACTCCGACTAGAGAAGCTAGTCCGGCTGCTTGGGCGACTATCTCCTGTCCGCGCACCGAATGATTGACGGCTCTGGGGAAGGTAGGAAGGGGTGTCTTCGCTGTCTCGCACTGATGAACCAAAGCTACTACCACTCAATCGCTTTCGAGAGCTTCGTCGTACGGTGACAGTTGAAGGAACTGGGCTGTCTCCGATAAGCGAACCGGACCGAGGAGAGCCACGAGATGAAGTATCTGAAGGAGCCGGCAGTCGCGACTTAGCAGACTGTACTCGTTCCTCGAGCTTCTGCATTTTGCCAATAAGGCCCCGAATCTGGTATAGTGAGCCAGACTTGGGTAATCCTGAAGGGCGGGGGGTATTCATTCTCGTCATGCTGTTGCGAGAACTGATGGAGGGGGTAGTGGAGCGGGGGGCGCTGCTGTAGGCAAGAGAGGAGGTTCGGGAATGAGTAGGGCGTGGCTGAGTTCTCGCATTGTGCAAGGTTCGAGAATTGATAGCATCTGTTCCAGTGACTCTGGTTCGAGGGAACGTAGGAGTAGCGTTGATAGACTTGCGGAAATTTGTCGAAGCCTCTGACATAGGAGGTGAAGGAGGAGTCGCAGTAGAAGCTGTCAATGTTGACTTAGCAGGGGGTGTTGCAAAAACTGGAGATGATGTTGCTGTTCCGGGAGACCGATCGAAAATCTCGAAATGCTGTGGAGTGGATGGACTGCGATACAAGGGAGTCGGCTTGCGACGACGGTACCCTCCGCCCTCGGCGTGTCGCAGTCTCTCTTGAACAATCTCAGCTTCAACCTTCAGATCGGAGAGCTCATCGCGAAGACGCTGGTTGTCTATCCGTAGACCCTCTCGCTCTTGATCACCACTTCTCATCTCCTCCTCCAGCAGTACTCCACGTTCAATGGCCATGTTGAACTTGGATTCCATGTCCTCCAGGGACGAGGTGGTATTACGGGCTTGTCTTTCATAGTCATCGTTGGCAACTTCAATGTCACGCAGCTTCAGTTGGAGGGTTCGGCTCGTATCACGGAGAGAGGTGATTTCTTTTTGCAGGGTGTTTTGGGCAGCATTGGCTTCGGATTTGGACTGCTTGTACTTGGTCTGCGAACAGATTAGCCACAGCACGGAGATGGAAAGATTAACACGAATTAACCACATACCTTCCATTCATCAACCTCGTATCGCAGTGTATCCACTTTCTCTTTCAGCTGGCGCTCTCGCTTCTCCGAAGCTTCAATGTCCTTCTCCAGCTCAGTCTCCAGCTCCCGGCTGGAGACCTGAAAGTCCGCAAGCTCTGACTCTAACTGCTCATACTGAGCCTTGTAATGCGCAAGCTCATCCCTGTATGAGCTGCTGGTGTGTTTTTTCTCCGAAAACGATTCATCGGGGGCAGGCATCTTTCCGCGTTCAAACACCCCGGGGGGGCGGCGGGTCGCAAAGGTATGCGCGAGACCAAATTCACCGATTTTTTCTCCCAAAAGCCAAGTCCAGAAGTATGTCAGCCTTATCTAAGGTCCAAAAACTTCTTTTTGTCGTACTATGCGCTTGTTTGGTGTTGAGGGCGTGGGTTGTTGATGCCCCTCGGCGAGGCGGTGACGCAGCGATATCACGGATAGTTCAATTTGGCACCCTCCACCGTAGAGAGCGTAAATGCGATAGGGAGGGAAGGTTTCAGATGGAAACCACACCGAAGCCGAGAAAACTTACCTTAGTATTTCCCTTTTCTTTGATCGGAACTCCCACGGTGGTGGGCGCTTTGGCAAGCGGAACTGGACTGCTGATTAGATTGTTGATATTTAGGGGGGGCAAGGCCGCGCTAACATTGATCAGTCGCCATGGGACACACGTGTGTTAGGTAATCGTACGATCGGCCCACATTGGCAGGTGGATACTGCATATGATTGGATGATGATGCACTATTGTGACGATCTCAAAACCCCAGCTCTTATACACACAACCACTCCGATCGCGTGGAGAGATTATTTGATGAGACGTCAGGAGTATTCTTGTTATTTTGAGTTTTTGAAGCCTGGCCGCTCCAATAGGTATCAAGGATGCAATACAAAGCTAAGGACTCGGAGTTATCGATAGGTGGCATACTAAAAATCATAATGTGAATGTGAATGAATACTACTATATATTTCCAAGCCTATATGGGACAATATCTCAAAAAAAATGGAGCATTTAGCGGTCCAAATTTATTTTCTTACTAATTTAGACAGCTGTACATAAGAATAAAGTCTCAAAATAACAATTAGGTGGTTTATATCGTAAATAAGAAGTAGAACACAGAATTGACCTGCTTCAAACAAACAGCATGTGAGGGTAGTAAATTGATGCCTCAGGCATAAACATGGATTATCTAACCCCCGGTGGTGCAGGGCCCGATCTCGATCGTGCCTAGAAGACCTAGGCATCTGGGGTAAAACAGAACTTCTGCGCGAGAGAAACTTGAAGGCGAGGGACTATCAGTTGCGTGTAGGTGTATGTTTGTTTCCCCATGTCCCGTGGCTCGGCATCCCGCTTGTCATGACCCTCTTTACCCCCCTCCCCGAAGCATCCGATCTGGGGTCGTGCTATGCCCACGCACGGCTTCTTGGGATCGGGGCCTGATCGTCGTGATTGCTTCCACGCACTTGTTTATCACCGTCCGCTCCGGGTTTCCGCAATCGTTACAAACGGCCAACAAGACCTGCGAAGGCTGTTATTGTGATGTGACGACCAATACTGACCTCACCTTCTCACAGAGTGAACACCGCTCAGATCGTGGCGTCATCATCCCCTTCGTCCGCAATGGCGGACCCAGCAGATTTGAACCTGGACGCGCCGAGCGACCTCCAGGACATTCCTGAGCTGGCCATGCAATTGATTCCCCCGCCTGAGGGAACATATCCTGATAAGTGCGTTGCTTGATGATCTCTCTAGCCAATTGGTGTCGCGTTGCTGACTTAGCCTTATCGCTTTGTTCTAGGAACTCACTGCTCACGGCAGTCCAGTCTCACGGCAAGGCCCATGGTTACAATGTGGTCGTCAAATCCTCCAGTACCCCTACAGAGAAGAAGCCAGGCCGTACCGCTAAGGTGTGGCTGCGTTGTGATCGTGGTGGACACTACCGACCGCGAAATGGGCTCACGGAGGAGACGCGCAAGCGGAGGCGGACGTCAAGGCTGATGGATTGTCCGTTTATGTTGGTCGCGGCTGGTTCGCCGGGCATCTGGACCTTGACGGTGCTAAATCCAACTCATAACCATGGACCTGTCATTGAGAAGCCTCGCCAGGTATCTCACCACAAGGTGCGCAAGGGTCAACTACCGGCCCTTCCATACGATTGGCCGCACGATGCAACTTTCACCCCATACACGACCGCGCTTGTGATTATCGACATGCAAAAAGATTGTATGTAGCCGCCGTATCTAATGAGGCGCATATTGGCACAGTGATTGAGAGACTAACATTTGTCATAGTTTGTGCGCCTGGTGGATACATGGAATATCAGGGCTATGATATCTCTGCGGCGCAAGCATTGATTCCCAAGCTACACCGGCTTCTAACTACATTCCGCTCTGAGAGATTTCCTATTTACCATACACGAGAAGGTAAAAAATTCTACAACTTTCACGAGGAAGACCAATCGACTGACCTACCATGCAGGACACCGACCAGATCTGTCTACTCTTTCAAGCCGGGAGGCATACCGCTCTCGCAACAATGCTGCAGGCATGGGCATTGGCTCGCATGGACCACTTGGTCGCCTCCTCATTCGAGGGGAAGGGGGATGGAACATCGTGGACGAACTAAGTCCCTACGCAGACGAACCGGTGATTGATAAACCCGGACGCGGTGCATTTGCGCATACAGACTTCGAGCTTCTCCTTCGGAATAAAGGTGTAAAAAATCTCGTCATTGCAGGAGTTACTACCGATGTCTGCGTATCTACGACGATGCGCGAGGCCAACGATCGCGGGTTCGATTGCGTGGTCTTAGACGACGGTACTTCTGCCGCGGAACCATCTCTCCATAACAGCACGATGGAATCTATCAAGATGGAGGGTGGCATCTTTGGAGCTGTGGCTAAGATTGAGGACGTAGTGCATGCAGTTGAAAACTTCAAATCCGTCACTATGAAGAAGCTGGCTCCTCAGATGACGGGTTAATCATTCATCAAGTTTTATTTAGCGGATCAATTTGAACGGTTAGGAGTGGGAGGAACTTCGGACGGCGTTATTTATGGGACCATGCTTCTCATTTTCTTTGATTTTTAGTTTGTTTCTTCGGTTCGATTTACGTTACTTGAAGAGCGCTTTCCAGCCTGGACTCTGGCTTTTGAGGGATTTAGCGAGCTCGGATTTGGATTGTTTGTTCCATTCGGTGAAACACGAGGATTACTTCATCTAGGCCTTGAGATTTGTTTGATTCTTTCATCTCCAAGTCCAAAATGCGACATAGCATAATATGCATAGACTGCCCAAATCAGGATCTTCTGGGGTATCATACATCCCTATTCCCATTGACTTCTCCGTATCTCAATATTCCCAGGGTTGTATCCATAGGATAAGCCGAGATCACAGCTCTAGTCCACTAATTATTGACAAGTGAAATAACACATACACAGTATGAAAAGTATGCAAACCCTAACGCCGCGCTACAAATAAAAGATGTATCGTTCACAGCCACTTCTTCCCCGCAGCGGTGACCTTCGTCCGAAAGACGGGGCTTCGAATCTCCATCCCCTGCTTATAAAATGGGCTCATGGCCGTCTTGACAAAGCTCTCATAAATCTCACTCATAAATTGGCGCACCGCCTCCTCAGTCTGCGGCGAGGTCGGGTTCGCAGCAATAGAGCTCGACGAGGCGCGGGTGGTAGATCCACCCGGACCCAGGAGAGAGGAGGACCCAAGGCTTCCAGTATTGGAGTTCGGGAGTTGCGGAGGTTGATGAAGGAGAAGAAAGCGCGCGCCACTAGGAGTGAGGAAGGCAGAGATATATGCTGCTGCAGGAGGGTAGGTGTCGACGTGTTTGAGGTACCTTTGTTTGGAAAGTTAGAGTTCAAATGTTCAAATGTTCAAATGTTCAAATGTACTGGTCGATTGGTGATGCGCGCGATATCACGAGATCGAGAGTAGAAGTCATGCAGAAGAGGATTTAGCTTACATTCCACCGTTCGTCCATTGTGCTTCTTCCACGATGTCCAGACTTGAATGAATGATGAATTGGTTCATGTATTGTGCTGTGTCTGGGAAACGGAATCGAGCAATGCCATCGCCGCCACCTTTAGATGTGCCAAAGGCAATGTTGAATATGGGAGTGTCCGTGGGTGAAAGGATGGTGAAATAGTATGACATTTTGGCGGATTGGGATGAGGTCGAGGGGTAAATAGTTCAATACAGCTTGGGGAACCTGGAGGTCTTCCGCCGCCATCAACGGGCTAAAAATATTACGTAATACGATGCATCTGTTCAATGTCTCATAGAGCGAAGGGTATGAGGACGGAAATTGGAATGTAATTGAAAATATTTCTATCAATAAAAGAGTTTATACGAAAAGTGACTTGGTTATTGATCAAGTTTCTATTTTCGTGGTCGTATTTTACTTTTTTGGACAATATATGGGTTTCAAGTATGATCCTCTCGAAGTATGCACAGATCTACCTTTGCGGCGGAGATCGTGATGTAAACACTGCACATGTGCGAACGTATCACTTACTACATAGAGTTAGCGAGTTAGCTATTACATATGAGATCATGCACCTACACACTCGGGCGGGGAAACCCTTGGCTGGGTTAGATAAGATGACTGTGTACATATGCATTCGCTTCCATTACATAGATTGAATAATCGTACATGATTCTAACTCATCATTTACTGTCTATCCTTGTAATAAATAGTGAGCTTGTGAGGAATACTAAAGCTACTAAAGGTACTATATCGAAGGCCGCAGTATGGTGTTGTAAAAAACCATCATATTAAGTTGTCATGCATATGTACACTCTCATCCATATTAAACTTCTAATCCGTATACCCATTATCCATTATCAGTCATCCATCAAAGCCAATTCATCAATATTTCAAATTTATCCTTTACAAGAACTTGCGTTCAACTTGAACCTTAACACAGCTGGGGTTCTGGGGCTTGGCATTGCCATTACCATAAAGCCAGTTGAGAGTGTGATAAGTGTACCCAGTGTAGTAAGTCTCGCAGAGGTACCAGGACTTGAGGACCTTGACGGTGTCTCCAGTAGGAGGGGTGACAGTGTCATCAAGGTAACTGTAGATGCCCATAAGTTGGGTCTTGACATCGAAGAAGATATCCTGCTGGTCATAGCTGGGCTGGAACATAGGCATAGCGAGGTTGGTGGATGGGTCGCTGTAGAAGCTCATGGGCTCAGACTCAACCGGGGGATCTGCATTATGTTAGACTGATATATTTTCAAGTAGAGAAATAAAGTAAAGGTTCACGTACCACCGCCGCCAAGAGGAAGGTTCCAGATAAGAGCACCAGGGAAACCATTGCCCTTAACGGGTGCTTGTTCGCCCTTGGTGTAGTTCAGGTAGAACTGTGAGCCGGAGTCACCGGCCAGGCAGAGGGACTCAATGGCAGCGCCGGAATGGCAAGCCCCAAGCTTCTCGCCATTGAAGGACTTCTTGGCCGCCTGTGAAATAATCAGGTGGAAGGGCTTGGATTGGACCTCTTGTGCCGAAGCAGCTCCGAGGAGCAGGAGCAGGGAAGAAGACAGAGCGACAATGGACTTCATTTTGAATGGAGAAGATGTGAGTGTTGTAAAGTTAATTGCAGAAGGAAGAAAAGAGGATGTTTTGGAGTCTGATGGAAAAGAATTTGTGAAGGTACCATGGAGCCTTTATTTATACTACATTGTTCATGAACATACTTCGGGGGGATTTACCGGATACGATAGCCATGCAGGGACTTTGATGTTGGCAAACCCCGCTGAGACATGCGTGCTTTAGCGTGGTTGACCTTATTCAGAAACTGGGCAGATCGTCGCTTTAGCTTCCTCGCTAGCAAATCTTCATCGACATTATTACATCACCGCACTTGGGATTTTCTTTCTCATTGTTAAAATTAAACAGTGAATCTATATCAAGAGGCCAAGAAAAGCGGGAGTATGGAGCTGGGGTTGAAATTGCCGAGTTATGAGAGAGGCTTAGAACGCCACTGTAAATCAAGAATTCTAGGGACGGGGTTGCCGGAGAACATCAGAGGCGAGAGCCGATACCGATATGCCCGTGTGACTTCAAGATCCCGCACGGGCCTCGCATAAACAACATCTAAGCCCGAATAGTGAGGAGGTCGTCGGATGATTCGCATATGATGACTGGAATAGGTTCATGTCTCATAAATCAAAGGAAGCTGACAGAGCTAGAAAGAACTCCGGTTAGGTGTAAAGCAATTTCAGCAATTGTTGGGGTTGGAATGTGCGTCCTGAACAAAAAATGTATTTCTACTTTTCTGTTTAAGAAAGTTGTCAATTCAAGCTATTATTAGCTCTGATATCGACATTATCACACTCGTTTCTTTCTTCTCTATTGATGAAAGTTTAATTCTTATCAAAATGCCGTCCAAACGTATAGCGCAGCCCATGGTTCATGGTTGAACTAGCGTACTATTACAGTAACATGATATAATTTATCCACGTCATAATGGGCTACGAACCCTAATTTAGTATTCCTTTGCAAAATAGCCAATCTCTTTGACCAAAATAATGGAATTCCGCCTTCGTGAACAATTGTTGTCAAGAACCCTTTCAAATTATCGTATCCTGAAGCTTTAATAGTCTTGTTTTCAAGATGATAAACCCCAAAGACTGCGACGAATCCGAATTGGATATTCTTGGTCGTAGTTTCCTAAAGGAACTCCTCCCATTTATAGAGACATATGGATATGATGGAAGATCGCAGTTCTGGGACATCATTGACTCCAAGACCAATCACTCAGATTCTCAAACCTCGGATGCAAGCCAGTTTCTCTTTTTTTATTCAAGAAAGCAGTCAATTGAAGCTCTCATCAACTCTGATATCGACATTAACAAACTCGTTTCTTCCTTCTCCATTGATGAAGATTTAGTTCTTATCAAAATTCCGTCCACGACACATGGCGCAGCCCACTATGAACTGAATACCATTTTGCTCGATGCCCTCCGCCCTATGGGCCTACACAAAACCATTCAAGGCTACCCGAACACTAGAATTCGATCAGAGAGTGCCGCACGTGGAAAGCAACCAGACTGTGGATGGGGTCCCAGGAGACCACCACGTATGCCAGGTCGCTCGACTACGAAATCCCCTACTGTGGTATTGGAGGTAGCTTACTCAGAGTCGAGACGAAAACTACAGTCTGATATTCGTTATTGGTTAAGCCCACGGGAGGGCAATGCAAAAGTATGTCTAACGATGGACATTCATCGCCGCGACTCGACAATTTTGGTCGAAAACTGGACTAGAAACGCCAATGGGCGAATTTATCGCGCCCAGCATATTGAGATTACTCGACAGGACCAGACAATAGTGAGCGGGGATTGGCCCCTCAGAGTCCCGTTCGAATCTCTATTCTTACGCGAAATAGACCGGTCTAGCCCTAGAGAGCGAGAAAACATCAACATCTCTAAAGCAAAGTTGATAGAGCTTGCGTCAACCATTTGGGAAGCAGAAGACGTATAAAATCCCGCCAATCGTTTTGTTTCTTACATCATCATTACTGTTGTGCTTATAGCTCTCAGCTTTACTTTCGCTTTCACAATAATATCACCCTAAAGATTCCCATTGAGGTATTGGTATATCAAATAATTCGTACATATAGAATCACCCTTTCTACGATTAAGAGAGATTAACGACCGTATAGAACCAGGTAACGACGAGGATTCTTTCGAAATTCTTCAATTGGGACTTCGTGGGTATGAAGACATCCAGCGTTGTATTTATTGTAGTGCTCTACATAGACTGGATCACAGCGATCGACCAGCTCTGGCGGAATACTGTTGTGCAATGGTTGGTGAATGTCACGCATCTGAGGTAGTATGAAGAAGTAAGAAAAAGTGTGAAGATATATGTATGTATTTATGGCATCAATCTATTCTCGATGGTGTCTTTGTGGGGGGGAGAGAGGGTGAGAGTGGCTGGCCACTTAATGTTACTTTTTTGGCTCTTCGTTTATGCTTCGTTTATGCCTCGGGAAGAAATGGCCGAACCAAGTGAATTCCCCGCAAGAGTGGCACGGCAGGGTTCCACTAAGGGTCAGCGGTGTGGACCGGCAGTAAATGAACGATACGGCCTTATCGTCAGGTCTTGCATTTAGCCTTGAACGCAGAAGAGACCTCGGGAGACTTGTGATGCTGACAGGCTGAGACAGCCACATTCACGCCTCAAAATGCCAATTCAATTCTCCGGTGGACTGAATCTGCCGATCAAGAAGCCCGCACCGAAACCAAACAATCCCCTGGGACAAAAGCGAAAGAAGAATATATTCGACCACTCTGACGACGAGGATAACCAGAATGACAATGGCGCCGAAGAGGTGTCTACTCTTGGGGGGCTTAATGCGCCCGAGTCGACCTCGAAACCATCGAAGAGCGCCGGACCTCCGCCGAAACGAAAGATGCAGATTGGGACCGGAAAGCCAAGTGCGAAACCACTTAACAAGAGCTCGATATTCGCCGCCGACGAGGACGAAGACGAGGAAAACGAAAAGGAGCGCCAAGGAGAGGTCCAATTTGGGTTAAACTCCAAAAAGGGAGCCGCGAGTCCCAAGGAGTTCACCAACCTATCTGCGTTGCACAGCAGCAGAAAGCACGCCAAGGAAGCAGAAGAACTGGACCCATCGGTTTACTCCTACGACGCCGTATATGATAGTCTGCATGCCAAGCCCGACAAGTCTGCGACATCAGCTAAGAGCGAAGTTCCGAAGTATATGGAAAACTTGTTACGCAGCGCTGAAATCCGCAAACGAGACCAGCTTCGAGCCCGTGATCGACAACTAGCCAAGGAACGAGAAGCCGAGGGCGACGAGTTCGCCGAGAAAGAAAGCTTCGTTACAGGCGCCTATAAGATACAACAAGCCGAGATGCGGAAGTTGGAGGAAGAAGAAGCCCAGCGGGAGAAGGAGGAAGAGGAGCGAAAGAAGAAGAATGGCGGTTCGGGGATGGTCGATTTCTATCGCGACATGCTATCTCGGGGAGAGGCCAAACATGACCAGGTTGTCAAAGCTGCAGAGGAAGCAGCCCAACGCGTTAAGGAGGGCGTCAACACCGAGGAAACTACAGCTGAGACTGAAGAAAAGTCCGAAGCTCAAAAGGCTGCTGATCTTAATGCCCATGGTGCTCACATAGCTACCAACGACGAGGGTCAAGTGGTCGACAAGCGTCAGCTATTATCCGCAGGTCTTAACGTTGCGCCAAAGCCAAAGACAGCGCCCGCTGGCAACAAGCCAACGGCTCGTGGCCCGGTACGACCAGCCGCTGCAAGTTACCAGACTGGCCGTGGTGCTCAGCGCGCTCGCCAGACTGAGATGATCACGCAGCAACTGGAGGAGCAAGCTCGGCAAGAGGAAGAAGCGGAGGCAGCCAAGCAGAAGGAGCTGGCCGAAAAGAGTCGCAGTCAGAAAACATCTGGAGATGTGTCCAGCGCCAAGGAGCGTTATTTGGCCCGCAAGCGCGAGCGAGAGGAAGCTGCGGCGAAAGAGAAGGCCGCGAAATAAGCATGGGGAAGTACTTTGTATATTTTGCATATTAGGAGTCTTACGGAGTTTAGGCATATATGGTGTTTTGAATTGGATTGTATCACTATATAGGAGAACATTTAGAACACTGATGAATAGTAACATGGACTTTGATGATATTGTATGAGACTCGTATAGTTAGTAATCCCGATTATAGTGGAAATGACTGCACGGGCGGGCACCGAAAGGGGTTAGTCCGAAAGATGAGTCATGCGCCCGGACTGCTCCCCCTTATATAACCCCCCGGAAGATCCTATTTATCCGCCCCATTCACCCTCGCTTGTAACCCGCCCCACCCACAGTGAAGTCCAATTTTGCAAACCCTATCGTCAGCGACCTGCTTCCATCCCCCTTCAACAAATCGTTCATTCCAGTCCGTCTTAACGCCAAAAATCATCCAAGATGGGTAAGGTTCACGGATCTCTCGCCCGTGCCGGTAAGGTCAAGGCTGCCACTCCTAAGGTCAGTTATCTCAAGCGAATCCGAAACCTCTGCGCCACCGTGATCCCGAAATCACCAACAGAGCGCCCATCAGAACCAGCCATCCTAACGAGCATTTTGAATCCAGGTTGAGCCCCAGGAGAAGAAGAAGAACCCCAAGGGTCGCGCCTACAAGCGCATCCAATACACTCGCCGTTTCGTCAACGTTACCATGACCGGTGGCAAGCGCAAGGTACATAATCGACTCATTCCAACCATCACAAACCCGCCCGAAATCCCTTTTCCAGACATATGAATTCCGAATCTCTGTCAACTCTACACATCTTTCTTACGACATATCGAAATCATGCACGAAATACAGGACCATGAATAGAAGGCTGACAACTCACACACAGATGAACCCCAACCCCGGCCAGTAAGCTGGTGCAAGTCGATAAAAGAAAAACCCGAGTCGCGGAGGACAGTCGAGTTTCAACGAAATTTTGAAAGACATAATTCGGGAGACCCGACACCGCCGCGGCCCCATCGAAACGAAGGCTTGCCAGATACGGCTGGCTACTTCTACGGATGATATCATGCTGCGTTTCATTTTGAATTTTCGGCAACGGAATGGTTTTTTTGAGGGGTGGAACTTAGGAAATGAATGAATACCACATGGTGGCTTGAGGATGAAAAGTTCTGGCTAGGGACGAGCTGTATTTGTATGCAGGCTGCGTTCAGTATGGTCGCTTTCGACTCGTACATAGGCTATTCCATGCATTGCATTTCCGATCCTGGAATGAAGTTTTGCTCTTCCTTTTTGAGTGGTCACGCTTCACTCTATACTGGTTGTAGGCAGTATCGTATGGCAACTCCTGTGAAAAGGATAGTGGATCTGGTTTACCGGGTTTCTGGGCTACAGTGATTGACCTTCTCTCATTGCGGGGTTAATCAGATCTAGTTCCAGGGGGCCGGTTCATTCAATCTTTTAAGCCTCCACATCCTGGTTGAAGCGACCTGCTACGACAAGTGAACCCTCGCACGCAACTAAGCTAAAGCGATCTGTAGTTGTAAATCACACTAGAGCCGTGAGTCCCGGGACGGGTACTGAGCAGTTAAACATGCATGTGTGAATAGCCGGCTGTTCATGATAGATTCTTGCCAGCAATATCCTTACTAGTGCTCGCAACTGTCTATTATCTTGATGCTACATCTATAGTATGTACATGTGAGGTGGATGTGTTTTAAGCTCCAGGGCTAGAACCAGCCTCGTTGCTTGGCGTCTACCCAAGTGGAATTGTTTCAATCCTACTTTCATCCCATCTGATGTCTTAGTAGTCTTGGATATCCTATCCTGTACATCGTTCTACCGGATCCCGACGAGAATAATAATAATGATATTCATGTAGATGAATCCGACTAATCTATCACATCATGCTAGAAGCGCATGGATTAATATCGGCAGACCATTGGCCCAAAATATGAAAAGTCGCCGAGATGTGGAAGGCGATTGACATAATAAGCTGCAGCTACTACGGTTTCAGAAACCAAGAGATATACAATTCCACACATGATAAAGGTTTTCCAATTTGTTATTTCGGAAGCTACTTAAATCAACCAACTACCCGTCCTGCAAACCTTTCGGATTTCTCTGATTGAGAGCACCGAAGGCACATTGCCCGGAGGCAACCAGTCCTCCTACTATTAACAATAACTCGAGCTACAGAATTTGGACTCTCCGTCAACATCACGTTTCTACGAGAGAGATGGTAGCCAGAAATTCGCCTTGTCCACACTCATCTTGTCATCAACGTCACGTGTGTGACTATACTGACGAAGAATATTAGTTTCTCAACGATATCATTGTTGTGGGTAGTGGAATTGAGACTGGTCCTTCTCACTCAGTGGGGCGTTCGCAGCCAGCGCGGCAAATAGTAGGACGGTGACAGCAGCAAACTTCATATTGTCGGCCCGAATTGCTTGTTATTAGTGAATGGACTAAGTGGTTTGATAGAATTTATTATTCAAAGGGGTCAATGTATCCCGGATGGACTGCCTAGTCTGTAACGTTCGAGATATTACAGACCCTTATATACTACTAGGCAGTGAAAATGATGCAATTCCAGCCTAGAAAATATGTACACCTCGAAGATCAATCATTCCTCGCCACCGAAAGGAATCCTCTATATGATCTGCAGTGACAGTGACAATCAAGGATGTTCCAATGATGCTTGGGCTAGACGCCACTGAAAAGGAATGTGTCTCTAAGCTCCATTATTCGACTCTGACGGTTCTAATGAATTATCTCAAGATTAAAACCGCCAGAAGCGCCGATTCAAGCAGCTCCTAGGCGGTCATATCGTCGTTATAGTGGCGCTTGTATGCTATATTACATTAATGTCATCAGGCTGACAAACCAAGAAGAATTATTGGGATCAGAGATGAATTTACTGTTAGTTGACTCCATTGAAATGCCTATGATTATATATTTAATGTTGATATTTTCATAGCGCCCGCTCGAGATGCTGTCCGATACGAGACTGGTTTTTGACTCCGGGATCGCTTCCGGACGCACCAAGTATCAAGGACTCCCAACAAAAGAGAACAATAAAGCATGGGAAAATCTCTACATCCATATATATTTGATGAGGTCTACTTTTATGGAATACTTTGAAGCTGACTGTGTCTCCAGCTGGAGTTAGTATAATTCCTGCGGAGAAAGCAGCACAGCTACCTGTCTTATCTAGACCGCACGAAAAAGTACCAGGCTACTATACCACCCAACTGGATGTATTCCATGAGCTTCATTGCCTGGCAGGTTTCCCAGCTTACACTAGGTTTACGTACATTGACTAATATTCTGGAGTATAGAATCGTATACGAATGGGCTTGTGGGAAAGAGAGTTTGCTCTCGGTGCCAACAATACCGAGACCATCGTCAATTTTAACGAGACGAGCATGTCAATGGATCACCTAAGTCACTGTGTCAATGCTATTCGGCAAAGCCTGATGTGTAATGCTGATATATCGCCCATTCCCTGGGTTTGGAATTCGAAACTACAGAAATTACGACCACTTGAAAATTCCACTCACACCTGCCGGAACTTCGAAGCAATAAGACTGTGTGCCGAAGAACGCCAGGCTCCAACTTGGAATGAGTCTGTAATTGTTCCGGATCATTTGCGCGGCGAGGTATGAGTTCAAAAGGTGGATAGTAATCTCAAGAAGATACGAGAGAATACCGTCTAGTGGCCAAAATCTCTTTATGGAACCAATCCACCCAGTAAAGCATGTAAAGCATTCATGCTAGGTGAATAACACCATCTCTTTTTCGTATCGTTAAAAGCGTATCAAATAAAATCTAATTTTGTTAAAAATTATAACGAAAATACTTTTTGTACATGGCTATCAAGTGCAATATGAACATCTTCTAGTATTATTGCAGTACATGTTTTTCTTGCCCTGAAACCAGAAAAGTACAGAACCCAGGGGTCGCACAAAGCAAAAAAAAAATCTTACAAGTTCCACAGGAAATAAACAAGATTGTGTTAGTACCGCGATATGGTTCAAGTGTCGGACAAGTCCGAAATAAACAGATCAATGGCTCTAGGATTGAATTCGCTATGCATGAAGATTGGCCAGTTCAATGAACTGGCAGGCCAACGGCTGATCCCGACAAATATCAACAAATTTCTCAACACGAACATCTCACAACTGGTGGGAATCCCCCAGTCCCTTCTTCAAATGTTGTGTTAATGTACGTCATGACATAATCGCTTCATGATTCTATTGGCTTGGCCTCAGTGTCGAAAGGGCAACAATTCTCCTTGCGCCAAGTGAGAAGCCCCTGTAGCAAAAAGGAATGATCTCATGAGCGGGACCCCCGGAATTGAGAATAGAGCTGTAAGAATTGTATTGGAAGGCATGACCTCACACTAGCGATACCCATGGATCGTGAAGCTCATTTAAGGTTCAAGAGTTCAATGTTGAAGCGGGGCCCGATGACTAAGAAACACAAGATCACCCATCCCCACGGACTGTTCATTGTTCAGAGAAGAACCTTGGAAGTCTTTACGTCACCCAAAGAATCTCGCGTGGAGCAAACCGCTCGTCGTTTATACCTCACACTGCCTATAGTTTACCCCACACCCGGGTTTCCATGAGGTTTTGTCTGATTCTGAGGGTTTGCAGCCATGAATATTAACTCGACGTGCGCAAACTTGCCACCAATTGACTTCATTTTCGCTTAGCAACGATAAGACAGTGTCAATGGCTGAATATCACTGACAAAAATGACCAATTTATATGTCAAAACTTGGCTGATCTAGGCCGGAAACTAGGCGTGTTTTGCACCTGGGCATGTCTACATAAACTTTATCTTGCGAAATCACCTGGCCAAGAGACCCACCAACTCCAGCCAGGCTTGCCCTACAGCATCATCGACTTTGCTTTCAAAATGGTACCGATCCTATGAACACTCTCAATTGATCGGTTGAGCCATTCGCGGCCCTTGGAAACAGCACAGAATCATGTTCTACCGAATGGTTCAACCCGCATTCTGCTATATCTCCGCTCTGGAGAAGCTATGACATACTTGGATAAGTGGGCAACTTCAAGCTTAGCTATGATGCAATGGCAAAGAAGTAGGAGCTCAGGTTGACTACTTATTCCCGCGGATTCTAAATTGACTCCTTTATCTCTCTTATCCTATGATAACTGAACTGAACTGAACTGAACTCGACTCAACGACTGACGATATTTTTCAATTAATTGTTTACGATTTGACTTTTGAACTGTAATTTAATTCACTCACCGAGCTATTACCTTATTATTTCGCAATACATCAATCACACCATGTCCGAAAATATTTATACCAACGACGCCGCACAAGCTACCCAAGGAAGCAGCTCTTGGTTTTCGAGAAAATTGAGCAAAAAGCTCTCGCACAACTCTTCTAGAGAAAACACCCCCAAGGAAACAACCTCAAGTCAAGGTGGAATTGGCCAGCAAGCTTTGGACAAAGGCGAGGAGATTAAAAAGGATGTTACATCCGGAAACTTCGGTAGCGTGAAAGATGCTACTGGGAAAGGGGAAAATGTTAAAAACGCCATCAACCAGGGAGACACCGCGGAAGCCTTCAAAGAAACAGGATGGAACAAAGACAACGTCAACGAGCAAAACATTGATGAGGTCGGAAACCGGCTTTTCGGGAGTTTCTCGAGTCCAGGAGTCTTTGGGCCAAACGATGACATCAAAAAGGGTCCGATTACCGAAGGAAATGACGGAGGAGTAGATCAGAGAGACACAGGCCAAGAACTCGTTGGCGCTACAGGATCTGGATCCGGATCTGGTGCTGCTCAGGAATCTGGACCAAAGACAGCAAGCACTGGGGCCGGGCTACTTGGGATCACTACAGCTGGAACTGGCGCGTCAAAGTCTGGCAGTACATCCAACACCCAAAAGCCTGGAACTGGTACCCCTGAAACGAAGAGCACAGAAGAGAGCTTACGTCAAAAGTTGGACGGTAAATCCAATGTGGCAGGCGGAACATTCGGCGAAAATTCCATGAATCAAGAGCTTGATGACCAGGCTCATATCAGCTCGAGCGTCTTTGGTGATCGAAACGGCCTTCAAAACACGTCGAAGGATGTTGATGCCCATGGCCCAACAACACCAGGAATTGATCAAAAGCTTTCTGAAAGAAGAAAACTAAGTACTGGAAAGATTGATCATTCGAAATCGAAATCTTCTCAACAAGGAGGAGCAATGAGGCAAGGTGCAATCGGAGGCGCCGCTCTTGGTGCCGCCGGTGGCATGGGCAAAGGTGGTACCAGTCAACAGGCCACTACCTCTGGACAGACAGCCAAGGGTATGACTACTCAGGGTAGGATGTCAGGCGTGACTGGCGGAGGCCTCACACAAGCAGTGGGCCAGAAGGGTGCTGCAAAAGGAGCAAGACCTCAAGGAGGTATTCGTCAAGGTGCCCTTGCCGGTGGTGCCCTTGGTGCTGGTGCCCTTGGTGCTGGTGCCCTTGGTGCTGGTGCCCTCGGCGCTGGAAATACCAGAAATGCCACATCTCAATCCCAGAAAAATGAAATGGCTTCCTTAACACCTCGAGCCGTTACTAATTTGAGCGGACCCGGCTATAAAGTCACGGTTCTCCAAGAGAAGGTCCAGGCTGTTTCTCAGAAGTGTAAGACTCAGCTGGGCGGCTCTGCTAGTGAGATCAGCTTGCGTAGCCCAACCGTCGATGCGTTCTTTGATGCTGTTGCGGCTGAACGTCTGCGCTGGATGCCTCGTGACGGCAGCAGACTTGATTGCTCTCTTCGGTGGGCTTCTAGACTGGCATATGCAGTCGACAATCTCAGAGAGTCAATTGGTGCCTTTGCTCCTGGAGCCAACGAAGCCGCCAAATTGATTTGGGGATTCGAAATTATGCTTTTAGAGGTGAGAATTTCATATATATAATATATGTATAAACGTTCAAGTTGCAAACATGATGCTAACTTCAAGTTTAACAGTCGGATATTGACAACACCGAGGTATTCGAGAGCATTTTCGGTAGATATGGTCGTCTTGCGGTAGGAATTCGTCTACTACTGCAATATGAGAGTGTATACCAGATGTCTGCAGAGCTTCGAGCAGAGGCTACTGCCGTTTTTGCTGATCTCCTTGAGATGATCTGTAGTACCACTACTAGTTGTGTCGAGGGATTCAAGGCCAAGGAATCTGACCGTGTCATCGGACATAATGTTGATGCCGCTTTTGTCACCTACGCAAAACGCTTCTCTACCCACTGGAACGCCATCGTGGAGTTTGCAACTTGGAATGTTGTTCAGCAGAGTTCGTTGGTCTACTCAAGTCCCGAGCTAGGCAGCCTCCGCCAATTCCTCGGTGTACAGGATCGTCCACTTCAATTTATTCTGGACTCTCGTAGTCACTCGTTGGCCGAAGGATCATTTGAGTGGTTCAACAACGCTCTGTACGACTTCACCGTGGGTAAAATTCCAGTCATGATGGTGAATGGAGGGGCTGGCTCTGGAAAGAGTGCCATGGCTCAATGGACGGTGGATCGAATGCAAGAATCTTCGGAGCATGAAGGCTGGAATGTGATTCCGTACACTATCCGTGAGCTTGTCCATGAATCTATGAATATCCACTTGAACTCGTAGCTAACAAGCATAGGTGCTGATATCCCGGTTGCTACTTTGCCACTGCGCATTTTGAAAGGTATCTTGCATCAAATGCTGGATCACTGTGTCATTGAAAAGGGCATCCAAGAGGATATTCTCTTCTACGTGGCTAAGGCCGCTCAGAGTGCCCTTGATGGCGGCGGAGAGGCCGAAGTCGAAGATAGTCTTTGGAAGGGTATTCGAACCGGCTTGGAATCCGACATCCAGTACATGTTCGTGGTTGATGGACTTGACCAGATCAAGGGTGGCGAAGAAGATGCTACTGCTTTCATGGACAAATTCAGCGACGTGTTGTCTCAGCAGAATGAGGGATCCAAGATGATCGTTTTTACCAGACCTCTCAAGTCGAAGATGAGCTCTCAGATTATCCAGCAATTTACGATGCAATCATCCCAGACCAAGGCTGATATGCAAGCTTATGTTCACAAGAGTCTTTCCTCTGGCTTTAGCTCGGAGTCTGTGAAGAGTGCTCAGCTAGAAACCGCAGTATCCACCATTGTGAATCGTTCCCAGGGATCATTCAGCTGGGCTGCGCTGGCTGTTGAGAATGCCAAACAACAGAGAACATTGAGCGAAGCTATTCAATCTGTGCAAGGCCTTCCACAGTCTATGTCTGAGCTAATTGATTTCCACATGAAGCACTTGGATCTCAGCCAAAATGAGACCAAATATATCATGTCATGGCTTGCTGCTGCTGAGAGACCCTTACTTATGGAGGAAATTGAACAGCTTCTGGTTGTTGACCCCGAGAGCTCGTCATTCGTGTCTCGCCCCTCAAACCTGGATGATGGATGGAGCAAGGCATTGAGTCCCGTGGTTATGACGCGGGATGGTGTTGTCTCCTTTGCACATACTTGCATCCGTGAACATGTTATCAAACAGGCTAGAATCTCTAGCGCTAAAGCACCGCTAAATCTGAAGGAGGCTCACTATGACTTACTTCTCAGATGCCTTGCTTGGGTGCAATTGAGCGTTCGCGAGGAGACTGAAATCTCAATGGACAAACTCGGAATGGAAGAACGGAACCGTCTGTTTGACAAATATGTCATTCTTGAGTACACCGGTCGCTACTGGCTTTCACACCTTCTCTCATCACCACTGGTCACTGACGATGGAGAGTTTTCTTTCAACGAAAGCTTCAGAAACTTGGTTCCCATCACCGTACTATTTGCTCGCCTTGAATTGACATGTCGAGAGTCACAGTTTACTCGGTCAAGTGTGGTTGAATTGTACCGACTGGCGACAGATATCCGCCGCCTAGTGTTAGGCGATAAATCAATGGCGCTCCTACAGAGTCTATTGCTCAGTGCTCGAGTTTCCAAGTATGCTCATGCTGGCCATGCTGATGAACACTGCTACGAAGCATGGAGACTCAGCCAAGAACTCTTGGGGCAGTCCGACGCCATCACCCTGACATGTGCCGACATAATGACGCAGTCTTTTGCTGAACAAGAAACAATGACCTCTCAACAGGAAGACATCATGAAGTATCTCATCTTGACTGACTCTGAGATCACTGGTGTCGAATTTAACCAGCGCCTGAAATACCTGGGAATGATTGTGGGCATGTACAAATATCGTGATGACAACAGTTCTGCCCTTAAAATCTCGAAGCAGTTCTACCAGCAGATCCTACAAAAGTATGGAACCAACTCGAGACAATCTTCTGATACTGCAGACTTTTTGACGAGCCAGTTTTCGTCTACTGGTAATGATGCCATGAGTCGTGACATTGCGCGGACCAAGTATGACAATGTTGTGAATACCATGGAAGTGACCGATGAGCGCCGCATCAAGTATACCCTGTATATGGCTCAGTTATACGAGCAACAGGGCGAGATAGCCCAGGCACAGGGTGTACTCTCTAACTTATGGGCCGGTCTCAACTCACGAGACATTGACTCTGTGGATATGATGAACAAAAAAGCCAACGTTGCCCTTGTATACTACCAGTTCCTCCGTCACCAGGGCAGAAGCGACGAGGCTGAAGTCATCATTCGTGAGCTTGTGGCTGACCTCGAGGTGACTGGTGTGCACTCCGAGGCAATGATGCAGCGGGTACAGCTGCTTCGTGCCGAGACTCGGAAGATGCACATGTACAGTCTAGATCGCTCTTTGGCTGTCCTTATGTGGCGATTCTACAAGGAGAACAATCTGGAATACTCTTCAGAAGCTACTACCTTAGCTTTGTCACTCGCAGAGGAACTGGCCAACACCGTCTCGATCGAAGAAAGTACTTCCTTTTCCGGAAGAGACCGCAAGTTGATGGTTGAGTTACTGGACTCCATTACCTCGTCTTCTAGCAACCTCTCTGTATCTACACTGATCCTGTGTCACAACCTGGCCAGCATTTATGTACACGAAGATGATTGGGTAGAGGCAAGCGACTGCTCAAAGGCTGTTTTGCAGCACGTCTGGCCCAATGTGGAGCAAGCTGGCGGATCTCACAAGAAGTTCACCACCGAATTGGCTCCACCTATCGCTGACCTGGCTCTGGTTCTTGCGTACTGTCACTTCCGCAGATTGCACTTGGAGCAGGCTACCATTGTCTATGAGAATGCCTTTGGATCGCTTATTTCATCGGACCGAGTACCCGTACCTTCTGTTCTAGCCGTCGCTAAGGCTGTTGTGGAATTCTACGAGACCACTTTCCAGTTCACCAAGGCACTCACTCTTCTCCACTCTGTCAGTAATTTCTTGACAGTCAGATTGGGTGAAACCCACAAGCATACCATCGAAAATCTCTATCTCGAAGCAGCCCTTGCTAACCGACTTGAAATGAGCCACGAGGCGAAGAGCACATACCAACGCATTTACAAGGCCACCACCCGCGAAGGCAAAATTGCGCCCGAGGGCTTCGAAGCTGCAATTGCTCTCGTGGCACTGTATGAACGCGAGCTTCAATGGGATGCTGCACTTGATGTTTATCGCCACCTGTGGCCTACACTCGTAATTGAGGATAGCATGAACACCTACGATCGCATTATGGTCGAGAGAATGCTTGAAAAGACCTATATGGGCTACATGTCAATCCTGACAACACGTACAAAGACCACAGATTTCTCCGAACGGTACAAGGTTTCATCTGAGTACGTGACAACCTGTCGCAACGTTTACGGTGCTACAAACCAGAAAACACTCAGCGCAACCCTACTCTTCGCCGAGCTGTGCGAAACAAGCGACCTATACACGGATCAAGCTATCACACTTTACAAGATGCCTCTTCAGACGCCCGAGTGGGTCCCAACTTCTCAATCCTCCAAGGGTCTGGATCAAATGACTGCTCCACTGCCAATCACTCTGAAGCACAAGTTGGCCCAACTGTTTGTTCGCAAGCGTGATTCAACTAGCGAGGCTCGCTCACTCTACACAGAGGAATTCCAGCTAGGAAAGAAGACCAAGGGATTTTTCTCAAACACCACACTTTCCTGGCTGCGTGAACTGGCACTCGCTCACTCTCGCCAAGGCACTCCCACATCTGTACAACAGGGCAACGCCCTTCTTCACACATACATCACGGATGTTCTCCACAATGGAGGTGAGTCCGAGGCAATGATGGACTGGGCACGCAAGATCGCCTCCATCTACCTTGAATGTGGCTTTATCGACGGTGGTAACAGTGTCCTTGACGAGCTGCGCCAACGTGTCGTCTATGGCTCTGAGACTTCTGCTCGAGCACTAGGCGACAGAAGGGATGCAATCTTTGTTGCAGCCTTTGAAGAAGCCTTCGGTCGACGTGCAACCTACTCTCAGATCATGACTGAGATGGCGTGCGAGATGCAAACACACCAGGCATTCACAAAGAATCTGTCTGGTCATGATTTCATCCCAACGCTCGTCTCCGGCAACAGGCTGGCACTATTGCAGACGGGTCAGAAACGCACCAGAGCTGCAAAGGACACGCGCAGCAAGCTGTACGAGTATTTCTGTGCTACGCTATCAGCGACATCAATCACAGACCGCGAAATAGTCAAGCAGTTCTACGCTATTTGTCTGCGCGAGGTACATGGCGAGAACTATAACATGGCTATCCTGACAACTACAACAGGCCTTGTTCATGATCTATGCAACTCCGGTCGCTTCAGAGACGCAAGCGATGTTACGGGTGTGCTACACTCATTCCTTCACCTGACTGATGGGTTGAACTCTTACGAAAGCATCATTACCGCTACTAAGCTTTGCCTCTATCTGAGCGGCCACCAGGCAACACGATGCGAGAATGAGAAACTCTTCAGCGAGATGTCCGTGAAATCCAAGCTCCTACTTCAGGAACTCCTCGCATCTTCAAAGAGCATCGGCATCCAGATCGTGGACTTGCCGTTCCACGAACTCAACGACATCATCACCCTTCTAGGTGAATACGAGATGTTCGATGACCTCGAAGAAATCCTTACTCAGTTATGGACATCAAGAATTGTGCAGCGAACCTGGACACCCGATGTGGTTGTCTGGATCGGACGCCGACTCGTGGAAACACGTTTCTGTCGCGGCGCAATTGACTCCTCCATCCAGCTATGTCGGGATATCTGCTACAATCTTCGACAAGTATGGGGAAGCTACGATAACGTGACGCTCGAGATGACGAAGCTGCTATCTGGACTCTTCACTGCATCGGGTGATCATGCCTCAGCAGCAACGCTTCACGAGGGTATTCTTCATGATCTGATGAACGACTCAGATGCCAAGTCTCATCCAGGAGCTGCAGATACTGCTTCGCAGCATGTGGAGCTTCTACGTCGTTCCCAGAGCCGTCTTGGTACGAGCAAGCAGAGTACCGTGCGACAGTCTGCGCATGCAGAAATTGTTGCCCAAATTACTGAAAAGTTTGGATTGAAGTCTGGTCAACTTAAGGGTGTTGGGGAAGCGAATGGTGGAGATTCATTTGGAGTTTGGTCTAAGCCTAGACGGTTTAGCATTGATGTCGAGGATTTGGAGGATGAAGGACAGATGCATCACAATCACCTGCGCGAGTCGAGTGGAGCAGGTATGATGAGTGCATCGGGGACCAGGAGAATTTCAGTACAGGCTTTGTAAGGATGATGGAAGGATTAAATAAATTGTCAATAGTTGAGTTCTTGTTGATGTTAACTAAATTGTGAAGTCTATATAGTCAGTTCAGTCAATTTCACTTTTCTTCAAATTATACAATCCCGTGACCTGTAGTAGATACACGAACTCTTACTTCATATGGTATTTGAACATATGCAAGAAGTGCGTTTATATCGAAATTGCCGGCCAAATAAGATCTCCAAGGTTGTATGTAAAATGTATTTATCAAAGAGTCCGGATATTTTCATAGTTAAAGTGCTCTATACCTAACCTATCTTGTTTCGAAATCGCGTCATCAAGCCTCTTCTCTGCTGTCAAGAATGTCCTCGACACCCACGGAGAATTCAAGTCCAGTTTAACAGGTATTTTGTTCTGACTAGCCCAATCCAAATAACGAATAGCAAGACTCTTTAATCCCTCACATCTGCGAATCTCCACTTCACTCTTTTCATCTGCTTGCAGATACTTGCATTCCCGATCAAGAACAAGGACAGTCAATTGGAATGACGACGCAAAGAAGAAAGGAGCAACAGCTCGACTTTTCGAAAGCGTAGCGTAACATATAGCTTGCAGAACATTAAGAGAATATTTCATGAGTTGGGCATGGTGTGCCTTAATCTGTTCTTCAGCGTTCGCCGGTATCTTCTCCGAAGCCTTTTTCACCAGAAGAGTGAGCAGATCGCTAAGCAGTAGACGAATAGTCATTACTATTGTCCAGTATAGTGTTAGAGCGTGGTACTCCATCATTGCACGGAAGGAGAAAATAATATCAAAGTATGGCTCGTCGTCTCCTCCATTTATGATGGACCAAAAATCAGCTGAGATCGGGTCGGCTCCAACTTCAGGGTGAAGCGATAACCAGGATGAAAGTGTAACTTCCGAGACATAGGCTTTCCAGCCTTTCAATCTTAACTCATTGCGAGATAAAATCAGTTCGGCATGATTGTACATATCAAGCAAAAGCTGGACGGAGTCTTGATTTTCCGTGACAAATGATTGTTCCGTGAGAAGCTGGTCGTATTGAGCCATTATAGACACGATAACGTTGACCTCTATCATTAAAGAATCAGTTGAAGTATAAAGTTCAAAGTTGGTACGGAACTTTGGATTCTCTGTTTCTTCGAGGATTGTTTTCATCTCATTTAGCCATGTCGAACGCATGGGATAACGTTGTTTCCAATAATTATCTGGGAGAAGACTAGGCTGTCTTGCGGACAATGTTTGTAAAATCTGATATTATGTCAGTCATCTAGCAACACCGTATTGATTATCATGGTAGGTCCACCTACAATAAACACACGTGAAAACGCGAGCAACCGAAAATTAGTTTTCGAATAAGCATGCTCTGTGCCTCGAAGAACAATTGCAGAGGCCATACCACGTATATGGGTTTGCCAGTTAGAGGAAGCAGGCGACATTTTCAACTGAAAATAGCTGAATATTAGAATGGAACTTGACTGGTAATGATCTTTGAATGAGACGGAGAGAACATACTTCCCAGAACATCATCACAATACAAAAAAAGGCTAAATGTTGCCAATTATCTTCCGAAATATCGCGGAGACCAGGGCCTACGCATTTCAACTGCGCTAACTGCGTGGACATCGACCCCAGCGCCATTGTATAACTCTGAAGGCTTCGCTGCACTGAGACTGGATCAGTGTTAGCTGCTCCAAAGTGGCCTTGAGCGAGAGCATCAACAGCGAAAATAACAGGCCTCCGGAGAGATGAAGTTTGAGTAGTACCATCACGTAGATTTGAAGAAATCAAGCAGAAGTAGTGATGGAAAACATCAGCAATGGCCGGAGCTTGAAAGGGCTGGGTTCCAAACGACGATAGGAAAAAGGGAATATGTAGATGCGACCGTTCTATAGACGGACATATATACAGAACTGGATCTGACATATTCTCTGAGCCAGTAAGCGCTCGGAGAACAGATACCTGCGCCAAGCGATTTGCGCTGTCGGGAATTGTCTTGATGCGTGCTTTGGCTTTTACACCTGGAGGTCGCCATCCTTCGCTTAGGAATATTATTTCCTCTCTGCGGTATCCTCCGCATTCCTGTTTCCGCTTTTCACATTTATAGCATGTGGGCTTTCTGCCATCTATAAAAAAGTGTTAGAGTTATATCTTATACATGGCTCATAGATGAACGGACCGCAGCGGATCTTCCGAGTGACGCATGTCAGGCATCCCTTCGACCTGGGAACAGTAGGCAAAGCTTTCTCCTTATTATCACCAGGCATTGTATAGTACTCTATGTACGCGACCAATACCCAGAGAAGAGTCCTAGATCAAATTCAGCATGTTGGAGTGCGACAAAGAAGAAAAGGAGCGAGTGTCGTCAGCCTTGCTCCAGATGTCAAAGAGCACCAGATGAGATTTAGCTGTTCATTGGTTGGAAATATAATACGCTAACCATATTGGGAATCTTTACTATATTATAATTGGCTCGCCCTATGATATAGTTCTCCATTGCTTTTGATCTAACCTTAAAATGGATTCATTCATCAACAAGCTATAAACTACAAGTTCGAATTGATGACTGCGCATGGATATTATTTGTTCTAACTAAGGCTTCAGGATCCTATATATTTTGTTAGAGTTACAAGCCCAGTAACAGTATAGACAAAGTGCTCTCCACTCGCTGCATCTCAAAATTCATCATCCCATCCCACAAACCCTCAAACAAGTGTAACTTGATCCTCCAAAAAAGCCAAATCCACAGCACTCGGAGGACTCGAATCTTCTCCAAAAAGACTTCAAAAGTCTCCCAGCAACCCAAACCGGATCGTCATCCAAAATCCAATGCCCCGCCTTCGGCACAATATCAACCTCAAGATCCGAAGCCACATCCTCAAAAGCACTCTCCAAATTCGCTTTCGGCGCAAGACTAGCCTCACCCCCTAATACCAAAACAGGCATAGATAACATATTCCCATCCCCACGAAAAGAAGCATTAAAAAAGCTTGCATCTTGCTCAACCGTCCAACAGAGAAAATATTCAACATGACATGCAATGAGTGCAATCAACTTCCAAGATTCCTTAGTCCGCCAAGCACACTAGAATGGGCAGCCTCATGCACTCCAGCTGTATACTCCGTATTTTGTTTCGGAGTGAGGTGAGCATCAAGAGTGACGGATGACCATTTCAAAGCGAGGACTCCAACACCGATTACCCTTTTGGCTGTATAACTCCGATTGCTCCTTTTGGAATTGTCTTGGCGACACAACTGACCTTCAAAGGGTTGTCTAGAGGCTCATCATGCTTTAGCGGCTCTTGGTAGCTTGTAATGATGTGTGGTTCGCTTGGAGGGATCGACTTCTCGCTAATAGATAGATCTGCTTTGGCGTGGGCCAGAGTTGAGCACTGTACTCCAAGACTAATATAGGGTGACGTGATTCTTGAATTGTATTTGACGAGCTCTCGGCTTTCTTTTCTCAGTATGTAGTAATGATAAAATGACACTGCTGCGTAAAAATAGACATACTCCCCTCGTGCATCATGTATCATGAAAAAAAGTCACCACACACCCCCAAGGCAGGAAAATGTATTGAGTAACACCAGAACTGCCAATGTTTTTTGTGTTTGTGCAAAGTCGCAAGAATATTTATGAGAAGGAATGTTCATGTTAATGATCAAGATCAAGCCGTCAATGCAAAGCTCAACCCCATCAACCCCATCCCACCAACAGCAAATCCAATACCCATGCTTCGATTATGCGTAAGACCCAATCCTTCGCTGAAAAGTTGAAGTGCAACAGAGGTCATCACGCCAGCTGTAGCGGCGAACATTCCCCCGTAGACACCCCACGAGGGACCAGTAGCATCTTTCCCAGTGTGAGATGAACTCCAAATCCAAATTGCGGCGAGACCCGCCCCAGCTGGCTGGCTGATTCCGCCTAGTAGACTAGACCAAAACATTGCTTTCCAGCGGGAGCTTAAAGCGAGGTAGAGGGGTAATGCCATGGCGAAGCCTTCGACGATGTTGTGGATGAATAGGGCCAGGAAGACGGTTAGACCAAGTGTTGGGCTAGCGTGGTTAGTAGCGTATGTGATAAATCCCTCAGGGAGTTTGTGCAGAGCGATAGCGAGTGATGTTTGAAGACCAATGGAGAGGAAGGCATTTTGCGGGACATGGTGATGATGAAGGCTTTCGTCTGTAGGTTTAGCGGAGTCGTAACCTTCGTCTTCGTGACTATCATGGTTATGTTGATTTGATGTAGTACTTGAATGGTGATGAGTATTTCCTTCTGAATGATGGTGCAAATTATGTTCAGATGAGGTGGCGGAGATCGTAGTACTAGCACTAGCACTGGCCGGCACGCTGCGAATAGGGTGCTGGGCAGCAATCGCATCGAAGTATCCCGTGTCGGATGTCGTCAAAACAGAGTCCACATTGGCATGTACCTCGGGTTCCTGGACTGAGTCAGGGTGCATTCCAATACCTTGATGGTGGGGTACCAATCCCGGCCGTGTCACTTCAAAAGTGCTAAGAGTGGGGGACAGATTGACATCTGGAAGCACCTTGGTGCATTCCTGGCCACATGTTTGGGAAACGCCGTAGCATGGTCCGTTCTCGTCACATACGGCCTTGGCTCCACCGACGAGAGAGCTGAGCCGGCGCGAGAGCATCACGCGTAACGATCCCCGCTTGACGGCCTTGGCTGCGGGAGTGGTTCGTTGTATGACCGCGGGAGTTGAGTTGAACGACTTGGCTTGTGCCGGTCGCAACAGAGGGGTGCGCTCTGTGTTACCATTGCTATGGGCATGGGTGTGACTATGCGAATCCTCTTGCGATCTTATTTGACCTTCGCCACGTTCGGGGTCTTGTTCCGGGGCGCCATGACTGTGGGCGCAATCGACGACATGGGATGGGATGAACTGGTGAATGAAAGCGGATACGAATCGAATTACGATGACACCGAGGAGGAAAAGACCGATCAATATATAGGCGGACTGAGAGGGTGAGAAGCCGGCGCGTGTGAGGTACTGCTGTGACGTAGGAAGCATACTATAGAGAGAGGTGAAGAGCTGCCGGTCGGGTTAAAAAGTGAACAGTAGGATATTCAAGGAAGATGAATCGCTTCTTACCATCACACCCGCACTCAGACATAATGAAGCTGACAGAAAATTGTTGCTCTTGGCGATCTGGAAACTTTTATCGTGCATTACCCGGCGCAGTACCAGATCGATGCAGATGACGGCAGCTCCGAGTACACAGGCTATGACAGTATAGTTAGTAGGTAAATTCCTAGAATCGTATACCATCAGGATTCAGATTGTACATACCCACGCCTGAGACTGCACTCATCACCCAGCCCCGAAGATCATTGCTCTCAGCCATGGTGTCGTGGGGAGAATACGAAGACTTAAGTCACTGAGTCGAATGGTTCGTCAGGTTGCGGCGCGTTGACCGCCCGTAGTATCTCTATTACCTCTGCTCTCTGCTCTCTGCACCTTAATGATCCAGGAAGATCGAGAGAAGAATAAGACAAGTTTCAAATAGGGGATTTAAACCCCCTCCTTCTGACAGCCTGCATATTCCTTTCACCCTCTCATTGCTGGGGATGATCCATTTGGCTCCCAAGGTCCTCCTCTCTCTTCATCCTCCCCAGCCCTAAGATAATTACCCCATCCGGGGGGAATCCCAGGACAACCAATAATACACTGAATTCAAGGTTGAAGTAGTATTGACTGGATCCAGGTTTCAGCTGTTGATTTTATATGACTTTCTATAAATAAAAATTGAATAAAAATAACAATCCGATCATCTGGTACTCTATCTCTATCTACAGTATACAAATCAGGTGATCGTTGACTTCTTTGCAGCTGACAACTTCACCACATGTGCAGATCATGATGAACGATCAGGTGGTGTTTATGGTTATGGTTAACTTAGATAAACTATAAGTAGTACCTTTTAACTATATTATTAACTATAATGATTCCCCTCTGTTCATAAATTCATAAACTGTTTCTTCTCCAGCATACTTCCCATACTCCCCAATGATTGGCTGCATCTCCTTCCTTCTACTCCACATTTAATTGTTTCTTTTTCTTCTCCGTTTCCTTTCCCTTCTCCATCCCAAACCCTCTCTAGGCTTTAAAAAAAGCCAGGGATCCCAAACAATGTCCAAAGCCACCTTGGCCGTCATTGCCGCCGCCAGTGCCGCAACTGGTGCGGGTATCACAGCGCTGCTCTACAAACCCCGTCCCCAAGAACAGCAAAAGCAACAACAAAAGCAACAACTGCCTACCACCCAAGACACCCTGAAAGTCCCCTCAACAACTCCAATTCCAACCCTCGCAACCAAAGTCCTCGGCCCCGTCGACCCCGCCGGTGTCCTCCAATACGGCTTCCCAGGCCCAGTCGCCGATGTCCTCTCCTCCCGACCTCTCCACGGCGCTTATGATCGCCGAACCCGCAATCCAGCCTGGGTAGCAGAGCACATCACCCCTCAATCCCTGGCAATCAAAGACGCAGACAGAAAACACAGCACTTTCTTTGAAGATACCTCCATCCCGGCCTTATTCCGCGCAAAGCTCTCTGACTATTTCCGCTCTGGCTACGATCGCGGACACCAGGTTCCCGCTGCAGATGCGAAATGGTCTCAACAAGCCATGGATGGAACTTTTGCCTTGTCGAATATGTGTCCCCAGGTTGGTGAGGGATTCAACCGTGATTACTGGGCTCATTTCGAGGATTTCTGTCGCAATCTGACCAAGCGTTATCCATCTGTGAGGGTTGTTACTGGGCCGTTGTATCTGCCTCAGCGGGATGCGGATGGAAAGTGGAGAGTCAACTATGAGGTTATTGGAAACCCGCCTAATGTTGCGGTGCCCACACACTTTTACAAGGTTGTTTATGGAGAGGATGGGTCGAACTCGCCCTTTGGGAAGGTTGCGCTGGGGGCCTTTGTTTTGCCGAATGCTCGCATTGCGAATGAGAAGAGTTTGTCGGACTTTGAGGTTCCATTGGAGGTTTTGGAGAGGGCTTCTGGTCTTGAGTTTGCCGCTAAACTGGATCCTAGTCGGCGTCGGAGATTATGCCAGGATGTCAAGTGTGACATTACGGTTCGTGAGTTCAACAATGCCAAGAAGAAGTCTTAAGCGACTTGATGCGAGTGGTGGTATATGTATATGAGTGTATCGATATTGAGGATGAAGCTCTCGACGAGACTGAGGAATCGGAAGTGGTGATCAGCTTCCAGGCCGATGGGCTCTGTGTATAAATATAAGAACCTGGTTTATAGCATGGTTCGGGCGTTTGATGGCCCAGGGTAAATATCATTTGGGTATTCGTTTGATGTTTTACAAACTTTGCTCCGACACGGCGGGGCTGTAGCTGTAGCTGTATCTCCATATAGATAAGCCTATTCTTTTCCCTTTGGTCACTAACTGAAGTATATCAGCATTGGAAGGCAACTCCACTCTTTGTCCCAACATTCCCACCACCACCCGCGAATCCAGTTCCCTCAGAACTAATCGCCACAAGCCCAGGCTTAATGCCTTCTTTATCCTTCTTCTTCGACTTCTTCTTCCCGTCTTTCTCCTTCTCCCCAACTTCCGTCAAATCAGTCTCGCAGACGTAACACAAAATCCGAGAATGAGCCTCCTGTTCTTCCTTCGAAGCATGCGGATCCGGCGTATCATTCGGCGTCATAAATTTGCTAACACAAGGTGAACAAATAACATGACCGCATGGTTTCGTAACTAAACGGTCCAAAGCATTAGCACTTATCAGATCTCAATCTCCAACTCAATCCAATCCAAGAAATAAACATACGCATAGCTTTAAGTCCATTGCTAAGATTCTTCTTGCAACTAGGACAAATTCTCGAAACAGACCCATCCGTAGCCTTCTCCTCTGTAAAATGCACCTCAACCAATCCCTTCAATGAATAAGAATGTGTCTGCGTCTCCGACGAACCAGGACAAACCGGCGCAAGTTTCACAGTCTTACTCGCCGCAATCTCATTAGCATCCGTCGAGGGCGTCAAAGACGGAACCCAGAAAGAAGGAAGCGCGGATTTAGGCTCATCACCCTTAACCCTCTTTCCATTTCCATTCCCATTATCAATCGCATTTTCTTTCACATGTCCTTCCTCTTTCCCAGCTTTACCCCCATCATAATCATAATCAACCTTTCTTTTCTTTCCCCCTCAAGACCCATCGAGACAAGTTCAAAATTAGCGACCTCGTCCTTTTTCGCCTGTTCCTGAACCCGCATATCATCCTCTGCAATCCTCTTCTTCGCATCATCTCTCTCACGCTCTAATCGCTTGATCTCCTGTCGCTGAGCAAGGAGATCATTAATTGCGCATTCGCGACAGAATAAGTCGCCGTTGTTGGCGCAGCTGACGGGTGTGCGGGCTGGTTGGAGACATAGTTTGCAGGAGGCGAAGGGGAGGAAGGAGTCGCGGCCTATTACGCTGCGTTTTGTGCCCCAGCTGTTACGAAGGAGGCTTCGTTCGTAGGATGTAAAATGGGGGAGGGAGGTGTTGCGCTTTGAGTGCGCCATTTTTGGTTGTTTGGGAAGGTGTTTGATGTGTAGCAAGCTGAAATTGGTGGTTTTTGCGATGATGCCGTTTTGGGTTGTGGTTGGTTGATTGGTTGGTTTATAGGGATGTGGGGCGGTTCTATCTAGAGTGGGGAACTATGATCTTGAGCCTTGGAGGTACGTGGTAGTTGTAGATATCGGAGCTTGTAGACAATTACAGGAATTGGGATTGAGAGTCGAGGACCTTATTTATAAATTTCTTTCTTTTATTCGTGTTTTAATTTATTTTTTGTGAATGGTCAATCGTAAATGAGCTTTTGTCTAATAGCTGTTTCTGCCGCCTCCCACAAGAACGACAGGTCGTGAATATGAAGACCCGAAGAAATAATGCTGCAAGTTTCTTCTGAAAACAGAGAGACACGTAGATGGAAATGGGAAGAAGACAGAGACGCTTACTGGGAGCATGGGTATGAATGGAAAACAAGCACAAAGTCACAAGTCACACCATGATGCTTTCCAGAACAATGAAACAAGACAGACAGATGACCGGGATTCATGAGAAACCGAAATGAATTGAGTAGGCCATCGATGCAAAGAGCCCAAACGAGAAGAGATCGCAAAAAAATGAAAAAGTAAGGGGTATAATAATCGTTAAACAGCATTGAGAGCAGGCGAGGCTATACAATGATAGATTCGTGGGAGACGGGCGAGAAAAGAGGGAGAGATACAGAGATCCCAGCGATAGAAAAGACGCGAGTCTAGTCTAAGCTTCTACGGCTTGTTGACGTAGGTTCTCAGATGAAGGGGTGTCCGTGATCCGTTCGCTAAGGGAAGTAGTTGATGAAGTTGCTCTGTCATCACCTGGGGCCGTCAGATGAGGACCGAAGATAACGGACCCTGAGCCGGAAGGTGGACGGGGAAAGTTCTCGGGTTCAACTTGTTCTGATTCCTTTTGGTCAGGTGCGATTGAGGTAGTCGGTTCGTGAACAGGACTTGGTAGTTGATCGCCAAATGTTTCTTGTGCGTCTTTGAAGAAGTCCATTACCGGGCCATCGTCGCTGTGGATGCTAAGTCTCGTTGTCGTGCTTCCACTTCGGATCGAGTAAGGTCGACCGCCGTCAAGTTGGTTGTCTGAGGTAACTGAACCGTGACTGTGGATAATTGCAGGCTCCGAAGCTCTGGGCTCATCATGGGGAGTTGGCTTTCGGAGCTTGAGACGTTCCTCAGAGGGCATATTTTCCCATTCAGAACCAAAGGTTACGACAGAGGCCTTTTTACCGTGAACCGTGAAGCTAGGCGTCTTTCGGGGTAAGATGTCGTTGACTGGATCATTCTCATCATCGTCGAGGGGCGGAATGCTGGACACAGATCCCCGGTTCTTCTTGCCACGGGAATGGTGACGAGGCATATGAGGTGAGTCCCTGAGAGTGCGATGGAGACTTCGGCGCACTCGGCTTGGCTTGTGGTCGCTATGAGAGACCTCCGAAGTCTCGTCGACTCTGTTATCACCATCTGGCTCCGGAATGTTGCTAGAACGCTTTCGTGGCGGCGGAGAGCCACTGAAATCCAACAGTCCAGTCTCTCTGAGAAGTCGATCCTCGCCCTCATCGTAACTAGCCGGAGTGGTAAGTTTTGATGCCCGAGAACCAAGGCTGGCCCCGTCGAATTTACTCCCGTGACTGAGAACCGAAGAGTCCCGCTCTAATTGGGTCGCCTTTTCATCCGCAGGCTTGTCAGCTAAAGCGAGGACTGAAAGGGGTCGGCCAACACGGGCAAAATCAGATGAACTGGTGGAAGCTGGAATGCTTGGGCGGCGTGTCTCGTCCGTGGTTGATGGTTGCTGTAGAAGGCCAGTGTCAATGGGTTGCTGGTCAACGGCGGATGTCGAAGCTGGCTCATTTGTATCGTGACTAGAGACAGTGTGAACAATACTAGGATTCCGATGGACGCTAGGGTCGGACATGATGGACGGCCCAGAGATAGAGGCCAGCCGTGTAGCCTCTGATGATGCTGTCTGTTCCCCAACGGACCTAGCATGGCCTTCAAAAAAGCTCTCGCCTTCACCCATATCGCGAAGAAGCACCTCACGGTAGCATATATTACGCCATATGTCTTGTCTAACCCATTTGATCTTCGCTGACATGCGTCCTGCAGCCATGATGACATTTTCACGAGCCCGGGCATTGACTGGAGTCATAACCTGAAGGTGCCGTGCATTGCGTAACAACTCCTCCAGCTGTTTCTGTGTCACAAAGAGCTTTTCGTTCGTTTCTCGGACCTTTTGGCGCATCAATTGCCTTCGTGCCGCGACAAACTCAGCAACAATATCCGTTGCAATGCTAGGCGAGGGAGGCTCATCGCGATCCACTGAAGGGTGGGAGTTGACAGATTCTGTTTCAGCCCGCTGGCTCGTGCGATACCGTTGACCCTCGTAGTTGGTAGCAATCATACCCTTCGTGCGTACACCTGTAGTTCGGAAGGCAGCAGCGTAGTTAAGTTTGGCCATCCAGTCATTCATCTCATTCTCAGACGCAGCGAGGAAAATTTCCTCCAACGCACCATGGCGGACAAAGCTGAACGCGTATTTGTGCTTCTTGTAATTCGTGTCTAAAAGAGCGACAGCATCATGCGTAGACATGATACCATCGGGCTTGAACTCAGCAAGAGGGGGTCGAAAGACAAGGGTGCCTTGTCGGCCATTCTTCACGTAGTGGTCGTGTTGCGCCATCAAAGATCTTACCCAAGTGACGTTGCGGAAGAAGTAGAGTTGAGAGAATGTGAGGACCGCGCCCCATTCCGCCCATGGAGAACGAGCTCTCTTCTTTTTCGGATCCTTTCGCCATAACAGGCCCACCTTGGCCACCTTAATATCCACTAGACCAGGATTGGAGCCTGCGGGGTTATCAATGCTCATTTTCATAAAAGCATCGGGACGTGAGCGCAGCGAGACAATCTGTAGAATGCCTGACTTGGTGAACGCTTGGTGGAGGTCATCCATATCTGGCGGGCCAGAACTTCCGAAGTGGTTGTATGAATCCTCAAGATCTATCACGTCTTGCAAACTTGGGCGTAATGATTGAACTTTGCCATCCATAATGAGTGTGTATGGGTCAACCGGTTCGCGTGCTATCCTGGACAAGTTCTCCGAGCTAGTGCTCTTGAATAGAGCGCGACGAGGTTTGGCCAAATGACGATCTCGTGAGTTTGCATCTTCCACATGAATGAACGGAGTGTATGAGATGTTCTCATAGAAACATTCAAGGATCTCGTCATAGACACCTTCCCCACGAGTGTTTTTGACGTAATCGTGCTTCTGCATCTTTCGCTTATTGTTCTTGTTAAAGACGTCGGTATGGAGAATCAGAATGGAGAATGCAATAAAATATGCTTGATCTGTGGGGTGAAAATTCAAGTCAGCTAAGTTTCAACCCAGGAATAGCTCAAGGCTCATATCCGTAAACCATACCTGTCGTTGCAAAGATCCCTGGATTACACTCATGATATCGGTCGGCGAAAGCCTGTAGGAACCGGTCTATTTGTTGTGTTTCCTTCGGCAATTCCACTTCCATCAGAAGTTTGCGAATCGCCATGTCAATTGGGTCCCCAAAATAGGCAAATGATCTCATATATTTTCTTAGAGCAACCTTGAAGAACTCATCACTTGATTGGGAGAGAACACCACCAATCATTCCCCTGGGGATGCTTCCCTCCAACTTCTCCAAATACGTTGCCGGTGTATCACTTTCCTCTTTCTCCGGAACGGCTGGAAGATCCGGTTTCGAAATGGGAGTCGATGAGCCACCGAGAGCAGGCGAACCATTTCGTGGAATCGGGGGCTCTGAGTTCTGTCTTAACCGCTGGGATATGTTGAAAAGATCACCGAAGCTTTTACGGCCGGTCGTAGAAGTCGAAGTGCGACTCGAGGATACCAAGTACGGTACTGGCGACAAATCGTCTTGTTGGTTTTCGGCCAGCGATCCCATAGTGGACGATCTGCCTCTGTTACCTTTGTGTGATGGATTGGATCGTATGGAGCGGTTCGAGTCATTGCGTAATAAAGGTGGCGGGTTTCCGGCCAGCCCTACAGAGGAACGAGACGGTGAAGGGAGAGGAGAGACCTGATCTTGGTCACCGGATCCATTTGATTTCGGGGTATCCGATGGTGGGAACTTCGGACCGTTCATTATCGATTGACTCGGCGGGACTTTCGGAGGAAGAGGAAACAGAGGGCTGCGGGTTCGCTTTAAACGTGGCATTCGGAATGCTCTTTTAGAGGAAGTTGTTGACGCGAGGGCTTCACGGGGGGAGTTGGCGCGATATGCTGCCTGGTCGCCATAACTTTGATCTGATCGTGATGATTCGGAGAAACGAGGATCTGTAACCGATGAACGTTGAGAGTCGTTGGGTAAATCGCGGCTCCCGCTTCGTAATGAGGTCGTCGAAAGTCGACCTGGCTCCTCCATGCTTCCCTGGAAGGTCGAGAGATTGGAATCGGCCTGCGAATCCGTTGACCCTTGTGTTTTCCGTGCCGGCTTTGATCTGGGACGATCGGCCGAGCTTCGTGATAGTTCCTCCATCGACTGCTTCCGCGACGAGGGTCGCAGCTTGAATCTATGTTGACTTTTGGCAGATTGATCGAGCTCGTTGCTGGTTGGGGCGGTAGTGATGATTTTAGGGGCTGCAGTATGAAACAAGGAGATAGTTAGCCTTGCAATGGTGTATCCCATTTATATCTAGTTGCCACAACTAGCTCTCATTGAGACATCCACTTACGCGGCAAGGAGGGCACTGGTGGAGTTTCCTGCTGGGCCGTGGCGTAGCTTTTGGACAGCTGCGGGTCGGATGCATGTCGTAACCTCATGAAACTGAATCTATTTCGTCGCAAGCTAGGTGTATCTCCGGAAGAGGGGCCCGCTAAGTCAGACCGGGTCACCCCATGGTCTGGAAACTCGTCGAGCATCTCGAGCCTAGATTCGTCGGCTCCGTCCTGGGGGGAAGGTCCTAAGCGGGCATCTGACTCGGAGAGTCTCGGTTCGGACATCGGTGGGTTTGGACGTGGCAGGTGTTCACTGCGACGACCTTGGGCGTGAGGTTCGAGGGTGTTTTGCCGTTTGGAGTTCCCATCGGCGACAAGCCGTAGGCCTTTCCAATGCATGACTGCGAAGGATGGTAGCGATCAGACCCATGCGTGGTCGGTGCCTTGCAGTTTGCAGATGTCTGATTGAGAGGGAGGGGGTGGGGAAAGCAGGGAGAACCAAAAAATGGAAATGACCAGGAATAAAAATTTGTGACAAGAAGGGTAAGAAGGATAAATTAGGAGAACATGGCGACGTGGAGTGTTCCAGAACGCGGTGGGATAACGGATTTCGGAGGTGGAGAGGAGATCCGTCGTCAGCTTTGCAAAAAAAGGGGAACGCGGGAAGGGGGAGAGAGCAGTGGATTTGCGCGCCCACCACAAGGAAACTTAATCCTGATAATGGAAAATCGGAGGAACAAACAAATAAGGTAGTATCAAATAATAAATTCTTTATAAAGAGGCAAACTTAACTAACAAGAAGAAGATGAGGGGTAGTAGGAACAAAAGGTGAAGTCTGAGCGCGACAAGGCCAGAAACAGCACGAAATCATGCAGTTTGTTATATGGTTGGGTCTCATTGGTTCTAGAACCTCGAACGTTCAAGGGTCTGGACAATGAAGATTATTACTGTATGTCATTATATATATACAAATAGTTTTACTATATATAAGTTTAGGTTTATATATCAGATACTTCAAACACTCCGTATAAATAGAATTCAGCATTTCTTTCACTGCTTGTCCCTCTGGTTCACAAACAATGTCTCGCGTATCGCGTATAGATACCTCAACTTGTACATAATAAAAGGCTCCACCATACTGTGCGGTGTACAACCAGGAATTGACTTTAAACTATTAATCAGTAACTTGAACCAACAAAATTTATTTATATAATAAAACTAGACCCCAGGATTTAATACAAGCCAATTTAACATACTCCCTCTCTTATTCCCATCTCACTGCTAGGTGTTCCTCCAGGGCTATAGTGGATCTCATCTGCCGAGTGGGGCTAAGCTGTGCCGCGACTCTAGGGCCTGAACAAGCCAGAGTCTGGACTCGAGCTCATTGCGAATGCTGAACTTTAAAGTGGAAAACAAATCCACTACAACCAGGCAGTGAAAATTCAGGTAAGAGTCCATCCCCGTGGTGGACCGACCACATAATATAGCAGATCATGTACTATATGAATGGCCGACCTTTAATAATGACTGCTACAGTTACCCCGATAAATAATCTCACTCCTTCTAAAATCGGTGGGTTTTGAATACGCGTTACAAATAATATACTACACGTCTGTCCAATGGGTTTCCCAAACATCAGCCTAATCGTCTCTCGTAATAACTTTACTAAGATTGATTGTAGTAGATACCAACATCTCGAGATCATAAAGAGGGTACGGATTCCAGACTTGATTGACACAATTCAAGCATCATCTATAACAAGATAGCCACCAGGGCCATATGATAACATAGCATCTATACAAACACACCCCTAACAAGACAAATTGAATTCGAACCCATCTACTCACATCTGACGAACCCACTAGACCCAATCCACGACTCTTGCTTACCCCAATCCTGGTCCTTCTTCAAGTCCGTGTGAGTCATGATCCCACAGTAAACAGCCGAGCCACCAGAATTGGCATAAACAACTCGAATAGGTGAATGAGCCTGGTTCTTAATAGACTTTTTCTGATCAAGCGCCTTAGCGCCCTTCCAAAAGACAGGATACTCGAGCAGATCAATGTTGGTCTTCTTGCATGCAGCCTCGTCCCACGTGAGCTTGTCTTTGTTTGTATAGGCATGTGGGTAGCCGGTGCTGTCTTTATGATTGACACCGAGGCTCTTGACAAGGTCTTTGGCTACGTCGACTTCGACAGTGAAGCTTTTTGTGGACGTTTTCTTAGCATTGGTTTTGTCTGTTGCTCGGCAAGTGACAGTTGGCTGGTATGTGCGTTAGATTTTGACCTCTTTTCTTCCTTTTGGCTTTGAAATGAAAGTAAAGGATAGATGAATGGACGGGTGGCTTACTCCAGCGCGAGCTTCAAGATCACCGGCACGAGCTTCGAGGCTACCAGCGCGAGCGTCGAAGTCAATGGGACCAGCGAAGATTGGGCTCGCGAGCAGGGCGATGGGAAGAAAGGCGTTGAAAAAGTGCATGCTGAGTGATCGATTTAGATGAGGAAATTGACTTGGAAAGGAAGAGAGTTGATGATTGTGATAGTCTATTTATAATATGCTCTTGAGTATATTGACAGAGGTATTGCAGCATCTCTCTTTGTCTGTTAGACTTTGCGTTCCATCGCCAAGAATAGGGTACATCACAGCCCTGGGGCGATATTGACGATGAAAATGTGTTGGAAAGGCTACAAGATGTTATTACAACATGCCTCACTATCGTCAGTCTCTGGGTTCCATCGCCAAGATGGGATACATCACGGGTTTGGGGCTACATTGGAATGAATGGTGGATACAAGGCTCCAGTCCGTAGGCGAAACTTGGCGTGAATTGTAGATCAATGGTGCCTATTCACTCAAAGAAGAGAGAAGTGCGAGCCAAGAGCGTGTAGAAACAACAATATTTAGAAGAACGTCTGATACGATTACTCCATTTAGTTGATAATCCTTCCATCGACAAAAATGTCCCCCAAAGCTCGCAATCGGTTGAATAAGCGCAGAGTATTGTTAAAATTCAGTTTGAAAATAGAAGTTCCCCATATGAATGAAGTCACGAAGGAGGAAAGGAAGAAACATTGGGGGCTATAGGGGCCAAAGATCGACGGGGTGGCGGAAGATCGACATGACCCTGCAGCCTTAGGCCCAAGAATGAGCCGCCAAGGAAGACACGCCACATAGTGCTTCACTTTTACCAACTCTTTATCTTAACTCCCTCTAATTCCAAGCTGATATTTCTTACAAAAAGGAACTGTTTTCAATCTGCATAATAACTGAGCACCCATCATGTCGACCTTGGAGACAAACCCAGACTACTCAGAAGAAAACGAGAACAAACCCCTCCCATTCAATCTATATGAAGAAGATGACGAGGAACAAGATCTCTGGATCAAATCAAGACTAGAGTCTCTAGTCAACGGAGCTCTACAGCCCAGTCAACTCGCTGCCGAAATCGACAACAAAACCACAGAAGATACCAACCGACAATACGAGGCATTAGTTAGCCAACTGAAAGAAGGCGACGACGACGACCTTGTCGTTCCCCCCCCTAGAATACACCTTTCCCCATTGTTCTCGGCAATCGTGCGGCTATTATTTGCCTTTCCGGCAAAGCACCCGGGCCAAAATGCTATCGTGGAATTGCTTCTCGCATTGAAAGCTCTTCCCCGTCATCCAATATATGCCGGTCTTCCCTCCGATGATCTCAGCAAGCCCCACCCCACAGTGACACTCTGGCCCTTTGGTGAACCGGAAGGAGACTGGCAGATGTTTTGGCTGTATTTCCATGATGAAATATTTGGTACTGAACCCCGATCAGCCAAATTTGTGTTACCGCTCTAACTATATTATCTAGAATGGCTTCCACCATATCGCTTGCGAAACCTCAACAGTGCCATGGCTCGGCTAACCGCGTTGGAAATTTGTAACTGCGCGGAGCAAAGTGCTCTCCAATATATCCTACCTTCAAGTAGAGACTATCCCGATTTGGAGAAACGGCCGATCGATGGGCCCAATATTCTAGGCAATAACTTGATTGCAGCCGCGCAGTGGATTTTGACATCCGATGAAGGCCGTTTCGTTTATCGAGAGTGTCAAAGCTCTGAAAGTCAGTCTGAGTCGGAAGATAGTTGGTCTATTGCCAATTGGCAAGAGTGGAAAAGGCAGTTTGCTTTTGTTGCGGGGGATGAGCGATTTGCTGTAAACTATCGAACTGTTGCTGGAGATGCACATCGTCGAATGCTGGAATATGAAGGGAAATAGAGTCCGTGAAAGCAGTTTGTATTTACAATATGTACCTTTTACATTATAGAATTGATTGATCGACTAGTTTCTGAATCTGGACAATAAAAAACCACCACTCAATCATCTATAAATATGTTGAAATTCCGATCAGTAAGTTGCAAACGATAGTTCAGTCCTAGGAAGAAATTGACCTACCAGTAATAATACCAAAACTTGGAAAGTTTGGGCGCGGGTTAAAGCTGGAATAAGAATCAATGCTAGCTTTATGGCTCATCTCACTGGGATCAAGCTCAGGTATACCATGAACCAATCCGAGCCCGTCAAGATCATGATTATTCTCGAGGTCATTCTGAGCACTACCCAAATTTGGATTGAAATTTTGCATAAATGACCAATACCATGGGTCATCGAGATCAAATTCACTAGGGCCCATCACATCTTCCTCCTGGGATTCCGGCTGTTCCGTTAGGAGTCTTTCGGCTTGTGGAGTTGTGCAGGTGTTACGAGAAGACTCAATCATCCATGGAAGCTTAGGAAGCCCCAAGACTAAGGGCATAGTATCTCGAATAAGAGGAGGAAGTAGTTCATCACGCGGAAGACGTCCCATCGCAAGACTGTAGTCGATACAGGTTGAGATTGACAAGTAAGCGCGGGGGTATTTGAGAAACGCCTCTACCCATCCTTTCACACGCAAGTTATTGAAGGGGGTAACATGAAGACCTGATTGGTCGTCCTCAATACCGTGTGGTGCCTCCGATGGGTTGAAATTGCGATTTTTGGATAATTCAGGGTTCTTACGAAAAACATTCTCTGTGATCGTATATGCCAGCTGGAGCAGATGATTGGTGCCCTGAGAAAAGAATTCAGTTACGTCGTAGGCTCCACGGGATTTTGTGACAACGTCAGCACAATAATTCAATGCAGTTCCCCGCTCGAGACTTTCAGAGTGACTTGGCGATAGTTTAGCATCTATTGCAGCTAGTATCATCGGAGTACCACAATATGCGAGCCTAAGAAAAGTGACGTTAGTCTCAGTGGAATGATTCCTTATTGATTCAAATAATATTTGCGGTTGTGCTGGTAAAGCCTTACACGCTGATTGGTATGTTCTCTGTCAAGTTCTTCGATGAAAAGAACTTCATAATCTGTGTCATATGATAGACAGAGCTCTTTAGATCCTTTGCTATAGGGAGCAATATCGCAGCAGAAGAATCTTGAATGAGATCAAAGTGGCTTTCAACGAGAAAGGTCTCATAGTGAGCGAGCGCGACACGGGCACTCCTAAGATAGTCCACCATTAGCATATCTAGCGTCACCCACGTGGAATTCCATAGAGCATACCCGCGGAGCGTAATGATAGACTTACTGATAATGCATGAGTACCAGGTTTGTGAGAATCTCAATACTCCCCTGCTGCAATGAGTCTCTTTGATAAATCCGGGACTGGGTATCGTCTTTCCACCGAGTCAGTCTATCCCTGAGTTCCTTAACTTCCAGCATGCTTCTCTGAAGCCCATTGCTAGATAGACGAGGAGAATAGCCATCAAAAATAGAAAATACAATAGACACAATATCCGTGAGAATAATGGCAAGGCGACACTGTGCCTGGAAAAGCTTGAGAAGCAAACGTTTTGCATCTGCGGTGTAGACCGGAGAATAAAGAATTTCATCTGCAAGATCATCCTCGTTCAAATGATCCATGGAAAGTCCAAACTCAGCAGAGATGAAATGAGGCCTTCTATGGCGCCCGAGCCACAATATCTTGTCTCGAACAAAGATCGCCCAGTACAATCGTTTCTTGGTGATTCTTATTGGATCATTGGTTGAAATATTTAGGTCAAGCTCGGCTGCCATGGAGTTCTGGATTGCACAGATGTTCCAGGTCATTGGTGCCTCTGGGTCTTCCGCGGTGGTATGGAAGGTTAGTAATAAACAGCCTTGGGCTCTAGATATGGCATCTGCTTCGAACCCTGTGTCATAAAGAGTCTGCGAGATATACGTCATTAGTTTATTGGTTTTATCTCTAAAAAAAACATCACCAACCTTGGCGCGATCATATAGTGCCCTGCGGGCAGTGTGGGTGTCCGGAAATCCCCATTGCTGGACCACTTCAACTGAAACAAACTAGACAAATCAATAATGAGAGCGGTGTAATGTGTAGAATTAGAAAGGGACATACTGCACAACTGGCAAGTAGAATCGCTTGAAAAACAAATAAAGATAGCTTGGGATAGTATGTCGTGTTGTCATTCTCCTGGATAAAAGCACCCCAAACCATCGCTTCGTCCAAAATAGGAAGTGAAGGGTGTATCAGCAGAAAATACTTCCTCAAAAATACTTCAGCAATCTGCCTCCGAGGAATATCCAGACAACAGCGAATTGAGATATTGTGCACTTCATCCATCGGCAAAGTCGACAGTCGATCTAAATCAAGAAAATTCTTCGGAAAGCCCTGCGTTGTACTGCTATTGCTTACGACTGGCTCTTCACCAAGGCCAGACGATTGAGCTATGGAATCCCAGTCAAAGTTCCAAGGTGCCTCTGTCAACGGCTGTATCTCGGGATCATTGGATGGTTCTGCGCTCGAAGAGAGCTCCGGTGGGGAAACCCGTTGGGTTGTTTTGTCCGCTGCTTTGGGTTCATCGTTGGATCTATTCTGAAGCTTCTTGAAACGAGAGGTCGCGTTGGGACGAAGTGTGCAGTCTGTTCTTTTGTCAAGAGTGCAGTTTGTGCACGGGTATCCCGAAATTGCAGCGTCGCAACGGACTTTCCGCGCGTGGCAATAGTAGCATGCGGCTGCAGCTCTTCGGATACGCTTTTGGATGAAGGGTACTCTTGTATTCTGAATTGATCGAGCAGACTGGAAAACGGAGCGTGTATTTTCTGCCATTATGTATGGACTTTTAAGTGTGGTTAATTATGGCAGGCGTAGGGTGGGGGATGCAATTTGGTCTATGTGAGATGATGTTGATACAGGTAGAAAGTGCGGAGTAGCCGATTCATTTTGAACCTGATTAGATGTCCAATTAGAAAATTGCCGATAAAGAATTCAAACAACCCATATTCAATATTTGGTGGCTTGAAATTTCAATATATGAAAATTGTGATTGAAGGATCAAAGGTCTGTGAGACGCACATGTCCTCGTATGGACCTCGTCTCTCTGACCATGTTTTCATATTTGCACATTGAGATAGAGACACAAATGACGCATAAAATTTCATAATGTAGAATTAACATTGAAATTTAATTTCCCTGCCAAAAACGTCGAGTGATCCACAACTTCATACGAGACTTGATGCGGGGAACGCTAATTCCCCGCGAGCAGGATCGATGTATCCACCGATTATCTTGCGGGGTTGCTTCTTCCGACTTACCTCGGACCGCTCTTGCATCTAGACTTCTGTACCTTTGTAGCGAGACGTTAGTCTAAATTAGGTACCCCTCATGCTTGCTTATTTCGCTTACAGACCACCTCATTCCTAATTATCAGCGCTTGAACCTGGAAGCTGGAAGATTAAGACTTGAAGGAATCATATGAAGTAGTTTTCGATGTCGGATTTTTACGTCAAGAACTCACCGAGGTAATCACACCACTTTCATTTGAGTACTATAGATTGAAAGTTGATACTGATTGGGTGTTAAGCATGGGCCCTTCTAAGCAGCGACATCATTACACCTCTTGTCACGATCTTAAAAGAGACTCTCACGCCAGAGGTTCTCAAGGAGATCTGATCATTGATTGGAGATCTGCCCACTCATCTGAAAGATCCTATCTCATTAGTCAAGCCGATCGAAGAACTCATCTCTGATGTCTTGACACCACAATTCCTCAGTGAGATTAAGGCTCTCCTAAAGAATATTCCACCCATGATCAAGGATATTTCTACCACACTGGAGCCATTGGCAAACACTCGGAAGAGTCTCATGACAGATGAATTCATAGAGGACATTCAAAATCTTTTGAAGGATTTACCATCGCTTTTGGATGACTTCCTCTTCTCAGCTCGAACATCATTAACTCTATCGGTACTCTGCTGAAGGATTTCTTGACGCCTAAGTTCATTACCGAGATTGGATCATTGATCAACGGCTTGCCCGCGATTATTAAACAGCTAGTCCCTCTTTTGGAACCCGTGGAAAGTCTCATTAAAGAGGTGTTGACGAAGGCATTCATCAGCCACATTACAACCTTGCTGAAAGACATCCCTAGTCTTTTGAACACGTTGCTTCCACTTATTCCTATGATAGAGACTCTTATCAAGGATATACTGGCACCCGAAGTTATAAATGTTGTGGGGCAACTTATCGAAGCAGTACCTGGTCTTCTCAAGACAATGCTTCCTCTTCTACCCAGGCTGGAGACACTGGTTAAGAGCAAACTGATCCCCGAGATTATTAACCTTCTGGGTCAAGTGATTGCGCAGGTACCGAGTTTGATCAAATCTGTCTTACGACTTGTGCCATCGATTATCGATCTGATCAAAGATATCCTGACACCAACACGTTAATCAAAGACGTCAAGTCATTGCTTGCTCAGATAACAAGTCTTCTGAGTAATTTGATGCCTCTGATACCTCCAATCGAAAACTTGATCAAAGAGGTCATCACTCCCGAATTGATAGATGTACTCGAATCCGTGCCTGAAGATGTGCCAGGTCTTATTACTCGTCTACTGCCCCTTTTGTCGGCCACTAAATCACTCATATCTGACGTCTTACAATGGAGTTCACGGATGAGATTGAGAAGGTTCTTGTCAATCTTCCTGGATTGCTGAACTCAATACTTCCACTCTTACTGGTGCTAGAAGAGGCAATTCCAAAGATCTTGGCAAAAGAAATCATCTCCCCCATTGAGTCCTTGATCTCGGCTCTGCCATCCATCATTGATGCTATTGCGCCTCTGCTGAAAGGAAGCACTATAAAGTCTTTAGTGAATATCATAACGGACCTCTTCACATCACAGTTCCTCTTAGATTTTGGAAAGATCGTGACTGTCATTCCATCACCTTTACACGATATCGTTCCAATCTTGGCACCAGATTTCATCAAAGCCGTTGAAAACCTCCTAACAACTATTATAACACCCAAGCTGATCAATAGCTTTACAGACCTGATCCAGGTAGTGGTTCCAGTTCTGGGAGATTCAATCCCAATCATTGGAAGCAATGACGTAAAAAGTCTTATTGCTGGACTGCCCAAGATCATCAACGGAATTTTGTCTGTTTTAACTGTTGAGTACCATCCTTGCACTTGAAAAGATACTCAAGGGCCTCTTGATCACCCAGTTCATTGGAGACGTGGGAACAGTCCTCAATTCTATCCCACCACTGCTTCACAGTCTGGTGCCGGTCTTTGGTACAGAAGCTCATCAATGACGTGACAGATATCCTGACACCCGAATTTTTGACGGATATTGGGGATGTAATTGCAAAAATTCCCTCTTTGATATCTGCCGCCCTCCCAATTTTCACTGGTGGTGTTCTTGCTACTCTTGTTCAGAACCTTGTGCCCTTGGTAAAGGCTGTTGCTGCGGTAAATTAATATCTGTCCACGACTTTTGACTTTTTTTTACTGACAAAATGTAGCCCTTGCCTATCTTGACTAATATACTGGCTTCTATATGCAATGAGTGATGATCAACGTTAAAAAATTGAGTATGTAGTAATACAAAGTCTAGCCAAACATTATTATTCTATACATCATCATCAAGAGCTTATCTTATCCACCTCGCCTCCTGTTGGAGCCGGGGAATAGTGGAGCCGCCGTGATCCCGGCTAGAATCACTCATTGAACCCATGTTCAACATATTCTCCTTAACCACCCCCGCCCCTCTCTTTTTCACATTATACCATTCGAACTTGGTGAATGAAAGGTGCATCTAGGTCGTGATGCGTCTCTTGTCCGCTCTTGTCGTATATGGGGCTTTAATCCCATCCATTTCCGCAGTTCCCGCCGGGTCCAGTATCGTACCATCGCAAGAACCTCAGCCTCAACCCGCTCAGCTCCTCACCCATTCCTCCATTACCCGCCGCCCATGGACCCGACTACGAGACTGGGTGATTGAATCTGTTTGGGGCAACGGTCACTGCTCCTCATCTCATAGACACCCAGGTCCACCACTTAATGTACGAGAGCGTTATGAGAATGATGTGGTTCTCCGCTTTCACTTGCGTCATCCGGAGGAAGCAACTGCGCTTGCTGAGGCCTCACAGGCCTTAGTGCTAGATATCTGGGACACAACGGCAGAGTTTGTAGATATACGTTTGGCTGATGATATGGTGCGTCTGAATAAATTGAAAGGGCCGAATCGCGACCGTGCATAATCCCCATCTAACCATTTGCTCTTTGGAACAGATCCCCTCCTTGCTAGACCTGCTCCCTTCCTCGCTACGCGCATCGCATACGCTACTCATGGATGATTTAGTTGAAATGATCTATGCGACATATCCGAGACAACATCATAATACTTGGAAGACAGAACATGGATTTGCCGCTGGTCGGAAATCATCCACGGTTGACGATGTCTTCTTTCGCGAATACCAGCCACTCTCCGTTATTGTGCAATGGATGCGGCTGATGTCGTCAATGTTTTCGTCCCATGTCCGGTACACAAGCATTGGACTGTCGTACGAAGGTCGCGAAATCCCGGCCTTGCGGTTAGGCACCTTTAACTCCGATTTCCGCACTGCAGGTCCCCGCAAGACGATTCTCATCGTTGGTGGCTTACATGCTCGCGAATGGATCAGCACCTCAACCGTTACCTATGTCGCATACAGTCTCATCACACAGTATGGGATTTCGCGCGCGGTCACTCACCTCCTAGACCAATATGACTGGGTTCTAGTGCCTACTCTCAATCCAGACGGATATGTCTATTCATGGGAGTCAGATCGTCTATGGCGGAAGAACAGACAGCCCACTGGTCTTCCATTTTGCCCTGGTGTTGATTTGGACAGAGCTTGGGATTTTGAGTGGGACGGTGAATCCACTCGTTCAAATCCTTGCTCCGAAAACTACGCTGGGTCGGAGCCCTTTGAGGCCCTAGAGTCTCATCGATTTGCCCAGTGGGCAACTAATGAGACTTCAAGTGGACGCGCAAACATAGTGGGATTTTTGGATCTTCATTCGTACTCACAGCAGATCCTATATCCTTATTCCTATGCCTGCTCAGCCGTCCCCCCAACCCTGGAAAGTCTGGAGGAGCTGGCCTTGGGTCTTGCTAAGACCATTCGACACACCTCTGGCGAGATATATGACGTGACCTCTGCTTGTGAGGGCATTCTTAATTCTGGCTCAAGCTCCTCCGTTACCTCGGGCGGCAGCGCGTTGGATTGGTTCTACCATAAACTGCATGCCGTATACTCTTACCAAATAAAACTCCGGGATCGTGGCAGCTACGGGTTTCTGCTACCTTCGGAGCATATTGTACCGGCAGGTGAAGAGATCTTCCATGCTGTACTCGCATTTGGCAAATTTGTCTGGGGAGATGCCTCTACATTTCCTGCCAGTGAGACTGAAATTGACTTGAAGAATGCAGCTGGTGGCCAAAAACCATTGGTTTGATACCCCCGGCACATATCCCAGTGAATTCCGCATATCACATACTCTACTGAAAGTCGTTGACGACATATTGCATACTCGAATGAGGCGTTTGGTCATTTCTTGTTTTTGTTTTCTTTCTTCCCACCCCTTTCGCCCCATTGTGGTATGAGCAGGCCTAGTAAATATTGTCTTTTAACGAACTGGATTAAGCTACTTAATGTGCGACAAATGTGAAAAAAAATAATGAGACATGATTTGAAATGGCATTAGCAATTAACTATTAAGAATAGCTCATTACATCAAAGCAAACTCTTACAGGCACTTAACCCAATTCCGAGAGCAATGGAGTATCAAACCGTCTTGAATCGAGCTGGTCCAGCCCAAATCCTCAATGTCTTCCCCCAAACCTGAAGCCCAACAACAATCAAACATGCACCTCCCAAGATCCCACACATAGTCCCGAACTGTCGAATAGTCCCCATTTTCTCAGCCCACTCAACCATAAAATAAGAACATATAAAGCCACCTGTTGTTCTTCCAAAATTGACCCAAGCAGCCACCTCCCCACTTGCTTCAGGGGACGCATCCAGCACATACGAATTGACAGCCACGGTGATGATCATGATCCCAAACACATACAGGCCCCAGCCTAGCGCCGCGAGCATATAGTGATAATGTCGCTCCAGGGAGAATCCAAGTAAAATCAACCCTGGTGCCATGAAGGGAATTGCGAACCATATGGCATACAGTCTAGCTTCAGGCTCGAGGTGATTACCGTGGAGCTTAGCGTATAGCTTTGCGATAAAATCATGAAGCCAATGCCCTGTTATCTCGCCGAGGATGGCAGCAACAACGGGTGTGAAGTAAAAGAAGCCTATTGTCAAGTTAGTGTAAACTGCAATTCAATTTCACTGTTCGTCTTATGTATTTTTCCAAGAAAGTCTGCACACAACTCAACATACCTATTTGCTTAGCCCCGAAGCCATACTTCGGTGCCAGAAAGATAGACAATGTGGTATTGATACCAACCACCCAAGCAAAGGTGAGGAGGTAGAAAAACACTGCTAAGACCACAACCGGCTTGCCGAGTATCACGAAAGGACGCATTATCGCATCTTTAAACGAGTTTTTAATATATTTTGTTTGAATCTGCTGGATACCAATTACCCGATGCCAACGCGGAGCATTAGGAACAAGTTCCGGTTGTATTGTGTGGCGGTCATAGTACGTTTCCTCAACGAATAGTATAATGGCTATTAGGCATAACCCTGTTTCAATGGTATAGATGCCGAAGGCCCATTGCCATATTTGAGTGTTGACTATGAATGCTCCAAGGAGTGGACCCATATATGGAGAGAGAACTATAAAGCCGGACCAGATGTTGATTTTGCGGGCATGTTCGTGGAGAAAGAACATGTCTTTTATGAACATTAGACCACCCTATATATCCCAATCAGGTTTTCAGTATAGTTCAGGATATTAGATGGAGCTTGTGATGGCAACCTACGCTCTGAGCAACCGTTGAAAAGAATCCATTCAGAATTCGCGCGGCCTTTTTGTGAATTAGCTTTTCATTGTTCTCATGAATGCCAGTAGCCCAAATTTGGGATTAGCATACCATGAATGACTCAAAGCTTTGAGCAGCCGCGCACCAAATTGCCGTTGCTAACGCCAGTAATGTCCACCAGAATAGAATAGGATATCGACCGAAGTATGCGGAAAGAGCCACAACAATAGGGCCAGCAGCACCGAGCATAAACACATTACCGACTTGTGAGTGGTTGACGATATTAGGATCCATATTCCATTCCCTTCAGAAAAATATATGTTAGTCTTCTGATCATCAATCATCATGATGACAAGTGCAAAGTACATACTCGCCCTGTGGACTCAGAGTCACTGATCCCGTTGCACTTCCATAGTCTGGAAGAAATGCCGTGCAGGATATAATTATGAGAATCACATTCTTGCGGAATTGTGTCCAATTCAATGGATCATTGGGCGAGTCACTTGGCTGTGGGATGAGAATAGTTCCTCCATCTTGAGTTGTCTTCAGACCATGATCATGGGCAAGAGAAGCGTCATTCAACACATATCCATCTTTCCCTGCAACATGTTCAATTTCAGCCCTATTCGCGGATTTTCCGGAATTCGAAATATTATCCCCATGTAAGATCTCGGGTTTCTCAGGATCCATAACCGATATCGAGGCACCGCCAGCTGGAAAGAATTCAAATAAAAAGGAAAAGAGGACTGAAAGTAGATTCTGAACAAAGAAAAGGAGAAACTCAGAAATGAATTGAACTAAACACCGCAACCAAGTGATATTCCTCTTTATTTATTAACACCCAGAGCTACCGAGAATCCATCGGCAGTGCACATAGCATCTTGCAGCCGAAGATGCCCAGCCGCTGACAGAGTCCTTGATATTCTTTACGCCATTGGAGCAAGCTTCGACGGGCTCCTCAGTGCTTTACTATTTGCCAATCAGGATCCTGCTCCCTGGTTGGGCCTAACTCGTGGATGGGTCTCTTCCCCGGGCCCAGCTTTACTAGTAATTGTGGGGGTGGATACGGGCTGGATTCAGGGATTTGATTCGTAGTTGGCGTGGATGTGGGGACTCCGCACGGCCCTGGGCGGGTTTGATGGTGGCCGGCGAATACTTCCCCTTCATTCTCTGCTAGCAGTGTCGATCTCAATTCGCTTTGGGATTATGTTCCGTGTGTCGAATCTCGGTTCAAGCTAGGTAAGTGACTGTCATCACATTTACTCATTGCTAGCTGCCATCGGGCTTTCTTCAAGTTAGTATTGATGTGATCGACTATTTTGTGTTAAGTTGGTAATCACTATGAAGATCCCTTGGGTCTCTGAGAAAGACCAGTGGAAATGCTAATTGAGTCATTTTCCAAGAACAATAACATCTGCACTTGAAAAATCTGACTTAACTGCGCAAATAAGCTTTCACAAATTCTCCCCACACAGCAGCCCTCTTGTAGAAATGGAAACCGGGGGCATTTCCTTGCCTGAGCCCATTGATTGCCTCAACAAGATCCTCTGCAAGTCCCTCATTCTTAATCTCAGGAAGTGTATACAGCAGAGTCTTAAATGAGAAAAGTAGAGCTCTGCTTTGAGGCAAGCGGTGCAAGTATTGCCTTTCAACACGGAGACGCATCTAAAATTTGAACTTGTGAGCATCTAGATCCTATGTATAACCACCAAATATACTCACTCTATTTATATCAAATTCTTCTTCAGGAATATTGTCACCCTCATACAAATGGTTTCCGGCCACCTTGAATAACTGTTCGTTAGGTTGAATTGCCCACTGAAATTGTTAGCGAGGTTTGATTAAGACCAATGCGAGCAAAACCCACATTTGCACGTCGCATGAATTTCCCCACTTTCATCTTGTCAAAATAGCGATCCATACTTTTCTCCAGCTTCTCCTTATAATGTGGAACAGGTTTATGGATATCTCTTAGTTTGAGATTCAACTTCTTCAACGTGTCAAATCCATTGGGGAAGCATGTCACAAATGCCTTGAGTGTATATCCATCCCCGTCGTCAGAAGGAAGCAAGAAGAGAAAGTCTTCATCAACGAGTCCACCTAATATCTGTAAAGAATCCAATGGATTTTCCGGGGGGATGAGGGGAAGATTCTCGTTTGTTGAAATGTTATGCAAATACAACACTCTTCCTTTTATGGACTTTGATTGGAACATTCGAGGGTAGCGAGTCGGGAGATAGATCCCCAGTAGCCAGGTGTAAAACTCATTTACGGCAGATTTGGCGACAGCCTCTGCAGCTATAACATGTTCTGGATGATTTTTCATAATCTCCTTGCGAAGTTGAATACGGTGGAGATAGTTCTTATCCATTAGGATCAAGTCATTGACACTTCCGTCTTGAATACCTGAATTTGTCGCGTTAGCGCAAATTTAGCTCTAGTCACTTGGGTTCGAGCCTGAGACCAATACAGACTCATGGTGAGATTATATTTTGATTTGAAAGGCCTAATCTTCACTGGCTCTGTCTCTTGCCAGTCAAATTCATGAAGACCTTCGACAGCAGGGTAACACGTGGGTTCTTCCCCATCTCCCACTTTCACCGGAGGTGTATAGCTTGATTTGGCTTTCTGATGGAATGTAATGAGAATAAGCAGTATGCTTGAAATGAAACTGAAGCAAAGTAATGTTCGCCAGGCCGGTAAATATGCTAGAGTTGAGTGTATCATTGTGGCGAATAGATGAGAAAAGAACACCTGAACTGATGAAGGACAAGATTTCCTAGACAAAATATTTCTATGTCGTTCTCCAAAAGTTGACCCCGCTACCATATTGGCAGTTACTGCTCATTCAACTTACCTATATTAGTATTAGCCTGAGTCAACCACAATTCACGTATCATCGGGAAGGCAAATTCCGCCCACTGATATGTTACCCCGCACAACCTTATCTGCAAATGCTCATTTAACCTACCAATTCGGGCTAGAGTATATTATCGGGATGTTGATAAGGATATAATTGCCTTTTTCTGAATCGAAGACATGCGGATAGGCTATTTCAATACACTCCTATTGGCTACGGAATTATACCGATGAAAGTCATGCCCTTACTCGGATCCTAGAATGAGGGGTTAATGTTGCAGTGAAGTCAGTCTCTCTGTTGATAATGAAACGACGGCTATGACGCCCGATGAGAATATAAAGTCCAGGAATGTCAGAGGCGGAATAATGGTAATCACCGGTGTCGAATCTATGCATACTTTAATTTTCCATTTTATATTCCAAACTGCTTGAACAATCTGAGCTCCTTGTTTTATAAACCATAATGGCAGAGCAAGTGAGAGGGGATCACGTAAAATTACAAAAAACAAGGTAACTGGAGGAGAGTACTCTTCGTTTTGAATGGTATCTAGTAATGAGTTCTGTACAGATCCTTCATTGAATGATTGCGAAGGTCCCGTCAGGGGAATTGTTGAGTCTGCTGATTTAGAGCTGCTGGGGCTCACCCAACAGACTGGGCGTTCTTTGGGAACGTTTCAAATTATCCATAGAAACTAAATCAGACATACGGACAATTGGGTGCCCTCGGCCCATCCAATAGGTTGAATTCCACGGTTAGGCTGGCTTAGTAAATACATAAGCGACGGAGCCATCCAGGCTCAATACAGCTGTGAACAGGTTGGGGGCTAAATTTGTCTAGATTTGCTGGGGACGAAGCAACAATAACTTCCAATTTATTCAATAACATCCCTCAATTCAATTATGTGTAAAATATTATAAAAGAAATTTACCTGCTAGTATTGTTAAGAAGTCTCTGATTCAAGGCATAAATTGAAATTTGAGTCGCCCCCGTATTAATACCGACTGGCTGCTATATCGCATCGTTACTACCAAAGATAACACTAAACTAAAAACAGTAAGTCCATTAAAGACGACAGGCAACAACGTGCTCGCGTCTTATCCAACTTTCGATTATCGAAAAGCTTCCGTTGTTACAGACTCGGACTGGCTTGCCAATTCAACACGCCGAGGAATAAGAACATGGAAGAAAAGCGACTGTTGGGAGATTTTGTTGTGAAATCCGAAAAGAGACAACACCGCGCAAAGCACTGGCTCATCCTTCCGTTGGTGGCGCTATTAGGTCTCCTGACAATTAGAAATCGCTTCAAAACATGCCCGTCTCAACCCAAATCAGAGTATCTCAAATATGAAGGCGAAAACATCAGCTGGGAAAACTGTGGAAACGTCGAGGGTATCCCCGTCGAGTGCAGTAGAATCGATGTCCCTATGGATCAATTCAACCCAGACAACCCAGCAGATAAGACCTTCTCCATCCCAATCATTCGTATGCGGGGCCAAAATGCGACCCAAAACATTTTGATCAACCCCGGCGGGCCCGGAGGAAGTGGTCTTTCATTGATGTATCAAGCTGGTCCTCGACTCAAAACTTTGATTGGCGAAGGTTTCCACTTAGTGTCTTTCGATCCCCGTGGAGTGAACAGTTCGACCCCACAAATTTCATGCTACCCCGACGCCTCAACTCGACAGCGACTGAGTCCCGTCCGGTCGCGAAACATCGAAGCGGACAGCCCGGGGGTATTTGCTTGGACGCAGAACTTCGTGAAAACGTGTATTGATACGGCCGGGGAGCACCTTGGCTACGTGAACACCCCGCAGGTAGCCGCTGATATGAACAGCATCATCGATGCTCTCGGTCAGAAGGATATGTTATTCTATGGAATAAGCTATGGTACAATAATCGGACAAACATATGCAGCAATGTTTCCCGAAAGATGCAAACGAATTATCATCGACGCTGTGGCGAACGCGTTTGAGTGGTACGGAGAGGGCTTTGAGGGCGCATCGTCTTTAGTTAACACCGATGCGGTGCTTGACGGGTTTTTTGGCGAGTGTATCAAGGACGGCCAAGAAAGCTGTTCTTTAGCCAAACTCGCAGACTCGAAAGAGGAATTGCGTGACTTGGTGATGTCAAAAATGAAGGAGCTTCAACAGCAACCGCTCAGCGTCTATCTGAACAACACAAACCATGGACTGCTGACCTTTGATGATATCTGGTATAGTGGTTTCTTTAAGACTCTTTATACCCCCCAAAAATGGGCTGGGCTAGCGGACAAGATCTATGATCTGATACTAGGGAATGCGACCGACGCGTTTTTAGCTTACAATAGCGGCGCACAGAAATGGACCGTTGACGACACAGATTCAGTGGTGGAACTCAACGATGGTCTTCTTACAGGCCCGGGGTACTGGCCTCAAGATAGACAGTCAATATTGGATCATATGTTACTGTTGTTCAACGCTAGCCTGTTCGATGCCTGGCAGGACAAGATATTTTATCAACGACAACAGTGGACCCTCCCAAAGAGACACTCGTTCACCCCGCCAAAGACAGCCATAACGGCACATCCAATCCTGATTATGTCGACTACTTATGACCCAGTCTGTCCCCTTATTGGGGCACATTCTGCCAATGAAGTTTTTGAGGGCTCTCAAGTTGTCGAAGTCAAGGGCTACGGGCATTCGACAATCGCAGTCCCCTCCATGTGTGTTGCAAAACACATGCGTGCATACCTTTATGAAGGTAAACTACCCGATGGATACACGCAATGCGATGGGGATTCACCAACATTCACCAATTCGGATGAAGGCGGTAAGTCGATTGCCCAGAAAGGCTTTGAACATTCAGATGATCGAAAAATTCACTTAGCACAGATGGAGCTCGCCAGGAATTGGGAATTCAGAGCACCTCACTTAATCTAGATCCGAGGGGATGAACCTCTGCCAAAAAGAGAGTCATCTAGGGTTCAATATCGAAATAAATATTCTATGGCAATGTCAATGTCATTCTCTAACACGGGAGCGAAGGTGTTTCCACCGGGCCTTGAACTATTCACATAATAAACCCCTGAATACATTCACCTAGAAGTTGAGTCCACTCCCCTCCATATTCTCCGCGCCAGATCTTATTCAACAGTTCAATGGCGTACAAGGTATTGCCAAATCCAGTAGAGCGCCAAAGGCTTTTTAGCTGTTCTGTTACAAAATCCTGATCCTCTTCTAATGAACATTCGGCGCCCAAAATCAAAAATGGCCATATAAGTATGTGACCGCGGGGAGAGGTTGCATTGAACAGAGACGTTTCAACCAGGAACTGCTGCACGAGAATTGAAATATCATCGTCTAAACCTTTCGATGCCCTAGCTAGGTAAATCTGTACAGCCTTTTGTACCAGGTCTGCAAGCTTTAGTATTACCTTCGACTGGTCTGGACAAATTTCCAAGCAGCTGTATAGAAATCCTAAATCTTTACTGGACATCTGTTGAAGGATTTCTACTGCGACGTCCTCGGATATGAGCGGTAATCGTGCAGTGTACGCGGATAGACGCAGGGATACGAATACGAAACTCGCGCCTGCAGTAAGAATCCGGGCTTCACCAAGCCCCCTCGCGTCAACCAATTAACAGCAGGTCATGCTCAATACAAACACCAGGGTCGCGCGAATTTAACGACCTGATCTGATCTCCCAGGGGGCAAACGGTCTCTTAGCCCCCCCGTCCAGTCCCAACACCACAACATAGCCCCCCCCGTCCAGTCCCAACTCCACAACATAGCCCCTTGCTTATTTTTTTAGGAGATGCAAGTTGGCGCTTCATTATGTTGAGACTCTAAATTGACTACTGTCAGAGAGACGCAATGGATTTTTAAGTGGATCATATTTCATTAAAGCAGGTGGTATAACAGTGACATTGAAACAATTGCAGTGGGTCATCAAAACCGGGGTCAAATATCCTTCCGATCCTGCCCACGCGGCACGACAGATATCATCAATTCATGATTGCGAGCTTCATGCTTCGGATCGGTCTGGTCAAAGCGCGAATCACTGCAAAGTTCCATGGGCGATCAAAAATCATTCTGAAAGTCAAAGAAACAATAACATATAAATCAATCGCAAGGGAAGATACAAGAAAAAAGAAGAGGCAGAAAACTAATTCGTCTCAAGCGAGATTGGGCGGGACCAAGGTAGATTTGGCTGTGACCTTTTGCACAAAAGTGGGCAGAGGATCGTTGCTGACAATATCAAACACAGAAAGGTCAGCCTGGAATTCCTTGCGGAGCCAGTTCCTGATCTCAATCGCAACGAGACTATCAATACCAAGCGCCGGAAGAGACTTGTTCGGGTCAATGTCATCCAGGTCTACCTTAACGATATTGGATACGCCAACGAGAAGCTGGCCGAGCATGAGCTCGTGGACCTGCTCTTTGGTGATAGCCGCAGCTACAAGCTTCTTCCAATCTTCCTTTGACTGACCACTGTTGCCGCTGTTATCACCATCCGCCTGTCGATCCAACTGATTGAGGATGGAAAATCGAGAGTCCGCGAACCAGTAGGGATCATTGGACGATGACTTGTCAAGCTGACCGCCAGTGGCCGCACCGAGTGCAACTTGAGTCGGGGTACGTCCAGAGACGGCGGCGGCGACAACGTTCAGCACATCGATCTCATTCATGGGCAACAGAGCACCGTTCTTGAGTAGCTGGAATACGCCGTCATTTTCCGTGGAGACGCCGATGCCAAGAACAAGACTCAGATTCAAACTGGTGGCTGCCAGACCCGAAGAGGCACGATGGTGCATGAGGGCATCCTGGTAGTTGTTGCCAGCGTTGTAGTTGCCCTGACCACGGGAACCAATGATGCCAGCAATGGATGACAAGCAGACAAAGAAATCTAGGTCAGATGGCAGTAGCTCGTGCAGGTTACGGGTGGCTTTGACCTTGGGGACAAGTGACAGATTCCAGTCCTTGGCGGTCATGTTGTTATAAATACCGTCCTGCAAGAATGTTAGTATAAGATAAAGTTTGATTCGGAAGTGAGAATACATACCCTCAAGTCCATGGCACAATGAATCATGCCCTTTATCGGGGGAGAAGTTTGTTTTATTTTGTTAATTGCAGTCTCAAGTTGTGCCTTGTCTGCCACATCGACCGCAACCGCCGTTGCCGAAACACCCTGCTGCTGCAGATCGTCGAGCAGAGTCCGCGCTTCAGGCCTTGCATTGCCGGATCGAGACAGGAAGACGAGGTTCTTGGCGCCCTTCTCAACGAGCATCTTAGCAATGGATCTACCCAAGCCACCAAGACCACCGACAAGAATATAAGTACTATCTGGGGGCAGCTGGAATGCACCGAGACCTCCGGGGACGACAGGAATGACGTCCTCGTGGTGTGGAATCAAGACGATCTTTCCAATGTTGTTGCCGCTTTGCATCAGTCGGAATGCTTGTTCTACGTCCGCAAAACTATATTGCAGGACGTTCTTCAGTGGCCTAATTGCGCCCCTTTGCAACAGTTCCGAGACCTGTTTGCCGATGCTCTCGCAGCGGTCGGGATACTCCGTGATAAGGACGGCAATGTCCAAACCAGAGAAGGTAATGTTGTTCAGGAACGGTCGCATTTCCAGGCCGGTGTTGTCGTAAATGTCACGCTTGCCTAACTCAATGAAACGGCCAAAGGGTGCCACACAGTTCCATGTACGCCGCAGAGCTTCGTTGGCGAGCGAGTTGAGCACAACATCCACACCCTTTCCGTTAGTTATGCGCATAATGCCATCAGCAAACGAGTGGTCCCGGCTGTTGAAGATGTGTTGCTCCGGAATGCCATACTCTTCCATCAAAAACCTTTTCTTCAGGTCCGAGGACACAGTGGCGAAGATCTTCTTGGTACCGAGGTACTGAGCGACAATAATGGCCGCTTGACCAAGACCACCAGCTGCAGAATGAATCAGCACAGACTCATCGCTCTGCAGACGACCAACATTGATGAGCGAATGGATTGCTGTCGAGTATTGGCCCATCATCGAGGCAGCGACCTCGTCATTCACATTGTCTGGGGTGCGCTCAAAGGTGCGCGGGTCCACGCGCACGCGGGTCTGGAAGCAGCCAGGGTGCAAGCCGAACACGCGGTCGCCGACACTGAACTTTTCAACACCAGGGCCCAGTCTTGATACAATACCCGAGCACTCCATGCCGACGTTGGCGTCCTCCATCTGTCCCATAGCTACCATGATGTCACGGAAACTCAAGCCGACTGATCGGACCTCAATCTCCATCTGGCCGTCTGCCACGGGGTCTGAGATCGATAAACCGGAAACGGGGTGATACTCAAACGAGTTGAGGAGACCTGGTTCACGGAAAAACAACTTCAGCGCCTGGGCACTACTAGCCTGCTGCTCAAGCGCCTTTTGCAAGGGCATATTGACTGCGGGAAGACCGTGGCCTGATTTGGATGCGTCCAACAAGGCCTTGAGATCGGCTTGCGGTTCGAGACGTTCCACCAAGACTCGACCGTTACGAATAACATACTCAGAATCCGTGAACTCCTGTGATGAGTTATTGTGCATTTTTCCGATGAGCTGAGCAGTTGTAGTCACATTGACATCCACATCGAGTGCCGCAGCCAAGTCGAGTGCGAGGGTAGTGAATGGAATTTCTGGGTACTCGCCGCGGATCGTGCGACCAAGACCTTTGACGAGGGCCCTAGACTCAGAATCCAGGGTCAACCACAACGTTCCCTGCGTCCCGAGAATCAAGGTCCGAAGCTTGGCAAAGGAATGCTCATCTAGATCTTCCAGGATGGGGGTGTCCAAATCCAAGGCAATGATCACGAAGTACGTAGAGAGTTGCTCCGGAATGGGGGCGCCAAATGGGATATTAACAACATTGTAGTTTTGCGTGTGTTGTAGCTCGCTTCCCACTCGGTCCAGCGCTTGCGTCAGTCCATATGATGGATTCTGGGGGGCGACAACCAGAATATTTTGAATGGTGCTATTGGGCTCGGGAGTGTCATCTGTGGCTTGGGCTATTGTAAGACGTGAGCCGTCAGAAGCCTTGACGGTGATGGGAGTGGTGAAGCCCGCAGACACCAGAGCCTCGGCGGGAATGGCGGGTGTGCTTTCAGCGTCATTTGCAACCACGAGAACGCCGGTCGAGTGTTTCAGAAGCTTCTTAATATTGGCTAATACTGCAGAGTTGTCGCCTTCATATTCCTGAGCAGTATTCAATACCACAAGGTCACGAGAATCGTGCTTGAAGCCCTGGGAAACAAGGTCTTCAGTAGGATTAAGCTGGTGATGGTGAATCAATTGATCTAGTGGTCCGGAAGTAGATCGCTCTTCGGGACGTGCTATACCGGAAATCACAACCGACTTAAGGCCCTTCTGAACTTCCTCGTTGGAGACAAGGGCATTTGTGAGTAGACTATGCGCCGAAGAATTGCATTCAAGAATTTCCAGAGCAGGATATTTGTGGGCAAGCAGGGACACATATTTACCCAGTGTGGTGGCAAGATCGGGACCATACTGCAACAGCTGTTGGAGCTGGACAGCATTGGCGATTGTCACATCCGGAAGTAGATGGGGCACAATAGGAACATGGCCACCAAGAGATGGGGAAACGCTGTTAAGATACTCTGGACTAGATGAAGCGTCTGACTCTACACCCGACCCATGCAGAGCGACAGACTGGCATCCACGAAGCGCGATGACAGGTTTATCCCCTCCGTTGTTGCTGAAGGCGAAAACATCACTTGCCATTTTGTTGGTACCTTCCACCTTTTGAGTGCGTGTAAATCCATGGTACTTGGTTCCCGGAGTCGAATCAAAGTCCGCTGAGATGTAAATTGATGCGGTAGACACGGGCAGTCGTGCTTTCAGATGCTTGCCATAACCTGCACTTGAAGTCAAAAGATGCACGAAAACGTCCAGAACAGACGGGTGGATGAGATGTGGTGGCTCCCACTTTGAAGGATACCACTCTCTCGTGTCCAGCACTTCCATTGTGTAGTGCGACTTGTCATTGACAAGATGTAGCTCTTTGACTCCTTGGAAAGCGGGACCCAAGTGGAATCCGGTCTTGTCAAGCGTGTTGTAAAAGACAGCGGGCTGCAGCTTTGCAAGACTGTGCTGGCGAATCTCGTCGTAGTCCTCCTTCAGCTCTGCGTTGGCAACGGCTTCTTCGTCAATGAAGACGCCATTTCTGCTTGCAGAATCGCCCTTTGGATGATATACGGGGGTGATCAAGCCGCTGCAGTTTGGCGTCCATGTGCCGCTCTCGCTCCGACTGGATACTTTGAACTCGGTCCAGTACGAGGAATCGTCGCCCGCAATGGCTGAGGAGCGCCACGGGGCGAGCTGAAGTCTTGTCTCAACTGTCTGGTCGAACGGAACCACCAGAGCGCGTCCAATGGTGACGTCGCGCACCTGGTAGCCTGCGATATCATTGCGGGTCTGGACCTGGCGCACAGCTTCAATGGCCATGACAATCATACCCGCCATAGGGTAGATGTTGCTACTCTGGAATTGATGGTGTTCGATCCATGGCTGCTCAGAAATTCGGAGGAGATTGCGCCATGATGGTTCTGTCTCTGTGGAACGTTCGTCTCGTGCACCGAGGAGCTCAAGACGTGGGTGTCTCCTAGTCCTGTAGGCCGCAACAGCAGCCGACTCGCTCCAAAAGCGGTTGGATGTGTTCCAAGCATAGGGTGGAAGGTTGATTAAGGCAGATATTTTGCCGCCATCCGCTGCATTTCCAAGATAGGCTGTGTATGCATTCGCCGCACGGACATCGACAGGATGGCCGAGGATTAGCAGCTCGCCAACGACCTCCAGGGTCGTCTGAATGGCGTCGTGCTTTCTTTTGATGGCAGATAGATAACGAGGGGGTGACGGAAGCTTCTCACTGACACTATCCAGGATCTGCTTCAATGGCCCCTGGAGAGCGGCGTGGGGTCCAATTTCGACGATGGCGTCTGGACTTCCTTTCTTCATGCCACTCATGTTTTTTGTCTTCCCTCCCAAAAGACCTGCATGAGCAGCAGCTGTGACGGCGCCCGAGAAGTTCACGGGGCTAACCAGGTTAGCCACCCAGTATGAGGCTCCAAGCTCGGTAGCGTCGATAGCCTTGCCTTTGACAGACGAAAACATTGTGACATCCGCGTGTCCTGGGTTGCTCTTCCAGGCGCCCTCCAATGCGGCCAAGTAATCATCGGCAATGATTTGCATGTGATGAGAGTGGTATGCAGTCGTAACGCGGAGCTTTCTCACAAAGATGTCGTCCACTTGCAACAGCTGCACGACCTCGTCAACTCCCTCCACGTCACCAGACAATGTGACGCTTGCTGGACTGTTGATACAAGCAACCACAACTTTGCCTGCTGTGATACGGTCAACATACCCCCTAGCCGCTTCCATACCTAGGCCAACTGCAGCCATGGCACCTGTCTTTCCAATGTTGCGAGCAAGAAGACCTCGATAAAAGACAATCCGCATGGCAGCTGCCTTATCGAACGCACACTTGGCATAAGCGGCGGCAATCTCACCACTGGAGTGACCAATTGTTACTTTTGGGCGGATTCCCCAGCTGGCCAGAAGGTCCACAACGGCGATCTGCAGCGCTGTGCATAGCGACTGGCTGATGTACGGGAGATCGACCTGTGAATCCTCGGCGCTTCGGTTCAGTTCTTCAATGAGATCCCACTTACAGCCCAAGAGCTGCAGGCAGGCGCTTGCCTCATTTAAAGAATGTTGGAACACGGGATATTTCTGTAAGGAGCGGCCCATTGCGTACCATTGAGCACCTTGGCCAGTAAATATGAAGGTAAGAGCCCTGGCCTTGTTGGGCACGCGGACGGAGCGGGTTCGCGCGCTAGCCAGAGCCTCTCGAAGCTCTTCGATACTCGATGCAGCAGTATACGATTTCCAAGGAAGGCTTGATCTCTTCTCGGATAGTGTATATGCCAGGCGGTGCAGAAAACGGTTCTCCTCTTCGGACCCACGGGCCACATCTGCTTCATCGAGGTAGGCCTGCAGTGTCTCACTGAGTCGAGGGATGCCAGACTCTTCATGCGAAGAGAGAAGGAAGAGACGCGAGATCGAGTCCTCCACTTTTTCTAGCTCTCCATTCTGAGATTTGCCGTTTGCTCCGTTCGTTCCGTTTTCTCCATTGGCCCGGTTTGATCCAGTATGTTCCAGACTGGAGATTTCCACAGTAGTGTTGTGGGGAGCTATCAGGTTGCGCTTCTTCAAATAGTGGTACGCATCATCGAAGACTACGTGAGCGTTCGCACCGCCGTATCCAAAACTGTTGATACTAGCACGGCGAAGACCCTCGGGCCATGGAACCGCCTTGGTAGGAATGTTAATCTTCCATTCTTCCAGCTTGATCTTGGGATTGAGATTCTCCAAGCCATGAGTGGGTGCGATCCAGCCAGTTTCGAGACTGTAAACTGCCTTGATCATGCTGGAGATTCCACTAATACCCTCCATATGGCCAATGTTGCTTTTCACGGATCCCACATACAATGGATTCTGTCGTGTTGGCCCAAAAGCGGCACCAATAGCCGAACACTCAACAGGGTCGCCTGTCTTTGTACCCGTGCCATGGGCCTCGAAGTAGTTTGTCTCGTTCAGGGGCAAACTGGCAGACGCATACGTAGAGCGGATTAATTCTGCTTGTCGGGATGCAGATGGTTGTGTGAGACCAAGAGTTCGGCCGTCTTGATTAGCACCTGAGGCGCGAACAACGGCGCGGATGGTGTCGCCGTCGTGGAGAGCCTTATCAAGTCGCTTCAACACAAGGAAACCACCACCCTCGGCGCGGGCATATCCATTGGCCGCCGAGTCAAATGTGTGGCACTTATCGTCGGCGCTAAGGAAAGACATGGGGTTGATGAATACACCAAAATTGGGCAACAGCATTAAGCCAAAGCCTCCGACCAGAGACTTGAATGTTCGGTTAGTTCATTTTGCAAAAATTCGTAAATTGAGACTTGGAGTGAGTCGGAGGCTTACAGAATCGCTTTCTCCACATCTAATACTCTGACAGGCAAGATGCATCGCAGTCATCGAAGACGAGCATGCCGTATCGATGGTCATACTTGGACCTTTGAGGTTGAAAAACCATGAAATTCGGTTAGCTAAAATGGAACCTCCTGTGCCCGTTCCAGCGTATTTTGGTAGACTGTCCATATCCAAGGCTTGTATGTCCCAGTAATCATGTAGTGCACCTCCAATGTAGCAACCCATAGGCTCATCATTGATTTGGTCAATTGTGAGACCAGCTAGTTTAATTAGCAAAATGTACTTTAGGTATGAGCTTTCGGCATGTCTATGCGTGCCTCTTTGCCTGGAATAATCTCTACTTACCATTCTCAAGAGCTTCGTATGCTGTCTCCAAGAGAATCCGCTGGACCGGATCCATGGCTTTGGCTTCCTCCGGTGTAATCGAAAAGAAGCTTGCGTCGAACTGAGTGACATCTTGTGATACAAAGTAGCCCGACTTAGTGCCGCTCACTGTTCCAGGTCGGCGACTGTCTTTATGGTAAAAGCCATCAGCGTTGAAGCGGCTCTTGGGAACTGGTTCCTTCGCGTTCTTCCCATCCATCACCATGTCCCATAGTTTGCGTGGCGAAGTAGCGTCCCCTGGAAAACGTCCAGAGACACCGATAATAGCAATGTCTGATGGCGATGAGCTGGCAACGCCATGATTGGCGAAGCAATTCGTGTCGTCGATCGTGTCGATGAAAGGCGCCATGGTTTGTGTGTGTAAAAAAGCGAGTGGGGGATTTTCAGTTGTGACTAAATGTTTCTAAAGAATGGATCACCGTATCTATATCGGGGGAGTTCAATCCATGCCGCGTTTTCTGCATATTCTCTCCGCAAGAATGAAACGATATCATCTTATATAAAGTTACGACCATGAGATTTGGTTATCTGGTCTTATCGAACTGGTCGAGTTACCCTCCGTAAGGACCGTTGCTTCTACAAAATCACGAAATCGTTGTCCAAGCCTGCCGAGACTCCTCCGGGAGGCTCTCGGGGGGCCATTTTGCTAATCTAAAAATATCATGATACTTCCGGGCGCTTCTTTTCTAACTCAGCTCCACCACCTGAATACTAAAATACTAGTGTGGATCCGAACGTTCGGAGATCTAATCGGAAGATTGGAGGCCCAATCGGAGCCTGCCTCGGGTACTTATGGGGTCCACTTCACCTTCATCCTTGGAACTAAATGAGCCCTGGGAGCTATACGGCTTCAAACAACTTAACGGTAGCATAACAAGCCGCACTAAATCTATCATCTTATGTTGCATGGTCGGTCTCTTCCATGTTTTGATGGGCAAGCTCCGGGTGTTGCTCCGTAAAACATCCCGCACTATTGTAAATGGCTCTTTTATGGTAGCCACTTACCTGATCGGGAAGCTGATCGCCAGATTTCCTGTACTAGAAGCCCCTGGGGTTGTTTCCATTACCTATAGGATAATATTTGTTCCAGTATAAAACCACTAAAACTATTATTGAAAGTGGTAGAGGTCTAGCAGTCTGCAGCTTTCAATTAGGAATCATTTATTAATAATTGTAATTACGAGACTAGTGATGTATGTACAAAGGACTTGGATGCAAGCGCTTGAGCTTGGGAGCTTGGGGGCTTTTCTTCTATTGGATGGTTTCGTCGTGGTGAAAATGGCAGATTCGGAACGAATCCCCTTATAGTCTTGTTGTTCCTGAACGAACCTCATCTTCAGTCCGAGTATCCTCTTTCCCCTCTTCTGTATTGATTTTCTCCTGACATCATTTTCTTTCTTTCGAAAGAAATCAATCAATCAGGCCTCGTCGGCTCTTCTCTTCATCTCCCTTGCCCTTCATATTCGGCTTTTTCTTTTGTGAAAAGGCGAGACATAAGTAAAGAGTCACCATCTGCTCTTGTTCTTTCCTGATTGACCCCTCGTGGATGATTTTATAGAGATAAATATCAGGGGATAATATCACCGATCGATACATCTAGACGCCATGGGTGTCGTCGAAGAAGTATTTGCCAGGATCTCCTGGAAGTCCCTTTTGCTAGTTGCCTTCGCCTATCTCATAATAAATATTCTTCGCAAGCGCTTCAATGAGGAGCGCCGCCTCCGCAACACCGGTGGCGTGCGAGCGCCCGAATACTCTGGAAAGCTGCCCCTAAACATCGACCTGATCATTGACAAGATAAAGGCCTCCGCCAACCATACGAACCACTTACTCTGGGAGAACATGTTCGCGAGACTGAATAATCACACCGTCGAGGTCAACATCATTGGGAAGCGGATTATTTTCACCGACGACCCAGAGAACATTCAGGCTATTCTAGCCAAGCAATTCCGAGACTATGGGAAGGGCGAGCCCTTTCGACGCGAGTTCGAGCCATTTTTGGGGGATAGTATATTCACCACGGATGGTGCTGAGTGGCACGCAAGCCGCCAGCTGATTCGCCCGCAGTTTATAAAGGATCGTGTGTCCGATTTGCACACCTTCGAAGGACATCTACAGACTTTGTTCACCGTTATGTCTGTCGGCGGGGACGCCGCGGCGGCGGGTGCCGTAATTGCTGCAAGGGAGCAGGGCAGCACTGCGAAATACTCGGCCAGTGGGCTTGTTATAGATATGAACGATCTATTATTCCGTTATACACTGGACGTGGCCACAGACTTTTTGCTTGGTCAAGATACAAAGTCTTTAACGTGAGTTCACTAATTTTCTCATCCTCCACAGTGCTCTCCGTTTCCATTTTAGAAGCGATTGTTGCTGCAGTTTAATAACTGAAAAACCAAGTATACCCCAGCAAGGGTTCGCCGAAGCGTTCGCTGAAGTCCAACGCGTGCAAAGCCAGATCAACCGCGCCGGCCCTGCCAAACGATTCGTTCCACGAGACTCTTACAACAATGGACTCCGCGTTATCAATGAGTTTATTAATCCATTTATCGAACACGCCCTAGAAATATCACCTGAGGAGCTTGAGCAGACGATTTCCGACAACAATGAAGGAGGAACTGGCCGTTACACCTTCCTGCACGCCTTGGCTCAGTTCACTCGCGACCGGAAAGTTCTACGGGACCAGCTTGTAGCCGTTTTACTTGCTGGTCGTGACACAACAGCAAGTACTCTATCATTTGCCATTTATGAGCTAAGTAAGAAGCCAAAATGCGTGCAACGCCTCCGGGACGAGATTGCCCAACACGTCGGCCTAGAGAGCGACGCTACGTGTAGGAACCCATCTTACGCCGACCTTAAAGATATGAAGTACCTTAAATATGTCCTAAATGAGACACTACGAATGTACCCCGCTATTCCGTATAATGTGCGGATGGCCTTCCATGACACGACGTTACCGCGTGGCGGAGGTCCTGATGGCAATCAGCCCGTGGCCATTGCCAAGAATACGCCGATCGCCTACTCGACATTGACCATGCAGCGTAGGGCTGATCTCTACCCACCGGACCATCCTCATCCAAACATATTTTCTCCTGAACGATGGGAAGGCTGGCAGCCAAAGTCGTGGCAGTTTGTTCCCTTCAACGGTGGCCCGCGCATTTGCATTGGACAGCAATTTGCCCTTACCGAGATGGGATATGTTCTTGTGCGCCTTTTTCAGAAGTTCGAGCGTGTTGTCAGTCACATGGACCCCATTGACCACGGTATCCCTACTCTCAAGGACAGCATTGTGCTGATGCCTGGCGACGGTGTCAAGGTATCATTTTATGAGCCGGGTAACGTGTCTTTGTCCTAGAGAAAGATTCATCTCCATTGAATCTTGACTTTATGATTAGAATTCTGACCTGTTAGATTCCTTATCTTCCTGTTTTTACATTCTATCTATAATGCCAAGATGTCGAGAAGTCCTGACAATTTGATGTGGCTGGGATTGAAGAAGCCCCCGCACTTCATGATGGACTTTGATATCATATTTGCAATACGTAGTACCCTTGGAATGGTCATGATAATAAGTTCTTCTCGCCATTCTCGCTCTGCATGTAATAGATAAATGTTTTTAACTCGAAGCAGCTAGTCGTGCTGAGCCTACGGAAATATTCTCTAAATTCTTCAGATTTCGTGCCTCATCCCGGATCACCGTATATAGTATATTCAAGAATTTTAGCACGCACACGCAACGTGCCATCATTTGATAAAGCATCATTGAAACTAGCCTAAATCAGCTCCAAAGTTCCCTATGCAATGCAATCGAGACTCTTCATATTTTGTTAAAAGTTGAAGATACAACAACTACTAGTAGCATAGTGGACCGAAGAGCAACGGGAGGGGGAACTGTGGTACTATCTCTGCTTCAATATGTTGCAATTGAATTTATATTAAAGATGAAGAAAAACCTTGCTATATACTGCATTACCACGCAATTCAGGGACATGGCCGACTAAGGAAGAGTAGAAGCTGTCTCGATTATCAATTCGGCAAAATGTACCAGCTCGTCAGGAAACCGGGGAAAGTGGTGGCCACCACGATGCGTCATCTTGGATGCATCAGGACCAAACATCTTCGACAAAGAGTCGTCGACAAAAAAGTATTCGTCTTTTACTCCCCACACATGAACAGAGGGTATGGTCAAATTTTCGGGTACATCTTCGGGCTGGTACTTAAGAAGAAGCTGGGCCGGGAACTTGAAGTCTTGCTGTACTCTCTTGATCATCAAGTAGTCCAGTGTTGTATGAGGATCTTTCATCCAGTCAACCTCCCTGCCGCCCGAGGCATCAAATTCACCTGGCTCGTATGTGCCCTGCAGCTCATCCTTTTGCTTCACATCCCATGTGATCAAACCGGAATCGAGACGATAAGGTAAAAATGCAGAGTTGAATATGGCCATTTTGAAAGGCCAATCTTGGCCATCGGGGTTTAATTTCTGGTGCATGAGGAGCATCAAGGCAGCCATAGCGCCGCCCTGGGAGAAACCCCAAATTCCATCAAACGGCCCTTCAGATTCCACAAACGAGACTATACGCTCGTGGGCATTATGAACGTCCTGTGGATATGGATAGTTGTGCCAGGAGTAGTTTGGTGGGGGGATTTGATCCATGGTGGCTAAGAATTCGGAAATTAGCTCAAGGGTGAAATGAGGGAGGTTGCAAAGATGACTTACGAATCATAAGTTTAGAGCACTCCATGTCTGCTTCCAAATACTCGTATTCCCAGTGACTCGGCAGATGCTCTATTATTGGTTCCATCATTTCTTTTAGAACATCAACGCATGTCGCGTAACCATGCAGGCAAAGAAACCGCATTTTGGGAGAGTGTTCGAAGACACAGTCCTTTTGTTTATTGCGTATATGTAACAAAAGCCAAATGAATTTATAAAGAATACTAATAAGGGCTCCAAGTCTTTAGTTTGTGAACCACTTGGTCCCCACCCACGCGGCTTCTAGGGGCCAATTCCTTAAACCCTCCGATGCCGAATGAGTACGTATGTGTTTAAATTTTCCGATTTCGATTTAGCTCCTAGGTTGGAAGAGTCTGCCATATTATAGTTGCTAATGATTTGATTTTTTGAATACAAATCACAGCGAATTTTTTTTGGATACATGATCTCCGATGGGGTTGGGAAAAATTAGAACGGTTTGGTAGCTGGAGCCCTAGGAGGGAATTTTCCGTAGATTTTGGAAGCTAGGCCACAGTACTTCAAGTTCGCTTCAGATTATTGAACATTGAAGGTGTAAGTTTATATTTCGCCAGAGAGTTTGATTGGTTATATGATATTCCACTTCATATGAGACGAAATCCGGCCGCAACAGATATTTCGAGGCCGTGACAGGCATTTATAATAATTAGGTAGAGTTGAGAGAAAAATAAATGACAGACCTTAGAGGCAAGGGGGAATTGGAGAGGTTGAGAGCAAAGTAGTACTTGCAACCAGACCTAATCATAAGCAAACCGAGGTAATATATTGTGATATGTGCTGTAATATCTTAACTCGTTCATTACTTTCGCAAGGTCACGGTGACAGCCATCAATATTTAGTCATTTTTTGAATTGATTTCGGGTTGTTTGAACATGAGCGACCAATTTAAATTGGCTATAAAAGGCTATCTAGTAGAGATCAAACTACTAATCGCTAATTTTTAGAGCCGTCTTGCCAAAGCTTCCACCAGTGAACATGGACAAGAAGGCCTTGTCTGCCTGGTCAATACCCTCAAAAATGGTGTATCGTGATTTGATCTTGCCTTCAGAAATCAATCTCGGCATATTGGTAAGGAAATTGACAATGTTGTCATTGTAAATGTTCTCATCCCAGAACATGAATCCTCGGATCGTGATGCGGCGACGGAAGATCTCGGAGGTGTTAGTGATACCATACTGTTCCTCGAGTGGCTTATTGTATTGAGAAGCCTAGGGGAAAAGAAATATTAGCTCGGAGTTAAAACACAACTCGAAACGAGACTTACTGTTCCACAGCTAATGATTCGCCCAAACCACTTCATGTTCTGAATAGCTGCCTGCAAGTGGTCTCCTCCGACATTTTCAAACACCACATCCAAGCCTTCCGGCGCCAGACGCTTCAAAGCGGAGTCGACAGGTTCCTCTCTGTAGTTGAAGCCGGAATCAGCGCCCAGTTCGTTGATCACGTACGCCAATTTCTCGTCCGAGCTAACACTGGCAATCACCTTCATGCCTTCCATCTTGGCTAGCTGGACAACCACTTCGCCCACGGAGCTCGACGCAGCATTCACCCAGATTGTCTCGCCTGCGACGGGCTTGACCAGGCCGTAAAAGGCGTTCCATGCAGTCATGCCCGCTAGTCCGAGCGTACCAACAAAGTGCTTCAGGTCCAGCTGGTAGTCATTGCTGACCTTCCACACGACAGGCGAGGCCATGATCTTCAAGCCCAAGAAAAAATCGGGCAAGATACTGTACTCGGAGATGGGCAGACTGCCAGCGATAAGGCTACCTTCCTCGAAGGCGCTGGAGTTGGAGTGAATTACTCGGCCGATGGAGAAGTTGGAGATGGCCTTGTCCACTTCATAAGGAGGAACATAGTCTACATTACCCACTCCGCGCATGCGGTCTCGCTGATGAGGATCAAGTCCGGCAATGAGCAACTTGATGACTATACCTCCGGGCGGTGCCACAAGCGGGGTGGGCCTGTTTTCCATGGCGGTGGTGACGCCCGGTTCGATCAATGCGGTAGGAGGGTTCTTGAAAACCCATGTCTTGTTTGGAACAAGATCCTGGTCTGCCATTTTGGTAGAATGTGACGTTGATATATGCGGAGGCGCAGGATGAGTTCGAATAATAGGAGGAATAATAGTAATGGTAATGGTATAGCTGCAAGACCACTATGGCTTCTATACGTGATATTGTTGAGTCTTATCAATATTATATAAATAGTGATACTCACTCATTCAAACTATATTGCAATGGATCTCGGGGCAAAATTCTCCCCGATAGTTCGAGAAGCGTCTGCGAGACGATATTGCATATTGCATGTCCGCTCTTGACAATGAACTAAAACAATCGGAGCCTTTCGGATGTTTTGACTAGTCGGAGGGTTCCGAGCTGACAAAAATATCATACAGTAACGTAATGTACAAAATATGTGAATGGAGGGCGAAGGACTGCTGTGTTATTAGGCGCAGCTTTATGGGCCAAGTTCTGGACGGCTAGTGGTATGCCTGATGCCCTTGAGAATGTTCATCAGGCAGCATTGGAATACAATCCCACAAAGTGAGTTTAAGAAGTGAAGGCTTTAACCAAGTAGCTCTTACGTAGCAAGATGGATTAATCATAGAAATTCCAAGTAGACTACGATCTACACTTGGTGAATGTATATTGATAGTCCCGTTTTGTAAAAAAAAAAAAAAAAAAAAAAAAAAAAAAGAAAAGTGGAAGCTTCAGTGACCAAATTGGCAGTCGGCATGATAATTGAATTACTAGTTATTGATCCTTTTTCAAAGTAAACTGGACCTTTTGGCAAGAACCTGGCACTCTCGTAAGTTAATTCATCTCGGGGCCATTATGAATATTCCAAGGTTGGAAGGACTACGAGGTTCGGTTACATAAAATAAGGGATAGCGTATGGATTTGATCTAGCTTGATTCCAAAAGTGCTATAGCAGCAAGCTTTAATCTCCAGATTCGATCAACAGCCTGAGTAAGGAAGGCTCATGTATTTCATTCTCGTTTATGCCTCTCTGTTCTAATATAGCGCTGCAAAAACATTCCGTGGCACCACTTTACGTCACTGCATCAACAAGAGCTTACTGTTCGTAAACCTTCTTGAATGCCTGCTCAAAATCGGCAATGATATCATCGATGTGCTCAATGCCCACAGAGATACGAATCATGTCTTCCGTGACACCGGAGGCTGTCTTCTCCTCAGCGGAAAGCTGCTCATGTGTCGTCGACCAAGGGTGAATAGCCAGACTCTTAACGTCACCCACATTGGCCAGATTCGACACAAGCTGCAGGGTGTCAACAACCTTGCTTCCTGCCTCAGCACCCCCCTTGACTCCAATGCTCAGCATACCACCAAAGCCGCGCTTCAGATATTTCTTAGCCGCAGCGTGGCTTGGGTGCTTCTCCGAGCCGGGCCAGAGGGTCCAGCTAACGTGCTGTGGGGAGGCTGCGAAATACGCGGCCAGCTTTGCAGTGTTCTCTGCATGTCGCTCAGCTCGCAGGCCCAAAGTCTCAACACCAATTATTAGTTGTTGCGCGGCAAAGGGGCTCAAGCAGGGGCCGACATCGCGGAGCATTTCCACACGGGCGCGCATAATGAACGAAGCTGGACCGAATGTAGGCCAGTATCGAAGGCCGTGGTATGCTGGTGATGGCTCGACAAATTCCGGGAATTTGGCCGCATTCTTGCCCCAGTCGAATCTTCCGGAGTCGACAATCACACCGGCAATAGTGGTTCCGTGTCCACCGATCCATTTGGTGGCTGAGTGGACGACGATGTCCGCACCGTGCTCGATGGGGCGGACAAAGTAGCCACCGGCACCAAGGGTGTTATCGACCTAAATAGTAAGATGATATTAGCGAGGTGTCCTGCTTTTGAATTTTCTCCCCTCATCCCCTCTTTTTATTTTCTTTTGTCTTTTCACTTTTGGCTTGGGATAAATTCAACTCACAATCAAGGGGATACCATTGTCGTGAGCAACCTTAGCGAGGGCCTCAAAGTCGGGAACAACATTGTCTGGATTGCTAATACTTTCGATGTAGATGGCTTTGGTATTATCATCAATGGCCGCGGCAAACTCGGCAGGGTCAACACTTCCGACAAACTTTGTTGTCACGTTGAAGCGGGGAAGAAGCACGTTGAGCTGATTGTATGTGCCGCCGTACAAATGCGAGCTAGCAACGATATTGTCACCAGGTCTGGTCAGGCTAGTCAATGTCAGATACTGGGCGGCCTGACCAGACGCGGTCGCAAGCGCAGCAATTCCACCCTCGAGAGCAGCAATGCGTTTCTCAAAGACGTCATTGGTAGGCTGAAAACGTATACTTTAGCCTCTATTCCTGCATAATTGAATAGACGGAATTAGGGGAAATGGTGATGATTATTTGGTGACTAACATTCATCAAACGGGTGTAGATGTTGCCCGGTTCCTGGAGGCCAAAGAGTCGGGCTCCCTGGGCAGAGTCATTGAAAGTGAAGCTCTGGAAAGATAGAAGTCAGTAACCAGTTCATTGAAGGTCGCGAAAATGATTGCGGTTAAGGGAAATGACGTACAGACGTGGCATAGATGGGGACGGCAGTAGATCTCGTAACGGGATCAGGCTTGTACCTATACAAATATTGGTCAGCTTCGACAAGCCCTGTGTTACTAGGAAAAATTGGATGAATGATTCTAGGTACCCGGCATGAAGCTGGATAGTTTCAAAGTTTTTCCAGGGTGTCGGTTCCATGATGAATAGCTTTCTGTGTTGGATTTAAAAGGAGATGGAATTTGGACAAAATCGAGGAGACGAGTTTTAATTTGGAAGAGACGATACTTCCTTTATCCACATATATACTATTTAATTATATAGAAGTAGACTGACTGCATCGTATACTTTGATGTCCCATCCGAACATTCGGAGACTTGATGACTTCCGGGCCCCGGACGCCCGAATGGTGCGAACGAAACCTTCCGACCACACCATTATTGCCTCACCGAAAGGGTCTTGAATCATTTAATTTTGGTATATTTACATAGGATTTCTAAATTGTATTTCTCGTAGCTATCGCTCTGTCTTATAGTTCAAAATACGATGGGTTCAGTCACTCCCTCCCCGGCCTATGGTCAGCGACTGTTACCAGTGGAGATTGATAAGATTGCTCGGGACAACCCTGGTCGCGTGCTCTTCTATATTCCCCGTAACAACCAGCCCTCACAGGGATACCAGGAGATCACGACAAGCATATTTGCCAATGCCATCAATAGGGCTTGTTGGTGGCTCGAGTCTGAAGTAGGAACAAAGGCGACACCCAAGACGATAGGCTATCTTGGACAGAGTATGTCCTCCACATTATTAATAGACATTGATTTGTGGAGTCTATATTGATGGCCTTCTGCTCGTTCAGATGATATTAGATACTTCATTCTTATCCTGGCGGCGACCAAAATTGGCCACAAGGTATGATCCCGATATCACAGATATCAGTCCTGCTATCTTCGCAACTGACAGTTTACTAGGTTCTACTTTCTTCACCACGTAATAGTGTCGAGGGTCACCATTCCCTTATCAAGGAAGCTGGCTGCGAGCTATGGATCACAACGCCGGGCGTCGGCAAACTCAACTTTATACAACTGCCTTGTATCCAAATAGCTGCCCTTGACGAGCTCCTGGACCCCAGTGTTGTGAAGCCATATTCATATGAGAAGCAGTGGGAGGAAGGACGTTTGGATATTTTGGCGTTGCTTCACACAACCGGTTCGACCGGTATGCCACGACTGATACCAGTCACACTAGCATCCGTGGCCTCTGGCGATAGACTTCACTTGGTAGAGCCTATCGGAGGAAAGATGCCCAGTCTGTTGGAATGGGAAGGCACAAGGATGCTAAATGCGATGCCCTTATTCCATGTAAGGACTCACAAAGAAAATTTGCACCGCGACAAACAGAAAGAAGCCAGAAGCTAACTCAGAGGTGTTTCCATATCATTAGGTCGCAGGTTTGAGCTTTGGCCTTTTCTGTGCCGTCTTTTATAGATGGAGTGTCGTATTCCCGACGCCAGGGCCAGTCATGCAACATGTCATTGAAGAGATTCTAGACAACATTGATTGTGACTCGGCTTTTCTCTCGCCAATTGTTCTCATGGACATTGCCAAAACACCTCGCGTGTTGGATAAGCTCGCTAAGCTTAAGTTTATCACGGCCGCAGGCGGCCCAGTCCCGGCCATTGTTGGCAACATTGTTCACCCCCGTGTTCCTCTCTGGCAGACTATGGGTATGACCGAAGGACTACTAGTGCCGTCCGTAATCACTTATCCGGATGAGTGGGCGTATTTCCATTTTCACCCGTGTTGCGGATTTGAAATGCGACCGTATTCAGACACCTTGTTCGAGCTGGTTTTCATCAAGAAAAAGGAACTGGCTGCTACTCAGACAATTTTCCTGACCTTTCCCGACTTGGATATATATGAAACCAAAGACTTGTACTCGCGTCACCCGACGATTCCCGAGCTGTACAAGTACGAGACACGCAAAGATGATCTTATTGTGCTATCGAACGGTGAAAAGTTCAACCCCTTCATGGCGGAAATGCAGTTAGCTGCCCACCCTTGGCTGTCAGCCGCCTACATTACCGGACGAGGGCGCTTCCAAGCGGCCGCGTTACTCAACCCGGAAGAAAGTCGACAGAACGAGTCAGACAGTGCCATCATCGAAGCGGCGTGGCCGGCCATTGAGACTGTCAACAAAACCCTGCCGGCCTTTGCTCAGGTTCATCGCAACTTTGTCAAAGTTGTGCGTACACCTTTTCCGCGTACCCCCAAGGGGACATTAGCACGTCATCAGATAGAACCGCTCTTCGCCGATGAGATTGCCAGCGTGTACCAAGACTCAGGGATTTCCGGGTCTCCAGCCTCGCAGGCTACCTCCTTCGAAATTGATGGGACTAGCGAGGTGACCATTTGTGCTGGCCTCCGGGAAGCAATTCAGATAGTGTCGCCAGGATTGGGGCTCGAACAGATCAAAGATGATGAAAGCCTTTTCGAGAACGGGTTCGACTCACTCCATGTCGTTCGACTTTCCCGACTCCTTAATTCTGCTTTTCCCTCTTCTCCCATGCAAGTAGAAGTCGGCACAATATATGCTCACCCTTGCATCGCCCAGTTAGGAAATATCCTGTATGCGCAACTGCAGAATATCCGTCAAGGACATCGGGAGACAGAACCAGTGGACCTTCAAACCAGAGCCGTATCTCAAGCGCTTGCCAAACATTTACCGGCCTTTTCCATGCCTCGGGAAGGACCCAAGGAGCATGTCATCCTCACAGGCACAACGGGGGCTGTCGGCTCGTATCTTCTGGACGCTCTGTGCAAAAACGATCGAGTCGCCAAAGTATGGTGTTTTAACCGCAGCAGTACAGCGGATGCAGCTTGCCGACAAGCCGAGCTAGCAAGGTCGAGGGGGCTTTCCTTGAATTGGAAGGGCAAAGTCCGCTTTGTTCAGACGAATTTGACATCTCAAGCCCTTGGTTTAAGCCGGGCGGATCTGAAAGAGATCAGAGACCAAGCAACGATCATTATTCGTGAGTTATATCCGCTCTTCCTCCCAGAATCTTTCAAAGTTCTATGTAGCCTGCCAGATCGCTAAATATTTATGTTGACAGACAACGCATGGGAAGTAAACTTTAATCTTCCGTTGTCCTCTTTCGAAACGCAGTTGAACGGGCTTCAGAGCCTCGTCCAAATTTGCACCGAGACTCGGCAACAGATCCGCTTCTTCTTTGTTTCTTCCATAAGCGGCGCCATAAACTGGCCAACTCATCTCCTGGGCCCTATACCCGAAACCAAGCTGACCAACCTAGACGCTCCGATCAACGGATACGGCGCGTCCAAGCTCGTGGCCGAGCACTTGCTCAGCAAGGCCGCCCAGGCCGGTGTGTTGCGCCTCTCGGTCCTGCGTATAGGCCAGGTCGCTGGTCCCGTTGTAACGCACGGAGAAGGAAGTGTATGGACGCGTAGGGATTGGGTGCCAGCAGTACGTCGTCTCATTCTTTCGCATTTGCCTTCTTCCATAATCAGTGTTTTAATCCATCAAATAGATCATAGACGCTTCAGCATACCTGAATAAGCTACCCGCCACTCTGGGTTCCGCAACAGTCATCGATTGGATTCCCATCGACCTGCTGGCCGAAGTGGTGGAGCAACTGATCCATTCGGATGCGAGAACAACAACCGCCAGCCAAGAAGACGAAATATATTACAACCTCGTCAATCCCCAGACAAGCAGCTGGGAGTCACTGGTATCGATCATACATGCCCGTCTAGAAAACGCTTTGTCACCTGAGAAGGTGCAGATCGTGCCCTTCTCCCAATGGCTGGACGACTTGCAGAACGCCGAGGAGGCGATCGTCCAAGAAGCGGAGAAGCAGAATGGGTCGACTTCATCACAGACTACAGCTAGCCGAGCGCAGACGGGACTCAAGCTATTGTCCTATTTCCGGATGCTGGTGGAATCATCTGCATCGGATGATGCGCCCAAGCCAGCTCCATCTCTCCTGAACTGGGCCGTTGGGAATGGCTTGGCGCGAAGCTCCGTCTTTGCCGATCTGACACCTATATCTCCTGCCTGGTTCGAGACGTGGTTGGACCAGTGGGGATACTAAAAATAAGAATGCGAGTAGAGCGTGATATCCATGTTTGCGAAGTTGCTACGACGCGTCACAACGGCAACCATAACCAACGCGACGAGTGGAGAACACGGTGCCTGATTTATGCCTGACTTTCCGCCTCACCAGATGTGAAGTAATGTGATTTTTTCTTTCTTTCTTTCTTTTGCCATCGAAATATTTTCTCTGTGATCTCTGACGATCCGGGATCATTGCAATTTACTGTTTCATTGACTCGCGATACATATTTCCAACCAATTTCGTTAATAGTCATAGTTAACTTGTCTATAGGCTGTTAGGTAATTTGGTATTAATGGAGTCTTCTACCAACCCAGAACACTACTAGGCCACATACTGCACAATACGTCCACATGTAGACACATATTCGCCGGGTGGGATTTTATGTCACTGACTCCCTGGCAAGGGTATCCCAAAATAAAGAAGGGTCGGGCAGGATCCGACACTAAACTGCCTGGGTTTCTGTTAGTGTGTTGTGTCACCATGACCCCGGCGTAGGATTCGCACAGAATCGCCCTGTACACCCGGGCCCTCGTATAAATAATCTCATGAGCGCCTACTAAGTACAAGTGACAGACGGGGCTAATATGTCTATTGCTCTATGTGCTTCGTAACACCGACAAAAGCATCTCTTAGACAAGTCGCTAAGAAATCCAATTCAGGGGGGGGGGGTGGGAACTATGACAAAACATGAAAGAAATCCGATCCTATACTCCAGATTTCAATATATACTTATAATGTACCTACAGTCTTCGGTAATCCTTCAGTAAAAGCGGAGAAATACATGGCGTATATACAAGGTTGAAGAAAGTTACCCACTATAGATGGCCGTTCTCTTGATAATATTGGGCTCATAATGATCTATGTACCCTGAGCCCTAGAAAGCCACCTTCGCCGAATATTCCTCATCCTCTTAGCTGCAGTGACCCACTCAGCTGCAGGTGGTCTCGACCGTACAACAGGACAAAACGTGACATTGAACTGCCCGTCTCACTGTCACAGAGATCGGGCCTTTAGCTCTTCCTGAGTACCTTGCAGGCCAGACTACACCTTACAAATGATGTCAGACCCAATCAGATACAGATTCACCCAAGCACGCAATTCTAGTCCTCGGGTTTCCCCCCATTGGCAATAGTTTCTATATGGCGAATGGGTCATTCCGTCTATGAAATAACCCCGGACTGTAATGCCAACTGTTGATTTTAGTCCAATTTTCCAGGATATTGTCGATTTTATTGGTAAGTTCATATGACGGATTAGCATGGTGCATCTGACACCGCATTCTCGGGTCATCGCCCACTGCAGCTGCCACGCGAGTTTGACAATCTCTCAATTTTGGGTATAGAGAAGCTTTAGATTCGCTTTTTACCTAGCTCCCGGATTATGTGGCAAGTTCTCTGCTTGAAAACGAAGATCTTCTTTTTACCATTCTGGTGGGATTCAGCAGATTCTTCCACTAGCGTAGCCCCCTCCGAGACCGGTGCTATCCTTCATTTTTGGTTTTCAATTTGTGTATTTTCTCATTCACCGCTTTTCAAACTCCCTGTTGGAGGGAAATCCATTTGGAGGTGGGCCCGTTGTGCATGTAGTCCCCTATCCAGCATTTACGAAGTCCATATTGCGTGTATAATATGGGGCATTGTACCTGGGGCTATAGCCCCTACATGGGTCGCGATGACGGCATACCTGGAAAAGTGGCTAGCTCACAAAGTATGCATGCAGTCATTCGGAGACTATTTGCGATGATGTGGGGAATCGGAGTTCAGACTCGGATAGTCGGAGACGGATGATCGGCGTGTTTTTGTTTTCAGCTCGCACTCTGACGGCTCGACGAGTACATGGAACACACCACCTTGCCGAATGTGTCCGATAGAACCACCGTACACAGATTGTTCACAACAAGCTACAAATCACCTTCCTGTAATTAAATGCGCGTATTTTATTAAGAAACATAAATGAAGAGAGATGGAATGCATGTAAATGAAATAAAGCTTATCCTCAAAAAGTCTGCCTTTGAGAGATACTCCGGAGTTCGCTTTTCGCAATTTGAGGCATTTTAGCTATTACAAACAACTAAAGTTTACGTCAACATGTCTTTTATTTCGCAAGCTGCGGACGCGCAGGTCGTGTGCATCAAAGACCTCCAGAAGGCGGCTACCGAAAAGCTGCCAGATATCTATAGAGGCGAGCTTAAGATTTCCCTCCCAAGGATACACAAGACTTTTTCGGTATAAGAAAACTAATGCTAGATATGGACAGGCTACTTCAACGGCGGCTCCATGGACTGTCTCACGTACGTACTTTTGATTCCGTGTTTTCATTTTCTCGTTTCTCTTTGGGGAAAATGAAGCGACGGGAGCTGTGGGTCTAGAGGAATGTGACTCTAATTACGATGATCAGGCTCGGGTTCAACGAAAGTTCCTTTGATCGCTACCTCCTGCGGCCCCGAGTTTTGCGCGATGTGACGAACGTCGACACGAGCACCACATTGTGGGGCAAGACGGCCGCACTGCCCCTGGGCGTCGCCCCGACCGCTATGCATCGACTGGTCCATGAAGACGGTGAGATCGGCACGTCCAAGGCCTGTGCTGCTCGTCGTGTTCCTATGATTCTTTCCGCTCTGTCGAACGACACTTTGGAAGATGTATCGGCCCAGAGCAGTGATGGCTCGACACCGTATGCCATTCATGTCAGCCCGTTGAACAAGCGTGAAGTCATAAGCAGCATTCTTACGCGGGCTAAAGGTAGGGCGCTCGTTCTCATTCGTGGATTTTATATTAAGTGGTATTTGAACCACATATACTAACAAACAACACCTCCAGCTGCCGGGTACAAGGCTGTTATTCTAACAGCCGATGCTCCGATGTATGGTCGCCGTCTACCGGATTTACGCAATCGGTTCAGTATCCCTCCCGGCCAGACTTTCCCCAATATCAGCGCACCAGGCGTGTCGGTCGCTGATATTTCAGTTAGTATGTATAATAAAGCGGTTTTACACCGCCAGTCATTTATCAAGTTCTTATTTGACTCGTGGAATCAATTTAGGTGCCGCTGCTGCTTGGGAAGAGTATATTCCTTGGCTCCGAACTCAGACAGACCTAGAGCTTTGGGTGAAAGGAGGTTAGTTCAGCCAGCATCAGCCCTAGTTTATGCCCGCGCACTTACTAATCAGTTAATTTCTTATTATAGTAACCTCCAAAGAGGATGTTACCCTCGCCATCAAGCACAGAGTGGATGGTATCATAATCTCCAATCACGGCGGTAGACAACTAGACTCCACACCCGCCACTATCGACTGCCTCCGCGACGTGGCGCCCTTGGCTAAGGGTAAAATCCGTCTCTCCTTGGACGGTGGCATTCATCGCGGGTCAGATATCTTCAAAGCCATCGCCCTTGGCGCGGAGTTTGTTTTCGTTGGAAGAATTGCTATTTGGGGATTAGCGGTAAGATTATCGATTTTATTACATCCTTTCTTTTGAGAAGATACGGTTATGTTCCCATATCAAACCAGCTTCATGATCTGATCTGTCAAATAGTATAACGGTTCAGACGGTGTGGGACTAGCACTGGATCTCCTCATTCAGGAGTTTAAGCTGTGTATGGGATTGGCTGGCTGCACTAAGGTATCAGACATCAGCCCTGCCCATCTGTCCATTTTGCAAAGCAACGGAATTCTAGGCGATGTTTATTAGATAAATTTGTCCGGATACGGTCTCATTGCCGTCAAGTCGGCGGTGCCAAATGAGTATCGAGAATACGACAACAAGGTCAATTCATTGGATTTTATCGAGCCCCATAAATCTGAAACAGGGTATTTTGCATACTTTCGGGTGGCGCTTCTGCTAGTATAAAAGGCCTTCCGGGCCAAAATGCTCTAAATACTGGAATTCGCCCTTACCCCACCCACCCCTGGGGGTCCCGTCAACTTTGACCAGTAAAGTCGAGCTGGCCAATTTGCCACTCGTCCAACAAATCAAATCCTAAGAAATCCTCATACAACCATGCACTATTCTCACTTTGCTCAAATTGAGATGGAACCACGCTGACCTGCGTGTGTGGGGAAGCGTAGGCATCCGCCATATTGTTTTCCTGTGAGTGTGACTGCATAGGTATTTGGCCAAGGCTGTTTGGAGGAACCAAATAAAGGTTTTTCTTGGCGACTATCTCTTCAAATAGTGGTAAAGCTCGTTTCAGAGCTGGAATTTCTTGACCCTGCGTGAGAACAAGCATGGTCTGGCTGATCGATATCCGTGCCATAGAGCGGACGAGATCCGTCTCCGCTGAATCCAGGGCTGACTCGATATGGAGAGCAAGTAGGGCAATTATTGTGGTTACGCTAGTAACGCTTTGATTAGCTTTGGTCTTCTTCCCGTTGCATGGAACAATGTTGGAAAATCAGGGTAATGAAAAATGAACCGGACATACAAAGAGATGGGGAAGTCTAGCAGGTTTCCACTCGCCAATACCCTCCTGGCAATGGTGTCTAACTCCAAAATAGCGGAGTGAAGCCGGTGTTTGGCCCACTCGCTCCACTCGGTATGATGGGACTGTTGCCAATAGCGCCTTATAAGGCGGCATAATATGCACTCAAATCTGTAACTGATGGCTTGTATAGTCAGATAGTACACGTCAGCTCCGATGTTCCCACCCACGTGCATCCTAGCGGCGAGGGTTTTCCGCCATGCATCCAGTGGATGCAATGTTTGCCGAGGATCTTGCTGTGGTTTGCTTGTAATATTAGTCAGACATTGTCCGACTGAATAAGAGTTAGTCATGTTTTGATATCAAATGCGGATATATAATAAAAATAGATTGAATGATAACTTGAACGAAGCGTCGCATAGATCTGATACGTACATATTCGAGACAACTCGCCATGGACAACAGGTAAGGCTCTTTGCTGAGGTGTAGTTGGCGATAGCAAGCCGGATGATTGTTCAAAGATATTATCTTCTTCCGAGTCATCTTCTGTCCAAAGATTAATCGTAGGGGTATTTTCGAGCAGTCGTGATCGTCTGGTATTGACGGATACATGGAAAATGTCTAAAGACTATGTATTTATAATGAATATGATATCCAAATAGTACGATCCAGCGATGGGAAGATAGACGTACATAGAGACCCCACCAGACCCTCTTGTACAACTTTAAGAGTGCGGGGGGTTTATTTTCTCGGATACAGCTATGAGTAATTCACTGCCTTAGTATGTCAAGTGCCAGTCACCATCTCACAGTCAAGAAGTTGAGAAACGTACGAGTTGCGTAGGTCAAGCTTGGTAGCGAGACGGATCGCATTGTGGAACCAGTAGCCAAAGTCTCGGTCGGTCGGATGGTCCAGAATTACCATACACAAGATGATGGATCCTTGTAGCATCAATAAAGGGTCATCTTCAGTCGCAAAGTCATGGAGAAGCTTGGCCCTGGAGAAGAACGACTCTTGTGCAGCCGAGCGGCTATCAAAACCGCAGGCGGATAAAATCTCTGCTGGCGCATGGACACTAGCCGTTGTCAATATGACGTAAAGCAAGAACAACGAGCAGTCACCGGATTGGTAGCCGCGAACGAAAGCACTTCTGTCGATAACGGGCGCAAATGGGTAAACATGGTCAAAATAGGTTTTAATCAAGACATCCCTGTTGTTTGTTGGGTCAGTGGGTCAGCCAAAGACAAAGATCGGAGGGGAAGGATGCCAAGATTATACTGACAAGTGGCGTGAGGGAGGAAGATCAAAAACACCTTTCTTAACAAGATATTCATTGTCACTGTCGTCTAATTGGGGTAGTTTAGTCCATAGACAATTTCGAGGAGTAAAACTCTCTTCTGGGCTTGGGCGATAAGGGGTGCTGGAAGTGGGGTAGTTTCGACCGGATTCGGTGGTTTTTTCGCCAGCATCGTTTAAAATATTGAGGTAAAGCAGATCTGGTTCTGTCTGATGCGAGCCTTGGCAATCCATTGGATCAACATTTGAAGGTTGAGTGGGCTGTTCGGACTGATTAGATTGATTAGATTTCGGTTGCGGTTTTTAATTGGCTACTGCTAGCCGTGGTGGAGAGGGGTCATTGGGCCTGATGATCATTAGTGGGAATTTCGAAGGATTGTCGAAGGAACAGAAAAAACTTTGCTAGAGCAGAATAAACAACCGGACTTAGTCCGATGAGATCACCTAAAACTTACTCATACTTGGTTAGGCGTTGGTGAAACATGGTTTACTTTCCTAAGAGCCCCGTCGTAAGTTAGCAACACGCAGGTAACCCATGAACCATGAAAAGCCATGGCGAGAAAATAATCCTATCAATAAGTGACTCACCTGCTTCGCCACTTACGGGTTGGTAGTACGCAGTCCTTGGCACATTGCCTACTGGTACAGCTGCTGCAGGGGGGGCCAATTACGGCAGCATCGCACTTGGTCTTGCGTACCCGGCATGGCACACAAGCCTTATTGGCTTTCAGGGTACGCTTCCCGACCTCGCCCGTGCTCCTTGGGGCCTCGCCCCCTGAAGGATTCATTGGGGCTGGAGATGTACGTTTGTGGGTGCGTTAGCGGAAGCCTGTAAATTGCGCGGAGGGATCAAGTCAGGTAGATGTTTCGTTCTTAAGTCTTCGGCGATTTAAGTTCCGGTCCGATCGGAGCCTTGCAACCTCACATCATCCCTGAGTTTAGGCCCACAGCCCTTTCCAGATTATCGCGTGGCCGCTGATATACATAATAAATAAAAATTAGAATAAAATAAAATAAAATACAAAATTTATACTACGAATAATACTACCATAAGAGTAAATTCAATGTTTACAATACACACTGGCTTGCGAGTGGAGTGGATCCACCGTTATTTAATGTCATCCATAGTTCATGCTTTCTTCGACACGCTAGTTCTTTTAAACCCACTGACCTATTTGTTTACTTGTAAATTCGTGTCGCATTGTAAAAACTACATTCAAAAATGCCAGGCGATTTCTCAACCAGAGCTCCCTGGAAACGCTCCGCATGTGATCGTTGTCGATCGCAAAAGCTTCGTTGTTTCCGAGATGAGGGGCGACCTTCCGGTGCATGCCATAGATGTATAAAATCGGGAACAAGATGTGTTACAAGCATGGCTCGTCCAACAGGCCGTCCACCTTCACGGCAGCCAGATGTGCCATTGAACGAGATCTCCACGTCTTCGGAAACGAATATTCCATCGCCCGGAGACAGCGGCATCAATATAGTTGATTGTGATCTGTCTCTCGACAACTTTTTGGACAGCATTGGCATGCAGCATACAGATTCTATCTTGGACAGCAACAGCCTTGACGATTTTCAATCATTCTCTCAACTACCGGCCGGCCTAAATGCCAATTCGCCAACCCCCAAGGTACCACAGCAGCCACGAGGAGATCTAGGACCAGCCTCTCAATCTGCTACTTCTCCATACCAGTTCAACAATACTTTATTTATGCCGCAGGCTGGCCCCACGGATCTTGGATTGTCGTTATGCAGCCCCGACCGTGTTGAGACACTACTCTCCCAGCTCCACTTGGAGCTCTGCAATCTACTCTCTTGCGTCCGATCGGCCCCGTGGGACGTCCAAGATGTCCTCAGACTGACTATATCTCCTGAGAGCAACGGCAGCCACGATGGAGAAATCTGGGATTCACATCCTCTGGTTCAAGTTGCCAGAATTTCGAAAGAATTAGAAAAGCTCTTAGCCAACCTTCGACCGTCGACGGTAGCGGCCGTACACACCCCACAAACAATCACGTACGATTCCGGTTCGCCAACTCTTTGCACTACCCAGCTCCTCGTAGCATTATCCTGCTATATCCAGATTGTTTCTATATACGATAGTATCTTTTCTACCGTGTTCGAATACTTAGCCACCGGCGGCCCTGCGGCAACTTTGGCTTCTATATCGACCTCGCAGCAGCCGCAGCACCTCTCCACGCCGACGCTGTACCTGGGCGGGCTACCACTTCTACCAAACCGGAAGCTCTGTGGGATACTGTTAGTGCATCAAATAGAGCACCAGTTGGAGCGGATAGAGATTTTTGTTGGCTTACCAGAGCAGTACCGCATATCTGCTACATCTAGAGATGAAAGCAAAGATGTGGTCAATGGGTTATTTGCGGGACAGCATAGCCAGTCTCTCTTGCATGCAGTATTTCAAGTAGGGGAATTCCGCCCAGAGGACGACACACGATCCGTTCTTTCGTTAAAAATGAAGATGCGACAGATGAAAGACCTTTAGGGGGATCGAATTATTTGTCCACTGGCTCTTCTCAGAGGTATGGCTCTATGCATTGAAAAGGGCTGCTTGGTACAGGCTCTGTTAATGAGAAATTCTGCGAGGGAGTAGATGCCGTTCAGAAAAACGAAAAACCCCGTCATTCGGTGACTTTTTCCTTTTCTTTTTCTGACAACTTATGCCCTGTTTGAACCATACTCCCCATCTTTCATTCTCTTTCAGTTGCGCAGGTGTTGCACATTCTCTAGAAGACACATAATACATGAAATGGATTAAAAAAATAATAAAAGAATCATAAAAATGGAAGGGCAATTTACCGATACAAAACAAAATTGAATGCAGAGGATCTTTACTTTCCCCTCGTCATATCAAACTGGGAGCAATAAGAAGGTTGGCGCACGCTTCACTAAACAGTCTCTTCAACCTTTCTCTCGAGCCCATTTGGCTCACCCTCCATCACTGCACATTTCCGACCGCGCATTTGTTCCATTACCTTTGCTGCTTCCAGAGAATACTTGCATTTGGCGCGTATCTTTGCACCGTACTTGTGGAACAAAAAGGGGGAAGGTACGCACACAAGTACCAAGAATGCAGGGATGGAGCTCGCCCACTGATTCCCTAAATTTTCATACATTTGAGTGGTAAATAGCGGGAACGCGGTGCCGAACAAGGATCGAAGGACTGAATTTGCTGCTAGTGCGGAAGCAGCATAGACAGTATCTGTGTGCAGGTTAGCATATACTAATATTTTGCAGAGAATCAGAATCAAAATTTTCAGGACTCACAAGAATCGACCAAATAGGTCATCAGTGAGATAAAGACCATGACAAGTCCGCATGAAAAGATTACCGCGCCGATAATGGGTACAATCCAGTGTACAGATGGATATGTTGTCCACGCAAACATGAAAAGGCCAACCGGAACAATAAAAGAGCCTATCATGGCCATATTAAGTCTAGCCTCTGGCTCGGGTATGGTTCCCCTTGCATCGGCCTCCACGCAGACACGAACGTATCTTTTATTGTCCACGCCTGCCGCGACCGTAGCAAAACAGACACCAATGGCAACGCCGACAAATGGTAGTCCGGCAATGCCCTGACTCCACCCTCGGGTATATTGGAAGACAATGGGAAAGCCGGCGAAGAACATGTATAGTGTGCCATAGACGATTGAGACGTACAGTCCCGTTAGCAAGACGATAGGTTCACGGAACAAAAAAATCCAGGGCCGCGTGAGAGATATCCTGAGCTCCTCCGAGAATGTCTTTTGTGGCTTTCCCGCATCGAATCGGGTGACATGGGAAGCTTTTGTCATCCGGGTGAGGGCTTTCGCTCGATGTCGGAGAATGAACGGTGCGTATGTTTCGGGGGTAACGAGTGTGGTGACGATCCAGACCACGCCGCCCATTATTGCGATTAAACCGAGCGGCCACCGCCAACCTTGAGCTTGGGCAAGAAAACCGCCGGCACTAGGCCCTGTAAGCAAAAATAAAAGAATTAGTATGTGTAAAAAAGCAAAAGCGGCAGCAAATGAAAGAGACATATACCACTTACCAATTGCAGGACCCAGAAAAGGAGCTGTGACAAACAATCCCGTCGCCATTCCGCGCTCTTCCTGACAAAACATGTCGGCAATGACACCTCCAGTATTCGTCATTGACGATGAACCAAATGAGCTCGCAAAGAAACGAAGAACCAGCAAGGCCGTTATATTTGGCGAACAGGCCGCGGCCACGCTAAAAGCCGTGTAGAGCATGAAAGAAATCACATAAACGGGCTTGCGACCGTACATCTCCGACATGGGTGCCCATATCAGCGGTCCCACGGCAAACCCTAACACAAATAGCGACAACCCCAGTGTAGCCACCTCCTCGGACACATTGAAGCGTGCCACGACGCCTTCTATTCCACTAGCGTACACGGATGAAGAGAAGGTTACCACAAACGTGGACATAGACTGAGCAACTGTGATAGCCCATTTTCGCCCATTGGAGAAGTTCATACCATCTTGGGGGTCGTTGTCTAGAAAGTCGATGATGTATGGATCATTATCTGTGCCTTTTCCGGAGTAATCATGGTTGCAAACATCGTCGGCGAGAGGGGTACGGAACAGAAGATAATCAAGCCACGACATGCGCCGGGGTGGTCGTTGGAAGTTCTTGAGCTCCTGAGAACTCTCATTATTCACGAGTGTGGGCTCGGGGGTAGACGCCATCTTGAAAACTCGGTCATGGGCACAAATTGGAAGAACTAGAACAGCAAGAAGATGACTGTTAAATTTCAAGGTGCAAGTAGAGACTTGTCGTTTTTGAAGTATTGAGGCTTGCAGCACCTTGTCATCTTAGGTACAGCCCTGGAGAAATCGTGTGCCCCGCAGCTGCTATTGGTTATATAGTTCAGCCCGGGATTTCGGTGTCGGAGTTTCAGTGGTTATATTGCCGAAAACAAAACTCCGCGGCATTATCTTCGGAACTCTATTTTCTTGCCGCGAAAGTGGGGTGATATCATGATTTCAGAAGACTACAAAAAGAAATGATCGATATGAGTCTTCAACGTGTCGGAAATGCGACTCTAATCGGGCTTATTTTTTCTTCCATTCGGTACTCCGCATAGCGTTGTACACCGGGGCGTACAAATGGCCGATAAAACGTCATGCTGCCGCCCGTAACCGTTTAGTTCTCTGCATCTCCGAAGACGTGGAGACCCAAAGATCCAGGGCTACACGTAGAAAATTAGGCATTACCTCTTCTTCCAAATTTCCATCTGTTTCTTTTGTCTATACAATACTCTCGGAGTATGGATTTATGCTAATTCCGAAATTCAGACCATTTAGCATAAGGCGTCGGATCAGCGCCGAGTTAGCGGGAGATCTTATCAGATCATCTAGTCGGATCAACACGTGACAATTTGCATAATCTGCACAATATTTCCTACATTACGTGCATGCACACATTTCCTTTTCTCCACATGTCTCCCTCCTTAATTTTTTTCTCCTTCTAACACATCTGTTCAAGTTTTCAATGCCGCAAAAGTGACACCCACAGACTCCACTTAAATTGTCGGCAGTGGTATCAAAATGCTTCGAAAAACAAAGAGGGGTTCAGCTTCCCACCAACGAACTCCTCCAACAGCGGCAGCTCTGGTAGACTACTACCTTTCTTTAATACAATACGACGATATCGAGAACCCTCAACCAGATCGAGTGGATTCTGTCGAAACCGCGTATCAAACACGATACGCGAATATACCGTGCCCCTGTTCACCAGCTTTTAATCAATGGATCCGGGGCAGTATTGCTCAGTACTTACAAGATATAGCAGTGGTATCCTGCAGGGTATGCACCAAAGATATGGTGAATTTGAAATCTGGTGAGCCTGGTTAATGCCTCGGGACGCAGTAAGTCGTCCAAGCAGTTCCATCGGTGGTTCTTAACTAGATGGAAAGTACGACCACCGTGCACTTGGGGGCCAAAAATATCAGTCAACTGGCTTCCCTGGTCACTGCCACCCAATTGGCTCGGCAGATGGATCAACATTGCATCCGAGCTCGACTGTCTCTTTCTCATCTCCACCCTTCTTCCCTAATAATCTATTTGTTTCGGCTCTTTCGACAGAGAAGAGAGACCAAGCCTATTTAGACTTAAGTCCTTCGATATGGCCGGTAAGCCGTGGCAATCAAAAGGTTGCATTGACTGCAGGAGGCGGAAAATAAAGGTAAATCAATATCCGCTCCTGAGATCTTCATCGGGAGGAGTAAATTTTAAACACTTAGAGCAGTGCGATGAAAAAAGACCCGAATATGAACGGTGTATAAAACGAGGGCTCAAATGCCAAGGATGGGAGAGTCACCGGAATCTCATCGGTGCTCCCTCCATATATGAAGCAAAAATGCAACAGAGTCTTGCCTTTCCAACGAGCTTTACAGTCCTGGCTCGATGCTCGAGGATACCCGCTCTGGTCCACCCAGGACAGGCCACGCGGGGTCAGGTGTTTGGATGCTTTATCGAGCGTTACATTCCAAGTGATACTCTCTCTTCAACTGTTTGCTTCGATAATGTGGTACGCTGCAGCATTCAAGGTCTAGCCCGGAAAAGCCAGATGACTGAGATAGCTCTGTCCGCTATTTCTTGTCTTTTTCTGGGAAGGGCGACTCAAAATACCTCGATATTCAATCATGGACTTTCCCTATATAACAGCGCCATACGAAAAATGTCGAATATGCTCCAACAAGATACTTACACTGAGGAACTATTCTATGTAATATTTATCTTTCAGGAGCTGAAAGTACGGATGTCTGAGCCCATCTTATCATTTGTACATTTGAAAATTACCCGATCTGGCCTTTTTTGTAGGCTATATATGCTCCTAATGGTATGGATCCTTGGGGTACTCATGTAGCAGGGATGAATACCCTTTCGAGCCATTATAGGGCAAAGGCCAAAAGAGATCCTATTGTTGACATCATTTGTCGATATGAACAAAAGGCGAAAATAGTATGTATCAACATATCACTCCCGAATTATCTCAACTTTGAGATGACTCTGACCAATGTGGCATCTGTTCTTTTGTATTTAAGTTCTTGTAACGACGGAGGCGAATTTCTCTCAATTGGAATACAACTATCTCATGGAGCCGACTAATGGGGATCCAATACTCGATATTTTCAGATAGCAGTGCTCCTTAAGGATTTGAAGTGCGAATTGGATTCAGTCAACCCTTCTAACGTCGAGGCTTGTGAGGATCTATTGAGAAATGCCATGAGACACAAGAGAAATTGAAAAAGCTATCTACAGACGGGGCCATAGGTCGAGATACGCCAGAACGCCAGTCGCAATTCACCAACGATACATGTATCCCGTCTACAGACCCGCTGTTTGGCTCCGCATACCAATTTTCATCACTGGACAATGCGATGCTTTTCATCTTGATCTGGCCCTATCTAGCCATTCTCCAGCCTTTGACGTATCAAGCGAACTCTTTGGTCTATTCACAAATAGATTCTCCAGGGGAAATTGAATCCGAATGCCAATTTTAAGATAAGAAATTCGAAACCCCAGAGGCATATGCAGACAGAATAGCTCGCGCATTGCCCTATTGCTTCCGAGAAAGTACGAAAATGGCATGCGCTAGATATTCAATGTTTGGTCTGTGTATAGCTTCATTCACCTACTTTGGAACCGGGAATAGTGGAAAACATGAGTGGTGCCGAGAAGTCCTTATTTACATGGCAGCTCATGGTTTCGATATTGCCGGCTATCTGAGCGAGCGATCTTCCTATATGTGGGAGTCCCGATGGAGTGCGGTGAGCCCAGTCATACAGCTATCTCTTGCGCAATTGAGCAGCTCCTTTGTGAATTCGGATTCACTTCTTTTGTCAGAAACAACCGAAAACGAAGTTGGAGATGGTTATTTGGACTATAGCAATTACTGGACTCTTTTAAGAGCTCCATAATTTCTATCCTCCACGACCACCCCTGGGCGACGCCGACCCATTGGTCTCTCATCCCATGACTCATTATACATACAAACAGTATCCATCCAAAGAACAGTTCTTTTTCTCGTCATGCCTTGGCCCTTCAGTCTCGATTAAGATGGTGAAACACACTGGGGCTGCGTACTGGGACCGATCTCTTGGCGGTCCAAGCCCCATGCAAGGCGAGATATTTAGGTGCCGACATGCCTCCCTTAGTTCTTCCCTTCCATTACTCTCCATCCGTCGCTCTCATATTTTCAGAAGGCCTTGCTTGAAAATCGAGTCCCTGTATCCATATTTCTTGTCCGCCAATTCGCCTTAAACAGCCCCGGCGAATCGCTGCATTCTATTAGCGTCATGACTAGCTCACTGTCGCTGGAAGATCTTTACCGTGCGGGTAAAGTAGATGAGCTACGTGAGATCCTGAGAGATTCCAGTGGACCGTCCGAAGAGGATCTTAATGAGACAGTAATACTGGCTTTCTCCAGTGATCAATCCGCCTTGGCGGTTATGTTGATGAGCCATGGAGCTGTGTTGACACGGTGGTCTTTTTTGGAAGCCTGCGCCAGCAAGAATGTTGCAAACTTTCAAGTCCTCCTACAGCATGGCTTGGATATCAACTTTAGAGACTTCGGAGAGCTTGTTTTATGGTATGTCATGCAGCTTGAGTTCGCCGAGACTTAACTAATCGCGAAAAGAACCATGACAAAAAGTGAAGAGAACGTGAGGTGGTTTTTGGAGCATGGTGCGGATCTGAATAAGCCTGGGCAAAATGGATCGATCCCCCTTACTACTGCAGCATGTGTTGGCACTCTAAGTGCGATGAAAGTTCTAGTTTCATATGGAGCGCGCTTTGATACCTTGGACAGAACAGACATCTTCCTTGGGGCAATGAGCCGCTCTGAGGAAAGTTTACCCATTATTAGGTATTTACTTGACAATGGGCTTGATCCTAATGGTGATATCCCAAAGGGTCGACCACTGCATATTGCGGCTCGTGTAAATGACCTAAGGGGTGTGGCTCTAACAAGATGTTTGTTAGACTATGGCGCGGACCGCGCGGTCCAAACTTCTACAGGTGAAACACCAGCGGACATAGCACGACGGAATAAACGCAGTGGGGTATTGGATGTTTTTGCTAAATTACCAAAAGAGAGAATGACTTCTTAATAGCCTATCAACGAGTTGTCCCTTTGTTTTCATTGGAGGGTTTGGATTAGAGGTCAAATTGGTACTCATTGATACCCCCCTCTGCCAAGAGAAATCCTGGTCATCTTTGGATATTTTTGAATGCACGTACCAGATCAAAATCAATTGAAGTAGCCAATTTAAGGATAGCTTATATTCCAGGTGCCTAAGACCCTGATTTCCTTTTCTTAAAAAAGAAAGCCACAGTGAGGTATGAGATGAAGGTGACAGGAAGCCTATAAATAACGTGGTGATGATTATAGGATAAACAACTTGTAAATTGTAAATTTAAATGAACGATAATTCCCAGCAGTGCATCAGGCTTTGAACCTGTCCACGTAATACGTCAATTTGTACACTCATGATGGCAACCTCAGGTATTATCTTGACGTGGACTATGAGAAGGAATGGCGAATTGCTAAATTGTGGTTCAAGTCATGCGTTTAATTTATTTGTTGATATAGTCAACCGGGCTAGATCTGATTTCTCTTCTTGTTCACGTGCTTGTCTCCCACTAAAGCATCTGTTTTATGTTTTGTGTGTCGTGCCAAGGTCGAATGTTCGGCGAATGTAATGGAAGGCAAGCAACAAAATTGCGGAGAAGATCTACAGTGACTTAGAGCGAAATGCCACGAGGTTCCCCACAGGACTTTTTTCAAGAAACCATAAAAACATTTCTTCCCTTCATCTGGAATGAGGAGAAGAATATCAAAAAGCCACTCGGGCCACTCTTTCCCTCTTATCAATTGAAAAGGTAAAGATAAGAGGGCAAAAATATGTAAGCCCTCTTCTTAAACTTTGTAACACGCCTCCCGTCTCTTACAGCTTCCCGATTCGTCCATAAAGCCGATCCGGATATCCCCAGCTCCACCACGGAAGCACATCGTCATACATAAGAGGAGATCCCTCACCAATCTTAATCTGCCTTTCTCCCGACAGGCCTCACATAAAATACACAAAATGGCTGCTACAGGTGCTCAATTAGGCTCTTCTTGTGCTTTGACTACTCGGATCTCACTCCGATGGGTCCCCGAGATACCAGAAGAGACCACTGATACCATCGTCCTCGGTGTGGGCGAGTGGTTCGTCGACCTTCGAATGGATAAGGAAACAGGCCAAATTGACTGGGCAATGGCCGGGACTAGAATTGAAAATACTCCCAACAAGATACCGCGTTCGTGATCTTTTTCATTATTCAAATGGGTGGACAGAACTAATTATGAACAGTTAATGTATCTTTCACTCGCGAGCTTGATTCTTTAAATGAAATCGGAATGGTTGATACAGTTGATTTCAGCCCTTTGCCTAATGGTGATGAATTGGAGAGTGGTCAGATGCCCCGGGTTGATCTTCCAGGTGAACCTATGACGACTTTCGAGGAGGTCTGGCGGGATGCACCATTCATTGAAGGTCCTGAGGGAGCTCGAAAGGGTATTTCCTGGATTCTTGAGTCGAGCCATGATGAGCTGAAGGATGAGCAAGAGGGAGAAGTGACTGTTATCAAGAAGTTTTTGGGTCGGATCTGGGGAACCTATCTGGCGTTTCAGCAGGTTCAGACTCATTCTAAGGAGAAGAGTGCGGATGGTAAGCTTTCTGTTAAGCGGACCGGGACTGAGGTCAGTGCCAGGAGAGAAGAATGGAACGGCTCAGAATGGGAGGGAAAGTACGTTCTTGGACCTGAGGTGGATGCTGTTCCTTCTATGAAGACTGGATTTGATGGAGAGGGGCAGGGAGCTTGGAGAGTTCCAGGGGCAAAGGTTCTGATTGGCGGGGTATCATATATTGTTCGGGCATTTGAAGAGATCTGATAACTACATAATATTGGATGTGGCTCTGTTAAACGAAGACATTGAATTGAGATCTGGAAAATTGATATTTAGAAAAGCCACGAAACAAATGTTCTGTAGAACCAGTGAGAGCCAGCATGTTTTTGAATCTCGGCATCTTTCCGAGCAAGATAAGCAGCCTCCTCGCGGTCTATTTCATCCTTTCCAGTCCACAGATCAGCTGTCGCGGGATCAACACCCTTGCAACCAGTCGTGAATTTGTATCCGAAAATAAGAATCAGATAAAGCGGGATGCCGAGATAAGCCGTGATGAAGCTCTTGTAGTCAAAGTTGCCCCACTTTGCATTGTGCGTGAAAACATCATAGTTTTTGGTTAGGGCGATGATAATGCAGAAGACCAGAGCACCATAGGACCCCACCACACCGAAGGGTGCGACATATGCAAGACTTTCAACAGGGACATTCTGCGCCTTTCGTGCACGGACGAAGTAAATGTGTGTAACCAAAATCGAAATCCAGGTAAGCAGGCCGAAGATAGTCACTAGGTTCACGAAGTATTTGAAGATGACCTTTGAATCACTCGACACGTTCATGTACGAGAGCAGCAAGAATAGGGAGCTGGCAGCTAAGGCGAAGACAGGAATTCCACGGCGATCGGTTCGTGAGAAAATTTTAGGGGCTTTTCCTTCACGGGACAAACCATAGATGGTACGCGTTGCGATGTATAAGTCGGAGTTGGCGGCGGAGAACACGAATAGAAGAATGCATGCATTCAGGATATGAGAGAGGACCGGAATACCAGAGAGCTCGATAGCAACAACGAACGGGGATGCGGCTGCTGAGCTACTAGCTCCAACGGCGAAAGCGAGTTTTTTATGATTGTACGGTACTAAAGTGCCGACAAGAAGGACCGAGAGTACATAAAAGACAAGGATTCGCCAGAATGTCAACTTGATCGCTCTGGGAATAGTTCGTCGTGGGTTCTGGGCCTCGCCGACAGTCACACCGACCAACTCTGTTCCGAGATATGCGAAGGTAGCAGAAACCATGGTAGACCAGAAAGCTAGAAATCGACCGGCGTCTCCTTTTTCAATGTACGTGTTGAATGCTCCTGGATTTTTCCAGTACCGAAAGCCTTTGCGATCATGGTCCGGGCCTCCTCCTAGCATGAGGATGAACGAGAGAAGAATAATGCCGAGAATGACTACCACCTTGAACGAGGAAAGCCAGAACTCAAATTCGCCGAAGAAGCGGACCCCGAAGTAGTTGATGGAGATAATCAGTATTAGGAAGATAGTGATCCACACGCCAGGATTGACCTTTTCCTTCGGTATCCAATACGATATGACCAGCGCGCCTGCTGTCAGTTGATTTGGTGAGAGAATGATATACTTAAACCAATATCTAAACTTTTGTTTAGTATTTTTGAAATTCCGCAGGGAAGAGATGATACATACGTCCATCCTAGAGTAAACCCGAGAGCCGGGTCGACGAACCGTACCGCGTAACCTGTGAAACCCGATGGCAGTGGCAGCCAGGCAGCCATTTCCCCGAGAGCGCACATGACGAGGTAAACAATGAATCCCACCCAAGCGTAAGCGATCAAGATGGCAGCGGGCTATCGCAGTTAGCACATGTCATTCTTCCAAACACTGTAGCGGATATATACCCCAGCCCTGTAAAAGAACCGAAAGTTAGCATGTGTTATTTTGATTTTTGTCTTGATTTTTGAATTGATGAAAATTTTGGAACGTACTTGGCGAGAGCTTCACCTGTTCCGATAATCAAGCCTGTTCCTATCGCTCCACCAATAGCTGAAAACCGTCAGTCCTCCACTCAGCCTTGAAGTAACGCAAATCAGGGTCGATCCTACCAATCATAGTAATGTGTCGAGCCTTGAGAGCTCGGTGAAGGTCCACATGGTTTGGATTAGACAATCCATCTTCTTCTGCGACGGTGACATCTTCTCCGCTGTATTCATTTTTGAGTGGAGTCTTAGAGGGGAAGACCCCAGCCTTGGCCTCTGGGTCCGTCATAGGTGCTTGGCACAGAGTCAAACGATTAATGTGACTTGAGTTCTTTCGACTATTATTCCCTAGATCCTTGATGGTAAAGGGAAAGAAAGGTAGGGGGTTGATTATGGCAAGTGAGAGAAGTGGTCAGGAAACTTAAGTCCAAAGACGAGCAGTCACCACACTTTATAACAAGAGGAGGCGCCCCCGTTAGTAGAGATAAGAAAAGCACTACTAGCACAACAAGCCTGTTGTATTTCTTAGTAAGAATTCATTTCCTAACCAGCTGATTGGAGAGCCAAGGAGGCTGTTTTTCTTCCTCTCGCGTGCACATGTGGCCACCTAGAATGCGGAGAAAATCGAATGACGCACCACCTAGGAAGATAACGTTACAACGCCTGCTGTCTAGCCAAGAGATAGTGAAGAAAGTTCTAATACGAGTGAGAATGAGCCTTGGAGTTTCTTCTGTGCCCAGGTGCAGTCAGCTGCAGGGTTCTTCGTACATATCTTCAGGGCTGTGTCGTATCACCCGTTTTATCCATCACTCAACATATGCGCGAGGTATCCTATGCCTTCCCTACGCCTTCCCTCATCATGGATAGCTGATTACTGTATACAGTATTCTAGGCCAAAATTCTCTATCTCAGCTCCCTTTGATAAGAATGATGACTTTGCCCCGCTTGGGTAAAGTGTCTAGGCGCCAAGGTCTTGGAAGTTGGAAGGTAAAGGTTATTCCATTTTGGCCTGCGGGTGTCAAGCGGGGAGTTTGAACAAGCTTATCGTTTGCCATCGGTAATTTTTGAACCCTTCCGTGGTATAATCAGTATTTCATATAAAGTGTGGAATGGTTATCACATTGATGTGCATAGTGGATGTATTCTGAGGGGCGCAGAAGGCGTGAGATGTCAACATATGCCGATCATCTCTAATAAAAGATGTCGCGAATAAATGTAGGCGACATAGTAGGATATCCAGAATATTGATAGGCGAAGTAAGACGCCACCTTCAACTTCTCTAGCTCAGCCCTCAGATCCCTCGACCAAAAATTTCTCATCACGCGTGCTAGTTGCATGATGTTGGTCGTGGGCAAAGCCTTGAGAGATGTGGCTTAGGCGGGCCGTCTCCATGCGCCAAGATCAACTTGAACTACCCCAACCAATAGTGGTTATGGACAGCTTGGACCTCTCTACATTGCTCCTTGCGTCCATGGTTCTTATGGGACTTGGAGATACCCCAGGTTTCCATACACATGATGCATGCACCCCAGAGTCAATTACGAAACTTCAGATAAATCGTTAGGACTGCCAGTCATAGATTGGGATGCATTAAATAGTTATTCAAGGTGGTTCCTATGTAGTCTGCAGGATCATGTTGTTAGTGAACTCCGAATTATTTCGTGCTTCAAAGGCTACCTAAAGTTGGCAATTTCTAAAAATGAAAATATTTCAGGTCTCTGGGACTGGCCCAACCTTGGCCCAACCTTTACTCAAAGTGATCGGAATCGGAAGCTGCCACAGTCCCAGCCTGCAGTATATAGTATCACAGCAATTCGAAAAAGCCCATATGTGTATGTAGTTGGCTAAAAGTTTTTCATCAGGAATATTGGTATACATTTGGTACCCAGGAGCTATGCTTGTGATTCACAACCTCATAAATAAGCCGTGTACACTGGTGAATATAAGAACTTCGTTGAAAAGTTGTTACATGTAGCACAGATCAATCTAGAATGTGGGGTGAAAATTCATGACATAAGCGAATCTGGAAGAATTGTTGCCTTCACCGCCTGAATAACTTCCATACCGCCATTGACACCGCCTCCATCTAAAGCCCTGTGATTGGCCAATTGGCTCAACGCCAGAATGCTGCCTTTCCGGGCAAAATGGGTAGAAGTCAAGCCGCCGAATCCACATACTACGAAATCTCCTCCTGCTCCAGACAGGCCCAATATTAGAATGGCTAGAGAAGCACCCCCTGCGCTTGTTGAGCAGGAATTTATCCTCAATGCCCTCAAAGAAGACACACGTCTAGATGGCCGTGGAGCGGACCAATTTCGACCTCTCAACATCACTTTCGGCGAGGAATATGGGCATGTGAAGCTCCAACTGGGCAAAACTAGGTACGTTTTGGTTTTCCTTGGCGCATAAAAAAAGATCAATAGCATCTCTAACACAAGTTTTTAGCCTTGTCGTTCGTATATCCGCTGAAGTGACAAAGCCGCGCGATGATCGTCCCTTCGATGGCCTCTTCAATATTGCAATGGAACTGAGTGCGATGGGCTCTCCGGCATGGGAGAATGGCCGGTAAGTTCCAATTATGGAATTTCCTCTTTCGCCGTTGGAAAAACTTCCTACTTATATAGCGATTTCTTCTTACAGCTCAACCGATTACGAAACCCACGTCACACACGTTCTCGATCGAGTCGTTCGTCATTCTAATGCCCTCGACACTGAATCACTCTGCATCTTAAAAGGTGTCAGCTGCTGGAGCATTCGCGCTGATGTACACGTGCTCGACTACGATGGTAACCTCACCGATGCCGCATGTATCGCGGTCATGACTGGGCTGCAACATTTCCGCCGGCCCGATGCAGTGGTGCGCGATGGTCAGGTTGTCGTCTATGGAGTGGAGGAACGAGTTCCAGTCGCCCTCAACATTACTCACAAGCCTCTTTCCGTTTCATTTTGCACATTCAACGAAGGAAATAATATCGTTGTCGACGCTACACGCAAGGAAGAGCAAGCAGCGGAAGGAGAAATGGTAATTGGTATCAACAGTGGCGGTGAGGTCTGCTTTGTCTCTAAATTCTCGGGCGCATCTCTGAATCCTATGTCCGTTGTTGAAAAGACTGATATCGCGCTGCAAAAAGTAAAGGAGCTTAATACGCAGTTGGACAAGGTGCTGCAGGCTGACCTTGCAAAGCGGGCAAAGCTGGGCATGGCCGATGAATCGCGGGCAGCGAATGACCGCTAATTGCAGTTACAACAATTCACGACTCAAATGTTCTATGACTTAGAACGTTCATGATCATGGCACTGGAGTTTCGCGTGGCTTTTTCATCTTGGCATTTTTTTTAATCATACAACGAGGACCAATTGCATCATTTGATCGAGACCCCTTGCAGTTTTCCTAGAAATGGCAAAGAAAAATAACAAACAACATGACCCAATCGTGCGTCCGTAGTCCCTAGCCTTGAAATTTATCACCAATTTTGTTTGTATAGTCTGCCGATCATCATTTAACCATCTCATGGGTGTAGTAAGGCTCCCGAGAGTGGATGTTTAGCGCTTGGTTAATTTATGTCCGACTGCGCCGGGAGATGCCAAGGGACCTGTTGGTCTCCTATTCATAGAGCGCGGCGTTTCATGCCAATCAATATTTTATTAGCTCTAGAAATGCATCTAATTGATCAACTCTAATTAAGAGAAAGTTTTATATCTATCAGAATTAAATTAAGAGTCGATCTCTCTATCACCTTAGAGTTGGGGGTTTTTACCGCCCCGAAAAAAAGCGGGACGATCATAACAGTTACTCGCTGCCTTCGCCCGCTAAGCCACTTCATTCCTATTCGCCTTACCTTTTTTTTCTCACTCCAACGCAGTGACTCGGCACTCCATCGTCTCCCTACACTGCCTATCTATCTCTTGAACCTGCTTCGATAGACCCAACTGCGATATCCCGATTACCTTCGATTTCCCTTTGTCCTGATCCATGCCTCAGGGGCATAACGACCGCGCTCACTGAGGGTATTAGCTTCCTCCCCGCGCCAGCATGGCCGGTAGGCCTCCCGGATCGCATCCAGCAGAAGGTCATGATGACCTGCTTCTGGACTCGGGTCCATCATATAGCTCCGGCCAACCTCCGCCGGTAAATGATGAGCATCTCCTAGAACATTTCAACATCAACGATTCCGACCAACCCCATACGGAGCCGCCTCGCCCTTCCGTATCCTACGACAGCTTTGTCGGCAGTCGGTCGCCACAAACAGGCGCTCATCATAATGCAGCTCCCGGTCCGGCGCATCCCGCCGGTACAGGCGTTTACATGAATGACCCCTACTCCGACGACCCCATGACCCGCACATACTCCCAGACCTCTGGATTGAACAATTATCAACGATACTCCTTTGACGAACTTGAAGATTCCCATTCAGGCTACTATGACCTCGATGCGGATGAGGACCGGCTATCCGGCGCGCATCCTGTGCGGAAGGCGAATGAACGGAATAGCATTATGGGTCTTGGAGGTGGAATCGTGGGCAAGGCAAAATACATGTTTGGAATGGCGCCTCAGTATTCTGAGATGGACCTTCCATTAACAGAAGCTGGAGCGAGAAGTGCTACAATAGACAGTTCCACCGACAGATCATCTGCGCCCAAACAAAAAAAGAGCTTCAACGCGAAATCGATATTCGGACGACGGAAGGTCGACCCCGCAACCCTGGGCCCTCGCATGATTCAGCTCAACAACCCCCCTGCCAACGCTTCGCACAGGTTCGTAAGCAACCACGTTTCAACCGCAAAATACAACATCTTCACTTTTATCCCCAAATTCCTCTTCGAGCAATTCTCCAAATACGCCAACCTTTTCTTCTTGCTCACCGCTGTCCTCCAACAAATTCCCAATGTTTCCCCGACAAGCAGATACACCACCATCGTTCCGCTGGCCATCGTGTTACTGGTATCCGCTATAAAGGAGTTAGTCGAAGACTATAAGCGCCGAATGTCCGATCGAGGATTAAATTTCTCAAAGACGCAGGTACTTCGCGGCTCCTCGTTCCATGAGGCCAAGTGGGTCGATGTTGTGGTTGGTGACATAGTCCGTGTTGAGTCAGAACAACCATTCCCGGCTGATTTAGTCCTCTTGGCCTCGTCTGAGCCGGAGGGTCTATGTTACATTGAAACTGCCAACTTGGATGGCGAGACGAACCTGAAGATCAAGCAAGCCATTCCCGAGACTGCGAACCTTGTTAGCCCCAGCGATTTGAGTCGACTTGGTGGACGTGTTCGATCCGAACAGCCAAACAGCAGTTTGTACACCTACGAAGCTACATTGACCATGAGTGCGGGCGGTGGCGAAAAGGAATTGTCTCTTGCTCCTGATCAGCTTCTTCTTCGTGGTGCTACTCTGCGCAATACTCCCTGGATTCATGGTATTGTTGTTTTCACCGGTCACGAGACTAAGTTGATGCGAAATGCGACTGCAACACCCATCAAGCGTACGGCTGTCGAGCGGATGGTTAATATCCAAATTCTGATGCTTGTAGGTATTCTGGTTGCGCTTAGTGTTGTTAGTTCAGTTGGTGATTTGGTCATTCGCAAAACAAAGGCCAAATCGCTCGCTTACCTGGATTACGGAGACGTCAACCTAGTCAAACAGTTCTTCATGGATATCTTTACCTACTGGGTGCTTTATTCTAACTTGGTTCCTATCTCCCTCTTTGTCACCATTGAAATCGTCAAATATTTCCAAGCCTATCTCATCAATTCCGACCTTGATATTTACCACGTGGAGACCGATACTGCAGCAACATGTCGTACATCCTCTTTAGTCGAAGAGCTTGGTCAGATCGAATATATCTTCTCTGATAAGACGGGAACCTTGACCTGCAATCAGATGGAGTTCAAACAATGCACTATTGCTGGTATCCAGTATGGAGACGATGTTCCGGAAGACCGACGCGTTACTTCGGAGGAGGACGCAGAGTACGGTATTTACGATTTCAAGACCCTTCGCCAAAACATTCAGTCGCATCCAAGTCAGAAAGCTATCCAAGAATTCCTTACACTCTTGGCTACTTGTCATACCGTCATTCCAGAACGCACCGGAAGTGATCCTAATGACATCAAATACCAGGCAGCCTCACCCGACGAGGGAGCCTTGGTAGATGGAGCTGCAACTCTAGGCTACAGATTCACCAATCGACGACCTAGGTCTGTTATTTTCGAAGCTGGTGGCCAGGAATTCGAGTACGAGCTTTTGGCCGTGTGCGAATTCAACTCAACCCGAAAGCGAATGTCGACTATTTTCCGTTGTCCAGATGGCAAGGTTCGGATTTACTGCAAGGGTGCTGACACTGTCATTCTTGAGCGACTTCATGCGGACAACCCGACCGTGGAAACAACCCTCCAGCATCTGGAGGAGTATGCTTCTGATGGTCTCCGTACTCTTTGTCTAGCTATGCGTGAGGTCCCCGAGGCTGAGTTCCAACAATGGTGGCAGATCTTTGACAAGGCCAATACCACTGTTGGTGGAAATCGTGCCGATGAACTGGACAAGGCAGCTGAGCTGATTGAAAGGGACTTCTATCTCCTTGGTGCTACTGCCATTGAGGATCGCTTGCAGGACGGCGTACCTGATACCATTCATACCCTTCAGACTGCCGGAATCAAGATCTGGGTCTTGACTGGTGACCGACAAGAGACTGCAATTAACATTGGCATGTCTTGTAAGCTCATTTCTGAAGATATGACGCTTCTGATCATCAATGAAGAGAATGCCGAAGCTACGCGAGCCAATTTACAATCGAAACTGGACGCAGTTAAAAGTCAAGCGAGCTCTGGTGATATTGAGACCCTCGCTTTGGTCATTGACGGAAAGTCCTTGACTTTCGCTTTGGAGAAGAACATGGAGAAGTTGTTCTTGGACCTTGCCGTGATGTGCAAGGCTGTGGTTTGCTGGTAAGTCTTACAAAAAATCTTCATGTGGAATTAGTAACTAATCGACACTACTTTAGCCGTGTGTCTCCCTTGCAAAAAGCCCTGGTCGTCAAACTTGTCAAACGTCACCTCAAGTCCCTACTTCTGGCTATCGGTGACGGTGCGAACGACGTTTCCATGATCCAAGCTGCCCATGTCGGTGTTGGTATCAGTGGTATGGAAGGTCTTCAAGCCGCCCGATCAGCTGATGTGGCAATCGCTCAATTCAGATTCCTTCGAAAACTTCTCTTGGTACACGGATCGTGGAGTTACTCCCGTATCAGTCGCGTCATTCTGTACTCGTTCTACAAGAATATCACTCTATACATGACACAATTCTGGGTAAGTTCGGACTCTCACTTCGGTATCAAGACAAAAAGTATTCTAACATTTGCTCAGTACTCGTTCCAAAATGCCTTCTCAGGAGAGGTTATCTACGAATCGTGGACGCTGTCTTACTACAACGTGCTTTTCACCGTTCTCCCTCCGTTTGCCATGGGTATCTTTGACCAGTACATCTCCGCTCGCCTGTTGGATCGTTACCCTCAACTTTACCAGATGGGCCAGAAAGGACTTTTCTTCAAGAAACATAGTTTCTGGGCCTGGGTTCTGAACGGATTCTTCCACTCACTGCTTCTCTATATCGCCTCTGAACTGATCTTCCTATGGGATCTTCCACTGATGAATGGCCAAACCGCCGGCCACTGGGTCTGGGGCGAAGCACTATACACCGCTGTCCTGGGAACCGTGCTTGGAAAGGCAGCTCTAATCTCCAACATCTGGACCAAATACACCTTCATCGCTATTCCCGGATCCATGGTCCTGTGGATCATCTTCCTTCCAGCTTACGGTTATGCCGCTCCCGCCCTCGGATTCTCCCAAGAATACTACGGCACGATCCCCGTCCTATTCAAGTCCCCCATCTTCTACCTGATGGCCATCGCCTTGCCCTGCTTATGTCTCCTGCGTGATTTCGCCTGGAAGTATGCGAAGCGCATGTACTATCCCCAGCATTATCACCATGTTCAGGAGATTCAAAAATATAACGTCCAAGACTACCGACCCCGGATGGAACAATTCCAGAAGGCTATTCGAAAAGTCCGCCAGGTGCAACGTATGCGCAAGCAGCGTGGATATGCCTTTTCTCAAGCCGATGACGGTGGTCAAATGCGTGTCTTGAATGCTTACGATACCACACAGGGTCGTGGACGATATGGAGAGATGGCGAGCTCGAGGCCTCCAGGCTTATGATCAATCTGGCATTCGCTTTTTTTGTCCCGGTTGCATTTTTTTTGTTTCTGATATGTGGCTGTGCATGATTGCCAAGTGATTGGTAGCGTTGTATTTTTTTGTATTTTCTACATTTTCCATTTTCATCTGATTTTCTACCTCTAGCTTGTTATGTGATAGCTAGGCTATCGAGCTGGAGGAGGTTTGTGACATATACTTTGTTAGTGGGTGTTTTTAGTCTTGAGTATCAATTGGACATGAAACAAATATGACCCCCTAATCATTCCCCATGTTCAAGTTTCTAAATATAGAGGTTCTAAATTTGGATCTAGATTATTAAGTACTTGAAACGGATTGCATCTTACAGCCTACATTACGGCTATATAGTTGGGACAATTTTGAAAGAGAAGAACTCCTTTTGATCATTCATTATCATCGCTTCGTAAAATTAATTATACAAACAAGAAGTAATAAACCATTCTTCATCCATAATTGGCAATCTTAGACGCTAGCAGTTAAAGAATATCTCGATTCAACTGTGCGTTCTTTCCTTGGCAATTTCAACCAGGATCAGCGACCGATCAACCAAGAGGTCAAGGCTGGTCAGTAAATGGGCATGAAGGCCGAAATGCTGGTTATAGCGGGGGTTATTTTCTTTCCAACTCCCACGGAAGGTATCCAGGACATCTTCAATGTCTCAGGAATAATAAACAATTAAATTCCGATTAACCAGAATGCGTCTTGCTCACGCTCCGACATAGACAACCGGCGATGGAGTCCATTTAGTAACAGTAGGCTGAACCTGTCGTAAATCCTGACTGAACATATTCCACTCATTTCGCGTGATAGGAGTAACATCCGACGCAGATAGAGGAGTCTTAGGTCCTCTCTTAGAATAAATATTCTTCTTCGCATGTGTACGAGGAGGATTGCGACGAACACGAATCGTCTTGATAGGAATATTCTTTGTACTCTCAGCCGTACCCCTAGTAGGCAGTATAATAGCATCCTGCTTATGAATATTCTTATAAGCAGCCGCAACAGCAGTAAGGAGTTCATCACGAACATCCAACTGCTCGTATACACGGTGAAAGAATGCTTTACTGAATGTTCGGCCTGGGAAATCGCCCATCAACCGGCGCAGAAGCTGTACACAAGAGACCATAGAGTGATCTTCTGGGCGAGGATTAGGACCGGTAGAGAGCACGAAAAGTCGACGTTTGAATGTGTAGATGCGATCCATGTTTAGAAGGGTGAGACCTTCTTGGCTGAAGACGACTTCGTTTTGGATAATTGATTGTCGGACGAGGTACTCGTTTGTTTGACGGGCGTGTTGGCTGCGACCCAGTGCGTCGCTCCAGTTTGCCATGGAGCAGAACTTCTTAGAGCACTTTTCCATGGCGCGTTCAAGGACGCGGTAGGAGGATTGTTCGAGTCGTGAGATTGGAATGACCATTAGGTCGGAGACTTCTGTTTGGAGAGGTTTCCCGCGACCGACGAGGAGGGTAACGTGCATCATTTTTTGTTGGAGCTTCGAGGAGATGTATTCGAGTGCTGGGATTAAGGAAGGAAGAACGGCTTCAGAGTCATAATTGAATTCGGGAGAAAGGGGTGCAGAGATTGATTCTATTGATGTGCGAGGGACATAGATGCCTGCTGGACGGGGAAGACGAATAACACCCATGATGAAGTTGAAGGAAGTTTGGATGAAGGAATGAGTATGTCGAGTTGAAGAATCCAAGAACCACTTCACTGGAGAAAAGAAATCAGGAGAACGCATGGGCGAAACGGGGGCACTGATATAGTTGTAATGCAGGGGAATCCACACTTCCAAACCCCCGCACCAACCAACGACGCTATCATCCAAACCTGCCTAATTAACCTCATTTCTAGCTCACCGTTGTTAACAATACAAGGCCTTTTGACTGTCTCTTCGGCCAATCATATATTTCTATGGTAATGTGGGACCCGTTTACACCAATCACCGCCGATCAACTATGATGGAGCCATCGACACTCTGTTAGCCGCCGAGGCGTTCTCGGACCAACCACGATCCAACCACGGACCCATATACCACGCACTTATGCATGGAATCACACGCTAACACAGGGACCTCGTACTCACCGTTGGTCACTTCGCACGAAGGGACTCATTGTTTGATGGGAGAGAGTGGTCCTCGGCCACGCTAGTTCCCACTAGCCAGGATACTGGTGCCCCCGGCTCCTAATGATAGGCCCAGAGCGTGTTTCAGGTCGAGACTTTGGTCTTCTCCGGTAAGCCTTGAATCCCTTCACATCCGGACTTTTCTCTCAAGGCATACAATCCGGAATTTGAAGCGGCAGCAGCATGCACATGCAAGTCTAGCGTGTAAACAGGAGAATCAAGAGGGTCATTCCTGTTCATTCATTAGGAGAATGTCGGTGCAAGAACAGGATTTAGAGCCGCTCAATCCTGGAGGTTTGTGATGCATGGATGCAGCCTTGAAGTGGAGCATTGTACATGCTAGTATTGGACATTCGACCAGGCATTACCGGGTACATAATTGGGCTCTTCAACCTTCGAAGTACTTCCTTGAAGATTGGATAACTCCGACATGAATACCTGTTTTTTCGCTACATAAAGAAGTGACATTCATAAAAGCATCTCGTATAGGTGCTTTTTTAGATATAGCAACATAACCGATTGAAAAGAAGCTTGAAACGGGTACCAAACTGTCCCTAGGTTTCATCATGTTCACCCCCAGCCCATGGGTGTTCAAGTCATGACGAATGAACCAAACGCCCACCTCAATTCCATTCGACCACGTCACTCCGATCTTCTCAAATCCTTTCAGCCGCATGTAACATTCCAGATGATATCAAAGAAAACTAGACAGCATGGTGTCCGTCTTTGTGGACCCCATAAGCAGCCTCTTTCTCGCTCAAAACCGGGTTATTACTAGATCCAGCACACATCGCATGCAATCGCGTGGCTCCCCACCCTATAGAAGAATGAGGAAGATCCCTGTAGAAGCCACCGGTATAACCGATTGGACAAGGGATCAAGTATTTGCTTGTATTATTTGGGGGCTGTCTCGGTCCGGATCCCTTCAACAGATAATTGCCCCGCATATGAGGTATCGAAGAGAAGAGCCGCACCAGACCGCATTTTTTGAGAACCCTTGTCCGGAGAGATTTACAAGTTGAGGGTCGTCCATGCATTTTCTTGTCGTGGTCTCGAGTCGGGAACTTTGCCCGAGTGTTGGTTGGGGGCCGCAGGAATGCAGGAACGCCGGGCGCGTAAGTGCGGAGATAGGAGGTTAAGTCTCTACTAGCTTTGATAAGTTATAATTTGGGGACATTCTCCTGCGTCTGGAAATTTTGGCCTATGGCTTTTTTTCTCTTTATTTTCCACTTTCAGCGTGTTAGTGCCCAACAAGGACGTTGTTATGGGGTAATCCCGCCAGATGGTCAGATTGAGATGGGATATTTATACTTCATCCATAATATAAATCGAATATATTATAGATCTACTGGAATAGGGACAGGTTTATAGTTCAAGTTTGAACTTGGATTGTATAGTATGGTAGGAGTAAACCTTCCAGAATAATTCGAGAGAGCTATCGCTTTGCTCCAAAGCTCTCGGTGATTTGCAACATCTACAGGAATCAAAGGCAGGACATTGAAGGTTATCATTGTATTTGGTTCAGCTTTTGGTGTGGACTGGAAGGTACGTCTGTTCTCCGAGCAGCTTCTAAGCTTGGATTCATGTATACTTTAAGGTGGACGCTATTTCCTTCGTCAGAATTTCGTGTCGCGTTGTGCTACATAGGTCCAATCGTCTCCAGGGCTGGAATAAAAGCTTAGTTTCATTTAATTCATACATGTCTCACAGTTTCGTCGTCTAGTTTAGCATCTATCAAGTTTGGGGTCACGTAGGTAACTCAATGTTTCCTGACTCTTCAACATATTGTTTCCGTCACTTTTCTGGGCCGAGTTGAGTCCACATGCGTTCTTTGATTCTCTGAAATCATTAAGAGAGATTTGTGCGCCGAGTGCCTAGTCTGAAGACGCCAATCGCTTTCCCGTTGTATGACGGAGTTTTATCACATCGCACTGGGTATCGTATCTTGCTTCCAAAATATGACTTTGAGCTTTCTTGCTCGATAAGTAGTTCGTTTTCAAACTGAAATATTCACCAATTCCTAGTTCCAGTTATAACCTCGCATGAAGCAGCATTGCTATGCTCGATCTGAACTCAAAGTCGAGATCCAGGGAACTTCATGTGACGGTTCACATCCTTGTAAAGCAAGTATCGGAACTTTCCAGGGCCACCAGCATAACAAGCCTGTGGGCAGAAAGCGCGCAACCACATAAAGTCACCAGCTTCAACCTCAACCCAGTCCTGATTGAGTCGGTACACAGCCTTACCCTCCAGTACATAAAGACCATGCTCCATAACATGGGTCTCAGCAAAAGGAATGGTGCCACCAGGCTCGAAAGTAACGATAGTAACATGCATATCATGGCGCAAATCATTCGGGTCAACAAAGCGAGTAGTCGCCCAAGCACCATCGGTATTCGGCATAGCAGTGGGTGCGACCTCTTTATCATTCAGAAACAGGGGCTCGGGAGCATCCAGTCCCTCAACAGCCTCGTAGGCCTTGCGAATCCAGTGGAAACGGGCAGTGCTTGCGCCCTCGTTGCGGAGAGTCCAGCCGCTCTTGGGTGGGAGGAAGGCATATCCGCCCTCGGTGAGAGTGTGCTTCTGGCCAGCCAGAGTGACGGTGATCTCGCCCTCGACCACGAAGAGCACACCTTCAGCGGCGTCGTCTAATTCGGCACGCTCGCTGCCACCACCGGGCTGCACTTCCATGATATATTGAGAGAAGGTCTCGGCGAAGCCGGAAAGTGGGCGGGCAATTACCCAGAGACGGGTCTTTTCCCAGAAGGGAAGGAAGCTGGTCACGATGTCGCTGAATACGCCTTTGGGGATGACAGCGTAGGCTTCGGTGAACATGGCGCGGTCGGTCAAAAGCTGGCTTTGTGGTGGCAGACCACCGGTTGGTGCATAGTAGGCACCGACTCTCTTGTCGTTACCCATGGCGGGGTGGTGGTTAGGTGAAATGGGGAGTTATTCAAAGACGAGGACCTCCAATGTTGGTGGGGCCAGGTTGGAGGTTTGATATTATAGGGGATATGACAATTGACAAAGCTCTGAAGGGGGGGGGGTTGAGGTTATATTAAAGAAAACCGACCAAGAGAGATTGAAATTCCCCGCACATTATGTAAATAGCGATTCTTCTTGGTTCTCCGCTCCACGGGAAATCCCCGGCGTTGGCCGACGACTCCCCTCGGATCAGGCCGACAGTGGCATCCGTGCGTGGGGTTCAAGTGCCGGAAAAGCTCTATTTTGACTGGAGCACTTGAGGTTTAGCGCTTGTGCAATTGCATTCTATTGGGTACTTTCATGAGGCTACGATGTGATTTTTCTACTATAATAAAAAGCTCTTCGTTGACTTGATATGGCCTATAATCATACTATCACACCCAAATCATTCGTCCATCCACCCCGACTTCGGGATGCGGTGTGGAGCCAACGTTTGAACTGATAAGCGCGCAGGTCCAAACGGCTCCTATCTGCGAGGGCGAATTACTATTGCATATTGCACGTGACACATAGATCTCGAGACCGGAGTTATGTTATGCCGAGCTTGGTCACCTGATCAGTCTAGTTAACAGCTATAGTGACTGTGCAAGTGGACTAGGTAATAACTGGGGAATACATACTACTATCAACCTTGAAAATATTATAACTTACATCCTTGACTTGAAAGTTTTTAAAAGTTCCTAAACTTGAACAGTGTTCATTGAGATCCTTGGGAGAAAACTCGGCTACGGCCATAGCCAGCTCGAATATACAAGTTGTTGTTATGGCAATGATGGAAACCTGAAAACCTTGATAAGTGCCAGTGTGTCTATATATTAACTCAAAAAGCGAGAAGCCAAAAGACTGTTTCAATGTGTCCTACTATAGCGATGAGTATCTGATTTAATGATCAGGACAACATGTAAGATGGATGTTTTACCGTGGGAAATATCGCCAATTTCAAGGGTCAGTAAGTTATAGAAGATGCAGCCTACCCTGCTAGGCAACCACGAACTGCCTCATTCCAATTTCTGATTTGACGAGAATAATATAGTAAGTAATTCAGTCATGCACAGCTTTCTATCTATATGATTTAGCCCGAGGTCTCTTCTAGCTTCTTCTATTCCCACATCTATCACCCTCGGACATGCTCCTATCTCTTTTGTGACACTGCTGATTGATTTTCCAAACACAGCATATTACACTCTAAATATTAAACGCCATATTTCCAAGGTTGGGGCCCATTTCTCATTCGTGACTTCCTATCTATTCCACCTGTTTCTTCCCATCTTCTTCTCTCGCCATCTACTTTCACCTTGGTTCATCCTTGAGCTTCTCTTCAGCTTCTTTCGCTCTCCCTTCCATAAACAACTTCAAAATCCTTTTTTCCCTTCCTCTTCTCACCTGAACCAGTCCAACTTGACGAATATCTCTTATAAGCCGTCACAATGTATGGTGAAGAGTCTGAAGACCCAAGCCTACCGAATGCGCACTTTGAACTGACTGTCCCAACAAGCAAGCTTTACGTGAGCCACCACAACAGTCTGAGAACCTACAACGAGGACAATCAGGGGTCCCAACATATCAGCAAAGATGCCAGCTCCATGATCAAGATCGACACCCATGCATCGGCAGTACTCAAAGCTAGAGACAAAATCTCTATCCTGGTGAACTTTCTGACACAGGGCCACGAGACTCTTCCACCTCTTATGCCTGAAATATGTACCACAAAGCCGTACCAAGACTATCTTCCGCGGTATGGGTGTCTTCTTCGGGTACACGAAAACACCTTGAAGTTCCTTGAATCATACCAGACGAATATTGATTCTCGGCCATTACACGTTGCGAAATCTTTCTACCATTAGTTCGCCGAGGATATGACAGTTACTGGCGAGATTGCTTCGCAAATGAAATCTCCGCTTGAACAGCAAATTTCGCCGCTACTTTCAGAGCTATTAAGCTGTCAGCGACAAGCATCTTCGTCGTCAAAAACCACAGGCAAGGAGCCTTCTCAGCTGGATGAACCCCCCGTGGAACTAGCAATGAGCGCCAGCTCGGCTGTGGAAGGAAGATTAAAATAGAGATTGATTTATTTAAACTCAAGTTATCTGGGTTGTACTTACTTCCACTGTTGGTATTGTGCCTTCCTATTCTGTGGATTGGAAGGTGGCTTGTCCACCTGATCTATCCATGTATACCAAGTACCCGATACTACCGATAAGACCCGGGTTCGATACTCAATTGTACAGCATCGACAATATTTCCATCTTCAGGTACAGCGTGGATTTAATTAACAAGCGCCTAGCTAAGACGCGTTCAAATGCCATTCTATCGAGGTAAATTATGTGAGGTTGCTGTCGCCGCTCGGATATATCTCGGAGGCGGAACTACAATATGCCGATACATCACATGATCGTCCCAGTTGGCAGACCCGCCTGTGTTCAAGACGCATCTTCTAGCGCCAAGCCTTCCTTAAAGATCAGGTTCCTGGAAAGCGTCTCTTATATCTCCCCATTCCACACCACCGCCAAAATGACTACAGGTAAGAAGAATACCTTATCCAAATGATTCTGTATTACATGAATTGACATTTTTCCAGCTCACCGACCCACATTCGACCCGGTACGGACATTTCGACTCTTCCTTTAATCGCAATTCTAACTTTAATGTGAACAGGCGCAAGGCAAAGAAGCCCTCCGTGGCCCAGCATATCACCAGCGACTCCTCCCCGCACATACACACCTCAAAGTCCGGTACGCAAATTGCATCTCGCGACGCTCAAATCATCCGGACACTAGCTAACAATCGCCCAGACAACCCGGTCAAGGTGGTGACGCCGACAACGAAGTCCGCGATCTTCGCGCCGAGCTCCTGAAGGCTGAGGCTGCACACTTCGCCAAGAAGAACGGTGTTCCCGTCGACGAAACAGCTGCTACGGAGCCGGCTCCAAAGCGACAGCTTGAATCTGCGGAAGGACAAGCGGAGGATGGCGAACAGGCCGAAGACCCAGAAGCGAAGCGGCGACGCATCTTAGAAGAATCGCGAGATATAGATGCCGATTCAGATGGGTCGGAAGAAGACAGCAGCGAGGAAGAGGATAGCGATGATGACGATGACGAGGCTGCGTTGATGCGCGAGCTGGAGCAGATCAAGAAAGAACGATTGGCTCAGAAGGAGAAAGAGGTTTGTTGAATGTTATTGATTCATATTGCCAGCGCATGCTGATTTCTTCCTTCAGGAACAAGAACGAGCGCTTGAAGTAGAGGAGCAACGAGAGGTTGATATTGCTCGAGGAAACCCTCTTCTTAACTCGCAAGACTTCAATATGAAGCGACGATGGGACGATGATGTCGTCTTCAAGAACCAAGCCCGAGGAACTGAGAAGCAGGATGGGAAGGAGTTCGTAAACGTAAGACTACGCCCTGCTTTTCCATTCACGGCATATACTGACATGATACATAGGATTTGCTGCGATCTGACTTCCACAAGAGATTTATGGTATGTACATGATCAATGAAACAGTCATGTTGGGCCTAGCTAACCATAAATCATAGTCAAAATACGTTCGTTAAAGACCGCAATCTATCTACAATCAATCATAATTTGCATCTGCAAGATTTACCCATGGGTGCACCGGTTCTACTCCATCCTCTGAACAACCATCTCGCTTCTTCCTTCGGCGATGCATTGGCCACACAGTGAGATCCGTCAAAGAACTGGTAAAGAAAAGCTCACTACCCCGGCATCAGCCAATGCTGCACATCACGCTATGGGCGATAGATAATAGACATTTATATCAGTCTGGCGACCGCGGAGCTGACATAGGATCGGTATCCATACCTCTTAATGCTACGATGGGAAATAAACAAAATTCTTGCATATTTGAAACGGACAAAATTCGGGGCCTCTCGTACAATCTGAGCTTTAAGTAAGAAAATAAGAAATAGATAGCCCATTAAGCATGGAAACATTGTATAAATCCGGGGCTCAAAGAGCCCCACTTCCTCCCCATTCACCGCTCAAGCTTATCGTCCTGATCTGCCGCAAGAACGAGCACCAACTTCCTGTCTTTAAACACCTCAGTATGGAGTCCCAACCAACAGCCAAGGTGCTGCATCGTACGTTGCCAATCGCCATTTAGCTGAAATCAAGTGGATCCAAGCTCCAAAGCGAAACAAGCTAACGCTCCCTTCGTCAGATCGCATCAACACCGATATCTCACAACTACTCCAACGATTCGAAAATATCATGGCCACAGCGACTGTAAGGTCTACCTACGTTGATGACACATTTTAAATTATGCCAATTGACGATTATTGTTCCGCAGGTCGAGAACCCTAGCTACACTTCCAGCGCCGTGGAGACATATCAGCTAGATGTCGAATCAACAGCTCTGGTAAGCCAGTCCTAAAGTTAAAGAAATCGAGAGAATCTACCTTTCAACTCGAAAATCAATTATTCTGCACTTTCAAATTGATCGGGACTAAATATCTTTTCAATCTAGATCCGTGCCGCCGAAGACATCCTCGCATTAACCAGAACCATGAAAGAGACCTGGCTATTCGGTAACTTGAATACCCTCGGCGAAGATGAAAGAGACGTACAACGTCGAGAAAATCTAGAGAAAGACGCAGCTGCTGTACAAAAAGCTGTTGAGGGGGGTGGCCTCTCGAAGCTGGCGCCGGGGAAATAAAACGGTTGAGAATTGTTGTGCGCTATATTGCATTGGGCTTACTAGCCAAAGGCGTTTATGGGACTGTTTTGGTATTTGATATACCTGGTTGTTTCGAGCAAATCTTTTCATCCTTTCTTGGACAAAGTTCATGTTCATTGCTGTCACGATCTAGAGTGTATGCACTCATGGCCGACGTAGTGGACTTATAAATCCTCAGTATGATTGAAGACGTACTACACCGATTTTAAGATCATATTCATAATCCAATTATAAGATTAACGGGATAATTCCACGATTTACCTACTTGTAGCTTCCAATGTTAGTCTCCGCGGACGTTCTATACCTCCAGCTCAAGTATGCTTTATAGACTCACTCACGCGGGGCCGGCCGATAAGCTATCCGATAAACACTTCTTCTCCCAAAAAGTACCTTAAACATCTCCTCGAACTTCCCACAACCCACACATCCTCAATACAAGAAAGAGAGTGGAGAAAACAAACACAATGCCACCTCCCACAACATCACCAATTTCCCACTCTCTTCCCCTCACGCTCATCGTCGCGACGACGCCCATCCGCGTCGCGTCAGCTCACACGCACGATGAAACGCGCCTCGGCATAGGCCTAAACGGCACACTACCCTGGCCACGCATAAAAACAGACATGTCATTCTTTGCGCGCGTAACATCCCGCCCCCCGCAAAAAGGAACAACCAACGCAATCATAATGGGCCGAAAGACCTACGACTCTGTACCGAAGTCTCTCCGTCCGCTCGGGAAGAGAATTAGCGTTGTCATCTCGCGGGATACGACCGGTTCTGTATCCGAGAGCGTGTTGAAGGAGCTAGAGGCCAAGAAGGCCAAGATGGCTGCTAAGGCTGCTGAAGAAGGGAAAGAGAAAGTCGAGGAACCGGGGCAAGAAACTGATGCGATTGTTATGCCGAGTTTGGATGCTGCGCTTAAGGAGTTGGAGGGAATGGAAGGATTGGGGAAGATTTTTGTTATTGGGGGGGCGGAGATTTATGGGGCTGTGTTACGGGATGCGAGTGATGGGTTGAAACTTCGTGGACGACCTGTTAGAGTTGTTATGACGAATGTTGTTAGGAAGACTGAAGGTGGGGAGGAGGTGCTGTTTGAGTGTGATACTTTTTGGCCGTTGGATTCGATGGATAAGGTTAGTGGGTGGAGGAGCGTTGGTTCTGAGGAGCTTTCGGAGTGGGTTGGAGAGGAGGTTACTGGGGAGTGGAAGCGTGAAGGGGAATGTGAAGTGCAGATGGTTGGGTTTGAGAGGTTGGGATAGATGTTTTGAAAATGTCATTTGTTTCGGGTTTATATACTACTCTAAATAGGTCGGTATTCGTTGGACTGGAAAGTTCTATTTGACGTATGATATGCGTAAGAAGAGTCTTATTTACAGTCCAGGAAGCTGGCGCTGCATTCCTGGAAGGAACGTATATGCAATGCAAAGATCAATGTTGCCGACAGATGGATGGGGAAAGGCATGAACCACCGAATCAGAAACGCCGATGCTGAAATCAAAACAAATATGCAAGGAATCATGTCCGTCGAAAGAAGCTTAGTTACTCGTTCTGCTTCATAAATTTCACAAATGCCTTTTTGTGCACGAGGCCAGCGTAGTGGCCATTGTGGAGCACACAGAGATATCGGAGACCGAGCTTGGCAAAGCACTGGTAAACCAAGTCGATGGGAGAATGCACGTCAAGGGCAATGGGGGCCTATGGTGAAAATTAATACGCGGGTAAACATCATATTCCATCATGGGATCAACTTACAGGGTCGATGTAGCGGGTGAAATCCTCCTGTACAACATCTTCATTATCGCTTTCGTAGATTGCAAGTGAGGAGTCTAGTGCCATTAGGCAAACTGCGTTGTCCTCGTCGTCACCAAGGCTGTCTAATGCGAACTCTAGATCAGGAGCCGGAATCAAGCCTGCTAGGATACCATCTCGTAGAATCGGTAAGCCGCTATCAAGTTCGCCTGCCATCAGGAGATGCTCGAGCTTCAGACGAAGATCCGTTGCAGCAACAAATGGTGAGTTAGAGATATCGATTATACGGTCTCTTCGTACGGGCCGAACGATATCACCAAGCTCAGCTTCTGAAAGAGGTTGGAGTTTGTTATCGAGGAAGGGATAGGCGTTCATGTCGGTTAAGAAGTCCTGCACAATATTAGATCTGTGGTGGGTGATCAAGAACGTGAGGGTATGAACTTACATAGATACTGCGGGGCTCGATCGCATCTGCCGTCCATTTGGCACAAAGGACAGAAAGTGAGAATGGAAGAACATGGTTCAAACTTCCTGTCAGTTCAAAGAGTATCACAGCCAATGTCACTGATAGTCGAGTGACTCCACACATTGTGGCACCTGCAGCAACAAGAGCGTAAACTCCTGGAGTCACACAAGACTCCATTCCAGGGACTGCAGGGCAAGAGTTGAATAGGAAAAAGGTCGGGTTATTAGCCACCCAGTATTGGACGACATGCCCGACTATTCGACCCATCAAACCACCAACCACCATTGACGGGACGTAAATACCAGCTGGAACTTTAATACCAAAGGTGATAACAGTGAGAAAACTTTTTATGACGAGTGCAGCAAGTAGGTATTTGATAGTATCCAATATACCACCCTCGTGAGGACATAATCCAGTGCCATCTTGGGAGAGGCGTTCACAGGGACTGGTGAGCTCAAATAGAAGCTCACTAACGCTTAATTTGGTATATCGGTTCCAGAAGCTGGCTAGCCCAGTGACAATTGCGACCAAAAAGACTTCGAGCATAGGCCACCGTTTAATTGCAGGGATCCGACGAAACGATCGCGCCCACAAGCTGGATGCTTTAATGAAAAGGGCGCCAACCGCACCTCCGAGTATGCCGAGGAAGATGAAGATGAAGATCTCGAACATCTCCCAGTCCGAAAGGTATCTCACTTCGAAAAGAACAATTTTCCCAGTGCCGTATGGGTTGAGAAACTTCAAGGACAAAGCAGCCGCGATGCAACAAAAGAATGTTCGGAAGAGCGTCTTAGGTGGGAAATAGTAGCTGACCTCTTCAAGACTAAAAAGAACACCTCCGATAGGTGCGCCGAAGGCCACCGCAACTCCACTCGCAGCAGCAGCACTCAGTACTTCTCGCCTTTTCCCGTCATTTTGGTTGTACTTGGCGAACAATCGACAGAGAACATTGCCCACACAAGTAGCAATGTGAACATATGGCCCCTCCTTTCCCAGGCTCAGACCAGATGAAATACTGAATATCAGAGCAATCGTCTTAATAATCAAAGTCTTGAAACCAAGGTACCCATGCAAAACAAATCCACTGTTGATCACCTTCACCTCCGCAACTCCGCTACCAGCAGCAGAGTAATATATCATTGCCGGCCGAGAAGGCGTATTTGGAAAGGTTCCATGGGGGCTCGTTTGGGACTCCGGAGAGCCTGAACCGCCAGTGCTAAAAGTCTTCCCACGGGCATCGGCCCCCAGGTTTTCGTCGAGGGTGGCTAAAGAGATCGAAGATGGTACAACAGTCTTTGTGAGAAGAGTCAAGGCGCATGATATCATTGCAAGAATGATCACCGAGATGACAAACATCACAAAGTCTATCCATTTATTATCCGTACCAGAAGGTCTGAAGATCTGCGCCCATGACCTCCACGCATCACAGGTTGACGCACCATCGCAACATATGCTCCGACTTGCAAACCAGCGCGAATGACAGAATCCGAGCTTCGCATCGAATGCCCTGCTCTCAGTGACATCCACAAAGTACGCAATTGCGGCCGTGATGCAACCTGTCAAGGCCACGAGAATCCAACCCTGTGCGCTGTCGAACACTGCCAATAGTCGGCCACGAACATCCTTCCTCCGCCGTAATTGACGAAGTCGTGCTCCGTCTGCAATACTATCGTGTACCCAATCTGTTGATGTAAATTGATCGTACCAGGTGCGCTCGTCCAGGAACGATGACGCAGTCAGTCCGTTCTTTGTCGACGGTGGCAAACTGGCTGATCTTTCACCGTACCCATCTCCATCCCCATCTAAAAGACCATCGGTCTCTCCGATACTACTCCGCCGACTAATTTGCCTCCGTACCGAGTTTGTCCGACTGTGGTTTCGTACCCGACGCAAGCTCCCCGCACCCAGGAGATAGCGTAGTGAGTCGGGGCCCGATACCCCTGATATGCTAGTATATGAACGACGTGGAGCTCGGCGCTGTGGTTGAGCCGGTGGTCCCAGTAGACTTGTAGTCTCACTAGCTTCTAGGTGGGAGTCCAGCGACTGGTACCCGGTATGTTCTTCGGATAGGTAGCTTCGGCGGCGGTGAGCGGTTGGTGACGGAGGGGCTGTACGAGAGGCAGGGGTGTCTATCTGAGCCTCGTCTTGCTCGCCCCGTGAAGGAGCAAGCTGTGGAACTGAGCGAGGCATGGATAATAGGGAACGGTTACGCCTCGACGATATAGTGTGGAAGCCTGATCTTGGGGAACGTTAGCTATGAATGGTGCTTCCCACGGAAATCCTGAAGAAAGAAAAAAGGGTCCGCATTGGGATGACTAGACATGTATGAGAGGGGAGAAAGAAGAAAGAGAGAAAAATACTTACTAGGAACCATGGCCCCAATACTTAGGCAAGTGTTTCACCAGCTCAAGAAGAATGTCCAGTGCGGGCAGCAGATGATAGGGAACGCGTCAGGTGAGGGAGGCGGGCCCACCGCACATCTTAACGGTTTTCTCCCCACATTCTGCTTACTTATTCGCGGTCTAATATATTAGAATTTATGTTCTTGCATCTCAGCTTCTATTTTGATTCGATCTTGGACTAGTATCTTAGAAATTTGCCTCTTTGTCCGCGCTGACCGAAAGTATTCTCCAGTGTTTTGTTTTGATTAAGTAGATGGAACCCGCTTCACATGTTCCGTCGGGGTCAAATCACCTCATCTTATTGGAGTAGAAAGGAGGCAGGTGAGAGGGTCCAGTGCGGGGAGTCAACGCCCATGCATCCTCATGACAATCTCACCCTATTTTGAACATTCTCGGCTTGGGTAGTGTCTAACATTGTATTCGATAATCGTGAGAGGCTCTGTTCCGCCCGGCATCAGAGTCTCTTTTCATCTCAAAGAACAGCTTAGTTCAATATCATTTCCTATCCGATCAAAGCACGGGATCAGGGCATACCCCATATGCGCTATAGCTAGTCAGTAACCGCGAAACTGAGACATTCGTGGTGCATGAAGTTACTAGTCGTGCGTGCGGCATCCAACCCGTCGATCCCCCGCTATGTCGATCGAGGGAGGTCAACATCGAATATCCATGATAAAGCCCTGAGACATATTGCGAAAAAATATAACGTGATTACAGATATAGAAGATTCAATTTTTTGAAATATAATACTACTGTATAATAATTTTGAATGCAGTACATGGATATACCTGGGTCTACAGTCGAATAGAATGCACCAAGGCCATCTTATCATGTAGGTTCTAAGTAATAAGCTTCAGACTAATCCCTCTCATAGATTTCGGGACAACGACCCGAATATCTTCGATCCGTTTTCGACCTGCATCAGATATATCCAGCGGTAGCAAGAACTATATTAGCAATCTGATCAGATTGCTTTGGCCCGAAGTGCAACCATAAATCAGGAGAACTATAAATTAAACCTCTCAACTACGAAACCTGATCATGAATCATGTAGACTATTACCTCTAGATATCTGGAAAATACATTATCTAAGACGCAAGATCCCTCGTTTCAATCGAATTCACACTGTAGCTAAATCGTAAACAGATCCAGTCTTGCACTGCAATTGGTGGAGAAATCCATCTATCAAAAAGGTCCCACTTGCCATTCTGCCCACGGAGCTACAAAATTCCCCCCACCAACAACACTCGACACTTTAAAGGCTGGCATAGTCCCTCATTTTTCCAGTTTTCTGGAATTCCAACTTCTATTCTCTTCAATTATACCTCTCATTAACAATGGCCAGCTCAAATGGGGTCACCGGCAAGGTCTATGACCAGTTTATTCTCTTCGGAGACTCCATTACCCAAATGGGCAGTGATCCGGCATTGAGCTTTGGCTTTCAACCAGCAATGCAAGATGGTGTGTGAATTCAAATTCAAAACATCGTTCATAGATGGTCTGTTCATCTTTGCTGATTTTTATGACAGCATACAGCCGTAAATTGGACGTGATTAATCGTGGGTTCGGGTAAGAATTTTATTTAAGATCAATTCAATATTCCATTCATTCAGATACGAACATGAAGAACTAATAATCACTAGAGGATATACCACCATCCACGCCAATAATGTGTTTGCCAAACTCTTTCCAGCTCCAGAGGTAGCCACAGTGCGCTTCATGGTAATGCATTTGACCTTCCGTCACCATGATCCACCCACTAATTCGCTTCAGACAATCTTCTTCGGCGCCAACGATGCTTGTGTGGAAGGACACCAACAACATGTCCCTATTGAAACTTTTAAAGAAAATCTTAAGAAGCTCATTCAGCACCCAGCGACAGTTGCTCAGAATCCCCGAATTGTTCTCATTACTCCCCCGCCAATCAATGAATACCAACTAGAGGGCTTTGATCATGCTAAGGATACTGCCCATCCAAGTCGGACTGCTGCCATAACAAAGACTTATGGAGAGGCAGTTAAGGAAGTAGGAAAGTCTTTGAATGTCCCTGTTGCGGATATTTGGACAGCTTTTATGACCTCCGTTGGTTGGCAGGAGGGTCAGCCTCTTATTGGGTCCAGAGATGCGCCACGGAATGAGAATTTTGACAGCCTTTTCATTGATGGTATTTATACGATATTACTAGGAACTCTTGTTCAGTTTGATTATACTGACTAATATCTATCTAGGACTGCACCTTACTGGAGATGGTTATCGATTCGTCTTTTCGGAGGTGATGAAGGAGATTAACGCTACTTGGCCTGATCAGTCTCCGAACAGCTTACCTATGGTTTTCCCCGCTTGGACTGAGTTTTACCAGTAAGAGGTCTATATACTGTTAGCTTCCAACCTTAGAAGTTAACTGCTTGGTTGCCTTTGTTGTATTTATTGATATATAATTGTTCGCCTTGGCGTGAAGAATAAATGGAGAGAATATGGATTTTGCTCCAAACCTTAGGTTAATTACCAGTAATTTTACATGATTATTAGATAGTCAGGTATCTTGCAGCAAAAAATAATAATAATAAAATCTACAGTAGTTCTACTATGTATACGTCCATAACTACATCACTAATTGAGGAGCCGTTAGTGGAGCAGTGACGGGAGCGGTCTAGATCAACTTCTTCCCCTCCTGCATGACGCTCTTCCTCTCCACTGCATTTCCCCCAGATCTTATTCTCCTGCATTCGATCTGACTATCACCCTGGTCGATCTCACCTTTGAATTCAGACTGTCACCAGCTCCAATTCTGCCCTGTCCACAGTCCTAAACCCCGTGACTTACCGACCGTATCCCATCACCCACCTCTTCTACAAACATCACCTCATTGAGCTCTCCGACACCCTATCCTCACAGACCCTCTGCCTCCCCAAAACCTTAAACCTCGCCGCACTACATATTGCCACTTTCAATACCTATAACCTCATTGTTCTCTGCTCCTGTCACCCTATTAGCTTCGTGCACACCCCACTATCGCATGCTGTGAGCGGAGCCACACCCCCTGCACTTCACAGCTCGGTGGACGGCCCCGTGGGCCGTCACACATTCTGAAGGAGGGAGGAGACCCCAACGGCGGCTACTGGTGTGAATCCAGCGCCAAATATTTCATATCGGGTTCAAAGTGGCAATTCTTGAAGCTGTTGTGGTAAGGGCCCAAGGGGGTTCTTGATTGTTCCTGCTGGCCTACCAACCTCGGCGGCGATGGATGCACAGTACGCTTTTACATCGCGGGATGATCTCTGGCGGATCTTAGATGATCTTAAAGAGCTTCATAGCACACAGATTGAGCAGGCCGACCGGATCGCACGACTCGAGCGCCGCCGGGACGAGGATGCGAGGTTGAAAAGTGTGTGGGGTCCATTATCGCCATTCCCTTCCTCAGTGTCTATTCCCACAGGTATGTAGCTCTTTTGGTGATGTGTTTTGGTTTTGGTTTTTGTTGCTAACTTCACGAGGGATCTCTCATTTAGAGCCCGCCTTTAATTCTCCACCCGACGCGTTTAAAGGCTTTGACCAGGGGCAGCAGCACGGCATGTCGAGCTCGGCTATTGGGTTGGATGGTGATGAGGAGCCCCGACGAGGTGCTTCGCGGGCGAATAGCGTACGATTCGACGAGAGTGCGATTCATGGATATTATGGGCAAGCTAGTCGGTCTAGCACTGAGTTGCCAATTCGGACTGGAAGTGGGATGAGCAGTCTTCCTTTGACTGAGCGTTCTTTGTCTCATCGCTCCGACGGAAGACTCAGTTTCTCTGGCCACTCTCATCTCTCTGCGCGCACGAACAGTCTAGGCCTTGATTCAACTAACCGTTTATTGGGCTCATCCTTTACTGAATCGTCACCGCTGACACCTCCACCTGGATGGTTCTTGCTGGGTCCAGTGCCATGTATCATCCGATGTTGGTTGACACCCACATTCTCCAATGAGACTCTTTTGTATGCTGCAGTTTGCTCTGGATCTTACATGTCAAGCTTGGGCAGTTCAACCATCTACAAGCTTGGGCTTGAGGAATCAGTGTATCGCGAAGAAGGCCAGAGGTACATTAAGCTTCCTGTTCACCTCGCTGAAGCTAGTATCTGTCAAGCCTCCTCTCGCTCCGGAAGCCCAGATCCCCATGTTCCTGCCGTTACCGTTCGATTCCTCATGCGTGAAAGCGATAATTCGGATGATTCGATTGAGGTTATTATTGGTAGTGATGTGCTTCGCGCTCACGGTGCTGACATCCTGCTTTCCAAGGACAAGGTCTTGATGGTTGACGATGAGAGAAATCGCATTTCTATCCCTCTCGTCCGCCCCGAAAAGGAGACTGTGTTCAAGAATCTCTGTACGAGTAGCAATGGAACTTCAGACCATGGCGTCCAGAACGTCCCCGTTGCGAATGGCAAGGATACATCAGGTGCCATCGGACAAGCTAATGTCCCCCATCAGCCAACATACCAGTCGATTTCGGCCCCTGCCTCAACTCGTGTGTCAGTTGGTGACGCTGATGAGGCGAAAAAGCCCCGCCTGCAAGACCATGTTCCTGAAAACGCCGAGTCGCGTCCTACAACCGGGAATTCTACCGATGCACACACCGGCACCTCTCAACCCGAAGCTGCTACCGTTTGGGGTTCCTGGCGCCGCCCGAAACTCGAGACCAATTCCGCCGCAGACAAAGGCACGGCAGGTCGTACCATGAAAGTCCTTCGACCCACGAAGACTTTACGGGCGGTTTCTTCCACTTCAACCCCTACTACCGCTGAGCACGCCGACCACTCCGGTTCCGCACCCAGATCTGCGACCCAGCTGTCCCCGGATGAAACGACTTCAACCCCAACATCTGGATCTAATCCTATCGGCGGCGCATCGGCATTCCCCTGGCTTAATTCATCTTCGAGTCGTTCTACCGGGACCTCTAGATGAATTCCATTCAATTGAGAAATTGAGAACTTTCTACACTCTCAAGTGCTGCATTTTAGCGACGGATCTCGGTATGATAAGCCGCAAAAATTAACAATTTTGATTTTACGCCTTTTATTACCTTGGGATCTAGCTCTTTCTTTTTCACACTTAGCGAAGACATCCAAAAATGGATAGTCAATCATGACACGATAGCACTTGCAAGAAACAATGTACTATTCCACAACCTCCACATTCCTCTGTAAACGCCCACACTTCTCGGAATATCTAATCTACAAATCTGTAAAATATCCTCAAATCCCCCACTCATAACCCAACCAACCTTCTCTGCTTCAGATCTTCGAAAAGACCTCCAAAGCTCCCTTCGTCTCTCCCTTCGTCTCCTTGACAAGCCCACTAACAGTCCTAAACGCGTCATGCTTCGCATCCCCCAAAATTTCAAACAACAAGCTCTCACTACTAGTAATAATAGCCCCCGCATCTCTCAATCGATCCAACGCAATCTTCCTCTCTTCCTTATTGATACTGCTCACGCCATCAACAAGAATATAAACTCGATGACCCTTAGCCAAAAGATCAAGAGTCGTTTGCGTAACACAGATATGCGTCTCAATACCAACGATGATAGCATCCAATGCTGCAGGGTCAGAGGGGAGCAATGCCTTGATCTCAGGCGTGATCATTGAGAATAGTGTTTTATCTACGTCGGCTTTGATGTGTGGGCCTTGGAGATGGGTGCTTAGTTCTGAGACGGTGTTGCCGAGTTTTGAGCGGTTTTGGGTCGTTATGTATACTGGGAATTGGAGGGTTGATGCTGCTCGGGCCATTTTTTCGGTTGTTGAGACTCTGAGGTTCAAGTTGTTAGTTGTCTTCGATGCAGGTGGGTGGATGGGTGGGTGAATTAATGGGTTAATGTACAGTTTGGAAAATTCGTAGATTCCATTGCGGAATTTATCTTGGATGTCGCAAACGCTTTATTGAATGGTTAGCTTGGGTTTGAGGTGAGAAGATGAGGTAGATGTACAAGAGTGCGGGGTTTCCTGGTTGTAGAGTGTGGTTAGCTGGGTTCAATTGTGTACTGTAGGGTTACGGACGAATTCGAGTTGTGCGGAGAGCAGCCATGGTGATTGAATTTGATATGTAGGTATGAGTCGATTTGGGTTAAAGGTATTAAGGAGTAGTAGAAGAGGTGTCGGTTGAAGAACGGCGAACCCCGGGAATCGGAGAGTGCGGGGAAGAAAATGCAATCGGCCGAGGGGAACTATGCACGAACTATGGGAGCTAACAAATAGATCTAGAAATTCAAAACAATCAAGATTTTGTATTTAATGTATCTGACCAGTTATGATTACAATTTAATGGATAGTATATAGGAGGGGTATTCAATGCTTTTATTTTCATCTATGAAATCATCTTTTTATAGATTTAGAGTTTTACCTCGTGCACCTTCGCTCGCCCAACAAACCAGCTATCATCGCCTTTTCCTGCGGCAGTGCGGATGGCATAGAGCTCATCGAGGAACGCAGGAACAAAGCTGCCTGGGCCGCGGACGTATTCTTTAGATGCTGCGTTTTCAGCTGCAATTTCGTACATCAGGATTCCGGACAAGACAGCGAGCAATCTATCGGAGCGGTGCGCTGTCAGGAAACAACCTGAAATGCTACCGATGGCACAGCCAGTCTAAAAGAACACAAAGTTAGTTAGATATTTGACACTTGCCTATAAGGAAAGAAACACTTGAACATACTCCTGTTACTTGTCCGAGGTATGGGTGACCGTTTTCTACTGCAATGACTCGTTCACCGTCGCTGAGGTAGTCAGTGGCACCGGTCAACAACACAACGTTTCCTAATTAAACCATGTTAGTAATTTTAACTTATTGTAGAAGCATATAAGCGACGAGATTGACTCACGCTCTCGGCGAGCAAGATCGCGGGCTAGCTTTGCCTTCTGCTGGCCATCGAGCGTACTGGGCCCACTGTCAACGCCGCGCTGCTGTACCGGACTACTACCCCAAACTTGGCGGATTTCGCCCTCGTTACCCTTGATAAGATCAAAATATCCTCCGGTCATGAGCTGAGAGACAGCGTTACGACGGATCTCTGTTGCAGCAGCACCGACGGGGTCATAGATTACCGGGTTGCCCCGGGAATTGTATGCCTTCACGGCCTTCTGGTAGTTTGATACGCTCTCGCTAGTCAGCGTACCCATATTGATTAGTAGAGCGCCATCAAACTTGCACAAATCTGTAGCCTCATCTCCATATGGGGACATAATAGGCGAAGCACCACTATGAATAATTGTTAACAAGATGATCATCAATATGAATCACCCAAAAGAAAACTCACATGGACAGAGCGACATTGGCAACGAAGTTAGCGACAACAAAATTAATCATGTTGTGTACCAATGGGTGTCCCTCGACCATTTTGCGCACAATCTGCGGCACTTCGTGCAACAATGCCTCGGCCTCGTTGGCTCGGGGAGCTTGTGTGGTCAATGCAAAGGGAGCAGGCGAGTTGATCAGCTTGGCGAACTCCTCAGCCGAAGCCTTGGGATCATCGGCTGCCACGATAGCGCTGACAATGGCTACTCCATCGAGAGCCTTCTTAGGAGATCGGGATTGGTAGAGAACTCGCTGGACATTGCTATGGTTGATGCCTCCAATAGCCACTGTTCCAACGGAGGAATCACTAATGGCACTTAGGATAGCCTGGGTCCCTGCAGTTCCAATGACTGATTTGGTATTAGTTTTTCTAAACGATAGCGTCATCCGGTTAGCCCTTGCGTTGCAGTATGCATTAAACCGCAGATACATACGTCGGGGTGGCGAACATCGTTCCGATGCCCAGGTAGTCAGCCCCATCGGCAATGGCTTTCTGAGCCTCATCCAGGGTAGAGGTGCTAATTCCAATAATGGCATCCTTGGGAAGAAGCTTTTTGGCTATATCAAATCCTGTAGTATGGAATATCAGACTCTGCGAAAGTTCCAAGACTTACAATGACAAGGATGGATGAAACTTACTCATATCATCTTGGCCAAGGTGAACGCCCTCCGCCCCAATGGCGAGAGCGACATCAACTCGGTCGTTGATGAGAAGAGGAACACCATATCGCTTCGTTACTTCGTGCAGTCTTTTAGCTGTATCAATCAAGTCTCCGGTATCGCTCTTTTTATCCCGGTATTGCACAATGGTGACACCTGCGCAGCGGTCGGGGGTTAAAAACGCGTACTAGGTATTCCACAGGATGGTATTTAGTTCTTACCTCCCTTCAATGCCTCTTCCACTACTGTACATAGATCCTGCCCCTTCAGGATTGCCGGGGTCGAGTCTGTGACCAGATACAGTGACAAGTCTACTGGCATTGCTGCGATCTTGCGGCTCCCCTTGGACCTTCAATTTCTTCGTAAATTTAAAAGACCAAAGAGAAGGCTTCGTTTAGCTCCTGATGCAAAGTGCAGTTATCCGATGTCTCACGCACAATTGACGCCAATAAAAAGTACACGGGAATTCGGTAATCAAACCGCGATCCCGGCCGCCGTTGGGGTTCTGGTGGGGCTCGGAGGGTTTGACCTCATTGCGCAGGACCAAGTTTGAGTTTCTCAAGTCCGAGTTTTCAAAGTTGAAAGTAACTTGTGATTGTTAATAGTATAGATATCTCATTGGTGCTTTTAATTTAGATAAATTGAATCTTCTCCTTCTACAAAACAAATGCCCATAGTGAGGTCCAGTAGGTAGTAAGTCAACGAAACAAACAGCACAAACTCCGACACGCACTTATGTCCGATACCACGTGCCTGATGACTCATCCACGGGCCCACCTAACAAAATCCGCTTTCTCTTTTCGTTTTCGCCCGCTCTGTTTCTCTTTCATCACACACAACTTCAGGCCTTCGACATCTTACTGCGAAGCCTTCCCTGCGTCAGCTGTCCAGACAGTTCACGCATCTACTTGAACGCTCCACTGATTGCCTCGGCATCGCCATCATCACTTTATCAAGAAACTTTTCTCAGGGTCTCCGGCCTTTGACTCGGATTCCCCCAAGAACAACCTCGGTCGTTCTCGTTCCAAAGAGACACCCGTCAAGGAAGTCGACTGCGAACTTGTCTATGTATTCGTCCTCCGTGCAACATTTCGAACACCACCTGCCGCCCAAGCTGCAAACGTTTCGCACGTCGAAACCTTGCAGTATACACCTTCGCTCTTGTGGCTGAACCTCCTCGGACCTGCCCTAAATCTGTGACCTATTCGTGAGCAATCACAATATCTAAACAAACAGAAACCCACTCTCCAAATTTTTTTTCCTCCAAAAAAATCCAATCAATTCATAAAAAATCGTCCTCGACACGCATGTCTTGTTCCGTCGACAAGATTTCGTTCAAGATCTCCTCCCGCTACCTTCTTCGCAAGAAAATCATTCCACTTTGGTGATCAAATTTCACCAACATAACCTCAAACCGTCATCATGGCCACCGTTAACATTCGCCGGGATGTCACCGATCCCTTCTACCGTTACAAGATGGAGAAGCTCCAGTCTAAGATTGAGGGCAAGGGCAACGGTATCAAAACCGTCATTGTCAACCTGAACTCAGTCGCTCAATCTCTCAGCCGTCCTCCTGCTTACTTGATCAAATACTTTGGCTTTGAACTTGGAGCCCAGGCCAACGCTAAGCCTACCGATGAACGTTGGATCATCAACGGTGCCCATGAGTCTAGCAAGCTTCAGGACTACCTTGACGGCTTCATCTCCAAGTTTGTGCTTTGCAAGAAGTGCAAGAACCCCGAGACTGATGTCATCATCAAGGATGAGAAGATCACCCTGGACTGCAAGGCCTGTGGTCAGCGTTGTGACGTTGATCCTCGCCTGAAATTGAGCACCTTCATTGTTCGTAACAACCCCAAGGGTGGCAAGAAGGAGAAGAAGGACAAGAAGGCCCGTCGCGAGGCCAAGAAGGAGAAGTCCCAGTCCAACGGAGACCAAGATGCCAGCCCTGGTGACAGCAATGGATCCGAGAACGGTGAGGAGAATGGTTATGACGATGATGAGGCTCTTGAGGCTGGCAGTGATGATGAGTTGGTCCGCCAGGCCAAGGACCTTCAGCTTGACGAGGAAATCAAGGACGATGATTGGGCCGTCGACCTCTCTGAGGCGGCCATCAAGGCCCGTGCCAAGGACCTTCCCGATGACCTCAAGCGCTCGCTAGTTCTGGAGGAAGCCGATGAGGATGGTGCCGACGGTCCTTCCTCATACGAACAACTTGGTAGCTGGATCATCGAGACTGCTGAAGAGAAGGGTGGTGTCACCAAGGTCAGCGACATTGAGATCTACAAGAAGGCCAAGGACTTCGGCATCGAGACCAAGCACAAGACTCTCGCCGTTCTGGCCCAGAGTATCTTTGACGAGAAGATTGTCAAGCAGATTGAGGACCGTGCTCCTCTTCTCAAAAAGCTGATTACCTCCGAGCGTCACGAGAAGGCCTTCCTTGGCGGTACCGAGCGCTTCGTCGGCCAGGATCGCCCCGCTTTGATTGCGCAGATCCCCGCCATTCTTCTTGGTTACTACCAGAATGAAATTGTCTCCGAGGAGACTCTTAAGACCTGGGGTGCCAAGGCTAGCAAGAAATATGTCGACATCTCGACCAGCAAGAAGGTCCGCAAGTCTGCCCAGCCCTTCCTGGAGTGGTTGGAGACCGCCGAGAGCGAGGACGAGAGTGACGAGGAGAGCGAGTAGACGTGTTTTCAACATCTATCTCACTTGCTTTTTTGGACTTTTTGCTCCCTCCGATTGTTGCTTCTTGATGTCACTTCGGTTCTATCTGTCTGGGTATGCTCATCCACATGGGCCCAGTTAGTCTGAATGTTTAGTTACCTAGTATCTTAGTTTTCACCGACCAATCGTCACTCATTTATCACTATTACAATTTGCATCCTTTTTACCTCTGTATATTCGTAAAACCCGAGGCTAGATACTCAGGGACTAAAGCAGAGTTTAGATATTGATCTACGATCCGACCAGTTTTATCACCGTTCTGTCCACGGTGCCAATGCAGACCAGAAATCAAAAGAATATCTGCTACGGGAAACGAAATTCATGAAAAACAGCAGGAGAATATTGTATCCTTGAATATTTACAATTAGACCTAGATAGCAATTATCGTAGATGGCTCATATCTAGATATCGGCTTCATGCAAATTCCAACACTTCACCATCCACCTCCACAGACATACCATATTCTTGAACTTCAACAATAGACCCTGTAGAAGCGGAACTCTGGGCCTTGTTCTTTTCATGTACAAAAATGAACCAAGTAAGATCCGCGTTCCAAGTCTCCATGGAATGGATAGCATCATTCACGGATCCAAGCATACTCTGCTGTGCGGGGTCTAATCCAGAAGCACCCACAGAACGGGAATCGGTCCCACTGTGGTACTGGAAATAATATTCCGGTCCAACGAAGAGCGAAATCCATGCCCCAAGGATCTCACAGATACGATCTCCTGTTTCCAGCGGGAGGCGAACACGGGTAAGAATCGTGAGAAACAAGGAGATAAGAGCTCTCCATAAAGAATGGTGTGACGTGAAGGCGCTTGAGCCAGGAGTGGGAGTTGTAAGAGCGAGAGAAGAAGTAAATGGTAGATCTGAGTATAGATTATCGCTCTCAAAGTCTACAGATTGAATGAGAGAGGCCGGGGGTGTTGGTTTGCGGGACTCGTTACGCTGTTGGCGGTTGCGACGGTTATTCGCTGCTTCTGCGTCTTGTCGGACCTTTGTCCATACACGCTGGTATAAACGATCCCAGCGGGGAAACTCGGGTTCGATACGAGTGGCCATGAAATCCCCTGCACCCTTGCACATTGCTTCAATAGCTTGACAAGCTGTTGTTATGACGAATGTTTCTTCTTGGAAGGCCTGGGTATCGGGTTGGGTGGAGGGGCGGGTTGAGTTAGAAGATTGGGAGATTAGACTATTCGAAGAGGATTCGGATGCCAAGGACGAAGGAAATATGATCCTTGATGCGACGGAATTCCATAAGTCATTTATGAGTGGTAGGAAGCTGTTCTCGTTTTTAGAAAGAGTTGGAAGTGTATCGATGAGGATGGCGAGGAGGGAGCGTCGAAGGTATGGTGATGGGGAAGATAGATGAGATGGAATAGATTTAACGATATGAAGCAGGAGGGAATGGGTCTTGCTCAATGGCTTTTCAGCATCCTCAGGCTCTTTTGGTGGGGGTAGAGGCTCGTCGGCATCAATCTTGTTCAACAATTCTTCGATAGTCTCGGGTTCTGTGGGTGGTTTCTCGTATGTCTCTGACCAAGGCTTCTTTGGATGGGGAATCACCCCATCATCATCCATGCCTTCTTCCGCGTCATGCATGGCTCGCTTAGCTTTTCTGTTTGCGATATTTGCAGCAAGGGCCGAAATTGAAAGATGCTTGATTTGAGACTTGCGGTGGTCGTGAGGTCCACTTTCTCTACCATCGTCAATAGTCAAGAGAGATGGCTTTTGGGATCCCGCTGCAACAATGGCTGCTAGACATTTGAACAACATTTCAACAAGCTTGGGGTAGCCATGGTACAGGTCGATTATACCAAAAATGGAATCAACAACGTCATCCAAGTAAGGGACAAGGCGTGGACCAGAAAGCTTCACCATCATGAACAAAACTTGGGGTGGGTATGGTGACACATCAAAGGTATTCAACTTCAAGGCCACTGAGTTGACTAGATAGTCGACATTCTCTATGATCATGGTACTTGTGTCCGGGTAATTGCAGGCCTGTGTCAAGACATTCAAACATATCATAGCATGTCTTTGAAGGGAAGAATTGTTAGATGCCAGTAATTGCAGAGTAGGATACAATGCATCCATAAGCTCAGGTCGAAATGCCTCGCCCAGTTGTTGGGCTTGAAGAGCAACTGCCTCGAGGGCAAGTGCTAACGCTCGCCAGTCACCAGATCCATCAGCTGGAAGTTCAGTCAAAATGATTAGAGCATTGTAATATAGTTCGTCAATCATCGTAGCACGGTTCGATACTGAAAAGCTTTGCTGCATGCTATTATCCTCCAGGAAGTCGTCAAAAATAGCCATGGATTGAGATTGCGAGCGGAGAGATGTCAGAGCCAGCCAGAAAGAGCTAACCACCGTTTCATTGGACCCAGATCGTATTTGATTGACAATGAACCGGGTTATCTCATTTCCAGACTCGGATAGATTCAGCCTAATGATCATAGACCGCAGGTCTTTCAGGGTCTGCTGTTGACTTTGATGTTCAAGCAGTACAGATGGGAATTCCAATGATTGATAATCAGGGCCGACTATGTCCAGATTCAAGGCCTCCGGACTAACAGACGCCAAAGGCTGAAGAATATTTGTGTTCAGTTTGACAACGGCGCTAACACTGTTGCTTAGTCCGGAGGCCAAGCTATTTGTGAGCATCTCTGACCCTGACTGAACCTGAGATATGACCTGAAATGCCGTGGAAATTTGGCGAATCCCCCACTGTTTGGCTGTCTCATCACTACTTTTCATGATTCGTGGGAAAGATACAAGCCAGTTGTGAAGGGATTCCTTGAGGGATTCCAGAACCACAGGGTAAGTAGTCGTAAGATGGAGAAGGGTTTTATAAGCGTCATTCGGTTCTTCATATTCTTTGTCAGCGAGCACGACAATGGTGTCAGTCATAAGAGAAATAGCATCTTTAAGAGTGACCTGGCAATCTTCAATGACCATGACACACAGCTCCAGCAATGCAGTCTGGACCTCGTGCCTTTGATGACGTCGTACTTGAATGACGTTAACCAGTGCCAATTTGATTTGTGTAGTCGTGGCCTTCAGCCAAGCCTGGTCCAAGGCCAATGTCTCGCTTTGGGGATCGACAAGTTTGGGCTTTTGGATAGTAGCAGCAACATGATCATTGAGAACAGATTTCAGAAGATAATTCAGTATACGCAAAGAGATCTGTAGTAATTTGTATGACCGGCGAACTTGTGTTGTGGGCTTTAGCACTTTGGCTAATGCGGAGACTGTTCTTGGCATAATGCTTGCTAGAACCACACGATCTGAGATTCGAGCGTAGAGAGCTTTCATAGCTTTCGCAGCAGATATGCAGACATCGTCGGACCTCTGATCTACAAGGCCTTCCAGAAGAATGTAAACCGTTTGATCCACAACTGTTGCGGTTCCAATCTCATGAAAGATCGTCTGTTCGGCAACTGGGCCCTCCAACACTTCAAATATCACATTTAAACATTCAAACCCAGCAGTAGATAGCTCCTCTGCCGCTTGTGCTTTCAAGGGCTCCTTTCCATCAACATTATTGGGGGATCCTCCCACAATCAATGTTAGCAGTATGATCAACTGCTTGCCTAATGCAGGGACTAGTCGGTCACGCCACCCATATGCCACTAATATATGCAAGCATTTGACTGCTAGCTCGATGCATCGTACCGGGAGTCGTTGCGTCTGATTAAAGATATTCGTGAGGGGGAAGAAGGCGTATTCCGCAAGCTTCTCATCGAGCGAATTCTTTTCTGAAAGGTCCTCCAGAACATAGTGTAGAGGCTCGAGGGCTCGGGTCAGATCAGCAGCAGAGCTGTTATTTCCTCGGAAAGCCAGGCCGACGGCACTTAGCTCTACACATGGTGTTCGTAGCTGTTATGTTCATTAGCATAGCTTTGAACCGGGTTGTCGGCCTTACATACTCGCTTGAATGATTCCTGCCGTTTGGATTCCATTTCGGCAAGTTGTGTGATTGCTGGAATTAGGTAGGCCGCATCCCTCTACTAAGTATGGCCAGTCTGTTGATAAGTTCACAACTAACAAATCCATCCCAGACTGTGACTTGCTCGTTTATTTGAATGGCTGAACAGCTCGGAGTGGGATGCGTTGCCGCCTTCACAATTCTGCCAGATATTATATAGGCGGTGATTGTTGACCTTGCCAAATGTGGTAAGATGTCTGAGTAGATCCCACGTGACTATGACCGCGGTCGCGTCGCGTGCAGATGGCGATGCTGCCTGGGTCAAGAGCTCTAAATTGTTGATGCTGCCTGCTAGTGCTTGATTTTTGGTTTTTCTACTTAAACAAGCCCAAGTCCACTCCTTGTAGTAATTGTCAGATTGAATCGCCCTATGCGCCCTATCAATTCCGCATTTGCGCCTTCATCGCTATTCTGCTCCAATTCTCGGCTCCGCATCAACTCCGGACGTTTGCTGCAATCCCTCGACTTTTTTGATGGGCATAGTTCGTTTTTTCTATGGTCGCAAAGTCACTCAATATTACCACGTCATTTCCACGCTCCCGGATTTTCACCACGGCCTTTGGGTCCACATATCATCATGGCAGATGACAAGAGTAGCAGACAAGCTACACTGGGGTACGTGCGCGATTCCCAATTGACCATCGGGTGTGTAGCTCAGATGTTGGGGGAATATATCCGTGGCTACAGCTACGATTTGATAACCTGAATGCTAACGTGATACCTCCCCTTTTTCCAGTCGGTTCTTTGGCTCAGATGCGAACTCCAACCAAGCTCCTAAGAAGCAGACAACGTTGGCCTTCGGTGGAAAGAGGCAACGAGCGACTAGCGATAATGTAGAGGAGAATACAGAAAATGCTGCTGGCGCGAGTAAGGATGCTATGGTCGATGTCAAAGATGAGGATGAAATAGACGTCCACGCTCAAGCGAACCCAACAGAAGCCGCCAAAACTTTGAAACGCGAGAAAGTTGAGGTGGATGAAGAAAGCGACAACTCAGATGTGCAGCCTGTTTCAAAACGAAGACGCAAGGTCACCAAAGAAGGTTCCTCTCCGGCTCCCAAGAAGAGCCCCAAAAAGAGTCCCAAAAAGAGTCCCAAAAATGCTACACCTTCCCCGAAGGCCTCCAAATCGCCCAAAAAGGAGGCCGCATCGCCATCCCCCAAGCCAATCTTGAAGAAAGCTTCAGGAGAAGAAACACCTGAAGAGGAGACCAAATCTGACCAAGATGAGGAGGAGCAATCAGAATCCGAAGGGGAAGATGAGGTTAAGCCAGACGTTAAAAAAAAGACAACAAAGACAATGGAAAAAGTGCAGGCCACCCTACAGTCGAGTGGAAAAGATCTATATCCGGACTGGAAAGCCGGTGATCCAGTCCCTTATGCTGCGCTGTGCACAACATTCTCTGAGGTTGAGAAGACTTCTAAACGTCTAGCTATCATGGCTTTCTGCTCTCAATTTCTCCAACAAGTTTTACGCTTAACCCCCGACGATTTACTTCCAACTGTTCAATTGATGATCAACAAGCTGGCTGCGGATTATGCTGGAATTGAATTAGGAATTGGAGAGTCGCTCATTATGAAGGCCATTGGAGAATGTACAGGTCGCAGTCTAGCTGTCATCAAGAGTGATCAACATGACATTGGCGATTTAGGGCTGGTGGCTGCTAAGAGTCGATCCAATCAGCCTACCATGTTCAAGCCCAAGGCATTAACCGTTCGCGGAGTGCATGAAGGTTTGCTAGGCATCGCTAAGGTCAGCGGACATGGATCTCAAGACAAAAAGATCTCAGGAATTAAAAAGCTCCTTTCTGCGGCAGATGTCGCAACAACAGGTAAAGGCTCCAAGGGTGTTGATATTACCAAAGACAAGGGTGGGCCAAGTGAGGCCAAGTTCATTGTGCGCTTCCTGGAAGGTAAATTGAGACTGGGTCTCGCTGAAAGGACCGTGCTTGTATCGCTAGCTCAGGCAATCGTGTCCCATGAAGCAGCGGCGGAAGGCAAGAAAGCGTCCGCTGAAAAGATGGCCGAGGGTGAATCTGTCCTCAAGACAGTCTACAGTGAGCTGCCCTCCTACGAAACTATCATCCCAGCTGTGCTAGAGCATGGCCTTTTCAAACTCTCGGATGTTTGCAAGCTGCAGCCCGGTATTCCTCTAAAGCCCATGCTTGCCAAACCCACCAAATCCATCACTGAGGTTCTTGACCGCTTTGAAGGAAAGGAATTCACATGCGAATACAAGTATGATGGAGAGCGAGCACAGATTCATTTTGTTGCTCCAAGTGCTATTAAAGACTTTCCCGGCTCGACTGCCACATTACAAAAAGATAGCAGAGGCCACTCAGCTATTTTCTCACGAAATTCTGAGGACCTATCAAAAAAATATCCCGACGTGTTAGGCAAGCTTGACAGTTGGGTCAAAGATGATGTTACCAGCTTCGTGTTGGACTGTGAGACTGTCGCTTGGGACATGGAAGCCAAAAAGGTCTTGCCGTTCCAGCAGCTGATGACTCGAAAGCGAAAGGACGTAAAGGCGGAGGATGTCAAGGTCAAGGTTTGTGTTTTCGCCTTTGATCTTCTATTCTTCAATGGAGAGGTAAGATATGATTCCAATGACTTCAATATGCACGTTATCTCTGCAGCTGCTAATCTATGCAATAGCCCTGTGTCAAGAAGTCTCTTCGGGAACGTCGTAACCTGTTGCACGAATGCTTTCAACCAATCGAAGGCGAATTTCAATTCGCACAATATGGCAACACCAATGTCCTTGACGAGATCCAAGAAATGTTAGAAGATAGTGTCAAGTCATCATGTGAAGGATTAATGGTGAAAATGCTGGACACCGCCGAGAGTGGCTATGAGCCAAGTAAGCGAAGTCGGAATTGGCTGAAGGTACGCTCAACCCACTGCACTTCCTCTACACCAGACTCTTCTAACATCAAAATCAGGTCAAGAAAGATTATCTTGCTGGCGTTGGTGACTCCCTAGATCTCGTCGTCCTTGGTGCTTACTATGGTCGCGGAAAGCGTACCTCTGTGTACGGTGCTTTCCTTCTGGCTGCCTACAACCCAAATAACGATACATACGAGACTATTTGCAATATCGGTACCGGATTTTCAGAGGCAGCACTAGAAGAATTCCACAAGGAGCTGTCAGAAACGGTCATTGATCGGCCAAAGCCCTTCTACTCTCACTCGAGCGTGAACAAGGACCAGCCAGATGTGTGGTTCGAGCCTCGGCTGGTTTGGGAAGTGAAGACCGCTGATCTAACCCTCAGTCCGCGGTACAAGGCGGCAGCAGATGAATTCGAGGGAACAACTGGTGGTGGTAAAGGTGTTTCATTACGTTTCCCCCGATTTATCAAGTCTCGCGATGATAAGAAGCCAGAACAAGCAACGACTACCCGTGCCGTGGCAGAGATGTACCGCAAGCAAGAAGCGGTGGCCAAGGAGAATGCGGGCAAGAAGGGTGTTGATGATGATTTTGAGTATTGAGCTTGAATTTTGGAGGCCTTCGCAGTCGGTCTACAAAGCATTGGATGCATTGGCGGTTTTTCTTTCCTTTTTTTTCCTTTGAAGCATCATGTCATCATTTATCAAAACCTCGATACCATCTGAAATCCAGTGTTTTACAAACAACTCTATTTATAATCTTGTTTGGAAAGGGTTTATTCACGTCAATCTCGATCAAGCACGTATATTAGCAAGCATGGGGATTGCACTGTAGTGTTATGCGTTTCTGAGTGGATGTACATGTATCAGCACGGAACTGGGTAGTCGATAGATAATACGAGTGCCTCCAGTTGTGCGTGTGACTAGTTGTGCGTCTCAACTTTATTCCCAGGCTGAGGCGACCATTTACCTCTCAGGCCGCAAAACGAGTCTTTTCCTCCTTTCAATCATGTATTTAACGAATTCTTTCATGCCATGTTGTTTCAAGCCAACCGAGACAATTATCTATTTGATTAGTCTAGAAGGTTTCTTTCTGTATATGCTTCAAGCCGCTGGAAGATCTAGAATGTAGATTAGCCTAACTCAGTGCCTTGTCTCAGACATTGCAGAACTTATTTCTCCCAGTTTGACCACTTGTGAGTGCTTCTCTGTCTGTTTTGTTTGCATGCAACGCCGCTTTCCAGCGTTTGAAAAAAAAAGGTCCCATTGCTCTGGGTCCCCATGATAGAAGTCTACCTCATCTCTCACTTCTTCTTCCTTTCTCTTCTCCCCACCACCCAACACCTGCCAGTGGCACCTAGCCTCGAAAATCCCCCTATGCCATCATATTTGCTGTTCTAAGTACCACCCATCTTTCCTTTCTTACAAACATGCCCCGAAACAAGAAAGGTCGCCCAGGACGCAAGAACACGCCAAATGCTGGAAGCTCTGCCCAGACCACTCAGTCTCAGCGGCCTGTCGATTCTGCTGCCTCTGACATCGTTATGGGCTCTACTGAGCCTGCGACCCCGATCATTCCATCAATCACCCCTGCTGTTGAGGCGAGCTCCTCGTCTACCTCAGTCAAGCAGGTATCTGAACAAAATGCTTCACAGAGCAACGCAGGTGAGAGAGAATGCGCCCCGCAACTGTCTTATAAACACCTCCAAACACACAGATAGAACCCTCAATCTAACACAATGACAGCTGAGCCATTCGAATCAGCAGATTCGGCCCAGCCCCGCGCCAAAAAGGCCAAGATTGAAGAAGAGGATGAAAAGCTCCCACCTCTCGTGCCACCCCGGGGCTCAGGTGCTCCAACCCCCAGCCCCAGTGGCGCCCTGTTACTCCCAGAGTCGCCCCCAGAGTCAGATATGTCCTCGAATGAGGCACTCGATTATGACGACCCGGATGACTCAGACTCAGACAGTGAATCCATCGAGGGCAGGCCCTTCAAAGCGATGGCCCGTCAGCGAACCCGAAAGTACGTGAACGCCTTCCTGGATAAGGGCAAAGACAAGCACTTTGTGGATATGAAGATTGATCCTCTTCTTGGTTGCGAAAGTTACTATCCCTGGGTTTTTGCAATTGAGATTCAGCTCAAGATGCATCAGGTCTGGGAGGTTGTTGAGGATGATCTGTGTCCGTTGTCGAAGACCGACGATCTGTACATTTGGTATGAGCGGATGAAGGATGTTGCGTGTGCGGTTATCTATGCGAATGTTGGGCAGACTGTTCGGAAGAATGGGTGCTTTATTAACACGATGAAGTCTGGAGATCCGACAGAAGTCATGAGCCATCTTTATTCTCATTATGGGCATTTTGGTGATGAGATTGATGGCCCCAATGAGAGTGACGGTAGTGATGAGTTGGATTAAGTTGTGAACCCACTCATCCTTTGTGATCTTTTCACCCATGTGGTGTTGATGGTGCTTCATGGCTGGGTTGGTCGGGTCGAAGATCGTGGATATGCGTGAGTGGGTGTGAATGATATCCTTAACATGAGATTATTACCTGGCTTTGAAACATGTGTCTTATTTCGTGTTTCCTGTCTTCGAGAATATCCTGTGGCGGATCGGCACAATATCTTGATTTAAACTTGAATATGATTACCATTTAGCCAGCTCAACTCAACTGAATGAAGCCCTTACTCCGATATCACAAATCTTGATATTCATTCACCCTTACATCTTACAAACATTTCTTCGCCTTTTCGATAATACATTTCCAATGTTCAACCCATTACTGTTGACTTCAAGTTCATGTACCTTCTGAGGTTCAAACAGACTAGCCTATACCTGAGGGCGAGTAGGTGAAACAGTCCCTTTAACCTTCGCCGTCTCCGTCTCCCCCTCCCCTTTCTGACTCTTCCCAGGCTCATTAACGAATGGATTCATAGTATCAGCATTCGAAAGTCCCTGCTGCTTGAACGAAATACTATTAGGTCCCTTTGTGGAGCCCATAGCTCTCGGCTGTGAACCATGAATTAGTCTTGCATTTTTCAAGTACAATGCCAAGCGCATTGCTATTTCCCCAATTCATGAAGGACATACCTCATCATACGCTGGACCCTTAGATGTATCCTGCTGATTTCCCTCTGCGGCACTTTCATACTCCTGATTTGCTCCATGGGTCTTTGACAAATGCCCCTCTTTCAAATTCTTAGAGCCACGAGGCCAAAGATAAAATACAGCTGGAATGCCAATAACGAGCGAGATGAGTTTCCTAATTCAAGTTGCCGATGTTAATCACAATCCTTGAATTCTTTTTGGGGCATCTCACAATCTAGAGTTGGACCCGCCTTGACTTGGATTGCTGGTTGCGAAACCCCTGCAATTTAAGGCATGGGTACGAGGCTGAAAGCCACGACAGATTTGTGCGACTTGGAGAGATGGCCGAGTAAAAGTTGACATGATTGGATTTTAGAATATTCGAAATATGGTGTTTGCCAGTTTTTCGAGGATATTTGGGAGGGTAGAGAAAGGAAAGTTCTGTATACGTTAATCAAAATTTCCTCTTTATCAGTACCATTTACAACGTGGACTTCAAGTTGAACTTAAAAAAATTGAACTAGAATGTTACATCATTTTCTGTAAAAATATTCTTGGTGGAAACTATACAGGAATTCATATTTTAAGCTGGTTTTGGGTACGAAACTTGATTTTTGTACTAGATAATCATGACGTATTCGATATATAACATGCCTTATGTGAATGACTCAGACTATTTGAACATCAAGATAGATGAATATATTATGGATCTATAAATGGCTATGACACATTTATCTGGCAATATAAGTGGGGTTGTGGTCGTTGATAAAGGCAGAGAAAGCATGAGGCTATTCGGAGGTTAATTCGGTTCAGCTCATTGGTGGATGTTTTGCCGGTAAGGAAGTGGCTAGTAGTCGATAACTCAGTCATCAAACATTTGAACTAATACAGACAAATGGACGCCTTGTTAAGCTTCAAATATTGCATTTTATGTATAGACAAAGGATATTTGATTTCAATACCATCAAATCCATTATTCTGGCTGCACATGTGTATGACAAGAGCATAATTCATCCTTAAAATTCAACATAACCACTAACCATAGCCCTGGAGTTAGTCATAGCCATATCCGCTAAGATAATCCGACCATCTCAATCTCGAATCTAATAGTACAAGAACCATTACATAAACCTCCATTATTTCGCCCAGCCTCAAATTTCCATGAAACTCCAGAACGCAGAAGGCCAAAACCTAAGGCGAACAAATATCGTCAACTACACGTCAGGCGTTGGACCCCTTTCAAGATCCCTAAGTATCGAATCAACATCGATTCCCATTCGTTTCAACTCTCCGTTAGACGCAGGAAGAGGGAACCACATAGTCATTCCTGCTGGGTCGAAATCTGATGGTATTGAAAATGGAGGCTGGCAAATAACAACGGGAGCATCACCAGTGGTCGAGCTAGTAGCGTTAGATGGTTGAGTAGCAGCGGGAGATTGTATACCAGTAGTATCCTGAATAGCAGCAGAAGACCGAGCACCAGCAATAGCCTGGGCAGCTTCAGTAGCTTTGGCAGCAGCTATACGAGACTTGAGCGCAGAAGAGGGTCTGGTAGGAATAGCAATCGGTCTGCCAATCCCAGAAATAGTAATACCATGCTTAGTAGGTGACTTTTTCGTAGGCGATACCTTAACAGCACCGGTCGCAGAAGCAGAACCAGCAGTAAAAGTGCTAGAACTAGATGCATACTCAGAAGTAGAGCCAGAACCAGAGCCAGAGCCAAGGCCAGTAGCATTTCCAGTTACAGTCACAGCCCCCTTGACACTCCCAGAAATCTCACTGGGAGTAACGCACCTCGCCGCAGCCGCAGCAGCAGCAAACAAATCAGCCGGAATAGGAGTAGGACGAACAGGACAAAAAGCCCCGAGTCGACCCGCCTCAAACGCCACATTTGTAGCCTCATTGGGATGAGAAAAGGGCTTGACAATATTGAAAGTATTTTCGAGGTCAGAAACAAGACGTTCATTAGTGCTTGAACCTCGAGAACTAGGCGGTCGACAATAGTGAGTAGAATTTGTTGAGAGAACCTCTCGGACCTGTCGGGCATTTTCTTCAGCTCTGAATGCAGCTACGAGTAGCTGGTTCTCGATTTCTAGGTTTGCGATGTGAATTTTAGGATTTGTAGAGATTGCAGGGTTCGTGTTAGAAGTCGAACCTGAGACTGGTTGAATGGTAGGAGGAGCAAGAGGGAGCTTAGTAGGATCCCCGACCTGGGTCTTTGCATTTTGGCGAGGGGCCACTGGTTGAGCAGGTCCTTGTTTGGGTTTGGAAATTGCTAAAGACTGCGGTAGAGGTGATGATGTCTTGCTTGTTGTAGGTGCCGGTGCCGCGGGCTGGGAGGGCACGGGTTTCGTGAAGATAATCGGCTGTGTGGAGAATGGTGGCTGGGTACTTAATACTGGATTTCCGTATGCAACTGGTCTCATGTGTAGAGGAATAGGGACAGGTCTAAGCTTGGAAATGGAGCTGAGTGATCACATGGAATTAGCAAACTTGACTCGTAAAGATGATAGGGTGTATGCAGATGTGTACCTAGGTATTAGCTCAGCGAAGACCTCGTTGAACTTCGCTTTATCGTGTCCGCCTAGTAGATATGAGAGCTGGATGCGAAGGCAGTTGTTCTCGTGTTTTTCTCTTAGATAAAGGTCACGGAGTTTCGTGACTTCGTCTTCTAGGAGGAGGGTTCTGGAATTGAATGATATCAGTATGTGTAACATCTGAGGGAACGACGCGGAGAAGAAAACAGTGAAAGAGGAAAGTGAAAAGGAAGCAACGCGTACTTGGCTAGGATATTCTGCGCCGAAACAGGCAATTCGTCAATACATTTATTGATCTCCTCTGAATCCATTCCTTCAAACATATCCGTGGTCTCGTGTTCAGGGGCATCGGGGGCACCGGGGACATCGGGGACACCGGGGGCGTTTTGTGCGGCTGGGCTCCTGGTATCTTCACGATATGGGTCTCCAGCTGTCTTCTTCGGAGGGGACCTGGGGCATTTCTTTTTGCGGGAGTTGATGGTGCGAACCATGTTGACAGGTGTTGATTTTGATGTTGAAGCTGTTGACTGTTTGTTTTGAATGTGTTGTGAGGAGAGAAGGAGGATGGGTGAGTAGGCGAATGGGGTGCGAGGTGGAAATTGAAATGGAAGGTGGTGGTGGCGTGAGTTATATTGGCCTACCTATTGTACAGACGCAATGAGAATAGATATAAACTACATATTCAAACATCGGCACTTTATATAATCAGTATATTGACATTGTTTAACTGTACTAAATCAGACACCGACAAAATCGATGATTCTGATAAATTTTGATTCGATCCATTCAACGCCGTGGGCCACCGGAAATAAACAACGCTATGTAGATACATTGCCCAATCATCATCACTGTGCAAGTGTCAATGCAAAAACAAACGAGTAGTTGAAATGAAATGAGAAGAAAAACAATCACTATAGTCAATTTCAGAGCTCGCCGTGACGAGTATCAGGCTGCTTGTGCTTGCCTTCTCCGGCCATAAAGCCACCAGCATGAATGCGAAGTCCGAAGTTAACCATAACAATACCAACGAGACTAAAGGCAAGAAGAGTTGGTCCCCATCGCTCATAGTACACGCGTTTAACATCGCGACGCTTGCGGATTTTTTCCACGCGCCAAAGGTAAAGTACGAGACTGTATATCAGGGCTGCTGCTGCCAGAACAGTGAATGCCCAGGCCGATGCGAGGGAGATGGTGTCGATTCCGAAATTGAGGAGTGCGGCAGCAATACCACCGAGGAGAATGGCGAATTCTAACCAGGATAAAAAGGTACGTTCAGCGGCGAAGTATACCTTGGGTTCAACACGAACGGGGACGAAGATACCTGGAAGATAAAGTCAGTACAAGTGGACTACAGATGTGAAGCACGTGGGCTAAAAACTTACGTTTTCCAGGGGGTGCTTGGTATCGCTTGAATGTACGGCGCGTACCCTGCAAGACAGCGATTCCACGCTGCTCAGGTGGAGGCATTTGGGTAGCCCGAGGACGTGGAATTATAGCCAGCAGTCCTTGTAAAGCATAATGACCAGTCTTACGAATGTAATACTTGGTGAGCTGCTCCGCATAGTAAGCACCTCCAACCCGGCGAGCCTCCTCAAGTTGCTCTGAGTCCATATCCTCGTCATCCGAGTCGTAAAGTGGGTAATCCTCGTCTCCTGCCAGTGGCTGAGCAGCAATGCGCTCCTCGATGTCTAACTCGTTGCCGTTTGTCTCGGTGAACAGAGGGTATCCATCGGGAGACGCGCCAGAAAGCCCGTTACTGGCGGGTTGGGGAGTATCCGGTGAGTACTCCTCATCCGAATCTTCATCATTGGCAGATATAGATGTGCTAGCCATTGGCCGCTGGATTCCATAGCGCCGATTGACTGGCTTGCGAATGTCGACATCCATCTGTGGGTACCAGAAAGGGAGGAGGTTGATACGGGTGGGGAAGAGGGTGGCAGAGCCATGGATGAACTTGCTGAACTTGGGGACAGCTTCCACCAGGTGACTGGCAGTCAAGTCACGGATCCACTGTGGTGGCTCTTGGCCAGCCTGGGTTTGCAGCTTCACCTCCAACACGGCATATGGGAAGCGGTCGATATCCTCTGGAGGCAATTGAGAGAATGGGAAATCAACACCAATGTCCATGCGGCGCCAGTTGCTACCAGCACGAGACCGACCATCCAGATTATCCTCTCGTACCATGGTCAACTCGGTATCCAAGGAAATACGTACACGTGCATCACCAGGAAGCTGGAATGCAGTGCGGTGGTAGAAGGTTCGTGTTACAGGAACCAAACGACGAGTAATGACACGGTATTGAATCTCCCGAGCCAACTGTTCAAGGTCGTCAATTTCCTTCTGGCTCTTCTTGCCCTCCTTGCGCATCTTATCAAAGACTTGTTCCACAGTCATCCGGCCATCCAAAAAGGAATTGACATTCTTCTCCTTGAGAGAAAATCTGGCCTTGACCGATTTCTCTCCAGTCCAATCCTCACGATGAGTCTTCCTCTCTACAAAGATCTGGTCGCTCTTCATGCCACCGTACCATCGCAGACGAATGGCCTCAGCGCCCTCAGTCTTCTTCAAACGGCCCTGGTAGAGCTCCCAGGTATCGGGGTTATCATAGTAGATAGATGAGATAGCGGTATCCTCCTCCTCAAACTCCTTGTTAGCATTGAAGACAAGAACAGGCAGATGCTTCAGGATAACAAGTTTCAATTCGGTGATATTGTCGCGATGAACCCAGTACTTTGTTGTTTGTCGCACAAAGTTCTGCTGAGTTCCACCAGCTGCAGCGTCACCCTTGACAGGATTACCCTTGGTGCGGACCAAATCGTAAAGCTTGGACAGTTTCACAACAAAGGCATCGTAGTTATCCTTGAAAAAAGGCTTGGCTTTCAGGCGCGCCGCGAACACGGGTTTCAGGTACCATTTAGTTTCTTTCTGTAGTTCATATTAGCCAATTATTCAACAGTCAATATAATATTGATTGAGAACGAAAGGGCAATGCGACACGAAACCAAATTAAAAGAATAATTTTGTGTTCGCCGAAAAAGGAAGCGGAAGGATCAAACATACGTCATGCTTCTTGATGATCTTCTGAAAGCCCGTATAATTAAGCTGAGTAAACTTAGCCAAATCATGCACATCCGCAATAATATCACTGAGCATCTGCTCTAGCAACAAAAAGTCCTCATCTGTAGGAGGCGGTTGCGGGGGCCGAAAGACGCTTGGGCGACGAGTGCCAGACTCGTCCAGTCTCGCAACCACATCATTCACATCAATTTCGCTCTCCAGAATGCGCTGAACAATTTCCTCACTCTTGCGCTTCTGAAATTGGAAGACCTTATCTAATTCGCTTTCCAGCAGCGACACAAAGGTCTTCTCGTCGTCTTCTGTCCATTCCTTTCGTGGGGGGTTGGCCACATCGGGTGTGGGCTGGGTGACAAAATCTGTCTTTAGGGCCTTTTTCAATTCATCGTATGCAATGTAGAATGGGTGGTATTCCCTTATCATAGACGATTGGAGGTGTTCGCCGAACCTGAGGCTTGTAAGTGGATTGCTTCAGAGGGGGAAGTGCGCCGATAGTATGCGGGGAAGGGTTTCTGGAGGCGATCTGCCCCCCGAATCAAGGGATAGCTTCTGCCATGTAGGGGGCGTGCTGGGAAATTTTTCACTCGGGATCGGGTAGATTGGAATTGGGCGTGGAATTGGAAAGTGCACTGTACATACCTCATGATGAGTAGGGAGAACCTGGGAAGAGAGGATGGAGGAGAAGAAAGGCAGGGAACAGGAAAGAGTGACTTTATCGACCCGAGAACGGTCTAGCTTTTGGGACCCGCTCGGAGGGAAAATGGCAGAGTCCAGCACAGTGATGTAGTGCAGCAGGGGCTATTAGTGTTTGGTCTTTATGCTGTATTTTTTCCTCCGTAATTTTTCCTCTTCTCGAACATTTTGAACCACTTTCTAGAGTTTTAGACCAATAGACTCCAGGCTGTTCCCATGCGGTTCAAGGTCATGCAACCAGTGGGAAACGTGCAGCCTCAAGCGTGCTTCGAGCTGTGTCATTCATAAGCTCTGATTGGTGCGAGCTACTTCCCGGTGTATGAGTCAGCACTGACCCCACTTCGCCATTAACCAGTCACTGCCGCACGTGCAAGAGATGTCAACGACGCTAATCTCTTAGTTTGAAACTTTTGATAGCAATATACACTACACATGTGCACTTCCAAGGTTAACTGCCTACTATGATGGGAGAAGCCGGCACCAAAAACTATTTAGTTATCGCAACTCGGTCTATTCCGAGAAATATCGAGAACTCTTCCATATTGACCCGGTACGAGGTACATCTCACCCATATTAAGAACTATGCATTATCCCAGTAAAACTACACAAAACGGCACCCAGTCCCAAGGATACCTACATCTTTCCCCGTGCAACGATGCCTATTCAGCCAGAATAATATCAAATCGTAAATTGTAAGTGCCACACGGAATTACATCCGGAGTACTGAACGTCTGAACGTCTGAACTACCGTAAAGTGGAGGGGTGGAGTTACAAGGGGGATCTGCTCCAGATTCAGGCTGAACTCCCTTACATACAGAAAACAATCTGGGGGTCGGCAAACCACCTTACTGCATGCATAGTAAATACCTGATATGTCTGACCTAATACGGGGGAGTACAGATAGAATCTGATAGAGACACGCGACACATTTCCTCATTTGTGCAATCTGAAATATAGTTCGCACAATCACGATCTCAATAGTAAAGCTCGAAGCCAAAGTTTAATCAGGCCCGCTCTTGAAACGAGGTGCAGCTGTCCTTTGTACTAGCTGCATTAACCGAGCCGTCTGGTGGGAACCGAATGGGGCCTGAATCGGGACTGGCCGTGTTCTCTAAGCCGACGGCCCACCGACACCGGATCTCCCGAGTGCACATGTGGAGCCAGTCAGTATTGTACTGAACCAGTGAGCTGAACTATTACTGCCCGGTGAACGTGAATAAGAGGGGAAAATCAGAAGGAAATATTCGCCACTTATATAAGAAATTTTATCATTGATTACACCATGCGTCAGGTATCCTACAAAATTCCCAATGGTGAAACATAGCTACAAAGTAGTTACAGGCTTTAGCGGGCGGGCGGACGCCGGAATGGGAAGGAATGCACGCGACACATATGATCCATGAGATAAGACATGTACGATAATCCACTCAACGCCTGTACATCCAGATCAAAGGAGACCACATTTAAAACAAGTAGAAAAAATCATCAGTCACAAAAATGAGCTGAAATAAAAAATAGTTAACAGATTAAGTATCAACATGCAGCCCGGCTCAATCATTGCATCGTAGGAAATCATCGTGGTCTATCCACTCGCAGGTTTTTTTCTCTCAAGACATTCCCATCGCCGCCCGGCGGATGCTGCGTCGTGGACCCTCACCCAAGACGTTCACGGCACCCTCAGCCTCGAGCGACCGAATCGCATCGCTAAACTGCTGGTGCTCGATCTGAATGTCACTCTGTTCACCCATATCGCGGAAGAGATCCGTCCATCGCACTGGGGCGTTGTTCACACCAGAACGGTCATCCAGACGGGCCAGTAGGGCCTTCTTGAGATCCTCGCGCATACGGCGCTCGCTGGCACTCGTACCCTCGGTGAGCAAGCCCATGTCAATGAGACCAGTGCGAGAATCGGTGGCAGCCTGCTTAATGGCAGAGCGAATCAGACGCACGGCCTCCTCAACATCGGAGGGGGTGACTTCTTCCGACAAGCGCATACGGGCATGTGCCTCGGAAAGACGAATCATGGACTCCAGTTGTCGAGTGGTTGCGGTGATACGGCGCTCAGTGGCGCGAATATCGTCACCTAATTGACGCATAGCGACATAGGCATCGGCCAGTGCGGTACCAGCTGCAGGAGTCAAAACGGGGTTGATCTTGGTCTTGGCGTATGTAATGTAGGCAGTAAGGAACTCGATAGGCTATATTCAAGATCAGTAAATGTGAACATAAAAATGAGGAGCCGACTCTGATCATCAGACTTACCAAAATCTCCTCTGAGCTTCCATTCTCGGGGGCGTCTTCCAGATACATGCCCACCAAGTGCTTCGCCAAGCGACGATCCTCGGTCTCATCCACGCGGTCCAGAACCAAGTAAACAAGGTCGAAACGAGAAAGCAGAGTAGGAGGGAGGTCAATATTTTGAGGCACTGGCAGCTTGGGGTTATAGCGACTGCCGATGGGGTTGGCGGATGCCAAAATTGATGTTCGGGCATTCAATGTGGTGATGATACCGGCCTTGGCAATGGATACAGTCTGCTGCTCCATCACTTCGTGCAGCACGGACCGTGTGGCTTCATTCATCTTATCAAACTCGTCAATGCAGCAAGTACCACCATCGGACAGGACCAGGGCTCCGGACTCCAGTACCATTTGGCGAGTCTCGGGATCGCGAGTCACATAGGCAGTAAGACCAACAGCAGACGAACCCTTACCACTGGTGTAAACACCACGAGGGGCGATCTTGTGTACATAACGCAACAATTGGGACTTGGCAGTTGAAGGGTCACCACACAGGAGGATGTTGATATCTCCACGGTAGCGGGGGTTACCACCTTTCTGGAAGGTTTTGTTTGTACCACCAAATAGCTGGAGCAAGATACCCTTCTTGACATCATCCGCCTCGTAAATACTGGGAGCAAGTGACCGAGCCAGCAATTCGTACACATCAGGGCGAGCAGCGGTCAACTTAATTTTCTCTTCCTCCTCGGCAGAGATCTTGCGGGCCTGGTCAGCCTCAGCCGCCTGCTCGGACATCTCTTGTTCAACAGTTGAGGTGTCTATTCCCATCTTCTTGCGGTCGACCTTTTGAACGTGAAGAACATCGATATAGGTCTTGAAGAGGGCCTTCTGAGAACGCTGACGAGCGCTAACACGCATCGGGTTACAGCGGAAGATACCAGTCACCTCGACTCGGTCACCAGCCTTGCAAACGTCGACCAACTCATCGTACACACAAAGAGAAACAGAGTGAGGAGTTTGACCATCTGGGACATTGTCAGGTGTTTCCTGGAGTTTGATAACCTGCTTGTCGGAGAAAGAACATCGGTTGTGTTGAAGTTGCATGGAATTTTTGGACTTGCACGCATCTCGAGGGCAGACAGTGGGTTCCTGAATGCGACCTCGATCAATGTCAACTTGAACACCAAAACTACAGGTATTGCACCGGAAGAATGCTATAAAAGGGAGAACATGTTAGCTCAAAACATTTTCTTCTCGTATTCAAAGCACCACTTACCCTCTTTCATGTCAGGAATCACAGGAGTGGCACGAATGACAAGACCCTTAATACTGACCAACTTATCCATGTCTAATAGGCGAATTAGTAAAGTTTCTTAGTGTGGGAATCGAGTAAAAACATACCAGCTGGGTCAAGATCTCTCATATTCACAGTCTGATCCAAACCAAATGGAAGCACTTTGTAAGACATAGCTTCAACTTCGCCAACCAGATCAGGCACATCCGCCTGGGGAACTATTCCATCGGATGTGAGAATGGATTGGCCATGGCGGCCTTGAGCCCCGCGTTGGGTCTCTGAACGCAAGACATCCATTTCCTTAAGGGCCAGGTCAACCATAACATCTTTGACAGTCTGATCCATCAATGGAATGATTTCCTGAGGGTAAGCGAGTAGCTGGTGCCAGAGCTTCTGTGTAAGGGGATAAGATTTGAGATTCTTGGCATCGAGGTTGAAAGTAGTTAGACCAAGTCGTCGCATATCATTTAGCATGTTAATGTATTCACGTTTCTCGGCTGAGCCTCCCAAAAGTCGAGTCTCGTCCTCGGAAGCACCGTCGGCCCACAGGCGGTATTTTGTGGCGAAGTTATAGAGGAAATTCTTGAAGGCGGACATAGAATCCTGAATGGAGATGTTGGTACCCCAGATGACACGGGATGAGTTACCGGCCATAGCCTCTGCCTCAGAGGTGCCTGGGTTAATGTTTGAGAAGGTAGCATCTGATCGAGCGACATTGTCACCGGAAGGGAGCCCGTCGGCGCCCACGAAGACTCGGTTTCTGCGCGAGGGAGTCGATCCGTAACCACCAGTGTGGATATCACTTCGACGGGGAGCGCCCCGACGGCCTTGACCACTGGGTGACACAAACAGACCACTGCTTATGCTGTGTGCGTCCGATCGAATATCGGATCGAATGTCGGAGCGAACATCAGATCGACCGAAGCCCCTGGTAGGACTAGAGCTGGGGATATAGTTGATAGGAGAGGAGTCTGTTGGGTTGTGAGCTTCGGATGGATTTTTCTAACAGTTTGTGATTGCGATTTGTAGTTTTTTGCAATACGTACCTCGAATTCCTGCCGCACGAGGGGTTCGCTCGCCGTCATCAACTGTGGAGCTGGCCTCTGCCATGCGAACATCAGGGGTCTCTGCGCCTCGATTGCTTCTCGTTGGCGACGATTGGAAGAACATAGGTGAAGAGGATGGCACATTTCGTTCGGCCGCAAGCCGTCTGGCTGCGCGGGGCGTTGTCTGTTGGGTTGGGCTGCTGGGAGGTTCACGAGCCAAAGAAGAGGCTGGCGAGGCAGTCGCTTGTTTAGAGGAGCGACTCCTCCTGTTTGCCGGGGAAGACATTATGTGTTGTATGTGGGAGGATTTAGAGGTGAGGTATTTTGGTAGGTGGTGATGGGGGGTGGGTTATAGGAGTGGAAAGAAGGGAGAGCAAAATTATCTAATTAGGATAAATTGAAAAGTAGAACGCGTAGGGACACGGTCGCGTCGACTATGCGGCTTTTGATTGGTCGATGGCAAAGCTTGGAACGCGTCTGGATTATGTCAGGATTCGAACAGATCACATGATCTTTAGGGGCGTTCTCTTTAGTGCCTTATACCTAAGGTGTCTATTCCCCTCCCCACTTAAGTTAACTATGGAGTACATTACAGAGGAGATAGTATTCCTCCGAGGTTATCCCAACATGTCTCATTAATATGGAGTGTACATCACCAGGTCTCTCAAATTGATAATACTTGCCACATATGTCCCCACCTAAAATTAAGATACATGCCAGCGTGAACATGACGTCTGTTGGTATTTTAGTCTATTAAAGTTTTATTTGATTGGGACGCGGAAATATCATCCCCTTATTTTACAACCTTGGAAGTCAACGTGCAATATTGATGTAGCGCGTTCTACTGTATTTAGTGCTCTGAAGGAACCAAGCTAAGCTCCGCTCCATTATGTATATTAGCACGCTAGTGCTTAAAACAGACTAGCTCCAGCCCTAAACTGGATGTAAAGTGGCGTAACTCAGGGTATTTCAGCCACAGAGCTCCAACCACAGACAATCGAACCAATCATCGACGCTTTCCCTTCTCCCATTGTTTACCCAACTGTGGAGTCTTTCTCCGTCAATTTCTTGGTCAATTTCGCTTCGCTCTCCCCTTCTTTGAATGTGAAGATCTTTGTCTTGTTTCGTCTCCTTATATTCACATTTGACTGTTGCAGACAGAGTCATTGATTCAAAGCGCCAAACCCACAGAACAAAGCCCTCGCCTGGAGAAGTGTACGCGTTCCAATCTTTCTGAAGCCGCCGGGATCTACTTGGCAGTTTCACCAGGCGCTTTATGTCATTTTACAGCCGATCGGCATTTACCCACGATCCGATTCCTTCCAATCATCCCTGCCTCCCTGTGATTTGGCGGGGAGCTGTCACCTTCCCTGGCGCCAATCCAAACACCAGCCACTGCGGTCATTTGTGCCACCATCCACGAAGATTGCCTTTCCCGGGTTCCAAGTTATAGACCGGCTCCACAGTGATCATCCCTCCCCCCGGCGCTTTGGTGATCTATTTTCCTCACCTCGTTCCCCCATTAATAAATATCCCCTGGTCAAAGGATTCTTCAAACGTCTGGACCCAGCGATGCCCATTGCCGCCATTCAATCTCCTGGTCGGTGAAAGGGATTTTTAAAAAATACACCCCAACTGCCACGCAAATAAACACTGGCAGGGGAGATCACCGATTTCTCGAGGATAAACAACCTCTTTCTATAACCCACTGTCCTTCCTTTTTTTTTTTTTTTTTTTTTTTTTACTTTTCTCTCTCCTTCCTTTCTTGGATTCCTTGACAGCGTTCACATCTTCACCCACCCACCATGACGAACGCTTTAGAAGAGGCGCTCGATAGGGCGGGTGGCCATGGCAAAGCAGACCAGGGTGAATCCCTCGCCAGTTTTCTGGCCTCGTTGGGTACCGCCGTCACGGTCTTCGCAGTCGAGTTCTTGCTTTTCATGATTCTCAAGGGTAAACTTACTCGTATCTAGTTAGTCAACCCCCTCATCTCTAAGAATGTATTGACATATGAGCCTTCTAGCTGACCAGAATGATAGTCAACCACGCACATATCTTGTCCCGGACCGAGAACGAACTACACCATCACCACCGGGCTTCTTTCGCTGGATTGGCCCAGTCTTTCGAACCTCCAATACCGAGTTCATTCAGAAGAGCGGCCTGGATGCGTATTTCTTTCTTCGCTACTTGCGCATGCTATTGAAGATTTTCCTCCCCTTAGCTTTCATCCTACTACCAGTCCTACTTCCTATCAACAGTGTGGGTGGTAAGGGCACTAACTACGAGAAAGGCAACAGCGGGGATAAATGGGATATTACCGGCCTAGATAAATTGGCATGGGGTAATATCAGGCCTACCCGCACAAATCGCTATTGGGCCCATTTGGTTATGGCAATTACCGTCATATCTTGGATCGGGTTCGTCTTCTTTGATGAATTACGAGGCTATATTCGCCTACGCCAGGCTTACATGACCTCACCACAACATCGACTACGCGCCTCCGCAACTACCGTACTGGTTACGGCTATCCCACCCCAATGGCTAAATGTCGAGGCTTTGGACAATCTTTTTGATGTCTTTCCGGGTGGCATTCGAAATATCTGGATCAACCGGAACTTCGACGAATTGAATGAAAAAGTGAAAGCGCGGAACAAGCTGGCCCTCAGACTTGAAAAATCTGAGACTAGTTTAATCGCCAAGTGCAAGGAGGCCCAGCTCAAGCAGCTGAAGGCAGAAAGCAAAAAGAATAAGAAGAATAAAGGTACTAAACGCAAGGTCAGCATCGAGGATAAAGAGAAAATGGATACCGACAAACGTGCATCGCAGATGGCCATGACCGCTGGAGTTAGCTCTGGTAATCCACACCAGGCGCAAACATTAGATGAGGTTCTACATCGAAAACACCAGACAGCGCATCAACGGGACACATCAGATGGTTCTCGGCACATCAGGGTCTTTGACCCGGCCCTGGCTGCAGCTGGGGCGGTTGGCCTAGGTGTTGAGAAACTAGGCAAGTCTGTGCTTGGGGGATTAAAACGGGTGGAAGGTGGCTTTGACAACACCTTGACGCGAAATGGAGGATTTGTTGATGAAATGCCACCGCATCTACCTACACCACCGGTGCATGATGGCCACCCTCCTACCGATACCCTAGAACCCGACTCCCCGTCCTTCATTCACATGCCTCAAACACCTGAGCCTGTCCAGGACAACAGTAACGTGCGCCATGAACCTAAAACCCCGCCTCGGCGTCCATTCTGGAAGTCCCGTGGCTCTTCTTACTCTAGACACTCCAAGCATAGTCAAGAGGCCGATGAGCACCCCCTCACTGCACCCGACACACCTGCTATCGATACAGACAATTGCATCGCTAGAAGTCAGCACTCTGAGAAAGGCAACAGACGGAAGAGTCATAAGGAAGGTGACAAATTATATGGAGATCTTTACCCAGTTGCCTATAACGAAGATTTTGATAATCAAGATTACGGAGAGCCTCTGTGGAAGAAATACATTCGAGCAAAGGATCGGGATACCTGGCGGCTTCCAATCTTCAAATGGAGCAAATGGCCCACGATTTGGCTTATTGGCAGAAAGGTTGATACAATCGATTATTGTCGAAAAGAGCTCGCACGCATGAACTTGGAAATTGAGATTGACCAACAGCACCCTGAGCGATTTCCATTGATGAACTCAGCATTCATTCAGTTCAACCACCAAGTCGCAGCCCATATGGCTTGTCAGTCAGTAACCCACCATCTTCCCAAACAGATGGCACCACGAATTGTGGAGATTTCCCCCGACGATGTTATCTGGGATAACATGTCCCTCAAGTGGTGGGAGCGCTACCTGCGCACATTTGGAATCGTCACAATAGTAGTTGCAATGGTGGTCGGATGGGCTTTCCCCGTTGCTTTCACAGGGTTGTTGTCGCAGCTATCATATCTCGAAGGTGCATTCTCATGGCTTGCCTGGATCGGTAAACTTCCTTCCTGGTTCATATCAGCCGCCCAGGGTGTTTTGCCCGCACTTTTCTTAGCGATCTTGATGGCAATCTTACCCCTGCTACTTCGGTTCCTAGCTCGAAAGCAGGGTGTGCACACTGGCATGGCCGTTGAACTCACTGTTCAAAACTACTATTTTGCATTCTTATTTGTTCAGCTCTTCGTCGTCGTCACTATTGCATCCAGTTTCAGTACCATCTTCAGAAATGTCACCGATGTCAGCAGCTGGTCCAGTCTGCTAGCTGATAATATTCCCAAGTCCAGCAACTACTTTTTTTCCTACATGCTTCTGCAAGCAATGTCTGTCAGTGCAGGTGCTTTGGTACAAATATTTGGCCTCATCAGTTGGTTTATCCTTGCTCCGATATTGGATAAAACCGCTCGAAAGAAATGGGCCCGCACAACCAACTTAAACCAGATGCAATGGGGTTCTTTCTTTCCCGTATACACAACACTGGCTTGTATTGGTATGTTCCCCGATCTCTATCGCCGCTAAAAAAATTTATCTAACTTTTCCTTAGGAATGATCTACAGTGTGATTGCACCTCTGATTCTTGTTTTCAATGTCATCACCTTCAGTCTCTTTTGGTTCGTCTATCGCTACAATACGCTTTATGTTACAAAATTCCGCTTTGATACAGGTGGTCTCCTTTTCCCTCGAGCTATCAATCAGCTTTTCACCGGTCTTTACATTATGGAAATTGCTTTGATTGCAATGTTCTTTTTGGTCGAGGACGAAAAGGGTAAAAGAGCCGCTAAAGTGCAAGGCATTATCATGGTCATCCTCCTTGCCGGGACCTTTGCGTACCAACTACTTCTCGATAATGCATTCGGGCCTCTTATCAGATACATACCAGTCACTTTGGAAGACGCCGCGCTTCGTCGCGATGAAGAATTCAAGCGTGCCCAGCACGTCCGCCTCGGGCTCCCCGTGGATGATGAATCAGACGAAGAAGATGGACCTGTGGATCATGGAATTCCTCAAAATGAAAACGAACATCAACCTGAGCGAGACATCGAGCTCAAGAGTCTTGACGCCAATGAGGCGGGTCGCAAGACTAATGGATCGCGTGATCACCTCACAACGCCCAAATTGGGTTCCAAACGACCATCTTGGGCTTCCCGCTCACCAGGCAGACGCTCCAAGTTTTTCGGTGCAAATTCGACACCCTCTACTCCCACTATGCAATTTTTGAGAGAAAAGATGGCCAATGATGCTGAACATCAAGGACCTTCTTCGAAGACTCTAGGACATGCTCTCTTCTCTGGTCTACATGATGAACTGGAGGACCTTACCCCCGATGAGCGTGACCAGCTGACCCAACGTGCGTTCCAGCATGAAGCTCTCCGGGCCAAGCGTCCTGTGATTTGGATTCCGCGTGATGACCTCGGAGTCAGTGATGATGAAGTCTACCGGACACAACGCTTCAGCAAACATATTTGGATCAGTAACGAGTATCAAGCACTGGATGGCAAATGCCGAACAATCTTCAGTCGCAGTCCACCAGACTTTTCGGAGGTGGATCTCATTCAACTGTAAGATTTGCATATCACGGGCGTTCATGGATTCTACTCTTTGTTCCTGTACATTATTTTCAAGCGTCGCATATTTTCTGCTTATAGAGCAAAATTCATTCTTGCTGGTCAGGATTCGTATACCTTCATGTCATTGACTTCATCGTAATCTCTTTTAACTAGAAGCCCAATCTAGTCCATAAACCGACAAAGCGGCAAACGATAATTATCTACAACCCAGTATGCTCTCCTTACACCCTCCCATTCGCCATCAAGCTTGGGCACTGGAATATCCTCCCACTCAACATCAAACCCAGCCTCAAAGAGATCCATCTCAGCAACCTTCTGATAAACATCATACGAGATCTGTCGATCAGCCCCCATCCCATTAAAGAATCCCCACTTGCCCTCCTGCTCCAACAACCCAATAACCTGCTCCGAGAAAAAGTCCCGGAAATCAGCATACGACTCTGCAAACGTATCATAATAAACAGCATCAAAAGTCTCCCCAGACTCAATAAGCCCAGGTAGAATATCCTGCCACCTCCCCTCATGGATTACAACACCAGGCTTACTATCCCATCCGCGCTTCTTCATCTCAACAACAACGTCCGGATGCGCCTCAATAATATGATGCGCCGCGGGACTCTGCTCCTGAAAGAAGCCGTCGACAATTCCCATTCCATGCCCGACATTGAGCACCTTCAGTCCAGGCCGCGGGAGGAGGTTTTGCGCTGACTTCTTCATAATAGAGCTCTCCCAGCTCATCATGACGCCGTTCTGGTCTGCGTCTAGAATTCGGTCCGTGGTGATATTCAGTGATGAATCGAGATATCCGGTGTTTGAAACAGAGGGGTTCGCAAGCCTCTCCCCGGTAGTCGTAGCAACAGCAACATGTGCCTCAGATGCGTCTACCAGTTCTGGCGCATCACCTTCAAGTTCAACCTCTACTCCCGCTTGGGCTTCAGTCTGAGTAGCTTCGGCACCTTCTTCTCCTTCCTCTTCCTCGTCCTCGTCGTCCCCATCAGACAACTCCTCGTACCCCTCCAACCGACTAAGTAGCATCTCAGCCCGTACACCTGCATCGACAATCATATCATAGAGCTCCGTGGCCCCGATGCGTCTCGCAAGACAACCAGGTGTCTCATCATTGTTATCGAGATCATTCCAGATAGCACCCTCCTGCAGCAGAAACCTCACAGTCTCAGCACCGCTCTTCAAGAGTTCCGCATGTTCCTCTTGTTTCTTTGCGTCCTCTGTCTCTGTTTCGGCCTCAAGCTCACATGCTGCAATGGCAGAGTGAAGGGGTGTATAGCCTGTTTCTGGGTCTTTGACGTTAGAAGCGTCTGGGAGGGCGGATTGTGTGCGCACTAAACGGCGCAGCTTGGGGATATCATGCTGAGATGCTGTGAGGAGAATATCTTGAATGTCGAGATCAACGTCGATTTGGGTGAATGAGATTTCGGGGTCTGTAGTGGGGTCTGCCATTGTGGTGGTTTCTGGATTTCTGTTAGTTTGTGGTTCCAAATTATATACTTTGGATTGTATTTAGTTGAGGTTCAATGATGGTTTATTCGGCTGGAGTATAAACTTACCAAGAGAGTTCCCAAGGTTAGAGTACTATGCCCTTGGATTTGTGAAGTGGACTTGGGATGTATCATGGATCTATCGAACTGATAAAAAAAAAGTGGGTGGAGCTCTGCTCGCCGCCTTCGTCCCCGCGCCGAAAATATATGCCCTCCAGGGCTGCAGCCAATAGAGTGGTAGAGATATGAGCTTGCAAATTTACGATTTGGAATATAAATTTAAACAAAAACAGATCAAGTGGAGTTTGATTGTGAAAAAAAGAGAAGAGACCGCGTTTGGATGCTCCTAAAAAAGCTATTTGTACATATGTTTCTCCACCTTGGCGCCAAATTAATATAATTTATTTGCCTTCTTCGCTGCTTGCGTTCACGTTAAGTCCCAGGCCTTGAGCATCGAGGTAAAGCTTGTTCTGGCCGTTCTCTTGCAAGAGCTGAGCAATTTGGCGAGCATTCTCAATCTTACGCAGCTCGATGTAGCTCTTACTCTTTTTAATGGCCTCTCCAATCAGCTCGGCGGAACGGGCCTCACCCTGCGCGCGGACAATGAAAGCCTGCTTCTCTTGGCGAGCCTTGTCGACCAGGAAAGCAGCACGCTGAGCATCTTGCTGAGCTACTTGCTTAGCTTCAACGGCAGCAGTGAATTCGGGAGAGAAGGTCAGGTGCTATAAGAATATCGGTGTTAGTTAAGGCACGGAAAAGGCTCATATAACTGGATTCATGAGATCGAGTTGACTTACGGTCAGGGAAACATCATCAAGGGCAATGTTGAAACGGGCAGCACGACGAGCCAAGTTCTCGCGGACCAGACGGGCAACGTTCTCACGTTGAGTGATCAGCTGGCTGGCGTTGAACTGAGCAACAACGCTCTTCAGCACTTCGTTGACAATAGATGGCAGCACACGCTCATCGAAGTCTCCGCCGAGGGTCCGGTAGATCTGGGGAAGAGCATCCACGCGGGGCCGGGAAAGCACACGGCAAGTGATGTTGACCATCTGCAAATCCTTGGTTCCAGTCAAGGAGGCAATGTTGCGCGGTTTAGCGCGGACATCGTAAATAATGGGGGTCTCGATCCAGGGAATACGAAGGTGGGTTCCTATGGGCAACATTCATGTTTAGTGTCTCGTTCCATGCACGGTTGAAGTCGGAGTCGGGTTGTACCTTCGCTGTAGATTTCCTTCCGCACACCACTGAATCTTGAGTATTTGATAGCACGGTGACCACCGTCAACTAGAAAGACATGTTAGAGACCATCCAAGCCAAGCGCATCGTGCTTATCGTACCGTTGAAGAGCGAATTCGAGACTGCCCAGGCTCCGACTCCGACCAGGACAAGACCGGCCAAGCCCATACCACCGCGACCACCACCGGGGATGCCACCCTTACGTCTCTGCAGCATGAGCTGCACGCGCTCCCAAGCCTCTCGTTGATTCTGAGACATGATGTGAAGGTTTAACAAGAGGTAGGTTGGATGGTGTGGATGGAGACGGGACGTTCGAAGAAGATGCATGGGTAAGCGGTAAGAGTAAAGTCCGGCAGAATATCTTCCTTCTTTCACTCATTCCGACCTCGAGCATCCATTAGCATCATTTCATCGCAATCATGGCGCCCGATCGCACGGGGAAAAGTGTATTCCTGGGAAATATCCCCTACAGTATGTTATTTAAGCCACTTCCAGCTACCTCGGTTCCAATGTTCGTTGCTCATGATTTCTATAGACCTCACGGAGGAGCAAGTCAAAGACATCCTCAGCACAGCTGGAACTGTTACCAAGTTCAGGCTTATGATGAACCCGGAGACTGGAAAGCCCAAAGGATATGGATTTGCAGATTTTGCCGACGCCGATGCCGCAGCTTCAGCTGTTCGAAATCTGAACGACTACGAAATCATGGGCCGAAAGATTCGTGTTGACTGGCCTCACAACAACGAGAAAGACTCCATCCCAACAGACTATCCTCAAGACGCGCAACCTCCCACGCAAGATCCGGCACAGCACATGCAGCAAATTCCCGGCGCTGCGCCACTTCCTCCCCTCCCACCAGGCGTGGAAGTCCCAGCCCACCTCGATTGCCCAAATGCCATCTCTCACACTCTCGCCTCCCTCCCTCCCAATCAACTCCTCGACGTCCTCACTCAGATGAAATCACTTGCCGTGGCTGATCCCGCCCGCGCTACTGAGCTTCTTCGTCAAGCGCCTCAGCTTGCCTATGCCATTTTCCAGGCTCTTCTCTTAATGAACCTGGTCGAATATCAGCTTCTCGGATCCATTGTCGAACAGGCTGCTCAACCGCAACCTGCAGCACACCAACAGTACCAACAATATAACGTCCCGGGTCAAGTTGCTACTCCCCCTGTTGCTGCGACACCATTCGCTCCACCACCTCTACAGGCTGCGCCTCCCCAGCCTGTAGCTGGTCAAGAGGAGCTCTTGCAACAAGTTCTGGCCATGCCACAGGCTGCCATTGATGCCTTGCCTCCGATGGAACGTAACCAGATTATGATGCTACGTCAGCAATTGATGCAAGGTGGCATGCGCTAGCGGCATATGGTAAACCCCATAAGCTATCTGAAAACTGATTTAATTCTCATATGCTGCAGGAGCTAAGTGTCGCGGCGGATTTCTTTTTTTTCATTTCCCTCTTCTTTCTGTCCTATAGTCTTTTATGTGGCGAGGAATGGCGCATGGAGTTGTGTTTATTCATCTAGGCTACTTGCATACCAGCTTCTCCCAGCTGTGATTTAAAACCAGGAAATCAACCATTTATCTCTTTTGAGCCTGTATTTGAACCATATCCTTGTCTAGCATTCTTATTTATATAAGGCTCTGTAAGCTGACTAGAAATTCCCGTATCCTACGAATATTTCTAAACTTAGGGCTAGATCCATGAACTTTTCATTGGTACGTTGTAAATAGTAAACCATTTTCAGCGAGCTATCCTGTATTGAAGCGTCTTTATTGACCTGCAACCCTGCACAAACAAGGCCATACCCCAGATACTCCTCTCTTATAAATGTACATATTTTCCTATCCTAGTTGATGGGGCACTGGCAATTTATACCCACCACCAATATGTGAGCTGGATGCCGGTCCTGGACAGTCCAGTGCACTCTATACTTTGAATTGAAAGCAAATGATGATTTTGCAAGCCTATAGAATGGAGCAAGCCACTGATGCTCACCCTTGAGGATATCTTCGAGGATTTTGCCATAAAAGCCATAAAAGTAGAACTCATTTCCACTACGACATATTTTGTGAAGAATTCTCTCTAGTATCTTCTACTATCACACTACAGAAGTAGAGGCTTAGGCCCCTTCCAATGCCGCAGCCAAGTTCTATATATGATTTACCTAAACCAACAGTAAAGGATATAGAGAGTAAGTGGAAAACTAAAGAAATTTGCATTGATGCCGACTTAATCTGCATCCGGCTCCCATTCCCAAGAAAAAAAAATAAACTTCAGGGGCCACGTACTGTACATGGTAGACAAAATAAAACAAAGACGCCCTGGGCAGATGCTCGTGCAGCGGACGTGCATCTAAATTTTTGTTCCGCTCCGAGTCTGCGCTTTCAAAGCATGAATTCAGGTAGGGTCCCACACTTACAACCCTCCATTATAAATTTCCTCCGCGTTCTCTCCATTCCCGTGCCGAGTCGTAAATACAGCCTTCAAATTTAAAATAAAGAGTCAAACATGACTCGTTTATTGCTGGGGCTGGGCATCCAAGGCACCGTCCTGGCGCATCATAGTCTCGGGGTTCCACACAACCTCCTTGAGGTTGGTCAGACCGGCGCTGTTTTCACAGGTGTCGCGTCCGCTCAGCGGGCCAGGGGCAGGAACCTTGGTGGAGGCGGCAGCACCGGTAGCAGTGGCCGATTCCTTGAACGCGGTGAGAAGGGTCTTGATAGACTCTGGGGTCAGATCCTCGTAGTAGTCATCGTTGATCTGGACCATGGGGGCGTTGACACAGGCTCCTAGACACTCAACCTCGATGTAGGTGAAGAGACCGTCCTCGGTGGTGTGACCAGGGGTGATACCGAGGTGCTCGTTGATGGCCTTAACAATGGAGTCGGAGCCACAACCACCAAGCTGGCAGGGGGTCTAAAATATGTTAATTAGAATTCATTCATATATACAATTAAGTTCGCGGGAGAAGGGAGTATGCATACGGTAGTGCAGATCTGCAAGAAGTACTTGCCGACGGGATCGCGGTTGTACATGGTGTAGAAGGTAGCGACCTCGTAAACACGCATGGGAGGCATCTCAAGCATGCGAGCAACCTCGTTCATGACGCTAATGCTGGTGTAGCCGTGCTGGCGCTGACCGAGATCAAGGAGGGGCATAACAGCCGCCTTCTTGTACTGTGGTGGGTAGCGCTTGAGGATCTCATCGGCAAGAGTGAGGTTCTGCGTGGTGAACTGGAACGGAATGGTCGGGTTGTTGGAAGGGGAGTTACGGTGCTGCGATGAGAGAGAGAATGTCAGATCGATTGACCTTTATTTTGTAGTTTTTGGCCGGCTTGCACCGGGGCAATGTCTGAGGGGTCTGGGAGATTAGGGAATCACGTACGACCGTCAGGGAATCGCTGTACCGTTGAGGGGCGGCGGAAAATGATCTGAATGGAGTGAATGGAGTCTGGCGCAGCAGCCGGCTGGCCCGCGAAACGGGGAAGAGTTTCGACGCCATCGTAGAGAGGGAATTGGGAGGTTAATTGGGGGTGAATGTTGAGTTGACGGAGGAGAATGACGGATCGAGTTGGCAAGACGTTTTGCGGGCGGTCAGCCAATCAGCGTCGACAGATTACTCCCTCCATATCGCCCACTGCAACGCCTACAATAACAACCTCGCAACTTCGATTTTACCACTATTTTACATCAATTGAATGGAGTTGATTCCATTTTGCAGTAAATCTTATATAAATACAGCAATGATTATTCTTCACTGGCAGCAGACAACTTCGGCATTTTAACAACATAAGCCATTCTCAGAGCATCCTCAGCAGCCACTAACCTTCCAAAAATTATCTCCTGCCTAGCAATGCTACACACTACACATCCTCCATGCGATACACCTCATACGCAACCTCTTCATATGGATGCGCCTTTACCAGAGCCTGCACTGCATCCAGCATCACCTCTCGGCCTAGACACATGATCTCCGCCTTCACCTCCTCACAATGCTCTAGAGTTCCGACCGAGCCAATCGCTGGATTCGCGTCTTGACTAGGAAGAAATTGACCTGTTCCATTGGTCTGAAAACAGCATTTCGTGTACTTGCCCCCGGGGAACGAACCCGCGCCTGTTGCGAAGATAGCTTCTTTGCAGGCTTCAAGATCGCTGGGTGGAACGAAGAAAACGAGCTTGTACCGGTCAGGAGACGCTGTAGCTGACGACATCTTTCGAGTCTGAATCTCTGAACCCTTGGGTGAGAAAGTTTGAGATATCGGTTGAAGCGCAAGTGACGCTATTCCTATATGTTTGGAGCGGGCACTCTTGATCCGGTAGTGCTGTAAGGACCCAGTTGATAGACCACGTAAATAGTGCAATTTACGATTCAATATCCTTGGTCGGAATGTAGACCTGATTGATGCGCAGGTACTGTTGAGAATGACTTGGGACATGAGAGTAGTAAAGCGGGGAAATCTTGATGTTGTCGTGAGGTACCTATAGTGGAGGTACTTATTGCCTACTAAGATAGCTAACAGAAGTACTTGACATAATTTATGCCTTGTTTCTCGGGCAGGAAATCGATGTTCTATAACTAGTTAACTTAACTAGTATAACAGTTGAGTAACTTGGTGGCATCAACCTCAAACAAGCCCTAAATTGATATATCTGAACAGTTGAAAAGGATAATCATGATATATACATGTTGAAATTCAGTCAGGGGGTATCACCATGCACCTCAATTTACAAATACTTCTTTACATGCGCGGTAATGCGCTCCAATAACTCTGCTTTCCTCTCATTAGGAATCCAACTCTCCTGTACCGCATTTTCCGCCACAATCCTCCATTCCAGCACAGACAGCTTATGCGTTTCCTGTACAGCGCAATAGTTGTCCAGAATGTACGCCCCAAAGTATGCGGGGTCATCACTATTGATCGAGAATTTCACCCCCGCCTCCAGGAACTTCCGAATCGGCACGTCAGCAACAGACTTCACGCACTGCAGCTTCACATTCGAAACCGGACACACGGTTAACATGATATTCTGCTCGGCGACACGCTTCATGAGCTCTGGGTCTTGAATCAAATTAATACCGTGGTCGATGCGCTGGGCTCCAAGTTCCAACGCAGTACTGATATATGTCGAGTCGCCCTCTTCACCGGCGTGCGCAGTAAGACGGATATCCTTCTGTCTAGCGGAGGCGTAAATCTCCCGGAACATATCTTTCGGTGGGCCAACTTCGGAGGAAGACCAGCCTAGACCGTGGATAGTTCCCTTCTCGTAGTCACCAGAGGCGAGAAACGTCTCGTAGAGTTCATTGGCTGACTCAACGGGAAGATGGCGTAAAAAGCAGAGAATCAGTCTAGTACTGAGGCCCAGCTCGCGCTCAGCGCGCTTACAACCCGCCGAGAAACCAGCTACAATAGTCTCATAGGGAATGCCGCGACCCTGGTGGACCTGCGGGTCGAAGAAGACCTCTGCGTGGTGAACACCGTCGGAATGGGCTTTCTGGAAATAGTTCCAGGCAAGATCGGCAAAGTCACTTTCGGATTGGAGGACCGCCATGCCCTCGAAGTAGTAGTGCAGGAAGTCGTCGAGGTTAGCGAAGCGCTCATAACGGTCTGCTAGGGCCTCAATTGAGGCGAAAGCGGGGTCATCGGTTGGAAGAGTAACCCCATTGCGTGCGGCAAGTTGGAAGATCAGTTCGGGCGTTAAGCAGCCCTCTAAGTGGACATGGTGTTCGCACTTGGGGAGGCCTGCGATGAACTCGTGCAGCGGGTGTTGGCACATTGCGTTTTTAAGAGTATGAGCGAAAGCGAGTGTCTGTGGGAAGAGTTTCCAGGTATTAGAAAAAAAAAAGAAAGAAACTTTGTAGGTTGGAGTGGATGTCGAGCTATATATGGCCGCGACAAAAGATTTCAAGTTGAGATTGCGGGGGAGAAGGTTTAACTGAACCGCCGATTTGAACGGAATTCCTCTTCTTCACCGATAACTCGATCTATATCGCATTTCCGGTTGCCCCATTAAGCGGGGGTCGTGGCTCTGCCTTCTACATTATTCTGGCTTGTTTTTAGACTAACACATGCATATTTGAGTCATCGAATCAAAGTTGAATATCTTGGTCGGAGATCTCCGCACAGGAAACGTTTCGAAGTCAAAACCTCTACATCGGGAAAGTCCAAGAGATACATGCATGGTCAACTCCTCACAAGAACTAAGAGTACAAATGATATTTTAAAGATATATGATTCATATAAAATCCTAAATATGCTTCAATGTTACAGCTAAAACGAAAAATCTAAGGCAATATATCATCATTATCTACACTTTCATCTCCGACCCAGCGGCCTTGCGAAGCCGGTTCATCACAGCAGCCGCTAGGTCGCCATCGCGATCTGATATCCCCTCCACGTAAATCACATCCACATCAAACTCGTCAAGGGCTCGCAGGACCGCAAATAGGCCATGGGCAATAGAATTTGTATCCGAACCAAGATGATAGTCATAAGCCAGTTTAGTCCGACAATTCTGACTGCCATTCGCCTGTCCTGGGACAGGGAAGCTAACCAGGTTATCGATGGGCGCAGTGACAGGCTTAGCAGTGCTCGCCACTACACCATCTGGAGCAAGTCCCAATCCTTGCTTCCAGTTGCGGGTACGGACAATGCCGATATTATGTGCGCCAATAGCAGAATCTTGTAAATCCTTTTTAACGTGACGAGTCACGCCCTGGAGGCTGGATCCTGATTCAAAAAGGACTACCCGTGCTTTTGGTGAGTAGTGTCGGTATTTCATGCCCGGTGCACGTGGAATATCCTTTATATCCAGTGTTCCGTCCTTGTAAGCTACTGTGACGTTCTCCCAGCCGGGAACAGTGCGTAGTTCGTCAATACCAAGACCACCGGGCCGCAGGATAGCGGGTGGGTCACATAGTCCATCCACAACGGTACTTTCAACACCAACACCGGAGGATCCACCGTCAAGAATTAGGTCTATGCGCCCCTGCAGATCATGGTAAACGTGTTGCGCTGTAGTAGGGGAGGGCTTTGTAGACGCATTAGCAGACGGTGCGGCGAGTGGACGATCAGTAGCATGAATGAGCAGGCGCGCGAGTGGTGAGGACGGCATGCGAGCGCCAAAGGTCGTCAAGTGGGAGGTGACTTCTGGAGCGAGTTCGGAGCCAGAAGGGTTGGGAAGGATAATAGTCAGTGGGCCAGGCCAGAAACGTTCAACAAGAGGCGTATAGATCTGGGGAAGGGAGATGCGCGGTGTCTTGGTTGCACTTGGACTGGTCTGAGCTGGGTTCAGAAGCCTATCAAGCATGTCGAGAGAATCGACATGGATGATCAACGGGTTATCAGAAGGTCGTTGCTTCGCGCGGTAGATGCCTTGAACTGCAGCGCTGCGCGTAGCGTCAGCGCCTAGGCCGTAGACCGTTTCCGTAGGGAATGCGACGGGGATATCATTTATGCGGAGGAGGTTGGCGGCTTCTTCGATAGCCTTCGATTCGGGAGTTTGGCTTTTGCGCTCATCTGCCCACCATTCGGCCAGTGATCTGGATCCGGGGCCCTGGTTGAGGCGTTGAACGGAGACAACCCGTGTTTCGGAGCTGGCCATCGTGGTGATCAATCTGGTAAGTCTGCGCTGACTTCCAGTGAAGGATCGGAGGAACAGCAGCTTGATGTAAAGGCCGGATATCAATGACGCAGTAGAAATCAGGCACACGTAATGAGGGGTGTGTATATGGGAATGCCAAAGCGCACAGGTCCGAGTCACAACGCAATTGATGCCTATATGTGCGTTTTTTGGGCTATCTGTATTCTGTGAGATCTGATCTAGGTTATCGGATTGTCGATCATCTCACACCAGCCTCGTGGTCGCGATATGCAGTTCTTTATTAGGAACAAAAAATCGCGGAAAATCGACGATTTCGCCATGACGTCGGATGACTCATCCGATTGGGCATGAACATCACTGCACTGTGAGGTCAGTTACGCTTGAGCAGAGATTTGTGTGGGCCTATTTTAGATATGACAGATCGATAAGAAGGAAAAAAGAAACAAGAATAGTGCATACAGAAGGATTAATATACCTTTTTAGTGGATGCATGGGCGTCGTATCACTTTGCGTGCTGCCAAGATCATAATATCAGGGCACGATCATCTTCTAACCTGATGTAGAGAGGGCTTGAATCATGCATATATGAAGAAATTTATATCTTGTCAATGTTTTGAAGACAGCCACCAAAGCAGAAACGGTTGAAAACCGTTCTAGATTATATACAAAGTCCATAGGTATACTTCTATGCTTCTAACGACATGGTCTATTTCTTCTTTCCACCCTTCCCTCCTTTCCCACCTCCAGCACCTTTACCACCACCGCCTCCTTTCCCTTTGCCCTTATCGCCTCCGCCTCCGCCGCCGCCGGCAGCACCAGCAGTCATGATACGCACTTTGCTAACCGGCATAGTGTTGATAATCTCTGTATCTTTCCACCCCTTGATCAGCTCACCCTCTCTAGCCCGTAGCCGCTCTGCATCAGCGCGAGGGATCCCCGCATCCTCGGCGTGATCCTTCTTCACCTTGCCAGTAGTAGTCTCAGAGACCCAACGACCAATAATTTCCTTAACGGCTTTTCCTTTCTTCACAGCGCCAGGTTGTAGCTTCACCTTGTACTTGTACTTGCCCATAGCGCCCCATGGGGCACAGACGGGAATAGCAGCAAGGATCTCATCATCTGGAGTTGGGGTTCCAACCAGTGCTGGAATCCAGGTCAAGTCAGCGGCTTCGGCGGCTGCGACCTCTTCATTGTAGTCATCACCACCCCCCGAAAACTGAGCTTGTCGTTTTTGCTCTGCTGCTGCTGCTCGCTCATGCTGTGCTCGTCGCCGCAGCCTTTGTGCTTCGGCTTCTCGCTCACGCTGAGCTTTAGCTTCTTCTGCTTGAGCTGCCTTGGCGGCTTTGCCCTTACCGGCTCCCAGGAGCCGAAGGGCTAGTTCACGCTCTTCGTCGTCCTGATGGGCGTACTTTGCTGCAGCACGCTTCTCCTTGGCCCGCTTACCCCGGGTTAGTGCAGTACGAGTTGGGGCAGGTTCAGCCTGGCCTGGTCGGTCGATGGTCTTGCCTTGGCGCACAGCTCTGCGTTCTCGCGCTGTGAGCTTCTGATTGTCTTGCTCTTGAGAGGCCTCCTCCTGAGGAGCAGAAGCGGACTCCTCGTCTTCTGATTCTTCATCCTCGGCTATTTCCTTGGCAGACTGGTCTTGGTTGGGTTCAGTCTCAGCTTCCGGCTCGCGCTCTGCTGCCCCCTCTTTAGTCGTATCCTCTTCTTTATCCGATTCAGATCCAGACTCATCATCCTGCTTAGCTTGTGCAGAAGGAAGTTCGGAGTTACCTCGTTGAAGAGGGTTTCGAGAAGCTGGCGCCGCATCGTTGTCGTCTTCCTTTTCCTCGTCGGAAACATTTCTTTCGTCTTCTTCTGCCTCCTCTACATCTTCGTCTTGTTCTATCTGCTCGGGCAATTCCCCCTTGGTGAAGGGCTTTGCTTCGAACTCCTGGGGTTCAGTAGCAAGAATATCGGTGGTATCATAGTGTATTTTGTGATTGCGCAGGCTTTCCTTGCTGATCTGAAATAAGACGGAAAAGCCGAGCACCAACTGCGATGGCGCTAGGAAGTTCTTCTCGCCTCTGATTTGGAAATCACCGACAGGCAAAATTCCACCACCCATCTCGGCTGTCTTCGAAACCTGGTTGGCATGTACCCAGTACGCAGACATGACAGCCTTGGAGTCCCATGCCGTTGAAGTTGCAACACACATGATTCCAGCTTGTGACAATGTGCTTGGAGAGATAGGAGCATCCCCATTCCCGGTGCGGTTTTTGACCACAATAGGCATCGCTCCGGCCAGGTCGGCATGAATGAAGATATCACCTTTGTTCAGGTAGCGATGGTAAAGTATTTCGCTTTGCATTGAGTCCCGGGCTCTATAGAATAGTTAGTCGCATATAAATCAGCTTGGAGGAAGATAGAAACATACCCAATAACCAAGTAACCTTCCGAGGAGATGAAGAAAACGAATTTCTCGAACCAGAATGGCTCACGAGCGTGTCGAAGAACTGACTTCTCTTGTTTCAAAGTCTTCTTCAGATCGGCAGTGACCTTCTTCTCGTGACTCTTAAGCGCCTTCGTAGAAGACTGAGCAGTTCTCTCCTGCTTCTCTGAAGCTTGTTTCTTTTGGTCATAGTATTGTGAGGCATTAGCCCAAGGCGTTTGTCCGAGGTCGATATCAATTGACAGCATCCGTGATGCAGCATCGGTTCGAGTTCGCTCCTCTTTTTCTTCAGCCTCCGAATCGGATTCAGATTCGTCGCTGGACTCGATATCGACATCTTCCTCCTCTTCCTCGCCTTCTCCTAGAAGGAGAGTGATGGTATTTTCGTAAAGTTTGAGAGGCAGCTTAATAACTTGGGCAACTGGGTTACCTCGACTTTGCTCCATCTCGATCAATCGTGCGATCTCTCCCCAGTCCATACCCTGCGCGACCAAGCCATTCACAGCGTCCATTGCTTCTTGAACGCGATATACATTGTCTTGGATAGCACCAGCCTTGCGGATATGTAATTCCTGTGCATCTTTCAGGGCATCGATCCGTTTTCGGTGCTCATCTCTAACGGCATCCAGCTTACGCTTGGCCGTTTCTTCTTTCTCCGTAAGCCTAGACTCAAGGCGTTGTGATTCTAAAGATGAAAAGTATTCATCAACAGTGGCGTTGAAGCGCTCAAACTGCAAGATCTTGATCCCCGGCTTATCTTCAAACTGTCGAGGCCTGAATGGATGGAAATCCTCATATAGTAGCCCGGGCTTTTGCTCATTTTCACCTTCCGCCTGCGCCGACACTCGCGGATCTTCTTTGGCAACAATATAGCCGGGATGATCCGCACCGGTGTCAAAGCTTTTCGACACTCTCTCGGCCTCATCCAAGACTTTCCTTACATTCTGTAGCGCTGTCTCATTACCAAGGACCTGATCAAGCGGAGTCGCAGCATCAAGTCCAACAACGGCAAATGCATGATCCAGCAAAAGTGGCGGGAATTCAGGGAATCCCTGCGAAAGAGCTTTCCGCAAGAAATCCGTATTCTTCTTCTTAGACTTCTTAGGCGCGTTTCCTTCTTGTGCAAATAATGCCTGCGCCTTCTCTATCGTCTCTGTGATCCGTTCCGGCGTAATATCAGGAATTCCCGCATAGTTCTGCTTATTGGTTATATCGTACTTGAGGCCAAGTTTTGCTTCTTCGCCCTCCGCTGCAGTAACCTGTCTAAACAGCGCAATGATGTTATATTCGCGATCAGTGACTATGATGTTGCCGCCGGCAAAAAACTCAAGGAACATATGGAATGTACCATCGCTAAAAGAGATATCGATGACACGATCTGTGCCAAGTTGCGTGACTCCTGTGATACGACGCGATTTGAGGAGTTTGCGCAGTCTGGTTACGAAGTGGGAGGGTGCGGTGGCTGCTGTGCGAGAGTATTGCGTGACATGAGTGCGGAAGCCAGAATCGACGATGAGTTGACGGCGATGGTCTGGTTTCGATACTTTGAAAAGAAATATACGCTGTTATAGTACACAGAGCTTATTAGTATCTCTAGTTCTAAGTGTTTGTCTTTGCGATTGAAATCATTGAACGCACCGAAGACAGGTCATAGATGTTGGACACCCGCAGACTGACCAGCTCCGCAGCTAGCTCCTGGGTGATGACCTAGGAGAAAGTTAGCGGTATGTTCAGCTTCAGAAATTGCTTTCCTTATTTACCTTTACGTCTACTGAAGAAAATCTTTGCTTCATTGTGGCCGCGGGGAGTTGTGAAAAGATGGAATTTTCGAGCGTGACGTATGCGGGGCAGGAGCGGAAGTCGGGCTCTGTTCTAGGAAAGGTGAGCTACCCACTTCTATAGCTTTCTACGAGATGATATCCACGCTATATACATATTATGCAACTTATCAAAGTTATTTGGCTTATTAAAGAGTTCGTCTTTTTCATTGAAGTCATCAGCGCTTTCAGCTATGGGAATATTAGCTCGAGCCACAAACAGTCGAGATCACACGCGACGGGATAAGGCTTGCTTTTGCAGGATGCAGAACAGATATAAAAAACATGCGAAAGATCTATGAAGCTTTCCATCCCAAAGACATACGGGAAACAACTGTGAGTACTAAAAAGAAAACCATATCACGCCAGGGCCAGCCAGGGAAGAACAGGAAATAGAAAGAGAAACCAAGCAGGTACAAGGGCCTCTGTCCCAGGAAACAAAGGGATTTTGCGAGAGAACAAAGAACCAGTATATCCTCTACATTTGTCGCAAACTATCGGCCAGGCGCCGCTTGCCGAACTCCCATGCATTCATCAGACCTTGTTCAGAAAGGTCGATATTCTTCATGTTCGGCGCATCCGCAGCTGGGGCACGGCTTACTCGCGAAGCGACCATGACAGGGTCGGTCTCGAGGATGATACCGTCGTCGATGATTTCGTCAATGGTAAGAGAAACAAGATCGTAGTTCTCGACAATAGTACGCTTGTCGGTGGCACCCCTGTTTTAAGGAATTGTTTAGCACTGTCGTTGAGGATTGCAGTATCTCCTTCCTAACACAAATTGAGACTTACTTGAATAGTATTCCAAGGGCATCGCGGAGCGACAGAACCACGTTGTATAGCAGAACCTCGTTCTCGTCGGCACTTCCCACCACGTACAGCATCACGTCGCTCTCCATCTTGAACACCACAATGCGGTTGTCGTAGAGAATCACGTCACTTGTAGACTTGTTGGTCTTCTCGAGAAGTCCCTTTTCGAAAGCACGCTGGTCCTTGAGCGAAGGGTAGGGGTTGGCACCAGGGTAATCAGTCGAGTTGGGTGCTGTTCCGGCGGGGGCGTGAGGAGCCGAGTAGTATTTCGTGAAGATACGGGAACCATCGTCAGCGGACATGACGAGGACCGCATTGACGGAGAACAGGGAGAGTGAACCGGTCATTGTGTCTTTAATTGATTCCTCGAAAGTGTAGAGCTGTGCGCAAGATGTGCTTGTTGATGCGTGGAGGAGCCAATCTGGCCGCAGGCGGAGACGCACTAAAGTTGATCCGTCGGGGAAGCGGCCAGCTGTGAGGGATCTATATTCCAACCCACAAGAATTCAATTTTTAATACGGCGATAGAATTCTCCTAAATGGATGTCTTATCATCTGGATGTTTTATCATGTTTACATATAATTCAAGTGACTAAGGTTTTAATAGTGATAATAGATAAATCGGGTCAATATATTCCGAGTATTGAAGCTTTCTGTATCTACTTCGTTGGCTGGCGCCCCTGTACAAAATCGTTCAAACATGAAAGTCATACAGAAAAAAGGGTAAGTGGTAGAAGAAAAAGACAAATTATGCAAAGGATTGAGCCCATTATTTGGCCCTCCATAACATGGGTCGCAAGTTGTGCATCACAAAGGGGGTATGATAAATATGGTGAAGACAAGTCCAATATCACATCAAATCATGGCATTCCAGTAGGAACACGGACCGGTTAAAGCTGAGTCTGTTCCTCCGGGTTGGGTTTGTTAAACCAACCTGGAATCCAGCTCGCACGGTTGGCCTTTTTGCGGGCAGCCTCCTCTTCTTCGAGTTTGGCCGCGTCGCTGACAAGACGCAGGGGCCGCAGCTTATTCTGCGTCATGACAGCACCCGTATAGTTGGTCATGCCGCTACTAGAACGAGGAGGGCTGGAAGTTGCTCCTGTGGAAGACGTATCTCCAAGCGCATCACTGGTAACACTTGGGGAGCTACTGCGGCCTGCTCGATCGGGTTGACTGGACATTGATGGGGCCCGGCTCATGCTAGATACGTAGCTGGGAGCACCGGAGAACATACTCTGGCGTGATCCAGGCCCCATTGGGGTAGGGCTCATGGGTCCGTTTCCACGATACATGTGCCCGACGACAGAAGCGGCATTGGGGTCGACCTGCTCAGAGCGGGCTCGACGATGACTAGCTCTGACTGACTGGGCACGGAGTGGAATACTGGGGGCGGTTTCCGGATTCTCATGTGCATGACTGTGCGGAATAGAAGGTGGAGGCATCATGCTGGTTGGGCGAGATCGGGGTTGGGGGTGGGACCGCGGGCTTTGGCCCGATACCACAGATTTGGCCCGCTGCAGGAATGTTTGAGCAGCATTATCATCCTTCTCGGGGGGTGTTGGGGGCAAGTCTTTTTCACCACCTGCTCCCGTGGCGGTTTTCGGTTCTTCGTCGTCGTCATTTCGATCCAGAACATGTTCGAAACCGTCATGCTGCAGGACACGACTTATGATACGTTCGATGTAGAGTGTCAAGGCTTTGTTTTGGTCCCTGAGACTCTTGAGCTCACCATCGGCCTTGCGGCCTGGGTCTCCTTCAGCCGCTTCTTCATCCACCGATTCGAGTTCGTCAGCCAAGGAGCCTAGCCCGCTGCTGGAATTCTTCCCGGGGTGAACATCTCGCATGAAGTCGCCTTTGGTGAAATCACCGGTGAGCGTCTTCTCGCTGAGAAGAAGCTGATAACTTTCGTTATCTTCCATAAGACGTGCATTAGCCATGCGTGCTTCCAAAAGCTCCTTCTCCAACTCACGCTGCCGACCTCCGCCTTTATTCTCCATCTCCACAAGTTTGATCTGCGACTCAGCCAATTCCAAGCGCAAGGATTCTATCAATTTGTCTTTCTGGAGGAGAAGGTTGGAATTATTACGGGAGGGGCTGCGCTCGAGATGGGAAGAAGGAGCAAATTGTGCATCCAGATCTGGAGATGCTCGATTGCGGAAGCTCGCTAGACAGATTGTTAGCAAGTTGAACTCTAGATATATGCAACTCTCACAACTTACAAGATCGTGATACCTGATGGCGGTCACCTTCAGTATTGATGCGCATATCCTTCTGCGCCACCGACTCTTTCAACCGTTGAATGGTCGCCTGCAACTCTTCTTCCTTGCTGGCCTGCTGCTCCTTCTCCTGAAGCATCGCATTCCGCTCCATTTCATGATGCTGCTCGAGATCCCGAATTTGGCGGGCCTGCTCCCGGATCTCGGTACCGAGTGTTTCAATCCGAGTGTCTCGCTCATGAGCTTGATCTTCCAGCTTGGTTTGTTCACTAACGGCTTCATCCAAGCGCATTTGTAAGACGCCGAGTTGTTTCTGATACTGCTCAGAGGCGGTTTCAGCCTTCTGAAGCTGCTCCCGCAGTTCCTCAATCAAGGCCGCATTTTGGGCTCGCGCCTCCTCCTCGGATGGGTCGTTAGACATCCGCGGGACGTTGGACATGCTTAGGTTTGATCTGCCTGGTTTTCTTGCGGCGGCGCGGGCAGAAACAGGCGAGCTTCTCAAGGAGGGGGAGCGGTTGAGACCGTTAGTTGCGGCGCTGGGCGAGCGTGCATGCCCTCGTGTGGTGGACCCGTTGGCTGGCTGCGGATCTGCGGGCGATGATTTGCTGGAACTGCCGCTGGTTCCAGGCTTGCGAGGCGTTGCTGACATCGTGCAGGGACCCAAGGCCCGGGAATATTAGGTGATGTATATAGGGAGGCAAATAGATCTTTGGGGCGTATCGGTCCAAAAAAGGTAACTGATCTAGTTGGTTCAGGTGTGTGAAAAGGGTTAAGGGTGTATCAATGCAGAGCGGTCAAAACGGGTGGGACCTGGTGGAGATGGGATGATGCAGTGGTTGTATGGAACGAGGAATGTAAAACCGTCAGTTGAGGTTCTGCCACATGGCCAATGGAAGCCGGAGAAGCATTGAAGACGTCGACGGGAGTGTCTCTGTATCTGAGCGCAGAGAGGAATGGGGGACAGAGGAGAATGGGAGGGCCGATTGCAGCAGGCCTTCAACTTTTTTTTCTGTAGGAATGCGGGCGGAGTCCCTTACTCTGGCATCTAAAAATACCAAGGTAATTGGGGCTGTGGTACGAAAGTAAGACAATTGAATCTGATAGTAAGGTGGCAATAAATATTGAATGAAGATATGTTCAAAGTGCACCAGGGAAAAGGTTTCGAGGTCACTCAGGCCGATGCATCAATACCAAGGGAAACAATAACAAACGGCTGGAGGGAAATTGGGCTGCATCCCAATGTGAAATTACAGGACGAAAGTTACATGGAGATTACAGCGGAGTCGAAAAGGGTGAAATCGATGCCTGATTACTGCCTCAGGTGTCGGTCCTAGTTTCATGAACCGCCTGCCGTTCCGGTAATTTCACCGCTCACTCACCGCCGGATCGGAATATCATGATCATCCGGGTGTCCACAGATATTGAATTTCACTTCGACCAAAGTCACGTTCTTCGTCCACAGTCAAGCCGGAGCGCATTCCCATACAAGTTATTTAAACAATTTCGAAGTTTGTAAAGAACTTCACGCGCAGAGATGGCCCCCAAGAAGTCCAAGAAGGGTTCCGACAACGTGAGTATCGACTTGCATAGCAATCTATGCCAAAACCCCCGCATTTCGAGGGTGAAGATCGTACATATGCAAGTGAAGCTAACATTGCGGGTCTAGATCAACTCCAGGCTCGCCCTGGTGATGAAGTCTGGTAAGGTCACACTGGGCGCTGCTTCTACCATGAAGACTCTGCGCAACGGTAAGGCCAAGCTGATCATCATCGCTGCCAACACCCCTCCTCTCCGCAAGAGTGAGCTCGAGTACTACGCCATGCTGGCCAAGACCCCCGTCCACCACTTCGCCGGTAACAACGTAAGTTTTGAAGAGCATACCGTGTAGATCATGGCTTAATGTCACGATACTAACTTTCAGAATAGATTGAGCTCGGTACCGCCGCCGGTAAGCTCTTCCGTTGCTCCACCATGGCCATCCTGGACGCTGGTGACTCGGACATCCTGACTGGAACCCAATAATTGGGTTGACTTGGGACAATTGGTGACCGTAGATGTTCGGTTGGGAGAACATGCGCAGTGTCCACTTTATTGGAGGAAACACGGCACACGTTTCGCCATGATTATGAATTATGTTCCCTAGCTAAAAAGGCAAACCAGGCATCTATGAAGCCAGTTGACGTGATTCTTGATTTCTAACCGTAAAACTAAAACCAGTTTCCCGCATATCAGCGTAGCATTGTAAGCTTACATAGATGTAGGAGTGAAATGCTCAGTAATCGATTCCAGCGAGTAATAAAAGTGGGTCCCTCGGAGAGCAGTATGATTGGTCCGCTAGTAGGGTTAGGGCTCTTTGCCACATCGCTGCTTGGAAATCAAACAATCCCGTGACCCGCCAACCCTTCTCTTTTCCTTTCGATCCCTCGACACCAACCGACCCGACACTCAACAACTCCGTTCGCAGGAAGTGCTCTTCGCCTATTTCCAGCATTCAAGATGGCTCGTCGTCCCGCAAGATGCTACCGCTACTGCAAGAACAAGGTGCGTTGAGCCGATTTTCGCCTTGAGGATTTTTTGTGTGGGAATCTCGGTTGTGGGGGGTGGAACATTTGAAGCAATATCCAAGGCACCATAATCGCAACGACTGGTGTCGCTACACCGTTGCGATACTGGCCGCTGGACTCCAAAAGAGAGGGAAAACCCCGAATTTCGTGGGTTCTGGGGATATGTGGATTTTCTTTCTACGGAGACCTGGGATTTCTTGGATGCGAGGGAATGAAATCATGGCTTGGCAAAGCTCAACTGCTAACATGTCTGTCCGTCATATAGCCTTACCCTAAGTCCCGGTTCAACCGTGGTGTTCCCGACCCCAAGATTCGTATCTTCGATCTGGGTCGTAAGAAGGCCAATGTGGACGACTTCCCCATGTGTGTCCACTTGGTCTCCAACGAGTACGAGCAGCTGTCCTCCGAGGCTCTCGAGGCCGCCCGTATCTGTGCCAACAAGTACGTTTCTCTCTCCGAAGCCGTTTAATCGACAACCGATTTCTACACCAGCACTTTTTTCTTCAAAGAAAAAATATTCTAACATGTCCGTTTTCAAAGGTACCTCGTCAAGATCGCCGGTAAGGAAGGTTTCCACCTCCGTGTCCGTGTGCACCCCTTCCACGTCGTCCGTATCAACAAGATGTTGTCGTGTGCCGGAGCCGATCGTCTCCAAACCGGTATGCGTGGTGCCTTCGGTAAGCCCCAGGGTACCGTTGCCCGTGTGAACATTGGCCAGATCATTCTGTCCGTCCGCACCCGTGACGCCCACCGCGCCACCGCCATCGAGGCTCTGCGTCGCTCCATGTACAAGTTCCCCGGTCGCCAGAAGATCATTGCCTCCAAGAACTGGGGTTTCACCCCCGTTCGCCGCGAGGACTACGTCCGTCTCCGCGAGGAGGGCAAGCTCAAGCAGGATGGTGCCTACGTCCAGTTCCTGCGTGGCCACGGTCTCATTGAGGACAACATGAAGCGTTTCCCCGCTGCCTACGAGACTGAGGCTTAGATGGTTATGGGTTGATTGATTCAGACTACGAATTCTAAGAACGAAAAAAATTTTTCCTGACTCTTAACCTCTTTCCTGCTCTTCTTGTCTACTACCTATCTTGATATCTCGTGTGCAAATCGCAATGGAGTTCTTCCATGGGTCTTAATTTTCAAATTTTGAATATAGTAATTCCTTGTAGTTTTAAGCGTTCGTACTATGCAGGATTAGGCGCCTGTGCCCCGTCACGATCTTCATATAAGGCGACCCCACAAGCCGAAGATCAGGAAGATTATTTTGATGAAGGACTTAGCTGCTGATCCTGGGGTTGATAGCGTATTGCGTACAGCGCATGGAGCACTTTAATTATATCTACACAGTACCTACAGTCACTCAGGTGGAGCTCCTCGAATACTTGGAAATCTCACTCAGGGCCGTTGAGAAGGTCCCTGGTACGAGTTGAAGTTGTAGACAATCAAAAAATGGTATTTAATAACGTATTTTCCCAGATATGTAAGGTAGCAGAAAGAAAAAAGGCTTTTATATACATCTCACATCTCACGCCGGCTCCGTTCCACACCGTTCCACATGTAACTGCTTCGCATCTATCAAGAACTCAAAATTAGCTCAACGCTGACACTCATCCAGAGTCACGGTGATAGTACATACCTGCAATGTCTGCTTCTGTACAAGCATCATTTAAGCAAGTACTCAGCGCATTCCGAAATGCATTACTTGGGCAGGTACAATCAGAATCGTACTGTGAAATACAGCCAGATACAATTGCCGCCTCAGTTAAACATTGATTCTATACGAAAAATATAATTAGAATAATGATCAATCGAAGGATAGTCCATTGGACTAAAGAGTATAGTACTCACAAGACATTGGCTTGGAGACAATGAGTCTGGGGCCTCTGTTGGCTCGGCGGCAGCGAAGAAGGCCAGGAAGGTAGCCAGAGGGACGTAGATGGAGAGCTTCATTTCGAGAAGTTGATATTATATGTAGTTTTGGAGAGTATTATTTTGTATGCGTAGATGCACAAGCAATTAAGAAATTATGATTGTTGATTGTTGAGGACTGATTCTGGGCAAGGAGAGTAATATATCTTGTTCGAGGTTGTTAGGGCTCACATTCCAGACGGGAATAGAGTAGTGTTTGGGCAAATTCTTCGACACCATGGTGATTATAGGTATGGATCTAGAGGAATGTGGCAGATTTCTAAGGCTGAGATCTTCGATCGAGATTAAATGTTGTTAGTGGGTTGGAATTCAGCAATGATGTCAATTGATATTTGACATTGCTCCCAATATCCGTTAGAAGGTACTACTAGGTACAATAATCGCTGTGTAGCGTTACGCTCATCGCCTAGAATTACCAGTCCTACTCCTAATCAATATAGTAGTAAGCGAGTCTATTGTAAGTAAATAGCGATACCAGTACTATGATTGAAACAATAAATTTATTGTGGTACCTAGTAGGTATGGCTATATATTTTATCCTCATTGAATTCTTCGCCTTGAAAGCACCAGCATCCCATAGTAGCCCTGGTCTGATGAGAGCTTTCGCTTTCGAATACTCAAAGACTAAATCTAGGTGCCCATCTGATAGATGCTGAGGTATAGAATCATCTCAGAAGCAAAGACCCTTTCAAGTTGTAGAACAATCTCCTCGCAGGACCGTGGCGGATAGCTCCAGGATAACCCATTATCGTCAAACTCAGCGCCAGGTTCATATTGAAGGTTTTCCATATATCCTGAAAACTTCTCGCCCAGGGGAAAGTATCTAGTATTGGTGATCATACCCTCTCGCAATAACCAGGACCTGGAAATGCTTACTCTGGCTACCCAGCTGGGATATATGTCTTGTCAAGGGTCAATGGTCTAGTGTCACCATTTTCAACTGCCGTTACACGATCGGCTTCATACGGACCAATAAGCCTACAGGTCATTTTATTAATGAATATATTTCAATCATAGATTTTAGTTAGCTTCGATGCCTTTCGATGCCCTTAAAATTATGAAGTGGCGATAGTCATTTGAACTGTGGGGGGTTCGATTTTGATGTGACTCGGAGTTATGATGCTCAGGCTCAGGCTATCATTGAATATATATGATGTCTCGAATTACAACTCCGAAGGCTGGGTGTGTTGAGTTCAGGGAAACAGAGTGCTCTGATATAAACTTGGATTGTATATATGCATGGAAGATGTTTTTCGAGTTGTCTAAGTGTGAAACCTGAAAACTTTGAAATGTGTCGCATTGGCGCATATTGTATATGATCTTGGATTCATATGCAGAAGTGTTTGCCGAAGGTTATCCTAAGAATAAATATCATGCATACTACATAAACTTGAGACTTCGAGCTGAACATTCACCTCCGTGCAGGTATAGAAACCTTGGAAAAGGCTCAAGCATCAACCAAGCCCAGTCCTTACATATAAGTAGTAGTATTGTGTTGCATCTCAATCAGGACACAACAGCATTGACTTCAAATGTTGCAGCTTTACATTATATGCATGCAGCACAATGCAGTAAGTTCATAAATTCCAAGGATATGAATCAAATGCACTTATATCTTGATCTGAAGTCAACAAAAGCCCGAGCATAACCATGATATACTATCAACAACTTGAATTTATGCATATTTCAATACTAACCACATAGTACATACATGTACCAGTCCAAAAACCAACAAACCGTTTATAACACAATTATACAAATAATACACTCGCCCGGGACATGGACCAAGGACTCGGGTCCTACAAATTCATCATCAGTCAAACCAAGTCCATCTACATCCATGTACTTACAACCCTCAAGCCTAGCCGTCCACCTAGCAACGAAGAATGACAAAGTAAACACCCCGCGAAAGGGATCATTGCTCACCCCAACTAAAACCAGAAATCGTTATTGGATAAAATCCAACCAATTATACAACCTTTCCAAACAAAATACAATGAGAAAAAAACCACAAAGAAAATAATAATAATCAAAAACTCAAAAAGCCAATTCTCAACATTTCCTTAACTTTTCCGGATGGATCAGACCAGAATCCGGGGAACTTAATCCCAGTCAGCTGGTACAACAGGATCACTCGGGTGAAACGCCTTTCATTTCCCAGCTCCCCAGCCTTTCTCGAGCGGGCTAGCACTGAGCCGGGCCCTCTCTCGCTTACCAGTCGGAAGCCAGTGAGAATGAGAGTATTCACGCCTGGTTGTGATGGTGGTGGTGCCCGTGGTAGTAGGCCCGGCCGGGCGACCGACCGACCGACCGACACAGCCCTGTCTCCACGAGGATACAAGGGATTCGAAGGCGTTCCAGGATCCAAATCCAAACGAGCTAGTGCTAGGTGATCTCATTATTATATCAAGCGACATATTGCAATATCACCCTACTCCGTACGGACTACGGATACATGTACTCCGTATTGTTGTTTGACCAGCCTTAGCCCCAGCCCCCATGCTTACTGTACATCCATGTACATAGTAGGGTCAAAACAGACTTCCATTTCGGTGGCCACCCGCTGCATAATACATCAAGTACAGTTGATAATCAGCATTCGCAATCAAAATCAAACTATTCCAGTCCCACCCGAGATGACTCCTTGACGATCGTGCGGGGTAAGTCTGAAAAAAAGGGTGATAACAACATTGAACCTTACAAGTGTGAATAAACCCAAGACCGTGGATCACGACTATCTCGGTTCTACGGAGTGTGTACAATTCATCAGGCTTATCGTGGGGTCTACCTAAGTATACAAACCATGGTTCCTGTGGAAGTTTTAAGGTGTAGATAGTACATCGTTGGGCTACGGGCGATGCATGGCCCACAGATAAGATATCCACTTTTTATGTATGCCGAGGGGTCTGAGTTCATTAGTCTAATTATCTATCTCGTATCGTGGTTATCGGTTGTCCTATCGGTATCTTGTAGCTTGTATCTTTGGTTATCTGATGGACCTACTGTACATGGTATTGTTCTTCATGGATAAAGTTAACATTGGAAGGAAATTGGATGGAAAAGGGGATCTATCGCGTATTAGGTTCAGGGTTAGGATCATCATTATCAACACGGGATGTCGAGTGATCATTATAGGTGTTATGCATGGTTATTCAGGTCGTGCTACCCACTCCGTTTGAGTCCATTATGATTATATTATGATAGTGAACAATGTATTTCCCTCATAGTATTGTGCAAGTTGTACCGTAGAATGTGTCATATCATGCCAACTGCCTATAGTATCAGCTTAGGACGATGATCCCATCTGCTTGTATTGCATGTCTCGGCGCATTATTATGGTCTACAGTAGATCCAGCGCAGAAGGTTGACTTCCGGTCGTGCATGATACTGATCCGACATGACGAAACACACTTGCAGTCGGCATGAAATATATGTAGTAATGTTGTGTTGTTAGGTTAGGTTAGGGAGCCAACGGCGAGCACCGATGGATTATGGAGGGGAGATCGGAATATGAGCCGTGCACGACTGCATTGACCCCCTGTACATTGCGTAGAATGCCATCATGCACTAAAGTAGCACACATGTACGCGCCTTTCCCCGTTATCGGGACAGTAACTGTAGAGGTATCCATCCATCTCGATATCTGATTTGACCATAGAGTATCAAATAGACAAAGAGCTAAAAAATGATCATCCCCCCTTGTCGTGTAAGTAAAAAAAAAGATCTGATGGTGTTAGGGAAACGTATCGCGTGATGTGAAACCACGTCATGAGTAATGCCGTGCCACCTGCATATGGACTCGATGGGCTGCAAGGTTTGTCCTTGCAGGAGGCGGTCAACGACAGGTCCTACACCGCTGGTACTCGGGACAAAGACCCGTTGCATTTTGGTTGCTGCGTTGATGTCTGAGACCAGCAGGCTTAATTCCTGTAGGGTACCCAGGCACAGGTGTACCTTTCTACCTTACTGAGTTCTGTTCTGCCTCTGGCCTGAACGCATTCGAATTACCTAAATGTCATCTCCGCTTTTACAGTATTTCCGCACGACCCACTAACCGGCCCCACAATTTTTCTTTCACAAAAATAATGAACCCTCGCTTACGAGGGTCCGCCACCCATATGGAACAGATCACCCATATGGAACATTTTTTCTAAATCTTACCACAACCACTATTATCATCTACCACACCACCAACAATGCCTAAAACCAATAAAGATATAGAGAACCAGATTCAGCTGGCAATAGAGTCTCTCTCTGAGCAATCTAAGCCTAATATTAGGAAGACTGCGCGAGAATTCGCGGTTCCTGAAGGCCGTCTTCGTCGGCGCTGGCAAGGTGGAAAATCGCTTTTCCAACGACAACCTAATGGCCGGAAGCTTAGTATTGCACAGGAGAAGGCTTTATGTGAATATATTGATTATTTTGATGCGGTCGGAGCATCAATAAATCGCCGTCAAATTGCTATTGCTGCCGATTCAATTCTGGAAGAAGATCATACCGACACCACCACAGATCCCCCACAAATTGGCGACCATTGGCTAAAGCGTTTTCTTAAACGGTATCCTGAGTACTATATACGACGTCGGCGAGCTCTTGATGTTGAAAGAGCTACTGCACTGGATAAATCCGTTATAGAGAGATGGTTTCAAGACTATCAACGTATAGTGGCTAAATATGGCATCTGTCAACAAGATATCTACAATTTTGACGAAACTGGCTTCCAAATTGGCGTCGGTCGCGATCAATTTATTATCACAAGACATCCAAAAAAGAAGCTATTTAATGGCTCAGTTACCAATCGCGAGTCTGTCACTGTTTTAGAGGCTGTTTCGGCTGATGGCTTTACATGCCCACCGCTGATTATTCTAAGCGCTAAACAAGCATTACTACGTTGGTTTGATAAAATTGAAGACGACGAGCATCTTGCTATAACTGATACTGGCTATATCAATGATACATTAGCATATCAATGGATTCAGCTGTTTCATAAATGGACAATTTCTCGTACCATTGGGAAAAAGAGGCTAGTTTTATGCGATCGTTTTGGATCACATTTAACGCGTCAATTTGTTGAATTTTGTGAGAAGAATGATATCATTCTATTCTTCTTACTCTCACATACTAGCCATATACTACAACCTCTCGATGTTGGAGTGTTTAGTGTATATAAACACTGGCATAGTGAGGCAGTTGAGGCGGCTACAATGACTGGATGCCGTAAATTTTCAAAGGATGAATTCCTACATTCAATCAGTGAAATCAGACGCAAAACCTTCCGGCCACATACAATCAAGCTTGGGTTTAGATTAACTGGCCTTTGGCCAATTAATTCTAAGCTTATTACCGATGAATTGGATTCGTACGATCCATATTATGATAATATATCCCGGGAAGATACACCATCAGTTAACTCACAAAATACTGAGTTTAGCACCCCAAAAACCGCTGAGAGAGTTCGAAGAATTAGCGATCGTATTAATCAATATGATCCTACTACTCAACGTTTTAAAGAAGGGCTAGCAAAGCTTGTAAAGGGTGCTGAGACTCAGGCAATGTTGGCTGTCCAACTGCAACGGGAATTCGATTCTACACAAGCTATTATGGGAGCACGTCACGCTAGATATGATGCTTCTCGCCGTTATACGCAAATCACTGGTATTATCAATTCAAGCCAGATCAAAGAAATGAAGCTAAAAGAATATAAATTGACTGAAAAAGCCGATCAAGAAAAGACGAAGCGGAAGTGGAAGAAGATATTGGTTGAAATTAGGAAGCATGGAAGAGCCAAAAAACGCCGGGGAAATTAACTTGATTTTGTATTCTAATATTAAAATGGCTGATTGATTTGTTTATTATTTTTAGTTAATTAATTAACTATATGGTGGTGTGGTAAATAGTAGTTGTAGTACGATTTAGCAAAAATGTTCCATATGGGTGATCTGTTCCATATGGGTGGCGGACCCTCGTAAGCGAGGGTTCATTATTTTTGTGAAAGAAAAATTGTGGGGCCGGTTAGTAGACACGTACTTAGAATAAGTCATTGTCATTCTAGGGGAGGGGGGGAGGGACTAGACTAGACCCATCCCATCGCCATCAAGGTCGGGCGCGTAAGTGGTTTTAGCCACACTGCATGGGATACATCTGCGCCATCTGGGGCCAAAAGGACCAAAAGGACAAAAAGCTCCTGCAGCAGGAGCGCTAAAGCAGTCAAATCTGGCCCCCCTTTTTTATTTTGGAAAAGGTAATAATCATAATGTACCAACTTAGGCAGCGTCCCCTTGACACCGTATGCCGTACCTGCGGAAGAAACAGCCAGCTGGCCCATTGACCCTCTTTTTCTCAAGGAGACCCGGCAACGAAACTCCGGGGCCTGCAGTAGGGGGAGATGGAGTGGGTCGGATTGAGTTACCAATGTTACCAATCAAAGGACATCACGCCATAATTCATCCATGGCGTCATGCACGATGGAAATAGTGCATATTGGAGTCTGTTATGAGTGTCTCTCATTGGTGGTGATGGGTGGTTGCCCCAGAATCCACTGCACATTGCGATGCATCCGGTTTAGCGTCGCCACCTTGATCCGCCCTCGGCCGGCGTGAGTCTCCCAAGTCCAGTCAAGTCCCAGTTCCCAGTTCCCAAGTTCCCAAGGCTGAGAGGGTCACTTTCCCATGCCCCCTGCTCTCTCCTGGTTTGCTGGGCTGGGGAAATCAACATCCTGAGACCTCGGGAAGACCATTCTGGACTGCAGGTCCCAGTATTTTCCATGTTGAACCTTGGGAGAAGAATTGACAATTTTTTTGGAATTTTGGGTCTTTGGGTCTTTGTCGAACTGGTATCGTAGTCTATGTAATGTAGTTCATGTTGGGGTTCCAAATTTGGCTGGAATCGCCTCCCGTCATAGATAGAAAACAATGGCCATTAGATTGACAATGAATGTTCGTCATTTGGGCTAGGGTGTCGATGTTTCGTCTCTTTCATCATGTCATTCGTAATTCCCCTACAGGGTGGAATGCCCAGGGTTTGTCTGGAAGGTTCATGAAGATTGACGATGGGGGCCTACTGGATTGCGTGGCGTTCGAGGCATACCGGGTTCTGTAAGTGACGATCGATAGTGGTACGGAAACGGGGCATTGGACCCCCCAGAAGGCCAATCATGCCCAATGGGACAGTTCTGATTGGGGACGAGGCAGTGTAGATCGCACGAGTAAACCCGTTTTAAACCCGTTTGAAACAGTAACTGTATCGTCAGAATATACGTCCTGAATGACACATCATGGTTCTGCAGTGTACACTCTGTACCGTACAGCGGGTAAACTGAGGAACTAACATTAAGGAACCCGCTGATGTGACTAACCTGACGCTGTTTCCCCATATGACTCCTAATCTACCTGTACTTCCCCTTCTTCTCTAAACTTGCCATATTATCATCTCCGTTCCCTCGTTCCTTCTCTCTTTCTCTTCACTTCCTATCTTATCTTTCTCCCCATTCTCTTCTCTTCTCTCCTCCCTCCCCGTCCCTCTTCTACGGGCTAGCACTCGATCTTCAGCGATATCCAAGTCATCTGTTTCCCCCCATAACCGCTGTTGCCATCTGTCAAGGAGTGCTCCCCGACATCGACCACGCCTCCTATTTCGACCTTCCTATACCATTCACACCATCTCCAGAGTCTGCTTCTGTGACTCGGCCTGGTCAATAGTTACTTCTGGTGTTCTGTTCCAGTTCTGCTATTGATTGGCCCCATCGTCTTCCATTCGCCCCCCGATCTTCGTCTTGGTTATATATCACGAAATCGTCCTTGGCGAATACCTTCTCAACTCATACGTGCTTTGTGGACAGAGCTTGTTGAGCGATTGAGAATCCCAGTTCTTTTGGGAACCTGGCTTTTGAGCACTCCGACTTGTCCGATCCCCCCTGGATTTGAAGGTGCTCTGATCCCCAGGGTCCCCATACAACTCTTCCCATCTTCGGTTGATTCCTGGTAGCTTGTACAAGCTTCAGCATCCATTCGAATCTTTGGAATTCTTTTCCATCTTAGTGGCCTTCCAATTTATCGCTCTTCTTGCCTACCGGTCCCACCCATGACTCATTAATCTCAACTTCCAATATCTGAGTCACGACCAAGGCCCACCTTGAACCCGGTGTTCACAGGCTTTTCGTGTTTTCTTCTACGTCTTTTCTTGCTATACTTTTTCCATCCAATCACGATATTACGCAGCGTTATCTCAACCTCCCTTCAATTCGTCTCTCAGGCCTCTTGACCTTGTTGACCTTATACAAACTACAACAACTCCATTCTCTCCGCCAAATTCTCTTTTTCTCTACTTCGGCCCTTCGGCATATTGAAAAAAACGAAAACGACATACAAATGAGCACATAACGGTCTTTACCCCCTTTTCCTTAAAGCGTCTCCATCACCCTTTGTCTGGGTTCATTCAGCCGCGTCCTGCGCCGCCTCGTCATTACTATTTCCTTGTTTATCAACTTCCTCAATTCACTGGTATATTTTTATGACCCCTTGTGCCGAAACGGAACAGTCGTCAACTTTTTACAACTTGTCTCGTCTCAGTGGTTCTGTCAATTCAGATCCAGGCCCAATTCCTCTACTCTTCTTGAACCTTAATCATTTCAATAGCCTGGTTGCTGTTTCCGTTGCAACGTTTGGAATCCATCTTTCCACACGTTCAACTCCCTTTCCTGAGCGCTTCATAGATTATTCTTTGTTGTTGGAGCCTTTCTCAACTTTTTGTCTTTTGCATTTAACATCCCATCTCATCTCTACATTTTCACATCATGTCTACCATGGAGTCTCACAATAGCGGCTTTGAAAAGGGCCGCATCCTGGATGGCCGCTTCCTCTCAGTGGCCGCTCTCAACTCGGGGTCATTCGGCTTGGTCTTCCTCGCCAAAGATATCAAGACCCACCAGGATGTTGCTATTAAGTGTCTAGCCAAGACGCTCTCTTCAGATCCTTCAACACCTTTCCCAATGGATGATCGATTTGAAGAACTCGAATGCCACCGCCGTTTTGGACGCCACCCTAATCTGGTCAATTTGATCCATTCATTCGACACTGAGACTCACATGTACTTGGTCCTGGAGTACTGCGCCAATGGTGATTTATATGAGGCCATCCGTCTCAACCGTGGTCCACTTGAGACTGAGCATGTACGCGACTTCATGCTGCAGCTCATCGATGCCATCGAGTACATGCATGCCAAGGGCCTCTATCATCGCGACATCAAACCCGAAAACATCTTGCTGACATCTGACGGTTCGATGAAGCTCGGTGATTTTGGTCTTGCCACGAGTGACATCTGGTCCCACGAGGCCTGTGTGGGCAGTGATCGTTATATGGCGCCTGAGCAATATGAGCCAACTTCTTCAGGTTACTCGCCTGCACAGGCAGACATCTGGTCCATTGGTATTTGCTTGTTGAACATTCTGTTTTCTCGCAACCCTTTTATTACTCCCACGCAATCCGATGTGCTATTCTTAGACTACGTCCGTGACCGCCAGTCACTGTTTGACATATTCCCCAACATGTCTCAAGATACTTATGATATTCTCACCCACTCATTGGCTCTTGACCCTGAGAGGCGCTCCTTGTCCGAAGTGCGCCAGTGTATTCTGCGAGCTGTCTCTTTCACCACCGACGATGAGTCATTGGATGAGTTCTGCACTGAGGACCGCGAGGTTGTCGCCGCCAGCGCCAACCGCGAGCCTCTGCGTACTCCTTCCCTCCAGAGCCCTCAGATCAACCATGGCGACTCCTTCCCTTGGGCCAAGGCTTTGCAGTCGAGTCCCGCTATGGCCAATCGCCAGCTCTCTGCAATTCCTGATAACGAGAGCTACACTGAGGATCTGTTCCCTCCCTCTGAAGTGGCTGGTACCTCATGGTTCTCAACCCATGACAATCTATCCATGGCTTCCGTCCTCGAATCTGCTTTAAGTGAATCCATTCGCTCGCTTCACATCCCTCAGCACAAGCGTGTCAATCTTCCTCGATCTGATCCCGTGCCCATCACTGGTTCTCTTCCTAGTCATGCGACGAAGCCTTTACCATCTTTGTCAATGGTCTTCGGAAAGGACTCCACCGATCAGATCTCCAAGAGCTGGAGCGACCTGTGGGATGAAGAGGAGGAGTCGGAGAATGAAGAGATCGGTCTCCAGCAGCGCCGTGAGCAGAACTCTCGCAGCTGGAGTCAAGAAAGCCAGGATGCCCACATGCCGGGTAACATTTTGGAAAAGCGCGAGCTGGACTCCGCTTCTGACAACCGACCTCACACTCCAGTCACTCAACTGATCGCCCCCCGCGCCATTGGAGCTGACTCTTTGGAAGCTGACAGCGATGCTGGAACTTCTAGCAGCACGCCTCGCCCTATTCCTCGACAACTCTCGCTCAAGAAATCCGACGTCGACAAATGGGCTGAATTGGGTGACAAGCGACGCAACTGCAAAACCCGTGAACCCTTCGGTCCTCAGCGTGCAGCCCACAATTGGCGACGCGATTGGGGCCTTGGCTCTTCTGGGTTTGACCATGGATCGCGCCCTAAGCGCGAATCTCCTCAGATCGACCGTCGCCGCAATGTCTTCCTCAAGAAAGACTGGCGTCGTGAACATGCGGACCTTTCCAAGCTTTCCCCAACTAAGCCTTCCTCCTATGATGGCAGTGTTGACGAAGACCTCGACCTTGTGGGTGGATGGCATGATCTCCACCTGTAGCTCATATCACCTTTGCTGCTTATTACATTCGTCACATTCTTATCTTTTAACTTCCGCTTGTCTTTGTCCTGTTTGCACCGTTCGATTAAGTTGGGAAAAAAGTTCAAAAAACCCTTACCAACGATACATTAATCTCGTTTCATTCTTTTCTCTTGTTTTTCTTTCTTTCTGGACTTGAACTCTCGCACGTCTCTGATCATTTATTTATTTTTTTGTTTGCTGGTGCTCACCTCTCTATATCCTTCAAATTGCTGCAGCAGTTCACATTTTCTTTTCACTGCCAGCACTGCTCTTAACCATTACCCTTTTTTGTTCTTTTCTATTTCTGTACTATATGGGGTTGGGGCAGCAGAGGGTGGGAAGACACATCATGCACCAAAAAGACTAGAAGGCGGGGTGCAATTTATTTAGGGGAGGATGTTTTTTATTACGCATTCGGACAAAAGCAGCGATTCGGAAAATTCAAGGAACAGATTTTGATGATGATGGAATATCAGCATGGGAGTTCCAACTACGCATCTTGGCTCCCAGTGCATCAGGTTGAAACACGGCCGTTTTTCTCTTTGACTCTTGATATGGAACCCACATATGTATTGTAACTAGCTTTGGGGACGTTGAAGAGAAAATTGAATACCCTCCGTGAAGAATATATACTATCTTCTAGACTGCAATCTTGTAGTATTTGACATAGAGTGGTTTCAATCTGGAGTAGTCAATATTGTAGAAGGCCTCGTGGTTGGAAGCCACCTTCCAAGGCTGATAACATACAGTCTAGAATTGCTACATTTTCTATCCCACTGATGCTCTGAAATGATACTCCACTTCCAGCCTCCCGAATTTTAACTTAGGAAAAGATGCGGTGTAGATCGGTCCACCTGCATTGCATGTCTCAGCCTTTTTCTTCCTTTCCCGTAACAGCACAAAGCTCACCGGAGCGGGTCAGTGCATTATGCATTATGCATTTTGCAGTTGCAGTTGCAGTTGCAGCTCGCATTTAATCAAAATATGAGTACACCATGAGAACCTAATTTCATCCTAACTATACCTCTATGCTTCAACCATCTAGTACTATATCATATTAATTCAAAACCCTGTCTCTTTTCAACTCAAGTATACAACATACTGTCCACCACAGTATGTATCAAGCGGCGGTGAAAAGGGCGGTGACCCCGGCTTAAGCCATCACAAATGCCACGATCCACTTTTTATCCACAGCTTCCACAACGTTCGAGTCGGCGCTTCGCTTCGGACACAAAGGAATAGACTACACAATCACTTCACCACTTCAATAAAACGCCTCCTTCAAACTGACCCCGCCTTCTGTTATTCGCCCCATCCTATTCACCCTCATCATATCCGTATCGTTATCCTCCCACCTACCTCCGGAACTCAAACTCGCCAGATAACGATTACGCGATTGATCCCGTCCATCACGATGCGCATATCATAATTCACGTCAATCATATTACAAGCCTGCTGTTCTGAGGTGGACTGGTTGGTTTTCATTCTGCCAAGCCGGTGGCTGGGATAAGCTTGTGAGCTTGGCTTGCTAGCTGGGTCTCTGGAACAGGATGGCTAGTTTGGGATTTGGAAGGGTAAAAATATCTCGCTGTGTGGTTATTCTTCTTGCACTGGCTGGTACAGGGCTTGCGGAGACAGTTCAGAGTCAGAGTCAGAGTCAGAGCCAGGTACCAAGTTCGGAGATATGCCCGGCCGAGAATATTTGGGAAGTTGAGGCACGAATTCTCCGAGAGGAGACGTGTCTTGAAAACCGACGGGGTCCTGGATTACAAGCTGATTTGGGCTCTGGGATGCCTGTTGCCGGGAATTATACAGCTGGGGTGGATTCGGATTTTGGTGCCGCGCAGGGAACAGATGATACCGGTGCAGTAGTACCTGATATTGAGGCTGAGACTGCTACCCCGCAAGAGGCTGAGCAAGATACGGATTCTCTGCTCGATAGCGCGAGCTTCTTATCGTTTGAAGATTGGAAGAAGCAGAATCTCGCGAAGGTCGGACAATCAGCCGAGAATGTCGGGGGAAGTCGCCGAGTAGCTGCTGCCGGTAAAGAGGGAAGAAGACAACCTGGGATCAACAATGCGTTGGATTCATTAGGAGACGACGCGGAGATTGAATTGGAGTTCGGCGGTTTCGGTGCTGAAACACCAGAAGCTAGTCCTACGGCATGGGGGACGCCGATTCCATCGCCATCCGCGGATACTCCAGACGACGAGGAAAATGATGCTCATCTTAGACAGGTACACCGAGCAGATATTTCGCGGCGGAAAGATGCCGGGACAACGTGCAAAGAGCGATTCAATTATGCATCTTTTGATTGTGCGGCTACTGTTTTGAAGACGAATCGGGAGTGTAAAGGGTCTTCTTCTGTTCTTGTTGAAAACAAGGATAGTTATATGCTGAATGAATGTCGGGCTCAGAATAAGTTTCTTATTCTGGAACTGTGCGATGATATACTCGTTGACACTGTTGTTCTGGCCAATTATGAATTTTTCAGTTCCATCTTTCACACGTTCCGCGTTAGTGTATCTGATAGATACCCTGCGAAACCGGATCAGTGGAAAGAATTAGGTGTTTATGAAGGCAGAAATACCCGCGAGGTGCAGGCGTTTGCTGTTGAGAACTCTCTCATTTGGGCGAGGTATCTTCGTATTGAGTTCTTGACGCACTATGGCCATGAGTTCTTCTGTCCTATTAGTCTGATCCGAGTACATGGAACGACTATGATGGAAGAGTATAAACACGATGAAAGTGCTGGTCGGGCTGAAACGGAGGATATCGACGAGGTCGAGGTCGAGGTCGAAGAAGCCCACGTCAATACTAATGACGAACCGGTCGCCCCTCCAGAGGTTGTGGATGAGCCCGTGGCGGAGGAAATCGACAATACTCCATTGCCTGAAACTTACCCTCAAGTACTCAGTGAGGTAGAATTGCTGCTGTTGGGCATTTCACAGAAACCCGACGAGACTTGTGATATCAATCAACGACCGCCACCGGAGACTATCTCTGAGGGTACTGCTTCTGTCGCTTCAGCAAATGTGAATTCCACAGCCACAATGGATGGAGCTCCGGCGGCCCAATCTGGCGCGTCCGCACCGCCAAAGGCACCAGAAGACACTCGGAAACCCGGGAATTCTACAAACGCTATGATGACGACTCCTGATGCTTCCGTTGCAGCTGCAGAAGTACCTCAACAGAACTCCACTGCCGAGAGTACAGGCAAATCAGTGGGTAGCTCCAAGGAGGACAATAGTCCATCACCCGAGTCCATCAGGCCGACATCTACCCAACCTCCCTCCTCAAACCCGACCACCCAAGAATCATTTTTCAAATCCGTGAACAAGCGACTCCAAATGCTTGAATCGAACTCTACGCTCTCCCTCCTATATATTGAAGAACAATCCCGAATCCTCCGTGACGCATTCAACAAAGTCGAAAAACGTCAGCTTGCAAAGACATCTACGTTCCTTGAAACACTTAATGTCACAGTTCTCAGCGAGCTTAAAGAGTTTCGAGAACAATACGACCATGTCTGGAATTCTGTGGCTTTTGAATTCGAGCATCAGCGAATGCGATATCACCACGAAGTGCACGCCCTCAGCGCCCAGCTAGGTGTTTTAGCCGACGAACTTGTATTCCAGAAACGTGTCACTATAATACAAAGTATCATGGTTCTATGCTGCTTTGCACTGGTTTTATTCTCCCGAGGCTCAGTCGGAAACTACATGGAATTCCCTCGAGTGCAACGAATGGTGGCTCGCTCCTACAGTCTACGCGATTCATCCCCCATCTCAGCTTCACTTTCTGCCAGCCCAGGCTCAACGCGGCCTACGTCTTCCTATCGCCAGAACGAGACTCACCGACGCAATTTATCGGACAGTTCCTCGTCTCAGGATAGTCCAGCCAGCCAGTCAGCTCCTTTTATCCCGCCAACCCCCACATCTCATGTTTCTCAGGATATGAGCCCTGAGAAGTCCGATGAGCCCCCATCTCCAGAGTCGATGTCTGTACCTACGATTGGAACACCCCATTTTCGGTCCCATAGTACTCCGCCTGTTTTAAATGGACATCCGTCTATATTGGATCAGGACGACGAAGGGGATGAATTTGCACTGGCGGCGGAGGTATCTCAGACATCGGACGAGGGTTTAACACTATGAGGCTTTAACATAATCTAAGTTTTAGACTGGGCTGGTCCCGACTGAAACATCAACACCCCTTCTTTGTTTTGATCCATCCTGAGCATTGTTTGCCCTTGATTTTCATTGTCATCTGTTTATTTTCATGATATGGCGTTTGGGCATTATCGCTATGATCTGGCGAGTGTACGTTTGGATGATATGCACGATAGAGATTCCCACTTTTGTTAGGCTAAGATTCTATATTTGGTACTTTCTACCTACTATAATCATGCATGTTCTGTTATTCCCGAGGTCGACAACCACAATAAAAGTCACTAGCAGTAAAAATAAACACAAGACATACCCTGTAATACTCAAAATCAAAATAAACAGGATCAACATCCATTAATCCAATTAATATGACTCAGGACAGGAATGTTCTGGCCCGTGTCGTCATGAGTGCAACTGAAACCCGTTGCCGGGCCAACAATCAAGACGCATTTTTCCTCGTTCATCTGCACCAACAACACGTTTTTCCTCTTCTTATCCGATCCACTTGATCTGACTTGAACCTGCAAAACTTCAATCTTCCACATACTCTCTTCATTAGAAAAGACAAAGACTTGACACTTCAAAAACACACAATCACAACCACAATGGACGCCACAACACAAGTGCAGCCTTTGGCCGACCGCCCAACCAACACCCACCTTGCCAATACCAACAACAACGTGGACAAGACAGACATGAAGTCTGCTGATTTGTCTTCAATGGATTACCACCGCAACGTGTTGCAGGGAAAGCTGGATAACGGCGAGAAGTGAGTTCCCCCCATCGCTGGTGCTGGCGTCAAGACCCAACCCAGCAGCCAAGATTTTTTGAGACGAGAACATTGCTAATAGTCTTCTACTTAGGCAACCTGGTGCTTACGTTTCCCCGTCGGACGAGTTAATGAGTCCCTGCACAAAGAAATTGAGCGACATTAAGGGCAAGCGATTCAAGAAGTATGTTTCCACTCCCAGAGGGCGAACAACAAACCCGACGCATTTACAGTAGTGAGAGTCATACGCTAACATTAAAACAGTGCCGGCAAGCCCCAATCTCTCTTTGCTAAGCTTGGAAAGAAGAGCTACGAGCAATCCTCATCGGCTGAACAAGGGCGCAACTCAGAGTAATGCACTCGCATTACTACTGTATGATGTCTTGTTTATGTGCAATTTGTGTTTATTCAAGTTCTCTTCTGCATAACCCCTGCACTTCACCGATCATATTTATTTCCATCGACCGGCTACGTCTTTTGATTTGGACGCTGGCCGTCTTCATCTGAGACAAGCTAGAGCAAGACTCGGCACGAGTCGGCTGGATTGATCTGATCCGATGATGTATGCAATGGGGACTCCTTCATTCTTTTAGGGATTCACCTTGTTTCCCTGTGTTTTTCTTTTGTCACGACCCGCAATGCCTTCTTGCCTTATGTGCTATTACTATTTCTTTTTTTGTGCCAAGGTTCTTTGGTCTGTTATGGGGTTTGGGGGTTTAGTTTGTCCTCTACATAGGAATGGAGATTAATTGGACATTTTCTTTCATTCGGTCACTCGACCATACGGCTCTGTAAACTTTATATCTTTTACCTTGGGATATTTTCAATCAATGGTAATTTGAAATCCATCGGCGAGATGACCGAGGTACCTGGTTGACAACGGTATGCTCACAATAACTCGTTGGTGATGTTATTCGATTTAAAATAGTAAGAGGAAGAGTTTTCCATTTACATTTTCATTTACAAAGAACATTCTAGTCAAATTTATATTCTCCAAATATCTATTTCATGATTCTGCTGATGGTGCCACTCAATACCGACCGCTATAGTAGACGCTGGGCCGAGGCAAAAAGCCCGCCGCTCGGCTTCTCCACTACTCCGCAGTTACGAAGCCCCCAACTTATAATCGACTGCTTCGCCTCTACTCTCTCTCTCTCCCCAGATTCCCCATATCTGGTCTCATCAACTTTATCATTCATAATGTCTGCATCTACCCGTATTCCTCCTATCGCTCAGCCCTTCGTCAGCGACCGGGCAAAGAAGACACTGGACCTGGTATGATTGAGCTCTCCCGCTCTTACACCAAGCTGTCGGTGACGGCATACTTCCCTTTCTCTTCCATTTCCACACAAGATGAGATGGGATTATCCATATTTCCATCGAAAATTACCCATTGTATAAATTCTTAGACTAACTCTTCACGCTGCTAGGTTGAGGAATTCGTCGAGAAAGAATGCGTCCCCGCTGAAGGTGTTTTCTCCGCCCAGCTCGGCGAGGGCGAGCAGCGATGGAACACCACCCCTGCTGTTATTGAGCAGCTGAAGGAGAAGGCTAAGAAGCTCGGGCTTTGGAATATGTTCCTGGCCAAGAGCCATTTCAAGCAGGGTGCTGGATACAGTAACCTTGAGTATGGGTTGATGGCTGAGATCCTGGGAAAGAGCAAGCTTGGATCAGAGGTTGGTTACCGTTCCGTCCCTACGACCGAGTCGAAATTATAGTGTATCTGCCATATGCTATGCTTGATCTTTTATATTTTGTTTCGTGGCTGACTTTCAATGTTCAATGCTAGGCTACTAATAACGCTGCTCCTGATACTGGTAACATGGAGGTGCTGGCTAAGTACGGCAATGAGGCCCAGAAGCAGGAGTGGCTGGCTCCCCTGCTGGAGGGTAAGATCCGGTCTGCATTCCTGATGACAGAGCCAGATGTTGCATCTAGCGATGCGACGAATATTGAGCTCAATATCCGTCGTGAGGGTAACGAATACGTTCTTAACGGATCGGTACGTTTTGAATTTATGCGAGGCGCATAGAATAGTATCATTCTCTTCTAAAGGCCAAAGCTAACATATCAAATTCCAGAAATGGTGGTCCTCAGGCGCTGGTGACCCCCGCTGCAAGATCTACCTTGTAATGGGCAAGACAGACCCCACCAACGCCGACACATACAAGCAACAATCTGTTGTGCTCGTCCCAGCTGGACTCCCAGGAATCACAGTCCACCGTATGCTAAACGTGTACGGCTACGACGACGCCCCCCACGGCCACGGCCACATCAGCTTCAACAATGTCCGCATTCCAGTCTCCGGCATGGTCCTCGGCGAAGGCCGCGGGTTCGAGATCATCCAGGGTCGTCTGGGCCCGGGCCGTATTCACCATGCCATGCGCACTATCGGTGCCGCTGAAAAGGCGCTCGAGTGGCTGATTAACCGTGTGAATGATGATCGCAAGAAGACCTTCGGCCAGCCTTTATCTGCGCACGGTGTGATCCTGGAGTGGATTGCTAAGTCGCGCATTGAAGTTGATGCTGCGCGTTTGATTGTGCTTAACGCGGCTATTAAGATTGATCAGGGCGATGCGAAGTCTGCGCTGAAGGAGATTGCGCAGGCGAAGGTTCTTGTGCCGCAGACTGCGTTGACTATTATTGATCGTGCCGTGCAGGCTTATGGTGCTGCTGGTGTCTGTCAGGATACCCCGCTTGCGTATCTGTGGGCTGGTATTCGAACACTGAGGATTGCGGATGGACCGGATGAGGTGCATTTGCAGCAGCTTGGTCGTCGGGAGAATAAGTCACGCAGGGACGCTATTGCTGCTAAGTTGAAGTGGCAGCAGCAGGAGTCTGATCGATTGCTCATTGCTTCTGGGTTCAAGGCGAAGAGTCATCTGTAGATAGTTATGAGATTTGGAAAGTCTCGAATCTTTCATAGGTTCATGTTGGGACTAAATAGGTACTTTCGGAATAAAGAATGAAAGAAATTCCGATAAATCTATTCATGGGTGTTTTTTAAGATTGTGAATCTGGTATAAGATTGATTGAATTCGTAAAAACCCAACGCCTGCAAATGTTTAGATCCTCCAAGTCATTGAGATATGCAAAATCCATATGTAAAATCAGTTATCATCCCAGATCTGCCTCGCACGTGGATACCGTTATGATATGGACAAACGTGAACATGAAAAGTAAATAAACATAGCTACATGAAAACAGTCATCATCTCCATCATTGAAGCCCACCCGCAACGAAAAGAAACAAGACAAAAGAAAAACAAAAAAGCACTTTTTTTTAGTAATGTTCTTCATCAGCAGGGTTGTTGCGCTTGGCTTTTGCGCGCTTCTTGTTGGCCTTGAAATGTTTCTTAGAGCTTCCACCCTTAACCTCAGAGACATCGATGCCGCGTTCCAAAGCGATCATCATACGCTCCTTGCGACCTGTAAGATTTTGACGCATCTCTTGGCCTTGAACGGTGTTCTTGGCGTTGAAAGGCAAAGTCATACGGCCAGCTGAAGGACCTGTCGCTGAACCGAAGAAGCCGGTGTCAAGAGCGCGAGAGCGCACACCCGGTTGCTCTTTAGCTGTGGCCTTAGATGCCGTAGAGGCAGTTTCAGAGTCAAGATCTTCAACTTCAGCCATAGTCCTCTCGATTTGGGCCCGGCGTCTCTCAGGAAGATGAGCGAGGTCGTAAAGATCCTTATTGAACTCATTTGGATCGGTGGGGTCCTCACCCTCTGCCACAGGGGGAGGGTGAACGAAAAGAATCTTGCCATTCACGTAGTCCTTCAGGACGTAACGTGCAGCACGAGACTCGTCCGGTTGACCCAGACCTTGAGTGGAGAAACCACGAGCACGAGCGTAGGCACGCAAGAGCTCACTGGCAGTAGGGATGCCAGTTCCGCCCATCTCGATAGGGCGAGTATTGATCTTTACACCGTAGACATTTTCCAGGAAGTGCTGGGGAATGCGGTGCGCGACAAGAGCGGCGGGACCAGTGAACTCACGTTGCTGGTCAATAGGCAGAACACCGTTCACGACCAAGTCAGCCTTGGTAGTGGCGAAGTTGGGGAACACCAGACCGGGACAATCGCAAAGCATGATTTCTGGGGAGAGGTATAGTGTTTGGAAATGCTTGGTTTTACCGGGTGTGGCAGACACAGACACCTTCTTAGCACCCAGAAGAGCGTTAATTGTGCTGGACTTACCCACGTTGGGGTAACCGACCAAACCGATAGTTGTCTTCTGCTTAGGCTTTCCATCGGAGTCCTCGTTCTCAGGAACTCTCTCCGGGGCGTTGGCGAGGAAAAGTTCTTCTAACTCGTCCACATCCAGGATATGGGCTCCCAAGGAGACATCAGGATCGGCGAGCTGAGCCAGCTTGTCCTCGTCCGTCTCTTCTTGAGTAGTCTCTGCAATTTCACCCTCTTTAGAAGCATCCTCATTCTTATCTTCAACGTTCATCTTCTTAGTAGACTTGATAAATTCGTCGTCGTCTTCGCTGTCGGACTCCTCCTCTTCCTCAAGCATCTCAGCTTCTATCTTCTCCTTGGCGAGGTGGGCCGAGAAGAAACGGAAGTTGATGTTATGCTTCTCGAAGTACTCAGCCCAGGCTTCTCGCTGGGGTAAAGTCAACATATCAGCCTTGTTAACGAGCAAAAGATTCTTCTTGCGCGGGTCAATCTCCTTGACATAGTTTTCCAAATCCTCCGAACGGAACTGAAGTGGGTTTCGAGCATCGACAATCTGCACAACCAGATCTGATCGCTCAATAACACGCCATAGTTGACGCCAAACCTCCAAGTTGCGCTCGAATGGGGTCATCAACAAATCATTAAATTCCTGCAGCTCCGCTAGGCCGCGACGCCAGTCCAACAGACTCTCACGCTCCATCAACTCCAGTTGCTGTGGTGTTGTCGTGGAATCCCATTTCGGTCGGCGCGGAACCGTCAAGCGACCCTTGTTCTTCTGGTGTTTCTTCAACTTCGACTTCTCCTCAGATGCGGACAGGAGGTATGGGTTTTTCTGATCGGTATGGATAATTTTGACGTTGTTGATCTTCTCGGCTGTGAAATCGGTACCAGCTAGTTCGGCGGTGCTAAGGAATTCATCGAGGGCAGCTTGCTCAGTGATAGAGCGCATCTTAACCCATGATGCTTCCTCCGAGGCATTTGTAATGTAGGTTTCACCCTGCATGTTCTTTCGGGAGATGGCATTGTTGTGCGAGCCCTTTTTTTGAGCTGAAGCTTTTCCTTTTCCGAAACGGTCATTCATGAGGCTGTTACCCAGCCCCACGGAGTTTTTGGATTTAGCCAACACCATGGTGGATATGTATGGTGCTGTATGGTGTTGAAAATGTAATGTGTAGGAATCGAAGTAAAACCCCGCTTGAAAAAGGAAATCTTTTGGATTATTCAGGCGCGGATAAGATAGCTGACTCAGCAAGGGAAATTTTGATCTTGATTTTGATTTTCGATTTTTCTTCGATTAGATCAATGTATGTTTAGTTTGATGTTATGCTATACAATAAATGAAATTTTTGAAGAGTCTTGTGTATAAAAAAGAACCCCTCTTATGTCTTCAATCACCCATTGTACATGTATCTTGGTGAAAAGTCTATATTCGCCACACTGAGGACCCGAGGGGCTCGGGCACCGATAAGGAGCACGTGACACTATCTATCCCACTTTTTCACTTTTTTTGTGATCAAGCAGATATACGATCTACAGCCCACCGCGTATCTCTTTTAAAGGCCGCCATCATGCCGAAGCAGTGGATGTAAGTTATCCTGGAATATATGATTCATCTTCAAAACTGACCATATGCTAGTGACAAGAAGAATGCGAGCACATTCCAGCTCTTTCACCGATCTCAACATGACCCGTCAATCCACGACCCCCAAGCCGACGATCGAGTTCTGCACCAGGTCCGCGGTCCCGCGCCAGCTCCCTCTGCAGCATCTACGACCTCTTCCAAGCCTCTCCGTAACCTCTCTGACCTTCAATCCGAATTCAACAAAGCCAACGTCCGCCAGAACGAAGGCGAAGCCGCAAACCATGGCATTTACTACGATGACTCTGCATACGATTACATGCAGCACTTGCGTGAGCTGAACACCGGTGGCGGCGACGCTCATTTTGTGGAGGCTAAGGCGGAGAAGGGAAAGGCCAAGGCCAAAGGATTGAAGTTGGAGGACGCACTGCGACAGGTCTCTTTGGATGAAGGCTCGCAGAGTGCTTACAACCCTAGCGAATATGGGGACATGCGCTCGAACTTCACGACCTACTCCCGCAAGCCCACATATCAAGATCAGCAGAATGTTCCTGATGCGATTGCCGGATTCCAGCCTGACATGGACCCGCGTCTTCGTGAGGCTTTAGAGGCCTTGGAAGATGAAGAATATGTGGATGACGATGACGATGACGATATTTTTGGTGAATTGACCGCCAATGCGGAAGAGGTGGACCGAGGAGACTTTGAGGATACCCTGTTCGATCACGCTGAAGAGGATGAAGGTTGGGAGTCAGATGCGACTGAAAAGGCGCCCGTGCCGAGAGATAGCGATGGTCAGGAATTCGATGACGAGGATGTATCAGAGTTCAACAAGGACGTTCCTCCAGGTGAATTGCCAGAGCATGATCGACCCGCTCCAGATATGCAGCCCTCAGATCAAAGCTGGATGAGTGAATTTGCCAAGTTTAAGAAAGATGCCAAAACTGGCAAGGCCCCTGCGCCAGCAGCTCCCACTATTGCGCCCTCAGAGCAACAGACTACTGCTTCTACCGCTTTCACTGTTGGAGGTACACCCATCCGTCGCAAGAAGCGCAAGGGTGCTTTGACCAATCCATCTGCTTACTCCATGACCTCATCCGCATTGGCACGTACGGAAGGACATCGGCTCCTTGATGACCGATTCGATAAGGTCGAGCAACTGTACTCCTTGGATGAAGAAGATGAGTATGACGATAGCATGTCCATGGTTAGTGGCATGACTGGTGCCACTGGAATGACAGGAATGTCTACTGCATCCTCTCAAGCGCCCAGTCTCGTTGACGGAAACGGAGCGGCCGTCTCGCGCAGCGACTTCCACAATGTCATGGATGACTTCCTGGCTGGCTGGGATGATAACACAGGTGCTCAGGTCAAACGTAAGGGTGTTAAGCATAAGCGTGGCAAGCATGGAAATGAAGCAATTGGAATTCGCATGCTTGACGAAGTCCGCTCGGGTCTTGGCCCAGCTCGGTTTTCTGACGGCTCTAAGCGTGTACCTGGACGAGCTTAGATGGCGTTCATCCTTGCATATAATTGCACTGCACCATGATACGACCCTGAATGGAATTTCTCAATCATGACACGGCGTTTGGATCTCTTTCTATATCATTTCTCATCTTTCAATTTTGGATACCTACATCCATGCATGTGTTCGATTGGATGTATCTTTTTATCTATATCAAAAGCCTTGATGATATTCTTCCATAACTGGTATGTTCTCAGTCTGACTTTCCATCATCCTCCAGTATAATCTTTTGTAAATTTTCCCATGAGCTTATTCTCAGATTTTTCAAATCATACAATTCCGAATTTCTCTTCTCATCATAGAGAACCGCTAAAATCCCACTCTTTGATGCGGCCTTAACGTCTCGTACCTCGTTGTCCCCAAAGTAAACAATATTCTCATTGCCAATCCCATACTTCTCCAAAACGACATCAAATAACCCATCAACCTTGGACTTGCCAACCTCATTTGTGGTAATCAGAACATCAATATAGGAGTTTAAACCCAATTTCTGAACCGTCCATTCCTGCGCGTCGGCAGGACCCTCGGTAATAACAACAATCTTCTTTCCAAGACCCCGTAGAGTATGGAATAACTTCACGACCCCCGGTTTCAATGACAAATTTGATTCCAGTGAAGAATTGTAGGCGCCTAGTAATACAGTAGTCTTGCTGAGAAAGTCATCAGGATCTGGGGTCGTATCTAGCATGATATTATCATCGGCATCAGCTACTCCATGCGCCTGTAGGAGCTGGCTAAATCGTTCTCGGCGGTATTCTGTTGAGCTTCTGCCATCAGTAAATGCGTTGGCAGTGGTCGTACTTAGAATATGTTGATATGTCGTTCTTAAGGCGGCGGGATCAATTTCCTCGGCGCTACCTATGAGTTGAAATACATGTTCTGAAGCTTGAGAGGAGGCTCTGCGGAATTCATGAAGCGTGTCGTCTAGGTCAAACCCAACCCACCTTTTGGAATGAAGGGCCGCTTTGAAGTCGGACATTTTTCTTGAACCCCTGGGCTGTGAAGCTACCCAGGGAGACTGCAGGGTTATGAAGGCAATTTATTAAATATTGTGGAACTTTAAGGTTGTCAGAAGTATTACGTAGATCGTGACTCAGAATATGTTCATTTTAATGCAGATGGCGTGATAGCCGAGAAAATACGAAATTATAAAGTACAAGTAGGGGGAGATCTCCGGGTCCGATAAAATACAAGATATGTACAAACGTTCAAGTGGGAGACCGCTTAGAGAGCTCCGCCCACTTTTTCAACAATCCACATTGCTAGTCGTACGTTCCACCCGACACGGCGTTCTGTACGCATCAAGTCCTCTCGTGAGATGGCCTTCGCATCCTTCTGGAGCCACTCGGTCTCCTCGCCAAGTTTGCGTTTAAGCTCTTGATCATTGGTGACAACTAGAGCGCCCACCTCGATATCCAGACTGTAACTCCGCTTGGTATAGTTACTGCTGCCGACAAATGTAAGACTGGGATGCTCTTCGCGTGGTAAGGTAATCCAGAGTCCCTTTGCATGATAAGTCCATCCACCTGGCGTACCGACAGTGCCGCGACGCCATTCCTTCAATTGAATGGAATTGGTGGCCTGAGCTGCAGCAACTCGATCAAGAAATCGTGCAGAGAGATGCGTATAAGCTGCTGGTAGCATGCCCGAGACACCGGATGAACCGTAGAAACCGTTCGCCCAAGGCGAAGCGGTTAATACTGTGCCTTCTGTGGTGGAGGGGGCCTTGGAGTTGGTTGATGTACTGGCAATTAAGAACGAGGATAGAACGGGGTGAATGTTGAAGTAACCTGCTGTGAAGAGCCAACGGGCACCGGCGAATACAGGCGATTCAGACAATAGGCGGAGAATGCTGGTAACAGCCGGGAACTCGGTTGAGGCGTCGGGTTTGAGGAGCGGAGTGAACTGTGCCACGGGATATACATACGTCTGGCTTGAGGTGGAGGGGAGGATAGGTTTGTTGTCGGAAGCTTGAATGAGTGGAGTGAGGACGGTCGATGAATATGAAATGAAGTCTTTGGGATCATCTAGCGGGCATGGAGCTCCATTAGATTTGGGCCATTCGAGAAGATAAGCAGACTTGTTCTTAGGGTCTGGCAAGACTTGAAAGCTCAGACTGCAGATAGCGTGGTGAATGCGAGCGTAATAGTCGGTTAATGTCTTAGAGTCGAAGACATGGTAACGATCCAGCCGATTTGTGAAGTAATCATCCGACAAGTTCGCTCTGTATGTACTATCAGCATCGGCACTTTCTAGACCAAAGTCCATTGGTAGTATCCTACCCCGAGAGAATGATTTCATCGTCAATCCCGTATAACTTCATATGTTGTAAGCCCCAGCCTTCGTTGATACGACGAGGAATGTATTTCTTCCGTAGACCAGTCAAGTTGGGAGTATGGAACATCCGGATATCTACTCGTTCGGGACCGAACTCGTCTACTAACGAGCATAATAGCGATGCACAGGACGGATTAGGGGTTTCTCGAGTGCCGCGCAGAGCATCTGTAAGAATAGATACTTGAAGCTCTGGGTTTTCGCGCAGAGCCTCTGCTATCGTATCAATCAATTCGTACTCGGTTTTGCCAATGTAAAGTGTGGAAAGGTAAACGCGGTTGCGGGCATTGCGGATTTTGTGCTATACAAATTATAGGTTAATACACATAAACCCAACAAAGCTCTTCAGGGCTTCACAAACCTTAAGAGTGGAATAGAAGCTAGCCGGCGAGTCCAAAATTGTAACCTGAGACGCCGAAATCTCAAATCGAGGTGCAATGCGATCCAGTTCGACCGTAATTCCCCCGAGAGGTGACGGCCCCGATGTCGCAGGGGCATTAGACGTCGTGTAGGCAGAGAACTTGCGACCGCTAAGCTTGCGACGTACAATCGGACGATGAACAGCGCATCGCAGCGCTTGTCCCCCAATGCGACCGAACATGACGTGGAGATTGAGAATTGAAGCTTCAAGAAATCCAAAGCGGAAGGTCCAAATTGTTTCTGAATCGGGAAGGCACGACCTTAAACATATGCAAACAATGCAAACGTCCCGACTTCAGTTCGCTTCAACCTCGCGACGACTCACGGCACAGGGATTACGCATTTGTTTCTCCTCCAATTGCACCGTCATCATGTCGACCATTCTGCGGACGTTGCGCAACCTGCGCCGCGTTGGGCTCAAGGTTTGTTACTTATCTGATTTTTCTATTATTCGAAGCGGCCGAGATGCTAACTCTTTATGCAGGACTATGCCCACCAGATGCAGGTATGAAAGTCACTGGCGGATACTCACGATATGATTGACAGAGGGAAGAAAACTGACTGCGATTTGTTCTTTGCTTTGGAAATAGAACATCGGTACGTTATTACCTGGTTGGGACCAAAGGTGGCATATCACTAACCAAACTTCGTTATAGGTGATACCAAAGCCGGAACCCTGATCGGAACTGACCGCTGGGGCAACAAGTACTACGAGAACATGGCTGAAGAACTTCCTCGTAAGAAACACTACAATCTAGGGCCGAGAGAAGCAATGTGGAGAATAGCAGGACCGTGCTGACCAAGTCTACTTTATCCGCACAGTCCGCACACGATGGGTCGACTACAAGACTAACTGGCCCGAGTGGGAGCCCTCTCAAGTCGAGCCTGGCTGGTAAGTTTGCACTGGAACGAGGAGAGGGATATCTTCTTTATTGGATTTGCGGAACTGATCGTGATACAGGCACGCCTGGATCTCTTATATGGTTGATGCTCCCCCCACCGCCGACAAGCTTCTCCAGGCTGGTACCCGCCACTTCGAGGCCCCAGAGCACCGCCCCAACCTTACTCAGACTCGCGCTGCTTTCCGAACCTACTCTACGTATGTAATTTGATCCATGTCCGGAGGCATACGTGCTGACTTATTGCTATAGCACTCGCCCCAAGTACTCTGCTTGGACTCCTGTTGCCGCTCCTCGGTAAATCCACTGGACTGGGGCTAGCAAAATGAATCCAACTACCGTACGCTGACACTGGTATCGTTATCTTTTTTTTGTTGAAATCCTCGAAGCGTTTGGCTTCGGAGGAATGTACATAAAGTTGTGCTACTTTTACTTTTGATGAAAGATTTATCTCATACATGTTTGAACTTCCATTAGAGAATCTAAGACAAGAAACTGATGTAAAGAAAAAGAGAGAACGATTTTCCATTTCCAATAGATGCTCAGTTCAAATCAAAAAAAAAACGCTCGATCAATCAATCAAACATGCCTAGTCCTGCTCTCAGTTCCCGCTCCGCAGTAAGGACTTGGTATCTCGGATATTGAAGATGAAAACGGGGGAATCAAGCGCGACTGGTCCGAGAGAAATCAACTAGATACAAGAAAGATATTACATTAAACATCGCTGCCCATTTTTAAATCCCTCAGAGCACATATAGACCAGAGCTAATGTTAGACCAGTGTCGGATTGGCCGACGGTCTTCAAGCTCAATGCACCACCAGAGAACCTCCTTCAGTTTCTCGATCTGGTCACCAGCCTCGTAAGCGCGAGACAGGGCGTACCAGGCCTCGGAGTTGTCCCACGAGCTGCCAAGCTTAGTCAGCACCGACAAAAGTCCGTAGGCACGATCGCGAGCAGCAAGGCGATGAAGGTGCTTCGGGTCAACTTCGTGAGGCGACTCGGATACTGAGACAGGTGTTGGGATTTCAGCCACCTCGGGGGTCTTGAGCTCATCAGCCGAAATGGCACGGGCGGCCTTCAACTTGTCACTATCAGATAAAAGGGAGAGACGGGAGACATTGATGTCCACGTCTGTTTTTGCCGACTCGGGTGCAAGCTTTTGGTCCCAAATATCCAGAAGGAGATTTGCAAGTGCAATAGTTGCTATTGGGTGTTCTGGATGGCGGAGGAGTGCATCTTCGTAGTATTTCATAGCCTGGTGAGGCTTTCCCAAGGCCTGACATAGGAGTCCCTCTTCGGTATAGACCTCCGCCCAGAGTTCCTCCGGGCTCTTGGCAGCAGTCCAACCTCGTGAGCTGAGATGACGAGCCGAAGACTCCTCGGTTGAGGCTAAGGCTTCCATCCGCGTAGTTTGCTTTAATGCTTCCTCACAGGCCTCACGTGCGTCATCGAATAAAGATGCTCGGCGGTAGAGTCCAGCGATGATTAACCAGATTTTGACGAGCAAAGCGAGTGCATGTTTCTTAGATTGAATGGTAGAAAATGTGGTGGTGGCGTTTGTAGGCGAATCGAATCTATGACAAGAGGGAAGTCTAAGATCTTGCCGCGGGGGTTGATCCTCATGGCCAACGGGTTGCGGTTGCAACTGGTGGTGCACATTATGAGCAATTGGCTGAAGAGGCTGGTTGGCAAGAGGGGATTGGGAGTAATCCCGAAGCACCGGTGTAGAGTTTCCAGACACTGCAATGCCCACCTCATCTTCGCGGGGCGTAGATGAATCTTGACCTCGTGATCTATCAGGTCTATGGGAACTGCCGCTTCTCTTTCTTAACTTTTTGGAGTCTGATCGTCCAAGCCTTGGACTCTGATCAGGGTCTTCGTCCGTCACTTGGATCTCTGGGGCGTCGGAAGAGTGGCCGTTTGGAAGCGATGGGACTGGTGGCACTGCAGATTGCGAGCTCGTCGATCGATCGGCATGGCGTTCAGGTAGTTGGGATGCCCGGTTTCGATGGAAGATACTGCTGCGGAAGCTCTTGGTCGTGCCTGCAGAACTCTTTGGTGGGACCAGATGATCTGACTTCTTTGGACCTTCTTCGAGCTCCAGCTCATGGAAGAGATTGCCGAAGAGACCAAGTAGCTGTTCACTCTGGTTGACAGCGGCCTCGGGACCTTCTAGGACTTCGGTGAATGCGAGCTGTGTAATGCGAGTTTGGAGAATACGCTCCTTCTCCCGACCCTGCAATCGGCTGATTAGAGAGCGCTTTGTGCCCCCAGGCCCATTTTGGGAATGTCTTGATGAACGTCGCTCGCGATGAGCTTTGGGGAAAATATCTGCGGGGAAATGCTCAAACGCTGCCTCACATGATCGCTCAGCGATGTCAAACTCTTGCTTGGCACTAAGCAACAATGCGAGAAGATGCCATAGCGGCACAAGATCTCGCTGTTTAGAAAGGTCCTCGGCCACAGGAGACGAGTTGTGTGAAGCTAGAGCGGACTTTGCATAATCGATAGCGCTATCCAGATCTCTGTTTTCAGCCAACGTAAGGGCCAGTGTATATAGAGAAGCGAAACTAGTCTCTTGACCGAGCTCAGGGTCAATACTTTTCTCCAAGTACTCAATTGCTTCACTCCGGATCTCGTCTCGGGCCTCATTAAGGGGGGTGTAGCTAGCCCAATTGGCGAGACCAACCCCGATCGCTCGGTAGGATATTGCTAGTACGGCGACAGGGATATCTGGAGAATTGGTACAGTTAGGACCATGTGAAAGTAGGAGCTTCCCGTTGCTCTGACCCTCTGTTTGACTTGTCACCTGGCTATCGGTATACTCTCTGATAAGTTCCGTCAAATTCTTGGCTTTCTCTGCTTCCTCGTAGGACCCCAAAGAGCTCAATAAAATGATACCCTCGGACAGCGTTTGTAACAAAATCTCATCCTTCTCTAGTTCTCCGTATTCGGCCGACTTCTTAGCTCGCTCTTTGGCGCCAGTGACAATCTCGATGTAAGAATCCAGTGCCCGCATAGCAAGGTCGAACTCTGCCAGCGCCGAGTGGACATGGAATAGTCGTCTTAAAATCAGGTGCGAATGGTATGTTTTTGTTGCCGCGCGGTATAGAATCTGTAATTTCGGGTAAGCTCCCCGACATGAAACCAGAGCTGTTGGATACTATACTTACATCAAGGACATTGCGACCCACGACAGCTTGACCTCCATCACCGAGATCATTGTCCTGCCACTGAGGGCCGCATAATACCTCCCAGTTGCCAATCACTTGCTCTATCCATTCTTCAACCTGTGAGTTGTCGGAGCTAGCAGTGGGAAACTTGACCTCCCTGAGAAGGTTGCCCTCACAGATGGCCTCAACTCGACGCAATTCACTAGCAAGCTGCGGGCGGCCTGGCCCATCGTGTGGAGATGGGTAGGCCAAGGCATCCTGGAGTACAATTGTAAGGAAGAGATAATAAGACTTCCAGATCGATGTACGTGAGGGTTGGCCTGGAGCACCTGCATATGCAGCCTTGGGAGAGCCAGCGCCCCCCTTGACCGCAGGATGCACAGACCACAGCCTAAACAGCCGAAGTGCAATCTCCACGTGTCTTGGATCTGAGTATGGTGTGGCCGTGCCGGCTTCTTCGCTGGCCATCACAGCTCCCTTCCCAAGTAGTGTCTCGGTCCAGCTCAGAAACTGGGAATTGGCATTGGTGGTGAGCTTGCCGTTACTGAGCCACGGGATTAAGGCTGCGAAAGTCTCCAAAGTTTCACCAATGCTTGCAACTGTTGACTGCGCAGAGCCTAAAATCAAGAATCAAATATCAGCTGGTTAGTCATATTACACCGGAGGGGATACAGAGTCCAATATCTGTGGAAGCCGGCCTACCCTTAATATAACATCCCTTGACCAAACAGACCTCAGTCCACATAGATAGGTCATGTCCTTCGTTCAAGAGAGCATCAATAGTGCCTGTGAAGTCCTTAGGAAGTCGACTGGCCGCTAAACCCGGCTCATTAAGAGTCCAATGGATCCATCCTAGGCATACACGAGCCTGTACGATCTCCTGCGGGGTGCCGTCATTGTTCTCAATCGTTGTCAACAAAGCGGGAATCAGTTCAGGCAAATTAGGCGTAGATGCGGATTCGGTAGTTGTCTTTTGCTGCAAATATGCTACGACTCGAGATTCGGCAGTTGCAGTTTGAATGACACCTATTGATCGGGAAGAGGGAGATCTCCGAGTTAGCGCGCAAGCCACCGACGCGGGGAGGAACAACTTCTCATATGTCCGCAAGTTAACGTACAAGTTCGGTTCGGGGCGTGCTTGGTGACCTTTCGGATCAATTCAGGGACTTCTTCCCATTTCCCTTGGGCCCGCGCCTGGTCCAAGGCCACGATGTAGCGTTGTCCCTTCTCGGCATTGCCTCCCTAGCGCGGCGCGTCAGCATACGTTTCTCGAGGTCAGGAGTGCCAACGTCGGTGTATTTTGACACCTCCGAGGCGATTAACCAGACTCACCGCCATGATGTCAGGGTGGTAGGATGAATGCGCTGAAGAAGATGCAAGAGGGACAATCCCATGCAGCGCTGGAGATGAACGGGGCCGGAGAATGATCTGCCCCAGGGGGGTTGGAAAGTGGAGGCCTTTGCGTATTGCTTTGGTATGTAATTTTACCCGAGGCCCGCAGTCTCTCTTCCAAGGTTGTTTAATGTTCACATTCTTGTATCCGGTCCCAATCATGTGGGTCCGAGCTTCTTCCCCAATGGAAAAAAAAATCACCGATAAGAATTCCCACCTACAGTACTCTCTACATTCTCATTCTCCAACAATCAAAGGCTGGAAAAAGAAACCGAGATGTCGGCCACTACTTTGCGTGCGGTTACGCATCGATTGACCACCACTCCGGTCGAGCAATTGCCATCAATTGCTTCGTTTCTTGCAACCTCATTAACTGATTGCGCCGAGCTTCTATCTGCTCCTCAAGCCCAAAAACAAGGCAAATCAGAAACCGACCATGCAGTGCAGATCCACAAGTTGAAGACTCGCTTGGCGAGCTTGTTGCAGGACCGCAGTATTGAGGGTCGATGGACTGCTGTGGTATTGGCCAAGGCCACTGTTGAAGCCGGTCAATGGGAAATTTTACGCGGTTACGAACCAATCGTGCGCAGCTTGATTAGTATTCTAGCGGTATGGGCATTCCTCTAAAACGTGGATATATATATTCATTCGAATCTAGATCTGGATCTAGACCTTTGGTTCAAATTTTTGACATATCTGCTTTCTCTAGAAACCCGATCCAATCTCCACACGAAAGTTGGCTTTGATCACATTGACCCGCATATTTCACCTCACATACCAGTACCCGACACTGGTCCGAGAAATCACTACCCCTCACCTGCCAGGTTTCATCACTGCCGCCCTCAATCTGGTCTCAGTGTTGGTGAAGCTACCTTCGGGGTCGACCCGGAAGGCCAAGCCCAACACCCCATTCATGGAGATTGTGCTTCAGGTCTGCTTGGAATTGGTTCCTCGCCATGCGACAATTTTCCGCCCATTTGGGTCTCAGCTGCGATCCCTACTGACCGAGATTCTCGGCTCCTCTTCGATGTACTTCCCAGACCCAGTGATGGATGCCGCGGAGCAACTCTTTGCGTCCCTGCATAAGTGTGCGCCAAAGGACAAGGCTGGATCTGGCTGGACTGAAGATTGTAAATCAACGGTTCTTTCCATCCACCGAACAGCCGATTGTGTTTTCCGCGCCGTGGTAGAGCAGTGGGAGTCAGTCGACGGAAATCTGGTTTTCACTCGACAGAATTATAGCAATGAGTTGGCCGATGATGGTACTGATGCCTTGGGGCTTCCAGGTTGGAAGGGTGTTCATGCTGGAACTGATAGGTTAATAATCCTTCTGCGCATATTGTCAAACTTTGTTGCCATGCCATCTGCAGCTGCTGTCGCCCTCCCCATCGGTTCCATTCTCGACCTTACATCTCGCCTCACGTCCGTAACCTCTCCCGCAGACGGAAGCCAATCAAGCGTTCAAGCCAATGCTCAAATTAGCCGCGATGAGCGCGAAATGCTCTGGGCTGAGCTGCCTCGCATCCATATTGCCTGCATGGACTTGCTTACACAGGTTATCAGTGTGTTGGAGACCAGCGCCACCCCTATTACGCAAAACATTGTCGACCAGATAAACTGGGTCTTCAAAAATGAAAAGACCAGCCGAAGTGTGCGTTTGGCTTCATATGATCTGCTTCGCGATTTGGTTGTGCTCAATGGGCCTGCCATGTCAAAGCAGAGTGTTGCAGCTATCGCAAATGTGCTGCGTGTCTGCTGCCATGATCTCTTACCCCCTACCGGTGACTCCAACTCACAAAATAAGCCTCAAACCGATTCCAAATCAAAGAAAAACAACCATACCATTGCAAATGCCGATTCATTCTTAAATCCCGATCTTCAAAAGAACCGCAAATCGCAAATATCTTCTCAATTTCCTGAACTCGAACGAGCGGCTTCGGGTCTCCTTCAGAGTGTGCTGACGTGCATTCCGTCGGAACACCTCGCCGCCTCGATTCGCACTGAAATCGATCGCACAATCATTCTAGTTGCCGATAAGGATGCCATGCTTGCCAGTGTTCTGAACCCCGTGCCGGCAATCAAGGGCCGAGCGGCGGGTGCTAGCATTATACCTTTCTTGGTACGAGGTTACGCGGACAAAATGGAAGTCGAGGCCTTGGTTCGTCCCAGGATGCCAGTCTTGATGACTGCCCCAGAACTCGATGGGTACGCCGAAGACGAAGACGAAGAAGAAACTGATGAAATGGCCGATGAGGCTTACAATGTTGCTCCCGGGACTACTGATTTCTTGAAGATTCCCACTCCGGCACCAGTTGAAACAAAAGCAGAGACTGCAGCTCTCCCAGTTCATCCACCAGTCCACAAGCGAACTTACGTTGAGGAATCAAGAATCCACACTCCTAGCCTGTCAGTTGCAGGTGACAAGGAGGTCACACAAAGCAAAAAGGCTCGGTTTGAAGAAACTGTCTCTAGTAGTGTGATTCAACCATCATCGGCACAACAAGCCTCTGATGTGTCTCTGCCTCAAAGCGCTGCTCCAGTTGTGCAGAAGCAGACTAAGGTTATCTCTCAAACCTCAGTTGCCTCAGCGGCGCCTCCTTCTGAGGATGACAGTGGAGACGAGCTACCTACATTGAACATGGACTCCGATACTGATGATGACGATGACGATGATGAAGACGTCACGATGGAAGGTTGAATCTTTGTATAATTCCCAAAAAGTTTACAACCAAAAGCTTTGTATATTTCAATAGAATTCGCACCAGCACTTGAAGTTTATTATGTGTATAATTGTTTCTAGATATTTATGCACGTCTATGTGTATTCGTCTTTTAATAGGTTTCAAATAACCCGTACACCACTGCCCCAGTATGTTCCATCACTCCAATACGCAAACCAAGTTCCCTGCCAGCACCACCATCCTTGGCCATTCGCCAACCCAAAGCCACGGAGGGGACTAAATGGCACAGGTTCCATCAACCAGAGACCGCCCCGAGCAAAGTCATCTGCGATTAAACCTCCCGAAAGTAACAACCAGAAGAATACAATTGTAGCATTTGTTGTCCGTCGAAGCCACCGCGGCGTACTGCTCATGGGAGTCTTTGGGACAATCACTGCTTTGAAGGTATATTCAACAATGATGGCAAGACTCTGTAGAAAGAAAAACGAAAACGGCCCGGTGAGAGGCCGTGTCCCCTTGAACTGTGTATAACTTCCACAGGCATGCACAAAGCCACTAAGTGCGAATCCGATAACAATATAAGTGACTCTTTTGACATCGGATTTTGTTCCCCAGGAAGTTGGAAGTAAAGATAAAACCCATCGTGCCGTCGCTGTGAACCCGTATCGAAAGAGTTGATGCCACCATTGGCCCCAAGCACCTGCCAGTCCATGATCAAGCGTTGGCGAGAAAAAAGGACCGAAGCTATCGGCATATAGCCATGCTGAATCTAAAGGCGCGCCAGTTAACTTACGGGATGCATTTGGGAATGCTAACGACAGCCCAAGGAAGCATATGGGATTGAACGAGGTAACGAAGTTGAGCGCAATATATACACCCATGCAACTGAAAAAGCAGTGATAGAAGCGAACCCCCAAGGGAATGGATGCGAGGAAAGAGAAAGGTAGTGGCGGTACTACATCTACCTCGACTGTACCTCGAAAGTAGGGATCCCTCATCATGATAACTTTGAGAGCGTCGAGGATAAGATATGATGTGAGACATGTTCGGAATGCTCTCCGAAGACGAACTTTGGCAGTGAGACAAGATGCGTCATTCTCTATACGATGGTGTTTTGAGAGAAAACCAGATTTCAGCTGTTCATTGACTGTCTTAGGAATTGGGCCTAGACGCGGAGCACGCCAGTTCCATTCTGGACCGCGGAGGTTGAATAAAAGCCCAGCGCACCACTCAATCCGATGTGTAAATTTAGATGGATAAGCTTGCCAGTAAAACTGGGCATGATTATCTACATCAGAATGCATGGTATTCGCTCGTGACGAGATTTCTCTCCCTGGTTTAAGGCCGGGGCCATCTATATCGGTTGTAGTTCGTTCAATGCGCTGAAAGTCACGCTCCACATCAGAGAACACGAACAAGGTAGCACTCCATATCAGCCACCAAGCAACAAGCATGCCAATCATATAGCCATTTCCGCCAAGCAGAGCTCTATTGGTACGGAGTGCCTCAATCCCATATGCTAAATTCAGTGCAAGAACCAACCGCCTGAAATATTGGCCACCTTGGCGTTTGGGAATAAGCAAGGCGACCCATGGTAGGAAATTGAAGGAAACCACATGGTAAAGAAACAATGGCTTGAAAACCCCCTGTTTAAGCAAGACGTGTAGCTCGGATTCGTTCTTTTCGGTGAGATATCTAGAGAAGCTAGTGCGGGGATCAGCCATTGCGGAGAAGTGCCACTAGGCCCGGGAGTTTGACTGCTACACGCTAAGCATATATGTATATAAGGCGTGCGGTCGTTGGAGGAGTTGATGGTATTTCTTAAAGAAAAGGGGTTCCATAGAATGAGTGCAAAGCACCAATCATCAAAAACTAGCAGAAAAAGCAAAAAGGCGAGTTGAATCAAGTTCAACTTTGAGATAAGTTGTGTTACATCCACGTGACCATGCGTTTTGGCAGCGGCGAATTTGATAAGTGCATCCACATTGGGCTTAGCGTTGTAACTGTATTTACCAAGCAGAAGACCGTGGATCTCAGCGGTGGAAATGCACCTCTTACTTTTAATGTACTAGCAGCGAAATTTTAATACTGGGAAGAGACAAATGATGAGTACTGTATATATTATATCACTAGAAGATCTCATATATGGATTCAACCTATTCAATGTGTCCCAATTGCTAGGTGATTGACAATGATGTGGTGTTTTCGAGGCTATCAGAAATACATGCATTGTAATGCAATGACGCACTAAGCTCAATTAAGGTAGGTAGAGTTATCCCACCGCGTCCGCGTGGGTTGGCTCTATCCATTTCTCCTTATTTCTCCTCTTGCTTCATCCACATTCCGATGACGTTGAATACTCGATTTGAGAGTGATCGGAGTTCCAATTGCATAAAATCATTTTTAGCACCCGATAGCTGAATTTCCAAAGTTGAACTCGGTGCAACTACCGTCCATCATGACGCAATATCCCAAAAAACGGAAGTCTGATATCGATACTGTCGATTTGAAAGGAGATGATGCAGGTCGCCCATCGAAAGCAAATCGAACAACTCCCTACTTGGACCCACAGAATGTTAGCACGGGCCAGAGATTTGGCGAGAGTGCTGATTACATTCCATTAACTCAAGTTACTGGCGCAGACGAGGACGATGCTGAGGCTGAAGAGCTTGTTCAAGGAACCCAGGGCGCAGATGAGTCTTCAATGTCCAGTAATATGCACTACGGTGAGTTTTGATTGATTATATATATGTGGAACATGGGCTGAGATTTTTATTACTAGGTACCTTGGACACCAAGATTGTGGGATGCCGCTTCTACACTGGAATTGCGACTCCCGGAGAACGTGTGATTTTGCAGCGAGACCCTCAAAACCCGTATGATCGCAATGCAATTCAAATCAACAATATCATGGGTGCACAGATCGGCCACATTCCAAGGGGGGTTGCTGAAAAGCTCGCTCGCTACATGGTATGTCTAACGACTTGCCCAATTAAGATATCAGCCGTTAACATTAAATTTATATAGGACTCTCGTGAACTTCTAGTTGAGGGAATCCTCACAGGCCCTAAGTCTTTCTTTGACTGTCCTGTGGCTTTGCCGTTATACGGCACACGTAACCCAGCTGAGCGGATCACGCTGAAAAACAAGATGAAGCAAGACAGACTCCCGCTTCGGGAATTCAACGATGCTGAGCGCAAAGAAAAGGCACGCATTAAAGCACTTATTGCTGCGAAGAAGGAGGCAGCGAAACAGGCTCGTGCGATGGCTCTCAAGAAAGCTGCAGCTGAATTTCAGGGCAATGAGGATTCAGTTTTTGCAAATCTCTCGGTTTCAACAGGCCTGGGTGACACCGAAGAAAGCTTTGAGGACCTGTTGAACGAGAGCAGCTATTTTAATCCCAGGGAAATAGGCCAGGTGGTAGAGAACTTCGGACAGAAGGAATCGGAAATGGCCAAGATGCCGATGGCTGATACTCCAGCTGGCCTTTCGACCGAATTACTTCCATACCAAAAACAAGGCCTTGCGTGGATGATCGCTCGCGAGTCCCCGTCACTTCCCTCGCCTGGATCCGACGCCGTTGTACAATTGTGGAAGAGAAATGGTGCTAAATTCACTAATGTTGCAACCAACTTTTCGACATCTACCCCGCCAAGCCTGGCCAGTGGTGGAATCCTTGCCGATGACATGGGTCTTGGAAAGACAATCCAAATAATATCTCTCATATTAGCAAATCCTACGCCTAGAACCTCGGATTCCTGCAAGGCGACATTGATTATTGCTCCTGTAGGTGTGATGAGTAATTGGAGAAACCAAATTCAAGACCATTGCCGGACCGAAACTATGCCTCGTGTTTTGATTTATCATGGATCTGGTAAAAAAGAGGCCGAAAAGCTGGCAGATTACGACGTGGTTATTACTAGCTACGGTGCCCTTGGCGTGGAGTACCAGCCAGAGGCCAAGAAACCCCCTGCAAAGGGTATTTACTCAATTCAGTGGCGGCGTGTTGTCCTTGATGAAGGTCATGGTATCCGAAATCCCCGAACAAAAGGCTCTCTCGCGGCCAACGCTCTCAAGGCGGACTCGCGCTGGGCACTGACCGGAACACCGATTATCAATTCACTTAAGGATTTGTACTCACAAGTACGCTTCTTGAAGCTGACGGGAGGATTGGAAGATCTTGGAATTTTCAATAGTGTCTTGATTCGCCCTCTAACCAATGGCAACCCCGAGGCTCGTTTGCTTCTCGAGGCATTGATGGGGACTATCTGTCTTCGACGGCGCAAAGATATGGAGTTTATCAATCTACGACTGCCGAAGCTTACTTCCCGCATTCTTCGTATCAAATTCAATGAGCACGAGCAAGAGAAATACCAGGCGTTTCAAGCCGAGGCAAAGGGCGCTTTGCTGGATTTCAAGGACAAGCAGGGGGGCTCAACTTACTCACACTTGTTGGAGGTTATTTTGCGTCTACGTCAAACCTGCAATCATTGGGCTCTCTGCAAAAAGCGTATCGACAAACTAATGGAAATGCTGGATAAACATAAAGTTGTGCCACTTACTCCTGAAAATATGAAAGCCTTGCAAGATATGCTTCAGATTCAAATCGAAAGCCAAGAGGTCTGTGCAATTTGTCTCGATAATTTTGATGCACCTGTCATAACTGCCTGTGCCCATTCTTTCTGCAAAGGCTGTATTGAACAGGTCATTGAACGCCAACATAAATGCCCTCTCTGCCGTGCCGATATCAATGATAATAGCACGCTCGTTTCGCCTGCAGCAGAACTAGGTGAAGATACAGAAACTGTTGAAGCAGACCCTTCAAAGCCGAGCAGCAAGATCGAGGCATTGATGAAGGTTCTTACTGCGCAGGGCCAAGCTCCTGATACCAAGACAGTGGTTTTCAGCCAGTGGACTTCTTTCCTCGACCTTGTGGAACCCCATCTGGCGCAGCGTGGGATCAACTTCGTCCGTGTCGATGGCAAGATGAGCTCCACAAATCGTGATAATTCGATCAATCGCTTTTCCACCGAGCCAACTTGCATGGTTCTCCTTGCTAGTCTCAGTGTTTGTAGCGTTGGACTCAATCTAGTTGCTGCTAATCAAGCCATCCTTGCCGACAGCTGGTGGGCTCCAGCCATCGAAGATCAAGCCCTGGATCGAGTCTACCGACTAGGGCAAAAGCGAGAAACCAATGTCTGGCGATTGATTATGGAAAACACCATCGAGGAGCGAGTGCTCGATATCCAGGGACGAAAACGCGAACTCATGCTGACTGCATTCCGGGAGACTGGTAAAAAGAAGGCAGAAGATCGAGCAACCCGTGTGGCCGACCTCGAGTCCCTTTTGACCTAAATTTCGGGGCAATTCTGATATGTAGAGTCCCTTGTTTCATTTACTTTTTGTGGGTTCCGGTGGCGTTTCAGATAGACTACTACGAATATCCGGCGCAGATCTAGGTGCAGGCACAGGTGGCGGTTGTGTGATGCTGCCTCAATTTTGGCTTGTTCGTGTGTATCTGGCGATTTCGGAATGTTTCTTTGCTTCCAACCTTGGAATCTTTACTCCTGTACCTATTCGTATTCTTCTGGATATCCTTTCATCCGGAATGTAGATCCCCCTCATCAAACTCTATGAACTCCTCCTTCTCCAATTGGAATCAACCGTTAGGATCTCCGTGACGAACTCTATTTCGTTCCTCAACCATGGAATTCTCCCCCGGAATCGGACCTCAACCCCGACCACCTTAACTTAACCACCCCGAAAAATGCTAGCATTCACCAACCATGCACGACTCCAGCACAAACTAAAAATTTCATTCGCAAGACCCTCGAATCCCAAATATGCACATGCAGAATGGTCAACTGCGAAGCACCAGTCGATGGCATCGTCGGCGCATATACGGGTAACAGTTTCGCCGTCCAAGCCTCTATCGCCAGTCTCCTCGGATGTGCCCTCTACAGCGCCCTAGAACTAATAGTCCTGATCTTCTCTATATTCAACATCTACCGCGGCCTATACTTCTGGAGCCTACTTATCGCCGCATCTTTAGGTGTCATCCCCGATGCACTTGGCCTAATCCTGAAATACTTCGAGCTCGCCCCGATATGGGTCCCTGTAACCCTTTCCACGGCCGGTTGGGCCATAATGGTAACCGGGCAATCGCTCGTGTTATACTCGCGACTACATCTTGTTATGTTTAACAGGACAGTTCTGCATTGTGTCCTGGGAATGATCATTTTCAATGCGATCGCGATGCAGATTCCACAGATCATTGCGTCATACGGTGCTGTGTATGCGTGTCATACGAAGTTCACGGTTTTTTTCAATGTGTGGGAGAAGGTCCAATTGACAGTCTTTTTTGTTCAAGAGATTATTATTTCTGGGTGTTTTATTGTACAGACTATTCGGTTGTTGTCGACTTATCCGAATCGTTCGAAGAGGAGGACCAATATCATGTATCAGTTGTTGGCGATTAATACCGCTATTGTTTTGATGGATATTGCACTTTTGACTTTGCAGTTTATGGGGCTTTTTATTACGCAGACTGTGTTGAAGTGTTTTTTCTATACTGTGAAGTTGAAGCTGGAGATCGCTGTTTTGTCAAGATTGGCTTCGTTCGTGAAGTCGCAAAGCGATCAGGGGTCTTCAGGTTTAAGTCATTTACAGCAGCATTCATGAACAAATTATTAGCTGTATAAGGCAAATTCTATATCTTATTTGTTTACAAAATTTGAAGCCTTTGCTTTACGTATAGTGACAGACCTATGGCGCATATTTTTTATATCAAGGTTGTCGTATCGTATACAACCGATGCTGCCATCTACTGTTCACAACCTCAGGGCTCCGCGATTAAACCGTCTTGGAAGATTCTTAAAACAAAATTCGAAATTTTCTTATTCATACACGTAAACTAAAGATTAGATCCCTCATGGGATTCGTACTTCTAAGGCTAGAGATTTTATTGAGAATATGGTTTTGGTTTGAGAGACTAAAAGAAGTAAGAGGGGTATCACAACAGAATCAAGCAAAAACGCCTAAGAAAAATGAAGAATGCTGGAATATCACATTCATTCAACGTGGCAACGATATTACGCCGCTGGCACTTCCGACAACTGTCGGTTTGGTTGGTTGTTGGCTGATGGACTTGTTGGGGCGGGATTATCGATATCAGCAGATGCGACGGTGTTGGAAGAGGAGGCACGTCTCCTCTGTCCTTCCTTTAAGGGGGACGGATGTGGGGTTTCACGGGTAGATGCTGGCCGAGCAATGTTATCATTTGAACCGTCGGTCATCATGTTTGCTCCAGGATAGAAAGGACCTCCGAAGCTGTGCATGACTTCGGGCGGGGAATAAGTGCTTTCATCCATTGGACTCCCGAAGCTAGGGATTATTTCAGGCGGAGAATAACTTCGTTCGAAAGATTGAGACCGACCGACATTTTGTGGACGAATAGGACCCGTGGGGGCACTCATTGGGGAAATATTGGCGGTCGCGCTGTTAGTCCCAAAGTCGGATGTAAGGGGGTCAGTATCTTGTAGTTCAGGTACCGTGCTGGACAGGTTGTAATTCTCGGTTCCATATTGTGACATATATGTGGTTGTTGACTGCGGGAACTGGGACAAATACTCATTTTCAGCATAATATGGAAACTCCTGCTGAGGGCCTGTGGCGTTGGAGTCGTTAGCCTGTTGCTGTGGCAGAGCCCAACTTTCCCACTGAGCTCGGAATCCATCTGTTTGAATTTCAGCTTGCCTCGTTTGCCTTTCCAAGAGGCCTTGCTGAGAATCAAGGAATGAATTCACAAGGGATATTTGGGCATTGGGGTATTCATTTGGAGGGCGCTGGATCGGATTTTGCGGCTGGATTGGACCTGCATGTTGGGGCAGAGTAAGTTGCGATCCATTGGGAAGAATGGGTCTATCTGCAACCGATGGTTGAGGTTGCTGAGACCTTGCCATCTCATTCCAACGGAGCCGCGCAGCTTCCATAGCAGCTCGCTCTTCACGATCTCGTCTCTGTACCTCTAACATGTATCCTTGTGGGTCAGTGCGCCTGAGTTTGTCCAATGCTAGCCTGGAATCGACCTCTTTACGCTCTTGCTCAGTCAAACGATCATTTTCATCATCCTGCAGAGTCGACAAGGTGATCCCCAAAATACTCGCTGCATCATCGCTATTAATTATGTGATCCAAAACTGCAGGATCCTTGCCCAGGACATGCTGAAGTGAGTGCCGTTCTTTCTCCTTGACGAAGAAAAGATACTCGGTTTTCTTCTTTTCGCCCTCACGGAGAACATTTTTCTTATCCACCACACGGACAGAAAGCTGAGACTTGAATACAACCTTGTTGTGGATGACGTCCTCGAAAGTTCCAGCGGCCACAAACCGATAGACAAAGACTGGTTTCATCTGGCCCAAACGGTATGCGCGCCCGATCGCTTGTTCTTCCCATGTTGGATTGAACAAGAAGTCGAAAATGATAACGCGGTTAGCTCCAAACATATTCAACCCAAGTCCACCGGCTCGGGTAGAGATGAGCATGACTTGTGTATCATCATCGTCACGGTTGAATGATTTTGTCATTTGTTGCCTATAATAAGTTGGCGTTGATCCATCGATACGCTTATATGACGAATGCCGCTCTTTTAAAAAGGAATCAAGGTAATTGACGGTTGGTATGCTCTGAGTGAAAATCAGAACCTTGTCCCCGACCTTTTTTGACTCTTCGAGGATTCTTCCTAAAAGCACGGCTCTGTGGGACAAGCTGGGGTCTGATAGATTTGGCACCGTTTTGAAAATAGTCTCGATTTTTTGAAACAAGGAAGACGGAAGACCAGCTTCGGCAATCGAGTTGGGCATAAACGAGCTAGAGTCATCGTTTTGCTTTGTGCGATCTTTCAACTTTTCAAGAAATGGAACCGGATGATTGCAACACAGCTGCATGATGGCCAGCCACTGCCACAAAGTCGTGAGATTGCCATTGAACTTTGTCTCCTGGACAAACATGTTGTAAGCAGCCTTCTGAGTCTCCGTTAAGGGAACACGAAGAATGAACTCAGTTTTAGTAGGCAAATCAGATGCAATTGCTGAAATACTGGCCCGATTGACCTTTGGATCCATGATCATGTTCAACAGCTTCAGTGCAATAAGACCGGCTCTTCTTTGTGATCGAGTACTGTCGAGATACAGTCCTGCTTGGATTGGCTCTACAAATTTCTCCTTGAATGCACTGGATGTTTCCAGATAACCTGGTGCGATCCAATCAATCATTTGGAAATATTCCATCAGGTTATTCGCAAGAGGCGATCCGGTCATGGCAATGCGACTCGTGGTTTTAATACGCGAAGCCGCTTTTGAGATGGCTGAAACGCCACTCTTCAATCTATGAGCCTCATCAGCAACCACAATACTGGGTGTGGACAATAGTATGTTATCGACGATTTTCTGCTGCGATTCATCAAATGTGTTCGAAGAGTTGGAAGACATCAGTCGTCGAAACATGTCATAACTGAGGACGAGAATGCCGCCGTTGTTTTTCCAGGCTTCAAGGATAGCAAGTCTAGTCGGGGCATCCGTATAAAAATTGGGATTAATGTCATAGAAGGTGCCTAGGTAGTGATCGGGTGGTGCCCAAAACTCCAGCTCTTCTAGCCAGTTGTGTGACAGAGAGGACGGGCATAAGATAAGAGTCTGAGACTTGTGGAATTTTTGAGGTACTTGTGCCCGAATCTTAGGGTTTTGAGAAGCAGCAGCCTCCGCGATTGTAACTAAAAGAGATATTCTGCAGAAAGTTTCAAATGAGTAAGAATGGGCCTGACTGTTTTTTTTAATACCGAAGACTTACACTTGCATTGTCTTGCCTAGGCCCATGACATGTGCAAGCAAACACCCCTGCATGTTGTCGCCTTCGCAAAGTTCGCGCCACATGAATTGGATTCCCAGCAGTTGGTGTGGTTTAACAAATTCACCAATACCTGGATTGAGATAGAGTATCGGTTCTTTGAAAGAGACTACTTGTCCTGCTGGGTCACTGTTACTTAAACCTAGGCGCTCTCTATCTCTCCTAAAGGCCTCTCTTGCCCGGTCTTGTTTGGCTTTCCGATCTTGGGCAAACGATTGTGCATTGTTTTGCAGTTTGATGACATGCCGCCTTTTCCGTTTCAAGCGATCTGGGTCAGTAGAAGTCCGGTGCGAATGGTTCTCGAACCTGAAGTCGAAATTTGGAGATTTCACACTTGTTGATCGACGTCGTGAAGAATTAGGATTCCATTTATTGTAAGCGTGAACCAACGCTTTGAATTTGTGGTAGAAAATTTCAAACGTTGATTCAGCACCAGGCTTGATAGCCTTGAGCGCTTGATCCAGCAGATTTTCATCTATACCCGATGGGTCTAAGGTGACACAATGAAACCAAGACACAAATAATGCAGCAAGCCGCATGAAAAGCTTGCTGTCTTCTGGGTCCTTGTACTGCATCTCCCGCTTGTTCTGAATCATCGCTCTGATGGCTTCTTGGACCCCTTCGACGTAGAGTTCAGGAAACCATTTATCCAGGAACATACCGAAAGACTTGATCTCACTTGACCGCAATTGCATGACACTTTTTGCTAGCAGCTGGATACGATCTTTTGATTCCATGATCATTTCCATGGAAGTTCCATTCAGCAAATCAAAGAGTTCGGCATGTTCAATGTCGACGGGAGAATGTATTTCTTGCATAGGGGAACCGATTGATTCACAGTCACTGATGATAATTGGGCGAGCAAAAGAGCTCCTCCTTGAACTCGGCGAAGTTTTAGTAGACAGAGCCTCTGGGGGTCTAGGACGTGTCAAAGTGAGCTTGACGGGTGTTGTAGGGTTCAGAGGAGGCGTTTTGACCATAAGCTCCCTATCCACATTATCTGTTGGCGACACTGGATTGAGAGGTGGTGTCTTGATCAGTGTTTCAGCAATATCCTGGTCTTGCTGTTGTTGTATCGATCGGGATGAGCTAGATGGTCTAGCAGTAAAATTGGCTGCCGGGTCGATATCCATATCGAGAAGATCTTCTTCATCTTCATCATCCTGAATAAAAGCAGTGGGGGGAGCTTTCAGTGGAGGATTGGCATGGCGACTTTGGCCCATCTCAACAACTCGCTGCCGTTTTCTGAGACCATGTAGTGGTTCACTGTCGCTTGACGATGGAGAAGATCCTAGGCTGAAAGGAAACCCACGAGTAGGAGCAGGTTCGGGACGTAACTCTTTTGACTGGGCGCGGCTGTTTTCATTGCCTGAATAAATAGAGACAGATACTGTTTCATGGCCAAGGTCGACCTGCTCAATATCGGTCTGATCAAAATCGACTTCATCGGACGACATTTCCTCGTCAAGGGAATCATCGGTCAAGAACTCTGTCCCAGAATCCAACGTTTCATCATCACCTGAGTCAACCTCTCGTATTACTCGAGCTCGAGTATTGTTGACCCGATGAGGAATTTTCGACGGGCAAACGTCTGATTCCAGAGTAGCTAGCTTCCATTTGCCAAGACATCGATCGGATATTGTCGGATCCATGTTCTTGCAGGCTTTCTGTAGAGTCTGAGAGGATCTGTATTCGAAAGCCAAAATTCCCTCCTGCTGTTTCATAAGACGGCTCTCTAGATGCGCAATGTCGGCAGAGAAGCGATTCTTTTCACGTTCAAGATTATTGGATTGCCGAGAATGCATCCACATTTTTCGTGCCTTCGGAAGTTCCTTTGGAAGGGATTTTTGGCGCCATAGCTGTTCTTTTTCCGCAGTGTATTCGGCTATTAAAGCCTTGCACTGCTCTCGTGGGAGAATAGGCCTTGATATATCGAGACTCGGGTTATCCTGCACTATTGCACGATATGTCTCATTGTCAAGCTCACCTTCCGATTCGGACTCTCCATAAAGCGGGAGAGGACTGCTTGTGTCATCATCATCGTCATGATACTTTTGGGTCAAGTACTCCAGAAAATCTTCTTCTTTCTGAGTTCGCGCACCAGAAGGTGCTTTCTTGCCCAGCGTGGCAAGGATCTCTGGCGGTTGAAAGTTCCCACTTTGAGCTGCAAAGGTATTGCTCAATATGTCATTTCCAGAAGAATTGGATGTAATATCCGGCTGCACTAAGCTGGGGGCAATCCTCCGTTTGGGTTTCTGAGCATTATCGACAATGCTAGATTCCTGAACAGAAGGCCGCGAGGGAACGACGATGACAGGAGTCGTCGCCACTGGCACGAGTTTTGCATGATCAGTTTGAGTCCTATCTCTCACTTCTGGGGTTTCATTTTCATGATTGCTTCTCTGGGACGACTTGTATTTCGGAGATTTGTCTTGCAGCCACCGAACAGCTTTCATTAAGCTAATTCGGTGGCCATATGCTTTTACACCCATATCCTTCAGACCATCATTATCGACATGCATGAGAACCTCCCCACACATCTCATTGTCACGGAGTGTTGCTTCGAGCTTGGCTGAATCGGGGCGTGGAGTATTTGATGATTGTGCCCATGGTGCAGGTCCTGGGTGACAGAGAAAATGTACCACTTGATCCACTGACCAGTCAACTGGATCTGTCTTATCAGTAGTGGCCATTTTTCATTGCGGGGGGGCCTGTAGATGAATGAATTTGAGGTTTCTCACAACACTGCATGCTCCGATACTCACCAATTAATGGCCCCCAGTATGAACAATAAACTGCAAGGCTTGATGAACGTTGATACGGTAGCACAGCGTTGCGGAGATCAAATGGTACAGATGTATCGTAAATCAATCAGGGCACGGTGAGAGTCGAAGAGGACGCGACACAAGTAAAGGAAAAGTGAAGATGAATCAAGTTGCTACAAAAGCTATTCAGAGGGTGCTATATGCCGGCAGTACACATGAGCATAAAGGGCGGTATGATTTGATCTAAAGGCGGTGAGGACGGAGCACGAGGATGATGATACCGGAGGCGGAGAGAAAAGCGGTCGGCGGTCAGCTGTGCAATTTCAATGCGGAAACCAGTATTCTGCCGTATCTAAGGACATCACCCCGCTGCTGATAAATCAAATCAAATCGCATTATGCCCAGGTGGGGTGAACCTGAAGATCTATTCGAACAATTCCTCCAGTATCCTACACAGCTTGCTGCGGTCCATTTACGACACCATGGCCAATCCAATTTATGAGAACTATCCTCCTCAATTGACACCGGAGCAGAAAGAGTTCCTGGTCACGGCCACCAAAGATTGGGCTATTCAAAATGGCCTAGCTGTTCGACCGTCCCCTGCAATTCTCCCCGAGAGCGCAAACCCGAACCATGTCTTCGCTACGAATGCTCCCGTGACGCTTTTCCCAAGTCCTTTCCCACAGGCCTGCTTTAAGGAAGCCGAGGCGCTTCAAACCGTTTACAATCAACTTTATGCCGCGATAACGTGCAACGAAGAATGGCTGGGGAAGGTAATTGAAGAGTAGGATCTGCAAAGATAATTAGTTCTTGAGGTTTTCAAGCTAAGATTTATTCATCTATAGTTTGATTGACGTCGATGATTTTGTTGCCAATCTATGGAAGACTCACCTGGCTGTGAAGAAGGAAGGATATGTCCAGAATTTGTCTTTGGGTTTATACCGATCCGACTACATGGCTGATGTTACCCCGAACCAGCCTCCATCCCTGAAGCAGGTGGAATTCAACACAATTTCTTCTTCATTTGGCGGGCTTTCCTCGCTCGTAAAGTCGTTACATACCGAGCTATTAACATCACCGCCGAGCTACCCCCCTCATCCTCTCCTCCAATCTGGAACACCACCTGATAACACCGCCGTCGAGACTCTTTCTGGTGGGCTTGCTACAGCTCATAAGGCATACGGATCATCAAAGTCCTCCCCGGAGCTGCCATTATGTGTAATTTTTATTGTACAAGATGAAGAGCGAAACGTGTTTGACCAATTGGCCCTGCTGAAGCGACTGACTGGATTCCATAAGATTCCAACTTTTCGTGTGAAAAGCAGTCAGATCTTAAATGAGACCTCTATATCTACTTCCGAATCTTCTCGACCATTGATTTACCGACCTCCACACTCACCATCATCTGCCTTTGAAGTAACAACAGTTTATCTCCGTGCATACTATTCTCCCGATGAATACAAATCTAGCCGTGATTGGGAGGCCCGTACTCATTTGGAACGATCCGCGGCTATCAAGTGTCCTACAGTGCTTAATCAGCTGGCCGGTTGCAAGAAGATCCAACAGGTTCTGGCAGAACCCACAGGACCCGACCACCTAACGAGCTTTCTCAATGGTGTTGATTCTTCTATCATTGCTAGACTGCGTGAAACTTTCGCTCCGCAGTACGACCTCTCGACAAATGGTCAAGGACGTGATCTGGCTCTCAATGCCGAGACAGCCATGAAACATGTTCTGAAGCCGCAGCGAGAAGGCGGAGGAAACAACATCTATAAAGCAGACATTTCCGAATACCTTCGAAGTATCCCCGAGTCTGATTGGAAAGGCTGGGTCTTGATGGAACTTATTAATCCTGCGGAAAACGCTGAGAATGTCGCTCTGCGTAATGACGGTGAAGTTATTCGCGGAAATGTCATCTCTGAGCTAGGAATTTACGGCACTATTCTATGGAAAGACAACGGGGAAATCCTCCATAATGACCAGGGCGGGTGGTTGTTGCGAACAAAGGGCAAGGAAGTCAACGAGGGTGGAGTAGCCGCGGGCTTCTCTAGTTTAGATAGTGTTCTTCTTTACTAAGCAGGACTTTGCATAACTATCAAAAAGCTTAACATTGTAAATGACACTGAGATATCTATAAATTTACTGCTGCTTTTGAAAAAGAACCCCCCCCCCCCCCATCGTTATCGGTTGCATTGTTATAAGATCGATTACACTTTCCCAAGAATCAAAGCTTAAAGTTCAATCGCAGTTTGAAGACATTCCATCGCCGAACACTTCATTTGCTTCCAAAACCTTTACTCAGTGTCACTCGAAGACATTGGAGCCGTATTATCCACCACCCCGTCCTGTTTCTCTGGGTCATCCTTCTTTGCGGCGGCGGCTGCATTCATTTGGCCCAAGAGTGCCGCCATAATCTTGTCCGCCTCGGTAGCAAACTTGCAAACACTGCGAATCCGGGCTCCATACCTATAGAACAAAAATGGCACAGGCATGCATACAAGTGCCAAAAAAGCGGGAACAGAAGCAGCCCAATGGTATCCAAGATTTTCGAACATCTGAGTTGTAAACATAGGACTAAAGAGTGAGATCCTGGTTAGCGTCAGAGTAATTATAAACCAGGTTTTGATCACTCACAACGCGAATCCAAAAAGGGCTCGCAAAATAGCATTGGCAGCAAGCGAGGAAGCCGCAAATACAGTATATGCGTCCACGGTATAGTTGATCAAGCTGATAAAAAGAAGAACTTGTCCAATACCGAAGAAGGCAGTGCCGATGAGCGGTACTATCCAATGTATACTATCATAGATTGTCCAGGCAAACCAAAATAGACCAATTGGAAGCAATACTCCTCCAAGCATGGCAGACCAAAGGCGCTCTTCTGGTGGATGGCGTCCTCCGGCTTGAGTAAGAGTTTTCTTGTATCGCCCATCGAAGACAAGATATATGAAGAATGCAAGGATCTGGCCAATTAGAACACCCAAAAATGATAGTCCGCTTATTCCCTGAGACCAGTGGCGCGAGTTTTCGAAGACGATAGGGAAAGCTGCGAATTGCATGTACAAGATGCCATATACTGCACTGGTCAGCATAAGTCTAGTTTATAGTGTAGTTTCAGCTAGCTTACCGATCGCAGTATAAATCGACAGTAACAAAACAATTGGCTCAAAGAAAAGCAGCATCCAAGGTCGTACTAGAGCTACCCTCAGCACCTCCATCAAAGTCTTCGACCCTCTTTCAACTTCAAGCTTGCTCATGTATACGCTTGTCGTCATTTTAGACAACTTCGCAGCACGTCGCTGAAGAATACACGGCGCGTAAGTCTCAGGAACAAAGATAACACCAACGATCCACATCACGGCACAGAATATCACCCCCAAAGCATCCACCCATCGCCAACCCGCCGCTTGGCTAAGGAATCCACCACAGATAGGACCAAGGGTTGGACCCATAAAAGGCGCAGAGCAGAAAACAATAAGCGCCAGCCCGCGTTCCCGCGCAGAGAAAATATCCCCAATCACAGCGGCAGCATTGACGACAGCAGAAGCACCACAGCACCCGGCGAAGAATCGCAAAACAAGTAACGTTGTTATATTCTGCGAAGCGATAGAGCAGGCCCCGAAAATCGTACACAGCCCAAACGAAATAAGATAGATTACTTGGCGACCGAAGATCTCTGATAAAGGTGCCCATGACATTGGTCCAATAGCGAACCCAAGGACATATAGCGATACTGTAAGAATGGACACCTCCGTACCTGCATTCAAGTTGACCTCCACCTGCTGAATGGAGCCAGACATAACGGCCGACTCGAAGGATACAGCTAGTGTTCCGAAAGCCATAATTACGGTAATCCACCATTTCATTGGCTGGCTGAACAGCATAGGGTTGCGGGGATCCTCGGGGATAAAATCGACGGCATAAGGTTCATCGGGTATACCTTTGCCGGGATAGTCGTATCCAAGAATTTCTTCAGTGACGAGTGATCGCGAAGCCACTAGCCGAAAGACAGAAGGTTTGTTCGCCATTTCGAAAGATATAGATATTGACTTTGTGTAAATTGGTTTTGTTCTTCATGATGCCAGTATCGTGTTCGTTATTCTTCGAGATATATTGCTCCTGAAGGGGTTAGTGACCAAACCCCATGCTAGCAAGTGGCGGACTTAAGGACAATTTCCGTGGAGTCGATGAGCCGCAAGGATCAGGAGCTATGGTAGTGCTAAAAGGAGTTGGCGTCTTCATCTTGGTCCACTAGGAGCTGCTAGTTAAAAGAGTGCGAGCAAATCAAAATGGGTGGATGGGGTTCCACAGCGGAAGGGCCCGAGGCTTTAGAGATATTCCAAGGTTATCGCCGTGTGCACCGGAGATAAGCCGGACACAACCTTGGGAAGGAAACCACTGATTGTTATATACACTGGGCAGCCCGTGGGGACCTATTGGGAGTGGCTGGGTTGTTTTAAGTCTTGACATTAACTGCATTCAGTTCTGTTTGGAAAATGAAAATATTTCTTTTAAATGAACTTACCAGTATAATCTACAGTATCTATAAGATTTATGTCTTCATTTATCTTTCGATTCGTCTTTCTAATTCCAAGGTTCTTTCCACTTGCTTTTCTATATATGCAGAGCTTACAGTACAGATATCTGTGCACTAGGTGATAAAGGTCAACATAGGGCTAGGGGGGTCTTTCCCGCTGGGCGCTATAGTCCTCCGTATAGTGCTATGTGCTGTATGCGCGGCAACGGGATAAGACAGATTCCAAAATCAACTTGAAGGAGTACGGAGCTAGCCCGGTGCCCGGGTGGTACATAGTATTGTAGTAATTAACGTGATTGGTATCCATGGATGATGACTGACTGCCGAAGCTTCCCAATGAGCAGATTTTTGCTTCTTGGAATTGATTCAGGTTGAATTTAACTTTTTGACGGGAGCTTGAATTCCTATTACTATTCCAAATACCAATCAATGCCGCAGCCTTAGAAGGATAAGATAGTAAGCATGTCGTCAATATTGGTACTTCGCTGTAACGGGGGGACTTTAAAGTGAGAGTGGCATCTGGGGTGTGGGGAGTAGCAGAGGCTTCGGTACGCAGAGTGGGGTACGCGGGGGTTACATTGTGGAGACAATGACCACCTTCAATTTCAACAGAACAGACGCGCATGTTCTCTAGCCGTAGCTTCGATTCTGAGAATAATACCGCTAAGCTTAGGATATGCATTGCTAGTATGTTATTTGAACCTGGATCTTTTAATATTGTCTTGGGATCTACTGGGAGCGAATCTGACAGTCAACCTGACCAGAGTGAAATGATTTCGGTGTTTCGGGTCTTTTTCGGGTATATCTGCAGCAACCCATCTGGGAAAACCTACACGATCGCAGAGACTTAGATCTAATAGAGGTAAAGTAGAATATCATATTTTATGTTCCTTTACTATTTTTATGTCATGCATTAGCTCCCTTCAAATGCGGGTCCACTGGGAAGCGTACCATCACGTGGACCCGCGTTTCTGTTGTGTGATGATGCATTTCGAATCTTCCTTTCGCATGGATCCCCGGTACAAACTGTTCGGTCTTAGGAAAATAGTACATATGAGTCAGTTTACCTTGCTTATTGGTATCTTGAATCTTCTAAGAACGGTAACAGGAGCTTTGCAAGCAAGTGCCCTCAAGTTCAATTGATCAGGACTTGACTAGATTGGATATAAGAATAGAGATATAACAAGTAAATTACCTCCAATTATGGTCACGACTGTTCCGAAGTCATGGGCTATAGGTATCAGAGTTAGGGACTAGGTTCCCATAAGCGATTCAGGTCTTGCTTATAGGCTTGGTTCCAATGAAGTGGGATCACATGGCCTAATCCGTAAATGATGGTAATTGTTGTTTGCACAGTATCTCTCGGATTCGAAAATTTTATTTGTATTTATTTGATCTCTCACCTCCAAACTTCCCTTCTTCCTTCCCACTCTTCTACCTTCTGTTTGTCCTTCGCTTCAACAAGCAATCCCCACGCGTCTTTTTACTTCTTTTCTTTGAACACGCTCTTATCTCATGAACACTACTTCCTTTGAAGAGCCTTGAGTCAAATTTCTCGAGTTGATCAAGATGGCCGGGTCTCGTTCCCAGGGGTAAGTGTGAAAGTAACATTCAGATATGAAGACGATGCTGACCCATTTCACTTAGCATGAACCGCAATGTCACTGCCGAGTAAGTACAACAATTATCATATATTACCGTAGTTTGAAAGGTTTCACTGATATATTTAGGATCCGTAATCCACTTGAAGGTATCCCGCGTCACCAGCTGATGTCCAGCGTGCAGCAGTATGCCCAGGAACACGAACTCCTAGACATCGTCCCCTTCCTTCGAAAGGGTGCCATAGCAGGCCAGAATCCAAGCCATGCGTGGAACGCAGAAAAGCTTGAGGGCTTCGGTGAGCTTGATGCCGAAGATCGGGAAGTTCTCGTTGTGGAGCGTACAAGCCGATGGAAGCAGCCCCGAGCTTTGTACTACACCATTATCCTGAACTCTATTGCGGCTGCAATTCAAGGTTGGGATCAGACTGGTAGGTTCTCAATGAGTTCTACAACTAAATCCACTAATATTCTGACTGTTCTAGGCTCAAACGGTGCCAACCTAACCTTCGATGCTTTCTTTGGTATTCCTAACAATGCCCCGTTGTGCCCTGACAAGCATACCTGCGACCGCAACCAGTGGATCGTGGGGCTCATCAATGCAACACCTACTATTACGATCTGTCTTCTGTAAGAATATCCTTAATTGCTCTTATACTTGCGTTCTAATCACTGATGGATTGTCTGTCACAGCGCCGGTTGGCTCGCCGATCCCCTGAACAATCTCTTCGGCCGCAAAATCACTATTTTCATTGCCAGCATTTTCAGTCTCCTTGCTCCCATCGGCTCGGCCTTTACTCAACACTGGGGTCAGCTGGTGGCTTGTCGTGTGCTTCTGGGTATTGGAATGGGCTTGAAAGAGGTCACCGTCCCCGTCTACTCTGCTGAAAATGCACCAACCAATATCCGTGGAGGTCTGGTCATGAGTTGGCAGCTCTGGACTGCATTCGGTATCTTCCTCGGAACTTGTGCAAATCTAGCAGTCAAGGACGCCGGCAAACTTGCATGGCGCTTACAGCTTGGCTCGGCCTTTCTACCAGCAGTACCTTTGCTCTTAGGAGTTCTTTTCTGTCCAGAGTCTCCTCGCTGGCTTATTCTCAAAGGAAGACACCGTGACGCATACAATTCTTTGATTCGTCTTCGTAATAGCCCTCTGCAGGCTGCTCGGGATCTCTTCATGATTCACTCGCAGATTGTGTTGGAAAAAGAGATGCTGCAAGAATCTGGCTACGCCAAGACCAACAATACATTTGTTCGCTTTAGCGAACTCTTCACGGTACCTCGTCTGCGTCGAGCAGCCTTGGCCTCTGGAATTGTCATGATAGCCCAGCAGATGTGTGGAAGTAGGTTTACCTGTTTCCTTTATTCAGCAGGATTCCTTACTAACACTATTTTGCTTTTGTCGCGCAGTTAATATCATCGCATTCTATTCCTCGACTGTCTTCTCGGTATGTTTTCTTGGAGTTCGAGTCTCAGATATCTTTAAAAGCATGCATGTACTAATCAAGTATTAGCTTGCCGGTGCAAGCAACACCGAAGCACTCTTCGCATCATGGGGATTTGGCCTGATCAATTTCCTCTTCGCCTGGCCCGCAGTGTACACGATCGATACATTTGGCCGACGAGGCCTGTTGATCTTCACATTCCCCCAGATGTTCTGGACACTGTTAGCAGCTGGCATGTGTTTCTGGATTCCAAAAGGTGACACAGCACATCTCGGTCTGATTTCGCTATTCATTTACCTATTCGACGCGTTCTATTCTCCTGGCGAGGGCCCTGTCCCATTCACATACTCCGCCGAGGTGTTCCCGCTGTCTCACCGTGAGATCGGGATGGCATGGGCAGTCGCAGTCAATAATCTTGGGGCAGCAGCACTGTCTCTCACGTTTCCATACATGTTGCGTGCCTTCACTCCCCAGGGCGCATTCGGATTTTACGCCGGTCTCAACGTTGTCGCTCTTGTCCTGGTCTTCCTTTACATGCCTGAGACAATGCAGCGATCTCTGGAAGAAATGGATTATGTGTTCGGGGTACCTACTCGAACTCATGCTAAGTACCAGCTCACGGTGATACTTCCCTGGTGGATCAGACGCTACATTTTCATGCGCAAGGATGCTGTTTGTCCTGATCTTTATCGGATCCATGAGGGAGTCGACAAGCCGGAAAATGGACAGAACAATGGAAATTCAGCCAGGTTTGATGCCCATGATAAACCCTTGCACCACTTTGAGGATATCACATCTCTGGATGAGGTTTAGGTTGCTCACAAAAGTTATTCCGTCGATCGACTTCCTTTTGTTGTTGAAACCTCTTCGCCATCTCCACTTGATATCTTTTCCTTGTGTATCTTTCACCCTTTTTTTTTTGCTCTTATTCCCTATTTTTATCATGATATCCACGTCCCGCTTCTCCCAAGTTTGACAGAAATCCCCATTGTTGTTTTGCGCGTCAATAGGATGCTCATATTGCGGGCCCTGGGTAGAAGAAGACACGCAGGCTGATCGGCCGATATGAGAGCGATTCCCCAAATTTCATTTTTCAATCACAGGTTTCTTTTCATTTTCATAGTTGAAGGCATGGCTTCGCTCCAATCTATTTGCTATTTGCGGAATAACTCGATTTCGTTCAATTTTCCATTTCGTAAAGCTTATCAACTTCACTTTTACATCTCCGCAAGGATGAGTGGTAAACATACAATTATCCGTTTGATTGAACGCAATTCCCGAATATATCCACGTGGAATTTATGATCTTCATATTTCCTGCTATGTGAAGCCCAATGCGTCGAGTAATCGCATAACAGCTGTTGGAACAAATAGAGTTGACGTGTCAGTAGCTGCCGCTCCCCGCGACGGAGCAGCTAACTTGGCTGTCTCGCAGATCATCGCAGAGGTGTGTGTACTCCAGCCCAGTCGCAATCCTAACCATTCGTTCCGAAATAAAATACTAACTGGGTTGTGCTTCAGGTTTTCAAAGTCCCAAAATCCAATGTGGAAGTCATCCGAGGACTCAAAGGACGCGAGAAAATGATATCCATCACCGATATAGCTATCGGTGATAACAAAGATGCATTTATACAACAATCAACCCAAGCCCTGATCAATGCGACTAGCAAAAAGTAAATACATCGACCATCACCAAATACTTACACCTAAACCCGCCATCACTGGGATAACGATACCGCGGAGTCGGGATCCCGTGACGTAAAATTCCGCTTCAACCCAATTACAACATTCCAACCACATCAACATCCATGCCTCAAATTTAAAAGATGGACACAACGACAGATAAACCAGCAAAAGATACACCGGCACCACCACAAGCCACAAAACGAAAAGCCAATGACACCAATACCCCCACAATCCAATTCACATCTCGAAATCCACCATGGACCTACCTAAAGCTTCAGCTGTAAGCTCCCCGACCCCAAAAAATAACACAAGCTCAATCCTAACAATTGATCTATCGCAGTATTCCGCAACCTGGCTCCTTATCTACACAGCCCTTTGACGCGCTCTCCGCCCGTACATACCTCTCCTCCGCGCTATCACAATACCTAGGACTCACAGGTACTGCTATCCCGATCGATATCCTCAAAGTCGAGGGGGCTTCGTCAGCCGAGGATACGCAAAATACCTCCTCGACCACTACTCGGAATAAAAGCTTTGTTTGGATCCGTGTACCTCGCGATGATGGAGCGGCTGTTGTGGCTGCGTTGAGCTCTTGGATTAGTGGTGGTGGTGGTGGTGGGAGCGGGAGCGGGAGCGGAGCAACTTTTGCATGGAGGATCTGCGCGAAGGGGAATTACCTTGGTGCTTTGGTTGCGGGGTCTGGACGGGACTTGTTCGTTCCTTAGTCTGCATCTGGGTTGGGTTTTGGATTTATAATTTTTTCATCTCGCAGATCGACTGGGCTCTGGCTTTGTTGATTCAGAACCCGATTATCGCCCTGACGCCAGATTGGCCTGATACTGGTTGCATACTGCGCTGTATTTTAAAGGCCTCTAGCTGCAGATAGGAAGCGTGCTAGGGTTATCCAGGCTGCGTACAGCCAGTCGTTCCATCCCTATAATCCCTATATTCATTGGCGGCAAGAAGGTAGTCCACAGGGACTGTGGATTTTCCACATATCTTTAATCCCCCAGGGTATTACCAGCAGAACGTGCAAATCTATTCCTACAAGGTTCGGGATAGCATGAAGAAGGGTTATGAGGCAAGGCGACCATAAGCTGCCAATCAAGATCGTGAACGAAAGATTCAGATTCAGTCTTCACAACAAATATCAAACAAATTTAGAACTTCAGGGTTTTTTTTCTATTGAGCAATGCACCCTTCAAACGCCCGGAACTCACATGCTGTCACAATATTAAAAGCAATTTGGTCGCTGAATCAAAATGCACTAGATGCCCCGAAGAAATGTAGTTCCAGTTCCTTCTCGCATCATTCACCATACTAAGCCCGTCCTTCTAAACAGACTGCTTAGACATTGACCCATTGCCAACAATAGTAGACGCGTCGGACATGGTCGTGGGGTTCCCACTTGGAGTCGGGCTAGAAATAACCTTCGCCTTCAGCGCAGCCCGAATATCCTCTACGCTTCTCCCCTCCCACTCAGAATATCCGTTCGGGCTCAATGGGAACATGACAAGGTTTTCATCACGTTGCATGAAGTCATCCACCTTGGGCGGGGGTGTGGCTGTCATGATGTCCAGCTCTAACGCGATCTGGCGACAGTATGTATCCAGTGGTAAATCGTTAACATCCTGACCGAATGGGTTTTCAATCTCGCTTCCGATAGTAGCGAGACCGATAATAATGTACGCGGCAACTGGATGGGCATGTTAGCTTACATCTTGTATAGTATGGTGCAAATCAGGTGTACTCACCAACAGAGGCAGGAATGGTAATCCAGTGAAGAAACTGGTAAAGCTGGAAGGGCAAAACAAGAACATAGATCCACGAGATCTGTGCAATAGCAATGGAATACGCAGATGGAAGAGGGGTGTCCAGCACCCGCTCAGTACCAGTAAGAACCTCATTCAGTGTCGACATCATAGTAACTAGATCATAAACATTAGCCCCATCAATAGATAAGATAAAAGCAAAGCGTCTTACTAGCTTGACTCTGGTGTAAACCCGACTTCAAAGTTCCGTTATCCACACAAGAATCAATATAGGCAGAAATATGATTCAGGATTTCGAGGGGCAAATGTCCGAGAGGCTTCTTAGATCTCTTGATGAGTTTCCGGGGATTTGACTCCGCAAAGGAGACACCGAGATACTCGCCCGCAGACTTCAAGGTACCCTTAGCCTTAGGGTGAACGACATTGTGATCATGTGCGTCCCGCGCGAATGTATCAAGGTACCCGACTAGTCCAGCTAGATCTTCATAGGCGATATCAGGTTCAAAGCGAAGCTTGTGCTTGAGAGCGACGGCGAAAGCGAGAATAAGGTTCATAGCGGATCTATGAGGCAAAATGTTAGCATTGGCTTCGTGATCTAGGCCATTGAAGGTGGCACGGACAGCTTGCGTAAGAGATCCACTTTGCCCAATTCGCCTTCGCGTTCTCCGGTATTTACCCAGATGGTACGAGACAAGTTGCGGGATGTTTGAATAAGTTGGGACCAGTATTTACGACCATCAGCCCAGCTGGATAGATGTCAGTTTGCGTTCTTGTTTATGTCCGTTGTGTATATAGATAGGTTAAGGAATGTTGAATTGGAGCATACCGTTCATAAGCCGTTGAGCTTCGGAAAGACAATGCCAAACCCACCACGAAACCCAGCACGGTGAGTAGGATGTCATTGACGCCGACTAAAGAAGAATTCTGGTATGAGAACGTTGTTTTGGTGGCGTGACTGATGAGAAGGAGGATAACTTACGATCGTGCACAAAGTGCGAAATAGAAGTGATCAGGGTCGCCCATCCGGCAACCAAGAGCATAGGTAGAATCATCTTCGGAGTGACACTACCATGCATACGCAAAAAGATAGGCCATTTCGAATGCTTGTCCATATCACGGGGACCATGCTAATGAAGCAGAAGACAACGATGTTAGCATTGACTCCATGACTGTGCTTCAAATGATCTCGGATAAACCGATAAAGCTCATTGGGGTCTTTTCGCCTGCACGTACAAAGTAACGGTCGAGTTCACTCGAATCTTGCCTGTGCAGATGAAACTGAGAGTCTCGCGAGTCGGCGAGATGCTCCATGAAGGTTGGACGGGGAGTCGGCGCCTTAAAGCGGGGCAGTTGCTGCTCTTCTTTTGTGTGAAATAGGACATCTTGGTGATGGTCGACATGGGCTTTTGTTTCAACTGGTACAGGTGGAGGGGCGGCGCTATCAGAGAACGGTGCCGGTGCATCGCTCGGCGATGCAGGGGAGTGGTCGCCCATGGTGTGACTGATTGTAGGATATCAAGATAGACAGGAAAAGAAAGGAGGAAGGAAGGAAGGAAGGAAGGAAAGAGATAGAGTCGGACTATTTTAAAAGATCGGAGTAATAATGAGAGTAAGAATCAGAAGAAGGCTGAACAGAAACAGAAGTGAGTTAGTATGAAAAGAAGGAAAAGAATGGAGAAATCGCCTAAAGATGCATATATAGAGGAGAAAAGGAGAGACGAAAACCTGGAGTCCGGAGAATTTTTACATTTTTACATATTCTTACATATTTTTAAACAATTTTTTACACTTTTCCTCAAAGTGAAACATGGCGTTTACCACCTTGTCAGGGGGCTTTGTTTCATGCCGATCTAGACTGCGTCCAACGCGTCGTTGTTGCTTGTCAAGGTTCCGGAGTGGAGAACGTGGAGCCTCATAGCCACGTCGCTCCCATAAATTTAGAACGAGTCAGTCAGGGGATGCGGCTGAGTTAGGGCATTCCTGCAGGTTCTTCACGTTTTTACTAGTAAATCATTCTAATATGAGATCATACTGATCTTAATTAAATACGAAAGGAACAGTGCTCGGGACCTGCTCAATCAATCAGAGCCTGTTGTCAACTGGTGTGGTACCAGGATGCGCTGGCGTTTTGGTTCGGATGTGGATACCGTCCCGACCCGCAGTCAAGATTCCTTACTCCTACTTGCTCCTACTCTGGACGCCAGTCAGAAAGGAGCGCTTACGCCCCCATTATGCCCTGTACAAGATACGAGACCTCTTTAAAATTCAGTCCCTCTTTTTTGTGTGCGTTCATCAATCTAGATCAACGGGGAATTTCTCCCGGATACGCTGCCCATAGCGTGTGAAGAGAATTGGCACTGGAACAAATGCAAGGGCAATGAAACCTAGGAGTGAATTTCCCCAGCCAAGCCCGAGGCTATCGAAGAGCTTTGGTCCCGCCAGTGGGATCAAGGCCCCCACGAGTGACCGCACGGTGGTTAGCGTGGCATTGGCTGATGCTGCATAGGCGGGGTAACAGTCGATGACATAGGTTTGTACGGGAAGGTACACGCCCATCAGACCGAATCCAAAGGGCGCCATGCCGATAATAGGCACGATCCAGAAAACACCCTTGTCGGCGGACCAACCATACCAGAAGAAGCTGGCGGGGATAAAGCAGGCATAGAAGATCATGGTCGGAAGACGCATCTCAGGCAGGTGTCTGCCGCCATTGCGCGCGGTGAGTTTCATCAAGATACGGTCATTGGTGAGTGCGTTAAGGGTCACCCCGAACAGAAACCCAAAGCCGATGCCTAGATAGGCCAGACCGGAGATACCCGTCGACCAGCCATATGTGGTTTTGAAGACATTCGATATGGTCGTGAAGAACAGATACAAGAGGCCATAGACGAAGGCGATGTATGTGGATAAAAGTGCGACAATGGGCGACTTGAAATACAGAATGACCGGTCGCCTTAATCCGTGCTTCAGCATCTTTCCTAGTGAGGGATTCTTCTCCTGATTTGGCGTATAGGCACTGCGAAGGTCAGAGCGACCGAGTTCTTTCGATAAGCGCTCAGTTTTCCGGCGGATCAGAACAATAGCATACGTCTCCTGGTTCAAGAACTCGATACCAAGTGATACTACCGCACCCAGAATCAATAACACCCAGAAGACCCATCGCCAGCCGATAGTTTCACCCATGAACCCTCCGGCCAGCGGCCCAACGCATGGTCCGATTAAAGGACCCAAGCTCCAGATAGACGTTGCTAAACCACGTTGTTCGATCGGAAACATATCCGCGATAGCACCTGCTCCTAACGTCAGAGGTCCAGATCCCCCAATACCTGCGAAGAGTCGACATATAATCAAAGTTTGGATATTCGGCGCGAGAGCGCAGCCAATCTGCCAGACAACAAGGAACCAATTCGCACAGCTAAGGACAACCCGGCGACCATATATTTCACTCAAAGGGGCAAGTAGAAGCGGTCCACACTGTGAAGCAATAAGCAACCACATCGAACAATACGCAAAGAAAATTCAAACCCTGCACAATGTTCTAATATCGAAGAGGTGGATGCTTACAGCGTACCCAAGCAAATAAATGCTAACACTAAACGAAAGAATCGTTTCATTGGTTACATCTAATTCCTCCCCAACAAAACTAACCGCTGGCGAAAACATACTCGACGCCAATGGCGAAACGAAAGTAATAGCGCTCACAAGCGAAAGTAACCCCCATTTTTTGGCGGCAGAGAAATTCTGCGGATTCTCAGGATCATCTTGTCCATCCCACCCAACAAGTCCGCGATCTAGATCTGTCTCCGGGTACCGTTTTGTCGGCACGGGTGATGGGCTTTCGATGTTCTTTTCTTCGGTAGATGGGTCAATATTTACGTTTGTTTCGGTTTTGGTTGTTTCTGCGACCAACTCTTGCGAGGAGTGATCGGCGGTGATCATGCCGAACTTGGTGCCCTGTTAGGCTAATCCCTGTCTGCTTTGCGGCCGTGATTAAAATGAAAAATGTAGATAAATATTAGTGATGGGAGAGTATCAACATGAACACCAGCTTAACTTCGGGTTGAATCCAGTTGAAAGAAGGTAAGATTTGATTTCAAATTCAATTCAGATGGGGGAAGCTTATAAGCGACCCCGCTCCTTCATCCTAAGCTGCTTGGGTAGATGAGATTCATACAGCCGGAGTTTGCATAAGAAACGGGCATAAGAGCGAGTTAAGTGCCGCATAAGCACGAACCCATCAACTTGAAATAATCTACGTGGGCTCTTCTCTTATTTCACCCATTAACTAAATAAGTGCTCTATTGCCAATAAATTTTTTAAAATTTTTTATTTCTATTACTCTTTTTACCTTTTTACTTTAGCCAAATTAGCTTCAAGTTCATACCTTCTTTTCGCAAAGCTTCACACCACGATCCCGATCTTATCATCGGCTTTCCCGTTCACGGCGAATACGACACGTCCCGAGCGTTGCTCTTAGGCTTAGGGTAATTCCTGCCGGGCAATCGAAGCCACCATCAATCACATCTCACCGTACAGCAAATCATGATTGGTTGATCCTAGGATGCATTTTATCTCCGGCAGTTCTTCCGTCTCAGCTTGTGGAGGCGGTTGGCAACGCGTGGAATATGCCGATCAGCTTTGGAATGTAACCACTTGTTTCGGGTAAATGTTTTTGATTGGTTTTCTGGGGGTTATGAGATGGATAGTGGGGTTTGAATAAGTTTGTGCTTGAATACATCTAGATCCACATCATCTTCACAGAATATAGGGACCTGAGTATATGTGCAAGTCCCGTCTTCTCAATTTGAATTTTAAAATTTCGAGTCGCTTATTTAGTATGTATTATTTATTTGTTTTTACCCATATAATGCCCAGATATAGTAGCACTTGGAAATATAACACTTTTTAGCTGGTGAGACTTGATTGGTCGGGTCGGTGCAGTTCGGCGCATAAACCAACTCACATCAAGGCTCACTGACAACCGCGTTTGACACTCCCTTTTCAAGGTGTTGTATATTCTACTGCCCGGATTCTCCACGGGAGGGCGCAGCTCCAATTCCTTCAAGATGCAGTCGATCAGACGCGCGATCCGTTCAATGTCATCACTTCGAAAAACACCTTTTCAATTACCCCCTCGAGGCCATCCCTTGCCGCAAGATGGATTTGTAGACGAAGAGATTTGTCAAAATTATGATCCTAACCGATTTTATCCAGCAAATCCAGGTGATGTCCTCGCTGATCGCTATCAGATCCTGGTCAAGGTCGGCTGGGGCGTATCTTCGACCGTATGGCTTGGCCGTGATATGAAAGATTATTATTATTGATTTCGCTTTCTCTGAGTATAACTCTCAGAGACTAATTGTTCTTCTAGATCCGAAGAATAGCCGGAGACAGCTGTAGCATTGAAAATTCTTAATAACAATGAAGTGTCTGTTCATGAACGTGAAATTGAAAAGCTCATTGCGACGACGGATCCATCGCATCGCGGCTACTCCCTTCTTCGAACCCATTCGCATTGTTTCGAAATAGCCGGTCCTGAAGGGAAGCATTCCTGTCTAGTTTATAAGCCCATGAGAGAGCCGCTCTGGCTTTTTCGTATACGTTTCAAAGATGAACTTATCCCTCTTCCAATTGTGAAGGCGCGCATACTCTTCCGTTTGGCGGGTCTAGACTACCTTCATACATCATGCAGTTTTACCTATGCAATTGCGGATGTTTGGGGAGCAGGTGTATGGTAGCGCGCCTTGGGGGCATTCTGCAGATTCCATGATGATGCAGATGGTTCAAGAGGCTGGTTCCAAGAGGCTGGTTCTTCTGGTGTTGCTACTATGACGATTGATAATACCAAACTCTTTCAATGAGGAGTGGTACAGAAATAATGGATGGGATGAGTTACGAAATTAAAGCTCGCTTCAATTCGAATTTTCGATAGATATTCTTGTGGGCTCGAGGTTACTAGAAAATATTCCAAAATTTTATAGAGTAAAAGGATGGCGAGTTGGTTTCAGTGAGGTGCCTCGAATCAGATTTTACGGATTTCGAACATCAACAGGTAAGAAAATTCGTCAAAAGCAAGTTCGGCATCAATTAAAGCCTAGCTCCGGAACTTTAAAACTCTTAACTGCTACCGAAATGCAGGTCTTTGTAAAAATGTGATACTTTGGTCGATCAGCCTCATTTTTGGGTCCACTGTTGCCGCCACCCAAACTCACCAGGATGTCTACTAGACAAAGCCGAAATACTCGGAATGGCTGAGCATATCGATCAAACGTTAGAGATATATCTTATTGCTCCTTTTAGATCCCTGGTATACACTGTCGAGCTATTAATTTGATTGGGCGCTGAATGTCAATATATTCCCTTACTGCTATGATCTCAATAACGCTGCCGCTAATAGCTACTGTAGTTTAAGTTTCCATTGCGAGCGATAACTTGGATTTGCCAAAGCGGGGGATCGTTGGTCGACAAATTGTGAGTTTAGATTCCCCATGGGACTCTATACATCCAGCATCCCTCTTAAGATCCTCTTTGTTCATATAGAGCGTATCCAATAACTGGGGTAGCCCCCGGTATCTGAACCTATCTCGGCTACACTATGCGAACGCAATGCCGACCAGAACTAAATTCATACAGATAAAATATTCCTTTTTGAGAAGAAATCCCAGCAAGGAACTCAATTATACCAATAAACGCACTGAAATATGGGGCTCTTGACTCAATTTCAGAAATATGGCATTTGAACCCTGAAAGGGATCTCCAAAAGGCTTGACGATCGCTCTTTACAGGTAACGGCTTTCTAATGTTTATCAAGCTAGGCTCCGTATTGATGAACTTTCCGGCATTCACCCTCCCTACGTATGCCAAGTTTCATTTTCCTCTGCATATTTTCGGAGTTGTTCCTATTTTTGCTGCCGCCGAAATTCAAAGTGGACTACATGCAGAATATTCCGAGGGCTCATCGCTGTCGGGCATACGGAAGCACCATGTCAGGAAACTAGAAGCATTTGATCGACTGCACTGACTTATCCACTGCAGAGTCTAAAAACGAAGTTTCTCGTTGGCCCTCGACGGTTTAAATTTCGTCTTCTTTTCTTTGTTTTGGTCGATCCCACGAATATGATAAACTCTTGTGGGTCCTTCTATCTGCACCATTTATGCTTGGATAGATAAAAAACCCATTCCCCAGGTATTTCGCGGTGTGTTATGGGAGCTTTCTTTTTTCGAGACATTTTCTTTTATCTTCACTTCCTCTTCTTCTTCCTTCATAATTTCCAGGGTCTGCATGCGGCTCTCACTTCGCTCTTTGATATCAGCTCTTTCATGAATATCCAATAAGGAACGGCTGGTCTCCTTTGTCACTGCTAGTATTATATTGGCATCAGATTGGAAATTTTATGCTTAATATTCGAGAATATTCACTCTTTCAGCCTTCCCACATCCTTCTTATGCTCCGCCCATCATGCAACTCCCCCCAGCTGCTGTTATAGCGACTTGGCCAACTCCTAATTATGTTGACCCAGTGACTCGCGGGAATGGGGTCTTGGTTGTGAACATTATTTGTATCAGTATCGCATTTGTGATCACTCTTCTTCGTCTATATACTCGGATATTCATCACCATGACCGCTGGTACTGACGATATCTTGATCGTCATTAGTCTTGTCTTTTCTATCGCCATGGTGGTCATAACATCCGTTGCTACTGAGCAATGGGCCTATAATCGACATATGTGGGATGTGCCAATCGATTGGTTCCCTACTGTCGAAAGGTTGTTCCTTGCATTTCAGATTATGTTTTCTTGGGCTTCCACCTTTACCAAGATCTCAATATTATGGTTCTGTCGACGGCTTCTAGGAGTGGGAAAGGGCCTCTTCACAGTCTGGAACTGGGCTTTTATTGGTTCAATGATTTTCGTTACCATCGATGCACTTTTGTTCACCTTTATTACCACCTTCCAGTGCTCGTGAGTCTAGCTTATCTCTGCCTCTGCCTTCTGATTTCCTATTCATTACATCAATTCAACTGCTGATCCCTATTTCAGACCCACCAAAGCATTCTGGGAAGTTGATCCTCAGTATCCGCATTCATGCCTGAGAGACGGAGATATTGTCTTCGCGGGTAGTGTGATCAACATCTTTACCGATTTCTTAGTTACCATTCTCCCCATGCCCCTCATCTGGAGCCTCAATCTTCCCACTCGTCAACGACTAGCCGTCATATCCATCTTTGCCCTAGGTATCGTCGTCAACGTTGCGGGCTCTGTCCGTACGGTATACGCTTGGAAGAGCCAGCTCACCACATACGATCAAACCTGGGAAGGGTGGCCGGTTCTCATCGCTGCTAGCGTGGAAATTAATCTCGGCCTGGTACGTCTTCATAGTCAACCTGATCCAGATATGTTACGCATCAGTCGTCTAATCCCCTTTGTTTTCTCAGATCTGCTCTTCAGCTCCAGCTCTTCGGCCCCTCGTCGCAACCTTCCTTCCTGGCGCCCTCCCATCCAAGAGTATGAGAGCCTCCAGCAGTCGCCAAAGTCGTTCTAATAAGCTCTGGTCTTCAGCTAGTCACTCTCGAGCCTCCCATATGGCTATCAACGCCAACCCTTACCAAGAAAGTCACGAAAATGATCGGTGCGAAATTATGCGCACTGTTGAGATGGCAACTTGGTCTGAGACTCGATCTGAGCACGATGATATAACTGTTGAAACGGAAAGCCGAGCTGTCTCTCCTAATAACGCTGAAGTGAAAGAATGGCCTTTGGTGAGCACGTCTGTTGAGAGTAGTCGATCATTCAGGTTAAGCAAGTATGGCAATGAGTCGCCATCAGATGATCTTCGCGACCGTCAATAATTTTACAACCAGATATCAGAAATTTCACCCCTTATCAGCCAAAATGACGCTGGTCAGAAAAATGGAACGTCCTCGAATGAGGTCCAGAAACCAGAAATGGATTACAAGTTCTTTTTCACTGCATTAATAGGCAAGTCATCTAGTCCTTTGGGAAAGTACCCTCGGGTGCTTTGAAACTCAATTTAATCTACCTTCATAGGTATATTCCTTGCCTTCGTGGACGATACATTTGTTTTCACTACGTACGGGACGATCGGGTCTGACTTCGGTAATGGCTCCATGGGGTCCTGGCTGGTCGCGGCCTATAATCTAGGATTTGCCGTTTCGTTGCCCCTCGTGAGATCCCCATCCATAATAATTCGTTCGCGTTCTTTGGTTTGACATTGGCAGTATGGCCGAATCTGTGATGTCCATGGCTACAAGCGACCAATCCAAGCCGCTTATTTACTATTTACAATTGGGTGTGCTTTGTCGTAAGTTGAAAATCGAGTGAAATCTATAGGTCGCGAGGGAAACTTACTTTTCTCAAGTGGGACTGCAAGCTCACTGTGGACTGCGATTATTGGAAGGCTGCTCTCTGGTGCTGGTGGCTCGGGGATGACGGATTTACTTGTTGTTATAATCAATGGTTCGTGCATTCAAATACAACCTTGGAGAAGAGTGTCAACCAACATAGGTGTCTGAGTTAATTAATGATGAAACTGTAGATATGGTGCCCCCAAGAGAAGCTACAGGGTTACGCGCATATATCACGATCGTGATGACTGTCTCAGTTCCTGTTAGTGCCCCATTGGGCGGTGCTTTGACTTCATGGGTTGGCTGGAGATGGGTCTATCTCCTTCAGGTTCCGTTGACTCTCACTTGTTTAACCATGGCTTCTTTGCAACTGAAAGCGCCTAAGAAGAAGTCCGAATCTGAGGATGAGGTACAAATGTCTGATCGGACCGATCTTAACAAACGAGGAATCTTTTTTCTCGGCCTCTCTGTCATTTCACTGATGACTATTTGTCAATTCACTGGTGAAATCACATCTCAATCAACAATATGGTTGTCAATGCTAGCGACGCTATTCTTCGCCAGCGTCTTGCTTTATGGGATCAACGAACGACGCTGGACAAATGCCCCGTTGGTTCCGCTAGAGTTGCTTAAGACAAACGGAATCGGTGCAATTTATCTTACCCAAGTATTTCTTTTCTTCAGCTATGGAGGCGTAGGTCAATTCTACCTCGATTATCTCACTTTGACTGATCAATACCACACAGATCTGTAGTCATATCACGGAATAGTGGATCCGGACAGAAAAATTCGGCAATAGCGGTGCTTCTGCAACTATAATGCCAGTGGTATTTGGGAATGTTGTTGGCGGAACAGTGGGCAGCAGGATCGTGCAGAGGTATGTATTCCTTCGCTACGCAATACGAGATGACCCAGGTGAACTAAATCACCACCAGGACCGGGAAATACAAGCAATTGCTAAGTGCTGGCTGCATGCTCGTGATAGCCAGCAACATATTGATGGCCACAAGATGGTCACATCGACCACTATGTTGGGAGATGATATGCTACATTTTCTTGGGAGTGGGAGTGGGAGTGGGCGCTACTCTCGTATGTACTTTCACAGGACTGTCAGTATCAATCTCAAGGGATATGACAGCCACTGCTATGTCAAACTATTATCTCTGACAGCAGCTGGGATTGGCATTGGGCGTTTGTGTGACATCTGCAGCGAGTCAGGGGCTTTTTGCAAAATACCTGTTCCACGATATTCCCCTAAGTGGCGGTAAATCTGAGGTTTGCTTTGATGGTCTGTTTGTGCTATTGAGCTGGGCACAGCTAACATTGCCACTACTGACAGCTTATCGGGGAAATATCGAATGATCTTCGATTTGGTTCTACCTTGTCTGAGCCCATTCAGTCGATTGTAAGACATTGTTTCTTGCAGGCTTCTCGAATAATCCCTAGTAATGAAGGACGTTCCTAAGCCTGTGACTGCTTTCAGCTAACTTCCACATAGTAATATCTGTCGTCGCCTTGGTTCCAACCCTTCTTATATTCCTGAAACTTCCTGAGCAGTCTCTTGACTGACTAAATTTATCATATACTTTGAGGATTCTCTACATATGACAGCTACTGAGACTCCTTAAAAAAAAATTAAGACCAGTTTCCAGACTCCGATTCGAACCTTTCTGAATTAGGATCAAAAATCAAAAATCACTCCGTCTCAAAGGAGAGGGAAGCAAAAAGATGGACTCGCGGGGAATCGAACCCCGGACCACTCCCATGCTAAGGGAGTATTATACCACTAAACCACAAGCCCAATTGATATATGGCAGCTCAATTTGTGGCTTCATGAACAAAAAACGATTAGTTTGTGGGTTCAGAGTTAGGCGGACCCACTTGGACGTGGACGGTACTCGGGCCTGTTTCCAATTAGGAATGAGATTCCGATACATCCATTCGTCCCAAAGGTCATGGGACCAGATTGAGGCTGGGGAGTTGCGGAGTCTGGACCGCTAGTTATCTCAAATTGGAAGGCCAGGTAAAAAACGGACATGGATGGAGTTTCACCGCTAGTTAGGAGGGAATCGCTCAGGTTTGGGATGATTTTAGATGATATAATCGACCTCTGGGTCTAGTAGTCCATAGCGTTCCCCAGGGCTATATATATCCATCCATGCGGGGAATCCACGGGCGCATTGATCATTCTCACGTTGAAGGATAAAATATTCTCAAGGATATAGATGGCCTAGTATGAGAACTAGTAATTTGATAACTAGAAATATACTGTACTTGTCCGCTCTTTCATTCAAACGCGATCGATTATCCAGTCGAGTAATGCCGATAGCCGATAAGCCGATAAGACTACACATAAGCTTATCGGTGCTGATAAGGCCAGGATCCGGCATCATTGATTTTGATTTTTGGTGACAGACTGGTCTCTATGATATTCTTCATTCCCCACAAAGGAAATTTTTTACGGCAGGTAGGCAATTGAAAATAGAAACCTTGAGTGGAGGGCAGAGGCAAACTCGTTACCACATCGAATTGCCCAAAAACATCCACCAGGTACATCCACCTGCGTAGACTTTCTCGATTTGTCGAAAACCGGGATTACATTGCTCGGCGTTTCGACACCCAGCCGCTCCGTCTGATTGGTCCACGCCACCGAGATCCAATCGTATCAACGCGGGGGAACAAGCAGCTCCAAGCAGCTCCAGGTCACGACCGATAACAGCTTCTCTTGATATAAATCCGGCTGCCCCGCGATCCTTGTGTTTCTCTTCTACTATTATCTTCTTTTCTGTGTCACTGGAACCTGGGCTTCTCTTCACATCACTTACTCTCAATTGTACCGGATACAATTGTTCAGAGTGTTCCCTTCTTCCCCGCACGAGAGTCAATTGACCCCAACTCTCTCATTTTCTCTCACATATTGACTCCTGCAAAAAAATAATACACAATGGCCTCTGCTCTTCGTTACAGCGCTAAGATGCGCTTGGCGGCTCGTGTGCCTGCTGCTCGTGCTCTCTCCACCACCGCTCGCCTTCGCGCGGCCGAGAAGCCTTACTTCCCCAACGAGCCTACTGGCCCCTCGCTCTCGACTCCTATCCCCGGCCCCAAGAACAAGGCCGCTGCCGCTGAGCTAGATGAGGTCTTCGATGTGCGCAGCTTGAACATGCTCACTGATTACAACCAGTCTGTTGGTAACTACATTGCCGACCTCGATGGCAACAAGCTACTTGATGTGTAAGTGGCAAATCACTGGATATCAGTCCGATAAGACAACAATCGCTCACAGCTATATTAGTTATGCTCAGATCGCCTCTATCCCCGTTGGATACAACAACCCCCACCTGAAGGAGACTACCCAGTCCCAGGAGATGACCAATGCTTTGATCAACCGTCCTGCTCTGGGTAACTTCCCTTCCGCTGACTGGGCTAACATCCTGAAGACTGGTGCCCTCCGCGCTGCGCCCAAGGGACTGAACCAGGTTTTCACTGCTATGGCTGGTTCCGATGCCAACGAGACTGCTTACAAGGCTGCTTTCATGTACTACCGCCAGCTGCAGCGTGGTGGCCCCGACGTTGAGTTTACCGAGGAGGAGCTTGTGTCCACCATGAACAACCAAGGCCCCGGTTCTCCCCAGCTCTCCATCCTGTCTTTCAAGTCTGCCTTCCACGGTCGTCTGTTTGGATCCCTCTCCACCACCCGCAGCAAGGCCATCCACAAGCTGGACATCCCTGCCTTCGACTGGCCGCAGGCTTCTTTCCCCCAGCTGAAGTACCCTCTGGAGGAGCACATTCAGGAGAACGCCCAGGAGGAGCAGCGCTGCCTGCAGGAGGTTGAGCGCCTGATCAAGGAGTTCCACAACCCCGTTGCCGCTGTCATGGTCGAGCCCATCCAGTCTGAGGGTGGTGACAACCACGCCTCCCCCGCCTTCTTCCAGGGCCTGCGTGATATCACCAAGCGCACCAACGTCCTCTTCATCGTCGACGAGGTGCAGACTGGTGTCGGTGCCACTGGTAAGTTCTGGGCCCACGACCACTGGAACCTGGACTCTCCTCCCGACATGGTCACCTTCTCCAAGAAGGCCCAGACTGCCGGTTACTACTTCGGCAACCCTGCTCTGCGTCCCAACAAGCCTTACCGCCAGTTCAACACCTGGATGGGTGACCCAGCCCGCGCTCTGATCTTCCGTGGTATCATTGAGGAGGTTGAGCGTCTCGGCCTCGTCGAAAACACCCGTATCACTGGTGAATACCTGTACTCTGGCATCGAGCGTCTCGCTGAGAAGTACCCCCAGCACTTCCAGAACCTTCGTGGTAAGGGCCAGGGTACCTTCCTTGCCTGGGATACCCCCAAGCGTGATGAGATTGTGGCCAAGGCCAAGTCTTTCGGTATCAACATTGGTGGCAGCGGTGCTCAGGCTATTCGCCTGCGTCCCATGCTGGTCTTCCAGAAGCACCACGCTGATATCCTTCTGGAGCGCCTTGAGCAGCTCATCAAGTCCATTTAAGCTCAGAAGTTGGACCACGTTGAATTAGCCTTTCCTTTCCTTCTCTTTCCCGTTTTCTTTTCCCAGTTGAATTTGTTTAGCGGATTTCCTTTTATTTCTTTTATGTCCTTTCATTCATGATTCGGTTATATCTTGCTACGATTGATGCCATCTTGAGCTGGACCATGTACATATAGACATTTTGCTAATGTCCACCAAAAACGACGATTTTATACCAATGACTTTGAAAAAAACTTCCATGTAAATCATTTGAAACTCCTGCTAGCATGTCCTATAACCCGATGCCCACAAAAGAAGATAGCAATGCTTCCGACCCAAACTCCGAGAGAAAACAGCAAAAAAAAGATCACGGTGCAGGTCACCTGGCTCATCAGTTACAAAGGCGGGTATAGAGATTCCATATGCAACGAAAGACTTTGGGCGACTGATGAACAGTATTTGTACTTAGAAGGATTGTTGGAGATGTGCAGAGATGTCGCTCGAGGTCTACGCATCCTCTTCGCCGGTACTTCCGTCGCGCCTTGAAAGAAAACAGATCAGTACTTGATATTAAGATAAAACAAATGAGACCAGAAGCTGAAGAGTGTACCAGCATTGGAAAGGAATGGAAAAGAAGGGACGACATTGAACATACGGAACATATCTTACGCCTGAGTCCTCCAATCTGCCAATCATGTCGTCCGGGAGCTGCCAGAAAAGAATAGTTGTTAGCCAGTCCAATTAAACAATAGACTGATGAATTGCGGTGTCCGGATAGAAACCCACAGTGCCCGACACCTTTGTCGCATATGTTCCCGGCACATAGTTATCCAAACGCTGCCAGCGTGCCACCCAGCTGACAGTCGGATCGCGAATGGCGATTAAGCCTTCAAAGACCTGGGATGTGCATTCTGCGATCGCATCGGCGCTTCCGCGGAGTTCGAGGCTAGTTTCGCAGTTGGGACAGCCATCTTTTTGGAATTTCTGGGGGTTGGGAGTTGCATTGTTAGCTTTAATGATGCTGGGGTGTCGGTGAGCAGATGATTTAAGGGCATCTCACTGAATAAGACTGAACGATGGAGCAGACCATGCATGCGCGCAGATGGCGCTGCTGGTGTGGAGTGGCGTAGAAGGACATGGTCGTTGGAGGAGTATATGAGGAGAGGAGGGAAGGGAAGGAAGTGACAAGGTGGAAAGCGTGCCAAGCCTTCTCTTCATATTGCCATCGGAGAAAAAAGATAGAGAGAGAACCACCAGGAACCACAGTCTTCTCCGCTTCACTTTTTTTTTGGGATTCTTTCTTCCTTCTTTTCCTTTTAACTCCCCATCTTTTTGGATTATAGGTACTTTGTCTTGGTTTTTAGAATAATAGCCCTTTTATTCTTTCCTTTTCATTTCGCTCTCGGTTCTCTCGCGCCCTCCCCTCCGCACTAGAACCCGTTCCCCGATCGACGCTGTCTCGTGCCCCTCTACTATTCCGCCCCATGGCTTCGGACCAAGAGGCTGCCACCGCGCTTAAGACGCAGGGTAACAAGGCGTTTGCCCAACATGACTGGCCGACCGCGATAGACTTTTATACCCAAGCAATCGAAAAATATGATAAAGAGCCCTCTTTCTTCTGTAACCGGGCTCAGGTGCGTCGGCCTTCCGTCCCTGTTGCAATAATGGTCATCCCTAGACACACAAGGATTTAGTTTCGCTAACATGTGGCATAATTTTGTTTTAAATAGGCCCAGATCAAACTCGAGGCCTTTGGCTACGCCCTAGCTGATGCCACCGCGGCTTTGGAATTGGACCCGGACTACGTCAAGGTTAGTCACTGTTAGGACTATTACCTCCCCTCGAAGAGACACAGCAGGATGCAGACTGCCGCGAGCATATGTAGATGATAGATGGCGAAATATAGAGCGGCTAACGGTGACCTTGGTATAGGCTTACTGGAGGCGTGCCCTTGCCAACACTGCGATCTTGAGCTACAAGGCGGCTTTGAAGGATTTCAAGGCAGTCATCAAGCGCGAGCCTAACAACAACAATGCGAAGTTGAAGTTGGCCGAATGTGAGAAGCTGGTGCGCCGCATCGAGTTTGAGAAGGCCATTGAGGTATCGGACCCGCCATCTGCGTTCGAGGGTTTGGATATCGATGCTATTAAGGTGGAGGATGGATATGATGGAGTGCGCCTGGGCGAGGAGATGACACAGGAATTTATCGACGATATGATTCAACGATTTAAGGACGGCAAGAGGATTCACCGCAAGTATGTCTTCCAGATTATCAAGGCCGTAAAGGATCTGGTATACAACGAACCGACAATGGTGGAGATCGGCGTGGAGACCGGCAAGAAGTTGACTGTCTGTGGTGATACTCACGGTATGTACATGGGAATCGATCAACTCTATATCGTTGAAGGACATGCGGACTGACGTCACAGGCCAATATTTCGATCTGCTGGAGATCTTCCGTCGTAACGGCGCGCCTTCTGATACCCATGCTTATCTTTTCAATGGTGACTTTGTCGATCGTGGTTCGTGGTCGTGTGAGATTGCTCTGCTGCTTTATGCATACAAGTGGCTCCGACCGAACGGACTCTTCTTGAACCGCGGAAACCATGAAACAGATGATATGAACAAGGTATACGGATTCGAGGGCGAATGTAAGGCGAAGTATAATGAGCGGGTCTTCAAGGTCTTCTCCGAATCGTTCTCTGCCTTGCCGCTGGCTACTTTGATTGGTCAGAAGTATCTTGTTTTGCACGGTGGTCTCTTCTCCGATGATAAGATTACCTTGGATGATATTCGTAAACTGAACCGTCACAACCAACGGCAGCCAGGACAACAGGGTCTGATGATGGAGATGCTATGGACTGACCCACAGACCCAGCCTGGACGCGGTCCAAGCAAACGTGGCGTTGGTCTCCAGTTTGGTCCCGACATCACTAAGCGGTTCTGTGAGAACAATGGTCTGGAAGCTATTATCCGGTCGCACGAGGTTCGCATGGAGGGCTACGAGGTTGAACACGACGGCCGGTGTATTACCGTCTTCTCCGCCCCGAAGTACTGTGACTCGACAGAGAACAAGGGCGCATATATCAATCTTGGACCTGAACTTAAGCTCCAATATGAGGTGTTTGATGCAGTTCCTCACCCTGATATCAAACCTATGGTAAGTAATGACTACACTGGCGTGACATCGGAGTATATCTACAACTTGAACGGAATGGCAGGACTGACACATCATATAGGCGTATGCTCAAAACTCAATCTTATCGCAAATGTGATGAACGTTTTTGATTTGCAAGCGGTGACGCTATTTTGTTTCCAAAAAGAAGCTAGAGATCTATACGCAAATGTAACTATGCGATGCTTATTGACATCTTGGAAATCCATTAAACACTGTAGCTTTGGCCTCTTTCCCCCTCACACCGCCACTAGTAATTGTTCACCGCCTTCTTCTGCCCCGCGATTTCCCCTGTCCTCGTCGCGAAGTGACGCAGCTAAAATCCCACTCCCCCCACTTCAGTCCAAACTCCACTTAACAACCATAAAAGATGGAATTCGATCCGAAGACACGTAAGTAGGGGATATTTTTACTAGTGAGATATGGTGTTAACTTGATAAAGCCCAATTCATCACCTCGGACCCGTCGAGCTTTGCCTCGATCTCCGCCGATGACAGATGGCCCGTGATTATCGTTAGTCATTCAGCCCTGGAGATCATACTTATAAAAACTCAAGTGCTGACGGTTTAAGACTGGCGCTATCGATGATCTTCATCGCACTTCGATTTCTGTGAATAACAAGGAAAAAGAAGACGAGGGCAAGAGCATCATTGAGAAGCTTGCTAAATTGAAGTATGAACTGCAGCACAACCGTCCTCTGACGTGAGTAACCCTGGAACTACCGATATTATATTGTCATTTTGCAGCTATATCAGGTTCCTGACACCACACGATTGTTCATAGACCACTTGAGGACGATGGCCACCCAGATATTGCCCCCTACAACAAGGAGCTAGAGCAACGAGGAAACCCAGTTTGGCACGATGTGCCATGGCTCTACTCCGAGTGTTACCTTTGTATGTTTCCATGTGATATGACAATGGATTGGAATGCCTCAATGGCTCTGACATGATGAAACAATACAGATCGTCGCATTGAGACCTTCTTCGCACTATCTAAGCACTGGAAGGGATATGATGTGTTTGCACGCCAAAAGATGTCGACCTTCAAATCATCCCGCCCCGCAGTTCTAGAGCTTGCAGCTCGTTACCGCGAGCTCGCCAAAGAGGCAGGAAGTGGAAAGGGTGCAGATGGAAAGAGCCCCGAGGAAGTCGAGCAAGCCGAGAAGCTACTTTTCTCGGAGATGTGCGAAATCTGCCTGTGGGGTAACGCTACAGATTTATCCCTCTTGACCTCCCTCACATACGAAGACATTCAGAAGTTGCAAGGCTCGGAAGCCCGTAAGGCTTCACAGAGCAACATTATTGTCAATGATCTCGATGCTGCATTCGCTGTTATGCAGAAGGCCCGGAAGGACAAGAAGGATGGTGAGCGCCGCGTGGATATCGTACTTGATAATTCTGGCTTCGAGTTGTTTGTCGATCTCATCTTGGCTGGATATCTGCTCTCTACCGGTCTGGCTACTACCATCGTTCTTCACCCTAAGCGTTTGCCTTGGTTTGTGTCTGATGTCACACCCAAGGACTTCTCCGACCTGCTTAACTGCATGGTTGACCCACAAGCTTTCTACACTGCTCCCGATGATTCGGGCAAGACCTTCCCTCCTCTTTCCGACAGTGAAGTCTCTGATGTCCAGTTCTTGTTTGAGCAATGGAGCAACTTCCACCAAGATGGCAGACTGATTATGCGCCCTCATTCATTCTGGACTACCCAAGGTTGTTACTGGCGTCTGCCACACCTGGCTCCGGAACTGTTCGAAGATCTGAAGGAGAGCGAGCTTGTCTTGTTCAAGGGTGATCTGAACTACCGTAAGCTGACCAACGATGTAAGTCTCCCATATAAATTTATTCCTGACGTTGTTGAATATCCCTGCTGACTCTTGCAAGGCTCAATGGGACACCACCACCCCTTTCACAACAGCAATCGGGCCCATGGGTCCCAAATCCGATATCCGCGTTCTTGCTTTCCGCACTTGTAAGGCTGACACAGTTGTCGGCCTTCAAGCCGGCGAAGATGAGAGGCTCCGCCAGCTGCCAGGTGGAGGTGGTGACCAGGCTCGTAAATGGGCATGGAGTGGCAAGTGGGCCGTTGTGTCGTTCTCTGACGGCAAGGCCTAAGCTGCTGTATTGATCTTGATCCATATAATGCGGAATAAAAATAAAGGAAGAGTAGCAGGAAGAATAGAAGCTGACGATGAAACGATATACTGGGATTTTGGTCCTGGGTGGATCGCTGAATACATTCATAGATGATACATCTCGTTTGGTCTGGTCAAAAGGGTTGAATAAACGAGGCCATGATGTTAAATAGTTTAGACTATGGATGATCTACTATTAGCATAGCTGTTCCATCCCAATATTGTACATAAAAGCGAGTCTCTTTCCGAACCACTTGTAGGAAAATCGGTAGTAGCAGCTTTTAATAATATCGGTTTGGATGTCTGAACCCATGAATTACCGCAGACCCCTTCATCAATACTGGGTGTCATCGGAGGTATTGCGGACATTACTAGAACAATAGTGGACCAGAGCATAGTATTAGGATTCTTCATTTCACTCTGCATTCACTGATCCTAAGAGAATAAGTACCAATCTTCCTTGGAGCACCATGCTAAAAAAAATAATCTTGACTGTCTTTACATTTCCACCCGGGAACACAGTAGGAAACAAAATAAAGAAAATGACGACCGGTCATCAGATCCAAACACAAGTCACTTCTCCGAACCTCAGAAATTTTCTTTCCCAGATGGCCTTAGTCTCTGACTTTCGCGTTTCTGCCTGAGTCGTGACTTGGCCGCAGCAACTCGTTCAGGAGAAAGCGGTTCACTTTTCAGATCGGCCAAAAGCCCATACTTCTTTCCAGGTCTTTCCCCCCCAGAGATCGTATGTCCTGCATAGTTACCAACACGGGAGGTAGTCTGACCCGAGAGCGTATCTAGAGTAGACTTGATATGTGTAAGGGGACGATGGGTATTCGCGTGTGCTGGCTGTGTATTTGCATCGGTGTCTGTGAGCTCGGAGCCTCGAAGGTATAGAGAGCGGTAGGTACGTTGATTGTCGCCTGCAGGGTGATATCTTGAATGGCCCCGACCGAGGGATTTAAACGCCTCAATGTCAGGGGGTGATGAAGGAGGGACAGGAGCTAAGTCTGTATGACGGGATCGGAGAGTTGGTCTATGAAGGACCTCAGCCAGGTATTCTTTGACTTGAGCGTCATCTGCGGTGATGTCTCGGAGATCCCTAGATTTGCGTTTGAGATCAAGGGCGCTCGTGGTGGAATTGCGCGTGTGGCGCGCTTCTCTAGATTTGGAGCGGGGGCTAGGACTAGGGGGTCCCTCGATATCTTCGTTGGCTTCTTCATCTGCTCCGGGATGGTCGTGATCTTGGCCTGCAAAATCCTGCACATGTACCCCTGTGTATTCTTTGCGTGGGCTGAGAGAACGGCGTTGTTGGGGTCGGAGGGTAGGTGCTCGTTCGACAGCCGAGACCCTTGTCTTTAATTGATCAATTTGGGTTTGCATGCGGCGGCGTTCATCATCGAATCCTTTTCGGAGTGCATCTTCTGATTGTCGGTGCTCTTGAGTGGTGGTTTTCAAACGCTCACGATACTCCTGGATGCGTGCTTCTAATTTGGTTTCTCTTTGTTTCAACTTATTCTCCTTCTCCTTTCGCCGGCCTTCGTAGCGTGACATTTCTAGTTTCACACGAGCTAGAGTTTGCTTAAGACTGTTGTTTTCTTTCTCGAGCTCTTGAGCTTTCCTTTCTGAGCTCTCAGCGAGGTTCTGGAGTGTACTTAAATCCGTATTCTGGCGCTTCATTCCATCGATTTTGGCGTTCGCTTCTTTGAGCTCTTGTTGTGTTCTGTGCAGCTCCATTGGAGAAGGCTGTTCAGGCTTATCGAACTTGGCTGGCTCGCTGTCCTTTGGGACTTCGGCGCTTACAACGCCTTGTTGTTCAAGCGAGGAACGCAAGGCAGTAACCTGCTGTTTGTATTGCAAGGCGAGGGCAGTCTGTCTTGTCAAATCCTGAATCAACTGCTCTTTGTCGACTGTGGATCCTTGCCCCACAATAGAAGAAGCAAGACGCGATACTTGCCGTTCCATCTCAGTGACCTTTTCCTCCTCCTCCTTGAGTTTCTCTGATAGTCGTAGGGCCTCGGAATCCTTCTTGCGGGCGTAAGACTTCGCGATAGTTCGGTAATGGATCAACTTCTTTATCTCTCGATTTGTGCGCACGCGATAATTATCGAACTCGGTTTTCCAGTATTTGCCTGATTCCGATCGGGGTTCATCCAAATTGAGAGTAATGTCGTCCGGTTCGTTTTCCGTCTTTGTTTGGGGTCGCGCGACAGAATTGTCACCGGACGAAGACGATGCCTCTGTAGTTTTGTCTGAGTCGGAATTCTTCGTTGCATTGTCACGAGCATCTAATAATGTCTGCGTGAGTTTGCTTCGCGGCTTGCCGTCTGCAGACCCGGACATCCACTGTGTACTCAGATTGCCCGACGGATTTGGGGGTGTCTTCACCACTTTGATCGAGTGGCTGTCGCGTTTGCCTTCGTTGTCGACTACGCCTTCACCGAAAGAGACAGTTTTGCGACGATTTGAAATAGTTCCCGGGGTGACGAGGATGCTCTTTGTTGGGGAACCAGAGGGATTGAGTACCGAGTCGAGATCAGGTTTGGGTTCTAGTTTCTCGGGGATGGGGATGGGGATGGGGTTTGTGGTGGTATCGCTTTTACGACGCTGGTAATTTGATTCCTTTGGCTGCGCCGGACGGGGTGTTTGGTCGTTGTCTTCTGCCCCTGGTGTACCGAACAAAGCGCTTTTGAAGGCGCGCATCGCAAACATGGCAGCTGGGGTCTCGGGGGGTTCCAACACCTTCGTGGTGTCTATGTCCCATGTTAGCCTTTTATAATTGAATATGATTGCATTTTCACCCTACCTGCAGCCTCCGGGCCCTCATTCCCCTTCATCCAGTCCAGCATTGTTGGAGTTGTGGGAAGTTCGGACGAGTTGAAGATGTGATGACTTCGGGAGTAAACAAAACGCGTCCGGGCGGAGTCACGGCGCTTATCGATAGCGGCAACAAACCCTCCAAGCTCCAACTCCAGAGCTCCAACTTCAATTGTAGCCTGGAAATGCTTACGCCAAGTTCACAAACGGCACAAGAAAACAAGACATGATTTGCGGGTTTTGCGGACCCTGGGAAGTTTGAAATCCGTTTCTATATAAGAACGTGATGGATCCCCCTTGTCGAATGTTGCTCGTGATCTGCTCATTCTCCTCGCATCACGCACACCGCTCCCTATTGATTTTGTCCAACCAGGTCTATCGATAGATTGGAACATTACTATCCATCAGCTGAAGGGATGTCTTCTACTCAGTCCCCCATGCTGAGTCTGGCCGCAACGGCTTTTGCGACCATCATGGTGGGGTTTGGCGTCAATGCCCTCGTGCGCCCTGCTCATGCGTTGTCATTCTTCGAATTTGAGCCACCCGCGGGTGCCGCAGATCGGAAAATGGTCGACAGCCTTATGGCAGTCTATGGAGTTCGCGACATCTTCATGGGATTCGCTATGTATATCGCCTTGTTATTTGGGACCCCTAAGTCTTTAGGCTGGACTTTGATCATTACTAGTCTGGTTGCATTTGCAGATGGGGCTATATGCTGGAGCCATGGCCAGGGACAGTGGGCTCACTGGAGTTATGCACCGATGATCTTGCTGGTAGGGGGGTTGACGCTTAGCACCAGCGCACCGCGAACTACATGAGTACGTGTTCGTGGGGCAGCTTGTTTGGTTGGAAGTTGCTGATCATACCCAGTTTTCGAAGGTTTGGTGCTTTTAGCACGGTGGAAGACGTCTAATATCATCGAGATACAAGGTCAGGCTTTAAAAACTTGCTTGGCACCGACTACACATGTGTGCATTCCTTCACTGGCAGCATGGCACACAGCAGCAACAAAAACTGGAATATATCCTTTGTCTAAATGTGGACAGGACTTGATCACACAAAAATTTTCCATACGGTTTATCTTCCTTCTTTTCTTTTGAACCATTAAGAACTTCCAAGGGTCGGTCGGGCTCCCATTAGTAGAAAATGGTCACCTATGTGATACTCTAAAATTCCTCGCGTAACTATTGGGAATTCACTTGGGCATTATCGGAGTAACACTTGAAGTCATTTTGTCGTCAAAGCAGAACCCACACCTATGTAGACCCACAGCGTAGCTATTTATTCTGCTAGCCAGAACAAACTATGGACACCCCTGGAGGAAGGTGAAATGGTCCACGGGTTGTGCCTAACAGCTTTTGAAGTTGGACCCGGGCCGTAATGGAAGAAATTGCTGGAAATCACGGCTAAATTGTATGGACTGATGAGTATTGACAGATGAAAAATAGCATCGACGAGATGAGGATGGGCCTGGTTTGTTAGTGAGCCCGGGCGGAAAGCATTGATGAGGCTCAAATGCCATTGACATAGCTTAAATACCACTGCCTGAGCTTAATTGCATTGGATATAAAATTGAGAAAATGAAAAGTGTTGACATGGAATAAAAAGCATTGACAAGCTATGCTTTCCACACATATGAATGGGAGTTTTCTCATTTGCTTCTCATAGCAACATATACTAGTACCAATTCATTAAACTATCTGCTACTCTTGCTTTCTTAACAAAACCTTAACCCGAAAGTCCATGGGCTTCACAAACCACAAATTCTCAGTAGTCCAAGTTTGGTTTTCCAATTCAAAATCAAAATCACGAATCAGCTGAGGGATCAATTTGTATATTTCCAGGGTAGAGATGTGCTTCCCAAGACAGGTCCTCCCTCCAAGGCCAAACTATAGATTATTAGCGTCGATCACTCGAGGGAAAAACATTGTTTTTGAACGTAGCAAGAACTCACAGGCATATACATCTCATTCATTTTACGAAGCTGCTCAGCATCTGTGATCCCCTCAATCCATCTCTCTGGAATGAAAGACTTCGCATCTGGAAAGAACTCCTCATCATAATGCGCGACCCACGTATTGATGCCAATGGCAGAGCCCTGAGGTATGAAATATCCATTGATCTCAGCACCACCGGACGGAACCTCGCGCCACAACGGCAAGCCCGTGGCGGTATGCATGCGGAGCGCCTCTCTTATCACAGCTTGCAAATAAGGCATTTCCTGGCTTTCTTTGAAAGTAATTCGCTCACTGCATCGATTCTGGCTGGTGAACTCATCAATCTCACGTCGGAGCCGACAATGGACATGTGGTGTCCTCAGAAGATAGTACATAATAGCCGACAAAGTGATGGCAGTTGTGTCTGAGCCAGCGATCACATTTGAATTACCCATCATCTGAAGATGGTAGTCGGTTATCTTCGCAGGATTCTCGTCTCTTGCAACTGCCATGCGCTCCATAAAATCTTGAGTTTTAGGAATCGTGGTTTCGGAAGGATTTTCGCCGCCTTGTATACGTTTTTCGTTCAATTGACGAACTTTGTCGACCACAAAGTTGATGATGAACAAGAGGCCTCTAGGTCCGGAACCGGGGAGGGAATTCATCAATTTGTATAGAAGAGGATACCACTCAACGTATATTCCGGCCAAGCAGCTGAATACGAGTATTTGTCGAACAGTACTTATTGCGCCCATGATGTCTTCTCCTTTATTAAGAAATCCTAGATTCTTGAGTTAGCGAAATGTCAAATCAGTTTCCAAATAACCTCTTACCAAATCGTTGTCCGAATGTGATTTGCCCAATAACGTCAAATGCATAGCATTGAAGCCAATGGTGAAAGTCAATTGTCTCTTCTTTCTGTGCGAACTCGTTTAATCTCTCCATGAAAATGCTGGCAGATGCATCCACAAAGCCCTCATAATGAAGAAGGGAGCTCATAGAGTATAGGCTGCTAAACTTTCTGCGTGTTTCACCTATGCATTGAATATCAGCCCCGAGTCGAAATTAACACGGATTTGTTGTCGTAGATTACTTACTGTGCCTTTTGTTATCTCGATCTGTAAAGACAGACCAATTATGCGGCGAAGGCTCTTTGAATGCATCGTACCAAGCTGCTTTGGTGAAACGGGACCCCGCACCATACACAGTCTTTACATCTGCTTTTTTACTGATGCTATAGTGACCTGGCGATAGTCGAACAATAGGTCCGTACTTTTTATGAAGATCGAGGTTTTCCTTGTCGAAATTTCCGCTCAAAACTCGGTTAAAGTACCATAGTCGTGTGAAGCGGGCCAAAAAAGGTCCAGGAATAGAAATTAATGAAGGGGCTGTAATGACTTCCTTAGCCAGTCGCAATATGTGACTGGCTACTATCAGAACAAACGGTATACTGCAAAGAATAAGAATATACATTTCTTCTGTGGGAGAAAATGGAAGGCCCTCGAGGAAAGACTTATACAGTGGTTGCGAAACTGCGTCTATTAATAGTGCTTACTGGTCGGACTCCGGTGACCTCATTGTGTAAATAGGTGCCGCTTCTTACATATCTATTAAAAGTCTAACTCGGAAAAGATCGGCTAAGATTTTTTTCTATTTTCTGTTGGTCGGTAATACGGTATTTTCTGTTAGGTCGTGCATAAACTGCGCTTTGAGTTTGGCTTCAGCTTGGATACAGAAGCACCCCACTACCAAAAAACCATTATACTGTAGCGTGACATATGAGACATACACATTTGGAATATTCATTACTCTTTAGTAGCCACAAGTGAAAGCAACGCTTGAAACCCATACATTATTACTCGCTCCATTCTAGTGAATGGAGTTAGTTTGATTCTCATTCCACCCGAAAGAAACGACACTCATGGAGCTCCCCGCGGGCAAAGACACATCCTCCAGCACATATCGCTTATCTGCTTCCTGGAAGATACGCTTAATATCTGCTAGGGTACGCTCACTGCCATTCCAGCATGCGTACATAACCAAGTCAAGGTTTCTAAAGTAGCACAAAAAATGTAATTAGTAACAGAACACAAGCACAAAAGAAGGGAGGACCACACTAACCGTCCATGCTTTCGACTCCATTTAAATTCCGGCCCTTCAGCCAAGATATAGTCATAAATCACAACCTTGGAATGGGCCCGCATAGCTGGTGCAACCCGTCGTAGGATCTTAACACAGTACTCATCACTCCAGTTATGAAGAATCCACCGGAAGAAATACACATCAGCACCGACAAGAGGTTGATCCTGTGCTAGGAAATCCGCAACCATAAACTGGACCCGATCTTTCCATTTCGCCTCTGTTGGCAGCTGTTCTTGTCCCAATTTAACAGGCACCGGCAAATCCTGTACAATAAGCTTCATCCTTTCCGTCGCTTCGGCTAGTTTGTGACAGACAACTCCCACTCCACCGCCGATATCCACCACTACCGCGTCTGATCTGTCGATAGATTTCCAAGGAAAGCCGTTAACAAGATGTTCAAGATTGAAGCCCTGCTCGCGGGAGAAAAATCCCATGGTCGTTCCAAAGCGAGAGCGACGGGATTGTCGCTGCTCTAAAAAGCTATATATTGGTAAATCGGTGTCGTTTACCATGTTGTAAGCTGTTTCGTTGGGCTCGCTTGATGTGCCATACTTGCGAATAGCCTCTGGAATACGCAGTGCTGCGGGGGAAAGCTCGTTTAGAAGCATGCCGACCGTTTGAAATGCACCTGGATCCGTGGCTAGAAGTCTTGATAAAGACGAATGGCCAACTTGGTCGTTGCCTGCGTCTACGAAGATTCCATTCTCCATGGCGTGAACAATTACGCGTCTGCATATACCAGGGGGCATGCCAGCTGCCTGAGCAATCTCACTAGAGGAAAGAGTTTTGTTGGAAGGCTCCAGTGGAATTTTAGATGGAAGATCATATTCATATACAGCATTCAGCGAGGCGAGATCGGTAAACTGCAAAGGTCAGTATTTTGATTAATTGAGCAAGCTTTGATATCAGCGAGAGACGTACACCGAACATTGTCTCCATAAGATTGCGAACTGGATCATTTGCTAATCGCTTTATCATCTGGGCCTTATCGCCCAGTTCATGGCGTGCGTCGCGCAGCTCCTGAGGTAGGTCGGTGAGTGACAGTGTATCTTGATCAAGTGAAACCGGTGGCAAGCCCTTGGAAGCTGTATAATCATCCAAACGCCTAGCGAGGACGAGGGCCTGCTCAGCCAGCTCAGTTAAGGTTGTCATAGTGGCTGTTTTGACTTTGAGCAAAAGTCTTAGGATGTGAGATGTTGGGGTGATTACGATGATCAAGAGCTTGATTTTGTATATCCCCACAATCTTTCAGAAAAGGGTATACCAAATGGAGAGAAATACTTCTCATCGTCGGAACAACCGAGAAAATGAGACCTAAATGGACCCCACTGCGAAGTTGCACCGGCAGTAAGCCCTAAAGCACCGGCAAGTGGTGCATTGGCATTTGAGGGGGCGATCAACTAGCATATCGTCAGATCAAGATGGCTGGATTGAAAATTACCTTCCAGAATGGGGTATCGTCCGAATACCCAAGAAGTGACGGTGGAGGCGATGATCTATGAGCAGATACTAAACTTGGAAGGGTGATGCAGTGCCGAGGACCCGGTTGAAGACATGGATGACATCAAAGCTAAGGACCAAGTGCGTCGCTTATCTGACTAGGATGACGATCGTATAGGCTAAGAGAATCTTGTGATCTTTGTTCATCCTTTGGTTTCGCTAGTGCCTGTAGGATCATTTAGTCTGGGGGCCAAAGCCAAAAGTGGTGTATACCGAGTAAAACGGATGTATTGACAAGATAACCCCACGTTGTATGATCATATTGCCACGGCCGCGCCATACATGTCGGGATCCGTTACTGCTCCGTCTTGGCGCCTGTGACAAGGACCCCCTGGGGTTCAGTTTTGGAAATATTTTTATTTCAGCCTAACCGTTTCTATACAATCGCTCCGTTGTCTGACTTGGCGGCCTGAAATGGAGCCAACAAAGACTGTCAGAGGAGGGGCTGGTAGCTATCATCCTCCCGCGTATATGTGGCATGGGTAGGTCCACCTGGGCAGATGCTAAAGTGAGCATGTTATGAGCTGAAATAGGACCTCAATAGCGATGATACAAAGGTTTTACGGGGAATTAGGAGCCAAACCACTGGAATGAGCGTCTGAACTAAATCGATCTGTGCGCGAGGCTGAATCACTATGCCCATATTCAGCTCTCAACAGATTGCAAAATAATTTTAGCATACGAAACTTTAGAGATCACCTTCAAGTTGTCACCGGCATTCTTTTTTGAAATAGCAGGCTTGGGAGTTATTAATAGTTTTTTGGCTGGATATAGTTTTCTTTTTGAAGACAAATAGAGAGACCTTTGTTGGGAGTGGATTCAAAGTTGTAGGAAGTACCAGGGCTAGAGACAGCTGATTGCCATCTGTGTATCGGCAACTTGAATTTGATATGCTGTAATCTCATGAGGCTCTGGCCAAAATAGAAGCAGCAGCAGCATTGGTCGATTTTTGAACCCGGATCATTTCTCTTAAGTTTAAATTGTCATTTAATGCACATAGAGGAATTATGAGAGCATGAAACTTAGCGTTCACTTCATATAATCAGATAAGCAGTTGTCATTCAATATGGAAGAAGAAAAGTTTGAGACAAACTGTATGAAATAAAAGTAAATATGAAAACATGAATAAGTCGTTCCTCGCTCACAGAGATCTATCGTGTAGGTGATCACGCCGAGCTGATCAAGTCAGCGGCCTTTTCAGCAACTGCATAAAGCACAGCCTGGTAATGACCAGCCAACGACAATGGCAACACACTAGCATCCACAACACGCAACCCCTCAACACCATTCACGCGAAGCTGCGTATCAACCACCTTACCCATCGCAGCTGAACCAGCCGGGTGATAGAAAGTAGCACCACCAGCCTTGATAAGCTTGTCAAGTTCTTCATCGCTAGAAGTAGAGCTCAAAGCAGACAAGCCTGGACGCGGCAACTCCTCCAAAACCATCTCCTGTCCTTCGGGGGTATCCCGGAAAAGCTTGGTAACTTGTCGCACACCCGCCCGCAAAGCGGCACGATCCACTTCGGTGGCGTAATAATTAGGATCAATGAGTGGGACGGCTGTGGGATCCGCTGACGAGAGGGTGATACTTCCACGCGAAGTGGGGGTGACTCCCAATACAGCTGAGGCAATGTATGTACCGTCCATTGGCACCTCGACGCCAGCCACAGCAGCGCCTGCAGGCGCGTATACAATCAGAGTCTCGATGTGGCAGAAATCGGGTTTTAGATAAGGGTGGGTCTCTATCTCCGCGCCGCTGACGCCGTCGGTTTGTAATGCTTGCTCTAGCTCGGCGCGTGGTGCCTGCACCGTCGCGACCCAGTTGGAGGGAAGTCCCAGTCCATATGCGGGGCTATTCCAGAGGGGAGTACCAATTGAAAGGCCTTTTTCTGGGCTTCGAACCTTCCACCACTGATTGAGGGAGAAATGATCGTGGAAGTTCTTGCCAACCTCTGGGGAGTCAACTTCCACGGGGATGCTGTGTTTTGAGAGCTCATCTGAGGGGCCAATTCCTGAAAGCAACAGGACCTGAGGGGTTCTATAGGCACCCGAAGATACAATTACCTCTCGTGAGGCGTTGAGGGTTGTCCCGTCAAGAAGCTCGACGCCTGTCGCGATCTTCTTCCCGTTCTTTTCCGCGAGAAGGACACGCTTGACGGGTGTTTCGGTTTTAATAGCTACATTAGACTTGTTTTTGATTCCGTAAGCTTCACTGGCGAGCTGACGTTGACCATCGCGCCAGTTTTCTGCCAGCGGGGCCAAACCCTTTGGATAACCGGCATTGCCATCCTCAATGGCTTCAATGCCAAGTTGAGACCAGGCCGCGCGCACTGGTTCGCGTAGGGGGTACTTTCGGTCATTGCTGCTGGATTTGACAGTTGCGTTGTGGATAGGACCAGAGGTACCGTGTACAGAGGTGTCTGCGTTTTTGTCCCAATGGGTCTCGGAGCGTTTGAAGTATGGCAGGAGACCCTTGTAGCTCCAAGCATCATCATTGACGAGTTGAGCCCATAGATCATAGTCTACGGCGTTACCCCGCGTCCAAGTACCATAGTTGGTGGCGGTACCTCCGCTCAGAGCTTTACCAGCAGCGTTATAGCACTGGCGGCCATCGAGATGCTTCTGTGGCACAGTTGTATATGACCAATCTAATGGGGAGCCATGGGCACCGAAACAAGCCATGGGCGAGCCGGTGAGCGGGTGACCCGCAACATCAGCGCCAGCTTCGAGCAGGAGAATAGAGCGTGAAGGCTGGAGCTCAGCTAGGCGGCCGGTAAGAGCTGAGCCTGCAAGACCGCCGCCAATTATAATGTAGTCGTAGGTTGTGTCAGACATGGTGATGTGTGAGGAGGAAAGAAATTAAATGAGGGGTGTTTGGCTGTAAGCTCTCACCTTTTTATTTGATTATGGTATGCGGAGTACTACAAGTAGAGGGGCTATGTCATTCTAGCCATTCTGACTATTATGTCATTTTCTTTGTCTCGTTTAGTCTCTCACGGAGATATTGTTCGTTAAGTCCACCGCCTGTGCTTCTTAATTCGAGATTTGTCGATGAACATCGGATACTTGCAGGACACCTTACTATGGTATGGGTATACAAGACAAATTACAAACATTTTTTTTATCATTATTAGCTTTTTTTCTGAATAAGTCTGATAGATTAACATTCTAAAATCCTGTGACATTTTGAAATTCCCCTGGAGCCCATAATTAGATCGGCCTTGGCCCAAAATGTAGTTGGGTTGGCCCCCACGCGCCCAAACAACGCCGTACATACCCGATTCATTCATTGGCGGGATCGAGCCGGTTACAATTCCCCGTGCGACTTGCTAGTTGGGGGCCAAAATATCAAATAGGCTGACCTGCTTAAAGTTTCACGTGCATACATATGCTATAGCCCCCAAATTGATAACGTAATTCCCGGTCGGGCTGTACACCCGGCCGAGCTGTACACCCCATCAAAAATCACATCTTCCTACCAATATACCAACTTTAACCAGCCACTATGCCACCAATTCGCGCCCAATCGTCTCGAAATTCTGCCGGAAAAGAGGGTAGGATCTTATTAGCCGTTAAAGATATCAAAGATGGCTGTATCAACTCTCTCCGCGCAGCAGCAAAGCTATACAATATCCCCCATACAACGCTGGCTACGCGCGTCAATGGTGTACAATCATGCGTCGATATACGTCTAAATGGCCATAAACTGATACAATTAGAAGAGGATTCACTTGTTGAATGGATAATCTCTATGGATACGCGTGGAGCAGCGCCTAGGCCAGCTACTGTACGAGAGATGGCTAATATACTACTAGCTGCGCGTGGTAGCTACCCTCCACCAACAGTTGGTAAAAATTGGCCATTAAGCTTCATAAATCGACGCGAAGAGATTCAATCACGCTTCTCTAGGCGTTACGACTATCAACGCACATTAAATGAAGATCCTAAATCGCTACGAGAGTGGTTTGCGACCGTACAACGTGCTATTGACGATAACGGTATCCAAATGGAGGATATCTACAACTTCGATGAGACAGGATTTGCAATAGGTCTTATTTCAACACAAAAAGTGGTTACGCAGGCTAGATACTACGGTCGGAGAGCTATATTATAACCAGGAAACCGTGAATGGGTTACTGCTATTGAAACTATTTATGTAGATGGCTATTTGCTACCGCTATATATAGTTTTTAAAGGCTAAGTTGCTATGGCTGGTTGGTTTGATAATCTACTAAAAGACTGGCGATTTGAGGTCTTAAATAATGGCTGGACTACCGATGAAATTGGCCTACGTTGGCTATAGAAACTATTTATCCTATGTACAAATTCGTGCGTACATAGCCGGTTTCAGCTATTGATTCTTGATGGCTATAGTAGCTATCTTACGGCTAAATTTGACCAGATTTGTGCAGAAAACAATATTATACCACTTTGTATACCTGCGCATTCTTCGCATTTATTATAACCGCTTGATGTTGGATGTTTCGCAGTGCTTAAATGTGTATACGGTCGCTTTATAAGTGATCTTGCGTGTGTAGGCTATAATTATATTGATAAGTTTGATTTTCTAGATGACTACTAACGCGTAAGACTGGAAGTGTTCAAAAAGCTAATTATTATTTAAAATAGCTTTATAGCTGCTGGCCTAGTGCCTATTGATCTAGAAAGAGTGCTTTCGAAGCTTAATATCTCTTTACGAATATTAATACCCCTAGGAAGCCGACTAAGCAGTAGATCTAGCCAATTTATACCAAAAACGCCGAGAACTGTTATTCAACTACAAAAATAAGCTTCTATGATGAAAGATCTATTAAAATAACGGTCAAATAGCCCACCAAGCCTATCGAAGACTATGTTAGATTAAATTATTAAAGGTCACTATATATCGCTACACAACATAGCGTTACTAGTATAGGAAAACGCGAATTTACGTATAGCCAATGAGAAAAAACGCCAAAAACGCAATCGATCAAATAGGTAGATACCCTGTGATACTGGCCTAACGGTTGAAGAGGGCCTACAACTAGCTATGTAGCTAAATTTACTAGATGAAGCTATTTCGGTGGATTCGAATACATAGGGCAAAACGCCTATTCAGCCAGGTCAGCCAGCCAAAAGGGCTCTGCCTCGGTGTAGTGGATGTGGGAATATTGGCCATAAGATCAATCGATGTATAAATCGCGTTATTTAGCTAAATTAATATATGTTGGCCAATATATATCGATTTAAATTTTTCTAATGGGTTGGGGTGTACAGCTCGGCCGGGTGTACAGCCCGACCGGGAATTACGTTATACATATACTTTAGTCATCTGAGCAGCACTAATAGTAATAATTCAAATGCCTCATACCCACAATGCACATCGTCGAGGGGCGTAACTTTGGTGTTAGTTTCTTTTTAACAGTAAAACATTAAATGAACTATTAATACCTATGTAAATACTAGTATAGATGATGAGCTTGCCCACAAGGCTCGCGTACGCGCGGATGTCCATACAAGGGATCTATGAACCCCGCAGCCGAATCCCTGCAGTCCAAGAGATGTGATCATTATTCAATTTTAGGGTTGCAGTATATCTGCTTTGTGTACTCAAACACCTGGAATTACTTCGGGTTGGACCTCATCACAGCCTCCGGCATGTCACTGCATACTGTGAAGGTCATAATACCATATAGTGAAACAAGTCGTACATGTACGTCAAATGCTCAACATCTTGAGATTTCACGGGGCAGCCACACTTTAATTCTAGTTTCTCCATGCAAAAGCTTATACCTTTTGTCTAACTGAGGATTTTCATGGTCGCAGCTAGTGGCTATGCTTGGACTTCGTATCCATAGGCAATTCATCTACAAATATCCTTGAAGATCTTTTATGGTTTCTAAGATCTGCAGACCTACTTTGACCTTAATGCGCCCACATTAAGACATAAATTACCGCCCCCACTAAGCTTATGCGAGAGCAGCGATGCATTTCGCAGCCACCCATATAACCCTCTTAAAATTAGAAAAGTTCATAATGTGTCGGAACGGCCGAGTCAGCAAGAATATTGTGGGGTCGACATGGGTTGTGTAGAATACATACCTAGACATCGATACAACATTGTACTTAATCCAGGATGCATTAGGCTATACTGCATTACTTTTACTGGACGCTCGCAGCCCTAAAAGTTGTCAGCCACCGCTAACTTCCTTTGGATGTGAATCAGAGCGTATTTCCAAATATTTCCTGATATGGGAAATGTGACCACATTCCATTCCTTCAGGATCGATCTAGGCATTGCTGAATCGGAATCAGCAGCAGGATTTGAAGCAGATTTGGTGGCAAGTAGGTCTTGGGGAATTTCGAGTTTAAGCCACTGAGGATAACACATGATATCTCGTGAAAACAGTAGATTTGAATTTCCATCATTACCATAGATCGTTACGCTGTATATATAAAAGTAGCCAATAGAAAGAAACGCCTTTGTCCGTATCCTTAACCGGGGATTTCCTTAGATATTGTTCTTATGACTGACATGCGATTTCCATTCGGTTCGCACGCCGATACCCGCACTGCCCACAGAGTCCTCGGAACCGTGCGAGGGTTTGTGATAAGACGCAGGATTTGGTCCAGACACCTTGGTGATAACTCCAGGCCACTCACCAAGCTCACTCGTAGCTGCAGAATCGCGCTCCGATGGCAAGCGACCGAAGGGAGCTTCCTCGCTGGTTGAGTTGTGCTTGTCTGATGGGTGTGAGGAAGCAAATGATCGAGTTTTCTTGACCAATGGGCCTAGCAGGGGTCCACAAGCCACGGTAATACCTATTGCAGGCTCCAAGAAACTCCACAACAGAGGATATGCCTCGGTGTAGGTAATATCGGCGAAGTCCGTAGCTACTAGCGCCACTATACGTAGGATGCTAACAACCATGGTTCTTAGAGAACTATAGTTAGCTCAACCGATCAATCATGTCAGTATATGGAAATATCAGAACTTACAGAAGCCCAAGTCCAAATACACTAGAAAGTGCGGCACGCGTTGCCATAGGAGCATGCAAGTTCCAGATCATTGGTATAGGAAGAGCGAACACGCAAACGTCTGACGCAAGGTCCAAGACACCAACGGCAATGAACGCTGCGGGCTCGTTTGCACACTTTCCCCCTGGAATACTTTGATCCCAATTGAACGCGAGTGGCTGACACAGTAAGAATGCTGTCAAGATCACCATTATACCCCAACATACGATGAATCCAATCACTGCCCAGCAGATGATTTGGAATCGCTTTACTGTAGAGAAGATGCGGAGGTAGAAGAGGCAGATGGAAGTTTTGATCAAAGTCAGAGTAGACGCGTAGAAGACCTGCATAGCGACCAGAAGCTGTATCGATAACGTTCATTAGTTGATCAATAATTGTACGCGATGTTATGAACCTACCTTCAAGGAGACGACGATGCGCCATGGTTCTGTTTCTGCGGCATGATGCCCTGCGTATCCCATGAAGACATCTAGGTACAGTCAACTTCTGGAGCGCTTCAAATAGAAAACGTGATAATTTGTTGAGGGATTAACCATACCAAGAATCTGGGCGCTGGCCATGCCATAAAGTAAAAACTGTACCCATTTCATTACAATCAGCCCCATCGTGAGTATCGAGACTGCCTAGACGTACCTGTGCTACCAGAACAACATAGTCTTCTCTCCCCAACTGCGCCCGGTTGATGCGTTTGGAAATTAAGCGGAGAACAACAGATATAGTTGAAGTTATGGTAAAAGTGATTATTGTGCCCAAAATTGCTCGGGCTCGGTAGCTCGCCAGGACCTCCGGCATTTTGATGGTTTGATTTGTGGTTGCTACTGCGAAGCAGGGAGCAACAATCAATTTGAAAGATCAAGCTACCTCATTAGAAGCCAAATTGAAGGAAGGAAAAGGGCAGAAAAAAGTACAAGGTGACCATCGCTACCTCTAATAATCCACTACTGCAGCCCATTAGCCTTGCATATGAAAATAGCCCCATACCAACAATCATTTTGTGTTTGAGGCTTAGTGCTTATTCTGGGCGGTTGTAAAACATATGTCGGGTTGAAATGACATCACGTAAACATGTATACATTGCCCAGCATTTTTAGATGTGAGTGGGGTTGGTGGATTGGACGAATGACAAAAATGTGGAAACTTGGCAACATGGCTGAAGAAGTCAAAATTTGATATTATGGTCTGATCGAACAATACGGCCCCCAAGTGCGGGCTGTACGGTATCTCTCTACTGCTTATGCTTTCAAGGTATTGGAACCACGCTCCAATTAGAAAGGGAGAATAAAGTGGAGATCAAAATGTCTACAGTAGTGCCCTGCATATACAGCTGTAAGCCTCTGTTTTTACCCAATCGCGTTGAGGTTTCAAAGCCACGCTCTCAAATAAGCATAGAAAATGTCGTCAGCAAGAAATGGAGCAAAATCGATTGTAATATTGATAGATACACCAAACGAGTCTCGTTCTGAAACTCTGGAAATCAAGAGGCTTAGATTATTATCTCGAGATGAATTGGTGTCAGGTACGAAAATAATGTGTCTGCAGAGAGTCAGGGGTCCCCTCAAGTAGTTACCCGGCGTACGGGACGCAGAATGGCCCCAATGGCACCTACATTTAATACCGGGTGAGTTTTCCAGTTCGTATTTCGTGTACGTACAAGCTTGAATAAAGTTTCGCCACCAAACTAGAAAACATTTCGATGTTGCAACTAAATTGGAACCCTGGGGAGTACGCAGTGAGCTTTAAGGAATAAAACCATACTTGCAGCTATGATATCAATATTCGAGCCAAATTTAACACACAGCATTAAAACATAGCAACAATCTCACAGTAAAATAAAGAATGGAAAGAAACCTCGGTGTGTATTAGCTTATTATGGAGCACAATAGATCTGTCTATGCGCCAACCCCACACCGTGAACACTGCCCAGGTATCACTGGGGGCTAGTGTGTGCCACATATTTCTTTCTGATGTCTCGAGTCTTTTTTTTCCCTTTTTTTATTACCCATACCTACTACACCTCTGCACATCTGTACCTCGGAATTGGAACTGTCTCCGTCTCGGAAAAGAGCCATGCCGATGGCCATAGGCCACATACTTATCCTTGACTCCATGGAAATTGTCTACTACCAACCGCAGTGGAGACGGCGAAAGTATATCCAATAGCTTTCAATGGACCCCACGCGCTGAAAAAAATAGGCTTGGCTCATGGCCACGACCGAACTGCCTAAAATGGTAGAGTTGGCGGGACGCCCAGCTGATAGGCCGCGTAGGCACGGAAATAGCCAATACTAAATGATATCACGATAGATGTAGGAATACAATTAATTACTAGTTACGGCCATCGCATCCAACCAACCAGGCGGTAATTTGCCGTTGTGTTATCTTCGGCGCAGCTAGAGTCAGGTCCTTTATTTAGAATGACAATTTGATATATTGTCCACACCTGTCATTCTTAATGTGGATATTTGAACATAGACTTTTTATTACACCCGTCGTGTATCTTTGTTTCTCTCACCAAGCTTCATGATGGCCCACTCTGTCAATATTCTCCATTTTGGAGACCAGACAGTTGACATCAGCTCATCCTTGCGGGAGCTGATGAGCCTTTCAAAGGACACGCCTTCTCTTGACCGGTTATTGCGCGAATGCACACAAAGAGTGGTCGACAGTAATATTGTATCACTGACAAGGGAACGCCAGTCATGCTCAAATAGGACATTGGCAGATCTTGTGGATAGACTGAAAGTTGCCAGTGAAGAGAGGCCGGCAGTTACTACGGTTCTCATGTGCATCTATCAACTTGGCTGCTATTTAATGTAAGTACCAAAGTCAAGATCGACATCATGACATTAAAGGTAATTATGTCTAATTTTCTCTAGATACCTTGAAAAGTGTCAAAGATGCCCCACGTTATACTCAAAAACGAACATTTTGGGGTTATGTACAGGAATGCTACCTGCAGCCACAGCCACATGTATTGATTCCACATCAGAGCTTCTCGATATTGCACCTGAGATTGTCGGCGTCGCATGTCGACTTGGTATTACTGTTAGCCGTCGCTCCTGGGCGCTTGAAGCAACAACCGGCAACTGGGCAACCTCGGTATCGGGGATCACTTTCGAACAATTACAAGATGCTATCCAAGAATTTGATGGAACATACGTGAGTTGATTTTTTCTTTACAAATAATATAATCCCAATGACACAGTGGCTAACCATGGGCTTAGTCTTCAACTCCATCTGTTCAACTTTTTATCAGTGCACAGACAACCACCTCATTCACTGTGTCTGGCCCACCCCTGTCACTACAGCAGTTTAGGCAACAGCTACAATCCAAGTTTTCTGGAGTCAAAAAAGCTCTACTTCCTATATTTGGAGCTTATCACGCCGGCCATATATACAGCTCAGACTTAGGTCACATCATCGGGGGCTCAGCCCTTTTCAACAAGTCATGCTCAACCAACACATCTCTCATATCCACCAGCACGGCGGGTTTAATAAATGATAAATCCACGCTGCGCGACTGTTTACAGACTGCAGTGTTGGATATACTTTGTCGTCCATTAAATTTGACTTCCGTGTTAGAGAGTTTCAAAGCCAACGATCATGCAAATGCGACTCTGACCATGTTGGGTATTTCAAACGCAATGAACACATTGAAAGATACCATTCAACCAGTTTCTACAAAGATATTCCCAAGCTCTATAGCCACAACAGAGAGCAAGAACAATGGCAGCTATGCAATAATTGGCATGGGCGGAAGGTTTCCAGGTGGAGATGACCTGGATTCATTTTGGAATGCGCTTGAGGAAGGCCTGGACCTCCACCAACCGGTACAAACACCTGATCTTGCATGTTTTCAGATCTTTACTATACTAATACAAAGCTTAGGTACCTATAAGTCGATTCGACCCCGAGACACATTATGATAAAACCGGAAAGATTCCCAACACTACATTAACCCCTTACGGCTGTTTCCTTGACCACCCTGACCTATTTGATGCTCGACTATTTAATATGTCACCCAAGGAAGCCGCAGCAACAGATCCAGGCCAGCGACTGTTATTGATGACAACGTATGAGGCTCTTCAGATGGCAGGATACCCACATAACAAAGCAATGTCGACACATGGCCATCGCGTGGGAACATTCATCGGTCAAACCAGCGACGACTACCGTGAAGTAAATGAGGGTCAAGAGATTGGTATATTCTGGACCCCCGGTGGTATGCGAGCCTTTGGGCCAGGGAGACTGAATTACTATTTCGGGTGGGATGGCCCGAGCTACAGTATCGATGCTGCTTGTTCATCTAGCATGGCGGCCATTCAGGTCGCATTGACCACATTGAAAAATAAAGAATGCGATATGGCTGTCGCTGGTGGAGTGAACATCATTACCTCTTCGGATCCATACGCAGGTCTAAGCCGTGGAGGTTTCTTGTCGCTTACCGGATCATGTAAAACGTGGGATGCCAACGCCGATGGGTATTGTCGCGGAGAAGGAGTGGGTAGGTGCACATATATTTTAAGGCATTTTCTACTCTTCCAGGCCTATGCTGACTTGTGTTCTTCTCAGGTGTTGTTGTGATTAAGCGACTAGAGGATGCTATTGCAAGTCGTGACCCCATCCAGTGCGTGATTAGGGGCATATCAACAAATCATTCCGCGCAGGCAATTTCTATTACCCACCCACATGCTGCAACACAAGTCAAATTATTTTCTGCTGTACTCAATGATGCCGGAGTTAAGCCAAATGAGGTCGATTATGTCGAGATGCATGGAACGGGTACACAGGCTGGAGACAGCATTGAAACAGCTGCAATGGCTGAGGCCATGTCCGCTCGGTCAAGTGGCGACCGTCCCATGTATATCGGCACTGTCAAGCCCAACATTGGCCACGGGGAGTCCGCTTCGGGTGTAGCATCCATCATGAAATCCGTGCTCATGTTCAAGAAGTCCATCATACCACCACACATCGGCATCAAAGGCACAATAAACCCCAGTATTCCGACTCAAAAACTCGATTCCCTCAATATACAAATCCCAAGGACCAAGGTGCCATTCTGCAACGGTGAAAAACCTCGAAGAATTCTGGTCAATAATTTTAATGCAGCTGGAGGAAATACAAGCTTGCTTCTCGAAGACTACGTAATCGATCAACAAGGAAGGGAAGATACTCAAGACCCTCGTCCATATCATGTTGTTGCTGTCTCGGCAAAGACCAAAAGTTCGCTCCAAATGAATGTCAACCGCTTGACTACACTTCTGAAAACAAAAGATGATATCAGATTGGCTGATTTGGCCTACTCTTTAACTGCACGGCAAATTCACCATCCATTACGCCAGGTATACACAGCCACCGATATGCCCCAGTTGATAGCCAACTTAGAGCAAGGACTTTCAAAAGCAATTGAACCTCCGAAAATTCGACCTAGGCCAATATTTCTCTTTTCAGGGCAGGGATCTCTTTACCCAGGCATGGGCAGTCAGCTTTACGCGACCTGCAATGTATTTGCGGACAAGATTCGCGAAATAGATGAGATTTGCCATAGCCTTGGTCTTCCGCCTATCCTTCAAACATTCGAGAATGCCCTCTTTGACCCAACAAATGCCAGCTCTTTGCAAGGCCAGCTAACAATTGTTGCCGTCGGAATAGCTCTTGCTACGCTCTGGCGATCGTGGGGTGTAGAGCCACAGCTTGTATGTGGACACAGCCTCGGCGAATATGCGGCACTTTGTATCTCTGGGGTATTAAGCTTACATGATACCTTCTACCTTCTTGGTGAGCGTGGAAAACTCATTGAGAAATTTTGCCAGCGAGGAACTCATGCGATGTTGGCTGTCAGTATGCCCCCAGACAGACTCGAGCAAATATTGTCGGGGGAGGAATTCGCTGCTTGTGAAATTGCCTGCTGCAATGGGCCTGGGTCTACTGTTGTCAGTGGTGCCGTGGAGAGCATCACAGCCCTAGACAGTTCCCTGAGAAACATTCACTGTGTCAGAGCTCAATACCTCGATCTTCCGTATGCTTTTCACTCAGCCCAGCTTGATCCATGTCTGGAGCCGTTTATTGCCATGGCCCGCAAAGTACGATTCCATAAGCCGAACATACCTGTTGCGTCGACGTGCGAAGGAAATATCGTGACAGACACCGGTATATTCGGCGCAGAGTATCTCGGTCGACAGGCCCGGCAGCCAGTTCTGTTTCAGGAAACGGTTGAGACAATCCTCTCTACGGGTGGATTTGAGGTTGACTCTACCTTCTGGATAGACATTGGCGCCCGGCCACTTTGCCTTAATATGGCGAAATCCATTCTTGCGGGAAGATGCGCGAACATCTACCCCTCAATTACGTCTAAAGAAGACAACTGGCTTACTCTATCTAAGAGTGTTTCTAGCATATACAGGGGTGGTATTGATATTGATTGGAGCACCTTCCATCGGGAGTACGAGAGTACCCTGCAGTTTGTAACATTGCCGAGCTACGCGTTTGATCTGAAAAGCCATTGGCTGCAGTATGAAGGAGACTGGCTGATTACCAAGTCTGGCTGTGAGAATAAACCGAGGCCGAGCTCACAGCAGCAAACATTCTCTCCAACAGCCACATTGCACCGGATTGAGCGAGAAGAGTTCAAAGATGAGGGCTCAAATGTGACATTTGTTTCAGACCTGAATGAGGAGCATCTCAGTGCTATAATTTCAGGTCACTTGGTGAACAAAGTTGCATTATGCCCCAGCTCTGTGTATGGTGATATGGCATTTACGGCAGCCTCTTATATCTGGGAACGCATCAATTCAGACGATATACCAGCCATGGATCTTGCAGACATCGAGGTACATAAACCTCTGATCTTGGCCGGAAAAGGCGAGCAACTGGTGTTTATCACAGCTTCCAAGGAGTCTAAGTCTTCTTCGGTTTCAATTACTATCAGCTCAAAGGGCAATGGGACGACTCATTCAGAGACTGTACATGTGACATGCAGTGTTCATTATGGCAATTCGAAAGAGTGGATGTCACAATGGACAAAGCAGCAATACCTGATTCAGGGCCGAATTGATAGCTTGAAACAAGCTTCTCTCGAAGGTAAAATCCATCGACTGAAGCGCGGTATGGCTTATAAACTCTTCGGAAGCTTTGTGGAATACAGTAAGCAGTTTCAAGGAATGGACGATATCCACATGGACTCCGAGATTCTAGAGGGCTCAGCTCAAATTTGCTTTCAACCGATGCCAGCAGGAGAGAGATCAAGATATCCTCCATACTGGATTGATAGCTTGGTTCACCTCTCTGGATTCATCCTGAATGTCAGCGAGACCATCCCAGATGATGTCGTCTATATATCGCACGGATGGGGAAGTATGCGTATTGCATCTTCGTTGTCTGAAAATGGCAACTACAGAGCATATGTTCGCATGCAAGAATCGGAGAAGAACATCATGTCAGGAGATGTCTATGTTCTTGACCAAGACCAGAATCGTACAATCGCAGTCGTTGAAGATGTGAAATTCCAAGCCATTAAGAAAAAGATTTTGAGCCTATTGCTACCTTCACCTGGAACTGAAACAAGATCTATGTTATCAGAAGCAGCACCAAGTCATCACAAGAAACTTAATAAAAGCGTCTCAGGCCACCACAAAGATCCGCAGGTTTCGAAAGATATATTCTCCGGAGTCCTTGATCTGATTGCTGACGAAACTGGGGTTTTACCGGAAGAACTCACCGATGGTACAGACTTGGAGGAGATTGGACTTGATTCCTTAATCTCCCTAGCAATAGTTGACAAGCTCCGTCAAGATCTTCACATGAACGTTCCCAGTTCACTATTTCTTACTTGCAGGAGGATTGCCGATCTTCGCACTTATTTTCAATCGCCTGATATGCACGATTTTGAATCGAGCACTTCTCACGCTTCCTCGGAACTGGGTGAAGAATCATGTTCTGGTTCAGGATATAGCACGCCTTCAACCACTGCCACCAGTGAGCCGGCAGACTCTCTTTTACAAGCTCTGCCAGGAATAATTGCCAGTGAAAGCGGAGTAGATGTGGAAGAAGTTATATCAGGTACTACATTTGCTCATCTTGGTATTGATTCCCTACTGGGGCTTTCAATAATTGACACTGTTTACACTCAAACCGGTCGGAGGCTCCCCTCATCTTTCTTTCTTGATCACTCAACCTATGCAGATGTTGAGAGGAGCCTTGGACCAATACACCCGACGACATCCTCCCCTGCATTGAGAGGCATCAATGATGGTGATACCCTGTCTGATCTAGATGCGCTACCATATTGCAATTCTGTGTTATTACAAGGTGATCCTTTGGTGGAAGGACCTTCTCTATTTTTGCTTTCCGACGGATCTGGATCTGCAGGCTCTTATGCTGGTCTACCATGCCTTGCTGGCAATTTACCTGGTGAATCAAAGAACGTTAAGGTTTGGGGCCTTAACAGTCCATTTCTTGGATGCTCTGAGCCCTTTGACATATCATTCCGCGACATGGCTGGCATGTACGTGGACGAGATTTTGAGAATCGATCCAGAGGGCCCCTACATCCTGGGCGGCTGGTAGGTTACGATCAAAGTATGCTTTCAAAATTAATCTTCTAACATATTTTCTTCACAGGAGCATTGGCGGAATCTTTGCTTTTGAAGCCACCCGGATTCTTCGTCAAGCAAATAAGCATGTCGAGGGCCTTGTTCTTATCGACTCTCCTTGCCCGGGAGTTGTTCCACCCCTTTCACCTCATACAATCGATATACTCGATGATCTCGGCCTCACTAAAAGTCAAATATCTCAGAAGAGGCAAAAGAGTACACATGCACATTTCATAGGAAGTATCCGAACGCTAGGAGCATATGTTCCTGAGCCAATGATGGGATCCCAGGCGTTGAATTGTTTAGCTGTATGGGCAAAGAGCGGTGTTTGGGAATCTGTTGAGGATCACAAGAGGAAACAGGCCATGTACAAGATCCCAGAGAATGAGTCACATCAATGGATCATGGATGAGAGAGCGAAGCCTATGGGACCAAGTGGCTGGGAAACTCTTCTACCAAAGGTGGAAGTTGAGGTCATAGCTGGAGATCATTTCTCTATAATGAAGAGACCACAGGTATGTCTATATTATTATTGCAATTCAAGTTCCACTCAAGTACATAACTAATGCTGCATTAATTAGATTTCCCAGCTGGCCGATGTGATATCACGCTATATTTGTCATTGAATTTTCAGCGCCATTTGTCGTTCCGCGTATTTAGATCATTTATGGCGCCAAGGAAGCGTGATTTATTTAGAATCCATGACTAATTCAAGTTAGAATCAAAGAATTACTTGTTGAAATACCCACTTTCAAATTCTTTACGTATGTTTCCGACACCGCGAGAGATCGGCATTGGCTAAAGTACTCTGGGGGCGGCCATACTGTAAGAGAATGGAGTTAAAACTTGCTTCCTCTAAATGTAACCAGAGAATGAACAGAATTAGTATTCATGCTAGCACACCAAGCCAGCAAATACTATTGCATTAGTAGTGAATTGGGCGCCAAAACATGCGTGGCCCACTGAACTACTATATGGGCATTGCTGAGGCCTAATTTAAGGTTGGCCAGTCTGTATATACATGTGCTACGTATGAGATAATTGACAGATGCACACAATCTCTAATAACCCTTCTTAAAGTAAAATTCATCTCGCCAATAGTACTAATTCCTGGGCTTCATAGCTTCAAGTTGGTATAATCTGTGGTTGTTATACCCAACGTCATCTCATACTAGTAGTACCTAAGCGGGTCCATTTGGCTATCGATAAGTTGTCGGTATCTGACCGCCTGTTGTTCCCCTCGAGAGCAAAAAAAGAACCTCGTTTTCTTTTTCTCTCGACATATTTTACTCCCTCATTTAATTGATTTACGTGTTTCTTCATGTCGTTCAATAAAAGCCGGATGTAGGGCGACTTCGCGCTCCACGCCCCGCGATGTCTCCCAAACAGAGGAAGAAAGCTCCCCGCGAGAAAAAGCAAACCTCTTCGGACTCATCTACCTTGACATCCACCGTTATAGCAACCACCAATTACCGCGAAATCCACCTGAATGAGGTGGAAGCTCTCCGTTCTATCTATGGAGATGATTTTGAAGATGTTGAAAACCGCCGGTCGGCATGGCATGTGAGTCTCGGAGCTTTGTTCTTTGTCCATTGACACATCTGAAAGAGGGGTGGGACTAACCGTTGCGATCCCAGCAATCTTCCGACGTAGGGTTCAAGCTCCACCTTCGCGCATCCTCCAACCCAGATGTCTGCCTTGTTCTCCTTGTTGAGCTGCCTGCGACCTATCCAAAAACCATACCCAACCTCTCTTTGAAAAATCTCGACGAATTTCGCGATGGGGCCCGTTCTCGCATCCAGGAAATTGCTCGGAAAAAGCCGTCTTCGCTCCTTGGAAGCGAGATGATTTATGAACTGGCTGTATCGATCCAGGATGTCCTCGAGGATGTTGCACAAGCTCGTGAACAGGATAAAGATCTCCCCAGTCTCGAGGAAGAGCGAATGGAACAGGAAGCTGCTGCCATTCAGCGGGCAGAACTTGAAAAGCAAGAAGAAATGCGAAAACAGGAAGCCGCCAGTGCGGCTGAGGAACGCGCTCTCCAGGCAATGCTTCAAGACAAGATGCGACAGCGAACTAGAGCTCGCGTATTACGACGCAAGAGCCGGACTGGTGGATTGGATTCGAATGATGTGGATGACCTAGTGGAGAACACCCCAGGTGCCATTTCTTTTGACCCACCCGTGGCAATAAATGACAACGATGGTCAGCCACTGGTATTCCGTGCTATACATGGAAAGACTATTTTACGGTCTTATCAAACTAAAAAGACATTCACTGTGCGGCCTGTTGTTTCAGAGCGTCGGTGCCACGTCCCCCAGTTGGTCCTAAAGGAGATTTTCCTAGAAGAGAAGGCATCTGATGTACTAGCATTTCGACAACAGATGCGAAGCAGTGAGGATAAATTGGAGAGTTTGAAGAGACTTCGGCATCCCAATTTGATTGATTTTGTAGGATTCAAGATCATTCGTCCCATTAATGACTTTAATTCCACTGAAAACTCGTGGACTGTGTTTGCTCTACTAGAATATGCCAATAAGGGCTCGCTGTTGGAACTTCTAGATATGGTGGGCACTGTTGCAGTTGAGACACTCCGTGGCTGGATGATCCAGCTTCTTGAAGCCCTCGAATTCTACCACCGGAGCGGATTTGTTCATGGAAATATCCATTGTGGCCGAGTCATGATTTGCAGAACCTTGTCTGGTAGCACAATAGTCAAGCTGCAATCTAGTGTGGAAGACACACTTCCAAATTCTATTTCTAAGCGCTCTTTGACTACATCCAAGTCACCGCTATGGCTGCCCCCGGAGTTGACACAGGAAGGTACACTACCGAATATGAAGACCGATGTCTGGGACTTGGGTATCGTTCTACTTCAAATGGCCTTTGGGAAAGATGCTTTGCTGAGATATACCTCGGCCAATCAGCTAATGGCTTCTTTGGGTCTATCTCCGCCTTTACAAGATCTATTACGGGAATTCTTTCGACCGGATCCCAGGAAGCGCCCAACTGCGTTTCAACTGCTGCCATCTGAGTTTTTCCGAGTCGATGCGCCATTGACTCTTCGTGATAGCGCCTCTAACTCTGTATCATTGCAAAGGAGGCCTCGACTTGACTCGTTTGGCGCCATCCCAGCCTTGTCAAGGTATCACCAAGATTTTGATGAGGCGGGTCACCTTGGACGCGGTGGTTTTGGCCAAGTTGTAAAAGCTAGAAATAAGCTGGATGGACGTTTCTATGCCGTTAAAAAGATCTCCCAGTCCTCAGCAGCGGCTTTGAAGGACACATTATCCGAAATCATGCTACTGTCAAGACTGAATCATCCTTATGTCGTTCGATACTACACTGCCTGGTTGGAGGAAGACTTCAATCATATTGAAGAGGAGGCCATCTCATCTACCGAAGGTGATCCATTTGCCAGCCATGGCCATCATGGATTCAGCACTGGCGGTCTTGACTTCATAAGTTCAAGTGGATATCCGAAAATTGAATTTGCTGCCTCGGATAGCGACGATGAGAATGACGGAACCATGTTTGCCGACGATCATCAAGACTCTCCTGGGACCTTTGAAGGCAGTAGCAAGAATAGTCCCGAGCTGAGCTATGCGAGGTCCAGAGGCTCTTACGGCCGTCCAGTCTTGACAACTCTTTACATTCAGATGGAATATTGTGAAAAGCATACCCTCCGAGATTTGATCAAGAATGGTCTCTATGATGATGTTGATCGGTCCTGGCGCCTATTTCGACAGATTCTGGATGGATTGAGCCATATCCACAGCCATGGCATTATTCATCGAGATCTAAAGCCTGATAACATATTCATTGATGTCGCCAATAATCCTCGAATTGGTGATTTTGGGCTAGCAACCAGTGGGCAGTTTATGACAGCGGTCCGCTCGTCTGCAGCCGCTGACTTTGAAGGCAACTTTACACGTAGCCTGGGGACAACTTACTACGTGGCACCAGAGATGAAGTCGGGGTTCTCCGGTCATTACAATGAGAAAGTTGATATGTTCTCTCTCGGTGTTATATTCTTTGAAATGTGCCACCCTCTCACCACGGGTATGGAACGTGATCAAACACTTAGAGAAATCCGGGAACCAAGTCATCTACTTCCGCCAACTTTCCAACAATCCGAAAAGACCGTCCAAGGCCAAATCATTGAATCGCTTCTCAGCCATTCGCCTGGCGAACGGCCCACGGCTGCAGAACTACTTTCCAGTGGTAGAATTCCTCTACAGGTAGAAGAAGAGACATTCCGACGAGCCATTGTGCACTTGCTCTCTGACCCAAACTCCCCGGACTACAAGAAGATTCTCTCGGCAATATTTTCCCAGTCCCCGAAGAAATTCGAGGACATTGCCTGGGACATGGATTCTCATGCAACACCCGCAGCAAATGAGTTGCTCGTTCAGGGTCTCGTCAAAGAGAAATTGACATCTATTTTCCGACGCCATGGCGCAGTCGAATCAGCAAGACAGATGTTATTTCCACGATCCCAACATTATTCCAACGGCGCTGTCCGCTTGCTTGATGCCTCGGGCAATCTCTTGCAGTTGCCATTTGATCTCACCGTCCCCAATGCGCGTGCGATCCCTCGGCAGGATAGTTCTCTGGAAAGGACTTTTGCCTTCGGCACTGTCTACAGAGAATCAACCCACGGCAGTGAACCTAGAACCCATCGCGAAGTTGACTTTGACATCGTTTCATACAATACCCTGGATCTAGCGCTCAAAGAAGCGGAAGTTATCAAAGTACTAGACGAAATCATTGAAGAATTTCCTCCCCTCCGCTCTGCGTCCATGTGCTTCCTCATCAACCATTCTGATCTCCTGCAACTCATCATGGAATTCTGCCGCATCACCCCATCACAAACTCCATTGGTGAAGGAAGTTGTCAGCAAACTGAATGTTGGGAAATGGACAATGCAGAAGATTAGAAGTGAACTCCGATCTCCTGCAATTGGGGTTGCCTCAACCTCGTTGGACGATCTTGCTCGTTTTGATTTCAGAGACTCTCCGAAAGAGACCCAGCGCAGACTGCAAGTTATCATGGAAGGCACCGAATATGCCGAACGAGTGCCTGCCATCATTGCTCGCTTGAATTTAGTGATAAGCTACTTACAAAGCTTCGGGTTAAAACGAAAGGTTTACATTAACCCCCTGAGCAGCTTGCATGATAAATTCTACAGAGGTAGTATTTTATTTCAATGCGTTTTTGACAGAAAACGCCGTGACGTCTTTGCCGCAGGTGGTCGATACGATCGTTTGATCCAAGACTTCTCGCCAAAGGTCCTGTCAAACAGGCCACAGGCTCATGCTGTCGGCTTCAATCTCGGTTCAGACAGACTTGCATCTGCTATGACCGAGTACCTGCAGACAAAAGCACCACCAAAGGAGACCGATACTGGCGGTGAACTTTACTGGACAGCTCGCAGAGTAAGTATCTGCATTCCTGCCGACATCATTCCTAGCTTGCCATTCTAACCCGCATTAGTGCGATGTTCTCGTCGCTAGCTTTGACGCCACAGTACTCCGCACAATCGGTGTGAAAATAATCGAAGACCTCTGGACAAACGGCCTCAGCGCCGAACTTGCTGTGGACGCCTCATCCATCGAAGAGCTACAAACCAAATACAGAGAGCACAACCACCGCTGGATTGTAATCGCCAAACAAGACAGCAAAGAACGAGGCTTCAAGGTCCGCAATCTCGTCCGCCGCGAAGAGTTCGACATCCGCAGCGCAGAACTAGTTCCCTGGCTCCGATCAGAAGTGCAAGCTCGTCAATACCGCGAGGGAATGGTTGACCCACGTCAAGTCCGACAATCCGGACCACAGGATGCACTACAGCCAAACGAAAAAGCGAATGACGTCCGTATCCTTGTCCCACAGCATCGGAACAAGAAAACCAACCGGAGAAATATTGTCGAGTCGGCTTTGGTTCGTTCTCGTGAAATCGCCGAGAATGCTCGGAATGCTCCTGTCGTTGCGATTGAAACGCGCGATGATGTTCTTGACGCTATTCGCGATACTAGGCTCTCTGATCCTGAGAGCTGGAGGGCAGCTATTCAGAATGCGCCTTTGACTGAGCGGAAGTATATCAGTCAGGTGTATGAGATGGTCAGCGACTTAGCATCCGAGGCTCGATCGAGCGAGACCCCAGAGAGCTATACTAATGCGTTTATCTACAATTACCGGACGGGTTCTTGTGTGTATTATGATCTTGGCCGCAACTACAGGTGATTTTGAACGGGAAGAGGCGCACAGCATTTGAGACACATGACAGATCTTTGCTTTTGGAGTTTTCAACGTGGTGCATATTTCTGCCCATCCTTACTGGTTTATTGCTTTTTTTTCACCTCCATGTTTGCATTATCAAGGCGGTAACATTATATCTCCTTCCATTGTCATATTTTTAGCGAGTGGTCGGGTTAACATCCCGTTATGAATAACGCCAATTTAACGAAGGCTTTGCATAGAAAGGGAGGCAGGCATGTTCTTTCCGTTCAAATTTTTGAAGAGGCATCATTATAGTACATAGCAGAAAGAATTACAATCACCATTCTTCCCTTGAAAAGCATTTCAGTTCTAAATTTCCAAGGTCGCCTCGTCTAGTCGCTCTCATCATCGCTACCATAAGCAACCAATGGCCCGCCAGAGGCTTTCGGCGCAGCCTGTGTCGTCACATTACCGCCCAGTCCACGAAGCGCAGCAACAGCTGAACTAGAGAAGATTCCATTCTGCGGCTCGGCTTCAGGCTCATCTGCGAGCGCGGGCTCGAGCATCAGTGTCTGCTCTGGAGCCTCGAGCTGATAAGCCTCCGGGGCCGACTCTAGCTGTCGTGTGCGCGAATGCCAAACATCATCTGGGACATCGTATCCGTCTAAGCCGAAACTACCCTCGATCTTCTTCCTCTTTTTGGCTTCAGGGTCTCTACCCTCGATCTCAGCAACAAAGGCGGCAGGAAGAGCGCGGCGCACAGCTTCAGCAGCTTGTTCTTCCAGTTGGCGTGCCTCGCGCTTCTGTGCTAGCGGGTTGGGGTCGACTGTTGCCCATCGTACATTGATGATTTCCTCTGTTTTGGTTAGACAATTGGTCCATGGTATCGAGTGGATTGAACACGCGAAAACTCACCATTATCCAACGCTTGACGATTCATTGCTTCCATAGCCTGGTAGAAATGTTAGTTGGTCTCTTTCTTTCGGGTTAGTAAAGACAACTCACGAATTGAGTATTAGCCTCATTGACATCTGAAAGCATGTTAGTCTGGTTCTCCGAAATAATTTAATTTTCTTAATGGGCGCTCACATGTCACGAAGGCAACGCCGCGTCCTGTCAAAACTCGGAGTCTTTGAATCTCTCCCCACGGGGCAAAATGGCGCGAAACGGTTTCTTCAATTGCATCCTATTTCAACGTTAGTTACCATATACGCCAGTTCATAGTTGTATTCCTCTTACATTAACGTTGATCCGGCCAACGTAGAGAGTTCTATTCTGCCGTTGAACTGGTAGGAGGTCAGTAAAAGATGGAAAGAAAGTGTTGGATATACCACATACAGGTGCCTACACCAGACATGTCCTGTCAAATTTGTTAGTTGGCTAATCCATCGAAGTCTCGTCGCAAAAAGAATGAACATACATCTTTGTAATCGGAGTGCTTGTCTCTACCTAAATATCCAACAGCAGTTAGTAGATGAACGCAAGTGGGCCCCGTCCAGATATAGTTGCGTACCGAAGCAATCGACATTCACAGGGAACATATCATGAATGGTAGGAATTCGATGTAAATATTCGCAGTCAACACCACGCCAGCAAGTGCCCTTGGCAAAGTAAAGCTAGCAGAAATGTTAGCACCCGAGCTTGCTGGTAATTTTATCCAATGAGCGACATACGCAGAAGTATGACCCAGAAACAGAATCCGCCTTTGTATAACCGCTATCCTTCACAGGGTTGCATCTCGTCTTCGCCTGTGTATTCAGTCCAAATTTGTCATCACGATCTCCGCCGGACCTATTAAGCGGTGCATGTTAGTGTTTGTCGCGACGCGGGAACGTAAACCGGGGGTAGGGTCATTGAGCCACCAGCTGGCAGTATTGGGTAATTTCGTACCATTTGCTGTACCAAATATCTGATAGGGAGTCGTGTTAGCACTGTCCATCGTACGTATATAAAGAAATGCACTCACTGAACAGATCACCAGTCTGGGCAGGCGCTTCCGCTCCAATTTCAGAGCGATCAACCTGAACACGGGCAGGACGCTTCTTCTTCCTAATAATCTTCTTTGTCTTCTTTACGGGCGCAAGTTGATTCTGCTCCTCCGATTGTCCTTCAACTTCGATCTCGGTTTCCTGAACCGGTTCTGTGACGGGAGATTCGGCCATGGTGGCGAATGAGTGCGGAAGTGAGGTGATATGAATCGAATCGAGTCGCGGTATGATGATTCTAGAGCTTGTCGTGTTTCCGAGACCAGAATGGTGGAGTTGAACAGCATTCAATGTTAAGGTTGTTGGAGTTTAAGAATCTCGAAGCTCGAGATTCAAAGTGGAGTCCGCGCTTGATGAGTCAGCAAACTGGCAAAGCGTGCATTTGTGGTTTTCGCGACATCGTTTTCAATTAGATACTGAGATTGCACAGGCAAAGGCCTTAAAAACCGGCATCATGGTGAACATCACAGAGAAAATCAAAGAGTAGGGTCCCCCTTTTCTTGCTGCGGAACCCATGGCTCCCTTTGTGTGGTGGCTTTTCTCCCTCCTGTCTCTGCATGCCGGCTCAAAGCCTTGCAGGACGGGGGAACGAGAGAAAGGATATGTTTGGATGGATAGAGATGCTGATTTTTCACTTACAGAATCGAAGATGAGATGCGCCGCACTCAAAGTAAGTCGAAATCACGATTTTAATATTTTTTATATCACCCCGCTAACATGCCCCGCAGAAAACAAGGCGACAGGTAGGAGACCATAAGAGGAACCCGCAACTCGCGAATGATAGATTTACTGATTTCATCTGCTCAGAGTATCACTTGGGTCTATTGAAAGGGTGTGTGATCCCCAACGAGATGTTCTGGGTGTCATACCAATGATTCCGTGTCTGTGCCTGTATCCGTACTAACCTTCACAGAAAACTTGCTCGTCTGCGAGCTCAGCTTCTCGAGCCAGTAGGTGGCGCCGGCTCCGGTGGTGGTGCCGGTTTCGACGTTAGCAAAAGTGGCGATGCCCGTGTAGCACTTGTTGGATTTCCATCCGTCGGAAAATCTACATTCTTGTCCAAAATCACCAAAACTAAGAGTGAAGCCGCGGCCTACTCATTCACCACGCTCACTGCTATCCCAGGTGTGCTTGAGTATGGAGGTGCAGAGATTCAGATCCTCGATTTGCCCGGTATCATTGAAGGTGCCTCCGAGGGCAAGGGTCGTGGTCGTCAGGTCATCTCAGCGGCCAAGACTAGTGATTTAATTCTCATGATCCTGGATGCTACTAAGAAGGCAGAGCAGCGTGCTTTGCTGGAAGCTGAGTTGGATTCCGTGGGTATTCGGTTGAACAAGGAGCCTCCGTATGTATTCGACATATGGCTAGGAAATTTGAGGGTTTGGTATGTGGACTAGCACTAATTGTGAACCAGGAATATCTACCTCAAGGTGAAGAAGGCCGGTGGCATGAAGATTACTTTCCAAACACCCCCGAAGAGCCTGGATGAGAAGATTATCTACAATGTCTTGCGTGATTACAAGATCCTCAACTGTGAAGTGCTAGTACGAGATGAGAATGGTATGCCTCGCTTCGTCCTCTCAAGAATGATTTTGGATACTTACTGTAGTAGCCACAATTGACGACTTTATCGACGTCATTATGAAAGACCATCGCAAGTACATTCGCTGGTAAGTCGCTGGAATTTCGAATTGAAGGGCGACGACCGCGATGCAGTTCATTCTCTAACCATTTGAACAGCTTGTATGTATACAACAAAATCGATGGCGTCAGTCTTGAGTTCCTGGATCAACTGGCCCGAGAGCCTTACTCAGCCGTTATGAGTTGTGAGCTTGATCTTGGTGTGCAGGAGGTCGTGGAACGTATTTGGAAGGAATTGAGATTAATGCGACTCTACACAAAGCGGTCAGTCGATTCCTACTATGATATATCGCTTGAGATATTATCGAACATATCATTACTCTGCTGGCAAGAACTCAGCAAGTTGATTGATCTGACTAACATCAATTGCTATTTATAGAAAGGGACAAGAACCTGATTTCAGCGAAGCACTTATCGTACGAAAGGACTCATCAATTGAGGATGTGTGTGACCAGATTCACCGTACTCTGAAGGAGACCTTCAAGTATGCCTTAGTGTGGGGTGCCAGTGCAAGACATATGCCACAGCGCGTGGGATTGGGGCATATGGTATCAGACGAGGATGTGGTATCAATAGTAGCTAAATAGGCTGGAACAAGACTGGTGCATCTACGAATTGACTATGCAGAAAGAAATGGAAAGGATTATGAGCTAAGCATTTTTCAAGAAATAATTTAACTTGAAAATGTCAAAATGAACTATGGAACATGTATATGAACAGACTTGAAATCCCAATGATATTTGCCAACCAAGAAATAGACCAAACTCCAACCTTAACATGAGGACATCTATGCGGCACCAGCAGCGGCAGCGGCGGCGGCAGCAGCAATGTTCTGCATGCCAATGGTGGGCTGGACACCAACACGTTCCTTAGCCAGAAGATCAACCAGGAGAGGGCTGGGGCGGCTGTCACGCTGAGGGTAGAGACCAGCCTGGCTGTTCTTGTGCTTCAGGACACTGTCGAGGTAGATGTCGAACAGGTATGAGGAGTCAAGAGGACCACCCTTGGCCTCGGGGTGGAACTGAGTGCTGAAGATAGGACGGGACTTGTGGATCATACCCTCGTTGCTCTGGTCGTTCAAGTTGACGAAGTAAGGCTTCCAGTCAGAGGGCAGGGTGGAGGCATCAACGGCATAACCGTGGTTCTGGCTGGTGATGTGGCAGCGGCCAGTGCTCAGATCCAAAGCGGGAATGTTGTGGGCACGGTTTCCGTACTTAAGCTTGACGGTGCTGGCACCGGAAGCCAAAGCCAGAAGCTGGTGACCAAGACAGATGCCGAAGATGGGGATCTGGGAGGTCTCCATGAGACGCTTCAAGTGGTAGACGGTATCCTGGCAGTGAGTGGGGTCACCGGGGCCGTTGGAGATGAAGACACCATCGAAGTGGTGGGCAACCTTGTGGATGGGAAAGTCGAAGGGGAAGACAGTTACGCTAGCACCGCGGCCAACCAGGCTCCGCAAGATGTTCTCCTTAACACCACAGTCGATGACGGCAACGTGGGAGGTAGGGTCAGCAGCGCTGATGTGGAAAGGCTGCTTGGTGCTGACCTGGCGGACCAGGTGGATCTGCTCGGGATCGGTGAAAGCCTCATCCTCGTTGGCATCGTACTCCTCGCCAACAGTGATACGGGCCAGGGAAGAACCCTGCTCACGCAGATAGGTGACGATGGCACGAGTGTCGACGCCGGAGATGGCAGGAACACCCTCACGAGCACACCACTCACCTAGAGACTCAACGGCAGTCCAGTGGCTGTACTGCTCGGCGACGTCGGCGACGACAACACCGGCAGCCTGCAGGTTGGGGGACTCGAAGTACTTCAGGAGGCCATTGGTGTCCTTCTCAGCAGAGGGCACACCGTAGTTACCAATGAGAGGCTGGGTGAAGACCAAGATTTGTCCGCGGTAAGAGGGATCGGTCAAGGACTCGGGGTATCCAACCAGGGATGTGGTGAAGACGGCCTCGCCGGAGATGTTGGAGCGAGCACCGAAGGATTTGCCGGTGAACATGGGACCATCACGGATGGTGAAGGTGGCGGGCTCGAGAGCAGCACGCTGACGAACAGTAGCCATGAAGCGAGCCTGAGCAGGGGTCTTCATAGAAGTGAAGGCCGCAGCCCGGTTGGGCATGGCCTTGAACAAGTTCATGAACATTTTGTATAGAGTTTATAGGATGAGAGAAATTGCTGAACAAGAAACCGGAAGGTCAATTCAGTTAATGGAAGCCTTCCAAAGGTGATCTATTCGAGGGCATTGTTAGTATTTTCGAGTCCCATTCTTAGATTGAAAGAAAAGGTTGACTTGAAAGACATACCCGAGATATAGTCCTGGGAGGTAAATGTTGAGGGTGCCAAACACATAAGCGCGACTGAAGATCTAGCAGTCAAAAGAATAGAGGGAGAAAAAAAGTCTTAACGAGACATGAGGCGTATTGAAGGTATAATATGTGGAGTGGTGTAAACTGGGGAAGGAAGGGAAGAAAGGCTTGAGAACGAGGAAAAAGTGCAATTTTCTGACTCAGTGCGGGCACGTGCCTTCACCGACTCCGGTGGCCAATCAGAGCGACATCGGCCAATCTCCGATTTTAACTGGTTCGTTTCCCGTTCTTATCCGTGCTTATCTATGCACCACCAACATTAGCATCCACTGCACACACCGCTAATCCCGTGGAATACGCCTAAAAAAGGCTTGGACGGACCAGTTACAGGGGGCATAATTGATATTTGCAACGACTGAGAAGCCTCAAACATCAATTGGTTACACTCAATTGTGAATTAAAGTGCTGATCCACGCCCTGAGTATGCTTATATCAATCTATCATCAGTACGGAGTAGTCCCTTCCGTACTCCGGTCATACAAGACCCTACGTAAGAGACGGATAAAAATGGGTCAATTTCGGTGGGAATTTAGGGTCTAGGAAATCTATGCAATCGACAATCGATACACCGTCATGATCAACTCCTATTACCCAATTGTAACTCATTTTTGTGCACTTGTTCCATAGCCCTGGTGATCGGCCTCCACTTACCAGCCACCTTGACCCTAAATGTATCCGCATTAGAATAGTCAACCAGTTATAAAGGATGTCAATGCTGCATTGCGTCCATAGCATCATATGCGGGCCGATCCTGAATCTCAACGCGTCTGGACTCGATTGTGCCTTAGGTTAACAGCGATTTGTTGGTACCTTGCACATTTGCAGTCTCCAAAGAGGGGTAGTGGTCAACAAGTCGGTGTGAAAGATGCGTCTTACAGGCCCAGCGAGGTTTCTTTTACGTTATATCCTTGGTTTTTGTAAGGACAAGTTAAGGACAGCTTAGCCGCTTTCTCTGCACTTCTCAGAAGGATTTAAGACATTGGGCCATCCGTTTCCGGGACGATTTATAACAACCTGGAAAATCATGCCTACCTACTAGTAAAGCCCACGAGCATCACTTGAAGCTTTCATAGGATTTTTTAAAGATTTTAGACAAACCTTTTTTGATATAAGGTTCGGCGGTTATTAGTGCTGCAAAGGTCGCGCGGAAACCACCGATAATTCCCGAGGCCTATCAAGATTCATACGGCGTAGATTCGGAAAGCGTAATCAATGTTCAATGATGATTGATTCATTGCCAGACTTGAAAATCAATTCTATCAGTTCCTAACCAACAAACAAAGAAAACAAATAGACCGTGTTCTGTGAAGCAAAAAGACGGCGGGTCCTCGGCATTTTCCCTGGTGCCACGAACCAATCAACCTCCTCAACCTCGGCCTCCGCGATGCATGCTACATACCCTCATTAAAAACAATGTCCGACTTCACGCCCCGCAAGCGCTCTCGCGCTGCATGTTTATCCTGTCAATCCCGTAAGCGCAAATGCTCAGGCGAACAGCCCTGCGCAACATGCATCCAAGCAGGTGTAGACTGCCACTACAGCACTGCCCCGCGCAAAAAGCGCCCCAGGTCCAATAGCGCATATCGGGCACCTTTACCCTCACTAGATGAATCGCAAAGACGCGCAGATGGATTATCCCATTTTGCACCCAAGCCTGTCAGTGCTGCAGGTAGCACGACATCTCCCGCTTCATTCAACTGGACAGATGAATCGCGGGGAATGAGTCACTCTCTCGAGGCCAATTCCGGAGCAGCATTTGTTCGCAAGCTTGGACTTCGCATTGATCCAGCTCGTGCACCAAGATTGCATCTTTTTGCCTGGAATGTTGGCGAGAGACGACTATCGCCTGCGTTGGCAGCGCGCGAGATCTCTGTTTCGGCACCGGGGTTTATCACCAAGTTGCTCTCACAGGAAGATATGTGCCACCTGACAGCTATCTATTTTGAGAAGGTCGATCCATGTTATCCGTTTCTAGACCGGCTTAATGTCCTTTCACGGATTGCTCAGCGTTGGCAATCACCGCTAGATTTGTCAGAGCAACCTTATGATGCTGTTCTATATGGAATTGCAGCATTTGGATATTTGTTTTCTCGCCGCGAAATCATAGTAACGGAGCTCCAGCTCGTCGAGGGAGCACATAAAATACTACAAAAAAGTGTCATAGGTGCTGAATCACCTTCAATCGACGCGATAGCTGCATGGGTTCTTCGCGCCGCCTACATGCGAATGACAGCTTCTCCACACGCCGCATGGATGGCTAGCTGCACATTGATGCACCTAATCGAGGCTGCGGGTCTACATCTCGAATCTCCAGACCCAGAATCAAATCTAAACTCAGATTCACAGCAAATATCAAGTACCACCATCAATCCTCAATCAAAATCCACAGAAACCAAAAACATCCTAGATACCCGCCGCCGTCTCTTCGGCATGGCCCGACATCTAAACACATGGATCTCATTCGATCTAGGCCGTTCCCGCGTCCTCCTCCACGGCGCATCGCAACCAATCCCACTATCTCAGGACAAAACCACCCGCGCCTCACTCTTTCATCTCCTCCCCCTATCAGAAAGTCTAGACCCAACAACCTCATCTCAATCCCTACCAACACTCGAATCAGCCCTGAAATCCGTCCTAGATCTTTCATACTCTACATCATCTCTAATTCTCGTCCAAACAAACCTAACCCTCTGCATCTACCGTCGCGTCCGCGCTATAAATGCCCACGCCCTCTTACCACAAGACCTAGACCGCGTCTTAGCCCTAGCGCAGCGGGGTCTTCGCGCCGCGCGACATATGGTCCTCGCCTCTTCGCCATGGCATCAAGTTGCTAATGTGCCGTTTCAAGTTGTCTGTACCCTTTTGGCAATTGATAGTCGGCCTGCGTTAGCGCTTTTACCAGATGCCATGGCGACGTTGGGGGAGGTTTTAGCTGCGTATGATACGGCGAGTATGCGGGAGGCGTATTCGACGGCTTATTTGCTTGTTGCGATGCATCAGCGTAGGAAGGAGGATGACACGAGGGCTTTGGGTGATGTTTTGAGGGCCAATGCTGCAGCTGCTGTTGCGCAGCCGCTTCCAAGGGAGGAAGTGAACAGGAGGGTTGATGCTGTGGTGGCGAGGGCAGGAGAGGGCGAAAGAGTGGATGAGCAAGTGCAGATACCGGTGCCGCGGACAATGGAATTTGGGCCGGTTTCAGATGCTGAAGTTTCTTGGTTGGGGGATTTGGTGATTGATATACCTAGTTTGCAGAATTTTGATATTGATCAGTTTCTTATGACGGATGTGCCTTGGCCGTGGCCTGAAATGGGGATTTAGGATTCATGGTATCTACATGGTATTGCTATGTCTACATTAATGAATCTCATTCTGAGGGAAACGAGGCTGCTGTATAGAATATTGATCTAATCGTTATAATTCGTCGCATGTATCCATATTGGAAAATAGGCAAAGTTCAACGCCTGCATGAATGCTCAAGGTAAAACAATGAGTATATCAGTGCCCTGCACGCTATATGGGGGTTAATCAAGAAAGAAAAAAAATCAGGATACACTAAGGGATGATCAGTCTTTCTTGTCGTGTACCTCAGCCCGTTGGGTAGAGTTATTTGCACCGAGACCTGATGACCAAGCCACTCGCGCAAGTTGCCAAAGGACCCAAAAGAAACCTAGCAAAATGACAATGCTTGTTCCCAGCTCAATATTGCGAGTCTGGAAGAAGCCTTGACCATCACCCAGGTTAAGGACGGGAGCATCCAGCGTCTCGACGAGATGCTCGGATTGGGGATGAAGCTGATAAAAGAAAGTCCGAGGGCTAAACAAGCTATCGTAGACAAGATGTGTGCGGTCGAACGGATTAATGCCTATGCTTTCTTTTTCGTACTCAGAGCTGCAAGCCCAAAAGACGACTGGCCATGGCACATGCACAGGGCGGTATCCAGTTTCTGAGGGATGGAGATACCGAAGATGGAGAGGGACGGTGGAAGTCCAATTTGAGGATTGAGAGGTCAAATCATCACCGTTAGGGGTGGCCAATTCAAAGAGCCAGTTTGAGCCCCAGCCCTTCACAGCCCAGTCTGGAGCCTCGAGATCTGTCTCGCCGGAATGAGCACGTAAGCCTGCTAGATTGTGGGACTGCAGGAAGAGCGAGTCTGTAGTCCCAAGTTGGTACTGGTCACCAAAGATAGATGAGGGAAGTGTCAGGTATGTATGTAGAGAGCAGGTTGTATCGTCTGGTGCGGATGGTCGATCCAATGAAGAACGTGGAATGGTTATAGACATAGTTGGATGAAGGCCGGTTGGCTCGGTGAATGAGATGGCGTAGCTGGCGGATTGAGGAAGTACATGATGGCGCGAAGGAAACGAGAACATAGCGGGTTCTGTTATAATTAGCTGGGATGTACTTGTATAATGTAATATTGTAGGGCTCCTGCATACTCAGCTTCTTGTCTTCTCCAACAACAGCCAGCAACCCCCCGACCTTTACTTCGTCCGCACCGATTCCTGGTTCCGTTCCTAACAAGCCAAACTCGACCTTGTCTGATTTCTTATTAGGTTTGTGTATCACTTCCGACCATCCTCCTGTGGGTCCTTTGGCCCAGAACCCGGACAAAACTAGGGTATTGGAGGTGCCGTCATAATCCACGTCGACCACGTCGGCAGTGGACAGAGAATCAACAACAGCGACGCATCCAACGCTTTCAGTTGTATGAGAGCCACAAATAGCACGCTTAATATTCGAGATAAAAGGTTCCAGAGAAGGGAGCTGGGTATGGTATTGCAGAGATGTCGCCGCATGGGATTCAGTAGCTCGGTGGGGGGATTCGATAAAAGCCTTCTGATAGATATCACCATGTTAGTAAGGTTGATCCAATGATACAATCTATGAAATGGAGCTTTAACATGCGATCGGCATGAAAAGGGTTCATGATCGGCTTTCGACTTACCTCGTGCCGTGGACAATCCAAGGCCTCATCATTCTCATTTCGTCCGAACGTCGCGCGCAGCCAAGAGCAAAATGTCTCTCTAATCAGTAAAATAATCAGTTATGTAGCCCAGTATAGCCAGCTGGTCTTCATCACTCACGACGATTGGCCCGCATCTAGGGGGGTATGCAGCACATGTAGCCCAGGCGAGACCCTGCTGGAGAAGGGCGGGACAGCATCGAACGACTTCTCGGTAGCCCAGCGAACATGGACATCTTTCGCTTTTTGAAGAACATGCCGAAGCTTTAAGACAGAGTCAACACACGAATTCAAGCTTCATGGTCGTGTAGGATAGCTCTTGTTCTTACCTCGCTGGAGAGGGCATTTAGCTCGAAGGTCAGGCGGTCTTCGCGGGCGGCGACTATGTTCCGGATCGTGAGCGATTTTGGTGTCAATACAGCTTGCTCTGGGTCGAAGCCAGCATCGCTGCGCTGGATATAGGTAATTCGCTGCTTCATGGTGAAACTTAAGAGAGGCGAGGAGGTGTAAATAAAGCGGAGGGGGAGAGCAGCAGAGCTTCCGGAGTTGCTTTCTCCGCATGTCCCGTTTGGGTTTAGGGTCGGTATGCCGCAATGACGCACCGAAGATATAGATACAAGAGATACAACCTTGGAAATAATTGAAGTGAAGTTTGATAAATTGATAAATACATTCGAACTGTCCTAATTTTTGAACGGGGGTCACATATTTTAATGTCCCAGAGAAGACTGAGAAAACAAATCAAGTCATGGCTGTCATTAAAGGCACCTATTAAATAAATGATGTCGCTCACACCAACGCCTATAAGTATGCTAATCAAATCATAATCGAGGAGTTTACAGAATCTTCCCGAGTGCGGTTTTTTGTTCAGCTGTCAAGCTGGTAGGGAATTTGACATTGGCACGGACAACCAGGTCACCCCGATCGGTGGGCTTCTTGGAGATCACCATGCCCAACCCGGGGTATCGTTCCTCGTGGCTAGGCTGGGTAGGACCAGGCTTCGAGATGCGAACTGACTTGCCGTCGATTGTTTGCACGATTTTCTCCCAACCTGTCAAGGCCTCCTTGAGTGTAAGATCCACGGTTGTTACAAGATCGTCACCGACACGCTTGAAAGTAGGGTGTGGTTGCTGTAGAGATAGTTAGCATTGGTTCTATGAAATGAAAAGAGCAAGAAAATTCATATACCTCTTTCACAATAAGATGCACATCTTGTCGGCCTCCTTCTTCCTGGTCGCCAACATTCTTATACTTAATCTTGGAACCAGCACGCAGGCCAGGCTTGATAGTAGCTTCGAGTGTCACCTCTTCAACAGTGCGCTTGCCATTGTTATCGAAAGCCTTGCTCTTTGTCTTCACCTTTTTCGTGGTACCCTTGAAAATCTCCTCAAGAGTGACAGGCAAATCTTTCTCGACAACAGTAGGTTCAGGTGTTGGCGCACGGCGTGGCTTCTGTGAGAAGCCTCCACGAGATCTTCCGCCGCCCATCCCAGGCATACCACCAAGCATGGAAGCAAAGATGTCATCGTCAAGGCCACCACCCATTCCACCACTGCTGCCACTGCCTTTAGCGAACTCGCGGAAGATATCGTCTGCGCTGCTGAATCGGAAGCCAGTTCCGCCACCAGGGCCAGTTGAATAATGGAATTTTCGCGATCCTCCCCCGCCAGGCATACCGCCAAAGTCAAAGTTACCGGGCATGCCTCCGGGGCCGCCTGCACTACCACCACCTCCACCACCAGAGGAAGGTGGAGGTCCACCACGGAGGAGGTATTCAAGGCCGAATTGATCGTAGACCTTGCGTTTTTCGGGATCGGAAAGAACTTCGTATGCTTGGGATACCTCTATCGACATACGTTAGTATTGTCACCTCGGGCAAGAAATAAAGCGGGGTTACTTCTGGAGCGGAAGAAGAGGGAGGACAAACCTTTAAATCTCTCAGAGGCCTGAGGGTTATTCTTGTTCTTATCTGGGTGGAATTTCAAGGCTGCCTTGCGATAGGCCTTTTTAATTTCATCTTGAGTTGCGCTTGGTTGGACGCTCAAGGCGTCATAGAGCTTTGTCTCAGCTACCATGTTGTGCGGAGGTCGAATTGAGTTTCTTCAGTGGGAAACAAAAATTCGCACTAGGTCCGAACTAGAGCTGTCTAGAGCTGTGCGTTTAAAAATCAAAGATCGTCACGGTAAAATGGATGGTGGGACGATGTTATGTAGTAGCATGTAGTTCTGGAATGACGTAGAAGGTTTGGAGATGTACGAGGCGGTCTAGGTGCGTTTTATAAAAGGACGACGGGTGGGAAGTTAGACGAAGGAAGAATGAAAGAGGAATAAGAATATTAGGCGGGGAACTGGGAGGGTCCTTGTCCTTGGAATTGGGAAACCGGGTGCAACTTCTCGACTGTGCTCGAGCGTGGAGTATGGTCAGTGACGTGTGACGTTGGTGGATCGAAGGTTCGAGAAGTTTCCACGCCTCAGGGCACGTGTGTCTGGTTCAATGAAACTCATATCTATATGATACAACTCATATTACGTTGCAATAGAATGAGCCTTTCAAATATCCTCTTTTATATACATTTTACCCCAGTTTTTATCATTTGAAGCAGGTCTCCAACGTTGTGATCCATAACATCATCGCGGCTCGGCCCCACCTTTTCGACTACATCATTGGGTCAGTGCTTTGTGTGAACCAAACACTTTAAAATGAACCAAATTGGAGATTTACATATTGAATTTCTAAGATATTTCTATGATGGACGAGAAACCCCGAAATCTGAAAAAGGAAAAGAGAAATTAACGAATGTCGAACAATGCGCTTGGCTGGCAACCAGGAAGCAAAAATAACAACTCATGTCGATATAGGCACCTCGCTAGCAATACCCATAAATGTCTATCATGAATTCAATTATCGTGATGGTGGAGACAAAAACAATCGGACCATTAGTAATTGGTAAATGAAATCGGATCTTTTTCGAATGTTTGAGAGCCATCATCCATCACAATATAGTCCTTGATCACGGCCGTATTATTGAGCACGCTGGCAATCTGATCTTCGGAGCATGTAGCCTCCAAGGAGAGAATATAGCATACGGGATCTGGAGTTGCAAGAATTTTATTCTTAATGTGCCAAGTCGATTGAGGACCACTGGTCGAATATGACAAATTGTGAGCAGTGTTTATCTTACCCGTCGCCAGATCACGATTGAAGAGCGCACGGTGAAAGAGTTCATAGGCCGTTTGTGGTTGATAAGCAGGCACTTCATGCCCAGCTTGATAGACTCGAGCAAATGAAAAATTGCCGTGCTGGCGAACCTGACCTCCGACATACGAAGAGTTTGTCTGAAGAGGCGAATACCCAGCAGCTCGAAAAGCCGGAGCCTTGGAGTAGTCGACGCGCAAACTCACATCTTCGCCTCCAATCCAATTACAGGCATAATCACGATCGCCGTATATGAGCGAGACTTTGATACCGGCGTCTAGGAGATAGGCAATATCATGAAGATAGCCATGCACATCAGCGCGAGGGTAGTCACCTGTTGATGCAAATCCCCTGCTGACACTGTTAATTGACTCGGTAAAATTGATAGGTACACCCAGCGCTCTCTGCACCCAATTTTGGCTGAGGTATCCAAAATAAAATGGCTCTGGGAACGGATCTGGATCTTTGTGGGTTATATCGTAGTATCCTCGCTGGGCGTATGCAGGATAGATACCCTCAACCTTCTTGTTGCAGAACTCGGAAGCCTGGTTGCATGCCTTATTGACTGTTTCATTGTTCCCATGCATCTGGGGATCGCCATCTGCGGCAAGGGCACGGCATTCAATGATAAGATCTTTGCATCCCCCCGGACGGCTCCAGTCATTCATGGCTTGGTCGTACAAAGTTTTGTTAATAGCTTCCACCCCGTAGGTATTGTTGTACGCCATCTTCGGATAGCTAGGTTCCTGAAGAAGTAAATCGATACACCCATTGACGATCCCTAGCGTATCTAAGTGAATATAATGCGCCTCGTCCGGGGAACCGATAGTACCATTTTGGATCCGCTCATTTTGCTCTTGAAAAAATGCCGCGAACGACGGACCATAGCGACCGCCGTATGACTCTGTCCAGATGCTGACACGATCATCATGTGGCTTGTACGCCGGAAACTCGGAGAACCACGTCTGCGCAAAGTGCCATAGCGACCGAGCGGCATTCTCCGTATTATTCGCAGTCAAACTCCCATTCTGACTAGTAGTTGTGCCGACATAGAATGTGTTATTCTGTATTGGAACACCATGTGTCCATTTCGAGACATTCCAAGCTGACTTGATTTGGTCAAAGGTGCCATTAGTGGGAATATCATAGCTGAATCCCACTTGATTGGGCTGATCGATATACAACATGTTTACGTAGTTATTCCAGGACCAGGGGTTGAGTTCGGTCGAATTAGAATCGGACTTGACGACACAGGGTCCATTCTCCTGCATTAGACCGATCAGGGATGACGAGCCAGGTCCACCGTTCATCCAAATGGACAGCGGCGCATTTCTGGGATTATGGCGTGCCTCGAAAAACCAGAAAAATGTGTTGATGGGGTACTCTTGGTCGACGCCGACATCTTCCAGTGTACCGGGAGGTAAATGAACATAGCCGGAGTACGACCTGACCCCTGGTGTGGTTTCGCAGATTCCTGGCTGTGCAAGCAATTTTAAAAAGTTAGGCGTTGAGTTCTTTGCTGATCGGCCACATGAAGCGGAGATACCCCACCTCTTTATACGATATTTGAACACCCTCTTGATGCTTGGAGTTCACGACCGTTAATCCCTCGGGCGTTGGAGGAAAGTACTGGGCCACTGCAAGGCTGTTCAGAGAAGCAGCCAAAAGCCAACTCACTAGACTCGTCATTGTACTAGTAGTTGACATGTGAATGACCCTAGGTGAAATGGCGGGTATCGGATAGTAGAGAAGTGGAAGTGACTTGGGGGATTCGGCTGCTTTATGTACTTATCGCATCCCCGCCCGCAAAAGCAACTACAGGTCAAGAGCGATCCACAGGAAGATCTCCGATTTATGTCTGAATGGGCTGAATTGTAGTACTATAGAGCCACCGAAAATGACAATCTTCTTTTTTTAACATCATAGCAACATCAACAGTCTCAACCCATCAATCGAAGCCTTCTTATCAGTTCAGACCGACCTTGAAGTGGAATAGGTAGCGCATTCGAACCTGAGATTCGTTGGCAAAATAGTGCTGATACTGAAAGTTAAAGGAAGGGGTGATTTTCTGTCCCATAGCAATATTAAGCATCTTGACACCTGCTAGATCACCATTGATATGGCCAGCATCACGCCATCGACTTCTATCTGGGGCAATAAATGGGCCACCCACTTCACAGAGGAGCATGAGCGCCTCGGGACCACCACCCCCCTTTAGACAATAATCTTTGGAAACCCCCGCAAGCTCAGAGAGATAGATATGGGAATGTTGTAGTCCTCCACAAAGCCCTTCCGCCAAAATGCCTCGAAAGTTTTGGTTAGGTGATCCGTGCCATAGGAGCCTTCTTGCTTGGCTCGAATGGCTTTTCCTCCATGCACCGTATCGCGTCGCCTCTCCCGTGCGTTCGATGCAGAATATGTTGATAAGCTGGATAGACTGTATAATAGGTATAAGTTAATTCAGGTTCCCACGTATCGAATTAAATGGAAAGGAACCAACATCTACTACTCTCCCTGGTATTTGAATTACCGTGTTGGCGGGTGAAAGTGTAGCGTTAGCTGAAAAGCTGAAGTAATTTGCTAAAACTGTGTACTCGCTTGCAGATTTATCTACTGCATATGTAGGATTAAGTTAGCGATGTCAGTTCAATATGAAATATCTTATCCCAAATCAAGTAATGAGCACTCAAGTACAACTTACGCTGTTCTATCTTTTCAAGGCCTCGCGATGTTGGGGACGTGAGTACCAGTACATTCCGCAGATGCGATTTGGGTGTCTGATGACCTGAAAACTTGAACTTGTCTATTTGCTGCTCGACATCTTGAACAGAATAGCGTCCGTCCATAATCATTGATACGAGACCCTTATAGCATTTGGTCATGGCCGAGAAGACATCTTTGTCGGACGCCAGTCCTTCAACATAACCTGGCTTCTTCATCATTCGTTTCAAGAGAGCAACACCGGTCTGCAGTTGATCGTGATTTATGCTCGGGATGGAGTTGACCCGATGTGCATGCCAGTGCCTGACATTCCTGACATATCTTGCGATATTCGAGTTGTCACAGACTCGGAAGGTAGCATATTTTTGTGCAGTATTTCCAATTAGTTCGAGCACCGACTTCACGCCCGGTGAAAGAAATCGTGAATTTGTCTTCGAACGATCGTACTGACGTAGGAGAAATACGAATTTGGACTTTTCTGGTTCTTCATGACGGCTTTCCCAGTCGTGGCCAGTCGCAGTTCGAAATTTCTTTTTGAATACAGCTTTGGCATCTGCCAGGTCTCCCAGGCCTGCTATCTCGGTTTCTGTGAGGGCTGAATTGACTCTTTCATGACTCCATGTATGATACTTGCCCGACTTCCCGCTTTGAATAAGCTGCAAACGGCGAATGATCAAGTTTTGAGTAGACTCGGCCTTGAATAATATCGCGTCCCAGATTACTCCATCATCTTCCCAAACCGTATGGCCTAATTTGAGTTAGTTGATTGCTATTGATTTCTTTCGGGTGTGAGTGACAGGGATATAGAATATACTAGTACTAGTACCTGCTCGGTCTTCCGAGGGGACGTTGTAAGCCAAGCTTTCAAGGAATAAATCTCGCTTGAGGCTTTTTGAAACTTGCTCATCATCGTCCTCATTTTTCTGATTACTTTTTCCGACCTCTTTTTGCATCAATCGAATTGTTTTCGCATTACTCAACGTGTAATCTGCTTCTGGAAGAGGGCGCCCATGGCTGATGGATTGGAGAAGCCATTCGATGTTGACAATCTTGCTTTTTGTGCGGATAGCTCGCTTAACTGTTCATTGTTTCCTTGTTCAGCTTTCGATATTATCAAAATTTGAAGTCAAACCCACTCCTGTTGGACATTTTCCTCTTATTCAATTCCCCCTTACTCGTTATCAAATGCGTGCATTTTGGAACTTCACCATTTTCGGATCTCTCGATCTCAGCACCCGACTTGATAATTTTTTCTTTGAGTTCACCTATAGTAAAACAAAATATTAGTCTCATTGTTCATTGAAATGAATCATATAAGAGAGAAAGTTTGCTGGTATTAACCATGCTTATGACCGGGAATATTTCCATGAAGTTCAATGAGAATATTCTTCATCGAGTCTGGTGGGTGGGAAGTGGAAGAAGACGAAGAAGATCTCATTTTACCCATATTTACTATGGGTCGTATGCAACAAATAGAAAGAAAGGGGAGAAGAGCCTTCAAGGTTGTTAATGCGTTTCTTTTCTGAACTGGAACTCGATGGAGGTTGGGTAGTATCAAGAAGATAATTCCAGCGATTTTTGAACGCATTTTATGGTCAACTGAGGGTATATTCCGGCAAGTCCCTTTCATTTTGAGACATGCCAAACTGTTTCAAGTTGCGTTTGCCATCTTTCGCCGATATGTCAACTTGAACCCGAGACACGACAGATCGCTCTTATCTCCTACGCAGAGTCGATATAATTTTTTCCAATGTTTATACTAGCCAACCACTTTTTTTAAAACCAAATTATCGATACTTCATTTATTAGAGAAATAAAATCTGGACACTGTTATTGTGTGCATAGATTGTCACAATTCGAAGCGTGAAGGGTAGGTCATTAGGTTAGTGGAGAGTTTTTTAATTGACTGACTATATAGGTACGAGCGGGAGATCTGCATTGCTATAGAATTCCTGTAGAATTTGGGAGAACTGCAAGGCCTTCAAATTCAATATGAGCAAAATTAAGCAATCTAATATCTGAGCCAAAACATAGTTCCGGGATTTATCAAAATAACCCAGAAGCCCCAAAATGGCATCAGCAGTTTCAAATCAGCACGACCTTATTCCTGAATCCTTTTACCAATCAAAATACTACGAATAATAACTTCCGTCCTCCTTCTTCCCGCTCTAAATCACCATAATTCCTTGCTGCTGATGTTGTGGCCCTACTGGAAATGGAACATGTACCGCATCCGGATTTCATATATAAGTGAGCGATTTCGCAAAGGCCAAATATCTTCGCTAAGAGCAAACAAGGCAGTTTCGGGTATAAATTTACCTTGCTCTATCTTTTGAAAGCCAAAAGCTCTCGAAACTTCCGCTTCGTTAATCCCTTGCAATTTGAAGAGCCAATAAGCGAGTTTAAAAGAATAATGACCAGTCAATTTGGCGCTCCATATCTTGGACAGTGAGGCCTGAGCCTTGATAGGAAAGTAAGCCACTATAGCATGTTATCAAGGCCAAGAAGACATCGTTTTCAGATGCCACTTTTTGAACAAGTCCTGGCTGCTTTATCAAGCGTCTTAAGAGAGTAATTGCGAACTTTTGTAAGTTTTTTTTCGTTATTTTGAATGGAGGTCCAAGTGGTGTAGTCTGGAAATCTTGTTTTGCAAGCCTTGACATGGGCTTCGATGGTGTTTTTTCCCCTTTTATTAATTAGCTCGAGCACTACCTTTATGCCAGGTGAAAGCTCTTTCGGTAATTCCAAATTAGACAAATTTGTCATACTAGTGTACTGACGTGGAAGAAATATGAAACTTCGATTCTCCTGGTTCAAATTCAGGTTCTTCACGACGCCTGTCCCAAATGAGGCCAGTAGCGTTTTGGAATCGATGTTGAAATATTGACTTGGCATGTGAGAGATCATCCTGGTCCAGCCTTTTGATTTTCGTAATGGTACAGTTTTCTCTCTCGCGAATCCACGTATAAAACGTATCAGAACTCCAAGTCCGAACAACTTGTAATTGATGTATGCTTAGGTTGTTCGAAGACTTAGGCTTGATTAGGATTACATCCCATATCACCCCATCTGCCTCCCAAACGGAGAGTTCTATTCCAAGTTAGCTTTCGATTTCTACCAGCAGTGGTATTCGATGCTCAGGACTGATGTTCTTACCATATTCACCACAAGGGATGGTGTTATCCAGGATTATTCTCGAAGATAGATCGCTCTCGGGGGGTCTGCATTCACTGCCTAGAATATCGTCCCTAGACTTCTCACCTTCCTGATCGGTTTGCTCATCGTTTTGCTGCCGCGATGGAGTACTCCGCATACTAGAAAGCGTGAATTCATCTTCAGGGACCACCTGATCCTCCTGCATAGATTTAAGAAGCCAATCGATATTGACAATTTTGCATCCCTTCTAGATAGCTCACCTCACTATTCATTGTTGTTTGATTCAATTTTATGTTATAAATTCCAGAACAAAAATCTTACTCTTCTTGGGTGTGACCTTTTTGCGCAACTCTCTTTCGGTTGTTAAGAGATGTGTGCTTCGTTCAAGCTGGCCATTTTTGCAATCCTCGAACTGAGCGCCCATCTTTTTGACTTTCTGTTCAATTACAACTTGAAAGAAATATATCATGAATTTTTCTATGAAATCAATTTTTATTGGGAGCAGAGGTTTTGGTACGGACAATGTGTGTATTTCAACTTCCCATGCACTGGAGGAGTCGTGTCTCGCTATCCACCTGTTTTACTTGGTAAATAGAGATAGATAAGAGTACGATCATTTTATTCAGCCGTCAAGTAGTGGAATAATTTCATTTCTGAGGTGAACCTAGAGAGAGCAGGTTGGGTGGTACTATTACGACGTCAAACATTTCCAGAAACCTTTTATGTGCAAGGAAGGTTTGCGGAACAAGGCGAAAAAATCCACGTAAAACCCATACAAACTCTTACGCTTGCAAGCTTATCGATATCAAGATACATACTGAAGCAATCCGCGTACGTGGATCATATTCAAGTGCGGCTCACGGCTTTCAGATCTTCAACTCCCAAAAGACCATAGCTGCTACCTAACTAAGAGTCTGCCAGGAACTAAATACTTTACCTTGAAAGCAAGAGCCTCCGTGATCGTCCACGGGCGATACCTATTATGTTTACATACAAAACTTGGGGGGGGGGGGGGGTGGGGGTTTTGGATTGACAACATGGTGAATATGTTACAACAAATCATTTAATGTAAGTTCATACTAGAGCTAGATTTCGTAGAGAGCCCCGTATAATGATCATTTGAAGAATCATTCCATGATGACTTTGGTTTCCCCATCAATATCAAAATAGAATCTCGGTCGTCATCACGGTCAGATCTAGGTGCAGCCCGGTGGCGTGACAGCCGTGATAGAGTTCTCATTCCTCCACTCTTCTGAGACCATGAGCTTCCTTCTGTCTCCTCCTTGGTTGACAGTGGATTCTTTCGTAGCATCCACTTATATACTGGTCGTAGGGTTGGCAGTGTGCCGCAAAAAATAACGACAAACAATTCCCCGGAATTCCAAGCGAAGATGTCATAAGAAGACCAGGTCGAGTCTGGCGAGTCTGCAAGTTGAGGGAGATACGAAGTTTTTATGGCGGAGCAGATGGCAGCCCTATTCTAATTAGTACTGCGGTCTCACTCTGGTATTTGTGGAGGTAGAAAGGAAATGCTCGACTTACAATATGTTGAAAGCGAAGACAATTGATAATTGCCATTTTTGCGTCAAAGTCATTTGTAGCTTGAAGAATATGCCGGATGGGATAATTGCAAGAGTTGCATAAACAAAGGTACAAAAGGCTGCTCATGTCAGTAAAGCGTCTATTAAAATGCAAGGTAGGCAGCGTACCTCCATTGAACACGCCATAGTCTGCTATGACTTGATCGCCAATGCAAACGCCCGAGATACTGCTGTCCCAGAGAGCCGCTGGCGGCGAGCATTGAATGATACCGAGAATTGCACATGAGATAGAAATCAGGCCCGCTAGCACGATACAGACACTCCACAAGTAGAGTTTATGCCAGAACCAGTTTGTTGGCCCGAGAATCGACAGCAGAAGGGCGGCGATCGACACCTTCCCAGTTGCAAGACCGATAGTGCCAAATGCCTCAGCAATCCAATTCACCAGTGTAACTCGTGAAACAACTGCGTCACCCAAGAGGACCAAGTCGTCATGGTGTCGTTCCCCCTTATTCAAACAGAGGACGGTGAGGCATACGGTCCATCCATAGAAGCACATCTGCTCTTGTTAGTTGATGCACGCTCTCAAGATCAAATATGCGCGTAGAGGCATTCACCAATGTAATCAACATGAATAAGTCATCATACCCGAACTTGCCCCTCAACTTGCAACTGGCCACTCGCATGAAAACTGTGGCAGTTGAGAGACCAGTCATCACCCATAGCAGTGTTATCAATTGTGGCCCACGGTCAGGTACATGCCCACCGTCTGAGGATGAGTTCGCCATATCATGTAGTGTCGAGAGTGGTCAACATTGGAGAAGGAAGAAGCGCCCTCAATCGCAATCATTATCCAGCAGGGCGATTGCACTTTCAGCTTTTATCGATAAGGTTCACTCCGCACGCACTGTTGCCGTTGAAGTTTTTTGGGGGGCCGGCGTTGTAGCTTCTTTGGGTATTCTTCATGGCGATCGGGGCCAACATGGGGGCCAAAGGATGCGGACCCTGATAAAGGACAAGTTTTTTCATGCAAAGACGCGCCCCCGACCACTAAATGTGACGCTAGTGTCAACAAGCCCTTCCGAGAGTCGCAACACTGAAGAATTGGACGAGATAATTAATGATTTACATTGCTCGTGCAACCCGGGGGCGCTGATGCAAGCGATTTCCAAGGTCGTGGCAATCGAGTTGCGCAAGGAGGTAAATGCCGCTAATCAGGGGGCATGTAAACATCAGAACATACTCTTGTCAATACTGGGTATTCCTATCTGAATATTGGCCACGCGTTTCTCAGACGAGCCTCGGCATTGTATGTACGGCGTATAATAGAGAGCATCTAGAACTGAGCTACATGACTCGAGCATGTCTATATCACATCAATGTCAATTGTTCCCGTGTCAAAACTCTAAGGCGAAACGAAACCCTTTTCCACCGCGCTACGATTCAGCCGAAGCTCGCTGTCTGTGCGTAAGTGATTCAGGAACGAAGTTTTCCGAACATTTGCATGTTCTAAAGATCCATCAATCAATAATTGCTTGCGATCGAGCTCCGGGATTTATTGGAAAATCCGCCTACTTGATCCACTATCACTAGTACGGAGTGGTTTTGGAGAACTATTGTATGTTTAGCCCCTGAGAATGCTGATCCACACTACAAAATCAAACGGAGTGGAGGGACCGAGGAGATCGCAATCCTTCGGGGATACTCTATATTACTTTTTGCGTGCTAATCACTTTAAGTTCAATAAAATAAAAACAAAGGATTGAATCGCGGACGTCATAAAGTTGATCGGAACATTTGAAAGCTACTGAACCATGGTTGGATGATCTTCTTCGCAAGTCTCGGGTATCCCAGACATGGCCTTCGTTGTATCTGGATCGTGGATTCAATTTTACTGCTAAATATAGAATCAACTAGGGAAACCTCGCGACATTGAAGAAAGTTGAGTTAATGAAGATTTTTCAGTAAATTTCATCTGGCAAATTCGAGAAAATACATAGTATTCAATGTTTCCCCTAACTAACCTTCGATTGTTACCCGACTCGCGAACGATTAACCAACCCAAAATATTTGAAACAAAAGAAACCTTGAACTATGAAAAAAATTATACTCATAACGTGGGAAGAAGCAACCCGACCCTTTCGAAAGCCCGTGCGCCCCGATGCTCTAGTTGCTGGTGAAATAATTGTAAGCCAACAGCGGGCCCAGATTGATTTCCTTGGCCCAAGAGTCGAGATCATATCGAATACGAGAGAAGTTGCCTAGAGTTTTTCCATTGGAAGGGGCGTATTTCTTGGTATCGAACCCAGCTGGCTCCTCATATAGGTAAAAGGTATATCGATGAGGCCCACTGCCGGGTGGAGGCGCAGGACCAATATAGTTGGCAACAAATGGGGCACTAAAGTCAAGTTCCCCCGATTCAGAAGCCTTGACACCAGGTTGAATCCAATGAAGGATGGGTCCAAGAACTCCAAAGGAGGGGAAAGGCGCATCGATATCAAGTGCCACTAGGAAATAGGTCTTGTCAGGCGAGAGACCAGCGAAAGAGGCTTTCGGAGGAGACTGGGCATCTTTTCTGACAGTCAGTTATGCAGTAATAATCCACTGGCTTTAATAAATCTGACCTGCGCGAGGGATGTAAAGGCCTGGCTCGATATTTTCGTGGTTTCCGACGGTCAGATTCAGGATCTTGGACTTATCGTTCTTGATGAGCGACAGACCCGCCTTAATGCTCTTCTCAGACGGCATCGTGATGTTTCTTTAAGGTCGTAGAGGTGAGTATAGTGCCAAGGTAAAGAAACAAGATATTGGTTGCTGTGAAATTAAAATTCAGAAGTGCTGGAATTCCCCAGCGCTGCGGCGAAATATGTGTGGCGTGAGGGGTCGGGGATAACGGAGTTTAAGAATGTATCTCCATAAACTTGAACTTGAGAAATAGCACGCCTAACTCACGCAACTGGGGCGCCTTACCATAGTAGCAAAATACAATATCTTCTTCCATTCAACTATGTAAAGATAGCTAGATCGAAAATTAATTGTATTTTTGGATCTTTGCGTCAATCAGCGGTATGGATTGATGAAGTATTGTGCCAAAATAAGCAAGAATATGTGCAGATGAAAGTATACAATTCTGGACGAACAAGTGCTTGATAACAATCTTGTGTAGTATCTCAAAGCCTCATGGCTCACTCTGGGATCAGGTTTCCTACTCGAACTTGCAAGCTAGTATTTCCTTCTTCGGGATACGGCACTGCAAAATCACGAGCAAATGCAATATCCTTCCAAGTCGTGTCATGTAAAGTAAAATCGAATTGACGGATAAGAGTCGCAATCGTGAGGTATAGCTCAGCATAAGCTAGACTAATGAAAGAAAATGACATTAGCGAAGGCTCAGAAATATGAGATTAAATCATACTTCATTCCAAGACAGTTTCGACTCCCCTTGGAGAAGCTGACCAAGTAGCGCTCTAAATGCTCGCCTTTCGCAGCGGCACGCAACCATCTTTCGGGGTCAAATACATGAGGCTCTGAAAATATCTCAGGGTCCATCAGAACGAAATAGTTGTGTTGGCTCATGGATGTCTAGCAGTGTTGGTTAGTACTATTATGATATAAGCGAAAATCGGAAGGTTACTGACCCCCGGTGGAATAATATGATCTCCGTAAATTAGGGTCTCAGTTGGTGCAACACGAGGGGATCGCATGGCTATGCCTGTGGCAAGACGCAAGGTCTCAAGTATAACACTCGACTGAACTCGGGTTAGCAGGCCGCGGAGTGATATTGCATGTCGGGCGACTAAATGTGACGTACCAAATAAGGGAGTTGTCTCAGTTGATCCCATGCAGGGCGAGACTGCGGTGTCGGTATGACAGGTCTGAGCTCTTTCCGTAGCTTGGCTTGAATATTTTTGTTGCTGATGATCTGATAAAAGCCAACTGCAAGAGCTCTGCTGGTGGTTTCTATACCGGCGGAGACGATTGCCATTCCCTCATTTGCAAGACGGTCAACGCCCCGCAAATTCTCAGGAAGGCCCTCATTAAGCACACTTTCCAAAGCAGATCCATCCTTGGTCTGTTTCCCAGAAAGGACATTTACTACCTGAGCGCGAATGTGGGCCTTTTGTTCCATAAGTGCATGCATATGGGGGTTTAACGTTTTTAGCACAGGCAATGGGAAAAGTCCCACGATCGTCTGTATGATCGGGAAGAAAAAGTTGACATGACAAAACCGAGCCAAAGCATTTATTCCATCTCTGACATGCTCATTGAAGTCTGGACTGTCTAGATTTCCGCTGCGATATCCAAGAAAATATCCATAAATGGTGTCGGACGTCAAGCCCGCAAATCCGGCGTCTAGTTTGATAACCCTATCAGACTCATGGGCGCTTTCAATATGACTGCAGAGCTTATCCAAATTATCATAAAGAATTGGCAACATATCCGTAGTAGCTGACTTTGAAAACAGTTTGTTGAGAGGTGCACGGCGTTCGCGATGTAACTCGGCAGAGACAGTAACAAAGCCCGATCCCTCCATATCAAACTGGCTGAAATATGGTCCATCTTTTTCTCTCCTGCGAGAACTTGAAGCATATATCTCTTCGTAGTAATTCGAGTCTTTGATGTGGATTTCTTTCGGTGTTATGCGAATGATCGGCCCTGTGCTCGCTGGTTCAGATTGAGATTCGGGATGATTTAGCAGGCCGCTTACCGTAAATTTCATGTAGTCGTTCAATCTCCCAGATGAATTTCCCTCTTTTGATTACGTTAAAATAAAATTCATATCCGTTAGTAGCTGCTGCTAGCTTTGGTCCGGGGATTTTACTGAGGGCATGGAAATAAAGTCGATAAATAGTCCGAATAAGCAAATAAACCACAAAAGCACCAACATATGAGCTTGCCTGAGCGAGCATGATTCCGGCTACTGCTATAAGCAACTGAAAAGGCTTTTGGAGGTTTGAAGAAGGGGAAAGGAGAGATTCAGGAAAAGGGGCAAGAAAAGAAGAATCAGACTTCACTTATTCGCCACGGACCTCTCTGATAGTCTATCATGCATGAACTGTTCATAAAAAATTTAAGAAAAGAACAAGAAAAAGCAGATCCATGACAAGTTTTCATTGGTGCTCTGTTCGCATATTCAAACATTATTAGCTCGCGGTCTGTTACCGGTGTCATCAGGATCATTTCTCGTAGCGAGAGGCTGCCTTGGTGCCAAATGAGGGCCAGAAGCTCCTCAATATCCACTTAATATCCACAGTATACGGGAGAGTTGCATACGAAGAAACCATTCATGACAAGGATCCTCGGGAAGCGACGCAGCTAATTGCTTTGGGCTGAGGATAAACAACATTTCATTGGCTTATTATGCTACGGACCAATCAGAATACGTGAATAAGAGGGTCAGTCACACTGGTGCAAGAGGGGTCATGCGCGTCGAATGAGAACAATGGCTTTGTTTCGGGCTTTTCCCTTGTGGTGTCACCAGTTCGCACAGTCAATTTTCCCGGTATTTGGTTGGACAGGGGTTAACTTGCTTTTTTTTTTCATGACGTGTGTATGCATGGTTCCATGTTAACATATTCAAGGTTTTTCACTTATCACATGGGATATTATAACTGGAAATAATTAGCAAGCACATGAATTAATATTATAAAATTGAATGAGCAACAAGAATTTAATGAGTTTACTAATTGGATGAGCCCTCCCATGTTGAGCAGATCAAGAATACTCAAAGCTATTGCTGGCCTTATCAAACATCAACATGCTCTGCATGCTCAACCTGGATATGAGCCTTTTCATTCTGCAGAACAACTTCCAAGCGCTGTTCATAATGCAAATCGTAGTTTTGTCGCGCTTTTCTTGCAATGATAGAGACATCTGGACCAAATATCAAGTCCATGTCCTCCATCGCCACCCCCTTGGTTTCGGGAATAAAGAAATAGGCAAAAAGTAGAGCCAGCACAATACAACACGCAAAGAAGAGAAATGTGCCATATCCAATACCCTTAATCATATGCGGTAGCGAGTATACCACGATAAATTGACCAAGCCACTGTACGCATACTGAAATCGCCATCCCGAGAGTGCGTACTCTTGTTGGTAGGGTCTCGGCAGTAAAAAGCCAAGGGATGCCGTTCCATGAGAATCCGTAGAATACAGCATAGATATAAATCATAGCAATTGCTGCATTTGCGCCAGAATCACGAGGAGGTGTCTGGTTGAGACTATTGCTAACCTTGCAGTATATTGCCAGATAGAACATGGCAAAGCCAGCACCGATGGAGCCGACGAGAAGTGCTGGGCGGCGACCTATTCTATCGACAATCACGATCACAAATACAAATGTCGCTCCCATTTTGACCAGGCCATATACTCCAGTGGCAAGTAGTTGAATGGACGTGCCTGAAAAGCCGATCGCCTTGAATATTGTCGGGCTGTAGTAGTTTATGGCATTGATGCTAGAAAATAAATATTAATCGGTGTTTGGTTTCGAAAGTAGATTGGAACCGACTCACCCAGTGAAGTTTTGAAGCATCATCATAGCTATACTGATTCCCAGCCGATTTCGAACACCTTTCTGGCTGAGTTCTCGCAAGAGCTGTGTCCAATGACGCCATCCTTCTCCGGACTCAAGGTCATTTTGAGCGCCTGCCTCCATGACCAAGAGCTCACGTTGTATGTATTCGTGGTCCTCGGGGAGATTTCGAATCCACGACAAAGAACGTAGGGCCTGGCTCCTGCGCGACTTCGATACCAACCAACGAGGCGACTCAGGAATAAAGCCAAGAGACAATAAGAGCATACCCACGGGAATAAACTGAACGGCAACAGGAATATGCCACTGGGTGTCGCTGTCAGGAGAGATATTCTTGTTGACGCCATAATTGACCCAAAACCCAAAAACGAGCGCAATCTGCAGCATCACTTCGAATATACCGACCAGGCTTCCACGGATTTTGGCTGGAGAACATTCCGATATGTATATCGGTAGAATCATAGCAGATCCACCAACACCGAGACCAGTAAGAACGCGCCCACCGTAGAGCAGGCCAATCTTCCCAATCAGCTGGAGGACTACGCCGATGGCAAATACCACACCGGCAACAGCAAGAGTAGTCTTTCTTCCGAATCTCTCTGCTAAGAAGAATCCAAATAGGGAGCCAAAGAATGCACCACCCTGGAATGTAGAGACGATGTTCGAAGAAAGATTGGTTTCATCTGCCGAATTAAGCCCGTAGGCACGTATGAATGAAGGCAGGCTTAGCGTTGTTCCGATGAATGCGGAGTCATAGCCATACATTGCTGAGGCCTATAATTTATTGTCAATGAAATAGATTTTGATTTTGAAAAAGTGAAAAATCAAAGTAGAAGCAAGAACTCACCCACGCAGCAGAGAAAGAAAGGAGATATGGACGGTATCCATAAATCTCAGCAGGTTCGTCTGAGGCCCGGTTGGGACTGAGATTTGTGAGTCTCATACTGGACCAAATTAATGGTTGTCGTAAAAAGGCTTGTTGCCCTGGGTACAGATTTGATAAAGAAAGAACTGGGGAAGAGAAAGAACGCAATTGAGTTACCCCATGGCCTTATTTATGGGACTCGCATCCGGTAACCGGTTCCCCGCATTGCCCAGTCTTTAAATCAAAGGGGGGGATCACTAATCGAGCAATTTACGACAGGATCTGACAGCCTTACAGGTCAAAGGCATAACCGGAAGAAAGATGGAGCAAAAAGGGCCTGTGCGCAGTTTAGTTTCCCCAGTTCCCCGGATTTCGGCCCCCAAATATCCCAATAGATACTGGAGCCTCTCCCCGCGCGGGGCTAGGATAAACGCTTTGCCCCCACTAAACTGTACTTGAAAAGCTCAAACCCCCTGCAGGATCCAAAAAACAGAGTCAAGCGGATACAAATATTCTCACCACCACATTACAATTCATCCAGACGCGATGCTTCCAAAGAATTGGCCCTCATTCGACGCGTTGCCGCTCGACAAAAGCGGACCCCCTGGAAATGCCTGGGGTCTTTTTGGAGCGGACGATCAGTTAGGCATGCTTAATCTATTAACTCCAGATGTTGTCGCAGCTGCAGCCACGGAGATAAAGCAGGGGATTCGAATTTCGCTGGATTATCCACTCGACAAACCATCTTTTCCAACTAATGACCGCAAGATATTTCAGCACCGAATTGTCCATCATCCATCTGTTCCTATGAATGACGATGAAGTACACCTGAATACGCAGAGTAGCACACAATGGGATGGATTCCGGCATTTCGGTGAGTTTCCTTTCTTGCTATCTTTGCTATGTGTTAGGAAACCTAACAGTTGATAAAAACAGCATATCGACATGCGCAAAAGTTCTATAACGGACACCAACAGAAGGATTTTGAAGACAAGGAGGTTCTAGGAATAGACCGTGAGAAGAACATCGCCTCCCATTTTATTTAAAAATAGTAGCTGAATATTTCACAGAGTGGACTCAAAAAGGAGGCATCATTGGCCGCGGTGTCCTAATCGACTACGCCGACTGGGCTGAACGCAAGGGGGAAAACCTCAAACCCCTCCAGTCCGGAGCCGTCACGATCGAGGAAATTAAAGGGATAGTCGCAGAGCAAAATATCGAGATTCGACCCGGCGATATCCTGTTCATTCGGGTTGGTTTCACAGCAGCATACAACGCCTTGTCAGCATCACAGCAACAGGAATATCCGGATCGACAGCCGGGGGGTCTGTTAGGCCTAGAAGCAACACAAGAGTCTTTGCGTTGGCTTTGGGAATCACGTTTCGCTGCTGTTGCAAGCGATTCACCAAGTTTCGAGCGTGGTCCTGTGAATGGGCCTTTCAATCATCCTGATGTATCTGTCCATCAGTGGGCATTAGCGGGTTGGGGGCTCCCATTGGGCGAAATGTTTGACCTAGAAGAGCTGGCTAGCACAGCCAAGAGCTTGGGAAGATATTCTTTCTTCTTGACCAGTGTCCCTATCAAGGTATGTGATAGATATTCTGTAACGTTTTCTAGTAAGAACTATTTTTGACTTTATGAACAGGTCCCTGGAGGAGTTGCAAGTCCCCCGAATGCGGTTGCGATATTTTAAACGAATTACCAATAGAATATCAGGCGAAGTATAGAGTCACTACAAGTAAGCTACAAAACATCACACAAAGCTTGAATCCCAAAGCGAAAATAATTACGGAGAAAAGTTTGTCCAATTGAGTAAAAGCTTGAGAGGCTCTATGTATAGACACAGCAGAGAGTTGACTCTCGATGTGAGCTCTGAATATCAAATGTGGAACAAGGAAAACAAACGAGTAAATGCAGACCACGCTAAAATGCAACAAATGAATCTGGCCACAGAACCCACTATTGATGACATACAAGTGTCGAGAATGGTGCAGAGAAGGTGAAAATGTTAGAGTAATGAGAATCCGAAGATAGAGACGCGCGAAAAGAACCAGGGTATCAAGTGTAGTCAAACTCCAAAACAACCAGTCGCCAGGACAAAATATGGGCCAAAGTGCAAAGAAAAAAAAATCATGAGCGACATAGATGGAAACATAAGAAGTAGCTTAGTAGCTTAGTAAGAGCTCTGGATGTGGGCTCTTAGGCAGCTTGAGCATTAAGAGCATAGATATTGACCAAGTCGTGGGTCTCGTCTTCAGAAATTGACTTGTTGCGATCAAATTCATCAGACTTTGGCTCGATTGGGTTCTTAGTAGCTGCTTCTAAAGCTTCAAACTTGAGGCTTTCTGTTTCCGGGCTAGGTTCGAATTTTTCTTCGGCGACGGGCTCAGCCTTTTCTTCGGAGTTTTGAGACACTGGATCCAATTCTGGCCTGTCGAGCTTCTCGATATCCATGGAATCAAGGTTTTCGGCTAAGAGATTAAAGTCATCCGCCAAGGCCTCGAACGAATTGCCGCAATTTGTTTGGTCCTTCTGTTGCTCCTCTGTGTGGTCTTCGCCCTGGTCCTGGTCTTCCTCGTGTTCTTCGAAATCGCCATTGACGGAGTGGAATTCCTCATCTTTCTCGGTGGGCAATTCGACATCAGACTCGGCGAGGTCTTCATCATCGAAATCGTCCTCGTCAACGACGGCAGGTAGAACAGTGTTTGTCTGAAGCTTCTTCACATTCGAAGGCAAAGAGTCGGTAGTTGACTCAGTGAAGTCGACTGAGTCACCGGCTGCTTCTGTTGGCTCAGTACTGCGGCTAGAGTGCGAAAGCGCAGTAGGAGAGGTGGATTCACGACTTGATCCCGAGCCCCATGTGTGATGAGGGTGGCGAGGGGGCAAAGCAGGGGGAGTTTGAGCTGGCCGTTTGGGGATAGTAACAAGGCGAGCCCGGGTAAAGTTAGGGGATGAGCGTGAAGAGGAGTCCGCGGTAGAGGGGCGTTCCTCGACTGGAGATTCGGCACGACGCTCCTGCTTAGCCATCGTCGCATTGCTAACTTCGTGAACTTCGAAATCCTCCTCATAATCACCTGGTTGTTCTTCTCTCTCATTCTCCATCTCAGCACGCTCAATAACTCTCTTCGCATCTTCAAAGTCCTTATCCTCTTCCTTTTGCGGTTTCATCTTTCTCTCGCCACCATCAGTCGTCACTGTGTCCCAGTTGGCTTTAGCCCATGAGTTTGCGGCCGAAACATCTGTTGATTCCTTCGCACTCCGCGAAGACGCTCGGCTTACTGATGTAGGGGTGGTTAGCGGGAGGTCGTCTGTCTGAGTGCCGCGATTCACGCTAGCGTAGCTTTGCAGGCTACCTCGCCAACTATTTCTCGGCGAGCTGTCAAGACTGCGCCGTGAAAATGTGGCATACACCGGACTACCCGGGTTGGGCCGGAATTCAAAGGTTTCGGGGCTCGGCCTCACCTTCGTGCCAGCCTCGCGTATGAACATGCCCTCGGCCTCTAATGCTTTCACTCCGTACGGGTCCGGGTCCTCGGCCGCTGGGACGCCGAAGGGGTGGCCTTCTTCTCCAAGATCGATGTCGCCGGGGGTTTCACCGGGTGGTGGGATCATGGTTTCGTCGACATCTCTATCTCCCTGTGCTGATTTGATGGTTTGCAGAAGCGTGCTGATCGATTCTGGTGGGTGGCGTGCTTTGCCATTCAAGATGTCGGTGACGGAGATGCGCTCGCCGTAAAATCGTTCGTTCTCGTCTGTACGCTCGATAATAATGGTACCGTCGACTGCAACGCCGGCGTAGAGACCCTTGCTTTTCATGTATGTCCATATTGGGGCCTGGCGTTTATGTACCTCGGATTCCAGTACGCCGCCCATGCCAACAGGGCCAGCGGCGACACTGACTTCTCCACCGAGAGTGCAGCGCAGTTTCTTGAAAGCTTCCAGCGCTTCATATGTATTTATAATCACAACACAGTCGTATATGTCGACACCAGCCAGGAAACCAATACCAGCGGTGTGAAGCATGATACCAGATGGTGGACTCCATTCACCAGTCTCGGGAACTCGACCAAGCAAGACTCCACTGCCTCCGGAACCACTGACCCAAAGGCCAGTTCGCATGGTGGTGAATATAGCGATACCCTTGGCGTTCTGGATAACTTTAGAAGGAATCTTTTGAATAACCTTCTGCTTGCCCTTGGGGCGATTGATCTTGCCATTCTCGTCTGTTCCAACTTCGGATTCAGGCGCATAGAAGCCGTCTTTGCAGAAGCTTCGGAGGATACGTGCAGCCTTATCGCTTTCTTTATCAATGGACATAGGCCAAAAAGCCTCAGCACCTAGCTTGTTGGAGAGGCGATTGACGGGCGCACCGAGTTTATCGACGGTGGCCCATGTTTTGTCGAAGCCCTTCTTAGAGAAGCGCTTAGTCTTTTCCCAAGTCGACTCGGACATGATTGCTGAGCGCTGACCAACGCAATTCAAGGCGACAAGAGATTGTTTTATTTAGAAGATCACCAAAGGGTTTAAACGGCGCCAAAAAAGTGCAAGTGCGCACTGTCAAGCGAGCGCGAAATCTATAGGCGGAATATTATCTGAAACGCGGCAGTTGCGCTGCAAACGGGACCCATGAGATTGTGGTATGCTTCTTCCAGCGATCTGGAATGCAGAACGATCGGCTCAAGGGGATATATGAAGGAATCCGGTGCGATCTGCAGAATCGCCACTAAAGAATGCGTGCGGGGAGGAATGTCAGGCGGATGAAATGTCACGGACGTTTTGTGCACCGGACACACACGAACGGTTTGAAAATTTCTGTAGAAACTTCTACACTTCAAGTTAATAAATCTATTGTTTTATATTATAACACAGCAGTTGCAAAGGGCATCTGGGGAATTTGTTGCACAGTGCTGAATAGCAAGTTACCCGACGGGTTGGGATGATCCTAGTGGCGATCGGACAGCCGAACTGGAATGTATGCCCAAAACATCAAAGGGAAGGTTGACAAAAACAGTGATAAACCGTGGATCTTGAGGATCGGGGAATCTACTATACCTTTTCTAGGATTATCAGGTCGTGAGTGTTTGAGGGTTGTGGTATGGGTGTATCTCAGGCAAATGAAAGTAGAGAGGAATAGATGGGGCGCCGCAGCGCAGGCACCAGGGTCCCGGATAGATTTAAATCATTTCCAATTTTTCCCCATGAAATACTTTCTACCTGTGAAAAGCAAAAAAAAAGAAAGAAAAAAGCAGGATCCAAACTTCGGGTCAGACGGAACGACATGGCCGAGTGGCGCCCGTGGCTAAAGCTGGCCAGAATCACGAGTAAAAAGTCGATGGGAACGCGCGGAGAGACGTCATCGACTCGGGATCTGGGTCTATTGGGGTTTCTTTAGCTGTACGACAGATGGATTAACTTAAGTTGAACTATTGGATTCTATTATTGCATTGTTTGTTGCATTGTTTCCAGCGTGTGATATCAAAATCTCCGTGCCTATACATCACTTCAATAGTTCCCGTCTTGTCAACCTCAGCTGCACCTTTGGTGTTAATATCGAGATGTCTACGATAGATCACAATGCCCCACTAGGACCCGAGATGCACGGCCACTATGACTAGAGGCAAATGTAATTTACTCCCCACTATCGCTGTCAATGCTTTACCTGTACAATATTCAACGTGCTGTATTTTGCAATATGAGGACTCCAGCTTCCATAGTGGAAGATCATCGCAGCCCGTGGACGGTCGCATGTATGTAGTATGACCACCCTCAGGCTCATATTTGAACATTTAACCTTTACAAGGTACATCGGCTTGTCTTAAACTTATCTTACTTTAACTTGGACCACCAATTGAACAGGGTTCTGGAAGCTCACCTTACGTCGAAACTACTATATCCCGGTCCATCCGGCGATTTATTTTTATGACACCAAGACGCAACCCGCCAATTGCAGCATTGTTATCATAAATATTCCGATATCAAAAGCAAATACACTGATCAGATTCCAATATATAGTCTTTAGATGCTAAAAAATATGTACTCACGTGTAACAATGTGTTGTCACGCCCATTGTATGTATTCGCCTTGGTGGCCGTAAGCACGCCGCCATTCCCCACTCTCGCCCCACTTCGAACCCTTCGATAATCAAATCTTTCCAAATATCACAGCGTTCGAGACCGGTTTCGACCTAGGGACAGGGACAATTCATTGTGGGAGGGCGAATCCAATCGCCCTATCCGCCCATGGTAGATCTTGTAATTTATCCTGTTATTGCTTTTAATTCGACTCCCGATATCGACAGTGCATGGTCTTTACTTTTGACTATTAAACCGAAACACGATGTGCTTACAGATTGCCCGGCATAGCCTCGGTGACTAATCTGCTTCCTCTTGCATAATCTATTGCCTCTTCTCTTCACGGTTGCCGTTTAGAGATTAGTAGAGTGCATATCTAATGACGTTAGTTCTTATGCATCCACCCAGCCACCTGCTGGCCAATTCCATTGGAGGGCCAAAAAATCACGCCGATCTAGTGAGGATCATTGATCGACGGGTATGCCTGCAGGATTATGGGGCGAAGTGGGGAGTATCTTGAGACAGAATTTCACTGATAATATGCTTAGTGATGCCAAAAATTATGTGACCCAGTCATAATGAGGCGAGAATAAAATCAATATTGGAGTTCAGATCATGCTGGGTCTTTAACATGAATACATTTCTGCCCGAATAAGATCAATTTCCATCATAGACCTCGTGTCTGTACGCCTTCCCCGTATGATCATCTCTCAGATGCTTCTGCCCCGGTCCATAAACTCTTTCACGCATGGTTCCACTTTCTTTCTCAGGTGCGTATACGCCCCTTTTCCGTAACTCAGGAACCAAAAGCTCCACTACATCCTCGAATGTCCCCGGAGTCTGCACATACCCGATGTTGAACCCATCCAAGTCCGCGACACGGACCCATTCCTCCAAGAAGTCGGCCACAAAGCTTGCTGTTCCCACAGGAACTGGACCAGCACCGCCAATAGAGATGTGCTTTCCAATATTCCTTGGCGTCCACTCTGGAACATCCGGACTTTGATACGAAAGCGTGTTAATTGTCGAGTGTACACGAGCATCGACGTGGACATCAGATGGCTTGATAGGTGTGTCAAGGTCAAAGCGACTGAGATCGATACCACTTCCACCAGAAAAGAAGGCTAGCCCGGCTTCTTCACTTGCGTTCGCCAGTGCCTCACGGTATTTAGCCTGTGCCTCTTCCTCGGTTCGCCCGATGATAGGGGTGAGAATAGCAAATACTTTGATTGATTTAGGATCACGACCGAGCTTGGCTGCCTCTTCGCGTAGGGCCTTAATCCGCGGCGCCAGGATATGAGGTGATGGGGCGGACACAAATACACCCTCCGCATGTTTCGCCCCGAAGGCTGTGCCAGCTGGTGATGTACCAGCTTGAAACAAGAAGGGCGTACGTTGTGGCGATGGGTCCAGAATATGAGGACCATCAACATGGAAATGCTCACCATGATGGTGAACGTATTTGATCTTATTGGGGTCTGAGTAGATGCCTGTTTTGGGATCTTCTTGCAATGCATCATCGGCCCAGCTACCTTCCCAAAGTCTGAAAATCCGGTCATCGTCAGTACTTTACCCCTTGATCGAGGTCAAGTGAAAAGAAAAGAATATACTTACTTGTAGAGTACTGTTAAGTATTCATCAGCGATCTCGTACCGTTTGTCATGATCTATCAGAGGCAATCCAACCTACAAGTGTTAATGGGAGATAATATTTTTTCGCTGAGTTTCTGCTTACAGCTTTTGACGCAGATGCTTTCCAAGAAGTGACAATGTTCCATCCAAAACGGCCACCTGTGAGATGATCTAATGTCGAAAACCTCTTCGCGACGACATAGGGAGATTCGTAAGACGTGGATGTTGTGATAGCGAACCCGAGATTCTTGGTAACTGACGCCATGGCGGATATCGGCTAACAATCGAGTGTGTTAGTAAGATTCAATATGTGTGATTATAATATTAATTGGCGCATTTAACTCACTATTGCTGGGTCACCCATAGGATATTGAGCTGCATTACGAATAGCAGGCTCAGCACTCCCCTTATATGTGTCATAGAGACCAAATGTATCCGCAAGAAACAATGCATTGAAATCGCCCTTTTCCAGTATTTGAGCTAAGTTTGTCCAGTATGAGAGATCGCGACGCTTTGTAGCTGATCGATCGGAGGGATTCTTCCATTGACCGAAGGATAGATGGCCCACGGTGAACATATCAAAGCCATTAAGATATATCCGTCGCTTAGATGGAACTTCTTCTGATACCATTTTGAATCTCTATTGAATCGTTCAAATGATATAGCAGGTTGCAGTGAAAAGTTACAATGCGATTTTTGAAGTAATGCGAGAATTGGAGGGTTAAGATGCAAAAATTCACCTTGATCACCTGGGCACCTTTATCACCGTGCGTAACAGTATTTATCTCCTACGAGCGGAGTAACCCCGCTTAAATTTTTATTGCTGTCATCGGCAGTTAAAAGCACGTAAAATGATCTAGACTATTTGGGGAACTTGTATACTGTATTGAGATAGCTTGGATGACATCTCGTGAGGGGGACAACCTCTCAGTCGGAAACAAGCCGAGATAATGCTCCGCATAGCAAAATCACGTCATATGTATCCTACGCGACACAGATTCAAACGTATGTACACTATCTTAAAAGGATTCAGTGGTGTCAAGATTTATACAAATGGCGTAACTTGCACTATCGGACATAGCTCACTGGAGCTAGATGTGAAATGATACCATATGCTGTATTATTATGTAGCTTAACTAAATCCTGGATTTAAATAAATATTTATATAGGGAAAAGTATATAGACCCTAGTTTGTCAATAATAAAAGCTAATCATCTCGTTAAGTCTCACAGTCATTTCCAATTCATCAAATGGCCGGGTTTCTTTCACGCGTGGCAGCCGCAACACGATGGTTCCCAGCCGGGATGTCCCAGGAGGAGCGAAAGCTTGTTAGAAAATTAGACATGCTTGTTCTGCCTTATGCTTGTTTATCTTTCTTTGTCAAATATCTTGATGTCTCTGCTTTAAGTAAGTCCATATATGCAATATGCAATATATGACGAAACAAATCTAATCAATGCAGCGAATGCCTATGTATCTGGGATGAAAGATGATCTGAATCTATACGGAGATAGACTGAACTATATCAATGCGGCATGTGGGTCAATTTCTATTTCCTCTTGTCTTTAGGTTCGGTTTCTGATTCATTCAAAAACAGATGAGGTTGGATATGTCGTCTTTCAAATTCCGAGCAACCTGATCTTGATCAAGTATCCGTAAGTGACACTGCTAAAGAAAACATTTAACATTTGGAGACAAGTACTAATTTATTCAATCTTCCAATAGAGCTCAATACTATCTTCCTTTTGCGGAATTATTTTGGGGCTTTTTTACTCTCGGGACCGCCTTTGTGAAGACATATGAGCAGCTGGTCGTCATGCGATTTTTTGTTGGGCTCAGTGCAACCTCATGTTACGTGGGCCTGGTTCATATTGTCAACTCGTGTGTATCTCTCTTCGCTGTGACTTGTTTCTCTCTAACGTCCAAATAGATGGTACAGGAAACCAGAACTGGGACGCCGAAACGCCCTTTTCTGGATTGCTAATCCCCTTGGACAAATGATTGCCGGTTATCTTCAAGCAGCAGCCTACACAAATCTCAACAATCATCACGGACTGCAAGGATGGAGGTAAGAAAAATTAAGATCAATGAGGCTGGTAGTTCAATTATGTTAACTTAATTCCGTGCGATTATAGATGGCTTTTTATAATTTGCACAATTATCACTATCCCAGTTGCATTCCTGTGAGTTTTATTCATAATTTTCTTCGGGCTTCTTGCACAATTCAGTTGACAAGTGTATGCTAGTGGCTTTTTTGTTTTCCCTGATATGCCTGAACGCACGAAATCTCGTTTCCTTTCCGAGGAAGAAAAGACATTGGCTCGAAAACGACTCTCAGAGGAAGGGTTCACTCCATCAACCGGGTTGAGCAAGACGATATTCAAACGTGTTTTGGGCTCATGGCACGCATATGCATTTGTCCTGGTCCTAGTCATCTTCTGTCAACAAACTTACCCTCAGAGCAACCCTTTTATTCTTTGGCTCGACTCTCAACCTGATAAGTACGGCGTGGCATTGGTTAATAATATTTCCACGGTGACTCATGCCGCCTCTACAGTGGGCGCACTTGTAATGTGTTTCTACTCTGATATTCGTGGATCGCGTATCGAGCCTATCATATTTTCTGGAATTCTGTGCATCTTCTCGAATTTGGTCCTTACAATTTGGAAGATTCCGGATGGTCTCAAGTTTTTCGCTTATATTTCAATCGGATGGGCATACGGTACAATTCCTGTCCTTATTGCCTGGACGGCAGAAGGAATAGCAACAGACTCAGAAGTGAGAGCAATTGTGTTTGCTACTTATAATACTTTATCGGAGATATGTGGTTTGGTGGTACCCTTGGTCGCGTGGCCGACCTCTAAAGCACCTCAATTCCGTGGAGGTTTTATATGGGTATGTAGTATATTATTCCACAGTGGCCCCGAGGGTTATTAACAATTCCATACGCTAACTCCCTCTTTCTTTTAAGGCAACTGTTCTTAGCTTCCTTTATCTTTTGAATGTTGCTTGGATCTTGGTTAAACAGCGAATTGGTGCCAAGGGGTCACAAGCCGCCGAAGAACGTCCCATTGAAGAAGCAGAAGAAACAGATTCCAACGGCGGGAGGGAAGATCTGGTAGTTTACCATCAACAGGCTTCCAAGGCTTGAATTGGGGCGAACTTATATTAGTAGGTCAACTGAGCTGGTAAAGGGGAAGAGGAATTGGTGCTCTAATTTTTGCTATAATACAAACCAGATAGGTCTTAGATTGTGCACCGGTCCTTCATTCCTTATAATTTTCCAACTATTACCAGTTCGAAATCAGTGTGACATACTGCCTGTCTTTAATTCTGGTATCATAATAAACATACTGGTTTCCTGTATCTATTTATTTTGCTTGTCCGTTCTTTTTCTCTTTTTCTTTAAGGGCCTATGTACTACGTAGGGATAAGAAGCACGTCAACTTAAATCGTATCTTCCCTGCCCGCACACCTCGCAATGACAAATATACGCGCGTTCCTAACAGTGTATATTATTGCCAGACAAAGAAAGTCATAGCTAGCCCCGCATTGACAGGCGTTTTGGAAGTCGGCATTTAGCCGGCTTAGCATGAACTTGAAGACGACGGCGGACAAAAATATTGCGCAATTGCTGAGGTTGACACAACAACGTGCGTTGGGATAACTTGAAAAATCAAATCCCCTGGACAAATACAAATCCAAAATCCTCTGGATTGTTTTTCAAGGGCTCAGCGTTACACTGTGGGATTTGAGATCAGAGGATGACGACAAATCATTCAAAGTCTCAATACGAGACGACGACAGAAACGGACGGAGAAGATGAACCTCACAATATTATCAACGATGCTCTCAAAGTTCCCGGTCAGTTTGCCGATGAAAGCTTTAAACTCTTCTCCAAAATTGAAGTATCAGATCCGACACCAGAGGAGGCGATGAGAATATGGAATAAATGCCTATGGCGAGTTCTGCCCTTTTTGTATATTGGGTATCATCTCATGTATGTTTATAAAAAACAGAGCGTTATACTTGAACTCTTGAAGCAAACATCAGAGACATATAGTAATTATAAAATAGTTAGGAAGCTCTGCTATCCTAGGTATCATGGAAGATGCACATTTGAACTCAAACCCGTATAATCGTATAATTGGCTATCGTCGATCTTTTACTTCGGATATCTCCTTACAGAGTGGCCCTACAAACCGATATGGATCATTTTACTTGTTGTAAGTCAGGTTCATGCATAAAATTTGAAAAAGGCATACTCACTCGATTACAAGATGGCTGCTATACTCCCTTCCATCGTCATTATTGCTTTAAGAGTTCATCTTAGCCGAGAAAATAAACGCCGAGATCAATTGGAAGCTATCAATCATGTCACGAGTAGTGGTAATGTCGAGACCATTGATTTAGATGGTTCTAAGGCTGCGCGAGTTGTGGATCACAGCCAGATGGACTTGACAGACAAAGGGAACCTGACTTTGTAAGCGATGAAGTCCTTATGGATGCAATGGAAGTCCTTGTTGATGCTGACATTTAATAGCCGTTACGTGCTTTAGAACCATTATAGCACTGCATTGCGTATCATCATCGAAGATCAAAAGATGAATTCAATGACCACAAACCTTGCAATAGTTTGCTGCATGGTATTATAAATGGGCTTCTACATAGATTCCCGGAGTGAAATTTTATGGTCCGCGGGAAAGGAATGAAATAATTTCGATCATGCTTAGCTATAGAGCCGCAAAATTCAGAGCTTAGTGCCCCTTGATGGTACCTCTTGTTTGCCACGCAACAATTTATGAAGTAAGAAGGTCAAGGGCTAGTACCTTCAACTTTTGAAAACCAAAAGACACCCTCCTCGACACTTACCTAAGATATTTGGTTTGATTGTAGAAAATTTACCATATGCGCAAAGCTATCGCCAGCACTTTTATGAGCGGCAATCGCACGTCCAGCGCCTGCGGCAATATATTTCTGACTACCCGGTGATGCATTAGGGTAGGAGGTAGACAAAAACAACGCAGCTTGATTCTGTGGATGTGTACAATTTCCGCCACAAGCATCAAGATCGTTCGCGCCTAGCACAACATCCACAGGACCAGCGAACGAGGATGCCGACCCCAAAAGTCCACCAAGCGTAAGTTGAACACCGATAGTATAAGTTGACTTGTGAGCAACCTGGCGACTAAATGCCGCGGTATCATAATTAGGCCAGCGGTAGAAAGCAAATTGAATGCCGACCTCGGTCTGTGATGTTAAATATCCGGTTGGCAAGTCTTTGAATTGTCCCGAGATTTGAGAGTTTGCATTGACCATGTTGAGAGATGCTTGTGTGATAGCGAGATAGTAGCTGTTTGGTACCGACCCGGTAAGGATTGCGGCATCCCAGTCATTCGGATATTGGATACTAACGGCCTGTGTCAATGTACTTCCTGCACTGTGGCCTACCCCAACGACATTCTGGAAGTGGTAACCGCCAACTTTGGCATTCCGTAGTTGCTGTACGAGGGCATGTGTTACAGCAACCTGACTGGCAGCCTGCACTACCTGAATGGGATCTGGATGATCGGAATTGCCGACTCCCAGCTGGTCGTATGATAGGGTCGCGTAACCAGCTTCGGTAGCTGCATCGATGTAGCTGTAGCCGGGACTTATGTCCCAGTAGGTGTTATCAAGAGTGACACCGTGTGTAAGTACTTGGACAGTCTTGATATTGGTGATTTTTGCTGCTGTATCCGGGAGGCAGAGTCTGGCATAGATGGAGTAATTGCCCCGGATTAGCTGCGTACCGCTTGGAACCGTATGCGTTAAGGAATTAGTGATCTGAAGTATATCCACCATAGATTCGGTCCATGCTTCATTTGTAGTTGGGAGTGTATAATTCAACTTAGTCCCATTTACAGAGACGGGCACGTTGATATAACCCGCCACGCAAATTGACCTATTGCCCGTGGATCTGCTGATGATCACATCTCTAAATTCCGTTATGGAGATATTAAGTGCGGAGCATATAGGAATGCATGCCACAATCGCAGTCACTATGAGACAAGATATGAATTTCATGTTGAAAATATGCGAGGAGGAAACACCAGTCTGCAGAGAGATGCAACTTAGACGTGACTGAGCTGGAATAGAGATATCAGCGCAATATAAATGACAGAAAAATCGAACTTGAGTTTTAGAGTTAGTTACGGTGGCACATCATATAGAACTTTCTGTGCCTTTTGTGTTTCCAACTTTTACAAACGGGCTCTTACGAAGGAGCTAGTCCCACGAATTTCCCCGCGCGGTGTCGAAGCTTGAAGCTTCGGAATGGTGAATGGTTGCGATGAAATCAAATTCTCTAGATATTAGAGCCAGCTCATCGCTTCTAAGACTGAAATTTTTGGCAAAATCCAAGTCTAGCCGGACAACATATCGATGGTATAGAAACACAGTACAAATTTAGAGCTAGCCACCCCAAGGCATACCCATGGAACACGTTTAGAGCGCACCCAGCTCCTTCAGCTTGGAAACAAGCCCGTCGACGTCCTCGACCTTGCCGCCACCCTTGCGTGGAGGGGGCTCTGCAAAAAAGAATGATATTAGCAACCCAATCCAACCTGAAAACAACCCCAAACAGAACACGACATACCGGTAACCTTAACAGTCTTTAACCGCCGACTATCCTCAACTCCGAAATCGGCGAGCGTCTTCTTCTCCAGCGGCTTCTTCTTAGCCTTCATAATGTTAGGCAAGCTAGCGTACCGAGGCTCATTCAACCGCAGATCAGTAGTAATGATCATAGGCAGCTTCGCGCGCAGAGTCTCCACACCACCGTCAACCTCATGCGTCACCTCAATAGTGCCGCTCTCATCCTTGATCTCGACCTTGCTGGCCTGGTTCGCCTGCGGCCAGCCCAACAGTCCCGCGAGCATCTGACCAGTCTGGCCCTGGTCACCGTCGATCGCCTGTTTGCCCAGCAGCACAAGGTTGATGTTCTCCTTCTCGACGACACCGCGCAGCATCTTGGCGATTGTTAGGGGCTCGGGGCCACCTTCAGCGCTTTCGGGGACGTCGATGTGGAATGCGCGATCGGCGCCCATGGCCATTGCTGTGCGGAGGACATCGGGGGTCTTAGGGCCACCGGCTGAGAGGGCGAGAATGTTCTCGACCTTCAGAGGGCCTTTGCGCTCACGGAGGCGGACAGCTTCTTCGATTGAAAGCTCGTCGAATGGGTTTAGAGAGTGCTTGACGCCGGCGGTTTCGACACCCGTCTGGGCTTTGTTGATGCGGGGCTTGATCTAGAATAGTTTAAGAGGTCTATGTTAGCTGTGGTGATTCTTTCTTTGCATTGTGGTTCATTTTTTGTGGTGGGAGTTTGGTTGCAGGGTAGATTTGGGATTGTATGCATGTGCATGTGCTTGTAGTCTCGTGTCGATTCCGAGTACTGAGCACTGGGTTTTGCTAGGGAGGGATACTAACGGCATAGTCGATCACCCGCTTGACGGGGACTAATATCCGTAATCCGCTAGCCATTTTGAAATTGCTCAGGTGTGTATTGAGCAACAAGCGAGAAACCAATGCCGGAGAGAAGGTTGAGGGGGAAGGTTGTAAGATGGGAGAAAGGACTGCGGTGACGGAGTGCCAAGACTCTCGAAATCGCCGACGCGGACCGAGTGTAGCCCTGATCGACTGATGCTCGATCCCAGCCGAGGTTACGCATACAGCCTACAAAACACTATTTTCGGGCTGGAATTCCGAGATAATCTCAATATGTCGAGTACCCGACCGACTTATATCATATCAAATTAGTGGAAATTCATAGCCAATTAGGAATTGGCACTAAAGGGCCTCTGCGGCCAAATTATCATATCGCCGATACTTTCAGCCGCCCGCCCGGAATAGCACATGTTGGTCTCGTAAAGAATTAAGTATACAAGTTCTATACAATCAGGCTTTGAAACCTAAATGTGTACCACTTATATTGGTAGTATTCTTCATATACTTCATTATATGATTCTGAAAGTTTTTTTGACTTTCCTCTATGCAGCTTTTAACAAGAAATCCCATCAATCACCAAGTTTCTTGCTTGTATCGACCACTCTTTTCCATAGCGATCAAATACTCCTCGGCTTGTGATCTAGTATATGGTCGACCATTGACAGGTGCACCACCATTTTGAAACGACTCAATCAAAGCTTCCCTAACAGCCTGAGGCATACGTCCTGATGAGCCACAAATGTACACAGAGCCCTGTAGATCATGCAAAAGTCGGAAAAACAGCTGGAAGTTCTGATGGATCGTATCCTGTACATAGACCTTCTGCTGTTGATCACGCGAGAAAGCGGTAAGCACCTGCAATGGAATGAGCTGACCCAGTTGATCCCATTCCTCTGAGAAGTAAAAATCAGAGTTTCGATTTCGGCCACCATATAGTAGCACTGTGGGTCCAATTGGAGGTTCAATGCCAGGATTTTGTTCGCGGTATGCTTGGACTAGCGCCGCCTTCTCCCATAACATTGACCGAAGAGGCGCGATACCTGTCCCAGGTCCAATAAGAATGGTAGATCCAGTCAATTGTTGGATAGAGGAGTTGAGTCCACCTGGTTGAAGCTGGACCCGAAGTGTGCTACCTGGTCGGAGGCTAGAGAGATACTTGGTGCAAACTCCTTCGCGGATTCGTTTTATGACAGTTTGATACTTGACTATAGCGATCAGAAGTTCAAACTGCGTTCTTCCGTCTGCTGTTTTCTTCCGCGCGCCGCCACTTGCGATGCTGAATTGGCGGGCCCGCATTACTGGAAGAACCGAGACGGCGTGCTGCCAAGGAACCTGCACGGTGTCAAATTCATGCAACACCTCTAAAATACTCCGTCGCGGTCGCGAGGTATAATCCCATAGCTCATCAAGGTACTCTGGGTTCGTAAATTCCAGAAGGCGTTCCTTTTGCAACTCATCATTCGTATAATGCGCTATAGCAGAGAAGAAAGATCTGCGAGGGATTGCTTTGATGTCGAGATAGTCTATAAGAAGCGATCGTAAGGTCAAGCTCGGATATGCGTCAAGACCGGGTATCGGTGATGGTGATGGTATATTTCCTGTAGGGACAAGGGAGATTGGTTTATCTGCATGGTCATTCCAGCCCATTATGTCGATGAATGACTGTACATCTGTCGGTGATGTTTTAGGCGTTATGGCAATCATATCACCAGGAGCGTATGAAACAGATTCAGAAACAGTCAAAGAAACACGGCGAACATCCTGCCAATGCTTTTGGGGTGTAATGCGCCTATTCTCATCAAGTGTTGCGGTAAGAGTATCTGGGATTGGCCGAATGTCATGGTCTAGGTTTGACAAGCCAGTCTGGTCATTTTCCACAGTGGTTGAATTTGGCGATGCAGCTGTCGGTTCTGAAACAGAGGAGTCAACTCCCTTCAACTGTAAAATCCATTTTGGTGGTAGTTGAACATCATCTGAGATAGGATGCTGGCCAGCGGGGAGAGGATGCCGACCCAACAAATTCTTCCGGAAATCTGCCAACCATGGTAGAAATGTGCCTTCTAGTCTGCAAAAATGTCAGCTCCAATGATATATATAATATATATTGGGTTTGTTCCCAGAATAACAAACAAAACATACCCTTCAGGATGTTGCTGGTCCGCCTCCCCTGTAGGGTAGATATCATTTGCACCTAGCTGCAGCAATCGCTTGTAGAGTTTCCGTACAGCCCAATTGAACCTGCCTAGCGTAAGTACATATCCGAGGCGTCGTAAAGACTTTTTGATATTTGTATAGAGCATACTTTGGATAAGAGCTGTCGCCGAGACCGAACGATGCAAAATCCACACCGTTCAAGTATGTAGGCGGAAGTTTCTTAAGTAGCAATGACTTCCAAAAAGATCGCGCATTCGCCGGTAAATCGCCTTGTCCAGTTGTAGACACCACAAAAATGGTGAGGGTGTAATTAAAAAGTGCTTCCTGAAACGACCCAATCGTAAGATTTTGGAATTGTATTCGGACTCTTCAAGGGTCTTGATCACTCACTGGCTTCACCTGATTCAACTCCGATACGTGTGTCGAGAAGCGCAGTCTCTCGGCCACCGCACCCAATTCCTCAGCCACCTCCTGCGCATTGCCGGTCTCAGAACCATAGAGTATCAGAGCCGATCGCGTTTGGTCGGGTCTCTGGGGGTCCATGCTGCCTGGGAGGGTTTGCAATTACTTTTCCCCCTCTTAAACATCGAAATTCCTTATCTCGCCGCGGGGCTCGGCTCCGATGTCGGTGACGTCATGTGGTCCGAAATCGCTTCTATACTCGGTTGAAGAATAAGATATTGATTTGGCATTATTGGATATTTCAAGAATTAATAGAATGCTCAAGATGGTATAATATGTTATACATTATATTTCGAACCAGAAGTCGAATACAATAGGCTGTTTCCAATGTATTGGCGCTGAGGAGTTAGCTCAAGCTATTTGTAAATAGCCTAGTACAAGCACTGGCATTAAAACAACTATGCATTTGAAAGTGACACTGTAAATGATCCTATAATATTCGATAGAGGAATCCATGTATGTAATTTGGCGTACATATTCAAAATTACTCAGCTCAAATATGACTCCCCCGGGTAACTCATTTGAACTGCTTAAGCTAACACAGATGTATTGGGATGCCTTGATTACGCATTGAACCAGGCAACACTAAATCGAAGTTTGAATTATTTCTCAATATTATCAGCGTTGAATTTGAGTAAAGATTTTGTAGTCCCATCCATCAAAAATCAATGGGAGGACGTCCACTAGACGATCAAAGTATCTAAAGTAGACAGGGGGTGCATTCACCACGGACTGCACCAACGCTCAAATGAAATATGACCCCAGAAACAAGGCGCCAGAAATTTCCATGCAAGTAGAACAAAATAAGCAAAGGGTATCTCGTATCGGCGCTTCACAGCTCATCCTCACCACCACCTCCACCATCGCCGAATCCATCATCGCCAAACTCATCATCGCCGCCATCAAAGTACTGTTCAGCATTATAATCACCGCCCAATTCATCCTCATCGTCCTCGTAATTGTCATCCTCTTCCCATTCTTCTTGTCCCTCTTCCTCATCGAGCAATTCACCATCATCCGCATCATCTCCTTCATCGTCGTCGCCGCCGCCAGTCGCGCGTTTTTTATTGGAGTCCTCGCCCTCGTCTTCTTCATCTTCGAATCCACGCTTTACACCGCTGGTAGCCATACCGGGCTTCCATCCATCAATGCCAGCATCGGGCCGGTAGGAGGGCTGAATAGTTTGCCAAAGTTCTCGAGGAAAGAATTTCAAGGCTGTAGCCAGAAAACAAAATAAAGTAATTAGACACGAAGGTTCCTCGGTAATACCATTCAAGAAAAACAGAAACTCGTAAAGTACCTACCGAATTCATGCTGGTTTCCATTGGTATCAATGCGAGGAATTGTGCGCCTTTTCTTCTGGTACCGTCCAGAGAAGGTTGGCATGCCTGTGAAAGAGTCGAAATTCACGCGGGCGGCGCTGCCCTTCTTAGCGGATGAGGAGGAAGAGTCGAGAACGGAGTAGAAGGGGCCTTCTTGGTATTGTTCGCGTAGGTGACGGTAGTGATCGACCGCATTTTGGTCTTTTGGGGTGAGTTTACGAGCCCATGGGACGACGTATGCCTGCCTCGAGTGTGAGGAAGATTGAATCATCGTGGAGAGAAATCCAAGGTCGGGCGCAGGGGAAAGTGGTGAAGAAAATCGCAGAGTCTGGTGAGACTGGGAAGCAAACGTACAGGGTAGAGAGGCGTGGGAGCTGTGTCAGGCTCACCACCAGGGTCTGCATCCCAAGTGAATTCTGCGCCGGGCTGGCGCTTGCCCTTTGCGAACCGCGACATTTCTAATCAGTAATAATATATTTATTTACTCTAAGAGAGCAGCAGATTTAATATTGTTCAGGGCGTCATAATGGTTGAGTTCAAGATTGTTCAAAAAGGTGGAGAAGAGACATCGATTAGAAAAATAGCGTTTTGCTGCCACTCACCGCCTGCGGGTCCGGAACGTGACATGGCCCGCAGTAGAAATTAGGGCTTCACTTGTTGGAGTGCTGGACCGTGTTACGCGCTAAATAATCAAATATCAATATTTGAATACTTATCGATCAATGAATGGTAGTACATTATTTTGTTCTCCGTATGAGTGAAAATTAATTTAAATTTTGGAGACGAAGCTAATCGGTGGACTAATGCAAATCAACTAGTTATGCTAGAGATGCTTTATCTTGTCACAGACCTACAGCCTCTACTTGTGCAGATCCCTGCTGCACAGGACCTAGGGGGCCTTCATTCACCCGCTGCCGCAGTGTTCGTAGAATGTCTTCAAAGCCTTCCACCTGTCCACCTGATTTTTGAAGTTCACTGTAGAGTGACACGAGGACACCATGCTTAGCAGTAGCTATCTTCCATACGGCATTTTGAGAGTCACCAGCGCCGCCACCAACAAATTCACCATAGGATCGCGGTGGCTTGAAAAGATATGGCAGGAGGGTAGTGAGAGCCGGCGGCGTGAGAATAGCCCATGATCCGGAAAGAGGAAGTAACCCACTGCTAGCTGGAGACAATTGCCCGAGTCCTTCTTCGGATGGAAGTTGGAATCGAGATGAGGTTCCAGGAACATGAGATGCGGGAGGTAACGGCTGCCAGTGAGCTATAGCGATGGCTCTCATGAAGGCGATAGCAGACAGCGCCACATCTTTCATCGCAACGACATCGGCGGCAGCAACGATATCCATCCAGAGGTTAGGGTGTTCGTTCATATAGAGGAAGTAAAGTATGCGCGCTGCTGCCGCCTCACGATGCCAGTCAGTTGGTGTTTGACCAGAAGCGTTCAAATCCATTGAATCAGAAACAGCAGCGTGGGCGGGTCCATGGAGGATCTTTGCTAGAACATCAAAGGCCTCTCCATTAGGTGGATTTGTAGGAACCTTCAACATGGGGTTGGCGCCATGCCTCCCAGCTTCGACCAGCAATACTCGAGGTAGTGAGCCAAGAACGGCCAAATGTCCTGTGGGCACTTCGCCATGTGCCCATTGACTGGAGGGCATTGCAAGAGCCCGAGTAATGCGTGAAACAATACCGTCCAGAAGGACAGATGGATTTTGGAGGAGGTGGTTGGGATAGGACTCGGCATATCTCGCGACGTACGCCATGATAGGCCCAGAAAGGTAAATGAGATCCACTGGGTCGAGCTTGCTGTCATCCAAATAATATTCTAACATCTTGGAATGAAGGTTTTCTGATATTAGGAAGTCAAGTGCTGGAGATGAAAAGGTCGATCTTGACTGCACAAGACTTCGAGCGAAGAGGCCAGGAGCATCAAGCTCTAAAAGTTCCCGATAAAAGTTCACAAGTGTCATATGCATCAAGACGTCACTCACATTTACCATTTGAGAGGTTGCGAAATGGAGAACACTTTTACTTTGGAATTTGGCTTCGACGTCTGGAACTTGCGACTTCGAGATGATATCCCAACGCAGACTACCAGCCTTGACCAGGAACCCCATCAATCTGCCCTGTGCTAGAGTGCGCTCACGCTTCGATAGCTCGCCCGGCGCATCATTCTGTAAGCTGCACAATCCAAACATAATTCCATATACATCTTTGTCCGTGAATATCCTCCTCCACATCAGACCTTGTCCCGCATGCACCGTATGTCTGTCATTGTTGGCAGCTTCGTGTTCTCCATTTTCGAGGGGGCTAGCCAGGTCGACTTCCAATAAAGCCCAGATTGCATCGAAAGCTGCCTGTGACACTGCCGTATAAGATGTTGATAGCCACAGCTCTATTAAAGATGCAACCAGTCCGGAGTCCCCTGCAACAATAGCAGCATCGCTAGATGTTTGCCCTGCCTTGGCTAGTAAAGAGAGGGCAAGCAAATTAATAGGTTCGGACGGGGCTTTGAAGCCTGCGACAAGATCGATGGGAGGATCGATGGCACGAAGGTCAGTGAAGCTGAAGTATCCAGTCGCCTTGATCGCGAGGGTGGTGAGGGGCGTAGGATCTTCTTGGAGGATAGGCAGTAGAGCTGATATTTGTGATAAGAGCGTTGCGGGGACGATGGGGGCGGTGTTTTCGATCAGCTGGAGCTTGAGTCGCTCGATGAGGGGGATATCAAGTTTTGTTGAAGGGTCTTCCTTAACATTTTCAAGATGCGCCTTCGCAGCATCAAAGGAAGAAGGAGTCGCCATGATGACAAGCGTGTTAGATTAGGTAGCAACTAGTTGTATCACAAGAATGAGATCTTATCTGTAACCGGGCCGCCTCTCTACACCGCCTATCTCCCCGCACCCGGGCTTGCGGGTTTGTGCCGCAGCCTGCATGGATGCTTCCCTCTCCTTTACATTCAGTGTTTGCTTAGCGCATCCATATGCCTTGCTTGACAACATATTGAAGCCATGGAGAATGTACAAGAGGAAAAAAGAAAAAAGGACATTTATTAGGATGGCATAAACTAAATGGGTAGTTTTTTGAACGGGAGGTGTACCATGTTCTGTCCTTCAACCTGATGCATGCTTGCTCCAACGGCGGATTCTTCCGCCATACTATTCCGATGTTAGTGCGCCGACATACATTCAGGATTCTAATCTCAACTTACGTGATAAAAAATGAAGGGGACAGGAACAAACAGGACGGCAATACCGCTGAGTAGCGAGTTGCCTGGGCCAATCCCGAGCTGACTGAATAGCGCATTTGCCTGATATTCATGTCTTGTCAATGGCCGAACTACACTAAAGGACAGAACCAATTTGGGAATCATTTCCGTTGACTTAAAAAGTGGAAAGGTTGCACCGAAGGAGGCACGGAATAGAGCACTACCTGCAAAGACGGATGTGGCGTAGTGAGCGTACGTGATGCCGAGATAGTTAAAGAGCGAATTGAACAGTGTCACCACACCGATGGAGAAAGGACCAGAGCAAATTATAAGATGCTTTCTAAACCTCAAGACAGTGATCCACCTGCGCATCGAATTTGTAATATAATATGCATTGTTTGATACAACCAATATTTACAGTACAAGTATATTCCAGTAATCCCTAAATTGGTCTGTTAGATATGGCAATCCAAAGAAGTCAGGTAGGTATACACCTGTAAGTAGACTGCGGCACACACCCCTTCACATATATGCTTCCTGGGTGTACAACTCTAGGAATATCCTATATGGAGTCAAAAAATCGATTCAGTATCTTTTCAAAAAGAAATCACTGAAATCTTCTAGTAAAAAGACTAATCGGACATTCTATAAAGGAGGATTAAATCAACAAGGAGCCTCATACAAATGGATTGGCGGGGAAATCAGGCCTCAGGCATCAATATTCATTCTGCCAAACTGACCGCATCACCGAGCTTCAACCAACGTCAAGCACATCGTCTCAGCTTTGACTATTCTGAGAGACTTGAATAATGGATCCGTCTCAGTCTTTAGTCTCTCAAAAGTCCTCGGACTCAGATTTACATATTCAGCTTCACCCGCTTGTCCTCCTCACCATCTCCGACCACATAACCCGCCATGCCGCACGACAGCAACAAGGCCCGATCCTCGGTGCTCTGCTTGGCCAACAAAATGGACGAGTAATCACACTGGAACACGCATTTGAATGCCCGACTACAGCAGGACCGAACGGTGAAGCCTCACTGCCAAGCCCATGGTTCGAAGAAAGAGTGAAACAATGTCAGTATACCTTCCCCGCACTGTGCTCCATCCAGCCTAGGTCTCTATACTAAACAATTACACAGTCAAGGATGTACACAAAGAACCGCCTCTTGATCTGGTTGGATGGTGGTCCACGGCTCCCACAGCCGCACCCGACCCATCCCACCTATCAGTCCACCGTCAGCTCTTACAAGATTACAACGAATCCGCTATATTCCTCGCCTTCCACCCCTCACAACTCCAAGCGTCCGAGTCACACAATGCTAAGCTCCCATTAACGATCTACGAAAGTGTTATTGAGGGTGAAAATGTCAATGACGCATCAAAGGACATGCAGATCGATGGCGAGGAGTTGGTGCTTAAGCTTCGATTCCGTGAACTCCGATATTCAGTAGAGACTGGTGAATCAGAGATGATTGGCGTCAACACAATTGTACAAGGATCTGGAACAGCGGCAGTAGATACCTACCCCTTAGTTGCAGGCGCAAACACAGGGAATAATCCGCAATCTGTGAAACAGGGCACCCGGGGTGATAAAGATGGTAGAGAAAGCAACACAGGGCTAACACAGGAAGAAGAGGAGTGTACGTATAACCCCCAACGATTGATCAAGTACCATGATACTAATATTATGGGAAAACAGTACTCGCGAACCTTACTACTCGCCTCAATGCAATTCGCACACTCGAATCCCGCATTAGCCTCTTAAAGTCTTATGTCGCCAACATTTCCCCAGAATCCGGCAATGCAGACTCCACATCAGTGACATGGTCCCACCCACTTCTCCGCGATATCAGCTCCTTGCTGTCACATCTTTCTCTTCTCTCCCCTTCTGAACAAAGCTCATTCGCTACAGAGGTCGTCTCTCAAAACAACGATGTGCTCCTTGCTTCTTTGCTTGGGAAAATGGGTGAGAGCGTCAAAGCCATGCGAGAGCTAGGCCGAAAGTCTGCTATTGTACAAAATCAGCGGAAGGCCGATGCTCATGCGCAGCGACGCCAACGCTATCCAGATTTCGGCTCGGGTGGAGGAGTATCAAGTGGCTTCTATCCTTGAGGACGAGGTTGATTTCTGGATAATGGATGAGGTTATGTCAATCTGAATGATAATCATGGATCTCTAGTGTGGTTAGAGATTTCACGTCTAAACTGCGGCGCCTTCTGGCTATTCTTTTTTTTTTCTTTTTTGCTTAGTTCAATGGCGTTTGAGCACATTCCCATTACATTATTCAGGTCTTTTAGTTAAATGAGTTAATGACTAAGTTACTGGAATTACAAATTTCATGACTGTGCTTTCCAAAGATTATTAGACGAGTAATTTGAGAAATCTATAACATTTATCTAAAACATAGTTTCCAGGAAATTAAACATAAGGGTTCTTGAATTCATAAGGTTACTGTACAACAAGTATCGTTGACCATGTCAGAAAGTAAATAGAACAAGGCAACGTCTCATCATTCATGACAATGGCGTCGCACAAAGGGAGAAAATGGCAATGGGAAAAATAGAACATGCCAACGAAGAGATTGGCGGGTATTCATATCCAACAGAGATTTGAGAAAAATAAAACTTCCAGCTGAATCAACAGAAGCTGCTCATGGGTAGCGTAGCGTAGAGAAATAAGATGAAATAAAAAAGTAAGACCTGAGCTGAAGTCTTTTCATTTGTTGCTCGAGGTCGAAGGAAATGGCCAGAACGTAAAACCATGAGCAACCAAAATCGTACACAAAATCTAAAGTGTCAAGTCATAAATAGATGATACTTGGTTATTGTTCATGGTGGCTTTCGGGATAGGGAGGTGGTGGTCGATATGGATCAGGCATAGGCATAGGGACTGCCTCACGAAGAGGACCATCAAGTGGGTAGGGGTTACTGTTGGGAGCAGTCTGTTGAGTATTCCCGGCCCCCTGATAGGCAGTGTCGGGATCATATGCAGGCTCAGGTGGGAAATGAGACGCAGAGCCTTGTGAGTAGAAACGGCTCCCAGAATGTCCAGCGAGGTACTCGTCGGCGTCGGACGAATAGGGCGAGGTGCCCAAAGGACCTGACTCTGGGTTTGACTGCGCGTGTGAGAGAAGGGTTGCGCCCTCCTCATATTGTGTGCCATTGTAACGGCCCTTCCAAGCACCGGTCATGGCAGTTCCTTCTTCGACAGCTCCAGCTTCGGTATTCTGTAGGCCGATAGCATCTGTGGACGATTGACTGTAGCTGGGATCCAGCGTGCGGGTCTTACGACCAACAAACAGCCAGCGTGCAGAGCGTCCAACAGCCTTCACTAGGTCGAGTGGGTTCATCGCATCGACCAGCGCGGTAAAACCCAAGCGCCCTCCTTCGTAGGATCCCTTGCCATTTCCATAGAAGTCGGTTCCCTGGTTGGTGATGACATAGGGCTTCCAGCTGAAGGCCCACAGGTGCAGAACACCGAAAATGAACATTTCAATATTGATCAGTAGCTCCGGTAAGCCATACTTCAGATCTATATTGTTGATCTTCTTCGATCCTTTGACGGCACCACTGGACATGAGGAAACTGATAACAATCTATAAGTGTAAATCGTTAGAGAGAGAACAAATACAAAAGTGCCGAATGGGCGCGCTTACTCCTTGCCAGAAAGAAAGGAAAATAACCAGCTTGATGGACAGAATCTTCATAAAGGGATTGTGTTGCTTGATATCATCCTTAATCTGGATGTAGAATTGAATCAAGCAGTACATTGCGATAGTGACGCTGACAGATTCGATAACCATAATCTGTAGTTATCAATTATTAGCGAATCATAATTCAAAGCCAAAGAGAAGGGCATGTAGTTACCCAGATATGCGCAAATGCCGGACTTAGCGACTCTTCACAGTATCTTCCCGTAGCTTGCGTCGCAACAGCAGTAATGGTCATCACCACACGGATTATACAGTATTGGAAAACACCAGCCCAAATGACCTAAAGCAAAGCACACATCAGTATATTGCCTCTTCAATCATAGATACAGTCTATCCCGGAAGCCAGCTTACATTGAACCAGGTCAAACCACTGCGCGGATTGCGCCACACTCCCCGCTTCGAACCGCACCATACCCATTTCTGAAAATAATTCAATGGGAACAGCCAAGTCTTAGGCTGAATGCCACGGAAGTAGTCCTTTTGGCTATGGAGATCAGGCGCAATATAGGCACACAAGAGGGAGAAGAAAGAGGCGATTGCGAAGGCTTCGTAGCAGTCACCGATGACTTCGAAATAAACGGAATCGTTATAGAAAAGGATGCTGAGCCACGAGACGATGGAATATACGGGGACCATCCACAAGATGCGAACAATGCTGCCAAGGTGAAATACGTCAGTACATGTCTCTCTCAAAATTGTTCTATATTTCCCAATATAGAGCGAACCGCATTCTCTCCAGCAATTGTCTCGCGCGGGATTCGGTGGGTTCACCACTCACTGTCGCTGCTCAATCGGTTTGCTGTAGTGCATGGCGTGCATCATGATGAGGAAAATGGACACGACACAGGCGAGAATAGCACAGACACCACCTACGATCAAACTGAGGTTATGAAATGTGAGACCGCCATCCCATAAAGCTACCTCGGAGACTGTCGGGCGCGCATAATGTTAGCCTTTCAAGGTCCTTGCCTTCTCCCCGTATATCCAGGTACAGCGCCAAAGTCTAACGTACTCTTCTCATTCTCCTCGGAGGCATCACACGTGGTCCAGCCCATTCTGGCTGGTCTGCGACGGGTCGCGGCAAAGGTGGGGAGTGTGGGATTGCGAAAGGGGTTGACCTGTATCGTCTGTGGCGCGCGGACTTTTTTTTTCTCGTTCTTGGCCCTCCTTTTATCTTATCCGGGGATCAACAGGAGGTGCAGACGATCGCCAAACAATGCGGCGCGGGGGAGGCGAGAGAGGAACAGGAAAGGAGAGGTATCTCCGTCTATTCAAGGTGGGAAAATAAAGGAAATTATAAGAGAAAAGAAAGAGATTTGGTGCTTATTTCGTAAGCATATCCATTTCGCTCGTGTGTTTGGTCGGGAGATTGAGGTGCCAGAGGAACGATCGTCCCCTGGGGCATCTATTTTTGGCTTGGGGTGGCTTGGCTTGGCTTTCCCTGCAAATGAACGGCTCCATACGACCTACACACTCTCAAGTGCTTCTCAGTCAATTCTATATTCTGATTTCCATTCCAATACAAGTTGTATTTATTATTAGTAGTATTTTTCCCAGTTTCAATTTTAGGGTAATATTAGGCAGGGCACAATGCAGACCCCGGAAATAGGACGAAGGACTATGTGTTGACGAGTGTGTACAAGAACATTAAGAAAGGCTATTCAGGAAGATTGATAGTTAATAAGATTTAGATAGAATCTCTGTACATAATTTCTGCCATATTGCTTTACAGGGGATCTTTACTTGGGTTGACTATGTATAGAACATTTGAACTCAAGATGTATACAATACTCGCATTGGCTACTGTACTCATAATCAACTTTATCGTACACTGTGAAGATATTTGCTCTTCTGACTCTTTTGTCCTTTTGATTTGCCTCATCAGGGAAATAATCATCGATTTTAGAAATCACGCCCCCGACGACCTCCACGATTACGGCCACCGCCTCGTCCTCCTCGGCTTGGCATGCCTTTAGGTCCATATTCAGAGCCTCCATCTACGAAGTAGTCTTCATCTTCAAATGTAATGCGCCGCATGTCATCGCCTCCACGCCGAGGAAATGTCCCTTTCTTGAGGATTTCGTCGAACTGGTCCAAACGTTGATCGGCAATCTTACGAGGCACGCGCAGGTAATAAAGCTTGGGCTTTGTGGTCGTGGATTCAAAAAGGTCATCAAGTGGCTTGAAGCCTTGCCCTGGCCGTGATGGAGGCGCGGGTGGGGCGTTGGACGGCCGGTGATCCACTTGTGCAGATACACTGCCACGCGGGCCCAATGGGGGTGTTCGATTGAAGCCAGCCTCGCGAGGCCGAGACGAAGCGGCGGCTTGGGTTGGCCCCGATTCTGTTAGCACCGCACGGATGCCCTGGCCTTCGCTACTAGGCTCATACTGCACTTCCCAACGCACAGGCGGCCCACTCCGATCGCGAGATTCCTCCTCTGTCTGAATGAATTGTTTGACCTGGTCTTCAGGAATGAAATCTGCTCGGAGTGTCTTGCGATTGCGTTCATTGGGCCAGGTGGTTCCATGTAGACCGGCGCGAACGCGTGACGCGGCAGCTACACCGGTGAAGCCTGCAAAGCAATGCGTCTTGATCGCATCAAGGAAGAAATCCTGTATAATTTCAGGGTTCGGATCGGAGCCAGGTGCAGCGGCCAGGCTTATCAAGTGGTTACGTAGGGCGTTCGGCTGGAGCGGGCGCATTAATCCATCAATGTAAAGGGCAGCGGTGGCAGGATGTAAAGCAGGTTCAACTTCTGCATCTTCCATTGGGACATCGTCCCGGGTAGGAGACGATTTTCGAGCAAGGGCTGGGCCACTGGGGGTAAAAAGACCTCGGAAACGCGCATCTTGTTTTGGTGGCGCCGAAGAGGCTTCCTTCTGCTCTGTGGGTGCGCTCTGATGCTCCACGGCAGTGTCCTTAGCTTCTATTTCTTGAGAGGCAAACTCATTGTCGTCTTTTAATTGAACCCGAGGGCTCTCCTCCTTTGCTCTAGCTTTCTTGTTTGCAATTGCTTCAGGTGTGGGAACGGGGCTCTGGCTGCGCCGTTTGCGCTTGCGCTTATCCTCTAGGGCCTCTTCGATTGGGAGAGGGGTGGAAAACTCAGTGTTTGTCTCTGAGGTCGGAATGGCGGAGAGTACCGAGGACTCTTTCATAGGCTCGTCAACGTCCCCAGGAGCCTGCTTAACCAGTTGCGTTTCACTTTTTTCTTCGGTCTTGTCCTCCTCGCCAGCAACAGAGTCGACTCGAGTCATGTCCATATCTTCATTTTCAGTCTCTGTTCCTTCCTCAACTGGTACCTCTTTAGCTACCTCGGGCTGTAGTGGCTCCTCGTCTTTTCGAGGCGTTTCATCTTCTCGTGCAGGACTGGGTTGTAAAGGCTCTTCTTGAGTTACAGGAGTATCTTGTTGAGGCTCTTCGGGTGCTGTTTCAGTTGACCCTTCTTGCGGCGAAGCTACTGGCTTTTCAACAGGTGGCTGTTGGGCTTCGGGTTGAGGCTCGGGCTCAGGTAGGGTTTCAGGCTGGGGTTCAGAAGGAGCAGCAGCAGCTTCTTCCGGTTGCGCCTTGGCGTCCTCTTCCACTAGCTTGTCGATGATCTGTTGCTTGAGACGCAGGCCTGTTTGAGGGATTCCGCGGTTCTTAAGCTCTGCCTTCAGGTCGGCGACCTTCCATGAGGGGTAATCGGACATTTTCGCGTAACATGAGATGAATTGAAGGGTGGCGTGTTAGGTAAAGTGTCGCGCAGGGATTGAGTCTGGGGACGCGGAATGCGCCCGATGATGTCGGTTGTTAGTCGAACTAGCCGCATTTGGATTAGCGCGGTGGTGAAGAAGTATAAAACTTGTTCAAGTACAGGCGAATTTGTAGGTAGACAACTAGATGAGTGCTAAGTGATCTAGTATTTAAAACAACTCATTTCAAAACTGTAAGGCACCTTCGGTTCAATTCAGGGCCAACTCTTAGTACTGAACTGACAGTTACATTTACTATCGGTAGAGATACAGAAACGGGATATACCTCTAGGGTTAGGTGAAAAGCATCTCACTTGTACCCAGTTATACATCATGCTATTCAATTCTTACAATAAACATCATATTGTGGCCAACGCCTAGGCATAATGAAGTCCCGAGACAAAAATTGACTGATGATCTCCATCTTCACTTCTGTTAAAGTATGACCCATTAGCTTCAAATTCGGTGCCTGTGCATTAACCCCATCCTTTACTCAAAGGCCAATATGATATTCCAAAGATTTAAATTATCGATCGACGTTTATCTATTCTGATGTTATTATATGATTTGTTACATTCTAAGTATCTAAGTATGGATATTAAGACCTTGGATAATGCGGGTGGACAAAATCATCGAGAAGAATACTGGTAGACAGTAAGAGCCTTGGAGACCATCATACATATATCTTTTCTGTATCATAGTATGTATCTATCATGTTTAAAACTTGAACTTGACGCGTTGGGGTCCAACCTTGGAAGGTTCTGCCATATTCTATTTGAGAAAGAATGTGATTTCTCACCTGCGGTTGACTGCTAGTATAAGTAATGTATATACCCCGTGCATGCTCAGGTCCGATATTTTCGAAGCTTGGAACTTGAAGTGACCCGTAGACATAGAATTGTCTCACAATGTATGTGCTTCAGAATGATTTTTTTGGGGATAAGACAGACAATGCGAATCTACTAACGTATTTCTCAAGGTTCCGGGTGGGCGGTATTATGCTGGCAGCCATCAATGCGACATACATATACGGGATTACTTATTAATCAGCCACGCTGCATTTACGGGGACTGTTGCAGAAGATGAATTGATAAATTTCATAGATTGAGGGTATGACTATGGTATACAACGCCTATTCCCATTTTTGCCCACACTAGATGGGTTCATCCAATATGATTTTGATAGGCTGGAGTGCGTTGTTGGGCAGCACCAACCCAGAGGTCGTCAATCATCAATTTTCCATTCTCTTCTATTTTTGAGAAGTCGATGGGTTGACTTAAACCTCACGGGAGAGGATGTCGGAGTCACCAGCGTCAAGGACGGCCATGGTGGAGCAACGGAAGAGCTTACCGCAGGCGGTACCGAGCTCAATCTATTTTACGGGTTAGTTCAATTGGCTCTCCGGGACTCTATTAGGAGTTCCCATCGCTGAGCAACTTCACTCTCCGAAGTGGCATTGCAACTTCTTCTCAGAGTAGTAAAGCTGCCAGGCAGCTGCGGCAACTCGATTGAGCGCCGACTTGGGTAGGGTTGAACGTACGTTGTTACCGTTGAAGTGGTGGACGGGGACCTTGGCGAGCATGGCGTAGTACTCGAGCTCGGACTTGCGCAGAGGAGGGCAGTTACCAGCGATCAGGATCAGCTTGGCCTTGCCGGAGCGGAGGGTCTTCATGGTAGACTTGGATCCCATGGTGACTGAAAAATTCATTAGCGACCGAGTAAAGTGACAATTGAGAATAGACGAATAACTTACCCTTGCCCGACTTCATGACGAGGGCAAGGCGGGAGGAGATGGTTTCACCAGCCTTCTTGTTCTTGACCATTTTGACGGTTGAGGGGGTGTTGATGGGTTGGAAAAGGAGTTGAGAGAATGGTTGAAGAAGAAAGAAGAAAGTGTGAAAAGAAAGTTTTTGATTTGTGCGCTCTGCTATCTCACCGCCCAAGCTGTGATTGGTCATGGCCCACATTACCCTTTCTGGGGCCTTGGTTGAGCTTGAAATTAACGTAATACAATTACACCAAAACTGCTCCGAGTGCTGGATATCATATGTCTGCCATTTTATTTACCGTTTTCCCCTGTTTTAAATACATTCGGGTCATTCGGAGGGTATTCAAATCAATGGCCACCTGTGCAAGGGCCAACTCCCGAGAGGGATTCCGACATCTGGAGGGGCCTTCGCGGGGTTCCTGAGTCATTAGGCGGGAGACTAAAGGGGAACTTTTCTGCGCGTTTCCTTCCATTCTTTCTTTCCCTCTCCATTCTCCATTTACACATTTGTGTTTGTTTTCTGTTTTTTGTTTCTCATAGCCACCATGGCCACAGAAACAACTACTGCTCACACTGGGCAACTCCGTCAGTCAATACACTTCCCCTAAATTCCCTAGACGGCTACTAAATCCCGTAGAGAGAGTCGATTCGCAGCCGGAGAACCCCTACGCTGCCTTGATTGAAGACCAATCCATTGCCGTGGTCCCATCTTTTACTCTTGAGTCCGGCGTCACTCTATACAATGTCCCTGTTGCATACACCACTCGAGGAGTCCTGTCACCCAAAGGCGACAACGTTTTGGTCATCTGCCATGCTTTGAGTGGAAGTGCCGATGTCGCAGACTGGTGGGGCCCACTCCTCGGTGGCCCTGGACAAGCATTCGATGTGTCCCGATTCTTCATTGTTTGTTTGAACAGTTTGGGTAGCCCTTACGGGAGCGCCAGTGCGGTGACCTACAAGGACGGTAACCCTGAAAAAGGCTACTATGGACCTGAGTTCCCTCTTACCACCGTACGCGATGACGTGAAGTAAGTTTTTTTTGTACCACGCTTCCATTGAGCGCTACAATTCTAACTTCCTTCCTCTCACTAGCATCCACAAGCTTGTCCTGGATGATTTGGGCGTAAAGCAGATCGCTGCCGTTGTCGGTGGCTCTATGGGTGGGATGTTAACCCTCGAATACGCCTTCTTTGGTAAAGATTATGTACGAGCCATCGTCCCAATCGCAACATCCGCATGTCACTCCGCGTGGTGCATCAGCTGGGGCGAGGCCCAACGACAGAGCATCTACTCGGACCCCAAGTATGATGATGGATATTATACGTTTGACGACCCTCCCGCTACAGGCCTTGGAGCGGCGCGTATGTCGGCGCTGCTCACCTACCGCTCCAGAGACTCCTTCGAGTCCCGCTTCGGCCGTAATGTTCCTGACCCATCAAAGCGACAGAACATTAAGGGAACGGATAAGCTACCCACACCTCCCAATGAACACTGGGCTATCCACAACGATGGTCACAAGGGCGGCGCCTCTCGCTCCGAGACTCGACAGAGTTCGCCAGTGCCTCAAACTGAGATCCAATTCATGGACCCCCAATTCTCGGGAACCAAGACATTCTCAGCTTCCACTCCAGTCAAGACTGATTCCTCCGGTCGCCCGCGCCCACCTACTTACTTCTCTGCTCAATCCTATCTTCGCTACCAGGGAGACAAGTTTGTCCAGCGATTCGATGCCAATAGCTACATTGCTATGACCCGCAAACTGGATACACACGATGTCTCTCGCCATCGTACTTCGGACAACGCCGAGGATCGCGTTCTTGACGCGCTCTCCCGGATTGAACAGCCTGCCTTGGTTATGGGTATCGAATCTGACGGCCTTTTCACTTTCGCTGAGCAGCAGCAGGTCGCTGATGGAATCCCTGATTCCCGCCTGAAGCGCATCGACAGCCCCGAAGGCCACGACGCATTCCTCTTGCAGTTCGAGCAGGTCAACCGCCATATTGTGGAATTCTTCAACGAGGTTCTGCCTGATATTATGGCTCAAGAAGGCGATGTTGCCGCCGTGGCAAGTGTCAAAAAGCTTACGAAGAGCAGCAAGTTCGGTGAGGCTGAAGTGGAAGATATTACCGCATGGTAAATCATTCACCATTTAATATACATACTGGCGCAGTCCTATTCTGCAGCCAATCCCATGCTCCTGTCCCAGACACGGACTCTCCCGCCTATATTCTTTCTTGCCATAACAGGATTATCAAGGATGAAATTTGGTATGAGCTCCACGCCTGGGTAGTTGTCATGACGCACTAGGGGAAGTAGAGGTTGCCGTTCTTTCATCCGTTTAGCTAGTCAGGGAGATGAGCATCCAACTGCCTCTCTCGGATCTCACTTGGCATAGTCCATTGTCGAGAAGACTGCACAAGAAGCATCCAACTGCTCTCCATCAGACCCACCCTCTGGGTCTAATCCTCCAGGTTCACTCCAGGGGTTGATGGGTCAAATACACACATTTCGGGGTCATCGGGCGACGTATTCGTCGCCCTTTCAGAAATATTTCCAAAATATGGGAAACCAATAAATAAGAATCATTTCTATATACACTATTTTTTCCATGATGCTGTGTAAATCTGTACCTTGATCAATCTAATCAGTGGCCCATGCCTGCCCTCCACGCAATCTGCTCAGCAGCGCAATGTCTCCCAGAATACTGCGCAACAACCTCCTTTAAGTCACTAGCCCTTCTCTTCATCAATTCTGCCCCGGGTCGTTGCAACACTTCCAAAAACCCACCGAATAACGTATCGTCATCCCATACCGGCGCTGTATCTTTTCCTGGCCACACTCCCACGCCAACATATTCAACAAGTCGTGCGACATTATATTGATCAAGCCACAATGGAACAATAACCTGTCTAACCCCAGCCCTATACAAGAGTCAATAACTGTTCTGATTGTAACGTATCGTGATATCCAAAACTCACCTAACAGCCTGGCGGTAGTACTCAGTAGTCCCATGATGAACCCAAACATCAATCTTGCCCGAGTTAACAAGCGAGATAGGATCAACATCAAACTCAGGCTGACTGTATATCCTCAACCGCCCATTTTCAACATAAGGCTTCAGAAGCTCAAAATGCCACGTATTAGAAAAGTCGCCGTTCATTTCATATTGCCATAGGACTTGCACATCTGTTTCCCTAAGCACATCCCATATTGCATTACTCATTTTCCTCGTTCGTTCTTTATCATACGTGAACGCATCTCCGAGATAAACCAAAATAGTAGTTGATGATGACGAGTCAAGCCATTCAACCAATTCCGGGTTCTGTTCCTCAGCTGGTATCGGGTCAAGTGTCATAGGTCCGCAAATCGTCAGATTAGTCGGGTGGTAGCTTAGAGGCAGACTGGCCTCGAGAAGGTCACCAGATATCAGGGGAATACTATCCCATTGCATGTGCATACCCATAGGTTCGTTGATACCCATGACTTCAAGTTCTGATCTGGCGGTGTGCAACTTGGAGGATGCGGTGATTGTCGCCATGAGCCTGATTTGCATCCAGATATTGGGAAAGATAGAATGTGCTGGTACTGGGAATTCATGGCCTGACATCAATCTGTATTTTTAATGTCAATAGGAAAAGTCTTTTATTTAATTTTGCATCAAGGAAGACTCACGCTGGGTATTTCCAGAACATCGATTTCCATGGTTGATGGTAGGCAAGAATATCAGATAGTGAATTGGCGCTCAAGATAGCAAATCGACGATTTGTATTCCTTGCAGCATCGACAAAGACCCTCGGTAAATTATCAACGACGATGAGTGCCGGATCAACATCTTCAATTAATTTGACCGTTTCCTGAAACAAGGCAAAATATTCCTTTGTATCCCACGGCATCAACATATCTTCCAGAACAGGAAGCATTTTACCATACCCCGCTAATCCATACTCAGTGATATAATCATATAAACGATACCTTTCACTCAGAGCCCCCGTCATACTTTGGCCACCCAATTCATGAAAATTAATAGGTTTCACATTGGGATTCTTAGCCTGCACATCTGCAGAAATATTCCGCAGATACGGCTCTATAGCGGGTGTTCCGAAAGAACCCCAGTATATTTGGATATCAGGCCGAGTTTCAAGGAGAGCAAAAGCAGATGCGATGTGGCTTTGGACAAGGTCGGAGCTACTATCGGTTAGATAGAGGACGGTGTTGTTGCGCCCAGAGATCGGTGCGTATACCCCTGGCTCTGTGGCTGATGGCCAGAGGTACACAGAGCTGGCGACTAGCGCTGCTAATATTGCGGTAATTGTAACTCTATAAGACATGGGTTGAGTTTGAGTTCAAGTTCTTGGAATAACATTGGAATTTGGGGTTGCGATCTGTGCGGTTACCTATTATGCTGTAGCCTTGTACTGTAGGTGTTTTGGGGCTGAAAGTGGCGGCTCCGCCCGACTTCAAGTTGGTGAGGTGAGGCTCCTTTGACTGAGTATTTGTCCACAAATTTTATCATCGACCATACTATATCTGCTTGATACTAGGCTCTACATGGGATCAAACGGACTAATAGTCTTATCGAAATTGCCCATAATATGCTGATTGACATTAACACTATTAAAATCCCCTCACCACATATGGAGACAGGGGCTTATCCAGGCTCCGCCATTTATAGAAAGCGAGATCCCAAATATGTCAAGTCGTCTGATTTTATACCGTATTTGGATGATAATCTACGAGTTGCCAGGCGCAAGATTAAGCAATTCCAAAGAACCCTGGAAGTAGACTTTCGCTGCAGCTCCAAGTTCGGCCAAGGCCCGGTCTTAAGTCTTCGATTAAAATTGGTGGGTGAGATTCTGGGAGTACACATGCATAGTAATTAATTTGCTACTATCGGCCCAATGTCAATGAGCTAGGCTGATTGTATGTAACCTGTTTAAGAATCATGGGGTACGTACAGTATTCCCTAAAAATTTGGACATTTGAATGTGATATGTCCGACCAATCAGGTGATCTTGTTTTGCTCATCTTTGCATGTGTGCTTTTTGTTAAGTACTTCGCCAAGACTTGATCGAGCTATTCATGTTGAATAAGTAATATTAATATCTACCTTGAACCATTCTGAAAACAAAATTATGACGATTGAACAAAATAGTATATAATTCCCTAAGTAAACAATCTTGGACAGTTCCAACTGGAAGGTTGAGTTGTCTACCCGAGTCTTGGCACGGACAAACCCCCTCAAGTGCTCTTTCTCCCGCTGATCAACCGTCCAGGTGGATATGAAATGATCATGTTTATTTGATTTTTTCTGTTCTCAGTCAGTTGCGGTCACCAGACGATGACGATGGCGGGGACAGAGTTTTGCCAAGGCAGTCCAACAGTTGAAGCGATCGACATGGATTTTTTGCTCTTTTTGTGCCGTGTTCCTGGACGGGCGAGCTGAAGGGCTCCATGGTACCGGATAGAACCCCACAGGCGAAAAATGGTTCATGGTGGGCTACAGGAAAAAGAACGAGAGAAAAGAGGGGAATACAGGTTCTAGATTGTTTTCGATGTCAAGTGTGAGAGCTAAAGAATTAGTTAGCGCTGTCAGGAACCGGTTTTCAGGTGACGGAGACACAGTGGGTTCATATGATGGAGATCAGTTGAGTTTTATTTTTATTATTTTTTTTTTTTCAGTATTTACAGAGTACTTAGAAGTCATAGAGGACTGTACAGGAGTATCTTTGATCAGGGTGAAACATATTGCGTAGGAAATAGTCAAGATTCAATATGTTCCTGATTTAATTAAACAGTCGCAAGGAGGGAATCCACTAGAGCGCCAAACCGAAACATTGTTATTGTGGGGCTGCTTGGACTAGGTCAATGGACCCTGTTGAATTGGCTTATCGATGATTCATATTAAGCACAGCTACAAAGCAGATAGAATACGGATCTTGTTTGTCCCCTTGTCCTCTTTTTCAGTGCTGATCCTGCTTTGTTGTTCATCAACCTTCATCACAGTCTGGTCTAGACTAAACTCCAACCAACTCCAACTGGACGATCCCTGCTGGTGGGAAGTCTAAGCGTCTTCAGCTTCATCGATGGGGCTAGACAGATCACCCTTGGTTCTAATCTACTGTATCCGGGACTCCAGCCCTAACCGTTAGACTCCACTCGGCTCTAATCTCTTTATCTATGCCCATTTGTCTTTTCCCCTAAAATCGTGGCGCTTCCTCTTCTTTTCCTCCTTTTCTCTTTTCTCTTTCTCTCTTTCCCTCTTTCCCTCTTCCTCGTATCAAAATACATTTATCCCTGGATCTCTGGACACATCTCGCCCAGAATCAATAACAAAGAACACCTTCTTTGCCAGATCGCAGATGACGCACGGATGATTGTTCACCTGCCTCTCCCTTATCTTACCCTCGTTTGGCTGCGAGTACCCGCGACATCTAATCATCCCTGGCATCCCCCGCATACCAGACCTCGTTGTACTGACAACGGTCTCACCTCAACTGTCGCCGCAACGAGTAAACATCCAATCTCTGTACTGCGCATTTCTCGGAACTGATCCAAGATCCGCTAAGGATCTGCTGTGGCGCCGGACTATAATCCCTTGTCGTCACTGCCCATTTGCAGCCCTATACATACATAGTCGGCGTTGGCGGGAGACTGGCATTGTTTTGCTCTTCCACTTTCCAACCTACCTCAAGACTCCTGTCTCTCGTTCAGTGCAGCAGATATTTCCCCAGGATTTATCATATCTCTTCCAACAAGATATCAATATAAACCAGAGACCCAATATCAGCATTCTCCACCAAAACAACATTATCTCGAGCCTACCACATACAATGGAGCGCAGACTCTCCCAAAAAGCAGCGCAAATGCGCCAACGCCTCTTCACTCGAACTTCAAGTTCTCGTGGCCGCGCAGCAACAATGGCCTCCCCCGCTCCTGCAACAAGCACAGAGACAGAAAAATCTACATCCAAATCTAGCATTCGCTCCCGCTCAGCAACAACCCCCGTCTCTTCCAACCCAACCATCCCAGCGTCGGACAACATCGACAAATCCCGACATTACCATTTCACAGACGAACCAGGGTACTACCAGCCCGCAACGCCATTAATCTCCCGACAAGAAATCGAAGAAGACCTAGAAGACAACATCAAACATTCCTGCTGCCTACTAGTCGAAAGTATTGAGCGCGGGCTCCCCATCTGGCCCTCCTTTCATAACGATAACAATATGCAGCCCAACTTGGCCAAAGCTCCACATGAAACACGCACAAATTACCAGGACCAAATGACCCAGTTATCTCTTTCACCCGTCGCTCTGGATAACTTATTAATCCCTCAATCTGATTATACATCAACAACGCACTGGGACTCCGTCCGACCAACCCCATATTCCCCACCAAGCAAATATGGCCAGCCAGCCCAGAATAGTTTCGCCTCGGCAGGTACGGGCCGGTTCTACGGTCGTCGCCTCTCCACATCCCCCGAGGCTCAAATAGATGAGATGGAAGAGCAAGATTACGATCTCGATGTCTCACGTGCTCGAGGCCGAAGCTTCGGTACAGATACTACATCCCCCCGATCACGATCACGATCCCGCTCCTCCAGCCCGGGCTTCTTCCCATACTCCCCACCTCAAATGGACACAGCATGGGGTCGCGACACGACTCAAATCCTAGAACCAGAAGAACAACTCTTCGCTGGAGACGCTTTCCTCGGCGCAGAGGGAATAACCTGGCTACGCGCAAGTCTAGATCAATCCGATCGCCCCTGGCCCACAAGTACCGCGGCCCAAGCTAAAGAGTCAGAGTCAGACCGAGGCTGCATGACAAGTACCCTTGGCACGGGGACGGGGCCGTGTCCCGGGTCCGGACCGGCCCCACGTCGCTTCTACAGTACGCGTCGATCTAACCTGAATCTGGGGAAACCGCAATGGGATGCAGTTGAGGTTCACGGAAGTCGTGAATCGGGTCTTTATCGAGGATTATCAATGAGGGATCTTTCGATGGACGAGGAGAGGAAGCGGGCACATGAGTTCTCGTATCCTGTTTGGATGGGAGATTCTGATGGTGATGGGGATGTTTTGGGTGAGCAGCAAACGTTTTATAATATGGATGAGATACCGGCACGGCATCGACGGAAGCGCGCGTCGGAGTTGTTGAAAAAGTTGACTGGATTGGGGATGAAAAGGAAGGATGATCTGGAGAGGAGGGCTGTGGAAATTGTATGAGCGTGAGTGCATACCTTGAGACATTCGTTTTCTCTCTTTTTTTTTCACTTCTGTTGAATTGGCGATTTTGTCTTGGTTCTTATCATTGTTTATTTCCATGTTGCATACTATTAGATCATGATGGATTGGATGTACATATACCCCCTGAGCTGATTGTCAATCATATTTTCTTATCTTCTTAACTCACTGGAGCGCATGCTATTATTCTTAAAATATAAACAGTCACTGTATCTAGACCAGTATTGGGATAGTAACTTCTGGTCCAAGGTCTACTGTATACGTAAAACCTTATCCGACATTGGATGTAGATGATCCAAATATTGCCCTACGGACATTCCCTAGCCAATACGGCTGATGACCTTTTCTTCGTGACATTACCTGGGTAATCAATTCATTCACCCATTTCCGAGACTTCTAGATTTATTAACAACGGATTTCAACCAGTTCTAAGAATTCTGCCTACTCTCCAAAGACCCCCATTATGGATATTCTGTCTCGTTGAGGACCACGCTATGCTGCACAATTGGAACAGTAACCCCATCACGATTCTCAACCCGATAGGATCCTTGATCATGTGAAGCACAATCAAAATTCCAGCTGATCAATATTGGAGACTGACAGTCTATCTATCTTTTTTCATCACTTTACTTTGAATTCAAATTTCAACACCCATACCGGTCCATGAGGGCTCTGAAATCAGGATCTTGCAATAGCTCCTTCGCGCTCAGCCGTTTTTCTGGCGCGTAGATAAAAACTTTCAACATGATAGTTCGCACCAGTTCTTGCTCCGCTGCATCAGCATCGGGGCGAAGGCGTGCAATTTGCGCAGCAAAGCCCCCCTTTGGATCAGCAATTTGAGACTGATCATACCATGAATCAAGTCCTTCGGGATGGTTATAGAGACCTTTCCACCTTTCAGGTAGTGGGCCTAAGCATTCAACCATAGCAGTTACAAGCCCACCTAGAAACCATCTAGGAAAGGGAGTGATTGTAAGATAGAGCTCAGAGAAAATGACCATATAGCTCCATATATCGCAAGCAAAGCTAGGGTTATACTTATGAAATCGTTCTGGAGAGCAATAATACTTAGGTGTCCAGCCATGTTGAGTAGTAGTATCGTCAATCTTCTTTGATAGACCAAAATCAGAGAGATAGAATCCGTCTGTATGAAGGTCTGAAGGAAATTCGACAGTAGTCACAAGCTCCCGAGGTCGCATCTTTTTTATTTTCTGCTTATACTATAAATTAGAAATCAATTGGAACTCACAGATATCGCTTGGATGGTTCAAGCTGCTAACTCGGAACAGCAAGAAAACTTCTGTTGTTTAAACTTAGCAACTGTCTAGGTGAATTAACCCAACTCGACGATCTATTGCGGGGAAAGATAACCTTATCACATCATCCACTGGCATCCCTCACGTCTCCTCACCTCACCCTTATATGATTCCAGTCCCACATTCATGAGAAGAAACCCGATATCAAAAAAACATATATACATCTATACACTATGAAAAGCCGACATCGCTCAATTCTCGCTATTCTAGCAGGGACTACCACTGCCCTAAGTGCCCAGCAACCCTTAGGTGAGGCCGTTCAGCAGCAGACACACACCAAACCCGAAGAAATAATATCTTCCTCGCCTCTTCTATCCTTCCACCGAAATATCGTAGATATCCCATCAGTCAGCGAATACGAGAAGAACGTCGGAGAATACATAATCGACTTCCTCCATTCACAAAACCTAACGGTTGAGAAACAAATCATCCCTGGAACCGGGAAAGAAAACGAAAACGAAAGATTCAATGTATACGCCTATATCGGAGAGGATAGATACCCCGATATCCTCTTAACAAGCCACATCGATACCGTCCCTCCATATATTCCCTACTCCCTGCATAATCCAACTAGAAGAAGCGGGACTTTCAATCGAGAAGATCTAGTCATTGCCGGTCGCGGCTCAGTAGATGCCAAAGGAAGCGTCGCAGCCATCATCTTTGCAGCTCTAGAGACTATCAAAGAGAGTCCCAACGCGTCAGTTGGTCTATTATTCGATGTCGGCGAAGAACAGTCTGGTGCAGGAATGAGACATTTCTCTGATTCAGACCTTAATCTGACTCCACCAACTTATCGCACTATTATATTTGGTGAGCCTACCGAACTCAGTCTCGTTGCGGGACATAAGGGTGGCATACGATTCAAGCTTATTGCGAATGGAAAAGCTGCACACTCGGGATATCCGTGGTTAGGCAAAAGTGCCATCTCGGCGATTTTACCTGTTCTTCAACACCTTGAGGAGCTTGAGGATATTAGTTTCGAAGATGGGGGTTTACTCAGTAGTGAACTGTTTGGGAAATCGACGCTGAATATCGGGTTGTTGAGTGGTGGACTAGCGGCGAATGTTGTTCCTGCTTATGCCGAAGCGACGGTTTCTGTTCGTCTTGCTGGTGGGTCGACAAATGATACTAGAAGGATCATTCAGAGGGCCGTGGATCGCGTTACTAAGGGGGATGGGAGTGTGGTTGTTGATTTTGGAGATTTGGAGGGTGGTGCAGCACCTCAGTATCTTGATGTGGATGTTGATGGATTTGATGTTATTACGGTGAACTACGGGACTGATGTTTCTTCGCTCGATATTCATGATGAGGGGGTTAAGAAGGTTAAGAGGTATCTGTATGGTCCTGGAAGTATCAATGTTGCTCATGGTGACAACGAGGCCATTACTGTTGGTGAGTTGGAAGAGGCCGTGAAAGGATATAAAAGGCTCATTTCGGCTGCTTTGGAGAAAGATTCGAGATAAATTTAGATATTCACGGGGATCAATGTGGTTTATGTCGGAATAGTATGAGACAGGACGATGTGGTTGAATGAGCACAGAGGCATATTTTCATTTCGTCTCGATATTGAGCAAGATAGAACAGATAAAAAAAAGTACAGAGTGGATGTGGTTCCCAAACACCGGTCAGGATGCAAATTGTAAGACATTATGAGAAGTAGAAAGGAGAAAGAGGAAAGAGGAGAGGAAGCAAAGAGAAACAGAAACGGAAACAAAGATAGAGGAGTCAAACGATTAGAGCCAGATGACTAGCTCAACACCTCGCATCTTCCATCGAGGGTATTCGATCTCACTTGCTAGGGACATATCGCTCACTGCCCACGGCGGGGACGCTTGTTGTCATTTCCCATACGTGGACCTCGTGGACCTCCTTCGCCGCCACCACCTGAGTTGTCCTCTGGGTTAGGACGGCCACGCTTGCGCTGACCAGAGTTTCCACTATCACGGTGATTATCACGGTCACGGCCTCGGTCACCTCGACGCTCTCGTTCCCGATCACGGTTTTCGTTTCGATTACCGCGGTCTCCACCTGATCCCCAACGGCGTGAATTATCGTCAGTTGGTAGAGGGGGTGGAGGAGGGGGAGGAGGGGGAGGTGGTGGTGCTCCCGCTGATGAGGAAGGACGAATACGGCCCTCGTTTTCGATGGGTGTAGAATTGGGGTTAGGAGGGCCACCCATGTTTGGTGGTCCATCATCCCGATCACGGCGATCACGGCCATCTCGGCGTCTTCCTTCTTCACGCGAACCAGGGTTGTTTCGACGTTGAGATTCACGAGATTCAGTAGGTCGGTCACGGTCACGATCCTTGTCATCACGACCACCAACTCCAGCAGGGCCAACATCACTTCGGCGAGCACGGTCACGATCGCGTCGGTCTCCACGACGGTTGCTATTGCTATTGCCAGAATCATCACCGCGACGATCACGGTGACCATCACGATCGCGATCATTGTTACGACCTGAACCACGTGCATCGGGAGCAGCATCGTCAATCAGATCGCCGCCTCGGCCACCAGCCCGCGCGCGGGAATTACTGTCATCTTCAGGACCGGTTGGCACTGGCGCAGGGCGATTTGGGATCTGAGGAGAAGCATTCGGAGCATTCGATTGGCGGTTTGAACCTCTTCCACGAGATGGGGGTGTGGCATTTCCACGCTCAGCAGTGGGGCCTCCCTGTGTAAGCACGTTGTTAATGCCAGCGAATCGTTTATCACTGCGTCCACGGTCATTGCCAGACCCGCGAGATCCCGAAGGGGGATTTACCCCAGCACGTGGACCAGAAGGCGGGACCACCGCGGTGTTGGGTGGGTGCTGTGGAGGCGGCACTGAGTCCTGCAAGACCTTGAGCCGGTCAGGGTGGATACCGGCTGTTTGAGGTTGTTGAGGTTGCTCAGAAGACGGTGGTGGAGCGGCAGGAGGCTGATCAGGACGTCCACTTTGACGCCTGGAACCCGACGGGGCTGGGCGCTCGGGTGTGGACATTTTATTGTTGGGCATGCTGGGAGGAGTAGGCAGGGCGCCCGAGACATTACGGCCATTTCCTCTTCTGTTGCGGGGTCCCGATGGAATTTCATTTGGTGGCTGCAGTCGACCGTGATCCGCTTCTGGGCCAACTGGTGGTTTTGGTGGCTCTCTTGAGTCACCGCCAACACGATCACTTCGAGGACCTCTAGGAAGATCATCATGACGAGGGGGCTGTGGACCTGGACCAAAGTTACCAGAGCGACGCTCGTTGGGGAACCGCTCGGGGCGATTAGGCAATTCAGACCGTGGAGGCGATGGTCCACGCGGTGGATATGGGCGTCGATCATCCTTTTCTGGTCGAATGGGTTCACCACGACGCGGACCATCGGTAGGGCGATCCGGAAACTCAGGCATCAGCTCGGGCCGAGCAGGAGGTTCACGGCCATGGAACGAATCCGTGGTCCGCATACGGCCAGATCGATCCATCGGCCATTCTGGTTCCCGTGGCAGACGGCCCTCACGATACGGCGGCGGCCCACGCATCGGATCATCTGGAAGGGGTCTCATTGGGAATTCACGATCACGATCTGAAGGTCGTCCGTGACCTCGAATATCACCGGGAGGCCCATCGAATGGACGGCTATGATCTGGTCCTCCATGGCGAGTTCGCGGGTTGAAGTCGGGATGCCTGTCTCGTCGATCGTCCAACACATCGGGACGTGCAGGCAATCTACCCTCGCTTATGCGGGGGCGGCGTGCTTGCTCGCGAGGATTGATCCGTTCAGGCTCTGGGCGCTTCGGGATGTCGGCTGGACGGCCTGAATCGGGAGCTCGAGAGCCTGACTGCGATCTTGTCGGCTGGTCTGCTTGAACACGTTGTTCTGATGAAGGCTGGTCAATGGAAGGAGAGTCTACGCTGGTGTCCATAACAGTAGACGTATTTGCTGATTCTTGGGAGGCCCCAAATTGAGGTCCAGATTGTTGAGTCGCATCTCCCGCGTCAGGTGCAGAACCAGTGTCCATCATCTTCGCATCTTCAATCTCGCCATCTTCCACTTCCAGTTTGCCAGTAGCATCCCGTTTCGTAGAAGTCGAACTAATTGGTGCATGTTAGTTAAAGCGTAATCCAGATATTGATATTCAATGTATGTTGACTTACTCTTGAGCCGGAGGACTGAATTCGGGGGCTGTTGCATTCAGGTTTGTTGGGCCCGAAGATTGTGTTTGGCCGTCAAGAGGTTGGGAACCAGCTGGGGGCTTTCTTTGATCGACCTTCAGAGTGGTGAACTGTTGAGGAAGCATCCATTGTTTTTCTCGTCGGTTGAGATCTCCGATAAGCGAAGCGGCAGGAATCTTAACATCGTCTCTCTCATCGTTCTTGCTTAGGTCGGTCACGCAGGTCAACATCTGCTTACCCATGACGTTGACAGCCGGGTAATGTTGAACAATAGCCTTGAGAACACTGATGGCATTACGAATATGCATGTATTCGCCCCCAGTAAGACAGGTCTTGAGTACCTTGGTGAGCCATTCGTGCCACTTGTACAATAGACGCCCAAACTCAACGAAATTCAAGAAATGATCAGAAGGGATGTTTATGGCAAATCCAGGAAGGTCTCGCTTGGAGCCATATGCCTCTCTTTCGTAAACTGCTTTATCGGCATGCCAGCGGCCCAAATCACGCAGGACCTCGTTCAAAAACCGGCCCAGATTGTCTGCTTCCTTTGAGGTACAAAGGAAAATCAATGCAGTCAATCTCTGCTCGCGAAATAAATGGTCAATTAGCCCCATAGTCCGAAATTTCGGTGCTCCAGAGCTGTGTAAGAACTTCAGTAGTTTGAAAGAGAAAAAGGCGTCAGTGGGAGACAAGAGCAAGCGAGGAATGAAGCATTGTTCGAGTAAAGCAACATTCAGAACATCGTGATGGTGAGGCGTGGTAGTGAACCAGCTATCCTTCTCTTGGAGTAATCTTCTTCGGGTTTGGTCATAGGCCTTCAAGTGATTCTTATTCTCGTCTAAAATCCGATCCTGAAGCTGGGTGATATGTTTCTTCTCTTGTTCTTTGCGTCTCGTGCCAGCCATGCTGAGATCAGATCTATCGTTATTGATTGCCACAATGCGGCGCTTCAAGCGATCAATCTCATCTTCATAAGACCTCCCAGGAACGTGCACATCGTAGGGAGAAAGTTGCCAGAAAGTTGTATAGAAATGTGCTCCCACAACTTCCCAGATCTCAGACGGCAAAACAGATTTGACATTGTCGATCAACTCTTGCATGACAGCATTCGACGTCAGTGGTTCAGGAGAAGCACCTTCAATAGGAATGCCGTTTTCGTCCTTGTCAATGTCCATGCTTGATTCGGCTACATTTTCATTGGACTCGGCCACGGCTTCTCCTTCATCGCCGTTGTCCATTTTCACATCGTCAGAGGGCTGCTTATCTTTGTTCAATGATTCTGCCTCTTGTTTAGCACGTTCAACGTCGGCCATTTTTCGAGAAACGCTAGGGCGTCGAATCCAGAAGGCGACCTCCGGCTGGATACCAAATTCTTTGATTAAGGAGGCGAAGTCGGGGACAAAGGAATCAAACTCTTCTATAGACAAATTGCTGCGTAGTAGTTCAAGGTACTGAGTGAGAATGCGGTGAATCTCGTCAAAGATATTTCCAAGCAATTTGAGCTCGGACGAGGATTCTTTGAACACGCACGTCAGGCGTTCTTGAGCGATAGCAACCAGGAGCTGTCCAGCGAGACGAGTATGGGTCAATGACTTTATAAGCCGCCTAGATGTGTTCTTAGATTCATGCCGTTTATCCAGAAGTTGCAGAATTGTCTGCGCCTGAAGTAACTCTCCACCAGCCATGGCATGAATTTGGTTGTCATTGAGACTGTTGTCGGAAATAATACCAGCCATCGAAGTAATCAATTGCTCCAAGACAATCAAGTCGGTGGAATTGTTATGACGCAGCTGCTCTACGACATACTGTAACAGAGGAGCTGGGTCCATGACAGAATATCGCTTGAAGGTTCGACCAGCAAAAGTTGAGAGGGCGTTTAACCAACGACTTGTGAGCAAACCACCCTCTTGGACACGGCTTCTGCCCTTTTGACCCAGAGAGTTGATGAGCGACCAGGTCAAGATATCATAGCCCAGGTTTGTGAAATAACGAGCACACTCAACGACGACTTCGATGAGATTCTCATACGACTCGATCTGACTAACAGCCACGTTGATAACGATTCCAGGATTGGCATATGCAATCTTAGCCAGGGATCGGGCCATGGGCTTGACATTTGTTTTGCTCAACCTTTTGAGTACATCCTTGGTTTCAGCCTTTGCCTGATCAAATGCATCTTTGATATCAGGCAATCTAGAAGTTTGACCAGAGTACCACTCGGCGTACATATTGTATCGGACGCTGCGAGGAAAGAAGCTAATGAGGTCAAATATCTCATTCACGACACCAGGGTTGGCCTTCGTTAAGCTAACGGAAGGCAAAAGGAGGCGCTTGCACAAATCCAGCCAACGTGCTCTATTTCCATCCGAGTCATCTTCAGACAAGCTGGCCTTGCCGATACGCGCAAGCTTCGTCAAAAGACTGGCATCTTGTCCAATCTTATGTCCGGAAAGGTTGAGGAATGAGGAGCAAAGGGCGAACACGTCATCAACAGACTGACAGATCGGAACGTTGTCAGACCAGTCGTCCCAGTAAAAGCGATAGTCAGTACCATCATTTGTGGCATCTTGTTTGTCCAGCTGAGCCCAACGCAGGACGCGCCGCGGGGTAGGTTGGATGAGTCGAAGCTTGCCTTTAACCACACCTGCCTGGTCTGTACTTAAGATTTGTTGCTCCCCAGGGAAACCTTCAACGGAGGCTAGAGGACGGAGAGGGGTATAGACCTTGCTTAGGCAGTGGTGGATGATTCGATGAATGAATTCAGGCAGTTCGGGGTAGCCATCCATAAGCCAAGGGAATTTGCTCATAACGAAAAGAGCCTCCGGGATAGCGCCAATAGCTAAAAGGCTCTTCAAGAGCATGACCTTTTGGTCTGATGGCTCTGGAAGATCATTCTCCGTTTTTGTTGACTGTTTGTCGGCGTCCTGATCCTTCGATGGAGTGGCCATTCGAGTCTCAGATTCTCGGATACGAGATGGGGGAAGTGTGTCGTCTGATAGAGCACCAGCCATCATGAGAGCATTTATTCCACCTCCTGGTCGCGCAGCCTTCTCCCTCTCTGCTTTCTCTGTCATCTTCTCTGATTTCAACGCATCCATAGATTCATCGGATCTCCAAAGGTGAGCATAGAGATCGCGAAGGGAAATAAATCCAATCTTGATGAGAAGGGCAGCGAGGAATATCAGATTATGGGGCAGGGTATCAGATTTTGTTCGTGCATTTGAGGAATAGAAACGCAGCTTGAAACCAAGAAGTTGTGCAGCAACTCGATTGCCTTTAGGAGGCAGTGTTCCCGTCTCTTCGATCCACTGCTTGAGTGCGTCTTGCTCTTCGGGGAGGCTGTTCGCTTCCGGGAGAACTTGTTCCTTGTCTTGGTGGGAGAGTGGCTTGCGACCTATTTCGAAGAAGGCTTGCACTCCGACTTGGCGCACACGATCCCAGAAGTCTCGGTCGCGCTGCTCATTAGATTTCATGATGTTCGTACGTTCCTCTTCCGTTGTGACCCATACTGGCGATCCGGGAAGCGCCCAGTTGGGTAAGCCAGAAGCACAACGAATTCCTTCAACTGCGTAGAGCGGATCTTCCTTGGGCCACCACGAGCTGGCGCGGAGCAATTTCACAAAAAAGCGATACTGCTTTACCAAGACAGCCGCGAATACGTCCAATGTCACGTCCAGTACGCGGCCCACATCCATATCGAAGGCTCCGACCATCGCCTTCACTCTTTCAAATGTATCTTGAACAACTTCACCCGTTGGCGGTTCATTGTTACTTGTTGTGAACAGCTCTGTGAGAAGCTTCGAGTATCCTTCAGATTCCTCGCGCAGCAAATTGTAGTTTGATTGTCGGTAAAGCAGGTTGGTCTGTTTGCGAATTCCCATGCGTGCAAATGTCTCCCGAACCAGACCCAGCGACTGTAGTAGAGGAGTATCAAGCTGAAGACGCATAAGAGAGGATGGTATCGAGGTTGCATACACAAGCGGTCTTAGAGCAGGATTGGATGTGTCGGCGTCTGTGAAAACGGAGAGCGTGTCCAGAAACAAAGAGCGCGAGTCAAATTCCAAAGTCGAGAATTTGCGTTCTTCACCTCCCATTTTGACATCATCCGATGCAACTTCATCTCCGATAATATCCTTAACTGTAGAACCGGCCTCGAACGGAGGGAGGCGGTCATAAATCGCAGATCGAATGAGCTCCTGGTAAATCGATGCTAGGCGTGGCAAATCCTGCTGCGATCGAGCCGCATGTCCTACCTCGACAACCTTACCCTTTCCATTCGACGACCACTCTTTCACGATAGTATCTGTAACGTACTCGTAGTCATAGGGAGGGGGTGGCCTGGCGGGGCGACTGACAACAGTATCAGGTCCAGCTTGGGAGGAAGGTCGCGGTGGTGCGTTTGAGACGAGAGTGTTGGGTGCCGAAGAGGGAGTTGGCTGAGCGACCGCAGACTCACCATTTGTCTGCGAAGGCTCTGGCGCATCCTTGGGCTGGGCTGGTGGCGGAGGAGACATCGCGCTTTGTTCTCTTTGCTGGGAACTCGAAAAATTTTGGTTATCGTGAGACCGGCGGCGGGAATCGTTTCGAGGACCGCCTCCGCGATTCGACTGTCGGCGATATCGGTCGCGCCCATCGTGTTGGTCTCGAGATGGACTCGATTGGTGTCTACCGTGTCCTGCCATGTTGAGAGTACCTGGGCGATGGGGCGACGGTCGCGGACCTTCGTTGTTCACAGAATCGCTGGACCAGGTGCGCTCGTTGCGCTTTCTCTTTCCTCCCTGCCCAGGCGCCATAGGTGATATATGGCGAGTTCAGACGCTGAGGGCAGAGATGGTGGGTTGAAAGGCCTGTAGGTTGCAGCTCATGGGGTTGACTCTGTAAGAACCGCGTAGGGCGATTGTCAGCAATTGGAATGTCGATAAAAGCATGCAAGCTTCAGATCAAACGAGCCATATTGTATCATACCAGTCATAAACTTCATCAAAGAATCGATAATGAGGCTGCGCGGCGCAGAGAGCAGCGATGGGGATGAAAAACGTCGGCTCCAAGCTTGTTCGGGAGCAAAGACAGAGCCGGTGAATATTCGTGCCTGAGGTGTCAATGGCCATCCGGAGTATTCACCGACGGGGCTAGTACAAAATCAGTATACAAGAGACCACAACATGAAAGAAATCGAATATACAAAGGGTGTAGTGAATTAAAAGAAAAGAATGTATGCCTGAGTGAATATGTATACCTACTTTTCGAGCTACCTGGTTTTCGAGCCTCAAACTGTAGCTTTGCTTGGGTGGGGAGTATCATTCTGCCTAAAGACTATTTGTATGCAGCCATGGCCATCATCTATGTACCTAATGTATCCCCAAAACTGCCAAGCCACAACTATATACACAGCCCTGGAGCCCCACGGCGAGACATGGCTGTGACAGTAATACTGGGTTGGGTCAAACTATCAATTGAGACATTTCAAAAGATTGGGACGTTAGGAAGATATCGTTTTTGGTTCATTTCCTAAATATCATAGATAATCGTGGAGCTCATATTATAACACGAAATAAATGACCTTTACAGCCCGAGACCCTTCGCTTCAAGAGCAACAATATCCGGAATCAAGTCAATTAACTTTGGCTGCTTAGGCTCCCAACCAAACAGCTTTCGTGCACGAATAGCATGGCCACGAGAGTTTGAGCCCCAAGCATAGAGACCGACAGAAAGGATTTCCGAAGTTCCCTTCGCATCCAAAGTCTCAACTTCAGGCGACTCGATATACTTTTGATCAAACGCAGCTTTAGCCACGGCGCGCTGAACATCACCCCAGACAAATGAGCCATTTTCAGCGAAGTAGTATCCTTCATCATTCCAGGTGGCCTTGCCGCCGCCCTCGCTAGCGGCATCACCCAGGGCGAGGTAGACATTGCTCAGATCCTGAACATGGACCTGGTGCCAGACGTTCTCGCCCGGCCCAACTAAGAAGCCCTGACCGCGCTTGATCACAGCTGAGCTGAGTAGATAGACTTGAACACTCTTAGTGTTTCCAGGTCCACGGCCCGGTCCGTAGATTGTTGGGGGACAAACGATAGCGGTGCGAACACCGGTTGGGTTGCCCTTGCCAGCATTAATGATGATTTCGTCGACATTTCGGTGCAGCGCATCTGCGGGCAGATTGACAAGCTCATTGACACCCTCCCAGTCGTTGTATTCCTTAGTACGATTGATGCCGTATGTGTTTGCGCGTTGGTCCTCCACAGTCAGAATGCCAGTTCCGGAGGTATGGATGATCCAGAGAGGTCGCTCGGGGGTGTGGTGCTTGGCGCCTTTAGCAATTGCCTCTGCTGAAGCGACGTGGTCGCAATCCGCAAAGTCTAGAAATTTATTCATGAGCTGTAGTCAACTCGTAGGCGCCCAATTATGAACTTACGGAAAACAATGTCGGCTTTCTTCACCTCTTCCTCGATGGTGTCGGCGGAGTCGAGGTCGCCGTGTACAACTCGGACCTTGGGGTATTTGCTGGAAACCACAGAGGCCTTCTCCTTGTTGCGAATTAGAGCTGCAAACTCCCAATCAGGGTGGGCATTAGCGACGGCGTAGAGACCGTCTCCGCCAATATAACCGGTAGCACCAGTGCTATAAATTTGGTTAGACAAGAATGATTGCTACCGTAGGTGGGGTGGGTACTAACATGAAAACTTGAGGAGCCATGCTGTAGATGAATGTGATTTCTGTCTTCGAATATAAAGAGTTGGAAAAGAGAGAAGAAAGCAGAAGAGATGAAGTCGGTTTAGAGCGATTTCTATTGCTTTGAAATCAGCTTAATGGAGGAACTTGGTCCGAGATGGAGACCAAGAGTGGGCAAAAGTGGGGTTGTGCTCATAGATGATCCGATGTCATGTCATGCTGTGTATGCTTGCAAGACAGTGAGCTACCCTAGTGCTGCTACCCCAGTGATCTATCTACATAAATTGAAGCTAAGTTCGATCTTGCGTCAGATGGACTGTCTTGAATATTGTCAAAGATAAACAATTTAACCCCACAAAAATAGTATATGAAGCTTATTTAGAATGGCGGGGAGCTAGGTAGGTATTTTTGCCTGAGGTGTTAACATCTTGCTTCCCCCACTTATGCGCAATGATGTGATTTATAAACTCATTCTACTTATGGTCTCGGCTTTAAATTCAACGTGAAGACTTCCCCTATGCCGACCCCATTCAAATCTAATTTGTTCGGGCTCACCTGAAGCAAGTACGCGAAGAAGCCCACGTTCTTCGAGATCCTGAAAGATCTCTTTCTGAAATTGATACTCCTCATATTCTCCAGACTTTGGCACTTTCACCACGATATGAGAATACACTCGTAAACGTAAGATAGCCTTCCACTCTATATCCAGTGAGCACGGGGGAAATGATGCTGGGTATCCAAATCCATCAGTAATGGATATGAATGGGAAATGAATAGCAGTAGTAAAAAAGAAAGCCAAAAAGCAAGTTCTTTGTACTTCAGGGGAAAGACTAAGAATGAAAGAATCAATGTGGGAAAGGGGAAGCCAGATCAGACATGTCAAATTCTTCGCAATGTTGTATAATTGCAGTATCTAAGACATTATACACAGTGGAGGATAGTTATAGGAGATGGGACCAGCTCAATCGAACCCAAACGCATACAAAGTTTGATTATTGGAACATAGAGTTGCCTAGTTCAAAGATATCGAATTACTAGTGCCAAGTCAATCAATATGCACGGGCATCGGGAAACTATCTGAGATATCTTCTTTTGGCACATATGCAAGCCATACGAGGCCTTAGCGCGGCATCAGTTGGCGTTTTCATTGTTGGGTACACTTAGATACAGATATAGCAAAACTTTTGGAACTAAGCTGCCTGAAGATACATATAATTAAAGGTTCAAATTTAAATCACGACAGCACAATGTTAAGATTATTGTACTTGGCAATGTACTTACAATCTTGGAACTTGGATGTACCTCCTCTTTAATCTAGAGACGGCAGGTGAGATCCGGTAGTCCCCGACAGGAATTGCGGGTCTTGCTCGGGACTCTTTCTCTATTTACAAACCCGACCTTGAAATACTTGCAGTCCCCGGCCCTATCCCTTTTTTAACCTTTGTGCCATTTCCTGTTTAGTCCCGCTGCCCCCAATAGCCCACCTAGGTAGTCTGTGTGGTATCAGATTCCCCGCATGATGTCAACCCCCGGGGCCCCGGAAGTGTAAACCCCGCAATCCTGGGGATAAATAGCATCTACTCATACCCCTGAGATAACATACTTCCAATATATATTGAAAACATCAATCTCCTTTAAGAACCTACTACTGTATCTCTTGCAAGATGACCTCAGGAAGCTGTGCATGTCACTACATTCGCTACACAAGCACGTCCACCCCAACAAGACTGGTGAATTGTCATTGTACCACATGCCGTAAACAAGCCGGCGCCCCATATCAAGCCTTTGTGCACTTTCCCATTGGAGCTATCAAATGGGAGGTAGAGCCCACAACATGGAAGTCTAGTGAGACCGCCTCACGAACGTTTTGTCCCAAGTGCGGCTCAACTATGAGCATGGTTTTGGACGCAGAGCCTCATCAGATTGGGATTGTGGCGGGAACGGTAGACGATGCGTCACAGATACCGGAACCGAGTGATCATATTTTCTTGGAGGAGAAGGTACCCTGGTATGGTCTTCCTGCCGATGGGACGGGGAGATGGCAGGCCTGGAGCCAGTAGTTTGCGAAGTGTTTTATCATGATGTTGAGCGATTAGTAGCTGGGGTGTTAGGGTGGGAAGAGTGTGGAGATGTTTAGGAGCGAGGTTGTTTGATTTAAATATGTGTAAGTAGTGAGTGGGATTCGAAGACTAGGAGTATCCAATGGATGATAGGATTTGGGCTCAAAAACTACAAAGTAAAGACATGTTAGGAGACATGAGTGTAAGGAAAAAGGAGAGAGCCAGTGGCAATCGCTGAGTTGTGTTCAGGATACATGTACAAAATCAATAGAAGAAGGTGCCTCGATCAAAATGTACTGGTAGCCAGGCGGCTGGCGGCATTGCGAGCATCCAGTCGATCATCATCATCCTCTGCAATGGAATCAACCTTACTTGTAGAACGCACGCGTCCTTGGCCAGATTTGCCTTCTTCACTATCCTCATCATTGAGAGCAGGTGCAGTAAAGCTGCCGCTCATACTGCGGCCCATGCTGTCAGTACGACGGGGCACGCCGCTCCAGGAGTCACCCTTAGGGCCCTGGCTAGATGCAACATTGGGTCGACGTTGTGCTGGATGAGCCTCCCGGCCCAGCCGACTCAAACCACCGGAAGCGTCAATAGATCGGATATCGGGGCGGACACTCTCGAGCGTTGCCAAAGTTCGCCGCTCTGCATCGATCTGGCGCAAAGTGTACTCTCGAAGACTAACAAGAAGTTCATCCGTGGTGCGATCGAACCAGCGACGCTTCTCTTGCAGTAGGTTGGCAGTGACACGCTGAGTGCGTTTGGTCAGGTATTCTTCGTGGTTTTGAGCCTCCTCGAGGGCACTGATTGCTTCGTCAACCTTGTCTGGGCGAACTGATGAGCTGACTTTCAGTCGATCAGCGGCGGCGCGCTTGCTGCGAGCATTTTGCTGGGCTTGGAGGAGCTCGCGAAGTAAAATGTGTCGATTTGTCAGGGTCTCCTTAACAATGAAGGCATCCGAGGAGTGGTAGCTCAATGGCTCCCCGAGGGTTGTGGCTTCTGCGGTAGCCTGTACTGCATGATAGTCACCCACGGTCTGAATAACTTTGCCCAATTTGCGATAAGCGGTGCCCAAGCCAGGATGCGTTTCCTGTACGCTCAGCTGACCAATCTTGACGCCAAAATCGGATTCAGCCAATCCGAGGCCTAGAAAAGGTCAGTTTCCTCTTTGTAATATAAAGATACAATATTGTTGCAAGGCATACCTCGACGGCCTTTGACGACTCGGTCTACTTTATGGCTAGAGTCCATTGCTCCCAAGTAAAACATCTTAACCGCAGGGCGAGAAGCTTGGAGCTCGGGGGTATCATCGGGGGGAGGTGCAAATTGCTTCAACATCTTGCGCCGGACACCAGTAGCTGGCTGTTTCATGCGGACCACCGGACTGTAGCCGAAGTCGCTCTCGACGAAAAGCACGACCTCATCATCTTGAATGAGCACTTCATTACAGAGAACAGCATTCAACCAGCGCTGCATGGATGCTTTGATGCGGGCTTCATCTTCGTCGGTACCGGCGCCGGCTGGGGTCACTGGAGGAGGCACGGCCGGGACTAGAGCTTCGGGGTTGGCTGAGATCAGATGGTCGGCGAGCTTTGTGAATTCGGCGTGGGTTCGGCGGACATCACGATACTGGGTTGTGCGGAACTTGGGGATATTGGTCTGGATAAAAACAAATAAGCATCAGTCCATCGGCTCGGCGGAGCGCACCTGTTGACAGGGGAGGGGGTAAAGGACTCACGTGGATATCGAAACGGAGAATAGGATCTTTCTTGCCTGTCCTCTCTAGGCCAGTGATCTTTCCTTGGATCTTATACTGCGGTGCTGGGGGTCGAGAGGGTTGACGTAGTCCAGTCTGATGACGTGCGGGGGACTGCGATTGCTGCTGGTCTCCGGTTGAAGGGTGCTGCGTCGCAAACTGAGGCTGTCCTTGGGCATAATCGGGGTCTCCCAATTGGGCACTTTGAAGCTGCGCAGAGAGGTCTGGGGATTGTGGTGCTCCTGCTTGGCTTCCATCCGCTTCCTCCGCAGACTGCTCGTGGCTTGGCAACGGGGATGATGGGATGTCGCTATTGTTGGAGGTGGGGAATGTATTGCGGTCAGCGCGCGGAGAGCCCCAGGGCGAGCCCTCCACGGGGTGCTCGGGATCGTTGGAGATGTTTGAATAGTCCATTGCTGTCTGAATGTGATATAACAAGTGCCTTCACGGGGATCAAAGGGGCGGGTGCAGCTAGTGGAGAGTAGGCGTCAGTACTAATGGCTGGAGATCGACCCCCACAGTAATCGTCAACTAGTTCCAAGATGGGCTGAGCGTACCTGAGGCAGCTTGAGTGAATATGAACAAGTGCTTTCAATTGCGCATGCCAATTGGCAAAATCATCAAAAAAGAGGAAACAGGTAGCAGTGGCGCAGTCGAGGATTGGTGTTTGTACAATGGGGAAAGAGAGTGAGGTTGGAGTGAGTTACGTAGGGAATGCCAAGGCCGCCTTCAACTCCAAGTGGATTTTCCTCTTACTCGCTCCCTCAACGCACCCGATCTATGAGCATTTACGGCAGATCCTCGATGTCATTTAATTCATAATTTGCACATATCATATATGGGTATCATCACCAGCCAATGGTTGTAGCTCCGTTGTTGCGTCTCCCTCTGACGGGAGTGCGCTGTGTGGGCCGTTCTTATAAGCCGCAATTCAGCGCTGTAAAGCGTGATATTTGCCCCCAGAGCTTGCAACTGAATATTGATCGAGCCAAATCGTTTTCTACATCTCTTTCAAAATGTCAGATCCAAGATTTGGACCGAACGCGAAATATTGGGATCATTGCCCACATTGATGCGGGAAAGACCACCACAACAGAGCGAATGTTATTCTACAGTGGTTTTACTCGGCGTATTGGTGATGTGGATGAAGGATCTACCGTGACAGATTTTCTTCCCGCCGAACGTGCGCGCGGAATCACGATTCAATCCGCTGCGATCACTTTCCATTGGCCTCCTGGTGATGGTGCCGACGGTCAACCGGCTATTCAGGATTCATCTGCTCCTCGATCCGCCAATTCTCATACCATTAACCTCATTGATACCCCTGGACACGCCGACTTTACTTTTGAAGTTTTGCGATCTCTGCGTATCCTGGATGGCGCTGTTTGTATTTTGGATGGCGTGGCTGGTGTCGAGGCACAGACAGAGCAGGTCTGGAACCAGGCCAGCACCTACAAGATTCCTCGAGTGATCTACGTGAATAAATTAGATCGCGATGGTGCTGCATTCGGCCGGACTGTGCGAGAAGTAAGCTCTCGTTTAGCTGTTTATCCAGCTGTCTGCCACATTCCATGGTTTGAAGGCGGTGATGGATCATTCGTTGGCGTGGCAGATGCTGTGAATCTCCAAGGCTTACGATGGAAAGAAGGGGAGGATGGACGCTCTGTGAAAATGTCGAGTCTCGAGAAATTGGATGCAGAAGAGCCAACTCTGGCCGAGGAACTCCGCCGAGCACGTATTGCCTTGGTTGAGCTCCTGAGCGAAGAGGATGAGACGATCGTGGAAAGGTTTTTCGAATGTGACGAAGATCATTTGGCAGTATCCCCAATGGACATTGTCGACAGTCTACGGCGATGTGTATTGGACCCGACCAGTCGAATTGTGCCTTTGTTTGCAGGTGCTAGTTTCAAAAATATGGGTGTTCAGCCTCTGCTTGATGCTGTTGTGAATCTTCTTCCCAGCCCACCAGAGGCAGCAGATCCAGAGGTGAGCATTGGAGGTGTTACGGGGGGGCTCCGTCAGTTGCTTTCGGGTGATCTCATCGTGAAGCAGAGCGAGCAAATCTCCCAATCCTCCAAGGGCAAGAAGAAGAAGAAGATTTCTTCTTCGGTGGACCCCAAGGATGCGATTTCTAAACTTGGAAGCTGTGCATTGGCATTCAAGGTGGTAAATGATGCCAAACGTGGTGTTTTGGTCTACGTCCGTGTCTACTCTGGGTCACTGGATCGGAACAGCTTGTTGTTCAACACCAATCTTCACTTATCTGAACGTGCACCTCGTCTATTGAAGATGTACGCCAATGATGCAGTGGAGGTTGACTCTATTCCTGCTGGTCACATTGGTGTTGTAGTTGGTCTCAAGCATGCACGAACCGGCGACACGCTGGTATCTTATGCCGGCAATAAGCCAACGCCCCCTGAACCTCTAACTAGCCTTCAGCTGCGTCCAATTGTTGTTCCACCGCCAGTATTCTTTACTAGTGTAGAACCGCATAGTCTGAGTGAAGAGAAGCGAATTCACGAGTCCCTTCAACTACTTCTGAGAGAAGACCCTAGCTTGCACGTCACTGTTGACGAAGAGTCAGGCCAAACCTTACTAAGTGGAATGGGAGAACTGCATCTTGAGATTGCCCGTGACCGCTTGATCAACGATATGAAAGCTAAGGCCTCTATGGGCCGTATCGAGATTGGCTATCGGGAGAGTGGCACTGGTGCTTCAGGTAGCATCACCAAGATCTTCGACAAGGAGGTTGCAGGTCGTCGAGGCAAAGCAGGTTGTACCGCCATGATTGAGCCGTTCAATGGGGAGGCCAACTCTGAAATAACGGACGAGGATACAATTCTCACAAAACTCATTGACGGCAACCACATTATCATTCGTGCCCCTGGCTTACAAGTGGAACGCGTCAGAGATGAAGAGGAGACTAGCCCCTTCCTTCCACCGGGCATGGATTTGGAGACGCTTCGGACAGCGTTGCAGAACGGGGCCTTGGCCGCGCTGGCTCGTGGCCCTCAATTTACATACCCTATGCACAATACTCAGGTCATCCTCACAATCAACCCCGCAGAGCATCTCTTCGGCAGTGACACCACAACCTCTGCCCTGTCCGCTGCCGCCCGTCAGGCTACCTCAGCCGCGCTTCGAGATCTCGTTGCTGGACCTGGTACTGTCATGATGGAACCATTAATGAATGTCAGTATCAGCGTCGACGAGGCAAGTCTAGGTTCCGTCGTCCATGACATCTCCTCATCGCGTGGTGGACACATTCTTTCGCTGGACGAGGATGTACCAGTATCTGCAACTGATGCCTCGGGTTCAGGATCCATTTCGGAAGACCCTCTTCCTCCAATTGATCCCAAGCGCGTGTATGCTCCAGCAGATCCATTCGAATCTTCTTCCGTTGACCTGGACATGCCTATGTCTACTTCAAACCAACGTACCATCACAGCCAAGGTTCCTCTGAAGGAGATGGTGGGTTACCTGAAGCACCTCCGCAGTTTAACTGCCGGTCGGGGAACCTTTGTCATGAGTGTAGACCGATTCGAGAACATGTCAGTTCAGCGACAGAAGGCTGTACTATCTGAGCTTAGAGGTGGCTTTTAATCCTGCAAACAACCAGGAAGGGAAAGTAGTCTCCGCCTTTCGCGCCCTGTACTTTACAAGTTCCGATGTAAATATCTCAAATGTACTATTATCTTTATGCCACATTTACTATTTCAAAATTCTCCCAATGTGGAACTTATCATCGCTCAAATTTGACAATTTCCACGGCCCTTTGCCTTGGCTAATTCCGTGTAAGAAACCCAAACCATGGCATGGAGTAGACAATTCTCAATCACAATCCATATAGATCCGCAAATGGATCCACGGCTGAGTCTTTATGCCGTGTGTGTTCTAACCCATCGGCTATTCCCTGTGCTGTCCCTTCTCCATAAAGATGCTCAATCCAGGCAAGCGTCACATCAATTCCAGCGCTCACACCAGACGAACTCCAAATGTTACCATCGGTGACCCATCTCGCCCGAGGAACCCAGTACACCTTCGGTCCCAAAGCAGTAGTCTCCTCCCATGCTTTCTTGTTTGTCGTGGCTCTTCTTCCATCAAGTAATCCCGTTCGAGCTACAAGGCCTGATCCATTACAAACGGTGATCAGATATTTGAGCTGCGGATACACGTCTCGGATGAAAGCGATGGTCCCCTCAATTAATGGACTCGAGACTCGCGTGCCCTGACCTCCTGGAACAATCAGGACATCGAGAGGAGGCGGAGTTGTAAATGTATGAGTTGGCACGACGGATTGACCGGTTGCCCCTGGGCAAAATGGCGATCTCGTTGTGACTGGTTCTAGTGTTGCTGATAGAAGAGCGAGAGACACATTCTCTGTCCAGGACAGGTCATTAATGCAGTTGAGAGGACCGAATGCATCAAGGGCCTCGAAGCCAGGGAATAATACTATTCCAATGCGAAGGGGGTCGGTTTGCGCGGAGTTGCCTTAAAATAAATTAGCACCTTGAACTGGTGTCATCATGTATCCACGCAGATCATGATAGTGCAGGTGGGTCTGATTAAAGTAGAGTTTTAAGAGACATACCTGACATTATGTAGCACGGCCTTCAAATGGGTGTCAAAGAGATATTCAATGGATGGGAATAAGAAATTCTAGACACAGCGGGGTAGATCACGGTTTAAAAACTGTCGGGTGCCTGAAACAACAACTTGAAGGCTCTGGCGGAATTGCGAGTCATGAGATTCAAGTTGCCTCAAGAGGTGAACACCAAACCTTGTTTACGAGAAAGAGTCCTCTTGAGATCTCAATCTGAATAAAGTAAGTGCAAAATAATTGTTGCTGATCGTTTGAAGATGCGTTATTGTGACAGCGGGAACAGCGTAGACACTCATTTTGTATAGACCAATGGCGCAATGTAGCTTTGATTACCGCGATCAATTGATATTCAGTAAGTTACATGGATTTCCACAGAACCTTGAAGAATGGCCCCGCCTTGTTTATAGGCCCCCGGGGCCAAATCACTCCAACACTAATCAAATCCAGTACTCGAGTCTCTGAGCTCTTCGTGCTTCTCTTCATCCGCCAATTCAAATTCAAACCCTTTCAACAATGTACTCATCAATTTAGAGATATTGGTTATAGTCATTGTCTTCCCAGTATAGTGTCTCCTAAAAAATATTTATTTTCAAGCTTTCAGTTTTCCTATATCTACGCTGAAAACACCCGAAGACTCAGTAGCGCTCTTTTCTTGCATGACATATTACGCACTGCGCGCTACGTACTACCCCGACGCATTTCACAAGGCTTCGTGATACATGATACATGATAGGACATGGGAGATGCACCGTATGGGGATAGGGATGGCCCGATCACCATCCAGATCGAAGTGAGTCATTGCTCCCTTCAGACAGGAACGCAAGCTGATTCTCTATAGCCTTTTCAAAACGCTCTCTCAAGATATCTGGGCGCAAATATTGGACCAAATTTCACCCTCTGATAAAGCATCTGTGCTGGCCACGTGTCGAGGCCTGCGACTTTCCTCCGAGGGATCATTATATCGCCATGTCGATATTGACTGGGTCAGACCTCCCCTTAGGCGGGTCCTAATGTTATTCCGCGTCATCTATCAACGTCCAGAGTTAGCTGCACAGATTGAACATCTAAGCATGGTATCCTCAAAGATGGATTACCCAGGCAAGGACCATCACTGGGACGAAGAATGGGTGCCTCCCCTATTTAATGGTGACTGGAAGGACCTCTCATCTCACTTTCAAGACGAGGTCAAGGTTGCAAAGGACATTGTTATTAGATCGCAGCTCCCCTCATCGGAAGTATGGATCGATGCGCTGGAAAATGGTAATCCATATGCGTTTGCGGCTATTATCATTTCTCAACTCCACAACCTACGGTCACTACGACTGGATTACACTTTTGTGTGGCAATCTGGATTTCCGGGTCTGATAGTGAGACATGCTCTTCTTTCGGTATCCCTAGAAACATTATCTCGATTTTCCAACCTCTCCTATGTTGAGTATGGTCTGAACGTCCCACCTCCCAGATCCTACCATGATGCGCTAAACAACTTCAACCCTATTGATGCACTTCCTCTTTGCAATCCTGAGCAGTTTGCAGGCTGGTTCTATATACCCTCTCTGGTTTCCCTGCAACTCTGGTTACAAAGTTTAAAAGGTGTTGGTGATAGACTGAGCAAGCTAGGTGGATCAAGCAAGCTGGCCCATTTAGCTAACCTCAAAATATTTTCCTTGGTGGAATCCTCTATTACAGAGACAGAGATCAGAGATATCTTATCACACCTTTCTTCGGTGAGAAGCATTCATTTGGGTATCAACTATCCTTCTGAGAATGATAAGGGCTACTTCCAAGATTCTTCCCGACCTCCTCTAAGCAAGCAAGAACAAGGTGCTCTTTTTGAGGGAATCATGAGTATAAAAGACACAGTCCAAAATATTTCTATTGGCCTTGAGCTCTGTCCATTATTTTGGGTTACCCATGTGGACGAGCGGGGGCACGGGAGCATTCAAGAAGGATTGATCCCATTTCAAGGGTTCTTAAAAGAGTTCCCCGTCCTTGAAACAGCAGAACTACCAATAGTTATGCTTTTTGGTTGGGATCATAAAAAAGCACCGCAATTGGCTGATTTGGTACCCTCGACTCTTCAGAAGCTTTGTCTGCGAGATAACCTGGAGGGCGTGGCTGATTACCAGTGGGATATGTACGAGACGACGAGAGTTCAAGATCTGATCAAAGACTTTCTTCCCTGCGCACACTCTATGGCCCCACACCTCAAAACAATTTCGATACGCACCTTGAATGCATTCCCGCCCGAGGATTTGAGACAAAACTATGCGCTGCCTTGCCGGGAGTCATGCGAGAAACTCGGCCTGGACATTGAAATCACCCAGATCAATGATCATCTTTCGCCTGGGCTTTGGACTACGCGCTGATGTCCTATGTTTTATCCACGGTGGCCACTAATATCACTTCTTGAAGGTCTATAGGCTAAATAGACACCTTTACAAGTAATAAATAGCATGTATCGCACGAAAGGACGAGGAGAAGGAAGTCTCTAGCTTGCTTTTCATACCAGAAATGTGATATACGAGCCTCATTTTACTGAGCCCCTCCATTTAACACAGGCTTAATAACTAATCTGCGCGAAGGTCTTAGCAGTAGGGCCAGATAAGAGCTTCTCAGTCCCAATAAAACATCTGTAGAAACCCGCTGTGGAATCTACTCCGGCCATTATCCATACCCCGGAATCGGAGTCGGCGCACTATACCTATTGGGGACTAGTCCACCGATGAATGGCTATATCCCAGGCCACTTCGCGTTCAACAAGAAAAGAAGCTCATTACACACCACTCGTTCTTACAAGAGCTCTCATATCTGTGTTACAATGACAGACAGGGTTCGTCGAAACGGTCAACTTTCGTCGTGCGAGCCATGCCGACGATCGAAACTCCGTTGCGATCATGCAAGACCATATTGCAGTCGATGCGTACGCCGCAATCGCTCCCAGAAATGCTACTACCATCCATCACCGTCCACTCGAGGCGCAGACTCATACACAGGAGCATCAACGTAAGAAATTTGATTCTTTATTATATAGAAAACATGAATATAATGAGTACAGCGTACCCCCACCCGCACCCCAAATCCACCCTGTCACACCTTCGACCCGCACCTTAGCCTCGTCAACCGAAGATTGCCCAAGTGAAAGTGAAAACTACGGTCGTGGAACTGGGCTAGTAAGCCTCCAAAACTCTTTGACGCCTTTCGCAGGCTCTAATGATGCACATTCGCGTCGTTCATTCGCATACTTAACCCGAACAAGCATATGTACCCCCACCCAGCCATACCCAGTAACACCAGCTACAATCACACAAGGTGTAGAGGTTCTTCGATGTCTTCTTGATTTCAATGCAGATTTCCCCGAAGTTGCCCGTGATCAAGGAGAGACGGGAGCAATTGAATCTTGTGGCTCGTTTCTTTTCAGAGCAGCATGGCGAGCGACACAAAGTACTCTTCGAAAGCTAGAGTCTAGGCCATCGTTAGAGCAATTAACAAGTGCTGTTCTATCAATATTTGAACAAACTGCTCTTCCGCTTCAACTTCCTCTATCAGCAGAAAACAATGCCATTGAAGAGGCACTCTCCGGCAAATCGCTTCGTTGGGAGACCGTCAGCATGTGTTTTATCCGAATTGTCTATTTCAGCGCAACATTGAGAACAAACAGACATAGTTCACATGGCAGCACCCCTCCAAACTTTGACCACCAAAAGACGATGCGTCTAGCATTTGAATCCTGTATGCAAACGCGGGCATTCTGCGACCAAGTTGATCAGACAAATGATTTAACAGTGTGGGTATTAACATCACTAATCATCCCTGCTACCTGGTGCTTCGGAGACGACTCTCTCCGAGCTTGGCGCTTAATGGGCGATCTATCATCAGTGATAACAGCTCTTGGTTTCCACAGAGGCTTCAGCGGTGCTACATCAGAACCGCCCTACTTAATAGAACTTCGCAAGAGAGTCATAGCACTTGCGCACGAGCACGATAAAGAACTATCAACATTTGTCGGACGACCTCCACGACTAAACCAGAAATACTTTACATTTGATCTCCCTCTCGACTTGCCTGATTCAATTATCACAGGACCCGTCGAGCAGTTCGAGGCCGCTAAAGCCAACCTTGACAAGAACGGATGGAGTCATGAGGTCATGGTTCGTCCTGCTTCGCGTCTTCGCGCCCTCCTCTTATTGAGTTCTGCCCGTGAGGGTGTCTTGGAACTATCCCTTGGTCTATCAGAGAAGAATATTGCTCAAGAAGCTAGGTAATTGTTCTCTTGCAATTACCAACACTAAGTCTGTAGTCGTTGACCTTTTTCAATAGAAGACTTTTGGCTGAATTGGCTTCTGCTTGGGAAAAAATTCCTCACAAGCCTTATGAACAATTACTAAGTGGTACTTTGTCCGCATGTGCTATGTGGGTGGTAGTAGGGTCTTGGTTCAAATATCTATATACCGAGTTCCTTTTGCATAAGCTACTTATAAGCCAGAATGAGGGCAATCGCGATAAAATGATACGAATATCGCATGCGATTCTTCAGCTAGCTCTTTCACTGTTCAGGAAGAATGACGTGATATCCACACCGAATCTTGAAGCAATAGTAGGTTACAGTTACATAGAACCTTTCAGTACCAACTTGAAGCCAAAACTTTTCATACTAATTCAAATATTCTCATAGATGGTGTTCTACGCAATGCCATGTGCGTGCATCCTCATTTTAGAGCTATTTCGACAGAGTCGCCAGGATCCTAGTTCTGCATCCCTTAACACGCTCAATCGATCGACGATCATTCAGGATATAAGCGTTCTGATATCATGTTGTGACTCGGTAGCTATATTTGGACAGAGTAATTATCAGATGTGCAAGCAGGCCCAGACTGTTTTCAAGCGTTGTTTAGATCGGATTTTGGACCCGGCTGCGCTTCCTTCAAGTTCTCATGGTTTAATCTGTGAAACCGGGACAGAAGTGCAAGATCCTCAGGTTATATCTCTCGGCTCTGTGGACTTTGGTTTGACGGATTTATATCCTAATGATCCGGACTGGTCTGTGTGGCTTGAGTCTTTTGATCTATATGAAACATCGTTATAATGTGAGCCATTGCGGCCAGATGCCTGAGATTATAAGTATAAGGACACATGCCATCTAGGGCTATCGAAAGCCAGGTAGTAGCCACTGACAGTCTATATATAATACCTCTCTATTTGTTGCGGAGGCTCGTTATTGCCGAGCAAGGTAAATGACTCAAGACACCTAGGTACTAGCAGAAACAGACTTAAGAGGAACAACACTACACAACATACATCATGGCATCCCGTAAGTTGCACGCACATAAAACACAAAAGATCCTAAGACATGAAAAAGGTAAAAAACGCCAAGTATATATATTTACCAATTATCATCCCATTCATCCTTGCCCTTAGCATTTGACGCTGGGGCACTCTCCGTATGCTCTAGTCCAGACGGAGCGGTAGATGTCTCAGCACCAGCCGTGGTAGAGTTAGCCAATGAAGAACCTGACCCAGGCATCTTCCGCATAGCTGCTGTGCCAACAACGTCAGATCGAGAACCTCCCCGTCGATGACCTTTCTGCTCTGCACCAAGGGAGGAGAGGTCGTCCCAGAAATCTCGGCGTTCGGGATCAACACGGCCTTGAGAGGCTTGACCGGCTGGTCTACCGTCTTCTCCTTCAACGAAACGGTTGAATTGATCTGCTGCACCGCGGGCACCAGCTTGTAGGTTCTGGCCCCAGTTAGCGGCCTGTACACGGGCCTGAGCCGCAAATTCGGACTCGGCAAGCTGTGTCTGTTAGCTGAGGACATAAATGATTAAAGATGGGAGCAGATACGTACCTGCTTCGCGGTCGGTTGAACATATGAGTCGTGCACTGTCTTCGCGCTCTTGCCCACAGCAGATGCAAACCATCCGAATCCCTTCGTAATGGAAGCCATAGGATCCTTCTGGAAATCCTCTGCAGCGTTTCCACCAAACCCACCGAATCCTCCAAACGGCGACGACCGGCGATCCCCAGCAGAGGATGTCGAAGGCGGCAATCCACCCCCAAACCCAGTAAACTTCCCACCTTGCGAAGGAGGCAGATTATCAGCGCGAGTCGCATTATCATTACCCAGCTTGGCAAAGTATGCCTCATTCTGCTCCTTCTTCGTCGGCGCACCACCACCACCACCACCAGCTCTCAGACTACTCGTCCTCGACATCCCACCCGTGGTAGCAGGGGACCCTGTCCTGCCTGGTGCAACACCGCCCGTCCCAACACTCATCGGTGTGCTAGACCGTGACGCAGTAGCATTATTGTTCTTCTTCTCTTGTCCCAGGACATATTCTTTGCCTTCAACCTTGCAGGATAGTCGCTCTTTCCACTCCTCGCCTGCGTCGCCTTCGTATCGCTCTTTAATGGTTGAGTCCTCGAATGTTCGGCCCTCGGACACGGTTACCTCGTGTGCGTCATAGAAGGATTTCCAGGGCTCGTTACCGCCTAGTTCCATGCGTTGGATCTCAGCGTGTTTGAAGGCGTCCATTGTGATTGAGCGGACGAAGGAGATGTGCACGCCGAGACCGCGGTGCGTGCCAGCGCAGTTGAGGCAGATGAAAGTTCCGAACTTAGGGGACGCCTAACATACAGATCGCATTAGCAATGATAATTGATATGATTGACGTGTCCATATCTGCCTTTGTGCCCACAACGTTCGCCCGCAGTACGGGTGTTTATTCTGATCCAGCAGGGCGGGGTGGGTGGCGCAGACGAGAAAAGGGATCAAGATCGTAAAATAGGGAGTAAAGGAGTTGTACGCACCCATTGAGGTGATGGCGCACCGCAATCGCAGCATCTTTCATTGCCATTTGTCTTGGAGATTTGGAGGAGCTGTTCCGAGTCGGCGGTTAGTTAGACTATCCAGAGTTGTGGCTGTTGCTCCGCTGTAAGGAGGGGGGAAAGCGGCAGCATTAGACGGCGTCGGAAACAAACACACCTTTGTCCTTGTTTCTGGATCGACCTCCCACATGCGCGACATGGTGGGTATAATACTTTATAAAAATCGAAGCTTGGCAAATCGAAGAGGAGGTGAAGGAGTGGGTGGACGTCAAGGCGAACTCGGCACAGCAAGTTGTTCGGAGCGTTTTCTGTTTTTGGTGCCTGAATTGCCCCCTATTTTTCTAATTTCGCGCTCCACCAGGATGGCGCTATAATGGATAGTTTCTGATAAGCGGGACTTGGATAACTGAGACACAATGGTGAAATGATGAAGAGGCGTTGGAGAGGGCGGTGTTTTTGATAACATGGACGATGGGATCGGCAAGGGTCGCCCCAACATGAGCGTCATCGCCAAGGGCTCCGAAGCTTCAAGACAAATTGTTCATAGTGATTTAATGGCATTAACAGCTCTACGCGATAATATTCAAAAGGAAATCCCAATCAGATCGTCATCAGTTAGTTAAATGGGTGCTAAGATACAGTACAGAAGGCAAAGGTCGTTAAGGATGGAGGCATCAGCAAGGATTGCTCTCCAGCATGGACGTATTTTCCATGACATCCATAAAAAAAAAGAAAGGTCATCATCACACCCTCGTCTCCACAAACTTCACCTCCCGAGACCGCTTGTCGAGATAGCTAAGATAAATCCATAGTAGACCTGAGCTTTGAGGGCAAAGTAAAACAAGGAAATAGGAAAACACCCCAAGGAAGAGTTCATGATCATATTCATATGATGTCTTCAAGTTCCTCCTCTTCCAAATACCCTTCAAGCTAATCAGCAACTATTTGCGGTCGGAAAAAACAGCTTCGTTTGTTTGAATCTAGGCGTCAGCGGGAGTCTCCGCGGGAGCGGTGTTCTCCTCAGCTGGGGCCTTGGTCTCCTCCTCATACTTGTCAGCGGCCTCGTTGACATCATCATCCTCCTTGCCGGGGCTGTCAATGGCGACCTTGACGGCAATGGTACGGCCATCGATCTCCTTTCCGTTCATCTCGCTAACAGCCTTGGCCTGGAGCTCCTCAGTGGCGAGGCTGACGAAACCGAAACCGCGGGTCTTGCGGCGCTCATTACGGGCCTGGAGCTTCTTGATCATGAAACGGGGAATGGGGCGCAAAGCAACCTTAGCCGAGACAGGGTTGTATTCGACGAAGATCTCCTTGAGCTGTAGGGGGAAAAACAGTTAGCTTTCTGGGTCCTAATTCTGACAAGATATACTCCTTCAACATTTGATACGCACCTTGTCCTCAGTGAGATCATAGGGCAGGTTGGCAACCATAACCTTAGTCTTGGAAGGAATGCCGTCCTCGGGGGGACCACGCTGCTTCTGGGGGCGGGCGCGCTGCTTGTTCTGCTGCTTGTCCTCGGTGGAAGCAGTCTCGTTCTCGTTGGTGGTATCAGCCAGAGGAGTCTGCTCGGTAGCAGCAGCCTCAGTGGTCTCTTGACCCTCTTGAGCCTATTGAGCCTTCAGTCAGCATTTTCTTGTATAATATTGCAGCCCATATAAATCAGTCGAAGGGGGAAAGAAAGACATACACCACGACCACGACCAGCACGGCCACCGCGGCCACGAGCGCGACCACGGCCGCGGCCCCGACCACCAGTGCGCTTACGACCCTCGGTACCGCTAGCACCCTCGCCACCACTACCAGCACCCTCCTTAGCCTCAGCAGGCTCGGGCTTGCGAGCAAGCTGAACAGACACCTTACGCGACAGAATCTCCTTGCCAGAGAGCTTTTCGATGGCGGCAGTGGCTTCGTGGGCAGTAGCGAGATCCACGAAAGCGTAACCAACGGGACGGTTAGTGCGGGGGTTCACCGGGATCGAGGTACTCTCGCTGAGATTCGAGATTAGCGTGATGATTTCAGGATGGTATGCGTCATTCGAGGGATGCCACATGACCTTGGCAGGCTAAGAGGACTCCATCATCTCGAGCATCGATTTAACTTACATGGTGTATTCTTTGAAAAACTCCTTAAGCTCCTCCTCAGTGGTCGCGTATGCGAGGTTTCCAATGTACAGGCGGCGGCCCTCATCGGCACTGGCAGCAGCGGCATCAGTTGCCTGGGTAGCTGCAGGCGCAGTGCCGTTGGTGGTGGAAGCATCGTTCAGAGTGGCGGCAGCCACGCTTTCAGTAAGGGCATCGACGGCAGACATATTGACGATATTGACACAAGGAATGGGGAGAGGTCTTGAGGTAAAAAAAAAGAGCTAGGGAGCTGTGTCAAACAAACAAGAGGGGTGTTGTTTGTTGATTGGCCGGGTGATTGATGGAGGACTTGACGAGGAGGAAGGAGCAGGGTAGCTTGGTGCCCTAGATACCGTTTGAGGGGGGAAGAGGGGGGGAAGAAGAGATTGATAATGGGAAGCAGTTAAGTTGACTCTTGGACGAGGAAAGAGAGAAGGGAGAGAGAGTTGTCGTTGCTTGGGAGGAAAGGAGGAGGCGGTGTGCGCTAGCCGTTCTGGGGGGGGGGGGGGGGAGAGAGACAGTCTGCTGATGGGCAGGATAGTAGGCTATGGAGGAGGAGGGGCCTAGACTACCAACTATTTAGGCGGGGGGTCTCGCCTAGAATTCCCTAGCTTTCCCGCTTAAAGCGTAAACTAGGGGCGGTGCCTACCCAAACCCAAATTCTGCCGCCAACTTTGGCTCTTGCTGTTTCTGCCTTGATGTCATATGAGCTGAGAGCAACCTCCACTTCAATTCGGTCAGTTGCTATCATCTTCGATTATCGTCTCCAAAGAATCCTACGATCAGAAAACATCGGCTACAATTACTATTATTCATACCATTCTACAGCTTGTATTCCCTCAATTAATCCATTCGTGAATTAACGCCGCTTTTCGAAAATCAACCCAATGGCACTTTTAGCTCTAGTCTGGCGCCTTAACCAGATCCCTGTGAGGATCGATCTTCCACATCACTCGGCTCCACTTTGCCTCCAATGGGTCTCCACGTTCCCAACCTTGGAAATCAAACCACGTTAAACTACGGTGTGCAAATTATAACCAGGTAAATTTCTCCATAGTATCAATTTCATGGAGCTGCTGTAACGGAAAAATTATTCTATTCAGTACATACAATGTTCATAAAAAGCAAACACGATCTGATACCTGCCTGCTCCGTACTCCGTGCATGTACATGAACCCAATGACCTGCAGCCTGCAAATAAGTCAAAATCAAACTTGCCCCTCCATGTACTCTTAACGCTACCCCTCTTCCCCGGCACCACACCGCCACGACTCAATGCTTGTGATGTCTCAACCCTGCCGTTTCAATTAAATTTGCAGGTCCTAGGTGAAATATCCATTTTGAATCAGCTCATCAAGCTCCTCGTCAGTCATGTCGTCGGAAACCCCAATTGGAGGTTTGTGGAACCCGTCAATCCACTTGTGTACCGGGATGTATGATCCATAAACGTCAAGCCGAACTGGAACCCTAGCAGTCGGGATTTCCCTCTTTGTTGGTGGATTCCGGGTCGGAGTCACAAAGGAGTCACTCGTCGGGTATGAATTTGTCTCTGGCTTCACCGGTGTTGTCTTGGCCCAGGCATCGTTTAACCCAGTTTTGGAATTGGTGGAACGTATTGTAGTCTCTGAGTTCGGAACAGGCGTACTGCAGTTAGAAGAATCGGTGATGCAAATCGGATCTCCTGCATGTCCCGTATGATCCATGATTCCACCGTGAGAGGACCGCCATTTTGCGATGAGAATCTTTCCGCGTTCTGAAACTGACTTGGCTTCATGCCAAACCTGAGGTACCTCAAGGGATACATCGAGAGATGCGAGAAAAACAGCATCAAGAGCATCACGGACGTCATTGATGCTGCAGTCCCGTTCCTCTGCGAAAGTTTCGATGGGGAACACCTCGTCAATTTTGGCCCTCATAGCCTGAAAAAATTCGTCTGTGAAGGTGTCATTCTGGAACCCGGGTACTTGCTGGTTGGGCAAACAAGCGGTAGCTTGGTGTTTCTTGTTTGCTCTTTCAATTGACCTATCTAAATAATCACTGGAAGCTGCCACTCGCTTCCGATCTGTTGATTGCGAACACATTGTTGGAGATCTCGTCTTCGTTGCTTTGAATCTATGTTCAACGGTCAGGGTCTTTCCATATTGGAAGCGTTGTTGGTGCGACATGGGATTATTTCAAGTTCATACTGAGGCCAAGGCTTTGTAAGAGATGAGGTGAATATTTTCCGTGCTTTGGTCCAGCTGTGGCTTCTTGGGCAAGGCTTTTCAGATAGCTCTCACTCATTACATAAGGTTCACGGGCATGAGACATGTACTTGAGTCGTGTTGTAGTTGTAAGATACGTTATCATCTAGCAATCGACTAGGTGAGAGAGTAGGAAAAGTTACAGAGAACAGATGCAAAGAGGTCGTACTAATTAGAAGTTATCTTGATACTTAATTTACAAAGGGAGTTGAATATAAAACAGTTGAATTCTCTTCGTTTTCCTCCAAAGAATGGCGTCTATTGCCTGCACCTCTGATCTGTATGTAACAAGCCATCGGAAGCCACGTTTCGCACATCTTTACTGAGAGCCAATTTTATTGTTGCCTGTCCTTACGGGACGCTAGCATCATAACTTGATCATGATCATGACCAAGGATACAGGTAAGGGGAAAACTTTCTTCATAGTCCATAGAGCTATGATATTAAGATGGCTACTATAAAAACCAAAATATAAGCCTTACAGTCCTGTAAGTACACATCAACCTTGGATTTATGGGCACATATAGATGGGAACTTCAAGTTTGGGACGTGAGGCCCGAGTCATAGAGTACCACCCCTAAAAACTTGATGTAGTATACTCTCTACTATATGAATCATGACCATGATATAAACCTTAGAAATCTGCTGAACTTTTTCTTTGCAACGAATGAGATACATGCATAACTGGGCCCACTACTAGTAGGTTAGCCCATACCCAGGTAGTAAACAAACACATTGAAATAAAATAGGTAAACCGGAGCATTGGCTTTGTTTTTGACTATCTTCGGGCGGCATCGTGCCTTTTCCATAATTAAATGCGACGGTGATAAGGTAAAATCAGACAAAATCGATGTTTCAAGCGGGTGGGCACTGCTAGAGGATTAAGCAAAGGGTTTAAGGGGCTAAAGCTCCCAGGTCCACTTCCATAGATCTTATCGCGTCCTTCCAAGAGTTGATATTTTGTTGCCACCCAAATCACGCATGGAATTGCTTTCATGACCAACTTACGCTAATCGGTGGAAGATTTCGTTCGTTATCATGATCGCCATTTGATCGTCTGCCATGACCAGGTTTGAGGGCCACGTACCTGCGAGGATCGTCAGTCAATATAGCCTTGCACGGACTCCCTTACTCCACAACTCGTCACTATGCGAAAACAAGATTCGAGCTGCTGACTCATCGGCCAGCCATTGACGGATGTTCGTTCCAGACTAGGCGATGAGAAAACCTTCATCTGTGTGCTTTTTTTCTTTCTATTGTTAGGTCAATGGATTACGGGGATATTGGGCTATTTGACTTGTTTAGTACATCTGGTTGTGTTGTCAAATTAACCCCTTCCATTCTCCACAGCCTTACCTATTACACCCCTGGAGGAGTCCTGGAGATACGCCCAAGTCTCCATGGATCGCATTGAGCCCGCCGCGGATGACAATGCCCGGGGAAGCCCCCCGGAGGGCCAGTCTACCCAGTCTGCCCAGACAGCTCCAGCAAGACCAGTCTTGTCGACTTTGCAAACTCCGGGGCGACCTCGGGCTCCCTCTGCGAGATCACGTCGCCCGAGTATCCGTCTGTCGCGTTTCCCCTCACACTCATCCGTAGAGGACGAAAACAATCAAATCTCACACCCGGATGCCGCCCAGTTCGGCAATTCTCTGCAACGCCAGGTCTCCGTTCGATCACCCGTCGCTGAAGAAGATGAATCGCCGCATGGCCGACGACGGAGTAGCTCCGAGCCCCGACCTGGACGCTGGTCGTCTGCTCCTGCGGACACTTTGCCGCGGGTGGCAACACCCATGCGCATGATGCCTGTCAACGAGGAATCATCTCGCCAAAGCCCGCTGCTGACCCCCCAGGCATCTACTGCCCAGCAGTCCGAGCAACATACCCCAGAGGGACTGGTGGAGCCTGCTCCGACCCTACAACCACCACATCGTAGTATGCTACGAAGGACCAGCCAAGCCGCCCTGAGACCATTTACACGCAACCGCGCATCTACTGTTACAGGCGCTCCGCCGCAGGTTGGTGATACGCAGGAACCACGTATTAACGAATATGGTTCTCATGTCGTTGATGTATTGGACGTCATTGGTAAGTTGTCTGACAAGTACCCCCGGTGGCAGTTGAATTGTTTGCTTACTTTTATATAATATCAGACCCGGAAGTTTCTGCCCTTTCAACTCTTACCAATGTTCAGAATTCACTTTTCGTGCCGAATCTGGGTGGCTGGATCAATCGTCAACCAACATACACGATCACACGAGCACCTCATACCTCCGATGAAGAAACGAGCACCACAACAGATGAAGGCGAGGGATCGGACGATGCCAAGAAGACCCGGGAACGGCCAACCCTGGAATCACTGCGACCGTTCTCTAGTATGTCTTCGGTGCTAGCAGGACCTCGCTATGCTGTCCTGCCGGAAAATCATGAACTGGATGGATGGACGAAGGAGGACTTTGCTGAATTAAACGACCATGTCCGACACATGCTCCACTCCCGTCGGTCAAAATTCAAGCGTTCTATGAAGGGATTTGGACAGTATATTCGAAAGCGTGAGTTGTCCAACCCGAAATGTTTATTATCATAAACTCTAACAAGTACTCTCTTACAGCTCTTGGGTTCCTCGTGACCCTCTATGCGACCCTAATTACACTTTTTGGTTTAGCTTGGGTACTTTTCTTAATTGGTTGGATTAATGTTGCCGGTCGGCAGTCATATCTTATTAACATCATTGACAACATCCTGGTGGGCCTGTTCGCCATCATGGGTGACGGTCTTGCTCCTTTCCGAGCTGTCGACACATACCATATGATATTCATCGCGCGCTATACTCACAAAACTTGGAAAATCCGCAATAAGCGGAAGCTCCCTGATCTAAAGGATAAGAACGATCTTCCCGCCCGGCCAGAAGAAGACGTCGATATCGAGCTTGGCGACAAGCCCAAAGAAGAGGATGAATTTACCGTCCTCAATCCCGCGGAGCAGCTCAAACTGCAGCATCACCAAACCAAGTTTGCCAATTCTCATACTTTCTATAAACCCCATGAAACCATGACCCATCATGCTTTCCCGATGCGCATGCTTGTTGCTATCGTGTGCATTCTCGACTGCCATTCCCTGCTCCAGATGGCCCTTGGCGCCTGTACCTGGAGCATGGAACCTCCGAAGTACCGTCCATTTGCCTTGACCACCGTTATCCTGTGTTGCTCCATTACTTGCAACATCACCGGCGGTATCTTGATTATGATCGGTGATCGAATGTCGCGTAAGAAAGAGATTGTGGAGCGTCTCTTCCGACAGGAACTTACCGAGGAAGCCATGCGGAAGATGGAGAAGCGAAAAACTAAAGAAGAGCGTCGCAGCTTGCAGCTTAATCGTCCCGAGCTTTTCCTGGGCACTTAGCTACACCCATGCTTGCGTATATACTCTATTACTTCTTCACGACCGTCATGAACCAATACCGCGGGTATGGAATTCGCTACATGAGATACTTATACATTTTCCCCCACTGTACAGTCTATAATTGTTTGTCATCCGACCTTGTTCTTGTTTTGGGTCAGCAAAGCTATATACAGAAGCCTGGAGTTGTGATTGGATATTTTATACTGCGCCATTTGATCTGCTGTGCTTTAATAGTTGTGTCGCTTCATATGATTCCCCCATTTGGTCTGAGTCTGTATCAATGGACGATCGAATATCTCTTCGCTATAATTTGAACTTAATTTTTATTTTGACCTTCAACCTTATCGCAAATTAGACCACTCTTGATGCCTCCTTATTTTACCATATATTCCTACCACCCTTAACAGCCTCAAAGAGAATAGTCGCTTGAATGAATGAAATGAACTTGAAGCCCTCAATAGCTAACAATACAAGCAATTGACACAAGTACTCTGCCTAACAACTCAAATAAAAACAGCGAGCTCCAAATAAAAACCTACTCTAAAAGAAGAAAACCCTCTGATCACCGGAACTCACTAGTCGGCCTCGATCCCAGTCCACTCTTCTCATACGCCATATCAATCATCTTCATCTGATCCCATGAATCCTCCCCCTCAACCCAATACTGCGTAGCTCGCCCCTTCACCCGATTCACAAACTCCTCAAGCTGATACCGATAAGACATCCACCAATCCTCACCCGGAAGCTCTGCAAACTCACCCCCAGCCTCCTTATAACTATAAGCCTTATACGACTTAGACTCCGTCCAGCTTTTCACTGGTCTCCGATACCTCTTATCCCGAATAACAAAAGTATCCTGAACATCAATTCGATGCCAAATAAAAGAATGTATAAACCCATGCAACGTGACAATCCGAGTACAACCCTTCTCCTGCGTTTCCAGAATCGCCTTATCATCAACAATTACTTCTCTATGCGTAACACGAGCCTCAGATGGCTTCCACAGCACAGATCCTCGCATCGTAGTACTCGCTTCAGCGATACCACCATTCGGAAATCGGAATTTCGCCTTGAAATCCGTATCGCACTGGTCGTGGATCCCGTCACCGAATGTACCCGGTTCGCAAGAAAGACACTCAACAGGATTATCGTTGAAGATCATCCGAGTGATGCCAAAATTGTATGTTCCGAGCATCATCATGCTACCGCCGGAGAGCTTGTAGTTGAATGCTATGTTTTCTTTATCTAGCATTAACCATGGGATCATTGAATCGGTGTGGACATGCACGACATCTGAGGAAGTGATGAAAGATAAGAATTTGTGAATTGAAGGATGAAATCGGTTATGAAATGCTTCGAGGAGAGTCGGGGCATTTGGGGCTTTGAGTTCGGGGAGGTTGAAGAGGATTGAAGCTTCGGTTGCGTTAGAGGCTGATGGTTTTTCGAGGAGAACGTGTTTTCCAGCGCGAATGGAGCGGACTGCCCATTCAAAATGGAGGCTGTTAGGGAGAGGAATAAAAATTGCGTCGATGTTGGGATCTTCGAGGATTTCTGTAGTTGTTATATAGTTTAGCTCGGTTCTCTGCATAAGGATGGATGAGGAAGGTCTAACGCACCATCGTAGGATGTGCGAACATCGGGAATGTTGTGCTTTTTGGCAAATTCAGAGGCACGGGTATAGTCTCTTGCTGCTATTGCTTGTACTATTACCTCTGGATGAGATAGAGCGGGCGTAATCAATGCGAGAGGTCTAAAGGCAGGGTTAGTGAGGTGGTGCGATTACCGAAGCCTTCGGTGCAGCTTACGCTATTTGGGCCGCGCCCAAGATTCCAAAACGAATAGCACCGCTTTGCTTTTCTGCTTTTGGAGGGCCGAAAGCCGTGAATATTCTCATGATTGTAGATGCCATTGAAGTTGCTTGGTTCTTCTTTACTCGGAAGCTGTATCTATGGATTCAATTCTTGGATCGAGACGCATATATATACATTTCTCGAATCATTGACATTACATCGCTAATTTTTCAATCCTTTCTCGAAAGGTTACTCGTGAATAGCGTGCTTTCTTTCATTGTCCAATTTCTATACATTCTAGTGGATATTATAGATACGATGGACGTTATAGACGAGAGAACCAATCAGGAGCAGGAGATCCGCAGATTAGTCGGGCCGCAGTTATAACACTATGCCTAGTTTGGTTCAGCGCCGGGTGAATAGAGCCCCGATACGGAGAGACGTTCCTTAGGGCGACGGGGAGAGAGGAGCAGTTCGTGCGAATAAAAATTGTTTATTCGGTCAAAATGTCGGTCAAAATTTGGAGGATCGAAATATACCCAATGTCAAGATTTAATGCTATTAAGCTTAATTGGCAATGTTGCTTCATGTTACACACGGTGTGGTTCCTAAGGATCGATATTAGGTACTCAAGACTTGCATGTTTTACAGGGCAATGTTTTATTGTACTGGTGAGTTTAAATAGACATTAATTAAATTATAGACATTGAAATAATTAGGTATGTAAGGAATGAAGGATAGACGAGGATACGGAAGTATTTGCAAACCTCGGGATTTACATACACGCACATGACCACCAATTGGCTCTGTCACAATGCCAGCGTTTTCAGCTGTTCTAAAACATTTGAACTCAAGTGCCCAGGTAAGCCTTGACGACTATCAGGCTCTGTCCCAAATCGAGGATTATGAGGCTGGCTGGGGGCTTTGTGGGTTGCTGAAAACATTATCGGGGTCAATATCAGCCTTAATCCGCTCTAGCCTGGGTAAGTTGGCACCCCAGTAGGCTTGCGGGCCATTTTGAAGCAGCGGGTCGACATAGCCAGCATATGCCTCATAAGGGGCGCTGGTGTTCGCCAATACGTTCAGTTGGTCAAGGAACTTGATCATAGTCGGTGTGACACGCCCAAGAAGGTTGATGGAATATGTCTGGAGCCAGATCAAAACATCTCTGTGGGGATAGGAGGTGGCATCGGCAGGGATCTCATTGATGAAACCGCCCTCGAAGTCAAACACAAGGAGCCAGAGAAGGGTGCCTTTGTTCGCTGTTTCAACATATTCGAAGAATTGGTCTATCGACGTATCCGACATCAAGTCCTGTGGTGTCCATGCAGTCGATTTGGCATAGAAGTTGGACGGGATTCCTCCTGATAATTTAAGGGCTATCTCCTCGCCCCATTCGGCTACCAGACCGAGAAAGTCTTCGAAAACAATGGCAGTGCCGTTAGCACCAGGGAATTGACTTGCCATGTCTAATGCGTCATATTCTGCCTTTGTTCCAAAGTATGTACCGGAGATGATCATGGTATCTTGGAGTACCCAGAGGGTAGATGCTAGCTTCCACGTGAGATCTGGGTTCGAGACATATGCCTGCCATTGCTTATATAGCGCGGCTTGAGATTTCGCATCGCCGATACTAATAGAGAACTCGTATTGCACTGCAGTACCCGGTGCGGGCTCTGTGCGCACAACGAACTCGGTCACGATACCAAAACCAGAGCCTGCGCCTCGGATGGCCCAGAAAACATCGGAATTCTCACTTTCAGAAGCACGAACTATGGTTCCGTTTGCGAGCACTACTTCTACCTCGAGAGTATGATCAAGGGCCATTCCGAATTGGCGCGAAAGTGGACCTAGGCCACCGATGGTAAAGTGCCCGCCAGCCCCGATCTGTGGAGAGGTTCCATGGGCCATGGCACGTTTACCCGCGTTGTACAAACGGGTAGTTATATCTTCAAGGAGCGTTCCAGGCCCAATTGTCGCATGCCACGTGGTGTAGTTCATTGAAAATTGTTGGAAATTCTTCATATCGACGACAATTGCTCCGTCCGTTCCGCCGAGTCCTGAAAATCGCAGCATGAATGTTAGTTACTCGTGGTTTCGTGATTGCGCGTTTTCGGAGAAGAAGTACCATAATTGCCGTAGCTGTGACCGCCACTCTTAGCTTGGACAGGATATCCGTTGTCAGCCGCGCATTTGACGATTGCAGCGACTTGATCTGTCGATGTCGGAAAGGTCACGGCAGCAGGCGTGACCGGAATGTTCAAATTATAGCGATTAACGTCCACCTCCTGGTAAAGTAGCGCATCGGGGAAAGCCACACTGCCGCCATCGGTTACGGCGTTGCGGAGACACGTCTTGTAGGCCGCGTTCTGGCCGAAGACGATGGGAGCTGCCGCTAGCGCGACGAGAAGGCCTCGAAGGTAGGCCATGTTGTCTTGATGTTGAGGCAAGGGGTTTAGAATACGAGGGCGACTGCGGTGGTCATCACCTGAGTTATAAGGGGCGCGAAAGAGCCTGATGGAATTGTCGGGTTCGCAGGAATCGCGTAAAGATCATCCACCTGCCCCACTGCGGCTGTAGATGCGGGTCCATAAGCCGGACGGGGATCTGAGGAACCCAATCTTGCCAAGCGTTTCTTGTGTCGAGACTGGATGATGGCGGTTATCGAACAAGGTGAATGCCCACGTGAATATGAAGGGGGCATAGATTGGGATCTCCTGATATCGAACATGAAAGTCATTAAAACTCTTTCAACAAATTCCTGCTGTACGGGGTGCGATAGCCACAGTTCCCGGAAATCATGACATGGAAGGGATCGCTGTTCGGGTTGCCTAAAATGACTCGGAGGCCCCGGGGGCATGGGGGTAAGCAAGCCCTGGAGACGTGTTGACATATCTCGAGGTCTCCAGATGACCTAGCTTGGAGACATCCATGGAACTGACCCTTCTCAGATTCCCGATATTTGGCTCGTCATTGCTGAGACATTATCCAGGCAACAGAACGACATGATGAGGCGAATTTCAAATTTGAAATGCCGAACAATCCTATGATTCCTTCACAGTCTGTATCTGCTCCCTATTCTTGACATAATATAATTGCTTTTTCCATGGCTTATCTGCACGCAAGCCATGTGCACTGGTCAGCCGGTCTCCAGGCGCGCCCTTCGCGTTAAATAGCAAGCAACACACCATTGAGGGGGTGTAAATAACATATGTGATAATATGGAGACAGAGTACTCCGTAAAGGAGTTGAGAACAACGCGGAACTCTAGGGCAACCGCTCGTATACCCGCTCTCGAAAAGTGCCTCAGATATTGGCATACGACGCCAACAAACAGCACACCTGGCACACTCGTTGCTCTAGACATAATCCTCTGAATGTGCACGTTCAACAAGATACCTACAGAGAAAAATACGTCTATTGTGCGCCTGTGTTGCACATGTCTTGGGATCACGGGTACATCGGGATCGGGACATGGTTTGAAGGTTTTCTCAGACGGTGTTTACATTATACACATTCATGTATATATGGAATTTCTATGCAAGCCATAAGTAGCTTTAGGGTATTGAAGAGTTGAAATCACGGTGATGTTTTCAAGGTTCCCGCCACAGACATATATCAATGTTCATCATCATAACTTCAAGTTCAAGCCCTGGAGTTCCAGCTTCAACTTGAAGTTGTCTCTTGATGGATGTTTTAGTTATTCTAAGGCAACTTAATATCAAATCTAGAGTTTTCAAAAGGCAATATTTGTCAGCCTTACCCTGTTATCAATACAGTAAATACTTAGAAGTTTTATCTCTACATGCGCTGCGTGTTGGGGCGGTTGTTGGGCGACATTACCTACATATTATGACACTTCAACAGTACTGTGAGACATTACCTACTACCCTATCATGCTACATATTTATATATAACTGCCAGCCCGAGGAACTACTTGTAATTCTTACGGCAAGATCCCCGTAGTAGATATATGTGGCTCCCGTGACCATGTGGGCATGATCATACATATTTTAGAAGTATAATTAACCATTGAGATTGGAACCCTTTGAACCCAATAGGCCTGGTCAAGTGACACCGACCTTCTCCAAAACAGATACGCACAGAATGACTACACCACAGAATCCACTAGGGATTCATTATATCTAAATCAGACAATTAAATTCTCGACCAACATATCATACTAGTCGTGGAGACAGCCGGGCGAGACTTAAACGAAGTGATCGTAATATACGCATGGAATTGAATAATATTTGGGATAGGAACAAATCTATCTGTGTAGTTAATCACGAGCTACATAGTAAGTGTAATGTTTCTAAGGCGCCTTTCAAGTTCTGGGGCCCTGTTGTGACCAGCCCGAAAGACCCTACCCAGCAAGGGGCACTCCAGCCACCGGAGCCTCACCCCAACACCGCAAGCGATGTCCCTCATATCCCTCGAATCTAAGAAAATCAATTTTCCTTGTAGACCAGAATTCTGAATGTTGACTCAAACAAGGCAGGTTTAATGAACAGCAAAAGTGTAGCAATTTTAAATGGTGCAAGTAATTATCAAAATCTCCAACACTGGAAGAGATCTACGTATCAAGGGTACTGGCAATCCATTCCTCCATTATGACTAGGGGATGTTTCCTCGGTAAGCCCCTGTAGATCCCACCGGTCGCCCATCGTAACGCAGAATATGAGTCCACAGGCTCAATAGGAAGGAAAGTGGAGAGCCATAGAATATACGTGCCGTTCTGCCCTGGTTGATGGCACCCTGCGATGGGGCGTCTAGGGCTCTTGATTCCGAGTGAGATCAGATCTGATCCACTGCGATGAATGTCGTCTTGAGATCAATCAAGTTATTGAGTTGCTTAGTGTTAGTATGTAGAGGAGAAGTAGTTGCGCTTGCGTATTATTGAATTGAAGTTCTCGGGGTTAGTATGTGTTGTTGGTTGATGAACGGATTGTCTACTGAGAAAAAGACGATAACCAAGTGTAGATAAATAATTTTACTATATGGAGGTAGAAGAACCAGTGTTGCGACACCAAGATAATTGATAAGATCTTGTTCGAAAAGAAGGTTACATAGACTACGTAGATCTCTAAGGAAGTAAGATTAGGTGGTGATACATACCTCCATTCAACAAGGGCTACAGCGGAGACGTACAGCGCCTGAACTAATCACTTCAATCAGCAATTATTGATGGGTATTATGATCTTCATTGTCATTGCAAGATCTCTAATTACATGAGTTGTTTGTTTCGTCAACCGATATCTTTCACTTGTAGTGAACGGGACATTCAAACCTAGCTGGGCTTGTAGGGTGACTCTCATGGATGCCATCGCCGTCATGGAATGTAGGGCTCGTGCAATTTAGCACCAAGGGGAGCGCATTAGAGTTGATGACAAGATTCCAAAGGGAAGACTCACCAATGGAGGAGCTTGAAGACGCCCAATTCAGGGTTCTCGAGGTCCACACCCTTGCTTGAGGCATTCCAGTCACAAAAATGAACCGATTGTTTTTGATGCTAAAATGTAAACTGGATGACCAACACAAGACCCAAACAGTCGAATCTTTGAAGATAAAAGGCGTCTGTTCAATTGTTCAATCTATTATTCTTACCACACACTTCTCTTGCATTCTCTCTCTACCTTTCTTCCAAAATTTCCAAAAACCCTATCTACTCCTTTTAAAAGACTATCATCTTTAATTCTTTATCATTCAAAATGCAGTTCTCCATCAGCGCCGTTGTTCTCGCTTTCGCCAGCATGGCCACTGCCCTCCCCACTGAGGCCTCCAACAACGGTCTCCAGTCTCAGGAGCCCGGCCACGTCCGCTGGCCTGTCCCCGGCGGCATGTCCGTCAAGGAGGCCCAGTCTAAGTGTGGTGACCAGGCTCAGCTCTCTTGCTGCAACGTCGCCACCTACGCCGGTGACACCACTGATGTCAACGCTGGCATCGGTGGTGGTCTCCTCTCCAACCTGATCGGTTCTGGATCCGGTGCCAAGGGTGCTGGTATCTTCGACCAGTGCTCCAAGCTGGATGTGCAGAGTATGTTTCACTCCCCTATCTTAACTATCATCACTTTACTAATGATTTCCAGTCCCCATCCTCATCGCTGTCCCCATCCAGGATGTACTCAACCAGCGCTGCAAGCAGAACGTGGCCTGCTGTGCCAACTCTCCCTCAACTGCCGTAAGTCATCATTTCTAGTACATTTTCTCAGTTCATAAATCTAACTCGACTCACAGAGCAACGATCTCGTTGGCGCTGGTCTTCCTTGCGTTGCCCTTGGCTCCATCCTCTAAGCTTCTCGCTTCTCGATTCGGGTTTTTCTGGGGTTGAAAGTTGGAGGAGTCCTGCTGTATACCTTCATCTGTTATTTCTTCTTGCTTGTTAGAGATTTAATTACTCTTGATTCTGCGTCATGGATGTAATAATATCTCCATATAATACATAATCTTTCTTTATCACGCATGTCTCAGATCAACCTTATACTATCATAGACTATCACCTTTTTCCTTATTCCCAGAGACACTTGTAGATCCGGATACTTCCACACATATCGGAACGCTATGATTTGGCAGCTGGAGCAGTTCGAGTCAAAAGACAAGGTGTTTCTTATCATGGATCGCAAGAGCTGTAACTTCGAGGCTCTGAGTTACTCTAAATGGGATTCCAGTGGTATACACCAAGTCGACCTTTGCATTTACACATGCCAGTGGGTAGCAAACAATGTACCATTTGCTTTCAATTCATATGAATATTCGCTGTATTACCTTATAGAGATTCCAGCACAATTATGCAGTAAGCGCCTGGATACCGGCTTCGAGCGCACGAACATCCGCACCACGAACACGGGTTCCGAATTCCTGTCCATCCTTAACAAAAACAAACGTAGGCATGGCAGTAACACTGAACTGCTTCGCGACACCACCCATCTTATCAACATCGATCTGAATAAAGCGGACGTTCTCGTATTTCTCGCTCAGCTTTCCGACCTGAGGACCAACAGCTCGGCAAGGACCGCACCATGTAGCGTAGAAGTCGATTACCGTAGGACCGGAGGAGATCAGGGCCTTGAAGATGACCTCACTATGAGTGTAAAACAAAATTTAGCTGTAGAACCAATGAAAATACCCTTGAAGCCCCTTCCTGCAAGCTCTAACGGGGTCCTTACTTGTCAATGTTGGTGACTTTGCCGTGGGACTCCATTGGTTTGGCGGAGATTTTGCGTTGTTGGTAGTAGCGGAAGACTGCTTATGTTAGCTGGGTCGTATTTTAGCGGTGGAGCATGCGCTGCTCTTTGAGATGATGACGAATTGCGATTCAGGGTCACCCACCTATCCAGCACAAGAGGAAGATCAGGGTAATCTTGACATTCATTTTGGGTTCTGTGGATGTTTGTGGAAGAATGCGGGTGAGGGTGGAGTCATCATGGGTTGATGCACGTGACCATTTTGAACTATACAGAGCCCGTACGTTGGTGTTGACATGAATGTTCCTGGTTTGATGGTCTCAAGTTCCGATTTAGATAAATATACGGAGTTATGCTTGAGCATCCGAAGATTACTTGCTTTTTTTCATGCGTTGTTTCACTCTATAATCAACCAATGTTCCCCCAAGCATCTATCCCTTCAAGATCCCTGCTGATTTGAAATTTCCTTCTTGAAAAGATCTAGCAAATACCTTGGAGTCGGCTTATCAGGCTTTCAGATTCAAATTTTTATCTTGTGAATATCCCCCTTTCTTTACACCAGACAAGTTGTGCGCAGAGCTTGATCCAGTAGTGATCATAACGGCTACTTGGTCATTCCACGCATGATTGCATATGCCTCAACTAGAGCTCAAATGCAATGTGATTAGAAACGAATGGTTTCTATGACGCCATAACTATACAAAAGTTGTTTGTGATATGGGACATAGGATTACTACTAGGTGAAATTTATCAAACTAAGACCCACAATATGCGAAACTAGTATAAGCTCATGCAATCTTCAAATAATAAGGTTATAAGTCGAGATAGGCGCTGAAATGAATCCAAGTGGACGAAGGGATACTTGATAATTTATTACGAGTTTTTATTTTTGCTTAAGTTGAATCACAATGACTATAGGTAGGTCGGCATGGCCCTTTCCACTTTTAAGCGTCAATAACCCTCAGCACTGGGAATCATGACACCCCAAATTCAAAACAGCTTGATTGGATAAAGCTTTCGAATACATTCCTCCAAACTTCCCAAACCCCTCAATCAGAGCAATTAAAGTTCCCCGCAGCCCTAAATTGCTAGAGTTATCGCTAAAATCTCCGCAGTGATTTCATATATCCAAGGACATCCAATGAAATCAAATAAAGAAGTCTGCCGACCTGATTCATGTAAGGACCCGTGAACATTCAAGGTCATCGGAGCAAAAAAATGTAATGTGATTGGCCGCTAACAAGCCCCAGCATTCTCAATGAGCGAGACAGACATGGATGGCGTAGCCCTGGTATGCAGGGTACGGGGAAGGCAGGAGTAGGATAAGATAGTTAGGAACCATCCATCCAAGCACTTTCCCAATAGATACAAATGCAATATGCAAAGAAACACCAGCTCGAGGCACCGAAAACATTAGGAGCCTAATATATTGACATACACAATGATGCGCCAAATGTACGACGAGGAGTCCGAAAAGGACGATACTCTCTCCGCTATGAACAGTCATACTTCATTGAACGGGAAGCCTGATTCAACGGGCGCAATGCTCCGCCTTTCTCTTTGGGTTGCCTTCGCGGCTTGGATTGTTAACTTCGATAATGGATACACGGGCACTGTGCTCATTATGCCTTCATACAAGAAGGCTTTCGGTACTTGCAGCGACCTTATGGATCCGAAGACTGGCGAGGTTGTCGAGCAGTGCTTTATTACCCCTCTACAACAATCTCTCATAAGTCTGAACTACATGTTCATCGGTATCGGGGGCGGGGTATCTGCTTTATCAGGCCGCTTTTTTGGTCGCCGTGGTACGATTCAGATTGGGTGTGCGCTTGCTATCATCGGTGCTGCCGGGATGCTAGGTACAGGAGGACGAGGCCAGGGCAGTTTCGTGCATTACATGGTGTGTCGGTGTATTAGCGCTATTGGTCTTGGACAGTTGATATCCGCCAGCACAGCATACGGATCAGAGTGTATCGTCGCGCACAAGCGTGGGTTCTCGTTGGGACTGTATAATGTCGGACTTGCGATGGGGAACGTTGCTTCTTCTGCTGTATGTGCCGGATCGGCGCAGTTTGAGCCGGGAAATAATTGGCAATGGAAGACGCCGATCTTGTGTCAGATTCCAATGGGCATTATTCTTGGAGCCGGGATCTTGATGTTTCCTGAGTCGCCGCGATGGATCCTAAATAATGACCCTGAGAATGAAGAGGAGGCAAGAAGGGCTTTCGCAATGCTCTACCGGATGGATCCATTTGCGCCTGAAATCACAAATCAGATTGAAGAGGTAAAGGCACATATCAAGGCTGAGCGGACGGCGAAGAAGTCTGTTTCGTGGTATCAGATTTACTCGTCGCATAATATTCGGAGGACTTCTGCGTCAGCGTTGATCATGATTGGACTTTCGATTACTGGGATTCAATTCGTGCAGCCGTACGCCACTACCTTCCTTCGGGGTGCTGGGATGAGCAACCCATACTTGATCAACGTTATCATTGGCCTGTGTATTCTTGGAGGATCAGGCTTAGGTCCCGCTGTGGTTGAATATGGAGGACGCCGACTCGGTATTTTGGCTGGATACACAGTAATGGCAGTGTGCATGTTGATTCTATCGTCCGTCAGCACAGCACTAGGCCAAGATTCCGTGTCCAAAATCGTCGTCGTCATCCTCCTATGCTTCTGGGCCTTCATCTTCGGTGGAACAATTGCTCCTACAGCATATCTAGCATCTGTAGAGATGCACAGTGTCTCCTTACGAACATATGGACAAGCAAACACGACAATCCTATACGGTGCATTCTCATTCGGCGCCACCTTTTGGACGCCGTATATGTTAGATGCACAATATGGTAATATGGGACCCAATGTGGGCTACTTCTACGCTGGCGTGACGGTTATTATTACTGTGTTCGTTTTTCTGCTTGTACCAGAGACTGCTAGTCTTACTTTGGAGCAGATTGACGATCATTTCAATTCGGGACGTCCGGCTTGGAAGACTTCTGTGGCGCGAAATAAGGAGCTTGTTCAGCTTCGTGGCCGGGAGTTGCAGGCAAGTGAATAAGTTTGCAGAGCACGGCATTGATTTTGATGAATGTAACAATTATGGGTGTTTAATGTATAGTTCGTTTTACTGTATAGTTGGGATTAATACTATTGATAACAACTACTTTCTAATGTTTCATGTTAATGGAATAGATATACTATACGATTTCAAAACTGTCAAGTTGACAGTAAGTACCAGTAAGTAGTCATCTCATTGGAGATGGATAACTAAGATAGACGCGATAAATGATATTCAGATAATTGCCTTCATTCAGCCAAGAAAGTTTGCTCCCAATTCCGGCTGGGACTGGTATTTTGAGTATCACCAATCATTCGTAAGTCAGAGGTACTTTTTAATGGTAGAAGGACATTGTTGTAGCAAGAAAAGAGATTGATATAGAGAGAATGGTTGTATCTATTTACATAGCTTTGCTATCTTCAGCATCAAACACCAGGCTAAAAGAGCACAGAATGGCAAGGCTCAAAAAAAAACTTTACAGACAAGCCACACAGAAAAAGGTAGAAAGCGCTCAAAGGAAACGTGAAGGGAATGTAGGGTCAAAGCTGTACTAGACAGCTGTATAGACAAGGCAGTTGACGCTGATGTACAGGTAAGAAAAACAGAAGAAAAGAACTTCAATACTCCAGGGCCACAACAGAGGTACTGGATCAAAAAGTACAAAAAAGACTCCGAGTAAGATTGCCAACAGAAATGGGAGAAGGCTTTTCTGATGGGCCAAAGTGAGTTTCAGAGCCCATATTATAGGTACGAAGAAGTGAAAGTGGATCTGGGGGGAAGAACTGTTTGTAAAGGAGCGAGCGGCCTTGAGGGGCGCGTAAAAAAGTGAGGCTGTTGTAGAAGTCGAGGAAACGTATAAGAGGATTCAAATTGGCGTGATGTGAAGGTGTAGATGGAGTTAGAGAGGTCCAATCAAGAAGCTAACAGCTCATTGGGCGATAAGATAAAAGGGCTTCACAGCTCTGACTTAAGAGGCTCTTCGGGAACGTAATCCGCTCTGCGATTGTTCATCATTTCCTCGAGAATGTCAAGTCTCTCACGTGTTGTGCGAATGGCATGATCCATTTCTCGGTCCGAAACCTTCTCTTCGCGAAGTCGGGCGATGAGCTCACGTTCATCACCAACATTCACGCGAGGGGTTTTATGATTTGGCTCCGGCATTCTATGGTGGAGAGCTGGAAAGACCATTCCGTCCATGCCAACACGATCTTCGAGCCAATTCCAGAGCTCGCTCTCTTCACGCCGCCACATCTCATCATATGCAGCTAGCCGTTGCGGCAGACTTAGTCCTGGACAGCCTGCACTGTTTCCAAGCATGGATGGGGTTGAGGGTGCACGGAAGAATAGCAGGTAAAGTAGGAGCCCAACAAGCAAAATTGCGATGTTCCCACTCCAAAGCGGCTTGAGCATGCCTGTGAAAGGCTCCAGGATAGGTCGCAATGGCTCGAGTAGACCCCAAGACTCAGTTTGATTTGAATTGGCATCCGCAGTGGCTTTGATTGATGCCGCTGCAGACGACTCCTGAGCATCGGTATCACCCTTCTTGCGACGTCCCTTTCCTCGTCCGCCGCCGGGGGTTTTCCCACGGGGAACAACGCCTGCCTTGAGAGTCTTGATCAATTCGGTTCCAAAGGTGGTCTGTCCATCAATGGCACCTTTTTCAATCGGACCTGCAAATAGTTAGATTTTTGCTACATATACAATTTGATGGAATAAAAATATTCAACTCACCCTTTAGCCAACTTTTGCCTGTCCATTCGATGTTACAGGTCATTAGGAAGCGAGTATGGTTGTTGGGAGCCCATGTCAGAAGATATTTGGTCTTTACAGCAAAAACATTCCCACTGGGGACATCGGGGGTTTGAGTGGTCAGGGTGACAAGAACGAATTTCTCCAAATCCAAAAAGTCCAGGTTTTCGGTACTGATACACTTGGTTTGCTTCGGGCCGATGGGAGCATTCAGGGGCTTGATGTAGGAGTACTTCCGGACCCGACTTTCGTTGGTAAGTCCCTTTGCAGTTCCCTCAAACTGAAGCTCTCCAGACTTTTGGTTATCCACGAGGAACTTGGTCATGAAATCCGTTGACGCTGGGCCGAAAACAAGGGAATAGACCTTGCCAAGAGGTGCGGGAATAACCTCGTCCTTGATAACCTTTTCATATTGACCGTCCCCATTTGTGTATTCGGTGGGAGCATGTGTAGATGGACCAGGGAAGTCGTTTTCTTTGGGAGAACTTGCCTTGGCTTCACCACCAGAGTTTGGTCCGCTCGGTGAATTGCCGTTTCTAGATATCCCAGAAGGCTGACGACTCAGACCATTCTTCGCGGGCAATGATTTTTCACTGGCATTGGCACTGGCCCCAACCCCAAAGAAACTCTCAGCGTGGTCGCCTTCTTCGTCCTCATCATAAATCTCATCCTCGTCCGAGACATCGCTTTCAGTGTCGCTTTCATCTTCGCCTGCGCCAACCTTCTCTGTCTTGTCACCGGTGCCATCTGTGACTCTTGTGCCATTCACAGAGCTCTTCAGTGAAGGATGATTGATTTTCCAAATGTTGACCATAAGATCATAAGTTGATTCACGGCTCAGTAGACTTCGGAAAGTGTGACGGGCATGGAGTGTTTGAATAGCGATCGCGTTCGGGAATACCATGGCGGTGTTTTCCTTTTCGATGGCCACTACTTCATCAAAGCTAATGACTAGGGTAGTCACCCAACCCAGAATGTTGCTGGAAAAACATATGTGGCCTTCAGAGATATAGATACGACCAGCCAAAATGATTTCACGCTGGAGCGCACAGCTGTAATCTTCAATCAGGTAGTCATCCTCTGGTACACTTCTAAATAATTGATGGAAATCCCGGTTGCGCTTTTTACTTGCGACGGCAAAGCCGGTCAACCGAGGGACACTCGAATTGACCCCAGGGATGCCAAGGTTGATAGCACTGGCACCAATCGCTCCAATTGTTGACGTGGTTGCACCGGACGAGCCTCGATGTCGACGTGCAAGTCGACTACGCACGCTACCGGTGCGCCGCATGCCACTACCAATATCACCATCGATGATACTCCCAGTCGGGGGAGTATGGTCTCCAGTAAGGACACCATCTCTAGGTAGCGATATCGTAGATTGAGATTCAATTACATCATCACCAGGAGAGCCTAAAAGGGATGAGTCAAGTGGCCTTTCGTATGCCATATGCACTGCCTGCGCCGCACGTTTGTCTTCTAGCTTGGCAGCCTCCTCGTCTCGTCTGTATACAGTCGTGTTCTTGCGCTTATCACCCAATGGTGTCTCTGGCTTTGTGACTACTACACCATCGGCAGTAGAAATTACCTCGCCCGCCGGTGCATCCACATCCAAATGACCGAAGTTAAGATCGCCAGCCCCAAGAGTCTGCACGGTACTGGGTTCAGAATCATCGCCGTTATTCCTGATAACCCCTCTGGGAGAACCGATATCTTCCGTACTAGCTTCCGCCTGGTAGTCGCTAGGGACAATAGTTCCCGTCTGGGACACATTGCGATTTTTTTGCGGGGCGTTTAGCGTATTGGTTATGGAGGATGCGGCATTTTGGGCGGCAGAGAACATCGAGGAGAAAAACCCACCCTGTTGACCAGACGTGGCCTTAGGGGTCTTTGCTTCTTCCAGGGGAGTTAATGTCGACATGGAAGTGGATAACTTGCTTGGGCCGTGAGCCGCAGAAGCAGATCGAACTCGGCGATGGGATATCATGTTGCCAGAGGGACTCACCGTGATGCCGGTTCCAGAGATAGAGTTTCGGCCAGGAATAGATTCAGGCGAATCCATGATATCCGAGGCTAAGATTTGAGAGGTGGAGGGTCGGTGTTCAGTCGGAGTCGGAGGAGTTACGGTAGTCGCCGGCGCCGGGAAAGGAATGGCTGTTTGGGGAGGTGTGTTCGGCAACGGACTGGCTTGCAAAGAGCGCGGATTATCCAGCTTCGTATCGAGACTTGGAGATTTGGTCTGTATCGGACTAGGAAGAGGCGGAGGAGCATCCTGAGATGCGTGCGTTTGCGCCCGTTTGGAAGACAAGCTGCTGCGTCGGCTACTAAACAGACTCCTGCCGCTTCTACTGTTGCCGGACTTCGATGAGGCCGTTTCAAGATCCTCAGTGGAAGCCTTTTTATCGGGCACAACGAAAGCATCCTTTAATCGTCGGCCTGGTGAAGCGCTACGTCGCTTGCCATTGGGATCAGCTGGGACGCCCAGCGTCATACCCGGGACACTGTTTGCTCTCGGGTGATTTTCAGCTGTATTCGATTCCGATCCGGTTGCACTTGGACCGCTGACTGCTGATTCACCATCTGCGTGCGCGTCGTCGGCATCGGCAGTGGGGGCGGCATCCGCCGAGGTGGTCTCGATGAGAGGGGAGGAGGAGGTGTAGAAGCCAGTGTGAGAGTTGTGAGAGGTAAGCGGCGGAGTTCTAGATAAGTGAGCATCAGTTAGTTTCAGGGCGCAATACATTTAGAGACAGGGATGTGGTCTAGAGCTTGGCGTACCTGTCTGGTTCGGAATCATCGGTCAACAGATTGATGACTTCGTTCTCCTGGGGAGCAGAGCTGTTGACAGACGAGGGAGCTACCGAGTTCGTTGCGGATGTGCCACCGTTAGATCCATTTGAGGGAATTTCTTGCAATTCCTGCTCTGTAATGGAGCCAGGCACATCGGGTTCGTCTGAGCTTTTCTGGTTCTTCTTCTTCCGCCTACGCTTGAGGAGCTTCGAAAAACCGCTGGAACCAGCCTTTGCGGTATCCGGAACCTCTCCGGCCTGTGTCTTGGGCCGTTCTGAAGAGTCAATCGATGAGCGGCCATTGCTCCGACTCGATGATTCGATCGTATCCGACTCGGCAGATACCGTCCAGGCACGACGCGACCTGCTCTCACCTCCGTCTTTGAGACTTGAGGATGAGGAGTTGGCCATGACAACGGATTAGACCCGAAGAGAGATCAAGGGGCTGAGTGTATTCGAAAGGACAGACAACATCAAGGGCTTTCTGCTGTGTCGACCCGGGATGAAGTGGTGGGGGCGGGTTTGCTGACTAGGAAACCGGAAGTGTCCCCTGATGCACGTAACGAGGGGAAAGTAGCAGCTCCCTTAGTCAGATGCCGAGGATATGAACCACATACATTGCAGGGATAGTCATGGGCTCGGGTATTTTTAATTGTAAAGATGATATTGTATAATGCTCTCGCGGATATTCAAATCATTCACTGAAAGACACATTATTTTTTTTTCCCATTATTTTTCTCCTGGTGTCTTGACCTATTGCTGTTCGTAGCTGTTGGGGTTTCTCCACTGCGGATGTGACAGTTGTACTGTTAGCTTCAGCCTTGGAGATCTTAATGCGTATGCGGCTGTTTTCAGACAATCGTATAATGGCAATGTTCTAATTGTTCTCTTTTGCTGAATTGAAATAGACTGATTTTTGAGAATAAATAACATATTCGTTTTCTTTTCTAAACTAGAAAAAGAGTAAAGAACTTGGTCCTTGTAGACACCAGTACGTACATTGCACTGGTCTATATTGTACAGTCAGCGGATACCGATAACGATAAGATCCCTTCGTCCTTGAATCCTTATCGTCCACACCGTTTGAATGCCCAATACTTTCAACCTTGAATACAAGCTTCACCAAATTCTACTTATGACCCTTGTCGCTCTTCAGCACAATAACCCCTAAGCTCAAATTAGGAATGCCTTCTCCTTGAAACTCACAACTTTGACTTCTCAAACATGGAGGCCGCTCCGCTTACTCTTGTAAGATACCCACACCCCTCTCCCCGCATAGTTGCTCTAGCTAACTTAACGTCATAAGGCCCACACCCACGCACGAAATGCGGTGCTCGAGACCCGGAAAGCTAATCCTGTCGCAGCGAGTGAAGAGCATGATCTTGCCGCTGGCGAATTTGCAGCAGCAGCTCACAACAGCACCGACCAGGAGGTGAGTTACTCATTTCCGCCCGACCTCAAATAAGAGAATGCTCACGAGGACGTCATGGATAGGCTCTGCGGACCCTTCAACTGCTCGAACAACACCATAAAAAACTGGCTGAGATCCTGAGGTTTCAACACGAACATCCTGCCCATACACCAGACGCGCAGGGTGCTACAGCCTCTCCGAACCCGGTTACTCCATCCTCTACGGATGCTGGAAATACGAAGGCGGGTGTTCCCTCTAACCAGGATGCCCAAAGCCAACCCCCAAGGCTTCCCGGAAATCCTCGTATGTTAAGCCGAGAGTCATCATCAATCGCTAGTAACTTAGCATCAGCTCGAGGTATTCCATCTCAACCCCGTGGATCGCCAGCCTCACCAACACTCTCAGCACACCAAGCTGGAGCTAAAATGTCAGAGGGGCCATCGAAAATCAGGACCGGAGAGGCACGATTGCGGGATGTCCCCAATAGGCAGCGCTCTAACCGAACAACAACAGCTAGACAGCCCTGGTCGCCTCCATTGCCCAGCCCCACCGATGTTACCGCTCAACAAGTCGTTCCTTCGGAGTCCAGCGAGGCTTCGCATCGTAAAACGAAACCCCCGGCAGCCGACGAGCCATTCCAACGATTCTATTCTACGTTCGAGGGACTCATCTCCAAAATATCCGCACCCCTGGCATTTGCAGGCCTACCTCTTGGAACAGGAGACGCTGGACAACAGCCCGGCACCTCAAATCGCAAGTCTTCTGCCGAGACGAAGCTGGATTATCAACACGCGACTTCCGATAAAGGTAACACATTCGCTGAGCCAGATGTGAACCGTCTATTCTCCAGGGCTGCATTGCGATCGATTCGGGAGAATCCAGGGGCTTTTACCGGGAATACGGCAGAGTCCTTTTATGTTGTCCCTACAACCGGTGGAACGATGTCCTATGCAGGTATCCTGACACGAGCCGAGAAAGAAGGGCGCCGAAGCAGCTTAGATGAAGGCGAGGATGATTTTGTGGACGCACGAGAAACCCCATCCTCACCCGAGATGCGCCAGAGCGCCGGTAGCTCCAACAACCGGGCCAAGCGCCAAGGCACTGGAGACAAACTTACGAGCCTGCAAAATCCTAAGACCCTGGAAGAACTTCAAATGGAGAATCAAGCACTGAAGCATTTGTCTGATGAGCTCTCGAAACGACTTCATATGTGGGAAGTCAATGCACAATCATCTTCTATGGCTTTACAGCAATCATTGCGAGCAATTCACCAATCTCCTGGCTCACATGGTCCTTCTGGAATACCCTCTCCAGTAGCTCAGATGTCTACTGCGCCTGCCACGTCGGACTCAGCTGACAGAGTAAAGGAACTAGAAGACATTGTTCGACGCGGCGAACAAGAACTAGATCGGTTGGGACGAGACAATGATAAATTGAATAAAGTCCTTGGGCGATACCGAGACCGCTGGGAGAAACTTAAAGAAGGAGCAAAAACACGACGTGCGGGAGGCCAATCTGCTGATGGTCAATCCAATCCACCAACGCCGGTTCTGAGCTCCAGGACTCCTAATACTCCGCTCTCGCCACAGCCAGATTCCGACTCGAACGATATACCAGCTACCCCAGTGATCTGAAGCAGAGAAATTGAACATTGTCTCTATTCTATTTAATGACCAAGATACATAGGATAGTGTCTATTAGGAATAGATCATAAAATATACATATTTTGGAGTAGCAGCAGAAAACCTTCCAGCTCCCATGACACACAAGACATCAAAAAAGCGGGCAGATAATAAATGATCTTGGATTCCTCCGTCCAACTCCTAGTAAGACAACCTTGGGGTTTGGTTGAAGACCCTCAGCCACATCCCCGAGCCAAAATTAGCTTTACCGACAGAATTGATACGTCGATTGTTTTTTTTAAAATAAAAATAAAAATCGAGGAACCCATTCGTTATTTCCATTTGCCACTTTATATTGAACAAACTAAGCTGGGTTGGACACCTGGGCGTAACCTAAGTTGTTGATAAGAATTGATTAGTTTATACTTCTGGTCTTCGTATACCATCGTGTGGAGACTGCTTAGAAGGATTGCTCCATTCGTGTGGGGCTGGGATCTTTTCCTGTCTCCGCTGCCTAATTACTAACGACAATAGCAATTAAGATTAGCTTGAGCCCCGCGATATTTGAAGCATTCGAGTTTGGACACGGACAAAGCTATGACACGTGGTCATATCGCCTTCAAGGTGTCATAATGGCTGCTTCAAATAAACTGTGCAGCATCTCTGAAATGTTGTTATACCTCTTGCGACGGCTCCTTGTTCCAACTGTACACATTTTTCAATATTGGGGGTGCTTCAAGTTGCTGCAGCTGCAGTCTACCCTCTTATGGCCAAAGTAGGGTCGCTGCCCAACTACATGCTGTAGAGGGAAACAACACCCACACTCACCCAGATATCCTGAGGGTATTTGGTCTGCGAATCAGGATCGTCCCCTGGAGGAAAGTAGGAATACTGAGATAGAGACCGTAAGGGAGTCCGAAGGAGAAGAGATCTGAATTGCTAGAATGATCCGATCACATCTTAAATACAGAATATCAATGACTTATACCGCTATAGCGGGGTATTACTGTAGTGGGGAGTATATTCCCCACTACAATACCTACTACCATGCATGTGTGTAGGTACCTGGTAGTGTAAAGTAAGCGAATCTCTTGCTAAGTGGACTAACACGTCTTGATAAGTGTGTGATGGACTTGTATTTGGCTCATCGCCCTCATTCAATATTACGAAAAGCACTCTCAATCCGTCCTACCGTCTCGTAGCCCTGTTTTTTGGGCCCATCCTTTTCGTGATTCTTGATATTTCCTTGAAGAGTGTTCGGTCTTTAAAGAAAGTATCTATTCTATTATCTTTGAATCAAAGAACCCATGGCGGTAGAAAGTCGATTCCCAAACGTGCATCTGATTGGGTCAGGAGGCATTTCCTCAGTCTACCAGGTCGACTGCGGTATTGTTGTGAAAGTCCCAAACTCTGATGAGTTTTCGAGACAGCAATTTCTCAAAGAGATTGAGATTTACAAAAGGTTTTCCCGACAGACGGCCTGCGCGTTCATTGTGCAGTGTTTCCACCTCACTGACGACGCAATCTTCCTTGAGAATATGAGAGGTGATACTCTTGAGATCTATGACCATACAAAGGTCTCTATTGACTAGTTGAACAGACCAATGTTTAGCTATCCGTATTCAAGGAAATCACGATTATGACTGGGAGAAGTGGGTTGTTATACAGGTGAACAAACTGGAACCACTGCACCTACGACTTGCGTGGATGAACGGTATCACCCAAGCAATTGCCTTTCTTGAATCTCTTACTCTCGCCCATGGCGATCTCCGACCGGAAAATATTCTTCTCCACGACAACAAAATCAAGGTAACTGATTTTGACAATACGGCACCATTCGGAACGCCATTCTGGGTTTGCATGGAGCCATGGGGAAGAGAGTTGACGGAACCAGAAATAGGCTATGATACCCCTGGTTGTCCAGCTGGGCTTCTGGGACCTCGGACTGAGCAATTCGCCCTTGGATCTATGTATTATTATATTAACTACGGGATGGCAGTATACGAGGACAAGACTCTCACAGTCAGTTGGCGTGATCGGGGTATTGCGCGCAGGAAATTATTTCAGGACATGCAGTTCCCAGTCCTAGACTGTGATCCGATGATCGATGAATTAATTCATAAGTGCTGGCACAATCAATTTCCCACAATTGCAAGCTTGGCGGCGGCCACGAAGCAATTGTTTGACAAAAGATGTAGCCGTGAAGAAAACGAAGCCGTGGAGGGAGGAAAGGATGAAAAGATAGCATCAGATGGAGACGAGGCTACAAAAGCTTTTTGTCAAAAATTACAAGAAGATGGTCTGTTTGACTTTATCCGCTCGCGCCAGTCTTGCTGATCTCGTTCAGAGAGATTCGGTCATGGAATCACTAGCCCAGAGGGTCGTTTGGTTATTCCTTATGTTGAGTCAATCGAGAACCGCAACGAGTGTCTTCAAACCAATAAATCTACTTAGTAGTAATACGTATCGCGAATTATATTAAATCCTCTCTATCCTTACTTGAGCTCACCTGTTTTGTCCGATGCCATGTGATTTCCCCGTGTTCTATAGCTTCGTCTAAAGCGAGTCGTTTTACCAGGGGAAGAATACCTGAGTAGAAATTTTATAGTAATAAATGAATGACAAAAATCCAATCAAATATAGAGTGAGCAATAATAATTGGTAACAACAGAAAGGCCCAGTGCGCTGTTTCCAACTATACTGCTGGCTGCTGGCTGCTGGCTGCTGGCTCGACCTAGTTCCCTCAAACTTAAACATAAGCTCATCATCCCTTGAAGCAGGTAAAAATGTTTCATGTTTCGTTCAAGGCCTCTGATGCAACTCGCAACTTGTGCTTCGCTCAACCCTAAACTTGTAATGTTTTTTAGCCGCATGAATGAAGCTCCACTTTACTAAATTCACGTAATAGAAAAGAAAAAGGACTAGAATAAGGCGTGCCAGAGCCTAAGCGAGCGTTGGTCAATGCGGCTCTCAGCCCTGGTGAAATGGCCAAACTTAATGCACCGACAATTGGCGATCGAGCAGACCGCTAACTTATCATGCTATGTATCACAAATTTAGCTGGGAGCATTTCTGATGTCATCTCAGTGAGAATGGGGGTTTTTCTTTCTTTGCTCTTTCCAGAATTTCCAGAATTTCTCAACGGAACTTGGATGCATGGTTTCTCAGCACAATTCGCCAACCGGGCAGGCCGACTTAGACAGTCTCCACATCAAATCTCGGGGTTCTGCGCTGTTCAACCCGGCATCGTGGCCAAGTGGGCGTGATACTTCCGAGCGTGGCCGGCGCAGCCACAAAACGTGGCCCATTGAAGATGATATATCATCACGGAATTCAGCGAAATTCCAGAAACTACCCTTCCGGCAGTACATGCTACTCTGTCACGGTGCTGATGCGGAGTACACGTTGATCTGATCTGCAAGCTGGGGCGGCACATAGAGCATGAAACAGCTACCCCGTAGTGAGTACAAGCAATGGTACGTCAGATTGAGTCGTCATTCTTCTCAAGAAGCCGGACTGGTATCTACATGTAGAGTGTATTTTCGGTTAATACGGAGCAAGACCGGATAAAAAATCAGACCAGAGTACAAGTGGCATACAATTGTGGGATATCATTTTTTGTCGCGGTTAAAGTCCGAACGCTCCGTTGCATGAAACTCTTTGCAACCTGCTTAAACGGGGCCATGGCCGACCATTAAATCTGCACCTATGTCCCTTCAACAGGGACGAGAGCTCAGACAATAATTTCAAAGTCCCTCCACGCAAGGAGTTCTAAATTTATCCCGGAAAAAAAGAATGTACGTGGAAAGCCCACTCGTCTTCCGTGCCTGGAACCTTATTTCAAAATAGCTTCAGTCCTCTGTGGTTATCCCTTCCTAACTGCTTCGAATGGAGAGAAAGCCGTTTGAAGATCTTCAATATGTCATTGGTGATCAATCCATGGAACATCAATGGTGAAAACCTGTAGAGAATCAAATTGCTTTAATTTGGGTAATTTGTTGACCTCGAGTTGCCTTGATCCTTGGTAGCTCAGGAGTCATTGTGGGTCTCGATTACAGGCACGAAAAAAAGCCAAGCTGGGTGGCTTGAAAAGTGGCTGCGTTGTGTGCTTGGGACGGGAAATGATGCCGGATCCACCCAAGCACATTAGCACATGGCACTAAATTCAAAACATGGCAAGAGTAGTAAAGATTGGCATTATCAAACAGGAAAATAAAATGAAGATCTATTGGCTAGATCATTTCGCTCTTTTCCGAGTGGAACATTGAATGTATGGTCCATAAGGCTAGGTCAATTGCTTGACGCTAAAATCTCTGCCAGCCGCGATCCGTGAACTCAATTCGGCGCTGAAAATTTTATAGTGGGACAATCCTAAGACTGCGAGCTGCTATTTTAAAACTGCTTTCTACAATTCACCTGGGACTCTGTTTCATCCTGTAGCTAAACTCCTGCGGCTGCAGCAGAAGCCCTGCATATGGAGTTTTTACGGTGTCGGAGCTCTCGACACGTTGTTGGATAATATGCAAGATGTAGAATTTGCAATGTACATAATGTACATACTTCTGTACAGATCGGATCTAGAGTATAAGCGAAGGAGACGGTGGATCTCACTTAAGACTCTAAACCATATAGATCTTAGTGTGGAAAGGCTTTTTTTCGAAAGGATTCCCCCAAGGAAAGCCACGATAACTACCGTGACTAATTCCATAGATCTTAAATGCTTAGGACATACTTCGCATTCTCCGCACATATCACAATGACGGTTATTAATTCAAAAACAGGGTTTTGATTAACATACCGAACCAGACAATCAATTAATTTACATAGCTATCAGGTTTATTGTTAGCTCAGTGTTGTAGTTTTTTTGGGTCATCAAATTTGGGTCTCAGGGCTTCCAAGGATTCGGCTAAGACAGGACCAGGTTCGGCCCCATCTAGATCAGGAACCTACCGGATCTAAGAAGTAGGAAATACTGGAGTACACCGAGCTGTGGCCCACATCGAGGATAAGGCTTCCACCTGGACACCATGAGGGATCCCATGCAGGTTTTAAGAGTTCGCATCGAAGTTTTTTCCCACTACTGCACCTCATCCCGTCCATTGATGCGGTGACCATTCGTTACATTCCACTCGTTTAATTTCGCCATTCATTAATACAGTCACTCATTTATATACCTGCAGCGTTGCCCCAATGTCCAAATACCATGCCCGAAGACATACAATGGTGGAGGACGTGTGTGTCCCGAAGCACTTGCTGTCTACAGCAAAGTTCGATTCACCATGGGAGATGAAAAAATGGGAGAAATCTCTCCCCGAAAATGATCGTGTCCCCTATACACTGGCCAGATCTGCAAGCCAAAAGCAATCTAGCGGTCTCTCGCGCTCTAAATCTCTTGGTGGTCTTGCTCGTTCTGCTAGTCTTTCTACTTTGCGGGTTCCAAAACGCCCCGATGCTACTCGACCGCGTAGCAACCCTCCTGCATTACAACGTATGTTTATATACTTTATCTTTTCTGTCTTTTCTTTTCCAAACACTTGCTAATCTTATAACGTTAGTCTGGGATGAGTTCAAGCAACCTGTACCATTATCACCGCCCCTGGAGCAAGACGAACCTATCACGCCTATCAAAGAAGCCGCCGTCCATGCCAGTCCCCCAATGAGCGCTAATAGCTCGGATACCTTTGCTAGTAGTCAGCGGAGTAGTATGCAAGATGTGTATGAAAAGGCCAAACTGAGAAAGGTTGCTCTTCAACGAAAATACTGGGTGCGACTTCTATTCGAAATCGGCTTCTATACGTTCCTTATTTTGTTCATATACTTCGTCTTGATCGGAATGCCCCTTTGGAAGGGTGCAGTATGGTGGCTCTACTGGGTTATCAGCAACAAATTCGTCATCCCAGGAGGATGGGCAATTCTTCTTGGTCTGGCATTCTTGTAAGACTCAATACCCTAACGTCGTATCTTGATATTGATTACTGACTTGAAATCTTTTTGAAACAGATATGCTTTCTTGCCGCTCCTCATTCTTTTTGAAAAGGATCCCCCAGCAGTGCTGGTTCCTACCGATGCAGATCTTGAAAAGCAAGTATCAAATGCAGAGAACACAGCCCTGCTTATTCCCTGCTATAAATCTGCACAGATTATTGGTCCAACTCTGGACGCTGCTCTGAAAATCTTTCCTGCTGAGAACATCTTCGTTATTGCTAATGGAAACTCGGAAACTCCACTCGACAACACGGAAGACGTCTGTCGCCCGTATGGAGTTAATCATCTTTGGGTACCTGTTGGTTCAAAGATCGTTGCCCAGTTCGCTGGTTGCTACGCTGCAAAGGGATTTGAAAATGTTCTTCTTATCGATGATGACTGCGCACTTCCACCGAATTTCCCCGTCGTCAGCAACAGATTGACGAGCTCCGTCAGGTGTATTGGATACACTATTAAGAGCGTTGGACCTGAATCATCCAAGGGAACATACTGTCAACAGGCGCAGGATCTCGAATACAAAATGTCCGGTATCCAGCGAGCTTTCTTTGGTATGCTGGGAAGTGCCACTTTCCCTCATGGTGCTATCTCTTTATGGAACACGGAGTTTCTCAAGCAAACATTCAATGAGCATCCTGGTTTTTCCGTATCCGAGGACTGGTTCTTCGGAGATGCTTGTCGACGACTTGGAGGTCGAATTACCATGTGCTCATCTGTTTTCGTCGAAACCGAGACACCATCAGCAGTATTTTTCGCTAGAGGTGGTAGCCGCGGTGGATTCGGCGAAATGACTGTCTTTAAGCAACGATTTAAGCGATGGAACTTTTTCTTCGTTATCGGAATGTACTATGACCTCAAGTACATCTTCACGAGCTGGAAGCTCGGCTGGTGGGAGATCGGAGCCAAGCTCTGTGTTTTCCAAGAGGTATGTATCACTTATTTATAAACTCCCTGACGGTGATTCTCAGTTACTAATCCTCAATTACAGGTGTACGAAACTCTCATTTATCTTCTCGCTCCTTTCGTTTTACCCATCTCTTTCTACGTCCGCCCCTCATTCTGTGGTATTCTCCTTGGTGCAACTATTGGCATGTACATTGTCAACGTGTTGGTGTTCAATGAGATCCACCTCCGACTTAAGAAAGAGCGCATCGACTGGAAGGTCCTTATTCTATACTACACATTTTACAAGATTGCTTTGACTGGTATCAACGTTTTCAGCTGCTACTGGTCGCTATACAAATACGCTCGCTACTTTGCCAAGCGCCATCCAAAGGTCATTGAGGACGAAGAGGCCATTGGTGTCGTTCTAAGTCTTGAACGCGAAGTTGACTCGGAGATTCCCACCATCCAGGAGAACGTTGCGAGTACTGTTATTCCGCAGGATGCAGATGCTAACCGAGCATATAAAAGATTGACTTTAACTAAGGTTGAGGCTCCGCCACAAACCATGGATGAATTTTCACACGGACCGTGGGTATAAAAAAAGCCCTGCCCTGTACATAATATTTAATACACATAGTATCAAAATACACACGCATATGAACATTTCAATATTTTATTCTCATTTATTCAGGACAATACTATGGTATAGAATTTTGAGTCGTTCTTAGCTAGACTGGTTGGAGTTGTTCATCCCTTCACCGTGAAGGTGGTGTTTCCTCTGATATCCTCAGAGCTGCTGCCAACCAATACAGTAAACTGACCAGGCTCAACGACATATTTCATCCGACTGTTCCAAAGTCCAATATCCTCGATCTTGATTGGGATTTTCACCTTCGTAGTTTTTCCGGCAGGAATCACAACCTTATCAAAGCCTTTCAGTTGCATATTCGGAACAACCACCGTCGCAATGTCATCGGAAATATAAACTTGAACAACTTCTGTCGCTTCGCGCGTTTTATCGGTATTGGTGACATCAACGCTCACAGTGACTGTACTATCGGTCGCCTTGACGGTGCTGCGATCTACGGTGACAGTGCCATATTCAAAGGTCGAGTAACTCTTTCCATAGCCGAAAGGATACCACGGAGTAGGGTTACCAATAACATATTGGTGACCAAAGACAATGGTACCATTATTCTCGATGTATCCAGAATCGGTAATCTCACGGGCTGAGTTCAAATAGTCGTAGTAAACCGGCAGATCTCCAACGAAACGCGGGAAGCTGACTGATAATTTACCAGATGGGTTGTAATCACCGAACAAGACATCAGCAAGTGCATTTCCACCTTCCTCGGAGGGATAGAATTGCTGCACGAGTGCTGAGGTGCTGTTGGAGATCCAGACATCTGTTATGGGCTTGCCGCTAGATAGGACGACAATGGTTGGGACTCCAGTGGCGGCAATGGCCTTGATTAGAGGACCTTGTGCACCTACAAGATCAAGGTTGTCTTCGTCGACGTGCTCGCCGGTACTGTGTGATGTAGATGTTAGCAATTATTCTCTGACAAATTTTAGCGCGTGTCAAGTTGTACTCACGTCGCGTTTAGCCCTGTCCATAATTCTCCTTGGTCGCGCGACCAGGTTCCTACAACTACAACTGCAACATCGGACTTCTTTGCCACTTCAACCGCCTCATCGAAACCAGACTGGTCATTACTCCACTGTACGCATCCCTGTGCATAATTGACAGTGGCTTTATTACCAACAGCAGCTTTGATGCCGTCCAACGGTGTGACACCTCGGTACTCGCTCTTGTAAACGACATAATCGCCATACTAGATAATGTCAGTAACTTGGAAGGGACAAAGATAAATTTTATCAGAAATCAATCTGTCACTCACGTTCATGACACCTGAAGCCATGGGTCCAATGACAGCAATGGTACCGGATTTCTTCAAAGGCAAAGTTTGGTTGTGGTTCTCCAGGAGAACTATCGACTCCTTGTCCAAATCTCTTGCCAGCTGCTTGTGCTCTGGGGTGTTGATGAGCGAAGTCCACTGACTCTCTGGTGCAGCAGGATATGGATTCTCGAAGAGACCCATTTCAAACTTCACCCGCAGCAATCTTGACACAGCGGTATTGACGAGATCAACATCAAGTCTCCCCGAGTCGACCATTGATGGAATCTTTTGAAAGTTGCTGTATTTTGTGTTAGCCCAATAATCATTTTCCTTCTTGAGGAACTTTTTCAGGGAATGCCCTTACAAGGAGCCGCCTCCCATTTCTACATCCAGACCCGCATCCAATAATTGTTCTGTGACAGAATTCATGTCTATAGGATTGCTCTCGCACATCTTGAAATAGCTGCACAATCGATCGCTACCACCAGCATCGGTCATAACAAAACCCTCGTAGCCCCATTCTTCTCTGAGGATCTGAGTAAGTGTTTGATAGTTTGCAACCATCGGAACTCCATCGTAGCTATGAGCATATTAGCTTCTTAAATAGTCACAACTAGCAAAGGAAATGGGTAACGCATACCAAGAGTAAGCAGCCATGATACTCCACACTCCTCCATCCACAATCGCGCGCTTATATGATGGCAACCATCTAAAAGAAAATCAGTACTTCATGGACCCGACGAATGTAGTTCAAACTTACGTTGTGCGCAACTCTCTTTCACCACCACGAACCGGTCCAGTATTTATTCCCTGTTCAGGCATGCTGTATGCTGCGAAATGCTTCACCATAGCCGATACATTCTTGCTCTGAATACCCTTAACGTAGCTATAAGACATCTCGCCAGCTAGAAAGGAATCTTCGGAGAACGTTTCTTCGACCTATGAATCCAAGCTCGTTAGAATATTTCCAAGGGAAAAAAAAGAAAGGAGCTTCTTACCCGACCATACCGAAGTTCACGGGCTAAATCAGCTTCGGGGGCGAAAAGCTGAGTCGCACCCAGAGCACGAGCTTCTTGACCAATAACTTCACCCATTTTTTGAACAAGCTAAGACGGATTAGCTATCTTCGCACTAATATGACAAGAAGATACATCTTACACTCGGGTTCCAAGAGCTTCCAATGCCGATAGGAGAGTTGAAGATGGTAGCATTACCAATCAAAAATCCATGAAGACCTACAATGATCATCTTAGTGCCCAATTTCGCCTCTTGCTCCCTTGTAATGTCTTACCTTCCGTTTGCACAATCGCGGGAATACCAAGCGTAGTATTATGCAGCAGATAGTCCTGACCTCGCTTGATATTATCTGCCAGCCAATCCCACGGAATAGCATAGCCAACTATTAAATCTCAGCATCCACCACAGCATGTTCTTAGCATTTCTCAACCAATGTCTACGTACCGTAGAACATGCCCGCCTTCATCTCCATATTCGCCACCAATCCGCTATAGTTGAAGGCGCCGGTTGTCGAGTCCATCCAATTGGTGATGTCTCCTATGGATCGGAATAATATTAGCAGTTGGCATATCATTGAAAGAACAATCAAAAAAAAATTCACCTTGCATCAATTGCGACATCTTGTCTTCAATGGTCATTCTCCCCAATAAATCCTTTACTCTTTTTTCTACCGGTGCACTAGCATCCTTGTAGAGCGGAGTAGAAGACCCGATTGCTCCAGATACAAATGTACCCAGCAGCTGGAGGAGCAATAAGCCCTCCGAGAAACCTTTAACAATCATATTGAGGACGGAAAAGCACTTCAATCGAAAAATTCTATACCAAGACCCGGACAGGCCAATTCTCAAGAACCGGAAATCCAAGCAGAAGACCAAGAAAAAGATCTGTCCCTCACGGGGATCAACTCAACACGGGGCATTCTCGCATTTAAACCCCAGCTCGGAGCTAAGAGCTCATATGCAATTAACGAATTAATTGCTTCCGCGCGGGGATAATTGACAGTAATCAAATCGGTAACGCGTGAATCAGGCCGTGCGAAGCCCGCCAATGTGGCACGCGAAGTATTAGATCGAACTCTGGCATTGAGGTTTCGCAGCGCCGGAGATGAATTGATCATGCGGTATAGGATGGCTACGGTATTATGCCGGAGGAGTGGAGTAGTTAAGATTCATCGGCGGACGCTAAGACTAGAAGGAGACGGAGTATGGTCCCCGCGTGGGGCAGACTTGGGGATTGTGGGGTTGGACTACCTTGTTATCATCTCTTCATGCAGCGTTCACGGGTAAATTGGTTATATTATAGGATAACACGGTGATTGGGAAAGTTGTGATTGCTTTCAAATGTTGGGGGTTTGAGTATTTAACTGTGCCCAGGTGATCGTGGAGGATGAAACAACTGTGCCGTTGAGATAAACGGTACAGTTGTCTTATGCTTCTGCAAGGACTGCAGCCGAGGCGGGGCTTTGACTATGGCATGTTGAATTCGGCTAAAATGGCTATATGATAGGATAATCTGGTGGATCAGCCAGGCCGAACTTTCCCCGGCATATCGGGCGCTGAGCTAAGATAGAAGGAGAGATGATAGCGGAGTTGATCGCACGAATGGCTGACTGTTGGCCAAATTTTTCCACTAATGGGTTGAACCTTTTGATGCGGATGTTCAGTATCACAATCTTATTTGAAGAGGTTGAACATATACGATATTAATCCCCAATTAACTGCAGGCTTACATGCTTACCTTGGAAATATTTGGAATGTGTATTGGTTTCTTCTTAGATCAAGTGTCACTCAAATAGAAATGATGTATGAATTGTACATAAAATGAGATACAGGCCGAGAGAAAGCTCGACATGAAAAAGCCGCCTGCCTGAATCCTGGCATGAAATGTAAATAGGTATAAGAGAATGAACAGAGAATGGTATTAAATGCTTAGAAAAGAAAGTGAAAAGAATATACCCCGCAAAATGCAATGCTTATTACAAACCCAGATATTATGCCATCAAAAGGGAGGAAGCAGGCACTCCCGAGAAGAGAACAATTGAAATAAACAGAAGAAAATGGCGAGGCTGGATGGTCTATATGAAGTTCGAGGGACCCAGCCACTCGGCATGTGAGACATGGGGGAACAGTGTGTGCAAAAGGCCTTACATCTTTTATCACTGCAGCTGCCCGGCACTCGTGCCTTCAGAGTCTGCAGTTTGATCAGGTGCAATTTCAGTATCGCGCGGTGTAACCGTTCCTTGCGTCACGGCACCGCTATCAGCAATTTCGTTGGTAGAAGTCTTCCTTAATGCGCCACCTAACCACGCAAGGCCACCACTCCATGAATCGCTAAAACTGCGAAGACGTTTGGTTTCTCCGTCCGTGTTTCCGGTTGGTGAATGATAAATTTCTGTGGCAAGACCAGGTGTAGAACGACCAGCCTCAGCAGGTGGAACAGCTAAGTCGGTAGCAGACTGAAGTCGGGCAGTAGCAAGCGTGAGGGGGGTATCATTCTCATCTTGATATGGGGCGTCGCCAAAGGCTCCTTCCAATGGTCGTCGGCGTCCTGGTTTTCGCTTGGAGCGTTCCTTGAAAGGGCTGCCCTCGCCGCGTCGAAGTGACTCTGCTACAACGGCACTGAAACCACCAGAAAGTGAAGGGATGAGAGGACCGGGTGAGAATCGATGTGAGAGTGAGTTGCGTAGAACACGTCTCGTAGGTGTTTCAAGGGTTGTATGAGCTCTAGCCCCAAGTGAGGGCGGATCGCCAGCAGCGGGTGTGGACGCCCGTCGGAGATCGATCGTTTTGGCAGTCGGTGAACCTTCGTCTATGCCAGGGGCTGGGGGAAATCGCAGAAGAACGGTTGACTCCTGGCCAGCGGTGTCGTCTTGATTCGGCGGTGTCATCGGACGAAATGGCTCAGGTTCTGATTTAACTGACCGGGTAGTGTCGTCCTGAGACTCTGCCCAAGGATTTGACATACGAGATGGAGGTCGCAATGGTGATGCATGATCAAATGATCGCCCCGAGAGGGCGGATTCGGCTGTTAAAGAGCCGGCCGGGGAGGAGGGCGCTGCAGAAAGAATGCCACGAGGAGTGAGGGAGCTGTCGTCTACGCCATCAATACCACGGCTGAGAAGAGAGCCTGGAGGAGATTCTGCGCCTTGCCCAGCTCCAGATGCCCGTTTCAGTTTGGAGGAACGTTCTGGCCTGGAAGGCGGAGGTAAATCCACATTGTCCTGATATCTTTCACCATCTAACAATCCGATTGCTTCTTCCTCATCCTCTGTGGAGAATGTGGACTCATCATCAGAGTGAACTCTTCCGCTCGTGATGAAGTATACACCAAGGAAGGTCATGAAACAACCTCCCACAAACTTCGCTGCACGTTCAGCTGTCATAGAATTGAAATCTCGATAGAGGACGGCACTTCCTATAATGACAGAGAGCGTAAAGAGAACAAACTGGGTCGGGATCACTTGTGTAGAATCAAAGCGTTGCAGAGCACGGTTGATATAGCGAATCTGCATTACAGCGCTGAAAACGAGGATAAAAACCAGCAGATACGTGATGGGATATGTGATCATACGCCATAGGGTAAATGATAATAAGGAAGAAACACCCTTCGTAGACAAGGCAGTATATCCACCTAGAATGACATGTCAGCTTCCTTTCAACATTAGGTGACTGTTAAGAATCAGAAAATTCCAAAGACCTACCAAACAATGCAACGAGCCCAACATCGATCAAGATTGAGCGTGAGCCGTACTGGTAGCTTCCCCACATGAGGGCAAGTATCAATCCAGTGGTCAATCCGAGATAAAGCTCAAATTCCCAGGTGGTGATCCGAGCCCAAATCTCTTCAGGGCCCAACTTCTCTTCCGATGACTTGGCACTAAGAACAACTACCACTGCACCAGCGATTGAAATCAGGACGCCCCAAACATCCCGACCTCGAAACTTTTCCTTGAGCAAGCACGGCGCAATGATACAGTTTGAGATCAAAGCAACAACTCCAAGCGGAGAAACGATTGATGCCGGCGCGAATCCATAGGCCATAAAGTTACCCGTCTCCCCAAGACACATGAGAATTATTCCAACCCACCAGTAAGGGGAGCGAAGATACGACTTGCGATCGCTTAGATCATCGGAACCGTCAGGGCGAGCGGTACGATCGGACGCAAATGAGTTACGCATGTCATTTCCAGAAAGCCGGCGGCCAGATTGTTCGTTCTCATTATCGCGATACGCCTCGAACCCCCTATCGTTGTTGGACCGGTTCTGTGGCGTCGCTCTACCCCCGGCATGATCTTGATTTCCGTCACCTCCAAGTGTTCCGTAAGGATCGGATGTATGTATCCCATTATTCGTTTGGCCAAATCCCTCTCCTTTATGGAGCTTATCGAGCTCATATTCGCGGTTGATTCGAATATGCGCGTAACGTTGGATATTCAAGGCGAGAGATATCAGAACATTGCCAACCAACGCAGTCACAATACCGATAAGTGAAGACCACTGGTGAATTTCCTCTTCGGTGTGGCCTTTGAAAAATAACAGGAATGGAGCAAAGGGAGAAGACGCGGAGGTAGGATGCGGCGTAGAGGAAGCAAAGGTTGAGGAGCTGAAAGAGGGAGACCCTACCCCCAGAGGTTGTTGTGAGAAGCCCATCTCGATCAGTAGGATCTAATGAATGTGCAGTCGGACCTAGACAACGAATACGCTGGGATCTGATGCTGTCGAACGATAAGCTGAGGATCGGGGTTTCGACCGAAAGTCTGGAGTCCCTTTAAAGTTGTCCGGATGTGTTCCACCACTAGCTGTCGTATTAGAGAAGCTCGGCGGTATCAACAGTACATCTCAAGTCGCCGAGGATTGCATTCTGATATTATATTGGTAATTTGGACAACTGCCAAACTTGACAGTGTCTCAAGTCGCGTAGTGTTGTTGGAAACTTTTTGGATGGATGGCGGCAGCGGGCGGAGAGAGTTAAGTCCCAAGGAGCGGAGAGTTACTTTTGTCAGCGCCCAACGGCTTCCAGGTCTCGTCTGTGCTCCTTGCTCTAGACTAGAGCATATCAAATCTAAGGCTACTTCTACCGAAGTGAAACAAATTCTAGGCAGGTGTTTACGAGTCTATCCGAGGTCCAAGCCCATGCAGTGGCGCCCACGTCATTGGTGGCTCGGACTGTGAGCTGCGATCGAGCGGCTCCCAAGGCCTCGGGGGACGTCATGCATGAAACGAAATGAGGGGAACATTCCTGAGGAGACGCAAGGAATGCCATTATGCAGAGCGTGTTTCATGAATGTCGGTCTATATATTTCATTTGGACGAAGACTAACAGTAGATAGTGCGCGTCGTGACGTTGAATCAATTTTGTGAGCACCTGCACCTAAACTATACAATCATACAAATGATGGATCTCGGGGGTAACGGATCATCGTCGAGGTCTCTTTTTCTCCGGGCCCTTTTCCTCCTCTTCATCACTTATATCGGCGTAAATTGCATTGGGCTGGGTCTCCTTATATGCCCGAGTGAAGATTGGGTCCTTCTCAGCCTTCTCGGCATACTTTAAGAGCGCTTCACGCGGATCTTCGTCACGCATGGAGCTAAGAGGAATATTCTCTCGGATATGTTTCTCATCAGGTGTGGATTTGCCGAAAGGTGTGGCAGCCGGCACATGCGGACGTCGAGGATCGCGAGAGCGACCAGAAGCCGTAAGTCCAACGTTCGGATGGCGAGCAGACCAGGTTGCCGATGTGTATTGAGGTACACCATTAGACCCAACAACGACTGAGTCGCCAGAAAGACCACTGGTGAGATCCGTAGTGAGGGTAGCGTTATCATCTAGATGACGACGCTTGGGTGCCTTGGACATGACCAATGCTGCGCCCTTGGTAGACATCGTGGGGTTGTAGAGGACATGGGTCTCGGCATTAGCAGAACCAGTCAGAATTTGATTGAGCTTCTCATGCCATAAGACTGTGATAAGGGGTGACCCTGGCGTGACGGGGGTGACAAGCTCGGGTTTCAAGGTGGCTGGATTGAGGATATGTAAATGGCCAGTTTCCGAGCCCACAATGATGTTTGCAGAGGGAGAGAACTGAATATTAGATGTTGGGAATCGAGCGGATGTCGAGGGATGAGTGACGGTTGTGACTGGAGTCTTGAACTTCCTAGTATCCCAGAGCTTAATTGTATCATCTCCGCCCCTGCTAACAACGAGCCGGCCATCGGCGCTTATATCCAGTCCGCTGGTCCATGTATCTCGAGTATGAGCATCTCGTACTTCCCCACTTGGGCGTGTAAATGGTCCATTTCCGCTCCACATTGTCAGGCTTCCATCAAGAGCTGCGGTAAGCAGAATGTTGGATCCGCCTTGTTTGGGAGAACCCCAGGCGACAGCAGTCATCTTAGTCCGACCAGCAGACCCAGCAATTCTTGATTTGTGCATGATCACCTCCTTTTGCGATCGTCCCACATTGGCATCCCAGATGCGTACTGTGCTATCCGATCCAGCGGTAGCACAGAGATTGTAGTCGGACGGGCACCAGACTCCACTAGTCGCCTCCGCAATATGACCTTTGGTGTTGTTGAGATCGCGCAAGTACATATCGCCTTTCGCAAACTCAGTAAGTGTTTCCCCATCACGACTGAGGATTCGAGGTTGCGCAGTTGCAGTGACAACTAGGACGTGACTAGGCGACAACGGGTTGAATGCGACGTGGTGGATGGAATGGGTATCCTGCGACGCGGACCCCTTCTTGATCGACGGATCGACTGATTTGAATGCGCGAATCGTGGAGGGGGTCATAGATGCAAAGTCGTGAAGCTTCAAAGTGCAGTCAGTGGAGCCGGTAATCAATCGCGCTCCGGATGGGTCCAGTGTCATGGTAGTCACTGCCCGCTCGTGTGTGCTAAGTACCATTTCATGCGAAACGGGAAACTCATCCTCATCATCAGAATCGTCATCGGAATCATCATCGCTGCTCTTTGGTTCCTGTTGTCTCTTTTCAGACTCCGTCGTAGCAGGCGCAATTAATTCCTGCGCTTCGTCCTTCTCAGCAGGCTTCGGCACTGCAACTTCGGCCCGCTTAGACCGGTTAATTTGGGAGTCCACATCAATAGTCGACTCCTGCCTTCCAAAGCTGGAGGGAAAGAACTTTTTGAACGCTTCCTCGTCAAACCCGTCCATATTGTTCGATGAATGAGGTAATGAACAAACTCCCGCAAGATTAATTTGCGCCGATAAGCGCAAGCTTGTTTGCAATGTTTGCACTGGGGTACCGATCATCTATCACTAATGTAGAAGAGAAGGATAAATGTGGGTGGATATGAGGCTTAGATGTAAATCCTATTTGATAATAAACCACATCATCCGATCATTACTGCTTTACTCAGTAGTGGCTTCATACAAGTGAAGGTTTTACTATGATAAGTGAATAAATGTTCCCAGGTATATGATTGTATGCCATTCCTCCATAAAATCGCATGCGGTCCATTAAAATACACAGATCAATGCTTCAAGAGAATTTCATCGCGCATAATAGCCGATGGAAATCTCTATCAGAGCAAAGACAGCGCTTACAAGTACAATCCTTCCACAGGGCCACCGTCCTGCTTCGTCTTCATGATGCGCTCACGGGCAGCGCGGAAGTCATCCATCTGGACTCTCATACGGCGCTCTCTCAGAGCCATCAAACCAGCCTCGGTGCAAATGGCACGAATATCGGCACCAGACAAATCATCCTTCTGGTTGATGAACTCATCCAGATCCACATCATCACCCAGGGACATTTTAGATGTGTGCAGGGTAAAGATCTTCTTCTTGGTGTTTTCTGTAGAGGAGTTAGAACCATTCTTTTGGTATATGGATTGGAAAAATACTTACGATCAGGGTTCTCGAAGAGAATCTTACGGTCAATACGACCAGGTCGAATCAGGGCAGGATCAAGAGTCTCGATTTTGTTCGTCGCCATGATAACCTTGACATCACCACGGTCATCGAAACCATCCAGTTGGTTAAGCAATTCCAACATGGTACGTTGAATCTCTCGCTCACCACCAGATGTTGATTCGTAACGCTTGGTACCAATGGCATCAATCTCGTCGATGAAGACAATGGATGGGGAGTGCTCGGCGGCGACCTGGAAGATCTGTCGGACCAATCGAGGACCATCACCAAGGTATTTCTGGATCAGTTCACTTCCGACGATACGAAGGAAAGTTGCACTGGTCTGGTTGGCCACAGCCTTGGCCAAAAGGGTCTTTCCGGTACCAGGAGCACCGTAGAGAATCACACCCTTTGGTGGTTTGATACCCATCTCCTCGTATAACTCGGGGTGTAATAATGGCAACTCCACTGATTCGCGCACTTCTTGGATTTGGTTCTCCAAACCTCCAATATCGGCGTATGACTCTGTAGGTGCCTTATCCAACTTCATCACAGACACGAGCGGATCCGATTCTTCAGTCAAGACACCAACAACCGATACTGACTTATGGTGTAAAAGAATGCTAGCACCAGGTTCAAGGAGGTCTTTATCAACGAACGACATAATCGATACGTAGTACTCGGGGCCGGTCGCACTTGAAACGATAGCGTGGTCGTCGTCAATCAACTCCTCCAAGTTGCCTACCCCCATCGGACTGCCTCGCATATCATCGACTCGGCTTCGCTCGTCTGCATTGCGATCCGTCACATCCAAGTCACCTTGGCTAGCCGGGCCTTGGCTCATTTGAGCTTTGGACTTTCGCATTCGTTCCATGTTCTCGACGTATTCCTCTTCTAGTAGCAGGTGGTCGTGCACTCGCTGCATTCGAAGATATCGGAGTTTGCATCTCGAAGTTGGATAAATGTCGGGCAACTTGGCGGCTGTGCTAGGACCAGCGGCCTTGCGCTTCTTCTTTCCAATGCGAGTGGTCGGGGGTGGAGGAGGCTCGTACTTAGGCTTGTCCTTCTACAGAATCGGGCGTCAGGGCCAGTTACCGACGATGCTTATAGCAAGGGAATCATACCTTCTTATCCTTATCATCACGTCCATCGCCACCTGGGCCACCGCCCATGTTCGACTGCTGGTTACCCTGTTTGATGACTGGTCAGTGGATGTGAACTGCTCGCCGGTTACGCAGGGTGACGAACCATGTTTGTAAGCCAGCAAGAAGAAGGCTGTCAAGGGTTTGAGAGAATATCTCTAGATATTATAGTATTCGATGGATGATCAATCTGAGCAAAACAATAGATAGAGAGTCGTAGGTGAAAGAGATGGGATGGGGCTGCTGATGCAGTTGCGTGTTCTAGCTTCGGGGATCCGTGAGAGCTGGAAGCTGTTGCCATAATGCACGTGACATTTATTGCCTTAAGCCTGAGGTACCCTGCGTCATTGATGCCTTGATGCCTTATTAAGCTGCCCGCAGTCTCCGGCGGTAAATGTTCAACATGCGGAAACAAGCAGCTTTGAGTATTAGACCTCGGGCTGGGATCAATAACTTTCATTAGTCCCTGCAGGTTGGGCCTTGCATTACAATCACAAGTGCAATCGGAATATCTCGACTGAAAGTGGACGTTTCGAAGAACTGTGGCTAGAACTGATCGTCCCTCATAGTTCCCCTCCATTGGTAAGGCCGGATTTCCTACCATTTCCAGGTGGTTCGCCTCGGAAACGCATAGACCGTGTTGAAATTTTTGGCCCCGTATTGTTGATTATCGTGAATAATTTATATTAATATTCTCATCTGACTAGATCCTTGAACGTCGAGCCCTAGCTCGTTTTGTCTCTCCCATCGGTTTACCTGTACGTCTCAAATCACCAAAAGACCATGTTGCGCCGAGTCCACGAAGCTCCATACTAAGTCCGATGTTTTGATTTTTATCTAGTGTTTGTAACACCGCATATTCTGCCCCAGAGACCAAGCACGGATCACCATGGCCAGTAATCGAATGCGCCGAATCGGCAAGGAAATGGCCGACATCCATGCCGATATCAAATCCCAGATTACAGCTGTGCCTGTGAATGAACAAGAGGATATCACACATCTCCGCGGCTCTTTCCCGGGGCCCCCGGGAACTCCATATGAGGGTGGCACTTATAACATCGATATCAAGATTCCTACCGATTACCCTTTCAGACCCCCAGTCATGAAATTCGAGACCAAGGTCTGGCATCCCAATGTCAGCAGCCAAACGGTAAATATATCCTCAGTCTCTTTTGTTATACTATAGCCAAACCTGATCATATAAATATAGGGTGCCATTTGTCTTGACACGCTTTCCAGTGCTTGGTCCCCCGTTCTGACCATCAAGTCTGCATTGCTATCATTACAATCTTTACTTAGCACACCAGAGCCGAAGGACCCACAAGATGCCGAAGTGGCCAACATGTTGCTGAGAAAGCCAAAGGAATTCGAGCGTGTTGCTCGACAGTGGGCTGTGATTTATGCAGGTGCCTCCTCGGATGGCTCTGAGAATATTGCCGGTCAAGACGAGACAGGTGGAGCTATGTTTGATAATCTGGCACAGTAAGTCTATCTCCGTCTGGCCCATGGCATTTACTGACTGGAAATATTCAGATACGATGGGTATAACCGTGACTTGGTTGACCGATTTGGCAGCATGGGCTTTGATGTAGTCCGCGTTGTAGAGGCATTCCGAGATATTGGAATTGACCGGAACGGCGGTACAGATTACCAGCTCTCAGAAGGTCAAATGGGCGACGTAACTGGGCGTTTGCTTGGCGAATAGTCAAAAACATTGGAAACATTTGGAAAAGTTTGATGATTACATGACATCATGACGTTCGAAGAGCAGCAGCAGCAGCAGTAGATATGGTTGGAGTTTTTGGCATTCTAGGTGCAACTTGAAATGCATTGTGAAATATCTCCCAACTTCGAGGTCAGGGTCCTTGGGCAAAACATCCAAGGTTCAAGTTGCACTGACACCTGAGGTCGATATATCTATATGTTTAGAGTGTATGGGGGAAATACATACAATTGTTTATTCTTCTTGTTCTTCTTCTATTGTGATCATTATTTTCTTTGTATTGAAGATCATGGCGAAACGAAAAGACGATGGGAAATAATATCAACATTTCTTTCATAATATAGTATCAATAATATCACGATACCAATATAATGCAAATACCAACGAGATTTCCTGAGCATTCAATATACTCGGCCGCCAATTGAACGATTTCAGCGCTGGTATAGTAACATTGCCATCACTATGTATATAGTGATAACCCTCCAAATAGGTACTCTCGTGGCATAGATTCATTCAAACCTGCTGACATCTTGGAACTTTGTATCTGCCAGCAGCTCCACTTAAGCAAGTATAGACGCAAATAGGTATATTGTTGATAGTATGGATAATGTTTTCTAATTTCTAACTAAATCAGCCAATCAATTGTACAATAACTATGGTATTTAATTGAATTTATCTTATATCGGTGAATTAATCGCGTCCAAATCATCAACAGCAAAATCCATGGATGTGTGCTGGTAGGAATCCCTTATCGATAAGCTTCTTTCAACCTCTCCGCCAATCTCCACCAACTCCGCCATGGCTATTCTCACTTTCACGCCTTCACGTATTCTAGACGCATAAATTTCGACCTTGAAGTAGCACTGTGGACGCAACACTTGGTGCCTTCCCGAAAGACAGAACATACACGCTACAATCGGGTACCTAGCCGTGTCCTCGCAACAAAAGCAACAAGCCAGTCACGGCAAGACTCACAGTAACAGGCAGAGGCCTCACGCCAAAATGATTGAGGACGACATCTACCGCACCTCGTCACAGTTTCGAATATGGTCATATACGAAACCAGCATTGGAATCCCTACGCACAAAAACAAACGATATTGCCAGTGAGCGCGTCCGAGCTGCACTGCAGCGAGCTCGTTCAACTCAGCCATCAGCTACGCCCTCAACAGCTGGTACACCACAACCAGGAAGTGACGGGGACACAAAGAAACCAGAGGGCAAACATATAGAATGCCTGACACCAGAGGAGGAGCTAATTCTCGTCCGATACTACTGCGAAAAAACGCTCGAGTTAGGCGAAACATACAAGCCACCACTACCAACAATGGTTCGCGTAAGTTGTACCTTCATGGCTTTGCATCAACCATGACCTAATACTAACCAATCCACTCACTATAGGCGACCGCAATCCAATACCTCCGACGCTTTTATCTCACAAATTCCCCAATGACCTACCACCCCAAGTCAATCATGGCATGCGCGCTCTTCCTCGCAACAAAAACAGACAACTACTACATGTCCCTCCGACAATTCGCAGATGGAATCCCAGGCGAAACATCCCCGGACGACGTAATCTCACCTGAGTTCCTACTCATGCAAGGTCTCCGCTTCACATTCGACGTCCGACACCCCTTCCGCGGTCTAGAAGGCGGCGTAATGGAGCTCCAAGCCATAGCAGACGGACAAGCCCCCCCAACCCCTCACATCCCAAACCAAACAGCACAACAACTTCAACAAAACCTACAATCAATCGCGCCACCACCTGTTCCCTCCTCATCAATCACAGACCGTATCGCCCGCGCCCACGGCACAACCCGCGAGACACTCAAAACCGCCGCCCAAATGACAGATGCTTACTTCCTCTACACACCCTCTCAGATCTGGTTATCTGCTTTTCTTCTCGCTGATAGACCTCTAGCGGAGTTTTACCTTGATTCTAAGCTCGGTGGACCACTCACTGAAACTGTTACCGATGCGATGGACACCGATCTGAAGAACCCGCTTTATGAACTTCGAACTAAGCTTTTTAAGGTTTTGACCGAGTGTTCTGCTCTTTTGGGGGCTTATACGACGCTTTCGTCGGATCCGGATCAGATGAAGGGGTTGAAGCGGATTGCGAAGAAGCTTTATCATTGTCAGAATCCGGAGAAGATTAATTTGAAGAGGGACTCTGGACAGCCTGTTGCTGTGGCGGGGGCTGCGGACTCGGGACAGGTTACTTCTGAAAGCGAGTCGGAAAGATTGGCTAAGAAGCGGAAGTTGGAGCAGGAGCAAAAGGCGCGAAGTAGTGCTTCGGATATGTTTGGTCCGGAACTGGTTACTGAGAGGACTAAACAATGAATGATAGATAGCCTTGACTGATCATGTGTTGTAATGATTCTAATAGATGGTTGTAACGGGATAAGAGGCGTAGGGTATGGAATAAACGCTGTCTATGTGAAGAACGAGACTCCAGCCCATTGGCTCTTACATAACTAGGCAATGATTTAAAAGTTACGAATTAAGATCTTAGCGGTTTACGAACAGCGAAGCTGGTACGAAGCAAGCTTAAATCAGAATATCCGTAGATAGATCGATTCAGAACAGCATAAGAACCAGTGCCACCCGGAATCGCCGTCCAGGTGGAAAGAAACCGGTTACTCTATCGAACAACAATGCAAATAGGCAAACTCGAAGCACGGGCAGACATTCCTCCACCGTATATCGAAAAAGTGAAAGGTGGGGGGAATGAGTTTCATAATAGCAAACATATGAGAAAGACAACCAGTAAAACAAAGAAAAAGAAAGACCGAACGGTCAACCAAACCACCCTTTAATGTCCAATTCTAGTGCAAGAACCGAGGGAGACAGTTACCACCGATCTATGAGAAGAGAACAAAAGGAAAACAAAAAATGAAATCAAGAACCAGCACAACCTGAATATCAAGGATACCATGCGGCGGGAGTTTATACTTTTGAGTCAAGACTCGAGGCTGGTGATCCCCGGGTGGATGGGTTCTGAACTTTTTAAGAGCGCGAAGCATTGTAATTCCTTCGATTCTCGTCTAGCATTTCGTCGTCATCAGATATAGGGTAATGAAAAAAAAGTCAACAAGGATATGAATTCCTTAGACAGCGCCGGCAGACAACATCTTGTCACGCAGGTGCTTCTTGTACAAGCCAATGCTTCCGTCCCAGCGACGGATAGTCTTGTTTTCGCAGACCATAATGTCCTTGGCGATCTTGTCAAGAAGACGGAAATCGTGAGACACGACAACGACACCACCGTGGAAGGCGTTAATAGCATCGGCCAAAGAGTCAATGGTAGGGATATCGAGACCGTTAGTAGGCTCATCCAGCAGAATCATGTTGGGGGATTCAATGGCAAGCAGGGCGAACACGATACGGGACTTCTGTCCCTCGGACAGAGTACCCATGATGGCGGTCTGGGACTCACCACTGAGACCGTACTTGCCCAGCTGCTGACGCCAGTACTGGTAGTCCTGGGACTTCTCGGGGAACTTGTCGCGGACGAACTCCAAGGAGGACTTGGTGAGGTCCAGCTGCTCAGCGGAATGCTGGCTGTACACACCGAGCTTCAAGTGAGTGTGACGGGAGACACGGCCACCAATGGGGCTGAGGGCACCGGTCATAAGCTTGAGCAGAGTAGACTTGCCGACACCGTTGGGGCCGACGAGGGCAGTACGGGAATCCATGTCGACACCGAAGTCGAGGTGCTCGTACAGGGTATCGGACCACTCTCCGGAGTAGGAGAAGCTGACATCGTCGAAGGACAGGACGGGAGGGGGCAGCTTCTCGACATCAGCGAAGCGGAAAGTGAAGACACGGTCGGGAGTGACGGGCTGGATGAAACCATCGGCCTCCATCTTGTCCAGAATCTTCTGACGGGACTTGGCTTGACGAACCAAGTTAGCGTAGGTACCGGCGGAAGCAATGAACTTCTTGATGTGAGTGATTTCTTCTTGTTGCTTGGTGTAGGCCTTCATCTGGTTGGTCTCCTGCTCACTGCGAGTCTTGTGGTAAGAGTCGTAGTTACCACCGTAGTAGAGAAGCTTCTGCATACGCATGTCAAGCATAGTGGTGCAGACACCGTTCAGGAAATCCATGGAGTGGGAAACAAGGACAAGGGTGCGCTCCCACTTCTTCAGGTACTCCTCAAGCCACACACAGGCCTCGAGATCCAAATGGGCAGTGGGGTCATCGAGAAGAAGCAAGGAGGGCTTGACGAAAAGGGCCTTGGCAAGGGCCACACGCATACGCCAACCACCGGACATATCCTTGGTCTTCTTTGAGATGGTGACCTTGTTGAAACCAAGACCAGTCAGAATGAGAGAGGCACGAGTGTGGAAAGTGGAGGGATCCATCTTGTCCATACGCTGCGAGGGTTGTTAGCATTCAATTCAAATTGAAGGTACGTAGGCTTGTTGGGTGTTGATTGATTGTATTCCCATTTATATGAATTTTTTTTTTCGACTGGGAATTTGGCGGGGGTATCACTCACGTCGTACAGATCCTCGAGGATAGGAGACTCAGGGCCGTCGTGCTCCAGAATCTCCTCGGCCTTGCGCTCCATATCGGCAAGCTGGTTCTCAGCCTCACGGACGACCCAGTCAAGGGCACCGAGGTCACTGGGAGGAGCACCCTCGTTCAGAAGGTAGATATCGACGTGCTCGGGGATGGGGTACTCGCGTTGGGCGATGGACTTGAGGATGGTGGACTTTCCACATCCGTTCTCACCCAGGAGACCGTAACGACGACCGAAGTTAAGCTCGAGGGTGGAGTCGGTGACGAGGACCTTGCCGTGGAACACAAGGGAAGCGGAGGTGATCTTAACATCACGAGAAGCTGGCAGAGAGGACAGGACACCAGTAGTGACACGATCGGACAGACCGTGCTTGTCCATCTGAGAGGTGAGCTTCTCAACCTCCTTCATCTTCTCGGTGGTGGTGGCAGGCTGATCGCCCTCATCAGGGGTCTCAGTGCCCTTCTTGGTCTTCTTGTCATCGGCGCGCTTGGCCATACGGGCGGCCTTTGAGGCGGAAACCATTTTGACGATTGTATATGAGGAGGATAAATAAGGTGGGAATCGGTGGTAGAAGGGGAGGAGGGAGGGGTGTAGTTGGGAGGGTAAGAAAAGAGGACCCGTAACAAACGAAGAAATTGAAGGCAGAAGAAATGCAAAAAGACTTAGTGGAGCGTCACTTGGCGGGGCGGAGGGAGAGTACAGTAGAGGGGCGAAATTGGGTGGAGAGTGCCTGAAAGCCCTTATCGATAGAAAACTCTGGGATCTCTAATCCTCGACGTCAGAGTCTCAAGGTGGGATGAAAAAAAAAAAGAGAAAGATTTTAAAAAAAAATTTATTGACTTCTTAAGAGTTTTTATTACCGCCTATGCATAATTGCGCTTACACCCCTTAATTACTCGACACCGATATTTACTCCGACGTGAGAAACCCCAAAAAAATCGAGGGAAAGAAAAAATCTCTACAGTGGGCCACAATGAATACGCTGATTGGGGACTCCGACGTCACCGCACAGAGAAGGTGGTCATCGATGCCTGAGGTGTCAAGGTGTTAACCAGGTGTCAATCAGGTGTCGAGTTTGCCACACTGATAAGAGATGTTGATTGGTATTGGGTTGTTGGTCTGGTCTCTTATCAGGGGAAAACAGTGAAGACTGCGTGGATTTCATTTTCATATTGATGACTATCTTTCTCACATCACATTGAATCTGGATTAACAACATTTTATATACGCTCTTGAATCTTCTCCAGGAATGTGCGCTCATGTGCAGTTAAGTAAACACCAGCAGGAACCAGTATGCCTCCCCGTCCCACCACAAGCTGTCGAGGTTCATCCAAACTGTCTTCCGAATGGCTAGGAAAGTCAGGCCTTTCCTTCTCGCGTTCTTGACCGTACCTCTCGATATCAGCTCGTTGCGACCGTGAAAGCGACCGTGGTGTCCACCAATAAAGAGGATATCGTCGTTGGATATTATTAATGATCAGAGCCGTCGTCTGCATCAAAGTGATCCCCAGAATCATGACGGGGAAAAGGAACCAGCCCAGCCCAACGGTTTGAGAATTTGTGACAGCGAGAAGAGCAGTCGCACCCGCCGGCGGGTGTACAGTATTAGTGAGATACATAATCAAAGTCGTCACTCCACAAGACAAAGCGCCTCCAAGGGAAGTATAATTCTCCGCATTGGGGTTCAAGGCGAAAAGCTTCGAGATCCCGACACCGACCAAACAAGCGATCATCTGACTAAAGAAAGCATTTCGTGGTTGGGAAAGCGGCGAGTCGATGGCTCCGAATTGTAGCACAGATGCTGCGCCCTATTCAAGATATTCATCGTCAGCACGACGATTCTCATCCAGTTATACTTTCCGACAGAAGATATAAACTTACAAAACTGCCAATAATAGCTGGGGCATCACGAGCCTCGAAAGAAGGCACACGCTCAGAAACGGAAGCTACCAGAGCCACACCGCAGAATGCACCCACCATGCCCCAAAAGGCAATGACGATGTTCCCTCGTGGGCTGGGTGCTTTATCTCGATACCCTAGAAAATGCGCGATGGGTCGAGGTACCAAGTGCCATCGGGGAGCCGGAATTATTAGGTTCAAGTATTGATCGATATCAAAATTCCATTCATTAACCCGGGCGAGAACCCCAGGTCGATGTGCCGAAGCAGTCATCAGCGAGACGGAGTTACAAAGGTCTCTCTCGTGCGATTCTCAAAAGTCAAGACCTTTTCCGTCGGTCCGAGGATGCACCAGCGGTCAAGAATATTTAAAAATCCCGGGGTAAATCCCTATTTACAGTGGCAGGTACTGAATATAAAAGAAGACATCCTGGCCGTGGATCCTGCAGACACCGGCTGAGCTGTCTACCGCGTAAGTCTTTGGATATCTCCTCGGAGAAGCTCACTCAGGCACGGAACTCGGCCTGACAGCCTTTGTGATATTCATCAACTGGCTCCATCGTGGTTGAAGGCGTCTACCACTCACGCAATTTGTATTGAGTAACAGAAACCCCGTTTCGGTATTAGTGGCTTGGCAATAGATGATGTCATTTTACAGATCATCTCGGATCTATACAAGAATTGTATGATATGAGAGTAATATGCATCAGAATATGAATGGTGGGGTTGAAATCGATGTACCAGGGAGCTGATGTGGTGATCTCAGTGGTTGGGTTCCACCGCCGATCTACAACTACATATTCAGCAATTCTGCTTGTTAAATCTCAAAAGTGAGGATGAAATAGTGGTATTTACACATGCCAGTATAACCTATAGCAGTTGATGCGTCACTACCTATACACCACCTAGTAACCTGCCCATAATGCCCCGTCTCGCTATCCCTTAGATAGTAGACCAATAGAGTTTACCCTCACACTCCACTGCATCTCTACGCTTCTTTGGCCCCCTCATCAAATGCTGCCTTTTTAAGGAATATCTTGAAATGCTTATAAAAGATCGTTTTATACTTGTCTTTCCACTTATGTTTCCATTTCTTGTTCTACAGTTGATCTATTAAGAGTCTACAGTACAGATAGCAGAGTATTTGGAACTATCCTTGGAAGTATGTTGTCTCGCCGCGCGCTACTATAGTCCCAGTACATCATACAGGATATAAATTATGTACTATATGTTTGAAGCAGCGGGGAAAACCTTGGGAGGGATAATGATTACTGCTAGTACATCATATCAAATTCAAACAAATCGTAAATGATTGAAATCATTAATTCATGACATGTGAATGGCGGATAATAAAATATCAGAAAGGCAGGGATACCCTTGCAATACTTGAATCAAGAGGTTTGATATGACTTGAAGTCGTTTAGTCTATGAGAAAGAAATTGCACAGCTCGCTAAGATCTTCAGGGACGATCTTCAGGGACTGTTTTGAGACCTTCTATCCACATTACAGATGGAGATTGTGAAGGGTGCCTTTCAGACGACCCCCGCAGCTGCTTGCGCGAGCTACATACGCCGAGCACGCCATAGTCGCGGAGGCCGAGGGGTATACCAAATGTTTCAATTATTAATGAAGCTTATAAATACATGTAAGATGATTCAAATAATTCGATAAAGACGATCGCATATTAAATGCCAGCAATTTCCACTTCTGAAAAGCTTTAGAAAGAAATTACATCTATCATATACCAACGAACAAGATGACAGACTCAAAGCCTCAATTACACCTCACAGCCTTTATGCGCCCTGTGTCTCTCCACACAGGTGCCTGGCGGTATCCAGGATCTTATCCAGATGCGAATTTCAATTTCAAGCATTTGACCTATTTTATCCAGAAACTAGAGGCCGCTAAATTTGACGCCTTCTTCATGGCCGATCATCTCGCAGTGCTAAACATGCCCGTTGAAGCGCTTAAGCGCAGCCATACTGTCACCTCATTTGAACCATTTACTCTTCTTTCGGCTTTGTCATCGGTCACCGAGAAAATAGGTCTTGCCGCCACTGCGAGCACTACATATGATCTACCATACCATGTTGCACGACGCTTCGCTAGCCTCGATCATCTGAGCAACGGGCGCGCAGCATGGAATATTGTAACCACCGGAAACCCGGAATCGAGTCATAATTTCGGGTTTGATGAGCATATGGCTCATGGTGATCGATACAAGCGTGCACGCGAGTTTTACGACGTCGTCACTGGACTATGGGATAGTTTTGCCGACGATGCCTTTTCACGAAATGTTGAAACAGGTGAATTTTTCGATCCAGCAAAGTTGCATGTTTTGAACCACTCCGGGGATGAATTGAAAGTGCGCGGGCCTCTGAATATTGCAAGACCACCACAGGGTTGGCCGGTGATTGTACAGGCCGGACAGAGTGAGCCTGGAAAACAATTAGCTGCGGAGACAGCCGAGGTTGTTTTCTGTAGCCCGAAAGATATCGAAGGGGCAAAGGCACTTTACGCCGATATTAAGGGTCGAGTAGAGAGGGCAGGGCGCAAGAGAGAGCAGCTGAAGATATTACCTGCTGCGATGATTATTGTTGGGGACAGCAAGGAAGATGCACAGGAGAAGAGACTTCGATTGGACAGTCTTGTGCACTATGATAGTGCGATTGCATCTTTGTCGATTGCTCTAGGAACCGATGCTAGTGTTTTCGATGCGGACAGTCCGCTTCCTACCGAATTGCCTGAGACTAATGCGAGCAAGACGGCTCGAGAGGGCGTTGAACGGTTGGCGAGGCGTGAAGGGTTGACTGTTCGTCAAATTGCACAACGGTATGGTGGATACTCTGGTTTAGCATTCCTTGGGTCACCGAGTGATATTGCAAGCGAGATGGAGACTTGGTTGAAAGAAGAAGCCTCGGACGGGTTCACGTGCGTGTTTCCTTTTTTGCCCCAAGGGCTGGAGGAGGTAACGGACAGATTGATTCCGGAGCTTCAACGTAAAGGCTTGTTTCGGCAAGATTATGAGGGCTCAACTTTGCGTGAGCATTTTGGCTTGGAAAGACCAGAAAACCAATTTTTCAACAAGCCGAATTGAATACTGATAGCCTGAGATACTACTATATATTAGAGCAGAGTAAACTGGATACTAGCCGTGCCTTACCCTACGGTCTGGACACCAAACACGACTAGCCGCATTTGGTGTCCCGCAGCGCAATGTAATTCTCACCGGAATGTAATTTTTTCGCCTTTATATACAATTTTTTTTAGCAATTTAGAATTTATCATAAAAACCAATAACCTCTCCCGACTCGCTGTATAACGGTTCTGCCTCTGCCTCTCTTTGAGCCTCCGTAATACGTGGTGTGGTAGGAACACCGTACTTTTTCTCCAATTCTTTTACCGCCCGTCTCTCATCTTTTTTGTCTTCCTTTGCCTTCCTCTCAGCTATACTACGTTTAGCATCTTTAACACGTATAACACTATCATCACTAAGGCCCATAACACGCCGTCTAGTAGTTTTTTTCTCCCGCGGGGCTCGGATAGCGGCTATTTCCCGTATAGTAGCCGTAGTATTGGCTAAGGCGTTAAAATAGAACTCTTGCTTATCTAAGACCTGTGCGAGTGTTTTTTTTTCTTTGGGCGTTAAATCAGGCCGGCAGAGAAGAGGAGAGAGATGTTTTTGCCTTTTTTCCACATCTTTAAAGGTTTTTGAAGGTGTGTTTTCAAGACTTGACGACAAAAGATCTGGTTCCGGAGAGGGTGTTTTCTCTCCCGATAGATCAATTTCAATATCTGGGATAGGAGGAAGAGCATTTTCGAGGCTCTCACAGACTTTTTTTGCGTCAACTGGATAAATTCCTCGCTCTGAAAAGGCATTTCGACACATTCGGGGTGTAAGGGCTTTGTCTCGGAATTGGTAAAGGTCGTTTAGGAAGGATGATTTTGATGCGAGAAGACCTCCACCCCATTGAGAAATAAGGTTATTTTGTGTCTTAAAATAAGCCTTATAAGCTTGGAAAGGCTTACCATCCAAAGGTTGAAGATAATTTGTTCGATTCGGCGGAAATCCAAATATCTTAATACCTGCTTTGGTCGCAGTATCAAGAAATTCAAATGTTAGATGTGAGCCACAGCCGTCGACCAAGAGAATACGCTGCTCTCCGTTTTTAAGACGAGTGCGTGTTTCACGGTCAAATTCTTCCATCCAACGCACAGCAAGCTTATCAATAATATAGCCTTTTTCTGCGGTTGCAGTTATCCATTCATCAGGTATTGGATGGTTATACCACGACTCCATATGATGCTGTCCTTTGAAGATGACCAAGGGCTGCATTCGCCAACCATCGGCAGCAATACATTCTGCGACCGTTACCCTTTCACCATGTTCTGTGCCCGGGAGGTCTGAAGCTTTGCCAGATTGGCTAGAAAACACACGTCGGGTCCGTCCTTGTCCAATTTGAAAGCCAGTTTCATCAAAGTTATAAATATTGCGTGGATTCACACCCTCGAGAGCCTTAGCTAACAAATCATACCAATGATAAAGCTCTGCAACGTCTGTAATTCCTAGACGTTTAGAATCAATAATTTTCTGCCTTCTAAGCTTCATCTCAGTGTCTGGGAAACGACGAATATAGCGATATACCCAATCTTTTCCGACCGTCCGATCGGGTGTCTTTGACCGTGCGAGTGTAGCATTGGCCCAATGCTCTATAATAGCAGGCGTCGGAGGGAGGAAGGAAGCATCCAAAGTCTTTATCCAATAGCCTAAAGCCTTCTCCTGATAGACATTTAGGGTGTAATTCGATGGTTTAACCTCTGTTTTAGGCTTCATATTGCAATTAACGCGTCGCCATAACAATCTGTAATTAACACCATATTGCCGCGCGACCTCACGTAAATTTGGCTTTTTTTGGCTTCGAGCGTGTTTCACGGCCTCATTTACACGAGATACCTCGGTTTCAATAGAATCGGCCATATTTAAGGTGGTACCTTGTAGTAATAAAGATGTGTAAAAAGAAAAATTACATTCCGGTGAGAATTACATTGCGCTGCGGGACACCAAATGCGGCTAGTCGTGTTTGGTGTCCAGACCGTAGGGTAAGGCACGGCTAGTACGTGGCAATATGAATCCACATTTCTCTTGAATAAATGAATTCATACCATTGAATTTCCAGTAAAATATTCTGCAATTTCTCTTCATCTACTAGTAGATTTTTCATCACTCCAGTGGCTAGATTTCTGAAACATACTGATGAGTATCATGATCATTTAGAACTCTCACTGCTGAGACTGGAATCAATGGCATTAAGGTCACTTTCTTCACGATAGAGAAGAAAACATTACCAAGCATATCTGAACTCACTGGAAATAATTGACTGATGAGTACAGAAGTTATATCCAGTCAAAGGCAACACTAGCATCGAATAGCTGCCCAGATCTTTGGAATATCCAGCTGGATGCCGGCTGATGAATGGATTAGAGATCTCCAGATCTTATTCAGATGATTTATAATTTCATAATTTGCCTTACATTGAACATATTTTGAGTAATGGCTCTCTCTATAAATACTGGGTAGTTTACATCGGTCTCTTGATATCTTGTATTCACAAATATCATTATTGAACACCACGCAGTTCTTCCATTGTGTTTCTAAAACCAACGACTCTTGCCACAAGATCCAGACATTTGAATATTCTCAATATGGCTCCAACTTTGACTGTGACCCACATAGGCACTGCCACTGCAATCCTCAATATCAACGGTGTCAACTTTCTAACGGATCCTTTCTTTTCTCCTGCTGGCACATCGTGGGATCGAGGCCGGATAGTTCTGAAGGTGAACGAAGACCCTAGTCTTCGGCTCGACCAGCTTCCCGTGATCGACGCGGTGCTACTGAGCCATGAAGACCACCCCGACAATCTAGATGAGCTCGGCCGCCAGCTTCTGGATGGGCGTCGCGTTTTCACTACCGTCGATGGGGCCAAGAACCTTGCACCTCGTCCTGCTGTGCATGGTATGAAGCCATGGGAAGAAATCAATAGCATCATTGCAGGCAAGAAATTCAAAATCATCGCAACTCCTACACAGCATGTTCCTGGAAATGAATGCACCGGATTTATCGTGACCGGCGAGGACTTTGGATATGGCCGTGATGGTCTACCTAACGCGATCTACTTCACTGGCGATACTGTCTATATTGAAGAACTGAACTCCATTGCCGACCGGTATCATATCCGTGTCGCAGTAATGAACCTTGGGAATGCCCATGCCCCCACATCAGAGGAGCCTAATGGTCCCCTACTGCAGATTACTATGGGGGGCAAAGACGGGGCCAAACTATTCCGGGCCTTGAAGGCTGATATTCTTGTCCCCATGCACTACGAATCTTGGGGGCATTTCACTCAATTCGGTGCTGAGCTACGTCAGGTCTTTGAGGAAGAGGAGATTATTGATCAAGTCTGTTGGCTGAAAGGAGAGGAAAGAGTTTCGGTTCTCGAGTAGCATCTGTAGAAATTACACCTGGACACGGACCTTTGGGAAACTGAACGATATGGTGCGCCTTACCCCGCCGCATCTGCTTCCAAGGTTAGACTTTCGCGGAAAAGGCACTGCATGTACACTATTTACACTATTTACACTGCTTTTATTTAACATTATTCTGAGATGATCTCTAGCCGACGATCCCCGGGATCTGCAGTATCTCGTCTATCTTACATAACGCGACACTTCCAGTCCAAACCGTAGATATCAATGCTGATTCCTGCAAGGAATGTATAGAACACATACGGATTTACAAATCAATATACTAAATAGGCCTCAGACATATCGAAAAGCTCTAAATAATTACATCGCCGCCACGTCAGTAGCCTGATGAGGAAAAGCAAACATAAACAAGCATCGCTAAGCTTTGTGGGGCCAATTGTACGTCATTCAGCCCTGTAAGGTGAACGCCGAGAACTGTACAACAAGTTGAAGCTAGACTGGGCAAACTTACGTCATGTTCCAGGCATCGACATTATTATGTGGACGCTAAAGCCCATAAAATTACCCCATAGAGCCAATAACCGGATAAAATGGTGAGGTTAGCCCTGGAGTTCGTCAGATTTGATTTTGGACGAGAATGTAGCCTTTTACGTCACGTTGTAGTCCACAATAAAATTACAGGCTTACGATAAAACTAACAACTCCCAGAAAATAGTGTTTTCTCTTCATCTACCAGAAAATACGATCGGAACATTGAACTATTTGAATTGTCCGTTGTCGCTTTCACTATGGTTACCGCAAAGGTATATGGCTTGTGGAAGAAGTCGCAGACTGTAACTTCAGAACTTGCTCAGGACCCTTCACAAACACCGGAGGCGGTATTTAAACGATTATACGAGCATCATGAGATTCCACATCCGCATTTAATAGAGCATGGAGGGCATGGGCTGTCGGCGGAGGAAATTGCAGAATTCGAAAAGAAAGACGCAGTCCAGAAGGCTTTGGCGTGTGGAAATTGGGGATCGTCAGAGCCTAGTGAATTATTCCTCCAGGTACGTTAATTACCCCCAAGTTGTGTAAAATTATTATTGAAAGTGTCTAATCAATCGAACGGTTTCCAGGTTCATCACGATGTGTTAGGATCCTTAGACAAGGATCCCGGTACAGGGGTAGTCTCACCCCCGCTCATAGCTAGCCGAGGCGTCATTCCCTTGACAATTGTCGCTCCCTTGCCAGATTTATGCCGCCATCTTGGAAATTGCATTGCACGCGCGGAACATGAAGTATTTCTGGGAACAAACTTCTGGATTCACTCAGAGGCAGCTACCTTGGTTACAAATGGTATTCGAGAACTGTCTAGAAGAGCTGGGGAACGAGGTAAGAAGATCGTCATGAAAATGGTATATGACCGGGGAGATCCGAAGCAGGCAAGTCAACATGATCTAGCATATGGAAATATATGAATATACTAACTTTAAGACAGGTTTTCGATAATCATCTTGAAGTCGATGACCAGCAAAGAACGAGCGACAAAGTTCGACTTCCTCCACCAAATGAAATCCCCAATGTGGATCTCAAGGTCATCAACTTCCACCGACCGGTCTTCGGAACATTCCATTCGAAATTCACTGTTATCGACCGGAGCATTGCGCTTTTGCAGAGCAGCAACATTCAAGATAATGATAATCTCGAGATGCTGTCTCATATAGAAGGCCCGATTGTTGATTCCTTTTACGATGCCGCTCTATTATCCTGGGGCAAGCCGCTTGATCCTCCTCTGCCACTTTTGAATTCTCCAGCTGAGGCTGCAGCTATCCCAGCTCACCACGGAGAGCAGAAAACCGACTCAACTTCGGAGGTGCTCCCTGAAGATTTACCAGAGCACACTTCAGATTCCCCGCAGTGGGATATTGATTTAGAAAGCGAGGCAAAGAGAGTTAACTACTCTGTCCAGCCTCGAGGCGATGAGACACCAACTCAAGCAGTGACCCGTCATTTGAGTATGTGAAGAAAATAGCCAACAAAAATAAAAGTCTCCTATACTAACGAGCCAACAGATACGACTATCCAGCCAGATACAACCGGAAACGCTCCCGATTCTGACCAGGAACTCAAAATGACGCCTTACATTCTGCACCCACCTCATGAGCCATTCCCCATGGCCTTGGTTAACCGAGAGCCGTATGGATGTGAGTAAATTAATTATTCCAAAGGTTTTGATCTGAACAATAGATCTTTCAAACACAATACTAACGACGCGATATGAAAGCACCAAACCATAACAGCACTCACAACCCTCAAGATGCAGCTTTTGTCTCAGCCATCAATCATGCCAAACACTCCATCTTCATCCAGACTCCCAATATGAACGCCGAACCTCTGTTTGAGCCTCTTCTAGGCGCAATCCGGCGTGGCGTAGTCGTCAAGCCTTTCTTATGTCTCGGTTACAACGACGCAGGAGAACTTCTCCCATTCCAGAACGGAACGAACGAAATGTTCTCTAATAGACTGTACGGTGCCCTGCAGACAACCGAGGAGAAAGCTAGACTTCAAGTGCATTACTATGTTGGCAAAGATCAGATCCAACCTATTCATAATTCGTTCAAGAAGAGAAGTTGTCATGTTAAGTTGATGATTATTGATGAACATGTTGCTATTCAAGGTATGCCCCATATTCATTATTACTCTTCTGTTTCATGTCGGCTAATTTGGTGATGATATAGGAAATGGAAACCTGGACACACAGTCTTTCTTCCACAGCCAAGAGATCAACGTTATGATCGACTCGTCACTGATTTGTAAAGCGTGGCTAGAGGCTATCAATCGCAATCAGAACACCGCTAAATACGGGGCTGCTAGTTCCGAAGATGCATGTTGGCATGATCCGTCTAGTGGAGAGATTCCACCCGGGTCTATTGGTACTGACCCGGGTCACTTCAGTTGGGCAAAGGGTATCATTGGTGCCGTAAAACGAGTGAGGGGCGTTGGTGGATTCTAAGTGCGCTCGCTGTGAATGATTTAATATCTGACGATTTTCGGGCTCATCGCTCTAGCAATCTATGAAATGTTTAATTGTATTTAAAAAGAAACCAGCTTTTCTTGATGAAACGAAATTGTTTTAAATCAGAAATCATGAACAGATGTCAAAATGTGTTATGTAAAATTAGGGTGCAGATCGTAAAGCTTTTTGTGATCTGCACCACTCTCTAGATAACCAGTCTTATGTACAACTATGAACATTCTACCTAGACTGACTTTTCACTGGCGGTAAAATCAGTCATGCCATATGTGTTGCGGTGTTGTTTATTAAACCTGCAATGAAAAAGATCTATAGATGGAACTGTTCGCGCAGACAAGCGGCGAAGCGGGCGATCGCTTCATCAATCTGATCAAACGAAGCAGAGGCATAGGTAGCACGGAATGAGACCTTCTCAATGGGAAGAGATTTGTCGGCCTTGAACCAGCTACCGCGAGACAGAAGAACATTCTGGCCGATGGCAGCGTCGAAAATCTCTCCCTCGATCTGCTCCGGAGTCTTACCAGCGGCAACTCCGGGGTGTTGACTGCAGTCAATATCGATCCAGTGCTAGATAAATATTAGTAAAGTTCATAGGTTGGAGATTGACGAGTGCAAACTTACGAACATGCCTGCGGCGGGAGCAACCCAGTGGGCAATATCACGGGGCAAATGCTTCTCGCAGGAGTGTAGCATCGCATCACGGCGGGCAGTGTAAGACATGCGCAAGTTAATAAGCCAGTCTAGGTATCCGGTGTGTCCCCAGTGCTCATCCAGCAACTTGTAAAGGACAAGCTGTGAGATACCGCTAGGGTGCTGTGCGGAGACCTCGAAGTTACGAATAAAACGTTCAATTATCTGCTCTGAGGCGACGATCCACCCGACTCGAGAACCGGGTGAGATAACCTTCGAGAAAGACTCCATGCGACAGACACGGCCATCAACATCGATGCTCAGATAAGAGGGGACCAGAGACTTAATGAAGTCAACATGGGTAGCAGGTGGGGGAGGTGCAGCTCCCTCGCCGTTGTAAGGCTGCATTTGCAGGAAGTAATATGGCTCATCCTCCACGATGTAGACATCGTGCTTCTGGGCGACTTTGTAGATGGCACGGCGGCGCTCGGCGGATTGAGTAGCTCCTGTGGGGTTCTGGCCAGTTGGGATAGTGTACAGAAGGTGAGGCTTGCGTGCACCACGAGCCTTGACATCCCAGTTGCTGAGGATCTCGTCCCAAGCCTCGGGAACAAGACCTTCAATATCCATTGGGATTGCAAGAGCCTTAAGCCCGAGAGGGAAAGCGGTCTCTGCGGCACTGACGAATGTGTAGTCCTCCATCATAATGTAATCGCCACGTTCAGTGAACAAACGGAGAGCAGTGTCCCAGGCGTAAGTGCTGCCAGCGGTCAATGTGCATTGCCAATCAGAGTACGGGGGGTTGTGAATCAGCTGCAGTATGTCAGTTATAATCTCATTTTCTTATCCTAAGCATGTTAACGTACCTCTGTGTGCTCAGTAATATACCGGAGAAGCTGAGGAGATCCAGTAGCTTGACCATAGTTCAGAGAGATTTCAAGGTCTAATATATTGTCAATGGTAAGTTGGTGAAGTTATATCTGTAATTGAGCTCTAACTTACCGTAAAGACTCTTTCCCTCCTTGATATCGTGCTTTCCACCGTGCAGGACGGTACCTGACTCCTGAGTTTCTTCAGGGCTAAAGCCTGGTGCCGTAGGGACCTTGACCTCAAGGTGCTCAATTGGGAAATATTCGGAAGAAGGGAGACCACCACCAAGGGAGATAATTCCTAATAGCCAATATATCAGTATAAAGCAAGGCAGATTGATGTATGTCTTGCTTCGTACCGGGAGTCTTCAAGTATGATGCGGCAGCCTTCAACGTCGAAGCCTGTTGACCGAATTTAGTAAAGCGTTCGGGGAAATTCTAACGAATTAGTTAGATACGAACCTTGCGCGCCTTAGCCTCAGTCGACAAAAAATCTAAAAGAAATCAGTAAGTATTAACCATATTTTATCCCAGCACTAATCTCTGGCTGCATCAACTAATAAAGAAAGCATCGGAAAACTTACGGTCGAGGCGCTTGGCCTTTGGCTTGTTATAACAGGCCTAAACACCCCCAAATAAGGCATTTTGTTAGACGAAACATTCCCTTACTTTCACGTAGTATTGTATGTCCACATAATTTTCAGGGTCTCCAAGTCATACCGGGCTCTTCCACATGTCACTGCTGCAAGAGGGTGCGACACCGGTGGGCATCTTGACCATCTTCTCTCTCCACGCAGGGACACCATTGACGGTCAAAGGGTCAGGGACCACCATCGCGCTGGTGTCAGTGACCCCCTTTACTTCGATATCCACGGCGGCGGATGGACTCATATCGACGATGCGCGGGTAGGTAAGGTAATTTGCGGCGGCGATGAGTGTGAGTTGTGTGAAATGCGCGGGGCGATATACGTTTCTTATCGATAAGGCAAGGGGCTTGCTTGTATAGATGATTTGAAAGACGGCGGAGGAATCAGTAGCAAGTAAAGACGACCTCGCAAGAATTTAAAAGGTTAAGACCCGAGTAAGAATAGGAACCAAGTCGAATTGGAGCATCCAGTGGAATTTACAATAGCTTTAATCCACCCGGCAAAGTGGTTCCGGTTTGCGCACATGACTCATCAATGCAGGTGGAAGATGGCTCTTGAATGGACTTTTTGGGGGAACTATTCTTAACTAAACCAGTAATGATGCAAGGATTCGTTTTCGTTATCTAATGTTTCCCCGCACAGACATGGAGTTCATGGCCATTGGCAACACAACTACATCCTTGTGATGTTTAGGGCGCGGAGACACTTTTGAGGATTACAGTAGGGTGCGTTAGGGTGCATTACATTACATTACGAAGGATCAACCAGTCCAAGCAGCAAAAAAGCGGTGTAATAGTCCGGTTACGGTAATTCGAGAACAAAGAGCCCCGCCTAGATAAGGATAACGCCGGCATCGGCGCGATAAGCTTAATGCGCTCGGACTAGACGGACTTGTCGGACTTGACACCGCAAGATAGTCAAAGAGATATACTGCCTAATAAATTCATTATGACTCCACCTGAATGAAGACTTCTCAAACCGCGCCTATCACGATTCTGTCGCAGGAAATTGAGAATCAGTCTGCGACAGCATTCGCGCCAAGTATGGTTGTTATGCGGGTACTCACTACGCAACAAACCTTGGGGGCTTAGCAGATCGACTGAATTTACATCAAAGAATACTATCTCCCCGAAGACGAATTTTTGTGAAAGTTGATAGGATCAAAAGGCCATGTCGCGCGTAGTACTCGCGCGTAGTAAGCCAAAACGACGCACCTAGTCTTGTACCAACTTTTAATGGCAGCCCGTTTACTTCATGTATGTATAAACATGATCTTAATTTTGATGCTCGACTAGCACTCATGATTAGCATGGTGGGGCGCTAGGAGGATTGGGTTTTGGAGGATCAAGATGGGTATTCTCGGTATATTCTCGTCAATAATCAATAACAACTCACTCGATCGGATCGTCAGTTGACAGCTCATCACTTTTAATAGTGTTAAGTGGAGAAACTACGCGGATTGACCATATGCACTCATGAAGATACTTCATATTAAATGTCGTAAAATGTCGTTCGTCTCTAGCTGTAGGCATCCGCGCTGACAGCCAATAGAGCTCGCTAATAAAAATGTTCACACAACATGGCGAATGATGGTTAACCATAAACCTGGTATCAAATAATCACACTCAAGCAAAAAAAAACCCCCACTGTTCCTCATATCCTTGCTTGGGTCATCATTCGGCTCAAAGTCCTTCCCTTCAAAGCGCATCACAAATGATTGTGTAGATCCCAAGCTTCAGCACGTGGATCTAATCATCCTGTGTCTTCACTTCACCGTCCTGTTCGACGTGGACGTGCTCACTGGACTCGAGCGTGTCGATGTGGCCATCAGGGTACTCAACACTTTTTTGCGAAATGGTCAGTCTTGGTACAGCATTTGAGATAGATAGAGTGGTAGAGTGGGGGGTTGGTCGAGAGAAAGATATGAAGTTGGGCATTGAGACGTACATGAAACCTTTGATGAGGCTGTATTCGTGCTTGATCACACCACCCTTTTCCTTTGCGGTTTCCTTGGCCCTATTGATTCGAGTTCGTTAATCTCCAACATAACTTTGGCGACTAAGAGATGAAGGAAGGTGGGGTGAGAGCTAACTTTTCCAACTCCTCGGGGGGAGCGTTGCTCTTCAAGGTGACCTAGCAGAATCGATGTCAGCAGAGTCTTGTCAAACAAGGAAGATAAGGAAAACGAACGTTGAATTGAGGCATCTTGGTTGGGAAGATGAGTGTTGATCGCGTGTGATTGTCAAAGAAAGAGTGCCGCGGGGAAAAAAAGAACAGTGATCAGATTGGAAAGACCGGTGGAGATGAGGGAAAGCGGAGATGGAGGTGGGAGGGGAGGGGGAGGGGAGTTTCTTCTTATATGCCTGAGCTGATAAGAGGGGCTAGCTTGAGTGGTCTTACGCCATTGCCTTACCAAGGATCTTTTGGCATTCTTGTTCCGTCGAAGAGCACCTAATTCTTTTTTACCTTGTTCTTTTTGTTTTATTTTATTTTATTTATTTATCCTTCATTATCGCGCGAATCAGGCAAATGCTACACCACTATAAATCTATATTGTCCAACAAAGATGATGTCGTGATTATATACAGACTTTGAGGTTACTTTTTTTTTTCAATCTGAGTCTTTAGGCTACCATGAATATAGGTCGCTAATGGGTCAGAGTATTCGAGACGACTGGGAGTCAACCAGCCACCCTATGAGCCACTCTACTCGAGTTTCACACTCCCAGCGCAAACTTCTGAATTTAAATTTCCGTCCTTGCCTTTGTCTGTTTGAATTTCACCCGCTGATGTAACCATGCCGCATGAAGCGCTCGATGACGTGCGTAAACGCGGGGCGTGATCACGTGATAGGCGATCCCGGGCTTGCTCCGTGCTCCGTGCTCAGACTCCTCCGTGACTGCTTGGTTGTTCCCGCGGAGGCATGCTCATCCCGTGCATCCCCTTGTATGCAGGACTGGATGGGGCCTTCCACCCTTCCACTTCCAACAGAGTTTTATCAGCCAATTGATAGACCTCAACACCCAACGGTCGGCAGGTTGCCCCCATGCCGCCTTCCTTGTCATCCCAGCCCCAGTTTGAAAGGTCGCCTGTATAGAAAGGAGAACGAACATTAACATTGCCCGCCCATATTGGCCAAGACGTGATACATACCACCAGGGCATGCTGAAAGTGCACACAGAACACTAACTTCAGCAAAGAACTCAAAATACTCGCCTGGCTTTGCAGGTGAGGTCTCCATAAAATATTTCCCCTCTTCATCCAAGCCAGTAACCTGGAACACATTCAATACATCATGAACATCAAGCTCCGTCAATCCGTAGGGAACAACCGCACGCGTCAGATTCGAGTGGCAGTGAAAGTCAAAGGTCTCCCCACCCATAAGTAGATTCACGTAAGGGTCGCATCGAGTGCCCAGAAGGTCATGCACGCGACCCCCAAACTGCGTCGTGCCGAAGGCTACCTCTGCTCTTCGCTTTCCATCGTGGTCTAGCACTTCATGCAACTGTCCGCCACCTAATGAGTCTCCTGTTATCGTAACCAATGGTCGGAGGTAGGGTAGATTGGACCAAAGCCGGTCGCCGACAGAGACATGCGAGGCATGGATCTGTCGGGTTCGTGCTGCCCACATTCGCTCACGGGGGTTATTGGCGTTCCAGATGTTCAGATCCCCCACCTGTGGGCCCTCGGGCGTTTTAAGGCGACATATATGGCCAGCGGGAACTATCCATGCCTGGCCGGAGCATGGTCTAATTGTGAAAGATTCCTTAGAGATGCGGGCTGATGCATCCGATGCTGTCTTGGAGATGGACTGATAAAGCTGTGAGGTGGCATGTATTCCCGAGTCAGGTGGAGCCGTGTAAGCTGGAGGAGGTCGACGAGGGGCAGACATTTCTAACTAGAGATGTGTAAGGCTCGATGTGAATTGTATCGAGACGCAGGATCTGGTACATTCATACTATTAGCTCGGTGTCAATTTTCAAAGTGAGAGTGAAGCACCTGGGCACCTCAAGGAATTTTTTTTTGGTAATCATACAAACCAAGTCAAGAAATCAAAGTATATCAATTTGATTAGCCGCAGAAATACGTGCCCTTTATACAACTTCTACTAGCGTCGGGGAATTCCGCGCGGTCTTTATTTAGCCAGCTGGATCCATGGGCTCAGCTTGCCCCGCATGGATTTGGATGGATTCATAGAATACGGTGATCGCATCCGCTACAGTGGACATCTACTGTCTTTGGTAAGGCTAGACCATTAAACAGCTAACTACCGGACTGATGCCTCAATCTCTTATTGATATATTGTTCAATTATCTCGCTGGCCAAAACCCAAATGATAGATGTTCGAAAGATTGGAGAGGGGTTTCGAAAACGCGTCGGCCCGATGAGGGGTATGCCGGGCCGGTCGATCTGTAGCAAGAGCACTTGAGATAAGACATTGAAGACGCCTTTGTTAGTTTGGTGCTGAAACTTTTGAAATAGAAAAACAGACATATGGAGATGTCAATACCAACCGCTACTAAAAGGCGCGTTGTATCAGAGTCCCATTCAGGTGAAATAAGCATATAAAGTCTTTTCCAACGTGCTTGTCAACTTCTCAGACCTGGGGGGCGCCCAGCACCCCTAGTAGCACTTCAAGTTACCAGCGCACTGCTGGTTGTTACTCGCGCCATCCACCTCTCCCCATCACTGATTCACACGGGTAGGTATGATTCTAGAGTTGCCCTTATTATGACAAGATGGGGCAACCTAGGCCGTGGTCAAGAACAAAGATGATCCCTCATGAAAGATACACGTATACGACTCCAATTCATTCTCAGAAAAACTTGAGGACTCGCTCATCACACAAACCTCCCGCGCATGTTTCGAAGATATGGCACCTCTGCCGTTCGAAGACTTACGATCTCGCAACCTGTCCTATCTTCGGGACAATCGATTCAAAAAAGGAAAACCTTTTGTCGGAGACGGGAAATTTTACCACATATCGTACAAGGAGCCGTCAAAGATATGGAATATTTTGTCTCAATCAGGCCGTTTGGTAGGATCTCAATAATCAATGATCGTTGCGGAATATGCTCATAAATGTAGTAAATCTTAGAATGGCTATGTACGCTATGACAGAACTGGAAGTTCAAACTGAAACTGTGACGAGCCATTTGTTTTAATGCGTAAATACTCAAGACAGTGTAAAAAGAAAGCCGACAACCTTGGAAGTAGAGAACATCTGTAATTGAGGTCAAGGCTAGATGTACAGGAAGGAAACAATCATGTATTCTGATTGGACAGATCAGAATATGAAGCAAACAGGACAAAGCGACAAAACAGAACAAACATAGTGGTGCCTCAGGCCGCTAAGACCTGGTTCGGACGGCTCCACATATTTCCGCCCGAAAATAATTTTTGGGTTGAGCAAGTCCGAAGTCATCGACTGCTGTTGACATTGCGCATTATTCTCTAATTCCCTGGAATTTAGTAGAAAGCAGCTGCAAGGTCTCAGGACCTTATTGTCTGCATCATGGAGCAGCAGTCGAACAGGTCGCATCGCCCGGCCAAGGAGAAGAAGAAATATGAAGGTATGCAGTTGAAGCAATTCTTAATTCTTCGCCGACTCTATTTGAGCTTCGGTGGACTTCTGCGACTAGTGCTGATTCATTTTGAACAATAGGCCAAAATCCGAAAGCCTTCGCCTATGCCAATCCCGGCAAACTCAATAGGCAGGCTGCACGATCTCAAGAGGTACGTTTTAGCAATATCGCAGAACCAAATTCTCAAACTAATCAGATTCTTCTTCTAGGTCAAGGAAAAGAGGCTTCATGTACCCCAGGTCGATCGCATGCCAGAGGAGGCCCCTCCGACTGTTGTTGCTATTGTTGGACCCCCTGGTGTAAGTTTACAGTGCTCAATAAAGTTGCAACAAATGGCATCGGAGTGCTAACGGATATTTCTCGATATGTACAGGTCGGAAAGACAACTCTTCTCAAATCCCTCATTCGCCGTTATACGAAACAGACTCTGAGCTCGCCTCAAGGTCCATTGACTGTTGTGACATCAAAGAAAAAGCGTCTTACCTTCCTCGAATGTCCCTCTGACTCTCTCGCCGCTATGATTGACGTCTCCAAGATCGCTGATATTGTGCTGCTTATGATCGATGGTAACTACGGATTTGAGATGGAGACCATGGAGTTCTTGAATGCTCTGTCTACAAGTGGTATGCCGGGTAATGTGTTCGGTATCCTTACTCATCTTGATCTTTTCAAGAAGCAGAGTACGTTGAAGATGACCAAGAAGCGACTAAAGCATCGTTTCTGGAGCGAACTTTATCAGGGAGCCAAGCTCTTCTACCTTTCTGGTGTGATCAATGGCCGTTACCCCGATCGTGAAGTGCACAATCTTTCCCGATTCTTGTCTGTTATGAAGAACCCACGCCCTCTCGTCTGGCGCAATTCTCATCCTTATGCGCTCGCTGATCGTTTCCTGGACATCACACCTCCAACAAAGATTGAAGAGGAGCCCAAGTGCGATCGCACTGTTGCACTGTACGGCTATCTTCGTGGTACTAATTTTCCCGCCCATGGTGCACGAGTGCATGTGCCCGGTGTGGGTGATTTGACCGTGTCTGGTATTGAAGGATTACCCGATCCGTGTCCGACTCCATTCATGGACCAACAGATTTCGAAGGCCACTGGCTCTGCGCGACGTAAACTTGGTGAAAAGCAGAAGTTACTATTTGCTCCCATGTCTGATGTTGGTGGTGTTTTGGTGGATAAGGATGCCGTGTATATTGATATCAAGACAAACACCTTTCATAAAGACTCGGATGATGAGGAGTCTGATGATGAGGACCGTGGCCTAGGCGAGCAACTTGTTGTTGGTCTTCAGGGCGAGCGACGCTTGCTTGGCGAGGCTGACCAGGGTGTTCGTCTGTTCCGTGGTGGTGAGGCGATCTCTAAAGACGGCGAGGATGAAGAATCCGGACGCAAACACCGACGCCACGCTCGAATTGCCGATTCCGAGCGTGTTCAACCCGCATCCGACGACGAGGACTTGGAGGGTGAAGAGGAGGAGGTCTCCGAAGATGAGGATGAAGAAGGTGATTTTGATGATGACGAGGACGACGACGAGGATGAAGTCGACGCATCGGCACCAGCAGACTTCGGAGACAATTTCAAAGCACGGCAAAATGGGAAGGCCGATCGTGAGGAAGACGATGTCGCTTTTGCCGACAGTGATTCCGATCTCGGATCTATCTCCGGCGACGAAGAGGAGTTAGACAGTGGTCTCGAGGGTGACGATGACGATGAGGAGGAGGACGACGAAGAGGGTAATGCTCGTTGGAAAGAGAACATGTTGGACAATGCCAAGGCTCTTCACGGCAAGCGTCCACCTTTCCGCGTCAGCGATCTATCTCGGATGATGTACGACGAGTCAATCACGCCAGCCCAGGTTGTTCAAACGTGGCGCGGCGAAGATGATGGAGATGAATCGGAAGAATCGGACATCGAGGCCGAAGAAGGCGATGACTTCTTCAAGAAGACAAACAATGAAAAAGAGGATGAGGCTGATTACCGCGCCGTCCCTGAGTACGACTACGAAGAGCTTGAGCGTAAGTGGCATGACGAGGAACTGCTACAATCACTGAAGCAGCACTTTGTCACTGGTAAGCTTGGTGGTGGTGGTGACTCGGACGATGACGATGATTTCGATGATCTCGATGAGGACGATGAGGATGACGAAGGCGATGGAGCTTTTGAAGACTTGGAAACAGGTGAAGCCTTTGATGGATTCGACGATGACGATGATGAAGGCGGTGACGATGAGGATGATGAGGATGCACAGCCCGAGGGTCCAGTCGACTTGGACGCCGAGCGTGAGCGTAATGCAAAGAAGAAGGAAGATCTCAAACTACGCTTCGAAGAGGAGGATCGCGAGGGCTTTGGCAATGCAAAAGAGGGCACACGTGATGGAGGTGAAGGGGAGTTCGGCGAGGACGACTGGTATGACCTGCAGAAAGCCAAGATGCAGAAGCAGCTCGATATCAACCGTGCGGAGTTTGACAATCTTGATCCATCTTCTCGCGCCCGTGCTGAAGGATACAAAGCCGGTACATATGCTCGAATTGTCCTCGAAAATGTGCCATACGAGTTTGTTAGCAAGTTCAGCCCTCGTTTCCCAGTCATTGTCGGAGGTCTAGCTCCAACAGAAGACCGATTCGGATACGTACAAATTCGTATCAAGCGTCACCGTTGGCACAAGAAGATCTTGAAAAGCAATGACCCCTTGATTTTCTCTCTTGGTTGGCGTCGATTCCAATCAATGCCTATTTACAGCACTTCGGACAGTCGGACAAGAAACCGTATGCTCAAGTATACTCCTGAACACATGCATTGTTTCGGCGTGTTCTATGGTCCACTTGTGGCACCTAATACAGGTTTCTGCTGTGTTAATTCATTCTCCAACAAGAACCCTGGATTCCGCATTGCCGCAACTGGTGTAGTTCTCAGCGTGGATGAACACACTGAAATCGTCAAGAAATTGAAGCTCACTGGTGTTCCCTACAAGATCTTCAAAAATACTGCTTTCATCAAGGACATGTTCAACTCTGCGCTGGAGATTGCCAAGTTCGAAGGTGCTTCAATCCGCACTGTCTCCGGTATCCGCGGTCAAATTAAGCGAGCCCTCAGCAAACCCGACGGCTTCTACCGTGCTACATTTGAAGATAAGATTCTGATGAGTGACATTGTCTTCTTACGTGCGTGGTATCCCATTAAGCCTCACAGGTTCTACAACCCCGTCACGAATCTTCTCGATCAAGAAGAAGGCGGATCTGGCGACAGTGGCTGGCAGGGTATGCGATTGACTGGCGAGGTCCGCCGTGACCAGGGCATCCCCACCCCCATGAACAAAGACTCTGCATATCGCAAGATCGAGCGACAAGAGCGCAACTTCAACCCTCTGCGTGTGCCTCGTCAACTGGGCAAGGATCTCCCTTACAAGTCTCAAATTACCAAGATGAAGGCTCACAAGGACAAGACCTACATGCAGAAGCGTGCTGTCGTTCTTGGTGGCGAGGAAAAGAAGGCGCGAGACCTCATGCAGAAATTGACTACCATGCGCAATGAGAAGCAGGCTAAGCGTGCGGCTAAACAAGAGGAGCGCCGTCAAGTCTATCGTGCCAAGGTGGCTGACAGTTTAGAAAAGAAGACCGCCCGTGAGAAGAGAGAGCGGGATGACTACTGGCGCCGTGAGGGCAAGAAACGAAAAAACGATGAAGACGGTGGTGCTGGTGGTGGAAAGAAACGTAGATGATTGTGTTCCTAATTTCTGCACATGTCAATTGGCCGACATGAATATTTGTTTCTGCATAGACGGCGTTCAAAGACTAAAAAATCAATTGTACATTCATTCGACAAGTTCTAAGATGATTCGCTTTGCAGTTTACAGTATTTGCCTATCTTAAGCCCATCTTTGGAATGGTCTCGCGTGGCAGCCGCATCTCTTGGCCGCAGTATTAAAGTGCCCCTCAAGTATGAGTCGAGCGAGACTAATAAGATACTGGGCTTGCTTCTAAATTATCTTTGATTCTGAGAGCTCACGCTTCTTTCTCCACTATCATGCTAAGTGGGCCATTTACTCGGGAACATCGGCTAATTGCCCACCCACTAAAGCGACGGCTGTCATAACGTGTTTCGGGGTAGACTCTTAGCGAGTCTCCATGTTTCACCATTGTAGGCCGATGTTGAACTAGAACGATCAATGGGTTGACTTTGTTGACTAGCTTAGATTTAGGGTCAATTTACAAACCCCACCCTCGACGTTGACTCCCTAACATGAAACGTCCGCCCCTAGTGGCATGGCGCCGTCGGAGTTTTATACCCCTGCATCGCGTATCCGATATTTCTCCTCATTTGACTTTGAATATTCATTTTGTCCCTTTTAACCGTATAATTTTTGGCCCAGCCATAAAATGGGCAACGTCATCTGTCTTCATATGGATAGTGCAAGGGGCCCAAAGTGTAAGCGATGATTTCAGATGATCAATTGTACCGAGATTCCCCCTGAAAACAGGTCAAGATGGGTGGATTACAATATAATTTCTAAATTGGAAGGTGGACCCAATTCATCAACATTTGAAGCATTGTTTGAGCTCTGTTGCTCCCTTGAAGCATATCTATATTATAAAAGCCGCTTGATTTCCTGTAGAAGTGCGCTGTGTGTGTTGTTTTTTCTGTGCTTCCAATACTATTCTTTCTTTTCCTTTCTATTCATTCGCTTATTCATTCTTTTACATTCCCTTCTTCATCATGCGCTGCGCGCTGGTCCTTTCTTTTCTTCCCCTGCTAGCCTTGGGATGCAATAACCCAGCTAGTCATGCTTGTGCTTCAGCATACACAGCTTCCAGCTCCGAAGCAGCCAATTTCTGCGCGACATTTACAGCTAGTACTGTAACAGCTACTACTGGCCTTCCTAATTTTGCTTCTGCCTGTGACAATGATGTCAAGCATCTATCGAGTGCATGCAGTTGCCTCGATACCGCTTGGGCAACTGACTCAGCCAGCGTAAGCCTCATTCAACAAGAAAGCACAGTTTGAAGTTTCGTATAGCTAAGAACTTTCTGGACCAGCAGTCTGCACCGGAGCCTACCAGTGTCTTTACTACCAGCACCACTGCGGCAGTGCCCAAAACTTCCTCGACTTCGCAAACCACTTTTGTGACTGCTACTCGACCCTCCACCTCCTCCGAGGTTGGTATCGCAACCACGACTGCTGCCCCCGTGACATCTGCTGCCGCTTCCATCACCGGTTCTGCTTGTGTTGTCAGTGAATACGCTTCGCTCTCTTCTGCCATCGAATCCTGCACCAACATTGTGCTTTCCGATCTATATGCCCCTCCCTCGAGCACCATTGATTTATCGAGCCTTCAAACTGGTGCCTCCGTCACATTTGCTGGTACTACTGTAAGTAGAAATTACTGCCTTAGTTATGAATTTGAGATCGGTGCAGTGAATAACGGAAGATAGACCTTCGGAGACACCTTTGATGATGACTTTGACCCCATCGTCATTTCCGGAACAAACATCACAATTACCGGTGCTGCTGGTCACGTAATCGAAGGTAACGGTGAGGCCTACTGGGATGGCGAGGGCTCCAATGGTGGACAAGACAAGTAAGCGACTTCTTCCATATGACTGACTCCTGAGTTATGTCGCTGACCACTCTATCAAGGCCCGATCACTTCATTGTCGTCAAAGACGTTTACTACTCCGAGATCACCAACCTGAACATCGTTAACTGGCCTGTACACTGCTTCGAGATCGAGGATGTTGAGCATCTTACCATCTCCGGTCTTGTATTGAACAACACAGCGGGTGACTCGGCAAATTCAGCAAGTGATGGCGATGCTGCAGGTCATAATACCGATGGATTTGATATTTCTAAGAGTACATACGTCACTCTACAGAACAGCTATGTCTACAACCAGGATGACTGTGTGGCCGTGACCAGCGGTTCCAATATTGTCATTGACAATCTATACTGCTCCGGAGGCCATGGACTGAGTATTGGATCAATTGGCGGCAAGAGCGATAACACCGTCGACACTGTGACCTTCAAGAACTCCCAGGTGGTAAACAGTGAGAATGGCTGCCGGATCAAGAGCAATGCCGACACTACTGGTAGTGTCAGCAATGTTGTCTATCAAAATATTACTCTCTCTGGCATCACGGACTACGGTATTGATGTGCAGCAGGATTATCTGAATGGCGGTGCCACTGGAGACCCTACCAACGGAGTCAACATCACCAGCATCTCCTTCATTGACGTTACTGGTACCGTCACTGACGACGGTATGGACTACTATATTCTGTGTGGTAGTGACAGCTGCTCCGACTTTTCATTTTCTGGTGTTTCCATTACTGGAGGTGGCGAGACTAGCAGCTGCAATTATCCTTCTAGTGGTTGTCCTTAGAGATCTACTCTTTGGCCAGAAATAGTATAAAATATCATTGGGGTCACGATGTGGCTTTATCATACTTTTATTTTCTTTAGTAGTATTACTTCGCTGCTTCAAATATTCAGGTCAATGGTCGTCTTAAGATCTTGACTTCGAAGAGAGGAATAAAGCATTTCGATCGGCTCAAAATATCCATATACTTAGTTCAAGTGTCTTAATTGTTAAACACCGAGTACTACTAGGAGTGCCCTGTTCTGACAATAATAACTCTAACATTAAGTCCATTCAAGTAAAATTTGAACTACTAGTAGTAGATTAACTATTGTCTACTAGTTAAAAGTGGGTTTTGAACAACTACAAACGACTACTATAGTTTATCTCGATATATCAGCTATCAGGCCAGATGAAATTCTTCATATTGTACACCTCCATCTTTTTGCCTTGTCTACTCTATCTCTGCATAAGAAATCACCCCAATAATGCTTGAATCTGCAAGTGGCACCTCCGCACGTGACCGTGTTTCGCACGCGTCGCCGCAGATGGAAAGCCGAAGGCGACAATTTTGACTTTTGTTCCAGCAATTCCGACACAGTTTTCAGTTTTTTCTACTTTCATTGATTTTCTTCACATAATTCATAATCGCATATCCATTCCCTCTGTTTAGCATAGTGCCAATCCTCAATCTGGTGTTTCAGCCCCTTGTGGAGAGACTGCCTGTTGACCGTTTTACCGCTCGTGCTCAACCTTGCGCGTGCTGGTCGATCGCCACTGGATCGGGCAGATGGTGTCCTTGTACCCGCATTAGCAACACTGCGCACGCCCGACGGTCCTCGAGAACATTCAGATCCTGACCGTGTGGCTAAGATCCCTACATACCAAGTCACTCCTCATCAGATCCTACCGTATCCATTTTACCTACATGCGGCGACTTGGCGCAAATTGATTTCACTCGCGTGTTTAGATCCCCTCGTGCCGCCGCGTAATCTCGCAGTTGCGCAATAATCGCGTATTGGTCGCCTACCTTGCCTTATTCTTCATCTGCACTGGCTTTGCTCTCCCATAGCCTGCTGCATGATCATGAATGACCTTCAATATGCTCCGTCCAGTCGCGGGGTTCCCCATATGGAGGCCAGTGCGAACACTAGGTCTGTGAACACTTCAATCTCACGGGCTCCAGGAGGCCCGATTCGCTCGGAAGAGATTCAAGTTCCCCGGTCCCCTCAGACTCTCTCTTTGCAACTCGATGGGTTGAATGCTCGTATACATGACAATAGCGCGCCATTCCCGTCCTACGTCGAATCATCCGAACGAGACAGCGATACTTCTACCGAACCACGTCGACCGGAGCTACAACCCGCAAGCCCATTTACAGACCCCTTGTCTAGAATTCCCTCTTCCTCAATGAACGATTCCAGCCCATCTATCAAAGTCGAAAATTCCCAGTCGTCTACTGAGAATGCACAAACACCAACAACACACTCGAGCTCCCAAGAACAACTGTCAGTAAATGGGAATGGAAGTGGATTGAAAGAGGAGAGATACCTCCCAATAAAACATAGCAATGGGTCTTTATCTCCTCTACGATCTTTAGAAAATCGTTCATCGCGATCGGGGAGCGGAGTATCTTCTGCGCCAAAGCACAAGAGGACAGCGACAGGCGATGTTAAATCGATTTCCTCGAGTCTTGCAGCACCCCACAGCGAAGAATCCGACAAACTGGGGGCTACACGATGTCGCTCAAAGAGCACTGGCTCGTCAGCCCATGGAAGTAGAATTGCACAGGTACTTGCACCCTCATGGCCAGTTTCAAGGTATTATATTGACGCGTGTTTAGCTATCCGTTCACATTCGCACACGGCTATCGTATGCTGCTGCCAAAGTAGAAAAATCCAGGCAAGCGCGCGAAAAGGATACTCAGCTCGCGCTTCGCGGTTTGGAAAGTCTGTCAGAAGCGAGCACATCGATCCCAGGTGGAGTCACACCGACGCAAGCCTTGACCCCAACATCTCATCCACAGCATTCATCAACATCAATAAACACGCCCCGCAATTTCCAGTCCCATCACCGCTCTCAATCAGCCATCTCCTCAAACCCTGGAAAACTCGCCCCCTTCCCTAAACTAGCACCCCCTGTCGACATTATACCCTCGAATGGAGACACACGCCGTCGCAGACCTAACCCAAATTCGATTACAAAAGAATTCAATCGCAGTCCATATGCTCGTCATCATAGAAGACATCATTCTGTCCAAGAGCCCTCCATCACCAAAACATTGGGTTCACCCCCGGTCTTAGGGCCTGGACCAACACATATTCCTCCATCCGCGCGATTGCCCTTATCGGCCCAACACGAGGTTTACAGATCACGCACCCATTCTCAAAGCACAGCGATGGAGCAGGACGCAATTGAAACACTCCTTTTCATGTCCAGTCCCGAAAATTCTCAATATCGCTCAAGTCCACGCCCTTTACTACCGCCTACCTCGCAACTCAGCCTCAATGAATCAATCCATTCCCAAACCAATGGAGTGGCAAGTGATCAGAGTCAGAGCTCTCGAAGTGAAAATTCTCTCAATGGCCGCAGCCTCGAGCTAAGGCCATCTGCCTTTGCACTGGAGACAAACGCGGGTGATGAAATCGATCGTATTCTAGATCAAATGGAAAGTGATAGTGAGGATGACGAACGGTATGCATCGCACAGGGCTAGGGCCCCCGTGCACGCATATAATGGACATATGAGACATCATAGGTAAATGCCAGCATTGACCTGTGAAGTTAATTTACTCAAATAATGTTGCTTGGTTACCTCATTGCACACGGTCTTTGGCGGATCAATGGTAAGGGGCGAGTATGGGCTTGGGCTTTATGCATTCACGGCGGGATGGCATTATGATCTAATTTCAAAGTTGCATTTTGCATTCGCATCCGCTAAGGTGTCACGATTATTGAAAATCACTTTCTGGACATGGGCACTGATGTATGTTATCATTCATGGCGGTTGTTATCCACAATCGTCTCTACTCAAATGTCCCATGCACTCAACGTTGCCAGTATGTACGAGGGACTATAGCGTCCGCCGGGGGAAAACTCCCCTGGCCCTATATTAACCATTACCGTCTAGTACACCGCTACCTGTACTGTAAGCTCTACATATATAGAAAAACAAGTAGAAAGATAAGAACAAAAATGGAGAAATGAGTCTGCCCCCTGGACGCTATGGTGCCCCGTATATGTTCAAAATAATTATATACGTGAATCTATATCTAGTAATGAATTAAGTATGTTTTTCATGCGTATGCTCATTGGTTCAGCTCCTGTGATGAGGGTTAGTAAAACTCCGGTCTCATATATTCGGATGCGGCTTCTCCACAACAGCCGAAAGAAACAACTTACGCTAGCCATCTTACTGCGGGCTCGGATTTTTGGTCCGTAGAATGCCAGCACCCAGGGAACAAGGGTGAGTACAAGTCCCTTAACCGTCTATATTAGCAGATATCTTATAAGAGGAGGGCAGAAGTCAACTTACAATGGCACCGAGTAGACTTGAAGCCTCGGGGTATCCGAGATTTTGGAACATGGGTCTAGTAACCAAAGGGAAGATACCACCAAGCAAGTTTCGGCCTAAGCACGCAATAATTAGTATGAGCTTTCCAAAATGAGAGCCAAAAAAGTCAACGTACAGCAAGATTGTGCCGCAATTGCTGAGCTAGCGTATCTGTGGTACACATCCGCTAGGTAATTGAATGTAGCCAGGTAGATGGAGAAAATACCCATAGTCGCACAACCGACTGCGAGAGATGGGACGATCCATGGGACAGATGGGAAGGAACTCCATCCAAACCAGAAGAGACCGATAGGGAGAAGAATGGATTCGACGCAGACGAAGTAGAGACGGGCTTCAGCTGAGGAGGACAGTTTGCCGAACCTCATGGCAATCTTTTCTTGGACAAGACTGATAATTGTGATGATGATGACACCGACACACATTGCTGCTCTTTATTAGCGACGAATTTCTTTTTGTAGAAAGATTTGAGTAATTATGCTTACAGGTAAAGACGGCGCCGGTCTGCTCAATTGTGAAGTTGTGGTTGTTGTTGAAGACAAGTGGAATAGAGCCAAATTGGAGGTAGAGAGTGGCCCAGCTGAAGGATACCCATAGGGAGAAGAAGAAGACGACGGGCTCGGTGAAGAGCATGTCTAACGATATCCTGTTAGTTATATAGAAATGAACGTGAGAGAGAAAGATGACACTCACGGAAAGGCCGATATAGCGAGATTTGAACAGCAGTCATCAGTGAAGCACGCTGTTCGTCACTCTTGACCCTCCATCTAATGCGGCGAACCGTCTTTTCTGCTGGGTGGTCCTCAGAAGACATAATGACACCGACGTGGCCTGCCTGTTCAAGCTCCTCATAGTATCTATTTAAAGCGCCAGCCTTGCGGCTGAGTAGAACACTTCCACGAGTTTCCTTGAAAAAGAAATAAATGATCACCACGAAGACAGCAGAGACAATGGCATGTGAATAATAAATCCAACGCCAGCTGGAGTGAGTGACAATAACACCGGCGACTAAAGGTGCCAATCCTGTTCCAAACAATGCTGAACCGGCGAAGAGGGCCATCGGGGTATTTCGGTCTTCAGCATGAAAGATATCGCTAATGACGCCGCCGACCATAGTGGAGAATGTAGCTGGACAATGTCAGTATACCATCGTAGAGACGACGAGGAGGAAAGAGATACATACAAGCACCGCATCCCTGAAAGAAACGGGCAACCAAAAATCCAGCAAAGGAATGTGTTCCTCCGCATGCAATCAAGCAAGCTACCGAGTTTCATGGTCAGAATTATCTTCGGGGGTTGGGAATAAACGGCGTAGAGCTCACATACCAACAAAAACAACGCCACTTGCAACGAAAATAGGTCGGCGACCGTTGATTTCCGAGAAAGGAGCCAGAAGCATAGGAGCCAAGGCAAATCCAATACAAAAGATCGTGATACTCGTAGTATACGCCGTAGTGCTGATCCCCCACTCCTTGGTTAACAAATCCGACGCCGGACTAACTTCACCAGCCGAATAACCAGCCAACGCCGTAACGGCGCAAGCAATCCAAGTCATCATCCATTTCCGCGACCAAGGCCATATAAACGGGGAAGTATATTTCTCCAGGCTTGGAGCCTCTGGTGCTGCGGATTGACCAGCGCTTGGGGGTAAAGTAATACATGGGGTGGGGAGCGGCGTTTCTAGCTCCAGATAGAGATACTCAATTTCCTTCTCGAGCGAAACGTTGGAACTGGATTCGGGTTTATCCATATTGATACTGGTCCCAGATTTGGGTGTAGTCACGGTTGCAGCACTAAATGCCATATAACAACGAGCAAGAAGTGTCGTTGAAATATATAGGTCTTCAACGCCTTTGATGTGTAGATCTTAGTTTGGAGCAAATGAATCTGGACTTTCTTATGGGCCAAGGCTCAGACCTTATAAACGCGGGCCGAAAGAGTCACAACATGGAAAATTAAGATAAAATTGGAGAAAATTGAAATCTGCAAAATTGGCATCTCCAACTATGATAAGGGGATCCATTCAGGGCATGGAGAACAAAGTGGAGGAGGGCGATAGGGAGCTCCTTGGGTAGTATCGCATGTGGCTAATGTATAATATGGAAGATGGAGAATAAGCCTGCTTTTCGGCCATTTGATCGAATCATTATGCACGTCTTTAGCCGGGTGTCTATGCCGATTGGAGAAGATGGTTTTATTTCCTTTATTTCCTGTCTTTTGTCATTTCTCAATAGTGAGGATTAATAATGTTCTTGACCGGAAAAGGAAATGACTCCCCCCACTTTAAATGTCAATCCCCGAATCCCCGAATCCCCGAATTGGAGATCGGGAACATCTCCGTGATTTGAATATTAGCATGTATCAAGATGTCGAAATTATACCACAATGTAGACAAGCATAAATCCGTTTTATTGGTTCAATTTTTATAATCCACTAGTTAGCTTTTATTTCCCAAGCAAAAATTAAGTGCATACAGCCAGCTGGTAGAAAGTTCGTATCATTACCTGAATCTCTATAATGCAAGCCCCCGGAGTTGCCCTGCGTCTCCCCGACACCCGACAAACCTCCATCTTACACAACGTCACACACCATGAGGCCATGAAGCCATGAACCCGAACTCCAACACCAAACCCTATCAGTGTCAGAGATGCCCAAAGACATTTGCTCGACTGGAGCATCTCCAACGTCATGATCGATCTCGTATGGTCTATCTCTAGTTCAGCTATCTCATTCGCTACTAACCCCCCGCTTAGATACCAAGGAGAAGCCTTATGTCTGTCTCCAATGCCCGAAAGCTTTCACGCGCAAGTGAGTTGCCGAATCTAATACAGTTCATCCAATTCAGCTCTAATGTCGATTTAGGGATTTACTCTCGCGTCATGAGCGATTGGCCCATCAAGAGGGTATTAGCCCCGTGAGTCGCCAGACAATATCGCCGTCTCCATCCCATCCAACTCTGGATGGCTTAGACACACTGGCCTCGGTTGTTACAGACCCTGCACATTCAAGTAATCATTTAGCGTCAAGGCGTGATGCACAATTTTCAAGCTCCATGGATGTGGATCGGGGCCCAATGGTTGATTCGCAGCTATCCAACCCAGGAAACCCCGCGGCTCCAGTTACGCCCACGCCTCTGCAGGGGTCAGACTTTGCGTACCCGATAAGTGCCCTTGGGACAACAGCCTATCATGGCAACGATTTTACTTCGTTCCTAGATAGCGTTCCCTTGCCAAGTCACCCATTTTCACCCGCATTCCAGCCACTTCCTTTATTTCCGCCCTTGCAATACTCCCCTGTTTCGGAGTTTGGCCAAAGCCCCGCTATAGATCACCTAACAGAACCAGCTTCCACTCCCTCAAGCTCTGTCCTACCACGACAGGCTGCGCAATTGCCCTCTCTCCAGCCGGAGGGATATCAGTCTCCCGCGGCCAAGGCAAAACAGCCAACCGGATTCCTTCCCGTGACCGCACAGTGTCGTGAAAGGATTCTCCATCTCCTGAGGGAGTACTCCAATGTCGTCCCGGATCCAACGCTACCTTCTCGACATGCTCTATCACGATGTCTGACAGGTTATCTTATGGGTTTCCACGATCATTACCCAATCGTGCACAGACCAACTATCGATGCCGACACGATGTCCCTGCATTTGTTTCTTTCTATGGCCGCATTGGGTGCTCGCTATTGTAGAGAGCCAGATACAAGTATGTGGTTGTATCAAATAGCCAAACCGGTCACTTTAGAGCATGTGCGCCGCACGTTTCAGTCAGGTTCTTTACCCGAAGGAGATGCAGCTAATAGCGTTGATATGCTTGAAACGATCCAGTCGCTGCTATTTTTGATATCGGTTTCGTCTTGGTTTATCAACAATCCACCATACTATGAGGCGTTGTCTATTCGAAGTACAATGGGTGCCCTGTTACGAAAAGGCGGTATTAACCGGCTACCCGAAGAAGATGGAACCTGGGAAAGCTGGATATATCGTGAACGAGTCAAACGCACGAAGTTGATCGTCTTCTGCTTTTTCAACATCCACACGATCGTCTTTGATATAGCCCCTGTCATTCTTACGGAAGAGTTAACTCTGGAATTGCCATGCACCGAAAGAGAATGGCAAGCATCTCGACCCGAGACCTGGCAAATTGCTCGTAGTCAAAGTCCTGGAGAGCCGAAGTTCCAAGGCGCATTGTCCGCTTTGTTTAACCCTACCAGTGACATAGAAAGATTTTCTTCTCTAGGGGGCTACGTCTTGATCCACGCGATGCTCCAGGACATCTGGATCATGACTAAAGCGAGTCGACTTACTCTGGCGCGCAGTCTTCGCTTGAATTCTCCAATAGCATCAATGCCCGAACTCGTTGTTTTCGAGCAAGCATTGGAACGGTGGTGTCAATACTGGGAACGAAATCAAGAGTCTTCCATTGATCCACTCAGTCCTCATGGACCAATATCATTTACCTCGGCAGCTTTGCTTCGGCTAGCCTATATTCGACTCAATGCTGACTGTGGATCTGCGAGACAGCTTCAATCATGGGATCCTGTTCAAATTGCAAAAAGTCTCAAAGACAACCTTTCCGTGCAGCGAGGTGACCGCCTTACCCGAGCAGCACTTCACTGCGCCCATGCATTAAGCACCCCCGTCAAGCTCGGTATTGGCTACGTGGCGCACTCACAGGTTGCCCTGTGGTCAAATCAACATGCCCTGTGCTCGCTTGAATGCGCCGTGGTATTGGCTAAATGGCTCGAAGCGGTGACGGGGCCGAACCCAGACTCCGCACTAACAGAACAGGAAGCCCGATTGCGGGACTTTGTGCTAGAAATGGTCATGGAGGTGCAGCATGGCGTTTCACGGGAATGGCTCCTGGCCACTAATACCAGGCTTAGTGCGGCGGTGACCCGCCTCTGGGCGCGCCTTTTCACAGCGGATTACATATGGGAAATGGTCAATCTTATTGGGAGGTCACTAGATAGTTATGCCGATTTGTTGGAACAGGGATCATAGTGGGGATAAAAGTATAATTTGATCAGATAATAATGTATATACTCGGAACTAATCAACTATGAACCACCTGTGGAATAAGCATCTTAGCGAATTTCCAGCTATGATTACTCAAAAAGGTCGGGGTTTAAATTGGGGACGGCAGTCTGATCAGATTATGATCCCAGCCGGGAAACTGGACTGCCGAAGCGATACCCACGCTACATCATAACCCATGCGATGTGGACTTAGTATTCTGACTCATAACCTTGGAAATCTATCTCCGCAAAGAGATCTTAATACATCCGGGCTACCCACCAGGTAGTACTTAATTGATGATATTGTCCCCAATATAAAAATCGTTCAAGAACCAGACTATCCTATCCCATCCGTCAATCCATCAATTCCCACCATGGCACCCCCCAGCCCCCTCATAGCAACCTCGCAACTCGTTCCTCAAGGATCTACACTCGCAACCCCTAAACCAAGAGTCGAAGATATAATGGATCTCTCTACCCGGCCAAACAAGCAATGAGTTCGACAACATAATGCGCGACAATCATCGCGCTGAACCAAGACAAGTGCGAACTGATCTATCACCTGCTGCGCAGTCTCAACGCGACAACAATCGTCGAAGCAGGAACAAGCTTCGGCGTAAGCACCATTTACCTTGCCCTCGCTGCTTCTCAAAATGCTTCGCGGAACGGAAATGACAAGGGCCGAGTCATTGCTACGAAGAAAGAGCCTTCGAAGACCGAGATTGCGCAGAGAAACTGGACCCAGGCCGGAGGCGAGATCGAAGGCGTGATTGACTTACGAATTGAAGATCTTCGCGAGGCTCTTGCGAGTGATCTGGGGACTGTGGTGGAGTTCCTGCTTCTGGATAGTATGCTTAACGTTCTATCTTGTTCTCATGCTGGGGGCTTACTGGAAGGAATCTGCTAATGGTTCGTATAATTTGGACTCCTCTCGCTCTGCCTGCACTTAAGCTTGTAGAGCCGTATTTCCGGTCTGGCGCTATGCTAATGGCTGATAATACGCTGGCTTATAATACGCTTAAGGCTGTTTCTGGTTAGGAGGAGCTATTTGCATATGTGGATGCACCGGGTAGTCGGTTCCATAGAATCACCATGCCCTATGCGGGAGGCTTGGATATGATTGTGTATGAATGAAACTAAAGAGAACAGTGGAACTCTGGAGCCGCTCGCTATGTATCTTATGGGCGCAGCACCTTTCGTAGGATATTATTCCTTGCTCTAAATTGCTGACAATATAAAACTGTTCGATGAAATTCTCATCCGGCCATCCTGATAAAGTATCAAAGTAGAAGCATTGAAGCATGAGTTCTGGTGATTTGTTTTAGTTGAAAGATTACTCATATATACGTCTATTCTAAATTATACAAAAAGAATATTCTTCATCACCGTGTCACATATCTAAATTACTCCCGTGTATGTTCCAATATCATAGCAAGGAGTCTCTGGCGGCCTGAGTATTTGGTCTGCGTAGCGTAAAGGCTTCCAGTGGCATTGGTGGATCCCTCCACACACTCACCATCATAGAACATAGCATTAGCAGCATCCTGCCAGAGAGTCTCTTGTTGCAAAGTATTGTCAAAGGTAAAGAAACGACGGCACTCAGCAGCCTCGTAGATGTATTGCCGGGGGACATGGTCATTGTCAGGGCCAAAGGCATTTATAATGTTCACGCGGGCTGATTCAACTGTGAAGGACCAATCATCCAGAGGGATAGGAACATATTTATCCCATTTCTCGAGATCCTCATCAGACAGCAAGGCTGAAGAGTTTGCAAGCTTCTTGGCCTCTTTAAACACCGATGCGAATTCGGCGATGTCGTAGACCATCGAACCTTTGATACCACCCATTCCTTGCATAGGTCCGACCTGTGGACGACCACCGAAGGCAATGGTACGAACACCCTGGCCCTTCATTAACTCAGTAAAAATTGTACATGTCGATGCGCAGGTACCATCGGTGATCTATGAAATCGTCAGTCCATGTTCAACTCCACCGAATGACAAAGGGCGCTTACCAGAATAATATCCTCGGCGTCGAAGTACTGGGTCTTGGGGTCCAGAGGCATTTCACCATAGCCACTGACAGGCATCCCATCATTGTAGTCAGGGTAAGATAGCAGAGTTAAGTTGACAGCAAATAAGCTGGAAGAGTTCATTCCAAGGAACTCATTAGGCCCAAATAAATCAGCCCAAGAATCAAAGCCCTCCTTTTGGTCGGGCTTTACGCTAGCCTTCCAACTCAAAATGCTACCTTCAAGGTCGTCGACAGGAAGACGAGATAGTGCCTCGCCCATGAAGTTAACACCCTCCGTAGCACGGAAACGGTTGGCGGAATAGAGCGGCTGGTCAGGGAAGAACAAGCGGAATGTATTCCACCCCGCAGCAATACTCCCACCACCATTACCCTGGAGATCAATAATGACCTTCTTCTTATTTTTCTTGGCAGCAGTATTAACGAAGTCGCGTGTCACGTTATAGAATCTTTCGACATCTTTAGGGTCAAAGCTGGGAATAGCAAGCACTGCAGTATCCTCAAGGGGTGAATCTTCAGGGAAGAAGGTGAGCGCTGAGTTATCGCTGGTACGAGATGACGGCTTTGGATAGCCCTCTGGGGCTGGCACCATTGAGCGTTTGGAGATATTTGGAGCGAATTTATCAACGATTTTGGTGTTAACCTTTGTTGAGGCCTTCACAGATCGTTTGGAAGAAGCAGCAGTAGAATCGGATGGAATGCAGAATGTTTCATACAGAGCCTTGCCGGACTTCCACTTCCATGTGTTAATATTCACAACAGTATCAACCACTTGCGAGGTTCCATTGGCAAAGTGGAGGGTATGGTAAGCTCCTGTCCAGACCATGCTTTCGCTAAAGAGACCGACCTGTTTAAATGCAGATCCACCATCCACGTCAAGACTATATGGGTTTGATGGGAAAACTGCGTTGTACAGGGCATCATAGTCCTGGGAGCTGTCGCTCAGAGAGATTTTTCCCAAGTACGACTCCACATCTTCACCATTGATCGAGACGACTGGTGAAACTTTGTCTTTGTGGGTTTGCAGTACCTTGGCATCCTTCACCGTATAAACTTCAGGAATTGCGGTCCCGTTTGATGAGATCGAAATGAGCGGTACATTGTTTGAAAAGTCCATGATTGTAGTCGAGCATAATTGCATATCCAAATGACCATCGAAAGCTGATTTAAGCATCTTTTGTATAGCGGTATCGAATTCATATTGGCTCTCGTAACCATTATCCGCTGCCTTCTTCTCGATGTTATCAAGGATCCCGATGAGGTCGGTGGGGGGCATTTGATAGCCTGCAGGAGGGTTTTTTAGAAGCTCGAGATCAGATTGAAAAAGAAGCCATTTGCGGTACTCTTTCACAAACCTGACAGCTCGCTCTGAATCGAAGGGCATAGATTGTAAACATTCTAGTCCCAGCTCGCCCGTTATCTGGAAACCCGCAGCTGTTTCAATAATTAGCAAAACTTCCACATACATCTCAGTCTTCTTGGTCGAGACTTACATCCGTTATTATTCTTGAAGCGTTGATTAATTTGACCACAGGCATCCAAGCTGTCGCTCCGATGCAAGATAACATTGGATGTGGCCTGTGAGGCCGTCAACAGGACTGTGGCCAAGAGTGCATCGGTTCCGAATCGCATTTTTGCTGCGAAGTCTCGTTATGTTATTATTGTATTATTTAGAAACGGGAAATCTAGAACCTTGGGGCTTTAAGAGAATATTTATGTTCATTGATTCTTCATAGCCCTTCTCTAAGCCGCTCTGCCCCCTTTTCTAAGTCTCCATCAGATACGAGACACAGCCTTACGCTATACAATAACCTTCGCTCTATATACCAAGTTGAGGCATGATGGTCACGTTTTCTTCTCCACAGTTAGCTGCGACGGGCGGCTTTATCCCATCTCATTGGTTGCATCTAGGTTAACCTCCCGCGATGTGGGGTATCAGGGACAGCACTGCGGCTCAAAGGGGTTTTCACGGGCTGAAAATGGGGCCATTTTGCAGATTAACAACAGCAAGGCTGTTCGCTTGGAAGCAAAAACCCCACTCCGACCATAAAAATAGAAACTTCAATAAATAGTCATCCAAATGCAGAACATGCCGCGAGCATTCCATCTCCCAAGGTTGGAAATAAACAGGATTGGAGTGTGAATGAACATGTCCATATTCCAACTGTTGACACTATCTTGGGCTTTGAACACTACCCACATTACTTCCATATGTAAACTGAAACAAAAGCCGAAACGATCATTTTATTTCTGCGCGCAAATTGCGACAGGTAGCGGAAATTATGATCAAGGAAGTTGGCGCGAAGCATAATTATAGAAGTGGATCCTCAATTTCAACCTCATCAGGATTGTGGAGAGCGGCTTGTTACACTCAAGAAGACGTTTTCAAGTTGCACGGTCTTTTTATTAACTGAAGGCTATTTATGCCTTTTCTCAGTTCGCTATATCATGATTGCTCCGAGTCGATATCCAGCCACGAGCTCGTTTATACGAAGTGTATATAGGTTAAACCTCCTAATCCCATGCAGAACCAGCTATGGATAAGACTTAAAAAGCCGAAAATCCGATTCTTGATATTTCATAGTCTCTATCTCCAGATTCTATCGCACATATGGCGGTTCCTTGAATTTACAAATGCTTCAATCACTCGAATTCTGTCTTGCCTCCATGGTCGTTTAAGCTTCCCCCTATGCGATATTCAAGATAGACAATATCCGAAACTTGAACCTGAACTCTTCATCAGTAACGTGAAACTCAATTGCTTGGAGCACCATTTTATGTGGATCAAGATCTTGAACCTTGGAAATGATAGGGCTCCTGGGTGCCCGAACAAGTAGAGTATGTATACTTTTTCTTTTCTTTGTAGTATGAGTTCAAAGCGAGTAAATTGAAAATGAATTTACGATTGGAGTGGTGCATAGTACTAGACTGTTGTATATCAACGAAGTTAGTATAGTTTGATTTCATGCACGCGTGAGTTCAAGACTATCATGATACATACAAAATCTGCAATCCAAGCCTTCTGGGAAATCATGATCATCCAAGCACTTTATTCAAGTTGAACATTTGAAGCCTTGAAGCCCTGGAGGTGAGGTAATAGGTATGTACCCAGTACTACTATATAGTCTTCAAGTTCAAATCTAAGGATCCCCATGTCCAAGTTGATTTCCACGGGTGAGACCTCGGGACTTAGTAATGCTTCAAGTTCCCGCAGCAGTATATTTAACCCTTCAAGTTCCAAGGTTACTAGTATATCAATCCAAAACGCTCCATGGAGTATATTTGAAAAAACAGACTATTCAACAATAAATGATTCAGATTTTCCGGGCTTAGCCCAATGAATATTTGATGGATGTGTTATGTATCACTCAAAGTAACTATAGGCGGGATGTTGATATTTCTGCCTCAGGCCATAAGGGATCGGCGTTCGCGTGTAACTCCTTAGTGCTTCAACAACTCCGTCCCTCCCATCTCAACTCACTGCGACAAAACACACCTAGGGCCACCATTTCCGCACATCGTGGGCCCTCGATCCCCCGCACGATGTCTGGACAAGATATTTCCCCGGGGTCGTTGATCAACTTGACGGATGGCCGCCAGGCCACCGTGCGCTTTATCGGCATCACTCACTTCGCGGTCGGAGACTGGATTGGTGTTGAACTAACAGAAGCGACTGGCAAAAACGATGGCGCGGTACAAGGCGAACGCTACTTTGATTGTGAAGCAGGGTTTGGCATGTTCATCCGTCCCACAGCTATAGCCGCGGTTCTACAGCAACCTCCTCGGGAGAGTAAACAAACCACCCGCCCCGGTACCAATGCAACCACCGGCAGACCATCGATTTCCGCGGGCTCAAAAAGGCCACCAGGAGTGCCGCCTAGCGCAATAAAAAGACAAAGTGTCAATGCGTCCACTCCTACACCGGCCCCGAGGATGGCACCTCGTTCATCTTTAAGGGTATGTGTTCGTCTCCGTGAAACGTCATGCCATTGCTCATGAGTCTTTGATAAATATAGTCCCCTACGAAGTCACCAACGAAACAATTATCATCGGCAGCACCCGCTCGTCCCTCAATCGGGGGTGCGCCCCGTACCTCCGCTGTGGCATCTAATCGGCCCCGACCGACACCCAGCACTCGCCCCTCAATCGGCCCATCTTCAACCCAGACAGCAACCCCCAGAGCTTCACGCGCGTCCGTTTCTAGCTCAGCAGAAACATCCCGCCCGGGGTCCCAAAGTAATGTCTCCGCCACTGCCGGATTATCGAAACGACCGTCCTTGCGACAGGTCGCCCCTACGAAGGTATCAGATGGAGGTGAAACTGGAACAAGTGGACCATCGGAGGATCAAACAGATACTGAATCCGTGGGGGCTGAAGATGGACCATCTACGGCACCTCCCCCCACTGCCAGACCCCCTAGACAGTCGCTGGCTGCTTCCCGACCAACGGCTCCTCGTCCTGGGGCTACGGGGTCTACAACGATCCGAACAAACCAAAGCAGTGCTGCTGTCAGCCGAGAGTTGGAGGAACTTCAGACCAAACTTCGCGTGATGGAAAAGAAGCGAACCGATGACCGCGAAAAGATGAAGGCTCTTGAACAGCTGCAGTCTGAGCGCGACAAATTCGAATCCATCATTCAGAAATTACAGGCCAAATACCAACCTCAGCAAATGGAGATTACAGAACTACGCAAGAAACTCAAAGAGTCCGAGGGTCGCTTGGAGGAAATTGAAAGAATGGAGGCTGAACATGAATCACTCATGGAAATGGCCGCACTTGACCGAGAAATGGCGGAGGAGACTGCTGAGGCATTCAAACAGGAGTGCGAGGCACTCCGTTCCAAGATTGAGGAGCTTCAATTAGAAGTGGAAGTTCTCCGAGAAGAGAATGAAGAATTTAGTTCAGAGACGAGCCCCGAGGAGCGATCTAGTCACGGGTGGCTGCAGATGGAAAAAACCAACGAGCGGCTCCGCGAAGCCCTCCTCAGACTCCGTGATATGACACAACAACAGGAGTCGGACCTAAAGGACCAAATCAAAGAATTGGAACAGGATCTCGAGGAATACTCCGCAGTGAAGTCTGACTTCGAGGCTACTAAGGAAAGGCTGTTGGTTGCAGAGACCAATGTTGATGACCTTAAGCAGCAGCTGGAGACTGCACTAGGTGCCGAAGAGATGATTGAAGAGCTCGCCGACAAAAATATGCGATATCAGGAAGATATTAATGAACTCAAGGCTGCTATCGAGGATCTAGAAGCTCTGAGAGAAATCAGCGACGAGCTTGAATATACCCATATCGAGACAGAAAAGCAGCTCCAAGAAGAAATCGATTATCGCGATGGTGTATTCAACGAGCAATCTCGCAAGATCACTCAGCAGGATGAAGTCATTGAAGACCTTGAGTATACCCTGTCCCGCTTCAGGGAGTTGGTAACGAATCTTCAAACCGACTTGGAGGATATGCGAGCATCCCAGCAGATTTCAGAGGCAGAAGCTACTGACCTCTCGACACGATCTCGAGCTATGATGGATCTCAATATGAAGCTGCAGGCCTCCGCATCAAAGGCACAGACAAAGACCATTGACGTCGAACTGAATCGTATGGAAGCCGAGGAGACAGCCCAACATCTCTCAATTGTAAAACTATATCTACCCGAGTATTTTGATGGAGAGCGGAATGCGGTTCTGGCTTTACTCCGCTTCAAGCGTGTCAGCTTCAAGTCTGTGGTTATGAACAGCACTATTCGTGAACGTATTGCCGAGCATGCAGCGATCTCGAGCCACGAAGAGACTTACTGCGCACTGGAGGTTTCAGAACATCTTCTATGGATCTCTACAGTCTGCGACCGGTTCGTCAACTACATCAATGCTTGCACGCCGGAGCAGTTCGACAGTATCAAGGCTGCTCTGTTTGAAATGGAACCAGTTGAGCGTACCTTGAACTTCTGGATTGAAAATTTGAAGAAGAATGAGGTGAATATGAAGAAACTTGCTGTGGAATTGCAAAGATCCATTGCTTTGCTAGCACACCTGACGGAGACCCTACTCCCTTCAAGCCCAGAAAACTTTGCGGGACAGTTGTGCATGCGTGCAACTCTTTCTCAGTCCTACCTGGACCATGCGGCAACCGCCATCGCCCGGTTGAAGTCTCTGATAAAATCCAAACTGCCAATCCCAGAAGAGAACAGTGACAATACAGAGACTCAAGGGACTCAAGAGACCCAAGATGGCCATGACGAAGAAAAAGCATTCGCATTCAACAAACTTGACGCTTTTGTTTCTCATTCCCGGGGATATAAGGTGGCCATGGGCAAGATATCTCGGGCTCTTGAGGATCTGCGATCTAGGTCACTCGTGCTTCCACAACAGACCGACGAGCCGTTCCAGAAAACAGAAGTCTTCACTCGTGAACTGTCGGAGCTTTCTCGAAAATTGGGTGAAGCTGTTGTAAGTCTCACAAGTGATGAAGGCCGCGTTGAGCCATATACTCTTCAAGAGATACTGGACAGCATGTCCCAGGCTTCAACAGAGTTTGTACAGGGGTCAGAAAACGCAACCGAAAACAATGATCCGCTATCCTTGCTTGTTAATAAGCTACGCGAACTGGGTGGACAGCTAGACGAACTTGATGCAATTTCCACAGACCTTTCTCATGCTACCGAATTTGAAAGAGGGGCACATCCCTGGACCGCGCGATCAGAGGAGCTCAAATCGAATAAAACGATCTCACCCGATGCCGACGAAGAAATTAGACGTCTCAAGAACGAAGTTCATGAAGTATCTACTGCTCTTGGCGTCAAGGACAATACTTTGGAGGAGCAAGGCATCAAGATTGAGCTTCTGGAATCACGAATGAGGGAAGCAAGTAAGAAGGCATCAATGGTCAAAGACCTTGAAGTCAAGATCGAAGAAGTTCAAACTAGTGGGGTCGAGCTGGAGAAAACTGTCGAACGTCAGAAGAAAGAACTTCAGACCGCCGAAGTAGAACGAGACGAATATAAGACTCGCCTTGAAAGAATGAAGCGTGTCTCTGGTACTGCCGGCGTGACGACCACAGGCGACGGTCTCGTGATCGACAACGAAGCTTCTCTAGCGGCAATGCATGAGAATGAATCCCTTCGCACTGAAGTTGAGAGTCTTCAATCCGCCGTGCGTTTCCTGCGCGAAGAAAACCGACGTGCCAAACTACTGGACCCGTACTCTGTTCAACAATCAACAGACATGTACTCCTGGCTTGATGCACCTCTTACTCGGCCAGACCCTACAGCCGAACAAGAGAAGATTCGGCGCACTGCTTTGGAAAGTCGGGATGTCTTTACTCATCTGCTCAAACTGACCAAGGACTCCCACGTCTCCGACTTGAAGTCCACGATGCTCCCTCCAGCCAGCGACGAGGCCTCTGCTAATAACCGTACTGCATGGCGCCCATCCAAATCTCGACTGCGGTACCAGGTGCTCCAACACCGTGAAAACTATGAGCATTGGGCCGAATGGCGTGATGACATTGTCAACTATGAACGTGAACAAGATCGTCTCGCTACTGCCAAGCGCGAGCGTGCACTGCGCGATCGCATACCAAGACATGCCCATAAAGCCTCAGTTGAATTCCCCCAGGGCCTCGGCCATGGTATGATGGGCCGTGCATGGCAGATTCTCGGCATGCAGAATCACCGAAAGACCGGCTCCACGAGCGGACCTCCATTGGATGCTGTGGAGATTGTCTCCGAGTGAGCTTTTTCTTGAGCCTCTATTGATCTACTGCCATTTGTACATTACTACTGCCGTCTTATTGCTTCTTTTACTTCCTGTGCATCCACTTTTACCCTTTGGACAATATACCCTCGCTGCACATTTTCCCTCTGCATATTATATCACCATGTTTATATTTTCATGTGAACTATGCTGTGGCTCTTTGAATGCCAGATGCAGTTTCTGTATCCACGAAATGACATCATACCATGTTAGCTTGATTGACTACATGTACCTCTTTCACAGATGAGATTTCCAGAATTCTATTTTAAGCAATACATAAATGACCAGGTGCTATGGATACACCGACTGCCGACTCCTCGAACATCTCTACCTACTCGCGGGATGAGTCATTCGTAATTAACAAATTTTGAAGTTGATAAGGTGTATACATGTAAGAATTAGTAAATGCAAAGCGGCACTAGCTCTATTTTGATAGATCTAAGGTAGGTACTTTTTTCCGCAGTGGGTGCTTTTTGGTTGTTCAACACCACCGTGAAACTCAATTTCGGCAGGTCCCATAAAGCTTTCCGCATTGAATGCCCTTCATAACATTGATTCAAACCCTACAATACTATCGCGAGCATCACTATGCCTCCCCGAGTTTCTTTCGGAATGCCTGCTCGAAAACTCACTGCCAAACGTAACATATTCGCTTCCTTTGCTTCCAGCTTTTGAAGCTGGCATACCCAAGACTCGTGTTTTGACAAAGCTGCGCACAAAGCGACAGACTGGCGGGATCGAAGGCAGACAAGCGGCAGAAAGAACGAAGTCATTCTCGATGCCGTTCCAAATACCTATATTGATAGCATGGTCTTACTAAAGTTAATCACTATTCCTTAGATAGAGATGTGTATACTCACAAAGGTATGTATCGGTTTCATCATTCCCGATCAATTGCGAGCTAGATATGAGCTTTTTAACGGCACAGGCGAAGGAACTGGATATGCACATATTAGTGCATGGTTCAAGAAGAGGATAATAAGACTGGCCTACATGACTCCAAGCCCCATTAGCAGCATTGTGTTAATCTTTTTCCAATTCGGCATATTCAGTCGCCATATCACAACCCCAGGATAAACAGAGAAAATAATATCAAGAGCGGCGGAGATGGCTGCATTATATCAGTGACAGCTCTTGTAACTTTGAAGAGTCGAATGCAGTAGACTTACCACCGACGACGCAGGAGTAAATTGTCTGCGTATCTCTGTTCCAGCATTGGGCATTCGGGTGATTGTATGGGTCCCACTGCCCAGCCACAGGATGACATTGTTCATAAGTGATGATAAACCCGATAAAAGATAGAACATCCAGTCCAATGCAGTATGAGTAAAATGTCCATTTGAGCCATGGTGGCGTGCGAAAGATTCTGCATAGCAGAATCGCAACGCCTAGTTTAGGTAGACTGATACTGAAAAACGACCACGCGTCCGCAAAGATGGCCCAGAAAGCTGCATTGGGAATCGTCTCGGGGCGACTACTCTCGGTAACTTGGCTCGTATAATTAAGTGCGATTTGAAAACCTATTTGTCGTACGATGTTAAAGACCTTTTAGAAAGAAGAAAAGTCAGTCGAGTTGGCACCTTATTGGATATCTGGTACATAGTAGTTGGCATGAACAAACCCAAGATATTGAAATAATTATATCATCAGAGGTGATCGCATCTTTAGTTAGTGTAAGTCGGGAAATCGTTCGGGTCGCAAAGAACCACGTAGACAGGCTAGTCCATGGCCATGTTGCACATGTCCCTGCATATGCTAATTTCGCCCAATCTGTCATTGTGGTACGGATAAAACATATACACTGACTGAGGTCCAGGAGATGTGAAATGATAAAGAAGACAAGGGAAAAGCACGGACCGAAGACCGCGTGGTCAGTAAAGCCCCCATAGCATTATTCGACTCGCACCTATCTATGGGTTATGCAGTCCATGAAGAAGTGTAAGATTGGGGGCTGAAGCATCCTTGGAAAATAGATGAATAAAGAATTGTAAATAATTGTGAATCACAATGCTTGTACAATGTTACAGGTTGACCTAATTTAGAACAAGATCTACAACAGGGCATTCGTAAGTACGCTGTGTAGCCGAATGGGGCGGTTTGAAGGCAAATGTGGATATAGTTTCTTCCAATCAGCTTATAATTCCGCGAAAGGCACCTGAATTGGTTAGATGTAAATCCTGAATCACGGATATCGCCGTATTTGAGGGGTCTGGGTTTCTATTCTGCAGATGGGGCCATGGCTTCAGTAGGGGGGGCCAACAATACGTCATATATTGATCTTGATCATCCTGAAAATGGGTATAACCCCGTTAGAGCCGGTAAGCATACATAATGAATGTATCGAGAACAGCGGAGTTTGATTCAAAATTGTAATATCCAGGCCGAGCTTGAGCCAAAAAGTACTTGGCTCTATTCGGCTCCACATAGAGTGCTGTCTAAATTTAGCCTGTCAAACTATACAGTCAAAGCATTCTCAAGAACTGGGTACTATATTTCAGTCTACTCACTAACTATACATATACTGTATTTTCCAAATCTGATGAGATATAATCCCTCTGAATGTATCAATTAGTACTGTCTCCAGCTCTCCGAGTCCTTCTATCCCCCTTCCAAAGCAAGTGAAATCATTGCCCTTCACTCAACTGTCATGTTTACATTAATTGCAGCTATATTAAAGTTCGAGTTCCAAGGTCAGTATATATACTGAATTAGCATGCAGCGGGGAAACATGCTGCGTTTGAAGACGTACTTACAGAAGGAGGTGACATTGTCCTGGATTTCTGGCGGATCATCCGCAATATGTAAGCTAGACAGATAGCTAAAACATGACTTCCTTCTTGCTCATCGAATTGGCCATCCGGCTGTATTACCCGGCCATAAATCCACAATAGACTTCAACTATCTCCAATCTCCAACTTTCCCCGCTAGTGTAGCTGAATTATCCACAGCATCATCTTCATCAACAACCATAACCTCAAGAAAGCATTCCAAAACCCCCAAACCCCCAAATATGTCAGAAACCAAAATCTCTATCCATATTCCTCCAACAAAGGAAGGTCAATTCTCCCCAGGGGGCCCAACACCATCAATAAACCCACAAAGTCTAAACCCCGCAACCAAAAACTATCGCCTCAACCATCTCGCTCTCCGAATTACAGATCCAAACCGCTCATTACACTTCTATATTGATCTGCTAGGCATGCGAGTGGTATTTAGTATGAATGCAGGCCCTTTCACAATTTATTACCTTGGTTATCCGCCTCCTGATACGAAGGATGGGGAAGTGGGGAATTGGGCGGGGAAAACGGCAGCGATACCAGTTCTTATGAAGTGTAGTGGGTTACTTGAGCTTTATCATGTTCATGGGAGTGAGAAGGGTGTGGTTGGCACAGACGTAGGGACAAGGTCGGAAACAAATGCAGGGACAGAAGAAGGAATGGGGGTATCTAATGGAAATGTTCCGCCGAATTTGGGATTTGCGCATCTTGGGTTTACGGTTCCGGATGTTAAGGAGGCGGTGGAGAGACTAAAGCAGGATGGAGTGAGGATTTTGAAGGATGTCGGTATTTGTTCGAGGGAGGATGTTCCTTTGAGTGAATGGGAGGCTGAGAGGGGGGTTGGAAGGGGGGAGATTCATGGGAACTATGCATGGTTCGTTGAGCAGTTTGCTATGATTGCTGATCCTGATGGGTATATGATTGAGTTGATGCCACAGGAGATGTAGATCAAGTTTCTAGAGATCTATTATTGTATATTTTATGAGGGACTTTATAGAAGGAGATGTGAGGAGGCGAATGAGAAGAGTGGGTAGGTATCCTCTTCTCTTGAAAACACGAGATACATGTAGCCTATGTACAGAAGCTCTGATAGTACATCAACGTGAGATTGAATGAAAGATATTACTATGCACCCCAACTATCATCCTCAGCAACGTCATAATCCATATCTCGTGATAGTTGCGGAGGCGGTGCGCTCACAGCTGGCGCTTGGTCTGTGGTATCCATAGCAGTATCCTGCTCGTCCTCGCCAAAGCCGTTCTTCGTCTCTAAAGGTGTGGTGGCGGGGTGGGTAATTGGCGGGTTAGGAATCCATGCGAGCTGGACTTCTCCCACTGTTGGGATATTCCAAGGACTGAACATGAATTTCTCAGCTTGGTAACGCTCCTTGAAAGCCACGATGACCGAGTCAGACTGGCTGGGGTTTGGCTCGATAGACTCGTATTCGCCGATGCCCTGAATCATTTATTAGCTTGCAAAGTCATTCATAACGCTAGTGTGGGAATTCCCTTTGAAACTTACAATTAGATGTTGACGCAAAGCCTCGTCTTTGTCTGAGTGGAGTTCAACGCCAGTCACCGCAACTCTTCGTGGTCGGTTATCTAGACGCATCACGCTACTACCTCGTCCACGAGGAGCAAAGCCACCGCGACCCCGGTATGCTCCACGATATGAAGGATCATAGCCTCCGCGTCCCCGATATCCACCTCGGCCGCGGTAGCCCGCACGACCCCGGTATCCGCCACGGCCAAATTGGCCCGATGGGTCCGCGTTGGAGGGATCAAGGCCAAGGGTCTGTGCCTCTGCCTCGAGAGCAGCCAATTGCGCGCGTAGTTGCTTTGTCTCATCGCTCACATTCTCATCATCAGCGGCAGTGTCGGTCTGGATGTCAGCTGTCTCTGTGCCATTACCAGATGAGACACCTAGACGTTGCATCAAGCGTGCTTTTTCTTCTTGTTGCTTCTTCATAAGCTCATCTCGCTGACGCTCAAGCTCTTCCTTTGCCTTTTCAGTCTCCTGTCGCTTCCTCATTTTCTCCTCATGTAGCCTTTGGGCCTCCTCCTGCTGTTTCTCAAACTCTTCTTGGTTGAACGCGGGCACTTCAGGCTGAGCGTCGCTATTCCTATCCTTAGGCTTGGACCAGTAAACCTTGACAAACCGGTTGTCGAATATGACTTTCGGGCTAGACCACGCTTGTTTCGCTTCAGCGAATGTCTCAAACTTGACCAGAGCTAGCTTCTTGAATGGCTGTAGCGTAACCTCTGTAATACTACCAAACTGGGAGAAAAACTCGCGCACAGCTTCCTCAGAGAACTTTTCATCAGGAATTTGCTCAACCACAATAGTTGTGATCGAACGGTCTTCGTTGGGACCAGCAGAAGAGAAGTCGGACCGGCCACGTCCTCCTCGCCCGCTATGCCCACCGCGCCCACGACCGCGGCCTCGATCACCGCGGAAAGACTCATTATCTCTCGCCATAAAAGTCGCGGCTTTGGGATCGTATTCTGGTAGAGAAAATTAGCCTATTGTTCGTCTTGCGCGGGACACGAGTATCATCCTTACCATCATTCTTGCCTGGAGCACCATGCTTGTATGGACAGGCTGCACCCATATAACAGATGCCCTGCGTCTCGTAGAAAGGACAGCTCTGGTTGGCGAGGTTTTCCATGTCCGGTTGGCCAGGCATCCCTGGCATAGGCATGCCTCCGGGCATTTGCGGGAAACCCATTCCTTGCATTCCCTGCATCGCCATCATAGCGGCCATCGGATCATTTTGATCGAAGCCAGGGAATCCGGGCATCATGGGAAATCCACCCTGCTGCCCGGGGAATTGACCTTGCTGCATGTGACCGCCGCCCATCCAATCACCGCGGCCACCACCGCGGCCCCGTCGCGGGGTCTTAAACTGGCGGTTCTGGAACGCGCCATCGTCGCGATCCTGATCGCCTTGGAATCCCTCATTATATGACCGTTTTCGGTTGTTGAAGTCGTTTCTTGGGCCGGAGGGAGGGTTGAATGGCTGGGCGGCTGGGGAGAAGGTGTGTTGAGGTGGAGGGGCGGGAAGACCCAGCTTCAAGAAGCTGAATAAATCCTCAACAAACGAGGCAGTATCTGGTGGATGTCAGCATTAGGTGAAATGGCACAGAGTGGAATAGGCAAGCGCACTCTCTCGTAAAAAGTCCTCCAGGTTTTCTACGGAGGCTTTTCGAATTTCTTCGTCTGGGGCATCAGTTCTGATGAGCGCAAGGACATAGTCGGCAAGAACATCGGAATCCGCATCGGAGCTGTATAAGTAATTGTAAGTCAAGAGTTTGAGGCTCAAGGAGCTATGGAGACCCAAGGTAGGTAGGTAGGTTCAACGTACATGTCTTCCAGTTTCCTCACAACCCATGACTTCACCCGCTCAGCTTCTTCGTCAGTGAATTGCATCATGAGATTAATCCCACTCGCCGACAAGCGTTGAGCGAGACTTGAAGTCCAGGGCGATTCAATAAGTACGTATGGGCGCTAGGTGCAGGGATTCCGGATCACGGTAAGCTGCAGACGATCAAGAATAGCAATTGGGGGAGTGGGTCTGGCGAAAAAACAATATTGTTGTCCTATAGGAAGGGGTATCAAAGTAAACGCAGAATCAGCTCGGCCATATCAAATGGACGTGGTGGATAATAAAAAAGTGAGGTCTGGGAGCACAGAATTTCTGAAAACGCGCCTTCGCGCTGTCGTCACGTGATCATACAGGATTTCAGGGCTGGGATGACGGCAATCATCTTATCTGCAGAAGCTACTAATAGCACCGGGCCGTATCTACATGTAAAAAACTGATAGCTACGTTTGTTCTACAAATCTACTCACGCGGGACGCCAGGTTTTGTCTAGCATACCATTTTGATTTCATCTCCAATCTGGTAAGCTAGACTACAGCAAAAAACAAAAGAAACACAAAAAATAAAGCCAAAGAACGTAATCATCAAAAGACGTGAAAAAGGGAAATATGGAAACAGAATGCTGGCGAGCGTTCAAAGGACCCTGAAATCCCTAGAAGCTCCGCATGTTCTAGAGCAAAAAATTGATATAGGAAGCATTTCCGCATCGATGCGAAAATGTATTTTTGATTGAACTGGGAAATTGTATTGCATTCATCAATCTCATAACAAAAGATTCTTCGCGTTGACTGGTACTATGATTATTCGACCGGTGAACATTTTTACAGCTTGTCGTAGTACTAGAGGAAGATGTGTTAGTAGACTGTTCAAAGTCGTGTAGTAGTAGAGTATGCGAAACAAAACTTACGTTCTCGTAGCCGGGAACAACCTCCTTGAGACCCTTGCGCTTACGCATCTCAGTGATAACTTGACCGGGCTTGGAGGTGGGGTCCAGAGGAGAACCACCGGGCAGAACAGCCCAGTGATCGAACACGGACTGAGGGAAGGCCTGACCACCAGTAGCGGAACGCAGATCGGCAGGGAAACCGAAAGACTCGTTGACGGGCAGGTAAGCCTTGACCATGAACAGAGGGGTACCGGGGCGCTGCTCCTCGGAGTAGACGTGACCACGACGGCGGGTAAGGACACCGTAGATACCACCCATAGCCTGCTCGGGAACCTGGATCTCGACGTTGAAGATGGGCTCGAGGAGACCGGGCTCAGCCAGCATAGCGGCGGCGTACAGGACACGACGAGCAGTGGGGATAAGTTGACCACCACCACGGTGAATGGCATCAGCGTGCAGGGTAACATCAAGGATGTTGAAGCGGACGGAGCGGAGGGGCTCCTCAGCAACAGGACCCTCACGGGTAGCCCACTGGAAACCGGAGACAACGGAATCCTTGATTTCGTTCAGGTACTGAACAGCCTTGGTCTGGTCAACCAGCAAGTTGGCACCGGTGGTATCGGGACCGAAACACCAGATCTTACGGGCATCGGTAACGTCCCAGCCGTACTCGTCAGCCATGACACGGGCACGAGCCTTGAAATCGTCACGGGGGCTGATCTTGCCAGACTCGATGGCCTGGGAGATGTCCTCCTCCATGGGGCCAGCAGTCATGTACAGACGGTTGTGCTTGTTGGGGGACTTGGACAGAGCGGTCATGCTGGACTGCTCAGTGACAGTCTCACGGTAAGAAACGACGGGGTCAGAGATACGCAGGGGAACACCAGCGTGGTCCTCCTCGAGATCCTTAAGACAAATCTCAAGGTGAAGCTCACCAGCACCAGCAACGACGTGCTCACCAGACTCGTTGATCATAGTCAGGACACAGGGGTCGGACTTGGACAGACGCTTAAGACCCTCAACCAGCTTGGGCAGATCCTGGGCGTTCTTGACCTCAACGGAACGCTGGACAACGGGGGAGACAGAGAACTTCATGACCTTCATGTTGTGGGCAGTCTCGTCGGTGGTCAGGGTACCGGACTTGAGCAGGAACTGGTCGACACCGACCAGACCGACAATGTTACCGGCGGGAACGTCATCAATGGGCTCAACGAAGCGACCCATCATCAGAATGGTACGCTGGATGGCCTTGATGTACAGATCCTCCTTCTTGCCAGGAAGGTAGTTAGGACCCTGGATACGGACCTTGACACCGGACTTGACGGTACCGGCGTAGACACGACCGAAAGCGTAGAAACGACCCTTGTCGGAGGTGGGAACCATCTTAGAGACGTACAGCATGAGAGGAGCAGTGGGGTCACAGTCACGGATACCAATGCAGGCACGGTCGTCCATGGGGCCCTCGTACAGAGTCTCGGCACGGTACTTCTGGGCAGTGACGGGGGAGGGAAGGTGGATACAGATCATCTCCAGAAGAGCGTCAGCGGCAGGAAGGAACTTGCGCATGACGACCTTGAGGAGGGCCTTGCCCTCGAGCTCCTTCTCATCAGCAGCGAGCTTAACATCGAGCTTCTCAAGAAGACTGGTGATCTCATCACGCTTGTTGTGGTTGACAGCAGCGAAGATCTTGAAGATGGGGTCCAGGATGAACTGGTTGAAGGCACGCTCAAGGGGCTTGCCATCAGCCTCACCGACCTTGGTCCACTTCTTGGTCTTGGGGTTGAAGTAGTTGTCGCCCCAGAGACGGTCAAGCATCTTCTGACGGTCAACACCGAACTTCTTGGCGTACTTGACGGCGAACTGGCGGACGGTGAAACACCAACCGTGCAGACCGGAACCGAAAGCAATGGTACCCTTGTAAGGGTAGACCTGGACGTCACCGAGAGCCTTGTCGAAGTAGGTGGCGATGATGACGTTGACGGACTCAATGGTACGGGAGAAGGACTGGTACAGATCCTCCTTGGAGACCTGGAGCTCGAGAAGAGCACGGTCAACCTTGTTGATACACAGAACGGGCTTGATACGCTCGGTCAGGGCCTGACGCAGAACAGTCTCAGTCTGGACACAGACACCGGAGACACAGTCGACGACGACCAGAGCACCGTCAGTGACACGCAGAGCAGCGGTAACCTCAGAAGAGAAATCAACGTGACCGGGGGAATCGATCAAGTTGATCAAGAACTCGTGACCATCGACCTGCTGGGGGATCTCCTTGAGATCCTCGGGGTCGGGGAACTTGGCGTACAAGGAGATGGCAGTGGACTTGATAGTAATGCAACGATCCTGCTCATCGGGACGGGTGTCCATGAAACGGGTCTCACCAGCCTTAGCGGCGGAGATAATACCGGCACGCTGGACCAGGGAGTCGGACAGGGTGGACTTTCCGTGATCGACTGTAGAGAGAAGCTTGAATTAGCCAACGAGGAACTGCACGATCAGAGTTTCATCAACTTGTCTTTGACATACCGTGAGCAATGACGGACATGTTACGGATGTTAGCCCGACGGTCCATCAGCTGACGGATCTGTAAAAAAGTGTGTGGTTAGTCTCTTGCTACACATATAGGTCGCCAGGAGGGGTAAGATCCTGGGAAATACAACCCCTCCGCCGAGTTATATCGATGATTCTGCTGATGTACACACCTCCTCAATGGTGAAGCTATAGAGAAAGACATTGTTAGTATAATGATCCAAGATGTAAAAGTTTTTCCTTCCATGTCCACCTCGACTTTGATATGGAACTCGACGACGGGAAGCCCACTTACTTGACCATATTGACGGTTGTTTCCTCGAAATAGCCCTAGAGGCAAGGGTAATAATTCAAAAGAAATATAGAAGCAAGAAAACACACAGATGATCAGGACCACTGGACCAGATCAAGCAAGTCTATGTGCAACTGCTCCGGGGAGGGAAGGGGATGGAGAAGGGAAGAAGAAAAGAGGAGGGAGGGGTGCAGTAATAAAAAAGTGGGAGAAAAAAAATTGAGAGAGCGAAAGTGGGGACTCTCTCTCTTGTGTGCCCCGCTCACGGGTTTTGTGTGCGTTTTTTTTTTTCTGTTACTGTTACTGATAGATTTCCATTACACACTACGAAACCTGTTAGAACTTCCCGGTTTCTTCTTTTTTTCTCTCCAAATAATATCATGAATCACATTTAAACCCTTGATGACTCTTATTATACTCTATCCAATTCCATGGCTTTGAAATCATATATTTTGTGTGTATTGAATGTGATCCGACTGTATCCGTGGTACTCCGAGCTTCTGCTGTAGAGACAAGCAGCTACCTAGCTACCTAGCTTAACTCCGCGTCCGAAAACGTTGCCCGAATAATATCTGACATGGTTCATTACCCTCAGTAAACTCTAGTTTTCAGTCATTCACCTATCTGTCTCTATTTCTTATTGTAATTATCTGTAATTAAATTCAACAAAATTGTAATGTGCAAAGCCCCGCTATCTCACCGCCCGCGCGGGGGTGGATTAATAATACATACAAAAGCTGCAAGTCACCACCTGCATTAAAGCAGCTGGCAGTAAACAGCGGGAGCTTAATTACTTACGAAGAGTGCCCCTCAGATACACTCGGCACAGAATGAGGGGAAGCAATACATTTGGTAGCTTTAAAATACTAGAATATCGAAACCATAAATTGCTAGTCAAGTTGAAACAATGATTCTATTGTCAAACAAAATGGGTGTTAATACAGAAAGTGCAAAAAATGCAATGGGCCCCAAAAAGACCATAGAAAACGCCAATCATACAAAAAAGACATCACTATCAGCCCACGAGGCCGCCCCGCCCGTAAGCCAATGGAATCAAAGTAAAGACTAAAGAGCCCTGGGTATATGTACAAACAATCATGTCCCCAGAATAGTCCCGTAAGCATCTTCCACCTCCTTCGCAATTTCGAGAAGGGTCACAATAATGATCTGGTGCGTGACATTGGGTAGCCTATCACGCTGCAACCCAATCCACTCTAAGGGTGGCGTTGCCTCTCCCATGTCTCGCAACTGTGGCGTTTCTATTACTGGCGGCTCCAATGCCGTGTAAGTATATTTGGATTGGGGCACATTGACAACAGCCGTAATCTTTTCTTGTTGCTCAGCCCCTGTGCCACCTGCTTCGGCATCTTTGTTGCCGCTGCTGCTACCAGGCCCACCAGTAATTCGTACAGCAGACGGTGCGAGCGGCTTACCAAGCCGTGATGCCAAAGCCCGAGAGTGTGTTTCCCACATGTCACGAATGAAACTGATGCGTGAGTAGTTCCAGCCCACGTCGACTTTGCCTTCGAAGGTACTGTGGAAGATATACTCGATCTCCCGACTGCCGGGGACCTGCCAGGTTTGCATGCCGGCAACCAATCGAGGTACCTTCAGAATAGTACCACCTCTGGAACCAGAGGCTCGTTGGGCGATTTCGTCCACAGAAAAGTCCTCGAGCTGAGCGGAGCTGGGGCGATTGATACCGGAGAGTGCCACTCGGAGCTGACCCAGGGTCAATCCTAATGCGCTGTGGATTTTGTTGGATTCCAGGGACACAGCGAAACGTGCCTGGGCATCGTAGGCTTCCAGCTTGAATATTTGATTGTCAAAGAAGGAACTTGGGAACGCGCCGATATTGACATGGCGGATACTAACGACCACACCGGTGTGTAACTGGATGGGCGCTCTCTCTGATTCTTCATCCTTCTTGGGCGACTCCTTGGCTGGTACATCCACGCGATCGTGACTGGCGGATGATTTGCGACGAAGATATCGTTCGATCTCGCGTAAAGATGATTCGTAAGCAGATTTCTTGTCTTGGACCAGCCTCTGCCACGCTTGATAGAGGGCTAGAGCTTGTGATGCCGTCAAAGATGTGCAGAACACCTGGACTTCATCACCCTCAAGAATACTGACGAGCCGTTGACTTTGCTGTCCTGTGGTGTCGCGAACATTATACATCAAAAAGTCAAACATGGCAATATGTGCAACCAAGAAAGGTTGGTAATCGAAAGAAACCTTAGCTTGGAGATGATGGAAAGCGATTGAGGCCTGGATAAGTGGAGTGTGGCCGGCTTCGCGGGATTCTGGCCATTGGATAGAGGTGCGAGCTTTGAGAGTCCGCAGTTCCACAACACCACTCAAACGACCCTTGCTCTCGATGCTGATAGAGTCAAAGTTGATACACATACTTTGCTCACTGTCAGATGTCTTGTTGGATGACACCCACAGATTGTCAATGCCAAACTGAGCCTTGCCAAGCGTGGATCCCAAATCCAGTTGAATCTCCAGCCTTTCGATGGCAATCGTAGTGTTCCAGGGGAACGCAGAAGTGGCGGCAACCTGTTGGTAACGCTGGACGATGTATGTTTGAGCTTCTGGTTCCATGGGTACCTCTGGTTGTGGGGTTGAGCTGGGTTTAGCCTCATCATCAGATGGTAGCCAAATCTCTTGGAATAGCAAAGAATCTTGCACCTGCTTGGCATTCAAAACGACTTTCATAGGGCTCACTTTAAGGATCGCCGACATGCCACTGGTTCGGCCAAGATGCTTGCTGTTCATCAAAGATAGCACCATAGATTGCACTTCGAAGCTTGCCGTAGATTCGTTCGAATATACATGCTTCACAGAGGCCTCTAAATTGTTGAATGCCAAGGATAGTGCAACAAAGCGGCCCTGTTCATTGGAGATAATTGTATTGACCGTAACGTAGACACTTTCGAATCGTGCTGTGGCGGCCACCCTGGCGATTGGCTGACAACTAAGACTGAACTCCTGTTTACAAAACAGCAAACCAAGATTGAGCTTGCAGCGTCCGAGGATAGAACTTGGATCAGGCGCGCCGAACGGAGTTTCTTGCATTAGCTTTTGGGGTTGCAACTTCGCTGCGGCAGATGGTCGCCGAGGTCTGCGCTCTTGATCCTTATCGCCCATAATTTCCTTGATAGTCGTAGTCATTTGTTTGACCAAGGGCACGAGCGTCGGGTACAGCACATTAGAAGACGGGTCAACCTTGAGCTCTGCGTTGAGTGCAGGATCATCTGTTCCATTGTCTTCGAAGTGAACTTTCAAGGCCACTCCTGGCGCCTGGACAGTTGCGGTGGTCGCAGAATCTCCGTGAACGTATTCACCATACTTTGCTTCCGACAATCGGGTGCCCATAAAGTTAGCCGCCATCAAATTCCGAGGGTCATGGCTTTGTTTCCCTTGCAACGAAACTGTGGCACCAGCAAAGTAGACATCCACGATGAGAGATCGAAGTCGTCGATTGCCAAAGAGATTTTGGCTTTTAGGATTACCTTCCGGATCAGGAGATGGTTTTGTCGCCCAGGCAGCCTTACCCTCACGCAAGGCTTCGCTAGCAGACGCGAGAGAATTGCGGATCATATTAGCCGGAAGAATAAATTCAGATGTCGCACGAATGTCAAGCGATTTGCCGGCTGCATGAAAAACGAGCCAAAGTTCTTTTCCGATGGAATGATAGGCAACGTTGAAGACAAGTTGGGGCATGAGAGCAGAGTTCAGCGAACGTTTTCTCCTGTCAGCGCGGAATGGAACCATCTGAAGTTGCATATCTTCGATTCGCAGCTTGGCTGCATTTTTCTTCTTATTTGACAACTCAAATTGGCGAATTGAGAAAACGAGATCTTCTGGTTGACGACCAGAGCCAGCGGACAGCGGAGTTGACATGTTCCATGCGACTTGGACATCCCGGAAGTGGAACGAGTAGAGAGCATTGAGGAAAGGCTGTGCTGGCGCGTCACCATCATCATTATCGTTGACATGAATCTTTGGCATATCTGGTTGCGCATCATTTGCTCCATTGTGGTTGCGATGCCGGAGCCTGCGTAGACGCTTAACTTCATGAGAAAGATCTAAAGTTTTGATACGCTCCTGTGTGTGAATCGCAATGTCTACTACTAGGGCAGCTGTCTCGGCGAAAAGTTCGATGTCGAATTTATCGCTTGTGAAATTGTAGGCTCTCGTGACCTCTCCATTTTCACGTACAGCGGAGGTCCCCACAAATTTGACGGCAAATGCGAAGCCACCATAGGACTTGGCTTTAGTTCTCTCCAGACGCCGCAGCTGGAAGTTTATCTGAGATGCATCGATGCTAAACTCGGGATATTCCATGGTGTACCCGCGATCTAGTCCATTCTGAAGACGCATTTGCATCGTGCCCAGGCTGAAAACCATTTCTGCATTGTATTCTTTTCCGTTCAAGCCTGGTGCGATAGCATGTATCTCAAAGCCAGCCATGGTGAGCCTAGCTTTGTACAGTATCATCGACTCTTCTGTAGAGGGTTTGGGATCCGGTTTGGCCTTGGGAAGTGTGACAACGTCGCCAAGGTGTGACTGGAGTACATTGACATTTTGTTTGAGGTCTTCTAGAAGATGAGCGACATCTGGTCCAGTCAAAACAGCCAAAAGACTTCGAACGGCACTGGCTTCAAGCCGAATGTGTTCAATAATCAAATCGACTTCGAATTCCTTGCGGTTAGACAGCACATTTGCAAGGATCCGACCATTGACGGGGGGAATCTCAAGTTGCGAGAGCGAGCGGGTTTTGTTTCCTTCTCCCGACAAGAAGGTGTGAGTGTTATGCTTGACATCAAAGTCGACCTCAATCTTGGAAGATTCTGTGGGCATGACTGATAGCCGAGCTACATCCCCAGAAATCAAGTAGGTCAAGGATGGAAGAAGAGAGAACCTTAACTGATAATCGTCCAGAAACATAGCCACATTGATGCGGTGGTGGGACGGTTTCTTGTATTCCGGTAGTTGATTGACTTCCGAACTTGGAGTACTTGGAGGGTTGATGTTGTTCATGAGCTGCTGAATATAACGAACCTCGTCCTCAATGACGCGATCCACAACATGTGCTAGACTAACAGGGTCCTCTTTCATTTCGTAGCGAAGTTTTCTGCATGAGCCGACAACCCTCCAATCATGCTTGCTCTGTTGTGCATGATCTTCAGAGACGAGAGAGAGATACAGATATGGATTCGCGATTTTTGAAAGCATCAGAGACCCAGCATGGCTCACTAGCTCAGATGAACACGCGTTCGCGCTGAATAGAACGGCCAGGTCATTCTTGTCAACAGATCCAGTGCTTTGCGAGCTGTGAACGACAGAGCCTCGTAGCGCCTTCGAGACCAATGCAAGTTTGACGTTGATTCCGTCCAGGGTGACAGACCCAAAGTCTGTGCCGAAGACAATTTGCAATTCTGTTGGGTCTTTCATTCTGCTGCCTTGAGAAGATTGGGCGGGCTGAGACTCCAGTTTGACTGTTGACATAGCTTTCACCAAGCCTTCTACCAGATCTAAGACCTCCCATCGCAAACGTAGCGCCGCAGAAGAGCAATAAATCTGCAATATAACGAGCTTTTTGAGTTTCATGGCATCGCCATCTTGCACAATCTTGTCAGGTACAACTGATGTCGCTGTCGAGAAGTCTTCAACAATGAAATCACTTTCCCTTGGGCCAGGGTCTAAGGAGAACCTAAAAGTCTTGATTGTGCAAGAAAAGGAAAAGGAAGGCTTGGCGATAGGCTTCTCAGGCTCTGGGTTTGACCATATTCTGCGCATGACATAACTCTTATCAACATGCGCGAGATCCCATGCCCGCCATCGATCAAATCCAGTCAATATAGTAGATTTAGCATCATCTGGCAATGGAAAATTGTCAGAGAGGCATTGATCTTCTAGCTCGCGTTGCTGGCGCACTGGAAGGCCTTTGTAAATGTTTCGAATGCGACAAAGAATCTTCCAAGAATCATGTTGTCTCAGATGAGTTGATGCCACTCGAAGGACATTAGAGATGCGAGTGAGGAAGATAGGGTCTGGGATACCGGATGCTGCCTGTGTTGCAAAGTAGATGATGAACTGAAGGCGTCGTTGACTTGCGGTTGAGACGTGCAGAAATGACGATGCAACAGAGTCGAACATCGTCGTGGCTCGGCGAACCAGCAATGCAAGCCTTTCCACTGATTTGGGAGACGTCACAGTATTGAACGTCCGCATTTGCAGATGCGAACTGATATTAGGAGATGCCACAAGCCAGAAATTCATATCACTGAAGTTGCAGTTAAACGCTGCTTTCTCCTGGAGAGTGTCTGTGCGACTTCCTTCAACACAAACAGAGAAACGGTCTGCCGCAGCATGAACGGTTATACCTTGTTTGAGGCCATCAAGAAGGTCACCTTTCTGTCGTTGAACACGTCTTCGAAACTCCAATTGAAGATGTCGGATTTCAATGTTGTATTCATCTCTCAATTCAATTTGGCTGTTCATTGGCGACTCTGAGAGATCAACTAGCCTCAGTTGAATAGATGGGATGCGAAGAGCAACGGAAGTTGCTTTCTTTGGTTGGCTCATGGACTTTTCGTAGCCTACTATATCAGATATCACATCTTTTTGCAGAGAATCGATGATTTGAACTGGATGTCTTGGTTCTAGACCATCCAATAGGGCAGATAAAGAGAATAAAAACCGTGGGGTACAAAAGCCTCTTATTCCCAGTGGGAGATCTAAAGCCAGATTGGTGTAGGTTGTTTCGTTATCTTCGAAAGTCAGGAACATGGACTTTGGTGTCGGATAGGTACCATCTTCTCTTTCTCCATCCTCTTCGTTTATTGCCGAGGGCATCTCGGAAGTATCCAGCGAAAGCTTGTGATAAGAAAACTGGGGTTGGATCCAAGGGTTCGCATCTCTGATCGCAGCACGAGAATATGAAGTCGATCTAGGGGTCATACAAGCAAAGCTTCCATTATCTTTAGCTCTATTAGCACGATTAGCTCGTATCGTGCTCCAGCTATCATCGAGGTGAGATGGAAGTGGCCGGCGAATGGACTTTGTGCTCGAGCTGGACACAGAGCGAGCGGAATGATTCCCACGAATTTTGGCACTTTTGAGACTCGATGTTTCAGAATGGACAAGAAAACTGCTAGCACCTCCAGAGAATTGAGGCCCTGAGAAGTCCCTGTAAGATGGAGCATTTGTCGTTCCTGTTCCTGGTCTTCGATGTATGGGCTCGGGCATTGAGGGTATAGCCATAGTGGGAATTGAAAACTCGCCCTCTTTTGTAAAAGATGATACTGGGGCAATCTCTTCCCAGTCAAAAAGCAGCCACTGAGCACGATGGGTTCGCTGATCATGGATACGAATATGTTCTTGCTGTAATCGTCGACTTTCAGCAATGTCATTTTTCCGGAGGGCCATTTTAAGACCAATCGTCAACTGGAAAATCCCCAGGGGGTCGACTATCTTCTCGGGTGTTCGAAGAGCATCAGTTGCTAACTGGCGATCTACCGCGGCAAAGGTCAGATTAGGGACGAGCAAGCTCATACGCTTCGAGAACTTCGAGGTGGCCCAATCATTAAAATTAACAGTTATAGGGCTTGAGCTCAAGACAAGAGCGGTTTGATCGAGCAGCACTGCAACATTGATTGAGCTTATGTTGGCCCTCAAAAAAGTCACATCATGAAGGACGGGGGGGAAGAGAGTGTGTAGGGTATTTTCCTCATTGTCAAAAGTGAAATCAAAGCTTTTGAGGCTAGAAGCTAGACATGTCAGGAAATCAGGCGAGCATTCACCCAATATTTTGCCAATGTCGAAATCCCAATTACAGACGTAGGTAGGCTCCGCAGGAGGCAGTCCGAAGAGACGATGACCGTAAATGGAAGCTCCGTCAAGAAAGAGCTGGGTGTCGGATATGGACGTGGAACCATCTATTTGAGTTGACTGAAGATCTAATTTGGCTGGACTTAAAGAAATTTGCATATCCATGTAATAATTGGTGAATCGTAGGTCAATTTCCAAAGATGCGACACGAAGCCTCGTGCACTTGAAGTGGTCATAAATGTTTTCTGGCAGCAGAGCACAAGGACTGTCCACAGTAGCGTGCACTAAGACATCCATATCATTTGACTTTCGGTTTGGATTGATGCCTGAGGGATTTGCGGGCGGTTCCTCAGCGTAAGCCAGCTCTTGGTATTCTTCCAAAGTCCTGAAATGCATCTCATCTCCAAAGTAATTATCTTTGATGATCAGGAAGCTCTTGATCAAAAAACCGTAAAGATAGAGTCGAGGTGACCCCCCATGGATATTCAGAACGAGGGTGTCTGTCAAGTCTGGCGAGGTTGAGAGAAAATAGTTATAAGACCCGTCGATGGTAAGGCTATCCAGTGTCGCCATGGATGATTCTGGTAGAAATGCATGTAGTGTATCCCAACCAGGGTTCAAATGGTCCACAGCACCATCTTGAAGATTGATATTGAACTCTATCGCATTCTGCTCGGGTTGGTACTTGTTGAGGGGAATCAAAACACTGGATGTCAATTGTTTGCCCTTGATAACAATAAACCGGTTATCCTCCCGGTCTGAAGGATTACTGATGATGTTGCGATCATTCACATTGACCAAAAGTTGCAAGTTCGAAAAGGTAAGGTCGATGTTATAGATGAAAGGTACGTAGGTATAGTACTCAGACGGAGGGCCTGATGCCCAATCGCTCACAAGATCAGTCAACAGGAAAATGTGATCTCGTAGCAGAAAAAGTTCCATATCATGACTTTCCACACCGAACCTCCAAGATCGCAATGTATTCCAACAGAGGGGATTAGATAAATCACAAAGAATGAGCTGTCGAGGGGATTGCCAAAGTAGTCCGTGGTTGACACTAGACGAGAGTTTAGATTCGCGCAAGTCAATTGCCAACTCATTATGGTATCCCGAGCTTGACGCAGCCATGTTCATCGAATATGTAATGGTAGAGTCGGGGCCCACACGAAGGGATAGCCATCCGAAGGGACGGATGTCGGGGCCAAAGTGACCCTTTTCGCCTTCCTTTGCGCGCGACTTCTTTCTGTCGTTGGGTTTCTTTACTTTTGCTGTACCCCCAACGGCGTCTGCTCGACCTTTCCACTGCCAGTCTTTAGATTGCTCTCGCGTGGGAATACGAAGTGTAAGTTCATCACTGATCTCGATGTGTAATTTGAACGTAGTGCTTTGTCTCAAGACACCGGCCACTAGGGGCTCTGCAGCTTCTGCGCTGCGGTAAAAATTAGGAAAGAAGACGTTTTGAAGGCCAACTCGTTCCCTGTCAGTCCATGGCCCATAGTTGATCGTCCCGCCATCTATTTTGAGATCAATTCCCCATTCCGGAGGAGGGGCGTGATTGATATTCTGGGATTGCTGCTCCATCGGTATGAGATGCTCAGGCCTAACGCGCCCTGGTATATCCCAAAAGTATGTCAAGTCCAAGCCAGTGCCATCGAGAATAGTGGAAAATCGGCCATATTCAACTGCGTTCCATTTTTCATGGTCGTCATCATTCTCTGCGTCTAAATATCGGGAGAGACCAGTCCAGTGGACGGTATCCGGAAATTCGGCTTGGCTTTTAGGCATATTTGATCCATGTCTATCATCCATGTGAAATGACTCGACTGAGGTTTGGAAGTAAGGAACTAGGTCGCGAATCCCATGCCATATTTTGCGCCTATGAAAGCGATAGCTGAAGAAGTTTCTTCGCTTCTGCTTCGGTATCGGCTCTTCATCTTCGGTTCTGCCCAGAACTTTTGCGGCGGATAGTTGGGTCTGTTTAAAGTCGGGGTTCGGTCTCATTTGAATCACAGGGTGCTTCAATTGAAAAGAGAAGGATTGACGATACAAATCCAGGGGACCAGCCTTGCAAGCAGCAACGTTGCCTGTGGCAGCATCAAACGTCGTTGTCAAGACAGATCGAGTATGTTGATTTCCCATCACAATCGCTCCTTTGATGCAATCGAGTTTCACTGGCAGAAGTTCAAGCATATTTGACACAGGGTCAGAAAGTTCAGACTTTCGGATTTCGGTGTCCTCGTATTCGGGACGTACTCTTTCGGTCGTGTTCTGTCTGGAGATGTTGTCAAAGCTCTTCTTCTTTCCAGTAGCAGATCCCATGGTGAAGCTAGTTTCCGTTCGCTTTGGCTGTTCATCGGCTTGAGAAGATGCGTTGTTCTCCTCGTCGTCCCACTCATAGTTAGTGTATCCAAAGCCAGCAAGAATACTATCATAGGCAGGCGTGCGATTGTAAATAAACCATTCTAGACCGTAAACTTTGATTGAAAGACGACATGGTAGATCAATTGTCTTTTGCACTCCACCTTGCTCCCCAAGCCCGCCATCGTCGCTGCCATGCGCCCAGGGACCGGCAGAAGCAGAACCATTGTGTCCTTCTTGTGAACTTTTGTCTTCGTTCACTTTCGATTCATTGTCGGAAAGATCGGTACGTTCCACCACACGTTTCCAATACCGCCATGTTATGAAGCCTCCATGAATGAAAATTGTCTCGTTTACTCCATGGTATCGTATGCCTTTGAAGAATATCCTCCCACCCAGGAAGGATATTTGAAGCGCATTGATATCGACATATACACGGTAGTAGTGCCAGGTGTAAGCTCGAATTCCGTAGGAGAGCAAGGCCGCGAAAAGGCGATTAAAGTAAAGCAGGAAGAACAACACACTAGATCAATTAGTGACGATCCAAAGACATAGTGGGGAAACAACTCACAGAATACAGCAGACAATCAGCTCTAAGAGGAAAAACCTAAGTATAAATTTAGTAAATAATCCAGCTATCTGGCACTGGTTCCAAATGCAACGGACCAATTGAAGCTTGGGTCCGGCGTCAGATAAGAGGCCGTCAAGCTGGTGCTGGTCATTTCTCCCTGAATCCGCCAGCTGGCGCGAGCATCTTCAAAGAGACAGACTGACTCGTGACTGACGAGCCCAGTGAATGAGCAGTATCATTCCAAAGCTCCAGAAAATGGGGAAGAACGCGGTAGTCCTGAAGCTCAAGATCCGGGATTCGCGATGTTTAATCTAAGGCGGTGTCACGAGAGTGATCGTCATCGGAACACGACTCCTGGCACAATCTACTCCTTGAGCTCTCCCGCTCTCTGCGCGCGCCCAGTCCACCATGTATTACGCCCCTGACGAGTTTACGAAATGACCTGCTGTATTTAAATTCGCGGCTCATTCTCATCCGCGTTTGTCACTTTCAACTTGATCATGGAGGCCGTAAAGACCGTCCCGGGCGGAGGAACAGGCTCCAGCCTAGCTCGAGCGATCATTATTGTTGCTGGTGTATCGGCTCTGGTAGCGTCGCTACTAGCTATTATGTGAGTTGAGATTCTTGAGGCTTCACTTGGTGCTGTTCGTCTTTGGATTCTGAAGCTAATATCCCTCTTCTATTTACAGATCCATTTGGTTCCAAACGTACGAGCTTCGATTGCCAATACGCCCCCTCCTCCGATAGCTACTAATTCGAATTTTTTTCGCACAGTAAAAACTACCGAAAGCCGCTGCTGCAGAGATATGTTGTGCGCATTCTCCTCTTGTGAGTTTTGGCTTATAGACCACATCGGGGTTATCTACGAAAAACAACAGACTGACAGACACAAGGGTCCCAATATTTGCAGCGGCATCATGGACGAGCATCGTCTCGCTCACCGCAGCTCAATTCCTTGACCCTATTCGTGATATCTATGAGGTACATTAGACGATTTGAACGAATAACCGGGCAATGCTGATACATATCTTCAACAGGCATTCACGATATATACCTTTTTTCAGCTGCTGATCAACTTCCTTGGGGGTGAGCGAGCACTCATTATTATGGCTCATGGCCGACCACCAGTATCGCATGCCTGGCCACTCAACCACTTCCTCCCGAAAGTCGATATCTCTGACCCGCATACCTTCCTGGCTGTCAAGCGCGGCATTCTCCAATATGCCTGGTTGAAGCCTGTTCTCGCTTTAGCTTCCATTGTGATGAAAGCAACGGATACATACCATGAGGGGTTCCTGGATATCAAGTCGGGCTATTTGTGGACCGGCATCATATATAACGTCAGCGTCACCCTCAGTTTATATTCTCTTGCGTTATTCTGGGTGTGTATGCACGACGACCTTTTACCATTTCGCCCTATCCCTAAATTCCTCTGTGTCAAACTGATTATCTTTGCTTCGTACTGGCAAGGATTCTTCTTGTCCATTTTGCAGTGGCTAGGGGCTCTTGGAAATGGCGTGGCGGGGTATACCCCAGATAATCTTGCGGCTGCGATCCAAGACAGTTTGCTCTGTTTTGAAATGCCCTTTTTTGCACTTGCACATTGGTATGCCTTCTCGTGGCACGATTATGCAGACCCCACTGTCTCAGCCGCACGGATGCCCGTGAAGTATGCCTTGCGAGACGCATTTGGACCCCTGGATCTCATCGAGGACACGAAGATCACCCTCCGTGGAGAGAATTATGGCTACCGAATCTTCGACTCGGGCGATAATATAATTGCTCATGAGGAGTCTGAATCACGGGTCAAGCGAGTGATGGAAGGCATGCGGTATGAACGGGGAGGCAAGGCCAAATACTGGATTCCAAAACCAGGTGAGGCCAGCAGACCTGGAGAGTCTGATAGTCGCACGCCACTTCTGGCTGGCGGCGACTCCAGTTCGCGTGTTCGCAGCGAGCGCGGTAGTCGTAGTTCCGCGGGCCGATACCAATCCTACAGCGAGATTGAAGTTACCTTAGACGACGATGATGAACATCTATTCACCAATGCACGGGCACTAGAGTTTGGTGATTGGAATGTAAGTCACCGTTGAGCTGTTCTTGTTTCTCGGGACATTAATTGAACCATTTTTTAGTACCCGGTCATCACCGCCAACGAAATTCCCCGAGACCAACGGCTACCTATAACCAGGGGCTACCAAGAGTCTCAATCTTCTCACATGGGAGGCCATGTCAAAAAGTCCCGCTCTCACCGCAAAGGCCGAGCGTCGGGCAGCGAAGGCGGGCGAGATCCCAATGCCTCACGCAAGTCAAGCAAAAGCTCCAGTGGACCAAGTCCCTTGCAGCGCAACGCCAGCTCCACGAGCTCCCACCAGTCACAGCGGAGCCAGCTTGTTGACCTCGTGGTGGAGAATGAAGAAGCAGAGGAAGAAGAACGAGCTCAGTTACAGCGCGAAACGGGATCTGCATGGACGGGAGCCGATGCTCGACGCTTCTCGTAAGTTTCACCCAATGAATTCTTATTTTATTTCGCGCCCTGAGAAGTAATATGCAATTAACCCTGTCTCCTACGATCTAGAAGACCATCCGGACAGCCAATCGAAGAAGAGGCTGAGCCCGAAGCCCCGGCCCAAAACACCCCAACCCAACGAACCCAAGATGAACCAGCCACTACGCGATGGGCCTACGCTGCTTTGGATGATGATAATGTGTGGGGCAAATAAATCGCACTCCCCTTTGTTTTTTCGGGGTTTATCTTTTGATATCTTTGAGGATTTAAAATCTCCTCGATCCTGGGAACTGATTCGTTCTTAGTGCATTGTAGTTTGTCTCGCACTCGATCAGAGGCTTTTTATCTAAACCATACACGAAATTAAACTCAATGAATGAACCAATTGTAATGCTCTCCTCCTAAGACGCACCAAAACCACCTGAGTACGCATTGTTTCTTTGTGTAGGGGTCTCAAACACGAGGTACGGGAACAGCCAACGCAGCATGGTTCTCATACGCGCCCAAAAGTGTGACAACCCCACTATCATACATATAGACAAAGCTACTCCGTCCTAACAGACAATGATAAGCACAAAGTTGTGACATCTCCACTCCAGTCCAACGAATAGTATCTCTAAATTTACTCCACACAGACGATCCTCGCCATTCAATTCATTTGACCCGTCCTGCTGAGAACAACACGCTAGGATGACTTGCTCTCTCTGGTTTAGTTCCAGTTCTTAGCGGCACACCGTCTCACCCCTCGTCCCTGACAAGTCAAGAAGGCTACTGCGCACGGGCATTAGGCTGAGGATCCTTATAGGAGAAAAGTGGGTGAAAGAGGGCTGGTCGGGTTCTCGTACGACTGTTCTATTATTATTCGTACCAATGTACCTTTTCTTAGTCTATCTGTAGCGTAGAGGTTCTTGGACTTTCTTTCACTTCTCCTTCCCTGTTGTCCCCACGTCCCTTTCTTCCCATCCCACCTTCAGGAAAGGTGATGGATTAACTCAATACACGCGCTGGTCGCCATGACGGCTGTTCATAAAGCGGGGTCGCTTTTGACCGGTTGGATGCGCTCGTGCTGGTCATGTTTATCGCCAGACGAAGAGACCCGGGAAGCTCACGATGCCCCGCGAGCGCACGACCAAGGTAGGCACCCATCAAGACTGAAATGTAACAATGGATGAAAAGGAGATATACTCACTTTGTCTTTCTCCATATAAAGGTGTCAAACGCGACATGCAAGTATGCCATACACAACCGCATCTGGTCCCTCCTATGAAACTGGTTGTATACGATGACCTACCAAGCCCACGCATAAACCACACGCGAAACTCGCTGTCGCTGTCTTCATGGCTGGAGGAAGGTCGCAACCTTGCTGAGAGAGCGTCAAACCGTGCAAGTATGACAATTTCTCGGAAAAGACATACCACTACGCCGTTGAAGATCAGTGGCCCAGCGGATTTCCGCAGAGTTCAATCATTTCATCAACCCTCTCCTTTGAAATACGAGCCATTAGAGCTGAGCATCTATCGGTCGGGTAAAAGGTTATCAGACCTACCCTCATTTGAATCATTCCAGTTCCAAGGTGGGCAGCAACGCCAAACGTTAGCCATTCCGCCTCGAGCTCTATCTTCGCCTAAAACGACTCATCGACGATGCGTGTCAACTGCATCTGGATTCTCTGTGTCTCGCAAGCCTGTCGGATCAGGGGATAACCGTCGCTCTCTGGGTAATATTGAACTCTCCATTGAGCGCCGTGAGCCAGTTCGTATACCAAGCTCTTTGATTCCGCACTTCTCTGTTGTAAAACCGGTCCAGGTGAACGTAACAGACGCTCCCCTTCCTATACGATCTGTTTCGATATATCCTGTAGAGGATGTAACAGCATTGTGGAAGGATAGTATGCTCACGTTGGACACTAATGTATCAACTGAGCACGTGCACGATTTTGATTCACCACAGCTTGTGGAACCAATCCTTCGAACTCCAGTAACCAGGAATGAGTCAGGAAAAGAGGACGCGGAAGAGCAGCAATCTCCAGTTGAGTCATCGTGGCTCAAAGACTCCCCTTCAACTTGCAGCTCTCGCACCTTCCCCTCCCGACTGTCCTCATTGCGTCGTCCTTCTTTCACTCCAACTGATAACCGCAAGACTATCGCTTCGGTACCTCTCCCAAGCCGCCTATCGGACTGGTTCTTCCCAGAGAAAGCCAAAGATACATCGCCCAGACAAGTTTCGCTCACTGGGGAGAAGGGCTTCGAATGGGAGCGCACTCGTACGCTGAGCGATACGACCGTTGCCTCGACTATCACCACAGTCACTGCGGGGACTAAATCACGAAACCTGAATGCCTCTATTTCGAGCTCGTGCACCGGTGCTTCTACATTGCAACTGTCCCTGCATAGACCATCTCTAAGTAAAGACAAGGATATCGAGACACCCATCTACCATCCAACAATCTATGAAGGTCGACCTCAGCACAATACGTTCTCTCATCACCGTCATGATGATCCGGCTCTATTACAGGAGGCTACTATCGGAGTAGCCTTCTAATCGATAATCTCGTGATTGGAGGTAGTAATCTCTTCCTAGACTCTGCTGGTCTATATTGACCTCATTGATACGGACGTCAGACCTAGTTGTGTATCTCATTCTCATTCCGCTATAACCTTGTTTTCTTTTCACTCTGCATTTTTGTCGTTGCTTTCTAAATACCCCTTTGATTTGATATCAAATCCCGGAATTTTGCCTGTTTACTTCTTGCTTCTTGCTCGGACTACCAATAATGAGTCTCGTCAATGGGCGGTACCTTTTGCTGGGCGGTTTTATGAGGTCTTTTTGCTGCTTTTCAGTTTCGTACATCCAATATATCACATTGGATAGCCCAGTTATAACCAACCCAATTAATTGAAGAGCTCTACATTTTGCTTCCCTGAATAGTAGATACTATCATTCAACTCCAAATGCAATACCTGGACAGGCCCATACATTTACATATCCACTAGCATAGGTATCTACTCATGTACCTAATTATGTAAGATAACAGTTATAACTAGTTAGTAAAATTAGAAAGCCTAGGTAGGTACTATATGCAGCGCTCTATTGGTTGTTGGCTTTTCTTTAGGTTTATACATGCAGCATAGCATTGGGAGTATCATGGCAGCGCTTGTAAGCACTTTATCCCCGAAGTCTCAGAATCATTGAATTTACGCTCAGAGCTTTGCCGAACTGTTGAGCCGAGAGAGATGTTTACCGTGTTGAAAGTAGACCAAGGATTTCAAGGGGAAACATAATATTTGAATGGTTTTAGGTATCAATTTCTCGATGAGATGTATTCCAGCACCAATTAACATAATAATATCTATGTGTAGCGTGCATTTATCAACTGCAAACCTCATAACAAATGCTGTGGCAGCGAGTCTAGCCAAAGGCCCACAGACTCTAATGTCTCATCAAGCCGTAGATAATAACAATTCTATGAACAAATAGTGAAATCGTCAAAGGTATCGTAGAAGAAGTGAATAAAGCCATGATCTCTCATGGCTTGAAAACCTCAGGGAAATGCACCCGTAGTTCCTCAAGGCTGGAGACCAGATACTTCGACGCCGGAATACGTGGGATTTCAACGCCGGGCTCCACAAGGTGAACGGTCGCCCAGCCTCGAGCCTCAGCATGTTTACAATTGAGATATGAGTCATCTGTGCAATAAGAAGGTCAATTCTCGGTCCAAATATTCGATTACCACCTCATGAAGACGTGGCGATGTGCATGAAAACATACCAACGAAGTAGCACGACTCAGTACTTGGTGCGCCGGCCTCTTTCTCTGCCTTGGCATACATGTCTTGGCTGGGTTTACAAACCAGCGGCAGCTGTGCATAGTCGCAGAAGGTCACGCCCTCAAACAAATCCTCGATTCCCAATAGTTTGACCACCTTCTTTGCATGATTGACATAAGCATTGGTGAGCAGCCAAGGCTTGACCTTGCTAGTGTCCAATGCCTCCAACAGCTTGCGCAACTTCGGGTTCGGTTCCAGAATCCGTTCAAGGGGAAGCGCGTCGTCCACCTCGTAGTTAAACTCGAGGGGATCAATCTTGTGATGGCGAGTCAGGCCTTCGATGGCAAGACCATACTCCTTGTAGTATTTCTGGTGAAGCATATGGGCATCTTCGGAGGTGAGATCAAGGTGCTTGACGAAGAATTTATCTAAAATATTGAGTAATGCGGTTAATTAAAATTCGTCCACGAATTGTAGGCATATGACTCACTGATCAACGTTTGCATCTCATCATGGATATTGCATTCTGTAAGAGAGATCAGTCCTGTTCAATTTGAATCGCATCGTGGTCGCAGTGGTACTTTTAGAGTAAAGCTAATTGACACAAGTTGAGAGTAAGCCAAAATACCCATAAAAGTGTGCAAAGCTCCATGGTCAAGTCCTCGTTATACGTACACAATTGTCAATGTCGAAGAAGAACACTGGTCGTGAGTCACCCCGTGTACCGTTGGCCGTCATTGTTGAGTGTTTACTTTTTCGGTGGAGAAATTGAGGTGCATTCGAGGAAAAGACAGAAGAAGGACGAAGAAATTGGCGACCTGTCGAACCAAAAAGCGCGCGATGCATGGAGAAGGAAAAGAATGCGTCGCAAAGTAGAAAGATGGCGGTTATGACGAGTTATCATTGGCAGCGCGGAGAACATCCCGCGTTACCTAATCCGCCCTAGCGTGAAAACCGCATCGTCGTCACTTTTTTCTGTTTTTGTTCTCCAACCCCATTCTTGCGGTCTGACCAAGTATCCAAGTATCTGAGCTTAAATCAGCTTTGAGCTACTCGGATAACTAGTACCCAAGAGGGATCTGAGAATATTTTCTCATTAGTGGATACTATCTCTCCCCTTACCCCCCAAAAGCAGCCACTGCTTTAAGCTTCATCTTGATCCCTTTCCCCAAAGATTCCCCTTGGATCATGGCGGCAACTAATGGGACTACAACTCACCTTACAGCAGGACCTACAATGTCTTCTGCATCAATTACAGCTGAAGAAGTGCAAGAATATGAGAGAATTTTGAAAATCAGCGAGGAGATCTTTTCAGGATCACACCCGCGTCTCAAGGTCCCCCAGAAGTTTGTGCGCAAACCGAAGACTCAATCAGGGCAAGCTAGTCCGTTGCCCCAGCAGGTAGCGAAAAACAAACCTGCAGGTACAGAGCCTACAGCTCGACTTGAAACCTCGCGCAAAACCAATAGCACCCAAGCATTCGCGGTCGAATACGCGCCCAGTCCCGCCTCCACGAATACAGCTCCTGACGCCCGCGTGCCCTTCAAACCTGCCTCTAGCATCGATCCCATATTTTTGACGAAATCGGATGATCTTGTGAAAGCAGAACTTCAATTACAACGGCAGCGAGTGGAAAGGACGTTGCGTGATCAGTTGGAACAGCGAAAACAAGATGGCAAGCAAAAGCCCAACATTCAAGACATTAAACCCGAGTTTGATGTCTCGGATGTGTTGAACAAAGCTTTTGACATCGTGAAACCTGTCTCACTCAGTGATCCATCTGAGATTAACGCGGCAGACTCATTTGATGAGAATTCCTACTACTCCAGTAAAGCGCCTGATTCGCCGCCTCTTGCCGGTGAACACCAAAACCTGTCTCCTGTCATTCCGACTGGACCATCGGGGGCCTCAACAGGACCTCCAGTAGAGCATTATGCAGATGAGTTGCAGCGGCTTGAAGCTCTGAACAAAACTGGATCTGATCAGGAAATGCCAGATGCTTACCCTGTTGCTGACCAGCGCATTTCCCATCCCCAGAACCAGCTGCACCCCAATCAAACAGAAGCAGCTCGTCGATTTCACGAAGCCCAAGAGGTTGAAATTGTGGATGAGCCGGAATATTCCCCGCCCGCCCCGGCAGCACCGCCCGTTGATCACAGAGTTTATGAGCAAGTACCTGCAAACAGTCAAGGCAAACCCAGATACCTTGAACGCCCACCAGATACCCCTTACTATTCACCTGGAAGCAACGTCACAGTAGTCAGAAACCATATCACCTCCCCAGCAGCTCCTCGTCCTTCGCGCGTCTCTCCCCTAGCCACATCGAAGGTGGCTCCGATTCAAGTTCGGGATGATCGATATGAACCAGGCTTGGGCAGAATTGATTCCGATCCGGAGTCCGGCCGTGCTAGCCCCAGTGGTCCTGCACCCCAGGTTGTTTCTCGCAAAAGAAGACGGCTGCAGGAGAAAGGACGCAACGCCCGTGTGTCTTACAAGAGACAGAATGCTGATCACTCTGATACCTACATCAAGGAAGAGCCAGTCTCTCCACCCCCATTTACCGATGACCCTGCCGTTGTGCGAACCCGACAACCCCAGCAACAGCCTGTTTACATCGACATTGAATCCCCACGTTACTCACCTGTTCCGGGACGACGCGAGCCAGCCAGTCGAGCACCAATTTACGAAATCAATCCATATCATGAGATCCCCGCTGGGCAACTGCCGTCAAGAACAATTTCTCGAGTAGAAGCAAGACATCCAGTCCGTGATGAAACCGAGATTCGCCGAGTCACCAGTATGCAGTATGCGCGGCAACCTGAATATCCTCAAGAATACGTTGAGCATGATCCTCATGCTGGTCGATCCGCCTCATACGCTGTCGTTGAAAGGCGACAACCGGAGCAACCCAGGTACTACGAGGAGCTTTCTTCTTATGGGCCACGGTACATTCAAGTGAATGAGCCATCGCAGCCAGCCTATGGAAGTCAATATTATGAAGCACCTCAACCTGCACGCGTCATGCCTCCACCTCCTCCACCCCAACCTCAACGCCGATATGTCGTTGATGAGCATGGCAACGAGTATGAAATTGTTCCATCTCGACGGGGACAAACCATGGCGCCACCTTCTCGTCCAACATCCAGAGCTCATGTTCCACAACCTGAAATTTACGATGATCGACCTGTCCGTACCGCGAGCGTCCGCGCACCATCTGTTGTTCAAGATCCATACGTTGAGCGCCGCTACATACAAGAGATGCCACCTCCCCAACCTGTCTACAGACGTGTTACTTCTGATTATGCTCGTCCTGTTGCTGGTGAAAGACCACCATACGCCGCTCCTTTAGAAGCTCATGAACCCTTTCCTCGATCCGCCAGTGTCCAGGTTGCAGAATATCTCCCCCGTCGCCAGGCCTACGTAGAAGAGCACACCATTCCCCAGGAAAGGGTGATTCGGACTGCTAGTGTCCGTCCTCAGCCTCAACAAAGATATGAAGAGCCACATGAAGTCGTTCAGCGAGTCGGTGATACCCGTCCCGCTGGGCATGGTCGCGAGGTGAGTGTTTACATGGACGAAAGATCTATGGGTGACTATGTTGAACGCCCTTATTATGTCCGCGAACGACGATACTTCGAAGATGAAAATAGCATGGCGTTGGATGGAAACAGTGAGCAACCTGTGCATCGTGTTTCTCAGCATTACTAAGGCGCTTTGACTTTGATAATTCCACCTGCATTTGCATCCGGCGTGCTTGATTACCCCTTATAATGCATGTAATGTTGAATTCCTTGAAACTACATAAATTATCATAGCATAATAACCTCTGAATCAATTCAACTATCACGATTAAAGAAGGATCCGTAGTAAATACCTAGCATCAACCTAATTACTTATGAGACGATTGACGGCGCTTCAGAAAGAGCCCAATTCGTCACAGCATTAAAGGTGTCTCTTCCTCGCACTCGTATCGGCTATCCTTGTATTTCTTTTTATCGTGCTAGAGACTTCATTAGCACTCACATACTGAATAAATATATGAATCAAACATGTGACAAGTATAATTTCAATCAGATATCCCCGGAATTTCGACAAGGTAATTTCTGAATTGGTTTGTATATATCCATCATCCTAGAGAATCCATTCAACGACCACTTAGTTACCTTGAAAGGGAACAACTCACGTTAAACAGAATTAAAAGCTTGACATGTGTAGAGCAGATGTCCATTCGCAGCAATACTTCATGGCGATCAACTGCAGTATCTAGACTAGCTTAAGTCCGATTCCAGGTGCTCGGTTAACTCGCGATTCTTTTTCAGCAGGGCTTCCCAATAGTTTGCCGAACTAGAATGCGTAATAAACTTTGTAGTGGGGACGGAGGGGAGATGGAGCACTTGGCGATAAGTTTTATTGGCTGGGCATACCTCAAGATTCCCTAGGGGGGTCTCTCTTGTTAATTCTGAGCCAATCAAGCTGAGTTAGATAGAAACAAATGCTTGACTAAATCCAATGACCGATCGGGGACTCCAAGCATAACTCCGAGAGTGGCTGACTTGACAAAACTAGTGACTCGTCGCTGATCAATATTGCAATTTCTCTTTTTTGATCTGCGAATCTTGCCAATCCAAACACATTTTGACACGTCTTTGATTTTTCTGACGTCAAATGATTCATTGTTCATTCAATTGGATTGAATCGTCTTTTTTTATAATCAAAAAAGAAGCAGGGAAGGTGATTCTTCGCCATACGCGCTTGGCCAAAGCATCAATATGGGGATACTCAATGTACAGGGCGAAAGCCTTCAGCGCATGATTGCTGTTCTTGGCGCGGTCGCGTTCTTGATTCAAGGGTACAATCAATCTGTTATGAATGGCTTCACGACATTGCCTAGTTTTATCGCTGCTATTCCAGAAGTCGACACGATTAACACCACGGGCGCGCAGGCGTCTCATAACTCCTTGATTCTAGGTGAGTCATGCATTCAAGATCTTTCTTTCTAATTGACTGAAACTGATTTCGTAGGACTTGTGGTGGCTATTTTTGAACTTGGATCTGCTATTGGTGCTCTCTCCTGCCTCGTCATTGGTGATAGACTTGGTCGTCCCAGGACAATGTTGGTAGCTGGATGTACTTGTGTCGTCGGTGTCATCATCCAAGCGTCTACCTACTCCCTTGCGCAAATTCTCGTTGGAAGAATCGTCACTGGTATGTGTCATCATGCGCCTTTCTACACAATACCAAGCTAATTCAATGGCCTAGGCCTCGGCATTGGTATGTACACTGGAACTGTCCCCATGTACGTGAGTGAGACAGCCAGTGCCCAGAAGCGCGGACAACTTGTACTAGTAGAAGGTGTATTTGCTCTAAGTGGTCTCGCTGTTGCATCATGGGTCAATTTCGGCATGTTCCATACGACAGGTTCAGTTAGCTGGAGATTCCCCATTGCTCTTCAACTGGTTTTTCTCGCTATTATTCTTTCACTTACCCCATGGCTACCCGAGTCTCCTCGATATTTGATCAAGAAGGGCAGGAACGAAGAAGCTATCGCAATCATGGCCAGACTTATGGGCCTCTCAGAGACAGACGATGAGGTTACAAAGGAGATTACTGTTATCCAATCTGCTCTTGAGAGAGATGCTGGACACCGAGAAAAAAATTCCGCCAACCCATTCTCTATGAACGAAAACAGACACCTTCATCGACTCTTGCTCGCGGCAGGCGGTACCATGATGACACAAATGAGCGGTATCAACGTGATCGCCGGATACTCTACTTCCATCTTCGAAGGTACCCTCGGCTACTCCGGCAGCGATGCCAGAATCTTCTCCGCTTGTCTGCAGATTGCTCTAGCACTGGGTGGACTAACAGCAATTTTCCTCGTGGACCGAGTTGGCCGTCGGCCAATGATGATTTTCTCCTTAGCCTCCATGGTTATAGCCCAGTCAGCCGTTGCAGGCCTCACATCTCACATGACAGCATCAACCGGCAAAGGAGCAGTATTCTTCTATTTCTTCGCCGAGTACTTCCTCCCGATTGGTATGTTCATCATGCCATTCATGTATGGGTCCGAGATCGCGCCCTTGTCCATTCGCCATATCGTTGCGTCCACAACCGCCGTATCTAGCTGGCTCTTTAACTTTATGGTGGCCGAGGTCACTCTCGTTGCATTCGACAATATTGGCTGGAAGTATAATATTGTTTATGCTGTCACCAGCGCTGCAGGCTGTGTTGTCATTTATCTGTTCTATCCTGAGACTCGTGGAAGATCACTCGAGGAGATCGATGAGATTTTCCTGCAATCCAAATCGATCTTCGATCCTGTACGAGTGGCTAAAAAGCTTCCTATTGGCTTTGATGTTTTGAATACCATTGAAACTTCCACAAAGGAGGCCTCGCAACGTGATGAGGTGGCTTGATCATGACTGATGTCTATTATAATCACAATTATAATCACAGCTGGTGATACGAGATTCTACGATTAATATAGAATGCATTTATATAATTCAACAATATAATACTTTGGACTTGAAAAAGGATACAGATGCGTTTTCTTCAAGCTTTATAACTCCAGTTCTCCACGGCTCAGTATTCTATATCTATATAAATGCTAGAAAAGTGTCCAGGATTATGCCATTATAGGCGACAAAATTTATAGAAAACCGGCCATATAGATGACCAAGAGACCGCACTGTCATGCACCGCTTCACAGGCCAATGGCCAGGGCCAGAACACCAACAGCGCCAGCAACACCGACCGCAACACCTCCAGTAGAGCGAGGAGCACCGGCAGTAGACTGGGAAGAAGTAGCCTCGGCTGAAGTAGAGCCGGTAGTGGCAGTGGAGCTAGTAGCGGCAGCCGAGCCAGTTCCACTAGTAACTACGACAGAAGAGGTGCTGGCAGCAGCAGAATCAGATGCAGTAGCTAGAATCTCACTGGAGAGAGTGGGTGAGGCAGTGGCAACATCATCCTCAAACGCCGTGGTAGCCCAGGCCTTGACGTTGTTGGGCAGTGAGCTGTACCAAGCTGGGAAATTGCCAGCGTTGATGTCGCTCAGGATCGAGGAGCTCGATGCTGGGTCCATCATGTCCATGTAAAAGGATGAAGGAATGGCGGTCGCTAGAACGGAGCGGATAGAGGTGGGTGGGTTCAAGTAGTCGAGTAAAAGAGAGTTATAGTCTGAAGTATCAAGATTGTAGACATCGGAGTCGGACTCGGTGTTGGCTGGGCTTGGGGCAGCCAAGGCCGTTGCGACGATGGCGGCAGTGGTGATAAGTTTGTACTGCATGATGATAGGTATGAACGAGTGACGATTAAGGAGTGACTTGCAGTGAAAAAATATGGTCTTGAAAGGCAGTAAACAGGACTTATAAGAGCTTTTCAGGGTCAGAAGCTAATTTTGGTCTACACCTGGCCCAGGCCAATACCAAGGCTAGGCAACTTTAATCTGAGACCTGGATATTTGCTTATCTGGAGCTTCCTCTTTTGGCTTTGCAAACCTTCCAAGGTTGTAATCTCAAGATCCAAGCCTCCACCTGCTCAATTCAAGTTGTTTGTTGGTTTTTTTTTCTCAATATGTGGATATTTATTCATTCATTTCTTTGTTTTGATGGGTCTACCCATGAAATATATCATGATTAGCTCTCAACGGCATTCAAGATAAACTTCCAAAGGCAACCAAATACCCAGAAATCAAATGCCAAGTAGAGAACCCCATTTGAGTGACTTCAGGGTTTGGAGCCGCCAATGGCAATTCGGCGTGGGTGGGGCGCGATATAACCTAAGTGGCCCAATGTCTCACTGCCCAGGAGCCGCAGCAGATACTATATTCAAACGGTTCCCTTAAGGGTCCAAATGATAGAGTTTAAAAATCTATAGCCGGCTTGGAGGCTCGAGAGGCCAGATGTAAATGGACTTGTGATTTTGAAATGTCTATTAGCAACCTGGTTCCCACTCGGAGGAAGACTTGGTCTTCTAGGAGTCTCCTTTGTGGGAAATCTACTACCGCTCACCAAACAATTAATCGTATTAGAACATACCAACGAACATGAAATACGATCGTGTTTCTTTCTCCTCTATAATAATGATTTGCAATATGATGATCTACCACACTCTAAGTAATAGAGATTGCTCCGAAAAGAAAAAGGTATATTCTAAAAATGATCATCCAAGTGGAGCCATTGTCCACAAAAAGCCAACTGGGAGCAGCCAGTTACTACTAGTACTACTATTTTATAGGACCCCTGACAATCTCGAAAGCAAGTGCAAAATTATTCTACAGTCAAGCGGGCATTGCAAATATAATATATGTTCTCTCTCTCTCTCTCTCTTTCTCTCCCTTAATCGGGAGGAACTTCGGTGCTCACCAGATATTAATTAGATGTTAGTACTACATGAGGTATGATGAAGAGCCTCCTCTTACATACGACCATAGGGTGTGGAGAACAGAGCTTCCCGTCCGCTCAGCCGTACCTAAGCTACACTTAGATAATGGTTAATTCTAAATTTCTAAAAGAATAATAGTATAGAGAAGGGCCGAGCCAAAATAAGCTTTTTTGAATTCAGCCTTATTCTATGATCTATTGATCTGAGTTGCTTTGGAATATCAAAAGTAAAAAGCATAATTCTGACATTCAAAAGTGTATTGTCGCCATACTCAAATGCAAAGTGGCTATATCCAGAGGTCCGATTTCTGACCGCGGGGAAATTACCCTCGGAAGGATTCCGTAGAAATGGAGAGCTCGGGTTGCGGGGGCATCGCTTGTTCATTGTTATTCCCGATTCTTTTGTGAATCCCCACAAACTTAAACATATTCCAGTTATCGTGACTCGAGATCAAGAATTTCATCGGTCTGCATACAAAAAGCTGCATACCCAAAACCATTATGACGTCCAAGCCCACAGAATCCCCTTCACTCTATCCAGGGGAAATTCTCGACACCATCGCCGGATTTCCCGCAATATACCATTTCCAGCCCGCCGTAAAACAAGATGAGAACCCCGAGAAGACCACACCATTAGTGGTGTGTATCCCAGGGTCCATGCATTTGGCCCGAATCTTCTACGGGGGGCACAAGGGATCAAAAGAGAGCGATTTCCTAGCACATCACCTCAGCAACTTTGGCTTCAACGTTGTATCACTCTCATACCCAGTGGAATCTAGTCCTGAGATCATGCCAACGACAGGTCCACACTTCCGAATTCAAGATTGGGGTCATCAAGCAGCAACGATAGCCAAAAAGGCGATTGAGGACAATTCCTTGACGACGCGATCTATCATCCTTATAGGATGGAGCATGGCCGGCCGAGTGGTTGTACCATTCAACAAAGCAGCGAAGAGTCTGGATCTGAACGTTGAACAATTCATCAGTTTCGCTGCTACTCCCGGCATTTCCAACATACGCAATCCAGCTCCGGGAATGGACTGCAGCAAAGCAGGATATTTTTGCATTCCAACTCGGATTGGTAACTTCTATCAACAAATTGAAGCGATGGCAGGATTCAACGACAACAAAGTTGCTATTCCACGCGATATCTTTCTCCGTGAATATGTCGGGGGTACGCCGATCAATTTAACAGGAGTGAGGCTGAAATACGACGGGCAAGGGGCTTTCATCCAGGATGAAGTGACTCATGAAGAAGATACAGAAGTCTTCGATATTGGCAATATCCCTTTCATAACAGCCTTGTATCCGAATAGTATTCTCGATGCTAGTCATTCCCTTGCAGACCGTGCGACCTGGGGCTTTTTTCTTACATATCAATTGGAGGCGATGATCGGGAAAGAGGGATTTGAAAATTTGAAAGGGACAGTTAAATGGCAGAATCTGTTGGATTTTGTTCACTCTGCTCCTGAGAGACTTTGTTTATCTGTTGAAGGTAGCCATTTCTTCTTTGTTGGAGAAAGTTCTGCCCGGCAAGTAGCAGATAAGGTTGTTAGACTCTTTCGCGATTCAAAGGAATTCCAAAAAGAGCTGTTTGAAATGATAATGTAGAATAATTATAATAATTAGAGAGATAAAAGATTTCTATCCAAATCCCAATCACTTCAAGTATCCGTTTTAAAAAAAAACATCAAAGTCAAAATTTCTGATTCCTGGTCTCCTCAAGGTTCAATGGATAATCATGCCAGCCTGTCCTTGGCAAACATGATCATCAATACGAATACGCCCCTTTCAACACCTTAGCAGTGAACTCATCCGCCTCCAGCTATTTGCCTAGCTCAACCCATATACCATGGCATCACTAATTATACCTTTACGTCTTGTCAAGAAGTTGACTTTCAGCTCGGCAAGATCAAAAGTTCAACAATTCTTTGATGAAACCACCAGAAGTAATCACGTCAATCGAGTACCCTGAAAATACAACTAACGCACATTCTTTCTAAAGCCTCACTGTATTCAGATCTCGAACAATATCTTCATCCGTCAAAGAGATATTTGCCGAAGTTCGAGATCGATCGCCTATTGGAAATATTCGAGGCTTGTGGTGCCGAGAATGCGTCTAATCAGCAATGTACGCCCAACCCTTTACATGTAGCCTAGCCCAAAGCTTACAAATATAGGTTGGAATGAAGAGAGCTTCTCAAAGTATCTTGGAATAAAGCATCCCGAAATTGCCATTTCCAAAGACCTGGTACATCTTCTCTGGAAAATATTCCAATACTACGCGCATCATCCATTTGCACCTAAGTCATCTGAAGAGACGATCGATGCAAATGGCTTCAGACGTGCTATTCTACTTCTGCATCTTCGACGCACTGAGCATTTGGGCACATTAAAGCACTACTACCACTGGAATATGGAAAATGATTGTATCATGAATAGAAACGTTGAGAGAATATTCCGAATAATGGGGCAACCATACATTACTACCAACCTGAACGACGTGATGGATGCTTTAGCCAGTATACAACCTACTATCTCATATTGTGAGCTTCCATCGCGCGAGCAGGTAAAATCAACTGCACGCAGACTTATAGGCGAAGAGCCCATTCAGCCGTCCTTTCAGGTAGCTCGCAAAGACATCTCAAGTCTCATGTCTTTGCTACTAAGATTGAAGGTCAGCAATAAAAAGTCTAGGACATTCTTATACCAAGGCAACATTGAACCTGCGGATTCCACATATGATGAAATGGCAGAAATCTTGGTAAACAAGATTATCGGACGCGAGATAGATTTCCTGCAATCAGACCAGATACATCAAGTCTTGGCTTCTGTGGTATACTTCAACCCCTTGTATTTTCAGACAAAGACAGGACTAATGACCACAGCCGAACTTTTATGGACGTTTCCAACTTCTTTGGGCTGTCCTATTTCAATTATGGCCGGGATCCGAGATACAGAAATCATCCAAACTTCCAGAATCTGTGCCTAACAATATCCTTGGGGTTTTGTCTCTGATGCTTCTTCCAGCACATTTCAACTGGAGCAATCGGCGTAATGTTGAACCATGGGTTTGGGAGACTAAAGCCGAGGATCTCACGAACCCAAATGATATAAACGACGCATATTTGATCGAGTGTCTTGTGAAAATTGCAAGTCCACGATTGATGCTATTCACGAGTAATGAAGCATTAAGTTCACCCCAGGTAATTTGGGGAATTTATTTCGTTGGTCCCCTTTGGGTTAATTCAAGCTCGGGAGATCAGTGTCTGGACTTGAAAACCACTACAGCGCATTATATCTTTCAAATAAAGCCTGAGTTCCGTTGGATAAAGGGTATGGATTCTAAAACCCCACTTACGATAATGAAGAGTGACGGAAGTACTTCATCTGAGGAATTTGAGCAGAAATGCCAATCTTGGAAATCAGACGTGAAAGGGGGCAGCGATTGGCCAAGTCAAAAAGCCCAAGGAATACACGCGCGGTTTGATTTAAAAGCTAAATCTGTCTTATTAGTCGATGGATCTTGTGACGAGAAGAATGCGCGAAGACAGGCAGCTTTTCCAGACGACATGTTCTTTGATGGACAGAATGTATCTTCAGAGATGGGATGGGGGGTCTCAGCAGGGTTTGATACCATTCAAGTACTCAGTATTCCTGGCGGAGGTGATTTGCAGGACGGGCTTTTAAAGAGAAATGACCCGCGGTATACATTAAATACCCAAAGATCAACAGTCAGTTATGAGGAGATCAAGTCAAGGATACAGGGTTTTGGGTCCATCTCCAAGGTTGAGAGCTGAAGGTATTGGAGCTTTTGTCTGGTTGTCATGATATACCTTCCTATTCTTGCAGTTGGTTTTTGAAATGCTTCATTCAATAGAATAACTTGATGATAAGCCCTGGAGCAATATCATCATGGAATTATTGCTAAATATACAATCAAGTACTGCGGACCGTATCCGAGTCCACCCCTTGATGAGGCGCTATCAATCTTAAAATGAGTCATTAGGCCTTCCCAGATGATAGATGGTCTTTGGACCCAATGGGCATCCATATATAAATATAAGATCGCTTCCTCGAACTTTGGAATCAAGATATCATTCCTGGTTTTGTGAAAGAAAAAGAAAATAGATTTGTTGCACGGTCAAAATGGTTCAGGTTAAGCCCTTTGTTATCGATAATTGGGGTGAGGACATACTAGTGGACATATCATTTTGCAATGACTTGAACTAACAATAACATTTCTGCGATAGTCCGCCAGTTTAAGGTATGACACTTCTAGAACGACGGGAATAATGTTGATAATCTAATTCTCTTACAGCATTTAGCCAGCACAACTTTCCATGGTAAGCTTCCAAGCACTTAGTCCTGTATATAGCTAACTCAGCATTATCAGACACATGTGTTCAGCCACTATCCCTACAGGAATTGTCTCAATTTCAAGCTTCCGACTCTTCACTCAGTCCCATCAACAACCTAAACCCATTGAGTTATGGGGCAGTCTTAGGAAACCCCAGTCTTCGGGAGAAGATTCTCTCGCTCTACAGCAAAGATAGCGTTGAGCCGATAGACAAGCTATCTCTTACTGTCACCCAGGGTGCAATTTCTGCCAATTTCTTGGTTCTGGATACCCTTCTGGGACCAGGAGATCATGTTATTTGCCAGTATCCCACATACCAGCAGCTCTACGAGGTACCACGACGAGCAGGCACAGACGTATCGCTCTGGCGAACCAACGAGGAAAAGAAATGGATTCCGAACACCGATGACCTCTCGTCGTTAGTGAAGGAGAATACAAAAATGATCATCATAAAGTAGGTGTCTTCACTACTTATATCATCTTCAAAATTAACCTAGAAATTAGCAATCCCAACAATCCGACCGGGGCATCGATCCCTCTAGCAGTCCTAGAAGAGATCATCTCCTTCGCCGCCCAAAGAAACATAATTGTGTTCAGCGACGAAGTGTTCCGGCCACTTTTCCACGATCAATTTGCAGAGAACCCCCCTTCAATCATGTATTTCGCCGATGTGTACAAGAACATCATTGCGACATCCAGTCTGTCGAAAGCTTACTCACTCCCCGGTATCCGAGTTGGATGGGTAATCACACCCAACCCCGACCTTTTAAACCCCGTGATTCTTGCAAGAGACTACGCCTCTCTCTCCGTCTCACAAGTAGATCAGGATATAGCAACATACGCCCTCGATAAATCGGTACGAAGCAAGATCCTTCAGCGATCACTAGCCATCTGCAAACGCAATATTGATGCACTAGAGCGCTTTATCACATTGCATGCAGATAGATTGCGGTGGATTAAGCCGAGCGGTGCATCTTCGGCATTTGTGCAGGTAATTGATCCGAGGGCCGGCGGACCAGTTGATGATAAACTGTTTTGTGAGAGGATTATTCAAGAATCCGGGCTGTTGATTATTCCGGGTGGACTGGCTTTTGGTACGGAGGGTGAGCTAGACTTTAAGGGGTATATGAGAGTTGGGTTTGTATGTTCTGCTGAGAAATTTGAGCAGGCGCTGGTCATCTGGGGGCAGTGTCTTGGTCAGCTTTAGATTAGCCAAGGCTACGTTAATCACAGATAGGACATGTCGTTTCTTTTTTTCTTTCTCAAATGCGTACTTTGTGTCATCCTTGGCTTTGTTTTTTTTTTGTACATCTGATGGTTTCAAGGTTTGTGGTACCTGAATAGGGTGCTTGTTGTTTCACATTGTTCCCTTTATTAGGTCATTATGATACTGAATTCCTGTTTGCTGCTGCATGCTAAGCTCGGAACCTACATGGTGTCAAGTAGGGTCTACTCGGGGGGCAGAATTAAAGTAATTCATGTTTTTTTCTCTTCAAATCCGCAAGGTAGACAGCTAAATATTTGTGCATACTCCTTTTTAGTGATAATTAATATTTGATGAAAGGTTAAGATGGGCAGAGGCTTGAGGGAAATCTTAGCCGTTGGCATTACATAGATGATCAACACAGAAAATTCGGCGGATATACGACTCCACTGGCAGAAACCAAGTATTGTAGGTGGTATTGGGTGGCGAAAGAGCTCCCTGCATGAAGAAGAGGTCAGTTTCCCAATTGGCCTACCCCACAATGGAGTTTTCCAAACACGAAAAGACAGCATTCACAAAGCTAAGAGATGGACCATTACCATCGGCACGATTAGCTATCGGCGGGTTAAGGTACGGGGATGTCACGACGATCCCCAATGGAAGACACCTGAGCTGGAACAAGAACAGCACCACCTCCACCAACATCACCCGCTGGGGCCAAAAACTGGGGATGCGGCATGGCTGCTGCAGTCAGCTTTCAAAGTGACCTCTTTGGTCCATCCAGTCGGAACTCATTTCGAGGCATCGAGTCTACAAATTGCGTGTGAACGACCCACCACGCCATACGAGAGGATGACGTCGACCATTTTGGGGGTGAGCAAAACCTTGTCGTACATTTCCCCCCGATTCATTTGCTACACAGTAGGTAGGTATTAGTGACTCGTCCCCGGTGGTACAGGAGAAACAGAAACAAAAAAACAACAATGACCTCCATGGCCCACTTTTTGTGTGCGTTGTTGATGTTTTTTTATGTTTCCCACCAAAACAATTGCACGGCCAGCTCGCCTCCGGATGGAGTTCTGCATGCATATTGGGGGTGGGAGCGCGCGCGTCTCTGACCCCTCTCATCCTCCAGGCATCAGCGGCAGGAGTTGCGGCTTCTGACTGCTCCAGATCCACTTAGGCTGAGACCTTGTCCTCCCCCCTCTCAACCTTCCTGTTCTGAGCCCCCAAGAGAGTAGTCCAGAGCGTAAATCAAATCGGTGGCCGTGTCCGGGCCAGCCGGGGCCGGGGGCTTGTCCTATCAGTATAGAGTGGATCGGGGTTAGATACGGTGGTGGTACAGGGCTGCTAGTGCCGCGACCTATAAGAAGCAGGATCGGCTGTATGGCTGCTGTAGGGGACCCGGAAGAGCTCGGATCCTTGTTCTGATTCATTGAGACCGAAAATCTGGATCTGCCATCAGACGTACCAACGGCGACGGTGCCAAAGCCAAGAATTGGGCTCTCAATCCTGTCACGACTGGGTCCCGTGAAGCCCAGAGTGAGGTACTTTTGTTTGTATCTGGGTTTTTGTCGTCTCTCGTACTCAAATCCCGGTTTCTCTGTTTTTCCCCAGGTCATCACGTGACCACGACATCGGATCCTCGTCTGACTATGAATGGAGCTGGACAGGGCTGTAGATTCTATGACAGACTCATTGATACTATACTTTCCCACCATTCAGGCTACTAGGTATATATAAATTCTGGATTTAAGCCAGAAGCCCGGAAGATATTCCCAAGCGCCAAGAGGTCCCTTGCCAGGTCAGTTTCTCGGATCGGCTGCATTCTTTGGCAGCGAGGCAGTGCTGAAATGTGGATGCGTCGAATTCGTATGTACGACTCTCTCCTTTAATGAGAGATCGTCAGGAATCGATAGATCAGGCAATTAGAAAGAATTCCGTGTATTCCATTTTATCAATCTAGGTGTTATTTCCCCTGATGCAAAGTAGGTATAATCTATAATATCCTCCGTATACAACAGGCAGTGTACACATTGTAGAGAGTCCATCTTTACCGTACTGAAATGACCCGCACTCAACGACTGTTTCAATGTTCGATCCCTCCAAAAGCACCTCCCAATTCAATTTGATTTGATTAATTCGGTGTAAAATAATTTGATTTCATGGTTCTTATTCTTTGTTTAACTTTTAATTATCATATTTTCTTCTGTAATTGGTTGTATACATCTTTTTCTTGAGGTCTTGTTGCTTGTATTGTCTGTACCCTATTTTTTCCCTTCTCGATCGATCTTCGTTCCCACCCATTCCCGAAACGCCCACACAGCGGACCATTCCTATCCCTGTCGAGAACCAGTAGGCTTGAATCTCTTCCACTCTCCACCTCACCACCTCCTCCCCCCCAACACCACCCATCCCTTTCCCTCTTAACCCCCAAGTTTCAATAGGGGTGAGAGAGAAAGATTCCCGCAATATCCTTTCTCGGTCATGCACAAGATCTCCAACTTCACGGGCCAAGCCCGTCATGGTTGGGAACGAATGACGCCGACCTTCGGGATGTCTAGACCTCATACCGACATGGCCTTTCGTCGACCACATGGTGCTCCGCCCATGACTCCTCCCACAAGTATCGATCCTACCGTGAATCTGTCGTTCAACATCCCTTTCTCCTCCACCTTGGCCGGCCCCGATGTCGAAGATGTTTTGCATGCCAGTCCCGCCGCCTTGCAACGCTGGACTTTCCCCGAAGGCACACCCGATGGCACTTTTGTTCATCAGCTGCCTGTGCACACGAGTAATGTTGAAGGACTGCAAAGGTTATGCCGACAGGTTACAGAGACCAGTGGAGGCCGTGTGGAAGCCACCGTCACATCGTCAGAGCCGAAAGCTGTGCCGTCGCTACAACGGCGACCTAACGGTTTGGTGACCAATGTCTGCGTGACTGGCGACGGCGAAACGGCGCGTAAGATGCGTGCAAAGATTTTGAATGATACCCCCATTATGCTGGTACGTCAGTGAAAGCAATTTTTTCTTCTTTCTCCCTCTGAACCACATCGGTGGGCGCTGCGTCAAGAAGGACGAAAATTTGGAAATTTTTCAAGGACCGTCTCAACTTTGCTAACTCTTACGTTTTTTTGTCTCTCAATAGCGATGTGCGACCGTCGACGTGGATATGCATTTAATAGTGGATGGTTCGCCGAAAGGAATTCGAGCTAGTGTTCTGGAACACATGGACACTCTTGCCGCCTACACCGGAACCGATATTTTCCTGTTAACACCCAAGCTACACGATGCGGACAGTGCCGTCGTCTCATCCTATGGCTATGCGTCTGATAATGGCCTGGACCAACGCTTCCGAGTTGCTATTTACGGTGACATGGAAAGCTCGGAACATGCCAAGACTCGGATTCTGATCATGATCGATCAAATTGTGCGTTTACCCCCAATCCCTTCGGGTGGATCTCAGATCAATCGGCTAACAAACACATAGCTCAGACGCCATGTCGACGCTATCAAGCTGGAGCTGACCATGCACACGTTAGTGTGTGGCCGCACCCGCAAGAATATTAAGCTGATTGAGGCTGCCACATGTACCGCCATCTACTTCCCTCCACCATTCCCCCGAATCTTTGGATATACCCCTCCCGGTGCGAATCGTCGAAGCGAAGATGAAGTTTATATTACGGGAGAGACTACGGAGCAAATTGCTCTTGCGAAGCAGAAACTGCGGGAGCTGGTGATGGGCGTGAAAATCTACGTCAAGGATGTTGTTGTCAACTCTAGCAAGATTGACAACATTTTGCTTGACCGTCTGGACAAAGTTCGCAAGGTCATGGAAATGAACGGGTCTTACGTGCTTTTCCCACAGTTGGGCAGCCAGCGTGGTCTCGTTCGTATCCAAGGCACGGAGGTCCTGCATGTCGAGCGCACGGTTCGGGAGATTATGGCTCTGGTATGATACAAATGACACCAGTTTGTTTTGAATGAGAAATTGCTAACTTTACTTTTTTTTCAATTCTAGGCCGGTCAATTCTACAGCGCTTCGTGGTGGATCATCATGCCTGACCCTGGCCAGGGCGGAATTCGCCCACCCTCGACCGCCGACGTTCGATCGATGCTCTCGGATATCTGTACCAATTCCGAGGCCGAGGTTAGCTTTGACAACCTCACATTCACCATCAATGGATCCGATGATGCCGTCAAGGCTGCCATGACTGTTGTGAATCAGTTCCCATTTGTCACCCGCAGTCAGTACCAGATGCGAGTCAAAATTGAGCTGGCCAACGAACACAAGGAATTTGTCAGCGGCAAGAAGAACGGCAAGATCAACAAAATTATGGGACAAAGTGAGTCTAGCTTCGTCTTGGAGCTCGTATGAGTCAAAGTCCAGAATACTAACATATAAACAGGCAATGTCCAAATCATTTTTGACGGCTTCAATGAGTATAACTTTTATATCGATGTCTGTGGAAACCAATACGAGTCTACCAAGAACGGCCTCGATCTTGTCGAGCAAGAGATGCCCGCCTCTATCTCCTTTCATGTACCTGACCAGTACCACAAACGGATCATTGGTATCGGTGGACAACACATCCAGCGTATCATGAAGAAATACTCCGTATTTGTCAAGTTCTCCAATGCCATGGACCGCGGTGGAATGGGCAAGGAAGATGATGACATCAAGGTCGACAATGTCATTTGCCGAACCCCGGCTCGCAATGCCCAAAGTCTGGACCTTGTCAAGCAGGAGATCATGGACATGGTCGAGAAAGTTGTAAGTACATCAATATCTTTTACCCCCGGCACAGAGAAATTCCGATTTAACGGTACCACCATAGGATGCTGAGTACGTATCTGAGCGAGTTGTCATTAACCGCCTGTACCACCGTGAACTGTTGGCTCGTATGACCGAGATCGATGAGCTTGAGAAGAAATGGAACTGCAAGATCGAGTTCCCTAGCACGGAACTTGCCAGTGATGTTGTGAACATCTCTGGTCCTGAGTACCAGGTTCCCCAAGCCGTCGATGCTTTGCTGGGCATGGTACCAGAGAGCCATGAGCTGCACTTCCAGAGCTCTGCGGTGCTTCGCGAGTACTTTAAGGCTCCCGACTTCATTGTGGATGTTCGCACCAAGCTCAAGGAGCAGTACGAGGTCGACATCAATGTGGACACCAGCGCCGACCTTCAAGACCATGGTGAGGGAGGTTCTTCTTCCCCTGACCCGGCCCCGGAAGATCGTGTGGTGCTCGGTTACACCAGGAACAATGCCGGTGGCCTCAAGGATGCCATCGACTTCCTCATCTCTCAATTTGTCGCCCACGGTCTTGATGCTAACACCGTCAAAGGTGCCATCCCCCGACCCAAGTCGGACTCATTCGAAGAGTCATTGCCCTTCTTTGACTCGAAGCTGTTGCAGCATGCTCCTGTCCCACTCGTAACTGATTCTCCAACGCGCCCCAGCTTTGTCGATGAAGTCAGCGAGCGTGGATCAATCTTCGAGCGCCTCCGCAAACCCGGCAGCATCTCGTCTTTCTCCTCCTTTATAGGTCGTAAGAACCATTCGGCATCCCCAGCCTCCTTCTTCAAACATGCGTCCAGCAACGCCTCCAAGGCATCGCTCGTTTCCATGGAATCGCGGGATAGCGGCTACCGCAATCCTTGGAATGACTCCGGTGTGAATCTCCCCGAGGACGATATCCCTGTCCTCGGGAGCTCACACAGCCACAAAAGCAGCAACAGCAACAATGGCTGGCCCGCGCGTTTTGATACCAAGTTTCCTTTCGGTACGGCACCCGGGGACATGACACCTAAGCATGACCCGCGTGCCTCTTTTGACAGTGGTCGCCCTAGCACTTCGAATTCTACATCTGGATACCCGGCCCCAATTGGGCCACCGCGTTAAACCACAAAATATCCATTTACAGCAGTATACCCTTTTTGGTTGTGATTTGATTTTCTGTCTGATTCCCAGCGTGTGTTTCTGTCTATGTGTCTCTTTTGATCTCTGTTTTCTTTATTATTTTCCGTATTCCTTTTTACTTTTTACATCTTTTTTTGTTTGATTGATACCACGGAACGCAAGCAACGAAGGCGCCAGAAAAGAAAACGAGATATCCAAGATCTGTGTGAGATAGAGCGGGGAAATTTATTCCCTGCCGATCCTATAGTTCTTTTTACGTGTGCTTTTTTTCTTTTTTCTTCTGATCGTTGAAATTTTGTTGATGATTCGGTGTGCATGGGAGGCTCGGGTTTACGGGTTCAAGTCGGCTTCAACGGGATACCTTGGTATAGTTTGGTGTCGGCAATGGACTCGGGATGGAATCACGTTTGATTTTCATGTTCTCTTCTCTTCTTCTTTCTCTTCTTTGTCGCGTTGATGTTTACTCTTTTGATATCCCCATCAATGAGATTTGACCTTAGACGATCCACTATTCCACTTCCACGACATAAAGTATTGAAATCATCTTTAAATCGAAAGCTAAAGAGAATACCGTTGATATAATCGTCCACAATCAGCAATTATCCGATTCTCCATCTGTCTAGCCCATTCAATCCATCCAATCCAAACAGTGGAAACACGACGATCACCCCACTGACGTAGCAACGCGCAATACTAAGTACCAAGTCCTAGAAGTAACGTGGGGTTGACCACCCCTCATACTTCCCAGTTCCCCACAGCACATAAGAGCAACCTTCAACACATCCATAACCCGTAAACCCAGTCTCTACATCAATCCATACAAGAAATCGGATCAAATCAAACCCATAAAAAAGAAAGAAGAAAAGAAATTCAAACAAAAACAAAATGGACTCCTACCCACGCCCTGACTTCCACCGCAAATCCCCAACCTGGCTCACCCTCGACGGACCCTGGACCTTCACCTTTGACGATGAAGACACAGGTCTAAAATCACAATGGCAGAAATCCCCCTTAAAAACACCAACTACAACAAAAATAACCGTCCCCTACGCCTTCCAAACTCCCGCATCAGGAATAGGACTCCACGAAGCCCACGAAGTCCTCTGGTATGAGCGAGAGATCAACGACATCCGCACCCCTGCAGAGCTCAAAACCGGAAACAGACTTCTCATCCGCTTCGGTGCTGTAGACTACGAATGTACGATCTGGGTTAATGGAGCTTATGTCTTCTCGCATCGAGGAGGTCATGTACCCTTTGACGTTGATGTGACGGATGCACTTTTGGATTCGGATTCGAATTCAGGAGAGGGTGGGAATCGACTCACGCTCCGTGTGAGAGATTCACCGGGTGATCTGGCTCAGCCACGAGGAAAACAGTTCTGGGGCCCTGTTCCAGAGAGTATTTTTTACACGCCTACGAGTGGAATTTGGCTTTCTGTTTGGATGGAGAGTGTACCTCGTTTGAGACTTTTGGATGGGAGTGGAGGGACCGTGCTGCGGAGTGATGATATTGAGAATGGAGAGTTGGCAGCTCATGTTGCTATTTCGGGACGATTGGCGGGTGTTTCGGGGAAGGAAAAGTGTGCTGTTGAGGTTGTTGTTTCGCTTGCTGGCGTGGAGGTTAGTTCTACGCGGGCTGATGTGCATCCTCATCGGAATTGGGGGGAGTTGAAAGGAAACGTGAAGGTTTCTTCGAAGGATATCTCATCTTTGAAGGGAAGAGATGAGTTTAAGGAGGAGGGTGTTTGGTATGGGGATCATGATGGAAAGGGATCAGTTGCATTATGGGCACCTGAGCATCCTATTCTCTACGATTTGACCTTGAGACTTTACTCGGGTGAGAACCTCGTTGATGAAATCCTTACAACGACCGGAATGCGTTCTTTATCCTGGACAAATGGCGATGGGACATTCAGATTGAATGGACGGCCTTATTTCCAGATGCTTTTCTTGGATCAAGGCTATTGGCCCGAGACAGGATTAACGCCTCCATCATCCGAGGCATTGAAGACTGATATCGAGATGGCGAAGGCATTGGGTTACAATGGGTGCCGAAAACATCAGAAGGTAGAGGATAGTCGGTTCCAGTATTGGGCCGATAAGCTTGGATGGCTTGTTTGGGGGGAGATGGCGAATGCGTACGAGTTTGGAGTTGATTATGTGGAGAGGATGGATGCTGAATGGGCTGATGCTGTACGGAGGGATATCAATCATCCTTGTATTGTGACTTGGACGCCTGTTAATGAGAGTTGGGCCTATACGGATTTAAAGGGGAGTATTGAGCAGCGAAATCATATTCGCTCGCTATACTATTTGACCAAGTATGCTTATGTTTCCTTAATTTACCTACTAACATTATCGGCTGTCAATCATTTCAGAAACCATATCAGACTAACATGAAGATGAACCAGATCACTCGACCCAAGCAGACCCATAAATGACAACTGTGGCTGGGAACACGTCCACACAGACCTAACAACCTACCACGACTACACGGACTCTCCCGAACTAACCTCCACCTGCTCAAAAATGGAAGGTGGGATCCTTTCCCAAAAAGGTGGCCACGACATGTTCACAAAACCCATTTACTCCGGTTTCTCAGGCCACACGCTTCTAGATCCTGGAGCAACACATAAAGCTGGTGCACCGGTGATATGTACCGAGTTCGGTGGTGTTAACATTGCACCTGTTAAAGGTGGAGAGGCCGGTGAGCGGGACTGGGGATATACCACTGCCGTTGATGTGGAGGATTTTCTCATTCGATATGAGAAGTTGGTTATGGGTGTTGTTAAAGGGGGACATTCTTGTGGATTGGTTTATACGCAATTGTGAGTATTGAACATTATCTTTACTTTCTACTTTTTCGCTTCCAGGAACAGAATGGATAGTATTGACTAATTTTTCTTTTTAGATGTGATATTGAGCAGGAGGTTAATGGGCTTTATTCTTATGATCGGAAGGAGAAGGTACCTGTTGCTCGTGTTAAGGCTATTATGGATGCTGCAAAGGATTACTATTATAACCACGTAGGCGTTCAGACTCATGGGGCGAAAGGATGGAAGAAACTTTTGGAGCAGGGGAAGCAGGTTCTTCATCGGGCTTAATGGTGTCAACAACTTGAACTTGAAGTAAGCATCTGATGAACTTGGCCTATGAAAGCTGCTTGATCGAACTTCAAATAGACTAGAGAGTAGGGAATTTAAAGGATGCTTTATCATCTACAGTACGAAAAGTTAATTATTGCAACCAAATCCCATATTCTCATTAAATTAGGCTGTTATTTAGCCAGTAGTATCGATTCGCTGAATGCTTTGTTTTAGGTAGAATGTGAAATGATAGAGAATGAGGCTAACCCAACTCGAAACGCCCGTACATGCCGAAACCCACAACAAAAAAAAAAAGAGAAAAAAAGACTAGAATGGCGGCGAAAAATGAGATAGCTGCGCTGGGTAGATGCATTTTACAGAGGATTAAAAAATATGCGCAGAAGAAAATCACATGTTAGCGAGTTCGTGGTCGATTTGTCGATCCAGGAATGCACGCTTGTCACCTGTGAGGGAGGTTTGAAGACGCTGTTCAACCAATACGCGAACTGTAATAGATTTATGTTAGTTATGTATTCAAAGTTGAAGTCAAGAGGTCTCGAGAGAATGTCATGAACTTACCCTGCTTTTTGGTGACAGTGTCGAGGTCCACCTCTGCGAGACATCCACGGATAGCCTCGGTGATGGACATTTCGTCGGGACCAGATCCAGCACGGAAGTCAAATGCTGTGCTGGCAGGTCGGGCGGGGCCGGAGGGGTATTGACCCATTGGGCTACGGGCCCGCGCGAGATTGTCGGTACTCTGCATGAAACCAATGCTATGGCGACTTGCATGACCCGGGTTATCTTGGTAGCCACTGAGGCCGCCAAGAGACATGTGACGAGATGTAGCTGCTGGGTGGCCGCCTAGCTGAGGGTAATCGGTGTACCGGGAGAAACTGGACATGTGCGAATTACGGTTACCAGGAACGTTGCCACCAACGAATGGAGCTGGTGATTGAGGTGGCATGTAAGGGCTAGCATGGCGGCCATTGGCTGGGAAGCCAGTGAGGATTGTCGAGGCTGGCCGGACTGATGAGTACTGAGAGTGGATCTCGTCCATTTCCATTTCATCCACATGTGGCCCCCCAGTAGAGTAGATCTTCTCAGAAGCAAGCTCTCCGCGTCGGCCAGGGAGATTGTTGGACAAGGCGTAGTCGTCCCATCTCTGCAATGGAATACTGCGAGGGTCGAAACCCTCATCTTCCACAGCGATGACACGCTTTGATCCCTTCTCACCAAGAACCACACGGGTGCTACCCCAGGTGAAATCATCCTGTTTCCAGAAAGAATACAAGGGCAGCACAAAACTGTAAATGGGGAACGCAATGAGGTAGATGATCATCCAGCCGATATGTTGCCATTGGCGCTTGACAATAAAGATGATTGCCTGAAGACCGTAAATACCAGCCAACATAATGATGGAAATCAACGGGAATGGACCGGAATCACTGGCGACGCGGTAGATCAGATAACCAAGATAGACACATGTAGCCGGTAGAATAACGGTTCCAAGAAGATCAATAAGGACGACGAAACGCATGCTGAAACAACAGAACCCACAAAGGTCGGGGAGAGCAGCTAGTTCGACCAGATTGTGGATTGTGGAGTTAATCCAACGACGTCGCTGTGAGATCAACACACCCCAGGTTTCGGGAGCAGCGGTACTTGCATATGCATTGGGAAGGAATTTGTAACGCATCGAGGGGAAATGCTTCGTCATAAGAGTTGTCAAGAATCGATCCTCACCCAACGACAACAGGTTCTTCTTGTGGAGGGTATCGATATCGATATCAGCGTACTCTTTGATGAGCCTGTCCGCAATGATGAGAGGACGCCCCTTGTCTGCAGTTCTAAGACGATACATGGTGAAACTAAAGTCGGTTGATTTCTGATTAGTCCAAGCACAACACGGAATTGAAAAGACTCAGCTGAACTTACCATCCAGGAAGACAAGTGACACTGCCAAACAAGGACTCAAACGCTTTAGTGAGATGATGAGAAATGTAGTATTCGTACACTTGAATCATCGTCCACCAACTGCGTTCTTCATTTTGTAGACTTGTCTCGCCACAAATACCAGCAATCTTAGCATCTGCCGCACAGGCTGCTACTAGGCGATTCAGCGAATCCTCCCTGACACTAGTATCGGCGTCGACCATGAAACAATACTCATATAGCTCCGGGTCCACACCAATGATATTGTTGATCTGGTGGAAAACCTCGAGTTCCATAGGAGACATTGGGGCGCGATGATGCACACGGTTCAGGAACTGCATCAGCAGGACTTGCGAATCTCGTTTTCCTCGGTTACCAGGCTTGGTCTTTGTCTGCTCCGACTCCTTACCGACCTTGACGACCACGATGTAGGGAACAACATTGCCTTCGTACTCATAGAGACCAGAGTAAACCTTCGCGTAGTTCAGTTGTTCACTACCTTGACCAACTGATCTGCATGGCAGAGCTGGAGGGTCTAACTTTGGATCAACTCCAAGAATATCCAGTATAATCTTGGGAGTTGGTCGATCATTACCACCACCAACGATCATACCGTCGCAGATCACAAATATGAGTTTTCGTTTATTGTCGTACTGCAAAGCTGTCAAGGAATCCAGTCCTTTTCGCAATGAGTCTTCACCTTCAGTGTAGGCAGGAACCAAACAGATCACAAACTTGTCTTGTGGCGCTGGTCGCCGCTTGGACCCTAGCTGCAGTGCAGCCAGGAACTTGACGAGGATAACAGCACAAATGAGAATAGTGAATGACAAAAGCAGCCAATTGTTGACGGTACATCGAGGACTGTTTCGAAAGTCCACCTTTCCTTGATAGAAAACGTAGTCCATACAGCTTTGTGCTTCATTGAACTCTTTTGTGTCCTGCCACTTGTCCGTAACGTCGGTTCCAGCGTAATTTTGGAATAATGTCGTCACGGCACTTGGTAGGAAATCATAATCATCATTTGATGAATAGAGATTCTTGGTATAGAAGTAGTTCGTGAGGTCGTAAACTTTGCTATTTACAATGACCCAATATCGCGAATAGTCATTGGCTTGCTTTGAAATGGTCGACTTGGTCCATACCAGATCGCCCTTGTAGTAATCTGCGATCTTGGGCATGAAGACTTCTTTGTACCAGGTCCACTTATGGAGTTTGGTGGTATTTGATGCCTGGAGAATGGGTCCAGAAGTATGTTCTGCGTAAGCATTCGCGACGGCTGACGTATCGTTGTTATGCATCTGGAGGGTATCGTCTGTCACAAATGAGCCACAAACCTGGGTAAGAGGCGGAGGGAAATAAGCATCCAAATTTAGACCAGCGAAAGTCTTCATGAGGGTGGAAGTAGTATCAGTTCCGTCATCGCTGTGCTGTTTGCGCCAGAATTTGCTGATATCGTATACCCGACCGTGAATGCTGACGAAGAAGTTATCATCTCCAGTGTGCCAACTGACTTCCTTGGTGTTCCAGACTTTGCCTTTGTTGGGACAGAGTAGATCACCGAATGCAATGATGTAGAAACAGACCAGGGCATTGAAAAACAGGATGATAAAAACCAATACAACTTTTTCTCTCCATGCCATCCGAACATCTGGACGTTTCATACGGCCAACGTATCGAAGGAGTGGTGAAGGGATCCAAAAGGTGAGTGTCCATACTAACGCCACCCACAATCGACGGCTTGTCGGAATAGTCTTCTTCTCGATGTGTTTGGGATCTCCGAATTCAGGGTCAAGATCTCCAAGGTACCGACCATAGTCATCATAGTAGGCGACGTCTCCTTTGTTGTCGTCACCCTTGTGGCCTAGTCCATAGTCACCAGCGGCACCAGCTTGGGTGTATGGCATACTAGGAGCGATGGACTTCGCACCTCCCATGACACTTGGAGCAACCATAGCGGACTGATTCATGAGAAGATCATGTTGACTTCCCAAGAGATTGGTTGATTCACCAACCTGGTTACCATCCGGGGTAAGGCCAGGTTCGTACAACATAGCGCCATATCCAAACGGATTTGCGGGGCTCTCCTCCGACTTGAGGTCGAGCATGCTTTCCGCTTCCCACCACGCTCCTTCTCGCATCCAGATACGCTGGGCTCCCACGATAGCCTCTCCGTTACTCCATCCTCTTTCGAGAATCCAGTTTTGGACACCATCTTGGCCCTCGGGACAACCTAATATAGCGTAACGAGCGACAAATTCTTCCACGTCAAAGTCGGCTGTAAAATCAAGCTGCTTCAAACGACGGTTTGCCCATTCGGGGAGTCGCCAGTCCCGCAGCTGTCGTGACACGGTACCAGCTGACCAAGCAGGATGCGAGGCACTCAGACTCCCGGGTAGGTCATCTGTCGGGTGAATGGATAGATGGTACCAAACACGGCTACTCAACAGGGTCGTCGGAAGATCAAAGCGTCCTCGTTGTCCCAATGAGATACCCTCTCCCTCGACAGGGAAAAGAAGCTGACGCAAAAATGCATCTGCCTCAAATTCCACACCAACCTTCTCCAGAACGCCCTGTCGTCTGTCGAGTTCATAGTCCCGTTCACGCAGAGTGGCACTTCCCTCAATTGCGAGATCAGCCTCCACTTGTGAAACGGCAGTATTCATTTCTTGGATGACAGATTGCCCGAGGGAGGGGATGGAAATTCCGTCATCTTTCATTTCAGCGTTAATCCCAAGGTTGTCGTCAAAGACACCTCTCATAGCGACCGCCTTTCCGAGTGCTGGGCGTGGAACATCAATCACAGTAAGGCTGACAGTGTCTTCATTAGTCCAGTGAGGGGCACCGTGGCCTTCAACGCTAGAGTCATTTTCTAAGGCATTCTGAATATCGACCGAGATGGCTTCGTTCGCTTTGCTGATGATCCAATCCACCAGAGCTTCATAGATACCCGCAAGCAGAATCTCGCGTTCATCAGTTGAGCATTTGTGGAGCAGGACTTCTGGGTCGACTCCGAGAAGACCTCCAACTTCCTCACAAACTTCTTCGAGCTCCTCTTGATCCACCATAAGACCTGCTGCATTGCCAAACTTCAGCAAGCCGGCTAATACTGAGAGAAGGTTGCGCAGCGTGGCACCTTTGATGCCGATCGCTTTCAAATTCACACGCAAATCCTCCGCTGCAGCCGTGTCGTCCGCGGTCGGTAAGTATGACGGAGGCCCGTAGGTACCGGATCGGTTCAGTAATGCGTAGGATGCGGGTTCTTTCAGGTCTAAGAATTCGCGTTCTGCTGGTGTGGATGCGGAAGTCAGGAGGTAGTAAAATACATCGAAAGCACGATATCCGGCCTCATTGGGTATTTCCAGAAGACCCTTTTGTACATTTGTGCCGGATGTTGAGAGGGCCAAAGTCAACCCGACCACGGTGCCCTGGAGGGTTAATGAAAAGGAAGCTGAGAGGGCTGAATGCAGAGAATAAGAGGGATTGAATGATGTGACAGCCGCAAGAAACGGTCTGACGGCGGCCAGAGCTGTGAAGCCTATGTTTGGAATGCTGATGGGTAAAGCTGTGAGAAACGGCTCCAGGAGTGATGGCGTGGATTGGTGGAGAGAGCTAAATTAACCGGTTAGCGAACTAGATACATAATATATTCACCATTTGGAGACCGGAAAAAAACAAACCAGAGAAGAATGCAGCCATCTTCAGCGCGGCGACGAGCATGTTCCCAAGCCCGAATCGCCAAGTCTCGATCAATTGTCACGCCATTCCGGCCATCTGGTAGAGTGGTTGCTGCTGTGACCCAAGTGTTGACGACCAAACTGGTGCTGGCGTCTAGCTGATAGGGTTGGCCAGCTGTATAGAAAGAGTGGAGAGCATTCAGTAATGTGGTGGTGGAGACCTGGGTGGCATGTTGAGAGGTCGGCCGAGGCCCAGCGAGCCCGGCGGACTGGTTGGAGAAGACGGAGTAGCGATTCGACATGGCGAACGCTGGTTTAAAAGGGGGCGTCTCTCAGAGTGAAGGGAAAGAAAATGTCGATTGTCAGAGTATCATCAGGATGTAGATCGGGAAGGTTGATCGCGGTGAATATGGTGTTGAACTGGAGGTGGAGGGTGAGGAGTTGTCAGGTCAACACACGACAGTGTCCGTTTGAGTATACTCCGGGGAAATGAGCGAGTGACTGGGAGGTAGGAACTCCAAAGGTATGAAGGAATCGAGAGCAATAACGGGGAAGATGAAGAGTCGAGGATCAGGGGAGTATCGAAATCGAGAGGAGTGAGCTAGGAAGCAAAGAGAGAAAAGTGCAAAAAAGCAACACAGAAAACACCAGGGAAAAAAAGCGAGGCAGATAAGGGAAGGTAATGGGCGTGGGGAGAAGATCCACTGTAAACTCAATACGACTAGTGGCGTTCTGAGGATACAGTACCGATTGTACCGATTTGACAGTCCAGACGTAGGATGTATAATACCGCCGATCCCCGAACTCTTCTCTGCTGATCCTCCCGAAGCTTAGAGAGGGTACTGGATTGGATTATGATCTGATGTGTTGGATTTGAATATTGATATTGTTGACATTTTGAATTGAATTGAATTTTATTTATTTATTTACTTCCAAGGTTATTGTGTGATTTTAATCTATCCACGGATGTATTTTCCTAGATGTTTGGTCCCAAGGGTCTTTGCTAACCATGGAACAAGCTCTGGGTGTTTATTGAAAACATTCCACTGGATATAAACGATAATAGGTTATTCAATATAAATTATAAATTATAAATTATAAAATTCAGTATTGGACGGTCTAAATATAACCCAATATATACCGAAACGCTATGAATCAGGTTAAATACCACCATGTTTATTATCAACACACCAGACATACACACATGTGCACTCAAGTGCTTCCAGCCAATCAGAGAGCAGTGAGATTGTAGTGTACCCGACCGTGTCTTGCCTCTTTCCCCGCCCCAGACTCCTCTAGAACAGACCAGGCCAACCAGATCAGTCAGATCAGCCAGCATCAGGTCGATTAGGCCGGATCCCTGTGGTCTCGCCTGAACAATTCATGATGTTACACTTTCTGGCCAACTTGTTTTTTTTTCTTTACAAATGACACCTCGGTACCCATCGTAAAGTCTTACACAGTCTATATTTGGGTTGTCTCACACTAAGGACTCTCGCCACCCAGGGTTTTGCTTTTTAGTACGGCGGTTCCGCCACGAACACCCCCTAGTTTCACACAGTCCACTCAAATCACCCGGACTTAATTCCAAAGTGGGGATTCCTTCTTGGCCAGGAATTTCGAGGATAACTCTGATTTTCTGACCTGTTCAGCAGTTGATGGCCCAGATGCAGAAAAATCAAGCACTCAGCAAGGAGGTGGGAAATACTCGATGGGTTCCTGAAAAGTCCCCTGAATGAGGCGGAGTCAATCCCTGAAAATCCCTGAGTCCCTGAGAGGAGACAGACCCTGATGACAAAGAAGCAGATGCAAAAGATGCAAAAAACTGACGAGTCACAGGGGAAGCTCAAAGTGGTTATGTCAGCGGGTGGGGCTGGATTATTTACCTGCGACTTTAATCTATTGATCCTCTGTGACAGTAAACAACAGTAAAAGGGGGAAATACTGTACTCTGTTTGAACATTTATTTATATCCTTCAATACAGTAATTAAGATCTCTATCCACTAATTGCAAAACATATCATGGCTGAGCTGGTTGGCCTTAAAAACAACAACACTGTTCAAGGTGAGCCGTACCGTAACTAAGTAACTAAGCAACTGTCTCACAAAGCTGTGGAGAGCGACAGATGTGGATTTACCCGAACAACTCTGGATTGATGCACATGCACTATTCTTAGCGTGTGACCGGTAACAATACGCCCCAGGTTATCCTTATCTTTTTTTTCCTGGTCCCTTTCCTCTTCGCCATCATTCCATTGTATTTTCTTTTGCTCTTGCTCTTTTGCTCTCTCGCTTTGCATTTGAGCTTCTCTGTGTTCCTGTCGTTTGTCACTCCTCTGCCTTCTCGCCATTTACAAGGATCTCCCCCCCCGATCGCTACGATCGTATGTCTGGCACCTCCACTCGCTAGGAGTCCTTTCATTCCTCGCGACATTCCTCACGCCACGTTCATTCCGGCCGGTGTCTAGACTTCAAAAACCATCCCACTGGGATCCCGATCGGGGCCATTGATACACTCGTTTGCTCCTCCCTCTCCATCGACACTCGCCAAAGAAAATATCATCTCAACAGCCCAAGATGGTGGGCAATACGCCGGGCGCCCCCGCTCATGCCCAGTCCTCTCTACCCTCGCTCCCCGCACATCTTCAGTCCGATACTCATTTGACAGCACATCTCGCCAGTCGGTACGTAGATCTTTATACACTGCATTACATTACTACACGTACTAATTCCCTGTCTTAGCTTCCATGTTGGTTTGCCGACAGCTCGTCTCTCCTCTCAGGCATTAATTGCCCTGAACACATTTACCTCCGCCACGAAGGGCCCCGATGGTACAAAAGAAGGAAGTGCTGCGGGGGAGGCCGAAGACCTCGCCCGTCGAGCTTTCACGAGACTCGGATCTCGCGCTGAAAACCAAGCAGTGGTATTCTTGTAAGTGGACCCACGGATCCTCAAGCTTAAAGAAATTCTGGAACAGCTAACCCATGGACGCAGAGGCGAGAGTGGTTCGGGGAAAACAACGCTTCGTTCACATCTATTATCGTCCTTCCTCTCTTTCTCATCAACTCCGCTCTCTTCCAAACTCTCCTTTGCTGCTTTCGTTTTCGATACCTTGACTACGACCAAATCCGTTACGACCCCGACAGCTTCAAAAGCGGGCCTCTTTCTCGAATTGCAATATGATGGGTCCTCTTCCGTAAACCCAACCTTAATTGGTGGGAAGATCATCGATTACCGATTGGAACGAAGCCGTATTTCCTCGGTTCCCACCGGTGAGCGCAGCTTCCACGTACTGTACTACCTTTTGGCTGGTACCAGCGCAGCTGAAAAGTCCCATCTTGGATTTGACAACCCCATTCACATTTCTACCGGTGGTTCTGGCGCAGTCAGCCACAAGAGATGGCGGTATCTGGGTCATCCGACCCAGTTGAAGGTTGGAGTCAATGACACCGAAGGGTTTCAACACTTCAAAACCGCCCTCCGGAAGCTAGAATTCTCTCGTGGGGAAATCGCGGAAATTTGCCAGATTCTCGCGACTATCCTTCACATCGGACAATTAGATTTTGTTTCCGGTCAATCGACTACCACAATGGCCGAAGAAAGTGGAGGCTACTCCCATGAAGGTGGTGAGACAGTGACCGTTGTCAAGAATAAGGATGTACTCGGCAATGTTGCTGCATTCCTTGGTCTCAGCGTTGAAGCTTTGGAGAATAGCCTGGGTTACAAGACGAAAACCATTCATCGTGAGCGAGTGACAGTCATGCTGGATCCAAAAGGTGCTCGACAGAATGCCGACGCTCTGGCACGTACTATATATTCGCTTCTGGTCACCTATGTTATTGAGACTGTAAACCAGAAGATATGTGCAGCAGAGGACAGTGTGGCAAACACTATTTCCATTGTGGATTTCCCTGGCTTTGCTCAGTCTGCTGCGACAGGGTCGACCTTGGACCAACTTCTTAGCAACACAGCCACAGAGTCTCTGTACAACTACTGTCTCCAGTCCTTCTTCGACCGAAAGGCCGATATTCTGGACCGGGAAGAGATTTCGGTCGCTGCAACCAGTTATTTCGATAACACTGATACCGTGCGTGGTCTTCTCAAGCACGGCAACGGCCTACTGAGCATTCTCGATGATCAGACGCGACGTGGCCGATCAGACAATCAATTTCTTGAAAGCGTGCGTAAGCGCTTTGAGAACAAAAACCCGGCTATCTCTGTGGACGGCTCCAGCAGCGCCGGTATGGGTGGCTACGTGTCTCAAACGCGGAGTGCCTTCACCGTCAAGCATTTTGCCGGAGAGGTGGACTATTCCACGACTGGTCTCATTGAGGAGAATGGTGAAGTTATCTCAGGAGATCTGATGAATCTGATGCAATCCACCCGAAGTGACTTTGTTCATGAACTATTTGGACAAGAAGCGTTGCAGACCATCTCCCATCCTCGGGAGAAGACCGCCATTATGCAAGCACAAGTCTCCTCTAAACCTCTCCGAATGCCAAGTATGGCCAGACGCAAGATCAATCAGCAGGCTCGTCTCGCGGCCTCGGCTTCTGAGAATGTCTTCGGTGCCGATCATGAAGAACCGACAGATAACGAAAGCCAGGCAGCGAGCTCTCGACGCGGCGCTGGAGGGCGGAAGAATGGGCTTGCGGCGGGACCAGCACAAGGAGCAGCCGGGCAATTCCTTTCTGGGCTCGAAATTATCAACAAGTGTCTGAGTTCACCGAATCTAAATCCATATTTTGTGATATGTTTGAAGCCTAACGACCGTCGTATTGCAAATCAATTCGATAGCAAATGCGTACGGATGCAAGTTCAAACTCTCGGTATCGCAGAAATCAGTCAGCGACTGAGAAACGCCGACTTTAGCGTTTTCCTTCCTTTTGCCGAATTCTTAGGGTTGGCTGAGATTGGCAATATTGTGGTTGGAAGCGATAAAGAAAAATCGGAGGTCATCTTGGATGAACGACGATGGCCTGGCAATGAAGCTCGTGTGGGTAGCACTGGTGTCTTCTTGAGTGAGCGATGTTGGGCCGACCTTGCGAAGGTCGGTGAGCGTGTGGTTCCTTCGTATAAGATGACTGGATCCGATGAAGGGGATGGCGGATTCAACGTTGCAAGCGGCAATCCGGATGCAAAAGTTCGCCTCCTCAACCCTACTGATCAATCCCCGGGCGCTTATATCTACGGTGACGAAGCCAAGCAAGGTTATTTCGGTAGCCGCGAATTAGATGGCCGCTCCGATGCTGGCGGGTCAGCCTTCAATTCTGGCGACATGTTCAGGAACCTCGAAACACGAGAGCAGATGTTGGAGAAAGGCAATGAGAAAAATATGGAGGAGGTCGAGGAAATTCCTGTCTCAGGTTCTCGAAAACGGTGGGTGGCTCTGGTCTATCTGCTTACGTTCTACATCCCGGACATTTTGATCAAATGGGTTGGCCGCATGAAACGTAAGGACGTGCGTATGGCCTGGCGAGAAAAGTTGGCCATCAATATCATCATCTGGTTCGCTTGCGGTGCCGCTGTCTTCATGATCGTCGCTTTCCCTGGATTGGTCTGTCCAACGCAACACGTCTATTCCAAGGGAGAACTCAGTACGCATAATGGAAAAGGTAGTGAAAGCTCCTTCATGTCTATATCAGGCGTCGTTTTCAACTTGGGGGATTTCATACCGAATCACTACCCCAAAGTTGTGCCATCAAAGTCTCTCAAAACCTATGCCGGCACCGATGGAAGCCCCCTCTTTCCCATTCAGGTTTCCGCTTTGTGCCAAGGCGTCGATGGAAAAGTTGACCCGAGTGTACCACTGGATTATCGATCGAATTCGAATGACTCTTCGTCCTCTACGTCTACGACGACCGGTACGGATGCTAACGCCAAGTACCACGATTTCCGGTATTGGGTTACGGGTGACGACTCCGGCGCAGATTGGTACTACGAACAGATGGTCATGCTGAGAGCCAATTATAAGAAAGGCTATGTGGGCTATACCGCCAAGTACATGAAAAGTCAAGCAGACGACGATGATAAGATGATTGCAAGCATCCATGGCAAGGTTTACGACATGACCTACTACATGGCAGGTCCTCGAATTCCACGATTTCCCAAGGGCGTGAATAAATCCACCAGTGGTATCGACACAAATTACATGAGCCCTCTGATCACTGAACTGTTTCAAGAGAAGTCCGGTACGGATATCACGAAATACTGGGACGATCTTAACTTTGACGTTGCCCTGCGCAATCGAATGCAAGTATGTATGGACAACCTGTTCTTTGTCGGACACGTCGATACTCGAAACTCGGTCAAGTGTCAGTTCGCACGATACTTTATCCTCGCCATCTCCATTTTGATTTGTTCGGTGATCACATTCAAGTTCCTCGCAGCCTTGCAATTTGGCAAGAAAAACTTGCCTGAGAATCTGGATAAATTTATCATTTGTCAAGTACCAGCTTACACCGAAGACGAAGATTCTCTTCGTCGTGCTATCGACTCCATGGCCCGTATGCGTTATGATGACAAGCGTAAACTGCTCCTGATCATTTGTGACGGTATGATTATTGGTCAAGGCAATGACCGCCCTACCCCTCGAATCGTTCTGGATATTCTCGGTGTTCCAGAGACCCATGATCCAGAGCCTCTCAGCTTTGAAAGTTTGGGTGAGGGTATGAAACAACATAACATGGGGAAGATTTATTCTGGTCTCTACGAAGTTCAGGGCCATATTGTTCCGTACCTGGTCGTTGTCAAAGTCGGCAAGCCTTCTGAGGTGTCTCGCCCTGGTAATCGTGGCAAGCGTGATTCCCAAATGGTGTTGATGAGATTCTTGAACCGTGTTCACTACAATATGCCTATGAGTCCCATGGAGCTTGAGATGCATCACCAGATCCGAAACATCATTGGTGTCAATCCGACGTTTTACGAATTCATCCTGCAGGTCGACGCTGATACGATGGTGGCACCAGATGCTGCTACTCGTTTTGTGTCGGCGTTCTTGTCTGACACACGACTTATCGGTGTCTGCGGAGAAACTGCTCTGTCTAATGCTAAGACTTCCATGGTAACCATGATTCAGGTGTACGAATACTACATCTCTCATAACCTTATCAAGGCATTTGAGAGTCTTTTCGGATCAGTCACTTGTTTGCCTGGTTGTTTCACTATGTATCGCATTCGCTCATCGGAGACTGGCAAGCCTCTGTTTGTCAGCCAAGAAGTTGTCGAGAGCTACTCGGAGATTCGTGTGGATACCCTACATATGAAGAATTTGCTTCATCTTGGTGAAGATCGATACCTAACCACCCTGCTCCTCAAGAATCACCCGAAGTTCAAGACCAAGTACATCTTCCGCTCTCACGCATGGACGGTTGCTCCTGAGAGCTTTGCCGTCTTCTTGTCTCAGCGTCGTCGCTGGATTAACTCGACAGTCCACAATTTGATCGAGCTGATTCCATTACAACAGATGTGTGGTTTCTGCTGTTTCAGTATGCGTTTCGTTGTGTTTATCGATCTTCTGAGTACCATGATTCAGCCTGTCACTGTCGCCTACATCATCTATCTGATCGTCTGGTTGATTCAGGATACATCAACACTCCCTCTGACTTCATTCATTCTACTCGGTGTGATTTACGGTCTGCAAGCATTGATTTTCATCCTCCGCCGCAAATGGGAGATGATTGGTTGGATGTTTATCTACATCCTCGCCATCCCCGTCTTCACGCTTGCTCTGCCTCTATACTCCTTCTGGAACATGGACGACTTCAGTTGGGGTAACACTCGTGTCATCACAGGAGAAAAGGGCCGCAAGGTTGTCATCTCTGACGAAGGCAAATTTGACCCCGCCTCTATTCCCAAGAAGCGCTGGGAGGATTACCAAACCGAGCTCTGGGAAGCCCAAACTTCCCGTGATGACCGTTCTGAGATTTCAGGTATCTCATATGGCACCCGATCTCACGCCTTCCCTGCTCCTCATTCCGAGTATGGGTTCCCTGGCTCCCGACCTGTTTCTCAACTTGATCTAAACTTACATGCCGGCGGCTCACGGATGTCCCTCGCACCGTCCGAAATGCTCAGTCGCCATATGGATATGGACATTGGCATGGAAGACTTGAGCCACCTCCCAAGTGACGATGCCATTCTGACTGAGATTCGTGAGATTCTGCGAACAGCCGATCTAATGGCTGTTACCAAGAAGAGTATCAAGCAAGAGCTTGAGAGACGATTCGGTGTTAACCTTGACCTTAAGCGGCCATACATTAACTCTGCTACCGAAGCTGTTCTTTCTGGTCTTCTCTGATGAGACTATTTCACCCTTGCATGGTCTCCTGGAGGGCTATGCATTCTTCAAAACATGTGTTAATAATGTTCTGAAAATTCTTGGAAGCATCCAAAGAGTTTTTTGATTTGTTTTCTTTTCATTTTATTTTCCATTTCCTTTATCTGCCAGCGACGGGGTATTTTGCATGGATGAGGACTTTTACAAGCGAGCGCGTGGTCTGATTTTTTTCACTATCTTAATTCCTGCTTATGTTTTTTGTCTTTTCTTTGAATATCTTGATCTGCAAGGTTCATCATACATAACCTTGGAAAACTGCCATGTATCTTCCGGGCGCAACATGAATCCCATAATAACCAGACCTGCATATCTGGTACTCTATTTATTCCAAAAGAACATTATATCTCAACATGAATACTTACATACCATATTCCTCGTAACTTATTCTATTCTGTATAATACCTGCATAAAGCAAGAATTCCAAGAAAGAAGTCTCTTATCAAGATTAATAGGCTGACAGCACGCCACGCCAAGTGGGGTTGCAGATCCGACTCCGCAGCGGGAACAATTTACATCGTCGACACATTCAAAACATCCACCTTACATATCACAACCACAATACCTATAATCTTGGAACCTTGGGAAATCAGCAACCTTAAAGCTCTAAACTGAGAGACCCAAACAAATACTCGGCCTAAAAACATATATAAAACATCACCTCCAACCTACCACACCTAAGCAAGAGAATCTTGAACTTGGACTTGGCCTTCAACAAAATGGAATCCCAACCCCACACCCACGAAGAAATACCAACAGACCCATCACCAGCAACAGCAGCAACAACAGAAGAAATAGAAACAGAGCAACGCCAAAAAGAAGCCTTAGCAGCTTTCACCGCAACGCTCCACAGCGTCGGCGCAAATCTCGAAGCACCACTCCGCGAACGCGCAGCAATAATCAACTCGAATGCAGGCTCATTGGAGAGACAGGAAGCCGAATTAGCGGGTCAAAGCAGCCAGTTGGCGAAGCAGAATGAGAGTTGGGAACGGATGAACGATGAGACGAGGGAGGGGTTGAAAGAGATTGGGGACGTTCAGAATTGGGCGGAGATGATTGAGAGGGATTTACTTGTTCTTGAGAGTATGATGGATGATGTTGATGGAGATGAGATGAGTGTTGATGGGAGTTTGGAGCATGAGCATGAGCATGATGGGGTTGCGTATGTGCATGAGAATGGAAATGGTAATGGTAATGGGAACATGGATGTGGAAATAAATGGAAATGGAAATGCGACTCCGAATGGAGACGGAGATGGTGTAAAGAAAGGTAAGAAGGAAAAGAGGAAGAGCTGGTTTTTTTGGTGGTGACAGCGACGGTGACTTTTATATGCAGTCATATCGAAATTATATACACGCATAGGTACTTACATACCATGTGCATGATTTATTCATCTGCTTCAGCTTCGACTTCTTCCTCCTCTTCATTATTTCCATCCACACATTGTCTCCATAGATCTAATCCAACAGGTTCATCCCGATGAGCCTCAACATCGGGATGACAATCCGTATACTCATCCCACTCATCCCACTGTCCAAGACTCATCAAATGTCTCATAGTCGGACGACCATGCGGACAATTCCACGGTTTATCAATCGTGCCCATATTCCGAACAACTCGCTGCATCTGACGCGTCGTCAAAGTTTTCCCAATCATAATACTCGACCGACACGCTCTCATTGCAAACATTTTACGCACTTTACCCGGTCGCGGCACGGAAATCTCATGATTAACCGGCGACTCAGACAAGAGCACAATGAGTTCTTCAAGATCACGAGAACCAAAAACAACCTCCTTGCTTAGCGGTAGAGAAACAAGCTGACACCGTCGACCGATAGGTTCATCACCGCTTTCATCGACCGTGACTATGAATCCGTTCTTTTCGAGTGCGGTCCGATTCTCTAATACAACCTCTTCTTCGACGGCGGTTAGGTCGAGACGTTGTGGACGGACGAGGCGCTGGTTCTGTACGACCGTTTCGGCTTGGAGACGCTCGAAATTGAACTTTTCATCTGAAGCATGTTGGTCTATGATGAAGAGTTCATCGTGATCTTCACCGGGTCGAACGGCGATAATGAAGCCTAGGTTGAATTGTCCGATGATGCGCATTTGGGCAAAGTCCGCTTTGCTCACTGTGAGTGAGAGGCGGTCTTCGGCGGTTTTTTTATCCGTGTTGGCGTCGTCGGCTTTGGAAGTGGTGTTTCGAGGTTGGAGACGTTCCTTTAACTTTTCCATTTGGGCACGGAGTCGGGAGACAGATGCATCGATGGTGCCAATGAGGTTAACAGTTGCGTCGCGGTGTGCAGCACCCTTATTCATCTTGTTTGCGCGGCTTTTGCTATTCTCTCCTGGGAGAATTGCGGTTTCTTCGGCTTGGTGAATTAGTCGCTGGACTGTTGCGTCTTCTTGAGCCTTTTTCTCGGCTTCATCGAGATCGTTTTGACTGGCATCCGTGGCTACCTCTTTTTCGGTGGATTGCTCTTGGCTATCATTATGATCTGTGTGCGGAGCACCGTCGGCATCATTTTCATCTGCAACATAGTCTTCATCCTCGGGTTCTGGAGAGGGTGCAGCCTCTTCTTGGTCGTGAATTTCTTGTTGGGCCTCGTTCTCTCCATCGGCTTCTTCTAGTTCTTCCTCATCTTCCTTATTCTCCTCTGCATCATCTTGCTCTTCTTCCTCGTCTTCCTCATCATCCTCTTCCATCTCTTCTGCTTCAACATCTATATATTCGCCGGCATCATCTCCAGACTCGTCGTCATCCTGGTCTTCTTCTTGAGTCCCTGGTGCTGCAAAGGCCCTCATGTGCTTTCCGAATATATTCGGTCTGGATGGTGTATGGACTAATCGCTTGCGCTTTGGAGTCTCTTTATTTGAATAGCCAAAATCAGAGGTCCGTTTTCGTGGCAATCCACTGCCAACCATGGATGTCACTGTGCGGCCAGCGATGGTGATAGTAGCCATTTCTGCCGGCATTCGACGGGGACGCATGCGATCAAAGGCATTCTGAACCACATTTGGGGTTTCTTCAGATCCTTCAGCATCGAAATTGCCGGGCGCCTGCTCCAGTTCCGACGGCTGAGATGAAAGTTCTTCCAGCGCAGCTGAGGAGCCTTGGGTGGTTTCGTCTGATATTGGGTTGTCATTCCGATCCTCAGATTGAACGGACGAAAGATCAATGTTAGGCGCGGGTGAAACTTCCGCGGGAGAAGGTCTTTCTCTCTGAGGTTTGCCAACAGATTTTTGAGTTTCCACCTCTTCCTCTCCATCGGTTGGCTCTTCTCCATTCTTCTCTTGGCTTGCAGTGGTAGAAGGAGATGCGGTCTTACCACGAGCAACCTCTCGAGCAGAAACAAACCCAGGCAACGAACCCAGAGCTTGCTGTTTACTAGCCGAAGGATTTGACCCAAGCACTTGCGATTGAGGCACCGTCTGATCCGCCGCCTCGAACATCTGGGTAAGAGAAACTTTCAACGAATGAATGAGTGCGCCGGCATCATGCAACAAAATTGTCCGTTTATCAGGCGACACATTCACATCATAAGCATTCGTATCCATCTGAAAATCCGCAAAAACAAACGGCGATTGCGAAACATTAAACGATTTATAAACTTCATTGAATGCTTTGGCAATCTGAGGTAGTGCACAAGGCCTCGTATTCACGAAAAACATCTGCCGATCCGGTGTTTGGCGTCCCTCTCCAAAAACAGGGCGTGAGATATGACCCCGAACCTGAATTTTATTCACCACATCCTCACCACCAGACCGCTTCATCGCATGAGAAGGCTCAAATTCCAGCTCCAACTCTAGCGGGATAAGTGCAGATAGCGTCTTCGCGCCGTAGACATTGGCAATATTCTCCTTCGTTGTACGATTTCCATTTGTAGAAAACACCGTCACATTCTTAGTCTTTCCAACTGTATTCCGGGCACTAAAGCTTACACCCGTACTGATGCAGGCGTATGCATGTAAAAGATTCACCACCTTCCCGTATTCTCTCTTGATATTCTTCTCTAGTTCCTTCCGGCGAACAGGGAGGCGCTTGAAGATCCCGCCCACAGAGGCGGTGGTGCCTTTTCGACCGGCGCAGACTTGTTTCTTGGCTAGTTTACCCGAGACTTCGAATTCGAGTCTTGTCGCTACCGGGACTTGGTGTGCCTGAGCAGTTACGACCTGGAACTCGGAGAGGGCACAGAGCGAGGAGAGGGCTTCGCCGCGGAAGCCGAAGGTGTTAAGGGAAGAGAGGTCATCGTATGAGGCTAGTTTGGATGTATAGTGTTTTAAAGCTGGTCAAAAATCCAAATATTAATTTCAAAACAGTGTCTTCGGTTTCCAAGGGCTCTTGTTGCTCACCGACGCTTTCATAGTTATCCGGAGCAATACCACTGCCATTATCCTGAACCTCGATAAGGTCCAGCCCATTGTCTTTAAATCTGACCTCTGATAAGGACGGCCAATGATCAGCTATCGAGCACGCCCAGCAAGATTCCATGTTGTCCGAGAATCACTCACCGATTGTCGTTGCGTGTGCATCGAGACTGTTCTCGACTAGTTCTTTCGCGACGGAGCACAGGTCGGTGATGACCTGGCCGGACTGGATTTGGTGGACCTAGTGGGTATGAAGGTTAGAAATTCGAAATATTCACTAGATAAAAGATCAGGTATCTCACTGAGCGGGCCTCGATGGCCTTTATGGTTGCCATTATGCCATGGCGGTTGATGTTGGAGAGCGCGTCGCACTTAACGCGCTTGAGAAGCGGAGCATGTGCCAAGCTGCGGCTCCACTTGATCCGCAGAAGGCTATGTATGTGATTGATGTGTGCCGCCTGTGAAAGAGAACAAACAGCGGGCATGCATTTAATTACTCATTCTTAGCATCTAGTTTATTGGATGATCTTATATTTGACCAGAGTATGAAAATCATTGCTGATGCGGTATATACTATAACGGAGAAAGCAAAGTCGACTGATCGCTCATAACGCCCAAAATCCGAAATCTGTTCACTTGCACTTCAATAAAATTATCACATCAGACACCAAAGCGATCGGGTAGTACAACAGGGGCGACCAATGTCCATAGGTATATGGTATAGCACACCCAAGAACTAACAATCTTCACCCAACTAGCCCAGTAGCTGCGGCCAACTGGCGCGAAATCGACATTAGTATCGACTTGCAGTCCCTGTGTCAAAAGGGTTGCAACCCAGGTCGTAGCCAGGAAGAAGATGATGTGGAAGAGAGAGTAATTGTACTGAGTTGAACCACGTTCGTCATCTTTACTGCTGGTCTCAAATTCGTCCTCGTCGTCACTCTCATCCAAGGCACTAGCTGGCAAACTGCCACTTTCAACGGCAGCCCGGAGGGCTTCTGCTCGCATCTCCCGACGGCTGTTGGGCTGTTGCGTCACAAGCCCATGCTCGTTGTCTTCCGTGCCCAGTTGCACGTAGTTGTGGCCACCTTTAGATCCCAAAGCGATACCCTGAGTAGCGGCACGGGTGGTGGTGTATGCAATAGTGGCCATGGTGACGAACGCGCCCAAAATGACTGTGATTGTCCGGGTGCCGCTAGAACGAATGAGAGGGTTGCAACCGTTGTCATCGGGTTCCATAGAGACTGCGGATAAGGTAAGGTAGGTGCAATAAATTGTAACCATAGCGGCTTGGGCTAGGCCCGCTCGGGGGTTGGATTCCTGTACAGCAGGCTGCACGGAGACGAAGGAGATGATCAGGAAAAGAATCAGGTTGATCTAGAAATGGTTAGTAAAAGGTTTTCTAGGCGGAATACTGGATTTACATACCGAAATAGCCGCCTGGTTCATAGAGCAAGAGCCACGAGCAAAGAAGATAAACATCAAGATGGTCATGACAGTTGACGTCAAGTACATGCCAAGAGTCGTTCCAATCAACAAGCCGCGCCACAGTCGCGAGTCGCTGTCCTCAATCTTTTGTAGACAAAGCTCGGCCCATGTATGTGCGAGGTCCACGAGGAGAACCAGACCTAGAAGAAGGAATAGCATGGCGCAGAAGAAGGCGACGTAGTTGCCGTAGATAAAGAAGAACGACTCGGGGATGAAGAAAGACACTACGACAAAAGCGAACCAAAGGATTATCTTGGGTCCCCAGAATCCATTTTGAAGACCTGCTCGACTATCCCGGGAAGTCTTGACACCAAGAAGTAAGAGCGCGAGTATCAGGTGAAAGAGAGCCAGGCCAAAATTAATACGGTGAACCGCCACCCAGCCGTAACATTCCTTGCCATCACAACGAATTTCCATATAATCGAGGGTCAGATGCTGTAGTTTCTTCAATGCCCATGGTGTGAGCATGATCCAGGATACGATAGAATTGATTAAGAGGATGAATGCATAGGCGATTCTCGTGGCCATACTGTATCGTTGTTAGCCCAAGTCCCATCCCGCGCTAGGCAGCCAAGTGACCGTACCTATTCTGAAATTTCCCACATGCGCTACAGACCGCGGAGCAAGTCGCTGCACCGCAACATGATCCACCGACTGTGAGGATCTATTTGAATGAAGCGATCTCATTAGCAAAGGAACTGGTCGGTTCGACTCGGAAGGGACATACCGTTCCCATGCTTGGCACCGCCAATAACGGTAAAGATAAAAGGGCACCCATGATGGGAGAGTAGGTAAGGTTCTGGCAGACCGGGCCAGTATTCAATCAGTCGCGCCGGCGACTCTAGGTTTGAAGCTCGAACAACCGAAAAGTAAGACGGGGTGAGATGCAGGTGGAGTTGACGATCTCCAACCCGCCTTCGTCATTGTCGCAGTGGGTATTTGCGGATTTTAATTTATCCGACAAACACCGATGCTTCTTAGTCATCCAGGGGAGAGAATACCACAGCCAATTAAAATAGATAAATTCCCTCTCGGGAGGTATAAAAAAGCCCTTTGTTTTCTGCACAATCAAGGCATCACTACTAGGTTAAACCTCGAATTTCACAGATTTGCAAAATCCATACATACTCTGGTGCTATCTATGTTATTTTATATTTGTCTATTCCCCTTATAAAACGAGAAAAATTTGTATTTGTCTCAAAACTTCAAACCCCGCAACAATGACCAGCATCAACCAAAACTGGACCTCTTTCGAAGGAATAGACCTCGATACCGATCGTGCAAGATTACTGAGGACTATTTTACAAAGTGCAAACTTGAGTTACCTATGCTCCAAAGCTATCGAGATTCGTCGAAAATTGGACCCTCAAACTGATGAAACCATCACCTGCTCGGCGGAAACCAGCAAGTTCACCAGTGGGCAATGCAATATAGTAATAGTCGTAAGATTCTCCGACTCGCTTGAATGGGTGGCGAGAATTATGCTACCTCTGTAATCCGAGAAAGAGGTCACATCTCTGTCTCTCTTAAGTGAAATATCCACTATGAATTTGATACGTGCCTAATCAAGCGTACCGGTGCCGCGGGTATTCGGATACGACACGACGACAAATGAGATTAGATACCGATACCTACTCATGGAAGCTATTCCAGGGAGAATCTTAGGCATTAAGGTGGCTTCGTCTATTCCCGAGCAGCATAAGAGAAGCTTCGCGGCTCAATTAGCAGGGTACATGTACGAACTAAGCACCATGACTTTCAATAAAATTGACCGAGTCATTTCACCCGACCTTCCCAGAGACGATGGCCAGTTTGATTTGCGTGCATTTCTCATTGGTGATTCTGAGATCGCAACATTGAATACTTCACGTGAATATTTTTATCTTCTTCGGAAAGCCCAAACAAAAGCAATTCTCAAAGCTCATCCGGCTGACCCAAAATGGGAGACGGCAGCTTGGCTTCTTGAGAAAGCCCTCACCAGCCTTGTTGTGGACGAGCATATTTATGGGCCATTCCCTATTTGTCATCTGGATGTTCATTACAACAACATCATTGTTGATGATTCCTTCCGTATTATCGGCATAATCGATTGGAGTCACAACCAAGATGTGCCTATTGAGCGATTTGCCAGGATTCCAGAATTCATTCCGCCCCCAGCTGCACCATAGTCGACAAAGCGGGCCATTACTGAATTTCGCGACCTAATCATTGCTGAGCTGGAGATTATTGAAACCCACAAACCAAAGACTTCACCCGCCGGTAGATTCGAGTTGTCTCGTCTTTTTTCTTCGCCGCGAGCCGAGGCGGTTTGTCGATGTAGATACAGGTATCCGTGGAGAGCTATATTCGATGCAAAGCTCACACTTCTTCTGTTTTATGGGAAGAATGCCAGGTTGGAGGATTTTCGTACCTTTTGTACTGAGCGTTGTGTGTAATTCCTCTCCGCGGCTACGTTTGCTTAGAAGCGTCGATCCTCGATTGACGGCCTAGTGAGCATAACATACCTCTATCTGTGTACTATCTTTGCTAACTAAGTTGCCAGGTGCCTACTTCTCTATTATAATCACATTTCTAACTTGACGTCATGCCCGGATATTGTATCACTGAACGTCCGCTGGTCACTTTATTTTCGAAATAATACCACGCCCGGATATGTGCGGTTTCTTTATCGTAAGCCCAATTTGATCATCATATACCGCTCACCTAGGCATCCACCTTGAAGAGGGCCGGGGGGCTTGTTTAATGAGCTTACTAGGTCGATCAACTCGCAAGGCTAGTATAGGTTGTACTTCCAAGCCCCGGAGGTGCTGTATGGGGACGCGAAGCTTATACACAGTTCTTCCATGACACCCAGACACTTTATTCTGTATTAACGAGCTTTGATGTCACAGTCAATATATCTAGAGCGCCTAGTTGTTGTAGATGCGCGATATCTATACGTGACACCCCCCAGGTCGATCAACAGAGCTTGGTCTTCCTGTTCTACGTCGCCTCTATCCCCCTCAATTCTAGTACGTCGCTTGGTAGCAGGTACGCAGATCAGTTTCCACCTTAATAGGCTTATGCAACGGCTCCTACCCCTCCCCCTCTTCAAGGCACGTCGGGATACATTCAAGCATTTGGTCCAGCAGTCCTTCATTGAATAGTCCAATACTGTATCGATAATTTCCGGAGGCTGGCGAGTTAACGCGGTGGCGAGTTGATTTGTAGCGGCTGTTAGTCCACCGTTCTATGTCGGAAGAAACTTGTCAGTATCGCTGTTATTCGCTGTTTGGATTGAATCCCATACCCATCATATCACCAGTGTTTACAACATAAGCATTCGGAACATATTTAAACGGATACCATATGTCTTGGGATTCGTAGTAGACCTCCAGTCCGCCAACTAATTATCAATATAGTATGATTAGAGTTGCGATTTCGATAAGAATTATAACTTATAAGCTTACCTTCATCTTGGAGTAGAAGAATCAGGGCACCCCAATCAGTATAGGCTCCTATCCCTCTCATCTTGTCCGCCATCTTCTTCGACATAGTGGATATCGATAAGCTTTGCACATACTCATAGCTTAATATATTGTTACCATACAGAATAATAGCCAGGATAGTAGTAAAGATTAATCAACTTACAGTCTCTACTTACAACAAAGTTGTCAAAATACATCTCTTTCAACTCCAAACTCAACGCAAGCAACCGAAACATCGACTTACTCAGCTAGCGCACTTCATTGTAATACTGCATAAATATCTCTTTAAGCCCAGAGTAAACACTTTCTTTGGGCCACTAGTTTACAACTTCCAAGGATGTCCCAGGGAATAACTCAGGACCGATCGTGAAGCCCTCTTTTTGATCTCCACCCGTTCCGACCTTCTGCTCTCCGACAATTTCATATCCCGTTAAACATTCACAATTGGTTCTATAAACCTACATCTTCACATCTCAGGGTAGACTAAAAAAATCCTGCAGACTTTAGAGTGTTTGCGCTCGGAGATCAGCGGATACTGAGTGACCAGTTATCTGGAAGAAGCCGGGGGGTTTGCAGGCAGATCGAACGGCTGCTACTATATCTCTAGTCTCTGCTTTATCATTTTATAAATACCCAGAGATGTCGATGACAAGCACCTCGATCTCCGATTCGGTTATGTTTTCAGTCATGGTGTTGAGAATACTGAGCAGAGGGCAACTGGGCGAGTGTATCAAGTGCCGGGAAGCTGCATTTCAAGCTGACAATCATACGGGTTGGAAGGAATGACGCGTATAAACCGGGACCGTGAGCCTCGCGCCTCTTCCCTTTTCCCTCGCATTCTCACAGAGAGTGCATATCATCGAGACCGGCCGAGCTGTACTTCTGCACTCTCTCATGAAGGGTACATAGGTCATCGAGGCCGGTCGACCTGCACTCTGCCGTCCTTCAAACCGGGAGTGGCCCCAGACTTGTCGCTGGAAAGTGCAGGTCGCCCGAACGTAAGCCGGAACATGCACGTCATTCAATCTCCTGGGGTCATTCCAGGGTCTTGGTGGTGGGGGCGGACCTTACACTCCACGAAAGTCCCACATATATAGTTCAATGGTTCAAGTAGTAATCAAAAGGGGCAACCTCTTTATGCAATAATATCCACGCATAATCGTTTCACAATATTTCATTATTGCATACCCGTGGGCATAAATAGGTAGCGAAAGACGACCCTGAGATGCAATGCAATCCCACATGTACATACTAGTACAGCGCGCATCCTCACTAGGTCTTAGCACGATATATGGGAGGCTTCCATGGATGTACATAAGGTCCACGGGCTTTAATTTGAAGAAGCTCCAACCGAAGACTCTTTCTTGAACTTGACTTCGGAGCCCTCCGAGAGTCTGAACCTTGGAAGTTGTCACGACTCGGGCTCGGAAGGTTCAACTTGAAATTGAACAATGCATGAATATATATAACCACCATTTGACCTCAGGCTGAAGTCACATCGACTACTTGAACTTGAACCTTGGAAGTGCATTAATTTATACTTAGGTATTTTCAATTTACCAAATTGTTACACCAATGAATAACTACTAGAAATGGGTGATCCCGACACCTACCTATGCGAGACATTCTTTGGAAAAAGATGTTGGCAGCCTCGGCTGTCCCCACCGATAATGAACTTAACGGGTCAACTTCGAGGAGTGTTGATTTACATTTCCGTCTATAATTTTCTGGTAGGCAACAAAATCACGTGCCAACAACAACTGCTCGCATAGCTCAGTTGGTAGAGCGCATGACTAGTACCTCTTACCGAGCAATCATGAGGTCTGCGGTTCAAATCCGCATGTGAGCAATTTTCTTTTTTTGCATTGAATCTCTCACTCAACTTTTTCGTTTTCATTGATCTATTCGCTCCAAGGAAAAACAAGTGTTCTTGTTTTGTTTGTTCCGCTTTATTCCGATTATTACTTGCATGTATAATATATACTCTAAAAATTCGAGAGAGGTAGAGTAATGTAAAGACCTACAAAAAGAAATACTAGGAACACGGGTATGTGTATGCATGTTGCTCCATCATTGGCGAATTCAGAGCTTTGTTCATAATGCCAACTTTTGATCCCGAATTTCATACCAGCTCGCATAGCTCAGTTGGTAGAGCGCATGACTAGTACCTCTCACCGAGCAATCATGAGGTCTGCGGTTCAAATCCGCATGTGAGCATCAACTTTTCCCCCCTCTTTTTTTTCCTTTTGCCCCTCCTTTACAAAGTAGGCAGCCTTTTCACGCGAAGAAATATACACTCTTCTCACTTGGAAACCCCTTTTTTGCCCTAGTCAATTTTTCTCTCTCGTTGCCATCAGACCCATAATCTCTTCGTACGATAATTGGAACTACAAATACTTCATAACCAGCTGAAATAATTGCCTGGCCAGCCTCTTTTTGTATTTCTTTCTCGAAGTGTATCATTCATTAGCACTACAATGTTATATGTATGCCAAGGTACTACCCTTCTAATGCTATTCGCCATCCTGGGAGGACAAGAGATACCAACATTAAAGGAAAGATCTCAGGGACTACCTGGCCGCACGCCTTGCCTTGCCCTTGGCCAAATTCAAAAGGAGCGAACAAGGCAAACATACCTCCTTCAAATGTTGTCCAGGTATTTTCCAATATCAACCATGCCCGTACAAGAGAGTACAATTAGGAATCGCAATATATACCAGCTCGCATAGCTCAGTTGGTAGAGCGCATGACTAGTACCTCTTACCGAGCAATCATGAGGTCTGCGGTTCAAATCCGCATGTGAGCATCAACTTTTTGTCCCCTTTTCTTTTTGTTACTCTATCGTATAACCTCGACCGGATGCTCCTGGCTCAAGAATTGATCTGGTATCGATTTTCCCGACACCGCAGTCGATTGATAACGTTCAACTAGTACATTACGGGGGATTAATTCATGAGAGGAGGGGAAGGAAGTGGAGGTGGACAATGTGGAGCTCCACACCCAAGTCTCATCAGGAAGTTTACCTACTGAGATCATGCTAGGATCCACCTCGTTATCGACCAAACAAATTGCTCGTCAAGCTATGCACAATACCGGACTCCACGCCCTTTTCAAGGATCCTCCAGAGGGTCCAGAGTGGGAGCCATAAATACATATCGTAACCCTATCTGCTACCTAAAAGTTGTCATGCCGCAGCATCTAACAATTCACACAAGCTCACTTCACCATCATTCAAGTTACTCAATGGGGTCCATCGGCTACAACGAAGAACATGCTCCTAAGGGCATGGGCCACTGTGGAAATTACGAGATTCTTGAAGAACCGAGCCGATCTCGTCGCAAGATCCGGATTATCGTAATTGGAGCCGGCGCAAGTGCGTTAAACCTTGCACACGAGATCGATACAAGTACACTGGACATTGAGTTGGCGCTGTATGAGAAGAACCCTGAAGTTGGTGGAACTTGGTATGAGAATCGATACCCCGGATGTGGATGTGATATTCCCTCGGTAAATTATCAATTCTCTTGGGCACCTTCTCCTGACTGGACCTCATTGTAAGTATGCACGATTGTTTCTTGATTACCATTTCAAAAAACATAAAATATATGATAAATCTTTGAAATAATCAAGCTGACTCGACCTGGTGCAGCTACTCGGGGGCGCCCCAAATTTTGAATTATTTCAAAGGAATTGCGGATGATTACGGACTGCGCAAATACATTCACTTAAATCATCAAGTCATAGGTGCATCATGGGATGAGCATGATGAACAGTGGGTTATCCAAATCCAGAGAGGTGACGACCCCGAGGATGTTTTTGAGGACAGAGGACACATCCTAGTCAACGCGTCTGGTGTTTTGAAGTGAGCAAAATCATATCCCACTGTACGATGGAGGTACCATGACTAATTTAGTGATTAGCAAGTGGAAATGGCCTGCAATTAAAAACAGAGAAACCTTTCAGGGGCCTATACTTCATAGTGCACACTGGGATGATCAAGTTGAATTAAAAGGGAAACGCGTGGCTGTGATCGGCTCAGGGTCCTCAGCAGTACAAATTATTCCAACTATTCAGCCCGGTGAGCTCAAGAATACCAAGAAGAATATAGTAGCGAGATCATTTCTAATAAGCGTTATAGCGGTGTCTTCTCTGAAATGTTTCATTCGCAGCGCCTTTTGGGTGACTGCTGGGTTTGGTCAGCGGTTTGCAGGAAAAGGAGGAGCCAACTTCAAATGTCTAACACCTGTAACAATTTTTCTCAGAAACCAAGGATAATAAGTTAACGATTTTCAGACAATGCGAAGCAAAGAGAAATACTCCGGGACAACCCACAGAGATACTTGGCATACCGCAAGAAAATTGAATCCGAGCTGAACTCTCGTTTCCGATTCATTCTCAACGGATCGAAAGAGCAGGCAAATGCCAGAGCGGTAAGACAGCCATACCAATATCTTCAACTTGTCAATAGCTTCTGTGACTGATTAACTCGCTAGTATGCCGAGAAAGACATGCGATCTAAGCTCGCTAGTCATCCCGAGATTGCTGACTGGATAGTCCCGAAGGATTTTGCAGTAGGTTGTCGTCGACCCACGCCTGGAAACGGATACCTCGAGGCACTCTGTAGCGAGAACACCGAAGTTGTCTCTCAGTCCGTCGCAGAGATCACTTCCAAAGGGATCAAAACTGCTGATGGCGTTGAGCATAAAGCCGATGTGATTGTATGCGCAACTGGTTTTGATGTTAGCTGGCGGCCATCGTATCCTACGATTGGCCGGGGAGGACACAGTCTCAGTGAACAGTGGAAGGATATTCCGAGGACCTATCTTTCAATCACTGTCCCGAACTTCCCCAACTATTTTAGTAAGAGCATATATATTGCCATTGTTGGCATATGACCTGGAAAGCTGACAATATTTGAATAGTTTTCAACGGCCCCTTCGGCCCATATGGACATGGAAGCTTTCTCCCAATCACAGAGACCCTATCGCGTCATTTTCTCCAGATCCTAGAGAAAATGTCGTCTGAGGGTGTCACTTCCTTCGAACCAAAAGAAGAGGCAGTCGCTGATTTCTTCGAGCACCATAGGCAATTTATGCCGCGTACAGCTTGGACATCTCCATGTCGTTCTTGGTTTAAGCAGGGCACTGTTGATGGCGAGGTAATGATGTGGCCTGGTTCTAGAATACACTTCTTTGAAACGATGAAGCAACCCCGGTGGGAAGATTATAATCTTCGATATACGACCACTAATCGATTTGGATACCTCGGAAATGGATTTGCCGCCCGTGAGTTTGACGGAAGTGACATGTCTTGGTATCTCGGAACTTTAGAAGGTAATGAACAAGCCTATCTACCAGATGAAGATTTTGAAGATTTCATGGTTTGTTAGTAAGCTTAGTGGCATTTCAATCATTCAATCATTCAAGAATTTATGTTCAAAGCTATATCATGATATCGTGTTTTATCGTCTAAAATTACCGATGTCTCCATTTGCCTTTCTATATGTCTTTCTACTTATCTTTCCATTTGTCTTTCAACCTGGTTTGTCTTCCATGTAGAGCTTATAGTACAGGCAGCGGTGTAATAAGCGGCACAGATTATATATGGCCAACTTGAAGAGGTTTTGTATGATCGCTCATATGGTAGGTACCCCGTACCCCCCTAATTTTCCCACTTCAACCAATCGCACTTATTCATTATCCACCCACCCTCTTCAAGCATTCTACCACCATGCTGGTAAACTATCGTGTAGCCTTTTAACTGGCAGAACCGATACAGATGCCTTGATCTCACGAACATCCAGACTGTCCCCAAGCTTGCCCCAACTTAGGCAGTTGATAGAATGATACCCCCCTCAAATAATAAAACGCCCAATTCCTAAAATCCTGCAGAGAAGAAACCCCCTTGGAGCAGCACGAACTACAACGGGCGAAACGTTTTCACGCCGATAATTAACCATTGGTATTTTGAAATGCATGATCAGGGAAGCAGTTATCACGGAGGTATGGATAAAAACGAAGACTATCTTACATCAAGTGATACGAATTCTCACAAGTTAGTATTGGCTTTCGCCTACGAAGCTTGCACTGCATCTACGCCCCGGTACTCAAAGTATTTGCTCCACTCAGGGTCATTGATAAGACCCTCCTTCAGACTCTTCTCATAAGTGATGGAGATCTCTGGGCCTTCATCCGATTCGGGAGATGGATCACGCGATGGGTAGATAATGATCACACCTGGAGTCATCTGGTCAATCAGATGGCGGTATGTAGCCGGCTTAGCAAAACCAAAATTTGCATTTGGAATATTCGCATCGCGGTGGTCCGTCTGAAGCAGTGACATGGGTGGAAAAGAGTCAATGCGGAGGTTCAGTGAGCTCTTGTCTCGTACGGTGGCCACCATATCCAATGCTGCGTCCAAAGCCTCCTGCGTCATGCAGTCGGTCATCTGGCGGACATATGTAGCAAGCTTGGTGAGCGGCCACTCGGTGATGACCTCACCTGCCGTTGGTTGGGTCACCGGAGCTGTGATAGAGAGACTTGCGGACATTACATTGCGCTGGATGCGTGGCGATACCTTTGGACTATGCAATCGTCGCCGCATATCAATAGCTTCTGACCAGAAGAGAGGTTCCGAGAGGCTTGGTTTGAATACTGGCTCACGCAAGCGGGTTACAGTTCGCCAGATAAACGCCGAGAAAGCATCGTAAGTAGAGATCCACGATCCACTTTCAGTAGGATAAGCGAGTTTCTTTAATTCCGCTGCCTTGCTCTTGGGCAAATGAAAGAGGAGCATTTCAGCTGTGATATGACCGGGGTGTCGCTCGGGTGCTGGGGGGCCATCGACGCGCTTCTCCTCGGGCACATTCGGCTTCGTGAGGCGAGATAGGTCGAGGCAGCCCATGTCCCATAATGGTGCAGCTGTATTGTTCATTATTGAGAAACAATTTTCAGCAAGTTGATGCGTGAGTCCAGCCCAGCCCATAACATCATTGGAATAGTGATGATGGTGCATGATAAATACAAGGCCACCACGGATGAAGTTGGCCTTGTAAGATGCGACAACAGGGCTATTTTCGGGACGCGCCTCCGGCTTTTCTCCATATGTCATTGGATTGACACTCCAGCGTTTGATATCGCCGAGAATGGAGGTACGGTAATTTCCCTGACGGATGTCGTCAAAGGATGGATAATCTTTCTCATCTTCGGGTGAGTCCACCCATTGAACATAAAAGCGTACCGTACTATCCCGCTTCTTAACAAAGGAATAGCCGCCATCAGTATCCTTCTCGATACTACCACAGATATGCCTTGCCTGACTTAGGGTCATCTCAAGACCCTGCTTGAGGACCGCAGCTACTCGGGGTTTGTTGGCGTCGTCAATTTCGAAAAACAAGGCATAATTGTTATAAGTGCAGGGAGTAAGGTAGTCGAGAGTCGAGAGTTTGAATCGTTCTTCCTCGGGGTCATTTTCCCAACCCAATGGGTGAAGCTCATAGACGTCTTGCTTTGGCATGCTGATTGGTATTATATGAGTTTTTGGCAACGTATAGCTTTGCAAAAGCAACAAGTCTGTACAAAGCGCTTATAGCCGAAAGATTTATGAGTCTCCTTCCTGTCACTAGCACGTGGTCAAGGAACCGATGGTACATAGTAATGACTACCCCTGAGTACTGATTGGCACGGAATAAAATCCTCTAGTCCAGGGTAACAGGGGTTGGAAACACCTCGTTGGGCAACTCAGCGGTGGGGTGTTATGCTGACGAGGATGCCGTTTCATTAGGTGGGTCAAACTTTGATTCTTTTCAAGTAATTGACTCGATCAAGTACCTGGTAAAACAGATCTTCATCCGGAGATTTGACTATCAGTATTTTTGAGAAAAGGGCCAACGCTAATGAAGCTTGAATCGCGACAAATCTGGATCCGTACATATCCCTGATGTTTGAAATTTGCAAATAAAACCAATCAATAAAATGATATGCGAGCGAGAGGATTGACTGCCATGTGAATTCCTGCATCTTTAACGCGCTAAATCACCACTTTACGCTCGGATCGCGTATTAGCGACACACCATTTAGCCTTGGAACAGGGATTAGGCATTAGCGAGATGAGTAATAGACTTGAAATGTTCTATATTCCAAGGACCTGACCTCACAGTATAGACATTTTCCCCCTCCATACTAACGCCCCGAGCTCCGGTTTAAAAATAAATTTTAGACCGAAGATAAAAGAATTAGGCACGAGATTACGTATGATACAAATTTACCCATGCTTGTATGGCCAAAGTGTTCAATTCTCAGCTTTGCGGTGAAAGTATTTCCGCAGGATTTTAGCGCACGAACTAGTGCCTTTTTATGAATAGCGTGCTACACCATGATTTTTCTTACACTTTGCACTTCACTTCCTTCCCATCCTATGAATAATATAATGGTAAGTGAAGAGTATTTGAACTCGGAACATGTACTCCGTAGGGAATTCCCAGAGCCCCCAAGGTCCGAGGAGGCACAAGTAGGTCAACGAATCATATAATGCAAGATTTTCATGATTGAGGTGATTAACTTTTGGGGCGTTGGATGTTGTTAGTAGAGGTTTACGGAAGGAAGATCCCGATACCTGACACCTTGCTTGGCATCCCCGAGATCAACACACATCGACCTGCTTATGGTTAGCTTAGGAGGAGCCAGCCAAATGGGTAGAGCCGTACCGAGGGCCGGACATTAGTACAACATACCACAATCGGAGATATCGTACGGAGCCATCCGCATAGAGAACTAGGCAACTGTGGGCCCACTTTGAATCCGTGGCGTAATTTACCACGAGCTAGACCATTGTCAATGCGAATTACGGACTACGTAGACAATGCCCTGTCTCAACGGGTATCCTCCCGTATCTAATGGCTCCTCCCGACCGTTTGGAACTTGCCAACGAGAGACAGGTCTGGATGTCTCCTGAAGATCACTCTTGGAATCCGAAGAGGACGTGTCAGTTATATGAAGACATTTTCCTGGCACATATTTGAGCCCCTAGCAAGCCTTTTCCAGTGTCACCTACAGCTTTTCAATGGATTTGGACGGCCCTGCACTTGCGCCGCCAGCTGGCATCACCTCCAACCTAGACAACCCCCCCAACAATAACCCTCTTGCTATCGGCGTATTTTCAACATGCGCAGCCATTGCAACGATATGCTTTATCATGAGGGCGTATGCCCGGATTTTCATACTGAAGAAAATAAAAATAGAAGAAGGTGAGTTTTTGTTTCGAGGCCTGCTTTGAAGAAACTAAGTTGACGATGGCATTCGATTATAGGACTGATATTATGCGCATATGTCTGTCAGCACTGTTATTGGCCTTTATTTAGACCCCATATGTACTAATATGCGCACAGGGATGCTACTGGGGTGCAGTTTCCTCACTTTTACGCCTGATTGGAACACCGGGTTATTTTGTCCACACGTGGAATGTCCGCGTCCGAGACCTAATTCCTACACAATATGCAAGTCCATGGAAACTACTTGAAGGGACCATATTCTAACGTGGATTAGTACGTATTCTTATTCGGAGTATTCTACTCGGTCGTTCTGGCATCATTGAAGGTGTCAATTTGTGTTGAGTGGTGTCGACTATTTGCACCCCTGGGTCGTCAAACTCAGGGATATTTCTGGTGGAGTGCTGTTGTTGTAATATGCATCCAAATAGCCAACGGAATCGCTACCGTGGTGGCCCTCAATTTGCAATGCATCCCCCAGCGCGCCATCTGGGATATTACGATCACGGCTACGAGCAAGTGTTTTGACCTTTACAAATTGCAGGTGGCTTCTGCAAGTATTCAACTAATATCAGATGTCATGATATTACTCCTTCCACAGGGAGTAATTTGGGGATTGAAGATGACATGGCAGAAACGAATGGGTATATCTATCATTTTTGCACTTGGATTATTGTGGGTCATTTTCTAATCTTCCCTCGACGTTGAGGTATTCAATATTATTTTGGTATTCTTGCGACTGACACAAAGAAACTACTACTAGGGCATGTATCTGCGCCGCATTCCGCCTATCCACAACGATTACGCATGGAAATTCCGCCGACTCCATATATACCCTTGGCCCATTGGCCTTCTGGGCGACTGCAGAGATGACTTGCGCTTTCTTTGTAGTCTCCCTGCCCTGCATCCCTAAGATCATAAAGGAGATTAGAGGCACCAGGAACCTTATGAAGACACTCGGAATATTCTCATCTGGTGTCTCATATGACCATAATCACAAGGACAATACTGGGCTCACTTCCACGAACCATAGCAGACTTGGGAGTACATCTGCAAGCGCCTACTATAAGCTGGATCACCTTAAGTCTTCAGAGTCCACGGAACATTTGCACAAAGATGGTGGTGGTTCAGACTTAAAAATTACACGCACGACAAAATTTATGATCACCGAGGATACTAGCGAGGATACTAGCGAGGACTTTAGACAGAACAAGTCTGTTTATCCATAGATAAGCAGCGAAAACTGTGATTTGGGCGGGTATCAGGTCATCTTCAGGGATAAAAAAGTGAGCAAGCACAGGAAAGCTTCGCGTGGCTAGCTACAAAATCAATGAAATGTCTTCATGTTTGTATAATACACATGCATCCTCGAGCAAGCATTGACCAACTTGAAGGTTGAAACGCCACCTTGGAAATTTGAAAAGATTGTAAAGCTCAGGTCCCGAATGTGCTGGGCTTTTCGTGCCGTAAATTCAAAGATCGTTTCAGTTCTAGACCAAAAAGGATTCAAAGGATTCTCCACCTTCAAGACGTCCAAAAGATATTTTGAATTTGGTCCTGGCACATTCCTTTCATTTCAAAAATACCTCCCCCAAGATGAGATTTCTCTGCCTACATGGCAGGGGCACATGCTCCCAGGTATGATTTTCAATTTCCTCTATGAACTTCGCTAACCCTATTTTACATAGATATTTGAGATACAAACTGGTAAGCCTTTCAGTACAGCAGCACATTTGAAGGAAGAGCAATGGATAGTGCGGAAAATACCAAAGAAAGGCCTGGGTTTTCTGACCTCCATTTTAGCGGCAATTCGAGAAGAGTTCACAGATCACGAATTCATCTTTATCGACGGAACTTTCCCTACAGAACAAAACAACGGTATGCTAATTGTTTGATGAAACACTGGGTCTAACCTAAGCGAGTCGATTGACAAATAATAGGTGTTACCATCGTGACGGGCAGCTCTTATGGATTCCTTCCCGCCACTGTCAACAACTCAAGAGAGGTCCGTGATGCTGTGGCGGCATTAGCAGACTACGTGGATCATGAAGGTCCATTTGATGGCATGATGGGTTTCTCCGAGGGGGCAATCATGGCAGCGACACTACTTGTCGAGGATGCCAAAAATTCCGCTATGGGGTTGAAATGCGGAATATTTTTTAGTGGTGGATTACCATTGGATCCGGAACTACTCCGCGGCGAGTGTGTGCGCTGTGTTGACCCACTCACCGATGGAGTTGCGATCCGCGTGCCTACGGCGATTATAGTGGAGGAAGATCTTGGCCGTCTGAGTTGTCGCTCGCCCCTTTCAGGTTTATGGGGCCAGGGGGATATCAGTCGGGGCTTAGTTGACATATGTGAGCCATCTTTGCGTGAGGTGGTTCTGCATAGTATTGGTCATCAAATACCATCATTCAAGTCCCCAGAACTGAATGCAATTCTCAGAGCCATGGAGAGGACAATCGATCGAGCTACAGAGTTATATATCGAGTCTTGAATTATTTACTTTTACTTGCCAACGGCAGTTCTATAGAATCCAAGAATAGGAAGGAAGAATAGGGGCCGCACTGTGGCGTGAGAAGAATAGCTGTGAATCTATTGCAAGTATGGAGAGAGGACTGTATCCTTCCCAAAGATTAGGGCTCGAAAATAACAGAATTCTGGCTACCATAGTAAAGCATGGTGGTGAACATCGTTCCAGATCATTCGTTACACCGCAGAATCACAGTTGGTTGATATTGGAATTCTCACTGTGATGCGGCTTGCATGTTAGTATGGCAAACATCAAACATCGGCTATGGGCATTGCATTAACGCCCGGAAGTATGCCTAGGCGAGCCGATAATGAAACGGTATCGTAATGCCTAGCTAGGTCTAGCGTAGGCATGGCCTTCTGGTATGCAACAAGTTTCACTATGAATTCGTTATCTTTCATTATCGTCCTCATTGCATTATGGCAAACATGCATAGTTTTTTAACTTAAATAGACCTTCCCGGCAAAACGAAGTTCATGTGAGATGTGCGGAAGCAGGAGCGAGAACACTAGATCCTCGAAAGGTCGGCCAGTCATATCACAGGAAAGAGGTTATCGGGTGGAACCCTTTCCCCTGTGAAGGATTCATGATGAAACACATGGCGGTCGAATGACCGTGAACATGGATAGTCCCACTTAACTGATGGGGGAAATGTACTAGAATAGACTAGTGGGAGTTGGCTAGTCTGCCGAGGCCTGGAGCAAATACCATTGCGATATGCTAGGAAGTAAGGACTAAGGGAATATAACGATAAAAGTAAAGACAAATGAGCAGAAATAATTTAAAATCTTTCGCAATACTATACCAGACCACTGGCACAATATTGATCTATATTTTTTACTTTACTCTAAGGTTGTTGGGTAAGGTCGGTATGGGTCAGAACATTGAAGCCACGTTCGGCCTGGTGGGCCCAATAACCAAAGATTTGAAGCTATTTTAATAGCCGGAAGGTCAAAAACAAACAAACATGAGAAATCGGGAGTTGGAGTACGGGAAGATGGATTTTAGAGGATATATGCTAACTCTATACAGAATGTGGAGAATCCACAAGCACAGATTTGACGTTACATCGATCTTAAGACATGGAGACTATCCTAACATGGTAGCTACGAAGTAACATTGCCAAGGGGTCGAGTATATCCACACCATATCATACCTTTAATCTTGTAGTAAGGTTTATTGGCCATAGAGAGTTAGTAGCATATGGAGGCTGACTCGGAGCGGACCCAGTCCATCGCGCTGGAACTTTGGCTGCTCATGCCAGTGATTGAGGTACACAATTACTAATATTTATAATGCACGACAGAAGCAGTTATAACCCGTAATTATCAATAAAAGTACGGACCGCGAATAAACCACATTTCATAACTCATTTTGGAAGACGCATGATGCCCGAAGCTACGAGCACTTCGAGAGCTCCGTCAATTCCTCCTGCCGATGGAATCGCCATTGTGGGATACTCTTTCAAACTGCCGCAAGATGTTGACAACGATGATTCCCTTTGGGAAGCCCTTGAATCACGGCGAAATCTAAGAACCGAGTGGCCTACATCTCGTATTAACCCAGAATCATTCACGAATAATGCATCAATCAAAGTATGTTCACCTTACAAGCAATATCTACAGACGACTTATCGGCTGGCACTAGATACCAGCTCATGGAGGACACTTTCTTCACGAAAATTTAGGTGCTTTCGATGCGCCTTTTTTTCTTTGACAGCACAAGAGGTATGAGTTATTGGAAAAATGATTTTGAGATAAATTATGCATGTACCTGACCTGGCTCTACGTAGGCGGCATCAATGGACCCAATGCAAAGATGGACATTGGAAGAATCGTACCGGGCTTTTGAGAACGGTATTCAATAAAAGCGACAAAGACCATGATTTGAACATGGAACAGCTAACCATTTTCAACAGCCGGTATTCCTGTGGAAAGTCTGAGAGGATCTTCTACAGCGGTCTTTTCGGCTTCGATGCTCGAGGACAAGGCCCGCATGGCAGCCATAGACCCTGAAAATACGGAACGCACAGTGGTCACTGGCAGTACTGTCGCATGTCTCATTCCGAATCGAGTGAGCTGGTATTTTGATCTTCGAGGGCCTAGCATGCATGTTAATACTGCTTGCTCTAGTAGCTTGTCAGCGATTGATATGGCTTGCAAGATGCTACAGAGTGGCGATGCATCATGTGTAAGTTGCATATCTTCCATATTCAATCTAAGACTCCCTTCGTCTTCCTGCTACTCTAGAGGAGTTCTCACTTCAATATCTCTCCATTTTTTCCTCCCCCCTCTCTATCTTTCTATTATTCTGATCGGTAAATTAAGGCACTGGTAACGGCGTCCAATATATGTCTCGATCCGTCCATTTTCCAGATGCTATCCAATCAAAATTTCTTATCACCGGATAGCCTTTGCTACAGTTTCGACCACCGTGCGAATGGATATGCCAGAGGAGAAGGTGTCATTGCCTTCGTGTTAAAGCCAATTTTTGCTGCGGTTCAGAGCGGAGATATGATCAGAGCCATCATTCGCTCGACGGCGTCAAATCAAGATGGTCATAGCCCAGTACTCACACAGCCGAGCCTCCAAGCCCAGGAAGAATTGATTCGCCATGTATACAAGCGGGCTAAACTCTCATTCCATGAGACGCGGTATGTCGAGGCTCATGGTAAGTTACAATAGTATCTTAACTTGTGTATTTGACAATCTCACACATGCCCCTCTAGGAACTGGGACCCCCGTGGGAGACCCAATAGAAGCAAAAGCAATCGGTCGAGTATTTCGAAAATTTCGTTCATCGCAAAGCCCTCTTTATGTGTAAGCACGGGGTCTCAACCCCTGAGGGGAAGTAAGCTAATCGATTGTTAGGGGATCCATTAAGGCAAACATTGGCCACCTCGAAGGAGCAAGCGGATTAGCAAGCTTGCTTAAAGCAATATGTATTTCCGAACCTTTATTTTCCTTTTTTTCCCCGCCCCTGCAGTTGGCCTGACTTTTCTTAGTGATCTTAGAAAGAGGTATTATACCACCGCAAGCTCTAATGGAGAAAGTGAACCCCGCCATCGATGCAGAGTTCTTTGCTATTGAGGTAAATTATTATCAATCACAATCGATCTGTGTAGCCAAACTGATTTAAATACGCGTTAGATCCCGAAGGAAAGCATCATTTGGCCGACAAGTGGGCTTCGCCGAGTATCGGTCAATTCATTTGGATTTGGAGGATCCAACACCCATGTTATCCTTGATGATGCACTGCATTATTTGGAAAGTCATGATTTAGCAGGTAATCACCGCACAGCCTCCAAGCCAGGTGATGTGACACAAGCGACAGACATGGGGTGGATTTATTCCAAAAACGGCGATTCAGGAAATGAAAACATGATGCCAACCTTGGCCGCTATGAGACTTTCAAATTTGCATAAATGTCCACCGCAGCTACTGGTCTGGACGGGATCCGACAAAAGAGCCGTGGAACGTATTGTTAATCAGTACAAAGGCCTGTTAAGTGGTGGTCAATTTAGTGAGGCGACCACGCTTCGTCGTCTAGCATTCACACTAAGCGACCGCCGCAGCCAAATGCTTTGGAGATCATTTGCTATGATTGGAGCTCCTAATGGAGGTCAAGTAAATTGGACCATTCAGCCGGTCAAGCCTGTGCGAAGCTCAAGTCAACCTGGATTAGCATTTATTTTCACCGGCCAAGGAGCGCAGTACGTTGAAATGGGATTGGAATTAATTCAATATCGGGTTTTCGCAAATAGTCTCAGGCGCATAGATCAACACTTTGCTGATTTTGGGTGCAGCTGGTCTATATTCGGTAGGCAAGATATTGAGCGAGGCCCGAGGGTCTCTTCCATGGTTCTAAGTATCGCTAATCGTCTTGCAGATGAACTTCGAAATGCCGACAAAATTGATCTACCTGAATACAGTCAGCCTATGTTGACAGCCCTCCAGATCGCTTTGGTGGACCTACTGAATTCATTTGGAATCGTTCCAAAGGCGGTTGTTGGCCATTCATCTGGAGAGATTGCCGCTGCGTACGTATCTCACATCAGTTTATGGTCCAACGATACCTGTCAAGATTTTTTTGTCTAACGAAGTTTCTCTTTCGCTTTTAGGTACACCACTGGAGCCTTGTCCTTATCATCTGCTTGCCGAGTGGCTTATTTCAGAGGAAAACTAACGGACCAACTGCGAGCTGCTAGTACCGCTTCCCCAGGGGCCATGTTAGCAATCAATATAGCAGAGGGTCAAGTAAAAAGCTATCTTATGAAAAGCCAACTTGATGCACAGAGTCAGGTCACCATAGCATGTGTCAACAGTCCGTCCAATTGTACGCTCTCTGGACCAGAGGAGGTTATTAGTGAAATTAAATCACAAGCAGATCTAGATGGGGTCTTTTCGCAGAAAGTCAACACAGGTGTTGCATATCATTCTCCTTCCATGAATGCAATTTCTGATGAATATAACTCTCTTACTGGCCCATTGGAATGTTCCAACTCGCCAGAGCGTGCAAAACCAGGGTCTATCCCCATGGTTTCATCGGTGACCGGTCAAGTTGCCTCCCCAAAGACTCTGGTCAAAGCTCAATACTGGGTAGACAATCTTGTCTCTCCGGTTCGATTTGCCGATGCAGTGCAACTTCTTACACAGAAAACATCAACACTCAGAGCTGGAATCGGCAGTATTACCGATCTTGTGGAAATTGGCCCTCATTCGGCTCTTCGGCGAGCAGTGAGAGACACGATTGAGCAGCCTGGTAATAAAAACAAAGAGCACCGATACCATGCTAGCCTTCAAAAAAGCCAGAGCTCCCTTGAATCAATAATGAATCTTGCAGGCCAGTTATTCTGCATTGGGCATAAGTTGTCCGTCTCTACAGTTAACCGCCATTCGGTTACTACGCCACCATCATTCCTCACCAACTGCCCTTCATATCCATTTGACCGCTCCAACAACTACTGGAAAGAGTCTCGCATTAGCCGAGACTTTAGACTTCGAGAGAGTGTATATGGAGAAACCTTGGGAGTTCCTGTGTCCGATTGGAATCCTTTTGAGCCTCGCTGGAGAAATTTCTTGAGCGTTGAAACCACTCCTTGGTTAGCCCAGCACAAGGTAGGTCTCCCAATTCTTCACGTTCGGTAAAAACCATTATATTGACTTCGCTATTAGATTAGCGATACTGTGATCTATCCTGCAGCAGGAATACTCCTTTTAGCTATGGAAGCTGCCCGTCAGATTGTACCTTCCAATGACAATATTAATGGCTACTTTGTGAAAGAGATTGACTTTTTAAGCCCGATCATTATTGCTGAAACCTGGGAAGAACGAACAGAGACCCAAGTTTGCCTACGCCAAATAGACAAGAGGACCGCTAACATGCCTGAATTTGATATTGCCATATTTTCGTATTATCGAGGCAAATGGACCAAATGCTGCAAGGCGATTATTCAAGTTGAGATCAACGGCCAAAACAGCAGACTCCAAACGGAAAGTAATGTTTCCGATGAGTTCAAAGAAGCCAAGAAACTGTGTACTCGACCACTAGAATCGTACGTGGTATATAATGATGCTACGAGATACGGCCTTCAGTATGGCGAGATGTTTCAGCAGCTGCAGGATATGTCTTGGGATGGAGAGAAAAGATTTTTCGCACTCCTTGATGTCACGAAAAATAAATTGCAGACACGCAGTCTTGTACATCCCGCAGTACTAGACACTCTATTTCAAGCTCTGGTGCTCAGTGCTGATCATAAGCGAGTGGGTAGGATCCCCGTTCGGCTTGTGGACGCTTGGTTTGCCTCCTCGGGCTGGCAACACCCTGAGTGTGGCTCTATCCGGTTGCTGGGAAAATTCGAAGGCAGTACCAGTGATTTAGGCTCTTCGAAGCGTACAAGCGGGGGCCGAGCGTATGCTGTCACTGAAAATGGACGAATCCTCTGTTATATCAAAAATGCCTCCTTGGCAACCGTGACAAAGGATGTTGAAGAGCAAAAAAAACTGATCCACAGGATTGAATGGAAACCGCAACTGGGCATGCTTGAGCCAGACCAGTGGGTACACTTGATGCATCATACACCCGAAGATGGGGCCACAATAGCAAGAAACTTTGTCAAACTCAGATACGTGTTGGATATAGCTATCATCAAGGCCGTGAGTAAGGTAAGCCAAAATGAGATCCCGAAGAATCTAAGTCGGCATTTTGAATGGCTACAACGTCACTTTCAGAATCTCCCATTGCATCGGAGATTGGAAGGAGAATCGACAAATGACTTGCAGCTTGAGGCCAAACTTTGTGAAGTTGATAGTGTCCTTCCAGACTGGAAAGTGTACACGGCATGTGCCCGGGATTTGACCAAGATCATGACAGGGGAAATAAATCCGCTTGAGCTTATATTCAACTCTGATCTTGCTGATACCTTCTACGCTGCTCTTTTCAGAAACATATGTACAGACGGGCGGCTTCAGAGAGTTCTGGATCTAGCATCTCATAGTGACCCTGCCATGAGGATCCTTGAAGTTGGTGCGGGCACTGGTGGAATGACCAGGCATGTTATGTCTGCTTTGAAGGAACGCGACTCTCGGGCTGGGACCAGAAGCTTTTCTGAGTACACTTACACAGATGTGTCTCCAATGTTTCTAGATCGAGGAAGATCACGCTGGTCTGACCTGGAAGCCGAGGGGCGCATGAAGTTTCAAACATTTGACATGAATCGTCCGTTTGAATCGCAGGGATTTGTGCCGGCATCTTATGACCTGATCATTGCCGGGAGTGTCCTCCACGCAACGCCGGACCTGGAGGCTACTATACGAAATATCCGAAAAGCGTTAAAACCTGGTGGCCACCTCATTTTGCTAGAAGCAATCAAGCCAAATGATGTTATCACAAACTTCATGGCTGGTTTGGTTCCTGGATGGTGGGTTGCCCGTGAGAAATGGAGATATCATTCTCCTGCGATCACTGAGACCATGTGGCATCACTATCTGCGCAACAATGGATTTTCTGGAAATGATCTAGTCATTAGGGATTATGAGAATGAAGATTCCCAGTTTGTCAGCATTATTCTCACCACAGCACTAGAGGATAGACCCGAGGTCCACGAAACAAGTTCAACCATCAGTAACATTACCTTGCTAGTTGATGACGAACAATGCGAACAATTGGAAATGGCAAAACGCCTTAGTCAACACCTTGGCCTACGGACCAACTCGACAATCAATATACTACCATTTGACGAAGCCAAGCTGCAACAGCCACAAGCGAAACCGAACTCGGAGACCATTTTTGTCTCTTTGGTTGAAGTCTACAAGCCACTACTGGCACGACTGACCAAGGACGGGTTCGCAGCTCTACGAGCTTTGAACAGGATTTCCCGTAGGCTTTTATGGGTTACGGCAAATGTTCCCGATGACCCCCTAGCTCCAGAGTATGGTGTGGCCCAGGGCTTCTTCCGCACGCTTCGGGGGGAACAGCCCAGCAATCACTTCGTCAATTTGAGCGTCGACAGCGAATATGACCTTGATACTGTCGTTAGCGGTACTGCAAGGGTTCTAGAGGCATCCTTTGGCTCTGCTCAATCGGATGAGCTGGAATATGTTATGAGGGATGGGATCCTGATGACGGGGCGTGTTGTTGAAAATTCCGTCAGCAACAATGCTCTCCACCGAGTTCTTTCGCCCCAGGTTCAGAAGATCCCTTGGGGTGATGCTGGTCCTTTAGAGCTCTCTTTGAGTGGCAAGGAAGTTGATAACTCTGTGCAATTCGTGCAAGACACGACTTATCGGACTATTGTTGCTTCCGACGAGATTGAAATTGAAGCAAAGGCGTGGAGCTTGAGTCGGACTGATTCTCATGGTGGTATCTCCAGTGACAGCTGTGCAGGTTTGGTTACCCGAGTGGGCCCAGGCTGCGATGAATCTATCCGGTTAGGGGACCGTGTCTACATGTATGCTATCAATCCTCTGCGCAAATACCCACGAGCGCATCAAACCGCTGTTGTCAAGATTCCCGAAAGTGTGTCCCTGGAGACTGCCTGCTCAATAATTGGTCCTAAGATCGCAGCGTTTTATGCTATGATCGAGATTGCTCGAATTGAAGAAGGACAAACTGTTCTTATTCACTCAGCAGCCAGTGACGTGGGCAGGATTGCAGTTCGTCTCGCGCAGCAACAAGGAGCTCATGTCTATGCTACGAGTGCGTCTGTTAGACAAACAGACTTGCTCGTAAACGTCCTCAAGATACCTGCTGATAATGTATTTTCAAGCCGAGATCATCAATTCGCAGCAGACGTTTTACAAGCAACAGACGGAGCTGGAGTTGATGTAGTTCTGAATTCCCTGGTGGAAAAAGATATGCTGGATGAGTCTTGCGAATGTCTCGCACCTGGCGGACGATTTATCGCAATCGGTCATGTCAATTTTGCAGAGAATCTGACACTATCCCTGGGGATTTTGTCGAAGAACATCATCTTTTCGATCATCGACTTGGCAGATCTTCCCAAAGTTTTGAAACAACTGGCTCGGGATGCGTTTATATCGTTGATTGAAGCAAAAATCCAGGCCCCACAGCCGAAAATATTGTATAGTATTTCACAGGCGGAGGATGCCTTTAGGCTGCTTCAAGGGGAAGAAATGCTCGATCGGGTCATAATTTCCGCGGAATCTGGTGATGTAATTTCGGTAAGTTCAAGTTGTCTTCAAAAAAGTGAAACTTTTCTGAGTTGATAAACTGATCTTAATCTCTCTCTCAGGGGCTTATTGAGGCGCACGTCTCCCAGTGCTTTGACGATTCAGCTTCCTACTTAGTCGCCGGGGGCTTCGGTGGTCTCGGCATCGCAATAATAGAGTGGATGGTTGAGCGTGGTGCTAAGTATTTGATCATATTGTCACGGTCTGGTGCAAAATCGAGAGCTGCCATCGAGACTGTGACTAGATTGGTCGCCCGAGGTGTCAAAATACTGTCCCCGCGATGTGACTTATCCTCCGAGTCAAGTCTTACCAAAGCCTTAGAAGAAGCTGCACAAACAATGCCTCCTATCAATGGTTGCATTAACGCTGCCATGGTTCTGCAAGATGGTATCTTCCAAGAAAACATGTCATTTGAAAAGTGGGAGATTACGCTCAGATCAAAAGTAGAGACTTCGTGGAACCTTCACCGATTACTTCCCCGTGGACTTGATTTCTTCATTCTTCTTTCATCCCTTGCTGGGCCTGTCGGTATGATGGGAAGCTCAAATTATGCAGGTGGTTGCTCATTCCAAGATGAATTAGCCCGCTATCGTGTTGGCTTAGGCGAAGCAGCTCTTTCTATAGACATTGGCTGGATGCGCGACATTGGGATTATTGCTGAGAATAAAGCCTACCAGCGCCAGCGTCAGGATGCCGGGGATTTCCGGCCCATTGAAGGGTCTGAGCTTCTTGCCTTGCTCGACATCTACATCAGCCGCAAAAACTCTCAAAAATTGCCGGACGACACCCAAATTCTTCTTGGTCTGCTCACGCCAGCCGACCATCTTCTTGAGGGAAACACGCCCCCTTCAATGCTCGGAAGACCTCTGTTTTCTTCATATACATACCTTCCAAACTCAGGAACGATTGATCTCTATTCTTCCACCAAGAACTATAGTTCTCGCTTCCGACAATCTACTGATTCTGGGGAACGCGTTCAGATCGTCCTAGAAGCACTTTCGGCGAAGCTAGCACGTACCATGTCTATTTCTGTCGAAGACGTGGAGCCCAGTAAACCACTTTCTAAATACGGCGTCGATTCGTTGATGTCTGTGGATCTGCGCAACTGGATTGGTAAAGAATTCGGGGCTACTGTTGCCGTCTTTGATATCATGGGTGAAGAACCGCTCGCCAGTATTGCCGACTTGGTTGTAGCCAAGACTATCCTTTAGAGCGGACGCCGAATGTCATTCTAAGACAGTTGAATTGTTCGAACGCTTACCAAACTTTGATTTTTCTCTATTTTGCGAATGTGCCGAGTTTTTCATATAGGAATCGCAGATGACACCATATATAATGAACAGAAGGGCGCTACTTAAATGTTATTTTCACGTTGAATTCATGATCATCCCATATATGTATATGTTTCCGTGCAAGAGCGCGCGCGCACTTTCCTTATCTTATCTTATCTTATCTTATCCTACTAACTACCCTCCTTACCTTATCCCTTTTAAGTGATCACTAACCCTTGAAAATTTGGGAAAGTCTATTTGACCTTCTTTCCATCTTAATTGAAGCTATTTTCATATTGTAGTGACCGGTTAAAATTTGCAATTTTTAGTATTGGTATTCCTTAGACGCGCCCGGGAGTCTTATCGGGCGGTCAGATATGGCCAAAAAAAAAGTTCTGTCGTTCAGGTTTAAACTTGTAACAACAAAAACCGAACTAATATAATTAGACTACTTAGCTATCCAGCAATTTTACTGAAGCTTAGCTATAGAACTATATATTGTTACTAGAATTATATTTTTAAACACTTTATTCCTATCTTTTCTTGACTTCCTATATATAGTTATAGTAATAGTAAAGACTATTTTCTATAGCCAAATAAACCTTTAACCTTCTATCTCTTATTAATTATCTATTTCCTACTTAAGTAATTACTAACTACTACTCTCTAGTAGATAAGTCCCTTTAGTAGATAAGTTCTATAGGCTTCTAGGATCCTATAGCTAGACTAATACAATTAGTAAGATGTTTTTAGAGGAAATAAGAGACCTTTATCTTATATTCATCCTATTATCGGAGTTTTCTATAGTCTCTACTTCTAGGTATAGTTTTTTTTATTTTTTTTATCCTATTATATTGTCGTTAGTACTTTTTTTAGTCTTACAGATTCAGGATTTTCTCTATCTCAGCCTATAGTACCTAATATACTTCTTTAAACCTCTCTTATCTATTAGATACTTCCTTATCTTATTTAACTACTAAATCTAACTCTTACTTCTAGGTAATTAGTTCTAGACTTATTAGAGATACTGTTAAGGTTGACGTCAAAGGGCTAGGCAGATAAAGAATAATGATATTAGATAGAGTTCTTTCATAAAAGTTATACAGAAACTAATCCTTAGAAGTCTACTACTTCCAAGCATTCATGCATTTTATACTAACCATAGTTCGTATGCTTCACGTGAGAGGTCCGGGGCTGGAACCCTCGGTAAGTCATGCGCCCGTTCTAATATCAACATGCGTCATTCGTTGATCTTTCCTTTGGAATATCAATATGCATGTATGCCGTAACAGAAATACAACATTATAATGAAACAACATTTGATTTAAGATCCAAAGCCGCGTTTCTTTTGCGCTTCAATTGCGTTCGGTCTCAGCTGCTGATGTCTGCTTTCATTTCCATACCAAGATATTCGCGCATCCTCCTCCTTCCCGCCTAGCCGCCGCAAACTGGTTCCCAATAGATGGGGATCTCCGTGGTCAATCCCGGCTCAATCAATCTTTTTATTTTGTTCCTTGAGTTCCGGGTGTCGTCATTCCTCACAAACACAAAAACGTTTAAGAAGTGCTATAAATTCTAATGAGCGTTATTTTGGTGTTGTAATAAATCGGGCGAAGTAGGATAGAGATCTATTGTGTACTTTTAATGATCCAATGATGCTGGCTAAGAGGGTCAAAGTAGGTCTTACACATACCAATATACTTCCACGTATAGCTATAATCAGAAACCGGCTTTTCCAGAGCAATAATTACCCGAGCCGGACTGAATGGAAGTACTCTTTTTTTGCTCTAGGAATAAAAGTAATAGAATAGTATAGGGATTTTTAGGTTAGTTTGTATATAGTCTTCTCAGGTTCGTAAACAAATCAGTCTTCTTTAACTCAGATACTTTGCTAATAATAACTCATTCCTCGCGGAGTGAGTTATCTAGCTTACCTTGGCTAAAGACCACGCCTGGGCGCGGTCCCGACTCCTTGTTGTTTATAAATTCCATTGCATGTTGAACGGTGTCTTCCTGCAGAGCTCCTCGCAGCTCACATTATAATTTTTAGAACCCCTTGTATTTAGTCACCTTGAACCCTGCTACGTCGATAATAAAGCTGTATATGAATGTGAAGGCCGATTCGGGAAAATATGCATAATATACAAAGCTGAATAGCTAATAGTAGAGCCTATACCAGGTTCGTGGGTACTAGGCGACTACCATCTTGCACTTACACTTACGCTTACACTTGCTTATATATGCTTTTGCTTTGTCTTTTAATCTTTTACATTTTTTTGCCCAATCAAAAATGAATAGCTTAAAGCCCTACTTCCCTTGGAAGGAGTCTTCGAGTTGAAACTATATCGTGGGCCAAACTTGAAGATAGCGATCGGAAAACTTTTTGAGCCGCAGGACTAACTAGTACGTCTCAGCCTGTGAAAAGAGTTTCTGAACAGTCAAGGACTCCATAATGCGAGAAGTGATACATAATCCTTGTCTCCTAACCCACTGACCACGGCCTGTTGTAACAGCTGCAGCGTGGTAGCTGTTATTTGGAGAGGGTAATTATATGCCTGGGCAAGAGTTATTGCTTTTGCCTACATTTTGCATCAGTAAAATTGGCTTGAATCTCATAAGAAATAAACTGACCAGTATGTTTCTTGACTGTACTAAAGTACGCATCATTGTAGAATTTTTCTCCATTATCCTGGACGCAATGACCTCGAAACTTCGACTTGTACCCGCTGCATTCGAAATGATTGGGGCCAGCGACTTAATAGAGAGATCAAGCTTCATAGCAAGAGCAAGAGATTCAACTGCTGTTACCCCGTGAGTAATTTCTAGCATATTGCATATCATTTCAAATTTTTGTTGATCATCTGCGTGGCTCTTCTGCTGCGCGGCGGCTAAAACCAGTGACAAATCATGTGGAATGAATATTCGGACTAAACCATAATCATCTTCTTTTTCATATCCAGAGAGAGCAGCAAAGTTATAAAGTTGCTCTGCCGCAGTAGCGACATAAAGCGGAATGTTCTGGCTGAGGCCCTCCGAAGTGACGATCCGCTGAGGCCATGTTAGTAATTTTCAAAAAAAAGATATGATTAAATGAAAATAAACACCCCGATTTGCTACTAGAGAATGTAACATACCATATCTTTAACGAAGATGCCAAGTGCAGAATGGGGTGACCAGTCATCGGCGAGCATGTGTGGTACTCGGTTCTCAAACATCCAACTATGTGCAGGACTATTCAACACCATTTCATATAACCGCTGTGTATTCAACCCCATGGTAGCGGCTAGTCCCATAATCTCGGCTGCAATTGCAATATGAATACCTGCAAGATGCTGATTGATAAGTTTGACTTTGTTCGCACTTCCCAAACCCCCTTCGATGTTGTACAATGCTTCGCCGAGAGACTGCAAAACTGGCTGGGAAATTCTCATTGTACCCTCGGGGCCTGACGACATAATCGTCAGCGTGCCCCGAGTGGCACGAATTGTCCCACCGGATACAGGGGAGTCGATGATCTGTATATCTGGCCTTGAAAAGCGGCGGTGGACTTGGCTCAAGACCTCTTGGGGGAAACCCGGCGCAACGGTGGAGCATAATATGACGATTGCATCCTGTTTCAGGCCAAAGATGGCACCCGTTGATTCTGTGAAAAACGCCTGATCTATTTGCGTGGAGTTTGCCAACATGCAAATAAAGAAAGAGGCATCTTGGACACATTCTCTGGGACTTGAGGCGGCGGTACCGCCCATGGCTAGTAGTCTCTCGAGTGCCATTGGGTCTAAGTCGAATCCATTGACAGGAAACCCGTCCTCGAGTAGGTGTATAGCCATCCCTAGCCCCATAGCTCCGAGGCCGATGAATGCAATCTTTGGCTTGTTACGCGTTGAGATTCTCGTCATGATGGTTATATACGAAGCTCGACAGAGACCAATGAAAGCGACCGAAGTGAATGGCTGTTCACATGTACAGCAAATGTTGTTTACTTGCGTTAGAACTCACAATATTCACGATTGCTACTAACATACAGGACGTAGTATTTACTTATCATTCCATCTTTACGGATTGGTTCCAAACCCTTCAAACATTCGAGACAGTGACAGTAATATTGAGCTCCACACTCCACCACTTTCACTCACTCCACTCGACTCCACCATCCACCCATTCCACCCATGCCAATTCTGTTCACTTTTTGTATGCTGCCCTATCATACTCGCTATGTGCCCAGAGGGATCATGAGCCTAATAACTCGTATCTCAAGTAAATATTTTGCCCCACTATAGAGCGTTTTTCAAAACACAATTAGGGAATAGGTGGAAGCTGAGTCTTGGTCTTGGACAGCATGAACGCAAAGATAGAATGCTATGCACAAAGTGTCTTATTTGAGAAGATTATTCGGTGCTTACTCAATTGTAAGATTTCCCCCTGTTTGCTTCCAGGTTGTTAGAGCACCGTCATAGTGCTCGCAGCGATGAGTGTATTTGACTAGTCCCCAAACCATTTACCTTTTCGGTATTCTATATGGCGTAATCAAGATCTGACTATGATTTGTTGGCAAGTAATAAGAAGGTCATCTAGAGATACCGATGACAGCTAGATACTGAAGTCGCTTCTGAGTGAGAAACATCAAATGGAATGACCAGAGACTAAGCAATACTGCATAGGGCCCATTTTAGAGCCACTAAGATACATGAGTACAGTAAAGATAGTATAAAAGAAGTTCATTTTTCCAGAAGAGCTCAAGCCTCAGGATATCCTGCTTCCATTCCTTAAGTCCCATCGCACAGATTGTGTTCTATTAGAGCACATAACGGAAGGCCGGCTGCTCAAAATCGGTTAAGTCTAAGAACTCACTACCAACAGCAGCGTTCGCAGCGTCTGGATCAGTAAGCGCCTGCCGGTCACGTCGCTTATTCTCCATAACATTAATCAGACGGATTAACAGCAAGGTCACCGCTGCCAGAGCGTACATGACAGCGACCATCAACTTGCCATCGAAATACTCAGGGGCTTGATCCGAGCGGAAAGTCTGCGGTCCAATCCAGTTTCCGACAGCATATGCCAGTATCTGTAGACCGTTCACGGTTGCTTTCTTGGTGTAGCCCAGTGTATTGTTAGAGATCATCACCATAATCAAACACCACGAAGTTCCAGCAGCGCCGATAAGATAATAGCCGATCAATAGTCCAGCTTTGGCATGAAGAGGGAGGACAATCATCAAAATTCCGCCGACCATGGGTATCAAAATGGCAATAACGGCAAAGATAGTTCGGTCAAGATATTTGTCAGAAAGGTATGTCAATCCCAACTTGCAGGTAATATCAACAAGACCCATTGGCATATTAAGCATGAGGGACATGCGATCGGAGAAGCCAAAAGAGCTGATAATGAGAGAGCCGAATGTGGTTATACCCCCATTTGGAATATTCATTAGTAGCGAGAACAGCACATAGAGATAGGTGCGCGCGTCCCGAAAGGCTTCAAAGAAATGTGCCCATTTCCATGTCTGACTTCCGATTCCCTGGAAATTACCCCTAATGCGATCAACAGCTATGAGCTTCTCGCGATGACTGAGGAAATTTGCCTGGATTTGATTGTCGGGCATGAACCAAAAATAGAGGACGCCAGTGATGACGGTAGGTATGCCGAGTACCAGGAAAAGTATCTTCCACACAGCAATATCAGCCTCTTGTACACCTGACAGTCCATAAGCAATTAAAGCTATAAGGATCTGAGCCACGCCGTTGCAAGCTAACCAAAAACCCATCCGCTTTCCCTGCTCATCCTGTCTATACCAGCAGGAGGTGAACAGAACGAAGGCGGGAGTTATAGTCGCTTCAAACGCGCCGAGGAAAAAGCGGACACAGAGGAGACCCGCATAATTATGAGTGGCGACATGACACAGCAGTACGACACCCCAAGCTAGAATATTGAGCGAGGTATATTTTCCTAACGGTAGTCGACGAAGCAGATAAGTGGTGGGAAACCTAATCCATCATTAAAATGCGTGAAGTAGAAGCAGGGACAGTTGAACGTACTCCCAGAATATATACCCAGCGTAGAAAATACTTGAGACCCAGCTGTATTGTTGTGAATTGGATTCCAAATGAGTATCCTCACGTATTCCCATCAACGAAGCATAGTTCAAAGATGTCTTGTCGGCAAACTGAATCAAGTAAACCCAGCACAATAAGGGCATCAACACTCGATCGATCTTGGATAGCACCCTGCGGGATTCTTCGGGTGTATATTCGATATTCTCTGCATCCAGAAACTGTAAGGCTGGATCGATGTCTCGTAGCTCTTCATGCTTGAGATCGCCGTGTTGAACGTCAGTGCCAACTTGCTCCATGTCATAGCCTGGAAAAACTTTTGACGGCTTCTGCCCGAGAGGTAGCGCGGTCATCTTGCCTTATTTTTGAACGACCCGTCTTGTCAGGCCCGAAAATTTAACGGAGACATCATAACTCCTTAAATGCTCCGTTGAGCCCTCCGAATTAGTGAGCGATAGGCGATTCCCCAGATTTCAAAGGATCCAACAAAGCTTCAGAAATGATAACAGTTTGCGGGGGTGGAGCTCCATCGATTGCCACGGTTCTTATCGCTATCTGTTGCAGTGCTATCCGGATCAAACTATCTTCAGCCCAGACAAGATACGGGCTTCGTGTAGGAAGGTTTGAATAAGACCCACCTGTAACCAGATGACCCGGGGCCAGTCTGGCCGCCCTGGCGGATGACGACTGTTAGATACTGGCCTGAGCTGGAGAAGGAAGCGCTTCCCCCTCAGCGAGAAGCTTGGTGATACAAGAAGGATAAAGAAAAGAAATTTGGATAGGAATGTACCCATTGATGTTGTGGTCAAAACGAGCTAGCGTTAGCCGGTCTCTATCTCTATAGGGATATAGTACCCCCGCAGAACAATAAATCTGGGTTCAATTCACTTGATTCCAAGCATTGAAGTTTTTCTCCCCAATAATTGGCTTGTTCCACATGTAGCTAAATTTAAGTTTGATATCATATCATATCATGAATTGGATTGAATTGCACTAATTGTTTCCTTGCCGGCTATTCTGACTCCAAAACGACATCCCCGCTTCCATCCGGCCGACCCCATAGATAGCTGAACTATCTAAGCACTCACCGGCATACTCACGTGCAGTGTTTAACCTCTTTGAAGCAGTTTCAAGCGTGTGAAGACGTATATTATGACCGCCAGCAATAGCGAGAGCGTGCTTCATGTCCTTGGATGCAAGGGCAGCTGCAAAGCCAGGCCCCGTCTCCAAGGGAGGTGCGTAAGCGCCACTCGTGATCCGCTTAGAATAACTTTGCAATACTGATCCAAACATATTGCCGATAAATTCTTCTATTTGCTGAGTGCCAATATCTGTCACTTCCGCAAAGACTTGTGCTTCAGCAATGACCTCCATGAAGCTGATCACGAGAATATTTCTTCAAGATGAGGAGAGCTTAGTCAAAGAATCAATGGTAACATAAAGTGGAAACTGATAGACTTACCCTGAGATTTTTAGTAGACTTGACTTGCGCACGTCCTCTCCCATATCAATGATGCTGCGTCCCATAATATTGATTATTAGCGGTCTGATGGTCTCGACTGCTGTAGCGGGACCCGCCACAGCAAATATGAGAGTTCCAGCGGCTGCTACAGTACTTGCACCAAATACTGGTGCTGCAACAAACGAAGCACCATAGTCATTCAGATGTTTCGCTGCCCACTCAGCTGTCTCTGGGTGAACTGTAGACGAATCGACGAAAATTTTGCGTTCTAGAGAAAAGTCCATGGCAACAACATCCTTCACAAAATCAACGAGAACGTCATCTGTGGAAAGCTGAAGTTCGTTAGCCTCTTAATACCCCGCAAATTTGAGACGACAAAGAGGAAGTCGCACTCACCATTGTAAAAATCACGTCTGAATTCTGAACCATCGTGCCGAAGTCTCCAGGTACAGCCCCTGCATCACGAAGAGCATCTCCTTTCGAGAGCGTCCTATTGCTGTAGTGAAGCGGAGGCAAGTTATTCGCTTGAAAATACTTCTGGAGATTCAATGACATTCCAAGGCCCATAGATCCCAGGCCATACTATCAGATGTTAAATCACGTGGTCGAGATATTGGTCGGGTGTTCAAACATACCCAGCCAACTCGTCGCGTAGATGAGGTCATTTTCAAGTTGTTTTCAAAGAGTGGGCTTCGAAGAATATTTGGTATTCGTACGGAGTCCATATATCTCACGTGGCTGATTTAAATTCGCGGTAGAACACAGTGGAAGCGAAATGTGGCATGAAGCACAAGTGGAGCTCCACAGCCTCCACTTGCTATGAAGCAGAAGCGACGCCGTTGGTAAGTTCGTTTAACACAGCCAACATCGAGGGCCCAATACCCCACACGAATCTTTGCTGGCAAAATTTTTTGATAAGATTCGCAAACAATGACTGTCCCTCTTCTAAAAGAGTGGAAAAGGCTTCCCGATTCGTCGACCATAAACGTGAATCGCGAATGCTCCGGTCATGCTCGGTGGCTTGGGAGCAGAGCAAAGTGGACTCCATGAGTGTGTTAAAGATCAACATACAAGACTCGGGTGTTCTTGGAAGATCATTGAATGTATCTATATGTAGGTGGATCTCAGTCGTTGCTCGTCTGAGCGCCTCCCAGATACACAATAGAATGCCGTAGCTGGCGACAGTGACCCACGGTGCTTCATGAGTGACCTTGGCCGGGTCTTCGCCAAAAATACTCGAAAGCGCAATAGAGAAGTCACTGAGTAAGGCAAGTACACCTTCGTTGCCGCCAAAATGAAGGGGCACCAAAGGTGCAGATCGTCGGATTGCGACAAAATTGCCTCGCGTAAGATGGGTAGAAGCAGCCATTCCAGCAATCAAGCTGTTGTCAACAATACCTCCAATAAGCAACCTATCAGGTCGACATAGGCTAACCTTGAGAGAAACGATGAACAACTCGTTTGTTCTCCATAGAAAGAAATGAGGACTTTCACTCGCAGAAGTCATATTCTTGACAATTCTCCCAATGTTTCGTATCGCCATATGAAAACTCTTAGTCTGGTTCTGAGTCAAGATATGGAATGGGTTTGGGTCAGAATAACTTGGCGGCATTTGATAGTAACATCGTGTAAAGTCCCGCACCAAAGCTTCTAGATTTGTAAGCACGCAAAATGTAGTAAATGGAGATGCCTCTAGCGAGGATAATATATCGACACCAGGTGTTTCAGTCATCAGGTTCTGCGTCGCGATTGTTAAGGAAGCCGTTGCTAGTCCGCGTGGCCGGTGAAGCAAGTCATCGGTGAACGTGAATGCCGAGACTCCAAAGTATTCGTTGAACCTCCGAATCCATATTTCAGGATCTTTTGCCTCCCATAGGCTCGCAGGAAAGGGAATCTCCCACCCAAGTTCCATTGAAGACATGAGTGGCCTAGAGTTGCAGGGCAAGAATGCGTGCGAATCCAGGAATACTAATGTGTAGAGCGACAGTCTCATGGATTCCGCAGCTGCGTAGGAAGTCCATCGAGCATATAGCGTTTGTGATTCACTTCCTGTAGTATACGCGGAGTCATACAACCAGGATTGTGACTCTGGCATCGCAATTTCTTGCTGCGAAAGACCGATCTCGCGTACAGCCTGCGCTTAGGTTAACAAAATCTCGAGAAGAGAGTGCAAAGGGTAAAAGATAAAGTACCGACATCAACAAGCTGTCGCAACATCTGTCGTGCAGTTTTGCTCTCAACTGCGTCTTTTGTGTAAACGCCATATATCATGTAGAGTATCCATGCTTGCATAACCCAAGCTTGCCTGATTTCGCCGCAATCGTTGAAGACCTGTCTCAACCGTGGTTAGACCATCATATCAAATTAAAATGGGGGTCAAACAGTAATAGTGCTCAGTACCATACTCCGAAGCTCCTGTTGTCCACTCTGCCATATCTCGCTACGCCACTGCGCTTGCTCATCACTGGATGGGCTTGACGAAAACAAGCTGCCAATGATAATTATAGCTTTCAGTAATAGTTTTGGCGCCGTCGACGCTGTAAATGTAGGTCGATGTAGTAATGGTAAAGATGGATGGAAATGCTGAAAGTAGTTTTTGATATTGACTTCACAATTGCTATGGCCCCTGCTAGTGGTGCTGCGTTAGCCAGAGACTTCCTTCTGTACGATAAAAGATTTGAACTTGAGGAGGGAAGGCATACATGGGCGAGTGGAATTGCGTTTCTTGAGGTATGCTATTATCAAAGGGACTGTGCTCCTCCCAGAGAAGTTCATCGGGGGTAGCATTTGCAGCCGACAGTTCAGCCGAAGCCACAAGTGATGTCATGTCGACCGTTTCCTGAGGGATCTGTTCCAGTTGGAGCTGTGACTGAGTGGAATGACCCAGAGATATTTCAACCTGGCAGCGGCCGCGGTGTCGTTTGAACACATCACTGCATGGTTGTAAGTAACAATGAAACGAAAAATGCAAGGATGAGCAAGACCTTCGGGTGAAACCAGCGTGACATCTATCGCATTCAAAATCATGTCTTGTGGGGCCATGATGCCCTGAAATATAACAAAGAATTACTATCTTCAAGCACGATTGCCTTTAATTTATAGAAACTTACGAGCGCGCTTATGTCGTTGTAGATTTTCCTAGACACGGCCGTCCTACATCAGATATTGACAGGAAAGGAAAGAGAAGAGATTGACACTTACGTTCCTTGTGAATAGTTTCGAACATTCGTCGCACGGGAATGGGCGACTGCGACTCTGTCTCTCTCCCGTTATCTCTGCACGGGCTGCCATTGGAGCCGTTTCACTTCAGTCACTTGAGACGAATGGAGCAGGTAGAGAGACCTCGGTTGACGTCTCCTGCTGTGTTCGGGTGTCACTGATAGTCCATTTGTTGTTAAATGACGATGGCCGAGGAGTTATCCAAATCGAGCATCAGAGATGCGTGTGAATCTACCAACGGTATGGAGTAGACTCTCAATCAGTGAGGACAGCCTCTCGTTGGCTCATTGTGCAGTATGTAATCAACGCACGGGCCCACATGACATAACCAGTCATCCTAGGTCACATGACGCCTCAGGCCTGGCAGTCTTGGCGATCCACTTTCAGCCCCCTGGAGGCGTGTTCAGCTCAATAACTAGTTCAACGCGTGATTAATTAAGGATTTCGTTATGATTTTAATCTATAATTTGTAGTTTTCGATTCTGCACTTTTTATTGCGATTTGCCCCAAGGTACCCCAGTGACTGAATTTACCGCTTACCATGGCTCCTATCAGATTTCTTTATCCTCCTCAAGTGCCGAAATACGCTAAACTACATCGAGCAATGTTTTACGAAGTATGCTCGTATATACTGAGAAAGTTAACATACAAGGCGTTCTTGAAACTTAATTTTAGGGTCTATTTACTCGAGTGCCCTCGAATATGACTATGATATAAATAGAGATAAGGCCAGTACACTGAGGGGTGTACTTTAATGGCCACATGTAAAAGGCATGGCTACATGTCTTCCGACTGACGCAATAAGGGTTATCTTGATGCAATGGGGGTCTATGGACCCACTGTTTATATTGAAGAAACTGCAATAAAGCAGACTAAAAGCTGCATATCCTCTCTAAATAACCCTGCATCTCATTTCTTATATCCAATCGAAGTAGTATACTGTTCAGACAAGCGCAAGAAGAATGCTTGGCGCGTCCGGGGATTTACCGTCCAGCCCCGGTGGAGCGCCCGCTCTCCGTTATCGTGGCCTCCCCGTAGGCCGATTACGACGCTCCTGAAACTTCACTCGACTCGCCCCCCCCATCGTCACTCGAGCCTTTCTCTCGCCGAATTCCACCTCTTGTCACTCTTTACCTGGCTCCGATGTGTCTCTCCTGGTCGATTCCCCATTTATTGTCCACCGTCGCCAACCACCGCCCGCTCCGATAAACGCGCGACCCGATCTCCGCCCATCAACCCCCCGTAAATTGAGATACTGGTGCGATCTCGTGACGAACAACTTGTGTTAGGGCGGGGAAGTCTTCCAACATACACAAAATGACTGTCGCTTCCTCTCATACCACTGCTCGGATTATTTCGGTCATTGCCGGCACTCTAATTGCCTTATCTTGCGGAACGAATGTACGTGTCTCCGGAATTTCTTTGGAAACACGATAGCTAATCGGTCAATTCGGGAATATAGTATGCATATTCAGCATGGGCCCCGCAGTTCGCCCACCAGATGAAGCTTTCTTCGACCGAGAGCAACTTGATCGTGAGTCGCGTGACATCTCCGTTTTATACGATAAACTCCGGTACTGACGGCTTGGCAGGGTGCGGCGGGAAATTTGGGAATGTACGCCATGGGAATCCCAATGGGTCTATTAACAGATTCAAAGGGCCCACGACTCTTGATCCTGATCGGATCGATTTGTCTATGCCTAGGATATTATCCAATTTATCTTGGTAAGTCGCGATCGTCTTGGGTAATCGATTTGTAACCAAGCAGATGATCTAACATACATTAGCCTACCAACATGGTGAAGGATCGGTCCCCATTATCTTCTTGTGTTTCTTCGCCTTCCTGACTGGTACTGGTGGTTGCTCAGCATTTGGTGCTGCCATTAAAGTTGGTATGTCATAAACTATACCCCTTATCTGATCCTTGTATCAAAACTAACGAACCTTCTTACAGCGGCATCTAACTTTGGGGAGAACCGAGGTACTGCGACTGCATTCCCATTAGCTGCTTTCGGTCTGAGCGCTTTGTTCTGGTCCAATGTGTCGACACTCATCTTCAAGGATGACACCGGCCGATTCCTTCTCCTTCTAGCCTGTGGAACTACTATTCTCTCCTTGGTGTCTATTCCATTCATGCGAATCTTCCAGAACCCTTCGGATGAGACCTATTCCTCAGTTCCCAACAACGAAAACCCAGATGTTCCCGAGTCACAAAGGCTGCGCCGAAGCAGTATTGTGATAGAGCACCCCGATGACGGCCACGATTCCACCGGATTTGACCATGCACACTCGGCGCATGCACGCAGTCATTCAACTGTTTCGAACAACCGTATGGGTCCCTCCCACATTAATGAACGCGATGAAAACTCGTCATTGGTGCACAAACCCGATGGCAGGCCATCATTTGATACCCTGGACGATGACTTCCTTGACGATATGGCCGTAGAAGCACACCACCCCGACATCCGCGGTCTGGCCATGCTCAAATACGCCGAGTTCTGGCAATTGTTCCTGACAATGGCTCTCCTTTCTGGAATTGGTCTTATGACCATAAACAACATCGGAAACAGCACCAAGGCTTTGTGGCTATACTACGACGATAGTGCGACACCAAAGTTCATCCAGCAGCGCCAGGTTATGCATGTATCTATCCTGTCTTTCGGAAACTTCCTCGGCCGCCTCCTGAGTGGCATTGGGTCTGATATCCTTGTCAAGAAACTCAACATGTCTCGTTTCTGGTGTCTCTTTATTTCCGCGGCTGTCTTCACCCTCACCCAGTTGGCTGGAGCATCTATCTCGAACCCCAACACCCTTGTCATCGTCTCAGCCTTCACTGGTGTTGCATACGGCTTTTTGTTCGGTGTCTTTCCCGCTCTGACCGCTCACACCTTCGGTATCGGCGGTCTCTCCCAGAACTGGGGAACTATGACCCTGGCACCAGTTTTCAGTGGTAACGTTTTTAATCTTATTTACGGCACAGTATATGATCGTCACTCTGTTGCGGGGCCCGAAGGAGAAAACCAATGTCCAGACGGGTTACTCTGCTACCGCTCTGCCTACTATGTGACCCTTTTCTCCGGCCTTTGTGGTGTTGTTGTTTGTCTGTGGAGCATTCGACGCGAGTCTCAAATCCACAAATCACTACACAAGAAGGCTGATCACCGAATTGCGTAAATATCAACATTTACGAACAGAATCGAGTATCCAATGCTTGTATTTCAATATATCCGTTGCTTACACAAAGCAACAACATCCTCAAGCTCTTACATGATTATGTACGAAGAGCCTATCTACGATCTGCAATGGCTGGCCAAATTTCTCATCGGGTCTTCAAATCAAAGACCTCGAATTTCAAACCATGCATCCTTTTGATTCTTTTCTCTTGGTCCGCCTCTTTTAGACGTGATACTCCGTGCATCTACTGCATCTTTCACTTTCTTCTTCGAAAACTTGGTTATTGGCGTTGCATTTCTTTTCTTTTCTTTTCTTTTCTTTTCTTTTCTTTTCTTTTCTTTTCTTTTCTTGCTATTCATTAGCAATTAATATCGAGACTGTACATGATTCTTCGATCTACATTAATGATTCATTTCATTCCATTCATTCCTCTCTAAACATTTATTCTCCCCGAAGTCGCATATGCGACCTTGAACAACAGAAACGGCTATTTATCGCCGTTTACGACCCCTTGAAACTGTGTATATCTCTTGAGCCCCCGTTGCTCTCAGTAGGTTAGCAACTTTCATATTGCGATTCTCAGTAGCGATCTTTAGTTCCATCGAGCCCCTGGGAGTGTGAATGTTTGCTCCTGCGACTAAGAGCCTGTCGAGAGTAATTATATTGCCATGTGAAGCAACAATTTCCAGTAATGACGGATTGCTCGGGATATTCACACCTGCACCTGCACCTGCAGCTATAAGCACATCAAAAATCTGTAAATAAGATTTTTCGATAGCAATCCTTAATAGTGAATCACCATCTCTAACACTAGTGTTGACATCTGCCCCTGCAGCTAAGATCCTCTTGACGGTGTCTAAGTAACCTTTTTCGACTGCGTGCTGTATTTCTGTTCTATGAGTGACTGCAGAACGAATAGAAACATCTGCACCTGCATCTAGAAGCCTTTGAACAACATCTATATGACCAGAATCAGCAGCGAGTAGTAGAGCTGTCTCGCCACCACTGCTGCCGTTAACATCAGCTCCCGCGGTGAGAAGCCTATCCACAGCGTATAGATGCCCCTTCCAAGCAGCGGCTTGTAGTGGCACCCGCACACTTCTTTCTATATCGGCTCCTTGGCCGTTGGGAATTGCTCCTGCGACCAGGAGTATATCAAGGACATCTGGATAGCCACATTTTGCGGCGAGATTGAGTGCTGTCCATTTATCTCCGCTCGCGTTTAGGTCTGCTCCTGCGGCTAGAAGCCTCTCAACGACACTTGGATGATTAAATTGAATAGCAGGATGTAGTAGCTGGTCTATATCTTGCTTGGTGGCGCCGTGCAAACTAATATCGAGGAGTGTGTGATCTCCTTCCATTGCCGAGGCTTGTTGTATCTGGGGTATGATCGATGCGGAAATCTTTCTCCCGGTATAGATTAGACGTATAAATAGTGTTTATTTTTGAGAGCCCAGCGTACCATGATAAGGTCATCCGGCTTGAAAAGTCTATCTCCCCATGGATAGCTGACGTGCTCGTGGCCGTGAATGAGCATATTCTTCCAAGGATCCCACGTTTTATATATGCTTTTCTGAAACTGTGATGTGTGATGAATCACGTTGACTGATGAATATGCCAAGTAATGGTGCTTAAGCTGAATTTTCCTCGTCGCCGACATTGCATAATTCCGCTGCAAGTTGGCCAGTGTTCCAGCGACATCAATACTCGCTAGATTTTCTTCCGAGTCTGCTTTAAGCCCTGCTATGCGTTGAAGATAATCATACAATCTTTGCTCATTGTCCAAAGCTTTTCGGGCTATCTCAATGGGCTCGATACCAAGCCTCGGGGGAGACTTTGGCTTTTGAATGATTTTCGTTTTGAAATCGTTGAAGTTCAGATATGTAACACAAATCTCGCCGGCGTAGTGATCGATATCCTCAATATTGAACTTGAGATCGTGAAGCGAAGCCTCAAAGCTTCCTTCAATGAGAAATTGTCGAACTATATGATGTGCAAACAGGACTATTTTTTTCTCTTTCGTCAACATGGATCAGGTTCTCACACAACGAATTTAGCTGATAAATATTGCAGGGCAGTTGTTCTGGTTTGAAGGATTCTTGACCAACTTCGATGAATATCGCTTCTTTGAGCTCTTCAAGAGTTAAGGGTCTTTTCGCAGCGATGACCCAGCAAAAACTTCTAAATGCTATATCTGTGTTACTTCGCGAGAAAATACGACGAAGGGCACGATTGAACGTTTCTGGAAGATCCTTGGGTAAGTTGCAGATAGACTGTCGGATGTCGTCGTCACGGCACTGCGAGCAGAGTTCATCAATTTGGAATGCGACCCAGAGAAACCTTGAGAGGTTAGTCAAGGCCCTATAGCCAGGGATATTCTAGTATTGTGACTTACATGCCATCTGCGCCATTTCTCAAGGCCTCCTTGATTTCTTCGATGAGATCCTTGTTTCCCACAACCAGCTCTTCGCTTTGCAGCTTTCCTTTGACAGCGCCCTCGATATAGGTCGATATGTCCGACTGGGCGCCCCGATAATTCATCGACACGCTTTTCAGTCTAGGAAATATTCTCTCTACTTCCCGCGATACGCTTTCGCGACCGGAGAAAAATACCCTTATATTTGTATCTGATTCGACAGACACAAGTGAGAAAAGCGCATTAAGAAGGTCCTCGCGCTCTCGTTTTTGACACTCATCCAGCCCATCAATTATGATATTGAGCCTTTTCAAACTCCTGGCTATCATGTCTAGCATTTTGACAAGATGTTCTCAGATGATAGAGTCCTCTGTGCCTCTTCTAGTAGGAAATCTACACCGTCTGGGAAACCTGCTTTGTCTAGTGCTTGCCATCGTATTGACTTGATAATATTCTCACTCTTCAATGATTCGTGGTCATCAAACCTCACGAAGAAGGAAACAAAAATTTCGGGGTCATGCTTCTCGATTAGAATCCGGTCAATCAGACTCGCGCTGTGAATGCTGAGTTAGTAGACACATGGTACGATAGTTCATCGTTACTATATACATACGCGAGGACTGTCTTGCCTGAGCCAACTGCCAAAAGTCAAAATTTCATATTGAAGTCGCCACAGGAGAATGACTTACTCTTGCCGGAGCAATAAATGACAGGACAGCCGATACCAGTAATCCAGTGATCAAACTCTTGTATCTCAAAAAGCCACTCTGCCGTTCCACCATGGCGCTTTTGTCGACTTTGCTTGAGAGGAGTCAGGTAATCGTGAGTTGAAAGGGAGCCAAGAAGCTCTTGTTTTCTTTTTTTGGCTCGTTGTATGTTCACCTGCCCCTGACCAGACTCCATTATGCTAAGCCTGTTTCCTGCCCTTGAGATAAAAGATCTCAGCTTATTTCTATCCTCTAATATCTCAGTCTCCTGTCCGGTGAGTTTATTATCTAGTTCCTGCTCATCACTCCGTACTCGAGCAGACCACAAATCGCACTCGAATGCCTCATGGCATTTCTGAAGTTCTTCCAGGCGAGGCTTCAATTCTTGCTCGAACGTAGCCCAGAGTGCTCCAAGGAGCTGATAGTGCCCTGCTTATTTGTTAGAGTTGACTAGATCATTCGAGAGATGTTTGATACGCACAGGGGCGTTGAACGTTTTCGATCAAATGTTTGCAGCAATATGTAACGGACGAAAAGAAATTAACGAGAGACTCTCGAAGCTCTGATGATGTCAAAAAAAATTCTTTGTAGTCTGTCGAAGATGGACAAAAAATACCAAGCTTCATAAAGAAGTTGGAGAGAGCCTCATAGTATGAAGGCAATTTGAATATCATCTACTATTGTTAGCTGAGTGAAACAAGTATAAGCCCCAAGAGAGTGTTTCGGGTGTAATCTCACATTGATTGTTAATTTCAGACTCCCCCACAATAGAACAGCAAGTTTGGAGGGCCATGACGGAAAACTTTCAACGGCTACACAGAACTTCCGAACGGATTGCAGAACTGAGTAAAATCTACTCCAATGCTGGTTCCTTTTCTGTTTCTGTTATTATAATCAAGTTGAGCAGTGAAAATGGGGACAGAATCGACGTTTGGAACTGCTCTGGTGCTACGTAATTCTTGAAACTGGGGACCGGAGAGACCACGTTGGAAATGGGAGATAGAATCTTGCAAAGGCTGCCACTGACCGTTGCGAACGGCTGCAACTAAAGACAAAGATTGCATATTCAGTCTTTCCTTTGATTTGGTGCTCAAAGAGTCGCTGCGACTTTTACGGATATCAGCAACCCGCATAGACGTCTCGGTGCCGTTGGTAAGGCTATATCGAGTTAACATGGACTTCGTGACTGAGGCTGCAGTGGCTGCAGCAAATTGGCTGCCATGACTTGTTATTGTGGCTGTCGGCATAATCTCAGACCCCTTTGACAATGATACTTGGGACCTCGTCCCAAATTCCAGCGCCTTCCATTTCAAAGGAAATGACATCGTACTGCTTTGCAACCTCGTCTCGGTGCTCTCCATACTTCATCACAGTATCTCCTGGGGCGATACGTCCGATAAAAACTTGCGGGATTTGATCCCGTTTCTGGAGGCCCTGTCTAGAAACTAGCTCTCTTTCGTCACAGACCAGCTCGGCACAAGGTGCTTTGGAAGCTTCCTCACAGAATGTTTCTATCTCTCTATGACAGAAGTTGCACGATGACCTTCTATGTTTGTGATGATAAGATGCTGCGAAAAGCTTATGCTCTTTAGCTCCAGGAGGGATATAACTATGTTGATAGCCCCGAGAAATGGATGCCTCTTGCAAAGCTTTCAGATATTTGGCTGCATCCCCCTGCAAGTCTCTTTTCCCAGGTTCAGTCCTGAAGTATGCGATGAGACCTCGAATATCCTTGCTTGAGCCGCGCAAAGAAGCAACTAACTCTTTTGGAATAAAGCTTCCAGGGTACTGTCTGCCAAAGTCGTATTGAATAACATCGTCGCTAACGACAACATCCCCGAGAAGTATCTCATGAATTCCAGGTGCACTACCGCAAACACCAACAAGGAAAGCAAGTCTTAAGCTTGCGTAACTTGTGCGCAGACAGGCTTCTGATCTTGCGACTGCGACTTTCCCCATACTTGGAAGAAGCATGAGAACGACGTTATGCATTCCGATCCGGCCATTTCGATACGTATTCGAATCTCCCGAGGTGTGTCCATACTGTTTGCCACCCTCGTCCCAGAACTCATCGACAAGAAGAGAAGCAGCGTCGTATTCAAGTGGTAAGGCGCAAATCATCGCTATATGAAAATCTCGAAGAAACAAGGGCCGGGTATACCTAGTCTCAGAGGATGCTGTGGAGGATGCTGACTGAAGCGACATATTGACGCCAGTGCATGCACCAGCTTTCTATCAACATGAGAGGAGTTCTTAGCGCCGAATGGAGGAGCACTATAGATCATGCTATAATGACCCCCTGAATCGAATCTGACAGACGGCCTGGGGTCTGAGAAGGAGAAGTTTCTAAAACACACGAACTTTCAGCTATTGGGTAGAGGCTTGGTGGCTAAAGCATAGCCACTAATAAATTGGTCTTCCCCGCCACGCTGTAATGCGGCGCCATGTTCACATACGATAGCCTCTTCTAATTGTGTGCAATACCATGTAGGAAGACGTGTAGGCGGGCGGTTAGATCATACGTAGTACGTGTATACGCTACTACCTATACTTCCAAGATTAAATTCAAGTTCTGGCATGTTCAATTTTCTTTACAAGGAACGGGATCCCTCATCTGGGCACTGAGTAGACTAGAGTATATAGATGACTTGTATGTACATGTAGTAGCAACCACCCACTTTTACGAAGTCTCTCCGGTTGATAAAGATACGCTGAAGCTTACGAGGAAATCTACTGGAAACTATATAAATTGTGGAAATACAAGGTATAGGATTCAAAGTCAATTTTAAGAAAAGGCGTGGCTCATTGATCCGTCAAACCAGCCAGAATAAACAAGCTCCCATCGCCACTCTATAAGGGCAATAACTAGCCAACAAAAGACAAGCTCCCATAGAAGACTGAAATGTCGATAAAGCAATAAACAAAACGTGCAATCAGTCCGTAGACATAGTAAACAATCGTTCCTACATTTTTTTGGGCCCGGTTTCGCCACGGTTGGCCTTTGTCCGACCTTCCCACTCCCTTCTTTCACGGATTTCCCTGAGTTGTGAGGAGTTTGTGAAGAGAGAAGACAGAACAGACGAGAAAGAAAGCAAAAAACAACAACTATATTAGAAGCATACTCGGAAATTTCGTACACAAACCCGTGGCAAAGAGCAGAATTAGGAGACCTCTTGCGAAACACCCGACAAGGATCGGAAATAATAAATAGGAGATTAGAAACAAAAGGTCGAGCTTTTTGTTGTGTAATGAAGAACAAATGAAGAAAGAAAATATTTCCAGCCACCAGTGACGAGAGTCGGAAGGGTATCAAAAAGACCAGGGAATATTGGAACGGACAAGCCAATAGCCAAGCTAACTTCAGGTTTCCTTAGGGAAGAAAGGTCCAAATGTACGGCGAACTGAACGAGCACCGCAAAGATTGAGTGGTGGGATTGGAGACTTTTCGTTTCTCAAGCGCTCATGGGGGATTTGGCTTGCGATGGAGATCCTTCGGGTGACTGTTCTACCACATCTGAGAGGCGAATCCTCTTAGCGTGAGGCTCCAAGCCGTCGCCTTCGCCAGTACCCAGCTGGCGTTCCAGATCACTGATCCGTCGCTTGAGCTCCTCCTCACGAAGCTGCGATTCATCCAGCGACCGGCGAGTACGAGACTCGGAATCACGGGCAATCATTTCCGACCGACGCGCACTGGCATCACTCTGTTCGAGTTCTGCGACCCGACCACGGAAGAGCTCATTGATCAAATCAAGTTCGCTGACGCGGGTCTTGAGAGATGTATTAAGGGCGAGCAGGCTTTCGTATGTCTGAGGAGAATCGAGCTGGCGATCGATAGCTGATGGAGAAGGTTGACGCAGCGGAAGAGAAGGAAGACTGCCGGATGAGTGGAGAGTACCGTCGCCTCGAGTGACACTATCGAACATGTGCTGGGGCGCGATGTTTGAGTTGTGCGCGTGCATGGAACCAAAACCAGGTGTCTCTGTTCGCGACAAGGGGGAGTTGGAGCGATCCGAGTGGCCTGGGGACATCTTACGCGACGGACGACGGTAGGCATGCGACCCTAGAGGCGGAGTGCCCGCATCGGATTGTGTCGCAAGACCATTAGCATCGAGAGGGCCGCCAGACTAGAAGATCGCAACGGAAGTCAGCAACTAAGGAAATTTCTTATCTCCAGTCTACAGACGAGAGGGGCGCAGGAAATTTTTTTATCTGCTGGTCGCATTACTCACCTTGCGTTTGGGGCCCTGTCCGGTCTTTACGCGATTGCGACTTTTGATCACATCGGTCTTCAAGCTTATCGGTCGAGGCCGCCCGTGCAATTTGAGGAATAATCCGCAGGCATTGCAAAGCACTGAGCCGAGTTCATCCCTGCGCCACAAAGGCGTGGTCGAGGTGCCACAGTTTTGACAAACCGGCTGTAATTGAGGTTGTTTGTTGTCAGCCAATGTGGTCGCCATGGTGGGAATGGGAAGACAGGTAGAGGGAGAACGAGATTAGAGATTGGGGATGGAGGAGTGCGATGATAAGATTGGGAGAGATTTGAACGGCTCGATAAGGAAGAGGCGCACGGATCGGGTGGTGCCAAGACCCCCAGCAAAGTTGCTGATAAAACGGCCCCGTGCAGAGATAAGGCCGCGATAAGACAACACCCATGAAAATCATGATAGATAGATAGGGAGCGATATGCGATAAATGGGGAAACAAGGATTAGGAGAATTAAAGGCCCACTTACAGGATTATTACCCTGGCCACCAGTTGTAGCAGCCGGTGATGAGGTCGCATATGTCATGTTGGCCATGCTCATATTCGCATTACTGGACTCGCTGATGGTAGAGAAAACCGGTTAGCCAATGGATTCGCGCCCATTTCTGCTGTGCCCATTGGATCCCTCACTGCAGGAAGGAGGGGTATCCAGCTGTCGACAGGAGAAAGCGTTTCGCTTTTGATATTGATAGGCTCTTGAGTAAAGAGATTGCGCCATTTTTGTTCCATGCCACTTTCTCTTTCTCTCATTATACACGAACGTACCGTAGATTAGAAGTAGGAGCCGACGCGACCGAAGCAAGTGCTGCTAATCCCGGCAGAGAGGCGCTCACAGAGACCGATCCAGGAAAAGAGTCTCTGTAGTCGGATGTATTGAGCTTGCCGATACTACCTAGATCTGGCAGAACCGGAGAGAAGGACTTGGGTAGATCTGGGTGGTCTGTATGATGGGGTGCAGCAGTTTCGGAGGGGGATTCGAGGTGGGAAACGTCTGAGGATTGATGCGAAGGCGAGCCAGGTTTCAGAGCCGGGTCGATGGGCGCCGCCCGGTAGAGGATGGAAGCCACAATGGAGGAAGCGTGTGAGGATCAATGGAAATCCGGCCGAGACCGAATTGGAGGACAAGAGCGAAGAGAAGTCGAGCGTTCGTGTATCAGTCGCGCGCGATAGAGCGAAGGCGGTAGTCTTTTGAGGTATCGAGGGTGAATTACCGCAGTAGGTTAGAATAACAACACTCAAGAATCTTTGGGTTCATGGGTGACAATTGCAGGATGATCACGCCGATACTAGGCTAGCGATACTGGCAGCGATACTGGCAATGGCCGCGACAGGCGAGGTTTCCTCAAGGAAACCAAACCATTCAAGGAAGAAGAAAAGAATGACCGGGTTCAAATCGCCCTCAAAATCGAGGCCGAGATCAAGTGTTCAATTCGAGATCAATTGGGGGTGATGTGGGTGTGGAGGATGCGAAGATGCAGAAATGGATCTTATCCTTCCCGATTGTTATTATCGCGCGCCGTATCAAAATTATCCGTTATCGCGCTCGAGGTTGGGCACACTGTATGGTGGTAATTACCGTGAAACCCGTGCCATTAGGATCTTTCTTCTGATTTACATTGTTCAAAAATCTTATTTTTGCATTGGAATGCGTCTCTGGGTCTATGCTATGGGAGTTAGATCCCACTGCCCTACCTCCTGCATCTACTACCTGATCCCATTGTGGCATGCTCTATGCTATATAGTAACAGAGTCGAGAGTATCTCCCGGATTTAGTATATATTCGAGGGCTCTAGAGCTGTAAAGACATCATATCTCTACTAGTAGATCTTTGGTCAGAATATTGACTACATACTCGTTAAAATGGATGTTTATTTTTATCATTTTTATTTTTCAATTAGTAAGTTGAAGCCTTCTTATGCTTCGATCTGCTGCGTAGATCTCCCAAGATACATCCATAGCCCTAAGACACCACAAACCTACTACTCATACTACAGATCCACGTATCATTTCTTTCTTGGTTATGTGGGTCATTATACGACCTCATTTCCCGGCTTTTTCACTGATACCTATTGTGATAGACCCGCGAACCTTGGAGCCCGTCCCAGCTCAACCCCTTTTATGCGGGTGGATTTTAGGGGGTGGAGCCTGCGGCAGTTTGTGGCGGTGCGGGTACTGGTATTACAGAAAGACAGTATGATGGAGGCCGCATGTGGACAAGATCATAGGAGAATTGGTGGTAATTATGGTAATAATCGACCATGACTGGTAAATGAGCCGTCACAGTACCCACCCCAAGTCAAGCCCCCTACCTTAAGTCATGTCTGGCCATAATAATCATGACGGATGCGTTGTTCTTCTCTGCCTTCAAGTTTCAAGCACCTTGAACCATTACCTCTAATGGAATGATTTATTTCATTTTCCTGTCTTTCGTTTCTTTCTAGCTCGTCGTTTTTCATTCACTTCACTCCACTCTCCTTCTTTCACCTCTCCTAGAGCGGCGTGTCCTTCACAATGCCAAAAAATCGCCCTGCCACGTCGGGTTACGCCCGCCTTGCCCAAGCAGAGGAAGAACGCGGATACATCCACGATGACTCAGAAGAAGATGAGATGGCTGCGGTCTCCTCGACCGTATCTACCTCCGCCCCCCGTTACGCTCCTATCTCCTCTCGAGCCCAGATGCAGGCGTCCGGTCTCGCCACGCCCCCAAGTCATCGACGCAGACACAGTGGATATTCCCGCCGAGGTCGCCGGAACTCTGGCGTGGACATTAAGGCCATCAATGCGCGTCTAGAGCGATGGGCGGAGGAGATTGCCGCCAAATTCAAAATCAATCGGGTTAAGGGCAAAACCTACGAGGAAGAGAAGCTTGAAATCTACCACTCGGTCTTCCAGGCCCCCGATGGCGTACGTCCGATTTCTGCAGAGGCCCTGGAATCAGACGAATTTGAGGGTCAACAGCGAAGGCAAAAAGCAGAGTACGAGGAGATCATTGAAAGCGTTCGCCTAGCTATTGAGCTTGACGTGCATCCACGAATGATCTCCCAGGGAAGTTCTGGCAGTTATTTTGCTCGCAATCCCGAAGGAAAAGTTGTTGGTGTATTCAAACCTAAAGACGAAGAACCCTACGCCTCGCGAAATCCAAAATGGACGAAATGGATTCACCGCAACCTGTTCCCGTGCTTCTTTGGACGGGCGTGCCTTATTCCCAACCTTTCATACGTCTCCGAAGCCGCCGCATATGTTCTCGATGCCCGTCTTCGTACAAATCTCGTGCCATACACCGATATCGCCTACCTTTCGTCGAGATCATTCTTCTATGATTTCTGGGATCGACGCAAGGCTTGGAAAGGGAAGAAAATACTGCCCCCCAAGGCTGGTAGTTTCCAAGTCTTCCTCAAAGGATATAAAGATGCAAACATTTTCCTGCGGGAACATCCTTGGCCCGACCAGGCGAACTCCGGGCTCCGTGCAACGGACGCGCCGAGGCGGAAGAAGCGGCCGTGGAACGAAGCGTGCCGCCCGTCTGGCGCGCAGTCTGACGACGAGGACGACGAGGAGGCTGGACACATGCCTTCTGCGAACCCACGCGATGAAAGCGCGGAGCGTCGTTTCAACTGGACCGAAACCCTCAAGCAGTCATTCCGCGAAGAGCTTGAAAAACTGGTGATTTTGGACTACATAATGCGAAACACAGATCGTGGACTGGACAACTGGATGATCAAGATTGACTGGGGCACCGAACAAGTTTCTATCGTTGCAGAACCTCCAAAGGCTACCGAGCCACAACCCAAGCACGACGAAGACGAGCTCATGCCCCCACCGCGCCCGGTTTCCGTTAATTCAGATGGGTCCAATCCTTACAAGCGACGCGAGACAATGATGGCTGTGAGCCGCACAGGAACACCTTTGGCTTCATCGGAGCAACAAACTTCAGTCCAACTTGGTGCCATCGATAACAGTTTGTCATGGCCATGGAAACATCCCGATGCGGTAGGTTCATACAATCAAGTACAAGGTTTAGTTTTTGCGCTGATCACAAATATAGTGGCGGAGTTTCCCATTCGGATGGCTTTTCCTCCCCGTTTCCCTCATCGGCCAACCTTTCTCACAAAAAACCCGCGACCATTTTCTCCCATTGCTCACATCGACAGCCTGGTGGAGCGGCACGCAAATGGCTCTACGCCGTGTATTCTCCCAAGATGATGATTTCAAGGAAGGCATGTTCGCTCGTCAGATCGCAGTTATGAAGGGCCAGGCGTGGAATGTGGTCGAGACCTTGAAGCACGCAGATCACGGCCCGCTTGAGTTAACCCGAAGGACTCGTGTTTGCGTCTGGGATGATCTTGTAGATGTCCCGGTCGCCATTCCAATGCGAGCGCCCTCGACAGACCTGCCAAGGCACAATGCTACGAATTATGACAACGAAGACGACGAGATGGACATTGGCGCAGCAAACTCTACTCAGCCGACTCCCGAATATGATCTTCTAGGACTAGGCCCGTCTCCGAACGACCTTCCTAACCCCAACCGGTTCGAGCTCTCTCGTGGGCGTTCTGATGGGCGAGCTACTGACTCCATCGGTAGTCCCGCAACCTTGAACGACGGCGATTTCTCTCGCCAAACCATAGATGGTGCCTATGCCCGATCCTTAGATGGGTGGCCCGACCTACCTTCTCGACCGAAAAAACACCGAAAACATGGGGGCTCTCTCTCCTTCCGTGTGCCTCACATAAATACCTTCGGTAGCGATGACCTCGAAGGCGACCTTGGATACGCCGCCGCCGAGGGTATGGAAGGTAACCAACGCAAAGTCATTGTGGAGCGTCTGGAAGCCGTCAAGAGCAAGAACCCTGTTTTTACCTGGTGCTGATGCGCTTTACGGCGTCGCTCTGCTTCCTTTCCGTTCCGTGCCTTTCTCATGTCGTCGCATTTTCTCTCTCAAATATTTAATTCGCCATTGTTCCGTTTAGCGTTGTTCTTATTGGAGCTGTGTGGGTCTACACAGGAGATCCTTTGCACCCCCATCTTCTTCTCTTCTTTTCTTTCCCCCTTCTATTTTCGTTCGGCGGACACTTGCTCATTCAAATGATCCTCTGTGTCCATATTTCCTTGTTTTACATGCCACGATCATGATTGGGAGTATTTGTGTTGTATATAGACCATCTCTGGCTGTCCGGTTTGAGGTTGTGGCGTATTGATTGAGCGCCTCATGTAGCATATATGACGAGACTTAATTCCATGATACCATCGTCCTCATAACTCCTTCCCTGGCTCCTATACGTTGTGGTTACATGCGTGTAAACTTGGAATTCGAAAGCTATACGCGCTAAAATTTGCTGTGAGTACATTCATTCACAGGAAATGTCACCGGATGTCGCAAAATGGAAATAGTGATGCTGTATATGCCGTATATGCTATAGTTGGACCTCCTGAGTCCCGACATTTGAACTTGCCACATAAAACATCTCCCATTAGCTAATGCGCGCAATCCCTCTATCCTCTTTCCCCTTGCCAACTCGCCTTGAGTGCTGTCATTTGCATATTTGTCCCTGTTCAGTTCAACTTCAGGGCTGTGAATGAGATCAAAGATAACCCGTCTTATCGGCGGGATCTTCCGAGCCGCTCCAGTGAGGTCATGATCGCAACTTTCTCAAGACACTTCTAGCCTGCTCCTAGGCCCGTTGTGGACAGGACGCGACCAGCTTGATTAGCAACATATTGGAGCTTCTATCGCTTATCGCTTGATGCGCCACAGCTCGTCCGACTTACAACCTATAACTCAGAAGCATTGAAGACCCCCCTCATTCCCGCTTGATCACCTGCTCATGCCGCCTTGCACCTATCAACGCCGCTCTCGCCCTATCCTTCCAACATTCTCTTTCCTTCATCCCTCCATCCATACTCGTCTATGATTGAACTGGCTCAACGTTGCATTTGGCATCGGTCATTTTGCATATACTAGGGGTGCCATGGCCTCTCAAGCGGCCATGCTGTTGGACCCCAAGGGTTATAAAAAACAGCTAAAGAAGAATGGTACTGTTTCTACTTCCCTTCCTTTCTTCCCACGTCCGTTACATAGCCCTGCTAGCAAGCAAGAGTCTGATGAGACATCGGCCATATAAATGCTGAAAAACGTTGTTCTTCTTTCATACTTCCTTCTCAACCTACCATTCGACCATGGAATCGACCGAGTCCTCTTACTTACTTTCTGTTCACACAGCCCCGCATGGTGCGAACAACGCCTCTATCCCCTCTTCTGAATCAACTGCATCACCTGGATTCTCCCCGCCCGTTCATTTTGAAGCAACCATTCCACGAAAAGATTCTCAGTCGAAGTCACCTATGGCGCCAAATTTTGCGCCAAATGACGCGCCGAAGCCTACGACGGTCGAGTTCACGACGAGTAGAGATTATGACAATGAAAGCGACTCGAAGCGGAGCTACCATGAGCTAAGCGAGGATGGTGATCTCGATCGCCCTCGAAACCTTATCGACGAAGTTTACGATGTCGAGAAACGACGACATCATCCGGTGAAAAGAATCAAGATACAGGAAACGCCTACATCTGGAACACCAAGCCAGACAATCAAGGGTTCTGGTATTAGTGAGCTTAGTAAATTTATGAAAGAGGGACAAGCAGGTTCTGTCTCGGCTCCAGTGGGTTCGCCCGTGGTTGATTTGACCGCGGTCTCTCCGAAAGGGAATGAAGATGATGAGCTGCAAGTCACTGGTTCGAATGATCTCAGCACCCAACGCGTTTGTTATGGCAAGGTACAATCAGCTATGGTCAATGCTGCCGTGGTACCTAAGCCGAGAGATGATGCCAAGTCAATATTTCCAGATCAGTGGCCAGCATTGAAGCTCGACTTGCGAAGGGCCCCAGACAAAGCTAGCATCAAAATCGAAGTCATAGATCCACAAGGCAACGTCTTTGGCTTGATTGATCCTAAAACTGCCGCTGCCCTTTGCCCGCTACTCGACTCGCCTACCTTAAGTTTGGATATCACAGCACGCCTGGAAATGCGCCCTGTCATGCAGAATGAAGTTCCAGGGAGCCCAACATCGGCAAACTATCGGGCTTCGTTGATTCTATATGGAGAACGTCAGCGCGCAGAGATTGTTGGCCGTTATTTGGGCCAAAAGAATGTCTGGCTCGGCCATCCAGCGATGGTGGAGAAGGGAACCCCACTATGGAACCCTCATGAACATTACAAAAGAATGTTAAATGCACCCGGGGCCACCTCTAACAACAATGATCGCCTCGGGCAGAGATATGAAGTCAGATCCGCCGAAGAAATAACCGACTCCGTGACCAAAATGTTCAATCAGCTCGTCAGTGCTGATGTCCCCATGATGGAAGCCCCAGATGAATTATTGACACCCTTGTTACCTCATCAAAAGCAAGCCTTATGGTTCATGACGGAGAAAGAGCTGCCTCGAAAGTTTGGGCCTGAAGAAGCTGATAACAACTCACTTTGGCGCATTCGGTATGCCGCAAATGGCCAGAAAGAATACAAGGAAATAATAACGGGCCTTGTACAGCATGAGGAACCACCTCAAGTCCTCGGGGGGCTGTTAGCGGATATGATGGGACTGGGGAAAACGCTGAGCATACTTTCACTGGCTGTGTCTTCTCTTCCACGAGCACTTGAGTGGGAAAAGATGCCCCCTGCCCCAAAGTTGGCGCGCAAAATTCCCGGTGTCCGTTGCACTCGAACTACTTTATTGATCGTGCCATTGAGTGCGGTCAAGAATTGGACAATGCAAATCCAAGAACATCTCAAACCGGACACACTGAATTATTATGTTTTTCACGGGCCAAACAGAAAACTTGATTTGAAGGAGCTCAGCGGTTTTGACCTTATCATCACAACCTATAGTACCATCCTCAGCGAAATCCAGGATCGTTCTAATCGTGGTCCTAGTCCTTTGACCAAGATGTACATGTTCCGTATTGTTCTTGATGAAGCTCATACAATTCGGGAACAAAGCGCTCAACAGACTAAAGCAGTTCTTAGTCTTCATGGCTTGCGTCGCTGGTCTGTAACAGGAACTCCTATCCAAAACCGCCTGGAGGATCTTCTTTCTGTCACGAGATTTTTACGACTCTTCCCTTATGAAGACCGTGGCCGTTTCAATCAATTTATAGTCAGTCGGTTCAAATCTGGCGACTCCACAGTTCTTACTAGCCTGCGGGTTTTCATTGACTCGTTTACCCTACGCCGGGTTAAGGACAGAATTAATCTGCCGCCACGAGAGGACAAAATTATTACCCTTGAATTCTCTGAAAGCGAGAGAGACCTGCATGAACGATTCCGCAACGAATCTAATGTTATGATGCGTGTTCTGACCGGCGAGGGCAAGTCTAACATGGGCGGACGTGTGTATCACCATGTGTTGAAAGCCATGATGATACTTCGACAAGTTAGTGCCCATGGCAAAGAGCTTCTTGATCTCGAAGACCGAGAACGAATCAAAGGCCTAACTGTTCATGACGCTATTGATCTCGAGGAAAATGGGTCTGACGAAGACCCTGCCGCCGGTAGGAAAAAGGCATTCAACATGTTCATGCTGATGCAGGAATCATCCGCTGATCAGTGTGCTATTTGCAAAAGTCATATTGAAGAGCCTCTCAATGGGTCGGGAGATGTTGATCAAGATGCGCCTATGGCTGTCTTCATGCCTTGCTTTGATGTTTTTTGCCCAAGTTGCTTTCACAAATGGAGGCGTACTTGGGAACCAGGCAATGACAATCCGATCATGTGCAAAGCCTGCGATGGTTGGTCGACTAAAAATTTCGTCGTCATAACACTAGAGGGGCTGAATAAGTTTGCCTCCGAAAAGGCCCTACAAAGGCAGAATCGCAAAAGTGGCAAGGTTTTGGGCGACTATGAAGGCCCTCACACCAAAACTCTTGCATTGATCCATCATCTGCAAGTGAGTCTTGCGGAAAGCATTGCCCTGGTGGGGGAGCCTCCAATCAAAAGTGTTATCTTTTCCCAATGGACTTCACATTTAGATTTGATTGAGATCGCCCTGAAGAACCATGGGCTCGGTACATTCACGCGCCTGGATGGTACAATGTCTCTGGCTGCCCGTGGCAGGGCACTGGATGAATTTGCCAAAAATGACAACATTACCATCTTACTGGCCACTATTGGCGCTGGTGGTGTTGGCTTGAACCTGACATCTGCATCTCGAGTTTATGTCATGGAGCCACATTATAACCCCGCTGCTGTTGCGCAGGCTGTGGATCGTGTGCATCGACTGGGTCAAACGCGACCTGTTCAAACAGTTCAGTTCATCATGAAAGGCAGTATCGAGGAGAAGATCCTCGAACTGGCGAAGAAGAAGCAGCAGCTCGCTGACATGAGCATGAATAGAGGGAAACTGGACCGAAAAGAAGTCCAGGAGCAACGGATGCAAGAATACCGTTCTCTATTCAAATGATAACGACTTATTTATTCATGACAAACTCTGCTTCGTTTGCATTTTTCTCCACTATTTATCATTCTTTTGATTCCCATTTTTCGCGATTCGTTTCTGATTTCGGTTTATGGTTCCCCAACAACTCCCCATATATGGTTCTCGTCGGGGTCCTCTATGGTGGCAGGACGGTTTGATTTTCTCCACTTGATATTTAGTTTGATACCCCGGACATGGTGGTCGGTTATTTATTTTTCACAGGCGCCCGGGTCTTCACGTCATTCCCCCATGCCAAATATTGGCAGCTTTGCTTTCATTCTTGCTCTTTTTCTTATGGGAACCTTGCCGCTTGCTCTCTCTTCTCTGCAGGCCTTTCAGCCAATACACGCATGCCCTCTTGCCTAGATGCCCCGTTATGCCCTAGAATAGTCTTATGCCCTGCATCACTAAATAAACATATCATTTCGTTTTTGACTCGGTAGTATCCTTCTTTCGTAAACTCAATCAATTCGCAGGTTTTATAAAATGGTATCTAGTAGTATAAATTCAAAAACGCCACATATCCCAGCCACCCATTCATCAAAGAGAAAACAGAAAACAGATGAGCAGAAAGAAGTATGAGGTAACTAGACCGCAGGAGACGACGAAGAAAAACAAGTCATCATGAATGACCCACGAGTATCACCTCAACTTCAATCGCAAAAAGGATCATGCAAGTCCAACTTCACACCCATTACTCCCTCTCCCCGTGAATTCCCACGAAAACAGCCCCAAGCACTTCATCAAGCCGCTTCCTTAACCCTCTCAACTCCTGTGCCTTGGTCTCTCGTTCCCTTTCCACGTCCCGCAGCTGTACCTCCAACTCCCGAATCCTCTTCTCTTGTTCTGCCTCCGAAGTCCCAATACCCGGCAACACAGAGATCAGATACTCAATCTGCTGCTCTTTTATGATGAGGTCCCGAGCCAGTTCCCGTTGCCGACTTGCGAATGTCCGTGGTGAATCAGGCTGTGGTGGAAGATTGGGGTCTTCGAAATCACCGTCTCCTGGCCCGGCACCGGGTTGCTGTGGTGCTGCTGGCGGTGGAGAGGCGTGTCCGGCGACAGCATCGGTTGTGCCGTCTGTTTTCGCAGCTATGGAGGCGGGGATGGGTGGTGATGTTGCATTTTTGGTGATTTTTGCTAGGGCAGGAGCTGCGTCGGGGACGCTGGGAGGTGGGATTGCTGGACTGTTGTCATGATACGTTGATAAGTAGCCCAAGGTTGCGTAGAATTGGGTTGCAAGCTGTAAGTATGTTAGGTATAATGCTAAGATCGGCGTTGGTCTCATTTACATACTTGGTCCAGGCATGTTTGTAGCTGGGTAAGGATGTCTGCCATTTTTGCGACCTAACCGGAGGAATATAAAAGTCCAGCAAGGTTAGGTTGGAGGCAGGATGTCAAAGAAGAGAGTGGATCATTGACGTTGAAGCGGCTAGGTTGGGCCGTGAATGCGGAGATAAAAGTTGCAATGCGGTGAGCTTGGCTCACTCCTTCACAACATACTCAATGCGACGTCTGACTCTACTCTATGGCCATGTAGCCAGGCATTCATATCCTCTGACTCATCGATCTACGTCTACACCAATAAAACCTTTACTTCTTCGAGAGTTTTCCACAACCCGATTCCATAATGACTTGAGCCCTTTCACCCGCCGTTTGTTCAAGCTTCCCTCCACACCATCTCCGCCCTCCCAACACCACGACAACCTTACGCAATTCCTCACATATGCCTCGCGCATCTCCCTACCAGAAACAAGTACCGTATATGTAGGTACCCATTACGAATACACCGTCCTTCAAAGCCTCCGTCGCTGCGCACTGGCCCTCCACCGCATTGGCGGCCGCGACGACGCAGGCATAGACCTAGCGGGTACCTGGCATTTACCAGAGCATGAGCGGGAGCGCGCAGTTCGCGTGCTAGTGCAATGCAAAGCACTGAAGACGAAACTGGGGCCAAACCTTGTGCGCGAGCTCGAAGGTACCCTCCGACAGGCACCTGTGGGCTGGCGCACGGGCCAAACGGTGGGGATGCTGGTTAGCCCGCGCGAGGCAACGAAGGGTGTGCGGGACGCATTAGCGCGGAGTTCATTCCCGCTTTTTTGGATGATGGTCGAGCGCGATGGAACTTTGAGGCAGGCGCTGTGGAACGCTCGGGCGGAGGCATTGGGACTGGGCGCTTTGGGGGTTGAAACGCGATATGATATGTCTGATCGTGGGGATCCTGGAGCTACTTCTGAACCGAGGAAAGAAGTTACCTTCACCTGGGATGGATGTGATATTGCTGATATGGATGCTGTTGAAGGGCAGTTGGCTCATGCCGAAGATCAGTGGGTTCGCTCTTGGACAGAAGATTTGGATGGCGTCCAAAAATGGGTACTATTGGACACTATCGAAGAGGTTTTCCCTGGTGGCTATCCCGAAACAGATATGGATGGGACAGTGTCGGATATGCACCGAGTAAAGGTTCTCGAGGCCTTGAAAGCTAAGGCGTAACCACTTGTATTTTTATATGTACTATAGCACCAGGATACCTTGATGGTCACCAGGTAAATAAAGAAGAGAGATATCAATATAAGGGCATGGTCATTCCATTGTCATTTTAATCAGAACTTTCAGGGTATTTAAAACAGAAACTCCAGCAACCAGAATCACAGCTCCTCCAGAAAACACCAACATAGTGATCATTATTATCCCTGCATAGTTTGCCAGAAATAGTTCGAATAGAAGAATCGTGAGAACTTCGGGTCGATGTTCACAACATGCACATCACCCTTGCGACTATTCCGAATGACTGCGCGGTGGAAGTTGCCAGCCTCATCGGGCTCGATATCGATTCCAAGCGACCGGAAAATCTTAAGTCGAAGACTATTATAGGTAATTAGCATGTGCGTATACTTTATGTAGTTGGATTGGAACAACACCCACATTGTCGCATCATCCATCTCGCGTTCTCGGCGCGTGGTCTCATCACCCTCCAAGCCTTGCGCCTCCAGATCTGCTAGTCGCTCCTTGAGCATTTCAAGTTCACCTTCAAGGCGCTCGCTTTCGATTTCTAGTTCCGTCGCAGTTTTGGCGATTCGGAACTTCTTGGTGTCCAACTCTACGATCTCCGCGGCGTGTTTACCAGAATCATGTATAGCGACAGCCTCCTCATGTTGTGTACGCAATGAGTGTAGGTGGCGTGAGAGCTTGTGCATAGAAGATTCCGCTTCACGAATACGCAGGTCGCGCGATTGCTGGAGTGTAGAAAGCGAGTCATCGATGCGCGTAACTGCTTGCTTATCCGGATGGATGTTGAAGTTGCCGATTGTATGGTGGATCAGCTAGAATGATGATAAGTATTAGGAATACACCTTGTAATGTCAGGAATTAAAAAAATAACACTCACGGTTCCAGGGTCTCCGTCGAGCAACATGGTGGTTAATTTGGATGCCCAATTTGGAAGTGGTGGTTCATGCACATGTGGATGGAGAGTGTTTTGGTGTTGTTGTTGCGGCAGCAACAGCCACAACCAGCACCGCCACATGTTTCTCCGCAAGTGACGTTCGGCGCTTGTGATTATTCTTGCTCTCAAGGCTTCACTTTTACACTTTCTCTCGAAACTCTTTCTTCTCCATCTATTTACATACCGTTTCCCTGCTACTACATACCTCGAACTTTGAATTCTCCAGCCATGTCGAATCTTCCATGTGAGCTATCATGTCGCCTCTTGTTCCCCGCGACCGTTTGCTAATCCGTGCGCCACCGATTCCAGATGCTGCCGATGCGGAAAGGTCCGTTGCCTTATGAAGCTCCAACATGAAGCCCCTGAACGATGCGAACTGACTATTTGAGCTTGTATCTAGTCCGTTGAAACCCGCCGAGCTGCAGGTGCTGCGTGCACAATATGAAAAAGAAGGCGACTACGTGGGCATTCAGACTAAGTTCAACTTCGCTTGGGTATGCGATCCAAACTTCGCTAGGGCCTCGGCTTCAACTGCCATGTTTCTCCTGCTAACCATATTTCTCCGCGCCTGCGGGGATGTTCTCTTCCAACAGGGTCTTATCAAATCCAATGCCCGACCCGAGCAACAAGAAGGCGTCCGACTCTTGTCAGAGATCTTCCGCGGTGCGCCGGAACGACGACGAGAGTGTCTATACTATCTGGCACTAGGCAACTTCAAATTAGGCAACTACGGAGAGGCTCGCCGGTATAACGATCTGTTACTGGAGAAAGAGCCTGCCAACTTGCAAGCGGCTAGCCTGGGGTCCCTCATCGACGACAAGGTCGCCAAGGAAGGTTTGATGGGGATTGCAATCGTAGGAGGCTTAGCTGTGGCAGCTGGTGTCGTGGGCAGTCTTCTTCTCAAGGGAGCCAGAAGACGGTGAGCGTTAGGACTCGGGCCCTGCAAGGGCGTGTGGCACAGTCGGTCCGGGGCGTCCTTGCGTCGCGGGTCGCCGACCTTTTACCTTGTATAGTGTCTAGTGATGTTATTTTGCCATCGTCTTAGCTTTCTTTTTCTTTTCTCTTTTGCTTTTGGGTTTATACGATGCGAGCATATCCGAGGCGTTGCATGATTTCGAACTCTATTCCTTGTGTTTTATGTCTCTACTCTCCAATCACGACTTACTATCGTCGCTATGTATGGCAATACAATACATAGTTCCTTTCCAGATTCTTCTTTTTGCCTCCTTGCCACTTGCATCACTATTCTTCCGAGACAGAAAATAAAGCTGCCTGGGTAAATGTGCAGTTCTATTTTTACTGTGCATGAAAAACGATGATCTGATTGTTCCATAGGGCCATTTCGATATCGTGCGCTACTACGTACTTCCAAGGCTTAAGGCAAACCTTTTTGGCACCCCGACGTCATGTTAAATGGCTAGTCTTCTCTTTTCTTTTTCTGCTATGGAGAAATTTGACCCCTTTTTCTTATTAAATCCTTTTTAGTCTCTCTTCACTCTCCCATTGCCGCCCGAATTGTCTTGTTTCTTTGTTCGTTAAATGTCGTGGTGCCTAATAATGCCCCGCGCTGATAAGACCATGACTCGTGACTACTCCGCGCGACCTACTGCGCTCTCCAACTTCACACCTCCAACTTCTTGCCACAACTTTCCTACATCGCCGCTTCTGCGAATTATGGCGGATCAGACAGATCGTGTCTTATGTCATGCCTGCGGTGGGGTCTCTTTAAAAGATGACAGGGGGGGTATGCTGTCATGTTCGCACTGCGAATCTGACTTCGTGGAGATCGTACGCGCCAACTCATATTGCCCGCATTGCTCGTATACATCTCGATATACTAACAACGATCCTCTGAATTTAATAGATCGAAATTCCGCCCGATAATGACCCACATGAATTGCCTTCGGATGCTGGATCGCCTACAATTTCTTCATGGAGAGATCAAGATCCTTGGAGGCATGAGGAAACAGAGCCCTCTGGCTTTTGGCCCAACTCAAGTCCCCCGGGCTTTGGGCATACTAGGCCACTTGGCTCACAACAATATTCCCACCACACATATAGGTCTTCCGATGGTAGATTTGCATTTACCAGCACCTCGACGCGTGGGGGATTCTCGCCCCGCCAAGGAGCCGCTGCTACCAACCCTACGGTGCCGATGATGCTAAATAGCCTGGATGAGATATTCAGAGCACTATCCGAGACCGGTCTTGATAACCGAGGAGCAAGAGGCGCTGCGATGGATCCTTTCCATGCACATACACCGGGGTGGCAAGAGCATGATCACCCAGGGTCCGAGTCATTTCCTGATCCTGACGAGGTACCCCCGCGAGATCCGGATGCGCCGCGATTTGGAACTGCGCCAGTGGACAGCTTAGCTGAGTACGCGTACTCCCCAGATTCGACAGTTACGCGCCGAAGGACCCTCATCCGGGGCTTCACAAATTTTGACATTGCTAACGACGACTCTAGTCTTTTTGGGGCCTTTCAACCAGAGTATGGACGAAGACGAGGAGTACCCGGTGCTCGTGGAGCGCCCCCTAATCCTCTCGGAATGATTTCAGCCATCCTGAACTTGAATCGCAGCGGCGATGCGGTATATTCGCAGGAGGAGTTGGACCGAGTTGTATCACAGCTGATCGACCATAACGCCCCGGGAGCGGCTCCACCTCCCGCAACTACTACGGCTATCCGATCGCTGCCCCAGAAAAAGGTCGACCGGCAGATGCTGGGGTCGGACGGAACCGCAGAGTGTTCAATTTGTATGGAAGCAGTGGAAATTGACACAGAAGTTACTGTATTGCCCTGCACACACTGGTTCCACTTCAGCTGCATTGAAGCATGGCTCAACCAACATAATACCTGCCCTCATTGCCGCCGAAGTATTGATTCTACCCATTGGTAGGTTCTTTTGCCATTCTGGACTTAGGTTCAAATAAAAGCAGCTGACATGAATTTGTTTCACAGTGCAACTGGTGAAAATACCAATCAGAACCCATTTATAGCCCAGCATAACCCCACAACTTCCAATTCTCCACCCTCTGGCCGTCAACGACGCCGCAGTTCTCCATTTTCTTCCCTGGGTAGGCGATCATCTTCCAGGTCCAATGCAGGATCACCGCCGAGACTTTCGTTCATTCCAGATGGCAATACTATCAGGCGGTCCAGAGTTTCCAGTCATTCCAGCCAGAACAGCCGCAACGAAGGGCAACGTGGAGGTTTCACAAACTGGGTCTGGAGCCGATTTGGAGGTGGAAATAACTAAGACAGGAGGATTATGAATAACGAAGTCCGGATTTTATTGGTTTAAATTTTTTTGGGGGTTTCTTTCGGTTTTCGGGGGCTTGCATGAGTCTCTTCTACTTTCCATCTGCTGATACATGTTGCTTTAGCGGTTGTTTACTTTCGCCCTTTCTGCTTCCCTCTCGTTCTTTCTCATACCCCATTTTCAAGTTTGATTTCTTTCGCTTTTAACAGACTTTACACACAGAGGTACGCCGGCGGAATACTGTGCAACATGGCTGGACTTCATATAGGGCCTTTCTTTCTATTTGGCATACATATTTTTTTTATGGTACTACTATATCCATGGAATGTATGGATCACTGAGTTTCAACAGATCAAATTCCATATCTTCATATTACTCACTATACCTAGACTAATTCCGATCTGGTTATCGCTTAATATATCTGGATCACAGAACAGATCACAGTACTCCCTTAATCAAACTACTCCACCTTGACAATCTTTCCCGTCTCAACCTCATACAGGTAACCCGTAATGGGCACATCCAACACAAGCGGGCTTTCCTTCAAAACCTGAATATCATCCAACACACTCTGTCTCAGATCCCCAAAGGGTAAAAACGCGATATGATCCACATTCTGCTTGAGATCTGCTCTAATTTTACCACGGATCACATCGTCCGTGAAAGTAAGCATTCCGCAATCAGTCTAATGATAGCACCGTATCGGTTAGCTTTATTCGTAGCTTCATATATCTTCAGATGCGACCCCACTAGATCGGCCAAGACAAAACAAAAAACTTTAAAGGGAATGTTGCAAAGTGGAACAGAACTTACATGATGCACAATGATAATTTCTCGCGTCCCGAGCAACTGCTGAGAGATGACGATACTGCGTAGGGCATCAGAGACCCGTCCACCCGCGTTTCTTATGACATGAGCATCGCCTTCTTCAAGGCCGAGGGCACGGGCGGTATCTGAAATAATGAGGTCATCAGCAGAGTTATACATATAAGATCATAGACCCGATCATTGGAGGATGGAATAATAGGAGTGCAAAAATAATAACAGAACACAAATTCCAAGGGCAGAAAGAAGTTAATAAAAGCCAACGTACCAAGGCGCGCATCCATGCATGCGACTATAGCAACTTTGCTACAGATGAGATGGTTAGCATTTTATTAATATTAAAATGGGCGAACAATAACAGATGAATCTATCCAATTTGCTTACCGTGCTGGGGGAAGAGCAAGGTCTCCCTTAGTAAAGGATGCGGCATATTTAGCATTCGCAGCTTCAGCTTCTTTTGCGACAGACATTATTGATATTATGGATAAGGTGAGTGAGTATATGTATATGTGGAGAATAATTGAGAGTACCTTGAGGACAAGGCTTTGAACCCATATATAAATGTGAAATTTCCCCGCATCGATGCCCAGGTGTGTCTTCTTTACGAAAATGAGGTGATCTGGAATTGCTAGCCATGTATGGCGTGCGAGCTGCATGGCGAACCATTATAACCCCAGAACTTAAAAAATTGCGCCTGATTCCGCGAGTAAATAGCTGTAATTGTACATTTTCCTTATCAACCTATAGAATGGAGGATTCTCAATTTCTACCACAAATAAAGAGCTTAATGGTTATTACGATGGTGACCTTTCCCACTTGTTCGGACCACAAACAGATCGTACTTCGAGGCTAGTCTTAATATAGAGAGGTAAACATTGTATTTGAACACATATTATTTAGACCAAACGAGCCTATTAAAGTAAATTATCTAGTACTAATATTTCTTATCCGCAACCTCCCTACACATCTCGTGTAGGACATCTGCAAGCCACTCAAAATCACTCCTTTCCAGATATACCTGGCCACTTACACGAACATACAACCAAGATCCATAAGGAGCGATAGGAACAAATGTGGAAAAATCTCTCATCATTCTCTTCTGCATATGAATCCAAGCACGACTCCACTCCTTCGCTGATAGCGTCACCCACGAGCCTGGAATCTCAGGCTCGTCATCTCCATTCACGACGCCAATAGGAAGGCGCACAGTATTCACACAGCAGTTACGCATACGGCTCTTCTGGCCGGGTTTCAAATTCATTTCTTGGAGAACATCTGTACCAAGAGCAATGGCAACGATATCAGCACCTTCGTTTGCCAGGGCACGGCAATATGACATGATGACTTCCTCACCACCGCAGACTTCTCGACGAAATTTCAGGGCGGCGGGGACAGATACGTATGCAGAATCATCACTTGTAGCGCCGTGTTGAAACAAATGTTCGAATAAAGTGTTCGGGTTGGGGTTTTTTGGATGTGGAGGGGCTGAAAAGGCCTCTGCGGGAGTAGATGCGGGAATGAAGCCCCATGAAGTGGGAAGCTGTGTGCGGAGAAGCTGCTGGTTGCGCTTTGGGCAGTACAACAAAGAGACAGGCCGAGGAGTGTAGAGCCACCTTAAAGAATGTCAGAGATAGGTTATCAATAAATCCAAGCCCGTGCAAACTCACTTATGGCAGTTTGTTACGAAGAAGTCAGGCTGTAGTTCCTGCATATCCAGAGGAATCATTCCAATGCCGTGGGCGCCATCGATGATGCTGAGGATGCCTTCTTCTCGACAGACAGCCGTCATTAATTCGAACGGAAAGCGAGCAGCAGGACTGCTGGTGATTGTATCAAAAAGTGCAGCGCGCACTTTAAGCCCATCGGCTCGTGCCTGGCGAACAGTCTCGCGGAATCGACGCTCTAGCTCACTTTCTTCGATGGGAAATGAAAAGGCAACTTTGCGTGTCTGAAGGGGTGAGTGTTCTTCCAGAGAGACAATACCATTTTCTAAAGCTCCATAAACATGATCGAAATAGACCAAAGATTCCTTCTCTTGAAAATTGAGGTTGTAAAGCACGGTAGCTATGCTCGTCGTCGAATTTTTGACATACACGCATTCATCCATAGGCGCGTTGATGAGGGCCGCTACCTCCGCCCTTGACTTACGCAGAAACGCAGTTTGTCTCACTCGAATATATGTGTCCGGTTGCAAATCGTTAAGTTCTTGCATCTCACGTCGTTTTTCTCGCACCGGAAAAGGATATGCGCCATAGGAGCCTAGTATTTCCAGATATAAATACCAATATCAACATAAAGGGACACTATGGTACTGACCATGGTTGAGAGGTGTGTATAAAGGATCAAACATCCAATGCTTGCGCATTGGTTTTCCAAATGGGGTGATTTTATTGTCGATGGTCATCGTGATTCAAAATTGTTAGGATATACTATATTGTTCGCAAATCTAACAGAGAAGCTTTTTGGGAAAAGCTGAACAAATGTTAGGACAACTTGCTTCATAAATAAGTCCTGAAAAAGCCCCAGAGCTCCGAGTCCACATGTACTACTAGTAGGACTCCACGGCTCGCAGATATTACCTATTCAGTGACGTCCCGTACATTATTCAAACAGGAATCTACCATGATGCTGGTAGAAATCCTTCTACATAAACGCCCCATACTTACTGAATCGCGAGTCCGCCCCACAATCCTCTCATTGGGGCCAAAGGAGTCCGAGTTGGTTATCCAAGCATGCTATTCTTAGCTGTTAAACATGAGTACAGGAAATGCGAAGATCTGTTTGGGGTTTTTCATGCCGATTTATAGATTAATTTGTTGTTCTTTGTTTTTTGGATCGCCGAGCCGAGTTCGCCCTGGACTAAACATTGAAGGTGCTTACAATCGAGAGGCGAACATAGTGGAGAACAGCGGTTAAAACAGCCCCCTACGTAGCTTGGCGAATCAAGCATCCTAAGCATCCCAAGCATTATGATAGTCTTAACCTTATGGTCCCTTATATCAGGGGCGAAAATTAACACCGCTTCCTCCCTGGCTTTTGATCGACTTGAAAAAAAAGTATGATTATGATGTCAATGTTGAAGAATACCATTAATGCCCCAACATCGTATCTACTCAGTCTCTCTTATTTATGGACACAGTTATACTATTCATCCCCCATTTTGTAGTAGCGCATTGGCTCAAGTTGATGAACAGAGATAAGAAATTGATCGGCTTGATGTGCATTTCAGGGCCCCACGATTTACAGTTTTGAAACACCTGAACTCCGGGTAAAAATGAAGATAGCGGAAGCATCGCCTCCGAGCCCTTCTATACTTAGAAATTACCCCAAAAGACACGAGATAACCTTCCAAGGTTGGAACACAAAGAACATGAAAAAGGAGTCCGTGCGGCTCCAACTTGTTGGCCTGTTGGTATTCGCATAGCATCACATGATATATGCAAGGGATGTGATATGTTAGACTCGATTTCGTTCATCGCCAAGATGTGTACACCTTCTGCAACCCACAGCCATGTGGAACTGCGATTTTATCAGCTGTAGGAAGCCTGCAGTCCGCCAAATCGGCGGATGTACTCTATGTGACCGGCATCTTTGTGCGGTACACCTGAAGCCCGGGCATCACAAATGTCCCACATGGGAGGTATGTAAACTGGCGAATGGCGTGTGACTTAGCGTAATAACAAGATTTTCCAGGACGAATCATCGTACTTTCCAGCGGCCAAAAAAGCCGAGAGAGATGAAATCAACAAACTTCTGCTGAAAATCAATGTGCCTGCTCTTCTATCGCGGGCAAGCCAGCTACGCGGCGGAGTCACTTGCTCGCTACCACATAGCTTAAAATATGACATTGAAACAAGCAGCCAGATTATGGGAGGAATGAATTATCATCTAGAAATTCATTTTGGCGATGGCGTCGTCTGGCTAGCCCGTATTCGAAGAACGAATGCTGCATCTCCGCCAACGGAGCTACAAAGCTACACTATGCAAAGTGAAGTTGCGACGCTCCAATTTGTGAACAACATGAATATACCAATCCCAAAAATACACCATTTTGACTGCGATGAGAAGAATCCCGTCGGTGTCCCATATATTCTCATGGAGAAATTGCCCGGTGTGAGTGTGGGTAGTTCTCTAATCCTGGCATGGACCCCCGGAAACAGACAAAAAGTCTTAAGCCAGCTCGCAGACATTTACATAAAACTTCACAAACACCCAGTTCACAAAATGGGATCATTCAATGATCCAGGGTCCGCCAATATTGGTCCCTTTGCAGTGGAGTCTCTTACCGATCGCCAGGGTTCTGAGTTGAAGACAACAGGACCATGTACTTCAATTCAAGAATATTACAAAGCGGGCATTGATCTTACCCTAGATCTAATCTTGCGACAAGAAATATACACGACGCGCCCGGTCGATGCCTACTTGGTACATCGGTATCTTTTAGACAATGTGACAAGGGTATTTTCATACAACGACCTTGACGACGGGAAATTTTATCTCAGACACGCAGATGACAAGGGAGATCATATTCTTGTTGATGACGATTTCAACATCACTGGCATGATTGATTGGGAATGGGCATATACGGCGCCAAAATCAGTGGCGTTTAATTCACCCATCGCTCTCCTGCCCGTCAGCGAATTTTATGACGGCACCAATAGGATTGGGGAAGATGAAGTCGCGTTTGCAGAACTTTTAGAAGAGAAGGGGCATCCTGATCTTGGAGAAATCACGAGGACTGGACGTTTACTGCACAGATTTGACTTCTGCTGCGGATACGATATCTCAGATTGGGATGGATTCTTGGGTCTTTTCTTTGGTCTTGTCAATGGACTGGGTGATCAATTTACAAAAAAGCTAGGCGACGACAAGCTTATCAATTGGGAAATTTGGAAAGCCGACGCAATGAACCGGTATTGGAACGACAAGCGACTTCAGAGACTCATTGAGGACACAAATTTCTTCTAATATTCATATATTTGCGGTGAATCAATCAATCTGGCATGGGAAATAATGGAGTATATGCCCACGTGCCAGTAGACTGAGTGGCTCGTAGCAATGCTCTTTCAACAGACTTTCGTCTAAATGCTGGACCTGGACCAACGCACACAACATCACTGCAGAGAACTTTTGTCATATCAGTAAATCGATTCCGAGAATAGTTTGTTTTTCATTTATTGGGTGAGAAGATAGTACTCACTGCTTATAAATTTTCCGACGTCAAGGGAGCCAGCAGGATTTACTCGAAAACCACAACTTTGCGATAAATCTGGTTGTATATCAATGCCCCTTTCCTGTATGAGCTTCTGCACCCCACTAGCATCCATCCATTCTCCGGCTACAGAAGCTGCAACTAGCTGACCGGATCTTGTCACCTGGTCAATCATGCCCAAGGAGAAGGCATCTCTCATGGGATACGCAGGACTCAGCACTTTAGACCTAGAGTCTAGCGTATCCCCTACCTCGTCAACAATGGCACTATACATGCCCTTTATGCTCCATTCTAGTTGAGCATCTGTTAATAAATGACCAAAAACAGCCTTTATCCTCGCGTCATCATGTGGAGAATAGACAAGTAGCTTATATCCATTATGGCTGCACTGTCGCACAATTCGATGCGAGAGACTCCACTGTCTCTGATTCATTAAATTAGCCGGAGAAACTGTTAATCCCGGACTCTGTAATGAAAGTGGTACACTTGATCCCGAGAGAAAAGAATCAAAAGGATACATGGCTTGTTCCTGGTCAGGTGGCGTAAGTGGGAGCGACAGATCTGCCCAGTGACTCGGGGCGGGGGTAGGAGGCGAAGATGACGTTGAAGTTGAACTTTCAGATTGAAAAACAGCAGCTGCCCCGTTGAATTCTGTGCTAAAATCAAGATCGACATCTATTTTTTCTGTAGCAGTTCTTTGGCTCGAAACCCCTTGCAAGATTCCCGCAGGAGCATTTTCATCATCTGACTCGTCACAGCCCTGCTTAGCGAGCGAAACACATTGATGTGTAATTTCTTGGAATGCAGATGTAATCCGTGGATGATATTCTAGTATGCTTTCTTCCAGTAACAGATTACTGAAAGAAAGAAATGACTGGCTAAGCTTCTCGATGCCAGATTCTAGTTCGTCCACACGTGTCTGTAGATTATTGATGGTTGTTTCTTTTCGCTTCCGATAAGCCTGCTGGGCTACTCGAAGCTGTTTGCGCCGTCTCTGGGTATAGTGAGTTGAGATGTGCCTAAGGGGTCATGGCTTGGTGACCTCACCTCTGGGATTTCTTTATCATCAGTGATGGTCCGGGGGCGACCTCTTTTTCGCGGCTCTGCTGTGGGTGGATTCGTCTCAGCCATTATTAATATAATATGATTTGTCGATTTAAACTAGAGCGGGTCCATATGAATGCTCTGTTTCAATTTGTAGTCAAAGGCTTGGAAGAAGGACTGTACGTTGAGGAAGGGGTGGCATTAATAGTTGATTTCATCAAGCTCGGCATGTTGAATAATCGGAAAATAAAGAGAAAAAGGTTATTACATAATCCATACTAACTCAACGATCGTCTCTATGGAAGATCTTGGCACAGAAAAAGAAGAATAAGCATTACTAATTAAACTTGCCACAATTAATCAGTTCAAAGAAACCTTCAATAACAATTTCAAATCCCGTGAAAACCAATCCAAACATTTCAAAGAATCAATTTTACATAGACTCACAGGTACCAGATACCTGAGTCTGAGGGGGACCAACATCCACCAATTCTGCCCCACTAACAGTGGTAATGCTCGAATCAACCCCATAGAATGTACAGACAAAACCGCTGACATCCGTCTCGATGTGAGAAATACTCAGCGGATTACCTGATCCAGTCAGCATCTTCAATCATACAGAAACGTAAGCAAAAGAAGGGGAAACATACTTATCTGCACAGATCCGCCACCCACCGGGAAACTCTGCATGAATTCCCCATCAGCGGCTCCAATGAAAGTAACCTGGACCTGCTCTGTAGGTGGAAGTGGAGTGGAATCAGACAAATGGCACGATCCAGAAATCTGTGTTTGTGGAGGCCCGACATCAACTGTCTCGGCTCCATTGATGGTCGTGACACTGCTGTCGATGCCGTTGAATGTACACTGGACATTCCCATCGGCGGAAGAGACATGGGAGATACTTAGTACATTGGCTAATTTAACATGTTAGCCATCAATACAGTCAAAGAGTGTGAATGTTAGCCTTTGCTGAACACGTACAAATAGAGACCATGGAGCCGTCAGTAGGGAAGCTTTGCGAGAATTGGGCGTCCGCTGCGCCAATGAAGGTAATCTCTACCTCTTGAGTTCGCTTAATTGGACTTCCGATTGAACCGGTAGCGAGAACAAGCACAAGATTCAGACATGTAATGAAATTCATCTTGATATAATGGAAAATGTGCGTAGCAATGTATTTGGAATGATAGTGTGAATGGTTATCTTGTTTCTCTCCGACTTCTCAACTACAACACGATGTACATAGGGCTTTATATAGATTTCGGTCTTCGTGTTCAGCTTAGATGCAGTACTTTATTATCTAAAAATACCATCCTGTTCCGAATGCTTTTCACACTTGTCAGTAGAAATATGGTCGAATGGTGACGTCCGCGACAGTCGCCTTTTTGAGACATTATCCAGGATCAGAAGAACAGTAAGATCATTATCATGGTAAAGAGGGCCTGATGTCTTGCTTGTGGTATTCACTATTGGGGTTCCAGTTTGTATAATAGCCGCATTATGGCTATTTCCATGGTCGAATACGTCTAATTTTAGTTTCCCCGCACAGTTTAGTCACGCGGGGTAAGCCCGTATACAAACCCTCGATTCGATGTTCCAGTGACGAGATACATGACATCTAACAAGCAGCAAATCACTCTTAAATTATTCAAGATTAAATTTTCATCAGGCCATGCCGCAGATGTTGGCCCCGCACTTAATGCAGGGTCTCTGGCTGACTACTGGCTTGACCCAGTCCCCACTATTGGGGCAGATCGAAAGTCAGACCCCATGTTTCAATAAACTTCAGACGGCTTTAGTTTTACGGTGCAAGTTTACGATGAGAATGAAGATTTGTAATAATAACCCATAAAATAGGTATAAATTGAGGGGTAAAGAGCAATAAAAGCAAAAAAGAACCTGCAACCCCGAAAACAAACCCGCTTTTTGGGAAGACCCATGCATCAACCATGAAAACCATCTCTAATGCGTTACTAAGTGTTTGTTCAAAGAATAAGAACAATTTTTTTTATCAATATTCACTTTTCTTCCGGACTCGAAAACGTGTGGGAGGATCAATTCTTGCTCGTATAACATCAATCCAAGCCAACGCTTTTGTAGACGCAGTAAAAGGAACCGAAGATTGAAAGAAAGAACTTAGAACCGCAGATCCCAGCCAATCTTGGGGCCCAGTCGGGGAAGCTCATCGGCGACGCTCTGGACATCCTTGTCACCGCGACCGCTGAGGTTCAGAACGATGTCCTTGCCCTTACCCATGGTCTTGGCCAGCTCAATCGCACCGTAGACGGCGTGAGATGACTCAAGAGCAGGGATGATACCCTCAGTCTGAGAAAGTGTACGGAAACCATGCAGGGCTTGGGCATCGTCGGCAGAGATGTAGGTAGCACGGTTGGAGTCTTTCCAAGCGCTCAGCTCGGGGCCAACACCGGGGTAATCGAGACCAGCAGAGATCGAGTGGGTCTCGGCGATCTGACCATGCTCGTTTTGCAGAACGTAGGTACGGACACCGTGGAGAACACCCTTAGATCCACCGGACAGAGTGGCGGAGTGGCGGGCGGTATCAACACCGTCACCACCAGCCTCAACACCAACCAGTTGGACAGTAGGGTCCTTAGAGAAGGGGTAGAACATGCCGACGGCGTTACTGCCACCGCCAACACAGGCAACCACGGCATCGGGAAGCTTTCCGATGGCCTCTTGCAACTGCTTCTTAGTCTCGTCACCAATCACAGACTGGAATGTACGGACAATCAGGGGGAATGGGTGGGGACCAATAGCAGAGCCAATGATGTAGTGAGTAGTGTCAAGATCAACAACCCAGGCACGTAGAGCCTCGTTGACAGCATCGCGGAGAGTGCGGCTGCCAGCATCAACAGCGACAACTTCAGCACCGAGAAGCTTCATGCGGAAAACATTGAGAGCCTGGCGGCGAACATCCTCGGCACCCATGTAGACAACACACTTCATGTTAAACTTGGCACAAACAGTGGCGGTAGCAACACCGTGCTGACCAGCACCAGTCTCGGCAATGATGCGAGTCTTGCCCAGGCGCCTAGCAATGAGAATTTGGCCGATGGCGTTGTTGATCTTGTGACTACCAGTGTGGTTGAGATCCTCACGCTTCAGCCAAATGTTGGCACCGCCGACATGCTCAGTGAGACGATCAGCAAGGTGGAGACTGCTGGGGCGGCTCATGTAGGGGTAGTAAGAACGGTACTCTTCCCAGAACTTAGGGTCGTTAAGAGCCTCGTTGAATCCCTCCTCAAGCTGGGCGAGGCAGTCCATAAGAGACTCGGGAACGTACTGGCCTCCGAACTCGCCAAAGCGGGCAGGCAAGGCGTGTGGGTCCTTAGTGACGTTCAAAGCCTCAATTTGGTCTCCCAAGCCAGGGCCAGCTGGGGTGTCAGCCTCGGTGATAACCTTGGTAGGCTGGGCCTCGGCATTAGGAAGGGCCTTCTGGATGGCCTCAACAATGTTCACCTCATGGGTAAGAGTACCCTGGACGTCACGCTCACGCTTGCGGCCAGTGATGCTGGAGAGGTATTCCTCGGCGGCCTTGGCGGCCTGACCAGGAGCGGCCTGGCCAACAACGGTAATGATCTGGCTGCCAATGACGACACCCTCAGCAACATCCTGAACATCAAGGAAGTGCTGACGGGTGCTGACACCGAATCCGAGAGCGGCGGGGACATTGCCGGAGTATTCGTGCACGCGACCCAAGAGTTCGGGGAGGTTGGCGCTCAGCTTGCCAGTGGCGCCAGTGACACCCATGCGAGAGACGACGTAGATAAATGAGTCGGCAATCTTGCACAGGAGCTTCATACGAGAGTCGGAGGTGGATGGGGCAATCAAGGGGACATATGAGAGACTAGAAAAAAGGAAAATAAATATCAATTTGAATGACTCCACTTCAGATCGATCAAAGAACTTACCCAGTGCTAGTACACAGGTCACGGAAGCGGACAGCCTCCTCTGGGGGCAGATCGACCATGATGAAACCGTTGACACCAGCCTCCTTGCAGTCCTTCAGCATGCGATCATCTCCATAACGCAAAACCGGGTTGTAGTAGCCCATCAGCATGATTGGGGCCTTGAGGCCACGACGGCGGGCAGTGCGCACGAGTTCGAGGACAGTTGTGACAGTCACGCCATTTTCAAGGGCCTGGGTGTTGGCCTTCTGGATAGTCGGGCCATCAGCAATTGGGTCGGTGAAGGGAATTCCGAGCTCGATAATGTCTAAATTGTGAATTGGACTGTTAGTCGGATTCCGCTCTACCCCGCCACCTTAAAGGCATTTTCACATACCAGCACCACCATTCTCTAAGCCGAGCAGAATATCAACTGCCTCCTCAACAGTTGGGTATCCAGCAGTGATGTAAGCGACAAGGGCGGCCCGTCTTTGCTCCTTGCACTTGGCGAATGTGGCCTTGATAGCATCCATATTGAATCGAGGGGGTAGGGAAGCAGAATATAGGTGGAGAAGAAAGTGGGGAAGCGGGGGATGGAGGGAAGAAGGATCAAGTTTAAGTAAACAGAAATATTTCAATAAGCTGGGCAGTCCCAATTGACCTGTCTTTGCTGCCTGTACAAGGACCAATACTGTATGGGGAAAGATAGTGTAGCCGCCGCTCGTGAGTCAATTCGAATTTCCCTTTTCGCCGATGTCGCCCCGCCATTGTCACGTGCGATAAGATAAAATTATCTGTCACGTGCGATATTAAGCGGCCAGTCCTTATCCACCTTGCAAGACCCGCGGAGTATCTCTGAATAGGAGAACTCATTCAATACAACTATGGACTAGAACCCCTTATCACCATTTTTTGGGGATCTGGCACCTCATTAAGCTCTAACATTACATATCCTAGCATGTTGGTTCTTATGGCGCTTATTACTCTCAATTTTCATCACAGGAAGACAAAGGACATCTTGAATCCCATTGTAGCTTTGAACCGTCCATCTTCTATGGTTCAAACCTAATTTATCCTTTCAGAATGAATTGAAAGATCAGATTTCCGCAGGGCGTATCCCCGGAGTCCTTTATACCTACGCAAGACGTTTATGTAGACTGCCGAATCAAGAAAAGCAAATTCCGCTGCAGGCAATATGCTTGGGAGAGGGAACGGTACAACAACCAACAGCACGAACGTCAGCCTCGATCTGTAAGCAATTCCAGATTATCGATACAGGGGTGAAGAATGTCCAGTTGCACATTTCATGTAATCTCACCCAACTGGAAAGGTTGGCTTTGGACGCGAAAGCTTGGCATCAATGGCCGAGTTTCTCGTGCATTCTTGACAACACGGTTAGTTTCGGTAAGTTGACTTCGAACACGATGGTCGGAAATCATGCGACTTGGCCCTGGGGGTAACTTGCTTTCCTTCTCCGTGGATGCAGAGTATTAAAGCGAGACGATAGGTTAGATTCCATCTATCAAATTTATCAACTCGACGCACAGGAGAACGGCCGACTGAAGTTGATATCTCTTGACTCTCGTCTCTGTTCTCGGTGGTTAGCGTGGAATGGGATATATGATCATGACACTTACCAGCTCCACACCATTAGCATACATCCCGCATACGAGAATCCCGATACCAAACAGAAAAACGATACCGTTAGCCGAAGCTCTTCGAATGTTGTGCCAGGAAGCCCAGCTGCCTTCTTTAACAAGAAAGAACCACATAAGGGCCGGGACGTAAAAACACAATGCGGAGCTGAATAAGGCTGCGCAGAGTGATAGAATGAGAGAAAATACCGGAATGGCCTCAGCAACTATCCATGAAAGGAAAGTGATTATTGTCACAGTAGAAACCCAGCTTATCCAGCCCGCTTTTGTGTTCACGTAACGCTCAACCGAGTTTCGGTAAAAAGAGGTGTGGATATACCGAGCAGCTATGTTCGTGTTGATAGAGCCGGAGATGAAGATGACTGGAAGGGCAACACCAAAAGCGATCCTCGACATCAGGGGCCCAGCTGATAGTAATGCAGGCGACTGCACATCCTTTCCCACAAAGGCATACACAAGGGCTCCGATCAACGTGTAAAGGGAAGTTTGGATGAAGCCTGTCGCATGTATAGATTTGACGTAATCCGTCGGTGTGTGCATCTCGTTCATAAACGATGGTACGGTAGCAGCAAATGTGTAGCTGAAAACAATATTATTGATAGCGATCATGGCCGAGTTAAAATCGACATCTTCCCTAGGCCAAGCAGACCAATCCGAGCCTGTTATACCACCACCACTTGCTTGAGTGCTCTGGATGCCAGTAGCAATGATCGTGATTCCAATGGCGCCAAGGATCGAAACAAGATCTATATAACCCAGGATAGCAATATCTGCAAATGTGGGCGGAAGAGCCAGCACAAGAAGAATCACTGTCGATACCAGCCCAAATATCGCAGTACAGATACTACTTTGTGTGATATTGACGAGAGCAATGATACCAGTCAGACAATGCGATCCCACATTCAAGGAGATCGGAAAAATGAAGCACGCAGTCACAATCCAGAAACCCGCGTCGCCCAGCATGAGCCTTCCAATATCTCCATAGTGCTCAACTTCTGGATATTTAACTTTCACTACGCCGACTTCGTAGCTTGCGTATGTTGCGACGAGACCAATCCCGACAGAAGCAATAACTCCGCCAACCATGCCAAGGGTTGCGAATGCGGCAGGCAGACTCAAACTTCCAAGGGCGATGGCTTCCACAATGAGGATAACAACAAGGCGTTTCCAGCCAAGGCGATGGAACTTGTCATGGTCTTGGGCTTTTCTCTGTCTCTCCAGTTCGATCTGGGAGTCACCAATCGAGGGCTCGGTGTCCTCGGTGAGATTTGAAGGTCGGACTGTAGATAAATCGTTTTTGTCGACAAACATACCAGATTCATGATCAGTATAGCAATGGTTGCTGGTATAATATGCCATATTCAAACTAAGCCCTGATTGCAAAATAAAGAAAGAAAGAAAATAGCAGGGATTTCCCCAGATTTAGGGAACATGTGGGAAGAGAAAGTTTTTGGTACAGTGTACCATTTCCTGCATGGATCTCTTCCATCGTTGCCCTGTTAAATCACGGAGGTGTAATGAGAATACTGCAGATAGCGCGTGTGAGAAATAGCTGCAGTGTGCTGAAGCATGCAGGCAAGAATGTAGTGGAGGCGATCGGAATTTGATCCGTGTGTATTGGACCGGCCCAATCAGCTCCCATGGGCTGCAAAGTTACCAAGATTAGGATATCGGATTGTCTTCATTCTCGAAACAAATCTTATCGCATTTCAGCCACAAGGAGCCTATCGGTGATAAACCTGGCAGCTTAGCCGTTCAAGTCACAAATAGGATTACGCCAGCCACGCAGTGCATATGCATTTTAAACAAGTCGGTGTAACGGGGTATGCAACACGATAGAGCGGTAAAGGGAAAGAAAGGTTAGAGAAGGGACAAAACATGGCCAACGAGGGATAGAGAGAGGGAGGTGAAAGAAAATGAGAAAAAATACGAGGATAATGAGAGTTAATAAGAAGCGCTGTCCACGGGTGTAATGGCGAGGAGAGTGAAATATCCATAGTGGCCGGGGGCGGTCCGTCAGCCAGTACCTCGCTCCAAAAAGAGTCTGCAGCACACACAAGACTGTAGAAAAAGAAGAAGAAAAAAAAAAAACAAACGGAAAGACAGAAATAGCAAAATTCTACTTCATAAGCCTCACAAGCCTGCAAGCCGTTTCTAGAGCCAGTTTCGATGGCAATAATCAAGAGTATATCACCGCGACCAAGGAGGTATATGAGCAACCGTTGCAATGAAAAGGCTGCTAAAGTCAATCAAAAAGTGATCAGATTTGGCGGAAGGAATGCAGTACGATGGTGTCTAATGAAAGTCTACTTAATAAATAGAGGCAGTGTGACAATGCACCATCGTTCAGACATGTCTATATATAGCACATATAGCCAGAGACCATCTCACAATGTGTTTGTGCTTGTCCGTATAGACATACTCGCAATAAGCAACCCAGCAATGATTATTGATAACAGCAAGAACAGAGGTGCCGGGTAAATACCAATGGTCATGCTGTAAGTAGCATTAAGCAGTGCGGGAACCCCAACTCGAGCAATAGCATGCAAAAAGCTCAGAAACCCCAACAGCTGCCCAGATTGATGATCAGGTGTGTGCGCGGTGAGACACGATGTCAGCAGAGGAGTGAGCGGTGCAGCAGATGCGACGATAAAGGAAGAGAAGATGAAAACTCCAGGCGACCGTGCTAGAGCGATGCCAACGTAACCTATAATTTGTAGGGCGAGGCTCGCTTGGATGGCGCCCAGTTCCCCAACATTGAATAAAGACAGACTTGGGGTGATTGTTATCTTTTTCCATCGCCTTACCCGGGCCATGATCATGGGAAAGATCAGAACGAGCACCAGTATGCTCCATGAGTTCACCATCGACGTGAAGAAGCTCTGTGTAGTCGGTTGCCATTTAAACAAGTACGCCGGGTAAGCTAATTGCAAGGGAAACAGACCGATCAAGATTCCAAATATGAACATGTCTATCCCGGCCAAGATAACAATATTCCTTTGTAGGAATGTGCTGTACTCTTTCAGCGATCTCAGCGACTGTAGAAATATCTGGAGGTAGGTCTCGCTGGTGTTTTGCTCTGGTGTTGATTCGTCCCGCTCGGCATTATCAAGATGGGAGCTGCGGGATTCCGGCAATACAAAGAGAAATATTAGTATAAGGGATAGATGCGCGTAGACCGCAGATTTGTATATATTCTCCAGGGAATTCGGAAGTGTGAGGAGAAGCCCCGAAATGACGGGGCCCAGCGACGCAGCCAGCGATAAAGCAGCTTGTAGATAGCTAAACAGCCGTGCCCGGGCGCGAAGGCGCACCAAATCAGTAATGTATGCCTGCGACGTGGATGTCACAGTGATCAACGAGCCACTCAGTCCTTGGGATGCATACCCGACTAGTAACCAGTGCATGTTTATTGAGTCCGGATAGCGAAGGACTGAAACCATGATGGCCTCGTATATCAAAGGTCCTATCGCGACGCAGGCAAGGATCGGCTTGCGCCCGACGCGATCGGACAGCGAGCCCAGGATAGGGCTTGAGATGGCACCCAGAAGACCAGCTATCATCTGGCCGTACATGGTGAATCGGGATAGATCGGCTTGCGCATCCTCGCTAGCGAAACATTGTTGAAGTTCCCCGGCAAGATCGCGGGTGTTGGGGGCATCTTTTTGGGTCTGGCCAGTGTGCCGTTGATGGCAGATCAAGGCAAAGGTCGCATTTAATTCAGGGACAGCCAAAATTCCGAATATGATTTGATAGCACGTGTAGATTATTATGATCCATGATGGCTGTAAATTTGTCGTCAAAAAAGGGACGGAATCTCTTTAGGGGAAGCTAGGGGGACGTAGTACCGATGGTTGTCTAACGCGGACCCAGTAGGATTGAAGAGTCCGGCTCTTCCCGTCCCGCTGATCATCTTCTTGATAACAGCGTTGTTCGATAAGAAGAGGATAGTCCTCGCCTTCCTCATCCGACCCATGGTCCATTATATTGTGCGAATACATAATAAATCTGTGCCCAGGGACACAGTAGGACAAAGTGTAGGCTTTATAAGGAGCAGTCCAGGGGAGAGAATTTGCAAAGGCCCGCACAGCGGTCAAGAATGCACGCGACGTGCCTACGTGCATGCAGAACACCGGTTGGGCCCTGAGGTCTGATCACTTGGATTTTGTGGCTATATCCAATGACAACGAGACGATCTGAAGAGCTACAGTGAGATCTGACCGTATCTTCTGTGTCGTCATTAATCATGGAAAAAGGCTCCTTGGGCAGATCTCTACGGTAAAAGGAACAGCCGTACGTATACCAAGCACAACGAATGCTTCCCCCCTTTTTTGGTCTAGTCCATACCTTATGAATAATAAATTGAAGTGAAACAAAGGGACTAGCAAGCCTGATAGATTCCCAATGACATACACAGAGAGGGCGGAAGTTTATCCTCGCATGAAACTAAGCTTGAACTTACCGTTGAATCACTAAGGTCTATGTGGGCATTGTGGTGCGGAGCAGTGAACCTCACTTGACACATGTTTTAGCCCCATTACCGTGACGATGGTCCAGAAAACCCAAGTTAGATAAAAATCCAAATACACGCTGATTATCTATTTGAAGTCTGATCCTAAGTCCCATGCCAATAAACTATCCCGGGCCTTGTCGCGGGGAGTGCAGTTTCACCTTTCCATCTATGGATGCCACAAGTCGGGTCTACTTCGAATGTTACCTAACATGGCATACCCAAGCTCCAGATAAAATCGCTTAGCCAGAACAGTTTATGAAAGACTCGCGATTTCAATCGTTCAGATAAACCCAATAAAGGGAAACAAGCTGTGGAGGAGGAAAGGCTGGCGAAGCAGTGGAGAGAAGCAAATGGGATAGATCCCCACGAAAGTAAGCTATTGTACAAAGAGCAAGAGACTGTTTAATCTAATGCCAGAGGCATAGCTTTACCAGGTCAGAGTGTATATGTGGTAACATGAAAGCAGTTGATTGAAGTCTTTGTCACATTTAAGCTTTAGCATGTTCCGCAAAGCACTTCTCTATCTCAGGTAAATACAGGTCAAAGTTTGAATTACCAGCAGACCGATTCTCCAGCTTGTTCATAATATATGAGATAGTCATCCGTCGGCGGCGATCCATAATCACGAAAGATCCTCCATAGCCGGACCAGAAACAGACGCCATCTTCTTCTGGGATAAGAGGATGTATGCTCTCGCTCCACGGCCGTGCAACTCCGAGACCGAAGCAAACTTTTCCATTAAGGCATAGATCAAAGCCTCGGATTCTCTCTCTCATCATCTCATCCACGGTTTGAAGAGAAAGATACTGTCTCCTATCAACAGTACCATCCAGCGAGACTATAGATGCAATACGTGCCATGGCACGAGCATTTGAGAATCCACCCATAGCTCCATTCTGAGAATTCCGTAAGACGGCTGTATTAGGAAGTGTCGGATAAACCAAAGATGATCGCATAACCCGACCTAGAATACTAGTAGGGTCAAGAGCAGTAATAGGAAATAGTTGATCTAATGGAAATGGAATAGTTTCGGCAGTTCGGGAAATTTCCTTCTCGGGTAGCCCAAGGCAGAAGTCAACAACCCCTAAAGGCTCTGTAATCTCCTCAGTAATGAGCTGACTCAAAGATTTCCCCGTAACACATCGGATAATCTTGCCAACCAAATGGCCATACATTGTACCTGTATAGGCGCTGCCTGTGGTATACCAGGGGGCTTGCTCAGCAAGTCTTGCAGTAATTTTCTCCTCATCTTGCAGTTCTTCAGCAAGTTTCAGAACCAATTCCTCCCTGTTTTGCATTTCTTCCAGAGTGAGGTCTCGATCCAGGGAAATAACTCCAGATGAATGGCTAAGGATTTGAAAGACCTTGATATTCTCTTTGCCGTTTGCCGCAAATTCAGGCCAATATGTGGCTACATTCTCATTTAAATCAAGTTGGCCACGGTTGACGAGGATAAGAGCCGCTAGAGTAGTGACAATCTTGGTTGTTGACCATATTGAAGTAATTGTATCTTTGTCCCATGGTTTGGTCTGGTCTGCATCTCCATAACCACCCCAAAGATCCACGACGTCTTTTCCGTCGATATTTACACAAAGGGAAGCACCCACTTCATGGCCTCCTGCGAGCCTCTGTTGTAAAAGATCACGCAAGGAATGGAAGGCCGCATCACAGGAGCCATGTACTTCAGCCATTGTAGATGTTGTTGTATGCGTAGAACTTGAATAAATAGAGCTTTTGGAACCCAGAGAAGGAAGTGGAAATCCAGCTAACGAGGAGGATTCAAAAGTGGGAATAGTTAATGGGAGCAATAGACTGAGATGGGACGCGGGATAAGGAGCTATTATACCTACCTCCTACACATAGCAACTAACTGCCTTGAAGCCTAAAGTACCCGCTATCCTGCCCTCTTCCACGAGTCATGTTTGGTAAATAAGCGTGCATTACTCGCCCCAGGTGCCTTCGCACTCCCCCACTTGTGGCCTCAGCCCTGGAGCCCCCATATAATGCAATGTGACACTTAAACCGCTGGATTGGTTCGAACGTTATCTGAGTGTGCTAGGCCGTAAGCTTTGCCCATGCATTAATTCCAATTGAATCGTTGACTTCGTCTTTCTTTCTACCTTGTATTTTCAGCTCTTCAATGGCACGGACATCTTCCTGTTTGATTGATGATCCTGTTTTTGGGAAAGGACCCGAGATCTACAGCCATGGCTACGCGGTGTTCCACCTAATGCCCAAGTAAATGGACAAAGAAATCAGGCCAAGAAAAGTAACACGGGAAAACTGCAGGGATAGACTCGCAGGGGTAAAGGTGGTCGGTAGGAGCCCCGGTGGGGGCTGGGGGCCCTTTTTGCTCCATATCCAATGGGCAGTGGTGTACTGGAGCCTACATGTTACATTGGGCGCAAAAATCCGTTGTTTACATCCACCCCCGCTGCCAGAAGTCTGAAATTCCAAGGACGAGTTCTCGATGGCGTCACCTTGCTTGAACTGGGCCAAAGCATCTTTCACTACCAAGCCCGCCCAGACAGGCCTAAAATCGCTGATACTGAAACCAATGCTGTATGTCAAGGAATAGGCATATAGTTGATTTGACTTGGCTAGGCCAAGGGTGCAATTTGAAGGGCTTCTATATGTAAATCGCACACTGGCATACGAAAAACTTTTTCAATAAAATAGTCAAGCACCAATCGATGAATTGCAAATAAAGCACCATATGGATCAACGAATAAAAAGAAAGAGAAAAACTAATAGAAAGCAGTATCCATTGCTACCCTAGGTAATATCAGAATCATGGGAAAAGAAATCCACCTTGACGCCCCTCAGCCTGAAAGGCATGAAAATGTAAAGAAAGAAGCTGCCCGGCCGAAATGAAAGAAGACAAAGTGGTGAGTTGGGGGAATTCAAGCGGAAATCAGCAGATCCTTCGTCGTCGCATCATTAATAAACCCCCGCCTTAAAGGGAACAGATGAGGCAGAATCGTTGCGCCAGCAATGCCGGCTATGCCGGTTGATAGAATGCAAAAGAAAACGGGTAAGATTTTGAAGAGAGGGGAAATGGTGCAGAGAGAAACATGGTTATCATCTAGGATAGATGGAATGCACCCTGTCCCTCTTTAATGGCAACGGAGAGTCTTTTCTTGAGGTCGTCCAAACTGCTGTAGTCGGGGAGCTTGAGATAGTTGACGCAAGTCATGACACTGGGCAAGTAATCATCCGGGGTATATGGGGGGTCGCTTGGTCGACAAACGACTGTAAAGATTGGTGTGAGGCTTTTGAAACCTGTAAAGCATTCAGTAATTAGCAACGGTGAACAAATAAACAAGGTACGTAGGCAGAGGCCTGAAATTGTAAAACTTACCGCCAATCGGAAGCTTGGGGCTACCGGTCACGAATTGGAGGAAATCACGGCGCTGCTGATTATCCATCTCACTCATGGTTTGGAGCAGGTTGCGAACACTTCTGCTGTCCATGTTAAATCCATGATCGGCCTTGATCGAGTCCATGAGAGTCTCAATGGTCCAATCTTCGTCTGCTTGTCCGAAAAGCATGACAAGTTCACTGGGGGTGAAGGCACGGAGGGCGGAATATGGGAAGACTTGGGAGAAGCCAGCTCGGAAAGCCTCCACTTGACGGCGGACACCACTACCCAGCGTCATATCAATGACCTTCTCGACATATTGGTCGACGTTATTGATATCCAATGACATGTCAGAACCACCGGGAACAAGGTCGATTGATGGATAACCAGGCAGTGTGAAGTCTAGACCAAGATCTTCCACACGAACGCCATCAACAACGATGTTCTGAGTGGCCTTTTGCTTTTCTTGGGAAGACAAAGTGCGATCTTCCTGGATTGCGCTTTTGGCCTTGACAAATTGCTTCAACATGACCAAAGATCTAGCCAAGTCCTCATCAACAGCCTTAACAGTCCCCAGAGATGGTGCCACGGAGGAAAGTGTATCCGCAATGCGGAAGAACGCGGGATTGAAAGAGATATCAATGATTCTTGAGTCCAGCATTGATCGCGCAACAAACTTTCCGAGGACCTTGAAGGTGTTTAATTGTTTTTTACCAATCTCTTGAGATGCTTGCTCTTCGCTCATCGGAGATGGAAAAAGACCGCGTTTACCGAAAGCGTAATCGGTAGAGGATGCTGTGCCATCTGTCTCACGCCAAATCTTGAGCTTCGTCTTCGAGAATTCCTTCGAAACTGTAGAGTAGAATTCCAGAGTGGGGCCGAGTCCCGTGCCGACTTCTTCAAAATATTCCACCTCAAGGACGCTGGGCGATGATCCGTACAGTTCCATGACTTTCATCGCTGATTCCAGGATGCGAGCACGAGAGATCCGCACTTTCTGGCGCTGGAGTCGGCCAAGGAAGGGCCGGTCATCACGTCGCATGTCACGTCGACTATCCTCGGCGCTCTGTGAGTTATGCCATCTCATCATTGCACGAGAGTAGCCAAAGGCTGTTGACTGTAGGAACAGATGCCTTGTTTCAAATGGAAACAGGAAGGAGAACAGGCGGGCCAAATCCTCGCTCCAGCTCGGGAGACAGCTGCTAGCTACTATTAACGGCTCCTCGAGCTGTCGATTGACTTTAGCAGTGAGCTTGGTGTTGATGAACTGGGCCAATGGCTCTGGCGTTGTGGTAGCATGATCACGGGCATCCATCAATATGTCATCGATTGTTGCGTTCATTTCATGCACGATACGAAGCAAGCGAAGAATTGATGCTGTTGTAGCGTCTTTGCTCAAAGACGAAGGCATCTCAAGACCATCAGCAGTGGATGAGGCTTCTTGTCCAGCAGCAGGCAGAGTAGATGGCTCTGGTCGCGGCGGGCCAGGAACACGCTTATACGAGACAGTATGGACCGCAGACCAGACATTCTTGACTTTCGTCTCGTCTATCTGTTCTCGATTGTGGTGGACAGCTCGGTAGACAGTAGTGTCACTGGAAATGGGTTTGCCATCAACAGAGAACTCAATGTGCCAATCCTGGGGGATCGAGGCCATAGCCGCTGCGTACGAGGTGAACGGACGTCCAGCAGTGGCTAGCGAGCTTTGACCAGTAGGGTTTGATGTCGCAGTGTTGGGTGCGGACGAAGAAGGCTTCGATGCTGGAGTAGACTGAGATGGAGTGCCCACTCGTGTCCCATCCTCTTTTCTTGCTGTGACCTTACCAGAAGACCCAACTTCCATATTCACAGCAGTCGGATCATGAACAGGTTCCTCTTCCAGATCATCCTCAAGGTCATCAACAATAGCGTTGAGCTCCTCATCATCGTCTCCGTCATCTATGTCTTCGTCTTCATCCTCGCTAATCTGTCTCTCGTCGGCACACTCCAGCGGCTCCTCATCGTGGTCATCATTGTCCTCCTGGAATGGCATTTGGCGGTGCCGTCGAGATCTTGGTGCTGTGTGGTCATCAGCTTCCTCTTGCCAGTCATCTGCATTTCCAGCTGCCCCTTCGGTACGAGGAGGACGATTCCCAGATGATGTGGTTTGTGGGGAGGTTGATGAAGTGAGCTGATCACGCATACGTGCCGCTTGCGCTATGCGGGAAAGGATTGCATCCCCAGCGCGAGATTGGCGTGGACGATCTGACACCGCGATTCGAGGTTGGAGGAAGTCATCCAATGCCTTGAAGGTAGCGATGGCATGAATTGAGACCATGAGGTTTCTGTATGGTCGAGGAACCTCGGTACCGTCCTCGGCAACAAGTTTGAGTCGGAGTTGCTTCCCAAGCATAGAGGTAGCGTTGCTACGGGTGTTCTCCAGCGAATTATGGCTGACGGTGATAACCTCAAAATGTTCGGTCCGGCTAAGCAGATCTTGAAGCTTCCGAATTAGAACACTGAACGGAGTAGTAGCGGTACTCTGGCTTTGAGCCTTCTCTGAGATTGTGACACCCATGAATGCCTTCAAAAATGCAGACCGTGCATGCCTAATACACGGAGCTTTGAAGTCACCCAGCACCCCGAGAAGCACATCAATAATACCGGAGTTAAGCAGTTCAGAACTTGTGATACTCTCCAAAGCATCTCCATCAAAATAAGAAGCCAAATTCTTAAAAAGGGGAAGCCCATCATTATCTCCACTTGGAGAGTAACAGTTACTAAGCTTGGTCGCCAAAGATTGGAGTTCGGTTAGAATCTTCTGGGCTTCATTTCTTACAGAAGCACCATGTCCCGCTTCGTATGATTGTAGGAAGGCTTTAGCATCCCTAATAACAAGGTTGTTGAGGGCATTGTCGAGCTTTTCCAATGATTGACGGCCAGAGACAGATGAGGTCTCCGAGTCCGAAATGTCATCATTGTCTTCGTCGACATCCTCGTCCGCATTTTCCAAATCATCGTCGGTGTCTTCGTTTTTACCTTCGTGGCCGGGTGCGTCATTACCATCCATATCGACATCAGATGCTTCTGACGCACCTTTGTTCTCATGGCGTGCTGAACTACCTTCTTCGTCAGTAGACGGAGTTGCCGCTGCCAACTTGACAATTTCGGAAATGACCCCCTCGCGGTGGAATTGATGTTGATAAACATGATCAAGTCGCTGGAACAAAAGCTCGGCACATCGAAGAGCCAAGGAGACAAGAGATGGATGTTCTTTCTGGGAAAGAATGGAGGCTAGAAAAGAAGCATAGGGTACCGTGCGAAGGGCATCCTCAATTAAAGCCGGTTCAAGGATATGAAGCATTTTCAAATGAGCAATGAGGACCTTTTGACGGACGTGTAAATTGACTGTACTTGAGTATGCATCAGTCAAGGTCGGGAACAAAATAGTTGCAAATCGTTTGAGCTCGAGCTTGCACTTTTCCAACAGCGCACATCTTTCTTCAGGGTTATCTTTGGCTTTGGTCGATTTGAACCCGATGGACATGCTACTATCAAAGTAAGAACTAAGCAGATTGTCGGCACGAGACGCATCGCCATTAGGGACGCCTGGCAATAGTTCACATATAACGTTGAGAGCCTCGAAGATCTGCTCGCGGGGTCGATGGATTAGTGCTTGCATAACCAAGACACTGTCCATCTTGACTGCCGTGCTATCAACATCCTCGGGTGGAGAAACGCCTGTCAGGATCTGGTATAGGGTGTCGACAACGTCCATTTTCAGTAATTCAATAGAAAGGCTAGGGCTAGCTTTGCACACGATCGCTAAAACGCGCAGGAATTGAGTGTGAACATGCGGCCCAATCAAATTTGTAGTACCGGGAAGCAGAAGTCGTAGGACTGCCTTGAGCATTGCAGGTTCAATCAACTCTTCCAGGTTCTGTGGTCGGTATTTGAAGCTTTCAACTATGCGAGACACACAGAGACATCCCTGCTCGACGACTTTGGGGTCATTGCTGGAAAGAACATTCAAAAGGGTCGGCATAACATCCCTGACAACGGGGAACGAGTCATGGGGAAGGTTACGGCAACAATTGGCTGCGGTTGTCACAGCTGTGCGTTGAGTGCTGGTGGGAAAGAAGTCCAGGTATGTTAGACATGCTGTTAGACCTCCCTCCCGCACAATCGAAGCCGGAAAATCGACAGAAATTTTAGCAAGCGTCTAGTCGAGTTAGTTAATGGAGGATCCAGCGTCAAGAGTATCGGAACACTCAAGGTAAGGAGCAACATACGCTGAGAGCTTGTTCAGCTAGATCGATAAACTGAATGTCCAAAAGTTTTTGGCATAAGATAGGAACAGCACCCCCGTAGACCACATTGGCCACAGACCCACGAAGGGCCTCCATCAAATTGGCAAGGCAGCGGCAAGCAAGAAGCATTATTTCGGCATTCTCTTCGCCAAATTGGTTGGGTTGCATTAAGGCGACCAACTCCTTCACGTATGGATCAGGAGAAAATTGGCCGGACAGATTGTCTTCGTTGGAAACAAGCAAGAGGTCTGACAATTCTGATAGAGCGATCAACTGTAGAGAAGGGTCGTCCTTTTCTCTCAGGTTACAGAGAATATCCCGAAGGCGTGAGGACATGCCAGACATCATGCCACTGAGTGCACGCAGTGTGCTATGCAAATTCGCGGCACCTCGACCTCCGAAAAGGCTGTTATGAAACGAGTCCAATTCATCCTCATCAAAAGCCGAAGGGTTGGTCCCATCATTACTATCGCCAGTCTGTGATCCTTCGTGTTCCTCCTTAGTTTCTTTTTCTTCTTCTTCTTCCAGATCCTCCTCCGGGTCCCGCATTATGACATCAGGATTTGTTTTCGTGGGACGCTTCTTTTGCCGACGTGGTGGTGGGGACTGTGTCGCTGCGAGTCGATCTAAGAAATACCATGTTATTTCAGAAAGCTGTACATTATTCCTCTCAGGCAACGTGTAAACTTACCATTGCGGCTTGTTCTCCGTCTTGGGGGCGGAGAATTATTTGATTTTGAATCATCCGTTGGACGAGAAGAGGGTCTAAACGTGAGGAAAGCGCAAGATTAGTTCCATCCCCATATTAAACTAGTTGAAGACCAACTCACCCCGGTTGTGACATGGCTGGGCGACGGATGCCTCGGCGGGGAGCAGGGGCAGCTGGTGCAGCAGGAGCTGGTTGAGGTGCTGCAGTTCGCTGTCTCTTCGATCGTCGTGGGGGCGAGGGAGCCGTTGACTGATTAGGGGCGTCCGGTTGGCGTGACGATGCTTTGCGTTTCCTGGATGCCGAGCCAGCGGCGGGATTCGATGCAGCGATGTCGGTAGGCTGGGGAGGATCTGAAGCAAGTCTTGCAGCAGAGCGAGTGATTCTGGGAGCCATGAGAAACTGAGTTCCTTGAATTGATGGTGGGTGGATGTTTGAGAGAATGGAATATGGAAAGCACAGAAGAAAACACCGGTGATGTCCATCCAAGGTAACAAGGGCTTCTAAAAGCACAGAATCACGAAAGATGGGGGGGTATGCACTTTGGCAATCCAAGGGTGAATTTGGGAAATTTCCCCGCAGCTCGAACGGATGACGTTTGATGATGGCGTGTAAGAAATGAAGATGAAGGAATAAGGAAAAGGAGAGAGAGAAAAACGATCCAGCAGATTGTATTGCAATTCAAAGGAGATGCCTGATGTGAATCGTAGGCAATACCATCACAAAAGCTCGCGATGAGGGGGGGGGTAGTTGGAAAGAGACGAGCGAAGGGAAGATGAGTGGGAATTACCTCAGGGCAGAAGAGGTGGCAGCAGCTCCTGCGGGGGAGACGGAATAATCCTCGAGAGGGTCCTGGCGGTTGACGGAGGCTCTTTGCCTGGCCATAAGTTACCGGGTCAGGAAAGGGATTTATGTAGATAGACGTGAACACCGTTTCAACCCGCCATCCGCACACCTGCGTTGCAGTGGACTGAGAAGCGGGTGAATAGGCGAGAAATATGGGGAACTTGGGACTTGGGCGGCAAGCTATCGGATAATGGGGTTCAGGCCGTGGAGGCTATAAGGCGAGCGGGCGAGCAGGCGAGCTAAGATGACCGAAACGAAAGTGGAACAGACAAGAGAGAATGAAGAAATTTTGATGGAATGAGATGATAAAGGGGGAAGAGAAATGACGTTGAAGGGATGGAGATGGTGGGGAAAGGGAAGAAGGAGGAAAAAAGGCGAAGTGGATTGTGGTGGTGGTTGACGATTGGATTCGGGGAGCGTCAGGCGGCGGAAGTGCAACAATTCGATGTTCCCAGGCGGAGACTCGGGATGAGATAAGGGAACATTTGAAGGGGGAGGTATTATTGGTATTTGAGCTGGGTAGTAATAGTTGGGCAAATATATGATTAACTGGTTGTCTTCAAGTTCCTAGTAAAATGTAAGTACTAAAATTGATCTGTATTTACTGCCAGAGATGGAGACATGTAGATCAGTCGAGACATGGATGAGATCATCTATATCCTCCGATTCACAAGATGACGGTATTTGGAACTGATAGTTTAGCATGAATAATAAAGACTTAGAATAGATATGAAATATACAATATACAATATACAATATATTATCTAAACTTTATCTATAAATCGGGAGGAATACTTAGTATACTTAGTATAGACTATACACACAGGTCCTCGGTATCTACTATGTACCGGCAGTACTCCGATGTATCTACAGACTTCGGCTTCTTCTTCATAGTATAGGGTACTTGGTATACACAGTAAATCTGAAATACTCAACACCCCATACTTTATTTTAACCTATACAAGGTATAATATATTTAAATTTAACTCTACTGCTAGACCTTTTTGATTATTCCTACCCTATATATCTTACTCCTCTGCGGGGCAGATCTCCCCTCTCATCCGCGACCGGCCATCTCCAACATCCAACCGGAAGATACAATTTGACTCACCGAAGGAGAATTGCTAATACCACCCCTCAAATGGCTAAACCCACCCCTTCTAAGCCGCTTTGGGAAATTCTGCCGTATTTGTAATATGAGCCGTTAACAAGGCGGTGTAATTTAAAATGGGCGGTCAATGGAGGCGGTGGACGCCCCGACACACCAAACCACACCAAACCACATCAAAAAAGGCGTCTATTGCGGAGCGCCCGGATATCTCTATTCTTTGATAACAATCAATTATATTTTAGCACGTGATTATTAAATAACGTATATTTATTAATCCAGAAGGGTTTTAAAAAATGGTTTAAAATGGTATTGCTGTAGTAAATCAAAGTAGGGGTTAAAATATGTAAAGTTACTATGTAAAGGTAAATAATAGGGAAATGGCAAAGTATGGCGAGGTGTAGTGAGCATGTGACCTGCCGTTTACGGAAATATTAAGAGAAGCTGATTGGCTGCCGAGGCCCCACAGTACCCTCAGGAATGTGCATTTTTATTACTCCCGTTACCATATCAATATTTTAAGCAATAACAATATTTTAAACATATATTTGAATACCTCCCCTTCGCTAAAATGATTTCTTCTTTTAGAGTATTGTTATTTTCTATCTTCTCTACTACCCCTGAAAATTTGAAGCTATTTGGTTATTATTATGTCACTGGAAACTACTGAATCTCTTATGTCTAGTCCTAGGCTGTCAACTACCCCTCCTCCTACGTTCCGCGATGATTTTCTCAACACTATCGACACAATTTATGACGAAGAGACTCAATATCCCGAAGAGCCATTGGCTGATATATACTCAGATATTGAGCCAAGTTTCCCTCTATTTAAGCTGAATCCGCCCTGGAAACTCGAGTATTCTTCGCCGGATGAAGCTCAAACCGAGATGAATCAATTTGCAGCTACCCAAGGCTATGCAGTTGTTTCAAAACGCTCAAAATCCTCTAACGGGGTAAAACTCAAGGTTATTTACCAATGCTGGCGAGGTGGTGAATATTGTGACCGCCGGACTATAGGACTTGATGCAGAAAAACGCAGAAGAGGCCGTACAAAAAAGTGTAACTGTCCATTTGAGGTTATTCTTCGTCGACATGGAGATATATGGTTATTGGAAATTGGAAATGGTAGCCATAACCATACACCATCACCCGCCGTCAATATTCCTTATCTTCGCCAAATGGCTATGAAAAAAAGAGGTTTGGAGATTGAACAGGCTATCCAGCAGGGGCTTTGGCCTCGCCAGATTACGGATCAGCTCAGGAATGAAGGCGAACATGTTATCGCGAAGAACATCTATAATATTAAGATGGATCTTAACAAAAGACGACTTGGCGGCCGCTCATCTATTCAAACACTTCTCCAAGACCTCCCAAATTCAGGGGATTGGTGTATCCGCTGTAGATCGGATAACAACGATATTTTACTTGCTTTATTCGCCATCCACCGGACTTCCATTGGATTTTTACGTCTTTTTCCCTATATTCTTTGGATGGATACAACATTTAAAACCAACAAGTTCAAAATGCCATTGCTTGATATTACTGGAATGACATCAACAAACCAGACATTCTCCGCTGGCTTCTGTTTTTTATCAGACTCTACTACTGATTCATTTTGCTGGGCATTACAGCAATTACAGTCAGTATTAGCGGTAGAATCAATCCCTGAGCCATTGACTGTATTTACAGACAAAGAGCTTGCAATTCTCAGTGCTATACCAATGGTTTTTACACTTAACCATATGCTTTGTTTGTGGCATATCAATAAGTGCATCCTTGCCCATGCGCGTACTCCTATTCGTCAGTATCTTGAATGGGAGATTAAAGAAGCTGCAAAAAAACAAGAGATATTCTCTTTGAAGAATGGGTGTATACGGCAGGAGAAGCTTCATCGGTGGTGGAGAATGAAACAGTTCTGGCATGAAATTGTTACTGCTTTAACGCCTCAAGATTTCGAACAAAAATGGCAGGAATTTCAGCAAACTTACTGTCATGAGATCTTCTCTAAGCTAATTCGTTATATCCAGAAGGAATGGCTTAACCCAATATATGCGAAGATGTTTTTACACCATTATACTCGGCATTATTTTCACTTTGGTGAGGTAGCAACATCTCGAAATGAGTCGGCACATTGGGCATTTAAACGTGATCAACAGGTAATTCTCCTATTATTATTGAGGGATTTTCTATTAAAATTTAGCCAGGGAACCTCAACTTCTCTCCTTGGAGCCTTTGATATCTTTGAACAGACAATTAAACGTCAATATTCAAATATTCAATATCAGTTACATGACCAGACACTTGGACGATTCACAGATCATCAATCCTATACATTTTTACTACCAAATCTCATACAGAGAATTTCCCTTGAAGCCATTCGCCGTCTGGAGAAAGAAATCAACACATATCTACCTATCCATATCGAAAAACCTCAAATTCCTATCTTCTGTGTATGCGGCAAAGGCAGGGGCATTCCATGCATCCATCAAATTATTCCATATTATAATGAGAAAAAGCCACTTCCTCTTGATCTCTTCCACTTACAGTGGCATCTTCAGGAGGCTGATTCACCACAGTTTCATCCAGATCTTCTTCGTATACAGGAGCCAAGAATTCGGGATGATCGGAGGGTATGGATATCGCGAGGATCGTATACAGCATCACAGGCCTCGGTGGCCACATCACAGGCCTCGGGGGCCCGGCAAGACCCCCGAGGCCCAGAGGGATCACAGGGGCGGATCCCAAGCTTATGGGAGCAGCTAGATGCTGTTGAAGATGCTGTAGATCGTGAGTTTTATGAGCAATGGTCCCAACAAGGCTCTCAGCAGCCACCAACTGTGCAATCTCGGAGGAGACCCAATACATGTGGAAATTGCGGCGTGGAGGGGCATAAAAGGCCTGGGTGTCCGTTGATCAACAGATTTGCCAGTTAATTCGACTGAAAATGCATTTGCCGGTGTTTTTAAAATCAGCCTCTGTTTCCTCTTTAGGTTTAGCTTGGAATGAGATAACTTGCTTGCATATTAAATGTCGTTAAATGTGTGGTAAAATGGAAGCTTTTTACGTGGAGATGAGATTTAATTCTGGACCGTATTCATGCTGCCGGCAGAAAATTGATGCCTTTGTGCCTTGTGGTATTACAAATACGGCGGTGAGCTTAGAAGGGGTGGGTTTAGCCATTTGAGGGGTGGTATTAGCAATTCTCCACCGAAGTCTTAACACCTTAGAATCCAGGCCAAAACTCACTTCCTCCCGCAAAGAGTAATTTACGCCGTTCAAAAAAAAGAGAAGGCCCAGTTCCAGTATATGGAAACTCTCGGCCAATTCTCTTCCGCCTCCCTGTTTGCCTCCCCGCGTTCTTCCCAAACCTTGACCGAGCGGAAAATAGGGAAAGGGGAAAAGGGAAATCAGCGCCCAATTTAAAAAACTTCCTTCTTTCCTCCTCTTCTTCTTCCCCTCCCCCCACTTCCCCAACTCTTTAAACGTCTTGCCTTCAACCCACCCATCCCCTCTCTCAAAGGGCCTTTTAAACTTCCTCCGTCCGCCCCGGTTCATTCCGCTTAATTAAATACCACTCCTCTTCCAAACAACAGTCATCCGCGATGGCAACCGAGATGGTGGGAGGCCAAAGTGACGATGTTCACCAGGCTCCAGCCTATACCCCGACCGCACCCATGAACGATTACGTCCTCCCAGAATTACGCTTGAAGCGCAAGATGGCCGATCCGGAGAAAACCCCGTTATTGCTGGTCGCGTGTGGTTCATTCTCACCCATTACCTATTTACATCTACGCATGTTCGAAATGGCCGCCGATTACGTTAAATTTAGCACCGAGTTTGAACTGCTCGGTGGATACCTGTCTCCCGTATCGGATTCCTATCGCAAGGCTGGTTTGGCCACCGCAGACCACCGGTAAATACATCAATACCCGCTGGGAGTGAAACATAGTAGAATAAAACGCTAACATGGTGACCTGTTTAGTGTCGCGATGTGTCAATTGGCCGTTGATCAAACATCAGATTGGCTCATGGTCGATACATGGGAGCCCATGCAGAAGAAATACCAGCCGACCGCTCTCGTCTTAGACCACTTCGATCACGAAATTAATACCGTTCGGGGTGGTGTTGAGGCTGCAGATGGAACACGGAAGCCCGTTCGCATTGCCCTGCTCGCGGGTGCTGATTTAATTCATACCATGTCTACACCCGGTGTTTGGAGCCAGAAGGATCTGGATCATATCCTCGGCAAATATGGCGTAAGTGGTGTCCGCGAAACATGGAAAGTTGCATTCAATAAACTAACATCTCTTTGTAGTCTTTCATCGTGGAGCGCAGTGGCACTGATATTGATGAGGCCTTGGCCAGCTTACAACCATGGAAAGATAATATCTATGTCATCCAGCAACTGATCCAAAATGACGTTAGTAGCACCAAGATTCGACTCTTCTTGCGACGCGAGATGAGTGTGCGCTATCTGATCCCCGTCCCCGTCATTCATTATATTGAGCAACATCATCTCTACGAAGACGATGGGACATCCAACGAAAAGGGCAAGGAGAGGCAAGATGCGGGCAAATCAGGGTGATGACGCTTCTGCGACCGCAGCGCTGTGCCACCATAATGATATTTAAAACGACCCTGATACATACGATACCCCTACCCACTCCCCCGTTGATGTCTCTATCTTGCAAATGGATCTTAAATACTGTCCATTAAACCTGAAACCTCAAGCCAGATGTGAAAATCCACACTTCAGTCTTGTCTGATCCGTACCCACTGGAGGTACTTTTGGCTCGGCCTTGTACATGGCGCTGCAAGAGAAACAGAGGATTTAAAGATTTTTTTGGCGTTTGGAAAGCTTGAGTTAAACTGGTTCGATTTCTGCTTGACTTTTTCGCTTTGTTCTTTTTGTCGGGCCTAAATTTGAGATCCTGAGGGCGAGTTTCCAATGCAATCTCGCCAGAACCAGCGGATTGTACATAAACACTGTTTTAGCTGATCTTTCGATCAAACCAGTCTGTACATAGCGTGGCATAGACCTACTTTCCCTCTTAGATCAGGAAAATAAGAAGCCCGCAGCTTGCAACTGCAATGACCATCGTATCTCCGACAACTGTGCATTATGTAGTATATTAACTTGTCAAAATGCCAAAGTGTCAGTTTTACTCGACCCGGAAACAGATCATCGCCAGTTCATGCATCATTGTCAGTGCCAATGACACCATCTCTCGGAGGTCGGACTTACCGTAATTTATGCAGGTGGTGGGATCACCATGTGGAAACCCTAATTAAATGTATTGGATAGCTTACTTCACCCCGTTATAAATCAATGTGGCATTGCAGTAAATATAGTATATTCCAAAATATGTAAGACCTTGGAAAAACCCTACTAGTAACCTTGGAAATCCCCGAGCCAGATCGCCGATCTCAACGTGTTCCGCGTGTTATCTTCCGTTATCGAAACGATTTGATCTTAGTTAGTCCTCCACATTTCCCGGCCCTACCCCCCAGGCCGCCCCGTCCTAGGAGGGATCCTGATGCTTGGATTTTTCTCTCACCTTCTTTCCTAGTTTCTCTCACCTCACGTCCTCATGATTCATGAACTCAATTCTTCCCCCCTGCCCTCCATGGCTTCCAACAATGACCTCCCAATGCCATCTTGGCCGCTCACCCCACCGGACGCATCGGATTTTCCGCCAACGAACATGAAGCATATGTCCTCGGTTATTACAGCAATTCATGTTATGTCTACCGAGCGTGCGGCACTCACACATCTCGAGCGACTATATCAAACAGATGCCCGAGCGCAGCAAGAGCTTGCGCGAGCAGTAGATTGCATTGCGCAAAGTGTCCGCGATGGAGGCAAGCTGGTGGTTTGCGGGGTGGGGAAAAGTGGGAAAATTGGACGAAAGGTTGAAGCTACAATGAATAGTTTGGGTATATACTCTGCCTTTTTGCATCCGACTGAGGCTTTACATGGAGATTTGGGATTGGTTCGACCGGTAAGCCACCTTGATACCCCTGCATGGTCTGTGTTGTAAATCCTCCGAGACGCAATCCGGCTGGCTACCTGTTAGGGAAGTGGGGGAAGACGCATCCATGCATTCGTTATCTTTGTGCACATTTGATCTAATTATGATGTTTTCCAGAATGATACAATGCTTCTCATATCGTTCTCTGGTCGTTCTCCCGAGCTATTATCTCTACTTCCACACATTCCGACCTCGGTTCCTATCATCGCCTTGACTTCACATACAGAGCCGTCCGAATGTCCCTTATTATCTCTGCATGTCCCCTCAGGTATGGGAATACTCTTATCGGCTCCAATTCACGAGGACGAAGAGGCGTCATTGGGAGTTAGCGCACCTACATCATCTACTACAGTAGCCTTGTGCCTGGGTGATGCACTAGCGATCGCAATAGCACGCAAGTTACATACAGCCCCCGACAAGGGACCAGCAGAGGTCTTCAAAAGCCATCATCCCGGCGGAGCAATCGGAGCGGCACATGCAGCAGCACTATCTCGAACACCACTGACAACGCCATCAAGCGGGGCCTCGAACAAAACATTCGATTCCCCGTCCTCATCCATTTCCCTACAATGGGACGACCTAAATAGCACTTCCAGCATCCCCACTTTCTCTCTCCAGTTACCACCAGCACATCAACGTATTCCTCCAGGTATACTTGTTCCTCTCGATCAAATACCCAATGTATCATCAGCGACAAGACAAAATCCCAGCGACATCCGTCTACTCGACATACTGTTAACAGCGATTCAGCATCCCAATGCAAAGTCTTGGGTATTTCTTTCTCCGAATGAAATAGTTCCGCCTCGACGAATCTGGTCTTTCCTTTCTCGACATACTAATGTGGATATGCCTGTTGCTGATGCTTTGGCTAAAGACTCAAGCTATTCGCTGGTGGTGGCTCGAAACAACTGGCTTTTAGTACCAGAGTCAACCCCGCTTGCTGAATTGCAACATATGGTCTCCACATCCCGAACTGGAGGGACCCCGATATCTGTCATTGCTGTGATGAAGGATATCGCCTATCCTAACACATGTATAGGGGTGACAGAGGCAGAGGATTTATGGGGTGAATAATATACCATAATGAGTATTAATTACAAACACGACGAACATTTGAAGCTTTTTCTCGTCTGAGAACTGCAACGAAACCTTGGAACTACATTTGTGCATTCGCATCGAGTATACTTCTATACCAATGTATATACATCTTATATCTTCCGTGCAGCAAGAGATCACGGCCTCAATCCAAGGCTCTGCCCCCCACCCTTTAGGCAATATACCATGCCTACGCTCTACGATTACGAATAAACTGATTTGGTACATATACATAGTCATCTGTACACAACCCAAACATTGGGGCTAGAGAAGAATTCCATCTTCACGACATATCAATCTTCAAGTTCGGAAACTTCTTTTGCAGCACTCAATTATTGATGATAATAATACAAAAGATCCATTACTCAAAATGCAAATCTATAATATACACAAACCCCAAACACCTCCAATCAAACACTTTCCTTGGCACCGGAAAGAAAAAAGCCTAAGCCTTAGTAACAGGCTTAATACCCTTATGAATAGCCGCAATACCACCAGTAAGATTCTCATACCCAATTCCCGGAGCCATAAACCCAGCCTTCTGAATCATACCACGGAACTCCTCCTGGCTAGGAAAGCGTTCAATACTCTCAACAAGGTACTGATAACTATCCCGATCCCCAGCAACAAGCTGTCCAATAAGCGGGATAGCACTGAAATTCCAACGCTTGTACACCGCATCAAAAACAGGATTATCAACCTTACTAAACTCCATACAAGCAAAGACACCACCAGGCTTCAGGACCCGAAACGCCTCATTAAGCGCAGCCTGTTTATCGGTGAAGTTTCGGATTCCGAAAACAACCGTATACAAATCCACAGAGTTAGAGGGGATATGAGGCATCGACTCAGCATTAGCTTCGATAAAGTCCAATCGAGGGGTATTGTAGTAGGGTGTGTTGATTGATCGCTTTCTTCCCTCGGCAAGCATGTCTGCGTTGATGTCGCTGATTGTAACGCGGGTCTCGATGTCGTGGTTGATGTTTGTAGCGTGATCGAGCATTCGGAAGGCAATGTCACCTGTTCCACCGGCGATATCGAGGATGTTCCAGCCTTTTTGTTGGGGGTTGTTGATCCGAGCAGAAAGGGGGGAACCGGGGTTCAGACTACGGACGAAGTGGTCTTTCCAGAGACGGTGGATGCCCAGGGACATGAGGTCGTTCATTTGGTCGTAGGAGGAGGCTACGGAGCTGAAGACGGCGCCGACTAGTGTATTTCAATTAGCAATGCGACACAATTATGTTTGTTAAAGCTTTAGCTTGAGCTTCATTAAGGTAGATAGTCTTACCTCGAGACACTTTCTCTGATTCAGGCACATTGCGGAATCCAAAGTGTGTCATGCGCTCGTGGTCGGATTTCGGGTCTTGAGATGCGCGGGTGCAGGAGAAGCAACGATAGGGGGTTGACGGCTGGATAGCACGGCGCTTAGCGCTGTAGTGCAGAGTGCGCCAGGCAGAGCGGGCCGACATGGTCGACATTTTGGAACCGATTTGAGGATTTTGGGGGAGGATGGAAGACCAGGGTTAATGTCTGGATGGATGTTCGACAACTTTTCGGAGGAGAAAATCGGGACCCACTTGGTTTCCCCTGTATCCGTGCTCGGCATCCAATCATCGTGCAGAGTTTCCGAACTACCCAGTCCGGTGGTCTCTTGTCTGATGGAGGTATAGATATCGCAAGGCTTTGTTTCAGAGGTCGGGGTTTACGGATTTATAGGATTTAATGGATGATGCTCTTATATTTTCTAGCTTGAGGACCGAAGAGTTCCAATTAAATGAGCTATAAAGGTGGGCAATTCCCTAGTTAGAATCTAAGTATATCTTCAAACTTGAATCTCAGAGCCAGTTTAAACCTTGGAATCCAGGACCGATTTCAAATTGAGCACGATCGATGTTTTGGGAATTCAAACATCTCAAAGATTTATTTTCAACCTTGGAAGATTATTTTAGAATCATGGGACCCAACGAATTATCCCAATGCTGCATAACCGGCTCCCTGCACGAAGGTGAAGCTAAAGGCAATATCCAATATATCCAGAACAGTGCGTTCATGGTCATGGTTTCAATTCATGAGCAATATACCCATAGATCTAATTGATAGCTAACATAGTATATAGCCTCAGTCTACATTGCCTATCCCCAAGACAAATCTACCAAAAATGCCGTCCTGATAATCACAGACGTTATCGGCCACAAATTCATCAATGCACAGCTAATCGCCGACCAATTCGCCGCAAAGGGTTACTTCGTCGTCATGCCAGACATGTTCAATGGAGACTCAGTTCCTCTAAACCGATCTGAGGGCTTCAAAATCATGGACTGGGTGAAGAATCATCTACCAGCTCAGACGGAGCCGATCATCAACATTGTTCTCAAAGAGATGCGGGAGAATATGGGGTGCGAACAGATCGGGGGGGTGGGGTACTGTTTTGGAGGGAAATATGTTTGTCGGTACCTGAAGCCTGGTCAGTTGGATGTTGGGTATATTGCTCATCCGACAATGCTGGAGAGTGAGGAGTTGAGAGGGATTCAAGGACCCTTGAGTATTTCGGCTGCGGGTGAGTTTGATACTTTTTCCTTTTTCGTTCATGTTTCTATTCGTGGGAGACTTCGTGGAGATCGGTATTGATTGTCCTAACCCATGTTTTAGTCCGAGATTTCGTCTTTGTTACGGCTAAACGTCATGAATGCGAGGGGATTTTGGATCAACTGGAGATACCCTACCAAATCAATCTGTTTTCAGATGTTGAGCATGGATTCACTGTTCGCTGTGATTTGTCTAAGCCACGACAGAAGTTTGCGAAGGAGCGTGCTTTTGATCAGGCAGTTGCTTGGTTTGATCAGTATCTCAAGGGGGAGATAGACAAACCTAGAGTAAATTGGAGTCAGGAGATGAGCAAATAGATTTCAATGGAAATAAGTTGTGGGATATAATTGACATTATTCACAGTGGTGTAATTGTCACATTAGTTACATTATTTGTTTCTACAGTGAATGATAAACATGCGCTATTCAAACGCGAAAGGTAGGAAGCCCTCAGAATGGGAATTATCTAATGGCCACGGCCAATCTGCCAGCAGTTCAGGCGGCAATTGGAACTGCATCAACTGATTTCCCATGGGTGCTGTTGATCCAACTGGCGTTGATACAGATGGAACGGTTTGTTGATAGGCTGATGGTGGAATCATAGCCTCCGGCTTCATGTCGACTGGGGGAGCTGCTCCATTCGGTGCACTTGAAAGTGGAGGGATTGCCGAAAGGTTAACCAATCTTGAAGTCCGCATGTAGCCATCTATCCGATCCACTTGTGATCGCAGACGTTCACTAGCACCCGCTGCGCGGTGAAGACCAACTTCAAGACGGTGGAGTAGACTGGCCATTTCAAGGCTGGTAGGGATGTTAGTACGATCCGGGGGGGGGGGGAGTGAAAAAGACATACAGTAAAGTTCGAACGCGTTGGTACGAGGCGTCCGATAAATTGCCCTCCATGACAGAACCGAGAATGTAGCCAATCCCACCTAAATGATGGAGCTGGGAGTCAATTAGTTTGAAGAAAAGATACACGAGATGAGTTAGAATTTACCAGGGGTGAGCTAATGGCTTTCAAATATTCAACTGGTACCTTCGAAAACACACTCAGCAGCTCGCCAGCCACATCGCATTTCCTGTCTACCCCAATCTCTTCTGCCGATAACAGTACCATCCGCAGAAGCTGTAAAGTTGCCTGAATATTTGCGGACTGAAATCCAAACAGGTCTTGCCCAATATCGCCAGTAGTGGGTGGCGTTTCCCGGAATTGTGGGGGTAATGCAGCATACATGGAAAGCACTCGCTCCATAACCGCGGGCTCTGACATGGATACCGGACTAAAAAGAGACCACACCTCCTGGGTTCCATTGGCCGAAGAGAACTTACGGCGGGTACCATCAACGACATGTTCCAAAATGCGATACAGGTCGGTTGTGAAGTTCCATCCATGCATCCAGGAAACTGGAACATCGCCTTGGCCCATCGCAGTTGACGCTGGAGATACACCAGGCATGCGGTAGCCCTGGTGAGTAATGAGTTCGTCATCTACCTCAATTGGGTATCGGACTAGAGAATGGGCTTCACGGTATCGAATCACACCTCCCCATACAATGGTCGAGTAGATATCGAGCGTATATATTGACCAAAACTGATGTCATATTAGCTACCGCCACCTTGAATTATTTGGGCAAATGCGCTTACCAGTCTTCGTCGTTCCTCTATTTCGATTGGACTGATGTCCTTCGGCCAAAGCTTCTCGTCATGAAACCCTTCCATTGTTATTAAAGTGTGGTACATGCCAGAATATTTTTGCATGTTTTTTATTTGACCATTTTGAATACTGGCGATCGCTAGGATTGCACATGCGCGCATGTAGTTAAATCCTTTTGCAGCGGCCAGATCTCGCGGAAGGGAGTCTTTGGCAGCTGCATAAAAAGCCTCTGACGGTGGTTCAGAAAGTTCCTCGCGATGCCATCGGCTGGTGTATAATGCGCCATCACGAGCGCGGCCGGATACCAATGCACAAACGGCCATTGTCGACGCAAATAGACTTTGATTTCGCAAGTGCTCATCGTTGTTAATTTTCTCTATAAATGATGGCTTGTGAAACAAAGGAAATCTGGAATGGGTTTGATTAGCAAAAGTGAGCACGGCGAGCAGGATTATAGATAGACGCCGTAGTCCTACATAGGATAAACAATCTCAAAATAAACCTGGACGAGATTCCGAATTTGCTGATCACAAGATATGGCAAAGGCTTTCCAGGAATTGCGCAGTGCGCCGTCGTCATCGTACCCCTCAGCCGTTGACCACCCAGTGTTAAAGGAGGTCCAGGGGTCCCCTGTTAACGATGGGCGTGAGGCCGAATCAGGATGATATTCGCTTCTTGAGCCTGAAGACCCAGATGCTCGTTGCGGTGCATTTTCGCGCCCCAATGGAAGCTGCGGTTCTGTACTTGGCTTCGCGACTGGAGTGTCTCGGCCAATGATTTTGGTACCGGCCTTGACACCCCGGCGTTTCGCCGGTCGATCAAAAGTACAGGGGACATCAAAGTCCGCACAATTTTGGCACCGGCCTAGCGGGTCTTCGCCTCTGGTACATTTTATACTGCGTCTATTGCAGAAGTCGCCTGTGCATAAGCTGTTAGTCTTCGACTGACATTTGCGGTCTCGCCAAGTGACGGGTGGAGAAGGTGCGCATTGGAACGCGGGGGATAACCTTACAAGCCTTAGAGACGCGCTGAAGTTTTCGCGGTTTTTGCGACATTCATACAGAGCCTCCCGCCAATAGGAAGCTTAGTACCAGTAGCAAACAACGATCCTAGTCGGTTAATTCAGACGCCGGACAATTGGAGAACGGGGCTTCGGAGCGGGATCCCGGGGTGTGAATTATGGGTCGTGCGGCCGATTGAGGCGGGTTGAAATGTTGAATGGGAAAAAGGCCACTTGATCACCAGGAGTTTAACCGACAACTTATTGTCTTCCCTGGAATTTTTCAATCATTGAGTCATTGGAGAAAGATGTCTGGATATCACTCGAAGCTTGCCTCCCCCAACTTGCATGGCGTTTTGCTGACTCATCACGGTGTCATAGACTCGATTTGCGCTGGCGAATCACCGGTTGCGTGTTTCCATTCGCTTCAGCGGTGGTAAATAGCCAATTTCCGACCAGCAATGGAGACTACAATGGGATATCAGAACATGAGTCCACAAAATAAGAACATGTAACTGCATAAATAGCATTCATAGATTGAATTTTTATTACATATAATTATTCCCTTTCAAAATATACCCATATTTTAGCCCTTCCCCGAAAATACGCCGCAATAAAAGCAATGCAAAATTATACCAAGCGCCAGTAATGACTGTATACATATAGGTATGTTCAGACACTAGAGTGGTCTAGTGGTTTCTCAGTAGTCACGTCGGTCTTATCAGTGTCGTAGGTTTCGCTCCTTGTGACTCCATGCTCTGCCAGGACGTCACCGTGGAGTCTATAAGCTTGCTCCATTTTCCAATAAAACGGGCTCGAAGTCGAGAAAAGAGAGTCGATAGATTCAAGAGAGCGGTTACAAGTCTCAGGATAGACTAGTTGAAACCCATTAGTACCGGTCGCCACAAAATGAAATGCCATCTAAGGAAGACTCACAGAAATAGACAATTGGGATCCAGAGGAGGTTCAAGCCTGCAAAAAGGAAATATGTGCGGCTCTGTATGAATGTTAGTATTTGTAAATATTCAAGAACAAATGCATCAGGCATACAGTCAAAGAACCGAACATGATAGGATTGACAAGAGTAGTCATGCCCACACCAATAGCCCAGCCAGTTATTCCGAAGCCATTGCCCTGAGCTCGCAATTCACTTGGAAAAACCTCAGTGGGAATTAAAAAGGCGACTGTACCCCAGGTAGCAGCATAGCTGGGAAAACTTGAGTCAGTAAAATGTCATATGCCACCAGTAGTATGTAAGGGGAAAAGAGAAGAAGAAGAAGATCGGTAAGAGATAACATACCCCAAATTAAATAAGAAGAGCATCGTCACTGCTCCTGGAGCGAATTCGGCAGCCTTACTAGGGTGATGACGCGAGCCTTCATATACAGCACCGGCCTATGAGATATTAGTATCTGATCACGGCCAGTATACCTGGGATTTAGTACATACGATCAAATTTACAGCAAACAATACCACAGATCCTCCGATCAAACAGACTCGCCGGCCCAGCCGGTCGATAATCTGAGCGCTAATTAGTGTTCCAATGATGCCTATGGTGTTGATACCCCCTGCGAGGCCATTTTGTTTCACATCACTGTAGCCAGCCTGCTTGAGTAAAGTGGGCGAGTAGGCAGTCACGGCCTAGTTCAAGTTGCACGAGTCAGTCTGGGGCATGATTCGAGCGGTATGCAGGATCAATCCTTACAGTAATTCCGGTCCATGACGCCATAATCTGAAGCCAAACACATAGCCATGCTCTTCGGCCTAAGTTTGAGCCTGGCCTACCACCTTTCCCGACTAGAATTTTTGCAAATTGGATAGGAGAGCTGGGTTGCGTATCACGCGCAGCAGTAACGATCTCTAGATACTCTCGCTCAATCTGCTCGGGTGTGGCCCGTCCTTTGCGCAGGCGAGCCAAGACTTCGCGTGCTTCCTTCGGTCGACCGGCCGACGCTAGGTAGCGGGGGCTGTCAGGTAGCATCTTGATAAAAAAGACTAAGATAAGGGCGGGGAGACATTGAAATGCGAGTAGAAAACGCCATCGTACGTAAGAGTACCCGTTGTCCACGAAGGAGAGCCCAAATGAGATCCAATAAGCGATGGATATTCCTAGATCTTGGGAAGGTCAACCGTCTTGCTCCAAAGTTATAGGATCGCTTAGCTGCTCACAGTTGGCAATAAAAACATAGCCGAGGAACCCGCCACGATGATCGGCCGAGGACGTTTCCGACACTAAAACAGGGGTGATGCCAGTCAATGCTGCGGCAAAGGTACAAGCGAAAGTTAGCACTAGATCTTCGACTCCGCAATAGGTGTTGCGCTTATGCACGCTAGCAGGGGTAACTTACCACCAGTCCCGATTCCTGTCACCACTCTGGCACATATCATAAAATTCGAATTCTGAGCGGCTGATTGCAGTGCTCCACCAACGAGAGCAAACAATGATCCAGCCAGCAGGCCATTTATACGACCGATGCGATCAGCGAGCCATCCGCCAGCGAAGCACCCAAAGATCGCGCCTAGATAATAGACGCTGACGATACCCCCTTCGTGGGTTGTGTTTGTGATGGTGCCATCAGACTTGCCAATACCGACTTCTGTGACATAGGTGGGCGCGGCGTTGACACCTCCCATAACACCCTGGTCATATCCCTCAAAGAAGATCGAGATCAGCGAAAAGGTGTGGATAGCGAAGTTTAGCTGCCGCGGCGAAAGCCGCTTCCAAGCTGTGGTGTACCCCATAGCGCGTGTCCTGCAGATGAGTGTGCCCAATGCACCCATTAAAAAGTGAGGCAATGCAGCAGTGAATCTTTTTATAGTTCCCTGCCCCGGTATGGAGTAGATCGACCGGCTGCACGCTGGAGAATCGCGGGGGTGGGAACCACACTCTTGAAGCGCGTAGCCATTTAGCACTGGCCGATCCTGCTTTTTTGGGTTTTCCGGAGCCGCTTAGGCGTTTTGCCGATTATCCTTGTGAGCGGGTCCAGTGATCACTGTCCATTCAGCGTAGGAGAATATCAGATCAGATGTAAGAATGCGTGAACCCATGTTGGAGAATGGATCCACTGCAATTTGGCAGTCAATGAGTTGCGATAAATCAGAACCGATCACATATTTATTTCAGCCCCCTTTTCCCCGCAAACCGTGCCATTTCATTCAAACAACATCGCCTCGTATCCCTTTCCGCCCGTCTGTGCTTGCTCTATACGCCCATCATGACCCCTTCAAACGCAGAAAATAGTAGTCCCAGCCATGGCTTGGATATTACGGTCCTTGGTCTTAATAGTGGTACATCAATGGTATGTTGCCCTTTCCAGTCTTTAGAAATACTGCCCAGTAAAAGACATGCCAAGCTCACGATATACTACGTTATAGGATGGCATCGACTGTGCCCTTTGTCGATTTCGTCAAGAGACACCCGAAGCTCCAATGCATTTTGAGCTTTTGAAAGTAATTAATCTCATAGGGAGATTCCGACCGAGAGTCTCGTAACTAACTGTTGTTTTAGTATGGCGAAATCCCTTTAGAGCCAGTTATCAAAAAGCGTGTGATGAACATGATTCTTCATAATAAAACATCGCCCTCTGAACTCTCCGAGGTAAATGTGATTTTGGGAGAGACGTTCGCGTCCGCCGTGCACCAGTTCTGCAAAGACTATCAGGTCGATATTAACTCCATCGACGTTCTTGGGTCTCACGGTCAAACGATCTGGCTCCTTTCCATGCCGGAGCCTGGTGAAACCCGAAGTGCTCTGACCATGGCCGAAGGGTGTTTTTTGGCTTCCCGTACGGGAATCACTTCTGTAACGGATTTTCGTGTCAGTGACCAAGCGGCTGGTCGACAAGGTGCTCCGCTAATTGCATTCTTCGATGCATTGGTGCTGCACCATCCCACCAAGTTGCGCGCCTGTCAAAACATTGGTGGCATAGCCAACGTTTGTTTCATCCCGCCTGATTCACATGGCGGCATAGATGCGTGCTATGATTTTGACACTGGCCCTGGGAACGTGTTCATTGATGCTGTCGTACGACACTACACGAACGGGCAAATGGAATATGATAAAGACGGGGAGATGGGTGCCCGAGGCACAGTCGACCAAACTTTAGTGGACGATTTCTTGAGTCACAAATATTTTGCTCTCGAGCCACCGAAGACAACAGGCCGTGAAGTCTTCCGCGATACGCTCGCCCACGAATTCATTCAAAAGGCCGAGGCTAAAGGCCTGAATCCAAATGACGTTGTTGCGTCTATTACTCGTGTGACAGCTCAAGCTATCGTGGATCATTATCGTCGATATGCACCCAGTGACCTTGAGATCGCTGAGATCTTTATGTGTGGCGGCGGCGCCTACAACCCCAACATCACCGCTTTCATTCAACAAAATTATCCAAATACACGAATTCTCATGTTGGACGAAGCCGGTATCCCTGGCGGGGCAAAGGAGGCTATTACCTTTGCATGGCAAGGTATGGAGGCAGCAGTTGGTCGCTCGATCCCTGTTCCGACGCGAGTCGAGACTCGACAAGAATATGTTCTAGGCAAAGTTTCACCCGGAAAGAATTACCGCAAGGTATTGCGTCACGGTATGCTGTTCGGTGGTGGACGAGATCATCTACCGCCCGTGAAAGAGTTGGTCAATTATGTTGATGGGAAGGTTTTCAACAACAAGTGGTGAATAAATGACTACCACTAAATTGCGAAAGGTATGATAAAACGACAGCGATGGATTATTTCAAGCATTAGGTCAAGGAGCGAACCTCGGCATGGTTGAGAAATTGGTTTCAGGTTTTTTACTGTGTCTTTCTACGGAGTATTTACCTAGCTCTGGCATTCAGCATTCGAATTTATGAATCTGACCAAGCTATCTGTATAGCTTCAGTTCGAATGGATTCTCCAGCGTTGAAGAGATTCTCATTTGTATTTTCTATATTCTGCGATCGACTTCCATCCTAAGTAACATGACCACTATTAATTCTTCGTCCTTTTAGCGCTCATGGACGGTCAGCAATTAGTACGGCGTGGGGCCGGATAATGTATGTATCGCATCATTGCCCCTGTGGGTCCCATCAGAGTCTATGGGCACATTGATAAATATCAAAGAGACGAGATCAATTCACAAATAAAAGAGTTTGAAGATATGCGATTGGTTTGCCCAATGTCAATTTGAAGACTTGTCTAAAAAAAATTAGATTACATGGTGCGAGGAAAAGCCTTGAGAAGCATCATTCGAAGATCCGCGGATCCGCCAATCTCTGCCGATCTTCACTACGTACTTGCCTGTTATAGTGCTAGTTTGTTCTCGTGGAAATAAGACGCAACAGATTCCCCGCCCATCTGTTTTAAGAGACCAAGGCTTTTTCGTTTCTTTGCCCCTTGAACATCACCAGCTGTTTGTGAAACCCCTGAACAGAGCCTCGAAAACACCCAAGCTATATCGCTATCGCATCCAAACCGATCAAATAAATATCCATTGTTCATCATGAAGCTGCTGTCCTGGGGATTGCTCGCTGTTGTTCCTTGCCTTGTCGAATCATCTGCTGTGGGGTATTCGACAACAACACCTTCTACAGTTACAGACTCTTCGTTCAGTTTTGGATCCCACTACGCAGTTCTAAACCTCGACTTAATTAGCGGACTCGTGGGGACGATCAACACAACATCGCAGGGGCAGGCGTTCATCAAGAACACAGCAAAATGGATCAACGCGTGAGTTTCACTCACTGGAATGTTCTGTCAAAAACCTGAGCTGATAGATTAAGTGTGCATAAACAATCCCCTCCTCCGATCAGCATTTTCAGCCGCCTTTATTTTTCCACTAGCCTTTTGCCTGAGATCTCACCAGATGCCCCTTTCATGACCGACGTTGCTACAGTTGGGAATCTCACAGGGTCGGACCCGAAATCACAACTTTACCCTGCTTTCAAGACGCTGCCTAATTACGACATTGTCCTGCAAAAGACGCGTTATTTTGCGGGCGCGGATAACACGCTTGTACAAATTCTGCAGAGCCAGAAGATTGAAACAGTTATTTTGGTATGTTCGACGTCGGAAGGACAACATAAAAATGGATTTCTAACAGCATCTCGAACAGTCTGGCCTGCGAACCTCGGGGGTGATTCTCGCGACTGCCCAACGCCTCTTCGATTTGGATTTCAATGTGTAAGTATATACATTTCCTTTTGCCAAGAGAATTATACTAATTTCAAATAGCTACGTCATTGCCAATAACACGATTGAGACTGGAAGCGATGCGACCAAAATCAACGACGCGATCCTCCAAGGAATTCTGCCAAAGCTACCGGCCAATGTCATTACTATTGAGCAGGCCATCGATGCACTATCACGATCAAGTGCAACATATTACTAGAGACGGATGGCCTGAAGCAAATTGAGGTCTAGAGTTATGATTTTAAAATAATGAATAAAAGCTTCAGTGTATATATGCACAAATTCAACATTTGAACCGCATTTCATGTACAATGCTGCAATGATAACAACAAAGACTCGATAAAAATATCAGAAGCTATACTTTTAACCTCATTTCCAGCATCGAATCTATTCATTCAATCATTTTGCCCGGTGAATTTAATCTTTCAATGTTGGAAGGACCCACAACTTAAAGTGATTGCAGGAAAGTCAAGAGTGAACTTGTTCAAATTATACGTCTTCTCCGGGGCCATCCCGAGGTCCAAATGTCACCTCCTTACCAAACAAGATACAAATTGCGATCGCCAATATCAAATAAGCGAGGTTCGCTGACTCCTCCTTTCGACCCGACAGGAAAAATCAGGATGAGCCGTTGAAGCGCTATGCGCCGCACTATTGCAACATCAGTCCACTGCGGCTCCTTCTTATCCTCTCTCGGGTTGTCTCGGGAGCCGATCATAACATCAAAAAGGGGTTTATCTCTATTGACCGGGCATGAGTACGACCAGAGATAGAATGTCGAAATGTCAAAAAGGGTTAATCACAAATATTTAAAGATGTCAGTGTGTGACAACCATTGGTATGTGGCCACGTCTATGTATGCAGTCGAACAAATACGGCAAAAGGACAACGTTAAAATAGCGCATGAAAAAGCTTCCATAGAAAGTCCGTGCTTCATTGGGTCTTGTTAGAATTCCAGCCCTATGGAACGGTTCGAAAGGAGTCAAAGGTACGTCAAACCTTCGCTCTTTTTAGCTATGATCAGTCTCGGCATGCCGAGCATCACCCATTGCAGCGCGGAATTTGCTCGGCACCGAGCCATCACCGAGTTTCGCCCCTCATGTCAGCTTCAAAATGCTTTGATCGTCGACTTGGATTCACCGAGTTATATCCATGAGGTAACTAGCTTGATGTTGATAAGCGATAGTTCAGGGTCTAGCCTATCGTATTAAATGCCGCTCGATCAAAAAACCTGTAAGATCTGGGAATATCTCGGAGATCGATCGGTTTGAAGTATTTCTGATTCATGTACCTCCTGTCTATCAATGTCAACACGGCAGACACAGCAAAGTATAAGTAGCTCTACATCTATCCTCTTTTTATTTTGTACAACATCATTAAAGTTTCAACTGTCACACACATATAATATGACACATTCAATACATTCTTCTCATCAAACCCTTGAATCTACGCAGCATCCAGCCATGTTCAACGCTGAGACAAAAGAAAGTCTTCGCAACGCCGGGATCACAGAAACCCCACCACCAATCGATTACAACTATGCAGATATTGAAAATCGCGCGAACCTCGAATTCCCTGAAGAATATGTTGTGGAAACGGAAACTGGTATTGTTCCACAAGCGACTTTAGAACAAATACGATCCCGAGAGTCATCCGTCACACATACACCCAGCAACGGCCAAGAAGATATTGAAAAGGGACCGAAGAGGTCTGCAGACTTCGTGACTTTTACCATTGGGGACCCTGAGCACCCACACAATTGGTCTCGTGCCTACCGTTGGTACATTACACTTGTTGCATCAGCACTTGTGGTTTGCATTGCCTATGGGTCCTCTATCGTTACCGGTGGATTGGGTCTCATTGAAGAGAAATACGATGTCTCATTAGAAGTTGCCATCTTGACCTGCTCGATTATGGTGTGTGGTTTTGCAGTAGGACCTCTGCTATGGTCTCCTCTTTCTGAGATTATTGGTCGCCGACCAGTTTATATTATCTCATTGGGCCTCTACGTCATCTTCAACATTCCATGCGCCTTGTCACCTAACATCGGCGGTCTATTAGTCTGCCGTTTTCTATGTGGTGTTTTCTCTAGCTCCGGTCTATCTTTAGCTGGTGGAACCATCGCCGATATCTGGAGCATCGAGGAGCGCGGTATGGCTATCGCCTATTTCGCTGCAGCTCCTTACTGTGGGCCAGTCCTTGGACCTATTGTAACAGGTTGGATCAATGTTGGAACAGGTCGATTGGATTTGTTCTTCTGGACAAATATGGGTTTCGCAGGTGTAGTCTTGATTCTCATCGGACTCGTTCCAGAGACCTATGCACCAGTGATTCTCAAGCGACGCGCTGCCAAGCTGCGAAAAGAAACCGGAGACTTGAATATCATGACTGAACAGGAGATGATGAAGCTCAGCCTTCGTGACATTGTCCGAACGAATTTAATTCGTCCTATCACCATGATTATGACGGAACCAGTCCTTGATCTGATGTGCATGTACGTCGTGTTGATCTACTCGATGCTGTATGCATTCTTCTTCGCATACCCCGTCATCTTCGGTCAGCTTTACAACTACAACGACGGCCAGATCGGATTGATGTTCATCCCGATCTTGATCGGTGCCGGTTTCTCCTTGCTCTCCACACCATACCTTGAAAAGAAGTTCAAACTTATCTGCAGTCAACGTGCGCCAACTCCAGAAGATCGACTCCCAGCTGCTATGTGGGGAGCCCCATTTGTTCCGATTGCATTCTTCATTCTGGGTGCTACCTCGTACTCCCACATTATCTGGGTTGGTCCCGCGTCATCTGGCATTGCATTCGGCTTTGGCATGGTCTTGTGTTATTACGGCGTGAATAACTATATCATTGACTCGTACCAGAAGTATGCGGCGTCGTCGCTGGCTGCAAAGGTTTTCTTGCGCTCCGGTGGTGGTGCTGCCTTCCCTCTGTTCATCACTCAGATGTATGCTCGTCTTGGACTACAGTGGGCTTCGTGGTTATTGGCCTTTATCGGACTTGGAATGGTTTTGATTCCATATGTTTTCTATTTCTTTGGGGCCAAGCTCCGAGCGCGATTTTCTCACGATTAAATGTTGGATTCCGGAACTTGAATAGATATAAATAAGATAGATGGAAGCGATCGTGGAATGCTTTTTATAGAATACCTAAAAGGGACATTCGGGAAAGAGCATGTTTAAGCAGTGAACCGTTCTTATATGAAGTACATTATTAATGCAATTTATTCATGACCACGCTCCTCATTTTCAAATTCTGCTATACTAGTATCATCCAGGCTCCCCCATCACCTTCTCTTTTCCTCTCGCCATAAATTAACTTGTTCAGCTTATTCATAGAGTCACTTCGTGTTGACGACGGCATCAATTGATTGATGACACGAATCTGGTTGGTCCACATCAGCGCGTGTCCCCACCGTTCGGTTCCCCTTTCCCCTCACCACGAACGGTTCAAAAGATTACGGGGCTTTGTATGGTATCGCTCTACTTGTGGCGTAAAGAGGACACCTCCACAGGTCACAAGGACAGTCTCGGTCCTTTATTAACGTGGCAGTTATTTTTCGGTCTACACGTGCTAAGCCGCTTATATTCTCTCTGCATCTCAAAATCCTCACATTGAATGCAATGCCGCTCGAAGGCAAGCGTCTCATCCTATGCCTTGATGGCACTTGGATGAACAGTGACAAGGGGTACAATCGACCAACTATTGACGATCCAAATGACACCCTGGAGGTACCGACAAATGTTACCCGTGTTTACCGTGCGCTTAGGAAAAGAGGATTCGATGGAGAAAGCCAAGTCATGTACTACCACCCAGGTGTAGGTAGTACCGGCGGCGTCTCGGACTCGATCGCCGGTGGAGTATTCGGTGTCGGAGTCGCTGAGGTATGTTTGATGTTTCGAAAGCCAAATGGCGAGATGCTAATAAACAGAAGAATATTAGAGAGGCGTACAGTTTTGTAGCGACCAATTATGAGCCAGGGGATGAGATTGTTTTGATGGGGTTCTCTCGTGGGGCGTTCACGGCACGAGGAGTCGCGGTACGTGCACGATACTTGTTGAAGATGCATGCTTCCTTCTAATGTGTTTAGTGTAGGCGCTGATCGACGCGGTGGGCCTACTCAATGCAGAGGGGATGGAGATGCTTTATCCCATATTTAAGGATGCAGAAAACTCGGAAAATCCGGACTACAAGGACAAGTTTCCTTCCAAACCGTTTCGAAATAAGCCACCTCGGCCTAATAATGGGAAGGAGTATCGGCATCGACTAGAAGACGTAAGGATCAAACGTCCGATTTGTTTAACAGGAAATCCTAATTTCATTCATAGGCTGGATTAACGCGAGTGTTTGACCCAGATGGACGCCGCATCACGATACGTTGCATTGCAGTTTGGGAAACCGTAGGAAGTCTAGGTCTTTCATTGGTGATCGCCCTCTTCTACAGGCCCTTCAGCTGACTCTTGATAGGTATCCCTGATACAAACATTGGGAATAAACTACACTTTCCTCGATCTACAAAAGAATAAGTCCTCCGCTCCACACACGCGTACGTGAATATACTGACAAAAAGCACATGCCGATTTTACGACACCCGATTATCAAACACAACAGAATACGCCTTCCAAGCATTAGCCTTAGATGAAGACCGTACATCATTTGCCCCAGCTATCTGGGAACGGCCCGACGATGTCAAAACTGATCTCAGACAGGTATGGTTCTGCGGCGCACACTCCAACGTCGGAGGCGGCCTGCCAGACCAAGAGCTGGCGAACATCACCATGGCCTGGATGATGGACCAGCTCACATCCATCGGGGTGGCATTTTACGACGACACAATCGACAAATTATTCGAAAAGAGCGTCCACTACTACTACAAGCATCCTTACGGTTCGAGTCCCGATGATTCAAAGTCAGAAAACTGGAGACCATGGGCCGATAAGTCTGTTTACGAAGAGCATAAACCCGTTAGGCCCTGGGGATTGGGTGAGATCGTCCAACCCGCTACTGGACTCTACCGTCTTGCTGGAAGGACAACACGTACACCGGGACAATACTGTCGTATTGACCCAGAAACTGGACTTCCGACATCGCGGTTCTTGTCTAATACAAATGAGGGGATACATCGAAGCGTGCGTATTAGACTTGATTTGCATGGTCTGGGATTTGATGATGAAGAACGATATCGATGTAAAGCGTTGCTTAAGAAAGGACCCTGGGAACTTACCCGTGTTCGAAAAGTAGTTAGCCGCAAGACGGAAGATGCATACGGGGACTTTGACAAGGTCGTGGAGAAAATTGATGAGGATAGATGGGGTTGGGCCTTTATGGGACCTGCGCAGGAAGCGCCACCTCAGGGTATCCTGATGGAAGAGCCGTTAGGAACGTACGAGAAGCGATTGCTTCGTCTGAACAAAGGTATGCTCAAATTGTGGTATTTTCTATTCTGTTCATGATGATGTATCGGGAGACTAATCATCCTTGAATATCATTTTAGGTCGCTCGTTTTATGAAATGCTCTACAAAGAAAGCGCTTTGTATTATTAAAATATTCTCAAGGAACGAAGAGGGGGACAAGCAGAAGCTAAGGAAGTTCGAAGGGGCGAGGTTTGACCCTTTTGAAGTCTTAAAACAGCCTTCGGGTGTACATAATAATTCGGAATATCAAGAAAGACCCTAGACTGTGATTGGACCTCATGGACTGGGCACGATGCATATAAATAGGCATAGGTGCCGACCCAATCGCTCTCTGGTCTATGTTGTCGTTTGATCCCAGAGACTTTGCACGGTTACATCTTGCACCCACTTACCATTAGTCTCGTCCTTTTGTACGGTAAAGCCAATCTTGCGCTTCTCTCCAGGGAGAAGAGTAAAGGCGTTATCATCGAAGTAACCCACAACACCAGCTGGGTAATCTAACCAAGTGTAAAGAGACACACCACTCTTGGCCTCAACAGTAAAAACGCCAGTCTTCTGATCGTGAGAAACCTCTACCTTGGGATCGATCAAAGCCAACTTATTAGAGAAGACAGGCGTGAACTTATTCCGATGGGTGAAGGTGGAAGCAGTTCCATTATCAGAGTTAGGAAGGTGACCGCTAGCTTGAACAGACATCACCAGAACCGCATTTTCCTTGTCGGGGAGATGCAGAGATGCGATATTCGCGTCAAAGATCTTGGTGGTATTGAGACCCCCGACAGTGAACTGACTAGATGTAGGAGTGTTCGCATTACCCTTGATAGGCTTTCCGGAGAGGTCAACCCAGGTCAAGTTCACTGTTCCACGAGCTGTCTCCCATAGATCCGAAGTAACGTACACCGAGAGATCCCCAGTAGTATAGTTCCAGTATGGAGCAGCAATAATGGGCTTGTAGATATCGCGAGCGACGTAGTGGAGAACTTTCCACCGGCCATCGTACTCGATACCCGCCCATGTAGGTGCCTGCCAGATATCCTCGAGCTGCCAGTACAAGGATCCAAGTTGGCGCTCGGGCATTCCGCTACCTCGGCGGTAATACTGGATTTGATTCTTGTACATATCTGCTTGGAAAAGCTGTGTCGCGTGACACCATGCACTGAAATTAGCTACGGAATCCTGTTTGTTGGGAATAGGATAGTAGCGTTCAACAGCCATTGTCATCTCCCCCATGCCCATGGAGGTGTTCTTGTAGTTATGGGTCTCAGTGCCACCGGGCGGATAGTGATGGTTCCTGAGCATGACAGTGCTGCTATTGAAATGAAGGTCTTCTTCGTCGACGGCCTGGCGCCAGGTCTGGAGACTTGGCATACTATGGTAGCCGAATTCGTTTGCAAATCGTCCGATAGGATACGTGCTAAGATCAAATGCAACACTGCTGTCGTAGTTGTAGTGGTCTGTGTCTGAGTAGTACTCCCCACTCGTAGTATTGTCGTAGCGCTCAGCCATGGGCACTGGCGCCGAAAGATTCACATACAAGTAGCCATTGTTAGTACTGCTGGGCATATAAGAGATGGATCTTGAGTTCTCGTAGACAATAGGCAGAATAAGGCTGATGAAGAGCTGCTCATATTGTCCAACCCAGTAAGCGTAGTTGTCGGGGTCTGCTTCCTGAATGAGAGGGAGCTCGAGGCTCTCAATTTCGTTGCCACCAGCCCACAAGGCGAGTGATGGATGATGGTTGACTCGTCGCACATTGTATGCTACCTCGGCTGCAACATCTTCCAAGAAGGTCTCGTTGACAGGGTACATAGCGTCACTGAATTGGAATTCGCTCCACAGCAGAACTCCACGCTCATCCGCAATGTCGTATATGAAGTCCGGCTGATAGGCACCGGAGGCCCATACACGAAGCATGTTTTGATTTCCTGCTACGATGGCGTTGAAAAGACGCTGCATCTTCTCTTCGGTCACTCGTGGCCAGAACGCGTCTGGGGGAATAAAGTTCGACCCTTTCGCATAGAACTCTTGACCATTCACCTCAAAATGCCAGTTAGCTCCTGGAGCAATGCCTTGTGCCAATTGGTCATCAGTAATGTTAAGGCGATTAAGGTAAATTGTGCGGAATCCAGTACGCTTCGTGACGGTTGCAAGTGTGTCCTGCTTTTCACCATTCACGGTGATAGTGGTGTAGTAGAGATTTTGTTTGCCCATACCGCTAGGCCACCAGAGGCTTGGTGCATCAGCATCGACAGTGATAGTTCCGGTAATAGTTTGACCTGATGTGTGAATATCGTCCAGAGCAGCAGACTTGAGGACCTTTCCGGACTCGACATCTTTGATTTCGATGTGCATTGAGGGATTGCTTGGGAGAGAACCTAGAAAGTCGATACTCGCATTTACAACCCATGGATTGCTTTGGACCGGAGGAAGGTGATTAATTTGGCCTTGGCGGAAAATATCCAAGTCGGTGTTCAGGACGTAGATGCTCTCTTCCTTCTCGAATTGCACAACATACGCATCTCTCCATGGACCGGCAGGAGCAAAGGCTGGGCCCCAATCCCATCCAAAATCAGACTGTTCTTTGCGAATATACCAGCGGTTTTCGAACTCATAGATTTGCTGAGGACCGTAGGGCCACTCTAGAAACAGCTAATTAGTAAACCCATTGTTCCGCGAGTGTCGGGAAACATACTTTCGGCCATCGGATCTTCAGCAATTTTATTAGCAATCTTGGGGGCACTCCCAAAGTTCAAGGACAGAATAGGGTCGCCCTTGCAGCTACTGACGATGTCTGAGACATCGAAGGTATACTGACGGAACTGATTGTCGGTGGTTCCGACGAATTTCCCGCAGAGCTCGATTGTTGTAAATGTGTCTAGCCCGTTGAACACAAGCCAAGATGACTTGGATTTGGTAGACCTGCAGGTAGTTAGCTTTACTCCTCAATGAAGGCATCAATATTGGCGTACACTTCACGAAGAGGGTGACTGGTATAGGTCCAGTTGTTATACGGAATCCACCGTAGATCGAAATCGTTGAGACCATAGTACCTGTCAAGAACATAACCGGTTAACATTTTAGCTAGCAGTGGCTTGTTTCGTCACATACGGATCATCTATAGTACATGTTAGTTAAGTATATATATTTGAATTAACCAGTGATCTCACCAATAACGTTCGCAGCATAAAGATCTAAGTGTGCCTGAGAAGGCAAGTGACCGGGAACTGAGATATTCAGAGCTTTACTGCTGACAGTCCAACCATCCCCAGTGAGGTCAACCACATGCTGGGCTAGCACAGGTTGAACCGTCAACGGGAGAGCTGCTAAAGCTCGCTTCATCCACGAATGCATGGTGATGCCGGGGCAAGCTCGAAATGGCGCACTTGAATGATATACAGGAAGACAAGACTAAAGAACGGGGCATTTACTCCGGTTTTTATCTTGCAAAATTGACCTCGCCCCCTCTTCTCCGGAAATATGCCGGTACACAAGCAAGTGGAGATCCAGAAAGGAGAGACTTGGCTTTTTTTTGAATTCACCCGAGAAGCTATTATGGGTCTTACCATTGTGTTGGGGGCTAAGTTTGGGGATAGGATCGTCAAGACCTCAAACAACAACCCCACAGGGCGGGGAAGAAAGCAACGGTAGCAATGCTGCGTAGTGAACAGGGTTGATCCCGGGGAATTCTATCAGGCAATCTCCGGGTGTCGGCCTGGTGTCGGCAAAATGCGATGATCTGCATTGTTTGACTGTGGAGCTTGAGAGGGGTAAAGGTCACTGCGTACTGGGGAAGAAGGAGCGTGGGGGAGCTGCGGGATGAATTGAAGTATCAGATAAAACCATTCATTATATGAGTTTGTGTGATCAATAAACTCGTTCAGATGAGTTTTCTGGGCCAGTATTGATTAAAAGAAAGAAATTCAAATTGCACTGAAATGCTCATAATCCCTTTGGAATGGATCCCTAGAATTCGAACGCACTGGCCATCTCGGCCGGGGATCGTGAGAAGGAAGTCATGAACTCGTTGTACAAAAAGCATCTATTCATCAAAATAACTGCTCTTTAGCTTTGTATGTATATGTACAGGGTAATTAACGTTGATTTAAGTTCTTGCGCATCAACGCGATGTCATCGGGTGAGAACCCGAGGTCACTAGTCAAAAACTTCTCGACGCCGCCGTCGTAAGTGGCCTCGAAGGTCTTCAGAAAAGCCTCCATGGCCTGTGCTCGGACTCCACTTAGTTCAAGTATGCCATTTGCCTCCGGGCTTAATTGATCGGTAGATATATCTAGATCTAGACCCAGCGCACGAGTCAAATTTTCCCGCGTGCCTTCCAGCGCTAGGCGGGTCAACATGTAATCGTTGATAATTTCATCGTAATGTCGGCCAATGAGGAGGAAAATAAGTGCTGATAATACTCCAGTCCGGTCCTTTCCAGCTAAATTGTTTAAGGAAAAATAAGATTAGCAAGCAGATTCACATGTAACCGTTGCATATCGCTGAGCATCGTATCCATTGATGGATGTACGCTCGAAAAGTGTAAGAAACTAACCCGAACAATGATACATAAATGGATCGTTAGGCTCATCTCTGATATGAGTGAAAACCTCGGTGAATATAGGCTTAGCTGCATTTAGAATACCCATATACATCGCCACGAACCCAGGTGCAGCTTGATCATCCTTGGCAAAATCTCGTAGGTTCAATGTTGCAGGCCTGGCCCCATAGGGCATCCATATTGTCTCGATGCCGTCTATTTCTGGACTAGGAGCCCGCTCCCTTTCGCCTTGATTCCGCAGATCAAATATCGTAGTAATGCCGAGATCATTAGCTAGGATAGATTTTCCTTCAGGAGAAACATCCGATAGATTACCGGATCGGTAGACATATCCCGGTCTTAGCTCGTTCTCACGGCTTAAGTCTCGGAGATTGGATACACCAGGCACGATCACGAAGGGTGGCAAGGACAAGATCTTCGATACAATCGATTCGGGGATAGGTGTTCGGATATCAGTATTTAAGACATCGTTGATATTTTCAGCGTCGATCATGGCGACACAAGAAGGAGAAGAGTTGAGAGAAAATGGATAAGGTAAGGATGTGTGAGAGTTTCTTGACAACTGGAATTTTTCACCATTTGATATGGAAATGTGTTCTCAGGGCGGACCTGAGATAACATGAATTTTTGCGCGCATAGCACGAGCTATGTCATAGTCTTTGTATTTCCCTGGCAGGGAAAGCCTGGAGAGTGGAGAGTGAAGGAAGGGACGACATGCCAATGAATCGAGCCGAAACTATGCACATGTGGGGATCTATGTCATCGCTGGATTGTCGGGCGGTAGTGGGTCCCGATCATCGGAGTTGGCTTCGAAGGAATCAAAGGTTTTTAGCCTTATCATATCATCTTTTTAGAATATGGGGAATCTCAAAGAAAAACCTAACGCATACATACTAGCAGTTAGGCGTTTCTCCCACATTGACATCGTCATGGTGGAGTAGCCCAGAGCACCCATTCCCAACAACTAACCAGACCAAGTCGATTGGAGTGTATGCAAAGCTTGACGATTTCATGAGACAAAACAAAAACGAATCCAACACTACTCAAAATTCAGAATTCTTCCCTAGCGCCTAAGAAAAGACGCAGTCTTTTTTAAGCTTGAGAATATAGATGCACAATAGCGACAGACAACGCCAACCTTGGAAGTGATCAGTTGCGAATTTATCCTGCTAAGATTCACTCCATCCTTCACGGGAAATATTTGGACACCGATCTTACTTTTGTCTTCTCTTTTTTGGCGGAAGCCTCCATATATTGTGCGTTATCATGCATGCGCAGTGTATCACTGCAGAAGAAGTCCCTCAAAGGTGGGGGTGTGTGATATGTGTCCATCTCTGGGGCCAATTATCTTCAGGAAATCCTGATAACTTGAATTTAATTGGTCGGTCATTTATTTTCAGAGAACTTCGTCTCTGCATAATTATAACGAACTTTTTGGTGACTAAAAGACACCGATGATTTGTTCAAGAGTGGGGAAGATACCTTGAAGCTGTTAAAAACCCCATCATCCCATAATATCTGCTGTAGATATCATTATGAGTACTGCCAAATTATTCAAATGTCTGTGGCAGGAGCGCGAGTCACAAAAAGAAGGCGAGGAGCACCTTCTTCCAGACCAACTAAGTCTAGCAAAGCCCGCTCGTGCGAAGCATGTCGGCGTTTGAAAACACGATGTGAAATTAACCCGGACTGTGAGGCATGCCATCGTTGTAAAACTTTAGGGTATGAGCCACATGAACAATTGACGATTGGGTGTAGTAAGGTGAAATATTAAATATACTGGCATACAGGATCGAATGCTCATTCTACGGGGTGACTCGGAATGATTCGCTCCAACTGCAAACCGAGGGGGAGCCTAATAGGGAATTTCAACATGAGTATCACAATAGGTGTGGCCATCACTTGAAGTTCTCGTTGGAATATTATTGTGCTATTCACTGACGGACGTGCAGACTCCGCGCAGTCGAGTCCTCGCTGGCAGAGATCCAAGCTTCACTTGCTGCCAGACCTGTAAAATCAGAGGAAAATAAACCAGAGGTGACATGCTTGGAAAATATTACATAGAGAGATGTTGAATCTCTGTTTCTAACACTGTATACAGAAAGCTCAGTCAAGTGCCGAGCAAACTGCACGCGACGCGCCCATGAGCCTTATCCAAGAGATTCGTGAAAACATCACACTTCATCGACAACCATTGAAAATCCAAGACCTCTCGGAGGATGTGATAATAAGTGGAGTAATTTCGGAGCAAACTGCGAGTATACTTCTCAAAGGGTAGATAAATCATGATTTTGATTCAAAGCGTTTCGATCTGACCTGCTTCGCCTCTAGATTTTCGAAATTGTCTAGTCGCTGGTTATTCATGAGCATTAAACCCTCGGACTTGCGTGCCAAATCACCTTTACTTTTCGGAACCTGCATACTTGCTGGACTCCACATCACCCCGTCATTGCACGGATCATCAACACATCAAGCATTGTACAGCCATGTCCATGGACTTCTAAGCCAGGCACAATCTGCTTCCGCAGTGTCACTCGATACTACCCAAGCGATGTTGATATTTTCGATGTGGGATCTGAGACCAACGAGAGACCACGATCATGGTAACTCATGGCTTTTGAGTGGAACTGCGGCTATGCAGGTCATGATCACTACATCTTTTGAATCTCTCTTGCAGACAAACAATGCTCACGAACAAATTCAAGCACGAGACATTTTACGCACTTGGAATTTGATATGCCTCTGTCAGCTACAGTTCGTTCCTCCTTTATTTCCATTCTTTCTCTAGACCTATGTACCTCGTTCAGGCAATAACACATTTTCAGGTTTTCAGTTGGCTCGGGTCGCCCACCTGTCATTGCGAGCCAGTACTTTGATCAGTGCGCAAAGGTTCTCGAGTTCCCATGCTATAACTCGAGAGATGAACTTGTCCTCTGTGGTGTGAATCTTTATCGAACGCTCTGGGGATTAATAAGCTCCAATTTAGTCCAAAGGGATGTTCCAGCTTGGCCTGGCATTGAACAGCTTCGCAAGTCACAAGAACACATTTACAGTATGTCTATCCTTCAATATAGCGAATTTGTACTTTTTACTCAGACGATAATTTTCTTCAGATCTCGATTCCTCAGAGCCTCTGCGCTTCGCTTATTCATGCGCTTACTTGATCCTCGCTCATCGGACTCTTCAGCATATACACGAGTCTCCACCCGACAGCTCAGGGAGCTGTAAAGTAACATCGGAAAGTGATAACTCAATTCTATTTATTGAATTCGCTATATACCACGCCAGGCAGATATTGGTTCTTTTCCTATCGATGTCAGACCTCACAACTTGCATTCATCCCGCATACGAGAATCTCCTATGCTCATTCGCAATGGTGACTTTGGCCGAATTCGTAATCCACGTACCAGGCATTGACGAGATTATCCGGCTAATGGAGCAATGTATCTCTCATATCCAGCAGGGTGGTAAGGCAGAACCCGTGAGCAAGTGGTCTATGAACGTGATCAAGCAACATGTCAATGGGAAAAATGAGATGGATACCTTGATATCAGAGAGCACCGAAGATACAGAGCCATTTATGTCATGGGTTGAAAGTGAGTGGAACATGGACTCGGAGTTTCCTTCTCTTGAGGATATGTTTTTTGGTAATGTAGTTTAAATTTTGCAAAATAATCGATTTTTTTTTAAAATAAACAAACAAATGATATTCATTGCTACAACAGACTAAAGTTGCAACTTAACCTTCTTACACCCTATAATTTATCATAATTCCAATCATGTCATGTCAGGTTTCCAACCCTCGGTTTAATTCCTGCATAACATCCCTTCGGCTTCTTCGAGAAGCCTTCATGTGATTCCATCTTTGACTGATACAACGCAAAGTCATAACGATGAAACAAAGTACCAATAATCAACTGCAACTCCATAATTGCAACATTCTGTCCAACACAAGCCCGAGGTCCATATGAGAAGGGATTAAAGCATATCTTCTGTCTCGGCGTCAAGTTGAGCCAGCGATTAGGCTTAAACTCATCAACATCTTCACCCCAAATCTCAGCCATATGGTGTATGGTGTATGAAGGAACTGATAGAACAGTGCCCTGCGGGAAGAAATAATCATCGAATTCAACACCGGACCCTTTACCAGTAACAAGACGAGGGAGCCCAATTGCCGATGTAGAATGTAGTCGCATTCCCTCGTCAATGCAGCGACGAAGGAAAGGTAAGTCTCGAACCTGGCTATAAGAAGCTATATCTGTTTGTTGGCCAACTGCTTTGTCTAATTCTTCTCGTAGTCGAGGAATAATCGTGCCTGGTGCGTTGCGCTCTCCATGAAGAATCCAGTAGAAGACAGCACAAGATGTATTGGAGATTGTATCGGAGCCAGCAATCAGCTGAGTTAGAGCTTCAGCAGTGAGCTCTTCGCGTCCCATCGGAGCCCCATTTGCGTCTTTTGCCTGCAGCAATCGCGACAAGATATCATTGCGAGTATCGACCATTCCTTTTTCTGCGGCATCTAGACGGGTCGCAACAGCAGCTACGGCTATACCAGTGAGGTTCTCCACAGCCGCGACTCCCTTGGTAAAGAATGGATCGGGGAGATATCGTGCGTAGGGCCGTATTGCGGGGAGAAGACCCAGTGTTGAGGAAACCTCTCCACGCCTGTTTAGGACATCAACGGCTGGGGCGTACGAAATGGGTCCATCCAGCGTAAATCGCACTTCCGTCTCATCTTTACCTTTGTTGACCATTCCGAACGGTGATCCAAATGCCAGGTCTCCGATAATATCGAAGGCTAGATAGCTGAACCAGGGCATAGCGTTGAATCGTGCAAAATTATTCAAGTTGCCATTCTGTGATCCTGACGATGCAATGCGGTCTAACTGGATTACCCATCGTCGCAGATTAGCTGCCATATGTGGCTCAAAGTCTGCGACCGACTTTGGTGAGAATGCGTGTGATATAATTTTTCGCTTGCGAGTGTGCTCTGCACGATCTCGTACATTGAACATCCCCGGAGTACGTGCCACAAAAGCTTCGTAGTAGTGACTAGTAATGACTAGTTAATCGTAGCTTGTTAACACTTATAGAAGGGGGAGATTACTCTTTCAGAAACCCATTGCCATGCCCATATACAACGTTGAGTGCTCGCTCGTCTGCAATGGAGACATGGTTGAACCCAATCCGCACAACCCTGCCGTATTTGCGATGTGCGTCGTCAACTGCTGCGAACTTTTGGCCTCTGCGGGCACTGAGGCCAATCCATATGTTGCTGAACTTTGCTATGAATGGACCCGGAACTCGTGATAGTGAGCGGTATTGGGTGAAATATGGGATAGTATAATAAAGGATCAGCCACACGGGAATAGTGCAAGCCATCCATGGCGAGAGGAAAAATGCTAATACTGCCATCTCTTCAAGTATTGTCTCGAAAAATATCAATACTGAAAATAGTCGGTAAGAACACTTCAAGTGATATTTTGAAGTTTAAATATCGTTATCATCTTCATTGTGAATTACCTTGGATGATGATATGAGGTCTTTTCTCCGGCGGAGTTATGTATCAACGCCGTCGGAGATGCAGTTCACTCCGTAGGACCAGACCAAGATGTTCATGTGGGTATCGAAGCGGGGAAATCCTTGACTTGATCTGTCCTTTGACGACCCCAGTTACCTAATTTTCACTCCAAGTTGTTTTCATTGATTGTCTCCGGCTTTCGCTAGAGATACAGTCATATCTATAGATCGACGCAATTGTACGAGTTCTTAACAGAGGAAGAAAAATAATGCCACTCGGTCAGGGTTTCTTGGAAAGCTTTGATGAGAAACAAATAGATAACCCTTATATGAACTCAATATTCACACGGAGGTTTCGCTGGGTACTTACTATAGCGCCTTTGCGACTACGTAGAGAATAAGATCTGGACCACGAAAAAAAAGCTGGAATTGGAATAAAAATCCATTATTTCTGTGAGGACCTGTATCTGCGAGATGCATTGGCATCTGCATAGGGATAAGAATACACTCGAACTTAAAATACAGGACGGACGGTGCTGGCTTCAATTGGAGCGACTTCTCCTTTCTTTTTTCGCTCCTCTGAAATATCGTACAAGTATGTTGGGAAAGTAAAATACCGACCGCTTTAACCATGTTGAATGCGAACCAAGCTTAGGATTCTATAGCCATAGAGAGAGCTTGTTGCTGAAGCTTCTTGTTACGACGTAGGAGCGCCAGGAACTTTTTGTCAAGGGAGTCCATTTCCTTTCGCGTACTCTCCAAATCCTTCTGGGAACCGCCAGCAAGGTCCTTCAGCTCTTTGTCGGTCATGGCCGCAACATCATCAAGACTGGGGTTGCCACCGGGGATTCCGGCAGAGCCGAGCATCTGCTTGGCTGTAGCGGCAGCAAATGAGCGGACAGCAGCAGTTGTCGTCTGCAGAAGCTCGGCTGAATGTGCAACAGCCCAGTCGTGACTGCGTGTGCTATCTGCCTCCATTGCTGATAAAACGTTAGGTGGAATTATGGACTCTGCCGTCTCTAGAGCGGTCGTTGGAGACATGCTCGCCAGCTGAGCCGCCGTATCTTCAACCCAAAAGATGTTGTATTTAGATGGCGCTGCGAAAAGCGCTTCTAAGCCGCCGTTAATATTGCTCGAGTCATCGCCGACAACAAATGGATCGGGCATCCCGTTCCGCTTCTTCTCTAGCTCAAGATACCGCACCTCTTCTTTCGGCTCGAGGTGTCGAAGTACGCAGCCGCGAGGTGTGATTAGGCAGCGATTTTTGAGATTCTCGGAGCCCACGCGAACCGGCTCGCCACGCAAGAGAGTCTTCCGGTGTTCCTCAGTGAGTTCAATGGGTTGTTTCAAAGCATCATAATCATCCGCGTTGCACTTCATATCAGTGCGCTGGCTTAGATTTGCGGGATTGAACAGTGAGTTCTTATTCAGATCCAACTGCCCAGCTTTATGCATTGCAGCAAGTAGCTCATGCAGAGGTTTGGTTCGTTCCATAAAAAGGTCTTTAATAGAACGGCCGCTCACTTCGGCATCTTTCACTAACTGATCAACGGTATTGTGCGAACGCCATGTCTCTGGGATAGGCTTAGATTCACTTGGATCTTCCTCCACATACGCAGTCTTGACCTCCCGTACGGATTTTTCTTCGACCTTCGGCTTTTCTGGAATCTTGGGAGCATCGGCCTTCCTGGGAGACTCGCGATCACGCTTAACCGGGCTTTCTGTTTCCACGGCGGAGACTGAGACTGTATCGATAGACTCCACAGCGGCCGATGGTGCTTTCTTGGTCTTCCTCTTTCTTCCCATAATGGGTGCCTGAACGGGTTCCTCTGGAGCTGGAACCGTCTCAGCCTTTTTCGCTTCCGCCTCCTTGGCCTTCTGTCTCCGCTCCTTCTTTGCTTGACTCTTGGTGACGGAGCGAACAGGGGCCGAGCCTATGCGACTCGCAGCTAGGGGTGAATTCGAGCGGGATACAGAAGTAGAGGGGTAATAATCAGCTTCAGACCCGAAGTCGCCAGGGGAATCCGGGCGGCTGTTAGATGACACACTCTGTCTCCGGGAGTCTGTCCTACCGGTTCCTGCAACCGAAGTTGTTACAGAAGGAGCAGTGCCAATAGGGCGCGGAAGTTCTGGCTTCGGCGTTTCAACAACTCGGAGGATACGTGGTTGACGAGGAACAGAGGCGTCGGAAATGCGGGACGCTGTGGTGAGGGGAGTATTGGGACGCGATCCAACTGCGGAGCCTGGACCTTGTCCGGCTGGGACTTGACTCGAGGACGTCCGTTCAGATTTGATGGAAGTTTCTTGGGCAGACAGTGGCATCGTTAAACTTATGGGGCTTGCCTTTGGTCCTGAAAGTGGGCTTTCCAGCTTGCTTGTTTTGTCTGCTTCATCCGTCGGAACAGAGATATCATTATTGATATCATTATTGTTGGTAGTGACTCGAGGCTTCCGGGCCGACTTGGCAACTGGGGAACCCAAAGAGACTTGAGAAGCGTCCTTCTTACGATTGGAGGCAGTTCCCGTCCGTATATTTGACTCGGGGCTTATTGGTCGAGAGTGAGATGGAGTGCGACCAAACCCCGGGGGGACTATGGGTGCTGGCGAAGATGGCTTTGAAGAATCTCTCTGGTCTTGGAAGATAGCAGATCCAGGGTGTGCATGCGGGAGTGGAAGGCCTGGCGGAAGAGTCGGTGTCCCCGCGCGGCCCGCAGTCTCATTGGGAATATGAGATTTCAGAAATCCGAACGTATCGACAGGTTGGCTATCCTTCAATTGGCTGCTGAGAGGCGGGAATTCATCGTCCACTGTCACTTTCCAGTTAGCGCTCGGTCTCACTTCAAATAATGTGTGATAGGCCCGAATGGTAGCAGGGGAGCAGGAAAGATCACGAAGGACAAAGCAATGATGGACAACGACTATGCGGAACGATGATCTGGGAAACTATGCAAAGTACAGGTGCGCCAACAGATAATTACATGATGGGCACTGGCCCCGAAGGATCAGATACATTGGAAAGAATAGTCTATGTAAACAGTAACAGTGAGACAACTGGTTTCGAATAAGACCCTGTTCCAGCTGGTGATATCAGGGTAGGGAGGTCTTAACGTACACTAATCAATGCGGAGACCATCCACGGTCTTGAAGACGCTGGGAATAGCTGAATGCGAAGATCCGAATGCAAAAGGAATAAACACAAGCAAGAAAAGGCAAGCGCCAGCCGCCAGCAGAGAAAAAGGCCCGGGGGACATGCAGTATGTCCACAAAATGCAAAAGAAACAACCCAAACACCGTGTCCGGAAGCAAAGCGCAAAGGCCGATGACCAGAAAAAAGTAGACATAAATGAAGAGGAATAAGGATAGTAGCCCATCATGATATAGCCGGGACTGAGAAAAGAATTGGCAAAAGCCATGATGCAATCTCATCATTTTGTAACAAAGAAAAATGGAAATAAAATCAGGTCGTCAGGGGAATACAAAGATCATGAACAGTAAGGCAGGTGTACGTCAAGGCAGTCAAAGGTCATGAAAGTGCAAGGGAAGTATTAAGAGACTGGGGATTGGAGGGGATCGATCACCAGCGGCTCAACCCACCGCCATACATCATCGAGGGATTGTACCCACCTTGGCCCTGACTCCCATACAACGCTTGTCCAGCAGTGGCATTGGCACCGACCTGATGCATTCTCGCCTGTAAAATGCTCGGGTCTGCAAGATCTACTACACCACCTCCACCGGAGGAAGTGTTAGCGTGTCTTTGCTTCTTTCCCTTCTTCTTCTGCTTCTGAGAGCCACCAGAGTCGGGTGCGGCACCCGCCTGAGGCCCATAGAAGGAATTCAAAAGGCCATTGACGGGAGTCAGGGGAGGTGGGGTTTGGTGCTGTTGAAGGAAAGGGAACATGAACTCACGCTTTGCGGCCTCCTGGCCCTGTACACCACCAACATTTGTACCATTCCTGCCTCGCAGCAATTCACGCATCAATTCGGGTGTCGCCTCCTGCTTTCCGGTGGTCGAGCCTAGTCCAACATTGGAATTCGAGGTAAATCCGTGACCCTGTGCAAACATGCCACCACCACTAATTGGAGGGGTTCCTGCTGTCTTCAAGCCAGGGGGAGGGCCTTGCACCCCACTTCCGTAGAAGCCACTTGCAAGAGCGTGTTGGGGGCTTGGGGCTGAGAGTGGATTGGGGGTGCCGGGCTGTTGCATTTGGCTCAACATCCGCGCATTGCTGATGTTTTTCGTGTTTACATCGCCAGAGAAAGGGAAACGGGAAGACTGTCGATTTTGAGCCTGGAGGGCGTTGTACTGGGCCATCTGGCTCTGCAACAAACCCTGGCGGACCTGCGCAGCCTGGTCCATAGCAGCAGAGCTGAGGGGATCAGACAAGCCAGCCTGCTGGTTACCGGCAGATTTGAGAAGCATCAATTGTTGCTGTTGAAGAGGTGTCAGGCTACGACCAGCCAAATTGAGGCCTTGGAACTGATGGCTGGTAGCTGAGACAGGTGATCCGACTGTGGAATTTTCGGCTGTTCCTTGTTGAGAAGGGGGTTGAATAGCACCATGGCTCTCGCGGGTTGGACGGCCTCGAGGGATGTTCGCATCCTCTGGCTCTCCACCAAGCTGCAAGCTGCCAGATTCCCGACTATCCTCCTCTGCGACTGATGTTTGCATAACCTCTTGCTCTCGATTCATCCGCTCTTCCTCCGCCTTCTCCCGCATAGCCCGGCGTTTGACACCACCATATGGATCTATGAACGAAGGATAGTTCTGAATGTGTTTAATCTCATCGGCTGGAAGGTCGGAGGCAGAAAAAACGAAGCGGAATTCAGGTGACATCAGATCTTTCACGAGGGCATCAAATGGACTTGGCACCTCGGGGTCGGGTTTGGTATTGGTATTCCTAGCTTCGGGTTGACCAACCGGAGACCGTGTGTCAGCTTGCGCCGTGGTTTGTTGTGCAACCTGGACGATAGGAGATGGTTTTTCTATGCGCTTCGGTTCGTCAATTGCCGTTGCAATTGTTATGCTGGCAGGGCGGGGGCTCTGTGAAGCTTGACTTCCAGTTACACTAGCTCTTCGGGTCCTAAAAGCTGCATCTTTGTTGGCCCAGCTAGCAGACGAAGGAAGAGCAGGTCCGTCAGGAACGGCTGAACGGCCACTAATCGAGTCATCTTTGCTTGGCTGCCGGCGCATGGTCTGAGATGTTGGCTGGATAGGTCGAGGTTGGGGAACAGCAGACTGGGACTGGTGCTGGCGTTGACTGGACAACGTGTTCATAGAGGATAGATCGGAGCGACTGTAACTTTCGCTATCTTCGCCGGTTTCGTGCAAGAAAGTGCAATTCCGGTTGTTGCACTGCTCGTTGCGTAGGAAAGATGAGCAATACTTGGTTGTACCGTATTGAGCCCTCAAAACGCGATCCCCGTTAGAGGATCCGTCCACAGCAGTGATGCAAGTAGCAGCATCAGTCTTGCGGGAGAAGGTCACATAAACGCCAATGCCTTGGTGCGGGTTGCCACCAGGCTTAGCTTTGCTAACCACAATCTTCTCGATATCTCCATATTGACCGAAATATTCTCTGCCCCGCAGCGTTTGCAGAAGCTGGTTTTCGTCGCGAATTGTCGGGTTTAGGCCGATGACGTATACCAAATTCTTCTGCACGACTCGAACACCTGCTAAATTCTTACGGCTCGATGCTTCGATTTCGCGTTTCTCGGCTTCCTTTTTCTTGGCTGCAGCTGCTTTGCGGTGCTTCAATGCAAGATCTGCTTTGAACCTAATTTGTGAAAAGAAAGGGTCAGCACAACGAGACATACGGAGGGGTCATTTTATCAGTTCTCACTCCTCTGCATCTGGAATCTTGTATTGAATGGTGCTGTCATCGTAAGGGCGGCGACAGTTCGGGCAACGACCCTCTTCGCTGTGGGTTTTGATATTGTTATAGCAGAATTGGCAAATCTGGAGTAGAAGTGTTAGAGTAACCATCAAGTGAGCACTCAGGTGGGATTCTATCTAAAAGGGATGGCTTTCGAGGCTCGTACCTGATACCCACAGGGACATGGTTTGAAGTTCTTGTCCGAAAGGTCGAATTCTTCGATACAAAGGGGGCTTCGAGTAGTTAGTATACTTCATCCTTCGCAGGACCGAAGAGCGGGGGTCAAAACACACCAAAACTCATCATCGTCATCGATGACAGAGTCGATCTGTTGGCGACTGGACATGGTCGCGGTGAAAAGTGTGCGAACGGTGAAAGGCGACACGGGAATCTGAACGCCGGCACCTAAATGGAATCGGGTACACAAAAAGTAAAAAAGATACGAAAAGACGCTACTCCAAGGCCAGAAAGGAAATGAGAAAGAGCAAGTAATTAGTAGAAGAAAGGGAGGAGGAAGGAGAGGTGGAGTGAGGGTTCACTAAGAGATGGGACGTCGAGAGGGAAGAAGGAAGGAAATTGAAGCGCGGCTTCATTTTGCTGGCATTACCCGATTGCGCTTAGCGCCTAATCGCGTTATGTCAGCTTCACGTGATTCAACAGGCTCAACCAGTAAATCATCTCAGAATCCACCTTACGAACGTCGTGCCTTTTGCTCCCCCTCCTGCCCGCAGCCATTGCTCCCTCACCACAATGGCATCTGCACGATCCCTGATGCGCCTGGGAAGTGGCCGCTCGATGGCCTCGGCTTCGAGGTCCATGACCCACCGCGCCTTCTCCTCCTCCGCCCTTCGATACGCTGCGAAAGCCTCGACACAACCGGGGTCGCCGGAGCCTGAGAACATGCGCCAAGCGCAACGGCCTCGTACGTGAATTTATATTGTCAACTGGAACTGCTTTGGTAATTCTAACGTGTGATTTTCCTCGCTCTAGCCCAGGGTCCCCTTCGTGCCCCGGTCCTAAACCCGACCGACAAGTACCAGGACAAGGCCGACGGCCTTCACAAGTACGGACAGTACATCATGTCCTGCCTTCCTAAATACGTCCAGCAGTTCACTGTCTGGAAGGATGAGCTGACTGTGTACACTCCTCCTGCTGGTGTCGTTCCTCTCATGAGCTTTTTGAAGAACCACACTTCCGCCGAGTACACTCAAATTTCCGACATCACCGCTGTCGATTTCCCTACCCGTGACCAGCGTTTTGAGGTCGTCTACAACCTTCTCAGTGTCCGATACAACTCTCGCATTCGCGTCAAGACCTACGCCGACGAGGCCACCCCCGTTCCTAGTGTCACTGGCCTTTTCGAGGGTGCTCTTTGGTACGAGCGTGAGGTTTACGATATGTTCGGTGTCTTCTTCAGCGGTCACCCCGACCTGCGCCGTATCATGACCGACTACGGTTTTGATGGACACCCTCTCCGCAAGGACTTTCCCTTGACAGGTTACACCGAGCTCCGTTATGATGAGGAGAAGAAGCGCATTGTCATTGAGCCCCTTGAGCTCACTCAGGCTTTCCGCAACTTCGAGAGCGGTTCTACCGCTTGGGAGCCTGTTGGTGCCGGTGAGAACCGGACACCTGAGTCTGTAAGTGCTATATTTCAGAAAATATTGAGCTAATCGCTAACATTTGTGTGCAGTTCAAACTCCCTACCCCCAAGCCCGAGCCACCCAAGGAGGAGGAAAAGAAATAGAAAGTATTTGTACGCGTATTACTCTTCTTTGCCATGTCTGTATGTACATATCGTTAATCGATGGTGTTTTTCATCTTCACCAACTATTTTTGGAGTTCTGGAAATATAAGTATCGTAGTTTTTTAGCTCTATATGTAGATAAACATATATAGGTCCACATGACGGGTACCTCTACTAGTAGTAGCACTATTGAATACCTACTTAAAACAAGTTCGCATCAATTTCGAGCTCCATGCCAGCAGCTGGGCAAGGCATTAGAATTTTGTATCTGACTTCCTCATGAATATCAAATTACTCAAATCGGAGTTGCAGCCTTTCTATTCAAATGTACATCTTGGCATTAAATGCAAAAGCTAATTTGAGCTAAATCCTTCCACCCGCCGGAGCCACTCACGATATGAGGAGGCGGAAAAAGCTGGCAGATGGCAGAAAAAAAAAAAAGTCCGAGTGACTTCCTCATGGAACATGCAACATTTGACCAGCGCATTTAAAGCAACATCCACCGTTTCTCTACATCAATAACGACTCATTCTCAAAACCAGCGATTTGAACGGCCAGCCCACAAAATGCCTAAGCGCAAACTTTCCGACCTCAACGGGTCTGAAGGCTCAGGAATTGCCAAACCCCGCAAGATGTCGATGATAGCCGTCCGACTTACGAACAAATTCGACCAAAGCGTACAAATAATAATCAAGGGTCTCAAAACTGCGCGTGGATTCGAGAGACAGAAGTTGAGTCGCCGAGAGAAAGCCGCTAGGTCTCCCTATGACTCTACAACCTTGGAGCGGTTGGGTGAGGAAGTGCAGGCTTTGAAGGTACGTTCGTACAGAATTACTATGAACTTGAAGTCCGAAATCCGAAATACTGATTGCTTTTTTGATTGAAACAGAAGCTAGACTATCAAGCTATCGCCGATAAATATTTGTATAAGCAGCTCTCCAAGACAAAGCGGATTGCGGAGTCCCCAATCTTCCTGGAATTCCAAGAAGGAAAGAATATCTCCACCGATGGACCCAAGAGCGCCGCAGAATCCAATATCCTGGGACGACTATTCAAGGCCACCCCTGTGAAGAATGTCGTACCTAATCTTATAGCGGAGATTCGGAAATTAATAGGAGTAGATGATCTTCCGGCTGGAAAGCAGGACAAGGCGGGGGCTAAGAAGAATGCGCCAACAAAAGAGAATGTCGAAAAACCTAAGCGCCAGGACAAAGCAGTGTCAGTTTCTGAATCTGAATCCGGAGATGGACCAAGACAGGGAGCAGATCTAAACGTATCCGATGGCAATGAATCGGGCGATGAAGATTTCTCGCAATTCGATTCACGACTTGCTCCAGGCTCAGGCTCCGAGGCTGAGGATTCCGAGGATGAAGACGACGAGATGAAAACCAAGGGTTTCGATCCAGCTGATATCTCTGACTCTGTTTCTCGTTCCCCATCCCCTGATTACTCGGAAGCCGAAGAAGAAGAAGAGGACGAGGAGGAGAAGTCTTCACCACCGCCTAAAAAGACAAAGGCTAGCGCACTTTCTGCTGCCCAGTCACAAAATACCACATTCCTCCCATCTCTGATGATGGGTGGCTACTGGTCAGGCTCCGAAGAAGCGACTGATGACGAAAAAGAGGCTGCCCCTGCCCCGCGCAAGAATCGTATGGGTCAACAAGCGCGGCGCGCCTTATGGGAGAAGAAGTACGGTGAGAAGGCAAACCATGTACAGGCTGAGCAGAAGAACCAGAGGCATAACAGAGATAATGGATGGGATATGAAGAGGGGAGCAACTGGCACTGCGGGCAGTGCTGGCCGAGGACACAGTGGTGGATATGGTGGTGGATATGGTGGTGATTCCGGACGACCTCTTAATCGATCGGAACGACGTGCTGGCGGCTACCCATCGGGTCAGCCAAACAGGGCCCCTCCTCCTAAGGATGATGGACCGGTTCACCCATCGTGGGAAGCGAAGAAGAAGCAAAAGGAGAAAAACGCTATGGCAGCTTTCGCAGGAAAGAAGGTTGTATTCGATTAGTGATGTATGTCAATTGTATTTAAAGCCATCTGAGAACAAAATATCATCTAAGGTCTCCAAGTCTTTGAATACAAAGAAATATGAATTAGAAACTTGAGTGCAGAATATGGTATATTGGGGGTAAAGTCATAATATGTATCCAAAAGATTCGCTAGCTAAAAACACCAATTCCAGAAACCAAGTAATCACTCATGCATGAACTGCAACCACGGTGAGTCTGCACTACCCGTCGGGGTTTTCAGCTCCGCGCCAGTCATCCCAGAAGGGTTACCTTGGTTATCAGGTTCAAAACAAGGAATTGCAGTGAACTCCCCAAGTTCCTGAGGGAAATTCGAGACAAAATGATCGAAACCAAAATGAGGCATTTGTGAAAGTGATTGATGTGATAAAGAGAAGTGATCCGGATTAGAGATACCGCTGTCGGGAATACCATCGTCCAGAAGTTCATGATCAGGTCCTCCCATGGAAGGATCTATTCCATTCGTGCTAAGTTGCATAGCACCGGTAGAAGGCGTAATAGGCATACCAGAGACAACGGGATCGATACCAAGTGGAGCAGGGGCGTGAGAAGTCATATCCTGCGGGATACCAAGGTCGTTGACGGCATACGACTCTTGCTGCTTCCAAGATGAAGCGGTTGCAGGTGATACAGGTCCAGTCTTCCATAGCATTTCCCAGTTCTTGAAGCGATCATATGCCGACTCGAGGGAGCCACCGTTGCTTTGCGCTTGCTGGGATTCGCTCCACATTTCGAGACGGCGAATAGCACGCTCGAGGGCTTCTATGACACTGACGGCGGAGCGGGCGGATCCGACACCCATAGACATGATCTTGATCAAGGATATGCCCTGTTCTAAGGCTGCACCAAGTCGTTCAGTACGCTTGGTCAAACCCTGGGCCAATATAACCAAAAGTGCTGCACGGCAGGAGCTAAATTCAGTGAATGAAGCGCGGGCAAGTCCGGTCTCATCCCGAAGAAGACGGCACAGATCGATGATCTCCAATGCTGCTTCCACACAGTCTGTGACCAAAGTGGTTCGATGTTTCGAAATCCCAGATGGTCCTTTGGGTGCTTGCATTTGGGTTGGCGTTTGCTGAAGGGCTCTGATATTGCTAAAAAGAAATGGTCGCCCAATGAAGATTCGAGTCAAACAATAATCAAGTTTGAGATGAACGTTAGACCGAAATAGAGGGCCATTGGGATTAAGGTCGCGACAGTTTGTTTCTTCAGGTAGTGTGGACCACCACTCAATTAAATGCTTCCGAATATTGAGCAGTCGCTCTAAGCAATCTTGTTGCTGTCCCTTTCGACATGTTCGAAGTGAGGATATTTCATTAGACACCTGCCCAAGTTTAAGTGTCAAGGTGATCAATGTCACCATGTTGGTATGGTTAGAAGGCTGCGTTGCTGGCATTAACCCAGGGAAATCGACGGGAAGCGGTGCGTCCACGTCTGCATCTGCTAGAGAAGCTGGTCTTCCGTGAAGAATGCTGATACGCCTGTGAAATCGTTAGAAGAGGAGTTTAATGAAGGAAGATGCAATGACTGACTTTTCAATAGTATAGGCTGTCCAGAAGACCCGATTGCGTGTTTCCACCATTCGGGATGACAATCCTTCTCCATGGTACCGCCGATGCATCCCATTCTGAATAGCCAGCTTGAGGGCTAGTCCAAAGTATGTGTAGCACAACCCAGAGGTGTCTAAGGGAAGCAGATACGTTCCGATAAGAAGACAGGCCTGAACACTCCGTACAGAGGCAGTTGCAATGATGTCCGGTAATAGCTTTGATGCAAACTGGTAAAATGTTAAACCCACCTCGTCCTCCGAGAAGTGGTGATCCTGGTTAGCCGCAGACTCCTGAGGCAAGCAGTTGACAGGCGTAGGTGATTCCATATGAGCAAATTGTGTGCCCACGGCCAAGACCATTAGAATAGCGCATACTGCGCCTGAGTCATCCGTTGACAGGCTTGCTGGATTTGTGTAGCAGATATTGAGCTTGTCGCACAGCCAGTCCTCCTCAATATACCAGTTGTTTGTTTGTGCATATTTGAAGAAAATCTGGACCAGAAATTCTGCTACATAGCGAGGTGGAAGGCATGTGATGGAGTTTGCCACTGAAGATGATCCCGATTGAAGCTGAGTAGCTCGCCAACGTTCCTCAAATGGTTCGGCTTCGGCGGACGCCTGTGATAATGAATTTGTTAAAGCCCGTATTTCAAAGTTGAGCTCAGTAGATATGAATTACCTCTGGCGCTGCGGTCTTCATCCATTCGTCGATTTTCTTCCTAATTTTCATAGAGAAATTTAAATATGAAAATTCACCAGAGTACTCTGTCATGATTGTATAAGTAATCGGTTTTATAGCAACAAGCAGCAATCAAGTCACCTACGGGTGGTATTATCCGGAAGTGCCTTTATAACGAAATCTTCCTCATCAAGAGCCAAGTCCTCCAATTCATTGGCATCGACTTTTGTAGAATGCGCATCGGATTCAAAATCGCGGTGTTTGGTTTGAAGGTCCTCGGCAGTCTGGCGTAATGATTGAATGTCGAATGAGAGGCCGGGTGCATAGTATGACAATATACGTTCCATATAGCGCACACGCTCTGCTTCAGCAATTTCATGTTGACTATGAGAGGCTGCTCGGTCAAGAAGTCTGTCCCCGCATTCCGGTCGATCAGTACGCCGCTTTTTGACATCATTTCCACACCGCCACAACTTACGAAACAGGTGATGCTCGGGTCTTGTCATTGGGGTCTATGTGCGTAAAATTGCACTGCCGGCGATAACGAAGACATCTGCGGCACGGGACTCCTCCTTCACATTTCTCTTTTACTCTGCGACATCCATCACACCTGCATGCAAACCAACATTGTTAGCGGGCCAAGGGTACTCGGATAGTAATAGGTAGCCAATACGGGAGGCTACATACGCTCTGACCGCTCGTTTGCGATTCTCTTCAGAAACGCGCTGGCGCTTCTGCTGCGGCGCGGGGGTATTCGAATCGTCCATTCCGCGCGCTTTCAACGAGGGCGAGGTCGGCCGAGCATCGTCTGCGGAGAAGGGTGGCGGAGAAAGCGGAGACGATGCACGGATTTAGTCCGACCGGTCGGCTCTGGCTAGCTGGTATATGGGGCGGAAATCCAATTCGAGATTCCTGGAGAATCGAAATGCACGGTGGGAATCAACGAGGAAAGAGGAAGTCGGGAAAGGGAAAGGAAATGGGTCACACACTTATCGGTCTGATAACGAGCTTCGCCCACGGTTTGGCCGCCCCGCATCCTGGCAGACTTTGTGTCCCCAAAGTCGCCTCTCCACCCAACCGGGGCGATTGCCGGTCCACGGATCTTTCAAATGTTATCTACCTTTCATTCTCTAATGGTTATTGGCAGCTGTGAGTACTTTATCAATTCTAAAAACGATTATTTCTATTGGATTGAACAAAACTTGGGGATCAAATAGCCATACATATACATGCGTGAGATCGCGTGTTTCCCGCGCGTAATTATGTGCCCGAGCAAAATCACGATGCTAACTATGGCGCGTATATAACGATTTGGAGCAACTATAGTCTAACTTAACACATACAAGCTAATTTATTTTAAAATCCATCGACATGTGTTCCTAGCCCTGGTTCACTTCCAATATCAAGCAATTCCTTCCCAACCACCAAGTCCATCAACCCCATTCCCACGCACTTAAAGATCACATTGCATCCCTCTGGGATATCTATCGATTCCGAAGAGTCTTTTGTACCAAGAAGGTCGCCCATTTCAATCAACTGGTCTTCTGTCACATTCCCAGTAATCAATTCACCCGATTCCTCCAAACAAGCCGATTTGGAATCAACATAAACCTTGCCTCCACCAGAGAGCAAAGTCTCAGTATCAATCTCATGCATATGTGGTTTATAAGAACCAATGAGAGATATGAAGCGCTGCTTAGGTACAGACTGAAGATCCGAAAAGCTGAAGTTCGGTTCCGAGGACGGCGTGCAGCTGAAAATAACATCTGAAGCCTGCAACTCACCAAGAAGTTTCGCATCATAATCGGGTGTTCCCTCCTTAGCAAATGCACTGATGCTAGTATCGGGATAGCGCTTCCGCAGTTCACTAAATACATCACTCTCCATCTCCGCTAGCCGTTTACGGCCTCGATTAATGAAGGTCACGCGGCGAATAAGGTCCGGGTAGAGCAACAATGCAAGTCGAGCATGCCATTCAGCTTGACGGCCGGATCCCATTACAACAACGTTTTCCTTGCGGAGGCTACAGCAGCGCACAAAGAGCGTCATTGATGCAAGTGCTGTACGGAATGCTGTAACCTCTGCCGCGGCAAGAAGGCCTTGTAATCGACCCTCGGGCGAAAACACATTAATCGTGCCTTGAATTCCGGCTTGACCGACCGTTACAACTTTCACGGCTGTGGTAGCAGTGTTTGAGACGGGCATGAAGAGGGAAGTATTGTTATCTTTAGTGAGGAACCCCGTACGAAGCGGTTGGTGAATTAGCTTCTCTGATGCTGGGACGGACGGTTGCGATTCAGCGGAGTATCCAACCAGTGCATCGCCGAGGACTTTGATGAAGTCCTTGCATTGCTTCTGCGTTAAGTTGCGGAAGACGCGAGTCACATCAGGCTCTGAGAGAATATGCATGGTGGAAATATTTTCTCTGATAATATTAAGAAATTGTGAGGAATTATCAAGCTGATGCGATGAAGGCTTGGAGCAGGCGGCGTTTAGGGAAATAGGGAAATGAAAGGGTAGCCCGCTAGGCATATCGGAGGGGCAGCCCGATAATCGCGGGGGCAGCAGATCGTCCGGAATACGAGCTAATCTGGCTCTACTGTGCCTTCCATCTATTCGGAAGGCCAAACCGAACATCGACTCTATCAAGATAGAGACTTCTTTATCAGGTCTTATGAAATAACTTGTTTCTAAAAGATAAGGTGACATGAATGATTCGGAATATTAAGAGGAGTGGGAGTTGGATTAACCTCCATTGTACATTTATCCAGACTATCTGATCGCTTGGTAATTTGGAATTTTTGCAGAGCCGATCAGACTATTGCATCCTTAAGGTAAGGCAAAAACTTTCGTTTTTCTATTCAAAAACAACGTTAATGACGGTAAGTTCTCGGGAATGATATTTCTCACGATGGATTGCTTGTTCAAATGGCAAGTGGTTCCGGCGTTGGGCTTTATCACTTACGGCAAGTACTTCCGCTTCGATGTTGTCTCCAGGGTCACGTCGATGGCCAGTAGAATAATGCTACTTAGATGACTACGTTATAACTTTTGTTGAGCGGGGAAGTGGAAATACGAATATTGAACTTTGAACTTGAGCTTGAGCTTGAATTTGAATTTGAATTCGAAACCATTTCTATTTTTATTTTGGAAGGCTAAAACAAAGCGGGCGCATATGCAACAAGTTGAAGGCAACGAGTTGAAGACTCCAAGAGCCCACAGAATAAAGCAATGAAGAAAAGAAAAGAAAAAAAGAAACCATGCCAGGTTGAATGCTCGCTAAAAACAAAGTCGTGGAAGATTGACGTAGCCGAAAATGGAACGTAACGGGGTATCTTTAGTTGTTGCCACCAAACACGTTAAGGCAGCGACGCTTCAGTTCACCGAACATAGCGATCTGAGAGTCCTTGGTACGTCCGACAGCCTCTGTGTTCTCGACAGCACGACGCAGAAGGAAGCCCATGCACTCCTGGACTGATCCCCAAGTCAAAAGCTTGAAGACGTTGGGAGCATCCATTGGTGTGGCACCCACGCTCTCCTCAGCACTTTCGAAGCCCTGAAGAAGCTCACAGCTCACTTCATCAGCCATACCTTGGAGCTGGGCATAGCTCAGATCAACGTCATAATCTTCACCTTTGGTAGCCTGCTCCATGCGGATGGCATGGGCCTTTCGCACAGACTCGCGGTTGTGAGTAGCAATGATCACATCGACAGATGGCAGTTCAACGGGGGTATCCTTTGAGGGGCGCTGCAGCATAGAGTTGTACTTGCGAGTGAGAAGAGCAGCAACGACCTCATCATAGCACTGATCTGTTTCCTCCTTCTTGGCCCAGATCAGATGACGAGGCTCTGTCTTCATGTAGGCACCACGAACAAGCTTCACTCCCAGAGTGTATCCCTCGCTGCGAGCGGTCTCCAGGTGACGGGCCAGAGTGACGGGTGTGGATCGAAGATAGCCTTGGTAAGTACCGTAGAAGATAGCCCGACCGGGGGTCTGAGAGTTGCAGTATTTCTGGTATTTCATGATCCATGCCTCAATACCGGGCTGAACAGCTTGCTCCTCGGCATCAACCAGCAGACGCACACCACGAGAGATGGCGAGGTCGCACACTCTTTGGATGGAAGTGTCCATGAATTTGGTTGGGTCGGCTTCCTTCTGAAGCAGGCGGAGGGCATCGGTACCCATTCCAGTGAATCTATAAGAATTGTTAAGAATGTCACTTGAACCACGCATGATACAATGTCAAACTTACTTCAGAGCAACGAAGTCTCCGGTCTGGGCCATGTCAACAGTTCGCATGGTACCGTCCAACCACATCTGAATCTCGGCGAGAGCAGCCTTCTCGTCATAAGCAGCATCCTGGTTCTCGCCCACCAAGACCTCACGAGCATAACCAAGCAGTACGCCGCGGCATCCTAGCTCCTTGATGCTGTTGATGGATCTCTGGACCTCAGCCTTGTTCTCGCCCGCATTGAATTGCTTGTAAATTGTGTGCTTGACCAAAAAGTTGAGCGCTGGGTTCTTGGAAACGTCCCAGAAGGCCGAGCGAGGATGTGCCAGTAAAGACAAAGTGTAAATGCAAGGCTTGAGAAGAAGTGACGAAGAGGAAACAGATAGCACCAGCAAAGAGCGCAAAACGGAGGAGAGAGGCAGCTTGGCCAGTGGTGCAGCCAAAGCTTTCCGTGGCAGAGGTGGTGATGTTGACAGGGAGGGCATGATATTGCTTGTGGCCACAGCCGACTTCACATTTCTGGTGTCGCTCACAAGTCGAACATTGGGACGAGTAGCAGCCTGAACGCGGGGCAACCGCACTGATCGAGCAGCTTTCATTGTTGTGATAGTGGGGAGGTGGAATGTTTGAAGCGATGAGTGTTGGGAAGAAATCAGGTAAGGAAATTTGAAAAGCTCCCACTCAAAGACTAGGTTGCCTGGTCTAGATGAAGTGAGAGTTGAAGTAACGGATGATATCCAAGGTTGAAGATAAAGATTGGAAGTGAAGATAGCTAGTATTAAATTATGTATGTACAGCTATTGGTGAAGAGCCGGTGGCAAGCGCCTGCCGGCCGGTACGGTATGTACGGTGTGACTTCCAGCAGATTAACCGGTAGAGCAGACCCGTCAAGTCTTGTGACTTGTTTTTGCAAATGAGAAGAAAGAAAATGCAGCAAACTATTATTCATAGATTCCACTACACACTCCATTGTATACAGATCATCCCGGTCCATGTAGCCCCACTAGCCGATACTATCGGCTTTCTACTTCCCACTGCTGAGGCTATACCTTTGATTTTCCAAGACTTTTATTTTGCCACCGAGCCTTTGAAACCTTGCAAACCTTGAATCAGATCTCACTAACTTGCATGAACGCATCAGGTGCCAAAAATCCTGTAGGGATGCTTATCTTGCAACCACCAATAATTGAGCACTGTTCACGGGCCGGTTGATACGCAGACTGGGGTAGCACGGTCCACCGCAAAGGTAACCGGGCCGGTCAATTGCAGAGACAGTCTGGTCACGTGCGTCGGCTACTACCGGTCGCTTATTAAGCTTGGTCGCGATCGAGTTGCAATCACATGACATTGAAGTCTTGTCCAATCAAATCCCGTCTCTGTTAGCCAGTAGTCCAGATGTCATCGTCGCCGGTTTCCCCACATCGATCTATACAAATCCCCATGAGGCTCTACTGGGCTAGAATCCTGCTGCACTACCGATTTGGGATCTATGATTGGGTTTACATTACATTAAGGTACAAACTAAAAGATCGTTTACCCCTGCGTACGTCAAAAAGCTAAGAATATTAAAAACTCAGGATTGTTTGTTACGAGACAATCTCAACAGGCTTGATAGATAGTAGTAACAGTTCAATTATGCATACAAATAGTATTTGAAGGAGTAAACTCCACAGTGGCACCTGCTTTAAAAAACCTTATTGCTTTCCACCCCAAAGCCGGTCTTTCACAAAGATATCAGACGATCTCTGTTTTTCGAGTCAAACGGATTGGTACTTGTCTCAAGGATAGCAGATAGAATATAGTATTCACTCGAATTTTTAGCTGAAGCATGAAAGTTACAGCATGAACATGATCTGGGTTTTATCAGAGACTCAGAAATACTTGATGCCGTGGCCTGTCGGTACTTCTTCGGGTGAGATCTTCCCAAACCTTAGAAGTTATCGCACTTCCTGTTAGACAAAAAGCCTTGATTGATCGCATATCAAGTAAGTTCTATGTACGCATATGTAGGCAAGAAGCGTTCAATAATTGATATGTACTACGATTGAAGTGCTGATTTTCTTGACTTTGACTTAATCCCAAATTTCCATTGGCATTAGAGGAGTTCAAATTTAGAGCCCCTTACAACCTTGGAAAGCTTTAGTTTTCCCTCAAGTGATCGTTTCAAGCTGCTAAACCTCATATTATATACTAAACCCAACACATCCGTAACCGACCCGACTTTGGAAAGACCTCATTCCAAACTTGAAGTTACTAACATGAAGGTTCTACTAAACATTTGAATATGTTGAACGATGCCATCTACATATGTAATACTACCTCTTTCTTATCACTGCGCGTATAATAATATAAACCTTCTGGAATGAACACTTCGCCAAAATATTTAGCACTAAAATAGTACTATCAGAGCTTCGGGTTAACTCCAGGGCTGTTGTAGGTATAGATAGCTATTTCGTATAGCGTGTGGCCATTAATACTACGAGGTCCCGGTCGGCGATGCCGAAAAATTAGCCAAATGTTGCATTTCACACTAAAATATTTTCGAAGTTCCCTAAGTATTGTTTTCCCATCTTCATTCGTGATCATCTCCAATTCTTGGTCGCATTGTTGGAGTACCCGCTACAATGTACGATTAGCATTCCCCACCGGGCCCCTGGTGGATCACCCAACCACCGCCGCCCTTGCGCTGCTGTATTCCGGCCCGGTTGTCCCACCCGGGTCTAATACCGGCTGTATCTCATTCGCTGGAAGCTCAAGCTTCTTTGTACATGGTACTCGTGACAGGGCCGTCGGGAAAGTGTGTTGGAGGAGCTGTGGCCGGTGGAGCCGGCCATTTCATCATGTATACCCCGCGTTCTACTTTTTTTTTTTCTTCTTCTCTTTTAATTCTTCACGTCTTCACAACCTAGGAGGAAATTGTTCTGGATCTTGTACCTGTTACCAGAATTCAACCCCACAAAATGCAGTCATTCATCTTGCGCGCCAGAGCGCAGCCCTTGTCGCGATTCCAGTCGCTGGCATGCCGTGCCCCTAGCATGACATCGCGGTCGCTCAACACCTATGCGTCATTCAAGGTGCCCCAGATCAACAACGAGCCCAACGTCAGTCAATTTGGTTTCTCTTACATTTTCATGTTGACAATTACTGAAAAAATTTCCCTAGAACCACTATGTCCCTGGCTCTCCGGATCGCAAGGCATTGGAAGATGCTTTGACTCGGTACAAGCAGAAGGCTCCGCTTAGCCTTCCTCTTGTTGTTGCTGGAAAAGAGGTAAATTAATTGAGTTTCCAAAATAAAGCGCAAAACTAACATCAAGAAGATCAACTCCTCGCAATCTTTCACACAGAGCAGCCCTGCTACCCACGCCCCTCTCGCAACCTACTCGAACGCTTCTAAGGCCGATATCGAAGCTGCCATTGAATCTGCTCTCAACGCCCGTAAATCATGGGCTGCTACTCCTTTCGCCGAACGTGCCAGCATTTTCCTCAAGGCCGCTGATTTGATTTCCACCAAGTACCGTTATGACATTATGGCTTTGACTATGCACGGCCAAGGAAAGAATGCCTGGCAAGCGGAGATTGACTCGGCTGCCGAGCTGATTGACTTCTTCCGTTTCGGTGTCAAGTATGCCGAGGAGCTCTACTCACAGCAACCTGCGCACCATGCCCCTGGTGTCTGGAAGTAAGTTCTCCTTTCCTGAAGTCCAAAATTCAGATAACTAACATGCCGAAGCCGTCTCGAATACCGTCCATTGGAGGGCTTTGTCTACGCCATTAGCCCCTTCAACTTCACTGCCATTGGCGGTAATCTGGCTGGAGCACCCGCACTGATGGGTAACGTTGTGCTGTGGAAGCCTTCACCCTCAGCTATTGCTTCGAACTGGCTTGTCCACCAGATTCTTCTTGAGGCTGGTTTGCCCAAGGACGTCATTCAGTTTGTTCCTGGTGATGCGGAGGAGGTCACAAGCACCGTTCTCAACCACCGTGAATTCGCTGCTCTCCACTTCACCGGTAGCACTGATGTGTTCCGCTCGCTGTATGGCAAGATTTCAGAGGGCGTGGCGGATGGCAAATACCGCAGCTATCCTCGCATCGTGGGCGAGACCGGTGGCAAGAACTTCCATCTGATTCACAAGTCAGCCGATGTCCGCAACGCTGTGGTCCAGACCGTTCGCGGCGCCTTTGAGTTCCAAGGTCAGAAGTGCAGCGCCACATCGCGCGCCTACGTTGCTTCCTCCATTGCGGATGACTTCGCAAAGCAGCTAGCTGAGGAGGTCAACCAGCTTACAATCGGTGAACCTACTGAGTTCTCTAACTTCTGCGGTCCCGTCATCCACGAGGGCTCATTCAACAAGTTGGCCGGTGTCATTGATGAGGCAAAGAACGACCCCGAGCTTGAGCTCCTTGCTGGAGGCTCTTACGACTCGTCCAAGGGCTGGTACATTAAGCCGACTGTGTACCGTACCTCCAACCCCGACCACCCCCTTCTGTCCCGTGAGCTTTTCGGACCTATCATTGTCATTCACTCTTACAACGATGCCACCGATGCCGACTTTGTCAAGATCTGTGAGAAGATTGACAGCACTAGCACCTATGGTCTGACTGGTTCCGTCTTCGCGAAGGACCGTGAGGCCATTCAGGTCGCCGATGAGGGTCTCCGCAATGCTGCTGGAAACTTCTACATCAACTGCAAGAGCACTGGTGCTGTTGTGGGCCAGCAGCCATTCGGAGGTGCCCGTGCTAGCGGTACCAATGACAAGGCTGGTAGCGCTAACCTGCTTTCCCGCTTTGTGAGCTTGCGCTCGGTTAAGGAGGAGTTCGTTCCTACCTACACCGTTGCCTACCCCAGCAACGCGAAATAAAATGAGAAAGCAATGCTTTCACATAAATCTCTAATGACATCACGGCGTCCCCATTGCATATAAAATTTGGCGTTTTCTTAATCTCCGGAAGTCTCATCTAGAACTTTCAGTCATTCGAGTCAAGACAAAATAGTCTACTGTACATCATACTTGTTCGATAATTGAATGATTCCATTGGATATCAAACCTAGCTATCACTCCGTAGCACAATGATCCAGTAACTTCTGCATATTCTGCATTGCCTTCTTCGCAAAAGAATCCATCTCATACTTCCTCCCCTTACCCTCTGGCCCTCCATCAAAAATCTCCATAGAAAACCATCCTTTAAACCCTGTCTGCAGCACAGCCTTCGCGAACTCCTCAATGGGCAAATAACCCCCATCATACGGCATAGGTCTATAATCATGACTCCAGCGACCCCGTGGCCGTAATCCGCCTAAAACTTTATTTTCTAGCGGTGGGGAGACCCTGTATGCATCCGAAATCTGGAGCAAATAGATCTTATCTGCATGAACAGTTCGAATAAGTTCTTGCATACTAGCCTTGAAATTTGCTTGAAGCTGCTCCGGTGGCACCGTCTCAATCAACCCCGATGATGTGGTAGGATCGCCCCACTCACTTCCACAAGATTGGAATGTATCAAGACAAAGTCCGACATTTGGAAGATTCACATCTCGAACAATCTCCCATACCTCCTTCCAACCCGGTGCATGAGTGGACCAGCACCAATTCTCGTATGCGAGGCGGAAATCACTCTCCGCGAGCAATTCGCCCAGTTCTCGTAGATCAGAGACGATGGTATCCCTTTCTATGGATATATTGTCTTTCGGTGTATCGGTTGCTCCAACCTAAATATGCATGTCGTCAGTTAGACATCCTTTTCGGCATTCTTGGCTATTGCGTACCTGCAACAAGTCCGTTCCAACAGCTTTCATAATTGATATCCAACCCTTCGCTTTCGCAAATGCATCCTCCCGTTCAATAGATCCCTTTGGCCAACCCTCAAAATTTGCAAAGGGCTGCAGCATCATAACAGTCAAGGCATTCGCGTCACACAGTTTGCGGATATCCGAAGCAACAGGTATGATCTCAGAGAAATTTTCAGGTGGGATGGAATGGCCCACTAATTGGGATCCATATTCGATGATATCGGGAAACGAAAGCTCAATTGAGAGAAATCCTGCATTGCTGATCGCTTCAAGTCTGCGCGGAAGTGTGTCGCTTGCTTTACAACCGATTGAACAAGAGGCGTAAGAAAAAGGGATCTTTTGTAGTGATTGACGACTTATAGGTACCATTTTGGCAGTGGGTATTCGATGAAAGTACCGTAAATGAATTTTGCAAACATTTATGAATATTCTATTGACTTTAGAAATCACTCCACATGCGCATATAATTAATGGAGGCTCGTGAGATAGCCAGTTTCCAATGATGTAATGCATGTGGACGCGCCGTATGGCAACTGTCGTCAAGTTTACGTCATTTTTATTAGTAAACTTTCATCTACTTTATCTTTATCCACTTGTAACAAGCTTTAATAAATGTTTACTATTGTGCCTTAAGGCAAATGAAGCTAAGGCTCTCGTTTCGCCTTCGTTGTTGCCGCTGACAAAATGTTGACATATGAGGCAACGGGCTTCAAAGCCGGTCGCCACAGCGTATTATTGAAGAATATTAATGACTGGCTCGCTGTTTATCATGTCCCTTCCTGTTTGAAATCGACGAGCAACAGACCAGCAACCACTCTCTTTAATTTATGATTCACGATTGATGTACTGGACAACCATGCCGGCCGAAGACCCAATTAAGAAATTTAAGCGCATCGGCGTCGTCGGAGTAGGCAGTATGGGGTCTATGATGACCTTTGCCTTCTCCGAGATGGGCCTTGATGTCTCAGTATGGGATGTTGAAAAGGCGAATGTCGATAAAGTGACAAACTGGGCCAAGAGTGCCAACGACGTTAAAGGGAAGATTTCAGGATTCTACGATATCAATGAATTTACGAAGAGTCTTGAGGGCGGAGAACGGAAACTATTTATGTTCTCGATTACACATGGTGACCCTGCTGATCAGGTTCTCAACTTGATAAAAGCCGACTTGAATGGAGGCGATATTGTTCTAGACGGTGGAAACGAGAATTATCGCCGGACGGAAAGACGCCAGAAGGAATGTGGAGAGATCGGCGTATTCTGGATCGGCGTTGGTGTCTCGGGTGGTTACCAGTCTGCTCGCCGTGGACCTAGTCTTTCTCCCAGTGGAGATGCAAAGGCTCTGCAGCTAGTCATGCCTCTGTTGCAGAGATACGCGGCCAAGGACCCTAAGAGTGGAACACCCTGTGTGACTCGGATTGGCCCAGGCGGCTCGGGTCATTTCGTTAAAATGGTTCACAATGGTATCGAAGGTGGTATGCTATCCACACTCGCAGAGGCATGGTCGTATATGCATTATGGCCTAGGAATGGGATATGAAGAGATCGGTGATACCTTCGCAAAATGGAATTCAGCTGGCGAGCTACGAGGTAACTTCCTCATTAACATTGGCTCAGAGATTCTGAGAACGAAGAAAACACCCCAAGGCGACGGCAAGGGAGAAGGCATTGGAAACAGCGGCTTTGTGCTCGACGATGTTCTGGATAAGGTTGTCCAGGATGATGATAACACTGAGGGAACGCCACTGTGGTCTCTTATGGAGTCTGCTTCACGACACGTCTCTTGTCCCACCCTAGCAGCAGCGCACTATATGCGGATTGCAAGTGGTAACCGCCAAGAGCGTGTGCTGGCATCAAAGAAACTTCAAATGCCATCTCCTCAGATCATTAAGGGTGACCAGAACAAGAATGGCCTGGTTGAGAAACTGCGAAAGGCCGTATACAGCTCCTTCCTGTCTTCATTTTGTCAGGGATTGGAACTGATCTCTCGTGCATCGGAAGATGAGGGCTGGAGCATCGATCTTGGAAACTGTATCCAAATTTGGCGCGCAGGCTGCATTATTCAGTCCGACTATATTGCTGATCTGCTGCAGCCCCCATTGACTTCGAAGACAAGCATGTCAAACATGAAGTTCATCGATACGGTCTCTCAAGAGCTGCGCAGCAACTTTGATGCATTGAAAGATATTGTGATTGAGGGAACCAAGACTGATCAGTATATGCCGTCGATTTCTGCCACGCTGGATTATCTCAAGTATGAGGGTGGACTTGTGTTGCCTACTAAGTTCATGGAAGCCGAGATGGACTATTTCGGTGCACACTGTTACAACAAACCCGGTGTCGAAGGTGAAGATCCCGGTCCAGTTATGAAGGGACCTCATCACTATGAATGGAAGGTTGCTTAAATGCATAACTTGAATTGGGATATTGATGGATACATTTCCTGTGTTTTACTACAAAAAACGTACATACATATAAAAAATAAACTACATGAACCTTTGATTACTATCTTCAGTAAAGTTATATAGTTGATAAGGCCATATAAATGCATTATTCCTTCAATTATTTCAATCTTTATAGATCGGAATGTCCCAAGGAGGCAAGTTGCAGCCTCAGGAACACGTGGGGGCCGAGACCCAATGAGAGACAGAGAGACAGATGCAGGCGGGGCAATCGTAATTCGTGAAATTCAAAATTTAATCGCAAATGCGCTGGGTCTCGGGCCTTCGTCAACTCTCCTCAATCTCAAAACCTTTCCGGCGAATCGAGTCTGCAAAGCAATTTGCCAAGAGAATGGCTGCTCTTCCCACTACCTACGAGGGTGAGTCTTCCAAAGTCCCCTGCTGCTAGTGACTGCAGCCCCGTCATCCCCTCACCCCACTTCGGGACAATCACTAATAGTCGCAAATCTCTAGGATCCGTCCCAATCGCTGTTATCGGCGGAACTGGTCTTCGTGAACTCCCTGGTTTCACACAGGTTGCTTCGCTGTCCATCTCGACTCCCTGGGGCGAGCCTTCTTCCCCCATCACCATCCTCCACCACCACTGCAAGCACAATGACAAGGTTGTCGCTATTGCTTTCTTGAGCCGTCACGGCCCACACCACCAGATCGCGCCTCACGAGGTTCCCGCCCGCGCCAACATCGCTGCTTTGCGCTCTATCGGTGTCCGCAGCATTATCGCTTTTTCCGCTGTCGGTTCTCTGCAGGAGGCCATCAAGCCCCGCGACTTCGTTGTTCCCGACCAGGTTATCGACCGTACCAAGGGTGTGCGACCATGGACTTTCTTCGAGAACGGCATGGTTGCCCATGTTCCCTTCGCTGACCCCTTCGATGAGGGTATTGCCAAGGTTGTCCGCGAATGCGGTCACAGTCTGGATGGCGAAGGTGTCGTCCTCCATGACCGTGGTACCATCATCTGCATGGGTAAGTTGGTTATGAAAAGATACATTGCTTTGAATTCGAGCTAATAAATACTGCGATTGAATAGAGGGCCCTCAATTCTCTACTCGCGCCGAGAGCCACATGTACCGTTCCTGGGGCGGCAGCGTTATCAACATGTCTGTTCTTCCGGAGGCTAAGTTGGCCCGTGAGGCCGAGATCGCCTACCAGATGATTTGCATGTCCACAGACTACGACTGCTGGCACGAGACCACGGCTGATGTTACCGTTGAGATGGTCATGGGCCACATGAAGGCTAATGCTGACAATGCTCGTCGCTTCATCACCGCTGTTCTTGATGCTCTTGCTAGCGATGAGCACTCTGAGCTCGTTCAGGCCAAGCACTTGGCCGGCTCGATCAAGTTTGGCATCAGTACCCCCCAGCCACACTGGGGTCCTGAGGCGCAGAAGAAGCTCAACTGGCTGTTCCCTGGATACTTCCAATAAATAGGCTAGCATTTACCAAGTGTACTTGGATTTACGTATATTTCATGATGACATATTTGACACATATTAAAGAATAGAATTGAACATTTGAAGTGTCTCTTCACGAAACTGTGATAAAGTTGTAGCTTGATGCATGCCCAGGTGTTAAGTACTAGAACCACTGACGTACAGATAGACAATACTGGTTATTGATTAATACCATGATCTCCTCTTATGCCTGAGGCTAAAGCTGCCTATACTGTTTTCTATTTACTTCTTTTTTTAAGCCATGTGCATTGAACAAGAGTCATGCATCAATTTAAATCAACGATGATCAGATATGGATATCCAAGCCCGAATACGATTTGCTTTCAAATAGTACCTGTAATTCATTCCTCATCCTGCAATTCGATAACATTGGCTAAGAATCCCATATCTACCCCGCAGCCCCCAACACCCCGATACGCCCTGAGTGCCAAACCCGAGGGGCAAATTGATACATTTAATAAGTCGTTATTTTCCAGCGTTAGAATTATCGTTCCTTCGAGCAGTCGTCAATCTGACACTTCAGCTAAGTATTCCCACCACCGCGCCAACTATGGGCACACAGCCCAACCAGAAGTATCGCATCGGCGTTGATGTCGGAGGTATGTTATAGCACAACCAACATATAAAGACTACCTCTAACTTGAAACACAAGGAACAAATACGGATGCCGTGCTCATATCCTTCGACCCCATTTCGGTCATTGCATCGCACAAAGCACCAACAACATCCGACGTCACAACCGGTATCACCAATGCTGTCCGAAAAGTACTGGGTGCATCCAATGCTCCCCTCTCATCCATTGAGTGCGTGATCATAGGAACTACTCATTTCGTCAACGCTGTAGTCCAGCGTGCACCGTCACTACGCCGCGTCGCCGTGATCAGATTATGCGGCGGTGCAGAAGAAGGCTTTGGACGTGGAATTCCTCCATTTATCGACTTCCCAACAGACCTACGCGCTTGCATCGAATCCAAACAGGTTTATTTCTGTAATGGCGGATATCAGATCTCAGGAACAGAGATTAGTCCTCTAGATGTTGAGGAAATCGAGCGTATAGCCACCGAGCTTGTCGAGCAGAATGTTTCCAATATTGTGGTGTCAGGAATGTATGCTCCACTGAACAATTCACAGGAACTTGAAGTGAAAAATATTCTTCTGCGGAGTATGAATGGCAATGCAAAATACCAAATCAAACCTCGAATCACAGTTTCCCACGAGGTATCTGGTCTTGGTTTTCTTTCGAGGGAGAATGCAGCTATTTTGAACGCTACACTGCGCCCATTGGCGGAGAAGACTATTTATGGATTCCAAGCCGCGATGGAAGATATTTTTCAGGGCCCAGGGTATACACTGTACCTGACGCAGAATGATGGAAGTGTTCTTGGTGCATTGGAAGCTATAGAGCTACCCATTCGAACATTCAATTCTGGACCAACGAACTCAATTCGTGGTGGCGCGCTACTATGGCGCGCTGCTTCTGAGATCGACGAAAAAGGGAAGACTGATAGAACAGATGCTCTTGTCGTGATTGATATTGGAGGAACAACATCGGACAGTGGACTATTATTCCCAAATGGTCTACCCCGGATGAGCTCTGTGATGAGTCTTGTCGGTGGAGTCCGCACAAACTTTGCTCTTCCAGCCGTGGAAAGTATAGGGCTTGGCGGAGGCTCGATTATTCGGCAGGACGGCGAACATATCTCCGTTGGGCCTGATAGCGTGGGCTTAGAACTACCTAGTAAGGCCACATTATTTGGAGGAGATTATCTCACTTCTACCGACATTGTTGCTGCTTCCGAACTGCACTTTCCTTCTGCGAATAATGCTTTCAGAGGGATGGGACGGACCGAGCTTCTCTCCCATGTTACTCCGGATACCATCAAGAAAGCGCAAATTACGATGAGAAGAAAGATTGAAGAGCTAGTGGACAGAACAAAGATTCAGAAAGGAGATATAGACGTTTTGATTGTCGGTGGTGGTGCACCTATTATACCAACCAACGAACCTCTTGAGGGTGTTCGCATAGTTCGAAATGTCAAAGGCGGAGAGGTAGCCAACGCGGTTGGGGCTGCAATATCTAGGGTCTCAGGTGTCATTGATACTGTTGTTGATACCTCGAACCAAAGTATCAAGCAGGCCCAAGAGGACGTTGTGAAACTTGCTATTGAAAAGGCAATCGCAAATGGAGCAAAGCCCGAGACTATCCAAATCGCTGAAATCACCACCCTGCCTATTCAATATGTGGATGCCAAGGCTCGAATGGTTATAAGGGCCGTCGGGGAGCTAAATGATATATCACAGCAAGCAACAAGCAAACTCATCGATACTACAATGCTCGAAGAAGATACACCTGAAGAAGTACACGAAACACCCGAAATAACATGGCTCCACGAAGAGGAAATCGATATTCAAACCTACCGACCCAAAATCCAAAACAAACAATGGATAATCTCAACAATAGATCTATTATTCATCGCCCAAGGATGCAAAATACTCGGCTGTGGTGGAGGTGGCGACCCATACCAAGAATACCTCAAAACAAAAACCATTGTCGAGAATCACCCCGGAAAAGTAAAAATAGTATCAACAGACTACTTCCCCGATACCTCCCTAATAGGCTGGACAGGCTGCATGGGAAGCCCAGAAGTCAGCATGGAACGACTTGAGAACGACGAATGCCTAAAAGCCCACGACGAGCTCATGCGCGTAACAGGAAGCCCGCCAATGTCCGGATTCCTAGCCCTAGAAATCGGCGGGGGCAACGGGGTACTAAACCTAGGCGTATCGGCTCATTATGATGTCCCGTGTCTCGATGGCGATTACATGGGTCGCGCGTATCCGACTATTTGGCAAGTTACACCGAACGTATACGGGACGTCTAGCGGTGATGCACTTGTTCCTGTGACTATTGCGAGTGGGGATGGAACGTTCATTACTATGACGAAGTCTCGAACTGATAAGTTGGTTGATAAGGCTTTGCGGGCTTCTTGTGTGGAGATGGGATGTCGGGCTGGGAATGCTGGACCTCCTAAGACGGCGAAGGTTGTTCGTGAGCAGGCTATTACTGGAACTGTTTCGCTTGCGTGGTGGATTGGAAGGGCGGTGGCGCTGGAGAAAAATATAGACGATAAGGCGCAACGGATTGTTGATGAAGTTGGCGGGTCGGAGAGTGCTGCTATTCTTGGACAGGGCAAGATTACGAGTGTTGAGAGAGTTCTCAAGACTGGGCATACATATGGTGTTTTGGAGGTTGAGGGAACCCTGCGTGATGGTAGCAAGGCATTGATTAAGATTCCGTTCAAGAATGAGAATGCATTTGTTGAGGCAGTGTCGAATGAGGAGACAAAGATTTTGGCTTCTGTGCCGGATCTGATTGCTGTTATTGATGCGGAGACTGGTGCTGGCCTTGGGACACCAGAGTATAAGTACGGATTGAAGGTCGTTATTATCGCCATTGCTGCATCGCCTCACTGGACCGAGACTAAAAGAGGGATGGAGCTGGGAGGACCTGGGTCAATGGGATTTGATGAGGTTACATATGTGCCGATTGGGAAGTATAGCAAGCCTCGTAGCGTGATTGATGTCTTTGGTGAATGAACGGTCGTGACATTTTTCAAGAATCACAATTATAGATAGTTCGATATGTATTCGGATATTAAAATTTTCATATTGAATTACTCAATTGATTAACAGGCCATGGATATTGAATAGAACTTCAATTATTACAAAAGGTCACGATGGGCGCCACGTATGTTGGTATAGATACGCCAAAAGATCATATGAGCAGATCACCAGATCTTCTTCGCAACCATCTCATAACGCTGGACATGATCGATCTTCAGGTCTTTATCCTTGTTCTTATCTCGGTCTTCTTTTTCCTTCACTCGTCGCAATCCGTCAGGGTCATCGCCATATATCCATTTTCGCTTCTCGTCACCGACCTCGACCATACCCCAACCACCAGCTCGTCGGCTTCCTTCAACATTGAACTCGTCTTTGCGAGGCACAGGTGCTACTTCACCGCAGTTTTCCTGTTGGCCATTCTGGTGCGATGAAGAACGCGATGACTTGCGGTGTTCACTCTCCATGGCCCTCATCATTTTCTTGTAGCGAGAACGAGCGAAGGCAAGTAGACCCATGCCCAGAAGAAGCTTGAAGATTAACAACACGATAAATCCTGTGGTGATCAGGATCACTGTGAAAATCTGAACAGATTGAGCCGGCGAGGGAATCGCATTTTCCAAGACGGTGCGAAAAAAAGTGTTTATGTTTGGAATGATGGTTCGGAAGGTCAATGGTGGCGTGGAGGGAAGAGGTAACGCTGTATGCTGACTGTGGATAGAGGAAAGCGTGGCCACGCCCATTGCGGTAGATGAAGGATGCTGGGGAGCAATAGATGCCAAGAACATCTGGTAGGTCTGGACTGATACCCGGAAAAAGATACAGGACAAAGGGATCACCGGCAAACCAAGGCGGCGAGTGAGACTGTGATCACCACCAGCGAAAGCATTTGTGTAATAATCTTTCGCGAGAACATCAAGATATCGTACATATAGGGTAGGGCGGTAGTTGTTGAATTTATTGATGTATGCATGTTTCAACCAATCAACAAACATTTCGGATCCAAGGACGATGAGAAACGGCCCTAGGACCTGAGCCAACGTTGGAATGAAAGAGTGAACGTGGCTAAGAGACAAAATTGATGATGGAAAGAATGTGAAAGACTGAGGTAGGATCGACGAAGCAGTACGCGGAGGAGTCGACAGTGGCGTGCTATTGGTGCTGGTGGACTGGCCGGTGAAGCTGGATCCCAATCCGACGCCAATGAAATTGAAGGCGCCCGTTTCAACGATATTGCGTGACGCAATAATGGTGAGCATGAGCCAGAGCTGAAATCGTTCGACAACATCCGAACAAGTTAACTGAAAGAGATTCTCTTTTTCAAATTTGCGGAAAACAGTGGACTTGATCTCCACGAATTGATTGGACAGAAGAAGGGTGATAAGAGCATTCGAATAAGAGTTAACAGCAACGTTCAATGTCATCACCTGATAGAAGAGGGATATTGAATGTGCAACTGTGTAGGCTAATGCCAAAAGAAATAACCAAAACGGGCGAAAGATTTTGCTTCGTCCATTGGGCCTGCGCTCAAGAGCTTCTCTGGAGAACAAGCATTCGAGAACATCTTGTCCAATTGCAGCCAAAAGCCGATCAAGCACCTCGAGGACATTGTAGATCACATACAGTTTGATTGCTGCTTGTCCACGAATCCAGTGGTACATTCGACTGGCATCGAAGTACATCAAGGCGCAGCAGGTCGTAATCATGAGAAACCCTGTAAGAATATCTGCTTTGTCATCCGGAAGTAAAGCAGAAGGCATGGACTTCTTTCTCCGATGGTGCCTGCGAGACTCTGACGTCCTATGCCTTCTTTTCGATAAGTCACTCGGTCGATGTTGAGGCTCTTGTGGAGTTGAGCCATCAGGCAAGCGAGGGGTAGCATCAGATTCGCTTTCTCGTCGCGTGCGTTTTATTTCTAGTGGATGGTTTCTTCTTCGCCATACTCGCCCAGCCCCGTTAATAACGAATTTCCAGAGAAAATGGGCCTCTGCCGCCAGATTCAAAGCCCATGATTCACACAATATGTACAATGCTTTTATGAACCGAAGAGGCAGAATTGTGAAGGAATATAGCCATGCATCAAGGCACGCAAGACTTCCAAAGCAGAGAGTTTGCTCCAGTGCGGGTGGAAGTATCAGGAAATTTAATAAACGTTCGATTTTGGCACTGGAAGATTCATAGGGAAATTCATTCGTATTTCCATGAATGTATAAGGGCGAGGGGCGACCGGATGCCAGCTCCAGCTGCAAGTAGGTGGGGATTGAGGGCGGAGGCAGAGGTACGGCTGGCATAGGAGAAGCTAGAGGCGTTTCAATGATATGAGGCGACGCGGCGAGCTGTGTTTTGAGCTCTCGGTCTTGTTTGGATCGTGATGCCCATGTATTTGAAAGTCGATCATTAATGGGTGTCGAAAGCGTTGTGCGTCGGGATATGGGGGTAGAAAATGTTCGGGATGGGTGTGGTCGGTTCCGGATAGCACCATTATTCGAATGCTTTGTATTCGACGGATCCTCCGAAGACGTGTTGTCTGAGTTTGGATCTTTACTAGACCTTCTTACCCTGAGAGGGCCATCTGGGTTAGATGGAATCTCACTGAGAGGTTGCAAAGTGGTATCTGAGACCTCAAGTGCACGATTTGGCGGCAGTCGAACATTATCCAGAATGGTCCTGCCTCCAATGTTCGCATCCGATTCTATCGCGTGGTAAGGTATTGATTCAGGTGATGATGTGAGCTCTTGAATCTTCCCAGGTGACAGCTTTAACACCTTATCGTCGGCAGGACGCTGGGACGCATCTTTGGTGAGCTCTGCAAGTGCAGCTTTAACTTTCGGCCCTTCAAAAACATCCACGACAGACATGCGACCACTTCTAGCTCCGTTGGTGTCTGACTGTTCCAGTAATATCCCGAGTCCTTGTTCCGGCGAGCCAGATACCAGGCTATGAGGTTCTGACGTAGACGTATCGGCCCTGTTCTGATGCGCCTTTGTTGAGTTTCCGTTCTCCGCAGATTTATATTTCCCGTTGGCCTCAGACTGGGCTGGAGGGGGCCCTTCGCTCTCCGCTGCCGGAGTCATTATGCCGTACTCCCTCAGGTTGTCCGTTGGGATCCGTGTGGGTGTTGTTCGTTCCAGCAATTAAGTCGCTCCTCCCAGTTTAATATGAGCGGTGAGTCCCATTCTCCGGAGCTGTCGTGACGAGCTAGGATGCAATAGGTTAGAGCCGTGGATCGGGTTGAAAGAGTAGAGAAATGTTGAGAGATGAATAGGGCGATATATGGTATAGACTGAGAAGCTGGTAATATTCGTTTCACATCTTCGAGGACAGCGTAGGGACGAAGGAGTTGTAGAATGCGACCAATGTTGTTCAAGCTGGGGAAGGAGATAAGGGAGTTTATTATCTGGCCGGTAGGTAAGGGAAGCCGTTGTCGACACCTCAGGCAGCAGTATATCATCATCTGACAAAGCGCCCTCGATGTCTACAATCGCTGCTCAAAGCCAACCCTCAACAATACACGATGTGTTATTTGGTATACACAGCGCCATTTTCGCAGAAATGTCAATACAAAGCATCTATGAACATTAATGATTACGATTTACGAGATAAATGTGCTACTCTATAAAGGAATCTGGTATCAAATATTCATTCATATTCAGGGATTCAAGGCCTGGGTGCCAGAATCAAAAGATGGGGGTATGTGCAAAGTTCCAAGAGACTTGCTCAATGGTCGTGAACGGTATTAATAGACAATCCGGTCATCGAATGCAGATAAAATAGCCAGCTATTCTGCAAGTGGTCATAACAAAAAATGGACGGGTGTAAAGTTGGATAGTGGTGCACCACTTAAAATCGGTCGGTATTTGCCCGATTGAACGAATACCCTGCAGGAGTTTCATTTCGATTCATCGTCGAAGGCGACGCTGTTTGAGCTCGACTCAAAGATTGATATCCCGCAGACGGTGGCATGCGCGGCATTGGGAGTTGTGGAGTTTGAGATGGAGCAGTAGGATTGAACGCAGTGTATCCACTGCTTGGTGAGTCTGTTGAGCTGTCTGAGGTCATAGGAGTGAATGTTCTAACGGGCGGCCGCTGTGGCTGCTGCTCTGCTCGTGGGGCGGGTGTGCCTTGGTTGGCTGGAGTCATGGATCGTAGAGATGCTGCATTTCCTTGACTTCGAGAGGTAGCGTTCGTGCTCGCGGGTGTGTATGACCTAGCCTGATACGGATCTTGTTGATAGGGCGTGGATCCGGTGCTTGCTGGCGTATAAGATCGGGAATAGTACCCATCTTGAGAGTATGCTGGTGTATCACCACTGACCGGAGTGTATGTCTGATATCTGTCCTCGGAACTAAATGTGCTAGTAATTCCTGGGGTATATGACCGAGCTTGGTAAGGGTCGCTAGGATTGGCCACACCAACGCTTGCCGGGGTATACGATCGAGCCTGATAATGATCGTTGCGGTTGGTCATACCAGTGCTTGCCGGTGTATATGATCGAGCTTGATACGGATCTTGCGGGTGGGACACAGCAGCGGCAGAAGCTGAAGAGTAGGATCCGGCGTCATAGCCAGTCTCGGGTGTATAACCTTGCTGTTCAAAGTGATCTCGTTCGGTTACAGGAGGTCCATAATTCTCATATTCTTCATCGGCACCGTAACCGTCGCCCGCAGACGCGTATGGATCATACCGGCCAGGCGTATGGGAGTGGCCATAGTAACCGGGAGTAGAAGAGGAGCTATGGACGCTAGGAGCCATTGGGGCATATGGGTCGTTGGCAGAGTTGTATGTGCGGTTGGATTGAGCTCCGGCGTCTGTCAAATTGCGATACATTCCCGCCGGACCACGGTCGGTCTCATTTCCGAATGGCGGTGGACCGGGGGTTTGACGGGATTGCCCTGATGCCATCCTCGAGGGCACGGTAGGGGGCAATGGCGGGACTGGAGGTAGTGTGGCATTCTGTCGATCAAGAGGGCTGTAGCCCATCGGGGCGGCGTTGGCGGTCAACGAGGCTGAATCTGCTGAGATAGCCGACGACTGCGTTGTAGTGCGTGTCAACGCAGGTTTACTAGCCATTTCGAGATTCGGCAGTGTGGGATTTTGGTCCGTTCGAGTCGAGTTTGATCGTGTGTACGGGGGCAATGTTGTCTCAGTAGTGCTGCGCGACAATGTAGTGACAACAGGAGTCTTGTCCATATCGACAAAAGGCAACGTGGGCTTCGAATCCGCAGTTGGCAGACCTGGCCTGGTTGGTGATCGATCTTGCAGTTGTAAACCTTTAGCCAAAGCTTTGTCGACCTTGCCTCGTACAATTCGTTTCAATCGGGTGCTAATCTTGCGGCGGCAGTACGCTTTAAGCGAGCCATCCTCCTCGGGAATATGATGGAACAAGAAGATCAGGTAAAGGATGACGGCAGAAGCGAGCTTCAAGACCGACAGAACCCAGATGATCAGTGTAAAAAGCATACCAAACAAGACCACGGCTTGAAGGGTGTTACTCTCAGCAAGGATTTTAAGATTGTTAAAAAACTGCGAGAAGCCCGAGCTACCATCATCACTGGTTGTATTCTTCCCTCCTGGAAGCAAGTCCATTTTCATGACGGAGTAGAGAGTGATGGCATTAATGACTTGACGTGGACCGTCGGCGAAGACTGTATTCATCCAAGCTATTTCCTGTGATTAGCATCAAGTCACAGCTAACCGCAAAAAGTTACAAACTCACATTGAAAGGCAAAATAGGTATACAAGGCAACGTATTCTGCACCTTTCTTACTCTTCGTCAAGTCGGCAAACACCAAGAATTTCTTCCATCCTCGCCCCTTCTTCGTAAACACACGAACACTCTGTACGCGGACTGCGAGCGGGTCAAGGTAGCTCCGAGTGATACTGCCGGAACGCATGGCACGAATCGCAAGAAGCCAGCGATATGCCAGAAGAGCAATCGAGACAATGATACACACAGCGAAGATCCAACGAGAAATTTTGAACGGGATGGCGGGCTCAACGCGGCCAGACCAGCGAGAAAAGGCGAGTAGATTGACTGCCGTGAAGATGTCGACACCGTAAACCGCCATTGAAACGAGTAACATAATCCATATAAAGATATAAGAGAAGGAAGACCAGCAAGATTCGGATTTAAAATCGTCGAGATTCTAGGATACGACCGTTAGTATCGATACAACGCTGTCCACTTGAGGAGTATAGCGCAAGCGGACTTACAACATAACCCCATTTTTCCTCGAGTGGGACAATGCCCTTTTCGCGATCTCCAGAACAACCCATTTTATGTGAAGACCTGGGCCAGCCAGGGGGTGGTTGAGGGAGATTGGTATTCCTTAACGAAAGTGCAAGTTGGCACTTGAGCGAGTTGACTTCGTCGGACCAGCCGGGCGAAGTCCTGGTTGAGAGAGCGGGGGTAAAGGTGAAGTCTAGGTGGGATGGCTAGACAGATGAGCGATTGTAGGAACCCCGGGCAGAAAAGAGACAGAGAACGAGGTCTTAATCGCGTGACAGGTACATATTTGAAGGAGGGATTGGAGGCTAGCAGTGAGGTCGTAAGCTCCAAGTGCGAATTGACCACACGTAGGCGCCTTGAACTGGCATTCACGGCAGCCCTAGAAGCAAAGGCACGGGGCAACTGATCGTCAAGCGCGAGTCAAATTGGGGGTTGTGATGGTGCCAAGAAAGGGGGTGGGTTCTCTGATCAGCTGTGGATCGGATTGTGGAGAAAGAATGGGCGCGTAATTTCAGGCTGGGATAAATGAATGGACACACACGAAGTGAAACTAATCAAAAAAATCAAAGTGAGCGTGCTGATGAAAATAAAGAGGGACAGCAAAGATTTTGGAAAAAGGGGGAAAGAGGGAAAAGGATGAAACAGAAGCTAAGTGTGTTCGGCGGGTGGCTACCCGGGCGGCTAAGGCTGATTTGTAGTAGAGATTAAGAGGGATTCACTAGTCCGTCTGGATTAGATTGCACTATACTACACTAGTTATACTACACTATGTAACCTCGTCTATTATAGTTGAAAAGACCTCATGAACCTCTACTAAAAATTATACCCTTTCCCGCTCCACTGTCTAGATACCCCAACTCTACTCTGCTCTTTATTTTGTTTGACGAAACAATCTGCGCTGAAGTGGATCCCTATCACTGTTGTTAATGCAAGTGCCAAGTACCATTGGTGTAGCCTACAAACTCTACTGGGCCTGTTCCTGGTGTCCCTTGGCTCCACCAACAACCTGAAACAAATCTTACAATGGGATAGATGGGGCCAGTTCTGCACCCAGCCCGTCCCTAAGCGCCCGAGCTGTGGCCATTATCACCGATAGGCGCCAAGCTCATCGTTCCGGACCTATTGTAACAACTAGTAAGCTGCCGGATGGCGCGTTGTTCTTTAGAACCGGGCCAAGACAGTTCATGGATTTCCGGTGGATAATTTGAACCACCTCTCAAGGCATCTGCACTCATACTACGGAGTAATTAGGGGTGACGATGAAAAGGCCACGATTGTGCGTGGCTTTTGGAGGGAGAATCGTGGTCGCTTCACCTTGCGCTTCGGACACCACGGCGATAGCCAAATTAGGCTTAGGGTGACTTACATTAATACGTGTACATACACAAGTACGCCCAGCGCGTAAAGTCGAGTCTACAGGTCGCACCCTCCGGATTAAGTTCGGCTCACCCTTCTTAATCCCGAGGGTCACATGACAGAGACCTCAGCTCACCCTTCCCCACCGCCCCTCTCTTAATCTTACACACTTATATACCTGATGGATTTCAGATTGATTTGAGATAGTCTATGTAGCATGAAGATAATTATGTCTACGAAATTAAAAACCTCGATAATTAATGACTACACTGTGATTACTTGAAAAATACAAAAGAATCCGCATAAATAATGCACGCTCAAAAAGTCACGAGGCTAGGCATATTTGGCCTGTTTGATATCCACTGGATATCCTCAAATATCCAGAGGATATTGGGTGCCATACCGTATCCACAAATTGAGGATTGAGGATGTTGGGATAGGCGGATATCCATGGATATTGAGGATGTTGCCGCAGTCTAAATATTTATAGATTCAGACACTAAATCGAAGCTTTACAGGAAAGCGTACTACATTCCCTGAACATCAAATATGTATTTCCACTCAATAACCACTTGTTAACTAATCATTGTTACGAGGCAAGCAAAATCAAGCAAAAGCCTTCATTCGGTGCTATCTGACGAAGGAATCAAGTCTGGGGAAGGAAAGGAAGAAGAAGAAGAAGAAGAAGAAGAAGAAGCGTGGTGGGGGATCCTTTATACCACACCCTGTCTGAGGCATCCTTCCAGGAATCTTCCCTTTTTGGACACGCATGAGGCTTCAAGCAAACATCGCGCCCGCCAGTTGCCGCCTCGTTTCTTAGGCATCCAATCCTCTCCATCCGTCACAATAATGGTAAGATTACAGGCGACTACAACGCGTTTGCTATCCGAGTAAAATCTAATTTGTTAGGTAGACGACAATTACTTATGAATACAGTATTAATTCTTATGGTTTTCAATGATAAGTGAGGGAAATAAGGAATAGGTGCGTGTCATATATACTTTGAAAGTTATACTAGGGCTCCTTACTATTTAGCTCTCGCCTCTCGCTACACACAGATTATCCTGTATATATCTCTTTTGCATTTACGATAAAACCAATTCATGATCAAGATACCGCCTGACTAGCCAATACTGTAATAGCTTGCTATGACAGTATCTCCCTATGCCAGTTCGTGGGGTTGTGGGTCGAAAAGCGCTTCTATACCTAACCGGGACTAGCCCCTGTAAATCACCCCACTTTATAAAGCTTGACGCTCCGCTCGCGTGAAATTGGTATAGTTATTCGTTGCTCTTTCCTTTCCCTTCTGCGTCCTCCCACCCAAGTTGAACTCGTTTGCTGAAACTGGCCATACTTTCAAGCTGCCATGTTCTACCTTCGTCCACATATGGCTAGGGGTACCTGTTCGCAAGAATCATCATGCCACTTCCTTCCAGACCGAGTGACTTCGATGCCCGATTCCTCCGCCGCCTGGTAGGGACTAAGGTCACTACCTTTTATGACTTCGGCCCCCTGCAACAGCCGTCTGATGTCTCTTCCTCCGCGTCTGCCGTCTCTCCCTCTGCGCCCCCCCCTCCTGGGGTCTCCCCCTCCAGCGGCCTTGCCCCCTCTTGCAGCCTCGCCCCCTCCGGCCTCGCTCGCTACGGACTCCCTCGCTCCGGCCTCGCTTACTACGGCCACCTCCGCTACGGCCCCTACCCTTTCCTTCTCTGGTTCTACCCCCCCGGGGATCAGCCGCTCGTGGATCATCACGGAAAAGCTCTCCGAGAGAGCTGTTCATCTCACACAGGAAGATGTCGACATGGGCGTTGGGTCTCCTATGACAGTTGGCAAATTTCTGTGCCACCTAGAGGAGGACCCGACGCAGATAGCGTTTATGCGAATATATTATCAGATTCCTATCACTGGGACGGAGGACGCTAATCTGGCTACACTAGCCCAACAAATCCAACCTCATGAGGTGTGTGGTGAACTAGAGGCATTTAGGCTATTGATGAGTCAAGGCTGTAGCTCTGTTCCACATTTCCTTGGTTACTGCGAAAAAACGCAAGGGGAATATGATCTCGTTCCTGGTGGCTATGTCAAATACCTCGTATGGGAAAAGGTGCCTGGGGAGCCTCTTACAGAGGAATTTTTCTGGAGCTTGGATCCTCTTGTACGAGAGGATATCCGTGCCAAATTTCGTGTTGCCTTTGAGTCAGTTTACGAGAACCCAAGATGGCAGACAGACAAAACGCTAATACAATTAACAGAGAGATGCTGCGTTGCGGTGTAAAACCACAGCAGTCTAGAATCTCGAAGATCATCTATGATCAGCCCACTGGCAATGTGTACGTCAAGGATTCTACATATATTGGGAATATTTACTAATGAGTTCAGTCACATTTCGGGGTTTCGAAGGGGATGGCCCATCCGTGATAAAATTCAATGGTCAGACACCCGTTATGTCGCGTATATGCTGGCTAAGCGACCCGACGAGAGGGACTGGCGTTCTCGCCTGGAGAAATGGGAGTTATGAAAGGCTAGCAATGTTGCATTTAGTGAGTATCAGATTGAAATTGAGTTTAAATTGCTACTCTCCGTCAAAAAGTGTTATGCAAGTCGAAAGTTTCATTTATTTTTGGGTGTGTGGTTCCTATTCAGAAATTGAGGGGGGGTTCTACTGGATCTTTTGAAGTCGTATTGTACAGTTGTTGGCTCAAACCAATTTTGCTTTTTAGATGAATTTAATCCTGATTGAGACTCCGTAATGAGCACGAACCGGATGTCAGATCATTTGCCAAGAAAGCACAAGACTGGCCAAATGTGACGATCTGGACGTATATAGGAGGACAAATTCCACGATAGGAACAAACAGGGCCGAATTGGGATGATAACAGACTGCAATCCTTATCATGGGACATATCAAACACATTTTCTCTTCCTTTCTCTTCCCCAGTCTTGATACCTTCGTTGAATGCACAGGTAGGTTTCGAACTGTCCTCTTGGCTCGTAACACCAAACTGGTGTTAGTTATTACGAAATGGAGATGACAGCAACTTGAGACCGAAACTGGAAGGCGGTTTAGGAGGCGGAGGAGGATTCTGCCAAATGTATTTAAGAGAGATCTTGCGCTATCTCTCTTTTTCCTTTTCCCTCTCTAGCTTTTGTTGTTTCGTCAATGATACAGCATGATCTTTTCGATTCGCTCTTGATCGTAACATTAAGCTCAAAATCTTATAGCTATTGACGAGAAGTGATCACTAGCTACCTACACCGCAACCACTCATGAACAAACAGTGAACTTATTGCCATTCAATTCCATAAATCTACGAGCTTGCTAGTAGTCTCGAAATTCCTGAATCATAAATCAAAATAAGGTAAAGATAGTTATAACGCGAAATTCGGGTGTTCGCTTAGGGCGATCCTCCGTCAGGCGAAAAATAGCTACATTTCCCTTAGTATAATACAAGGTATGATTCTCGTCATTTACGAGGTACCTAAGAGAAATAAGGCATCTTCTCGCCTATTGTGGTTTACGTCTTTATCTTAACGCATGCATTGCCTTTGCCGGGATATCGCACTAGACCGAATTGTTCGTCCTTGTAGCAGCACTGCAGTATCGTCGCCATTTTGACGAAAATAAATATACCGCGCCAAGCGAGGGCTAAGAATTAATGTCCTCGATAGCTAGAATTAATATCATATATTGTTCAGATACCACTAAATATGCGGAAGTCCGTCGGAACCCGATCTCATGCTCTAGTCCCGAAAAGAGCCATTCCATTTCATGCCGTCCCATTCCGCCTAATCTTAGAGCAGATACTAAACAAAAACGCTCTTTTCAGACCATGTAGATGTAAAGATAGGGTAATGGTCTAGCCAAAGTTTCTACTTTGCGCAGTGCAATTTAAATGGAAGGTACATTATCCAGAAATCAGGAACTATGAACTTTTTCTTATAGGACTAGATCACATCGCCGTTCCGTATCAGGGGCCAGATCTACGGTGACTGGGTCGAAAATGGGATTCTTAGCAAGCTAAGAGGAATGGCAAATAGGAAGTGGCCTGGATCAGAAAGATATTGAGAGAGGATGGCTCAGAGAGCAGAAAGAGTAAAAGAGATAGAGACCAGAGAGAAATTAGATTGAGTTCAAAGGGGATGCTTCTGGCTTATGTTGTGTTAATCTAGCCTGGTAATGTCTAGAAGAGCGAAGTCCTCGATTGGCTTTGAAACGGTGAAGTTGCGTATAGATTCTTGAAATATAAAGAGGATTCTACATAAGAGAGTATTCTAGCAGCTAGAGTAATAGTGGCGACTAAGATACAGATGCAGACAGCGTTAAGTCAAGGGGAAATTCCCAACCATATTGACTCTTTCGGGTTCATTATCCAACTCATTTCATCGTGATATGGGTTTTATCCAATTGGTGAGGTGCCTTGTTTGAGTCGCGCCCCACGTTGCCTCGTGCTGAGATACGCGGTCCTTCCTACTTGGTTAACATATGTCCCAACTGACTGACACCGACCTCCTGCATCGTCTTCACTCTCTCTCTCTCTCTCTCTCTGCTTGACATAGCCCTACTCTTAGCCTTCAAGCTAAGCTCTCACTGCTCACTCGTTACTCCGTACGCACTCTCTGTGATCTGTGTTAGTATAGCCTGCTCACTCAGGATGTTGCTAATAGCCTTCATCGTCAAGAAAAACAAATCTCTCGAAATGCCTCGTCCCGCGCTTCATATCGGCCCGAAGAAGTTAGTTGAGTCCCTGACACCGAAGCTCGAACCCGGGCTATACCGTACACAATCGAGCGCCCTACACGATCTCCAATTTACTGGTGACCTTCAGCTATGGCCGGGCTTTTTGAGTGCTGTGCAGACCACACACCAGAGCCATACCTGGCGCAATGAGGTCCTAGGCCTGACACTTCAGACACGAGACCCCTATACTTACGGAAACGTCGAGGTTGGGGACGAACATGGTGTCCAAGGCCGGTTCCACAAATACTTCGGCGATGTGCTTAACACTATCTTCACATCACAGTCAAAGGGAATACGCTTTGCAGATTTCAAATGCGTACAGTCTACTTTCATCGGCACGCCTGATGTGATCTTGAAGGATGATAATCACGTTTTGAAGGTCATTGGGGAGCTCAAGGTACCGTGGGTTCGCGAGCACTTACTGGAAGATAAGCTCAACGACGATGACGAGCTAAGGAATATACTCGCTCAGCTAATCAAGTACATGCAGAAGCTAGGCTGTGTGTATGGATTTCTCAGCAACTACAAAGAGACGATCTTCCTAAGACTGCTCGTTAACAACTAAGGCATATGGAGGGTCTAGTATTCTCCGGTGGTCCAATCGTCTACCACATACGACAGGCGCACGATAAATCCCCCTGTTGTCTCTACCAGGCAGTGTTTCTTCCATGTAGGGTGTGATGCGTTGAATCAGGGACCAGTTAACAACACTACACCTCGATGGGTTGTACGGACATAGCGCGGACCCTCGAGTTTAGCCACCAAGAAATACCCGCTGACCGCATGAGCCTGTACGAGTATTACTGTACCAAGCACAGCCCGGGAAAATGCAACGTCTTCTGGTTAAAGCCAAGCAGCGGCGTCGTCGAAAGGGAGAACCGCTGAGCCTGGCTTATGGTACGTGGTTAGGCTCCGCAAGAATCTACATAGAATGAGGTGAAAGACTTACTCGTCTTGAAACCTAGTAGGGTAACCGCGCCGGGTACGCCATAGTAGGAGTCGGGCCGGCCGATTGATATTCAAGGGTTAGGGGCCGGAACTATAGGTCGGCGCGACGGAATAAGGGCAAATATACATTATCTCGAGCGTAATAGTAGCAGATAAGCTGAAATAGACTAAGGGCAAGGGAAAACAATGCAGACGGCTCGGAGGACTGCAAAGAGGAGGCTAGTTCGCGCTGGCGATTTAGGGGGTAGCGGAGCTCGGTGATCCGGATCAATGGCAAAAAGCCTCACTCGCAAGGCGTATACGAGGAACGAAGAGGCAGGAAGAGTAGAAGGCAACAACATCTAAAAGTTGAAGCGGCGACGAAGGGGACTTTATAGAAACACGCACGGCGATAGTAACGCGTAGGGAAGCGCTAAACCCGAAACGGCACGCTAAACCATTTTGCGTAATTCACTGTCACCGAATTATACGGAGTATACAGTAGGCAACCTAATTAGAAACTGAAGTGACAGATTTTTCACATATGGGATGTACTATATGTATAATCTCAAGAGCTCTAGACTCTTACGTGGTTTTTATATGTTCTTCAAGTTGTACGTATACATTCGCCTGCTTAGTACGCATATTAATTCCACCTATCCATATTTAGGTAGTGCCCCTCGATCAAGGGTCCTGCATGTTCGCTGGTCGCAGATTACTTAGATGATGATTCCACATGTGCAAGATCATCCGATTCCAGGCTCTACGGAACTTACACAAGAGTGGGGATTAGGACTTGCTGGACTTTTTCCATAGTTAGTCAATGATGAGTATCCCTGCGCACAGACATTGGGGCCCGGGGGTATATCTCTTCATTTTGTTTTCTTGTGTTTCAACATCGCCATTAGTAATTCCATTTTTAAGACCAAATTTGATAGGAATCAAGATCCCTTCAAGTGAATCGTCGGCGTTTAATCCCTTTCGTCCGCCAAAATCTGGATTTGTAATATGATGTAGTGACGTCGGTTAATCGCCATTCCAGATCGAGCTTGAATGCTGGTGGAGCCTTCAGATGCAGCTATTTGAACCTTCTCCCCCGCCATAATTTGGAATATTCAACAAGAACGAGACCTTCCACTTAGCAATTCTTCATTCTCCCAGAAGCCCTTACCATGTCACAGCCTATCCATCCTGACATCGCGAATAAGCCCGCGGCGGGAATCTCATACTTCACGCCCGCTCAAGTCCCACCCGCGGGATCCGCAGCGATCCCTCAATCGGATGGAGTCAACCCGCCGAAGCTATTCCAACCCTTCAAAGTGCGGGGTGTGACATTCCACAACCGTGTAGGGGTAAGCACATTTAACCCAGACTCAACATTGAAATCAGTACAGAGCCTCTAATATCCACCTACAACAGCTTTCCCCGTTGTGTCAATACAGCGCTGAAGATGGCCACATGACAGATTGGCACATGGCCCACTTGGGCGGAATCGCTCAGCGCGGACCCGGATTCCTAATGGTAGAAGCAACAGCCGTTCAACCCGAAGGTCGTATCACGCCTCAAGACCACGGACTATGGAAAGACAGCCAGATCGAACCACTTCGCCGCGTCGTCGAGTTCGTCCACAGCCAAAACCAGATAATTGGTATTCAGTTAGCCCATGCGGGTCGCAAGGCAAGCACTGTGGCCCCATGGCTAAGCATGGCGGATATGGCGACCGAGGCTGTTGGTGGATGGCCAGATAACGTGAAGGGACCGAGCAACATTCCTTTCCACGACAAGTTCCCCACACCAAAAGCGATGACGAAGGATGATATAGAACAATTCAAGAAAGACTGGGTAGCTGCGACCAAGCGCGCTCTAAAAGCAGGCGTGGATTATGTCGAGATCCACAACGCACACGGATACTTGCTCATGAGTTTCTTGTCGCCGGCAACCAATAAGAGAACCGATGAGTATGGCGGCAGCTTCGAAAACCGAATTCGTTTGACGTTGGAAGTCGCCAAGTTAACTCGTGAGACGGTGCCTGATACGATGCCTATCTTCCTTCGCGTCTCAGCGACAGACTGGCTCGAGGAGGCGATGCCCAATGAGCCGAGCTGGCGCGTGGAAGATACAGTTCGTCTTGCGGAGCGGCTGGCGGACAGCGGCAACATCGACGTGCTTGATATCAGCAGCGGAGGAAACCACCGCGCACAGCATATCCATGCCAAGCCAGCTTTCCAGGCACCATTTGCTATCAAGGTTAAAGAGGCCGTTGGCGATAGGTTGAAGGTCGGCTCGGTCGGCATGATTGATTCTGGCCATCTAGCCAATTCTCTTGTGGAGAAGGACGGCCTCGATTTTGTGTTGATTGGGCGTGGGTTCCAGAAGAATCCAGGATTGGTCTGGACTTGGGCTGAGGAGCTTAATGTCGAGATCTCAATGGCAAATCAGATCCGTTGGGGCTTTTCTAGTCGTGGTGGAGGAGTTTATTTGAAGAAGCGAGAAGGTAAGATGTAGGAAGCTTCATTTTAGAACGTGAATTCTCTAGCAAAATAGAGAGCGATTCTAGAACTAGATCATAACGTTGTCAAAATCTACATATAACGTCTGAATTACACAAATCATGACATTAGTCGAATAAGTCATTATTTATCCTTAATTGTGACTTCAACTGATGCATAGATATGATCTACATCTCTAGAACCCTTTCCATCCACGGATGACTAATAATATGCACGATGACATCGCTGCGGGGAGTTAAACGATCCAAGGTTGACGACAAGATTTGGTTTCCAATTGTTTACCCCAACCCTTCGACCATTCTACATATTCACACAATAATATATGGACTTGAAGCATGAGTGAGAACAGCTCAAAAGAAGAGCATCAGTCGGAGGACATCGACGGCTCTCCAGCTTATCTACAACATGTGAATGAACTAATTTCGGATTTGGGCAAAGTCCGGGGTACGCGATTCGTGAAAATCAATCGAAATTACAACTATTTGAGCTAACTTCCTACGTCATAAATATAGCCGATGGCCGTGTTAACATTAATCTCGAGTCTAAGGTTGCAAAAGCAATCGCTGAAAGCATCAACTATCAACAAGAGCTCCGCAAGTCCTCAGTCGATTACAGCCGAAGACGCCAACAGACATCATCATTTGATTTGAAGCTCAACATAGTCATTCAAATCGTTGGTAGTCGCGGAGATGTACAGCCATTCGTCGCCTTGGGAAATGCTCTCCAACAACACGGTCACCGAGTCCGTATCGCGACTCACGGGGTCTTCGCCGATTTCATCCACAGCTCAGGCCTGGAATTCTTTCCTATCGGCGGTAATCCGGCTGATCTGATGGCGTATATGGTTAAGAACCCGGGTCTGCTTCCTCAGATGCAAACTTTACGCGAAGGGGAAATTTGCAAGAAGAAGGCTATGATCGGGGAGATGCTGGATGGGTGTTGGAGATCATGTATTGAGCATGATCCGTATACTCAGCAGCCTTTTGTTGCCGATGCTATTATCGCGAACCCGCCTAGCTTTGCTCACGTACATTGTGCGCAGGCGTTGGGTATCCCAGTTCATTTGATGTTTACTATGCCCTGGAGCAGCACGAGGTCGTTTCCCCACCCGCTGTCGAGTCTGACTGCAGACCCAGAGAATAAGGGCATTGATTGTTGGGTCTCTTATGGTGTCGTTGAATGGCTTACATGGCAAGGGTAAATTTTTACCCTTATTCCCTAGTGAGAGCTCATTCGAGTGGTTTACTAATTATACTATTTTGCAGATTGGGCGATGTTGTGAACAAATGGAGGGCGACCTTGGATCTTGAGCCTGTCCCAACAACAGAGGGCCCAAGCTTACATGAAACATTAAAAGTTCCATTTACTTATTGCTGGTCGCCTGCTCTGGTACCAAAGCCAAGAGACTGGCCCGCGCACATTGGTCAGTACGATTATTATGTTGTGTATTATACAGACACTAATACCTGACTATTTACTCTGTAGATGTCTGCGGATTCTTTTTCAGAGATCAACCACAATACGACCCTTCACCTGAATTACAGGAATTTTTATTATTAGGAACGCCTCCGATCTATGTCGGCTTCGGAAGTATCGTCGTGGACGACCCTCAAAAACTTATAAACACTGTTATTGATGCGGTGAGAGCAAGTGGCGCACGCGCTGTCATCTCAAAAGGTTGGAGTAATATGGATGGCGCACAAGATGAAAATATCTTCTATATTGGTGATTGTCCACACGAATGGCTTTTCCAGCATGTGGCTGCTGTGGTCCATCATGGAGGAGCAGGAACAACAGCATGCGGTCTCATCAATGGGAGACCAACAGCCATCGTCCCTTTTTTTGGAGAGTATGATTGCCTGATCTTTTGCTCTATAAAGCTCTTTTTATCCTTGATATTCGAGTGCTAACTGCATCTTTTATAGCCAGCCTTTCTGGGGTGACATGGTCGCCAATGCCGGTGCAGGACCCAGGCCCATTCCACATGCATCTTTAAGTACCGAAAACCTCGCTGCAGCTATTAAGTTCTGTCTTACGCCCGAGGCCGCCAGTGCCGCGCAGGGAATTGCCGTGAAGATGCAGGCTGAATCGGGCGTGGCCGAGGCCGTGAAATCGTTCCATCGCAATCTACCCTTGGATCGAATGCGCTGTGAAATTTTAGGCGATCAAGTTGCCATTTGGAATTATAAAAAGGGGAAACAATCTTTAAAATTATCTAAGGCCGTTGTGCAAACCTTGATAGAGAATTCCAGGATCAAAACAGAAAATCTTCAATGGTATGCATACTCCGCTCATTTATTCCCATGCAATAGTATTTTTGAATGCCGGTCGCTAAGAACCTACAGTCATGATATAAATCCAATCATTATTGAGAACCACCGCTGGGACCCGTTGACAGGCGTCATATCAGCCGGTATCTCCACCGGAACAAGAATGTTAACAACAAGCACCGGCATGTTGATAGCACCCTACAAAGAACTTACACGCACGAAATCCTCACCATCATCCGAACCGTCTCGTCCCAAAACAGGGAGATCAACATCAACACCCGACTCATCTGATGACCTGCCTTCAATAGGTTCCAGGTCTGCAACAATCCAACCTGATGGTGACCGACCCACAAGTCCACGAAGCCCACTATCAACAGCCGGCGATATGGCCGGCGCATCATTGAACAGTTTCGGCAAATTCACAACAGGGTATTTCAAAGGCGTTTTAGTCGATATTCCCACTGCTGCAGCAGACGGATTTCGGCATGCATCACAATTATATGGCGATAAGCCGAAGGAATACGGCACCGTTTCGGATTGGAGGTCAGGCGCAAAGGTAGGCAGCAAGAACTTTGTCGGGGGGATGAAAGAAGGAATTACAGGCCTTGTGAAACATCCCTGGAAAGGGTTCCAGGAAGATGGTCGAGAGGGTGCCTGGAGAGGATTAGCAAAGGGTGCTATTGGGTTGGCTACTAAAGCGCCTTCTGGTAAGTTATTATTTTTCCTTGAAGATTAACAAACTCTTTGTATAAAATGGAAACCAGTTGCTGAAAGTGATGTTTGACATCTAGCCGGAATTGGGTTATGGGCCTATCCATCACAGGGGATTGTGAAGAGCATTGAAGCGAAGTTCCGGACCAAGACTCGTAAGGTGATTGTAGTTTCGCGACTTATGGATGGATATGCGCAGACTATTGATATGGAAATGTCAGATGATATGAAAGCGGCCATTGTATTGGAATTTGACCAACTTATGGGTGTGGATTGATATATGGAACAATCCGATACTGGTGGGCTCAAAAGTGTATGAGCCTTTTTTGAAGATGCGGTTCATTCGTGTACTATCATGTTGAGTGATAGAGCTGGCGTTTGTAATAATAATACAAATTTCTACTAAAGTCCCAAGGTTCTAACCTAGAAACATCCATGGATATTTAGAACCTTGAAAGGCAGGGTAGCCTGTATCCAAGAATGTCCTAGTCACCAGCGCCGCCGCTATTTCGGGGCAGGGACAGAGACAGTCCTAGAGTGCCAGCACTATGAAAAGTTTACTTATTCACCTTTCACCTCCTTCCTTTTTTGTCGTCTACTGACGCACTTTTTTAATTTCTTTTCAGGTCTCTTTCCGAGTCTCTTCCTCAACGTCTTTCCCAAAGTGTTTCTGAACCTCTTTTTTCTGTTATTGCCAGATCATTATGGTGTCTGACGCATATTTACTTACTCTCAATCGAGTGGATGCCCCCTGTTTGGCATTTATCCCTGGAGACACAGCCGCAGCTTCGCTTACTCGCAGTCGAGCGAGGGCCCACTAGATGGCATTCGTCTCTTCTTCTACATCACCGCACAAGTCTATCTTCAGCGCCTCTTTCTCTACATCATCGCACAGGTCTATCTTCAGCGGGAGGTCCCATATTGACCCCCAGGGCTTTCTCCGATCCCGGCTCCGTGCAGGAGGACCAGTGCTTTGCTCCCTCCCGGGAAGTTCAGTGCCAATGAGCGCCAGTTACCAACAACGAACAAACATCTCAACTCATATTGTTGAAATTCGCGATAAGACTGTCGAGGTTTTAGAGAAATACAACATTCATCATGATACGTTTGCCGTGACTGGCAGAATCTCCATGGTTCGCAGCGAAAACGAACCAATCCCAACCGTCCTTGTGGTTATACCACATCAATCGCCCCGACATTCATCTAAATGGTGTGAAGCTGCACAAATCCTACATTCCATGCTCGATCCACAATTTCCAGAAATATCTATAGAGCTGATCGACGAGAAAATGATGTATCGCCCAGAATGCTCTCCTGTCCCCCATTCACATTCTATTATTCCAAAATGGAAACAGATTTGCACCGGAATTTTAAATTCTAGATGCGACATCACTGAATGGACTGGAATCGCATTGTGGCCGTATGGAATTGAGGATGATCCCAATAAGAACCGCCTTACGGTTCTTGTTAGTGTTCTCGAGTCAGCCATCGGCCCGTTCTGGACTTCCGCACGCAGAATTCAAGACATCCTAGTTGCAACAAACGAACATGATATAGATGTTCTGTTTTTAAAGAATGAACATTGGCACAGATTCGATAAGCCCGACTATCTAGGAATTGAGAAAGGACCTAGGCCTCCAACAGAGATCTGCACCAATCGTGTTGTCTATCCAGAAGTCAGCATAGGAATCCAAAACAGCGATACTGATACCGCCTCGACTTTAGGCGGTATTGCTGAATTGAAAAATCTAAAAGATTTCCAATAGTATCCCTTCGCCTTGACTTACTTTCATTGCCTTTGCCCGCCAAGAGAGCATCGTTTACCATGTCAATACAAATAGGTTCCCCCGAATGACGAAAGGGCAAAGGCGCTCCTTCGAATTGAGCAGTCTTCTTCTTTCGATCTTCAGAATATTCTTGCTATAGTCAATGCTCAGATTCAGTCACAATGCACTGAAGACTTTCGACGATTGGATAGCTTAGCTAAGAGAATTGAGCAAGACTCCGACGGTTTATCAAAGATATCTCAAAGCTAATGCGTTCAATCCGAACAAGAAAGACAAATGTAAGTTCGTTAGCTAATAATAACAAACATCTTTGAGAAGAAAGACTTTTTTATTATTATATTCCTACGTTGAGATGTAAAATTAGGATTATAGATTTAAGTACTAGGGAAATGCTCAGAAAGATGTCGAGAACGATATTTAGAACTCCTGGAAGGCTATCAAGCTATAAATTAGACTCGTGCTACAGTAGATCCATTTGAAACCAACGATAATAGCTTTGATCTCGCAAAGAATACCGAATCGGGCAGCCTCAGCGGTCGCGCGGATGGAGTGTGGGGCCTGAGCGGGGAAACGAATAACCAGTGCCAAGCTGTTGATTGCACAAGACAGTGCGCTGGTGAAGCTATACTCGTTGCCTGATTGGTTCATATCGAGTTATGCAAGATGGTGGCTTTTCATGTGATGTGCATTATCCGTACAGATAGTAGATGACGAGCAGCAAGTCGTAGATGTAATAATTGACCCGAGTCTGATCAATTCAATTCAAAAATTCATAAGTCGTATGAGGCCATTCAGATAAATTCTCGAATCATTTCAATTTCATATTGCGTTCTCAAGTGCCGAATCTGCAACAAGCATACTTAACGTGGCATTCTGTTGGCTCGCAAGCCCCAAGACCCACTCCGGCCCCCGGGGCCCTGTGCTCTGTGTCCGTCAAATGATTTCATTGTGAAAATGCGGACTTGGTCGTGCTAGGATCCGTATTTCGCTTGTGCAAATCCTTCTCTCCTTTAAATATCTTCCAGATCTTTTATCCCGAGAATTTGGAGGCTAGTTCTTCTCTCATTTCCAAGGGAGCTACTACACTTTGAACTGCGGGGCTAAGTGGACGAAACTCACAGATAATCTTAAAAATAAGGTCGGGTACCTGAAACATACGCCCGGTGCTTTTATCGCGTGTCATTTGCCGGGAAGCTCGAAAATCGCCCCAGATCATCATAGATAGAACTCGCCACGGTCACTATGAGGAGCTTAAACGAGAGCTTCACGATGCTCTATGTGGGCCTCATAGTCGCAGTCTATCTCAGGCCCGAATATGCCATCAACGGTTCAAGAACCATCACTATCATCCTTCTACTTTCAATAGTCGCCATTTCAAAGTTTGTCTACCGCATGTTCCTTTATCCTCAATATTTCACGCCGTTAAAGGGGATCCCTGCGCCATCAGTGAGTCCATCTATTTCCAAGAACAAGAGATTATTACTACTAGTACTAGTGCGGTGAACGTCTAGCTAACGTCGCCCAGGAACGTCATTGGCTTAAAGGCAACGCTCACTCAATTCTTATCGAGACTCCCCATGAACTTATATCACGCTGGGCCAAATCTATCCCTCATGATGGATTGCTCCGCTACTATATCGTCGGTCAGCTCGAAAGAGTGGTCTTGACTAACCCAAAAGCCATGAGTGAAGTACTAGTCACCAAGGCTTATGATTTTGTTAAACCGAGGATTGTTCACCAAACCATGGGCCGCATCATCGGCAATGGTATCCTTCTAGCGGAAGGTGACGTGCACAAGGTGAACACCACTTTTGAGAACTGAGAACTTGAAACTTATGAAACTAATATTCTCTCGTTGCAGTCTCAACGGAAGAACCTAATGCCTGCATTCGCGTACCGTCACATAAAAGACCTTTACCCTGTCTTCTGGGAAAAGAGTCGCGAAATGGCCAAACTAATGCGACGTGATTTGGCAGCCAGAGGACCAACAGAAGATAACGTAATTCAACTGCGAACCTACGCAAGTCGAACAACACTCGACATTATCGGACTAGCTGGAATGGGTCACGATTTTGACTCACTAGCAAACCCTGACAACACACTCTACAAAAGCTATAAGGCACTTTTCACAGACCAGAATCTATTATCTCGAATTCTCTTCATGTTTGGCGTGCTAATTGGTGATATGAGACCCATTCAACGACTCCCTACAAAGCGCAACAATGTGATAAACGAGAGCAGAGCAGCTGTCTGCCAGGTTGTGCGACAAATGATTCGGGAGAAGAAAGCGAAGATGGAGGACCCGACCGCAGATATCGGCGTTGATATCATATCAGTCGCCATGCGAAGCGGCAGCTTCGAAGAAGATAATCTCATCGATCAATTGATGACCTTCCTAGCCGCGGGACACGAAACAACTGCAGGTGCTCTTCAATGGTGTGTATATGCTCTATGCAAGCACCCTGAAGTCCAAGATCGCCTACGTGAAGAAGTCCGCTCAAACCTCCCTCCTATGAATGTCGATAATCCCGAGCCCATTGAAGCCAGCGCGATTGATAACCTCCCTTACCTGAACGCTGTCTGCAACGAGGTTCTTCGCTTCCACCCCTCTGTTCCAAATACTGTCCGTATTGCAGCGAAAGATACCACCGTTTTGGGTCAACATATTCCAAAGGGGACATTCTTTGTCATTTCAGCAGAACTCCTCAATCACATGTCTGAGTTATGGGGCCCAGATGCAGATAAGTTCAACCCGGATCGATGGATGGGTCCGGGTAATGCCAAAACAGGCGGCGCGATCAGCAATTATGCGTTTTTGACTTTCCTTCATGGCCCACATAGCTGTATTGGACAAAGTTTCTCTAGGGCCGAACTTGCTTGCCTGCTTGCTGCTGTTGTCGGGAGCTTCAATTTTGAGTTGCAGAACCCAGATGCAAAAATAAAGGTTCGTCGCGGGGCGACCGTTTCACCACTAGATGGTGTTATGGCTAAACTTACTCCTGTGGACGGCTGGTGATATTCTTACGTCTAAAGATAATTGAAACCAAAAATAAATAATTTCTTTGATCAAATAAATCTTTAGATGGGCCGTTGAGCATACTCTAAAAAGGGCTTTATATTTCACCTCCGGGGCTTTGTCAACTATGAAAATACTTGCGCCACCAAGGTTAGAGATGCATAAATTCCCATAATATTGGCATATGGCTGCTGACGCGAGGCTTCGAGTTGTGATCAAAGCAGCCGATTCGAGATTCCATACGAGCGGCAAAACATCTCAAGCCAAAGAAAGATGAAACGAGAACTTCAAGGAACATGCTTTCATAAATTTCACAGCATTTATGAGGAGAGGGCTCTGTATATGGGAAACAACTCAAACTGAAGGCAGGATTAGGAAGGCATACAAGCTCTTCAGATAAAGATATACAATAAGATCTGTGAGGCAATTCAAGTTGAGAATGGATCCACTATGCCTCTACTCGCTGTTCATTTCTGTGCTGTCACGATCTTCAATGAACTTTGCAGCATCCAAAAGTACCCATCTCTTTTCGAGAAAGAATACAAACAGCTGGGAAGCGCTCAGACTCAGCCCATAACAGAGAGATCATGGGATTTGAAGATTCAAACGGCATTCAACAGTTTACTTAAGCAGCTTCAACGCCAAAAGCCACAGTCGATACAAGATCCACTTAACCTGTTGAGAGTTGTGGATCGTTGTACTAAGAAACCCACGACTTTGAAGGAGTATGAAGATATTCTGAGAGCTTTAACGACATTCTACTGAGAGAAAGGAAAACTGTGCGTTCGATGATACTTCCATCAAAACGCTGCATTGGAATGCCCGACCTGGAAGGCTTTCATTACCGAGCTTTCTGGGCACTCATTGTGTATGCCTCTGGTTAGGATGTCCGATTATGGGGATAGAAGATGTGATCTAGATCAGTGCTGCCCTAACAGATTTGTATAGTTTCGAGTAGGTACGTATAGTTATATGGCCGGTGAAGACACGATGACCGTCTGACTAATTGTTAGACTCTTGTTTATCTTTCTTTTTACAATCTGAGCAAATCCTTGTCGCCCTTTTAGCCTACAAAGGTACGAACTGCATGCCGCCCTTAAGGACTGATGGTACCCCTCAATTTGGCACTCTGCGGAGTACTAGTAACGACTGGATATTTACATGGAAGATAAGTCACATTAGTGCTTATTAAGAGTCTTCTGGTTTCCATAACTTCTGTTGAAAAAGACTTGGAGCCGAGTGGAACGCCCAAGTCCCGCCACCAGGGAAGAACCCGATCGTGTTTTCAAAGCCCGAAGGCTCACAAATCTTGTATTTTGGTTCACTGTGAACTTCACTCAGCATGCTATATGATCAGCGACCCTGTCCATTGGATATAACAATTACCGGCGCCGGCATATCCGGTCTCTCGACTGCATTAGCCCTATCGAACGTAAACCGTGAGCACAAAATCACAGTCTTGGAATCCAATGCATCCCTCAGCGAGTTTGGTGCCGGTGTCCAACTCTACGCAAATAGCACTCGACTCCTGGATAAATGGGGACTGACATCATCCTTACCGAAGGTCGCCTTCCAATCCTCACACATGTCCGTTCGTCGATGGCAAGATAACGCAGAGCTTGTCTCGATTATGAATAATCCCACCAGTACATGGCTGTACGAATGGCCCCAATGGCAGATTTATCGACCAGATCTTCAGCGCGTAATCTTTGATCGCGCCAACGAACTTCCAAACGTAAATATACTCTTCGGGTATTCCGTTGCAGATATGAACCACGAGACGGGCACTGTCTACACAGCGGAAGGAAGTACCATCAAGGCAGATCTCACGGTCGCTGCAGATGAAATCTGGTCAAAGTCTAGGCGATGTTGGAACTATGCGCGACCTTGTATCTGGATGGTGTCAGGAAGTACGAGCGTTAGCTTCTCTTGTGGAAGAAGGGGAATGTGCCTCTTGGACCTTGCGCGAAGTACCCAAACTTCCTAGCTATGCCAGTGCGTCTGGGCGCGTGGTGCTGATTGGGGATGCGGCGCATGCACTTCTACCTCATGCAGGCCAGGGTGCTGGGATGGCGATGGAGGATGTTGCAAGTTTGGCTGAGTTTGTCGGATTTTCCACTTCCAAGGACAACCTGTCGACCACCATGAGCGCATGAGCGCTTGGAGTCGGTTTAGACAAAGGCGTGTAGAGCACTTGCGCGAGATCAGTCATGGAAATGCTAGTGATATGACTTTTCCGGATGGGCCAGATGAGAAATGGGGTGCAATCCGTCAGATGCAGAAAGCTCAGTTAGCTGAACTTGGCCTTGATAAGCTCAAGGAAAAGGTCAAAAGGTCATTAGGGAAAAGTCAAAGGCTGATCCATCTGCAAACAGTACGATCGAGCCCGGCGGTGCTATGTGGGTCCAATCATTTGATACATGTGCAGAAAGCAAGATTTTCTATCGCGAGGATTTGAGGCACTGAAGATGACTGCTTTATCTTCTTCTTCTTCTTCTTCTTCTTCTTCTTCTTCTTCTTCTTCTTCTTCTTCTTCTTCTTCTTCTTCTTCTTCTTCTTCTTCTTCTTCTTCTTCTTCTTCTTCTTCTCTTCAATGCGTATGATGCATATACCGAAGCTACTAATATCATGAGCGTCAATGATCCAGCTTGCTCAGGCCTTGTGCAAGGTCTATTCTGTCTTTGACAGGAAGTATATCAGAAACAAGCTGCAGGTCCAGTTCTCAGCCTGCATAGATTCACCATTCAAGTCAAGTTTGAGATATTGTATAAATCGTACGAACTCGTAGACTTCTTGTAACATATCAAACGAGACATTTTGATGAATAATTACATTTGGGTCTTACCATCGTGTCTTTCTTTCTCGGGGCCAGATAGATAGATCCCAAGGGGAAGACGCGCTAACAAGGTGTATCTAGCCGTCAATAACCCGGTCAATTTCGTATGTGTGAGATCCCGAATCATTCCATGTTGAGTTAAGAGAAAACACCAATCTTGTCGGGTCGGGATCTACCGGATCCTGGGTGGTTACCTTCAAGTTGCTGTGAAACACAATTGCAAGGAGGTTGTTGGAATATAATGAGTGGTCTAAAGAATTGAATATATCTCTAGGTCACATTCTAAATTTAGCACTCATCAATTTGTAGTTTGTATTCATGTCTCATTTCTTGAATTTAAATTCAGAGTTCCTGAAGCTCGCGGTCCTTTGGTGTTCAGTGCCTGTGCAAACTTGCTTGTTTATACATACATCTACTCCGTAGCCGTGTAACTTGGACGACAACTTGAACTCCCAAAGCTCTATTGAATATTACGGTACGGATAAGGGACATCAGTCTCCAGAGACATAACCGAGAAAAGTATTATTCTGTTGGTGTGACGTTAAGAATATAAATAAATTGAAATCGAGATCTGCATATGTAGGGATCTAGGTCCGCTTCCTAGCCTCGATCGCTATTTCATTTTCCTTGCTTATTGATCGTGGATGAACTCCCAGTCTAAGATATGAGATATTAAGTTTTACCTTCAACTGTCTAAAATGTTGAAAATCATAACTATTTCTAACCCGATGTTAACATTGGTAAGCCTGTTAGGCCTTGCCTATCAGGCGTCAGCGAAGGCTGTGTTTGCTCATTACATGGTGTGTGCATATTCTTATCTTCAACAATAACTTGACTAACAAGGATCAATAAACTTGTTTTAGATGGCAAATACAGCACAATATGACGTTCCGGACTGGAAGAAAGACATTTCACTCGCTCAAGAAGCTCACATTGACGCTTTTGCACTCAATATGGCATACGGAATGCCAACAAATGAAAAGTCAGCTCATGATGCATTTAACACAGCTGAACAGCTAGAATTTCAACTTTTTTTCTCGTTTGACTATGCTGGAAATGGGTCATGGCCGCAATCGCAGGTCATCCAGTACATACAGAGATACGCGTCGAGCTCTGCATATTACAAATATAAAGGAAGAGCTTTTGTGTCCACATTTGAAGGGCCCGAGAATGCTGATGACTGGATTTCTATCAAGAATCAAACAAATTGCTTTCTTGTTCCAGACTGGTCCTCTGTCGGAGCCACCACCGCTCTGAAGCTCGCTAATGGCGTTGTCGATGGTTTATTCTCGTGGGCAGCTTGGCCAACAGACTCAAAGCAAATGAATACATATGTCGATGCATCGTACATCGAGTGCCTGCGAGAAGCTCAAAAGCCATACATGATGCCAGTGTCCCCATGGTTTTATACGAATATGCCGGGGTATCATAAGAACTGGGCAGTGCACGGTGGTGACCTGTGGTACGATCGATGGGTGGAGATCTCCTTTCTTCAGCCAGAATGGGTCGAAGTGATATCATGGAACGACTTTGGTGAATCACATTACATAGGGCCACTCAATGAAAAGGGATATGGAGTTTTTACCTCAGGAAAGGCGCCTTATAATTACGCCCGTGGCATGCCGCATGATGGTTGGCGGCTTCATCTTCCCTATGTGATTGATTTCTACAGATCAGGAACAACCAACATGACCGAGGAAAGCTTGGTTGCCTGGTATCGAACAGAAATTGGCACCTCGTGCTCAGGTGGAAATACCACAGCTTTTACATCCACCGATCTGCAAATCAACACAACTGATGTCGACAAGGCGATTTGGGATCGGATCTTTTTTTCGGCACTGCTAGCATCTAACGCCTCGGTGAAAGTAAACATCGGTGGACATGATTATGATGCTGAGTGGGAATACGAGCCTGACGGTGGAGTTGGAATCTACCATGGCAACTTTGGTCTAGGCTCTGAACACCTCGGAGAAACGATCGTCATTATCAATCGTGAAGGTAAAGAGGCGGTACGTGTTGACGGCCGTTCATTAACCGCGAATTGCACAAGTGGATTCATAAATTTCAATGCATGGGTTGGTAGTGCGACCTCAGGAAACAACATGTCTGCTGTTTCACCTGATTTAACACGATCTGATCAAGTTTGCATCGCCGGCTCTGGAACATCAAATTACACTCACATTTGCGAATTCACCTGTCAATATGGCTATTGCCCGCTTGATACATGTTACTGTACTGCAATGGGCGGTGCGAAAAAGAAACCAAAGGCCGCGAAGAAGAAAGGGGAGCCCAATCATGGGAATGATAGTTTTGCTGGGCTGTGCTCTTTTGGGTGCTATTATGGATTCTGCCCTAAGGATGTTTGTACTTCAACTAATGAGCCATCTGATACGCCACCACCTACTACCCCGTCATGTCTTTCGGGGAGCCACCATGGTCATGATTCTAGTTGTAGTCATACTAAGAGCCAAGGATCAAAAAACACTTCACTTTTTGTTGGATTGCTTGCGCAGTTGTCTGCTGTGATATACATTGGATGTGCATTGGTCGCTTGTTACCTTGTCTCTGCGATGGAGCATTGATGAATTATATGGCGTGATAAATACTAAATAGTATCTCAAGGGGAAATCAAAGAATGAGCCATCCGTTTTGATGGTATACAATATCTAACTTCAGTGATGTTCCAAGGGGATTGGGCACGGGAGCATGAAGGCATGGAGGAAGGGTATTGATTTTGGAAACTTAGAAGTTGTCTTCGATTTGTCGGAGGAATCATTCCCACCAATCCGAGACAATAGATCGAAGCTGAAAGTGATGTTCGTGATTTTCTTTTTCTTTTTCTTTTCGTTTTTCATTCTTGTCTCTTTGTAGTAAATATCAGAGTGGATATGAAATAATTCCAAAATAAGACTGTGTATGCACGTGATCCTGCTTATCGGCCCGTATCTAATCGTTGCTTGAAAAAAAATATATCTCGGACTCAAAAGAAAGAGAGAAGCACCGGAACCCAATCACTACCCTCGTCTCACTCACCCAAAAATACAAATACCATACTTTGAGATTCGTGGTTCTTGATTCCACTTGAATCCATCAAATCCATCAATCTTAATCAATTCCTTGTTTGGGCCAACCTCTTCACTTTCAGCCCACTCACAGTGCGGGGCATCAACGGGAGCACTAGAACCTCGACAAACCTCACAAAATCCACCCAAATATCACAATGGCCACACAATCAGCCGCCCCCCCGGCCAACGATGCCGCTTCTTACCTTGACCTTGCTATCACACTATCCCTTGACAGCTGGCCCGCACTCACACTCGCCGTCCAATCCAATTGGGGTGGACCGACTTCCGCAGACAAGCGCGCCTGGCTCTGTGGTGCAATCTCTGAGATGTTAACTGAGCGACCCGAGACCGATGCCGAAGACCTCGAGGATGTTTTGATTCAGGTCATGAACGACGAATTCGACGTGGTGATTGACGATGAGAGCGCGGGCAATGTGGCTGATCAGATTATGGAGCTGAAGGAGCAGACTGTTCGCGGAGAATTCGGCGCCATTAAGGAGATGTGGGAGATGTGGCAGGCGAAGAGTGCGCAAAAGTCTGCGACGACGAACATGTTTAAGCAGGTTGAGTCGAAGGATGAGGATCAAGAGACGGATGATGATACTGATGAGGATGAGGGAGATGTGGAAATGGGAGATGCGCCAGTGCGAGCGCCTAGGGAGAGGGCCGAGCCTGAGATTGACGATGACGGTTTTACGAAAGTTGTTGGAAAACAGAGACGGTAGATGAAGAGTCTTGGTTTCCAAGCCTTTATTCGTTTCAAATATTTCCAGCCTTACCAAGGTTACTCGGCGAGTGCCCAGGTGGCATTGACAAGTTTACCTATATATCCATGATTTGACTGTCTACATACACCTCTCAAAATCAATAGAAAAATCACTTACAAGTGTAACTAGTACCTAGTGTTAAGGCTGAAAGGCTCGTCGTAGAGTTTACGTGGATTAAGATTATAATTAAAATGCAGCAACACTGTCCTCTTTATTGGAAAGACAATTAAGGAATCTATAACGCAAAGGGGGTAACATTTCATCATCATCACTTGAAATCGACTGGCTGTATCCATGTGGCACAACTTGGCCCAACATCTTTTTACTCATGTCACTGACTGAGGCTCTCGGCTTAGCCCTGGCAATTTGGGTTGAGAGGTGCAGGTACGATGTGAACTAAGGTCGCACCAGATCCTTTTTGAGTTCTCCTCTCAAATATAGCAAAGAGAACATCTCACATATACATTTTTGAATATCGTTTAAGCGTCGTCATGAATGAGCTTGGTAATCATACCGATAGCGATGGTTTGACCCTATTAGAGAATTTGGTTAGCAAAGAGAAATAAAATGACAAGGAGACATCAGACGCGAAGGTCTCGGATATAACTCACCTGGTCACGAAGGGTAAAGCGACCCAGCTGCGCGTATTCAGCGAACTCCTCCACACAGACCGCACCAGCAGTGCTAGTCACCTCGAGACGAGCAATGATGGTCTGGCCCTTGTTGACGAAAGCAGGGGGGCGCTTGCTCTTACGGCCAGTACCGGGCTCAAGTTTGTGCAGAAGGGCAGCAAAGGTGACCTCCTCAACAGCCGAGTGCACGTGGAGAACACAGTTGAAACCAGCTGTGAGAATGCTCTTCAGGTCCAGAATACGGATCTTGGCCTCGAAAGCAGAAACACAGTGTACTGGACGCTTCGGAGAGCAGAGCACGAAACCGGGGAAGAAATCATCCTCTTCCACACCACGGAGACGAAGGCGAACCTGGTCGCCAACCTTGGCAGTCTGAAGCTCATCTTCAGTCTCGCCATACAGAGCAGCAACTGATACCTCGGTCTTGTTAGGCATCATCAGGTAAGTACCGTTCTTCTTGATGATTCCAGATTCAATGCGGCCTTCAGCCATGGTACCCATATCACGGTATTTGGCTGTAATAGGCATCATGAAAGGAGCGTTGACCTTACGCTCAGGAAGTTCGAAATTTGTCAAGAACTCGAGTAGGGAGGGTCCATCGTACCAAGAGCAAATATCCTTAGTAATGCGATCCTTGATTCCGATGGTACGCTGCGCGGAAATAGGCATGCAGAAGATATCGCTCTTCTTGTAACCCAAGGCTTCAAGGAACTTGATGACCTTGACAGTACACTCGTCGAAACGTTGCTTGCTCCATTCCACAGTAGGGTCATCCATCTTGTTCACCACCAACACGAGCTTTTCAACTCCTGTGTTGCGAGCAAGTAGTGCGTGCTCACGGGTTTGGCCACCCTTTTCAAATCCAGTCTCGTACTCACCCTTTCGTGCAGAGATGACAAGGACACCCAAGTCTGCTTGAGAGGCACCACCAATCATGTGAGGGACATAAGACTTGTGACCAGGTGCGTCCAAGATAGAGAACTGTCGCTCAATTGGGCCTTCCGGAGAGGGCACTTCGACTTTGAAGAATGCGCGACCAACTTCAACGGTCTTGCCCTTAGAACGCTCCTCTTGAGTCAGATCCAGGGCCCATGACAAGTACCAAGTCTCGCGACCTGCCTCCTTCGCCTCCCTTTTGTATTTTTCCATTGTTCGATCGTCGACCATACCAGTGCAGTACAGCAAGGAACCACCCAGGGTGGATTTGCCGGCATCGACGTGACCGATGAATACCACGTTGACGTGTTCTCGGCGCTCGCCATAAATCTCCTTCAAGGTAGCGTCGTCGACATCGGCCTGTTGTTGCTTGGCAACGGCGTCGGCTGCGCGAGCCTGCTTAGCCGCTTCGACACCGCGAGCTGGGCTAGAACGACCAGGGCTAGAACGTCCAGAGGGGGTAGGAGAGGCTTTGCCGGTAGCGCTGGCTTTCTGGTCCGCCTTCTTCTCCGTTTTATCAATAGCCTTGCTGGCGGTAACCTTAGCACCAGCCTCAGCAGCGGCGGTACCCTTAGAGTCACCCTTGCTTGCAGAGTCGGACTTGGCGGCCTCGGGGGCAGGTGTGGGGGTGCCAATGGAAAGTACCTTGGTTTTAGGGGCAGAGGACGAGCCGGTGGCGCCAATTGAGAGGACCTTGGCCTTTGGTGGGGCAGCCGATGCATTCACGGCGGGCTTGGGAGCGGCGGCGGCGGCGGGGGTCTGCTGAGGGGCGACAGGGGCATTCTGACGGGGCTGCTGGGCGAATCCACCAGGCTGCTGGTTATAGTATTGGTTGTATCCACCGGGCTGCTGAGCGTATGCGCCATATTGACCGAAGGCTTGCGGCTGCTGGGGCTGCTGGGGCTGCTGTTGCTGCTGGGGGTATCCGTAGGCCTGCTGACCATATTGACCGTAAGGGTATCCACCACCATACTGCTGGAACTGCTGGCCAGGGACGAAAGAGCTTGCACCGGGTGTGAAAGAGGCTGCACCGGGCTGGAAAGTAGCTGCACCAGGTTGGAACGAGCCTGCCTGAGGCTGAGGACGGCCCTGTCCGTTCAGGTTAACACCCTCTGCCTGTCGGGCAAGCTCATCCTCCCAGGAGTCGGGGGTCTGGTTCGACATCGTGAGAAGGATCCGGGACACAGCCAAGGGCGCAGTTAAAATGACACGAAAGTCGGGGATGGAGGGATGGTTTGATGAGGGGCCGGTTACTGTTAGGATTTTACAGATGCTGAGTCAGCTCCACGCTGAAGGACCCCGCGTCACGTGGGTTAATTACAGCAAAAAAAAATATGAGTGCCACAAAGAATTGAGTCTTTCTTCTTTGAGTTTTTATATATGGAGTGATTTGATCTCATAAATCGAACCCAAGGATTTCGAATCACCTAGAATTTTGATTTCGCTGGCGGTAGTGGTTGGGCGTACAGTGACATGTTCTTTGATCGTTGGGCAACGACCCGACACTATCGATAAGCAGCACCCCTCAATGCTTCATTACTCAGTGGCTTTATAGCAGTCCAGTCCGTTCAGAGTACCGACAAGAGCCCTGAGTGGCTGTCTCCAATCAAGATGGACGTTTTCCTTACCCGTGTATGTCTTTTTGTGTCCCCTTTATACGGTTATGAGCACATAAATCTAACCGAAAACAAATATGACAGCTCACACAACAGGCGATGAACTATGCAATTCGGTAAATTGAGATATTGTTCAACGAGCATGCAATTCAAAGCTAACGGATAGAAAAGCTCGGGAATTGCGATCACAGCTACTTATGCGATGCGCCAATCATCGCGTCTGCTCAAAGTACGCGTATTCAAATAACCCAGTGATGAATGGCGCTGATATTCTTGTACGATTAGAGTGTAAATAGCGAAGACCGCGCAGAACTGCTTACTTTGCAGCAGAGGCTGGAAAGTAAAATTCAAGTGATTGCGCCGTCGATTGATATGATTGAGTTGATGTGAGTCGGGTGAACTTCGGTCACTATATCAGCACCGGAAGATCTAACATGTTGTCTAGTGCTGCGCGTGGAAACACATCGCTCGAGTCTGCCGTTGCTCTTACAAAATCCCTGAGGTGGGATATTCAAGCACTGGGGCAACGACTGGGAAGAGCAGCATCTTCTGAAGAAGCCATGCGAAGTAATTCTAGATCTTCAAAAGACAGTAGCCGCATCGATGCAGAAGTCAAATCCATCATTAAGGATATCAGGAACCTTCTGGTGCGCATAGAGGATGCTGTTCCGCTTATGAACTTGGCTATAACAACCTCGGGGGCTAAGTTGTCTACAAATCTTCCCTCAACGGTCTCTCCATCTCGCCTCCTACAAGCCAGTACATTCTTAACTGCCGGCGATACACAATACTCCATGTCTCAGTCTCAGGCTCAGGCTGTTCAAATTGGCCCTACATTCACATTGTCAATGTACATGCTCTTTTCGGGTCACTTGCGTCCTCATGATGAAAAATCCGTCAGAGAAGCAACTTGGAAGGAAGTCATGCACAAGGCGCGTTTGAAACTTCGACGAGTACCAATGAGCCTATACTATTCTGACGATCAACACAAAACCTCACAACTTCCTGCACCAGCAGGCAACGATGAATATGCATACCAAGTGATGATTATCGAAGACTTGGATGACGGAAGAGTTCATACTTTCGAAGACGACGAACCGAAGCCTCATGCATGTGAAGGTGTTGCTACTGCTGGAATTCGAGAGATCTTGCCTATTCATCAAATCTCCAAGATCTTCTATGCAGATACAGGCAGAATTTTAAACATCAATACGGAAGGAGAGACAAACAACCCTGTTCTTCTATTGAAACGAGACTTAAACGCTCTACCGCCTCGCCAAAAGATGGAGCGTGAAGATGTCGAAGATGAGTATGCTTCTGATAAATCCGATGGAGACTCCGTTAATGAAGAGCAAGCACAACTTGACTCTCAATTACGCGGAAGTGGTCCTTCCGCCCATGATAGCTTTAGCTCGCTACATGAAGACTCTATCCCCGAAGAGTGGCGTTTACCATCAGGCCTTGATCCAGAGTGGATCGCATTCGAGGTCTACAACGAGGATGATGGGTCCGATACCGAATCCGAGGCAGAGAATCTGCCACACACTCCTACAGAACCCACAATTGACCCAAACACGATGGCAAAGCTATCTCTAAACAATAAATCTTCCTCCTCCCCATCCTCACGTTCACCAGGCCAACAAGATATCATCAACTCTACGTCTGCCACAACAACCGTCTCTAATCCTCTCTTCGAAAACATTCGCACCTCCCTCTCTCTCCTGGAAACTATCCTCCGTCTAACATCTCTCCAACAATTCCAACAGCAATCACATCTTGCTATCAGCGACGAGCTCCTTAACTTCTTCCTCGAGGAGTCTTCGACCACTGGAGCTGGCGGCGACGAGCAGCACCGCCAACGACTTCGCTCCGAAGCCCGCCGCCGTGTGGGATGGGATCCCTACGATGAAAGCCCTTTGAAACATCGTGGTGAAGATTACCAGTATGGATGGGGATCTGGTAGTCCTTCTGCATACCCGCGTGGAGACGAAATGTACTCGCCTGGTGGCATGTCACAGAGTTTTCAACTTCGATCGAGAGAGAATACACCAGAAACTCCTACACAAAAACGGGGTTCCCCGTCTTCCCGTGCAGATCGGTCGCGACCTAGTGGATTGAGAGGGATGACGCCGGCTTACAGTGAGGGATACGAGTCGAAGCAGAGCTCGCCTTTGGCCAAAAAAGCTGGAAATATCCAAAGAGGTGCGGCCTCTGCTTCCGGGACGGGGACGGCGGAGTAATGGCTTACTCTGATCCAAATGAATGTATGATTACGACCGAGTGTACCTAGTAGCAAGTTCTTGAGAGCTTAGATGGAATTTCATTTGCCAGGAGATGCGGATTCTAGGGCTGCACGTCATTTATCGTGGGAATAGACTTCAATGGTTCATAGCTACCAATCAAAGACTGAAGTACTCAAGTGAACAGTGAACAGTGAAATCTAAACCGCGTAGCACACCCTAGCTATTTAAAAGAGCGACAGGAAAATAACACACTCAGGTGCAGGATATGTAAATAGAGCAACAATGTGCATGTTCGAAACGTGAACAAGAAAAAATATAGCAACAGACATCAAGCGCTAAACCGAGTTACAAGAACGAACCCGGGAATAAGAAAGATAACAAGTCCATGTAAACGCCTATGACCCAGTAATCACAACCAGACTCCGGAAAAGAAGAGGTACCAATTCCACACAAAGATCATTTTCAACCAGACAAATACGACCTCGCCCACGACTCTTAATGGCAATAATGGCAAAGCATAGCTATATATGTAGCTTACTCCCAATCATCGTCACTGTCCTCTGCCTTTGAGTCTGTGGTAGGGCTCTTTTCCTTGGGAGAACCAGGGGTCCGGCTAGCGGCGCCACTTACAACGTCGTAACTCGACTCACTATCGGCTTGGGATTGCTGGTCATTGGATCGGCGAGGCTCGGCCTTCTGGGCTTCGTTGTTGGGGGCAAGATTCTGAGCACCGGGGCCAACCTGGGGAGTAGAAGGAGAGGCGGATTCAGAATCAGAGTCGTCATCCCAACCGACCTCTTCGTCATCGGCTGTGGCACCTGTGAATAAAAGCATGAGTCAACTGCGCATTCAAGAGAAGGATCCCCCATAGAGACTAAACGACTTACCCTTCAATAGCTCCTTGCGTTTCTGTTCCTCGGTTTCGATGACAAGGCGCAGGAAATAGTACCGTGTCCAAAACTCCACATACTCCACTGTCTCGGGAACAAGCTTTTCCATAGCAGTTCGCAGCTCAGGGTACTTCTCCAAATGAGAAGCAATCTCATCTGTTTTGCCATCAACGCTGAAGTCTTCCTTGAATTCTGGGAATTTATCACTGGCCGGATCCTTGGTGAAGCTGTCCAGATTCGAATGAATTACATGCAGCTGCGCATCAAAGCGAGTCGCATGAATCACCCGCTTGCCATCCGCATCCTTGCTCTCAAATAAAAGCTTGCCCGACTCATCTGTCTCAGGCGGAACAATGCTAACAGCTTCACGTAACCTTTGACTGATGTTCTGACCAAAGCGCAAGATTGCCTCATCAGCAGCCTCCTCGGCCTTTTCGATTTCCTTGAGTCGCCGAGCCGCTTCAGCCTTGAAACGAGAAATGAAGCCGTCGCTGCTGGATTCGGCGGCCTGTGCCTCCCCTTCTTCTGTAATGGCGGTTGGTGTGGCCGCCTCGTCCTTCGAACCTTCGCTGCCGGTCAATGTTGCAGTGCTGAGAGAGAGCCCCTTTGTCCGATCGACAATGGTCTCCCTCAGACCAGAGAAGCCCTTCACTGCTTCCTCGCTTGCTGCTGCGTATTCCTGTCGGGCGCCTTCATAGTAGGTCTCGCCTTGCTTGCGAACATTATCCCAGAGTCCTCCAATTCGAGTACCCCATGGACTGGCGGAGAAGGCACGGAAGGTCTCTTGAAATTCGGTGTTGAGGTTGATGTTCGAGTTCCCGGCGTTGGAAGTAGAATTTTCTCCTTCCTTGTTAGAAGAGAGGATCTCCTCCTGGATGTGGTCGTATGCGATATCCATGGTGAGGGGTTAATGAGGAGGAAATTGTACGGAACAAACAATTGAGGTTGCACCTCCGCGTTCAGTTCACGGGCCGACCGCCCCGCTTTTTGCAGATCAACCCATCAACTTGAACTACTCACACCTCTTTACTGATATTACTGCGGTATATTTGTCTTTTTAAGAAAAATCCTCTGATGTCGGACTGAATCATGGGAGTACAGGTGTTCGATGCTATTCCCACAGCAATTCGCAATATCTCCCTAGATTGAAAAACACTTGGAAGCTAAAACAGTGGGCGTACAGAAGCGCCATTCTTCCCACAGATGGCTCAATAATCTAGCTTGCCTCAGGCCCTCTCTACTTCCTTGAGTCGCATAATGTACCGGGCGTATCTGACTGGAACCAATCATAAGGCTATTTAGCGACTGCCAGGTGAGCTCTACGATGAAACCTAGATCAAATTGGAGTAATATCAAAGCAATGAATTATCAGCATACGGATTTTATTATCTAGGCAATAAAAACACGCGATATAGAAGTTTATAGTAAGAGCCATCATTCATCACAGTATGTCTGAAGCTACCGATCTGGTAAACTATATGGTTCTCCCACGCTATCCTGACTACCCATCCAAAAGTTCGGTAGAGGAACACTCTCCATGACACTCGATGTCAAAAGCTGACTTCGTGACAAAATGCCATTTCTAGCATTGGCCCGTTCAACAGGCTGGGATGATTCAATTTGTACAATTGGCTCTCGTACAGGCGGACGATGGAACTCTGCCTGATTTTCTTCGATGGAATCATTTTGTTCCCTAGCAGGTGAAGACTCGGGTACGATTTCGGGCTCTTCGTAATCTTGGCTTTGTGTCTGCGTTTGCAAAAACGGACCAGTGAAGCGCTGGGCTCGAGTATCTCGCGTGCCTTCAACACGGGATTGAATGTGTTGCGTATTGCCCTCATTCGGAAATAGCTCGGATAGCTTTTGGGTACTAAGCATCGGTATAGGCTCATGGGGGAATTGTGTAGCAGGCTGTAAGCGTTGGTAGTATATGGAAGCATCTGACATCGGAGGTTCGGATGGTGGGCAATCATCCAGATTACTGGGGGACTGGGCACTAGGTGGCAAGGGGAGTTCTTGCGAGTCGTCGCCTCCCAGTGACGGGGTAGGGCTGCAATTGTGCGTATCCTCGACTTGAGATTCTTGCACTCGACTTGGTGTTGGAGGGGCATGATGGGATTGAGACTCTGTATCACTTTGGTCGCTTTCAGCATCCGTTTCATACACCACAGTTCTATCCCCTTGGGTGCGAGTCGGCTCATGTTCAGTTGGCGTTGGTTTTTGCCTCCTCGACTCATCATGCGACCCACTTGATACGAGTCTTTCTTTGAATGTCCTCTGGCGTTGACTTGAGCCTACCACCACCTTGGGCCAATTTTCCGTAGGCGTTCTGTTTGGAGATGTATGATCCTGGTCGTGCGAGTCATCTACTAGGCGTTGAGGCTTAGGTGCCTCTTCCTTGATCTGGTTTCCAAGGGAATTTGCAAGATTCGGTGACTTGCGTTTCAACGGGGATCCAGTTTCGTCACGGAATTGAGATGATGTTATAATGGCCAGACCCGGGCTTTCGGGTGACTGAGAAGATGGAATTTCAAGTCTTCGCTTACGTGGTGTGATCGGGCCATTTGCATTCATTATTCTTTGCGGCAAGCTGTCATTGTCCGCCGCCTGACTTATTCCAGGATCAGATATTGGCTCCCCCGTTGAAAGGTCCAGCTCAGCCTCCGAGATTCGGCGATTGAGTTTCACAGAACTGGGCGTAGTTTGGCTCTCAAATTTCAACTTCGCACTCTGGGGGCTCTTAAAAGTCTTGCCAGCCGGTAATTTCTTAGGTGTCGGTTCTATGTAGCTCAAATTCGGGTCGTTCACGTCGTCATCGTCAATCGTGATATAGCGTCGCACAAAATTCATTTGCGTAAGAGTTTTGTCCCGCTTCGTAGTCGGTTTCTCTGTAGGTTTTCGCTTGCTCTTTGGTCCAACACTGGCTCTGGGTGTCTGGCTCTTGCGGATGCTTTGGCCTCGTTCCATTGTCCCATTATTTACATCTGTGCTTTTCCGTCGCCTTTTGGGGTGGTCGTTATTGGTTTCGAAGGTCGAATGAGCCGGTCTTGTCCGCGATGATTGTCTGTGGTCGCCATCATCATCAGATGCCTCCTTTTGGACTACCGGCTCATTGTTTATATCGTCGCGCGATTCGGTGTCATCGAGGTAGTCAAGCTTTTCGTCATCTGGATGTGGGGTCTGCGTCACAAAATCAATTTGTGTAAGGGTAGATTGGGCGCGCGGATCAAATCGAGAGCCTTTTGGTCGGGGGTGTGTCCATCCTGATGAGTGAGGAGTCGTCCTAGCAGACGGAGTCTTTTTCGAGATCTTTGATGTTGCTGGAGGACTGGGTCTCGCTGAAGCTCTGGTCTGGACTTGAGGTGTTTCCGGTGATCTATTGCGCCTCTGATGAGGTGTCATTGCAATTTGATGCAAAAGGCATAAGGACTTCTTGGTACACTTGGTTAGGTTGAAAGAATGAGTAAATATTGACCCATGACGTTTTGGCAAGTGGACCTCGGGAGCCTGGACCGTGGGTCGCGTCAAACGCGTGAAGGGAGCGAGACGTGGTCACGTGTGTATATTGATTGATGGATTGATATGCTTGAATTCTTTTTCTTTTACTGAATATTCAATTTTATAATTTTGCAATGTTATTTCACATAATCTGATTACTGGCTTGTAATCCTTTATCTAGATAGATCAAACTAACCAATCGGGAATTGCATCTTCGTCTTCGGGGTCTTCAGACAATAACGACCCCTTCTCAATCTCACTATCAGGATCTTCTGAGGGAGGGGGCTGTCTTGTTACTTTGAAAGGTGATGGTGGCCTGGAAATGACTTCGAGGCTGACAGATTTAGAATCGCAATTTGTCGAAGAATCCACCGTAATGGGAGCTTGACTAGAGGAGCCTTGAGGCTTCCCGAAAACTGCCCTGTCATTGGCTAGCGGACGTTCAGAGACAGAGTCTGGTTTGCTTGGGACCACTACCAGTTCATATCGAGATGCCTTTGAGTTATTTTCTTGTTTGGGCTTTGGCATGATCGGTGGAACATGAGGAGTGATTGACTCGGGGCCCGGTTCGTCTTCCATGGCTTCATCTGGGATTAAACCACCGCCGGCATCATCGGTTTCCCATTCGGGGACACCCTCAATAGTCTCGTCGGTAGCATGGTAAGCTCCAGGAGCGAATTCCACCGCTCTCGATTCATTCCAAGGCTCTTTGGGGGGGCTTATTGCGGACTGGTCTGGCTCTGGAAAGAATCCTCCACCACCTTCAGCTGCATCAATGCTCATATCCTCCGGGGATGAATTGTCTGGCTCCTCATCCTCGGTGGCATATCCTTGGACCCTTTCCGCTATCCTAAGTTTCAACAGGAAAAGTCGCCATAATCGGAGAGCTTCTTGGCTTCTTGCTTCAAAAGCGGCCTGTTGTCTTTGATCCTCCATGCTCCTCAAAACTTCAACCAGGGCTTCCTGGTATTCCTGTGCAATTACAATACCACCAAAGACAGCAGTCCCACGCCGACCTTTGAAATCGAATCCGGTTAATGCATCTGCAAAATCAACTCCTAGAATTCGTGCAGCCCGAGATGCCTCTGCTCGTTTTATATGGACTGCTCCGGGCGGCACCATGCTGGGCACATAGACATCCAAATTTCCGTATGCGTTTTTGGGTATACGGCCCTGCACCACAGGCGGTGGCTTGTATATTTGAGTTTGGAACCCTGCATAAAGAGCAGTGTGCTCCGTTTCTTCGCCCTCGTCATCGCTAGTGAAAGCACCTTTGGGGCGATTAGCAGGGACATGTTTTAATGGCTGCTCCCCCACTTTGACGTCCCGTCCCAACCGATACCACTTGTCAGCGCTGCGCACGACATGTACATCGGATCGGCGATATACTGATTCCAGATTGTCGCTTTTGGATGTAGTTTTGCTCAAGCCAACATGCCCAATGATTCGTTCAGGGAATATCACTTCGTTCCGACGCAAGTGTCTATTAAGAGCATAGATTGGGTGGTCTTTAAAGTCCTGAATATTGCGAGGCATGGGTTCTCCGGCAGACTTAGAAGTCAATTCACTGACCTCGGCCTCATCTCGGTCTTCAAGAAAGGGCTTTTCGTATGCTAGTAACGCTTTAGTCCACCACCTCTCTCCGTTTCTGGTGGATTCGACTCGAAGCTTGCGTGTTTTGGCATTGAAAGCTTTTGTGTACCTTCTTGTAACGTCTCTAACGGAAGCATCGTCTTCAAATGCAACAACGTAGCTCATATTGTTGTACGGATCGCTCGATGGGGGTTCGAATTTGGAAGGCTTTGCGATTGACTTGGTCACCAATGGGTCAACTACAATCCATTTTTGGATGGCTTCATTGAATACTTCCACCCAAAATACCGGGTATGAAGATTCCTGTAGGGTCGGGCGAGGACCTTGAAAAGTCATCAGCCTATGAATGATGCAGGAAAATGAGTACTACTAACCCAAACGTGCAGAGGACTGTGCTGGACGCGAGATGAACTCGGGGCGTCCAATTCTTCGTGATCTTGAAGGCGTCGCAGAATTGAAAGCCTTTGGTCTTTCATCCGTGGAAGTGTCATGGTCATCGGAAGAGATGACAATGTACTTCGGTGTTGCTTTCGATGGCGTCATGTCCTTTACCGTACCTGAAAAGGGCAGCGGTTGGAGTGAGCACACTAGTCTCGCGTCTACGGCGACTGATCGAAGTAGAGCGCAAAATAACTGGGCTCCGAAGTCGCGTGAGCCCTGCATCATTTGGGCTTGAGACCGAAAATCTGCTCTAGATAGGAAAACCTCCGCGTCAGACATTATTGATTCCTACACATATGTTAAAACACATCCAGTTCCATTTTAAATGCTTTGGGTCAATAGTACCAGTCTCTCTTTCAGCCGAGTTTGATCTTCAGCCCAATGTGCTCGCTTGATCCCAGGCTTAGTGACTCGGAATTTCCGGTTGAAGATATCAGCCGCTTGGTTAAGGCCATCCATAAAAGTCGTGGATCTCGTATACTGCTGTTTGTCTTCATCGGGATGCAATAATGTGACTACCCGTCTTGGGAGCTGCCTTTTCAGCAATTTCTGTATACTTTAGTTAGATATATGGAGCTTAGTCTTCGTTGTTTCATTAAGTAAGAACCTGTATCTCATCATCATTGCACCACAAGTTTCGCAAGTTCACATGACCCAGCAGACAGAGCAAGTGAACTTTGTGGATATCCAATCGCAATTTTTTCTCTGCCGCCGTGACAGGTTTTCTTCTAGGCGGAACTTTTTTTCTGACTTCCGGCTCCTTGTCAAAAGTAATCTGCAGGGGTTCATCCCCACCTTGTAATGCTGTATCTAGATTAGATGGTGCCTGTGCTGGTTGCTGCACATCCACATCCTCCCATTCAATGTCTGATTCGTCCTCTGTAGTCGAGTCATAAACAGTCTGCATTTGTTGAGTGCTAGGCATCTCTGGGCTGTGCTCTTTCACAATTCTGGCTTTGCCTTTTACCGGCGTGTCGACTGGAATAGCCTTCGTATCACCCACTTTGCGTCTCTTGATGGGCCTATTCGTGTGGAACTGTTCAGGATCTCGCGCCTCGGCCTCTTCCAGCATTTCTTGGTAAACCTCCGGGACTTGACCTTCGTGTGGTTTCCCATGCTTTGGCTCGCGACCGCGGGATGCCCTACTCCGAGTAGCGCGGGCTGGGGTTTGGCGTGCCATGCCTACCTCGGTGCCTCAAAGCGCATCAGGTCTTGGTTTGTCACTATGCGGTTAACACTCGGGCTCCGCGAGTCCCTGGACCGTGTATGACGCGTTTTTTGGGGCAACCCTGACGCCTGTACCAATACTGCAGGCTCAAATGTGAGACTTGGCACAATATCATCGAATATCAGATTCAAATGTTGGAAGAGTTTCCTCGACTACTCTGTTGATTGGTGGAGCCATAATGCGTCATTGCGGCGACAGGGTTTATCCGACCGCCTTGGGGCCATCCAATCACCTGATGATATCTCTATACCTAAACTATGTACATGTATGTAAAAGCTTGCTCTTTAATTTGGAACTTTTTTTCCCTATTGTACTTGTAGATCTTAATTTCGAATTGAAAATTTTTACATTTAGTAATATCACCTGGGCAGTCATCTCCAAAATAGGATATATGGAGCCGCTTGCATTCATCCGTGACTACGCAAGTATTCAAATGTTGGGCTTTAACTGGATGTATACTATTTAGTACTATGTAGTATACTTGGGCTGCCATGTCCGAGAGCAGGTACTATTTTAGAAATTGTATAAGATACGTAAGATCTCTATAATATTTTACTTTTTTTTGTATGTAAGTTGAAAATCCCTTGAAATTAATGAATGATACAGTTCGCATATTATATTTGATTGAAGAGAAAAGAAATTATTTCTATATCTCTTTTTGCCTCGCTACAAATTGATTGAATACCAGGCACTATTCATTTGTTGGGAAATTCACACTTGGGTCATAGAGCCATGACAGCCATCAAGTTCAAATTTAGATCTCCACTCAACAGTGCAATGAACTTGAAGTGCAGAGCTCTGGAGGGTGAGGAAGCATTTCTTTCAACGTACCCAATTTGAACTCAAATATTAAAGATGATGGCTTCAAGTAAAAATATCTTTTTACCTCAAGTGATTCACAGCAGAATTCCCCTTCACCTGAGCCATTTACCTCATACTACATCTCGTAGCTTTGCCCAAGTCGCGAATGTGGAAAACATCCTTGAAGTATGCCATTTTGTTTTTACTTAGCCAGAAATTCAAGCTGACCTTCATATAGTCAAACGATGCAGAATTCACCGTTCCAATCAAGGAAACCGGTTTTGAGACATATCGATCTACCACCACACATCAGAAACCACTAGGGGTCAACTGAAAAAGTTATACCATGACATGACAATGATAAGGTATGGCCACTAATTATGACTCCACAATGAAAATCAATAGCTTATGATCTCAAAGACGTATGGAAATGGCAGCAGACAACTTGTACAAACAAAAAATGTTCCTTGGATTCTATCATTTATCATTAGATCAAGAAGCAGTCGCCGGAGGAATCGAGCATGCAATCAGCAAAGAAGACAAACTCATTACAGCCTACCGCTCACATGACAATATATTGACTCGCAGTGACACCATTCGTTCAATTATTGGAGAGCTTCTCGTTCGGCGTGACGGTATAACCCATGGAAAAGGTGGCTCGATGCACATGTACGCAAAGGGCTTTTTCGGAGGCAATGGTATTGTGGGAGCAAATGTACCACTAGGAACTGGAATTGCACTCGCACAACAATACAATGATACGAAAAACATCACAATTAATTTGTATGGTGATGGTGCTGCGAATCAATGTCAGGTTCATGGGGCGTTCAACATGGCGAAACTATGGAATTTGCCAGGAATTTTTGGATGCGAAAGAATGTATATCGGATGACTCGATTGTGGAATTATTAAAAAAGCATTGAGCTAATAGTCACCATAGACAACAAGTATGGAATGGGGACATCGGCAAAAAGGGCCTCTGCCTCGACCGATTACTTCAGGCGTAGCCTATACATTCCAGGCTTGCGAGTTAACAGAATGGATGTTTTGGCTGTCCTTTCTGCCGCCAGACATGGACGAAACTTTGTGAAAGCTGGAAATGGTCCCCTTGTCTATGAGTATGCCACTTATCTATATGCTGGGCACTCTATGTCAGATCCAGGAATAGCCTACCGAACTCGCGAGGAGCTGCAGGAAGAACGACAGAACGATCCTATCTCAAATCTCAAAGCCAAATTAATTGAGTGGGGCATATTATCAGACGAAGAAGTAAAAGCTATTGACAAAGATGTGCGAGCTTTGGTTAATCACGAAGTTTGAGAGGCTCAGAATGCCTGTCCCCGAGACAAAATCAGATATATTGTTCGAAGATATCTACGTGCGCGGAAGTTAGCCTGCCCAGATGCGTGGCAGAACGGTTGATGAGACTTTTTACACCCCTTAGTGGATGCAAGAACTGATAAGAACTCTTCTTTTAGCGATAGCAATTCATATTCTTCTTATGTCAAATCAATTCAAGTTGTGCCCTCTAACACCAATACAGCAGAGGTGGGATACTGTCGAAATTTTACCAATTTTAAGCTACTTTTCACAAACTTTGCCTAGCCACAAAACCTTTGGGATAACTACAACTTGAACAAATCGACGAATCTCATTGCTTCATTCGGGCGAGTTCTGCGACGCATGCGATATGCACAGCGCCTGGTATGTATTTTTCTTTCCGGTATCAAATGCAGGCTATTGGAACCCTTATTTGGGACCATGACTCATTATTGAGACAATGCGGCTAAAACCCGAGAACATCTTGATGATCTCAGTGACTCAAGAGCCATGTATGTCCATCTAGGTAGGTAGACCCATATACTTAGGATCATATGTAACAACGGGATGTTTTGACTAATCCTCTACCTATGTAGTATTCTAACTGTTCTTCAAATGTTGAGCCGATTGGCTCAGCTGACTGGCTTGGCATACGTCCTCATCTATCAGCAAGGGATACCCAAGCGCTGGACGGAGTTTCTCATCTTGCCCAACTATGCATGTACTCTTATTCCGATCCCCGATCCCGATTCTTCGGTGACTCCGAGTTTCATCCCGCAAGCAGGACGGACCAAAACTATCCGGTGGAGGATAACAACAATGAACAGGTAATATCGCCACATCTAGAAGAGGAAGAAAATACTACGTAGAAATCTGAGGTCATAACGCGCAAGGGGAGATACGTATTCGGAATATTTCCCCTTTTTTCAGGTAGAAAGGAAGACGCTTGCTTCCAAATTCCATTGTTGATCTTGCTTGTGCCGTCGTCACCGGAGGCTTGCATCCGAGCGATTCGAACAATATATCGAACCAAACAATGACAAATTAATTTACCTTGTCAAGCACACTCATTGGTTCTAAATCAAGCCATAGAACTGCCTAGAGCCTCCACTCCGTTCCATCCATCAGCGGGAGGGTCGCCCTCCGAGGAGATCCTCGATCGTAAAAATCACGACCTCGGCAATTCCCCATATTATTGGCTATGAGATCGCAACTTCAAGCCAGTCTAAGTAAACGCGCTTGATCTACAGAATTAATTTTCTTTCGCCTGCGTTGACAGCGAGCGACCCGTGTCATTCATGCATGGCCCCTCCGCCCAGCTTGCCGATTGGCCAAAGGCTCCACTTCGAACAATCGTATGGCGATGATAGAGTTACGAAATCCTAGCAAATTCCAAATACCGGATTTGTGCGAAAGACTAGGCCTTTTCTCTCTCTCTCTTCCCACTAGCTTCTTGCTGAGTGAGTGAGAAGAGAAGAGCACGGGCAATGGGTCTCATCCACCAGGTTGATTTTAGTTCGTGTGTGCCGCCCCATAGGCTAGGTTGGAACGTGGTCTTGGCCGAGACAGCTCGACTATGTTCCGCGTGTGGGCCTTTTTAAATGATCGCCGATAGTCCCCCGCAGCAGAAGAAGTTTTCATGTCCCATGAACACCTAGAACCATGGTTGCGACCTGATATTCTGCCTCCATTGTATCAACTAGTTCTTAGTTTTTGTGAGTACGGAGCAGATACAGTATGTCGTCAAGCGACAGCATTGGGCGTGAATGGGTGGTCCAATGTGGGACGCCTGGTTTGTGGGGAAAAGTAGTATTTGTCACTGAAGCGGTCTATTTGGCCCTGCCGCTAGAAATTTCGGATTGTTGTTCCTGCTAGCCACGTAGCCTTGCACTTTATGTCATTAGATTGGTGGATTGGAGGGACGGGCTAGAGAGGCTTGCATTCCCCGGCTGAACGATGAATAATTGACATTCTTTAGGTGTTTCAGTGCGCTTAAACTGGTTAATGACCTTGAAGCCTGAAAGTATGTCTGGATTCTCCCGGCCGAGATTGCTATTTTCGTCTTCAAGGGACCGAATGTCTTGCTTCATGTATGCACATAGCCAGCTGTGTTTTTGATTACCTGTTGAGTTACATACATACTACGCATCATGTAGGAAGTATCCGTGGACTGCACTGCATAGTTGTATATGGGTATTCATGGATGAATTTCCAATACTCTCTTCCCTAGATTTAAGATTGATTTCTCACATACAGTATCCTTTATAGATGTGTACATTATGGAAACCTCCCTTCTCAGCCTCTTCATGCAATATGCAGGGTACAGTCCGATCGTAAGGGACCGGCGCCTCTTTCGTGTAACATGTTGCTGAATCTCAGCTGGGGCCAAATATTCCAATCCGAGACAACAGCCCGGAATAAGAAGTGCCAGAGTTTGAGATCCTTTCATTTCTTGTATAGGTCAACTCTGTTGACTGAACCGGAAACGAGCCGACCATAGAGGTTCCACCATATTCAAGGCCAACAAATTTTATTTTTATTTTTTATCTTGTTTTGTTTTTGATCAGATCATACAGTACGAATCTGTCCTCAACTGGACCTATGAACGAAATCATTGCCCAAGAAGATTGTCTCCACAGTTGTGGAGACGGTCGCAATGAGCCGACCAGATGCAGAACCTAGGGAGGATTCCTGCGCCCGCACGTAGACCACCGTAAGACATTATAACGCTCTTGCACCTCATCTGCTGACAAGGGAAAACTCCAGTATTTTTCAGAAATACCTGATCTCCCTCTAGGACCCCCATTTCTTGGGTATGGCTCCTGCGCCGGCGGTACCGACACTTTGGAACCCGACACTTTCCTGACAGTCGGGTCGGCCAGGATGATTTTGACTCGTCCGATTGTCAACAAAGCCCATGGGGTTCCCTCAGAATGGGAATCCCAGCACCATGGGCAAACCCGGGGAGAATATTGCTGGGATAACTACGGAGTATACTATATGCAAGGTTACATACTTTTAGGTTGACGATGTTTATCATGATGTTTCTTATTTTATCAATAATTTAGGGGTTTTCCCATCTCTTTGAAAGGTTTCAAGGTTACTTACATTTCGAAATCCATGTTTTATTCATGTAATTGACTTTCGCCCTGGTTTCGGGGTACGCCGAGTACAGCAGGTTAGGAGTTTCCCCCCTAGCCTCTACAGTAATTAGCTAGGTTACGAGCCGTTCTCACGACAGTCGATTGACGAGACGGGACGATTTCCTCGTGTTCCTTGTCAATCACTAGACTAGTATGACATCGGATCGGCTAATCTGAGCTCTGAAAACGATTTCTTGCTGCACTTATTAACTGCGTATGTAGGTTTAGATTAGTCTACTAGTAGGAAAGGAGAATACCCCGAATAGTATCGGAGAAATATACCGATTTAATTGGTATGCACTGGGCTATGCAAACAAGAAAAGAAAAGAAAATGCATGGTTACCCAATTCTTACCATGACGAGGCCACGAGTCCGAGTCAAGGATTTGGGAGCCCAACGACTTGGATGACCAGGGTATAATCCCAAATCCCGGATAACCGGAGCATTTCGCATGTCCCGCAAGTGCAGCTTCCAGATCCTGATCCCCGCCTTGATGTGTGGTCCGTGAGTTTTGTCTTTTTTTTCTTTTTTCTCGCAGGCTGTACATAATGCTACTCATTTATCTTGGTTTGTTGTGTTATAGAAGACCCCCTCTTCCACTATGCTGGGAGAAACCACGCACGGACATTAAAGAAGAACAGCGTTGGGGGCAACCCATAGGTCAAGTTAAATAGATCCAGGAACTGGAGGAGCATGAACAACAGACCAATGACGCGACCGACTGGCGCCCAGGCGTCTGGATTTCGCATCACAGGGGACGCTATTTCTGACAGATCAATTTGTCCACCGCCAGATCGGAGTTCTGGTAGGAATGGCACTAAAGTGTCAGCCGGAGCACCTACTTTGTTCTTCCGGAGGGGCAGGATGCGAAACTCCCTGCAACAATATAGGCTAGCTTGTTTCTTCCACCCATACCGCTACGACAAACCTTGGAAGTGAACGAGGGGCTGTACATAACAAGGATCCGAGTTTGTATACTCATTTTCCCCTTGAGGAAGAAGATATTTGAAGCACAAGTATGATGACAAAATCCAAAGCTTAATCATTGATTTTATAGAAGACTAGCGAAGCTGTAAGTTTCAAGAAATTCCATATCTTGGTACCTAGACCTGCCACCCTTTGGAGTGGAATCCAGGATTACTGACAACAGCTCCACTTGTCGTGCTGCGGGGCCGAGAGGTTGCCATTCAGTGGCGGATCAGAGAGATTTGTTATCATCACAGTCATACTCTCTCGATGTAGCCTAGGGTAGCCCAACCTTTCACTTTCTTTTTTTTTCTTCTCCAAATTTCCTCGGAGGGGGAAAAATACCGTGCAAAAAACCAATCAGTTCACCTGGTTCAACTTGTCGACCCAAACTGTCGGGGATGAATGGCGATCAGGATCACCCATGCGGCGTTCATGCACACATGTTTGAACATTTCTTTTTCCTTTTTTTTCTCTCCCTTTTGTATTTCTCGGGGAAAATTCCCAGGGCAAAGGGTGGAGCGGCCCGTGGCTGGCCCGGTTGCAAATTCCCAGGCCACTGGGAGACCTAACCATTGGCTACGCTTACCTGCGAGATTAAGAGTCCTTGGGAAACTGATTCATACATGGAAATAACAAATAAAATAACATAACATAACTCAAAAATGATTATACAATATGGAAATGGCGCAGTTTAGTGGAAAATAGACCCTTGGCAGATATTTCCCATGTGCGATCAAAGTCATTTTTATGTTTCCCAGCATCTTGGGACATGATTTAGTGCCCGGTGTTTGGGGGAAGGAGATGATCAACGAGGAAAGGGGAAATAAGATTAAATAATTAAATAATTAAATAAAAATGATATAAAATCCATGTGGGATAAAAGAACAAGAATAATCAAATCCATTCCCTTCCCAAAAAGGTCGATTTCAATCCGAACTTTGCTAGGACTTGATCGACCTGCGCTCGAACCACCAAACAGGGAAAGGATTTGATGTGCGGTTTTATACCTGCGTACATATACATGTATCGTGTATTTCCAGTCTCCGCTTCTCTCCAAGTCGGGCAATTGAAGCTTACAGGGTTTGATTTTATTTTCTTTCTTTACTGGGAATTAATATTTTGATTTCTAAGATTTTGGTTAAAAAGCCATATTACCAAAAACCCGCTTAACTTATTCCCCAAATCCCGATTCTCATTTTGATCTGACCCATTTTCTGACTTCCCTTCCGTATCTTTCTCTCCTTAGTTTCTTTCCCCCCACTATAATAAAATCTGAACCAGTGAATCCCGGGGAGGAAAAGTCATTCCAACATTTTACAGCCACCGTGCCACCTCGGTTCTAGCCCTAGCAACCGCACCTCGCTCTTCTGAGTCTGGTTTTACGCTGTCTAGAACTGCAAACTGAAACTATTCCATGGTTGTCCACCCGAAGCGCTCCCCCGCTTAAAGAGAACAAAAAAAAAAAAAAAAAAAAAGCCAAACCGAGCCAAACCCACTGCCCGACACTGACGTCCATGGATGCCCGGTATAGTCTGGCTTAACTTTGTACTCCATCCATGCACACCCTTGTACTCCACTCTCCCCCCCCTTCCCTGCGGGCCTTGATAGTTGCGACATTTCTGGTGTCGATCCCCGGCAGCTTGCCAGCATTTAGTTTATAGTTGTCCGGATCTTTGTCCCGTCCTGCCAAATTATAACTTAACCCGAGCTGTCGGGCTCGGCGAAGTACTGACATCCTACCCCCCTCCCCCAAATATATTCCACTTTGCTCCAATTTTTTGTCTCTTGAATCCTCTCCCATCTTGCCCTCCCACCCCACTCTCATCCTTTCCACTATTTCTCTCTTCCTCGCCTAGGCTTGCTACTGGTGGCCTTGAACACCAATTCAGTGCGGGATACGAAGTGGTGTCTCGCTAAATTCTGTGACCCTCGTCTATGTCACTCAATACTACTAGCTCCCCACTGTCGTTTACTATACTAGAACGGTAATAACTTGAACTCCATTGGTTGAAACGAGTACGAGGTGCTTATTTCTCACAATTCCCTCGCAGATACTATTTTATGCCCCCTTTACTATCTGTTCTACCCCCACCCGCCGGTCTGGAGCCCCTCTGCATCCTTCCTCTTCCTCTCCCACCCTCATTAGGGTTGGCATGCTTGAAGGCTTCATCTGCCTCGGTTTATCCCACTGTGTATACACCCGAGGCAGCCATGATGAGCCCCAAGTCTTCTGTAAGTACTAATCTATACCCGGAACAACCTGTGGTGACTATGTCCTCTTGTCACTCGGTCATATGTTACCCATTGCTCGCCAATTCCTTGCTTTACATACCGAACCAGGAATGCTAATGCATGATATGCAGGAACCGAAAAGCGAATGGTATGACCGTCCTGTCTACGAGTCTCCTCCTGTCTTTGCTGCGAGATTTCGAAGATTGACTAACTAGGCAACGACAGTGACACGCAGTCCTTGACTGACAGTGTAACGGACTATCCCGTCGAGAATGGGAGACGGTATCACAAGTACCATGAAGGAGGTATGTCACCCAAATGTATCATAAATCCTATTCTGCAGCTTTCCTAACCAAGATACAGCCTATCCGTACCCAAATGATGGTATAGAACTCGAGCGACTGGAATCGCAACATAAAATGTTCAAACTCGTCATGAATAATAAACTTTACCATGTACCTCTAGTAAAGCCAGATCAGATTCTCGACATTGGCACTGGCACTGGTATATGGCCGATGGAAATGGGTATGGATCTCCCGCTCCTCGCTGACAAGGTGGTGTGTGTCACATTCATGAAAGCTAATAGCTCATCACTCCCCGCAGCAAAATTATTTCCCAATGCCATCATCACAGGAACAGATCTTTCCCCTGTTCAACCCATAGAAGTTCCCGAAAATGTTCACTTTCTGGTCGACGACGCTACAGAAGAAGACTGGCTCTGGGAATCAAATTATTTCGACTTCGTTCACATTGGACACATGACAGGCTCAATGCCATCGTTCAAAAAAGTCTTAAGACAAGCATATAAACACCTCAAGCCAGGCGCATATATCGAGTGTCACGAGCTCGATCCCAAACCACAATGCGACGATGGTACCATGCCCCCAGAAAACCCGGATGGATTCAGCGCATACGCGGTTCACGACTGGTTCGACTTAAATGTGCGTTCTAGCCAAGAGGTCGAGCCAACTCGTCAGTTTCGAATAGCGAATCGTATTCAAAAGTGGATGAAAGATGTGGGGTTTGTGGAGGTTGAGCAGCGAAAATTCATGCTGCCAGTAAATCCATGGCCTGCCGATGAGTATCTGTCCAAGCTTGGAGAATTGAGCCAGAGTAACTTCCTTGAGGCTCTGTCTGGTTGGTCATATAAACCATTTCTTGCTCTTGGGTGGTCCAAAGTGGAAATTGAAGTGTTTCTTGTTGATGTGAGGAAGAGTATCCAAAACAGGAACATCCACGCTTACATGGAGTATTATGTGGTGACGGGCCGGAAACCCTTCCCTGGCGAAAAGTAAGATACAAACAAAAGCAGAAGTCGATGATGACGCAGGGATTTCCGTTACTCCCTTCTATGATGACCTTGATGTTTCTTTTCACGCCCTTTGAGAATGTTTTCGCTGAGATGATAGCATGATACCATGGCAGGAGAACAATATTGTTATATGCATTGCATTGGCGTTAGGCTTGACCTTTGAATTTTCATTTTTCATTTTTCATATTTCATATTTCATTTTGCATTTGATACTACACACCTTCTTACATTCCTACTTCTATTTCCTTATGATATTTTTTCTTTTTTCTTTTTTCTTTATTTCTTACCTTCTTGAACTTGGAATGGGTGATTGAACCATGCCCTCCAAAATCTATCGACAGAACCACAACTAGTTGAGTTCGCGTTACAAAGCATCAAAGATACTACTCGCACGCGACCAGGCATATTGACCACAGATGCATTTTTCCTCTTGTCACATGCCATGAAGCTTAGAAAATATATACATTAGATACCATGTTGAAATGCATCTTATAATCAAGTCTCTCAAGATCAACAACAACTTGAATGTAGCTATGGACGTCGGGACTAATCAGTGTTTATGAGATACTATGGTATTTCCATGTGACCCTCGTCTCACACCAATATATAGCCTGTGTTTCTTCTTCCTGTCTCCCTCTCTCTTAATTAGATCAACAGAGTCTATCTTCACACTCCACTATATCTCTACGCCTCCGTGGCTTCTCATCAACCTTGGAAGTGGTTATGCCAATATTTCACCTTTTGAAATCAGAAGAGACATATAGTGAATGACATCCAAGGAGGAGCACAATCCCTTCTTCTGCTTTACACCTATATAAAGCTAAGATATTGAGAGAACTCAGTATGTACTAGTATAAGTGTATGTATACATCAATACATATGTATCATCGATATGATATTGCCCGTTGTTGATTGGCGCGCCTACATGATTAGTCACCACGCGCCAAGAAATCCCGGCTGAAGCTGCATACCGAATGTTAAGTGTCTAATGACAGAACCCCAACACTGCAATTGGCTTGCACATACATGCCATACCACAGCTCATGTCTTTTGGTAGGCATGCCTGCCGGCATGCTTTAAAGCCGCCTACGACTTCAACCTTAGAAAACCCCTGGGTCAGCGACGATTTACTCGCGGCCACCTTCTTCCGCTTCGTCAACGGTCAACGACGACATGGTAGCTGTGTGCCCGGTCCTCTGGAGGCGCGAAGGCGACTCGCAAGACGTCGCAATACAGCTCTAGCAGGAATAGGAGGGCCACCAGTGGAGGATATTGCATGCTTGTTTGGTCGCAATGGCAGGGAGCATATGAAATGGACGGATCACCCGTGGCAGAGACCGCAGTGTGAATCCCAAAGTGAGCACAAAAACAATCAAAACCTCTGTATTTCCAGTGACTGACCATTTTTGAAGATCTAAGCAGTCAAGCCCTTGCGACGAACGATACCTCACTTCCCTTTTACGATCATAACCCCGATCCTATTGATTCGCGCATCCCGGAGAGCCGAATTCCAACATCTGTGAACGTGAACAGAAACAAGCCAAGCACGGAATCTAGGCTTCGACACTTCCTGTGTGGAAAACGCTGGGGAATTGAGGATGCAAGAGATTTTGCGAGGAGGTTGGGGATTGATCTCCAACGGAAGCCGAAATACAGCCGTCAAATATTCGACAGTCTGCTCAAGCGCTCGACTACGGACTTTACAGAGGCGGTTAGATTTCTGGACGACCCATTTTTGAACACCCGAGGCTCTGGGAACTATCTGGCTGCTGTCGAGTTGTTTGCTCGGACGCAAGCAAAGCGAAGCCCGCGAGTCGCCGTGCTGGATGCAATCGCCCGTGCTCTCGAGCTGGGATTGGTTCCATCAACTGAACTTTGCTCAATAGTCAAAGCTATTCCAAATATCCTCGTTGGGAAAAACAAGCCTCTCGGAAGAAGTGATCCGGGGGCCCTGAGAGCGCATTACCGTCTCTTATGGAAGGCTATCGGCCGTTGCAATATTCTGGGATATCGTGATTTGGATAAAGATGTTGTTGATGCCTGGCTCAAAGAGCTGAAAAGCGTCGGCAAAATTCGACTCGCTTCAGATATTATAGTCGCGACACACGGTCCTGGCTGGGATCACTACTGGCCGTCGACCTTTCTTTTGGACTGGCTTGAAACAGTCGAAGAATTCGACTCACCGAAACCGAATTCCTTCGAGTTTCCGAGGACCATATTGACGCAGATTGATCCTGACTGTGCAGTCAAATGTCTGATCGATGTCACCGAGCGCTTGGTTTCCAATCGTCAAACAAAATCGGATAACAACAAAGACCTCCTCAAATGGCAATACTGCTTGCAGGGCTTGTCCGCTAATGCGTCAACCATCGGATCTTCGCAAACATGGTCTGATCTCCCACATGCTTATATGCATAATCACCAAGAAGCCTTGGATGCATTCCCTTCAAGTGATGGCCTGCCCGTGCAGCATCAGGTTGTCATGCGACTATGGATCCTGAAGAGCTTGAGTCGTTCTTTAGGACCAGTGACTCAGAGAATAAAATCCACAGACCAGCCAATCTACCTGTTACTGAACCTGTACGAAACTGTGTCACAGACGACGGGGTCTTTCCTCGCTGACTTCTTACGCGACATCCATGGCCTCAACATGCCATATAACGGTCTTCTCCTGCTTGCAAATGATCTCAAGTTGAGGAAGTTAATTAATAATACCACACATCAAACACTTATAAACCTCGAAACTTCAAAGATTTCTTTGGAAGACACCTGGAACAACCGCGATATCTGCAACACAACTCGGCGTTTTCTCCAGGGCGCCTTCGAGCAGATGTTCCGTCAAATGGACCTCACAGATCCGCAGTTTATGAACGAATGTCTTCGTTTCGCGAGACTAGGTGACTCGGAAAGTATCTCTTCAATTATCCGTCTCCTGGACAGTCACACATCATTCAAGCTATCTCTTAACAAAGCTTCCATCCCTATTCCACACCCAGATGAAATGGTTCTCGTGCGATACCATCCAGCTCCACGGGAGAGCTGGTGTCCGGATCCTTATGTTGCAGCTGAGTTCATTCATCAGCTGGCAGTTGCAGCCTCCTGTTCTCAGCACTTAGCACCAAATCGCTCTTTCCATATTGTCCAATGGCTGTACCGTTACCTGCGCAGATATGGGGGACCTGTCTATCCCTCATTAGTGCGGGCGATGTATCATGCTGGTGTTGTTCGGTATCGACGCGAAGGACATCGCATGTCAGAGACACAGCAAGCGTATATTATGTGGATCATTCGCAAATTTGAAGCAGATAAGGTCGTTAAGCAGATGAATAAGGCGCTGTAGATCGGCGAGCTAAGTTCATCTTCGCATAGTGATCAAGTTTACATGGCATGAGAAATTTTGTATAGAAATAAATACCCGTTTGTATTTTCAAATGTCCCCGTTAGAATGCTCTTAAGATCTTGTCAGTCGAGTCCAGTGGTCTCAGCTTGCATATTTATGGATCCGATTTTAACATCTCACGCTTGATTGACTTAATCACTTTAGTTCCCACTCGCGGTTCCATAAGTTCCACAATATCTACCTTGGACCAACAAAGCCTTAAGAATCCTTGAAGGGTGTGTTTAGGTAGTCAAGGTTAGATAGCTCAACTTTTAATAGGAACATATGAATAGATAACTTCGATTGATTTCATTGATAGACTCGATAAACAGTAGTTGTAGAATCCACAGCACCATACACCGACCCCAATATTCGTTCATGAATACAACATCACAAGAAGGAACAAGTCCAGTGTATATTAATTCGTCTCAGAAGCATGAAGATAATTTCACTAGACTGTACATCACACAATTTCTAATGTCCGCTCTAGCTATCCACCTCCATATTCTCCGCAAGACTAGTGTCCCCAGAAAGGTTCTCGATAGTGACATATTTATTCATATCCTCCTTGCTGATAACCCTCTCGTTCAACACAGCTGTCGTACCACGTGGGAAACGGTAGTTGCGTTCCTTGTGTCCACGCTCATTCGGCTTCTCGTAGTTGCGCAGCAACTGAGTAGGCTTGTCCTTCTCAATGACACAAACATCGACATTGCTACCGGAGCCCAAATCGTTGAAGATACCGGCCTTGATAGCCTCCGCACAAAGGCTCACGGCACCGTCCCGGTCCAGATCAGGTTGCCATGTCGACTCGAACACAGACATCGCTGCCAATGATCCAGATCCCATAGTGACATATGGTAGCTTATCTGTCGAACCGTGCGCGTGCACAGTGTACAGGCCTGTGCCTGTTGGGTCCACGCCTGCAACAACCAGGTAAGCACCGATGTGGCCCTGGTAGCGGAAGAGGTGTTGCTTCAACATCGTCATGCAGGTGATGACACGGGGGTCACGGCCTGTAGATAGGGAGTGCAGCTCGACATTTGAGCTGATCAGGGCAGTGGTGAATTCAGTGTCGGCGGCTGTACCGGCACCGGCACACCAGATCTTTGGGGCAATGTAGTGGAGCTTCTCGCAGTTCTATTTCCAGATCATCTCACATTAGTATTCTGTGATTTGTAGTTTGTCCCACAGAAACAGTTCGGGAGGGTTTCTGGTTTTTCGTACCTTGTCTGCTACTATAGGTCCACTTGTGGCTCTGGTATCTGCGGCGATCTGTATTTCCCCAACAGGGTATGTCAGCCTTCGTCCTGGTGTGGTTCCTTTGTGGGATTATTTGATATCGGTGAGCTCGTACCACAACGCCCTTATCGTAAATACATCCCACGATTGTGGTACCTGTACTGGTAGCTTTGGGAAGTGGGACACCCCTGGCGTGAAGCGCCGCGTTGCGGTTGTAGTTGGAGAAGTCGAAGCCAGGCATCGTGACAATGCAGGGGAGGACCGATTAAGAGGGTGTGTAGCTGCTCAACCAGGAGAGGGAGACGCCGTTCTTGAAGTCAAGAATGAGGGATGGGAGAAGGTGAATCGAGATGGTGGAGTAGACGAATGGATAAGAGCAAAGGCGAGGAAGTCGGAGCTGTTGCAAGTGACGAAGCTCCCGCAGCCTAGTCTACCTAACTGGAGGGAAGGCGGTGAGTGGGCCAGCAACGATTCAGAATGAAACAAGAACAAGGTACATTTCCTTGTGCGAACATATTTAACTTATTACCATTTAAGATCGGACTTGAAAGACAAAGAAATGAATTTAAAATAAATACCCTCGTTAAGAAGGTCATTATCTGATTTTTTCGTCAAGGACTTCCAACTTAAACAACTTGATGACCATACGTAGAAGCTATACTAGTAGAAGCTCTTGAGAGCTTTAGGTTGGCGCCTCACCCGTCAGGCTGCCAACGCGTGTTTTTGCCTGCAACACATTTTCGGGCGTTCAACACCTTTCTCGAGACTTGATCGCATCTCCCTTTCTGCTCTCCATCGCGACTCTACCAGCATCTGCACTTCTCTCTCTTCTTTTGGGGGAGAGACGGAGTCATCATTTTTGCGCGTACTCTCCACCTTTTTAACCGGAGTCCCCAGGCACTCCCCCGACGTTCTTTCTCTTCCACGCCGCCGAGCTCGCCATCGTTCAATGCTTCGAGAACGAACTCACCTCTAGGCGACTCCCCTCGTACAGTTTCCGCCGACTTTGATCGAATCAAGATGGCTTTCAACCTCGTCCATTCGCATGCGGGGGCCGAACAGGGACCAGAGCTATCCGATGTCTTTACTGATGTATGTCTTCAAGAGCTCCTACGGCGGACAATGTCCAGTTGCTAACAGCAGTTTCAAGGAAATCGGCTTCAAAGGTATAGCTGGCGATGCTAACATCCGCCTCCTTCCCACCCCTTGGCCTGAAGACGCCCTTCCCTCGACAACATCTTCCTTGTTGGCTGTCGCGCAGAGTAAAGGAGTGGTAGTTGCTGCTGGGCCTAACGCCCTTGTGGTCGCAAGCTCCGACTCGATCAGAAAAGCTATCCAAGCGTCGACCGGAGAAGAAAAACTCAAAACAAAGCCCTTCCAGCCACAGAACACGATCCCTCTTCCAGCGCGCCCTACCCATGTGGCATTTACAGCCAACGATGATGCTTTGATCTTAGCCTCGGAGAATAGTTCACAGATCTCTGTTTTTCAGACTACAGACCTTGCACAGGCGAATGCGCAGCCGGCGATATCTATCCAGACAAACGGCGCAACTATCCGCACCCTTTCAACCAACCCAGATCCCACCTCTACTTTAGTGGCGCTTGTCACAGTAAATGGTGAACTATTGATCGCCGATCTGAAAGCCGGCAACTTGGTATCTGGTGCCAATGGCCCCATTCTAAGGAATGGAGTCAGCAGTGTGGCTTGGAGTAACAAAGGAAAGCAACTTGTCGCTGGAATGGCAGATGGAACTGCTGATCAAATGACGCCCGATGGGACCAATAAAAGCTTGATTCCTCGTCCGACTGATTTAGAGGGCGACTGTCATGGTAAGCACGGGTCGAGTCTATTTTCTGGGGATTATTGCTAACAATGATGTAGTCTCTTCTATATCTTGGCTTGAGAATGATGTGTTTTTCCTGGTCTACACCCCAAATGCCATTGAGGATGATATGGGCATGAATCCAGCATCGTCTTACTATATCATCACAAGACGCAAACAGGCGCCTTTCCTCACACAGAAGTTGCCCGAAGTTTGCTCCACCATGGGCTTTGCCCTAAAGCGTTCACCCGCATACAATTTCATTATACGACTCCGAGACTACAAGCCAGCTTTAAAGGATGTCTTGATCATATCATCAACCGCATCTACCGATGTTGGTATTATCACAAGATCGGAGCAGCCACTGGCGAAGGATGATGCGGCCCAAGCCCTTGTTGGCCAATTCACAACGACAGAAGTGAATGATGATGCTAAGAGAGCATCAGTGCCGTTGAAAGATTCCGTGGACGAGACTTCTGTCATTGGTCTGGCTGCCGATCTTTCTTCCGGTGAAAATGTCATTGCACCTCTTGCCGGCGAAGATATATCAGAAAGCTCCACTCCACTCCCCGGGCTTTTCCTTCTGAATAATGACGGAATTCTTTCGGCTTGGTGGTTTGTCTACTCCGATGCCGTTCGCCAGAAACTTCCGTACTCTGGCTTGGTGTCTGTTCCTCAGTCTTCCCTGGCAGCTTCGCAGATGCAGACCGCTGCTCCTACACCGGCCGCAGCGCCGGCACAGCAGCAACAGTCAGGATTCGGACAGTCAGGATTTGGCGCACCGTCAGCTTTGGGTTCATCGGCCTTTGGCACGCCTTCAGCCTTGGGCTCATCTCCCTTCGCGAAGCCATCAGGTGCGAGCTTTGGGAGCCCATCTACCATGGGGGCGTCGACTATGGGAGCAACCGCTTTTGGAAAGCAATCTGCACCGGCATTTGGCAGTACATCTCAAATAGGCGGATCTACTCCAGCCTTTGGTACAGCATCAACGCCAGGCCCCTCATTCGGAACCCCTTCCCAGCCTGGAGTTGGATTCGGCTCAGCGAGCACTCCTGCAAAGCCGCAGTTCGGACAATCTGGACTCGGTGCAGGATCTGGTTTTGGACAGCCTAGTTCTGGGGGTAAATCACTCCTTGGAACTGGAACCGGAACATCTGGGGGTGGCTTCGGTGCATTCTCTTCCGGGGGCGGTGGCTTTGGTGGTCTTGCAGCATCCAAGCCTACTGAATCACCCTTTGGAAAACCTGCCGATTCGCCCTTTGGCAATCCTGCAGGACAGAATGCCTTTTCAACAGCTTCAACATCTTCCCCATTCGGAACCAAGCCACAAACAGGTACATCATTCCCTCCCCCTTCGAATGAAACGAAAAATCCGGTGCACAACCCGTTCGGTGGGGGTGGATTCTCATTGGGGTCATCCTTCAAACCGGACGGTACAGCTGCTACCGATGATATGAAGGCCGACAAGCAGTCCTCTGGGGCGTTATCTTTTGGCGCATCTTTCGATGACATGGTATCATCACCTAATAAGACAAGTCCCCAGCCAGAGTCAATGGATGATGCGGAGGACTCTACTACTGTGCCTGCACCTGCAGATACTCCAAAGTCCGAGCCATCCTCATTATTTGGCAAGCCGTCCGCCCCGGTCACCAATCCCTTTGGAAAACAGACGCCTGGCCCCACCTCTTTGTTTGGGGTGCCTTCACCCCTGCCTACGCCTGCCAGTTCTACCAGCACTACCGAGACGACCAAATCCAGTTTCTCGTTTGGAAATAATACGACTACTCAGCCCACTTCTCAATTTTCAAACCAAAATCAGATTACAAGTCCTCTTTCGGCTCCCTCCGACAAAACAGCTACACCAAAGAGGGAACCGTCTGTCTCTACGCCTACATTTCCTTCTTCATTCGATGAACCCTTGCCCCCTGACCCTACTAGCAGGGATAGCTATGCACCTGGCGATACATCGGCATCCTCTAATGTTTCTAAGAGCTCAATTGAGGATGCGCCACTGCCTCCCGATTTTGCTATTCCGGAGAAATTATCATTCAATGACAAGGGTACTTTGGCCGAGAAGAAGACTTCACCCAAGGTGGAAGACGCTCCACTTCCCCCGGATTTCGTGACTCAAAAGAAGCCTGTGCTACAGGACGATGCCCCTCTCCCACCTGACTTCACCAAGAAATCGGCTAAAGTCGACGACGCTCCTCTTCCGCCTGATTTCATCAAGAAGCCGTCTAAAGTCGATGACGCACCCCTCCCACCCGACTTTGTTGGAAAGCCAAAGAAGGCCTCGAGCGTATTAGATGCTTCCTTGCCCCCAGCAATCACCAAGTTCACGGCAAAAGCTGTCCCCATTCCTGATGACTCAGATGCAGATTCAGAACAGGATGACGACGAGTCTGATTTCTCCGATAGCGGTGAGGAAATTACGCATGATGAGACCAAAATCCCAAGCCCTAAACCCTCGGCAGAAAGCTCATTTGGTGGACTTTCTGACAAGAGTTCGACTGGGGGTTTCTTTAGTGGATTTAATAAGACCGCCCAGAAGAAACCACAGCCATCTAGTCAGTTGTTTGGTGAGATTTCGAGGCAGCCTGTGCTGCCACCACCCAGCTCTCTAGTCCAAAGCGGGCGTGAGCCATACCGATCTCCCAGTCCTACTCGCGTTAATTCTCAAAAGAACACTCTGTTCAAAAGCCGGCCTGCACAACCAGCTGGAAGTGCGCTGCATGCTCGGAAGGCTTCTTTGACGCAGCTCGCTCAACAAAGGGGTGGGCAAATGAGAAGATCCAGCGATGCTGCTCGCGAGGAACAGGCCCGCGCTCATCAAGCAGCACAGAAAAGGCAGGAAGAAGAAGAGGCTCTCTCTCTATCTGACGATGATGAGGACGAGAGACTTCGCGCTGACCTTTCTCGGCCAGTCGAGCCTGTTACCACTTTGGACCCTTTCTTACCTCACCAAAATTACACGGGAGAGACTGCCAAGCCTGGTCTTCCAGGCATGATTGAACGATTGTACCGCGACATCAACTCTATGATCGATACACTGGGCATCAATGCTCGTTCTTTGGAATCGTATCTTCTTTATCAGCAAGGTTCCCAGACTTCGGGCACTGACAAGCTAGTGAACGTTCTTCAAAGCGAACAGCCTTCCAATGTGTTGGATGAAAATTTGTTCTTGCAGGACATCAGCAAATTGGATGATGCCGTAGCTTCTCTGGGTAACTCTCTTAACAATCAGCGTGTACAAGGAGTCGAGGAAAAGCTGGACCAGTGCCGTCAGCTGCTGACCAAGGAGATCATAACCCTCCGTAGCCAGTGTGCTAGTATTCGCAAGACTCTGGATGCACACACAGATACCGGTGCTATTCTTGTCGCCCCCCTTTCCGCCGAACATGCTACTCTTCAACATGACCTGCGGAGCACATTTACGGAGATTCAGAGCAAGATGGCAGATTTGGAGCAAAGCGTCTCTATGTTGCGAGCGAGAATCGCCGACATTCCTCGTGCTGATGGTGACTCACGACAGTCATCTAAGCGCCCGACCGTCGAAGCCGTCACTAAGACCATTGCTACAATGATGGGTATGGCTGAGAACAAGAGCAGCGACATCGATGTTCTTGAAGCTCAAATGCGGAAGCTAGGCGTTGATATTTCCAACACTGTTCCTAACAGCCGCGAGGGGTCGCCTTTCACTACTCCACGCAAGAACACTGGACGTTTCCCAAGCACGCCCGGCTCGCGCGGGTCCGTGGATCAAAGCGCTTACCATACACCTGAGTCTGCTTCTCGCGGTGTCAACTTCCGGCTCAGTATCAATGGCTCTGCCAAACACAGCCGTCTTCGGAGCGTTGAGAGCATCGCACCTGCCATTGCGCAGGAGGAGAGTACTCGATGGAAGATTAAGGCTCAACGTCGCCAGCATCTAATTGGAAACCTGAAAAAGGCCATTGAAAAGAAGGAAGTGAAGGTGCGCGGCGTGGATGATTTATAGAAAATCCGTTTCATGAAGATTGTACGAGCAAAGGAATTCAGCATTCGGACGCATTTGATTTTCTTCCCTTTTATTCTGTCCTGGCGTAGCTTCCATAGGTATGGGAGCGAATCTACAAGATCTTTCGAACCCCTTTTTAAAGATGTACATATGTTCTTTTTTTACCATCTCTGTTGTGTTTTATTCTATTTCTTTCTCATTGATCCATTGGCATTGAGCCTCAATGAAGACCGGAAACACTGACATCATTTTCCGTGGGTGACATCAGAACTAGACTCTGGCCCTGACATTGAGCTTCAAATAAGCATTGAACTTCTACCAAGTAAACATCTTCACCCTCGGTATCTTATCCCCCCTGCCATAGGAAGATTATTATGTCGGTCACCACTAGTGAATTCATCTTCTTTAAAATTAAGCCTTCTGTTCGTCCCGAAGAGCTCGGCAACAAGGAAGGCGAGGAGCTCCAGCAAGTATTCGATGATACAAAACACCAAAGTGGGCATGAAAGCTCCGCGTGGGGCCGGTCAGCTGAAGACGAGAATATGATAACTTGGGTACTTGGTGAGTGGCTGCCTCAATTTCCTTGAGAACAGAGATATTCGAATACTTTCACTACATCTACCTACGCTCCATATACATATTCAACATACAGAAAGTTAACCAGACACGCAGAGTGGACCGACGCCCGTAGTTCCGCAAACACAGATCACCTGAAGCGTTATCTCGATCTAGATGCCCAGCCACCGATGGCAGTCTATTCGACTTTATGTCCTCCGCTCGCCAGTTCAAACACATTGACCAGCAACCCGGTGACAGAGATCTGTGTGTTATCCTTTGCCAGTTCGCTTTCGGGACGTGAAACCAAACAGCTTCATAATGATCTGATTAATTTCCGGACTTCATTATTGGAGCTGTCGGAAGCGGCGAGACCAAAGTCCTGGTCTATGGGGCAGGTGGATCGGCCGAGTACCGTAGAGCATGCGAAGAGTCCGAGTGGGAAAGCAGTGTTGCACATTTTGACGGTGGGGTGGGAATCTGTTGAGGCGCATAAGAAGTCTAGAGAGACGGATGAATTTGTCTCTGCTATTGCGCCAATTCGAGAGAAGTCGTTGGGGGCGTTGCCAGGACTGGACATGAAGCATGTTAGCTTTCGGAAGCTTTGAACCGAAACTTTCCAGTTGCTTGATGTGGAAATGGGGTGGTGAGGATAGACAAGTAAAAGGATTTGTTTAGCAATGCAAGTGTTCTTTCAGGATTGATATTTCCGGGTAGATTGTCGCGGTGGGTGTTAGAGTGATATAAGTCAGGGATGCGGCGAAGAGAAAAAGCAAGCTTGGGGCTACGGGTATGTGGGGGAAGGGTATGGGGAATAGAATTCGTGGGATTTGGTTATTAGGAGGCAGAGTTTTCAATCACAAGCCTCGAATAAGATACAGCGAGAAAGAAATGGGTTAGGGAAAACGTAAACACCCGTGAGTTTGAACAAAAGAAACGGAGAAACAAGAGAAAAGGAAGAATGAATAACCAAGTAAAATAGTCGTAAACCACCGTGGACTTTTTGGGCCTAGCATTGCTTGGGCACCCAAGGCAGAGAAATAAACATTTCGGCTTAGACGCGGTGCTTCTCGCTTTCTGGGTGGTTGTTAGATGACAATCGGCTAAGATATATGGGGTTTGGGGGGGAAACGAACCAAGGCGAGAATAGAGCATGTACAGAGCCATTTGGTTGCACTCCTGAGTACCTGTGATAGTAACCAGACGCTCATTGCTGCTCTCCTGGGGCTCGTTGATCTTGATTACACTGCCGCTGAGGTGGCGTATTTCATTAATCTTGGCACCGCCTTTTCCAATAATGGCGCCGACCATGTCGTTGGGGATGTAAATCTGCTGGGTCAGTGGCTGGCCGGGCATGGCAGCAGCATTCACGGGGGCAGGGGCAGTCGGGGCTCCACGGCCAGGTGTAGGCTGGGGACCACCCACGTAAGGAGTTGGCTGGTGCGGAGCAGGACCGCCAGCATAGGGAGTATGGGGAGTAGCACCATAGGGCATGGCAGGCTGACCGACAGGGGCCGGGGTCGGCTGGCCATGCATGTAAGGGACGCCATAGGCACCCGGCTGACCACGGTTGGGGTGAGGGTGGTGACGCTTGAAGGTGTCAGGGTGACCATACTGGCCGCCGGCAGGCTGAGGGACATATGGGACAACTTGCATGCCACCCGGGACACCACCAGCAGGGCCACCACTACGAGTGGCATATGCTGAAGCGGCAGCACCGCCGAATCGCTCCGTCAGTTGTTCGCCGAGAGTAACAGCGACGTAGTAGGTCGCAATGTGCACGGCATCTGCAACACCGAGAATGACCAAAGAGCGTTCAGTTGATAACGGAAGACAGGCGTCGGAGGCGTTCAAACGGGCGCCAGAAGCCTCTTGGATCTCACGAATACGGCTGCCACCTTTACCGATAATGGAACCAATAAGAATGTGCGGGATTAGCAAACGCAGCGGATAGGTCTTGGACTGGGCAGTGGAAGGGGCATCGAGGGGTTCATTGTTCAGAGTACGAATGATCAGGCCAAATGCCTAGGCAAATTAGTATGAAATTCACGGGTGATATTATGAAACGGTGGAATGGGAACCTACTTTGGCCACCGCGTCCTGGGGGCCGCTCACGGTCAGAATCCGCTCTACGGCACCCCGAGAATAATCGCTGACGGTGCACTTGGCGCCGGACATACGACGAATCTGAGACACATTCTCACCTCCCTTTCCGATAACTGTAGCTGCCTCTTGGCTGGAAATCACAGCACGAATATGGATCCAGTTGGATTCGTCCTGCACCGTATGTTCGGATTGGGAGCCAGCCCGTTCACCTTGCGACGCGGTTGACTGAATGGGCTGAGTTTCGGGGAGGCCTTTTCCATTGGGAGCATCGGGGACGACTGTGTCACCTTGAGTGTCTTTGGAATCCTCGACACTGGGAATCTGGTTGCTCGAAACGTCCGCTTCGGCTTCGGCATCGTTGCGAACTACTTTGTCGAGGGCTGGTCGTTTGGCCTCGGGTTGATCATTGGGAGCCGAAGGAGACGAAGGGTCCTCGAGAGGACGCTTGGTCGATTGAAGATTGGAAGGAGACGCTGACATGATCTTGGCGATGAAAGCGCTGAGCTGTAGTCTCACTTACGTGAAGGAAGGCGAGTATCAAGAATGAAATCTGCTTCTTCTTATGGATCGTCTATGTACACCAGTGGTTCCCACGGAAAACGTGCTGGTGCTGGCGATCAGGGAAAGGATCTGGTGCTTGAAATTGGGATGGAGAAAGAGATGGTGTATGGTCGACGAGGAAGTGTATGCCAATGACAGAGAGGTGGGGGTTTGTGGGGCCTTTCAGAAGCACAAGAAGCACAAGAAGCTTTATTTTCTTGTATTTTTCCCTTTCCGTCACTATGAGGATTGCCGGGGAGTATTCAAGGGGATGAAGAGCGAAGAAGGTGAAGGTAGGTGCAAGAGGTTCGTGGATGCGACTGGGCTGTGGGTAAGGAGAGGGCGAAACTAGGAAACCAAGCCAAAAAGAGCTTTTCCACTCCAGATAACTGCTGCCTCACGATGAAAAAAAAAGGAGACGCGCCTTTGAAGGGGAAAGGAACCAGGGGAACTGGGGAAGGGAGGTGGGACGAGAATGGTAGTTGATGGAGGGAGATGAAGCGGAGCGATGAGGTTACTCGTTGCTTGTCACTCAAGCTAAACCGAAACCAGTCACGTCACGTGGTTTCAACGCGACGCGGATGTTTTGTACTGGTTCACCTTCTTGATAGTACACTTTTCGAAGAAATTGGCTCAATTGCAACGGACGATGGCAAAAATGAATGGCAATATGGAAATCTCCGAAGATACGGTGCAGAAAATCCAAAAATTTGCTGCGAACCGTGCGGCTGTGGAGATTGAGTCGGCGAGCCAACCTCTTAGTGCAACGGCTTTGCATGCCTATACGCGACGTTTAGATGGGACGTTGCGAGAGCTTCAGGAACAAGTGCGACGCCAGGAGAATGAATTAAATAAGGTATGTAAGTCTCGCATTATATATTAAAAATATGCTAAAAGTTCATTACAGCTACGGGAGATCCGTTCTCACGGCGTTTTGGAAGATGAGAGTGATCCCTGGATACGTGTCTCGAATGCTCGAAGAGCTAAGAAGGCATATGATTCTTTGTTCCAAAAAGAGGAAGAACTTCCAGTGACGGACTCGGTTCTTCCTTCACTATTGGCGATTGAAGAAACATCCCAAGCCATTAAGGAGAGCAAAACTTCCGTCTTAGTAACGGCGGAGAAATTATCTCAAGATCGGGAACGCCTTCATATAGAGGAAGCAAACCTACGTGATTCCTCTGCAATTGCTAGTGGTCTTCGTGAGAGACTCCAGCGGATCCGTAACGCCGCCACTCGAAAACAAGAGCAGACGCCTTCGCAAATGGCACAAGAAACGCTAGGTGAACAGAAAAAGAAAAGACGAGCGCTAGATCAGGCATCTGAAGATCTAAAAGTGTCTTTGAACATATTCATCGACGATACCCTAGCTCCTATGCTCGCTGCAGAAGATCTTGGAGGCCCTACGGTTGGCGATGCGCTTGAAGTATCTGACGCGACATTAAATGCCGGTTATACGGCCCACGGGAGACCGAAGAGACAAAAGCAAACAGTCGACGCCGATGATGGTCAACAGCGGATCGATCAATTTATTAATCGTAACAAAGATGGCTCCGGACCGTCGAACAAGCGAGAATCGGCAGCAAAGGAAGTGCATGAACTTCTGAATACCTTGTTAGAAGCTGGTACTTCATATGTGACTTTACAACGGGACTCTGCAATCTCGAGGTTCCTTGTAAGAGCAAAAGTGGCACAATTCCATCCGCGAGATGCGCGGCGTCTTCGGCTGATTGACTTTGGCCGGTCACTGGGTGAATAATCGAGAAATTAAACTGATCATATGCGCGAAGCTGGCAAGAAATAGTATTGTGTCTACTTATATCCTAATTTAGTTTGGGCGCTCGAAACAATGAATTGGCCACTTGTCAGTGATACCAATTACCAGTATGAAGTGCCTGGCTGGACAGAAATGATAATTCCGGGGGATGTAAGAACGCCTAAAAATGCCCATGCAAGTAACGCCATATCATGGTCACCCCATTAGAAAAAAAAAACTTCAAATGGGCATCATTCCAATCGTAGATTTCGGTGTCTTGGTCTTCGTTGTAGTTTTCCGAGGAGCAGCAGATGACCGGCTTGGTGCACGAGTACTCGTGTTGCTCTTGGATCTGGAGCCTTTAGCTTTCCAGTTTGCAGACGAACCGCCATTTTTCCGGCGTGGCTTTTTGGTGTAGGGTCGTTTGCGCCCTTTGGAGCCAACAGCTGCTGGTTCGGCATCAAAACCGCCAGGGTCAAACCCAGGTGACGGGGGAGGGGGGAAGTATCGGCTCGTAAGGTCTTCGTTGGGCTCTTGGGAGAACTGGGTGTCGAACTCGAAGGCAGATGCCTGGTCTGCGAAGAGGTCATCGCCGTCACTGTACTCATCACTGCTGCTGAGATTGATGACATTGTGATGGTTGGGGTCAGGGACAACGCCATTTGACTCAGCCTCTTCTTTCAATTCATGATAACGGCGTTTTGTATTATCGACCAATTTTAAGATCTGGCGTCCATATCGTTTGACCTTGTCTTGATCAATACCAGGCAAGGCAGCAAGCTGTGAGAGATCTATTTAAAAGGTTAGCATTGGAATACGTCCGCGCCTTGAGCTTGGGGTGATGCCTCACCACTGGGAAAAAAAATGGCCATGTCGCGTAAGATATGGTCGGGGAATGGCTGGGCACGGAGGCCCCTTTCAACAACGATCTACCGAAAGCGTTAATACACCACTAGCATAGTCAACAGAATACGAGACTTACATCCTGCAGGAATCTCTTGGCGGTGACCTCAAAATCCTCAGCAACAGCACGATGAAGATGATCAAGGCGGTCCATCTTTTGGTCGGTCGTTATTGGTGGACCAAGCTCATGGCGACTTTGACGTTTCTGCTTGCCCGGTACCCTGATTGGCTCAAATCCGTCGCTCTCGTCATCTTCCGAAAAGTCCAGGAGTGTTTCGTGAGGCTGAGAGCGAGCTTGGCGGCGATGGTGAGCTGATTGAATTGGTGAAGATACCAGTGTAGATTGTGGATGGCTCTGATTGCTACTCTTGGATTTCGAGGTCGGCCTTGACGCGCGAGCTTTGTTTGGAGAGACGCGCATGTGTAGCTTCAGTTTCCGCTTTCCGGCTTCGTATTCGCTGGCGTGGCGCCCAAGAACAATATATTGAACAGCAAAGTCCTTCCCATTGATCTGGTTATTTTCGGCCAAGGCATCCTCGCCCAGGAGACGGTAGAAAAGTCGCTCCGCCTGGCCTCTATCAATGGCAGACCCCTTACCATACCCAGGGTTTTGTCTGTGTGACGGGCATTTGGGTCTTTTCAACTCACCACGAAGAATATCAACACAGTAAAGTACAGTGACGTTGTTTGTGTTGTCTTTTAAATTTTTCGGCTTTGGCAAATTACAAAAGTAGCGCACAATTTTAACAGCCCATGATGCGTATTCCGTAAAATCCTGTTCTTCGAAAACAACATCTGACTTACAATTGTCACACGTATTAGCGCAGTCTTCTCGGCGGAACTGTTCGTTAAAATATGCGAGTACTTGGACTCGTCTACAATCACTGCGGTTCTCGCAGAATTGGACAACATTCCTCAGCATGAGTTTTTGACGTGACTTTTGTTCCCAGCTGCCGTCGCCTTGATCGATCATTCGTTTCAGTGTAGTAGTGTCTCTGTAGCCATAATAGAGATAGCAACCGGAGCGCTTTCCATCTCGCCCGGCACGACCGGTCTCCTGATAATATCCTTCGAGACTTTTGGGGATACTGTGATGGAACACAAAACGGACATCTGGTTTGTCGATTCCCATACCAAAGGCAATTGTGGCGACAATAACATGGCATTTCCCCATTTGCCATTGCTTTTGTACCGATGCTTTCTTTTCGGGTTTCAATAAAGCATGGTAATGCTCTGATTTGATATGATGCTTGTCTCGAAGGACGGTCGCCACTTCTTCGCATGTTTTGCGAGACAAACAGTAAATGATACCGCATTGGTTCCGGTACGAGGTCTTGATCGTCTCAGCGATGCTAGTCAGAACTTCATCATTTTTGCCTTTTGGTCGCACTTCGTAGGTCAAATTTGGACGATTGAAGCTTTGCAAAAATACTTCGCATCCTCGCATCTTCAAGTTATGCATTACATCGACCTTCACATTCTCTGTGGCGGTGGCAGTTAAGGCCATAACTGGCACACCAGGGAATCTTGTTCGAACTTCCCCAAGCTCCTTGTAGTCTGGTCGAAAGTCATGGCCCCATTGACTGACACAATGCGCCTCGTCGATCACTAATCGCGCCAGTCTATTCCGACCATGAAGTTTCTCCAAGGCTTTGATGAGCGTTTGGTTTTTACTAAGCATCTCTGGCGTGATGTACAGCAACTCCATGTCTCCTCCTCCATTATTGGCCAATTGATCAAGGATCCATGACCGGTCACTTTTATTAGTATCACCATTGACCAGCAATGCATTGATGTTGAGCTCTTTTAGATGGAAAACCTGATCTTCCATGAGACTCAGGAGAGGGGAGACCACAAGTGTGACACCCTTAGTTCGGCCACTTGACACGACAGATGGAAGCTGATAACACAAGGACTTTCCTCCACCGGTTGGCATCAAAATGAAAGTGTCCTTCCCGCCAAGTGTTGCATCGATAGCCTCGAGTTGATTTGATCGGAAGCCACGAAGACGAAATCTATCCTTGAGAACAGTTCTTACATCGTGGGACCAGGGATGATTAGACCAAAAATTGTTTCGACTGGGTGATTTCTTTGGTGCTTGACTTCGAGAAATGTTCCCAGACGTCTCAGCAAAAACCTGGCGCTCCTGTGTATGTATTTCATTAAGAGACGGTGGCGCATCTTCATTGAAGCTGCCAGCAACTTCAAGCATTTCATCATCACTATCATTCCAGTCAAAATCATCAAAGTCCATTGACGGTGAGCCCATGTTTCGAGAAACGCTTTTCTCGTTGCCAAGACGGTGGGTATTAGCTTGCCCAGTCAGCTTAGACGGTAAGTTTCTGTCGGTCATACCAGATGCGGCAAAAGAAGTTGGTTCTCTTTGGGGCGATTGGGGTCGATTCATAGGCGGTGGTAGGTAAGGGGAGGGGTCTCTGCTGAAACTCAAGCCTTCATCCTCCTTTTCGGGGTCGCGAGAGTGTGAATCTGAGCTATAAGAAGCAATGCTGGAGTCTTTGACCAGATCGAAGACTCTAGCTTGGGGCAAAAGTTCGCGTATCTTGGCTTCAATCGCCCCCAACTCTGCTTCAACTGCTCGGCTTTTTGCGAGTTCAGTTGGCATGGTCGTCGGATCAAGTCCCTGGGAAATGACTTGCATGAGGCTTTCTTTCAATTTTCCCTTTCGAGAGACACAACTACTATAAGCCGCTTGCTGGGATTTTAAAGTCTCAATGGCTTGTATTCGAGAAATGAGACTCTGGTTCTCAGCAAGTAAATGTGGAGCGGCTCGGCCTTCCATGGCCTGTTCATATACCATCTCCGCATTCTTCTGCCGGGTCTTTTTAAGGTTTGAGATGCAATTCTCAAGGGCCGATGACGAAATGGCCACGAATTTCAGAATCTGTTCATCTTTGGTCTGAGAACTGGGAACACTCATCCCAGGAGACTGACGCAAAATTTTTGTTTCTTTTGTTTTTGTTATGTTTCGCGCTTCTCGGGACGGTAGTTGTTCAGTAATGCGGCTATCACGGCGTTTTTTGGTCTCATTATCAGCAGGGCTTAGCTGGGGTAGCTTAGGATACAGCCCTGAGTCATCCATGATCATTTTGTCAACATCATCGTCCACCCAGTCATCAAATGAATCTTCCTCGTCAGAACCAGCGATTATTCGATTGCGGTTGCTCTTTTGAGGGGACGGAGACTCGGTTTTTGGTTGTCTCGTACTTCTGGAAGATTTTGACCAGTCTTCGGTTGGAGCGAACTCAGAGATCGACTTCACAGACGTGATCCCATTTGCTTTTGAGGGATTTCGGATTTTAGCCGTATGTTTAGATGGTGACAGAAGGTCGGACGTGTATTCGTCGCTCTTCCGCTTCTTCCCACGCTTTTCAGTAGTCTTCTCATGTGTTGCAGCCTCCTCGGACCACAACCGACGGGGCTCCACGGGGCCAACTGATGACGATGAGATGAATCGCGGAGGATCTCCTGTCAAATCAACTGACTCTATATCGCCGAAGGGAGATGCTTCAAATTTGCGGTTTGATCGGAATGGTGTCGTTTTGGGCTGAGCACGTGTGAATGAGGACGTTGGTGGTTCGAGGCCTGTGTGACTATCTGCGAATTTCGTTAGCAACGGCGCATTGCACTCTATTGTGTGGATACATACCTGCTACAGCGGACTTTATCGAGGTTGACGTTTTAGACGTGGAGGGCGGTTCAGCTTTCCATGTCTCAAGATGACTAGGCAGCCGAGGCTTGCTCGCTGATAATGCAGTCTGCAATCTTGCCATTTCTTCGTTTGTCGCATCCTCGGCGTCCTCAATGATTGCATCCAAAAGTTCGCTTTCGTCGGAAGGCGGAGTTGGCTGTTGGGAGGCGCGCTCGCGTTGGATCGGAGGGGCCTCAGCGGACAGCAAAGGGTGAGAGGAAGGGGCTCGGTTCAGTAGCCATTTGAGATGAGCGGAGAGATTATTTTTCGTCATGGGGGCGTGACAATCTCATGGCGTTGTACTCGTCGGTGTTATCTCCAGTTCAATAGTTTGCTGTCGCGCATAAGACGCGTTGAGCACGTGACTTATAAGGGCCCACATGATTGATGCTGTAACAAACACTCGCAGTCACACTTCTGAGGCTAGAGGGAAATTGGCCTATGTATGTAGTGAATACGACAATCTTTAATATTGTTAGTTCTTTACCTACGTATTGATCGATCCAAAGTCCCATTATCACTAGAATACCTACTCATTATGCACTTCTGTTATCAAGCCCTGCGGGGCCGCACTCGATAGTGCTCTATCGGCAGCGTTTTTTTCATATGCCCCACCACGACTTGCCAGTCTGCAAAAATCGGCCCATTCAAGACCACATCCAGCGATGGGTAAAAAAGACAAGAAATCCGCCGAGCATAAAGCACGGGTGGCGGCCAAGCAATCCAAGAAAAGTGCCCAGAAGGAGAAAAAGACCAAGACGAAGGGCAAGGATGCCGACAGCGACGTTGAAGATGCCGATTTAGATGCCATCCTCGCTCAGTACGCTGAGGAACAAGCCAAATTCTTGAAGGTGACTGAGATTCCTTCTGGGCCTCCTGCGCCACGCTCATCTGCTACTATTCTTGCATCGCCATCCAATCGGAATGAGCTCCTGCTCTTTGGCGGCGAGTACTACGATGGTACCCACGCAACATTTTTCAATAATCTCTATGTCCACTTGATTGATCGAGGCGAATGGAGGGAGGTTACCAGTCCCAATAGTCCTTTGCCTCGAAGTGGACATGCTTGGTGTCGTGGAGGTAACACTGGAGGTATATATCTGTTCGGAGGTAAGATCTACTACTACCAAATCAAAGCCTTGGAACATTCGAAAAAATGTCCACGGTTGTGAACTCAGTAGGAGTATTCAATCTAATGAACATCAGGTGAATTTTCGTCGCCCAAACAGGGAACTTTCTACCATTACAATGACTTCTGGCACCTAGACACGGCGTCCAGGGAATGGACTCGTCTTGAGATCAAGGGCAAAGGCCCCCCAGCTCGTAGTGGCCACCGGATGACTTACTACAAGGTAAATTATAGCTCAAAATGCTTTGAATTGCTAAAATGTCTCAGCTAACTCTTGATACATAGAACTATATCATCTTGTTTGGTGGTTTCCAAGATACTTCCCAACAGACGAAATACCTCCAAGATCTGTGGATTTACGATTGCCAGAAATACACCTGGTTTAATCCAACCCTGACTACGGCATCGCAGAAGCCAGATCCTCGATCTTCGTTCTCTTTCCTTCCGCACGAAAGTGGTGCCGTTATCTATGGTGGTTATTCTCGCGTGAAAGCCGTCAGCGGTAAGCAGGTCAAGGGTGGTGCACAGAAGATGACTCTGCGTCCCATGGTCCACCAAGACACCTGGTTCCTTAGGATCACTCCCCCAGCCCCCGATGCCCCAGCAGCTGCTGGTCCAAATATTCGCTGGGAAAGGAGAAAGAAGCCTGCCAATACCCCGAACCCAGCTCGTGCTGGAACTACCATGGCATACCATAAAGGTCGCGGTATTATGTTTGGTGGTGTTCACGATGTTGAACTGACAGAAGAAGGAATCGATAGCGAGTTTTTCGATACCTTATTTGCCTGGACAACCGATCGAAACAGATTCTTCCCGTTGTCCTTACGACGACCCCGCGCCCCTGGCAAGAAACAGCAGGCGAACCAAGCTGCTAGATCCCGAGGCGATAGAAGCAAAGCCAACGAAGAAGATCTTCTGCAGAACCTCAAGGCACTGGAAGCCAAGGGTGGGATTCGCGATGACGATGGCGATGAATTTATGCAGCTCAGCACACCAAAAGAGGAACCTGTTGAGCCTTCCAAGCCTGCTGTTGTACGATTCGAGATGCCGCATAGACGCTTCAATGCGCAGCTTGCGGTACAGGATGATATGCTATTCATTTATGGAGGGACATTCGAGAAGGGTGACCGGGAATTCACTTTCGATGACATGTACGCCGTTGACCTTGTTAAGCTGGATGGTGTCAGAGAGGTATTCTACAGGGAACCCGAGAACTGGAACCTCATGGATGAAGAAGAAAGTGACGAGGAAATGGATGATGAAGATGATGATGAAGACATGGATGACGAGGATGGTGATGCTATGTCTCTCGATACGTCGTCACCTGCCCCAACAGAAATTACTGTGCCATCGGTTACCCAGGATTTGGAACAACTTGAAGTCGAAGAACAAGAGTCCGAAACGCAGCCTCATGACAACCGACCATTGCCTCGTCCATTCGAGACCCTCCGTGAATTCTTCGGTCGTACTTCCGAGGAGTGGCAAAAGCTCCTTATTGAAGCTATAAGACTTAAGGGCGAGGACAGCGAGAAGAGCATCAAAGAGTTGCGGAAGGCTGCATTCGACAAAGCAGAGGAGAAATGGTGGGATAGTCGTGAAGAGATCATGGCTCTGGAGGATGAACAAGAAGCAGCTGGTATTGGGGAGGTGGTTAACATGGCCGATCGGACTGAAAATGTGGGAGGAGCTGGTCGCCGTCGTTGATGAATATAAAAGTGACATTTCATTCCATACTATTAGTTATTACGATAGCGTACCCGGTATATACAGGCCCTTGTATCTACTTGTTCTTTTCATAACTGTGCCACTTGATCCAAAACGCCAATCACCAAAGCAGTATCACGTACAACATCCACTCGCCAGTTGGAGATAGCAATTCGAACGGCTGGTGTACCATCCCAACTGCTGCCGGAGACAAACATCCGTGATGTGTCATTTATCTTCTTAGCCAATTCCTGGTTCAGGGCATCATCCTTAGCACGAAACAGGACACTCATGAATGTCTGGTCCACGAGCTCAGCTTTAGAATTCGCCTCTGGCAACGCTATATATGCGGGGCTATCAAAAATCCATTGATAGATAGCACGAGCAAGCTGAATCTGGCGTTCGAGCATTTCTCGGTATCCATCTCTTCCGTAATACAACAGAGACGCGTACACTGGCAATGCTCTGAACCGGCGGGAATTTTCAATACCGATGTTGAGAGGAGACGGAATTGATGGGCCATCTGTTGCGCCTGCGCTCAAATAGGCGGCATTGGCATTTTGGAACACTTTAGCGGCTAAGTCTGCGTGTTGAGAGAAGAAGAAACCACAATCATAAGGCACATTCAGCAATTTGTGACCATCTCCGGTGATTGAGTCCACGATATCAATTCCATGGCTGCCTTTCTTGATGGTAGCATACTCTGGCTTATCGTCCAGAGCTCGGGCGAATATTCCAAAGGCACCGTCAGCGTGCAGCCATGCACCATACTTATCACACAGCCAGCGAAGTCTGCCCAATTGCTCGACTCCAGAAGTGGCAAATCGGCCAGTATTAACTTCACCACATGAGATAGCCACAATGCTCACTTTGTCGGTTCTTTTCAGCTCGTTTTCCAGCTGTTCCATATCAAACTGAAGTGGATTATCATCTCGACAGATATTTCGAACGTTTGCGCGGCCAATGCCCAGAATCCCTGCAGCTTTTACCAATGAAGAATGTGGCAGAGTTGATAAAACCTGAACACCCGAAAGACCAAGCTCTTGTAGTACTTCGAATAAACCGTGCTCGCCAACGCTGCCTAACTGGCTTCCCTTTCTCCCCGCCGCTTTTTGAAGAACAAATTCTCGCCCGCAGGCTAGACCAAGGATATTGCTAGCTGTAGCACCGGTGGTAAATGTTCCATTATGCCATCTATCACGAGATAGATGCAAGAGATCCGCAAGCAAGCCAAGAGCATGGTATTCTACATCTGTAACAATTGAATGGTTTGGAATGTGTACCTGAACATTTTGATCGTAGGCTGACACAACGTTATCGGCAAAGAGAGCAGCTGGTGTTACCCCACCGGTTATAAAACCATAGTAGTTGGGGCTGATGCTACCTCCATTGAAAGCAGGCACGATGTCACCCAGAATATGTTGCTGAACGGACTCCAGGCTGGCTCCGACGCCAGGCAGTGATTTGGGAATGGATGACCGGGCTCGGGCTAGGTTCTCTGAGCTTGGGAGGACACCAGAGCCCCATGAACCTTGGGCAACCTGCCATAGGCTTTGCAAGAATTGTTCTTGTTGCATTGTGTCTGTTTGAAGTCTGAATGATAAGTTTATTAGGAAAGCTCAGCGTCATTTATAGTTACGGTCGGGATATTACAGACGTCTCGGGATCTGCGGGGATTGTCTTGTAGGTTCAAGATCTCGGTTGGACCTCCCAGAAAGAGGATTAGTCGAATAGTGGAACCGAGTCAAATAGGGCTTATTTTATAAAACGGGTCTGAGATTGCGAAGAGATGCCTTGTAGCCTTGTGTGTTTGACCGGGTCAATCACTCGAGCAGGGACTGGGGGCGGGATTGGGTCAGGGACACCTCGTGAGTGGCACAGAGTGTCTCCGCAGTTCAATGTCAAGATGCTCCACTCCCAAACCCAAACCCTCGGTCCTTCAACATTACCACAGAAAGCCACCACAACAATGGCAGCAAAGCTCATTGATAGACGGTTCCACAATATTCCCGGTATGTTTTGCATTGCTAAGAGTGACAGTCGATTAGCTACCATTCTACACCCAGCAGACGCTGATTGCCATCACTAGGCAAACTCAGGGTGTCCGAGCTGTTCTTTGACGTTCCCGTTGACTACAGCAAGCCACAAGATGACACGTTGAGGCTCTTCGCTCGAAGTGTTTCTCGCTTCAACAAACCCGTCGAACCAACGAAAGAAGAGAGCAAGCAGCCATGGCTCGTCTACCTCCAAGGTGGCCCGGGCTTCGGATGCAGTGCCCCGCAGAACTACGGGTGGATTGAGCCAGTGCTCAATAAGGGGTATCAAGTAAGTAGCTGCCATACCTAACTGGCTATTCAATGTCAATGCAAAGGAAGATTTTGTCGAATTTTTTTAACACTCGAGTTTAGGTCCTTTTTCTGGATCAGCGTGGCACTGGCCTTAGCTCTACTCTCACGGCTGCAACCCTCGCTCGCCAGGGCAATGCTATTCAACAGGCCGAGTATCTCAAGCATTTCCGTGCCGACAGTATTGTACGTGATTGTGAGGCAATTCGACAATATTTGACGAAGGATTACCCCGAAGATCAAAAGAAATGGAGTGTCATGGGCCAGAGCTTTGGTGGTTTCTGTGCCATCACCTATCTCTCGAAGTTGTAAGTACATATAGCAAGTCTTCAATCTGTATATCGTGGCTTTTTGCCGCTAACTTTCAATCTCTTGAAAGCCCCGAGGGATTGAGGGAAGCATTTCTCACTGGTGGCCTGCCTCCGCTCGTTGACGGGCCAGACCCCGTGTACGCTCGCACGTATGGTAAGTGTATTTACATGTCTGCCCTCGGAAATCCTTTCCTGACAAATTAATAGAAAAGGTTGTGGAAAGAAACTGGGCATACTATGAGAAGTACCCCGAGGACGCCGAGCGAGTCAAGACCATCATGGAGTACTTGAATACCCACAACGTTGCTTTACCGTCAGGATGGCTCTCTCCGTCTCGGTTCCAACAACTCGGCATTATGTTCGGATTTCATGGTGAGATTGCCCACACAGAATGCATTCTATATTAATATTGACTGAATTTATAGGTGGCCTCGATATTATGCATGGTGAATAAGCTACTCTTGCTTTTTTAACGACGTTATACTCACATAGTTGTATTAGACATTGTCCTTCGTGCTTGGAACGATCTGCAAATATTCGGCTTTCTTACAGTGCCCACTTTAGCCACAATCGACAGCAACGGTGGGATGGATAAAAACATTATCTACGCCATCCTCCATGAGGCAATTTACTGCCAAGGGTGGGTATGATTTATGATCTTTGATGAGCAGTTGGCTAACATAAAATCAGCAAATCGTCTCGTTGGGCAGCCGATAGACAACGTTCAGAAAATCCTGCATTCCAAATTGCTGGATCTCAGCCACATATTTACTTTACCGGAGAGATGGTAAGGCCTGCCCCTCAAATTCATAATGGGACCCGTTTATCTAACATTCACTGTAGGTCTTCAAAGACATGCTCGACTCATACACGGAGCTGAGTCAACTCCGAGACGTAGCAGAGGCCCTGGCCAACACCAGTGATTGGCCAGCTCTGTATGACGAGGCACAGCTTGCTAGAAATGAAGTTCCAGTCTATGCTGCCTCATACATTGACGATATGTACGTGCATTACGACCTAGCCTCCAACACTGCGAGCAAGATCAAGGGGATCAAGCAATTCATCACCAACACCATGTATCATGATGCACTGCGGAGCAAGTCCGGCGAGGTTATGCGCCAACTTTTCAACCTTCGTGATGACTCTATTGACTAGAGCTTTAAGATCACTTTTGTCATATGTTGAGTTCGTTGCGGTCGCAGGAATCGGCGACAACATTGCTTCGAACAAGATACATCAGATGCGTAGAAATATGAACCATTCATTCAAATTATGTTACATGTAGCTAGGTATATAACAGACATATCAATATTTGCCAAAGCCGCTGTATGTAAAGTTGAGTCTTGTGAGTATTAGAAAACCTAAGAGTTTTGTTAGTTGAGACATGGACTATACAAACTTGGAATTCTGTACGTACCGCGCCGCCGATGATGAAAATCCTCTCTTCCTCCTGATGAACCCACTGCGCAATCTTGGTAGCACTTTGTACCAACGCATTGCGGTTCGCATTTGGCTCAGCAATACAATAAAGCTCAAATACCGGGGTTACCCAGGCGAATGAGCTAGCTGACCGTGACACGCAATGGTGCACTTTCACATGGGTATTTTTAGCATGAATGCTTGCATGAAGATTATTATAGATAGACATAAGCCTGCGAGGAAATATTAGCCTAGGAAAATAATAAGATAAGTGGCAAAGAATTTCTGTCCTGACCTTCGGCGTCGAGATACTGAAGAGAAGGTTGGGTTGAAAGAGGACATGGTAAACTGCACATTCGCTCTTGATTTGTATAAGAAATGATGCAGCACAGACCCGGGCACGATGTCTGTCGTGGCTGGCCGGCCTTGGTCGATTGCAGCTTTAATTATCTTGAGGCTGCCATTCTTCTCCATTTGTTCGACAAAGGCATCCCGCATTGCTTGCATCTCGAAGAAGCTTTCTTTGTCTGGGCTAATGAGGACAATGGCGACAGATTCTTCTTTCAAAATATATTCGTGTTCTTCAACACCACTTCGAAGATCGAGAAAGCTGACGTACATATGTAAGTAGCCGTTACTGTTGAAGCCAGGCAGACAAACAGGAATCCAACTTTCCCCACCGCCAGCTTTGACTCCATCAGCCTCAAAGACCATGTTAAACAGGAGCTGAAGATCTCCCGGATGAAGCGAGTGCTTCTTTGGCCGCACAACACTGACCAGTCGTCCACCGGCGACAATTAGCCCATAGAGTAGGTTTTTAGTCTTTGTCTTCAGTAGAGCATTGTTAATGGCTTGTCTGTGCTGTTTGCGGATCTTCAGACACTCAAGAGCTGACAGCAAAGTGGACGGTGATCCACGGGTAAAACTATCAGCTAGAGAGGACAGAAGAGTTTCGGACCCTTGGAGTGGTCGCTTTAAATCGGTAGATGGTCGAACAGAGAATAGGTGAGTAAGAGAAGGTAGCGTTAACGTGGATAAAATCTGCATGTACAACGCTTCAAGTTGCAGTCTAAGCTGATTATCGCTCTCCATCATTCGGCTAATTGCGACAAGATGCAAAGGCCCATGGGTGACAATGACAAACTTCGTGTCCCCAGCCGAGAAATTTCTTAGTTGGTCTTCAGAGTCCTCGTAGAATGAGATGATTGTTTGAATGATTCCGACATAGGTGGATATCAAACCACCATCACCGTGGCGTGTCCAAATTGGCTTACCAGCAGCAGACAGGATTAAGAAGTGCTTTTGCTTCGACTTGAAGCGCTCCAAAAGAGAATCTGCCTCGTATTAGTCCGATGGATTCAGTGTGTTACATTTGAGGAAACGCAGGATTCTACCTTCGTTACCGGCTTCTTCGTCGATTTCTCCAACAGGCTCGAATTCAGTTAAGAACTCATCATCATTCACATCATCAGCGGGAAACTCGGCGTAATGAAGTAAACCTGTAGTTTCTGAATTTTCCCCATGAGTTGATGTGATAAAATCTCTGAACAAAGCATCGACGTCTCCGACATCGCCAATTTGGGCGGAGCTTCGAATGCTGGCTGTGTCTCCTGCTTCACTTCCTCGTGAGCTGGTGAGATGGCCAAGACTGGCTTTAGCTTTTAAGCCCTGGGAGATGCCCCGAATACCCAGCGAGGAGTATGCATTCCCCGCCCCCTCGTTTGTTTGTGTATCGATTTCCGTCCGCGACACAGCTGTTGTAGCCCCCGCCCGGGATGCTGATTCGTCGTTGAGGAGGCTTAAAGTATTAGGCCGCGGAGGTAAAGGAGGTCGTTCGCCCTCTGAGCTCGGGCTAGAGTCTCTGTGAGATGGATCAGAGTTCACTGGCGCTGGCGAGTTCTCATCGGCAGGCTCATCCCGGCTATCGCTCTGGGGGTATGGCTGCGGCGCATTCATCCCCGCTATGGGCGTGCGCTTGTAGAGGCAGTCGCTGCAGTGCGGGGCAGTATATCATGGATTGCGCATCATAAAAATTAAGAAGATCCAAGTCTTGCCCGGAATTATTAGTTCGGCGTGGGGTAGAGGAACTGTTTGAGACGCTGACGTCGGTCGGCGAGTCGGACGGAGCTCGCCCAAGGCGGACAAAACATCTAATGTAGCCGCCTGCGTGGCCCTTTCTCCAACACCTTCAACGTTCAACTTGCCCTCCCCTAGGGGTCCTCTTTATTATTCCTAGGTATGATGAGGTGCAGCTCACAGTCTTTGCATCAATTTGAAGTTCGACATTGGCACCATGAGCCTTGATCCCAGTGCCTTTCCGAGGTCAAACTCCCCCGCAAGCTCCGAGAGCTCCTTGACACGCACGCGTTTGCAGGGAAAAGAAGGTCTGCAGCCCGCTCCGTGATTCTTAAGCTGATACAGGAATTGATGGTTAACGTTTGTATTCTCATTAGGATCCGTCAAAAAAGACAAAAGTTATCGCCGTTATGCGTCGAGCGTTGAACGAGCCTTATCACTATTCGACAATGCCTTACAAGAATGGGCCGACTACATATCCTTTCTCAGTCGCCTTTTGAAGGTGAGTTGGTCATATAAAAGGGCCTAGATCATTATTGTATGGCTGACATATGGCCAGGCACTTCAAACCCATCCACCAGATCAACCTGTTGTTCCTCATAAAGTTCTCGTCTCGAAGCGACTTGCTCAATGTTTGAACCCATCATTGCCGTCTGGTGTTCACCAGAAGGCTCTTGAAGTATATACCTACATATTTGGGCTGATTAAAGTATGTTCTGTGAAACTTGTGTGATATTGGATAGGTTTTGACTGATTATGGTTTTCCTAGCTCGATGGGCTATCGCACGACTTGCCCTTGTACCTACCTGGCCTTGCGCCCACCTTGACATTCGCTTCCCTTACAGTCCGCCCTCTCTTTCTTTCCTTGGTGGAAGGTTATATCGTCGATTTGGAACCACGAGCTCTTCGGCCAGCCTTGAAAGCTATTATCCTGGCCTTGCTCCCGGGACTAGAAGAAGAGACGAGTGACGATTTCGAACCGACACTCCGTATCATCAATAAGCTTCGCGAAGTAGGAGGAAGGCTGGAGACACAGAAAACATCTGAAGCTGGGGCCTCTGGGCAATACTTTTGGCAATGCCTGTTTCTCGCATCTATCACGAACCCAAGCAGACGTCTTGGTGTACTAGCTTATTTGAATCGCTACCTGCCTAGGTTAGGCATTGCAGGCCGTCGCCAGAGCACGGCCGAGACTGGGGATGTGAAGGATATTCCACCTGAGATGTTAGCCGCGGCTGACTCTGTGATCCTCCCAGAGCCGGGCCTGTTGATTCGATGCTTTGCATCGGGCCTGTCTGATGAACAGATTTTGGTTCAACGAAATTTCCTTGATCTTTTGGTAACACACCTGCCACTCAACTCGCCGATTCTCCAGTCACGAATCACGGATGCTGATCTTGAAACTTTAATCGTTGCGGCCGTGGGCGTGGTCACTCGACGAGAGATGGGCTTGAATCGGCGACTGTGGGCATGGTTCCTTGGCCCCGAGCCTAACAATGACCGGGAGCGTTCTTCCACTGATGGTAGAAAGTTCTCCTCTGAAACTACACACTCGGCCTCTACAGATGCCAAGGAGCTTTCACAATCGCAGTATTTCAGTCGGGTCGGCTTGCAACCACTGGTAAATGGACTTCTCAAGATGATTACTCGAGGCTCTCAAATTCCGTCCGAAAGAACGAAGCCTTTCCGAATCTCACTTTCCTTGATGGACCGTTGGGAAATTGGCGGTTACATTGTCCCTGCAGTGTTTCTCCCCACAATTCGCAGTGTTCAGATGTTTGAGGAACAGACTTCTAGGAATAATTACGAGGAAGTTTTTCGCAGTGCTAGTGCCTTCTTTGACGGTGTCGAAAGCAGCGTAATTTTTTCTGAGATATTGGGCCTAGTTGATTTTCGCTCTATCGATACCGAGAAAGATCCAGAACTGGTTTTGCGTAACCTCGATCTTGCGCGATTCATCATCGGAAACTTCAATGTCCGAGAGGAGGACATGCTTCAGGTTCACGTTCCTCTATTGACACTTTCGGTCCTCGTACGGATGCGAGAAATATCTTTGTATAAGCCTTCATCGGGAGCAATTGTGGATAAAAGATCCCTAACTACGGCTTTGAGCAGTGTGCTGAAGTCTTTAAGCCCGTTGCTTACAGAAAGATCTTTCTCGCGAAAGACAGGCCAGGAGAAAGTGGCCACCGACGCGAAATCCGGCGATCGGGACGTTTTGAATAAGATTCACAGTTTTTATGAAAACAGCAAAAACAGCCTTGATCTCCCTCCTCTTCCATTTGGTCCTAAGCAACTCAGCGAAATGATCATTCGTGAAGCTCATGACTTGGCCGTTGAAGCACTGGAAAATGACAATGGCGCCCCATGTCTTCATGAAAAGGTCGATATCCTTGTAACACTGCTCATGAAACTCCCCAAATCTCGAGTTCTTCGTGACAAGCGGTTTTATGGGGCTTTATCACGAAGGTTAGCCAAGGGAGAAAATAAATTGACAACAACAGCGTTTTCAGTTATCTCTACGATAACCTCTGCGTTGACAAATGTATTTGCCATCCATAGTCTGGGATTTTATATCAACTATGAGGATGCGTGTGGCCTGGTACCAAGTCTGGTTGAACAGCTCTGGCAATATTTGTCACCACTGAGCCCCAAATTTCATGTTGAAGCTGTTCGGTGTCTATGGTTGCTTCACTCAATATCATGGGTTGATCATCTGGTTGAAGCATCTATAACATCTTTGATGATTAGCTCATCAACGACAAGCTCTCATCATCTCTCATCAGAAGAGCAAGCTGAAAGATTCTATGTGTTATGGAACCACAGCCACCACAGCATGCACGAGCAACCTCCAAAGCAAATCTTTGATGTTGGAGGAAGCTTGATTTCTTATCAATGCTCGGTGCTTGAACGCCCACTTTTCATTGTCCTTGACCTCCTCTCTCAGGAGCCTAGCGATGTCTCCCAGAGTGTTCAACAGTGGCTCCAAGAACTCCATTCCATTCATAGGTAAGCTAACATGCCAGATCAGTGCATAAAAGCTCGTATCATTAACCTGTTTATTATTCTCTACGCCTACAGGATATTCCATGTCATTCTATTAAAACTTGAGGAACTATTTGAGCGTGACACTCCTAGTTCCGTTGCTGGAGACAATCTGTCAATTGCTCCAGATGATTACAAAGAGTGTAACTATTTGTTGCGAACGGCATCAAATGTGATCTCGTCTCTTTCTCATGGGGGCTGGATCACGTTTCTCAATTATACACTGGGACAGAACGAGAAGCGCTCAGAGGCGCCTAAGTCCGAAGGTATTCCTCGTTCCGGCTACTCATCGAAATTATTCATTAACTCGATCCTTCAAACAGACAATGTTGATTCAAAGAGCTTCCACGCAACCATATTCGAGGCTTGCCACAAAATAATCGACGACAAGAGTTCAATGGCGACCCAAGACAGCCGGGAAGGAGAGAGATTGCAAAATGATGCACTTCATCTCATGCGACAGCTCCTTCTTGGACCCGGCGCGGAGAATCTGGTGGAATCTGGAATTGACGATTTCCTCGTGGATCGCCTTCTCATCGCAGCAGATGAAGGTGGTAGTATTGCAGTGCAATCGGCCCTCATCGACACCCTTCTTGCAGCTTTGAAGGTTCGATTCGCCCAGGCCTATGCACCTCCACCACCCCCCAGACCCAAGCACCAACGGGCAAGCTCTCGTGACCGCTTGACAAGTCCTTCTATATTATCTTTTACCAGTGATAAGGGTGACAGAGGCCAACCCTCGGTACAATTCCCTCGGCCCCCAGAGCGTCTTTTAGACTGTTTGCTCAAGGGTATCAGCTCAACGAAATCACATGAAATAGTAGACCGATGGATCGGATTACTTAGCGAAGTTCTTCCACTCTACTCGGGCTCTCTTTTTCAAATTCTTCTCATGCTGGTTGAATGCCTTTGTAGGGAGACAAAAGCAGCTTTTGGAAGGCTCCAGCGTGGGTTTCAGCAAACAGAAGATTGGCCACGAGACCGCTCAGAATATGCCACCATTGCTTTGCTTACTGGCCTTGAAACGTGTATTGCCAATGCGCATGAACGACTTCTCGTAGAGGAGTCAAACATTCCGGCCGCAAAAAGCCCGGACCAGCCTCAAGGCTTTTTCGGTAACATGGTGTCTGGTGTTTTTAACTCTGATGGTAATCAAGGCCGTTCTAACACCGCAAATGATCGCTTAACCGTTCTCTTGTGCTTTCAAGACGCCGTTCGCCTTTGTTTCTCTATTTGGGCATGGGGCGCAGGCGACCGAGTCGGTCCTTCTCCGGATTTTGCGTCTATGGCATCCTTCCAATATACTTCATTGCGAATGAGAAATCGGTCAAGACGCATTCTTGAACATTTCTTTACTGCCGAGGCACTAGAATGTCTTGAAACTCTAGTTGAAATGTGGACCAAATCTGACACGGATAGTGCAACACTTATTTTCAGCCTTCTGCATACTCTTGATGGATCGAGTCCCAAGATCACGATTCCCGCCGTGTTCAATGCAATTTACACCCGGACAAATCCCGGCGCACTTGATGCTAATCGCAAATCATCCCTTACAACTAGTCTTTCTGAATCGGAGCTTGCGAGCTTCTTGGTCGCATACGCCCGTTCTTTGGACGATGATGCCCTGGACGAAATATGGACTGACTGCACAACATTCCTGCGAGATGTACTTAGCAACCCCTTTCCACATCGTCAAATTCTTCCACGACTTATTGAATTTGCTGCTATTCTGGGAGTGAAGCTTGAGAACACGACGTTTGGTGAAGACCGTCGTATGCGTAAAGAACTCGGGGTTCGTCAAGTCTTTATGAAATCGCCATCACATTTTACTGACTATTTCTTCACAGGATGTCGTTCTTCGCCTGCTCACTGCTGTCTTCACAAGCAAGCCACTTGGGTTGAACCAAGACGCTGGTTCTCTAGCGAGATCTTCTATAGATTATGACCGTACAGCAGTGTCCCATACTGGACCCGATGATATGTTGAGTATTCTCGCAGTATCTATGCCATCCTTTATCACAACCTTGGGTGACTCAGACCGCATCAACACCGCAATCAGTGGTGTGTCAACAAATGTCGTCGGTCCTCTCATTCGATCTCGACTATTCCCCAATAATCTCAACTGCAATGTGATGGTTCTACTACAACAAATGGCCAAGGTCCCTGCAGCTGCGAAGGTCTGGAAAAAGGACATTGCTGATGCGTTCAACGACCCCCGCTTCTTTGGATTGCAAGTTGATCTCATCAAAGGGAATTGGATGGATCTTTTGCGTCAATGGGCCCTCGTTGATAAGGAAAGGCTAGCAGAGCTTCTCACTCGAATGCCACCACCGAGCACAGCAGGTATCATGTTTGGCGTGGGAGCCTCTGCAGCGCGGTTAGAAGCGGATCGCAAGACGCAACTCAACCTGCGGCGCGTAGCGGTGCTTCTTCTTTCTGCGAATACCGATTACTTTGTAGGCGAATTGCCAGCCCTACGTCAAAAGCTAGAGGATCTTCTAGCCGCTACTAGTTCCTCTTCGCCGTCATCCGCAACGCGGGCAGAGATATTTATGGTTCTGCGGGCCCTTGCGCTTAAAACCTCACCTTCGACCATGGCGCCTTTCTGGCCTTTAGTTAACTCCGAATTGCAGGAAGCTCTCTCTGCTGTTCCACGCGGCTCGCAGTCAGAAGTGTACGGTCCTTACTCGCTCCTTCAGGCATGCAAGCTGCTGGATGTCCTTCTAGTCACCGCTCCAGATGACTTCCAGCTTCTGGAATGGCTGTTTGTGACCGATACCATCGACGCAGTTTATCCTCCTGGCCAATGGGAACCAGTTGCCCTGGCTGATGAGGTTGCCCAGAGCTTCGGACGTCACGATATTCTCTCCCCATCTGTTTCCAATGAGCCTGTCGAGCCCGCAGCGCGTGGTCTCAGACGCCCTTGGCTTATCTCAGATCACATTCGAGAGACGGCCAAAGATGAGATTGTTGAGCGAGTTTTACGACCGTTCTTCGAGCGACTTAGCATCTATGTCTTTGAGAGCACATATCGTATGGAAAGCGCAGACTTGGGCATTTGTCGGGACGATTTGCTGGCGGACTTGTTCAATGAGAGTACGATGGCGAACTGAGCGCCTTAGATCTGTGTCACTTCCCATTTTGTACAGTTAAAGTAGCCCACAGATAATTCCCCATTATGTTCTGTGCGTAGTTATAGCACACCAATATACCTTGTATCTTCTTCAAATAATTACAGTATCGTTTTCAATCAATGTTTCTCCACCACATCATGATGTATCCGTCATAAAACATACTACCTACACAAAGGTTCCTATTCCAAAGTTCATTGGGAACATCCAGGGCTTATTATAACTTAAAGCATTTACATATCGTGATTACTTTGAATTTATATACATTCAAAATCTAACAGGCAATCATAGGGTTCTCCTTATTGATATTTGGCTTTGGCCAAAATTTTCATCGTAATTCAGATGCAGAAAAAAACACCACGAAACACCGATGGAAAATATCAAATGTCCAATAAAAGGTTACAGAGTCCACCAGGGACCTTTTTTCATTTCTTCTGCAGTTGGTTGAACTTGTTCTCCAGCTCGGTGATGTATTTCTGAAGCTTCATGGTAGCTGACTGAAGCGCCTGTATGACAAAGACCTCTCCCCGTGTGGGGAGAGAATATCAATGTCAGTTCCCGGTAACATCAAACATAATATATTGGCGCAGTCAGTTTTTAAAAGGGACAGTTAAACTTACTATGATATCATCATTCAGCATTTCATTTGCCATGCGATAATCACCCAAGATATAGTAGTAAACGGACGCGCCGGCAACAACCCCACCGGACAGGAATCCGAAGACGCTGCACGTAGTTAGGTAAATTCAAATGAACACCCTTTGTGGGTATCAAGATTAAACTTAGGCCGAAGAATTTTGGCTTACCCTCCACGGAAAGCACCCACGGGCTTTCTTGCAGGTAAAGGCGCAGCCTCCCAACGGGGACGGGAGACCGAGAAAGGTCGAGTGATGACGCGTCCACGCAGCGGTAGGAAAAGTTTTGAGCGTAAAGCCATTTTGACTGATGACCTATGATATTTAGCAAATCAGTCAACGCGAAAAATTAACGTTGGGCTGCTCCTACAGTTGAAGATGTTAAGTGGCAATCTCGAAGAAAGCAGGTGAGCTGCACAGCTGGGTACCCACCTGCACTATTTAAGCTTAGCGCGCGGGTCATTAACAGCTATCAAATTTCAGTGCAAACACACCAAACACTTTAATCATCCCAAATCAATTGGTTTAGCTAACGTTTCCTTCTCCGAACTCTCTCCAATACATCCCAGTCACTTCCCAGAAGTAAACTGAGCGAACACAATGTTTCGTGTCGAGCTCCTCGCCGATAAAGGTTCAGTCCCTCAACCAGGCTGGTCCTATGTCGCCGACCGAGCCTTCAACTCAGCTCAAGCCGCCATAGCCCCAACACTAAGCCGCAAACGCGGAATCCGCGACGCTGGAAAGGGCGGCGATACGTCCTCCCGCCGAACCAACGCTATAATACGGCATCTAGCGGAGCTGGACCGCGAGAACCACCGCGACGTCGCGGTTCCCATCCCCGTGAAACAAGCTAAGGAGGCCGGGGCGCGCGGAACGCGTGCAAAGACAACATCCAACGTCCGCCGCATTCTCCAATCTCAGAAAACATTCAGAAACCATCTCGATGACGAGGAGGCCGCCCTCAGTAATGCTGCAGCTAGTGGGGCCACGGGAACAACTGTGCAGAGCGGCGCGGGTATGAGTGCGGCTGCGACTGCGGCGGTTGCGAGGGTGAGCAAAGCTGCAGCTTCTACGGCTTCGAGGCGAAGTTCAACACCTGTGGCTCCTTTGAGCTCGGCGAAGAACAAGAAGCGCGGAGCAGGCGCGTCAGCTTCAACGCCTACGCCCTCTGTTCCTGGGACCCCTGGTGTGGCTGCAAGTACCACAGAAGCAGAAGCGGGTGAGGAGGATTTTGAGCGAAAACAAAAGCTTTCGAAGACGGAGCATGATGATGATCCTCTTTTGCGCTCGTATGCGCCTACTATGCCATCCGACAAGATTGTTCAGCGCTTGCTTGCTGAGCCTCCACTATCCTATAATGCATCACGGGCTGGTCCGCCGAACTCGTCGCGGTTGCCAAGGCATTTCTGTTGCATGTGTGGGTATTGGGGGAAGATCCGCTGTAAAAATTGTCATTTGAGGACTTGTGGATTGGATTGTTATCGGGTTCACGAGGATTCAAGATGTGGTGCATTCTTTTGAGGGTATGGGTACCTTTGGATGTGCTGGAGACTGTATACTATGGGGCTCGACCTCTTTCTAATGACTGTATGAACTTAATGACAATTCTGTATAATAGAGATCTTTCAAGATTTGGCACTATGCATTTTCATCTTATTCCATTTCACTTCACCTGAGCTTGTACTATCTATATCATTGACGGGGAAACTAGTCACTTATGAACCTGACAACTGGTAGACGCAACATGGGATGAAAAACACTCATCCGGAACTTGAGTCACGGTTCATCTACATGCAATCTCCCCGGCAAGAGGGAAGATACAGACGTCCTCTAACTGGGAGTCAATTTCCCCCCACCCGAAAGCTGAACTGTACCCCCATTCAACCACGCATTCGCACTGGAGCTTAGGTTGTAAGAGATCGAATACCCCTGGTCTACAATGCTCGACACATTGGCCACTGTGATGTTCTGCACTATCGTATCTGCCGTAACCACCCACTTTGACGTCGCATCCAGATTGACACCAACGGTTCCTTCGCCGTTCTTTGAATATGCGGTACCAGTCCAGATGGATTAATCGCCCAGCGTCCAAGTGATGGAGCTACCATTATATGTGACCAAGTCCCCCTCCAGCTCGGACGAGGACACAGCGATGTCGACAATGGCCGGTAGCACATAGCTGCTGTACTCAGCTCCCGCAAAATAGTCAAATTCAGGAGTGATACGAGACGAGTTGGCCACCACAAGGATTCCGGATATCGTGTTTATCATCGTCGCCAATATCTGGACTTCGGCAATAATATTACCAAACTATAGCCCCGGCATGGTCACTCCCGTTGTCGTCAAACGCGAATTACTAAACGAGAGCGATGCACCAGTCTCGCGAGGCTGGGAACAGAACAGAACAGTTCCGGCCAGCAAACCAGCAGTGAAATCCACATTGTCAAAGGCGGATTTCTGGCCACCGTCCGAGAAGAGGCCGGGCGAGTGATCTGCAATTCCAACTACGTTTGTGGCATATGCTTCTCCGAGAGCGTAGAATATCGCGCTCCCACGTTCAGCTGTGTGAGCTACTGAGTCGCTGATATGCAGATATCCCGCAGGACCGTCACCAGCAAAAGCAGAGCTTCGGATACCCCCGAGTACTGTCGGACGTTAGACGCATATATTGTGCCATTACCGGACGCATAGAGTCCATGTGCACATGGGCCCGAGCTGTAGAGGTCGGTATTGGTCACAACAACTGTAGTATTAGTGCCATATGCATAGATATTGGCTGCACCATTACGTGTTGTGATGTTGGAATGGTCAATGTATGAAACTGATGCGTTTGCTACATTGATGGCCGCATTTGCACCATAAAAACTGGCTTGATTGAGACTGGAAGCATAGCCGTTCTTGATCACATCAATGTAGGTCATGTCTATGTTGGACTCCTCCGTGATGACGATGACACTGGTGTCATTTTGATCCACAGTGTATGTTTCCCGCGCAAGCGTAGTCTCGTTGTCAAAGAAGTAATGGGGCCCAGTAATAGCGATAGTCTGGTATGTTGCACCTGGGTTTTCGTAGTCAGCTGCAAGGGCATTATCGTCCGCGTCGACCCCCAGATCAAGATAATCACTTGGGTCCAGTAGAGTCACTGCCGCATGAGACAAAGCCACGAAGGCGCTGATGTGGGTAAACGAGGACCTCATGAGGTAATAAGTATCAATGATAGAAAAGCTTGTTATGTTCAATGATCGCTTCGATGAGTCCACTCACACAAGTTTCTCTTTCCAGTCTCATTCGGATCCACCATGTTTTATACTCGCGAGTCTGGTCTATGGCTCTATGCTCTACTCAAACTCCACATGATAACGCCCTTTGTCCACATTCCGGGCAAGGATAGATTGAATGCGGGGAATGTCTAAATCATAATATGGAGATTCACGCTCGAAGGCTTGACAGCGTCCTCAGTGGAGCCGAAAATCGATCCCTAACGGATCCTTCTCTTGGCAACGAACTATGGTGGCACTGAGCTGAGCAATCAAGCTTATGCCACATTGAAATCAAAAGCGCTCCAACTGCCGTACCCACCTTTTATGCATGTGTCATCAGTATGAGCCTCGTGGGACACATTCAGCCCGAAGTATCTTAAAGTCCCGGGGAACAGGTTTCTCCAGTGCCTTGGATCAATGGTTGATTATTATGGACGGTTATAAATGAACACCTCAAGTGATCTTGCTTATCGATAAAATAAGCTTAATATTTATTTGAGACGAATTCTAAGACCCACCATGAGTTTTCTCCTACCTACTAATGCCAGTAACTAGGCGAATATATTTTTGTGGAAGAGATTGATTCAAATATTCCATTGAAAACTATATTCTTTCCAGGTGATCTCTACTGTCCTCCGTACATATAATAGAGCCTGTAGTGGAATATAGGTACTGTTCCAGCTCTGGGGCCGTTGAACTGCTTAAAATATTGTAAAAGAGATCGATATCAATGCCACGACTAAAGCAACCATCAAAGAAGAAGATGAACACAAATTGGCAGCTGCATTATCCTTCTCATGTTTATACCCATAGTAATCTTTGTCACAGCCAACAGTCAAGTTCCAAAGGGGCATGCCAAAGTAAGTGCCCAGAGTATATGAATGCCAAGTATCAATAGATACCTCCATGGTCATCTTTGGATTACCTTGAAGGTGAAATTCATGCCATGGCTCGGTCCAATTTTCAGGTGCCATCATACCAGCGGCTCCACTCGTTTGTTGATCAAAGAACGTAGTGGCGTTTACACTCTTTCTATCCCATTGAAAGTGAACGTAGGGGTTTCGTTGTATCCTTTTTGGATGGGATCGATCCTAATAACCCCCCTTGGTTCGGGATGAGATCCATTTCAACCGGTAATATTGAGAAGTCCCAGATTTTGAATTGCAAAATCAAGATTCATGAAATATGCGGAGGCATTATAACGATCATTATCATATGCGGTATTAGATACTTCGAGCGGAATGTCTTCTCTTCGAAATGTCGTATATTCAGAGACACTAGAAGTTGTATATTAAATAGCTATGTCTCTTCAGAAGAACCATATAGTCAGGTAGGTAAGGGGCTCTGGGCTTACTTGAAGGAATTTAAATACCACCGCATCATGTCATGAGAGCCAGCAGATGGTGCTTCATCCGATGCATTGGAATATGCAAAGTTTGACCACGCATCATCGGATGCAATGTCATAGTCTTTTGGCCAAAGAGTCCAGACCACATTGGCAAAATTTGTATACTCACTACTATTGACACCAGGCACTACGGCAAAAGCATTTTGAAATTCCACTTAAGTGTTCCGTCCTCCGGGTAATTCGTGCAGGTTGCCTCGTTAGAAATGTCATCTCTGGGTGCCTGGTAGTTCCATTCGACAGTATTGGTTCCATTGTAGTACGCAAAAAGTAAACCCAGTTAACACCAGTATTATCATCTCGTCAGTAGGGCCTAGCGTAAGTCAAGTGCTTGGCTTCTGGGCGCTGAACCCTGAGGTTCGAAGGGCCATGCTCCACTATTCAACCCGGGGCTCATTGTTGTCTATCAAAAGACTGCAGATCGACGTTTGGGCAAATTGCGAAAGAGAGATACTCCGTAGAATATTTCGGTTATGAAGAAGGATCCATTTTAGCGTGTAATTTCGGCTGTTAAATGTCGGGGCACCATAACATTCCTCATTTAGAATAGAGTAGCAGATCAATAGGTACAGGAAGGCCGTTTCTAGAGTTAATTTCAAGGATTTTCATATTTTGTTTGTAAATTCAGAACACCATCGCTGTAAACTTGTCAAAATTTAACATTTCAGGTTGATGCCCAAGCGCAATTCATCTTCTCGGATCTCAAACATAACTTGAACTCCAACAAACAACACTACACAGCACGAAACCATATACGCGATTCCAGCATATGAACCCGTTAAGCTAGCGAGCAGTTCTTTCATTCCATCGATGCCCAGCGCAAAGCCAACCAGATTGGCAATCATCAGCATAAGAATATTCCCGACAGATCCAATTCCAGTAATCACCCTGTATGCGGTAGGGCGCGAGCGCCAACGACGAGCAGGGAAGAGAATTGTACCTATGACTTCAGGGAGAATGAATATTGTGATAAGCCAACTCCACATCAGTAGGCGAAGATTGATGTCATGCCAGATCGCGACGAATGTAAAGACTAGCAAAAGGTTGCGGATCTGCAGGAATTTGGCAATGAAACCAGACTGTGGAGAGGCGGGTTTTGCACCAGGTGGTCCTCTACCACCACCGCCTCCGCCCAGTGGAACGTAGATATACCGGACGATCCAGCGGTTGTATGAACGGTGCCAGCCACGCCAGAATCCAGAAACGGAGTAATTGTTCGACATACAGCGGACCATGTTCTCCGGTGGGTCAATGCCATCTATGAGAGCCCAGAGACGGAAAAATCGCCAAGGAATGAGTAACTTCAGCCAGATAATATGAAGATTAAAGAAAGCAAGCATGCTAAGCTGTCCCGAGGTAAAGAGGGACCAATTTGGCGAGGCTTTCGAAATGGCGACTGCGTATATGTAGTGAAGAATAAGCTCCATACAAAGGACCGTCAAAAGGAAGCGGATTCCGTATAGTGCGGTGCGAGTACGAGTAAGTGACGGGGGCGTGTAACGTTGTTGTGAAACATAGTCGTTGAAGGTCAAGATAGGGCCAGCCAGATACAATGGCGAGTATAGCACATAGGCAAGATAGTTTCGTGTATTGAATGCAGAAGGCTCGGCGGGAATTTTAACGCGATCTCTATCAGAAAGAGATGCTGGGTCGAGTTGTTTCTTCTTATGGGATTCGGTCAGTTCGACATCTAGGCGAGAGATTGGAAGTCCTAAATTAGACGCGATTGGAGAACATACTTCGATCGGACTCGATGAGGGATATTCCACACTCCAGTAGTAATCCATGTTAAAACTTATCAGCCGCAACACGGTGACTTTGAAGAGAACCTCCCATCGGGGCATAAGGCCACCCATACTATCCAGTGTTTGCGCCCACTGAACGAGCATTGAGTCTGTTTCTCCCGGCGTACCGGTTCCCGAAGCCAATAATTTTGCAATTCGTTCCAATGGGTATCCCCCGGATAATTCATTGGCGAAGAGAATGCCGACGTTGAAGATCCATGTTGCTGCAGGAATATAGGACCGAGGCAGGCGTTTGCCAATTCGATAGTTTATGAATAAAATGAGCAGCACCTTGAGTGCTGAGGTTCCGTGTAGTACTGTAATAAAAATAATGCCGAACGCGAAATCGAAGCGCATGCGCTGCTTAAGCTGTGCGTCTCCTGCGGCGGCTGTAGAGGGATTGGAAGGTTTTGTGGTACTCGTGAGTCTCGCAAATGACGCGTAAACTCGGCGAATCAGCGGGTGGGCAATTACGAGTAGTAGAAGATAGGGAATATTGTCGCGAAAACCGGCATATTGCGTATCGGAGTTGTCCTATAAATATGATTCACGCAGGGTTAGCTAGGCCCCGCTTCAATCAAAGCTCGTATAAACAAGTATCTCCGAACAGGACACTCACGACTGAACGGCCAGGAATCCATCCTGGCTCAAGAAGATGCTTGTACGTGGGGTAAATCGGGTGGTCTTCTGTATGTTTGGAAAATTATTCGGTCAGCAAGTCCTTGATGCCGATCTGCCACCTGGGCACCTGGCTTGACGAGGGGCCGACCACTCACGCTTCGAGGCATCAACCACGGTCTTGAACATCAAGGGAACGAGCGTTATGAAGAACAGGTAGTATATAAAGAATTCCGGCGTGCGCCAGAGCGACGCAGGGGCATTTTGGGCAATGGCATTTGCACGGGCGTCTTTCGTGGAGGCAGGTCGCGTATCAGCGGCCGCGTTGGCCGGAGTTGTAGCTGAAGATGTAAAACGAGTGTCAAGGGTGTCGAGGGAGTATATCCGCCGCAACCAAGAGAAAATAAAAGACATTTTATCGCAGTGGCATGGTGTAGGCGGCGGATGACGAAGTTGAAATGTTGTGTTTACTCAGGGGCCGAGGTTGGCCCAGCCAACGCCCCCACATACCCAATCAGCGCCCATCTATTGTTACCTTGATCTGATCTCGAGCGACTTAACTTAGAACTACTAGGAAATATGTTTCTCAATTTAGACCTTGAGAAATCAGAAATAAATATAGCTTGTCAATATCTAACGTTTAATTTGCGACCAAGGTAAGGTTTCGAAGCTTCTGATTAGGAGCCCTCGAGCTGGATGTATACACAAATCTTGAAAGACCCTGTAAGCAGCTGGAACAACCTTGGGAAATCGGATTATAAAATTTCAAAGCAATGAATACCTAGCCAGGTAGCATCCTTATAGCGAGTATCCACATCAGCTTGAAACTGACGAGTGGTTCTTTTTCGTCGTTATCTCAATACTAGTAGACGTTGCTTCTAAATCCTTGGCCAGGCCCTCCGCAGCCATCTTCTTTTTCCGTCGTGACCTGAAGATAAAGTCAAAAAGAACCTTGGAATGTTGGAAACCCCCTATGGCAAGACCAAAATCCAAGGACCAAGCCTACTCCCGAAACTCTTCAACCCGCTCACCAAAGAGATTATCGCATTCTTTGCCCCTCTCATAATCCACTGACCAAAACACACCAGCAAATTGAACACACCAAATACAAAGACATGAAGTACCGTGTAAACCCCGAACAATATCCCTATTGCGGTAATTACTGCAAAAATATAGCCAAAGACCGCTGCAGCCCACATACCTACTCCACACGCCTTGGCTTCGGCGTCATCGTGGTCAGAAATATCATCGCACTTCCCATTCGTGTTCCCACAATTGTGACACCATGTCGTCACATCCTTGATTGGATAGCGTAGATTCTTTTTTGAATTCATCCCATGGAATTTCAATTAAAGGTTTTTGAAAAAGTGGATAAGCCTGCAGCTGGGTTGGGTTTGTCATGCTCGGAGCGTCATGGTATAAAAAGCGCATGTTTATCTCTTTCTTTGAAGGAATATCGGTCCCAGGAGCAGTAGTGACAAGCTCACACACCATAGAGGAAGCAGATTTTGGTATTGATAGGTGGAAAACATTGCTGAGTTTATTGATACCAAAATAGGACAAGAAAGTCTCGGGGGGGCCGAATTCAATTTGTAACCTAGGCGTATATTTCGGTTTGAGCATGTGCTCGAGCTTTTCCCGGACCCGGCTTGCCAGTATGTATCCTTCAACTGAGCGTGCAGTGTCATATTTGCTATACATAAGGGAAGTTCTGTAGATATATGCCATTCTGGACAACATCTCCATAACCTCCGGAGATGAAAGATTGAAAGCGGCGAAGTTGATGTTAGGATTGTAAATCAACTCCGAGTTGACATATTCCCAGATAGGATAGGCATTTGCGTAGCTCAAATCAGTCTGATTGAACCTGTCTTTGACAAGTGGAGCAAGGGACTGATAAAAGTTGCTGGTCAAGAGCAGAAGCTCATTTTGATCATTCGATCGAGGGTAGGCTTCTCTGCCTTTCTTGGCTTCGATACAGTCATCGACATGTGGGTCCTAGAAGCTATCAATATTGTTTTTGACTCGGAATGTACGTACATATATTGGATGAGTGTCATTATTTATTGATTTTGAAGGGTGATAATTGTTGTGATGCGTTTTCACCGGAGTTGAACCCTGAAGACAAACCACGGAGAAATGCAAGACCTGAGTTGATAATCATATCTTGCTCTGGCGCATCAGCAGATATTTGATGTTGGAAGATAAATCTGGATCGATATCGAGAATCTGAAACTCGGAGGTAGATAATAGGTAGTGATTATAAAAGAAAGCGCCGGTTGTATACGCGTCCGTGTCTCCTTGGTTGGTTAAAGTGATGGGCTCTTGGGATCTGATCGTCCGGTCTCCATGCTGCTGGAAAATGGAGGGACCAAGTATTCGTTCAGAACTATTCAAGTCCAAAATTTGAAAATAGGCCAAGAGTATGGCGAGCCATTTTCTCACGCCCATTTTGAACAAGTTAGTTCAAGTTGGTATTATGGTGATGATGAAGCGACTGTCTCAATATTCAAGTCTCGTAAAGAAATAGGTTCATTTCCATGTACATTGGCGGGCACCAGCATGTTTGGCCTTGAGGTGAATCAATACGTCAGTGTTTCTCATAAAAAACTCCATGATATGTGAACTTTGCTTTCTGGAGATGTGATTTCTCGTTTAGATTTAGGTTTACCTTTCCAGGCTTCGGCCAACACAGGAGTCAGCACGGTGGGGCATATTAAAATGGATCAAAAAATTCAATCAAATTCAAAGTCCATTATTTATGATTGAGAACTAGTCAGACTCAATTATTTAAGTATGAGAAAACAAAGGCGTTCTGTCTGTATAGCTCCAATTAGTAGTATTTGAATGGATGAATTGATAGAACATAGATTAGATCAGCAGGTCATCGGTGCCCAAAATAACATCGGAGGCCTCTCATGCAACTTCCATCCTCAACCTCTTCAAGAGTGAATTCATCATGACATCAAAACGGGTAGGTCTTTTCAAACAGCTGTTCCCTTGCTGCCTTCTCCGATACTATCCGCACCAGATTCCTCTTCACTTCCAATTATTACTTAACAAGAGATATGACTGACACGTGCCAGGTTGCGTTCAAAGTCCACGGTACTGTGCAAGGTAAGGGCCCGTAACTCAACTACCCGGATCTTATTATATTACATATCTTATCCCCGTGCCTCGTCTTTGCTAACAAGCATCTTCTAGGTGTCGGCTTCAGGTAAGACCACCAACTGCCACCATCCGATGACATCATATCACCGCCATATCACAATGCTTATTTTCTCAACAACTCAAACTAACTTGATCCAGAGATTTCACACAAAAATGTGCCACGGGATACAATCTGAAGGGTTGGACTCGTAACACCACTTGTGGACGTGTATGTGGCTCCTCGGGTCCTTAACACTATATGTATCTTCAACTCTATCAGTTACTAATACGAATTGCAGGTCGAGGGTGAAGTCCAGGGAGATGAAGAGACCATCAAGAAATTTATGCAGCAAATTGATAAGGGACCACGTCTCGCCCATGTGGTGAAACTCGAGAAGCGAGATATGGAGCCATTGGAGGGCGAGGATCGATTTTCAGTGATGCGCACGGGAGGATCCGAATTCGCATCAGAGGCTTGAAGTTGATTTGATGGCACTTTACCTCTTTCTCTTTCTCTAGGATCCAGTCTTTTATGAGGAACATTGAAATGTCCTATTTTGTTAGATATATCATCATGAATCCTGGACGTCGGAGCATAAGATGCCCAAAAGGGATGGAAATAAACAAGCAAGGCCCCGGATTGAAAGTGTATTAGTGCTCGTATATGGGACATGAAGTATATACATCGCTCCGCTATAAAAGTATTACCTAGTAGAGACTTACTCTTTCTCAAACCTGCTCATATTTACTTAGACTAGGAATAGTAATGTCGGCGAGTACCGGGAAATTAAATTACTGGGAATAGCAGACTCGTGACCGCCAGAATCCACCCAGCTCCAAACTGACGCCGGTGACGAAGCAGATCCCGGTGCCGTATAGTAGGCGACCGACATTTTCTCGGGATCGGTGACTCAAAAGACGCGATCTATACAGACACCGGGTTGAATTGGAGGGCGTACCCGACTCCTCCCGAGGTCACCTGCCTGGGGCAGAAAAAAACAGGTATGAGATGACGTTGTTCCTACAAAACTTCTGATTCCACTACAGAGATAATGGGAAGAGTATTTGTTTTACTTCTTGTTCGAGAAGGGTTTTTTTAATTGTTTCTTGCATTCTACCGGGCTGGAAGGCATATCGATGGAGACACTAGGTACATGGAGATGGGTGGGGACTGCAGGGATTCTTAGGTACCGCTATAGTGGCGATCACCTGGACCCCGTCGTCCAATGAGCATGGCGAGCTGTCAGCATGAAGGATGTCCGGGCTGGGCATGTACAATGAACCAATTCGAGAATAACCAGGAACAGCCGCTAAGATTGAGTTTATCTGCCATTTTTGGGTCTTTTTATGTTATCAAAAATTTTCAAGATCCATCAGGGGTCGGGATTTGTTCGGTGTTCGTTGGAAAGCGGAATGATGTAAATATAAAGAGCCTTCCTGACCACCTTGAGCCTCTACCTTCAGGGTTCATCATTTACCAATTACTCACTCTTCTTCAATCATACAACACATATTTGTCAAATTCCTAACCTATCACATCTCTTGAACATCATTGCCATGAGTTCAGTCTCGGTATTATCAACGACCTCCTTCCGGACCGCGACGCGTCCACAAAACTACATCTATTTGATCGCAAGAAGCTACTCGGGCGTGACAGTCGCCAACCTGCGCAGCTCACATGGTCTCAACACGCACACTTCACAATGGAACTACACTCCCAAGCGCTCAATCTCTTCAACTCCACAAAATCAGATCAAGGAGTTTTTTCCACCCCCACACACCCCAGGCGTGAAGGAGGTAAAATCGGCATGGGTACATCCAGTGTAAGTTACCTCAATGCTAACAGTGGGCTCAATAACATCAAAGCTAATTCCGCTATCAAGCTACAACGAAGCTCAAATGAAGAATGTCGCCATCGCGCATCGAGAGGCAAACAACTGGTCTGACTGGGTAGCTTTGGGTATGGTTCGTGTCTTCCGATGGGGTATGGACTTTACCACAGGGTACAAACACCCCGAGCCCGGCGAGAACCTTCCAGAGAGATTCAAAATGACTGAAAAGAAGTGGATGAATCGTTTTGTCTTCTTGGAAACAGTGGCCGGTGTTCCGGGTATGGTTGGCGGAATGCTTCGCCATCTACGCAGTCTCCGTCGCATGAAAAGAGATAACGGGTGGTATGTGACAATCAAACAATGAACAAAAATGAAGCCAAAATATGCTGATCAGCCAAAAAATAAATAGGATCGAGACTCTCTTGGAAGAGGCGTTCAATGAACGTATGCATCTTTTGACATTCCTCAAGCTAGCCGAACCAGGCTGGTTCATGCGCCTGATGGTTCTCGGCGCACAAGGTGTCTTCTTCAACGGATTTTTCGTTTCTTATCTTATTTCGCCTCGCATCTGCCATCGATTCGTGGGTTACCTTGAAGAAGAAGCAGTCATCACCTACACTCGTGCCATTGAAGAGCTTGAGGCGGGCAAGTTACCCGAATGGGAAGCATTAGAAGCCCCTCAGATCGCTGTGCAGTACTGGCAAATGCCAGAGGGCCAGCGCACCATGAAAGATCTCTTGATGTACATTCGAGCCGATGAGGCTAAACATCGCGAAGTCAATCATACACTTGGCAATCTGGTGCAGGCGAGCGATCCCAATCCTTACCAAACTTCATACCAGAATCCCGTCCAAGAACATCCGAGCAAGGGGATTGAGAACCTGAAGGGTACCGGATGGGAGCGAAAGGAGATCTTTTAGATTCTGGTCAATCTAAGGCGTTTACAAAAGCATATGGGGGTATTTTGTTTGTTTCTGCATGGCGTTGGAGGATTGAAAGCGATGATAGACACTTCTCTTCTCTTGTTTTAAACAGCACTTTTATGTACAGTACATAGTTATGTGACCCAATGAGAAATAGCGCGGACCACTCAAGAGGTTTTCTTGGGACGCGGAATTTGGGACGAAAACTGCACAATCGCCAACGCGGGGCGAAGGGGAAAAAAAAAACATTTTAATCTTAAAATAAAAGATTAAAATAAAATCAAACATTATTAATAAGATTTTAAACATTAAATCCGAACCTAACTCAACACGGCAACTCAGCAACATTTCGCTGCAATTATCTATGGATCCTATTTTCTTCTAGAAGCTATTAAAGCCACATATCTCCTCCACACTCTGGAATGGTATTTGAAGCAATAAAATCAAACAAAATCCAGTTCATTGACGATTATTTGTTGTTAATTTGCCCCTGCATCGTTGTCACACATTAATCTATTGTCTAGGTGCTTTCGTATGTATTGCCCCTTTACGGGGTAGTTAGCCCCCGTTGGCGTATTAGTTAAGGGAGAACACGCCCCTTTTATAGCCCAAAGAAGATTCTCGGCCGTCGATCGTTCACGTCTCATTAAACATCCATTGCGGTCCCTCATTTCAAGTCGAGACGTTTACTGTGGTCCAGACTGATTTGTGTCCTTTATGACCACCTATTGCGATCATTCTTTATTGTGTTCTCTAGTCCAGACATTTTTTCCTAGGGCGTTTGGACTGATCAAATACATACCCTCACCCCCACGTTGAGCCGAATACCAGTGTGCCCAAGCGGTGCGACAAGAGTTTCAGAAACAGACACCTTCCCCCCATTTACGCCAACACAATGGACGAGCCACAATCCGCAGAAGTTGATGTGTCATCGCTGCCTGTGCGTTCTTCGTCGCCTTCACCATCTATTCCTGCCACGCCAGCTATATCCGCATACTCTTCGCCAGACCGCACCTTCTCCTCCGTCTCGTCCCACTCTGCTTCCTCCGCGACCTCTGCCGATGCTCGCTCCACAATCTCAACATCCTCTCGGCGCCATGGATATATCCGTGCCTTGGGAGCTGAGTTCTCTAGCTCGGCCCGTCACCGGGATAGTGTTATGAGTCTGGGCAGTATTGCCCATTTGCAATATTACTTCGCTCGCACGGGGCTATTAGACGGGAAGACGGGCCGAGGCAAGGAGTTGAAGAAGAAGAATGGCGAGAATGTGCCCCGATTGTTGATCACCCCGAACCAGGCAAATATGGATGATCAGGACTTTGTGGCTAGTCCATCCGACATGACTGACTCGCCGGAGTTTGATCCAAACTTTGACGATGAGGAGGGGGAGGTCATGCTACCTCCCACCGTCAGTACCTACAGCATTAAAACACACCATATCCCCCCTCCGCCAGACGTGGTCTCTCTACGCCGGGATCTGCAAGTCGCATTGGATAAAGCAGAGAGTAATATTGAAGCGATTGAGAATGGCGTTGAGCCGCCACCCCGCGAGCCGATACGAACTAGCCTATCGCCCGGGGACGTTCCTGAGACTTTAGAAGATGAATCCTCACGGGAAGCACCGACACCACAGACGAAGGAGGAGGCGCAAGGCATGTGCATTCTGGATGATGTTACGTTGGCGATTCGCGCCGCGAAGATCTATTATACTACGCACCCGCACCCTGATCGTCTCGCTTCCATAAAAAGTGAGCGCGATATTCGACAGGAATTGTTCCAAGTTCTAGATGCATTGAAACGCTGGGCAGCTCGGCACTTTGCCTGTGGGCTGCGACCCGAAGAACGTGATGTGATCCAGGGTTGGATTTCTGGGGTTCGAATAATGCTAGTTAGAGAGAAAGCACTAGAGGATCTCGAAGCTCAGGAGCGAGAGAATTGGGACTGGGCTCGCGGCGACTGGACTGGACGAGAACGGTCCCGCGAGGAATCATTCCTCCGAAGCTTGATGCCTGGTGGCCATACTTTACCCGAATGGACTGCTATCGAAGATGATGCTAGCAGTGAAAGTTTGCCAACCCCGTTTCTTGAACGTTTTAGAGATGGTCGGATCCTGGTCCAGTTACACAACATTGCGGTCAAAAAGTCTAAGCGGCCATTTGGAGATATTAAGGCTTACCATCAGGATATCGCAAAACCGTACCGACAAGCGGAGAATCTACGGTTCTGGATCAAGGCCGCGGAATTGCGGTGGGAGCTCCGGTTCCAGGTTGATGTGATGGGCGTTGTACAGGGCAGTGATACGGCCTGGAGGCAGTTCGATAACGCAATGCTAGCGTGGTGCAGGACTGTTCGTGAGGAACTGGTACGGGATTGGCAAGCAGCCAACCCTGGACGCCCGCCTAGCGCGGGTCTAATTTGACGTGGGTCAGCTTGATTGATTGAATGAAGGCAGGTTGACGTGGATATACATCTCGGCTTCTTTATGACTGCCTGTTCTTTCTTTTCGTGATTTTTTCCTTCTCGTTATTCATCGTTATGGGCTCTTGGCTAGATACCCCTGAATTGCCTTTTGCCTGTCTCCACATCCGGTGTTGGTCTCATGTTTTATTTTCTCCGATTGTCTGGTTCAATTCGGAATCCCGTTGCATTTGTTTATCGAAAAGGGGAAATTGTTTTGAACATATTGCATAAAGGAGCAAACACATAATATTTGGGTATCTTGGGTTTCGGTCTTTGTTTAGGTCTTGTGTACAATTTGTGTGTACAAGTCTAACCTGATTTTGTCTCAATGAACCTTTCAGCAAGTCTAAACTTAGCTGCATAGAAAGTGGAACAAACTGCACTATCATTTCATAGGACAACTCTTCATAGAAACTGTCTTGAATTTGGGAACAAAGAACTCTATGTAGAACTTGCCGATGTCCACGACTTTTACAAACCAACTACTGCATAGTTCCAGCCCAACAACTCTATTCCTGTACATGAGCTAAACACTGTGGACAATCTATGCCCTAAGACAATGGTAAAATAGAAAGGTAATGTTAGGTCTACTACTCCCTACGGCGTACATGGAATCTATAGTTCGTTGTACACAAAAACCCTTGTACAAGTATACGTACGGGACGCATTTAGAACCCGTGGTCCGTTAGGTAGATTAGACGCTAGGAGCACATGGTCCTGACCGAAGCCCCTTGAAATGAGAGCTACGAGCTAGGGCCTAGTGTCGTGGAGCAGGAATTTAATTTAATTGGATCCTGTGAGTATAGGAGACCACTCTGTTGTTGTAGATTCAGGTATCAATTAACTTGGAACAATGGATCTCATGGGCAGCTACCATTATGTTCAAGAATAAGATATAAGATGACTGTAAGATTGGGGTTAGCATCATAGTACAGATCTGATTCAGCGTCTCATGCAACTCAACGGCCCCAAAAGGGCCATGATTTCATCTGATCGCCGGCGAGTGCCGATCCCTTGAATTACATACCGAGGGGGTAGCGAGGTACTTGGTGCCCCATAGTAAAGTGGGTGGTGGGCCATGTACCCCGTTTCTTTCTGCAGACTACAACGGGCGATAGTACGTACTGGCCACTTCATCCCTCGTTATTTCTTGTCTCAAGTGATTGCGGCCCAATACATAAGATAGATTGCATATTCTCCCTTGCCAAAAAAAGAGGAAAAAGAAAAAAGGAACCACCTCAAATTCCTCTTTGCTATTCTTTCTATCTCGCTTCTTGTCATGTAACCCATTGTTTGGTTCTCTCTATTTGATCCACACCAACCACGAGAAGGGGCCCCCTCTGATATTACCGAACAAAACGAAACATTCCTCGTCCATCCCTGCCTGCATTTTGAATTCGCGGCGTCTTTGCTAGACTCCCGTGCTATATTTTCTTTCTTTTGCTTTTCTTTTCAATCTTGCCCCGGGCACTGTACCTATGCATGCCACAGTCGACGATCCATTTTCCTCTGCGACTGACATCGCAACGCACCCAGTGTCCGTTCAGTCCGCATCGCCTCCCCCCGCTAGCTCCAGCTCCCCCAATGAACACGGTCCCCTCCGCCGCTTAAAGTCCAAATCCTCCTTGTGGAGTATAGGAAGCAGTAACCACGAAGACGAGCCCGCCTCCGAACCATCCAGTGCTGAGAAAAACGCCGGTAAACAGTCTATCTTCCGCCGCTTGTCTCCCGCCCTCGCGGCCCGGGTGAAGCAGCTCGACGGCAGCAATAAGCTGACCAGCGCGCCTCGGCATGCTGGCGCCATCGGTCGGATTCCAGAAGAACATCTGAAGGAACTTGATAGTCTTCACAAGGACCTGTCGATTAAAGTTGAGAGGAGAGGTCAGGCGTGGAACGGTGTAACATTTACTTCCCCGGTATCAACAACATCAACAGAAGCCTCAAAACGAAGCGCGTCAAACAGGCTCGAATTACCGTCGAAAGATCTTCTACAGGAGTTTGCCGAAGCGTGCGAGAAAGGGACGAATTATACTGACGCGGTTGCGGTCTTTGACGGTCCAGAACAACCTGTTCTGGCCGTTGCTCAGTCTCCGGTAACTGCCTCAGACCCAGATCCAGAGATAAGTGAGCCGCCGACATCCATGTCTGTGGTAGAGCCGGCCCCCGCGCCGTTGCGCGATGTTCCCCAATCAACGCCCCTGCCCGAGGACGAAGCCCAGGATACCCGGACCGACTTCGAGAAATATGTCGACGATACGAAACGCAGCGAAGAACAGGCCGAATCTGCCCCGGAACCCCCACCTAAAGATGACGCCCCCTCCTCTCCTACATACGCGGTCTCCTCTTCCTCAAACACACAATCTTATTTCAACCCAAATGGGTTACAACGTGCAGATTCAATATACTCATTTTCCCGTGCCTCCTTCAGCAACCAACTGTCTCAACTCACGTCAATTCCTCTGCCACAACCTGGCGCTTTAGAAACAAGTATCGGGAACATCGCTACGGCCCTTGCTGCCGTTCGGGCTTTGAATGGTGCTGCAGACCAAATTCAGATCTGGATCCGGAAAGCCTCCGATGTGCTGAGCGGGCTAGATTCGGAAGATGATGTTGAATGGGCAGCGGCGGGTGGTCGTGAGGGACTGGAAGGAGTGGATAAGGCCATTACACGCTTCGAATCATTGGTCAACGTATACGTGAAAGCCATCGAGAATGTACAGCTTCGAAAAGACATTTCCAGCGTCGATTCTGAGAATCTGAACACTATTGTCAGTCAGATGGAAAGCATTTTACACAACTGGGCACAAATTAAGATCAAGCTGCGGGGTGTCAAAGCGCAAGTTGAACTCGCGATGGAATGGGAAGAATTGTGGTCCATTGTTCTGGGTGATGTGGGCATGGAGATTGATAATCTTAGCGGCATGATTTTCGAGATGGAAGAGAAAAGACACCAGGCCCTTCTTGACAACGGCGAGACTGCTGGTGGTCTTGATATTAACGAACTTGAGACCATTGTTGAGGAATCACCTACCAAGGGCCGATCCCCTGCGAACAACCGGCTGAGTCTTGGACCTATCTTGGCTGCAGCTTCCGGCACACCTGTCATAAAAACCCCGCAGGATGATTCTAGCCATTCGAACCTCATGGCTTTGTTTGCACGAATGCAACCTCTGCGGGCTTCTTTGGATTTCTTACCCATGCGACTATCCATGTTCCAATCTCGTGCCGAGAGGGTCTTCCCCAGTGCATGTGAAGAGCTTGATGACCGTCGAACTCGCTTGGAAAAAACCTATAAGGTGCTGGAGCAAGACGCAGAGGCTTTACGAAAGGAGCTAGGCGAAGATAAATGGATTATAGTTTTCCGCAATGCTGGTAGCCAGGCACAGAAGATGTTCGATTCGGTTGAGCGCAGTATTGCGAAATTGCAGGAAGGTCTGGAAAGCAACGCGCAGGTAAACAACCCTGGTAGCTTGACGAAGCGGATTGAGAACTACGAGGCGAAGAAGATTCACTACGTGCCCGCTATTGAGCGCGTCATCTCGATCATACAAAAGGGTGTCAATGACCGTTTGACAGTCAATGGCGAGGTTTTACGCTTATTATCTGATATGACTTCGCGGACGGACGCATTGAAGGCTAGTCTGAAAGTGATGGACTACTCTCTTGAGGACGTACAGATTGTCAAGGGGCAGCAATTAAGAGATTCCATCTCCAGCATCATTACGATGGATAGCCCAGCTACGGGCAGCGCCATTGATACGCCTGGGAGCTCCCCTGCATCATCGGTGGTTCTGAGTGGCAATGGATATAAGGGCGCCTCGACACCTCTCGGTGGCTCCAGTCGTCGCGAAAGCTCTGTGGGTAGCGCCACAGCCCGTTCAGCTATGTCCCGTCGGTTTTCGGGTGTGCCACAACCTGCAACAACCATGACAGGTCGCAAGTCCTCTATTCCCAAACCATCAGGTCTTTCGTCTCCAACACCAGGAAGTTCACACTATGCCGTCACACCCACGCCAGCTGGACGCAGAATATCTCGCGTTCCGCAACCATCATCCATACCCAATCGTCCAAGATGGAATTCTAGCACCAACACAAACGACTTGGATACCGGTCATAATTATAGTAAGCCTCTCGGTACTACAACTCCTAATGGATATCGTAAGAGTTCTGCCCCGACGCGTACACCTCGACCAGCTTCAACTGCCGCGTTCCGACGAGATTTGTCTGCCTCGCCGGCACCCAGTGCTGGCCGATCAATCAGTCGCATCTCAAATCGCTTCGCATCCTCGTCTCGGAGCCCTGTGCGCAATGCTTCCTCTCCCACCCCTGCCCGTTCCTCTTTGCTCGACCCGCCACCATATAGCCGTCTTCGTCGGCCATCGAACATGTCCAGCGCCGCTACTGCAGGCATGACAAATACCCCTCGCAGCCGACAAAGTTTTGCCGGGGTAGGCTCATCATTCAGCCGTAGTGTTTCTCATAACCAAGGCCCAGATGAGAGTCCTAGCAAATCTATGCGTCCCGGCACAGCACTTGGTCATTCCGGCAATCGACGAACAAGTCTACTTCCCTTGCCGAAGCGCAATGACAAGACAGCTACGGAGGAAAAGCTTGATACCCGCCCACGTTGGCGAGCATAAATTCTCTATATTTTCCCCATATGTTCCCCGCCATTTCATCATCTTCTTCTTCTTCCTCCTATCTCTTTCCTCTATTTACGAGCCACCTCCTCTACACCTTCTTACCTCACCTCCTTGTGTTCTTTCTATCAACCTATTTTTATGTCTATTTCTCTACTACTGCATTGCGCCAGGGGCTTCTTTGGGCTGTTTACAAGCCTACTGGAGCACAAGGGCCGAACATGATATTGAGGGTTAGGTTTTGCGTGATATCCCCCCACTGTTGCATGGTATGGTCTGAGCGTTAGCTTCAGTTTTTCTCTTCGGGTTTTAGTTGGCTTCTCTTTCATCTCTGTGAATATTATCTCTTGTATTTTACCTCATTACTTATCTTAGGGAATGGATCTTTACTGTCAAGTATAAATTGGCCATGCTTCTCGTGCTCATATATAACGGCAAGTTTGAAGCCGTTCACCTCGTAATTTCATAAAATGAGCTCATATCTATCCAAAAATTCGTCGTCTATTTATTTACATCTAATTACCCAACTCACGTCCAAAAATCAACGCATCGACTAATTCCTCGCTGTTGGCCAATCGCGCAGCCTTAGGAACTCGTCCAATGACGTTGAATCCAAGTTTCTCCCAGATGCGAATGGAAGCAGGATTATTCGCAAACACCAGATTGAACACAGAGTACTTGTATCCCTGTACGATGTCAGATTAGAACAGATCCTTCAAGAAGGTCATAAATGATGAAATAAGAAAGACATACCAATTTCGGCGCAAGTTCCAAGTATGTCTCGCCCATGGTCATTCCAACACCCTTCCCACGAGCAAGGGTAGTAGTCAAGAACCCAGCATTGCAGATATGGGAGCAACGACCTATACACAATTAGCTCAAAACATCTAAGAGAACTCGAATATCTATAGATGGAGTCCCTCAAACATGATATGGCAGGATCAACTAGAGAAAGCCAAGCAACTGAGAACACTATACATACCAGGATAGTTCGGCTTAATATAAAATGTTCCCAAACACACCTTCTCCCACTCCCGTCCCTCTCTCAATCCATCGCCTGCATCATCCAAACCCTCGTCACCATCCAAAACAGCAACAACAGCAAACGTACCAAACCAATACTCCGCAAACTGCTCCAGCCCCATAACCTGTTCCATAGGATACGTAGCCCCGCGCTTGATCTCAGCGCTGAACTCCGCATGCAAGAACTTGATTAGGTCCTTCGGAACGCTGGAGGGCCCCTTCGTAATTGGATAAAGGGTTACAGGTGCAGAGTTGGACTTTGGGAGCGTTGCACGGCGAGGCGTTAGAGTTCCTGATGCCTGTGCATCTTTGTGTGCTTGGGGTGGGACTGTGTGGGATGAGGGGTCTTCTAGCATTGCGGGCATTTTGGATGGGTGGATGAGACTTTAGTTGTGGTTGGGTCTGGGGCTTATGGGTTTGTATGGGGGATTTGAGCTAGGTGATAGGTCAAGTTTTGACAGGCTGAGGTTTTTCAATGCTTGGATGTTGAATTGATGGTTTTCTGCGGTTATATACATCTTAGAGTTTTGGGGTTGAGCGTTATCGGGGGAAGCTTTTTTGGCTGAGTCATCATGTAATTGTAGGGCGTGGATCTCCACATCTCAATGTTCAACTCGAAGTGGGAAGGGCCTCAAGATCTGGAATGGATCGTGAGAGAAGAGACTGGACTGTTTTCTTGGGTCTGTATTCACATTTTTTGGTTCAAGGCTTGCAGAATGATATCCATCGAGGAGGGATGATCATGGTATTCAGGTTGGGATGCTAATAAGTCCGAGGTCGGAGGGTTGCACAATAATGAATGCACTGAGTAGACATATGCATACCAGAGCATCATGGTCACGACTCGGATGGATATATATTTGAAGTTCAGATGATGATTTCAAAAAGTTGGCTACCTCAGATACTCGAGCATGCCAGTGCATCGGATACAACCTAACACCAGGAAGAATCTGTTCAAAAATAGTGCTTTCATAACCCTAAGTCTGATTTCGCTATCATGGGACTGTAAATTCATCGGACCTGTGTGAGCACATTTGGTCTTCAAGTTGAGGAGAGCCTGCGATATATCAGCTTCCAAGACTCAAGGTATGTCAACAATAATCCGAATAATAAATTGATTTAGTATAATATTTATGGATCATCGATTCCAGAGGTGGATGAAACGTGATCCTTGGGGATTAAAGCTATACACAACCTTCATACCAAGCGCTCAACAGACCCACCCCCCACGCGTTGTTTTCTTCTATTTAACTATCAACAAATCGCTGGCGTATGATTGTGGTAGGCATAGGGTATGTTCTTGTGTAGGGAGTCGGGGTAGTGTTTTTGTTAGATTATTGAGTATCGGAATCGCGGTGTACTTTGCTAGGAATAGATGTGAATCGAGCTGGCTTGCACTGTAATATGAGGAGCCTGTGTTTGTCTCACTATACGAGAGATAGTTCAGTTCGTTAGGTGCAGTCAGTAAGAGAAAGGGTTCTTCGGTTTTGATTGAGTATTCGGGAGTGACGGATTTTCAGGCATAATATATCTACCAGCGTGACTGTGGAAGACATGCCCAGACATTACCTCTGCCTAGATGCATGACACGGCATACCAGACTCCATGTTCAAGGTGCCTTCTTCTTGTTCTTTCTCCCTCTGAAATGATAGGCCAACAAGGACTGTTTAGACTTATAGTCTCTGCGATTGTTTGTCTCTGGTCATGTACAAGTGGAAACAGCGAAATATACTTGGGGAGCAATAAGCGTCCATTAGATGTTACCGGTGACACCATTTGAGAATGAAAGGTGCAGTTTGTCCTGCTCAAATCGAACTAACACTTCACAAATAGAGTCAAATTCGACGTTCAGAGTCTACTAAGGTACTTTAGAGTACAGTTTGGCTTGGATTTAGCAATAACTCGTTCAAAAAGACTGGCCACAACAAACATAACAGCGAGTATACTTACTTCGCACTATTTTCCCATTTCGCACATTTCCACATTTCCCTCGCACTTCGTACTTTGACCAGAAGCCAGAACTCACCCACAAGCCTCTCAGATACCACCTACCACGGATCTATCCGGCTACCAGCGCCAAGAGAGAGCGACAGACCAATGTACATGCATCTGCAACCTGCAAGCTATCACACGACTCAGCCATTCACTGAGCACCACATGGGCGGGTCGTCTCGGCCTCGCGCCGGCCCCCAAATATGCAACATAGCGGAATTGGAACAACTTGGGATCACCGCCCCAAGCGAAGATGAAACCCACCCACGATCAACTTTAGCGAAGTGTTAGACATTTCAAACAGGGACTGGTACATATCCCCCGGTTTGGGGCCCTGTAGGGGGCCACGTGGATCTACCGGGTGTTTCACGATACGCTATAATTGCATCTGGCGCACGGTTCTATGGGATTCGGCATGGTCAACATCATAGGCGTTCCTAGTAGCCCTAGTCTCTATAGAAGGATATTAACCCCTCGTCATTTGGCCCCGATGAGGCTTTTTTAGAACCTTCACCGATGTTAAAATATCTAAAATTGTGATCTTTTGAAAATCTTGAAACCGCCGGATGTCTTGACGTAATGTTGCTTGGGAACCACTACTCACAGGAAACTACACCTTATTTGGATGTATAATGCGAGGTTGGAGTACTGCATACGCAAGAGCCTCTGACAGCTAAGATCTAAACATAGACATAAGTAGTTTGGCAGAAATCATATACTATTACTGAGTTTATGTCACCAACTTTGAATCTGCGAACTTATTTGCTCCTACAGAGGCATTCCAAGGTTGCCTGTTGTATGCTCTATATGAGTGCTTCCAGGATTTTTGGCCCAAGATACGGGTTCTTTGTTTTTGAATCCAGTGGTACAGTTTGCTATAGGTACACTATCAAGCAGCATGGCGCCGGACTTTGGAAGAGCACTGACTCCGAGACTAAAATGGTGGCTGGTGGATTCGGTACCCTTGCACGCTCGTACATTTTTGACATATTGAAAATGGCCCCCGCATGATTTTCGGCTGCCTCGGGGGCCATGGTGATCGACAGAAGCTTGCGAGCTTCATTAACGAGTTAATATTAATGGAAGGATGCTCAGCTATCAGAACCAAATTCATACTAGTGGTTTCGGGACAATGCAAATCCAATAATAGTCCAATGTTGCAAGGAATAGCAGGAAGGAGCATTTGAAATGCAATCCTTGCAAGATTCCTGAAAAGCCACAACCATGGCATCTTTAATAATATACTTTCATAATAGATTGAAATCAGGCCATGCCGTAGCACGCGAAGTGGCCCAATACTTACAATTCTTGTACAGCTTACGCTCCATTATTACAACGAGAAGAAATAGAGCCATTAAACTAGTTCAAGCCGTGCATTTACTTATGTACAAAGTGGAGCGTACTAGACGGGTCAATCTCGACCAACGTACCAAAGATGGGATCCATCGGGGAATTAGGACGACAAGCGTATCAAGTACGTATGCACGCTATTCCCCGTATAAAGGAATTTTTCCAAGATCGGGGAGATGTCTTAATCTCCGCGGAGCATGTTTTTCGGCTATAAGGTCTTAGAGAGTGAGAAAGTTGGAAATATCGCATCAAGGCCGCCAATCGGCTGACATTGTCCGCCATGCTCACTCGGGGTTCAAAGAGAAAGGGTACCTAGTCGGTGTATAGGTTGCTTGGCTGAAAAGCCATGGAGCAAATCAGGATAAATATTCATATTTTCGGTGATAAAAGCCTTGTCTGGAAATCAGTACACTCAGAGCCTTGTTTGTCCCGGCGTTCCAAACGGTGATCCGAAAATCTTGGCTCAGGGAATCAATCGACGAATAGAAAGGAATTTGCGCGTCTGACGCACAGACACTGACCCGTAAATACAGAGTGTCTTTCGTTTTGAGCTCTTTGGCGCTTTTTCCAAGTGTGGAATATGTAATACCGATTCATTAGTGGGTTCCGGACCGCATGGTTTACACTGCGTTAGTTAGCGATCTTTCCGGAGACAGGCCGAACTGACCAGACAAGGGCTCACATCACCTTTTGGCCCCATAATTTACGTGGGTCTCTTCGTGATTGTTCTCCGCATCAACGGCAGAGCTCGCACTCGGAAAGCCTTACCTAAGGGGAATCTGAACCCCATTGGAAATACAAATAAGTGCGAAAAGGAGGCTGGTTCAATAACCATGGTGTGTGTGATGTATCCAGTAGCCTTGTAGAAAATGGCTGAAGAGGGCAACAATTGGAGTCTTCAACTCCCACAATAAGGGGCCGAACTGCGCAATGTAGCGGTATTTGGGCGGGAATTAGGGTGAATTTTTACCTTTGATGTTCTTGAATTATCCCGGGATTTTCAAGACTATTTTCGGGCGAGGGATCATTAGGTGGTATTACTCCGGACTTATGATTACTGTTATGTAGATTTAAAGCTACACAATTTGGTACAGTATCTTTAATTGCCAATTCTTGCCAAATCTCAAGTGGCCCATATCCGAACCCAAAGCAAGTCAACGGGGCCCCAGTTTGCTTGCTTTTTGGCCCCAGGGGGACCCCTACGCGTAGTTGACACGCAACCCCTTATATACCGGTTTAACTGCATTTGTGCTAGCTGCAATAAAATGAATTAAAAAGTCTTCCAGCGCACTGGTTTCCATATTGGTTATTGAGAGGGGAAAAAAAGCAAATATCATCTGTTCCATGGAACTATGTATCCCGTTCGGAAATACACGTACATGCATACCTACACTACAGAAGTCGACCTAGTGTGGATGTCGACATGCCCCGCCAATAATCGTTCGTGCGAACATAGGATACAGGAATGTTTAAATTTGGCCAGACCAAGCAGGAAGAAAAAACAATACAATCTTTAAATTTTGAGTGGACCATCTATTTTCACTGGTAGTGCAGGTGACTATTCTGTATACACATGGTTGCGAAGCGAATCAACCCACTTCTCATGGCCCTCGGGAAGCCCAAGGGTCTGCAGGTACCCCGCCCAAAATCTCGCTTTTAATTCCCTGCCGAAGAAGTGGGCTTGAAGATCCATTGCAATGTGTACTCGTTGTCTTGAGGCCACACCGATTGACCTGTGGATTTAATTTGATTTCAATTTCAATCGTTTCAATCGGGGACTCCGATGTTGCAATGCATAATTAGGCAATACTTAGTCCCCTGACGTTAGACTTGATACGCGGCTTGAACAGGTGGCAATGACCCAAGAGAATGGGTTGCAGATCTAGGGGGTTTTTGGTTTAACTGTTGGGAAATTTCACCCTCCCAGTGGTGGATGACTGCCAACTTAATGTTTCAAAAAAAGCGTACCTACATTAGCGCCAGGATCGGACATGCCGTAGATAGTTATCGGCATGGCAGCGTGGCAAAGTCCCGTTGGGTAAGATTCGTATTGATTCTCGGATACGAAAATGTATGGGTGAGCAGAACAGAGTAAGCCATTCATATCATGATGCTGACTGTCTATATACTCCGTAAGCCGTCCACTGTACGTCCTTGTTGTTCTAGATCGGGCACTATGTACCGAACGGGCATACCGGATGGCTGCTATATACGATGATAAAAATCGAAAAGTAAGATCGGCATTGAGTTTTCAATACATTTTCTTTTCTTTTTTCTCATGCAGATCTATGTCAGAAAATAGTAGGGGTGCTTCTTGGCTGCTAATAATTTAGATTGAAGTGAAATTAGGGCACGCTGCACGCCAGATCTGAGGAGCTACTGCACGAACGGTCACGTGTGCTGCAACAAGGATTATAACCTGGATCAGGTAGAATAGCAGGCTTGAAGAAAAGAAGCGCGAAGGGTAGAAGTCCAATATGGTGACAGGGGTTGGTTGCTGGTCAAGAATAAAGAAAGGGGCTGGGAATTGGGACTTCATTTTTTGAATCTCGAATGGATAAAATGCTTATTTATGTACTAGTAATAAGTGCGGAGGTGGCTTCTTATTTATTGGAGCATATGGAATTTCAGATGGATTCTGGATTTTATCGGCCCGCAACTCAAGCCCACCAAACCCAGAGCTAAGGGTGATCCCTCCGAGATCCTTGCAACCTTGTGTTTATATACTGCATGCCAAGAAGGGTCCTTCTGCGGATGATACCTTGCCACCATTGTTCGAGCTTCTTATATCAGATATATCTAAGTAGGCAGGAGAAGGAGAACTTCAGCTTGGGAATCAAGAAAGATATTGCTTTTTTTTAACCTCCAAAGTTAGAAAGAAGCCCCAGGGGAACATGATGAAACCCCATGATCATGCAAGTTAAAGGAAGAATAAAAAGGAAGAAAAAAGAAGCCAATTCAAAGACAGAATAAACGCCGGTCTGTACTTTCAGATAGAAATGAATTACTTAGAAACCGCGCCCGCGGCCACGGCCACCACCACCACCACGACCCCGGCCGCCGCCTCTGCCACCTCCGCGGGGACCTCCACGGCCACCACGACCACGGTCGGTTTCCTTTCGGGCCTTGTTCTTTGGTTTGGGTGCGTCGTCAACGAGTAGGGTATCGAGAGGCAAGCTATCAGGAAGGATGTAATAGCGAATTGTTGAGCCACGGATGTTGATAGTCTCAAGTGAGATAGGATCACGACCCTTGGGGGTCATCTTGACGGTGCGGAGGGAGGTGTTCATCTGGGGTGACACAGCAGTAATTGTGCCATGCATAATAGTGCCTGAGTTTTATTCAATTTGGTTAGACGCTTTGATCTTATAGAATTTGAGGTGTCGGGTATTCAATGAGTGGGCACTGAGATGCAGAAGTCTATAACCCAATGAAGCTGGCGCAAGCACTCACCATTCTTGAGCTCAATGGTCACCGTCTCATTGGCACATTTCATCAAAAAGCTAGTTGAATGGTCAGCTCCAAGCTCGAGGAAGATATTTCAGGATGGGATGCGCGTGGTGGAATCTCGGTCCACGACGCAGAATTGGAAGGTGACGTACCGGACGAGCTTCATTGTGGATATATTGAACTCGTAGTGTTCGTTTCAAAGGGTATTAGGGAGGTCCGAGTGGCTTCGCAAGGTCTTGGTGGGGAAAGATCTGTGAGCAACCAACGCGGGTTGATGATGCGGTTCAGATTACAGTGCAGTCTCGGCCAGTAACACGTGACCAAAAATGAAAATCATATCACGTGACTCTTTCTTTGTGTGCTTTGTTCGTCTTGGCCATTGGACTGGTCTCAGTTGATTTACATTTCCACCACCCAAGGAATTTACTTTCGGGCATTCTATACCAGAATGCTTTTGATAAAGTGTGTCTAGTTTCGCGACGAGGCAGAGTCCCTTGGATCCACTATGGCGTCCTTATCAATAGCTGTCCAGAGTATCTGAGAACTGGGTTACATCTCCACGGGAGCTTTGTGACATATGTGGAGCTCAAAAACCATCGATCTGCCGTTCTGCATAACCAGGCTTACAGAGGCCGTCCACTAATAGCGAGGAGTTTGAAATATGGAACTGGCGTTATACTCCAGATGTATAATGTACGGAGTACACTGCACAAGCATCAAACGGTGTCTTCGACCCACCTGCCAAAATCCTGATGCAAACTGTCGCGAATACAGTATTGTCCGTCTTGGAATACATGACATCACTGATACTTTTTTAATTTCCTTTTCTTTTTCTGATATCTAGTGATGGACATGTTTTCTCTACCGGTTTGATGCTACTTTCTGCGTCCTTGTGTCCCAGTCAAGTCAATTTGCTCCACTTTTTATGACTTGAGCGGAGTTCCGACCCAGCCTTCCAGAGAAACGCTGGTAACAATTCAAATGTTTGATGTTTGATACACGATACCATTTTACCGGGGATAGTATGGGTAAATTTCACCAAAGACTGACTCGCAAGCCAGCCTGCCCATTGCAGTATTACCAGAACTCGTTTACGCCGTGTACGCTGTACGGATGGGACAAGGCTCGGTCGGAGGTACCGAATTTCTGGGACGACCGTGCATATTGATCGAGTTTTCTCGGACTATTTAGCAAGCCATCCAGCCTGGAACAATACAGGGACGACCGTTTGGCATGCCCAACTTTGGATATGTATTCGGGGCAGTATCAGACTTGCCATGCAAACGGCGGAAATAAAAGACCCAGGGCTGTTTGACCAGGAATCTATCATGCGGATCCCAAGCCCTGAATGTGGAGAGAGCCGGTCGATCTCGAGTTGAGCCGGTAGTCTCCCGAGGCGCCACTCCCCGGTCCCGCCATGACAAATCTACACAGGCGCTAATCGTAATCGTCCGCCCCCGGGTCTGCCCTTGTCATAATTAGCATTTTCTTTTTTCGGATTATGAGTCGGTACCGCGATGCCGGTTCATTGAGAGTGAGCTCCACTTTTAGTGTTACAGGGGTCACAGCAAACCACATGGGCACCGGGATGCTGGGACCTTGCGTTTGTGGCTCAACTTCGACACCATACCTGTATTCGCACGAGGGAAACTGATGCGAGATTGGCCACATCATGCCTGGTGTGGATTCTGTTTGATTTGATGAAACCGAGTTCTCTATTTTCTAACATGTGAACAAGACTGGCCACAAATGTACCCACTGATGATTCGACACTCAATATCTGTACGGAGTGTCCGTATGTACATTGTACATACTTCGATGGACGCGGATCGATGCTTCCGAGTCCCACCTTTCTTGAAATCTGGATTTTGAAAATCAAATGCACTCCAGACTCCAGATCGGACTCGTCGATACTTTCGGCCAAAATATATTATTGGTGATGATCTGATCCTACTTTTCTAACGGCGCGTTCGTGGGGGCCAAAGACCGCGCAACGAGGGTACGACGGAAATGTCCACCGTGGCTCATCGGATCTCTTTTGTCTCCTATCCTTCTGTGTTTTCTATTTTCTATTTTCTATTTTTTTTTTCAAGTGACGGATTACTTGCGAGGCCACCGCAAATGGCGGCCTGAATGAAAAGCCACTAACTTTTCTGGACCTCCCATGTCAGCCACATACAAGGCCAGCGTCATGGCCCCCAAAACGAATCAGGGCGCCCCATTTCCCTCAATGGGGCTAAAAACCCCACTTCGATTTTTTTTTTTTTTTTACTGCGAGAAGCTCCCCTAATTCTGGACAAGGATCATTACACGCCCTGGCCCCATGGGCCAATCCGTCCCGAGCTTTTCCTATGTTTCCAGTACGGAACATATAGGCTTCAGCCTAACAACGGAGGTTCCGGTGTCACCTGTGGGGGTCAAAAAACCCAAGTGTCTCTCTCCTCGATAGTACCAAGGGATCCACCGCTGAAGATCATAGGATCTTGCGTCCCCCTACTTTCTCGCACTATATCAGATAGGAAATGATTATACAGCTCTTGCCGTGTAAAAGCAGCGATCCAAAGCGGCATTGCCCCAAGTGTGTTTCAGGGACAACAATCCCACCCAACCTATTACAGTGAGCAACCATTGGTACGGAATTTCTAGAAGCCCGCTGTTTGCCTTTTCCTTTAGTGGGCCAGCCTCAGCATACCCAACTGGGCTCCGATTCATGATTGCGGGGACTGTTTTTTCTCGTAACAACGCCCTGCTATCCGTCTGAAGATTTTCTATTGAAAATTCTTATTCTGTTGAAAATTCTTTTCTGCATCAGATTGCAAAATCTGCAGATTTTGCGGTGCGCCCGTCGCTCGCCCCGAATACTAGAAGCAAAGAATAAGAAACAAAAACCCTCGACTTTGCCAGCGCCGGCTCATGAGACCACATTGTATGTTGTTTTTTTTTTCTTGAAGATTGCCGCCCCTCTTTCCCAATACACCCCATATGTTTTGTTGGCCCTTTCTGGCCCCCTCCTTGTTCAAGTGTAGTTTTGCGCTAGGTCCATGACCTAGGCCGAAAGCCCCAATGTCTTCCGGGAAGACACAGTCAAACTCACAGGATTTCTCGTCTCACCGCAGGAACCCTGAACTGTCTAAAGACCCAGCCTTGCAGCAACAATCAGGACTTCTGTCCACTCTCATTGAGTCAGTGCAGACGCCAATCTTCCAACCTAGCGCTTTCCCCAACTCGGCCTCCACTTGGCCCTTTAATACCAACCCTGTGCCGACCCAAGAATCTACTTCTTTATCACCGGCGGTTTTCCCTATTTCACCTCATCCACCGGACTCCACTACTTCCCTACCCTCTAACTCTAGTCTTCCTGATTCATTCTATGATCATCTGGATCGTTCTTACTCAGAACCTTCTTACCCTGAGCCTTCATACTTAGATCAATATCCTGATCATAGTACGGCATCGTCTTTCGACGACACCAGTTGCAAGGAGCAATTACCCACTGATCATCCACGGTAAGCATAACTCCTTTCAATTCCATCACCTTTGATAAAATATCAAAATCATGAAGTTCATAAAAAAGAACCGCGTATACTGATCAGATAACAATTTTAGCGGCCTTGGAATTACACCATTCCCTATGTCTGTAGCATCAGACTCATACTTCGCTGGCCCAATGCAGCCAAACTCTCACCGTAAGTAGTATGATATTGGCGACATGAATTTAATGAAAAGGAGAGGAAGGGAAGACGAAAAAGAAACCATCAACTAACAGATCACAGAATATGTCTGGGCTAACCGCCCCTTTCAACCATTACAAGCACCACCGGCGCATATGAACCAACAGTTCCCACCGCCGCAGTCGTACCCTTCATCAGGGTTCCATGTTGGCTATGGAAGCCATCAAAACGGGCAAATGCCTGGATACCATCACGATTCTCCTGCACCATCTTCTTATCTTCCTGGGGCGCCTGGTAGCGCTCGCCATACCCTCTCACGCAGGTATGATCTTTCTGTTTCGTTGCAATAGCATGCACCCTCCCTTCCCAACAGCGATGCAGCTGACAAGTTGCTTTTTAGTCCTTCCGTGGCTCGTTCATTTCCCCCTCATTCGGCTGCTGGCATGTCCGAACAACCTCTCATGGCCTCGTATGTTTTTCGAAGAGGCAAAAAGCCGTGTGTTAGCAATTTTGGCGGACAGTTATTAACTATTATTGCAGCTCTCCTCCTTACATGATGAACCAACCCGCCTATTTTCTTCCTGAAGCACCACCAATTCCGTGAGTACCATTGGTGGACAAAGGCCTCAAGAGTCACTTCTAACCTAGAAGCCAGATCTTCTCACCCCTCTTCTATGAGTTCGCAAACATCTTCAATGGTCGCTGAATCCGTCTTCTCCCCATCCGACTCTGTACCCGGATCAGAAAATGACAATCAGCTTCGTCTAATGAACTCTGCTGCCGCGAGACCTCGACCACAATGTTGGGACCATGGCTGCAATGGTCGCGAGTTCTCGACATTTAGCAACCTTTTACGACACCAACGCGAAAAGTCCGGCGTAGTAGCCAAGGCTGAGTGTCCCATCTGCGGAGCAGTGTTCACTCGTACGACTGCACGAAACATTCATGTGGCTCAGGGCAAATGCAAAGGTGCGGGCCGGGAACCATCATCGGAGTAGGATCATTTTCAGCGGTTTTGGTTACTGGCGTTTTTGCTTTATGGATATCCTTGTTGTTTTTATTTTTGCCCATTTTGGTTCCTCTTACCCCCCCTTTTCTCTCTCTCTTCATTTTCCCTTCTCTATTTCACTTCGCTTGTCTATTTTTCTCCTCTTCTTGGACATAGAGAGATTTCTCGGGAGAAACCAATTCCCCATTTTCATAGCTATATAATCCAATTGTGTGGGGAGAGTGATCCACGTGATGCCTCAGGCATCCCGGGTGACTCAAAACCGATCATCAACATCAGTCATTTGTCTACGATTTCCTTCCTCGTTTTCAGTACAAGAATGCCCTCTTTCGCTGTTTCTGTTTTGATACCGTGTCGCATATATTTTAATTTCCTAATACCGTCATTACCGACGTGATTTGTAGACTGGACCTTACATTGCCACGCCCCATGGCATCCATATTCACTTATGACCCTGACCCGCCTCGCGTTTCCTCCCCGTGGTCGGCCTCAGGATCATCGACCCCTCAAGTCAACGTGTCAGGGACTCGAGGATTAACAATTCGAACACGCAGCGGTTCAGCGCTAGACTCCGGTAGCCATGACTTCTTATCGGACTATGGTATCAGCAAGTTGGAACCGGAACCCCAGGAGGGCCCCACCGAGTACAAGTTGCACCTACTGCTCCGTCCTCGACGGCCGTATCTTTCCATGTCAACAGGCCATGTTGTTGCAGGCTCTTATCATTCTCGCAACAGTCTAGCTCCTCTTTCAATATCTGCGTCCCCGTCTCAAGATGCAACTCCAAAGCCCATGCAAGCCAAATCGGCCCAGAGCCGGCAGCAACGGCTACAAGGGCTGACTACGCAATTGCTTTGGCGGCTGCAGCAGTCTTCACCATTCCATTCCTCCACCACGGCAAATCTGGTAGTCCCAGTGCTTCCAGACATAGCGCCTGAATTGGGCACTCTTCCTAAGCCTGTTCGTCTACTTCCTGGTTTGGAAGAAAGCCAAGGTGCGCTGTATGAGATCGGAATTGCCGACGACGGCACGTTCGTAGGCTTGACTCAAGATGAACTCGAGGAAAGTGTCGTGACTCTACAGACCATGGCGGGTAGTCTTGGCTGTAAAGTCGAGATTTTGCGGCGGGTAATAGTTGGGAAATGTGAGTGGACAGACGACTTAACGACAATACCGGACGCAAAAAATACTCATAAAGACAGCTTATGGGTCGCGGAAGCTCTGGTTACGCCGGACTTAGACTTCTATAATATGTCACCTTCCCAATCCAGGCAAAATGGCGGTGATGCTCAGAACTCTGAGCCCGGGATGAACTCGGTCTTGGGAGAGGACTACTCTTCCACCGAGCAAATTCGAATATCTATCGCAGGTCCTAGTGCTGCAGGGAAATCTTCTTTACTGGGGGCTTTGACTTCGTCTCAACTTGACAATGGGAGAGGCAAGAGTCGGCTTGGTTTGCTCAAGCACCGACACGAAATATCTTCCGGAATAACCAGTTCAGTCGCCCAGGAGTTGATTGGATACGCAGATGATGTGCCTACAAGTGTCGTGAATTACGCCACTGGTAATGTTGCGGCTTGGGACGATATTCATGCGGCTTCGCGCGGAGGCCGCCTGGCTTTTGTATCCGATCTTCCAGGCTCCACTCGTTACTTGAAATCCACAATAAGAGGGCTTGTCAGCTGGGCGCCGCACTATGTGATGCTTTGTATACCAGCTAATTGTGGCGAAGAGACAGTTGATGCTGATGCGGGCAACGATCATGTCGCCGAGATTGAAATTTGCCTAGCTTATTTGGAACTTCTTCTGAAACTTGAGATTCCAGTTCTAGTCATAATTACAAGACTCGATATTGCTTCTCGAGCTGGATTACGGGAAAACCTTGCGAAAGTTCTGTCTGCCCTGAAAACCGCAAACCGCAAGCCTGCAATGCTTCCCGCATCACTCGCTGGGGATAAGATCCCCGACCTACAGCAGATTAGTGCAGGAGACAGCAAAATTGCCCAGACTCTCATCCAAACAACCAATGGGAACTGGGACTATACCGTGCCTATTGTCCTCTCCAGCGCCGTCGATGGCTCGGGGATAGGACAAATCCATGCTTTTCTTCGCCACCTCACAATACCATCAGTCCCACGCCAGAGAGCCTTGCGCTTACCAAAGTCAATATCGCACCACGAGGATCCCACAAACATCTTTGATGTAGATGAGGTTTTCGCCATCCCACCATCTAAAGTATACTCGATGTCCAACGATAAGAGTACCCCAGAAAGCCGCGGAATGGTATTATGCGGTCTAGTCCGCCATGGCAGCATATCAATCGGTGATGAGATGACAATCGGTCCCATTCTCGTGGACACATCAGCTGATAACACCACCGACAACCCTTCTATAACTCTACTCTCCCGCAGCAGTGGTCCAGGCCCCTCAAATAACTTCCCAGCATCATTCTCCCAAGCCACACTCCCAGGCCGAGACGGCTCATCCACTCAAGCCAAGTGGCAGCGCGTCCGTGTTGTCAGCGTCCGCGACCTTCGCCTCCCAGTCCGTCGTTTAATGAAAGACCAAGTCGGTACGATAGGCATCGAGCCTCTTACATCACCAGAGGAGAAACTGCCACGTCTTAGCCGTATCCGTAAAGGCATGGTTCTAACAAATCTACACACAATCTCTCTACCGGTTCCTCCAACCAAGCCATCTCCATCATCTACTTGCCCCCCATCAATACTCTCATTGCCCTTCCACACAGGCTTCATGGCCACTTTCCCCGCATCTGATTTCTCTGCTCTGAGCTCTCCTCCCCTTCTTCTAGGTGGAAACGCCATCGTCTACATTGCAAACATCCGCACAACTGTCCGCGTCGTTTGCATGGCTCTGGCAGGAACAGATGACGAGCTTCCGTCTGGACCGCCCTCCCCCTCTGAACCAGAATTCTTCAGCTTCGACGGTGACGCCCATTCCCCCGATACAGGGGAGAAGGCTAGTAGCCAGACACCCCGGCGGCGTCCATCAGCGACTGATATCAATAAACTTGTTTCCGGTGTGAATAGCGATCCGCAAGCAAAGACGGGAACATTCAAAGAGAATGTCCAGATAACGTTTGCGCTTGTAACTTCTGTAGAGTGGATTGAGCTTGGCTCCCAGGTTCTTGTCATGCCTGGTATTACCTTGGGAGCATCTTCTGGTACAACGAGCGTGTCAGCGCCTGGGCCTAATGCGTCTGCTGGACCAGCGACGTTGTCTGGACTTGAAGGGTTTGTAGGAAGTGTTAGCGAGGTTATTCCGGGGAGGAATACGAACAGTATAGGGAGCGAATAGAGGGTCCCAGTTTTTGAAGTTTATTAAACTGTACCGCCCGCTTCTATACGGGCTACATTGCTGTTCTTGTCATGTTGATATTTGATTCTTTTTTTGTTTATAGCTATTTGGGATACACATCTCTGGACGTACAGAATGTGTACTTAGCGACGAATTAACGATATGATATTCATTCTATTGTTGGATATTAAAAGAAAATACCTTACATCCACTTGGGCAGAACATTGGAAAACAGAACTCATACTACTGGAAAGTGTTTAAATGTGTCCATGTATTTAATTGAAGATAGAAGCTCAGGAGCAATTGACTTGATCACTATTGTACCGCAAGACCAGAGGAACAAAAGTGAACAAGTCCTATGTATGATATTGGGAGAGTGCGAGGCAACCCTTATCTTTCGTTAATGCTTTGCAAATCCCCGCCACGCAAACCACAAGCAGTGATGACAGCTCCTGCATATACTCGCGGATGCAAAAATGGCCACCAAGCCTGCACAGCAGTACAGCATATGTTATCCGACCTCCAGGGATCCGCTCATTCATTTGAATCGGACAAACTGCCGGCTTGCATTCGAACCTTAAAATTGGGGGGAAGGGGTATTTTTCATGAGAGTTGTTAAAATTCAACCGCTGAATGATATGACATGACATGTCTTTGCCGTGCCACTCAAAGCAAGCTCCATAATAATCTAGATTAAACACATTTCACCGTATCATCGAGGCCTTAATATCAGATGGAAAACATAACCCTTCATTGCTAATGGTATGTTCTCTGTATAAAGGGGATTGATTGGTGATGTTTATCCGCCTTTGCGCTGGTCGCCCGAGTTACGGGCGAATGTGCTAGTAGACCCGATAGTGGCACTAGCATTGCGAAGTTCGATCTTTTTACGCTCCATTTCGAGCTGTTGAGGGGAGGGGAAAGAAATAAGTCAGCAAGATATTCATCATTGAACTATGCGGGGATGATAATGCATAAAAGAGAGCAGCAAGCAGACCACTTACCACCTTGCGCACTCGAGCCAGAGCAGCTGTGTCACCCTCAACCAATGGGCGACAATCATCAACTCGGTATGGCGGTGCAATCGTAACCGCATCAGCAACAATAATATTCTGTCCGTTCCAACGCGCAGGCATAGTTCGACTGAACGCATCGAATATATCCTGTGCTTCCCGAGTAACACCCTTTCCACGACGTGCCTCCTTATCAAGTATGTCACCAACAGCCTTAATCTCACGGGCCTTCAGCGCACGGGTATCGAGTGCCTGGATGGTAGGCTGTGCGTCTGTGAAAGAGGGGGACTCTGATGAATTGGACGGAAGCGCAAGGAGCTGGCAGGACTGGATACGAGAGACGGGGATGACATGGTAATCACCGCTCTGTGCCTGCTTTGCATCCGAGGCAGCAGGAGCGGGAGATGTGTTAATCGCGACGAGGTTGGTAATGGGACATGCAGTAAAAAGGGTTCCCTCGTAGGTAGAACTCGATGGACCGGCGGTGGTGATGCGGACGCTACATCAAACAAAGATGAGCAAATGTTAGCGCATTGATTGATTTATGATGTATGTGAATTTATGGTTCTGGTGAATCCTGGTCTGGGTGCAAAGCTCCAGCCATCGTCGAGTACATCGATGAATTCGAGGGATGGGTGCCATTGAAGGTATTGTAATTATCACTCACCGAGCACCGATCGCACCGCTCAATGCGGTATCCATGGGGACCATGCCCGCTGTCATAGTAGGACCAGCGGCCTTCGCACCAGAGCTCTGGCGCTTATTCTCCGCCATCCAGCGTGTGACGTGGGCGGGCGGTGTGATTCACTTGCCAACCTGCGCACAAGTTGCCGAGGAATCAGGATCGAATTGTGTTGACGAAAGATATTCCTTTATTTAATTGCTCAGATTGTGGGTGTAAGACACAGACTTTGGTCGCAATTGATGCCGGTCTGTTGTCTTTGAGGAGCTAAAGAGATGCTGGACCCTTTTCTCGTATAGGTTACGGTCGGTTACCGGACTGGACCTTTTTTATAGAGATGGGTTCCACAGTTTGCGAAGGGGGAGTATTTCTTTATCCCCTTCGCGGTGAGGTCGGATAAGAAGGGGTTGGGGAAAGAGGGAAAGAAGAAAACGAAAACAACACCAGGCCCCGGGGATTCTGGAGGAAGGAGGGGAGAACGCGATAAGATGGCATTGACAGGGTCGACGTTGCTCGATACCTAATTTGGTTTAGCGTGGATTGCCGAGTTACTGATATCAGGCATTAAGGCAGAAATTGACATCGCCCTACTTCTAGGGCTTGAGGCAATAAACGGTTTTAACTACGGGTAAAGTGTCTCATCCATGAATGCATAGATGCGACGATAAGATAATGATACTGAAACGAGCATATTTTGAAAATTCGACTTGTTTGGTATTATCCTCATTCATTGAAACAAATTCGTTACGTTCCATTCGTGTTGGCATCTAAATACATGAAACCCAGTTTTTTATCATATTATCTTCGACTTTACGCCACGTAGGTTGAGGCAGACACATCACCGCCACGACCGGTCCAGTTGACGTGAATGTCCTTACCTTCGGGGAAGGTCTCGCTGGCGTGCTCGGGCTTAATACGGAAAGTGTGGGCACCGAAGTAGTCACGCTGGGCCTGCAGGAGGTTGGCAGGCAGATCCTTGGTGCGGTAACCGTCGTAGAAGCTAAGAGCAGTGGAGAAAGCAGGCAGAGGAATACCCCACAGAGCAGACTTGCTGACAACGTTACGCCAGCCGCTCTGGGCGTTGTGAATAGCCTTGGTGAAGAAGTCGTCGAACAGCAGGTTCTCGAGATCGGGGTTGTTGCGGTAAGCGTTGGTGATGTCCTTCAGGAAGACGGAGCGGATAATGCAGCCACCACGCCACATGAGGGCAATAGAGGGCTTGTTAAGCTTCCAGCCGTACTCCTTGGCAGCGTTCTGGATGAGCATGAAGCCCTGGGCGTAGGAAATAATCTTGGAGGCGTACAGAGCCTGCTCAAGGTCATCGACGAAGGCAGCCTTGTCACCCTCGAACTTGGGGGAGGGACCCTGCAGGATGGCGGAAGCGCGGGTACGCTCGTCCTTAAGAGAGCTGAGGCAGCGAGAGAAGACAGCCTCGCCAATCAGGGTAACGGGCATACCGAGGTCAAGAGCGTTGATGGCAGTCCACTTGCCGGTACCCTTCTGACCAGCCTTGTCAAGAATCTTCTCAACGAGAGGAGTTCCGTCGTTGTCGTTGTAGTAGAGAACATCGCGAGTGATCTCAATGAGGAAAGAGTCCAGAACACCGGTGTTCCACTTGGCAAAGATGTCACCGATCTCCTTGGCGGACAGACCAAGACCCCGCTTCAGGATGTCGTAGGCCTTTTGAGATTAAATGTCAGTACGCTCTTGGTTCGGGATATGGTGGGAAACCACAGGGGTAAAGGGGCAGGAAATCTCACCTCGCAGATCAACTGCATGTCACCGTACTCAATACCGTTGTGGACCATCTTGACGTAGTGACCGGCACCCTCGTCACCGACCCAGTCGCAGCAAGCCTCACCGTCGCTCTTGGCGGAGATGCTCTGGAAGATGTCCTTGATGTGGGGCCAGGCGGCCTCGTTACCACCGGGCATGAGAGAGGGGCCGTAACGGGCACCCTCCTCACCACCAGAGACACCGCTGCCGACGAAGCTGATACCCTTGTCGGCAAGGTAGCGGGTGCGGCGGTTGCTGTCGGGGTAGTGAGAGTTACCACCGTCAATGACGATGTCACCCTCCTCAAGGAAGGGAAGAAGGGACTCGATGAAGTCATCGACAGGCTTTCCAGCCATGACGAGGAGCATGACACGACGGGGACGCTTGAGCTTGGAGATGAACTCCTTAATAGAGTGGGCACCGACAATGGACTTGCCTGAAAAGCCATGTATTAGCATTGTGTGAATTGGCAGAGTTATGGGTGAATAATCGAATAGAAGAGCTTACCCTTGGCCTCGTTCTCCAGGAAGCGGTCGACCTTGGAAGTTGTGCGGTTGAATGCGCAGACGGTGAAACCGTGATCAGCAGCATTGAGGATCAGGTTCTGGCCCATGACGGCCAAACCGATGAGGCCGAAATCAGCACTAGGAACAGGATGCGCCGGAGCGCCGACATTGATGCCGGCGAGACGGGCACTATAGTCAGCGACCAAATTCTCTTGTCAATAGCTGGGCAAATGCAAATGTAACGCGGAAGAAATAGCACACGCCGTTTAATTCCAAGTACCATAGCTCCCAGCCTGCCCTGAAGAGATTGTAATGCGACGAGGCATGTATGTAGCTTGGGAATATGAGGGGCGTGGCATCAGACTCGCATTTAGATCACGAGAGGGAAACCCATGGAGCCAAGCTCACTGGCCTTCATAGAGAAAGCCAACAGAGCTCACTGTCTTGTATAACAGAATTGACTCGGGTTCAGGAAATCGGTGGGGGCCCGTTGGGGGGAGCATCCCAAATCCGGAGGGTTTTTTTTCTTGGTGTTTGGAGGGGTATGATGATAAGATAGAAAGAGAGGGAGTAACTTACACAGCCTGGTCAGCCATGATGAATGTGAATTGAAGAAAGGATGGCTTCAAATGAAGGGTATCTACAACGAAGAGAGTTGAGAGAAGGAAGAAAGTTGGGAGGGGGAAAGGAACGAGAAGAAGTAACCGGGCTGACGGAGCAACTCTTCCGTCATATGGTGGGACACAATCACCGGCGGGGGGAAAACTACTGTATTGGATGTACCGAATACTTGCTTAGTGACCTACGGCAGCTATTTCTGATTACTGTCGCCGGTGTCGCGCCAAGTATTCGGTACAGGAGCAGAGTCGTCCGGTCATCCCACTCGGGTTCTGGCTGGACACGGGACCTGGGAAATTTGGGGGTCGGATTTGATATGGCGATTGAAGCATTATCCGACCCGATCACTCATATTCAGGTTTACTAGTTATCCGTTGCCGGAGAGACTGGGTGGTCCTGCATATCGCGTATGCAGTGTAGTCTACGGGTGTACGAGGAAGCGCGGGGCAAGTGGCAGAATAATGGAGGGGCACTGACTTCATTACTATGTACTTGGCCTCTATGTACTCTATACTGTATGTAATATGTATGATTTTGAACATACCTTGCCACAGTCAGCATTGGGATGATATATACATATGTACTTTCTATAGAGGTCATCCATTTCAGTCCTCCTGTTCAGCGGAGTATTTACGTAGTTTCATGTATTCTTCCCCCAATTCCCCCATCCATCGGTGAACTGTTCAGGATATTAATTGCCGCAAAAAACCGAATCCGGTCACGGTCGTCACGCTAGACCGCGTTGGGACTAGGGTGGGGGTGACCTCATTGCGGCGGATCTGGTCAGCTCCAGTTAGTTACAGTGTGCACTGCTGGAGTACTCAGCGAAGCCGGTCTAGGCAGGTTGCGGCGGTACCTGTTTATGTCAGGAAATATCCACCAACAAGAGGGAGCGTCAAATTCTGAAAGCACATGGCTCCCGCAGTCAACTGGCCAACGCGATCAGAACTTCTGATTATATAAGAACTACTACGGCCTTCCATAAACACCATTAATGCACAACTTTTCCTTTCTATGAACAATTGCAATCTCGAGTCCACGATCACCAAGTATCCTGAAAGAGATAAATCATTACCCCCAACCCTCGTCCTTTTATCTAGTCAATACAGTCCCCCCCCTCTCTCTCTCCATATCGCCCCTAGTGACATTTTTGTCGCTTCTCAACCTTCCTCTCTCTATTTGAGCAGGGTTCGGTCCTCAAAAGTGGCGTTTGGTGGATTTGGACTGCCCTGAAGGTACGTTGCGGCTGCGATCTACAACAGCTCAACCGTTTTTCCTGTCGGACTCTCCATTCATCATGTCCTTTCCACCCCCTCCAGGTTTCAATAAGGCGCCGTCGTCTCTCCCTCCGCGACCACCACCATCTTCCAATGCCGCCCAATCAACTTCCTCGGGCCATGGCAGCAATGCACGCCCTGCCTTCGCAGCCTTTCAACCGCGCTCCGTAGCGTCTAGCCAGCCATATCGCACCAACAGCCCGGCCATCTCAAAACCACCCGTCCCAGCGCCCGGGTACGCTGCGCAAGCGAGCAACTATTCAAATTACTACCAACAACCACAACCGCAATCATACCAGAGCGGGCCCTCTTACTATGGTGCTTCTTCATACAGTAATGAAAACACATACGGTCCGGCCGTCCCACTCATCCAGAATCCCTTCGGAACAACGCCTGGTCAGTCATATGGCGGTGGCCGACAGGCCCAGGACGGCGTCGATGCCGAGACCGAGGCCCAAATCGCGCAGTGGCAGAGCGCCTATGCGAACCAAGACGACCCAGCAGTGGCTGCCGCCAAAAACCAAGCCCCTCAATCTGGTCCTGGAGCCAACAGAGGCTCTGGTACCCCAACCGTTGGCCCAGTCGGTACAGGTCCCCCCATCCCACAAGCTGAACCCGAGAAGACAGTCTCCCGAGTCGGCGGTGGACAGAAGTGGACGGACAGCACTTTGCTAGAATGGGATCCCGCCCATTTCCGCCTTTTTGTGGGTAATTTAGCTGGTGAGGTGACCGACGACTCTTTGTTAAAGGCATTTGCGCGGTACACTTCTGTGCAGAAAGCACGTGTGATTCGAGAGAAGCGCACGCAAAAGAGCAAGGGTTATGGATTCGTCAGCTTCAGTGATGGTGATGACTATTTCAAAGCTGCGCGTGAAATGCAGGGCAAGTATATTGGTTCGCATCCTGTTCTCTTGCGACGAGCTGTGACCGAGGTCAAACCGGTCTCAAATAACAAGAACAAGAAGGGCGGGGGTGGCGCCCGTCGTGAGCAGCCCGGGGCTAAAGTCAAGCATGATGGAGTTAAAAAGACGGGCAAGACCAAGGGAGGATTAAAGATCCTTGGTTAGACGTGGACTCGATGTGGAATTGTACTCTGTGTACATCAATATTTACAAAGATAATACAAGGTTGAAATATGACCTCATCCTGATGGATACGCGTTGGGTTAAAATTCGATCCTGAGACTACTGAAAATGGGAAAGAGCCTCCAGGTGCATGCATGCATGCATGCCTGCATACCCTCACGTTCTCCCTTGAGATGTCCCCCACAAATGTATGTAATCAATATTCAAGAATGAGAATCCTCAAAAACGGCATTCAGACCTGCGAAATTATTCAACCTGATGTCTTAGCCTGATGCTCAAAACCTGGGAGTTCCTTAAACAAGTAAAAATGAAGCTATTCAGAGCACAAATTTGCACATGTCAATGCTTTGGGGGTCACGTCAATGCTTTCTAGACTATGTCAATGCTATGTACAACTTGAACCCCATCCACATCATTAAAAGAGAGATCATGTTTTGCTATCCAATATCTATCTATATTATCGTTTAGCTATATAAACTTACGTATGCCTACTAGTACTACTAGTATTTGCTTACTTGGCTAAAAATTTGGGCTCGTGCATACTGATATCCACAAGTAATGGCTGAATAGCCGACCAAGTTCCTGTTCATAAATCTACACATATAGAAACAGAGAGATCGATCCACAAGGTGAGCATTGTGCTCCATTGCTGGTTTTCGTACTTCCAGACACCATCATCCGTCAATCTATACCCATTTGCATACATTTCAAGGGTGCTCATCATAGCACTATTGATGTATAGGTGCCGCAGTAAGCAACAGAATCCCCAAAAACATGGGGCGTTGATTCGCGATGTTGATTGGCCAGCTTTAAAGGTGATACCCGGATGTGGATCCTGGTAGATCCAATTACGCCAATGAGCTCCAACTTCACCCCAAAGAACCTCCCGTGCGTGAGCCTCGCCAGATTTTCCTTGTCCAGCCTCAAATCCTGTACCAATAACCCTGCATCTGCTGCAAGCGACAAGCTCGGAAAAGTTTCAAAGCCCCGCAGTATCGAGATATTCCCTTTGTTTCATAGGGTTTGCGCATTCAGCTTACCTCTTGTGTGCGGCGTGGATGCGTCATCATGGATGACCGCGACCCCGCGGCCAAACCCGATCGACCAACTCAAGTCCGGCCCACTGCGCCGCGAGTCAGGCTTAGCTGTGAAGCATGTCGCCAGCGGAAAGTGAAATGCGACAAACTCAGCCCGTGCACTAGCTGCCAACGACTGGGGTTTGTATGCGTGCCTGTAGAACGACCTCGCTTACCACGAGGTCGTACGCGGAAAGCCCCCGAAAGAGCTGGCCACTCAGATAAGGAGCTCGCGGATCGAGTCGCGAAGCTTGAAGATCTCTTGCGACGGGTCGCATCAGAGCGAAATGAAGCAAACCAGTCCCAAACTGAGGAATCGGCTTGGTCTAACGACATTGGCACCGGGCGGAGTTCCGAGGTGAAGGTGGAGAGTGTCGAGCCCTTGCAAGATCACACTGCCCATGCGAACGAGACCCAGCTACCCGTATCAACGGTGCAGTCCGGCAGATCTCGGCCCACAACGTCGTATATGGGGAGCTCATTCTGGGAGGATATTATGTTACAGGTATACTAAATCTCTTCTTTCGCCGAGCACTGCCACGATTAATGTATTAACATATCTTGCAACAGACACACGAATTGCGGACAGTGCTTGATACCCGGGTAGATAATGAGCAGCTCGAGTTCAAGAGCCCCACTGGGTTTGGAAGCAACTTTGTTGGCTCTGAGGGGTCGGAAAGCATGTCCAACTCGCCCCAATCTATCAAGGGGATCTTGATCTCGACCCAGACACGCCAGACTTTATGTGATATATATATACACAACGTGGATCCTGTATTCAAAGTCTTACATCGACCATCATTACGAGCATTTCTTCATGACAACCAACCATATCTTTATTATGAACCTGAACACCAAGCCCCGGCTACTTTGGCACTTGCCGTTTATTCTGCCGCTGTTTGCACAATTGATGATACCCAGTGCCAACTATTATTTGGCTTGGACAAAAAGTCCGTCTTTGCTGACCTACAAAGAGAAACCGAAGCTGCATTGATCAGGGCAGATTTTGTGATCACGAATGACTTGACTATTTTGCAAGCATACGTAATATCTCTAGTAAGTTCACTTTCTTCTGCGGCGCACGGGTTGCAATGGGATAATGGTAGGAGAAAGCAAATCAAGCTAACACTGACTGCATTTAGCTCGCGGCGCGTTGCCAAGATCAAAGCCGGCGAGTGTGGACCATGCTAAGCATGGCCCTCCGAGTAGCCCAAGCACAGTGTCTTCATATGGCTGAGCCTCCGTTCCAAGTCGGGCCATTTGAGCAAGAAATGCGTCGCCGTTGCTGGCAGGGCATTGGCCAACTTGACATGGCAGCTTCATTGGATCGAGCATCCGAGCCAATGATGCAAGCTGCGTGGCTTGAGTCGCACCCTCCAGCAAACATAAATGATGAGGACATATGGCCTGGGATGGAAGGTCATGTCCAGGAACGTCCAGATGGCACCTTCACAGATGTGACGCTTCTTCTAGTAGTTGCTGCAGCCCAGTCTGTTTGTCGATCTATTGCATTTGCCGACTTCATGGAAACATCAGTTAAATCGATGAGCATGCGCCAGCAAATATTATCAGACTTTCTACGAAACACCTCTAATCTCTTGGCTGGATGTCAACCAGATAGAAACCCCTTTCACCGATATACAAAACGAACAGCTACCGTCATAAACGGCTGGCTGCAACTGGGCTGTCTTCGCCCCTTGATACGAAGTCCAAACTTCACCCCGCCACATGTCCAGGGTGACGTTCTTCTCAAGATGGCTGCTGAGAACCTGCGGTTGGCGTCGGAATCCTTCAATGATCCCCAAATGGCGCCATGGATCTGGTTTCAGTCATTATGGGTTCCATGGCACGGCCTTGCAGTTGCTCTCGCCGAGCTCTGTGTTTGTCAAGATGCTGAACTTTTATATAAGTACTGGCCAATTGTCGAATCGGTCTATCACCGAACGAGCTCTGTAATTGCCGACTCACAACACGGGATGCTGTGGCAACCCCTGGAAAAACTTATGAATCGCGCCCAAGATCGAAAACGTGAGATATTGGGCGGGGGCCTGACAGAAGCAATCAAACAAGTAACTTTGACTGAAATGCCTCTAGCTCTTGCCCCTAACCAACCGTGCCCTCAAACTTCTACGTGCCCTCAGACTTCTACTTGTCCTCAAATTTCTGCGAGTTTTCAAATGCAAGATACGGCGATGCCGATGACAACTACTGGCCAGATCCACCCAGCTGTGGCAATGGCACCTTTGGAAATGGGTTTCGACGCAGGAACCGAAGCCTGGCCAAATGTTTGGGATGCCATGGACATGAGTGGAGCCGAACCCCCAAGTGGGTGCGATGTCGCCTGGGCTAGCTATAATAACTTCATTGGAGATGTGTATGACACTGCAGATTCCATTTTCTTGCCTCGATGATTGGAAAACACCGATTGCACCTTTTCGACGGCTCATCTCCACTTCAACTTAAACAAATCCACTGTGGGCAAAGGGGTAATAACGACAAAAAAAAGGCTCTCTCCATTCCAAACCTACACTCCATGTATAACAAGCTTAAAGAATAACACATGAATGATTATGATCAATATTCCATTGCCAACTCATCTCGTAGAAGCGCTTAATAGAAAAATGTAGGCTTGTGCAGAGAGCACAAGTTATTTCAAGGAATACTCAGGTGGAGGTGGCATGATATTCGAATTTGCTGGCATCGCTTTTTCTTTTCCCTCTTTTGATCCACCAGCATGGTTGCGAATTATCATCGTGACTTCGGCGCTCATAGAGACATCCTCTGGAGTTCGGCCGACATCATTTTTCGTCTTGAGGGAAGCCCCACGCTCCAAAAGGAGTTCGACCATCTTGACATCACCCTTCTCAGCAGCAAGATGAAGTGCGCGATTCTTGTATCTGCCTTTCATATCAATCGGTACACCACATTCAAGAAAAATGCGAACAAGCTCTCGATTCCGATCATTCACAGCACAATGAAACATCGGAATCTTGTTACGGTCCAGAGCTGCCGGAGAACCATCTTGCTGCGCAGCAGCAGCTCAACGATCCTGATATGCCCCACATGAACAGCAATATCCAATGGTTTACCAGGCGTATCCTCTCCCCTGGCTTTAATGTCCATTACTGGCGTATCATAACACATCCGAGCCCATAAATTAGGACTATTAAGCCTTTCATGCTCAATAAGAAGCTCACACATCTCCATCGCTCCCTCTGAAATAGCCAGATGCAAAGGTGCCTGTCGAAGGCGATTGGAATGCCTAGCATGAGCATTCACTCCGAGCAAATATCGCACCATGTTGATATCTCTCCCCTAGTCGCGATGATTATTGGTGTATCCCAGAAATTGTCCTGCGCATTCACTGTTGTCGGATCGCATTCGATTAGCAAGCGGACAATCTCGAGATGCCCCTTGACAGCGGCATACATTATTGGCTGTGCATTATCCCCGTCAATAATCGATGGAGAAGCATTTCTGTCAAGTACAAGCCTTGCCACGTCCTAGTGCCCGTTTTTGTCGGCTTGACAGGGTTCAACTTGTGAGGCAACTCTGGCTAGATTTTCTCGAAAGTTTAATTGCCAGTAGCGCTACTTGGGTTGATTATGTGCAAGCTCAAAGTGTCAAGCGCCTTACACTTTCAGCAACTGTTTTCCTTCCTATCAGTCTGGCGTCAAGCCTGCTTAGTATGAGTACACGTGCTGCTGAGCTGAACGAGCTGTGGTATGATCTCTTTGGATTGTCGTCTATTGCATTACTCTCAGTGACGGTGGTATACTTCTCTATGCGTATTTGGGATGAACTCAGCGAATTTGAGATGAAGGCTTTATTTCCATTAGCAGTGATTATGAGATTAGGTATGTTTGTGATGCATAATAAATGAAGGGTGTTCATTGCACTTTTGTTCTTTATGTTTGGTGTTTTGGTAGTGGCATCTTTCTGTATGGGCATGATCAGTGACATTTCACTTGGTTTGCACATACTAGCATATGGCGCAGCTGCTATTCTCGGGCCTATATCGGTCTTGAAGTTTTGTGAGATATTTAGGGCCATATTCAAAGAGCACCAGTAAACATCATCTAAGTGGATCCCGTGGCTAATGTGGTGCACTTGATTTACCCTTTTGAGCGCTTGAAACCGGCCTTATTACACGTGGCTTTGTGTGAATTAAAAGACTCGCCGGAGATTATATTTCTATATCTGTATTGGAATTATAGTACGTGCGTCATCATTTCAATCCAAATGTCTATTGATGAGTTATATCCCCCGTCTGATTGAATTGATAAAACTTCCCACTTTCATGAGTCCAAAACGATGAAATCCGTGTTAGAGCTTGAACTAGATGGATCTGATGTCGCCACTCTAGGCTTATCAGCCCACCGTTCTGCAATGCTTCTTTCCACCCTTCTGTCCGAATTGGCAGTACTCGAAATACCAAACACGCCCGTCACAACCAGAAATTCATCACCCATTTTAATTTCGTGACTCGCCTCACGTGCAATGGTAGGGATAAGTGTCCTCTGATGTGCCAAGTTCGTGTTTGCATCAGGCTTTAGAACCGAGGCATGCGTATGTATAGATGCGGGTATGCCGCTCGTTATGGCAGCAGAGATACCAGTGGCACCCGCGGCTGATAGAATCAAAACGGAGTCATCAGTCTCTAAAATACCTTCGCTTACTCCAACTTCACTATTCGGATCCACATTTTGTATGGCTGGGAGCTTTGTTCCATCTTTTGAACAGCGGCCAAGAGATGAAAAACCGCCTTCCACCGTATGTAAACTGTTCAGTGGAGAATTGATACGTATGCGATGGACTCGGATATGCCAGTCTGGCCACCTGTCTGTGGGTGGAATCAATGTTGTATGGATTTCGACCTGTTGGTCTCCCCAAGGATACCATCGAACAGTCGCAGTAGTGATCTCTGATGAGCTTGCGCCTGTCTGTAAGCGAGCCGTGGAAAACTTGGGCTCTGAAGATTTCCATTTCACAGCCCATGTTTCAGCACCATCACGACTAAGCGCTAATGTGCAGTCTGGCGCAATTTGCTGAATTAAAGGGCCAGTGGGAACCGAAAAGGCGAATGCGGACGAATATTCAAATTTAGAGTATTTGGCTTGAGTAGCCTTCATTGGCCATGCAATGAATTGTGCAGGCGATAAACAGAAATGGTGATTTGCTGACGGGTGGTTGCTGAGGATTTGCCTGGGAGCAGGTACAAGCTTCGGTGAAAATAATGATGGATAAGGCTCTTCTTTGGCAGTCCAAAATTCGTTGCTTTCGGATAGCGAGAGGGCGATCAGAGTCTTTAAACTCCAATAAGGTGACTGGGGAGAGTTGTAATCTTCGGACATATACATGTTTCTGGAATATCATTAGTCTCACCGATATAGGCATATTTGTGGATGAATGGATACTAACGGGTACAGCCAGCCAATGTTCAAAGTTCCATCTGCATTGAAGATATCACTAGATCGAACTGCCCACCAACGAAGATGGCGCAATAGAAACCCCTTGGTTTGACCAGGTGTTGACAATGGCGATGGCATGTCAGACACCGGACTCACGGCAAGCGCAGCAAAGAAGGCACCACAGGAGAACCGATATGTAAGAGAACGACCAAATGGGATGGCAGCTCCTAGTAAATGTGGCCTGTTAGTCTCGTCATTTACTTCTTGAGTTTCTCCCATCACTTGAACATGACATACCGTCCGAGTCAAAGTATCGCCAGAATGAAGCACCGAAATCTCTTGCTTGCTGTCGGTACCGAGCAACTCGCTCAGGGTCGATATCCTCTGCGTATTTTGCATAGAGCAGCTGGCTAAATTGGATTGCAAAGCTACCAGAGTAGTAGTCAACCTGGCGACCCTTTCCAATCGCATCTCGTCGTTTTGTCTTAATTGAGGCAGTAAATTCATCCATCTCATCCTGAGTAGATAGCCAAGGACCATCGCCTGACCAACCATCTTCAAGATAAAAAGAATCAAGAACTTCGAAGTCTGCCCGCATCTCGTCCGAAAGTTCAGAGATAGGAATATCACATACCCGAGTCAACGCAAGATTGGCAAAGATTCGAAACCATCTCCAATTGTTACTAGGCATCTGCTTGCCGTTGATTGTCCGAAGCCAGGCGGTAATATTACGCCTGGTCCTTTCATCTTGGCTGTGAAAGAGCTGTTCTGGAGCTGCAAGAAGAGCAAAACTGACCACCTCGGCCTCGACCATGCGTTGATCTGTATCGCATATTGCACCCCAGTACTCCGAATGTTCGGGGTCTGTGCCACTGACCATACCCATAATCCACGGCTGTGTCACTTCTCGGATGGTTGCCGTGAGACTAGGATCGCAGCAACCTTCCTTGAAAGTTGACTCCAGTTGAAGAAGCGATGCTACTGCCCATAATGGCCGAGCAAATCCTTCCAGCTGTGCAGCTGCTTCATCGAAGTGAACTCCTGTGGAGACTGGAATACGAATTCTCGCCTTGTCTGGTGAGAAATACGGTTTCAGCGGACGCAATAGCGCGATGGCTGCATTGGCGATATCTTCTCGAGTACGAAAAGCATTATCGGAAAATCCAGTTACTTGAGGCATGGCTGCAATGGTAACTCTTGATTTTCAGATCAGGTAACTAGTAGACATAGTCTTCACCATATAATTGATGTGTGGAAGGTGCCCCTCGGGCTTCGGGGTAAGTCTCGGGGATCTTCCCCGCATCAGGACGCCGGGAGAGGTATCGGCCGGTCGTGCCAAGGTGAGACTCAGCATGCTACCTTACCCACTTCAGGTCCCCCGGGTGTTATATAAGTGGTGGCTCATTGGATAGTTTCCAAAAATGATTAAAGATATTGTTGTTCAAAATGACATTTAACAACACCATCACCGAGGATCATCCAAGTGACGATTCTGTTCAAGTGTTCAGCGACGCAGACGATTCAAGAAGCCCGACTATGACGGATTTCAGCCATACATCAGCTGATAACGATGTCTTCAAGAGTACACAGTCATTCAAGCCGACCGAGGCGCCAGCTCTGAGAGATCGATTGCGTGAGTTGTACAGTGATAATATCACGGCGAAGATCCTACGGACTGCTGTAACCAGTCTTCAAAACAATGTCAGTTTCTATACGTGGAATCAAGTATCACTTAATGCATTCTAACTAAATTCAGGACCCTCCTACTGAGTACCCAGAGTGGGTACCGCAATCTGGTCCAGGTAATGGAAAATACGAATGCCGCGAGGCAGACTTCTGGACCTGTGGCTTCTTCCCTGGGTCGATATATGCTGTGCTTGAACGTCTTATCAAGTATCCAAAGTCGACCTCTGCTGGAACAGGTAATTCAACAGTTATCCAAAAACTTCGCGACTTGGGAAAAACTTGGTCGGACCCAATTCATCCCATGGGGGCTCGGACAGATACACACGACATGTCCTTCATCATCCAGCCATCAATGCGACCACTCTGGGAGCTCTTTCACGACAGGCGTGCCCTCGCAACAATAATCACTGCCGCGGACAGTTTATACACCCGGTATAACGACAAAGTCGGTGCTATTCGTTCATGGGACCAATTGACCCAAAAGGGAGTTAACATCACCTCCATGGACCAGGACTTCCTGGTCATTATCGATTCTATGTGTAACTTGGATCTCCTGTACTATGCTGCAGCTCACACTGGCCGCGTTGAGCTTTTTAGTGCCGCAACTCGGCACGCGCACAAGCTTCTACGAACTCATCTTCGCCATGAAACAGGCGAATTTTCCAAGCGCAAGGGATACAACGGTCCATTATTCAGTACATTCCACGTTACAAATTTCAGTCCAATGACTGGGAGACTCAAAGAAGCTCGTACTGGTCAAGGCTATGCAAAGGATTCAACCTGGGCTCGGGGTCAAGCTTGGGGAATTCTTGGGTATTCGCAGACATATCAATGGACGGGCGATACAGAATTTCTCATTGCAGCCTGTGGTCTAGCGGAGTACTTTCTCCTGCGACTAGAACTGTCCCCTAGCTGTGTTGAGCGCCCTGTCACAGCTGATAGTGATTCAGAGACTCAAGGACGCACCTGCGGTCGTTTTGTACCACTATGGGACTTCGATGCCCCTGTTGACGAGGCGAACCCACTCCGCGACTCATCTGCGGGTGTCATTGCCGCCAACGGTATGCTGGTGTTGGCACAGAGCCTTCTTTCCCGTGGTGAACATACCCAGGGCCGCCGCTATCTTGATGCTGCGCTTTTGCTAGTTGAAGATGCCTTGAAATTTTCTCTGGCTGATGAAAAGGCCTCTATCGTTGTTCGTGGACAGGAGGTTTCAGTGGAAGATGTACGGCCAAAAGCTACATTTGAGGCCATTTTGAAGAATGCGACCGCCAATCATAACGCATCTGACCACCGACGTTATTGGGACCATGGACTGGTTTACGGAGATTACTATCTTATTGAATTTGGTAATCAGTTGCTTCGAATGGGACTTGTTTGAAATGAGACCTGGGGAGCATATAGATAGACTCATAATATAGAGGAATTAAATTATGCAGATGAAAGATCAAGAATTTATTTATACATGTGAATAGTTATCACCGGAGCGCTGCGTCGTAGTATGAGGCACCTTCAAAGCACAATGTTATGCCCACCTCATACGAGTCCTTACTCATTCACGAGAGAGTTCCGTATTTCCTCCATTTATTGGACCCATGTTTGCGGAGAACATCATATCGTCAACACTGATTACCCGGTCCATATCCATAAAACGCTGATCAAGAAGAAGATATGAAATAGTGGAGAGCTCATCAGCTGGGGGCGGATCATTTACCGGATAACCCATTGAGACTGGGGCGGTCGGTGAACCATTGAGAATTGGCTCACCAAATGATCCATACACTTTATCTGTCCCGAGGACTTCATTGGCGGTATTCCATTGTGATACTGGATGGAATACTCTCGAGCCGGCAGCAGAGGCACGTCGCGGAGTCGTTATTGATGCATGGGCCTCTTGGTGTGGGAGTCGATGATCCGGCGGAGAGCGAGTGGATATGGTAGACCCAGGTATAGAAAGTGCGTGATTGTTGGAAACAACTGTCGAATAACCTAGGACATCTACGCTAAAATTTGGAGAGAACACACAACGCTGATATAGATCGCGCAAGTGGTCTGCGTAGGTGCTGGCAAGACAGTGTCTGTGAGATGAGGATCCAAGCCATCGACGGGCCATCTCGTCTAGGCTGTTTATAAGATACCAGAGCTCTGTTGGAAGGGGAGATGCATAGTAGCGCCAATGAACTACACGCATATGTCAGAATAATTTTATGGAAAGAATATTGGAGATCCGACTCAACTTACCTAGAAGAACTCGAGCGGCAACAAAAACACAGAAGACGAATTGATTTGCTATTGGGTCACTTTCGGGTGTATTACCCAGGTATTTCGCGGTCATATTCTGGATTTCAATGGCTGCATTTTGGCATGTTTCGGCGCTACAGTCACTCGGGAGTCGTACAATGTTGGCCCACTCGGCGGGTGGGTATGCCATGCGTTGGTGTAGAAGGATCATAGAGGTGTTGTGGGTGACATGGGCGAGGGTGAGATTTGGATCCATGTGTATTAACGTTGGCTGCCGCGATATATTGGAATCTTTCCATTTCTGTGGAAGAAACATTTTCCAACTGATTTAGAATGTTAGCTCCATACTAGACGAGTAGATAGAATAGAAGAAAGATCAGAGGACTCACTGTACCAAACGAAGATCCAACTCTTTGAATCGTGTGAGCCAGTTGCTGACTTCCTGTCGGTCATGGAAGTTGATTTCTTGTTGAAGGAAAAAGGTAGTGACTCTGCTAAGAGACTCTGTTGCTTCGACACAATAGGCAAAAGCGCCCACTGTTGACATATCTGGCATGGAGGAGCTTGGGGCAGTAGATTGGGGCGATGCATTTTGTATGGTGGAAGTTGGTAACTGATCAGGGCTCTGGGGGACACCAGAGTATTTGGCAGGTAAAAAGGCGATAGAGTTACCAATTCGCGCTTCAGATCGATCCCATATTCCAAAGAAGGGTGTTTTCACCTGCTCCTCTCTATGCCAGAGACCTCCATCGGCAGGGAGACGACGATGTACATCATCTGCTGTCAGACTGGTATTCCAACTACATAAAATATTAATATAATAAAACAGAGAATGAGTCCTCAAGGAAATTTCTCATTTCCAACAAGGTCAAATAAGGTATAGAATAACCGGGGACGTACCCTGTTGCAACTGAGCAGAATCGGTCCAGGTTAAATATAGTCCAAAATACCCGTCTCCTCTCCTCTTCCTCAACCCATTTCTGAGAGGGTGGTAAGGATAATAAAGGCTTGAGTAATCGCTGTACATCACGATCTTCGTCTTCGACACTAAGTCTAAGATACTCCACCGTCCTAGTCAAGGATCCAACAATGGACCAAGCTCTAGAGGTGTTGCCATTGCCAATCTATAGGGCCATGAGTATTTGTGGTTAGGACTGAAGAAAGGGATGGGCTCACATCATCAAAGGCAATAATCGTTAATGCTTGAAGATTTTCGACTGATAGACTATCCATCGCATTTAAGACGACAATATTTCTCGACCTTCTGGCCTTCAACTCTACATCAGCGGCTGAGATACCATGAGCCTCTGGATGAGCATATCGGATCGCAGCAACCACCATAGCGTGAATAATTATAACCAATTGAAGTCGTTGTTCTGGGTCATGCATGCGACTTCGAAACCGAGTCTCGTGAATAATCGGTATCCAAGGATGAATTTTGTTGAAATACTCATTCACAGTGTTTTCAAGTAAATCCGGAGCAGGCAAACTAGATGACGCATCCAACAGGTCTTCAAAGGGCACATCAAGGTGAATATGCGGATTCCCACAGCTATCCACTCGTCGTCGCTTACGAGGTCCAGACGACTGTAGGGTCTCATAAGCATAATTGGGCGACTGTTCAGAGGCTGTACTGGTCTTTGGCGTCTCATGTGAATGGCGGCTCATCCTTTCTCGCAGCGGGTTATTCGATGTCTGGCTATTCTGATTATTAAATTTACACAACTCCATGCATACTGTTGACAGTAAGTTGACAACTCCGTCAAGACGATTGTGCTGCTCAGAGCCATGCTCCTGGTATCCGTGATTGACAGAGCTGCTATCCCTCGCCTGTACCTCTTGAAGTGCATCTTCTAGGACCTCTGTAGAATATTATTCAATAATCAGCTCCGATCAACCATCGTTCCTGCGCCAAGTATTTGCATACCAATTCGACGACTCAAGCTCTCTACAGCACCTGTTTTGAGGCCGGGTTTATTTCTTTTTGTATCATAGACGCATGGCGAGCCGAGTCGGTTACATTGCGAACATGTCGGCAGTTCCCGTGAGCACTTCAGCTTCCGTCGTCGACATCCTTGACAGGATGGGCGCTCTGGATCGACAGTGCTGCCACTGTTCTCCTCATGTTCGTTTGGCAAATCCATCTACCAGTGTTCTGTATGGAACTGGGGGATTAACAACACCCCGGTCCATGTGCGATTAGTAAAAAATAATGATAACAGCAACGGTAGCCCGTGAGGATTCGACCAGAAGCTCCGACCTTGCATGACTCCGGAAAATGTGATGCGCATCATAAGGAAAATATCGCTGTCTGTGCGGGGAAATTGTGGGGAAGCTATCTACTTCAATTATTGGCGGGTGTTTCATGGGCGTTCGGTGAGACTTGACCCGAGAATAGCCCCGGCGCCCGGCGAGAATCTCGCCCACCGGAACTTTACTATTTCGGTTATCTCAGGTTTTGGGAGGTTCGTCAAAATACTAGGTTCATGGGCTGACAGGAGCATTAACCCTCAGACCATGATCAGCCTGAGCCCTGGAGGCTTTGACACTTCCAAGGTTATTTGTTTATTTTTCTTAAAAAAAATCCCATCATCGATCATAATATATTGTCAGAAAGTACGTGTCGATGAATCTATTTAGACCAAAATTTGTCAAACGCGTTCAACCTGCTCGACACCCAACTTGGGATCTTTGCCAACCTCGACAGCATTCTCTGCATTGACATCTAGTCCCATCTGTTTCATAGCATTCGTTCCAGAAAGGGCATTCGGCCCGTCGAAAATTTCAGCTACTTCCTCAAGACCACGGTTCTTAGTTTCAGGGAAGTAAAAGTAAATGATTGTAAGGTGAATCGCGATCATAACGACCCATACAATGTAGTATTTCCATCCGATAGCGTCCATAGCGACTGGATTCGCGAAGCTATTGTATAGCGATGCGAGGTTTCCCGTGAGTTGGTACAGCATAGATGCCTTGGATCGCAGAGAGTAAGGCACCACTTCCATGATGTATGTCGGGGAAATTGGAGCACAGGAATGATAAAGTCCGGTGTATATAAAGATCATAGCCAGCACCGCACCAGCGTAGCTGTGGTCTTTGAAATTCTTTTGCTCGTTAATTGCGGAGCAAATGGTCCAAATAATATACGAGATCCCCATCCCAGCCATGCCAAAAAGGTAAAGTCCCCTTCGACCAGCACGGTCAACCATTGAGGCGAAAAAGCAAGCTGACAGAAGACTCCAGATAGAGATGCAGCCGTTGATAATGAGTTGGGTTTTGGAAGCCGTGATGCCGATGGTATCAAGAACTTTGGGTAGATAGTATGAGGAGAGAGCATTGCCAGACCATTGAAGCATGGCAGGGATATATAAAGCCAGGAAAAGACGGTGACGATTGCCCTTAGTCGATAACCATTCTCCCCAGCGTGACTTGTGCTGCATTTTCTCCATTTGCAAGGTCGCTGTAATCTCAGCCATTTCGAAGTGCGCCAAGCGAGACTGAGGATCTCCATCGCCGTGGTATTTAATGAAAATTTCGAGAGCCTCTTGGCTGCGGCCTTTGTAGATGAGCCATCGCGGAGACTCAGGAGCAAACAGACTGAGAATTGCCTGGATCACGGAAAAGCTGCATTGCAAAAGACTCGGCAGTCTCCAGCTCCACGAAGAAGTCGCCATTTGAAACGTACCGTAGGTCACCCATGCTGCGATGAGAGAGCCTAAAGGCCATGATACCAGATAAAACGAGACCATTTTACCTCGATGTGGTGGATATGCCACCTCCGAGAGCAGCGGCGGTGCAGCGACCGAAACAATTCCCAGTCCGAAGCCGACAAAGAAACGAGAAAAGACAAACATAGCATAGTTGACTGAAGCAGCCTGAATAGCTGACCCAATAATGATGATTATAGAGCCACCACAGATAGGATATCTTCTTCCAAACCAGTCACAAAGTTGAGATGATATCACAATAGAAATCAAAATTCCTCCCAGTGGGCCGAAAGTCATTGCACCCAAGCGAGCTCCCGCAGGCTCCCCAAAGAATTTGATCCATGCTGGCAATGCTTGCATACCATTGATCATGCTAGCGTCGAATCCTTGGGCGGTTTGAGTGAGAAGCGCACACAAGAGAAGAGTATTGAGCTGCAATAGTCTGGCATCTCTCCACCATGGCTTGTCGCGCTTAGGAATAACATCGTTCAACACAACACCTGTGAAGTCATACGGAGAGGCGTCTGAAGGACCGCGCCTTTCGTCCATATCTGTAAATGGGTGGGTAGAGGGCGATTCAAGGGGTGAATCAATGAAAATGGAAGCCAAGAGGACTACCCTTTGCATGTGCCCTATCAAGGCCTTATACCAGGTTTCTCAAATGCCCATGAGCATATCACTGAGGTGTCTCGGGCCCGGAGTATTGTACGGGTTCTAATGGAGTTGATTTACAAAGCCACCGACATGGCTTGATGACAGCCACGCAATTTCCCCGCAATCATTTTTTGGTGCTGAGAACCATGAGCTCGCTTCAGGGATCCGGGGAAATTGTTCAAAATACCCCACCGGGCCTTTCTGGGGTTGGTGCCGGAGATGGGGGTCAACGGCCGGCCGAGCTTTCTACCGGAATACCGAGGATCACTGTCATAGAATTCTCGGGAATTCCGACGATCGCTTCGGTAGAATATCGAAAAAACATATAAAGGTGGGTTCTTTGCAGATTCAATATCCATGTCTGTGACTTTTTGGTCATAGCGATAAACATGCCGTGGTACTATTATAGACACGCTCAATCTATTTATTGTCAATGTTTCCAAAGTTGGCCGATTTGAACAAATGAATTTATATAGGAAAACGTCTTTGGTCTGTTCTGTTGAAATTTCTCACATCGGGGATCAAATACTAGTAAGCTTTGCACATGAAACTTAAAGCTGTAAAATAGTTTTGCTTGGCTTCACATTAAACTACTAGTACATAGCAAACCTTGGAACTGCGACTGATGTAAATACTTCGAAAAAGTGTATTTAGGGAGGAGAAAAACTGCAAAATCTCTCCCGTTATACTGATAAAGGAAACCCTGGAAGATACCAACTGTTCTCTCATTACTTGCTATCTTCTTTACGCTTTTGAATCATTCACAATCTGAAAAGAAAGCGATAAGAATTCGTGACTAAGATTGGGCGGATCAAGCCTTGTGCAGCCTGGCGGGAAATCTATGATTTAGTATATCACTAAGCGGGAAAATGCGGTGCTTACAACAGCAAGTGTAGCTATAAGTTCATGATGAAAACTTCAAGTTTGGAAATATCAGATTTCCAATCAGAATTGCCAATTTTGCTATGACGGTACTATTGTCTTGATGTTCAACCAATTAGCATATAAATTGCAAGGATTCTAGATGTACCGCTATACAATACACAACATTGAATCTTCAACCTTCATCGATATTAGAATCATTTGATTATATCATCTCCATATATGAAACATTGAAACATTGCATTCATACCGACTTTCAAGATGAGTGACTCGACTAACACAACTGTTGTCTTTATTACCGGCGTGGGACGAGGTATGGACTTTTTGATCTACCTGTTTTTGACTACAGAAGTACTCACATTCGCAAATTTTACAGGAATTGGTAGAAGTATCCTTGAAGCTTTTCTTCTTCGCCCTAATTACATTGTCATTGGAAGTGTTCGAGACAAAACGTCTGAGAAATACGAAGAGCTGAAAAGGCTTCCAACAGCCTATGGATCTCGCCTACTCCTTATCAGCATCGATAGTACAAACATGGATGATCCGCAGGCATCTATCAAGGATATCGAGGCCGAAGGTATCACTCATGTTGACGTTGTGATTGCAAATGCCGGTATCACACCATCTGCTGGGCCTTTAGATAAAGTAGCGATTCAAGATGTGTCGGATGCACTTTCTATTAATGCAATGTCCCCGATTCAACTCTACCATGCTACGCGCCCGCTCCTAGAGAAGTCGTCCCGACCTGTCTGGTTTTCTATGACCAGTGCAGCTGGATCGATCGGAAATGTGGAGATGCACAATGCTCATTTCCTTCTCGCTTATGGTATCTCAAAGGCTACTATGAATTTCTTTACAAAGTGAGTTATTTTTCAATCGGGCTTGATTATGTTCGGGCTGACAAAATCTTTGATAGGCCTGTTCATGCTGCGCATGCAAATTGGATTGCATATGCGGTTCATCCTGGGTTGGTTCTCTATCCTCTTTGGCCTTCATGGAAAATACTAATCATAGATCAGGCTGGTTCGATCTGAAATGGGTAACGAAGGTGCGCGTTTACAGGGGCTGGAAAAGGCACCCGTCACTTTGGAGGATTGTGCAACAAATATTCTGGCTCCTGTAAGTTCTACTTTTACTAGTATCTCTATGCAATGGAGCAATCATGGGTCTAACAGAATTTATAGATTGATGGGGCTACGAGAGGAAAGACATCGGGAAGGTTTTTGAACTTCACTGATAACTCTGAGTTGCCATGGTAGAAACACCTACGACCTCAAAATTACATGTTCAGATGTTTGCACTTTCCAGTTATACACATAGATGATCCTTCAATGGAAGACATTCAAGTTGGATGATGACTCCATAGACTTGAGGAAAAAGAAAGAAAGGGTATACGCAACATAGCTCAGGATAACCCTCAGAGTTATACATCAAAGGTTGAACTCTAGTAGCTCTGCCACTTTTGTAATAAAAGATGATGTAAAAGACTTATATGATATAAATTCAAATTATGGGGTATAATCAACCTCTTTGGTTCAAGTTCAACTGGCAAAAAAAGGACATTGCTCCTTTAACGCTCTGACGCCTTCAAGCTCATGTTTCAAACCTCCTTTGGACATAAACTGTTTTAACTATGTCAAGGTTTGATGGGTAGAAATTCTGGGCCCCCATGCTCCAACAAGATTGGTCTCCAGGATCCTGGGCCTTCGTCTCGGTTTTCTTATTTTGAGACAAATAATCTGGCGCTGACCCTTTTTTCGGAGTAGGTATGGATACCTCCTTATTTTCCTCGGGAGTTCGTTGATAAGTACACGTTCGGCCGCGGTGCTGGCACTCGACGCAGGGGTATTCCCTGTTGCAAGCTTTCCTAATAGTTGCACAATTATCACAGGCTCGCTTATGCTTTCCTGTTCGACATCTTTCAGGAATCTCATGATTATTCTCTATACGAGTCTTGCATGTCCCCCAGTGCCGTCGTAGCGCGTCTCTGAATTCGATTAGTAAATCGAATACCCCTTTTAGATCATGTTTAGTGGGACGTTTTATTCTCTAAGAAATCTTACCTTCGGCCAAATAGAGCATTACAAAAAAGACAAATTTGGCTTTTGTTTGCGTCATCTGGGGATTAGTTAGCAGAATACAACCTCGTATGGGAATACAATTCACATGCGTGTTCCAATGTGCCGTTTCAAATGCTCTAGTCGCCCAAATGCAGCATAGCAGCGATCGCATCTCCACTGCTTTCCTAATTGATCTTGCCGTGGAATCCCGTCCATCGGGGCTTTTTTAGATCCGGATGACTCCCAGCAATGACGGAGGTGGGGGAGGGGCTGTTAAGCCTTGCGATTTCACATTAAGGGGCTTTCTCTAATCAGGTTTCTGTGACTCAAGCTGGACTGCGTTCAATAGTGGGCCCTAGCAAAGGCCTAACAAGGGGGTAGTTCAGCACGACCACAATTGCGTGGTCTGACTTTGATCCGGTCCGGAGGGATTTGACTCCTAGTCCGCATCGGTGTGGATAATGATGACCAGAGGGAGAATTGTGATTTGTTAATCTGCATACGGTCTGGGATCTGGGGCCGTCGCGGCTTCCCCACATACGGCCGTATCGGCCCCATCATGTATGAACGTGCTATGCCGAGACTTTTGATGCAATTGTGATCTCTCCGAAGTTATTTTTGGTTCTTCGATTGAGAAAGTTCAGCCATTGACTACATAACGTCATCTTCTAGCCCATTTATATTTACTGGAATTCACTGAGTCTCCTTGCAATTTACACCTGGGCAGCTCCGAGTCCTATCCTTGGAAGCAGCAAATCATCATGTCGTCTTTGACAGCAACAGAAACTATCCCTGTCAAATCTAATGACTTAGATATTACAGAGAAGCACTGGAACAATTGGCCTAATGAAAAAGGCGTATGTATACTTTCCATTATTAATTACCTTCAGCTACAATCTAACATCTCATAGTTTGATCCCGAATACGAACAGCCCACGCCAGTTGAGCTCTCTGTATCGGGTCATATCCCAGCTTATGCTGCTGGAACACTTTATAGAACTGGCCCAGGCAGCAGTCAAGTGAAGAAAGATGACGGGCAACTCTTCCAGATGTCGCACTGGTTCGATGGCTTCGCCCAAACACACCGTTTCCAAATAATTTCATCGAATGAGAACGATGCTACAATCAAAGTCCTATACAACTCTCGTTTCTCGTGCGATTCTATGATTGAGAACATCAAAAAAACCGGAAACTTGCAAAGCCTTGGGTTCGGGCAAAAACGTGACCCTTGCAAGACGGTCTTCAACAAAGTTCAAACTGAATTTGAACCACCACTGGCAAGCGACCAGCCATCAAGCGATCAACAGTCAAGCGACCAACCACCTGACCCTGCCTTGTACAATGTTAGCGTGACTCTCTCCGTCAATATGCCTGGCTTGAAGAATTCGTCGGAAAACGAGGATCAACCAACCCAGCGCTGGGCTGATTCAAAGGGAGTCCAGAGCTTGTGGGCAAAGACGGACCACAATGTATTTAAGCAACTGCACCCGGAGACACTGGAGCCAATCAGACTTGCCACACAAGCCAATCTTCATCCGGATCTAGAAGGTCGAAAGACGGCTTCACACGCCCGCTCTGATCCCGTAACGGGGGATGTCTATAATTACAATCTCACTTTAGATTCAACCAGCATTTACCGGGTCTTCCACATCTCAGCTTCCACCGGAGAGACAACGATCCTGGCCATTTTCTCTGGAATACCTTCATACATCCACTCTCTCAATATTTCCGAAAACTTCGTTATACTATGTGTATGGAATGCGCATATAAATTGCGAGGAGCATGATGATGGATCTTTTATAGACTCGATCATACCTACAGATCCGACCCAGCCGGCGACATGGTACATAATCGATCGCAAAGGAAGTCGAGGTCTTGTCGCAACATATGAAAGTCCAGCATTCTTTGCGTTCCATACTATCGGCGCTTACGAAGAACCATCCAAGGAGGATCCAACCAATGTCGATATTGTTGCGGATCTCGTTCGCATCGACAGCTCCGAATTCATCAAAAACTCCCTATACGAGAATCTAAAGTCATCTCTATCTACTGCCAAGGCATTTATAGAGAACAAAGACCTTCTATGCAGCACATTCTCACGATTCCGTCTTCCGGCTCTCCCTTCGAATCTTAACTCTGAACCCCTCGAGGCAACATTGGAATGGTCTGCGTGCAAGGCTCACTCGCCGGAATTGCCAACAATGAACCCCAAATACGTGACTCGGAAGTACCGGTACATGTACGCTGTCGGATTTGGATCTGTCTCAACTTTCACAAGTTCAATCGTCAAATTTGATATAGATACCCAGAAAGATCTTGTATGGTCGGTCCATGGCCACTCACCCGGAGAGCCAATTTTTGTACCAAACCCAAGCGGTGAAAAGGAGGATGACGGTGTACTCCTCAGTGTGGTACTGGATGGTTTCAAGGGCACTAGTTATCTTCTCTGTCTTGATGCTCAAACACTGAATGAGCTCGGCAGGGCTAATGTCAATGGGGCGGTTGGTTTCGGATTTCATGGACAGCATGTTCCAAGCGTGGGTTTGCCTACTGGAGATTACTGAGCTATGGTGAAAGTGTCTGCAATGTTATCTTACTTCAAAGATGTTTCGCTTGAATTTTTATTTTATTTTTCTCATAATTTGTACAAATTACGAAGATGGATGGATGTAAACTCTACGAATTTCTAGAAAGATCTACGTAGAACGGCGCCCTGTGGATGACACTGATCCACCCGAGGAACCACTTCCCTTCCAAAACTTAGGCACTTTTCTCCTCTCTCACGTTTGATTCTACTCAAAATCTATAATACCTACACTAAAATATATACAAAAAGCAGTCAAAATGGCAACCGGCATTGAGAATATCACTACCCTCCTCTCAACAATGGAGCCAACGCTAGATCCAGAGATCTACGTCTTCATCACCACCACAAAGCCCCTCTCATCTCTCCCGCTATCTACTCTCAATCCGCAATTGATCGCCCAGGAAAAAGAAGGCATCACCATTGTAACGACCGAGGCTCTAGCGACATCTCACGGCTTCGATGAGGTCGTCTTTCCATGTCAGAAGATCTCATTGACGATCCATTCCAGCCTCGAGGCGATCGGTTTGATCGCAGCCATTACGGATCGGCTGAAAAATTCTGGAATCAGCACAAATGTCGTCAGTGGATTCTTTCACGATCACATTTATGTGCCTGCTAGAAGGGCAGAAGATGCGATGCAGGTTTTGGAACAGTTAACTATCGATGCGCGGGAGGGAAAGAAGTCGAATGAATAAGATGGCGATAGCAGTCGAAAAGAGGCAGCTTTCTGCTGGATATTTGATTTTACCTGCTATGGGTTTCTGTCGATTGAACATTTGAAAAGAATAATAATAAAACTAGATTGACAAGCCTCTAAAGCTAGTGATCTCCCTACTCCATCCCTATGATACATACATCGTTGAAAGACATTAAAGTCAACAAAAACACACCGAGATAACCCAGGATATGAAGGAAGATAAAACGGAATAAAACAAGTGGACAAAGTGTCAAGACACTGAAGAGTTGTTTTTCTATTTTCCTCAACCTGTACGCCAGAAAGATAAAAACCACCCACTCCTGATCTCGTAGGATTAAACTCCTCTGTGGTGCTTTTTTTAAGCAGGCACTGGCTCAGGCAGAACCCACATGCCATAGAAGACAAAAACATGGATTAGCTCCACCTGATTCCATGACAAAAGAAAGTCGGATGAAAAGGGTAAGGGAAATTCCCTTAGGAGCGATAGGGCAAGGTGGACAGGGTATTACTGATACATCACAAAATGATATCGATGCTCACCAAAGAAATCGAAAAGAAGATAGGAAAGGAAATGGAGATTGAAATATAATGGTCGATATTGCGACGATCAATAGTCGTCCTCCTTCTCTATGATCATAATCAATTCAGTCAGTTCCTTTCGCAAAGCGCGATTTCGGTCCCAGACTTCCATGATTTTTGGCCGGTGGCTGACGAAGCATGTTTTCTTCCAAGACAGTCCTCCGTGCTTCGTGGCAACCCGGTTGGGGAGACCTCTGGCAAGATTCCGCAGGACCAATGCAGCCTTATATGCCACACCGAAAGGCTCGCCCTTCTCGTTGAATGGGGTGTCCATGTAGTACCACTTGCGAACGATTCGTTCTTGGAGAACAAGACGCTTGGTACTTGGGGGCTTTGCATCAGCGGGTCGGTCTTCAGCTATGTGAGAAGAGACGTGTCCGGCCACCATCGCAGTATTGGTGCTAGATCCTGACGCTCGGAATCTGGTACAGTTGTCCCATTGGCAGGTGTGGATTGGTGTTTCTGCGGCTTCCAGCTTGAACTGGCCTGCTGTTTCTTCGGGCTCCAGGTTCATATGGTCGGCCAAAACATGGTGGCGAAGATCTGTCGGTGAACCGAAGGCGCGCTGGCACATCTTTGATGGTTTAGAGTGATCTTGCCATTTGCAATACTGGTAAGGGAAGCCGTCAAAAGTGTAAGCGGTCTCCAAGGGTCGGATTCCCTTGATGATGAATTTGGTTGCGGTTCCCGGGCCATTAATCACTTGCGCCTGGGCGTTGGTGAAAGTATTACTGACATTCTTAATGAACTCAGCGGCGGGAAGGACACCACCGCCTGGCACCCGAGAGTCTGCAAATCGACTTTGGTAAGCTTGCCAAAGAGCAATCTGGGTGATCTCACACTCAGCGTCTTCAACGAAGCAGCAACGAAGCCATTGCGAGCTTCGTTCCGGTTCAGACAAGCCCATCAGTTTCTCCAACAACTCGGCAGGTACCCGTGGTATCTCAGATGGCGGGGGTGCAACCTTTTCTTCTTGGAGAACGGTTTCTTTCTTGTTTGGCCGTGCCCCATGTGTGAGTAACGCGATCATACGGGGGACGAAGACAATAGGAAGGTTTATGACATCCATCAAAGTCTCAATATTGTCGGGGCTAAGAGTGTACTGATACCAGAGGTCTAGCGCACCGCTCAGAATATCGGTGTCGAGCTCCAAAAGTGTGTGGTAGTACAGTTGTTGTAAAGTCGACTTCGGAAGGCTTTCCAAAGCACGATTTCCATCTGACTCCTCTAGCTCAGTTGAAAAGTGTGTCAATGCCCATAGTGCTCTCACAATATGCGCACGGTCGGGCGAGTCGAGGCAGTCAACGAGGGATATCCAAAGGGGATCTTGAGGGTCGGTTCTCATAAACTTGGTCACCTCCTCGGCAATATCGAGCGCATCATTTTTGAGTTCATTCAAACGCGACTGTTTTGGAACGTTGATTAGAACCACCAGAAAGTCTCTGAGAAGGCCACTTGCGTAGCATGAAACGTAGTAGGCGTTCTCTTTCAAAAGAACCATGTTTCTCAATACCAAAATTGCCTCCTTCACGTTGCGAAGAGCATTTGTGAATTCCTGGGTCTCGAGATTGTCATTTGGGAGGTTGACGGGGATATTTCGTATTTTGTCGAGAATATCACGGGTTCCATGCAAAGAGTTGAGAACGTTCACTCGTCCAGATTGGAAACGAGGATCGTATTCAAACTCCCATCGAACACCAGTGCAGAGGTAGGTGATATCCAATGCCTTTTGCATCAGAGTTTCGGCAAGCAGTGGGAATCCCTCGAACTTGAACTTATCGCATCTTTGATTCGATATCTGAACCAGGTGGTATAACGCGAAGTCGACCTCATCTGGTGTGCCCGATTGAAGGCCGTAATGAGCGCGCTTATAGATGTGGTCCGCTAGAATACATATTAGCATGATTCACATGCCTCGTGTTCGTGTGGGCAAAACTTACTTCGTGGCGCCTCAAGAAACTTCAATGGAAAGTATGGGTCGTAAAAGTTCGGTTGTTTGGCCATTTTTGATCTGTCATAAAGGGTTGAGAAGAGACCAGGTCGATTTCCGGGAGTAGGGACTTCCCGGGTGGACATTGGAAGCTGTGTTTGGCCTTTTCCTTCCCAGCTTTCGACTGCAAACTGGGCACTGTTAGGATTGGCGGCAGGGTTGAGATTCAGGTGAGGGGACATTTGAGGTTGAGGAGAGGCGTAATTTTGATGGCTTTTCTGGCGAGCGGGAGTTGTGTCGGGGATGAAAGGTTGGTTGACTTTGGGTGCCTGGCGCAACCCCTCTGTCTTCCTGTTAGTATAACTTGATAAAAGCGGTAGGACGATGGTTCTTACGGCGCAGAGATGTTCTTTGAGGTGTAGACGCCGACATTTTGGCTTTTGATACGGACAACTGGGGAAATTGACAGCTTGCGAAAACAGCAGCAGGATACGATCTCTGCGCTGTGATTCCTCCCTTGCAACCCAGGTCTCGGTGTAATGATCGCAGGGTTGGCGTGCTATTAACGATCCCTCTACTGTTGACGCCAAGACTCGCCAATGGGATACAACTAGCAGAAATACAGGCTTCCAAGCAACCCAATAAATGCGCTAAGATGAAATACCCTGATACGGGGTAGTCGAAGGTGTCTCCGTGGTATTAGAGGAAACGAGGTGACGAGTGGCAGAATGCGCCCGAGAGATTGCTGGATCTAGAAAATCTTAATCGCCGTGCTGGACAAAGTGGGCGGTTCGCAATTAAATGGATTCGACGGAGCGCGCCCGAGGGCTCTGGTCAGGATGCGCAGCCAGGATGGACAAACAGGTTCGGTCGGTATTTGACAGGAACCAGTCCAGATTATAGGTCGTGGAAAGCTGGAGAGAAAGTCGGCGCGATTGGCGACTATTGCTAAAAAGCGATTGATTGTTGATGCCTCGAAAGTGGTGGATTGAGGCCAATTCGCAGCAGCTGAACTTGCGATCAACGATCGATCAGCCAAAAGTCCGCGCTTTCGCTTTCTTTGCTGGAGCGCGTTGTCGGAGGTACAGTTGTTCCAGTTCCGGGATGTATTTGTCGAGCTAGTCCTTTATAGGAAAGTTCTGACACCTGAGGTGTCTAAATATGGATACAGGTATAGATCACAATGTTAATTCATCGCCATCTCCGATATTATCGATACTTGAGACATTATCATAATCACAATGGTTCGACCGCCTGCTAAGTCTAAAGGTCCTAAAGTGACCCGTTTGCCACTCTCCAAGTTCTCCCACACAACCACAACCATCGACCACAGCGGCCCATTGTCCTGGACCCATGTGAATGATGCTCAACAGCTCACATGTGTTTTAGAACAATCTTCTACATGTCCATCAACCATTCCAAGGCTATTGATGCGGGTATCTCAAAACAATATGATTCTGGTATTTTTCTTTGCCTCCTTCAAATGACGGGCTCAAATCGCTAACAATGATGATTTCACCTAGGAGCAACTGGATCTATCACACTTTATCCAGCGTTCAGCAGCTCAGAGTCATTCAGCCCAAGGTGCATCGCAGGCAAAACCCCCTTTTGCAGTTGTAGTTAAATCACCCTGTCTGGCTGTGAAATACCCTCAAACTGCTACGCACGTACGTCAGATTCGGAATAAATATGCGAGTGAACTGGCCCGAGAAATGTTGCAAGTACTCATCAATGAATAGATCCGTCGCTTTCAGATAAAGTTCTCGCGAAATACCGATTACTTTACAGCCCTTGCTTTTCTCAGTGAATACAATTGCCCATTTACAGAAGGAAGCACAGCAATAACAGCACAACCACTGCGAAGGCTGCCTACCTCCTCATCTTTGGCCTCATTTCAAGCACCGACGATTACCTCAAAGGCTGCAAGCACTACAGCCCCTTCAGAAGATGGGGCCGCTGTCACTCTCCTTCCGATGTCAGGGTATATGCCCTGTGGAATACCAAGTATGAGCCTTGTACTTGCCTTGGAATTGAATTCAAGCATCTAACATAAATATATACAGCTCCTCACCCCCCATCTTCAACCACAAGCACAGTCTACAATTTAGCTTCCCACAATGTGCCGCCTCAAAACACAGATCAATATCAAAATACAAGCTCTGGGCAGACAAATTTGCAGCTCACTATAACAGGTTCGGATGTCAGAGCCCCACAGAAAGTCAATACTCGTACTTCAACTGCACCAGCCTATCACGGCAACCAACTCGATGAAATGCTACCGCCAAAAAGAGCCCTCCCCTTCTTGAAGCCAGCTCAGAAAGCACCACTTAGAGAAAGATCTAATGTCTCCGACATCTCGCAATACGCACAGTCAGAGGGACAGTTGAATGGCTCTTCTAGAAATACACAGCTACTCCCATTTACAAAAAATCAGACATTACTCCGGTACGATTCGGAGCTCGTTGACTCGCAGTCCTACTCACCAGCTCCAACGCAGCCATACCCAGATCCCCCTCCTTCTTCACAAAGAGAGGTTCCCCATTTATCCGAACATTCTCTCCCTGAGACTGCAGAGCAACCCCATGGTGTCTATGAGGCTCAGATGAATATATCTACTGATAGACCCCGTGAAAATGAAAAGACTTTGGAGGCTACTCATACTGCTCAGAGCAAAGGGATACAACCGGCGGCAATTTCTGCTGAACAATTGTCGACTTATCTGTCTACGCCGACGCCAGAAAGGATTGAATTGCTGGAGAACTGGATGTGCGAATTGATCGAAGATGATAAGTTCATGGAGTTGTGTCAGGATGTTGAGGCAACATGGAAGCGATTCGCATTTGGGGCCAGGGAGTAGATGTGAGGATTCTATGGGAGATTTCTTAGGATGTATTACGGATTATCAGGCTCAGCCTAGCAAGATGATATAATAGGTATTGGTTTTATTGAAGTTCAATAGTTTATCGCTATTTTTAGGCCATGGAGAGAGACTATAATGGGGAATGAGAATATTAATGTTCTGAGACCAACTATCATCTGGACGATCAATAGGGTGAAGAGCATAGATGTTAAACCCCAAGCAAAGATCAACGTAAAAGCAGGTAAAAGCAGCAAGCATACAGAGGGGGGAAATATGTTTTTTTTCTTCGAACCAAACTCCTAAATAAGATAAGTCGAGATGACGGAATGCAAGCTAGATCCGACAATTTATTAGATGACTCAACGAGACCGACGGTTGTAAATCAACCCGGAGAACACATTCAAGTAGCCCTCTTTGGTTAACATGGTGAAATCCACAACCGTACGACCAACCCCGCCATGAGAGTGAACCAGCTGAGGCGCAAGGTTCGGTGATGCATCACCATATTCAGCAGACAGGCCAGGAGGTGGAGTCGCAGATGTAGCTTGGCCAACCGAGCCTTCAGCTCCAACTGCCAAATCAGCCAGGTGCTGCAAGGAACGCTGCTCATTGGCACCCATGGGAGGCGGCACACTAGAGCCCGATTTGCTCACGCCGCTAACCGCCTCTTGCAGTTGGGTTTCTTGCGATTTGGCACGACGCCATTCGAGGAAGACTCGGAATTTCGCATCCCAGCCTGGAGTAGAAAATATCTTGTTGTGTTCACTTGTGTGACTCGTGTTTTGGCGATGATCCAAAATTTCTTCTACTTTAGCCAGCCCCTCCCAGCAGTCATTCGAGAGTTCAGGGAGGACTGTGGCCTCGAGCAAGGTCATGGTTGCGAGGGCAAGACTATGTAGATCAAAGGGCGTTGCCAGTCGGGCCTGCACGGTAGCTCTGTGCATCTCATTGATCACCTCCTGGGCGCAGTAGATGATCTCGTAGGGGCTGTAGACAAAAACATGACGCTTAATGAGTAGGCGAACTGTCCAGTAGAGCTGATTTTGCAGGCTCTCAAAAAGGGTACGAGTGCCAGAATGCTCGGGCAGCTCATGAACCCTAAATATATCTTCCATATCTGACAGGCGCTCAAGGGAAGCGACTAAGTTGGCACCAACCATACGGCCGAGTCCGGAATTGGTCTGGCAGACATTGTGTTCCACTGTGGCCAGGGTAACTAGCTCAGACAAGAATGTCGAAAAAGCTAGAATGAGATATGTAAGAAAGCTATTTGAATGAAATCCAAGCAGATATAGAGGTTGAACTTACATGCAATACCAGTCGTAATGTGGCCTACTACTCTCTCATCTTCGCGACCGCCAATTTCTTGCCCTCCAATTACAGTCGCATCTGCCACACTGATAGCATACCAACGAGTCAAGATGATTAATGATACCCAGTTGCGTCGAGTCAAGTTAGCATCTGAATCAACATCTGGATCTGAATCACGGTTGTTCCTCAGTTGACCCTGGTTCTTCGCTAGGTCATAGCCAAGCTTGCAAGCAGCTTGAACCAAGGTGTGCTTGGGGATTCCATCTTTGAGAACAAAGTTATCAGGACCGCGTTGATCACAATCAATGATCATCAAAAGGAGAGTTTGTAGCCAGATAAGATTGGCTGCAGTCGAGTGGACGATTAGTGGCTGACGAGTGTGATACAAAACAAGATCCTGTGCATTATCAAATGATGTGACACGCTCAAAATTACTTGCGACGCGACTGAGATCAGTGCGAGTAACTGTGTACAGCGCGTAGCAAAAGATCTCCTGTGCCTCTCGATTGCACTGGTGGAGGAGTTCCAGCGTTCGTTCTCGGGTATGAGGCAGAATTGGCAAGAGCGTGTGCACTTTCTGGTAGTATCTGTAATAAAGTTATTGGTCTTTGGTTGCACAACGAGTGGTTAATTGGTTGAAACATACGCATCAAGAGCGCCTTCATCAAGGGTAACGGGTGACATATCATCGTCGCCTTCGTGCTTGTGTAGGTCTGTCATCTCCAACCCAGTAGGCAAGTCTTGTTCATTGCTTGCTGGCGTCCAGAATAAGTTTCCTGGTTTCGCTGCGCCACCGCTAGCAACTGTTGGGTTGTAGGGGTCTGCGGGGGAATCCGTCGCATCGAACGCGTTCTGGGACGCTCGAGTATTAAAGGATGGCTGGGCAAATGAAGAGCTCGGGAGACCTTCAAAGACGGAGTATGTTCGCTTTCGACCGGCTGAGCCTGAATCAACAGGCGAAGTGAAGTCCTGATAAGTTCTTGGGAGAGACACATCGTTCATAGCCTGATCCTGGTATGGCACATCGGACTGGACGATTCCAGGAGGCTGCATCTGACTTTCGAGTGTATGTAGTCGTTCGGCGAGTTCCTTGATATAACTTTACACCTGTTAGTCTGGGTTTCGAGTGGCTTCGAGTCTCATGACGCGTAGTGCTCGACTTACCCTTTGCTAGGACCGCGCTTCATGGGAACGCGACTGAATTGACAGACGACGCCCAATCGGCGACAATTCGAGCATGTTTCAAGGCCGGTTTCCGAGCTCGCATCGCATCGCACCTATTATTGAGAGTATGGCATTAAAGACAGATCTTTGACGCGTCTTGTTTGGGGGATCAGGTCTAGGGATACCTTCTTGCGCCGACATTCGTCACAGGCTCGTGAGATTTTCGATCTTTTCCGCGCACTTTGGTCTCCATAGCTCAAGTCATGGTTTGGGTCTACGCCCACCTGCTGACTTGGCGTGAACTGCAGCATATGTTGGTGCGGGTGCTGGTCCTCGGATGAGGGGCGACCCAAATCACCGGCATTTGAAGAGCCCAAAACCATGTTTTGGTTGTGATGTACTCCATTACTTGATCCGTCACCTAGTCCAGGGCCAGAGGCTTCACGCGACAGTTCTGCGGAGATGAGTTCATCGGTCGTCAGTTGGCGATTGCTGTAGTAGGGCATAGCACCCTGAGCCATCTGCGCGCCATTTGGGGATGGATAAGAATGGCCCGGGCCCATATCAGATTGATCTCGGGGATTCATTGCACAAAATTTACCCCGAAAATATTTGTGGAAAGATGGGTTTGATGGAAAGCGGGTTTCCGGGGGAGATGGTGGAGGAGTGGAAGACGCGAAGTGCAGAAACGAAGGTTTTTTTTCATTTCTACAGGCTAAATTTTACGGGGAGGGAGATGGGCAGGGGCTGACACCGCCGCATTGAGCAACACCAACATGACGAAGATGACATTGGGGACGATGCACATTGAATGTCTATTGTTTATATGTTTTTAAACTTCTACATAGTCCCTCCGGGATGATCACACGGAGAACGGCTTTTTGTTTCTGCGTGGACAGCGGATTAACACCTTTTCCCACCGGGTCCCGTTCTCCGACCCGAACCTTCAATCTATGCTAAGACTTGAGTGGGTTCCTTTTGATCTTCATTAAGATTGTATTAAAAATTATAGAATAGTCTGGGCATAGTGGATATAAAGGGTCTCTCGAGTTGTATCGCTGGGAGCTCTCTGCATATTTCCAAGGACATACGCCATCAAGTTGTCACGATCATCATTCTGCTGGATGGCCACTAGGCAGAGGACGCTTTCGGTAATACACATCTACCATAACTCATGATTCCCGTCTTGCACAAATCGTGATATCTCTAATTTCGGAGAACAATGAGAATGAATGCCTATTTAATGATTCAACATTTCAAATGTGCCAAAGTTCGTTGTTGAACTCTTGCGTTCACGTTATATTAGATAGGCTGATGATACATTTTGTGGGTGCAGCTACCATACCTACTACTACTAAAGTTTACCAAGGTACTTCAAGTTCAAGTTTTCGCGTTCTCCAACCTTGAAAGACTGACATAAAATTCAAGTCGTTGTACCGAATCCTAGAAACATACTCTCGTTATTTTAGCCCTAGCTCTTGGCGTCCTTAACCTTGGAAGTTATTCCGGGGCCGTGTAGTTGTGGAAGCGGACCGTTGTCCTGACCGGGGTGGGTTCCAAGGCTATGCTATCCAATGTATTGTTATGATAAAGGGTCTCGGAAAGTCTCCGACACCTGATATAATATGATATCCAAGATCATTATCTGATCTCCCCAGAGATTGAATGCACTTTATGAAGAATTCCCTTACAGCATCATGATATTTGCTCAACCACGCAGTCAATAGATTACTTGACACGGTACCTAAATATATACGATAGGAGCGTAGGAAGGTACGCTGCATGCCAATTGTGACTATATCAAAATGAGACAAGTAAAGAGCAACAGCTTCTAGTGTTATGGTCGAAATGCCCCACCCCCGACATCTGTACGTCCTTGTATCGCCGGATAAATAATTGGGATACGGCTCTACTGGTGGATCATTTATGGCGGCTATCCGTTGCCATGTCAAAACACCCAGTGTAAATTGTTCATCTGTAAGAACTCGATATCTCTTCGGTAGCAATTGAAGGCTTCAAGTAGATAATGGGCCTTATTTCCTGGCTGTAACGTGGCCTCCATCAACGTTTCTCCTGGTTGCGATATCCTTCAATCAATTGATACACCAATGGACTATTTAATGGACGCTCTGTGGTTCCCTTCCATACAGAAAGTAGGGGAAACGATCTGATTATGAGAAGCAAATCCTTTGTCGCTCACATTCTCCAAGATAGCACCATCCAAAACCTCCAAACTTTCCCGGAGTATCCTAACGCCTTTAGTCAGGTTCATCCCGATCGTATTTCGTGCCATAATTTAGATTTCACCCGAAACGACGGATGATTGGAGCTGAGGGTGAACCCCCCACCGCGGAGTACGATACCAATACATGTACGGAGCAAGACCTCAAGGGTCGGCCGGATTCCACACCCTGGGCATCGGCGATTGGCTCTGCCCTCTTACTGTTGCATGCGTAGATCAGGGCCCACCCGCTGGTCCGGCGTCAAACCCCTCTGCAGCCCGCCCAAAGCAGGAACAGTGACGCCATAGGACCGGAGTCGACCAAAGCTATGACATGCAGTACCGTATGGTGCGGTAAGGATTCGTGGACATTGCTCCTTTCTGTCATTTTGATGTACAGGCCATCACGGACTACAGGCTATGGCGTTGTATGTATTATTTTTTTGTCTTCTTTAGCAACACCCTCACTTATCCCGCTGTTGCTGTGCCAAGCGTCTTTGAACCTTCACTGCTGACTACCTAGGTTTCTTCCATAAGACATCCTGCAGAATCAGCGAGGTCAAACCGTGGCTGATTACCTTATAGAATTGCCACCAATTTCGGGAATTTCCTGCCACCAGCTTCCATTTTTGCAGATTATTATGATTAGCCAAGAAAACAAAGACATGGTCTCAAGGGCACTCTGAACGAGGCCAAGTGTCAAGGCTGGGATGTGCGGCCCCAGATTGCACTAGCGAGATCCATCCCGGTGGGGGTCGAGTTCGTGTGAAAGGCCGTGCTCGATACGGGCCCTCAATGCTCCCCAAGGTCCAAACAATGCGGTCTTTTTGGGTACATTGAGATACCTCAAGTACAAAATATTTCCTTGCCTTTAGACACGATCTACATTGCAGCCAACATGCTTCTAGGACATCCGGTAAATGTTGCCTCGTGGGACTTTCGGCGATTGCAACGGCAGTCTGAGCGAATCAAAGGGGTGTTACCACGCAAGGCGGCTCTGGGAGGCTATTCACGCTGACTGTAGAATGTTTGCATATTGTTTCACTGGCCTCAACATAAACTACTATATGGATTGCTCAGAGTTGAGAAGTTGTTCGTTTACGTACCCTAAACCGAAATCCTTTTTTGTGCCTTTTTCCCACACAGGGTCAATGGCGCCCTGTTTTTTTTTTAGTTTTAAAATAGGTAAAAAATTTGCTAACTAAAAACCCTAACCCGGACCATACATTGAATCCCGGGTTCCTGGTGGGACCGGCCACGTCGTTGGCCTCTTGAGGTGGATACGCAACCCTCGATGGGATGGGAAAAAAAGGGGGTGTTTTGCAGCTCAGGCTTGTTCGCAAAGGAAAGAGAATAGGCTAGAAGGCGCACAGGGATGAATCCAGTTGCAGATTTGAAATCTTATGGGCGAGTTTCCGAGAATGCGCCTACTGATTCGAGTATTCCGGTCTGTCCTCGTGGTATGAGGTACACAGGCCATAATCGGGAAATGGCGCCTGAAATTCAAGGTTTGCGTAATTAAAACACTGTAACGGGGCGGTAATGGTGGATTTTTTGATGTATGGGTATTGTCACATGGCCGTAAGAGAAAGGGTGCACTCACCAAAAAAGCCTTTGTATCAATGGGAAATACCTGTAATCGGCGGTAATAAACCGTGCCTTGTACCTTACTCCGGTCATTCACAGCCACCAATGACGCAGCGAAAATCCCAATCCCCCCCATTAACGTTATTAAACTGTCGCCTCCCTCTTTCTTTTCTTTCTCCTCCGCATAGGGCGTTCTCCAACTCTCTATATCGAACGCTTTCTGTCTTGGCCGCCACTACCGGTACTTGGTGTCCTGTCTCACGGCCGGCGCCAAACGGTGCGTAGGCTTGGTCCCCCTTGGTTTCTATTCTCTCTCCTCTCTACTCTATAAACCTCAACCTACAAACCTACCAAAAAAAACCCGCCTCGCCTCCTCCGATATACCCATTTGATTTACTTTGAATTCCGCTCCTCTTGCCCTCCAAGTCTCTCAGTACGACCCTCAGTTCCTTCAAGATTGTCTTGTATACTGCTGGATCGGCGTTCTGTGACCTTCGCGCGCATTGGGATAATTATAGTCTGAGATACCCTTTTGTTCGTTCTGTTCAATTCGGCCTTCTCAAAGAAGAAGCGCTTGAATACAACCTTGCCTTGACGACCGTTCTTGCGGAATCTTTCATTCTTGGACAACCGCACGTCCTATTTCCTTATTTTAAAACATTTATTACGTCTTTCAACGACCATTCTCGCGATTCATCGCATGTGTGCCTCGCAGTAACCCGCCGCGATGCTCATTGATGGTGAGAAGTGGGCGTGTGAAGCTTGCGTCCGGGGTCACCGGGTTAGCAGCTGTCACCATAGTGGTATGTCGATCTTCGAAGCTTATTTCGTGTATACAAGAACTATATATCTCTAACATTGGCTTCTCAATAAGACCGCCCTTTGACCCATATCAACAAAAAAGGCCGCCCAGTCTCTCAATGTACCCACTGCCGCGGCTTACGCAAGTCTCGAACTACACACGTCAGGTGCGAGTGTGGCGACAAGAAAAAGAAATCCGACTCGGAATGCCATGGTGACCGAGATTTGAGTGAGCATTGGCGCTGGCTTTATTCACGATTTCCCCCTTTCTGATAATGAACTACAGAGGACTCCCTTCATCGTTGTGGCTGTTGCCACGGACAGCGCTGTACTTGTGCGCTGAAAAAGGAATCCCATCTTGACCCCGTTCCTGAGACAGGTTTACTTCCTTCTCAACCATCGGTTCCTGCTGAACTTCCACGGAAACCGCAGCTCACGACGACCAAATCCGAGTCGATGTTGACTGTCTTCCGTGATGGTCACCACAAACCCGCCCATAAGCATAATGACATGGCCCACAAGTGTGGATTGCCGTACACAATCCCACGATCACATACCATCCACCACCCGTCCGACATTCCTCGTCGTTCGGTGGACCACCTCCCATTAACGTCCGCCTTTGTCCAGGAGCCCCTTCCCTTGTCGATGGAGCCCGTGTCTCAGTCCCAACAGACTTCACAAAACGGTTCCCCTCACAGTGTCCCAACAACAGGCTCTGAAGATGATATCAGCACGGCCTCTCTTGACCAATCCTTCCTGGACAAATTTGCGGCTCCTAGTTTCCCACCACCTGCCGCAAAAGACAAAAAGACAGACGGGTCATCTAACCCTACGTCTGCCCCGGCTACCATGGACAAGTTTCCTCTGGAGCAAATTATTACCAGCGTTCCTCCTGTCGATGTCTCATCCTTCGCCTCATTTCCAAATACGTCATCTAACTCCCCGATTACTTGTATGGCATTTCAAGATAACTATCACGACCAATACTTCACCTCCCCAGACTCCGAAATGCCGCTGGGATCTGGAGGCTTGGGTGCGCCATCGGTTGACTGGTCGAGCTTCCCGCTATATTCCGATGCCCCTGCCGCAACTAGCACCCAGGCCCCGTCATACGCCAGTTTTGATTACAACTTTCCCTCGGGTCTCCCGCCACCGTCATCCTCCGGCGATATCTCCGAAGTCGATGAGTTTGGACCGCTCCCTGGTTTGGGACACAATGGTAACAATGACATGCACGATCTCCACAGCGTGAGCGAAGCGTCTGATATGGATCACCTTCGTGCCAGTTCTGCATCCTCATTGGTTGGGCTACCACAGGCGCAGCTTCTGTCATCAAATGATTTGGCGTCGATGAACATCGATGATTTCCTAAAGTCCGCCAATGAATCTACTGCCGCGCTCGAGCATCAACTGCAAGCCAGCATGGGGATTGAGTCCAAGTCCCTCACAACACAAGACGCGTACTCCATGCCCGCCCAGGACTCTATTCCCATTTGGCCAGCTAGCCTCTTTGATTCTGACTCAACCCCACCGGTGGACAATGGATATTTCGGTCCACAGTCCTGGGCACAGTAGTCCAATGCTGGTTCTCTCCACCTAAAACAAACCTACTTTTGCTTCCGTTCCTATAACTTTCTGTTGGGGTCTCCGCTACCTGCGGCACCTTACCACCACCTCTACACCGTCTTCATGACCTTGATGAGAGATGATGATAAATGCCTTGTTTGCCTTATTTCACTAGCCAGTCTAGAATTCTTTTTCTCACGATAGCATTTGAATCTAGAGAGGTTCTGCGATTTACCATTATGGATACACGTGCATGTATATCCTTGTTTCCGTACCTATACGACTTGCACAACGCTTTCACTCTATAGACCTGTCTTCCATGTGTACTATATGACTTTTAGAGCCATACTGAATACAACGCCTGACATGGCGATTCTGACCGCTAATATTTCGAATATTACCCACCTAGCATACGTAGTACTTGACTTGAAAGGCAAAGCAAATCCCACTCGTAACCCCAATGTCATGTCATGTCCTGCAATGCAATGCACCAAATTAGGATTGCCGAGCCACATACCATTTCACGATGGCACTGACGCGTAAATAACAGCATCATTGTACATACATCATGATACATGTCTCCACACTGCACCAAGTACAGACATTCATTCGGTCAAGCTATCCAAATCCAGAAGCTCAGCTGCCAAATGAAATGATCAATCAACCAGTGTTACGAATACTGTATGTAAAATGTAGCGGTGAGCGCGCTTCCTCCACACGAACGGACCTGTCTCGGATCGGCGAAAGCAGGTTTTTGGTCAGCATGCACCCCTAAACTCTATGCACTCGATCTTGCACTGCAGCTTGCTATTACTTACAGGAGATCAGGGTCAGGTGCCTCGTATTTCGTGTGTTGCCCCCACTGGAGGCTTGTGCTGTGAACTGAACCCCCGTGACCTTGAAATTCTCGGAACTACCAGTTCCTACGAGCTTATGTTACCATGAAATTGGTTGGTTAGTACTCAGCTATAATGTATTTAGCCGAGTATTCAAGCACCGAGGTTTAACTTGCTACAGAATTTAGGTTAGTAGAAACCACAGTATTGCCTATAGGTATGTACCAAGCATTGTACCTATCAAAATGATCTACAAGTAGCGGTGTGCAGAACCTACACATCTGTATCAACCCCAGATCCAACAGTACAACGTATCCACAAAACAACTTAGAAGTCTCCATATCTATGGTTGTAATAATAGAAGTAATAATGGTCAAGTACCAATTTACCGAGAGATAGAATATTGTAAAATCAGCAGATACCCGAGCTCCTCATTATCCACCCATTGTTCAGCGCAGCACATCCATTCCAATTCGAACCACGTCCGAAAAATCTGGTATACAGGACCCTGTACACTCTAACGTGTACTGTATCAACAAAATACGAAGTCAAAAAGTACGTACAGGTCAAATAGAAGCAAAACCTGCATACCAAGCCTTTTCAGATCGTGCATGCCGCATACCGTGGCATAAGCCTTGCTTTACACGGCGCTTCGTTGAAATACAAGCCTTATATGCATACCTTGGCTAATGCTTAGCACTGCACGGTCCGTGTCGCGTGTGTTGTCTCCAAATTGGACATGTCGAGTGTTTTAATGGGGGCTAGCTGTCTGGGATCTGGGATGGGATCCGGGATCTACTCAAGTAGGGTTTACGTTTACTGCGGCACGGCTGTAGGGGCGGAGATTATGTTAAGGGTCATGATCCCGGTGACTGTTTTTTTGTGAGATCATTTATTTTATTGTAAGTTATTCTAATTTAATCTCATTCCAAATAATGTTTGAATTATTGTTATTGATGGGGCTGGTCAGGAATTGAGAGGAATTGTTATTGTGACGACTGAGATTCGTGGCTGATGCAAGGGAGGTAGGTACTGATACATTCCTGATATTTGTATGACTTCCTTTCGGATAGTTCGGCATCTTGGTCGGATGGACTTTTACTGTTACGGTTTATTGTAAAGAGTACAATACGTTGGATGAAATTTATGCTGTTTTGATACAGACAGGGTGGATGTGGCAATGAAGGGGAGGATTAAGTAACAACACTCTAGGGCTTACTACGATGTTGCTCTTGGGAGAAGCAATTCAAGTGAATTGATGTCTTGGAATGATAGTACGGACCTGCCTACATTTTAATGGATGGTATAATAACGATATCATGATAGCGTCTGTTGGTTATCATATTATTCTGCTCTTTCGCCAAGATCTAGTATACTCTAGTAAACCTGGATAAGACGGCTGGGCTTTCATTCTTGATCATGACTAAAAGTGGTGAGATTTATATTATTACTCAAATCAATTTATAATACAAGTCTTATCCAACATTGATATGGTTCATTAGATTATATAGGTATTAGGACATCATCACTGGGTAAGCATGTGGGTATAATCCTAATTTTATAGAAGATAAGAAAAATGGGTAGTTGAAAACGCAGAGGACTGCCCAGGTGGCATCTACTATGTATTTCTACCCAAGTACTACCCACGAGGCCTACTTATACGGAGATAGATGTACAATGTTCTTCGGTACTCAAATGCTCAAGTATAAGAGTTCATTCTGTACAAGCACATGATAATGTATATTTGACATATGATTTGGCAGCTTCTCGCGGTAAATATGGTCTATATGGTATCAAATCAAACAACAGCCAAATCTATCTCACAGTATTGGAGAAAAAGAGGGCGGGGCATAAATTGGATCGAAAGGCTGCAGTTCACGGCGAGTTTCCCAAGAGTCGTGTCGCATAATGACATAAAAGAACCCAAGAGCAGATAATAAAAGGTTAGAGTAGACTTATTTTGGTCTGTTCTGTTTATCTACTGTTATATCTTGTATAGCTCAGTCAATTCTTTATAGTTTAGCATTTCCGTCTCCGTACTTGCTCATGAACTCGGAGTGGAACTGGACGATACGCTCAACCCAATCGGTACCAGGGGCGAGGAAGGTTGTGCGGAAGTGCAGGGTGTTCTCCTTTTGACCGAAGCCGGAGCCGGGAACAACGCATACACCCGTGGCGTCGAGCATGGCGAGGCAGTAGAACTCGTCGGCTGCGCGGCCCTCAGACTTGGCGGCTTCGATGGCCTTGGCGGGGAGGTTGATGGTTGGGAAAAGGTACATGGCGCCCTGTAAGGAATCAGTATGAGAGGACAAGAGATTCACGGGGTTTTTAGTTGGCTGTGGTGCTTACCTGGGGCTCTTGGATCTCTACACCCTCCATACGCTGGAAGGCATTGAACAGGGCGAGGGCACGCTTGTGCAGACCATCCCGGATTCCATTATATTCCTTTTGATACAGCTCGAAGCTGGGCTCGCCTTCACGAGGAGGGTTGACCATGGTCTCGAGCAGACACTGAGCCACGACTGGTGGGCATAGGCCAATGCTGACGAGCTTGTAGATCTGGGCCTGGACCAATGGGTCAAAGCCAACCAGTTCGAAGTAGCCACCACGGTGACCGCACTCGCCAACCATGCCCTTTGAGGTACTGTGCAGAGAAACCAGCTCCACATCATCGTACTTGCCAGGCTGTTCCTGTTGAAGCTGGCGGAGGCGCTTCTTGAAAGAGACGAATTCACCAGTGAAAACGTTGGTCTGGTAGACCTCGTCGGCAATAACAACCAGGTGCTCCTCAGCGGCAATGTCCAGGACCGCCTTAATATCATCTGTGCTCAGAGAGGCACCGGTTGGGTTACCGGGGTTAATGACAGCAATAGAGCGCACGTTAATGTTCTGAGACTTGGCAGTCGCGATTGACTTCTTGATAGCGTTGACGTCGGTACCCCACGCCTTCTGCTCCTCTAGATAGTAGGGAACGCAGTGTGCGTTCAACAAGGCCAATGTAGCAGTGTACAATGGGTACTGAGGGATAGGAACCAGCACACCAGCACTAGGATCATTACAGATAACGCTGAGAAGATTGCTCACACCCGAGGAGGCACCGGCAGTCAAGAACAGGTCATCTGGGTTGGCAGGGAATCCGTCACGCTCCTCAATGAACTTGGCTACGCTCTTCCGGATTCCGGGAGCACCCTGGCTGTGACTGTAGGCACCGACACTCTGAACATTAGCCAGCAAGGCCTGGGCCCGATCAATGACATCCTGCTTGTATCCAAACGAGTTCTTGAGCGCCTCCTGGTTCTCCAACAGCAAGGGGTTCTCGACAAGACTGAGGACTTGGCGGAAGAAGGTGATAGGCTTCTGATCCAGTTGTTGTGGGTTACCGATGTTGGCGAAGATGACGCTGTCGAAGGGCAGGGACTTGTCACCATCAGTCAGGCGCTGACGATAAGTCTCAGCCTTGACGGCCAGCTCACCGCGCACGGCGTACTTAGCGGCGCGAATATTTTGGTTCATGTTATCCAGGTTGAGACATTTCTTCGACTGAGTGGACAGGGTCCGGGAAGTGATGGTTTGAGTCATGGTGGATTCTGAGACGAGACCCAGGGCCGATGTTAGTTAAAGAACCAAAATGAGATTAATGCCTCAAGACGAAAGGGATTGAAGTGATTGAGATAAAAGAATTAATAGTCAAGTGATTAGGAGTAAATAGAGAAGATGATCGAATCATATGAGGGTGAGACAGGTACTCCCCGCGGGGAGACCGTTCAAATAAATGGCGCAGCACATCATCCCACGTACCTGACCAAGCGGAGAACCTCCCCGCACTGAGCCCAGTCGGGCGAAGTAGGAGTCGACATTTCGGCCGGGTTGTTAGTGTCCTCAGCGGAGACACCCGCATGCTGGATGTGAGCTTAAATTGCCAGGACATCCTTTCCAATTGATAGGATCGGCTTCAAAAAACCTTTTGGAATTACCAATGATGCAGTGATAAGGAGAATGAACGGCTACAGCGCGAAGAAAGAAAAAAAATATTTGGAGACTGGGCGGTGTGTGAGTCAGCGAAACGTATCTCCAATCCCCACATTCGGTGAGACAAGAGAGATAGTAAAGTGTTATGATTAAAGCCTATCTACTGTTATCATACTCTATGCTGGTGATAATGAATAACGGCAGTGACATTTTGAACAGATCATGGAGAAGATCTGCTTACTTCGTGACGCTACAAGCGCAGTATAGTGCAGCATGACCTGGACCAAGCTGGCGGTAAGCCGATCTTCCCCTCGGAAAGCCCCTTTGCCCGAACCAAGTGGGCTCCGTCAGCGCCCCATCGTCACTCCGGGGCCGCCCGACTGCGGGGGCTCGTTACTAGTAGATTATACGCTCCACTTGAAGAAGGAGATAGTCAAATCTCATATGTCATGCAAGATCTTATCTGTTGAGAGTGTTCTAGAAAACTTATTTCAATGCTAAAATAGATATCTCTTGAGCCGTGTCGACATGGACTATTGTTTCCGCGGGTTCGTTTCACACATCCAATCCTTCTCTTCTCCTCTTAACTACGTTCGCTTCCCCGAAGACGAACAGCTTGTCCATACTTCTGAAGCTTCGTAATAAGAGAATCACCATGCTTGACAACATCCGCGTACTGCTTGTTCTTGTCGTCGGGACGATTGGTCTCGATGATTCCATTGACACGGTCGATTGTGCATGCAATGCGGTTGCTGGAGATGAACTTGGCCAGGTCACTGGATATATAGTTAGCAGTGTACATATTGAAGGGATGTGGTCGTCAAGGAGTTCATACCGGTCCAGGAAGTCTACAGTCACACCAAAGTCGCTGGCCATGCTGTTCAGCCCCACGACTCGGTAACTCTGAAGCAGTTGCTGGTAGGCCCGTAGTCTCATTTCACGGACAAACCATGCGCGGTGCTCATGCAGATAGTGGTCCTGGGTCAGGAATTGGTCCTCCACAGCGGCAAGCGCCACGAAGAAAGAATGGTAGTTACCATTATATAGACTGTTCACCAGGTTGGCCAGCGGTGAGAAATCGACAGGAGCTTCATTCTCTGCTTGTTCGCTAGAACCAGTGCCCAATGTGGTTAGGTTAATAGCAGTGGTGGCACCAGCGGCCGGGGTCGATCGTGATACGGATGCGTCTTTCATCTCCTCTTCGCGGGCACCGGGGCCGGACGAAATCTCACCACTAAGAGCCGCCAATTGGTCCTCTCCGGAGCCAAGGATAGCCTTGATCTCCGGCGCGTCCACCACCTTGGCCTTGAAGTCCACCCGCTTAAGAGACAGTGATCCTGCCAGAACTGAGTAGATCACCAGCGAAGAATAGCTGCAGAGCTCGTAGCTCGTAAATGTTGACAGACTATCAAGAAGGAGGGGAGCAGCCAGGCTGTAGGAGCGAACAGTGAGCAAGTGCAATCCTTTGTATGCCTTTAGACGATTCCTTCGGTCCCAATCACCACCGCTCTCAACGAGAGTCTCTGCGCGTTCGATTGTCTTCTTCACAAAAATAGCATCACCGAAAAACAGACCAATACGGATCATCGCGAGAACGAGATCGATCTTGGTTCCGAGAAAGCCGATCTTGTCGAGGAGGGCTTCGTGCGACTCAATAGATTTGTCCTGAAAGAGTATTGATGTTAGATACTGCAATATTGTGCTCTCCACGTGATTATTGAATGATGAGGCTCGTTACCTTATCACCAACTCGGGCCCAGAACTCCGCTCGCTTCCCGCGCGCAGCCTGCACCTCCGTCTCACCAGCAGCCTCTTCAGCCTGGTCCTCCTCTTTTTGGAATGTCTCCAGCTCATTCTTATTATCCTCGAGCAAAGATTGATAGATTTTCTCGTCCCAGGGGAAATCGATGTTTTGGGGTGACTTCCGCGAAGCAAGCATGTTAGAGGTGATAAGCGGCTTCGTGGTTCCGACATGGTGTTGTGTGGCGCCTTCTCCCGCATTGTTCAGAATACCCTCAGTGGGGTGGGCTAGATGGCGGTAGAAGGGAGCCATCTTGCGTTCCTTGATGACATCTTGCAGCTTCTTCAATGAGGACTGGCGGATGGATGGGACGCATGCAGGGTTGGAGAGGTTGAAGACATGTTGGGCAACGAGGAGATCGGGGAACTTGATGAACTGTGGGTCAGATCCCATGATGGCGAACTGGGACTGAGATAGCAGTAAAGGGATGGACAAAGGCTGAAATGGGGGGGATGTCTATATTGATGAAATGGCAACTTGGAAAGGAAATGATGCATCACGTAGCTGGCCGAGCTCAGCTGGCGGAACGTTTTTCCGGCGCCGAATACTCCTTGCTGCCTGAGGCTGTCAGTACTTCCTCTTCGGGTAAGGTCGGTATTGTCCTTCGTATCGCTTCATGCATCGTCTGTCAGGAAGTAACTCCCCCATCTCCCCTACTCAATCTGTCTCTGTTGATGCAGATCAATCTGATTAAATAGGACAAGCTTCACTGCACAAGGTTGCACCCCACGTGGTCCATTATAATGCATACATGTATATGTGGTCGTGTGCTTCTTTGGCCCCGATCCTTAGGCGCAGTCTGAAACCAATAGACATTTATGACGTTTGATTATTCTTTGCATTGCTTTATCTATATCTGGTTATCTATATAGTTCTCTACATATACAATCACTTCGAAAGATATAGCATGTTGCAGGGATTCGTTGGAATCGCCCTACGTGCCCTCGGACCCTCGTAGGGCAAACGGAGTCGCCGATAACTAAGGTACACCACTGTACAGAGCGGAACTATTCATAGTATTCCACAAAGTCTCTTTCCACATATCTTTTTTCTGCCCCCAAATTAAGTTAAGTTCCAGTTCCAGTTGTCAAACCCTATTGATAAGACACATAGCTACGTAAGTAGGAACGCCCTTCTTACGCCCCCATTCACCTCAAAGGTCTTCGATATGAAATAAAAGTTCACGGTTTAATGTTCTGACCAAAACAAGAAAAAAGTGGATAATGGTCGATATTTCGGCCCCGGTTGAACGCGGCACGTGCTCTCTCCATATCGATGATAGGCATCAACGGGGATACCGAAGACCATGAATCCTGGTCTTATACCCCTTGATCATATCCGAATCATTCGATCCTTCACCTGTTTCGCTGATTTCATTGATCTAGACGATGAAAACAAGCTTTCTATTGACGTATTGTTGTTTGAACTACGCAATCTCATGGTCCGGAGCAAACCGAGGTGGAAAACAGGCTGCGGGCAGGTGATAGAAACCTGGCCTCTGATTGGCCAGAACCCCAGAATGGAAGGCCGATGCTTTAGCCAGCCGCTTGTACAGAGAGGGAACGGCGGCCCCCACTATTAGTGCCTTTCAGGTGGGTTAAGGTCACTATAGGCTGGTCTGCCTGGTCCCGCATTGCTTGTCCTGGCAAATGGTGAGGGACTAAGTTAGGAATTAAGTCACGATGGGAAAAGTTACTTGAGGTTGCTGCGATCATGTAACTGGCCCAAGCCTAATCTCCTGTTTTTCTCTTTTTAGCGTCGTTTTTTTTTCTTCAAGTTTTTTTTTCTCTATTTTTTTTTCTTGGGTCATCCTGCGATCCTTCTTACATCTATTTAAACCCTCCGATTGCCAGTTCTCAGCGCGTGTCTTCTTATTCAAGCTTCCCCCCCCCACGATTCTTAACCGTGTGGAAGTGGTAGCATCGCAGTATCCTTTTTTCACTCCATCCGAGGTATGTTTTTCGACCTTCTCCTACACAATATAACTAAGACATGTCTAGGAATCCTTGTGATTATTGACCACTCGCAAGCATGAGCGACAAGGTAGTCGAGCCTCAGGAATACCCCGAGAAGGATCTCGGTCCCTTGGAGGAGGGCCAAGGCTTGGAATCTCTAGCTCCGCTCGAGGATAAAACCAAAGGCCGCTGGGAGCGCAGTTGGCCTACGATTGCATGTGGTGCTGGTCTGTTCTCCGATGGATATCTCAATGGCGTAAGTCTTCGAGAAGTCTCGCCCTGAGCGCGTACAACATACTGTCCAAATAACTATGACATCCGATTGGCGCGACGGGTCATACAAACTTGCGGGGAAAGGTTGGATTGCTGACTGCGTTTTGCTTTTCCCGCCATTTTAGGTTATTGGTCAAGTGAACACCATCCTCAGCACGATCTATCCCGACACCTACAACAACTCCCCAGCCAGTAAGAATGTCTCGGCCATCGCTTTTGCCGGTACCGTCGTTGGTATGCTTATCTTCGGCTACACAAGTGACCATTGGTCGCGTAAATGGTCACTCATGATTTCGACTATCATCCTTTTCATTTTTGCGGCTCTGTCGGCGGGATCGTACGGTTACCATGATAGTCAGAATGGCCTGTTTGCAGCTTTGACTGCCTATCGATTTTTCATCGGTATCGGTATTGGTGGTGAATATCCTGCAGGTTCAGTCGCTTGTGCGGAGAACACCGGCGAGCTTAAGGAAGGTCACCGTAATCGGTGGTTCATCATGTTCACCAACTTCCAGATCGATCTGGCCTTTGTGATTTCGGCCTTTGTGCCTATGGTCCTGTGTCTGATTACTGGTCCAGATCACTTGCGTGTGGCTTGGCGTATCGCCTTGGGACTGGGTATCATTCCTCCTCTGAGTCTGGTTTGGCTTCGATACAAGATGGAGGAACCGGAGGAATTCAACCGTCAGCGCATGCGCAAGTTCCCTCTGACTTTGATTATCCGTTTCTACTGGAAGCGACTTGTAAGCAGTTACCAAGCCAGTTTATTTCAGACTTTCAGTACTAACAATAACCAGTTTATTGTGTCATTGATCTGGTTCATCTATGACTTTTCATCCTACTCCTTCGGCCTATACTCCTCAAAATGGCTGTCGCTTATTTTGCCCTCGACTGCTCCGCTCTGGCAGACTTTCGGCTGGACCACTCTGATCTATCTCTTCTACATCCCAGGCTCTAGTCTTGGAGCCTTCTTCAGTGACTGGATTGGCCCTAAGCAGACTCTGGCCATCGGAGTCGGTCTTCAGGGTATTGTTGGCTTCATCATGTCTGGATGCTATGAATGGCTTGCTACTACCGAGTATCTGGGCGCTTTCATCGTGGTTTATGGGTAAGTCTTTTACCATGTCAAGGTCTTTCAGTTCCTGTGCTCACATATGTAGTATTTTCCTCGCTCTGGGTGAATTCGGTCCTGGTGATAACATCGGTCTTTGTGCCGCCAAGACCAGTGCCACCGCCATCCGTGGACAGTACTACTCATATGCGGCTGCCATGGGCAAGATTGGTGCTTTCGTGGGAACCTACGTTCTGCCTCTTGCCCAAGAAAATGCCCCCAACAAGATTCGGGCTGGCCAGGATCCTTTCTTCATTTCCAGCTCCCTGTGCATCTTCAGTGCTTTCTTGGCTTGGTTCTGTCTCCCACAGATTAACCAGGTTTGTATCCTCTGTCGGATGTATTCTTCATCTCCATGCTAATACGTACATAGGATACTATCACTGACGAGGACGAGAAGTTCCGTGACTTCCTGGCCCAGAACGGCTACGACACCACCACTATGGGTAATTGATAGATGTGTCTAGCCAGACGAATACTCCACCCCGCACGCGCCCCCATCTAACACCGTCTTGAAAACGTTGCCGACTTGCCTCATCTAATTGCCCACGATACGACTCATTGATGTATCGCCGAAACTGACCTATGATCGCCTGGTCACCCTCTACATGCTCTTTGCATCCCCGACACCCCATGCGACAACTCTCATGCTGGCAATTCGGCATACATCGATTCCAATTTGACATGACATGACCTCCCGACGATTCGGTAACCCGTGGACCCCTTGCGACTTAATGATTTGATATCTATCATACGACAGACGAACCCCAACTTTCCCCTTGCGAATAGATGACTTTAATAGCGAACACTTCCGTGCTGATCTATGGGTGGTCTGTCTCGGTGGTGCATTCATGGAACCATTCGATTGCTTTTTCGTATGACCTGCGGAGTGATATTCTCAGACTCACTATAGTCTTATTCTTAGCTAAAACGATAATAATTCAATAAAACATTCAGACACACTTCATTCCACCGAACTAGTCAAGCCAACTACGAAGAATTAGTCAGTATTGTACATTCTAGACTCTAAGCTCCAGGTCTATATGTATTGATATCCACAGGACCCTCGTGTGAACCTTCCTATTGGAAAGTAAAACGAAAACCGACCGGAGCAATTGTAAGGTTTAGGATCAAAGAAGTAATGTAATCCGGTACAACAGAAAAGGGATACAAATTGCGATGAATTTTGTCTCATTTCTAACAAGATAGCAGAAAAAAAAGCTCTACATTATAGGAGATTGAATACAAGCTTTTCACATGAATCACCATGGATCTTGGGGCCATCAATCTATTGCCTTCTCTGGTCACATTCCCGCCCGTCACTCTCTGACGCTAAAACGATAGCCGTAATCAAAAACAGAATGGAACGGTAACTAACGGAGTAAGGACTATGACTGAAAACACTCAATAAAGGGTAGAAAATCACATGTGACTGAATAACCTAAATTAATATCTTATGGCTGTAAGAGCAATACACCACACTAAGACAAGATCGTCTAGCGGGACAAAACAGCGCCAAAATGTTGCTAGAGAAGGTAAAGTCGTCATTTGGGGACAAACAGCACACTCCACACTCCGCGAGTTCAGCCGAGGTAGCCCCATATTCCCGTCACGGGCTCATTCGCCGGTCAATTACCGGACCGCCCTCTCCCGTTATTACATCAACCGATCCTCGGTCCATTTAACATCTACTCCGTATTTCAACGACTTCACTCTTTCTCTTTGATACCGAATCTACATACCTTGCATCATATACCCCCGCGTAATCGGTATTAAATCAGGAAACATGGTCGCCGACGCTCTCGTTCATCACCCAGCTCTGGCGCACTGGTTGCGCTTCGTCGCGACAACCGGTACGTATTGCACCAGCACCGTCCCTATTCCAACCCAGCAAGGGGGAATAGCATGCATACACTGGACCCAGCCGAACTGGACTTCTACTTATCCTGAAGATAAGAACGGAAGACCAGACCAGACCAGACCAGACAATCTTGCTCACTCCCTTCCGCCCCAACCATTCATTATCTTTCACCCCAATATTTTAAACGTCATAGCTGACCTAACACAAACCAGTCGGTCGCGATAAGCTCCTCCGCACAATCCAATACTTCTCCCGCTTCTATGCCTGGTACCTCTACCGCACCAACAAGCCCCAATCCGCAATCGACCCCTACAACGCCGTAAAGAAGCAGTTCGGCACAACACGTAAGATCCTCCGTGTCGGCAAATGGGCCGAGCACCTGAAGGCCGCCTCCATTGCCCTCGATAACAAGGCACCCATTGATCCTGTCCTGCGCTACCTGAGCGTCGGTCGCCAGCTCGGTTATGCCGGTTACCTGAGCATTGATATGGTGACTGTTATTGATGCTGTGGGATACCGTAAGCTGGAGTCTGTGAAGAGACTGCAGGAGGCTGCTTATAAGTCTTGGTTGGCGGGTTTACTGTGCAGTGCTGTTGCGGGTGTTTATACTCTGTACGGATTGCAGAAGAAGGAGAAGACTATTAACCGTAAGGAGGGCGAAGGTGTTGTTGAGGCTAAGAAGATTGAGAAGTGAGTTTATCCCCCCATTTGTTTTGCCTGTCAAGTCATGTATGGAATAGAGCTTGGGCTAACTTTGAACCAGGGAGCGATCTGCTGCTCGTGTGCAGCTCGTTTCTGATCTGTGCGATTTGGCTATCCCTATGTCTGCTGTGGGTATTATTACCCTTGATGATGGTCTGGTTGGTATCGCTGGTACTGTCAGTTCTCTTATTGGAACCTGGTCCCAGTGGCGCAAGACCGCATAAATGGACTAGTACGATTTGATCCTGGTCCTGGTCTTGGTTCGGGGCATTTTGTTGGTTCATGGGATTTCACTGATCGAGCGTTGTATGCTGGTGCAATGAGCTGAATTCTTGTATGAGATCTGAGAGGGAGAAAATGGAGTGGGAGAAAGTGGGAGATGATCATGTTATTTGGACTTTGAGCACTCTTGACGTTGTCAGTTTGATCGATTCTGCGTTTATATCCTTGATTGTTTTCATGAAGAACTTGTATCTTTTTATTTTTGGAGGACAGTGTTTAGATGTCTTTCTATCTTCTTCGAGTACATATCACAAATTTCATTGTGTCTTCTCTGACATAGATAGACTTCATGTTTCGAGATATCTAGTGTACTTCCTACTACTAGTAATAAAAATGTGTTATAGGTATCTTATTCTGGGTTCAAATAAATATAAATATGCTCCTTGATCCATGCCATTCATTCTCATCGGCTTCAAGAGCCTCGGCAATCTCGCATAGCATATGATATGCGTTCTCTGCTCCCATTCATCTGGCAAGCGTCACATCATGACTACGTCTGTCTTAAACAGGGCAAGTCTATTAAACGTCAGTGCCATCCCCAATAATCAATAAAGAAGATCAACGAACCGCGCCACAAGACCCACAGGTCTTAACAGCGCCAGACATGGCGGTACCACACTTGGGGCAGCTGTTGTGTCCAGACATGATGATGATAGTGGATCTTTGAAGATCTATCTAGTTAGCCAGAAGGTCCTCACTCTCAGATCTCTTGCAGTCTAGTCTAGATAGACTAGCCCGGAAAACCATAAACGAATGCATAGTTGCAAGTCCATACCTAAATAGATATTTGGCTACCAAGGTAGATTCTAGGTTGGATAGAGTATGGAGTGGGCTGGGACGAGTGATCGTTAGGGAAAAGGTCAGCGAGGGGTAAAAGAAAAAAAATCGCATAATATTCTATTCCACTGTTTACCCCGCCTAACAGCCCCGCTATTGATGATAAGCTCGCGATGCCGACTTTTCCCTATGCTCTGATACAACCTATATTGAGCATTAATATACATTCGTATCATTTTACATGTGTCTCTGAGACTCCCAGTGTTCCCAATAGCGGAACCTATACCTGAGCCTGAACAACCGAAGTAGTACAACCCTCACTCATCCTCGCTATCCTCCGAGTCATGCTCACATCTCCACATAATTTCCAACTGCTCATTCGCATCCGCAAACATCTTCTCTCTCTCAGGAGACCCAACACAGAAACTAGGCCGTTTGTCAAATCCATGAATCGCATCTTCAACCACAAACCCTCCACAATGCTTCATTCTCCCCTCATCCACAAACTTACAAATCCTCTCCCTCAACGCATCCCCCTCAACCAGCAACTGATCCCACCCACACGTATAAATAACCACACTACCCGGAAAAGCAGCAAGTAGTAAATTAGTAGGTGTAAGACCAGGCGATAAATAGGGATGTCCCATATCTACTTTTCCATCTTCACTCTTTGGTAAATTCTCAGTAACCAAATACGAGTTATCAAAGAACTCAAATACAGCAGGTGGAATCATGCCCTGTTCCGCAGCGATAGGATTCGTAGCATCTCTCTCATCTCTCGTTCGTGTCCAATCAACACTCGGATAAAAAGCTATAGAACCTCGAAGAATTATATCGGTCTTTGTATCGCGGCGGTCTCGTTTTTCCAGCTCCTCATATAACCGTAAGGGAACTGTTAATGCAAGATTCCCACCGGCACTATTTCCGCATAGAACGAATCGGGTTCGATCGAGATTATAGCTTCGTGCATGTTCCCATAACCAGAGGACTGCGTCGACGCAGTCTTCCATTGGTATTGGGAAGGGGTGTTCCGGTGCGAGACGGTAGTTTACTGAGACGACGACGCTATCTTCGTGTTTTTTTAGGACGGCGTGGGCCCAGCGCGCGTCGTCGATTGCGTGGCCGATGCTGAAGCCGCCGCCGTGGAAGTTTATGAGGACTGGTCGTGGTTTTGAAGTGCTGGTTATTGGGATTGGATCTTTGCCGGGAGCTGTGTAGATGTATAGGGATATCGAGCCGGGTGGGTTGCTCATTGTTGTTGGGATTGTGAGGTCGAGGGCTGGTCTGGGTGGAAGAGGGAAAGAGAGGTAGCGGTCTAGCCAGGAGACGACTGCTTGGAAGAAGCGGAGTTTTCTGGCTTGCCGTAGGAGGGCGGGACTTGGGGCTTCCATGGTGTGGATTTAGACTTTGTTTGTTGGCGATGTCGATTTGGTTAGATTGTAAATCATTGCATTGTGTATTTGGTGGATGTGGATAGACCGGGTTCATGGATCTAGATATTAATTTGTAATCGTTGGTAGATGACGTAGAAACAGTGTAAGGTTGGCAAATTTCCTCCAGGATCATTGATTTGGGTTGTATGTGGCGTTGCCTCGGGTATAGATAGTACATGTAAGTTATTGATATGTTAGAATTTGCAAATAAAGTGTGGTGTCACGATCTCAGAGTCGGTGTGATCTGGGGCTTCGAGAAACCGATGATCTTCGAGTGGTTACTGTTGATCTACAGAAGATCATCATCAAAGTATTGCGGGGCGAATCGCTCGGGAGTAACCTTGTGTGAGAAGAGAGTGAACCGCTCTGATATCATAGTGCGATCAGTTTGGCGTTATTGGTTTAAGAGCATGGACATAGAAAATAGAATTGGAGGAATTGCATTCTGATTTGATGGCAATCCTATATTGACATGTTGGTACAGATCAACCATCTTCCCCAATGCACCTCAGACCTGAAACGCCGTCATAAATCGTAAAGAAGCCATAATGGCTAGTCAATGGAAATTTTCATCGACAGTCAGCGTTTAGGCACGCTGGCTTATTTTCCTTACCAACTGCAGGAATCTGCTGGGTCATGCAATGAATACCACCACCGCTTAGGGCAATCTCGGGGATATAAACCTGGACTACCTTTCGGTTGGGAAACAGATTTTGAAGAATATCCTTAGCAGCTTCATCAGATTCAGGGATGCCGAATGCTGGAGATATAACTGCCCCATTCACCAGATGAAAGTTGACATAGCTTGTTACCATGTCTGTATTATCTGTAGGGGCCTCGGGTAAGTCAATGAGCTCGAAACTCCTTCCTTCCGCATCAACAGCATGAGATAAAACACGCTTGGCTTCATAATAAGCCTTGGCCCAGACACCAGTGCAGGGGTTGGGACGACTTAGGACGACCTTTCCCGGAGCAACGAAACGAGCCAAGCCATCGATGTGATCATCGGATACATCGGAACTCTCTACTCCAGGAATCCAAATCACTTTGGACACGCCCAAGACCCGTTGTAACTCCTCCTCGATAACTTTCTGACCCATCCCACGGTTGCGATTTGAATCCAGAATCGGTGTACGGGCAGCTATTAATGTTCCATTGCCATCGACTTCCAGCGCACCACCATCAGCTGTAATAGAGGTCTTCAAAAGAGGAATGCGCTCATCAGCGAGAAATTTTCGAGCAAAGTTGAAATTATCGGATGGAAACTGTCTTCCCCAACCATTGAAGTTGAAATCGAGACCGAACCGATCGGATTGTGATTCCTCGCTAAACACGAAGAGGGGCGCGACGTCACGCATCCACGGCTCAAGATCATCTTCTTCCGTGACCTTCACTTTCACGCCATATTGGCCGGAGCTTTGAGCTCTTTTTCGGGCGTCGGTCGCTTGTTCGGAACTGACTAGGAGAGTGACTGGTTCGAAGTTCGAGATGGCGTTGGCGATGGATGTTAGCTCATCTTTCATGCGTGAAAGGCTACCGCTGTGTCCCGTATAGCTTGGGTTGGCGATTCTTGGCCAGGCCATAATTGTACGCTCGTGGAGTTGGTTTTCGGCGGGCATGTAGAACTCAAGGGGTGAGGCTAGGGTGCTCACGACCCCCAGGCCGAGTTGAAGAAATAAGGATTTCATGATGGTCCCAATCTTGGTGTGAGATGAGATGAGATGAATTGTAAATGGGTGAATCTGGCGAGGGTGACTGTCTGAATTATGACCCAGATAGGTGGGTGCGTCGAGTGAAGGATTGGAACAGTCTCCATCCAAGCCTGAAAGGTTAAAGAGCTAGTATCTCATTCTACTACATAGACATAGTAAGCGAGCTCGGTTAAAGAGTACTACCTACCCAGCCTGGGAGGAACATATCAATTAGGAAGGTATATAGAGCCCCCATATTCACACATAGGTAAATTCATATAGTATCCATTGGCTGCAGGGTTTCATCAACCCTCGAGGCTCCGCTATATCCACTCATAATATCCAAAAAATGACACCAAGAAAAAGGACACAGCCTCGTCGATCAAGTGCTTGGTACAAGGCTAGAAGCTTTAGGCAACCGATTTTCAGGGTCTTGTTAATCTATACTTAGGCTTGGGCTCGGTGAAACAGCGTAGAATATGCCGAGTGTTGTGCAAGGTTTGATTGTGGATCTCTTCCGCTCGGTCTACCGTGACCCTTCAGGGTCCAGAGACGTTATTGCTAGGCATCAATGATCTCACATTAAGGTTTTTTGGTTTGTCTTAAACACCCGAGGGCATCTTCTCACAAAAGTTGGCACACTTCCATTTCCTGCAATTTCTGAGTGTCTCAGACTTGAAGAGGTTAATGATCCATGCTCCACACGTGCACCGGCACTTGATGCCTAATACACCAGGCATCAATATTCTAGGTAGAGCGGTGAGAGAGCAACACTATTGGCCATTGGCCATTAGAGTGGGGCATCTATATACCACTTGGGTGTAGTTCATCTGGCTTATCACGCACTCCTACAAATTCCACAACTTCACCATCCTGGAACATTTGATTTTTCTTCAAACCCAAATTTTGAGGCCGGCGAGGCACGTAGACAAAGTGATCCACATGTTTCGGGCTGCACATGTCGATCCCCAGGTTTCCATTTCGCAATAAATCCACGCAATTTTCACAAAATCCATAATCGTAACAGATCGGACAGTAAGAGAACTCATCTAAACGGGCCTTGATATACATCATGGCCCATCGCATTTAATAATCACTTTATCTTGTTCGAACTGCCACCACTTTCACTCAACAAGAACATCATAGTGACCAAGAGAGTATGAGAGGGAGATGACGCGGCCAGAATCTCAACTCTTTACGTGGAAACGCGTGCATCTTTGCTCCAGGCTGACCAAGAATACCTGTTTCCCTACTTCTTTTGCCCCATCTTTTCAGTTTCCTCTCTGCGAGCCGCCTCTCATGACACGATCCGTGAAAAGTGCAGTGAATGGGCGGTAGACACCCGCGATCCTAGAGTCAAATCACTTCTATCGGAGGACAGCTTTGACGATAGCGCCCAGGAGTCCGCTTGTCTTATCGTTGATGATTATTGTTTGAAGAAGTTCGCTGAGCTTCAAGGTGACTAGGAAAGCAAGGAAACTGCGCCAATTGTTGTTCTAACTAGAGTATAGGATGTCGAGATATACAGAGAATAGTATCAAGTGTAATATACTAATAGTATAACCTATAGGCTGAACGTAGAGGAGTATAACACGAAGTATAAAGATCCGGAGGGCCATTTGTCTATGGATGATAAGGATTACATTCTCTTCGACGAAGTTGATAGACTTCAAGTTCCTATATTGGGATGAATATAGGCGGAGATTGGCTCAGTCGCAAGTTTGTACCAAAGTCTTTCAGAGCATAGGGATTACTGTGAAGTATAGTACCAAGCCTATGCCCGTCCGCCCAGATTATTCCCTGACCAGCAAGATGGGTACTGGAAATTGTGAAATCTGAATTTCAGTGCTTCCGATCGGAAGAAGACTCTTCAAATATTATTTTGTCGTATTATCTCGTACGCAATTGAAATCATTCTTACTTTGGCAATACTCTTTTTTTGTTTTTTTTTTTGTTTTTGATCGTGAAATTGCTTAGTCACTTCCTAAGATAAAAGTTCAATTGTGTGGACACAGGTAAGTCATAGAGTAGGTAATGATAGCCCCGGTACAATATCCTTTTCAAGTTCTTTAGTTCTCCAGTTGTTATTCTTCCCATGACAACAGTTTCATGCCCCAGGAGAAACCCTAGACACTCCAGGGCTCTAATCTAAAGCGTCCAAATCAGGAACTTTGATCCCCTTCAACTGGTTGTATAGAAGATCGAGAGTTGCTTTCACGATCTCTGAGTTTCCAGGGGTAATCAGACTATTCGCGTATGCTGAAGAAACCGCTGCAATGCGTGGTTCTGTCCATTTCAAGGTCTCGAATTCTTTCATAATGGAAGGCAAATTAGTCATACCCGGCACATGCGTAATTCCCGGTCGAGTCATACACCCCAAACACCATAGTAAATGCGATTTTTTAAGTGGCTATATATCAATAATGAGAACATATTGCTACTTGATCTTTGGTAGAATATTTCCTGATAACGTATAAATTTGTATAGGTCTCTCAATAAAAAGAACATATATTACCAAAAATACGCGCCGACAGGGCGATGCATTTTTATATAGGCAACCACCTTACCTTAACATAGATTTTGCCCCAATTAATATGCTTAGAGGGATATATTTGACACTTGAATATCCTATAAACTTATACAAACTTATATAAACTCTTATGGGTTGAAACATCACAATCTAAAATATCGCACTTACTATGGTGTTTGGGGTGTACGGCTCGACCGGGAATTACGTTAACAGTTAGTACGCAGAGGTCTTCCCGAGGCCTGTGCCTGGTCTACATCTAAATCCCCTTTCTTTCCTTCGCCGGCTCACTCGAATTGAATCTCCATAGTTGACTTTGATAGTACGCGCCTTAGATCTTGAGAAAAACCAGAAATATTCGGTATGAAAACATTGACAGAATTGGACTATAAGGGCGACAACGGATACATTCAGATTAGACCGTTTAAGATTCTGAGAAATACTAGAACTTTGCGGCTCAAGCGGGTGATAGCCTGATCTCCATTGTCCAACAAAGATCATATATGCCCAGGCATAAGGCTCCAGCTTTGCATATCTATTTCACAAAGACAATAGTCTTATAATAAGCTGACATTTGGACATTTCTTGGACGTAACCCAATTGAGGAAACATGTGCAGTCGGCCCCCAACTTAAATTAGCGGGTTCCCCACCTGGGAATCCAACATAAATAGAGCCGTGGACGCTATGAAGTGGGCACATTGATAGATATCCCTCTACAACATCCAATCTAACCTTTACATGCTCCCAATATGTCCAGCGCCTCAACCCCAATTCCCGTGGTAGTCTGCGGTCGATCAACAGCCATCGGCAAGCCAGTATCAGAGTCCCTACTACCCGAGATCGAAGGTGACCCACCCCCACTGTGACCCCCAAAATATAAACAATTCCAATAAACTAACTAACCCCCTCAGTCATTCACTTCATCCAAACCAATGAGGCCGCCATAAAAGAGCTCCCCCTCCTGCTCGCAGGGCAAGACCCCCAATCCACAGATGACAACGGCGTGGGCTCACATCAGTACGGCCGGCCAGTCCGTGCAGTCATTTTCGGTCGAGGATACGGCATAGATGATATTGAGTCGTTCAAGGCTGCGTGTGAGGGTGCTGCTCTAGAGCCAGTTGGTTGGATTGCGGGGGATCCTGCCAAGGCGCCGGCACCTGGTGCGCCGCCGCCGGGTCCTGATTATTTTAAGACTGCGTCGAAACTTACTAAGGAGGCTGTTTTTAAGTGGGTTGAGAGTGGAGCTGGAAAGGATCAAGTTATTCTTTACTAGGGAGTTAAGGTTGGGGGGCCGTTAACGGGCTACTAGTAGTAGATCTATATGGTTATGTTGCTATGCGGCTGATACTAGAGATTGACTTCCAAGATTACTCCAAGGTTGACATACTCTTTCAGAATACATACAAATCGCGCCATGAGTCTTGTTCAATGAATATATTTGATAATACCTATCGCCATTTGAGCTTGTCTTTCTAGTTGTCTTTCTACCTCAAGTTGGTTTTATACCTATGCTTGGGTATCCTCCCGATTCGGAGGTCGCACCATGATGTGCCTAATAGGCGCATAAATTATTCAATAGCGGAAGACGTCTATAGGCCAAAGAGCTTCAAGTTTGCCAGTGAGTTCAAGTTCAATGTTCTAGGTGATTGTTGCTGTAGACCAAATTCACCTTATGCAAGCCCCTGTTTTTCATTTTCATTTCCAAATGTCCGATCGAATTGACAAGGTTGAATGATACTACTCATGGTATACCTCCATAAAACATGAGCGGCGCTACAACTTACACCCGTAGATCGAATCACAGGTTGCTGCGGTGTGACGTCCTTCACATCGCTTCATTCCCTTCTCTCTTGCAAATGAGAAAATAATCGAGCTCGTAGATTTATGGAACGATCGCGCCCAGCCTCGCGTATTGAAGGGTTATCGCCCGGTTTCAACTTTTAGGATACTCATACTACTGAGTACTAGAAGCCAGTTACTACTACTTTGCCCTCACTGACTTTCAAGGCTTCATCATGATGCCAGCCCCAGAGTGGATATCATGATTTTGAAAACTTTGAAATTATATATCAAGCCTGCCAGACCCATATTGTTAGTATATTTGAGTGGAAAAACTTGACTTTAATCAACATTCCAACCACCCAGTCTGCCATTTACGACATCCTTGTCGATTGCTCTGCATCATGCTCATTCCGAAATCTCTTCGTTGGGTCTTGATTTGTTGCCATGCATAATGAAGACGGATAACCACGGCCTACGGAGCGACAAAGGTAGCCGAGCTAGAGACGTAAAACACTAAACAGCCTCAAATACCCGAGAGAAGGCCCAAGCAGCCAGGGGGATGATTTAGGTACAAGCCGCTCAGTGGAGGAGCCCGTATACCCCACATTCAGAAGGAGCCACGCGACAACTTCCCCAGACAGCCAAGAATCGCTAAGTGGGGAGGGGTAACTCCTCAGCCCAGCCTGAGCAAGAGGAACCGAGCAAAGATACTCCGTCCCAGTTTCCCAATCAGCCCGGGGTATCAGGGAGCGAGCGCGTCATCGGTACAAAGATCATCTTAGACTGCCGACCAGTGAGAGGCGGGGGTTATTCCATTATACTATGACGTGAGGGCATCGGGTCGGGGAAAATAGGAGGAGATGGATCTACGTTTTCTGCTTTCCCGCAAGTCGGGATTGTTTGAAATCGGGGAAATCTGGCTGGGCCGGGAGTCCGATAGGTCGAGTCTTCGATGGAGAAGGAGAGAGAAGCGGTACTTGGACTCACGGGTGAAATAGGAGGGGTGATTTTGACGTGCCTGGACGGGGCTTTGAAGTTGATAATTGTTGACCCGGATGCAGATAAGGGGGATTTGTTCCGGGGGAGATCCCGGGGAGACCGGGGCTAAACGAAAACCGGGGCCTGCAAGGTCGGGTCTGGAAGTCTTCACTTTTCAGGTGTTCGTTCATTGGATCTAGTTTTTGCGGAGGAAAGCCCCTCTTCTTCCCCTTTTCCCGGCTCCACTGCTAGGCTGGATACCGCGAGTTCATTCCATAGAGTTATTATAAGGTGTTTTTTCAAAAGCCTCGTTCCAGACTCGGTTTCACTTGGGTTAGACCGAGTCACGCGGAAGGCAGAAAATCGAAAACAGTAGCTAAAAACTTACACAGGTCACCTGAATGTCTACAAACATACCTTGAACCCGCACCGAGCAGACTACGTGATAGGCCAAACGGCAACTCTGTATAGCAATTCGGTACGTAAGTCCTAGGAAGTAAAATCGCGCAAGGGCAAATTTTCATGCATTCATGGAAATTCCAGGAATGAGAGAGGCTCGCTGGTCTTCCCGAGGACACAAACCGGGTCGGGATCCGCCGCTAAGCACCGGGAAAAGAGGATCTGGGGTTGATCGAGAACACTGCCTCTACGTAGTAGGAGTAGGAGCTGAAACATTGTAGCTGGGAAAAACTTGCTCAATTTTTTGAATTTTCCAAGAAAATATAATTGATTGAACTAAAAATGTCAGTGTAGTACGTAGTACGGCTTACTCTTCGGCGAATAAGAAATGAAAAGAAAAAGTATCGGGCCCTTGCACTTGTTTTTCACGGGATTGTCGATGTCTCCATTCGCGAGCTGGGCCGAGCCCGAGAATCCCACACGTAAACGTACATGAAAGCCATGGGGAAATGACCAGCGGTCGGGAAAGAGGGCTTTGATCTTATTGCACGATTAGCACCGCACATTATCGTTCAGCTCCAAATCGACCCAGGACCCAGCGGCAATGTCTTCTGCCCACTCCACTATCCTTGGAAGATGGAAATATACGGGCGCTGATTGGCTCGAGCCGCCGCGATCAATGTCGCAGATGCATCATCCTCGGTTGAGTTAAACGCCGTTATTGGAGTAGAACTATCTCGGAGGATCCTGTTACCACTACTGGGGCCTGGTCGTGGTCATGGTCGGGTGTATTGTTTCTGATTGCGAATTCTTTCCAATGCGTCTTGTTCCGAGAAAGAATGGAAAATAAAATCCCGCAACGTCGAACTGGAGAACTCAAGAATTGGTTTAGCCGATCAGAAGCTGAAGAATTGTCTATGTAATAATGTAGGGGCAAATGAAAAAAAGGGTAGGAGGGATCGACGGGTTATGTCAGCTTTTCTCTTCCCCCGCGAATTCCTTGGATTGGACTAGCCAGAGTTCAACTGCCTGTATTTGGTACAATCGAACTGGTAACTTTGGGCTTCAATCTGTTTCTAGTGAGATCATTGTGCGTCATTCCCGTCGTCCGTGGCTGGATAAACTTCTTCCTAGCAACGGACTTTTCTTTTAGGCAGATTCACAAGATAGATGCAAACGGGCAATTTAGACCTTTGACAACCTAGGTTCGGCAAGATTTAGAGTGTGTAATGGAATTTATTAAAGGAGCAAGATCTTTCTCGCTACATTCCAATCTTACTTCCTGATATATTCGAGATTGTATATGCGCGATTTCGATCTCTATTCCATCTTTAAATTCATTTTTGAAATTACAATACTCCATACACTCTCAAGTCCCCACTTAGCCCTCATTTCTCCTTCCTCCCTTACTTTTCCGTTCCAGAACCCGTCCGCCGGGTGCATTTCGTGTCCACCTAGAACCATTCGGGACATCTCGGACAACGCCGCACCAAGGCATTTGTGACTTACGGCAACACATCATCCATCACCAACCGTCGCCGTGAGCTCGGCCCTTAGACCCGACATCACCCGTGAAACTGTGGAGAAGTGCAGGGGCAAAGCACGAGAACGCTCTTGATACTAACGCTATCGTCGTGGCGATGGCCCTTGCTGGAAAGAATTATATACCCCTCGTTCGCCCCGACTCTCCAGGTCCTTTGACTTCTGATTTCTTCCAACAACAAGTCGCAAAGCAACGAAACAATAACTACCATTCTACTTCACTCAGAAACATGGTTGCCACATCTGTGAATCGCACTGCCCTCCACCCTGGCGGTGTTCAGTACGTCCTACCTTATCCATCATCATCACCTTATCGCCTTCTTCTCTTATACCTTTATACATCTTGCCATGTTCCACCCTCATCCCACCTCGTCGTCGCTAACATTCACTTCCTAGGCCCGGCAAGGGACACACTGAGCTGGAGGAGGAGCTGCACGAGACTGCCCACATTGACTATGACCGAGTGTCCATTGTAAGGAAGCCCTGTTACCTATACGTATTGATTGGAACTCGTCCATAGTCATGGCGATAAGTTCCCAATGACTTCAGTTTTACTAATGACTTATAACAGATTGCCAACCCTGCCGTTGCTGCTCTGTACGAAGATGCTTTGGTTTACGAGACTGGTACCGCTATCACATCCAGCGGTGCTCTGAGCGCCTACTCCGGTGCTAAGACTGGTCGTTCCCCCTCCGACAAGCGTATTGTCAAGGAGGAGTCCTCCGAGAATGAGATTTGGTGGGGACCTGTCAACAAGCCCATGACCCCTGATGTGAGTTGCGCCTTTTTCTCTTCACCCTCGTGCCTATTTGCTCTATATGAGCGATTTTACTCGGTCTTGTTACATATTTGTCGGGACTACGTGGTTGGGGACTGCCCTTGCAGATGGCCCGATAGGCTAGCTCCACCCAGGATCCCTTGCATATGCACTCCAGACAAGTCAAGCTTTTTTTTTCTTTTGGCAGTTCCAGCTATGGGAATCCCCTTGAGGAAAAATGGCGCATGTTGGAATCAATATGCGTCCTTTTTCCATCTCGGTTGCTCTGCATACCTTGTCTTTCCCTCAATTTTTGCAATTTTCTTTCCCCCCGCTTTGTTTGGCCGCGGAAAGCCGAGGCTTTCACGTGTATGACGTCATTACTAACATCCCTTCCCGATTAGGTCTGGCGTATCAACCGTGAGCGTGCTGTTGACTACTTGAACACCCGTAACCGCATCTACGTTGTTGATGGTTTCGCCGGCTGGGACGAGCGTTACCGCATCAGTGTCCGTGTTGTCTGTGCTCGTGCCTACCATGCTCTGTTCATGCGTAACATGCTTATCCGCCCTTCTCGTGAGGAGCTGGAGCACTTCCACCCCGACTATGTTATCTACAACGCTGGATCTTTCCCCGCCAACCGCTTCACTGAGGGTATGACCTCCGCTACCTCCGTGGCTATTAACTTCGCCGACAAGGAGATGGTTATCCTGGGTACTGAGTACGCCGGTGAGATGAAGAAGGGTGTCTTCACTGTCCTCTTCTACGAGATGCCTGTCAAGCACAACGTCCTGACTCTGCACTCCTCTGCCAACGAGGGTGAGAACGGTGATGTCACCGTCTTCTTTGGTCTGTCCGGTACTGGCAAGACCACACTGTCTGCCGACCCCAAGCGTAAGCTGATTGGTGACGATGAGCACTGCTGGACCGACACTGGTGTCTTCAACATTGAGGGTGGTTGCTACGCCAAGTGCATTGGTCTCTCTGGCGAGAAAGAGCCCGATATTTTCAACGCCATCCAGTTCGGTTCCGTTCTTGAGAACGTTGTCTTCGACCCCGTCAGCCGTATTGTCAACTACGATGACGCCACCCTGACCGAGAACACTCGCTGCGCTTACCCCATTGAGTACATTGAGAACGCCAAGATTCCCTGCAAGAGCGACAACCACCCCACCAACATCATCCTCCTGACTTGTGATGCTCGTGGTGTGCTTCCTCCTATCTCTAAGCTCACCCCCGAGCAGACCATGTTCCACTTCATCTCTGGTTACACCTCCAAGATGGCCGGTACCGAGGACGGTATCACCGAGCCCCAAGCTACTTTCTCTTCTTGCTTCGCTCAGCCCTTCCTTGCTCTGCACCCCATGCGCTACGCCAGCATGCTTGCCGAGAAGATGAAGGAGCACAAGGTCAACGCCTGGCTCCTCAACACCGGTTGGGTCGGTGCCGGTGCCACCACTGGTGGCAAGCGTTGCCCTCTCAAGTACACCCGTGCTATCTTGGATGCCATCCACAGCGGCCACCTCGCCACTGTCGACTACGAGACCTACGAGGTTTTCAACCTGCCCGTCCCCAAGACCTGCCCCGGTGTTCCCGACGAGCTGCTTAACCCCGCCAAGAGCTGGACTGCCACCACCTCTTTCTCCGACGAGGTCACCAAGCTGGGCACCCTGTTCAACGAGAACTTCAAGAAGTACTCCGACCAAGCCACCCCCGAGGTCCTGGCTGCCGCTCCTCAGGTCTAAACTTGACCATGATGGATCTTCCAAAAATAAGCATTTGTGTTTTATGGTCCCAGACTTTCTCAAGTCTTTTGCATGGCGTGCTGCGTTTGCTTGATCTCTTCCCCTGGATCTCGGGCCCCATACTTGTGTCAGGACAAGTATGAGGTATTTCCTTTTTCTCATCTTTTTTCATGATAGGCTCTTTTTCTTTCTCATATTTCTCTTGATCTATTTTATATTTTGTGTTATCGATGGACATGTTTGACGACTGGCTCCATCGGACTTCTATCCCGATACCCTAACGATAGTCAATGAAATCAGATATTTCACAAAATCTTATCTCCACATAAACTTAAGCTCGAATTTAATTGTATTTTGTAAGATCTTTAAACCCCTGGAACTTCGTGCACGGGCAACCAAGCATTTCCAAGCACTTTGAACGATGCTCTTGAGTTGGAATGGTGGTTAACGGATCATGCACACACTACTAGGCAGCTACCAAACTTGGACATCCACACTTCATTCCTCTTCTTTCTCCTTTCCCGCTAATTTCTTTGTTGGTTTTCCTACCGACCTAGACCACCTCCAGAGTGTTATCAACCGCCTTGGATTTATCAGATTCGCAGGCAGCAATGTTAAGGGCACGAAACAAGAATAGGTCCAGAAGATCTAATCATAGGTAGCCCCGCCCTAAACCCCAGGGGCGGTCCGTGTGTGATCGTCCCCTGAGAGTGCGAGCCAACAGGATTGATCCAGTCCCCTGGAAGCATCAACTTATGCTTAGATCTGTGGGTATAAGAGTTTATGTGGATGCTCCACTGCAACTCTCCCCACCCCGCGATCCTGATCAGGCTCCAAGAATACACTGCCCGTGTACCCACTCGCTCGAATCAGTAGGGATCCCCACTCTACATGAATAAGGCCAATTTGATCGTCTTGTTTCAACCAAACAAATGTCAAATAATATGATAGGATGCTTTAGTTCAGAGTAATGCAATTGCAAACACTGCCATCGGAGTTTCTTGTCGAAACTAGGCTCGCAAGGCAGAAGCCAAAATGTCTTGTTTCTATACCTTCGCGATCCTCCTCGAGAAGAGGAACTTTGAAAATTATCCATCGCATCTTCAATCGTGCTCAAGATGGTGGAATGGAATAGAATTACCCGGCAAACCGGGACATTGACCTGGAAGAACCTCTTGGTGTTCTACAAATCGCCAATTGCCTCCGTGATCAAAGCGCTCTTGGTCCCTATTGTGGTGACTCTTGTTTTCTCCTTTCTTAAAGATATCAAGTCATCAGGATCTGGAACCCCATATGACTTCTCAAATACTGGAAGGGAGGTTCTCACTCTGTCTGATGCCATGGCTGCGGCCTCATCCCAACGACTAGTAGTCGCTACGAATGGGATTCACGATGCCCAGCTGAACAATTCGATCAATGCAATTTTCCAAGACTCGGGAATGAGTGCCTTCGATCTCGAGCTCATCGATAGTCCCAACGCCATTTTCGATAGCTGCAAGCAGTCTATTCACGGTACTAGTTCATGCTTTGCTGCTGTCGTTTTCACAGTCTTTAACAGTACCCATGCCGAATACGTCGTCGGTCTCGATTCGGACTTTCTCACAAATTCACCCACCAGTGCAGAGCCAGGCCAGTCTGTTCTCTCAAAGCGAGTTATGCCATTACAATGGGCACTGAATGCTCAAATTGGAGGGTTCAAATCCACCCAAAGGCCGACTGAGAAGACGTGGGATGGGTATATTTACGTGACGGAGTTTGAACCAGAAGAAGATGCTGGAGCCTACTGGCTTTCCCTTGTCAACTTGATCGTTTCCCCAATATTTGTCTTCATATTCATTACCGCCACCTATCATATTGGTAGTGCAGTGGCCAGCGAACGACAGAGTGGTGTTGTGGAACTTCTAATGGCACAGGGAGTCACCACCACGCCCCGAATCCTATCGAACCTCCTATCCTTCTCCGCCCTCTATATACCCGGCGTCATCATCTGCTCAATCATACTCGGCGAAGTCCTGTTCGTGAATACATCTACTGGTCTTATATTTATCCTCACGGTTCTCGCCGCTTTATCATTTATCGTGACCTCTCATTTCATCGGGTCGTTCTTTTCCAAATCATCCGTGTCCGGAATGTGCACATGTATCTTGATTGTCATACTTGCTTTCGTTAGTCTGTCTGAGAGCTTGGCTTACTATAAGGATGCCGGCCAGATACTAGGCCTCTCGATAGTCTTCCCGCCTTATGCCTTCTCCACGTTCATTCGAGACATCGCGGGTACGGAAGAATCAATGAAAGCTTGGCCCAACACTGAGATTGCCAAAGAGGACACTATGATAAACGGGTATCTTTACTTTATGTGTTTCCTCATACAAATCTTTGGCTACGGTGCGTTGGTCTTCCTTGTCGAGCACCTACGCTGGGGTGTTCCACAACGCCGGGAATGGTCAGAGACGTCGGATCAGGTTGCTCTAAAATTGACCAATTTGTCTAAGACTTATGGCAAGAAAAAGGAAGCTGTCAAAGATTTCAATGCCGAGGTACAGCACGGATCGGTTACTTTCCTATTAGGTCCGAATGGAAGCGGGAAGACTACAGCATTGAAATGTATCTCGGGAGTTCTGAATGTGGACGACGGATCGAAGATCCAGTTCAGTCGCGATGGTCTCTCTCTTGGCTTGTGTCCACAACACAACGTACGTTTCTCAAGTCTAACCCGTATTTCGTGCCCTGTTAATTTCTTTCTTTCAAGGTTTTGTGGGATGAATTGACTATTGTCGAGCATGTTCGTCTTTGGGCCAGCCTTAAAGGCATCGGAAATGCGCCAAGTACCCAGGAGATAGATGATGTGATTGCCGAGTGTGATTTAACTGAAAAGGCCTACGCGGCAGCTGGAACGTTGAGTGGAGGTCAAAAAAGGCGATTGCAGTTGGCCATTGCCTTTGCCGGTGGATCGAAAGTGGTCTGTATTGATGAGGCATCAAGTGGATTGGTATGCGCACCCTTCCCTAGACGATGAGATCAACTATTAATTGTTTAGGACCCATTATCCCGTCGCAATATTTGGAATATCATCCAGGAAGGTCGACGCCATCGGACGACCGTCTTGACCACACACTTTCTAGACGAAGTAAGTCAAACTTGCAACACGTGGACGAATAAATATCTAACAAACCTAGGCCGATGTTCTCGCCGATCACATCGTCATCATGTGCAAGGGTAGCTTGGTCTGCCAAGGAAGCAGCATTGCCCTTCGCGCCCAATATGGTGACAACTACCGAATCCGCGTGGACGACGATCAAGAAACGTCCTGGAGAGCTGCGAATTCCACTGAAGCGACCCAAAAGGTTCTTGAGCTGGAGCGTCTGCGACCCGATCTATCTTGTCATGTCACTTTCCCCACTCTAGAACAAGTGTTTCTTAGAACAACCTCCGAATTCGGTACTGCAGTCGATGGTACTGCGGAAGACGGCATGGTCGGTGAAGAGCAGAACACTGAAGATGACTCCAATACTGTCTTGGAAGACAAGATCCTGGCCCTTGAGAGTGAATTTACAGGCGATGATTTAAACCTCGACGTGAGACAATCCGTGGGATTATTCTGGCAGATATGGGTGCTGTTTCGAAAGCGCTATCAACTTCTTTATCGCGCGTCGGGCATGATTGTTTACGCGGTGAACCTTCTCCTACCTATAATTTTGGCTGCGGCATTGGCCACATTTTTCGTCTCATGGGATGCACTCGTAACCTGTGAGGAAAGCTATAACAAGTATATTCATCCCGTTGGCGCAGACATTGCTCCATTTGACGCCCAGTCAAACTTGGCATCGACTATGCAATATGAAGTTCTCGGCCCCACGAAGCAGTTTCAGGGTGCCGTGCAAGATGCACTCTTCGTGGATACTTTGTGAGCCATACAATTCGATTAAGAGGATATTGTTGCTAACTAGTATAGAAATTATTTGACTTATGATATGACCGATGCAGAGCTTCTAAAGAGCCGCAACTATACCAACAGCGAGGATCAGTTTAACAGCGACATGAAAAAAGCTCAAGGAGATGCTGGATTCGGGATCTACGCACCAACACCAGAATCTGCCGTTCTGTATCACGCCGCAGCCTATACCGGTGCTGGTAAGTAGGCTCCATTATAATAGCAAGTGGAATTACTCACGGAATTTATTCTTCTTACAGAGACTGGCATGAGCGGTCTGGACCTCATTACGAACCGCATTGCCAACTCGACTTCAGACAATCAAGCTCGGCAAATAAGGGCTCGACTGCGGACCATGACCCATGTTGAACCGGGTCATAATGGGCTGGATATGCCAGTTGCAATTCTGATTGTCCTTGTCATGATAGCATCTGTGTCGACCTCAGTCATCTATCCTAGTACGTCACCTGTTTTTGGGTTGTGAATTTCCAAATCGAACACTGCTGATTTTTATTTCAAGTTTACGAAAGAGTTTCGAATGTGCGAGCTTTAGAATACAGTAATGGTGTCTCACCATTTGCTCTTTGGGCTGCATATCTTTTGTTTGATACACAGTTCATCATCATGGAAAGTAAGTTGCTCAACCCATCTCCACTTGAATTTCCATTCTAATGTCTTAGGTTTGGTTGTTTATGGTCTGCTCTTCATACTCCCGTCCAACGCAGTCTGGTACAGCCCAAGTGCCATTTTCGGCGCCTTTATTCTTTTTGGAATTGCATCATATCTTGGTTGTTACTTGGTTTCTAACGTCATCCGTCGTGGAGGCTACGCCGCAGCCCTCGGAATCCACATCGTCTTGTTTGTGATCTATATCGTTGCTTACGTAGGAAATCAAGAGGGCAGCTCCGCGGACAATATACAAGATAGTAAGTACTTTTGCTTAGACCCAAAGACGTCAACCAGTTTCTAACCTTAGTCAGTCTACAACTCCATCCAAGCTGGTCTTGGTCTTATCTGCCCCGCCGCCAATCTTGCCCGAGCACTATGGGTCGGTAGGAATACCTTCGACGTGCTGTGTGGGAAGAACGGCCAAGCGGACGTATCATATCCATTTAAATATGACATTTATGGCGGTGTCTACGCCAACCTGACGTATCAGATCATTTTTCTTTCTTTAGTGATCGGCATCTACGAATACGCCGGCACAGGCTGGTTCCAACCCCTTCTCTTCTGGCGACGCAAGTCCCCAATGAGATTACACCACCGGGTTGACGATGGCCTTAATTCCTTCGACAGCAGACGAGACATCGTCCTTGAAGACAGCCGTATCCACGCCCCAAGAGTCAGCGATGAATCTTCAATCTTGAATGTTTCTCGCGTAAGCAAATTTTTCAGTCGCTCTTTCGTCGCACAGAATATCTCATTCTCTATCTCTCCAAATCAAACACTTGCGCTGTTGGGAAGTAATGGAGCGGGAAAAACCACCGTTATCAACATGATCCGCGGAGAGCTCCGACCAGACTTCGGGGATATCTTTGTGAATGGAATATCTGTTCTTACAAATCTTCGTAAAGCAAGATTGAACATCGGTGTCTGTCCACAGGATGACGCGGTTGACAACTTGACCGTTCGACAGACCTTGGAGTTTTATGCCGCTGTCAAAGGATTACAGCGCGTAAAGCAGAACGTGGACCAAGTACTCAGAGCCCTGGATATCACACAGTATGCCAAAGTTACTGCCAGAGCGTTGAGTGGCGGAACAAAACGGAAGTTAACGGTCGCAATTGCTATACTGGGTATGTTAATCTTCCTTGTCTGCAACCCCCAATTAATAAGACTAACACGATCGTTTGAAGGAAACCCACCTCTTCTCCTACTAGATGAGCCTTCTACAGGCCAAGACGCCGGCGCGAAACGAATCCTGTGGCGAGCGCTCCAACGCATTCGGGCGAACCGCGCCATCCTGTTCACAACACATAGCATGGAAGAGGCCGAAGCATTAGCGTCCAAGGTCGCTATCATGCGAACATCTCTCTTAGTCTGTGGACCTCTCCAGACTCTAAACGATACATACGGCGGCGCATTTAGACTCCGCGGAGCGCGCTGTGAGAGCGTGGTAGCCGATACCGCGCGTAATAAGGTATATGATGTCTTTTCAAGCATGGACTTGCCAATATCGCGATACGAAGATACAAGGGGAATTGTGCAATTTTTCGTCAAGTATGAGAAGAAAGATCTTGGGAAGATCCTTTCTGCTATGGAGAGTTTGAAGGTGAATGATTCTGAGAAATATGGAGAGCAGGATCATGGTGGATCGGGGTCTGCAAGACCGACCGAAAGTGAGATGAAGGTGTTTGAAGATTATACCCTGATTGAGCCCACACTTGAAGAGGTGTTCATGAATGTTGTGAAGGAGGGTGAATGATTGTAGAATTCGCTCCCTATCTACCTTGCATAGATGTAAATAATTTGAATCTTATGACATTTCACAACTAAACCAATTGCAACTATTAAACAAGGGAACATCAATCTATAGAATCAATCGTCAATTTTCAAAGACCCCCCACATTAAAAACTGCCGTGCAAATGTGCAGCCTATCTCCCCTCTCCATTGCCGAATCCCCCCCCCCCCCCCACCATTCCCGTCCCCAATCCCGCTATCTACTTAACCTCGCTTTACCGCCGGAATAAGCTGCTATCTGTCCATCGCTGGGTCCCGACAACCCCAACCGGGCTCCAGAATACCCGTAGCGATGGCATCAACATGCCGAACTCCTTTCCGCGGAGGAGATTAGCTACGGTCGGCTTTGGAGTTGAGGTGGGTATTATAGTTGCATTGGGTTTGTTTTGAGGGTCGTTGGGGTGGGTCTGGATCACCCGTTGATGTTGGCGGGTGGGTGATTTGAGGGTGCGGATTGGATTAAAGATGGAGTTCGGTAATTCAATGCGTTCAAGTTTTTTATTGTTGAGCTACTATGTCTATGTTTGGCTATGCATTTTACTATTTAGCTTAGATAGTAGATAGTAGATAGTAGATAGTAAGCATTGGGCCGGAGTAGGGGGTCCGTACTCCGGATTGAATAATATTGACTTTGCTTAGCAGATAAGAGTTGGTGGCTATGTTTGATTCAATTCAGATTCCTTTACAAAACTCCGTCCTCATTCTGTGCTCGCGTGCTACGACACGATGTCCGAGTCTTTTTGAAGATCTTGTAGGGACTCGGCGGTTCCCGTTGCGCTTTGGTAGGACTTGATAATTATTATCAATGCCGGCGGCTAGTGAGATATCCACGGGATAGAGTATCGGTTCTACATGGTAGCTTAGAGTCCAGGACTAGACATATCACGTAGGTGTCGATACTTAGTTGTAGATCGGTGTGATTTACCCAGCAGAATCCGACATGACACAATAAATTGATGGCCAATTGAGTATGCACATACCTCTTTTTCATACTCAACGAGCGGCGAAGCTCGTATAGCAGAACCCGACCTGGAAAACTCCTGAAAGTTGAACCGAATTATCCTATTCCAACCGACGGCCTAACGGCTAATCGGCATAGAAGTCCATATGATGTAAACTCGGAAAAGAATAATATCTTCATCCAGCTAGATCAGGATCGGACTCCTGTCCTCCGCCACATCATTGGAACGCCGCGAACAGCCGGCATACAGGTTGAGTGTGGTTTTCCGTAGTGATTTAGCTCCGATATCGACACCTGGGGCTACGAAGGCCCAAGCAATCTGAAAGATCCAGCCTTATCGAAGACAGCTGAGGCTGTGAAGTGCCGGTCCTCGGCGGAATGAATTCATCTCTTTTTGACCTAGATCGGAGGATTCAAGTCAAGATTGTGGGGTCTGAATCCTTGCCTCAACAAAGATTAGTCCACTTGCGCAAGCGGGCGATCTTATTGGCATTGCCGGTGGTGTCATTGGCCGTGCGGGCCAGGGGGAAAAAGACTGGGGTTTTGGCTTGGTCGGTCTGGATGCTCAGCTCTGTCAGCATCTCCAGACCCACTGGACTTGCATTGACACTGGGTCATGAACATATCCCTCGGTAACCCGGGGAGCGGGAGCGGCAGAATATTATTGAGGGAATAGCCGATTTGTAGCTGGAGATCCGCCCTACCGAGGATAATGCATCATGCGGATGACGAGGCTTCTGGGTGGGATTTGAATGATATTTCCCGAGCTGCATTAATTGACGAACAAATATGTAAATGTTGTTTAGTATTAGCTATATTCTAGATAACTTGATCTGGGAGTCTCTGGATAGAGGCAGTTTCCCTCGGATTAATGCAGAGTCAACGGGTTCCCGACGCGTTCTCGTGGGCGGAATGGGTGGGTAAGTGGGTTGTAAGTGGGGATTCCGAGTTTAGCTCGTGGCACTAGTGCGCTTGTTGGGGCCCCTGGGGTCTATGACGTGGAGATTGATACTTTGGAGGTGAAGAGGTGTGTATTTTTCTATTGATGGAGGAAGATGCAAGGGAATCAAGGGAATCAAGGGAGTAGAATGTATTATCTTGCTTCTTTCTGTCATGGAAGGTTCTTATGACTCTAAACGATGATTTCTCCCCCGCTTTTTCTACGTGTTCAAGCTTCGACCCCCGCATTTTCCTGCGACTTTCGCGTATGATCACTTAATAGGATTGACCCCATTGGCTTGATCGACAGGTGGAGTCACATCAGGATAGACTACGAGGTACTCCGTACATGTCCATCAAGCTCCTTCTCCGGAGAGATCCACGGCCAAATTCGGTGGATTCGGTTGAGGCGACAGTCAAGGACGGTTTGTCGCGGAGTGGATCCCCATGATTCTACAGTAGATCTTAGCTCTAGAATTAAAGAATAAAAGAAATAGAATTGTTTCAAGAATGGAAATTATGAATTTGGTCTGGGTACATCCAAGTTATATAGACAAGCTTAGACCCCCCGAAGTCCCGGTTTGTTCCTGCTACAAGTATCACCATTGTCACCTTACTGCGTATAACTGAGTTACCAGGCAACTCTCTTCCCCCGCACTCCCTATTTCAATTTTCCCCCCTCATCCCTCGCTTTCTTCTTCTCTATCTTCTTTTCTTCCGAGATCGTGGTTTTGTTTAAGAAGCATATCTAGGTACATTAAGCTCGACGTCATCGGTGAGTTTGATCGCTTCCATGGGCCGCAAAAGGCTTCCGCCGTGGCTTCTGAATCCACCAAAGAGAATATGAACTGAGATTGAACGATCAGACCGAAAATAAGGAAACCCTTGAAATCTCTCAACTCCCTCTTCACACCTGGTCAGTACATGGGAATTCCCTCTTGCCTTCTATATCCCCACAAGTCTCCATTCACACTAACTGTATCCCTCTCCACCCCAACAGACTTGGGGTGAAAATTAAACAAGAGCATCAAGCATGGCCTCCACCTCTGCCAAAGAACCTCCTGTGGTTGCGGCCGCCAGCCCAGAGGGACCATGCAAAGCCTCCAACGCCAACTTCAGCATTGCCGGCATGCAAAACCCGTACGTGCGCGCAGCGCTCCCATTTATCAACGGCGGTATCGCCGGCATGACAGCAACAGTAGTAATCCAGCCCGTCGACATGGTGAAAGTTCGTCTTCAACTCGCCGGCGAAGGCGCAAAGACTGGACCCCGCCCATCTGCCCTCGGAATCACCCGCGACATCATCGCCTCCGGTAAAGCCTTGGATCTCTACACGGGTCTCTCAGCCGGTCTCCTCCGCCAAGCAGTCTACACTACCGCTCGCCTGGGCCTCTTTGAAACATTCATGAAATCCATCAAAAGCAAGGCAGACGAAGCAAACCGCAAAGTAACCTTTGCCGAGCGCGCGGGTGCAGGTCTCTCGGCCGGTGGTCTCGCCGCAATGATAGGTAACCCAGCCGATCTCGCACTCGTACGCATGCAATCCGACGGTCTGAAACCTCGCGAGGCGCGCGCAAACTACAACTCTGTCTTTGATGCGCTGGGTCGTATCACGAGAGCCGAGGGAATCACCGCGTTATGGGCCGGTGCCCTTCCAACCGTGATTCGCGCCATGGCTCTGAACATGGGACAATTGACTTTCTTCGCGGAATCCAAGAGCCAGCTTAAGCAACATACCACTCTTTCACCTGGGACTCAGTCCTTCGCTGCATCTGCCATTGCAGGGTTCTTTGCTAGTTTCCTTTCCTTGCCGTTTGACTTTATCAAGACTCGTCTGCAGAAGCAGCAGAAGGATCCAAAGACGGGCAAGCTGCCATACAAGGGCGTTTTGGATTGCGCACGCAAGGTCGTTACAGAGGAGGGTTGGCTGCGTTTCTATCGTGGCTTCGGTACATACTACGTGCGGATCGCTCCTCATGCGTTAGTTGCCCCCACTCCTGCTTATTTTGCATAAAGACCCACAACTAACTAAATCTGGGTCCACAGGATGGTAACCCTCATTGTTGCCGATTACCTCAACCTTATCACCAAATAGATTTTGAATGAGACGCGACGCTTAACACTACTGCGACTGGTTGTAACACGAATTTTTGCTATCGAGTTGACATGAAGGAGTCTCCCCACGAACGCACTACATAACCGACCAGTTGATGATGCGGGTCCATGCAATGAACGTATTCCTTTCTTTCGCGCAAACCAAAATCGAAACCAGAAAAAAAAAGGAGGGAACAGGCACAGTGCTTCTTCTACGCCGTGACCACGAGATTTATGAACCTTACTCATCCACCCGCGATTCTTTTTCGAGATGATCTTCTGATGGAAGCCGGCAAATTCGTGATGCTAGCCTCATCCCCTACATAGTTACCGATTCGCTTACATGCATATAATCTACCGGCATATTATCACCGAGTATTTTCCCAACTGTTCGGAAAATACATTAATGACAGGCAACCGTTTCTATTTTCCGGTGTGAAGTCTCGTTTGCTCCGACGGAGACACGATGAGATGGACGGACTGTTCTCCGCGGAAAGAAAAAAAATCACGACACAACTCGTGACGATAATTTTTCATTTTTCATTTTATTTCTAGGCTTATTATTAGTTGCTATGTCATTGACAAGCGAATACCCCCACACTTGTCCGTTCTACTTTTTTTTATCTTCCATTTCCAGTTCTCTCTCCGTTCAGTTGTACGGGTTGCTTTTCGCTTTCGTGCATTAGGCCTATAGCCTTGATACCCGCTTCTATTGCTTCTTTCTATATGTCGCCTAGCTAAATTGGCTAGGCATAGATAGCTTTGAACTACGAACGAGTATAAACGAGTATAACTAGTCGTGATTTTTATGTTAAGCCGGAGCCTCCAAGATTAGGAACTTGATTCCGAGGTGAATAGGTATGAGGTACTACCATGTAGCTTACGTGTAGTCTTAGATGTGGTACTACTGTCTCACTTTATCGTTGCACAAAGTACGTAATTAGACATGATTACACATGCACTTGAGCATTTGAAGTCATCAGTGGATATTGGAAGACTTAGTTAAGCGGAACTCGGCTTCAGATGCACATACTGCATTGAATCAAAGGATTGAACTTGAGTTTGAAGTGCAGTCACGCACATCCTTTAAAATTCAAATATTAGAATTAGATGCTAAAGTCAACTGCCAAGATCTGGATCTTACATCTACGGGGGCCCATAGTGATCATCGGGAACCCCATTATTTTTGCCTGTTTTCGGCTGGCAGAAACTCACGATATCTGCAATACAAGAACTTCCATTGAGACCTTCCAGTATCGTTCCCGAGACCGGCGTACTGGCTACAACCGGTGATCGAGGCCAGGCTGGTCAGGTATAGAATTGTACCCGCAAGCAGGAAGACCTGGCGGTGGTCGACAGGCACTTTGGCAACGTCGACAATCGTATTTTTCGGTTATTCTTCCAGTTATCCTTCCAGTTAACTTTCCAGTCGTTTTTCTAGTTGGGTTTTCTACTCATGTGGAGCTTATAGTACAGGTAGCGGTATGATAGACAGTAAAGTCTATCTATGGCCAAGGGTTTTCTTCCTCCGATGATCGCTATGGGCCGTATACATCAATGTTCAATGTTTACTGTTTACGTGGAATGAATTCTTCATGATAAAGGCATATCTCATGATTCATGGAGATCCATAAACTAAGTAATGCAAACCGGCTAAGAGTATCTTCTGGGTGATAGTAGCCATGGTGATAGTAGCCATGAAAACAACGCCTCCGTTAAAAAAGGTAAAAATAAAGCAGATAGACCCAACGAAGTCGCCACCGAGTGTATTAATGGTGTATTAAATTGCGAAATCAATTCAACCTGGAATATGCAGGGTCTCAAGGCTTCAGGGTGTCAGGGTATCGATGGTTTTAATTCTCCATGGCGCGTTTCTCATCAACCGCGCCGGGCGGGAGGACATCTTCGAGTGTTTCATCTGTTCCGCGGATATCTTCATCAATAGGAACAAAGTCCTTAATCTTGAAGAGAATAACAGGTGCAGCGCAGACGAGCGAGCCACAGAGAAGAGCCCAGTTGGAGGCAAACTCAGACATGTAAGGAAGCTTGTGTTCTCCGTCCAAAGCCCACATAACAGCCGCACCGGCAGACTGGATACCCTTGTAAAAACCGGCCAAATTGGCAAGCTTGCGACCAGAGTTGCCGAGGGCTCCCATGAGCCAATAGACAGTACCTTGCCAGACGGCGTCGTAGAAGCCGTAGAAGAAGTACAAGAACATAGGGCCAACGTAGCCGGGAGTCTTCCAGTCCCAAGGCTCGAAGCCTTTAGCGGCCACTGTTTCACGGGTGTATTTCTTCTGCCAGGCGTAACCACCGCCCCAGATGGCCATGGTGAGGGTGAAGAGGATACCGAGGGCCCAACGGGCACGGATGCTGCGACGAATGGTGTTCACGTCGAGAAGTGGGCCAATAATGACAGCTGCCACGATCTGGGCAAACCAGTAGAGGAAGTTGTTTAATGCCTTGGTGCGGACGTTGAAGTAGGCGTTGTTGATGCTGTTCTGCTGGTAGGTGTAGAACCAGTTGGAGGACCAGAACATGGGGAAGAGCATGATGATGTAGGGTTGCGAACTGATGGTTTCCCAGAGACCTATGATCTCGGTTTTCCAGGTTGGGCTCTTCATGAGAATGACACGCGAGCCATCTGGGCGGACGACCTTGTCGGCGTCGCAAATGAAGAGAGCGAGAAAGGCACCGAAGGCCATAAGGACGATGAAGGCAATGTAGGTACCGTCATTGACGTTCTTCTGGGTGGTAACGTGAATGTTTTGGCCGAGAGGGATCTATAAAGAGAGTACAAATAAGTTAGTTTTGGGGTTCAAATTTTAGAACGAGATTCAAAAAAAAAAAAAAAAAAAAACTTACCAAAGCGCCAATACAGGCACCAACGTTGAAAATACCCCAGAACCAAGCGAAGTAGCGACCCTTACGTTCCTCAGGAGGGTAGGACATCATGATAGCACCCTGCGCAGACCACAGAATACCAGCACAGACACCCAAAAGGGCACCGGCGAAAATGTTGAAACCTCCCACTTCGGCATGTTCGGAGACCAACAGGCTAATCGCGTAGATACAGTAACCGATACCTCCAAAAGACAGGGAAAGCCGAATTCCAACACGGTTGACGACTGTTCCAGCGAAAAAGCCGACGACGGCGAAGGTACTGTAGAGGGCAGTGTTCTATGCGATACAAAACGAGTTAGATATGCGCGCCTCCACGTGAGAATGTGAGATGTGGGGGGGAAAGTTTTTTTTTTCCCGCATATGGGAGGGATGCTAAATGCGGGGATTTGGGGATGGAGATCGCGGGGCTACCATACCATGTTATCAGCTAAGGTGTTGTCTGTCTTACCACCACCACCCAGACCACTGAGAGCATTGAACATGCCCGGGCACATGAAGCAGACGAAAGCAACCATTCCCAACTGAAAGCCAGGTGAGGCATACCAGGTGGTCACGCCACCCAGTTTGATTGACTTGTACATCCATCCTGCAGGTCTGGGAGCTTCATCAACTGAAGAGGCGTAAGTGGCGGAACGGGTCTGCATTTCGACAGTAGGCTTTGAATTCTCCGGATCTGTCATTTTGGTAAAGCTGGGGAAGGTGTGGGGGGGAAGAAGAGAAAAAATGGGGAAAGCCAGAGAAAGAAGAAAAGAAAACAGGAAAGTGAAGGGGAAAAGGTGAATTAAGAAATAGGAAGCAACTGAACAGAAGCAACCCAAAAAGGGAAAAAAAAAAAAAAAAAAAAAAAGATAATAGCAAAAGGACAATAGTCTAGCTTGCATCGAAGGATTTAAAGAGATGACCGAAAAATACGACCACGAGTCAAGGTAACATTTACTTTTCCTCTAGGACTCCACTCTCAGATCCACATCCACCATGTCCGCCATGTCTAGTTGATCTTTAGCTGCGAAATTGCGGGGACATCTCGTATCATTGGCTGGTTCTTTCTCCGCTTCGATAACAGAGTTACACTGTTTCGATTGATTCAAACGTGATTGATTTCATTTTCCCCGGAATTCCACTGGCATAGTGATGGTGACATGGGTAATTGAATCTGGAGCCCCGGATTTTATCATTCTCCTCCATTCCGTACCCCATAAATTGTGATCAAGTGCTGTCATACATTCTAACTGCTGCATTAGGACAATTATATGTTCCCGAAACTTTGTGTGGCCGCGCTAACAGTGGAGAACCGCACGAAGTACGCCAATTACGCCAATCAAACCAATCAGTGATCCTAGGGAAAAATTGCACGGAGAATAGGGGGCCAGCAGTATCTCTTTCGAGGTTAGTGTTATCTGTGAACTCCTGAAACACGGATCACGCTTGTTTCCATTTTTTCTATGCGTTTGCCGAGCACATACGACCGTGGGATTTCCTGCTACTTACTGTACCTACTATAGGGCGGTGACTTTTGATGAACGGAGGATTAGAAATCGAATTGAATGGCTTTTTTTCCCCCTTCAAATCCCATGGATGAAGCGAACGGCTGAATCGGAGAACAAACATCAATCTCGTCCCGGCGCGATGGTCATCCAGGCGATTTGGAGTACCCGAGCCTATCATGCGGGTCTAGCCGAGTCTATCACCACATGTGCATTGCTGGGCATCATCCATCAAAGTCCACCGTAGTATATATACGAAGTGTCATTTTTGAGTGTCATTTCTCATATTAAGTGAATTATACTAGTATTCCTAGTCTGACCCCATCTCCACATCTGACTCCTCATCTTCCTCTTCCTCTTCCTCTTCTTCGTCTACCTCTTCATCCTCCTCCTCCTCCTCATCTGTACTTCTCGCGCGGTCCACTGGCTCCGACTTAACTCGGGCACTTGGCACCGGCGCATCATCAATATCCACATCCACATCCATCTCCGGTTCAATAGCATCACTAGCCAAAGTAATATGGTTCGGCGAATTAGGTAACTGAGACTGACCCTCCAATTGATCTTCGGCCTCACGGGCAGCCACTTCCTCGGCTCGTCGCACCCGACGAAGTAAAACTGGATCAGCTCGAAGATCTTCCTTAGTCAATATCGTTGAACAAACAGGACACTTTAGAGCACGAACGCGACCCCTGCCGGGCCCGGGTGCGGTCATACTACTGCCGCGGATCATATCAAGAATAGCCTCACGTTCGAAGCTATGCGGGCACTTTGTACTAGTAACGGGGTCTTGATATGGAAGTAAAGTAAGTGGGCACTTCATGGAGATACGCTCTCGCTGAATGGCAATGTCATCGTCCGAGTCATCGGAGGGTTGGCGACGGTTGCGCGTCGATCGAGTCTGCTGACCAGCGGATGTGGTGGCGTTGGAGTCTTCCATGTGTTCGAACCAGGTCGATGAATGGGGTAGGGGCGGGGCCTCTTCATTGGGAAACTTAGCATCGTGAACCATGCGGTAGAATCCAACGTAAGAATTATGCCCGGCATATCTGTTTATAAGGTTAGACCCTTGTTCGTAACATGTACCCACTCATAGTAAGAAACTCCGTAGAAACTCATAAACATACCTTTCAGTAAGCGACAGCTCCTTCCACCTCTCACCCTCGGCATCCAACACCTCACCCAATCTCTTGCTCGGCGGATTTCTCGCTCTAGCCTCCATGCCCTCTCTCTCCGGCGTCCCCTCATAGTTCTCACCTTCAGATTCCTCCTCATCATCATCCCTCCGCCTTTGCGCCCTTGTCTGTCTAGGCCCAGCAGAAGCAGCCTGATTCTCTTCCTCCTCCCTCTGAAGCTGAGAAATTGAACCCAGAATCGCCTGCAGCCTCGCCTCAGAATCAATAATCCCCCGCATCTTCTCTTCCATCTGTCCGGTCACAGCATCAGTTCTCCGCTCAAGGTCACCAAGCCTCTCAAGCTCCTCATTGTCTACAGAGTCATCTGGCTCCTCTCCACTAATGGCACTTGCATTTCGTCGCCCTTCTCTGAGCTTCTCGTAGCGGAGTCGCGCATCAAAAAGCTTTTCATTCACCTGACCGGCTGACTCGGTGAGTACCTGAGTCGCATGCCCGAGATGTGTTTGAACGCTGTTCTTGTGTTGGGAGTGAAGGAGTGCGGCTAGTTTGCACTGAGCATCGCGGTTGAGGGGTGCCTCGGGGGCTTCGTAGGGTGGTAGGTCGCGGATTTGAATTGTTCGAGGGGTTGTTTTGGTTCTTGGTTTCGCACCGCTTGAGGGCGTACCTCTTTGGGCGTTTGAAGCGGAGCGTGGTACACTTGAGGGAGCACGAGATTGTGAAGTGCGATTACGCGCGGGGGTTGCGAACATCTTGGGACAGCTCCAATAGCGCGCTTGTGAACTTCAAGTCTAGTGAGGGAGTAGCGTAGAAATGATGTGTTAATATTGCCAAGTAGAGATGTTGTTCATGTTCATGTTCAGGTGAATTTGTTGTTTGGTTGTTGAACATAGAGCTGCAGCTCGAGGATATCGAAATCCTAGACGCGTCGCGGGCCACTAATCCTGATAAGGCTACAGTGGGTGCGATAAGCTTATCTTATCGGTCACTTGCTTCAGGAACTTGAAGCAGACAGATGAACGACCTTGGAAGATCATGAGAAAAATAGTTTGAATTATTAGGATAATTGTACAGATTGGTAGCAAAAATGGAACACTCATTCTTTTGAATATTTATAGAACTTCTCATAGTACAATATGCTACTCGCGGATACTTCTAATATGTACCTTTCACCTTGAAAAGACCGAAATCTATTTCATCTATACCTTGTAGAAGCAGAATGCGTGATAGAAGCCTGACGAGACTGTTAGCAGGATACATAAACAAGAGCACTATAAGAATATACTGACTAACTGCATCCTTCTCCTCCTCGGTCATGTTTAGCGCCCCAGTGGCTCGATCTCGGACTCCCATGCGCTCGCTCAACGGGCCTAACTCACGGTCGTTCTTCTCATCTTCCCAAATATCTAAGAAGGGCTTGCGGTACTGAAGTTCAAGGTTATAGTCCTCAGTGAGACTGAGAAGGTTAGTGTCAAATACAGCGGAGAAGAGAAACTTGAGTGAGTACTTACGCTCGGAATGCTTCCCAAGGAACAACGTATTCAGGGACCTCTTCGACAGCCTCTCGCATGAAATAAGTGTATCTCCACCCAAACGGCGGTCGGAAAACACCACTTTCAGGGGTGGGACCAGGGAAACGGACACGGTAGATTTCATTTCCCCATTCGCAATGATCCTCCTCCTCGACTTCGCCATCTTCACGGCCCTCAGGCTCAGGCGCCTTGCCACTTTCGCGGCCTTTTCGCTGTTCATGGAATGCACTCACACGAGCCGTAATCATATCTGAGTTGGGACAAACACCGATAAAGCGACCGCCCTTCTTCAGACAACCAGCAACATTGCTCAACATCTGACGAGTCTTCTCCTCGCTCTCGAAGGCGTAGTGAATTGCAAACATGGAAGTAACAACATCAAAGCCGCCGCCGCCAAACCGTGCCGCCATCATAGATCCACCCGGCCCAGCACTGGGGTCAAATCCAACTTGTTGGATAATGCGAATATCACTCAGCGACTCGCCAAAGCAATCTTTCGGTTGAAACTCCCCATGAAACAAAGCCGGTGGTGGTCGACGACCCCGTTGTCCCCGACCAGATCGCATAGAGGCATATCGATCCCTCGCCTGCTCAATAGAGACATTGGCTGGGTCAAGTCCAACATATAGATCCACCTTCTGAGGCGCAAGCTGCCACTTCCCCAGATCTCCGCCCTTTCCACAGCCCAAATCAAGCACAAGCAACTTTTTATCATCAACGGGCGCAGGTCCCATACTATCATTCGCCCAATCCTTCGTATCATTGAACCGCGCACTGAATTCCTCATCTGGCGAAAATTTTTGAATCAAAGTACTCTTCACCCAATTGTTGAAACTGCGCAGTCCCTTGATCTTACTCTCTGTCTTGCGCCATTCCCGTCCACGCTCAGGAACAGCATTGTAGTGCTGCCGCACAACATCTGATACCCCCCGACTCTGCGACATCCGCGAGGCATCTTCCTCCTGCACCCGATCCTGGTCCTCCTGTCGACGGCGAAGAGTCTCGCGGTCCACAATACCCATTCTCGCACCACCGCCTGGTCGCTTTCGTTGCTTGGGCGGTTCATCGCCTGGCGGAGGGCTGCGAGGCTGAAGCGGAGATCGAGACCGTCGGCGTGTGTTTTCGCGTGGGCTGTGGGAGCGATCACGACGTGAGAAGACCGATGGGGGTGTCCGACCGCGCTTGCGGTTCTGGTGACGTTCTTGCATTCGTTTGCGTTTGGAATAGCCTTGCTGAGAGTCGGCGGGTGTGTTTTGATCTTCGGTTGGTTGGCGCTCGGCGGTGCCTGGTGAGCCGGATGGTCCGTCATGGTTACCAGATTGATTTGGAGGCCTTTGAGATCCTGACCTGGAGGAAGCTTCCATTTTGTGGAGAAGGAGGCGTGATGTGAGAGTTGGCAATGGGTGGCTTGGGATTTCGGAGTTGAAATTTCAGGCAAATTCCAGTTTGAGAGTAGTTGGGATTGATTCAGGTTGTGGTGGAGCAGAAAAAAGAGATCCCAAGGGAGATAATTGATTAGGAATGAAATCAGGGGAGAGAAAAGCAACACCAAGTCAAAGAGATGTATGCAGTTGAGAAGAGTCGAAGTGTTGAATAGCACGAAGGGAGCTCCGCTGGATGTGGGTCACGGCGAGATCCTACTGGGAGCCAATCATATCACGCCTGTTCTTTCAATGAGCAGCCCTCAAGTGCTTGGACCTTACCTTAGAACCATCTACTATACTATGTAAACTGATTTCCATGCAAAAGGAGAATACCATTACTACCCGGTGCTTCAAAATTTGGGTGAGCCAGTGATTTCGGGATAATGCTATCAACAGCGGTTATTCTTCTTCATTAACACCCATACAGATTAGTTCCGATGCCGAGCGTCAGCCTTGGCCTAGTCTACTACGGATCCTCACGTTGCGTATTCCATGGTTCTCGCGAGACAGAATTCTATCTTTCTTGATTTCACTAGTAATATTTTTTCTTGGGGCATTTGTATTGAATATGGTAAGAATTTTAATTTTTTTTCTTCTCTCCGGAATCATTCTGCTGGTTAATGTTCACGCCCAGGTCTGAATTTGAATCAACTTTCTGTTCTCTCTCGGCATCCATACGTTCAAACTAAGGCGACAATGGGTCGGGATTTAGGAGAAGATGGATGTAGCAAGGCAGATACCTAGTAGTCTAGTAACTAGATAGTTGAAAATAAATCATCGGACCCCAGGGTATTACTACTACCTATACAAGATATGTATAGTACTATGTAAATTCTCCCTAGCTGCGACCTCGAGTGGAATATCCCAAGGTTATTCTCGAATACATAAGTTCAATTTTATCGTACCACATACGATCCTAGTTCATATGTAGCATCTCCTAGCCCCTCCGAGGCAGATACAGCCATCTTTCTTTCATCTGTAGGTATAGGAATAGTGTAAAAATAACAATTTCATTTCCCAAATTGATGCTAAGTTTAAGTCAGGGCCACAAAAGGACCAACCGAAAATTGAGAGATAATGCATTTTGAAACGAAAGCTAAAAAGCGAAATATCAACAAAATAAAACAATATATCAATTTCAGAACTCAATAGATGCAGCAGCACATATGTTCCAACTAGTAACGCATTCATGAATAGGACAAAACCCAATATGAATTCAAATTGATCCATCTCACTGAATCATGGTTTCCGCCCGAAGAAAGCTGTCCAGTTCAAGGCATGCCATACGGAGTTGATACAATGCAGCCACAAGCTGAGCTAGATTGGTCTGGTATTCATGGCTTTGACCAAGGTCATTAGCTTCAACGATAGCCATGTGCAATCGCTGCACTCGTGATTCCATCCATCTAAGAAATGGAGGGATCCAGTCCCTTTCCAGGAATTCAATCTGGGCAAGATTATGATAGAAATTCGGCTCCGTATTGCCAGCGAAGCTTGGGTTACCAGCAAGGTTTCCCAGTCGTGCAGGGCTTGGATAGGTGCTGGGATAGGTTTGAGATGTAGCAAACCCTGGCTGCATGGTATCGTAGTTCACGCTTGGGATTGGCTGTGGAATCTGTGGGTGACCATGGGCAGTAGCTGTTTCTCCGAAGAATCGTGATATTGGAGGAAGAGCCGGAGTATCATTGGACTGGTCCGCATTTTCGCTTGGAGACGCTACAGTAGGCATGACCGACAAATTTTCAGGCTCTTCCATTCTCGCTAAAGGTTCTTCCTCCACGGTTGGTTTCGGGTTCTTTGCCGTACGCTTGGAATGCCTCTTTTCTGTCTGACTTGCTGAGCGCTTCAATGGCTGACGTTGGGTCGATGGTGGGGATGTGGACTTTGAAGCACGGGGAGGTTGGTCGGTACACTCATAAGTCCGCAATTTGGCGTGCCAGTTCTGTGTATTGGAAGCAAGGATTGATTCTGGGTGTTTTAGCTCACCATCGGCAGTCCTCTCAAACAAGAGTGGATACCACTCGGCTCGAATATGGCCTGTCGAGCTGAAGCAAGATGGGTATTTCTTGCGAATGGCTGGGGTGTAATAAATCAGCTTGAGAATCTCATCCTGATCCAGAAGCCCATGCTCATCTGGAAGACTTTGTGGCTCTTTGAATGAGGTACGTTTCTGAGCCTTTGTTGGCACTGGGGATGGAGAGGTTGCAGCATCTATGTATGCTGAGCCATGGCCTTCGGCCGCAGGCCTATCTTTCGGGTCGAGAGGTGCAGGCATTGGAAACACGCACGTGGTCATATTGTTTTTGACGATGGGAGAAACAGACTGCTGGGGGAATGTATTCAATTGCGTTGCCTTCAGTGAAACATTTTCCGTGAGGTTTCCAGTGAAGCTTCTGGAAAGGTCTTCAAGAATTCCTCCAGGAAGGTCGCTAAAAAAGTTTCCAGGAAGCTCTCCAGGAAGTTCTCCCGCAAGGTCGACAGGAATTTCTCCCAAAAGGTATTCGGAATAGTTTCCAGACATTTTGATGTTGGTTCAATGTAGTCAGCCTGAGGATGAAGTCAAAGTGGAGACACAGCTCGAGATGAAGATACCGAATAGACCTATGTGGTTTCGAGTCAAAAGTTGTAACCCAGGTGTTCGAGGGCTATGAAACAACTCGGAGTACTGGCGAATTACAACTCTGGGGACTGTTGAAGATATATGAGATTAGTGAACAGGTTGAGACCAATGAATGTATGTAAAACCGAGAATATGAGAAGAGAGATAAGGTCGCCCAGTGGTCATTACACATGGAAGGATGGGCGTACGCGCCAATATGGATGGCAGCAGATACTTGCAATATGAACGAAAGAAGAAGAGAAGGAAAGAAGAAGAGAAGGAAAGAAGGAGAGAAGAGGAGGAGGAAGAAGAAGAGGAGGAAGAAGAGAGAGAGTAGGCGTGCGCAAGTATATGGATCTTGATGGGAGTCACGGAAAGAAAAGGCTGGAATATACCTTCAGGTTGAAATTAGGAAAAGAATTGGATGACTGTGGCAGAGTTGAAAGGCTTGCAAAGGGGGCAGATGTAAAAAGAAAGGACCGATAATAGTTAAGAGAGGTGAGATAGTCAATCTCTACAAGATAGCTGCTTGGGTAAGGGAAAGGATAGGTTGATTGATGTTGGCCTATCTCTCTTGGGACGAGTAGTCAAAGCAGAGAAAGCAAAAGAGAGATTGGTGCTCATTACCTACCTAGCCTTTGACCGAAAGGTGCGAAGATGTTAGGAAGATGAATATGAAGATGAGGAAAGTCAGGAAAGCCTTTGAATGTATTGGAAACCTTCAAGCTCATAAATTTAGGTGTGCATGCAGATAGATACTCATCTTTGTAAAAGATACAGAATACAGGTTTCTGGAACAGTATTAAAAATTTAAAAATGCGATGCCCAAAATATTGTTGTACTATAGGCTCTGCCATTATATGATCTAAAAATGGTGGAAACATGTGTAGGGATGGAGGTATTTAGACATGTACCAGCGTGACACGTCTTTACCTATGTACTATGCGGATCGCTATATATTTCGAGGATTCGAATGTTCAAACTTGTCTGAGTATTAAATTGGCTATGCATAAAAAAGAATCAATGTAGATGGGGTCATATAGTAGGCCATTATTTCGAGAGATTGGATTTGCGATGCGGCGACTTGGGAGTCAATGCATGTCTTATTCGTCGAATCTTCGCCCACCATTCGCGGTCGGCAGATTTGCGGCTCTCCTCGTTTTCTTCGTCTGGTATGCTCTCCTCGTAAGGCGTGCTGGAGCGACTCTGGGATATATCCATAGATGCCACAGATCGGAGCCGTCGACGGTGCTTCACCTTGCATGCTTCGGCCACAATCTCCCAGCCACTGCGCAAGATCTCAACTTTCTCATTTGATTTGCCTGTTCCACCTTGTGCGAGTCGATTGATCCATGGACAGTATTCCATGTGCTCGGAAGTCACATCTAGAGATGTATAGACGGTTACGTCTCCATTTTCTTTTGGCTTGTACATCCACAAACCAAGGCGACGGAAACAAGCTTTGCACCCGACTAGCCCGGCAGCTCCATCGGTTACAGCATCCCATCCAAATAATGCCATTGAAAGTGCAGCCTTGTTAATAGATTTTGGCAGTTCCGCCGGTGGCTCGGAAGCAGTGTCAATGGATTCCACACTAGGCTCGTCTTGAGCATCTGTCGTCTGGGAAGCTTGCTCCTGGTTATTTGGCCAGTCTTCGGGTAAAGTTTTGATAAGTCCATCCAGATCAAAAACGTCCGGAGTTTGAATCGCACTTTCGGCTGGTAATTTATCACCCATCTTCACAATGTTTCGATAGCGATCGTGTAGGCCAGCAATAGCCGTGTCCGTATTCGCTAATGGTAAATGCTGAATAGTAGCTGAGAGGAAGTTAGCCATTGAAGTAAGATTGCAGAACTGAAGTCATACCATCACATGCTTTGTTGCGCCATGGGCAGTTCTCGCCGTGGTCTTCTCGTAGTCGTTTGACATATTCATCCACGAGTTTTGCACCTGTAAATATTCCCATCAGTATCCAACAATGTTTCTGTGATGAGTAAAGTAAGGCAAAACATACGGACTTCCCCGCGCTCTTTAACTTTTTCTATATCATATCCATCTAGTTCATCGATCTCCTCCGGTAGCTTCACTACTACCGAGCCGCCACAACCACTGACACAGCTCACGCGCTTCACATCTGTGCATATCCAACCACGTTTCGCCCATTGTACTTCATTTATCGGTGAAGGTTTGGAAGTCCATCTGTCCACTCGACGAAAGGTCTCTAGCCGCCCGAGGAATGCTTCGCGGTCCCATGGGACGAAAGTTGGGCGCTTCGACGAAGAGGAAGACGATGTTCGAGATGTAGATCGCGAAAGATTCAATATTGAGTTGCGCACTGAGATAGGATCTGATGCATCATTTCCGGTCAAACGGACTTTCTTTATGGAGAGGTTGGCAGGTGGTCGGTCTTGTTGGGCGCCTGCGCTTGACGATGTTGTTGCTGTTGACTTGGAGGGCTTGGATGTACTTTCGGGGGTGGATGGTTTCGAGATAGACTCGAGAACTCGATGGAATTTCCGTTTCTTTGATTCCACGGCGTAGGACATGGTTCGCGTGGGGAATTGAGAAGGTTGTTGGGTTGGTATTGAATAATATGAGCTCGGGCTGTCTGGAGCTGTGGATCAAAGACAATTTGTCTGCCTCAGGCATTAGTACAATGACAAGGCCCAGGCCTCTGCGTAGACAATTGAATGATCGCTTTAAGACAATGATTAGTTGTGGCCAATGGATAGCATAGCAATGTAAATAGGCAGTTTCTCTTTAATTAATTATATGTATAATATATAAAATACTACGCTGTACTACAAAATAGTCTTCATGTTTCAAATGTTGGCAGCCAGCAAATCGCTCATCTCTGATTGGACCCGCGCTTGATGACCCGCAACAATCGCATGATCTCCGGAATCGAGGGTTCGCTTTTTCTTCTTCTCCGGATTCCCCCAAACAAACATTCGCCATGGCTTCTCTAGGCACTTCTCTGCCATTATGGCGGTCCGTAGTGCCTCGTGCATCCAAGGGCCTATTCACCTGCCGCCAATGTCTTCGAGACCAAGGCTACGCCGCGAAATCCATCCGTCGATATGGCGCAATGCCATCCCCTCAATCCAGCAAAATGCGACCTTCCCTCTTCTTCGATAAAAACCGCCAGTTCTTCACTTCAGCGTTGAGAAAATCTACAGCTGCCCCAGCAATCGCAAATGCAATTGAGGAGGGTGCTTCCAAAGCAAAGTCGGAGATGCCGAAGATCAGCAACAAGTCCGTCGCATATTGGCTCCTGGGCAGTGCGGCCAGTGTCTTTGGTATTGTTGTTTTCGGCGGTTTGACCCGTCTCACAGAATCAGGGTTAGTAGCTCGATACATCTCTCACATTTAAATGGGTCAAAAAATAGATTCCGGAAGCTGACGGGACTCACTTGTGCGCAGATTGAGTATCACCGAATGGCGACCTGTTACCGGCTCTATGCCCCCAATGAATGCAGAGGACTGGGAATCAGAATTCGCCAAATATCGCGCATCCCCCGAATTTAAGCTTTTGAACCCGCATATGACCCTGTCTGAATTCAAGTCTATCTACTATATGGAGTGGATCCACCGGCTCTGGGGCCGATTCGTCGGTATCTCGTTCGTCCTGCCTGCTGTATACTTCGTCGCCCGCAAGAAGGTCTCCACCCCAATGGCCTGGAGACTATTCGGCATCGCCGGTCTTATCGGTTTCCAAGGTTTCCTGGGTTGGTGGATGGTCAAGTCTGGACTGAAGGATGACCTTTTTGCGCCAGGAAGCCACCCGCGTGTGAGCCAATACCGCTTGACTGCTCACCTCGGCGCCGCATTTACTTGTTACGTTGCTATGTTATGGAATGGTCTTGCTATCCTGCGTTCCCATAAGCTGATGAGTGATGCCGCTGCTGGCATCAAGCAGCTTGAGGCTCTTCGGGACCCACGTCTGGCGATCTTCCGTCGTTCCGTCGCTGGTCTTGCTTTTCTGGTCTTCACTACTGTCATGTCCGGTGGCCTTGTCGCTGGTTTGGATGCCGGTCTCATCTATAACGAGTTCCCCTACATGGGTAATGGCCTCACGCCGCCCAAGAACGAGCTATTTGATGAGCGCTACTCTCGCCATGAGGACCGCTCCGATCTCTGGTGGCGCAACATGCTGGAGAATCCTTCCCTTGTCCAGCTCGATCACCGAATCCTTGCCATGACCACCTTCACCTCTATTATGGCCCTTTGGGCTTACAGTCGCCGCTCACCTACTGTGAAGCGTCTGCTTCCCCCTGCAGCCCGTAAAGGAATGCACGGCGTGGTTGGATTCGCTTGTATGCAAGTTGCTCTCGGTATATCGACTTTGCTGTATCTGGTTCCCATTCCCCTGGCCTCGGCCCACCAAGCTGGTAGTTTGTTCCTTCTTACTTGGGTGTTTGTGTTGGGCAGCCGCGTCTGGCATCCATCTCGTACCGCAAAGCTATTGCAGATGGCTGCCAAGGCCCGTAGCCAGCAGCTTTCATCTTCTACTGCCGCTGGTATGAAGAGGTTGTAAAAATACTGTAAAAATACTGTTGTCGTGTATGATATTTTACCAAGCGATTATAGTCTTGGTGTCCTGATACCATCTCCATTCCTCTCTTTCTGTGGATTTCACAACATCCACCTGTATTAGCTATTACTACGTTGATCTACCTTGTACAAGACAAATTTCACCTGACTTCATTTCATTTCTCGTTTGACACGTGCAGATTATTTCGTATCGTATGGGTATCTTCGAACATGCAGCCACCCCGATGAACGCCTTGTAAATGGAGAGGGTAGAACAACAAAAGAGTGGAGATGTAAATCAATGCCGTGGAATACTACTACAGACGCCTGAAAGTTCCCCACCAAGTGACAACACCACCAACGACCCTTTCAAAAGCCAAATCATTCTTTCATGTCAATAGGCCTGGCTCTGCGTGATGGATTTCGTCTTGGGTTGTCAAATTCCTCTCCAAAAGCCATAGAAATATCAGTCAAACTCTCGTGTGTCCGTGGCCGCTTCTGCCTCTGCATATCAAGAGGGTCATCAGCGATATCCTCTGGATCACGAGACCGTTTCTCATAGTTTCGACGACTCCCAAACTCACCACCAGTTCGGCCGAAGCCAAATCCACGATGAGACGAACCCGAATTGTTATCCTGTAAAGGTGAGCTATTAGAAAGATTGATCAAAGTTTCCGCGGCCTTTCTTCGTGCCTGTTGGTCCCTATCCTGCCTGCTTCTACCCATAGTCTCACCAGGAGACCCATCCCTTGACGTAAGCGTATTAGGTGTTTCAGGAGATAAATGACGACGGACGGTTGAGGAAGCTGGCGAGGGCACCGTCGAAGGTGAAGACGATATCTCAGGGTCTTCTGCTGCTGGTGGAGATTCAGGCTCCTGCGCCGTATGATAACCGGTACTAGAGACATGACTACGGTTCTGGCCACGGTTCCCTAGACACTTTCGGCAGCATTGCCAACCACAAAGATTGCATCGAGACATTCCGTCCGTGTTCCGGTGGTTGCATTCATCACACTTTGCAGTGTGAGCTGCTACCTCAGTGAAGGTGGCTACCTGCATTGGTCTTTTGCGCCCTCTGATAGGAAGGCTCTTGGTTGAGCTACGGTCGTGGCGAGTGGTACTTCCATTTGTAGAGACATCAGAGATCTCAGATTGAGTTGTATCCCCTGCGTTCGATACCTGGGACTCTCGGGCTGCTTCCGTTGCTAGCGGTTTGCCGTTTGATGAGGGAAGCTCGGTGAGATTCTCATCTCTGAGCGCCGGTGCGGGATTGAGGAGGTCATGGATGCTGGGTAGTCGTTGGCCATCGTTGGAATAGGGTGCGTAGGGATGCCACGGCATTGGCTTCATGCACCCTCTCATGTGCTATTCATCTTATATTAGTATACCATGCTGAGTCACTTCAACCTTTGATATCAATATGCTAACCCAAGTTTGGGTGGGGGTGGGCAGGCGTCGCGATGGATACCAGGGCTAAATATCGTATTCCAAATGAATACGCTTCTTCAATAACTAAAGTCGGAGAATGAGAAAGTCACCTACCAGATGCGGGAAAGGAATCGATGGCAGTCCTTGCATTCGGGCCCGTTGAATTTCGATGTGGCGAGCATCAAGACTTTGCACAGGGAAATTAGCATACTGAAAGCTGCTGGGAACAGGTTGGTAAGGATGCGCTGAATTTGATGAATGATGCGAGCCAGTTGGTGAGTCTATTTCAGAATAGTAGATTGGTCGACCGTTCGTGGCGTGTGTCTTTTTTGGAGGCGCACGCTCATGTTGCTCGGGGGATGAGTCGTGTTCCATCATCGGCGAGTTTCAAAGTCAGAAGAGTGGGAAGAAATGATACGATCTGGTTGTAGAAAGATGGATGCTTCAATGTTGGAAGGACAAGGTGGCAACAGCTTGAAATTTTGCTCTTTTATGCACGTCAAACAGTCCTTTCATTACATAGGAATTAGCGAGAGGTGAGTTAGTGAATCAGAGTCCTGGAGTATGAGGGACGAAAATCGACCTTTCAGTTCAAGGGTCGCAGAGAAAGAGAAAGAGAGCTCCAGGACTAAGTGATTTATGTTGAGTACAGGCCTAAATGAAATGGCTTCGAAGAGTGAACATTCAAAATTCATGTCTATGGCAACTTCAAGTTACATAGATTGCAAAATATGATATATATGATATACAGAGAAAGCTCAGGTATGTATAAATTGATAAATTTCTTTTTTTTTTTCAACTTATCTGATGCATGGCATGCCTCGTAAAAACCGTTTAATTCACATGAAATTACAGACAAGGGCATGGCACGATCTTTCAGCTATACCAAAATCCCAACCCATAGATAGATTCATATCAATTATTTGTGGGCTGTAAATTGCAAGTTAGTGTTATAGGCTCATGAAAGTTACAGGATAATAATAACATACGGATTCCCTCCTCAGGCTTGGGCTCAATTCCGGCAACCTCCGCCGCAGACTTGCCTCCCACCTGGGTCTTATCATCCTTCATGAAGGGGAAGGTGAGGACCTCTCTGATACTATAGTTGTCGGTAAGGAACATGACCAGACGGTCAATTCCCAAGCCCCAGCCACCAGTTGGAGGCAATCCGTACTCGAGAGAAGTGCAGAAGGTCTCGTCAATCATCTGAGCCTCGTCATCACCCTGGTCCTTCTGGCGGGCTTGCTCCTCGAAACGCATACGCTGATCGAAGGGATCGTTCAACTCAGTGTATGCGTTGGCAAGCTCCTTCTTAAGGGCAAACGCCTCGAAACGCTCGCAAATACCAGGCTTGATGCGGTCATACTTGGCCAATGGGGACATCATCTGAGGATGACCGTAGATGAAAGTGGGGTTGACGCAAGTCTCCTCGATGAATTCACCAACCAGAGTATCTATCATACGAGCATTGGTCAATGGTGGCGTGCACTGCACGTTCATCTTCTTAAGAACTCCCTTGAGGAATTCGTTGGTTTCCTCAGTGTGGAGTTGGTCACCGGGTGGGAACTTCTCACCACAGGCCTCCTCGAGGGCGGGGATCATCTCTACCCGCCTCCAGGGACCCTTCCAGTTAACATTGTACTCTGTGCCGTCTTGGGCGTGGAATGTAGTCTCGTAACCACCGGTGAGATGCTTAACCAAGCCGGAGATCATTTCTTCAGTGGTGTTCATTAAGTCATACATGTCGGCATAGGCTTGATAGAACTCGCAGGTGGTGAACTCTGGGTTGTGGGTGAGATCGGCACCTTCGTTGCGGAAAAGTCGGCCAAGCTCGTCTGTCATCGCATATTAGTTATCTTCGTATAGGAATTGCGGCCTTGGAAATATTAACTTACAGACACGCTCAAGGCCACCAACAATCAGCATCTTCAGGTACAATTCGGGGGCGATACGCATGAACAGGTCCTGGTCATATTCGTTGTGATGGGTGACGAAAGGTTTAGCGGTAGCACCACCAGCAATGGCGTTCATCATTGGGGTTTCCACCTCGGTGAAGTCACGACTGTCAAGATAGTTACGGATGTAGGAAACAATCTTGGCCCGGGTACGGAAAGTGCTGCGAGAACGCTCGTTCATGATGAGATCCAGGTAACGTTGGCGGAACCGTTGCTCCACGCTGGACAGCCCGTAGTGCTCGGATGGGATGGCATGCAAGCAAGGAGAGAGCAAGATAATCTCATGGGCAAAGATAGACAATTCACCATCGGGGCGGTTCTTGGGAGCAGTACGGCCAGGGAAACCAACAATACCGATAATATCACCTCTGCGCAGCTGTTCGTGCTGCTTCTCGAATGACACGTCTCCAGTAGCGAACTGGGCTTGGCACATGACCTGGATCTTGACACCTTCGGCGCGCTACAGGACCATAGTCAGGATATACTGAATTAAAGTGAATAGTACCTGGCACAAGACTGAAACTCACCACATCGTAGAAGCACAACTTGCTTCCACTAGCGCGCTTAGTGTAGATACGACCAGCAATGCGAATGGGGATATCGGGCTTCTGCTCGCCCTTCTCCAGAGTGGCATAGTCCTTGACGAATTCACGCAGGTCGTGAGTGACCTTGAACTTGTGGGGGTAAGGGTCGGGGTTCTTAGTCTCGCGAAGCTTGTTGATGCGCTTGCTACGAATCTCGAAGTATTGCTATTCGGAGACTCGATGGTCAATTCATGATCCTTAATAGCATTCGCGATATCGGAAATCTTACGTTGGGAGTCAAGTTGGCTTCCTCCTCCTCTGCAGAAACCTTCTTTTCGGCCTTAGGAGGAGCCGCAGCCACCTTTTCCTTCTTCTTGGCGTCCTTCTCACGCTGCTTTTGGCGACGCTTCAATTCGGATTTGGACACCTTCTCGCCGGTGACTTCATCGAGCAACAGATTGGCCATAGAGGCCTCAGCCTCTTGCACTGGGTTGGAATCCGCCATGATGTTTCTAGACGAGGGATCAAGAGTGAATAGTGGGATAAAGAAAGAAGGAGGGGCAAACGAGATTTTGGGCGGCAGTCCGCCGAGTCGCCATCTGATTGGCTGCTACCCAACTACAGCTATATGACTCATGGACCGAAACTGCGAGATAATCGCGGGTTGTTAATGTTCAATGTTCATAGAACAGTTTCATTTAATCAATATCCTAAACTGTCTCAATTCCAATTGAATTATCTTCTATACTTGAAAATTCAATAGGCTTTCAATACTCAATATGGAGCTTAGGGCTTAGGGCAGACGAGTGGGGCTTTTACCCCGCCGTTTTTAAAACCCCTTCTATACGAAGTATATCGCGTTGCGCATGGGATTATTGTAAATTTGGCAGGGAATGATAAATTTAGTGATGCTGAAGTCACTATATTTTGGGCATACCTCTTCATTCTTCATGTTCCATATTTCACTCAATCCTCTCTATAAGACTAGGTAGTGTTATCTAGTTTCCTTATCTCGAATCAGCACCACCAAACTGATGCACGTGAGTATCACATTCGCCTTTTTTTTCAAGGTATTCAATCAAATCGAATATCAAGTGATAATTCATCTTGTTTTTGAGTTGACTTGATCTACCGTGCAGGAGGATACTGTCAAGATATAGCTTTTAAGGGGGATCTAGGATAGGAAATGGAGTTCAAACGTTATGGTGGATTACTTGCAGCGGTCACCTATAGGTTTTAATATACAAGCTTCCTATTTCTACTTCGATTGTACACTTTAATAAATGGGTAGAACGACACGCGTGGTTCCTCTTTCGCGTGGTGAAATTGAATATCACTCAGAGGGGTTACATCTGGGCATCTGACAAGGAGGTTAGGACCTTCAAGATGGAGTCAGCTATAATTGTTCCTTTTTGGGTTTACTTGCAATATTGTTAGAACCTAGATAATCGATTCACAGTCCAGGTTTATTCCCAAGTCTCCGCAATGTAAAATCCATTCCACCATGAAATAGTTGTTAATTATTAGATTTAGAGGTCCATGAACTGAGCGACGGATATGTGAGAGCGAGAAAGTGCTGTGGTTCTGAAATGGGGTCACTATTTTGTATTATATGCTTTGTTACTACTGCTACACAGTCTATCTAACTGTTCAAGAATCAGGATACAGCAACCAATCTTAGCCTCGACCTATGCTGTACATTCCTCATGACTGCCTACTGTATGACCCTGGGTATAAGCTCTAAGTATCAAATACATTGTCTATTGAGTTACAGATGTGTAAGCCGAAGGGTGGGGTGGCGACATTTGACTTCGTAGACTTTGGCTTCATTCTCTCACTTCTCCTCCCTTCCATTCTTCCCTTCTTCCACCCTCCACCTTCCACCTTCCAACATTCTTCTATCAACATTCATTTCTTCAGCCTGAGAACATTTCTTTCGTGTTTACCAATACTTGTTTCAATAATTGTTTATCGCTTTATGGTGTGAAAATCGGCCAGACTCGTGTTACACTTAGTTGAAGTCTGAGGCCTTGATTTCATCATGTTCACTTCTGACTTTGTTACCCGACCGAAATCTGAGAGCCCGGTATTCCCTCAAGCATCATCTCGCTTTTTCTTTTCTTCTCTGCCAGAACACGCAGCACCGTCAGTTTCGACAAATGGCGTTCACAACGGTCTACCGCCAGACAGCCCCAAGCTTCCTTCATCAATGGATGTTCTTGGGTTGGGTATGAGGGACCTTGTCCGCAAGGTACAGCATCTCAGTCATCTGGGGATCGAGGACAACCGTATTGCACTCCCAAAGATTTGCGTCGTGGGTGATCAGAGCACTGGAAAAAGCTCTTTGATCGAAGGAATTTCTGAGATCAGAGTCCCCCGCAGTGCAGGTACCTGCACACGTTGTCCTATGGAGATTGTCCTCCGAGAAAGTGAGCCAGACCGGCCATGGAAATGTGTCATCTCGCTTGTTCATGGATACCATTACGATCCTCAAAAGATGCTCAAGAACAGAATCCCGAAAACTGAGAAGCCCGACTACCTCGGACCCTGGCTTCGACAAGGCGCACAAGATGAGGAAGAGTTTATTACATTGATCGATAAGAGTCAGGTGGAGGATTCAATCCGGTGGGCACAGTTGGCCATTCTCAATCCCACATCAGACTCTCAAGATTACGTTCCTGGGAAGAACATGGGTACACCTACTACTATGGATGTAAAGTTTTCGCCAAATATCATTCGACTAGACATGTCAGCACCGAGTCTTCCAAATCTTTCTTTCTATGACTTGCCTGGTGTGATCAACCAAGCCGATAACGAAAATGAAAAATATGTTGTAAGTCTTGTTTCAAAGCTCGTCAAACAGTACGTTTTGCAGGAGAATTGCATTGTTCTTCTCACTCAGTCAATGACTGATGACGCCTCTAACTCGACTGCCGCTCGCATCGTACGTGAAGTGAAAGGTGCAAAAGAACGTACGCTTGGCGTTCTCACAAAGCCGGATCGGCTATCCGGTGACAACGAGTCTCATCAACAGTGGATTGAAATCTTGGACGGGTCAAAATTTCAATTTGGTCAAGGGTGGTATGTGGTTAAAAACAACCCAGATCCTAAAGTGCCTCATAACATCGCACGGGCTCAGGAAGAAGAATTCTTCGGAAAACCCTTCTGGACTGGAAACTTGGCAATGTTTCAAGATCGCTTCGGAGTTCGAAAACTCCAAGCCGCACTTCAGACTATCTTGATGGATCAAATTCAGAAGTGTCTTCCCTCAATCATCAAGCAAATTGATGATAAAGCTAGACGCATTGACAACGAGCTTAGGACTCTACCTGATCCCCCAGTGGAAAACTACCAGTTCATCTTGATCGAGAAAGTGGTGAAGCTTGGCCTCTGCTTCAATGGCTTGTTTGGTGATGGATCCGAGAGCAAGTCGCTCCGAAAGCCGTGGAACGATCTGGTTTCGGACCTCCAAACAGCCCTAGACAAGACTCGCCCTCGACTCATACTCAACCACAGCTCAGATCTTGATTTCTTCCTTGAAGCAATAGATTCCGATTGCGAGATAGTCTCAGGACCAATTCATCGAGGTACTAAAAGAAAAGCACAGCATTTCGAGCCCAATATCAAGTCTGAACCTACCCCACCTACCCAGCCTACTCAGCCTACCCAGTCTGCTTTGCCTGAGAAAAGTCCTTACGTGACAGAATACTTTCAAAGTCTCACGAAGGTCCATCGATTCAAACTTGATGATATCCGAGAAATCAAGCAAGAGTGTCAGCTTTCGGGGGTTCCGAATCAGATTGATCCCAGGGCGATACAGAAACTTAACCAGAAAAGTGTCGAGCACTGGAACGGCATCGTTGAAACGTTTTCCAGTGCCTTGTATGACACAGTGAAGCAAGTTGTGTACAAAACCTTGAACGAAGTGATGGCGATGTACCACCAGACGGAGTTATTTCGCGAACTCCAAAGAATTACCAATGATTTCCTGTCCCTCGTTAGTCTCGACTTTTCAAAGCAGATTACTGATCATTTCTGGATGGAATTCAATACTCCTTTGACTATGGCCCATCAATACCATAAGGAAAAGTCTTCGAAGTGTTTGACCGAGCTCGCCCAGAAGCGCCATGAAGGACGGAGAAAGACATGGTTGAAAGCCCACGGGTACCCGGAAGATAGGAGGGAAAAGATCCCCGACCTTGGGCCAGACCCATTCTCTCAAGAGATTGAGATGTTAGCTGTAAGTTAAAGAGATCAATGTGATCGTTTCCTTGTTTCTTGTGGATGAAATGCTGATTCTGCCAGAGTTCGAGGGGCTATTACGAAATCGCCAAGGCACGGTTTACTGACATGATATACCTTCTTGCTGAGTCGCATATTCGCGACAGATGCCGAAATGAATTGAAAGGCGCTCTTGAACAGAAATTGAAAGCGACCACTCCTGAACGTTGCTGCGAATTGATGGCTGAAGATCCTGAGAGAGAGGCGCGCCGGCACAACCTTGCTAAGCAGCGCAAAAAGCTCACAGAGGCCCAAAATTGGTTGGCAACAGTGCATAATGTTGACGAGGATGAGGAAATGAGAACTCCTTCCGATGCTACCATGGGCAGTCGGGATGAAATCATTGGCTGGGCTTGAGACATATGTTTGAGGGAACTAATGTGTTTTAGTCATGGTATGGAGCAAATGGCTGAGAAACTTGTGCTATCTACTGCATGTGTGATCTACTGGGTGCTACGATAATGGTGAAGGCTCGTGAGCAAGTCAGTCCCATGGCCCTGTCTTTTTCGATGATTGACCAAGGGGAATTTTAATGTATGGCGGTGGGCCGGTGGTTATGGATGGCGTTGTTGAAAATAATCTCAGGGAACAGATAGAAAACACAAATGATAAAAAAGTCGATGAATTCCGTGGCTCACGTTTAATCAAGTACTTTTCATATCTTCAAAAGCAACTAGTAATTATATACATCCATGGCTGATGCAATGGAGTCATTGGGCATCGGCATGAGGGTGAGCCTTGTGAAACCCATCTATAGTAATATGTACGAAACCAGCATGATCTTGGTCGAATTTCATATGGAAAATCACCTAAACAATGCAAATAAAATAAAACATTTATATTGTCAAAGTAAATAATCACTACAATACTAAAAACCCTTTGTTTTGGTTATTCTATATTTTTTATGGGGCAAAGTCGATCTCCATACATTTGTCAGGTGAGTCTCTGTTTTCCCCCCCGCCGAAAACGTCTTGGCGCCCGAAGCTCTCCAGTGCTTATTCCGGCCACCTGGTGCTTTCTTGCGATCATTGCTCATTTCCTCTCCTTGTCTTCTGCTTTACATCGCAGTCATCATGCTTCAAGTTCCTATTCGAGAGCACCCAAATCAGGCCTCTACCAAGGCTGTGATTCTGGTATGGTGACGCAATGATGCCCGCCGCCCCTCACCGTTCATTAATTGACATGTCAATAGGTCGGTGGCCCCTCGCGGGGTACTCGTTTCCGTCCATTGTCGCTCGATGTTCCCAAGGTGCGTGTTTGCTATCTATCCAATTTTATACGACTATATGCAGGAAAGTGTATCTGACGATATTCCCTCGATTATAGCCCCTGTTCGAAGTCGCCGGCCACCCAATCATCAACCACTGCTTGAAGGCAATTGCCAAGGTCCCCGACGTGCGCGAGGTTATTTTGGTCGGATATTACGATGAGAGCGTCTTCCGTGACTTCATCAAGGATTCTGCCAAGGAGTTCCCCCAGTTCCGTATTCAGTACCTGCGTGAGTACACTGCGTTGGGTACCGCCGGTGGCCTGTATCACTTCCGTGATGCCATTCTCAAGGGCAAGCCCGAGCGATTGCTCGTTTTGAACGCCGATGTCTGCTGCTCATTCCCACTGGGTGAGATGATGCGTCTGTTCGAAGATAAGGATGCCGAGGCTGTTATTCTGGGGACACGCGTAAGCAACGACGCTGCCTCCAACTTCGGTTGCATTGTCTCGGACTCGCACACCAAGCGTGTTCTGCACTACGTCGAAAAGCCCGAGTCTCACATCTCCAATCTGATCAACTGCGGTGTTTACCTCTTCGCCACTGAATGCATTTTCCCCGCCATTCGCAGCGCGATCAAGCGCCGTACCACCCGTCCTCGCCTCCTCTCCTACCCTTCCTCCGATAACCTGGAGTCATCGTTCGTTGCCTCTACCGGTGATGACGATGATACCGAGAAGAGCGAGATGCTCCGTCTTGAGCAGGATATCCTCTCCGATCTCGCAGATAGCAACCGCTTCTTCGTCCACGAGACCAAGGACTTCTGGCGCCAGATCAAGACTGCCGGTTCTGCTGTGCCTGCTAACGCGCTGTACCTCCAAAAGGCTTTCCAGGCTCAATCTGAAGAGCTTACCCCGCCATCTGCCACTATTGTTCCTCCAGTCTTCATCCACCCAACCGCCTCTGTTGACCCGACTGCCAAGCTCGGACCCAATGTTTCCATTGGACCCCGTGTGGTTGTTGGTGCTGGAGTCCGCATCAAGGACTCCATCGTACTTGAGGATACCGAAATCCGTCATGATGCTTGTGTGCTGCACTCCATCATTGGCTGGAGCAGTCGGGTCGGTGCCTGGGCCCGTGTGGAGGGAACCCCCATCCCAATTGGCAGCCACTCTACCAGCATTGTCAAGCAGGGCGTCAAGGTCCAAAGCATTACTATTATTGGCAAGGAGTGTAGTGTTGGAGATGAAGTCCGTGTGCAAAACTGCGTTTGCCTTCCGTACAAGGAGCTCAAACGGGTACGTCCTTCATTTATTTCCATGCTAAATATCTTATAATTCATACTAACGCTATTCAAACAGGATGTTGCTAACGAAGTTATCATGTAAATGCCTGGCAATCTGATCTTTGGTTCTCGTTTGCTTTTTTCTACAAAATACCACCCTCGTCCTATCTTGTCCATATCGAGCGACTTCCATAATCTTGTCTTGAGTTCGCGTGCCATTGGATGGTCATCTGTTTCGTCGCTGTTCACATTTACCACTTTTCCCCGCTTCTGTCTTTCTTTACGTTAGAATGCAGCACATTGGAGATTTCGTTAGAAAAACAAGATCTAATTCATCTATCGAGATTTCTTTCTTCTCTCGTGTCTATTATATACATGTATTTCATAACACGATCTGCAAATGCAGAACGTTCCACATTTGACGGACATTAAAAATCAGTCATTAATTATTGAATAGTAGTTCATCTAATGAAGACATCAACTCAAAATTTAGGTCAATGTTGCCAAGCCCGTGCTATCAACATTACCGTAGATCCACTGGCTGAAGTTACTAGGCGCAGCCTGGTTGCAAGGAATTCCAGAGCTGTTCTGTCCAATGATGTTGGTACACTGGAAGATCTGGTGCTGAACATCCGTATCATAGTACGGCAGGTGGCGCGTAGCGTTGACACTGGTGATATTGATATTATCAAATGTGATGTTGGGGCAAGGGCGCTCATCAGAGCAGTAAATGGAAGAAGCAATGTTGAAACGGGAGGTACCGTGAATGTTCTGCCATTTGACATCTTCGATCTGCAACTTAGATGTGTTGCAGCCCTTGTTAGAGTCGGCAGAGTAAACACACTGCGACATCTGAATGGGCAGACCAACATTCTCCATCTCGAAGTTGCGGAAAGTAATGTTCTTCACGAGGCCACGGCCACCACCACCCCAGTCTTCGTTGCTAGGGGTGTAGATACGAGTACCCTGCCAGGTCTTGATGTAGGCACCGTCCATGGCGTTCTTGATCTTTACATTCTCGAATGTAGTGTTGATGTTGTAGTCTGGCATATCCGGGTACTGTCCAATAGATCCAATGGTAATTCCAGTACCACCTTCACAGTAGATGTTTCTGGCTAGAAGATTGGTAGTATTGCCCTTAGCCGCGATACAATCGTCACCGTTGATGATAGTAGCATTCTCCACAAGCAGCTGATCGCTCTTCCAGGAGTCATAGCCATCGGTGTTCATGGTGCCCCATTTGCTGTTGCTAGTAGCATTGACGAACAGGTTGGTAACGGAGACATTTTTGCTATCCCAGACAAAGGTAGCCCAGAACTGTGGCTGGATGACACGCAAGCGATCAACAAGAAGGTTGGTCGAGTTGTAGAAAGTAATACTCATAGGACGACCGGGCTGGTTCGACTCGTTCTTGTTTGCATTGTACCAAGCCTGGCCATTGCCATTGTAGAAGCCACCCTCGCCGTAGAAGTTCACATTCGTACCTCCGAAGAGCCAAGCAGTGACTTGATCCTGCAGGACAACGCTGATAGCATGAGTTCTCCAGTATGGAATGTTGGTAGAGAAGCGCAGCTCGCCGCGAAGATGAACATCACAGTTCAACAGGTTGGTTGTGTTCAAAACAGTGTTGACGTGGAAGAGGTTGTTTGAGAAGATGACAGTTCCATTGGTACCGCACATATCAAAAGCTTGCTGAATAGATGGCGAGTCATCAACGGCTTGGCCGTGATGAAGCAAAGCCTCAGGATACAAAGTACATGTTGTGCCTTCGTTGACAACCCAGGCCTTTGCCAGGGTGAAGCAAAGGGTAAGAAGCCAGAAATTCATGATGATGGTTCCGTCGACCTAAGGCTGCTGCTTGAGTCAAGGCGAAACTGTGCTTGCGCGAAACATTAAACTCAAGTTCATCGACCGTCCTTATATAGTCGAGAAGGCATGAGACATTTTCTTTCCCGTTGCACCCCCACGTATGTGGGGAAAAGAGTATAGAATTACATCATATCCCCAGTCTTTGTCGGGTCAAGCAATAGCCGCCGAGAGATATGGAGACGGTTATATGGACGTAGAGTATACAATGCTATAACACGGCAATTGAGCCCAAGGGTTTTGAGATGCCGAAAAAGGCGGGGAGTGTCGGGTCGGGAAAGGACCGAGAAAAGCCAAGGCTCTGATTCGTTCATTCTATTCTCTTCAACCAGAATCTTTAGTCATGCCCCGCTTGACTGGGGCAGCTAAGCAGTATTTCGCCGTCAAAAAGGCTAAAACTTGGCAGATCCCCGGCTTTGTCGACCAGAAGTGGCTTTCATGATGGTGATCCTTCTCTCTAGTACCAGAGAGAAAATTAATCCATGTACCTGATCAGGCTAAAAGTGGCGGCGCCTTCCGTGCTTCGCCGTAGTAATATCCCGAAACTAAGTATTCCAATTCTCATCTTATTCACGGGTTGTATTCGGCCCGGTTCGATTGTGAGTCTGATCTAGTAGTGCTATTAAATCGTAGTGGATAAAATCACGGATTTTTTTCGCTCATTATGCACCGGGATCTCATGGCCGTTGGAAGTGAATGTGTGTTGATACTGGTAGTAGGCGAATTCGAGTCGTTCGTTTATAACAAGTCCAAACACCCCAAATAATAAGATGTAAAGTTCGCCGATTGCAGCTTCACCATGTATCATCTTTAGCGGCATAAAGGTCCTGGAGCAATAATTCGGGAGTTTGGTAGAATCGTTCGAATGTTCTTCTTTTTCGAGTGAAGGTTGGACCTGTATGACAAGTTCCAACTCAGGGAAAGAGAGACGCGAGGGAGACATGTCTTAACACTGGCAGCAGGATTTCTGGAGAACCTCCAAGGCTAAGATGAAAGCGGGGGTAGAGAACAAACCCAGCATGGATCGACATATAGGCAGGTATCAGTCAAGAGTCAAACCTAGCAATGTTGCTATAGTAACAACTTTCAAAGTACCTATCGGAACTAAATCTTGCATGCAGATGGAAAGTGCTAATAAAATAATATATAGTATTCAAATGGCCTCGCTAAGAACCTCGCTTTTTACATATCTAAATATAAAATAAATGTATCGTTGGGCTCCATGACAATAACGCCGCCATGCCCATGCAAGCAGATCGCTCATATATAAGAGCGTCAACTATCCAAATCATTCGTAACAAAACAAAGTCCTAAAATTCATCTCAGATCAACGATGCATAATGGGATCATACCCAGTCGCCGCAGACCGATCATCTCCTCGCTCGTAAGAATTGAAGCGCGCTGGTTGTGCCCGATCACCATGACCGTACGCAGGAGCATCATCATCATAATACTGCTGCGCATCACCGGGCATACTCTGCCCACGCGAGTGCGAGTAGGAAGTATCCGAGTACGGATGCTGTTCATGGTCCCCGTATCCCCCAGCTGCCATGGCAGGTGCCGGTACATCATGCTCATACGGCATGGCTGGTAGAGACCCACTGCGTACGTTCGACATCTTCAACTCCATGGCATCCTCACCGGGCCCAGCGAGTCCGTACACACCGAGCCTGTTCTGGCGCCGACGGACGATACCGTCTAATGCGAGCGAGGCGATGAAGGCTGCTACTGCGAGGACTGTGAATGCGAAGACGGCCTTGTACATGCGACATACGTCTTCGCCGGTGGAGTTACCCCAGTATTTCGTTGTGCATGATGTAAGGATTGTGTGTGCGGTGTTGTAGCTTATTAAACCGAGGCCGACGAGCCAAACGACTAGACAGAGGGTGTCGAGAACCATCGCGAGCATTGTGCTCAAGCCGCAGCTGCAGTTCATAAAGGCTGTGAGGATGACATTGATGAGGGAGATGAGAGCGGCGATGAGAAGCTATTTGTTTTTCTGTTAGCGACTTAATTCACGATCTTATTTTATTTGTTGTCTTTGGATTTGGTGAATAGTTACAATTAAGAAGGCAAAGGGTAATTTGTACCCGTCGGCATGGAGATGATAGATAAACACGGCAAGCACGATAGCGACTATCAGCGACGATAAGAAGGCGAGGATGCGGATGAGATGGAACGGAAGTCCTGGGTAGTCGGACGGTTTGGATCGCATGATGAAGATTATGTGATGATGGATTCAAAAGATCCAGGGATCAAACAGTATTTTGGAAGGTTGGGGAAAAGTCGAGGCCCCTTGATTATTTGTATTCTGTAAACATGATCGGCGCTCCACTCGACACGTTGGGGTGTGCGTCGTCACGGCTATTTTTAACGCGGCTGTGTACGCAGCGCTGGAGGGCGGTGTCCCGGGTTTCACATTGACCACAGGGTTTTCCATATAAATTGGATCTAGGCAGCCCTTGGCATTAAAGATTTTTATCTGACCTTCTAGAGCCTTTTCTAATTTATTAAAAATACTTTAATAACTTTAAACTCTTTACTATCTTGAATCAGAGCCTCTTTCGTGAAAGCCTCTTTGTCTTCCCAAAGAATGCTAGCCAATTTTCGAACAATTGTTTCTTTGTCATTTAATTGCGAAAGTGACTGCAACAGGGCGATCACGAAATAAACGTTTGCTGATAAGTAAATTCCAGATGATGGTGTGAAAGTATTCCGAAGTACATGTATAGATGGCAGAGTGTCATAGTAGGCGAACTGTGCATTCTGCGACGGATTTCGATATCATGATATTGATGGTGTCTCATTTTCAATGATCTTTTATAATATCCAAGAATATTGGGAAGACGAGTCATCCAACGGAGAGATTGACCATACAATCTTTGCAATTGGCCCTATCTTGGAATATGTCATCTCCACACCTTTCATTGTTGACGCCACCCAACACTCCGGCGGGCTATATGATAACGGAGCACACCCAGTTAGTGTCATGAGTGCAGCGAGTACTATTGGAAAAGCTGTGGCTAGGGCATTGAACATGCATCACTCACCAAGAACCGCGTGGTGCGATTCATGGTATCGTCTTAACTCAGGTAAGGGTTTTGGCACTGGTCACAAAAGTACACGCCAAGAATTGAATGGCGTGAAAATGCAGCTGATGGGTCCGCTAAAATTGAGGAAATCATGCCCAGGTGGGAACTATCAATCAAAGTATATTTGACCTCCCCAAGTGGCTTGCTTTGTTTCAAGCTGCACTTACTCGTGGGAGATTTTGGATTCAATATGATCCACCTGATACTACTACCTAGTAATGATCTTGTGGGGCTGCCATTGATGTTGGAGGATGAGTTAGAAACTATATGCTGCGAGTTTCCAGAAGTGACTTCTTAATGTTGGAAGCCTTGAAGGGGTGCAAAAGTAACTTGGTGCCCACGGCGCCTTTCGGAGGCTCAGGAGTAACTAAATCTAGAAGATGGGTCTATGATGATGTTTAACTTCCGAGGGTTAGCACACGTTCTAGAATTATTTTTGGCAATGCTGTTATACTCTTGTACAGGCCACATAATCCCAAACAAAAGATCGGAGGTAACAATACATAACGTGTTTTTGCCAATTCTGAATTGAATCTCTTAGATACTTTCCTTTTCTCTCACAACCCAGATCCCACTCGGGGTGATTCCTTTGCCCTCTAAGTACTTCCCCACACGGAAACAAGCCTTCAAGGCGGGGTACATAAACGCTAACACCAAATAGGTGGAAACATTATTGAGATCTGCACCACTGGTCGAAGTTACTATCGCACTATCAGTCGGCAAATTAGCGAAGTGGGGTGAGATAGCATCACTCAAGAGCTAATAGTATTGAGAAGAAAGGTTACCGGCGAACCCGGAGAATCCGGCGTTTTAGAACAAAGCCCCAGGACTGGTATATATCTTTTCTTTCAGGATTTTTGCACCGGAAGCTATTAAAGCCCTATCTAGCATGAATCTATAGAAAGCTTGACGTTGAGCGCTCGACTATGGAAAGAGTTTCAAGGTTTATGAAGATTGCCGGTGTGTCACCGGGGAACACGGGGAGAATGCCGGTGATGCTTTTCAAGATAACGGACAATCTTCGGGCCTGTCAAAGATCGGCATTCAGCGAACCAGATTAATAGCTCAATGTAGCTGGTATAGGTATACCCGATCAAATGAGGGGAACAAGGAAATTATGGGCAGTTAAAGGCTGTGCCTTTCCCCGTCGGGCTAACACACTTGATAGTCACCCATAGATAGATCCATTCAATTTCTGAGCTATAGAGGGTTTCATTCTTGAACACAACTATGAAGTTGAAAAGCGCTTTTCTGGGCTTCAATGCTGCCCAGCTAATTACAATGACATCAGCTCTGCCAACCGACATCCGACAAAACATCCCCCGCGGAACAACATATGCAGAAGATATGTTCAACACAGCAATCGAATGGAATGATGGCTTCTGGGATGATGAAACAGGATACTTGATCGCTGCAGCTAGCAATCCCGGTCGCTACGATACTCGACACAGTGGCTGGTATGCAACTCAATTGCTAGCTCGAAACGGGCCTGGTGATGTTGCAAGAGCCGTACGAATTTTCGACAACGTTATTTCCGGACAGTATCTCGATACATCTTGGCAGTGGTACGGTGATTACCAGCAATCGCCGTCAGAGCCTTTGCCAGGTACTCTTGAATACGTGAATGGCGGACCTTATAGCTCGGTATGTTTCCCTGGTCATGCGTAATTATATTCTCGCCTAATCAAAATAACAGTGGGATCCTAATATCCGTGATTTCGTTGGCTGTGCCTGGCTTGTGGCTCTTAATGATCATAGCCATCTTCTTCCAGCGGAAACAGTTACCAAAATCGAGAAGTCCCTTCATACTGCGGCAAAGGGTGATCTATACCGCGTTGGTGGAATCGACGGCGACAATCTTTACCCATGTTATTCAAATCCATGGTTGATGAGGACTATCTTGCAAAATTGGGTTGGTACACGTTTGGGTGACAAAAACTTGACTCAAGCAAGTGAGAAATTCGCTCAAGAATTCTATGACCTCTGGAGTCAACACCGTACACTTTCCGAGTTCAACTCTCCAACATATACTGGCGTTGCTATGTGGGCTTTGTCTCTATGGAGTCAGTATGCCAGCGAGGACAGCTTATTAAAAAAATACGCCCCTGAAGTCTTAACAGCGACCTGGAATGAGGTCTCTCAACTCTACAATGCCAACCTCAAAAATCTTGCTGGTCCATGGGACCGCACGTATGGATACAATATGAAAAAGTATACATCGCTGATTGGCGCCGTGATATGGGGTGCTGTTGGACGTGAAAATGCTCCAATTCCTCAGAAGACATCTGGCATGTACCATGGCGATGACTTTGCTTTCTATCCGCTCTTCGCACTCGGCATGCCAGAGATGCTGAAGTATCTATCTGAGGAATCAAAATCGAAACTCATCAAATTTCCCGGCGATCATTTCTTCGCCACTCAAGCTTATTCTCCCCCTTTCGACACATACGCACGAAATATAACGACCTGGATGTCTGAGAACATCACCATTGGCGCCGAGACAGTTGCAGAACATGTCATTGGTGGACCAGCAGAGAGCACGAGTGCATTCAGTCCAGCCGTGATCCAATGGGCTATTGATGATTATCAGATTGGATGTGTCACCCACTGGGTGACCGAGTCTTCGATTCATGCCGTGGCTTCCAACAATTCGCTGTATATCTCCTACCCCAATGCGACTGCATCGGATGGCCCAATATCTTTCAACTTTTTATTCAGTGGACTCGATATTAGACATAATTTCAATGTTACTGGATTGAAAGACTTGCCTAATTTATCTTTGGAGGTCAAAACCAACGCCGCTGATAACTATACCATAGTATACGATACTGATCAAACCGTCAACGACTTTATCTTCTACAACATCACATATACGATGCCGGACGTTTTCACTGGAGAGCCGTATCTTTCCCTTCATGTTGTCTAAGAATATAATTAGTTGAGAGATCGAATAGGTTTTCTTTCACCTCTTGATAGCTAAGAAGAACAATGAAAGTCATTATGGAGCGCCTGAAAAAGAATTATCAACTCCTTGAGACAATCCAATTACTAGCTGGCCAATTCAGAATGGGAGTCATGGCATATGGCGGGCACCTAACCCGGTATGTTTCGTTTAGGTACCGGTCGCCTAAATGGGGCGCTGTTTGAACGGAGCTGGTTGGTTGCCTGATCATCCTTCGAACCACTTACCACTTACCCATTACTCAAGTACACCGGCCAGCGCATTTATAATCGCTCTGTCTATTCAGAAGTTCACGAGAATTGAATCTCTCATCCTTTATTTGTTTCTTTTTCAAGACTTGCCAATTACTCATACTTTGGGTTTCCATCATGGAGAAGTGTTGGGAGGAGACGACCATCGACACCTGGATTTCGAAACGCATGTTTGACCGGGAGTTCATTCTAAAGCGTCTGGACGACAGACTAAAACAGTATCTTCCATTCTCCCAAGATAATGAAGGCGTTATCGAAAGGGTCTTCCAGTCCGAGTGCACTACGGGGCTTTTGACCGAGGCTGTATTTATTTCCCTTTTGCAGACCAAGTCGACACTACCCTGCTCTTCCGAGGGAATTCAAGCTGGGAAGCTCATATGTGACAGCCTTTTGTACCTTGGTGATATACCATTTCCAAGCAGTCCTGGCAAGGAAAGGGATGTTCCGCGACCCGGTCTCTCTTTGAAGCATCTCACACGTTCATTAATGTGGATGCTTCCAGACTGTGTTGGAGGAGTCATAATTGAAGGCTCGCGGTCCCGTATGCGAACATATGCAGACCGCTGCAGGCTGCTTTTCCAGAGTCTCGCTTCTGTATCTCATAATATGCCACATGATCCTGAGAGCGCACTCAAATTGGCACAGCAAGGGGCATTTGAGGTCGAATACGAATCGCATTTGGACTTTTGCTCGATGAATCGCGACGATGATGGTGACGAGATCTACCATGACCTACTTGACGTTCTCTACTCTACACAAGAAGAGAAAGCCCCTTGGCTTGCATGTGTCCATAGAAATTCATTTCGTCCCCGAGCAAAGATTATGGCGATTGAGAATGATCTGCCAAAATTGTATTCACTTGGCATTCCCGCCAATAATTTTTTTACTTTGGTCAAAGTTCTTCTGGCTTTGCAGTTTTCATCTGAGGTCAAAGCGAATGTGAACCAATTTGATGCGGCCGCAAGATCTATCTGTGCTACCTTCTGTGACTTTAAGGAGGCGGAAATTATTACGTGGCCAGGTTTCTATCGTGGACTAAAAGACACCATGCCGTATCTCTTCGATCCTATATATAGTCTGCTTTTCGAGTCATTTTTGGAGAAGACCAGCTCATTTTGGGTAATGACTGGCCTTGAATGTCCCAATTCATTTGGAGAGATCCTCACACTGCCCCGTGCGAGCCAGCTATCAGCTTTTCTCAGCGGTTGCCTAGCCTTCGACTATTTGAGGTGTCTTGAATATTATACCCCTTCGAGTTTACCAAGTCCAAACGTGTTAATCGAGGCAGTTGAAACATCTCCCGATGACAGTCGAGTTCTTCTCTTACTATCTGGAACAACCAGATCAGGAGAACCATATGTTTTCGGTGTTTTTAGCCCCAAACCAAAGGTCGACGGGGCTAGCATAGTGACGAATATTGTCCCTAGTGCAGTGGGACTGGAGCCTTGTTCCATTTTTCAGCTAGCTCCAGTTCAGGATATCTTTAGGGGGATACCAGACAAGCCTGGATGGAAAGTGGACAACGAGACGGTTACGTTTGGACAAAATGGGGGTGTGATGATGACATTCACAGATAGGTTGCGCTGCGTTGAAATCATACATGTTTCTGAAGAGGGTGGTGAAGGAGTATACAGATCAAATAAGTTGAGGGGCAATTGGACAGTCGAGCTTGAAATGTCGCGGATAGAAATTTGGAGGGAGATGGAAGATAACGACGAGGATGATCTTAAAAGTTGAAATTCATTCCATTGTATATTCAAAGGGCGGTTGGAGTCGTGCACAATTAGAGCTTGAAGCAGCGCCCAATCATATTTTCCCGTTCCCCCCGCGCCGCGTTATCACTCTGCTGCCTCTGGTCCGCAATACACATTAAAGAACTCTTCATTATCTCCAACAATTGACAGATTCCAGCCTTCCTAACCGCTGAACTTCGCCTTTAATTTCCCTTGCTCTGCTGAGTACAACAGAAGCAAACAAATTCGGTGTCACAAAGCACGATTTCAAAGCGGGATATCCCCGCACATCTTCTCCCCTCCCCCATTACAACACCCCAAAACTCACCATGTCGACCTACGAAGGTAACTACAAGTTCTTGCTGACCCTCATACCTCTATATATACAATCTTTATATATTTTCAATCTCACTAATACCCACTTTACAGTCGAACACGGCACTGCGGACCCCGCTACGAACCCTCAATCCCAGCACCGTCGCCGCCCAGACCTATCCACATTCTTCGCGACCCTTTCAGAGATCTCCCCGGACCCCAACCACCCCGATCATCGTCCTCATGCCGTCCCCGTACCAGGAGATGTCAGCGCTGCATTTTACTCCCTCGCCGAGGCCTTCGAGGTGATGCGCCGTGAGAATGCGTCTGGGGGCACCGAAGCTGAGACTGAAGGGGCCTCTGGTCTCGAAGGCAACGAACTCATAACACAGATGATACAGAGCTTGCTCAGTGGGGCTGATATGCCACCTAGAGAAGTAGAAGGCGTAAGCGAGGAGTTTTGCGACAGTAAGCTTATCAATTCTGCAGCACCCGTCTTGTTTTCAGGAGCCGCAGGGTGCATCTCTATTCATCGATATCTGACAAAATTGATAGTGCTCGATCGTGTTCCGAAATCCTCACTTAAACCAGATCAGACCTGTCCTATTTGCAGCAATCCTTTTCTAGAGGACGAGTACCCGCTTGTTGTCAAGTTGCCTTGCCATCCAACCCATATCTTTGATCTAGAGTGTGTGAAGCCCTGGTTACGACTGCGGGGAACTTGTCCACTTGATCGGGTAGACTTCGCTAAGGAATTGCGAGAGAAGGATGAGGCGAGGAAGAAGCTGGTTGAGGAAGATGATGAGGAAGAGTGGGATGGGATGTATGGCTAAAGAGCCATGGTATAGCCTTCATAAAGTACCAGTTGCTAGTTGGAGAATACGTAAGGGAGTTGAAGTCGAGCTTAGCGATGCGATGTGAATGGATGAATGCATGCATTATGAGGGTGTTGCGTCCTCACGAATCATTACTATTGATCGATACCTCATTTTTTGGTTCAAAGAATCCGTTATCTATATGATTTGTTAATAAGTCTCAGCAGTCAATATAATAATGCATCTACCAGATTCAGTATGACAAGTATATGCAAGCTGAGCTTATGATTTCTAATTCTATAACGATTTGCGAGCAAAATAATGTTTTTGGGTCCTACATATTATTTACGCTGTACATTAATGAGTAGAAGGTAGATATGGAAGACCGCAGAATTATCCATGCAGTTTCATCCAAATCTTCTAATTGCCTTCTTTGGACCGGATAGCAAGCTTTCCAGCTTGATTAATCATGGCCTCATAGCCATTTTTTTCCAATACACCACCGTCATTGCTGACAACCTCTCGAGCCTCCAGTTCCTCAACTAGGCGCTGGTTTTCGCGGTTGCCTTCCAATAAGAATTTCAGGCACATGACGGCATGCTCTTTGATATAGGGGTTGTGTGCATCAAAGTTTGTACAGCACAAGATGGCTTCAACACCTCCATGGCGACGGATTTGCTCCTGAACTTCGGGGCACTTCCATACCAATGATGAAAGAACCAAAACGACCAATTTCTTGAGGTTGCGCCATTCGAATTCTGAAGGGTCTTCTGTGATTGGAGGAGACTCTGGGCGCGAATCGACACTTCCGGGACCGGGCTCGATCGGGTCTGGGTCACTGGGATCGTAAGGACGCTCAACAGCAACGGGAGCTGGGGATGAAGGCTGATCATCGGGCGATGCGCTGCGAGGTGGTGGCGGAGGAACCGAACCAAAAGGCATAGAGTTGAGTTGGCCCTTGGGAATGCTAGCCTCTAGCTCTTTAATGAGAGTGACCAAGTCATAGACAATCTCCCATTTGACCAGCAGATTCTTCCAGTCATTGTTTTCTGTGAGTACGGCGAAGAACTCAAGGAACTGGTAAACACCTTCGTAGACGCGTTCCATATCCCACAGGTTCAACGGGAAATCTTCAGGAAGGGCACGCTCCGCACGAATCTGGCCTTGTAGATAAATCAAGGCACAGGTTTCCGGTATAATATTACCACGGAAGATGGTGAAGATATATCGGACAGTAAGAATATCTACACGGCTGAGCGACGCTGGTGTTCGTGGAATGTTGTTCTGTGAGGATCCAGCAACAGAGGCCGGTGAGTATTTAGCTCGGAAGATGTGCGTCAGGATCTTGACCACTACAGCCTGAGCTGGGGAAATAATATCCTTGGGCTGACCGAAGTCGGAGTATGCGTGAGACATTAGGCCATTACGAAGCACGGCTTCCATGATTTGGACCATCATTTTAAAGTAGAGCTCATCATCTGGAAGATCCCAAGCAGCAATGAAGATCAGAAGTTCACGGAGCAGATTGCGCCCGGTCTCCTGCGCAAGAAGGATATGGCACCGAAGAGCTTGCATGTTTCGGGATCCATTTCGTTCTCCACCTTTGAGGCCAAAGCTATCGACAATTCCTGCTTGGACAATCATTGGCAATGCTTCAATCTCGGCAGGCCCAAGTACAAGAGGGATATCGGTCAGCAAGCCCCGCTGTTGATCGCCAGGGCGACCACGATAGTCGTCGTCATCTTCATCATCCACCTCTGCACCATCGTCATGTCCATCATCAACATCTCCCTCATCTTCTTCGTCCCCTTCGATGCTTCCGTCTGCGTGTCCCTCCAGACTGTGCGTGTCTTCATCGCCCACCGTTCCTGCATCCGCCGTATCGTACTCTGCATCGCCGTCACCCAAATGAGAAGGCTCTTGTAGACGCGCCATAAGTTCATCCTTAGCTTCCTGTAATGTCTCGGCTGCTGATTGAGACGAACGAGGCATACTGGTATCGTCATCTGTTACCGTCGCGTCTACTGTGTAATCATTAACCTCGGGCAAATCAGCCCAGCATAGACGGGAGAAGCCCGCGGTCGGACTACGATCAATGGTAAGAATTGTCTTCTTTTTAGTTGGCTCATGTTCCTCTTCTTCGGGCAGAGCAGGTGGCAATTCACGGGCTCGATCCTGGAGATCAGACCATCCGTCCACTTTGGCTCCCAGAATCGAGGTCAGAGCAGCACGTATATACTTGACTTGTTCTGGATCTCTACCCATCTCTTGAATGTCGGTGAGGTCTCTTCCCAAAATCTTCTCCATATGATCCTTAATATTTGCCAAGAGCAGCATTGCTGCTTCTTCCTTGATTGTAGAAGGTTCGCGAGGGAACTTTGCGATGGTCTCAAGCAGTAAGTCCTCTGCTGTCTGATCATATAATGCGCGGATGGGCGGGTTGATTACACGTTCCCCAATCTTCACAACTGGCGCAACCCCTTCAGCCCCGGAGGCAGGATCCAATGCGTCTTTGGGTTTGATGATATTGGTATCGGCGGTTGAATGGTATCCAAATAAATCCAGCCAAAGAACCATCTTCCGCTGCTCGTTGTGCATAATGAAGTTGTGCAAATATTGGAGGCACGTTATTAACAGCCGCTTGTAAAGATTGACCACCTTTTGCCAACGCTCTTCGTTTCGAGCATTAGTCTCTCCATCGAACCCTCTGGCGGTAACTCGGACGCAGGTATCGATCAAGGCGAGAATTCTTTGATCGAAACCCTTAGCAGCTGCAAGGTTCTGTGCTTTCTTAGTTGTGGCGAGCAAATTGCGAGCGATTGTGCACAAATCATTCAGGCGTTCGATGTCCTTCACCAAGGAGAAATAATTGTATGCAATCAAGTTCGAGGATGAATGTTCGTATGTAGCGGCAGGGCTCTTCCACGCAAAGGATTGTGACTCGAGGACGGGAATCGCCTTGGTGAGAACATCCGTCAGGCCCTGCCAAATGTCTGGAGACATACCAAGGTTGTGGCTAATATGCTAAGTCAGCAAAAGATAAGGAACTAACGATTCCTGGCTACAATTGGGAAGTATCAACATACCGAACCTCGCTCTCTTGATGTGTTTTGTATAAGATCTGCTTGCCAGCAGCAAGCATGTGCTCTAGACGCTTGTCATCAATCATTCCTCGGGTTTCATAGTGGCTTAAAGTCCCGGCTAAAATGACTTTGAGCATAAGCTCTGCCGGGGTGCAAAGTGGCTTCGGATCAGCCATTTTGCCTTATAGAAAGGGTTTAATGTGCACGATTGCCAAATGAGGAAGACCTTCGGTGGGATGAAATTAAACTGGAGAACAAAATTGAGGATCTTATCCGTTGATTTGTGACCGCCCGCTTCACCGCCCGCGGGGAATCTACAAACACTGTTCCCATATTGGACTAGCGTGATCATCGGACTATACAGAGGAACCATCAGCACTAAGTATGTGTGCGTTTGCTAGTCTGAAGTCAACTGGTCTTGAATTTACACCACAGTATTAAAGCAACTACTCAGAACAATTTATTTCTGGCGATTTTTGTATGTACTTTGTATACACCAAAACATTTTGCGCTTCGTAAGTTTCGTGAGACATTTATGTAAAGGCCTTCCGCCGCACCGAAATACCCATTGCATCTTTAAAATTATCCCAAAGCCCAACATCATAAATGTTATCCACTTCTTTCATGCTGCGGACTGGTTTCCATCTTGTGTCAATTGGTACCTCTCCACCAGAATTGTAAAATACGCGATTGGAGTCTTCTGCCAGGACAAATCCTTCCATGGGCGGATCACAATCCGTAACCAAGATTTGATCACTTTGTGTTGGCCAGGGCTGATCGTCCAAGTCCGTGTAGGCAGGCGCATTATCGATTTGACTTCGCTTCGCTTTGAACACAAATCCATCTGCAACATCATCTTCCAGGTCAGACCATTTGGAACTTTCATTTGTGGTGGTTCCTGCCCATATGAGGTAAGTATGGTAGGCCAAAAAGGCCGCCGCCAGCGGGGCCGTCATCAGCATCAGCAAGGTCACAGCGCCTATCTTTGAGTCGGCGGTGATAACAAGGGCCCATATTTGGAAATAGACTGTCCAGGCTTTCATAGCTGCTCGTCCCTCCAATGTGACTCGTTCCTCCAGGGTCTGGCATAGGAGGTGATAGCCCAGGAACGTGCCATATGTTAACATGACAGTCAAAGAGAGCAAGAGTGACATAAAATAGACATAATTCGCAGAGCCAACGCAGTTCATCAACCAAACGCAGTGATGATCGTGTCGAGAGACACAAGCACGACATATGTTACAATGCTTGCTTCGAGGTGGCTTGGGCAATTCGCAGGTGCGACAGTTATTCCCAGGGTGAAACAGCACCCGATCATACGGATACCGCTTCATCTCTTGACCATGATTTTCCGGCGTGATAAATGATTCCGTCTTCACGCACTTGTAGAGCAATACGTATGGCAGAATTACCATCACAGGGACCCACGGTTTGTGGACGCTTGGCAAACGTGGCCATGCTGGTGGAAGGAATACAGATTCCCCTATAGAGAGCAAACCTACAAAAAAGATCTAAACTTTTTGGTTAGAGGCAATCTGGCCTTGCCAGTACATATATTAAATTGAGCACTTACCAAAATCACTGGATGGTTTTCATTCCACATGTATTTACCCGTCCGAGTCCATGTTCGCATGAACCGCCCTCCAAGGTAGTGTGAATCCACAAATGCGATCCCGTTGGGGATATGTACCCATAGTAATCGATAAAAAAACGCGATGGGCGTCTTCCTTGAATATCGTAAGTTATAATACTGATATAGTAATAAAGTCACTCATACCTAAAGGCTGGTAATCTCCCAAACAAGGCAATAAACACAAATGCCGAGATACCCAGTATCGTCAGTGCGACAATACGAATGACTCCCATTCCGGCAGCAACTATGGGTCTCTGGAACCGGTGATCACTAAAAAACACCAGGAATGACCGAATATAATGAGATCAAATAATTTATCGCAGTTTCATTGTCGTTGCCCATGAGCCTTGAACTCGCTCTGATGCCAGAAAATGGTTGGCTTGGCTGGGTTCCCGTCGCGTTTGCTGTCGCAAAGTCACGTGGTCATCATAATGCGCCTGCGCGTAAAGCATCGAAGCTCAAGCGCTCACATTCACCGAGGAACTATGTCCATACCCGGAATGATCCTTGAATTTTAGCTTTTTTGAGAAGACACTATTTTATTGTCGCATATGAAATGCGAATCTCTCCTAATTATCCATTGACACGTGAAGATCGCGTGTTTCCAAGTTGACAAGAAATCGGAATGAATGCTCGCTTTTATCAAGAAGATACCTGGCCTCTTGACTTTCCTCTAAATCTCCGACCTGTACTTCACGACTGGCATTATGGCGGACTCAACCCGAGAGATCATCGTGAACAATCTCTTTGGAGGCGCAAAGTTCTGGCTCGCGCACCACATCCCTCAACGGACCATGCTCAAAGAAACGATTGAGGTATGACCTATTTCAAGCTGTCTGGGAGCAGGACGAAAACTAATTTCTCCTAGAAACACGGCGGCGTTGTCGTGTTGCTAGAAAAATATGCTGATGTCAAGCTTGTTGACCATTTAAGAAAAAAGCAGCTTGCAGACACGTACGTATATCTACCGTATATTGAGAAGCGCCGCGGCTAACTATCAACCCAGATATTCCTATAAATATGTCGAGAAATCTGTTCGCAATGGAAAGCTTGAAGATCTTGAAGACTACCGAGCAGGTCCTTCTGCTCAACGGCCAGTAGGCGCATCAAATATCCCTACAAAGAAGACCAGATCAGACTATACCTTGATCGACGATCAGACTCTCTTTGACTGGTTACATCCCTATGAACAGGAGGAGAATGCGCCGATCAATGGCAACAACATCTACAAAAACTTGGCTGAGAGGGTATGCATCAAATTTTTAGGCCATTTTCCAAGTGTGCATGACTGATTTGAAATTCTCAGTTCCCTCAGCATCCATGGCAATCTTGGCGAGCACGATATCTCAAAAACCTGCGCCATAAACCCCGCCCGGGAGGTGGAGAGCCCAGACCAGACCTCCTGGAACATGTACCAGCATTGGCAGCAAGATCAGCACCACCACCAGCAGCAGCAAAGCCAGCAAAGCCAGCAACACCAGAAGTAAAGCAAGAGCCATCAGAGACAGCAAGGTCAATGCCCAACATAAGCCCACCACGCATTCCTACCGAAGGCGAACAGATCCAACCCTCGACAATGCCCCAAACACGGCCCGGCGAATCGGCCAAATTAAAAAGAAAGCGCGGATCGTTCGCTGGGCCGCACGAGAATCAGCGCGATGAAGTGTGTCCACCACCTCCTAAGAGAGTATTAGCTGGGACCCCCGAAACTATGGATTCTCCGGCTCAAAGTGTTTCTTCAACACACCAAACAACGCGCAAAAACTCATTACCACAAACTACGCAACCATCACCTACTCAAACATCAACACAGAAAGCTCCAACAGAGCCTCGAGATCCGCAACAAGTTCCTTCGGGTCTCTTGTTTTTAGAGTTGCCATTCCTTCCATCGAGCCCAGAGCCCGAAGTCGAAGAAACTGATCAGGAAAGCAATATAGATGTCAATGACTGGATTGATGCCCAACTAGGACGAGGCAATATAGAATTGTCCCTTGTGCTCCAAGCATTACAATGTACCAGTATGAATCCCGAATACGCTGAACGGGTACTCGAACATTGCGCAGCCGGGAAAGGCATACCCACAGATATGCCAGGAGTATGGACACCTGAAGATGATCGATGTCTAGAGGCGGAAGATGGGCGAGCTGTTAAAATGGTCTATGAAAAGCATGGCGAAGACTTTTTCAATGCCAGGTGGGAATACCTTCGTTTAGCTCGTGATGGAGGCATTATTTAACCATGAGCCAGTGTAGTAACTTGACAGCAAGGGGCCATGTAAATTACACAAACCCATCTCGTCTCATCATAATATTATTATTTTATGAATACCAGTATTGCAAATACCGAGAGAAGGGGGGTATGAAAACATCAAGTATCAACTCAATATACAGGCCCGAAGATGCCCAAATATCCATGAGCTGAGTATGCTAAGAAAATAAGCATCAATGCGGATCGACTTCAGGTATCTTACATTGGGATCGTGGCGTAAAAAAGCAGGAGAAAAAAGAGAAAGAAAAAAGAAGATAAGCACAATTGGAACCCTAACTCCATATAAGCTCCTTTGAAATAATGTTTCCCGTGTCAGTCTCGGAAAGGTGCCTAGAACTCAGCACCAACTAAATTTTCCGCTCAAAAAGATTTTGGGCGATATGTCTAGCTCTCGTTATCCTTAAAGACCCTGCAAGGCAATCAGTATCATCATAGTCAATTGGCATAGCCGGCGTACTTACAAGTGCTGTTCATAAAACCTAAGCATCTAAATATAGAGTTAGTATGTTTCTGCTATAAATGCGGCAGATATCGACTGACCTTCTTGGGGCATTTGTCATAGCATGTCTCCACGGACACCTTGGTTTTCTTGCCATTGGTCCACAATAACAAAGCGAATAGAGTTTTGTTGTCTTCACCGCGAACAATAGTATCGACGCAATTCACTTCCCTGTCCCAGTTGTTACCCTTTGGCAGCCAGTTCTCCGTGTCTTCGTCGCTGTTGTCCTCGGTCAAAGCCGGTGTCTCCGAAGCAGGAGTTCTTGGGGCTGACTTTCGACGTTTCTTGGATTCATTTTGTGAAGCTGGGGGTGCTGTTGACTTGGTTTCTCCCAAAGATTTGCGTTTGCGACCTGCCTTTGGAGCGGCCTTTGACGAGGGCTTGTCCGGGCGTCCACCGATCTTCTTGTAGTACTGCTCCACAACATCCTTCGCGCCGTCCCTGCCAAACTTTGTCAATATTGCGCCGTCCAATATATGATGTTCGCATGGACATCCGTATACTTACATCAGACCATCTTCTGGCTCCCATGTCATATCTGCTGCCTTCTCATACCCTTTCCACTTCACACGGAGGAGAAGAACTCCCTGGAAATGTGTTAATGCGACCGATTATATTCACTCCCCCATGGAATGAACGTACTTCTTCGGAAAAGTTGTGCTCGGCGATCTTCTCAACGATGTATCTATGGCGAATCAGACAAAATGACCCCGTTGAGCAGTTTCGGGACCAACTTACACGTCCTCATCGTCACCATCATCGCTATCCTCGTCCTCGTCCCCGTTTTCGACTTTCGCCTTTACTTCTTTCTCAACTTCTTCCTTAAGTTCTTCCTTGGCAAATGGGACGTCGCCAGACTCTGCGTCTGAGAAATCTTCAACGGGAGCTTTGGTGGTGGAGTTAGCAGGTGCGCGTAAAAGAGTAGAATCAAACACGGCGCATGTGACTCACGCGGCATAGTGGATTTGAAAGGAGTGAAGTTGAGAATGCGAGATAGCAGATTGGCGGTACGAGGCGCAAGCCTCGTTCAAACTAGAAAAAGAGTAGCGATTGGCGCGCGCGCAAAGAAGCTGTTGAGCATCCGTAGGTTGGGGGTTGCGCGTGGAAAGCTGAAGGCGGACAGCATCGCACTAAACCCGATTTAGCGACTGGATTTTAATTTGCGAGACGCAATTCACCGAGCTTCGATTCCCCCCTCCGCATTATTACTATCAACGTCAAAGTCAGGTTGATACTTCGTCTTTCTTTTAGTTTCATCTTTCTTCAACCCCTGGTTAATACCCTACCAGAGGGCAGTCCCCCGTCAAAATGGCGATGCGTATGTTCCCCTATTCATTGGTTCCCATTAACCCCCCGGATGCCCCTCATTATTTGTGATGGTGACTGACCCTGACTTTGATCACTTACAGAGCTTGATCTTTCTCAAGGTATATATCATACGATTCGGCACCATTACTCGACTCCCAATTACGGTTCACTAACGCCCAGAAACAGCTTCGGTGTTGAAGGATGAGCAGGGCCGTCCGTTTATTGTCGTTCGCGAGTACGTTTCCGGATATCATGCCTCTGACACGCTCAAAAATCATGAATCAATAGCTGGGAAATAAAGCACGGAAGCTGACCATATAACTCATTACCGTTCAGTCAAGGAAGAAAGAAGAGACAACATGGCACTGAAGCCGTGAAATCGCACATTGTGGCCGCTAAGACTGTGGCCAACATTGTCAAGACTTCTTTGGTATGACCACCCGATATTTTAGCAGTTGGATTGAGTGCTCATAATCTGTGACAGGGTCCTCGCGGATTAGACAAGATCCTTATTTCCCCCGACGGCGATATCACGGTTACCAACGACGGTGCAACCATTCTCGGCCAGGTGCGCTTCTCCTTTGACCCTTTTTGAGACCGACACATAATTGGCGAGAGACTTACATGGAGATCCAACAGATGGAAATTACAAACAACGTTGCAAAGCTTCTTGTCGAGCTCTCCAAGTCACAGGATGAGGAAATCGGCGATGGCACAACCGGTGTGGTGGTGTTGGCCGCTGCCATGCTGGAGCAAGCTTCAGACTTGATTGATAAGGGAATTCACCCCATTCGGATAGCCGACGGCTACGACCAGGCCTGCGAGATTGCTCTTGCCGAGCTTGACAGAATCAGTGACGATATCCCCTTCAGCAAGGATGACACTACCAACCTGCTCAAGGTAGCAAAGACCAGTTTGGGCAGCAAGATGTATGTATCAGCTCTTTCCAAGCATCATTGCATTTTTACTAACCTTCCTATAGTGTCTCCAAGTCTCACGACCAGTTCGCCAAGATTGCTGTGGACGCTGTGCTCTCTGTTGCTGATTTCCAGCGTAAAGATGTTGATTTCGAGTTGATTAAGGTTGACGGAAAGGTCGGCGGAGCCCTCGAGGACTCTTTGCTTGTGAAGGGTGTCATCATCGACAAGGACTTTTCCCACCCCCAAATGCCTGATGAGGTTCTAGACGCCAAACTCGCTATTTTGACTTGCCCCTTCGAGCCCCCGAAGCCAAAAACCAAGCACAAGCTTGATATTACCTCTGTTGAAGAGTTCAAGAAACTTCAGGAGTATGAACACGAGAAGTTCAAGGAGATGATTGAGCAGCTCAAGAGCTCCGGTGCAAACCTTGTTATTTGTCAATGGGGTTTCGATGACGAGGCCAACCACATGCTCCTTCAGAACAAGCTTCCTGCCGTCCGATGGGTGGGTGGTCCCGAAATTGAACTCATTGCGATCGCTACAAATGGTCGCATTGTGCCTCGGTTCGAGGATCTTACCGCGCAGAAACTGGGTACCGCTGGACGTGTTCGTGAGATGACCTTCGGTACCACAAGAGAGAAGATGTTGGTTATCGAGGAGTGTGCAAACAGCCGAGCTGTCACTGTTTTCATTCGTGGTAGTAACAAGATGGTATGTCATTCTTGAAACTGGCCCTCGATGCGGTTTTGCTAATCAAACTACCTGTAGATTATCGATGAGGCTAAGCGATCACTACACGATGCTCTGTGTGTGGTGCGCAACTTGGTTCGTGACAATCGTGTCGTGTACGGTGGCGGTGCTGCGGAGATTGCTTGCTCAATTGCTGTTGAGGATGCCGCTGTTAAGGTTTGTTTTCCCCTGCTTTCCTAATTTTCTACCTCTTATCTAACCTATTTCAAACCTACAGAGCCCGGGTATTGAGCAATACGCTATGCGTGCTTTCGCCGATGCTCTGGATGCCGTTCCCCTGGCCCTGTCTGAAAACTCTGGTCTGAGCCCCATTGAGACTCTTGCCTCCGTCAAATCTCGCCAGGTCAAGGAGCAGAACACTCGCCTCGGTGTTGACTGCATGCAGACCGGTACCAATGGTAAGCAGTACCCGTCATTACAGCAACTTGACTCAGACGCTAATATATAGTTCTCCAGATATGAGGGAGCACTTCGCCATTGACCCCTTGATCGGTAAGCGCCAGCAACTTCTGCTTGCTACTCAGCTTTGCCGCATGGTTCTCAAGGTAAGTTCATATCTATTATATTCTTCTCTTTCCTTGCCTGTCCCGCGTACTGACATCGGTTTCAGATCAACAATGTTATCATCTCCGGCGATGATGACGCTGAATTTTAGGTTACCCGCACATAGTCCTAATGCTTAGCCAGTACAAGAGTATAATTCTGGCGTGTCGGCTGAAACCAAAAAAAAATGATGATCCTGATTGGACTCCTATGTAAAACATGGCCCCTTACATAGAACATTCTGAGTTGCAATGAGAAAAAAGACTTATGATCTCTCATGTCATTACTTATGCTTCTTCCATCTAAATGTACGATAGAGCATCATACAGAACAATGGCTTTTTTCGTATCCCAATGGCTACACATAGAATTCGATATCTTGATCCGGGTATTGATTCCTTGAATTCAAGTTTGAACTTGTCCAAGCAAGCCACACACTTGAAGTTATATATTGTAGTAGATCTTACATATTGACCAAACCAAGATACATAAACATGAGCTGTCGTTACAGTCCTGCATACTATTACAGTGTTTAGTTTACTGCTCTGCCCTTAGTATTCGTATTACTTATCCATCTCAGGCTTCCAAGGTTCTGTGCGCAACCAAATCGAAAGCTGGACATGTGGAAAATGCACGGAGCTTCGTGCGAGTTCCACATCCTCAAACATGCAGGCTTTGTACATCTTATTGACAAGCTATACCTTTTTCAAAGAGATTATCCCATCAGCTTTGTGTATCTATAATCTACAAAGGGGAATATACATGGGGGTTTGTGCGCCCAGCCTGAGGTTTGCTTTTGGTATACCACCTCGATGTGTTCACGAGGATCTCACGGCGACTTGCTGGAGGACAACAGATACAAGAGGCACCACACCATTGTCACTTTTAGCCTGCCATTTGCTTCGAATCACTGTAAAGCACGACAGTCTCTCTACTTATGACGTGTCGAGGTCTCTAAAAAGTGATAAATGATCTCGTGAGGGCGCGAGCAGCTCTTGTACGACTTTGAAAACGACCTATCAAGGAACAAAATGATACTGGCGTGTCTTTGAATGATTATCTATTGGGGTTTTAGATTACTTACTTGGGTTCCGGTGTAGTCATCTCTTTTCTAGCTTCACATGCTTGAGATCTATCATCCTTGCTCAAACCCCGTGGGGGTCATACGTGAAGTATAGTTAGAAGGGGGTACCTGCCTCTCATTCAGGATGACAGGGAATTGTGCAGCCTGCGAAGAACCAAAATGAGGTAATTTATATTACATTGACTCAACAGTATCCCCAGATAGCCACTGCAGGAATTTATCTCAAGCTTTGTTGGCCCTAGTCGCGGAGGTTATCATAGACGGCAAGATTCAAGCTTGGCGTTTGACAACACGTACCGGTCTCAGAAGCTTGATAGATTTTGTGCTTCCTATATATCTAGGATATGACTACAGTAAAATCGTATTCAGCCATGGGCCTATGGGAGTGGGTGGAATATCCTTCATGACTGGTATAACCATAAATAGTCTGTTGACCAGGGCGCCCAAATTTCAATATCTCGACAGGTAACCTCAGAGGGATAGCTCTATGTCTCCAGTTACTATAAGATTCACCAAGCAATATGAAAAGATTATGATTCATTTATTTCCTTTGGGCGGTGATCGTTATCACTTCGAAAGTTCCAAAAATGCAAGGCATCATGCTCGCCTACTGAACCACGATTAGGCCTGGAGATGATGAACTCGGGGCTTAATCTGGCTCCATGCAGGTTACACAGCGCGTGGAAGTATAAGCCCCAGTTCCCCGCGACTCGTGGTTCACCAAGTTTTGAATCTTGTGATCACCGCGGCTCCATGGGTTTCTCTTCTGTTTATTTCCAGGTTGATTTTTAATCTTGGCATCTAGATTGTGGCAGCTATTGTGAAACTGATAAAGGGTCTAGACTGCTTTACTTCTTTTATTCCTTTGCTGCTAACATTCAGAAAGTAAGCTGTTTGGTTATTCTCAGGCTTCTTTCTCTTAGTTCATCCTTCTATCAATAATGTCTCGGCTGAACAAAGTGATCTAGATTCATATAATTTAAAGAATATGGTGTGGCGGCATTGAAATTTAGCCCTCGCTATCTCGCTTTAGTAAAGTTAGTACCCGACACAGCTGGTAAGAGAATGTCTTGATCTGCAATTCGTATCTTAAAACATCAAATATCGATACCGTGGTATCGGTATCGAGATGTTCCATGTTAGCGGGCCATCCTTCAATAAGAAGCAAGAAGGCAATCCGAATGGCCTGCCCAATCACTTTGAAAGCCACATTATCTCTCACATATGCCCAATAGCATACATGCATCATCATGAAAAATGATAATGTTTCGGCAGGAGCGGATCAACTAAAAGGATTCCCTGTCCCGTGTGGGCTGCATTGAAAAGTGCTGCAAAGAGAGCAGCCATCCGCCAACGCCACGAATAATGTCAGCTCGAATAATTGTATCTCGATTCTACATTTTGCATCAAGAATAGATTTGGGTTGAAGCTCCGGCAGCAGTCCAGATGCAAACCCAGCACTCCGGTGTGACCGTATAGACAGGTACGGGGCGAATTTGATCTGGTGAGCTTTTTCGTCCGCAGAAGGCGAGATTAAAATTCGTGAGACTTGGTTCTCCGATATTTGGTCTTCTGGGTACATGGAGGCGTAAGTGGCTGCTGCGATCTAGATGGCATAGCGATATCGGGGGCAGTGGCAAAGGTGGGTATGTGTGGTCTCTGTAGTTTGAATTTCAAATAGGGCCACCCTTACTGGAATACCTCTGCTTCTATTATTGAGTATCTCTCCCCCGGTAGTCAACATAGCCGCGCTTGTTGGGAGCGCGCCATCTGGACTGGCAACACAAATACTGGTTCAGATGACCCTATACATGTCGTGTAAACCCGGTGTCTGGTGAGACATAGGAGATCAACAGTGCAGAATGAACTGAGACGAGGGGGGGAGAAGAAAAGGATGAGAATTATGTTCTGGCCAGCGTGTCGCTCTGCCTGTATGTACAAATGCCTTGCCCTCGGTCATCAGCCTCATCGGTGCCCACTCCCCACCTACTCACATGGACGGTGGCTATTGACGTGGCTTAAATTTGTTCGTGGCAGCCAAGTCGCTAGGTCTTAGGATCCCTTTTACCTGCGTTCCCCGTGATTGGAAGTAAAAATCAGTAATTAGGCGATCTGGTTTGCAATTTTGTTTACTCGTTCCAGTTGACATTATCATTGACCTGTATACCGCTCTTTCGGGCGATTGTTATTGTCACACGACGCCGACGAACCTGTCAACTGTTAACACATCATAGGCCCTTGTCATTTCACCACGGCCATACGAATATTAGTATTTTGACATCAGCGATAGTCGCCTGTTTTTGTCACATTCATTGGCTCGATCGCTTTTGCGATACATCTTTTTTTGGTGGCTGGCGCCAAAAGTAGAGGGCGCCTCGGGAAGTAATCGTATTTCGCCCAAGGCGTTATGGCGTCTTGGGACATCCGTGCAAGATAGAAACTTTACACAATAGTGTTGATATCACCATATTGGTGTCGTCTGGAATTGTTTCGGAGACGTTGGATTTTAATCTTCAAGTGTTAAGCTGATAGGTTATAAGTCATCGGGTAGAGCGCGGCCTAGAACAACCTAGGAATCACTACCTAAGACTTGGTAGAATCAGTGTAGCAAATAGCGATATAGGTACTCAATATTTTAATACCAATAGTATCGATTTTACTTCATGTGTACATTTCTTACTAAATATACGCTTTGTTCGCCATTCATTTCCTCCAGACACTCGCCGGTGGGCTCGCCTGATTTCATTACAACGACACCATACCAAAAGCATCAACATTAACATACTGTAAATGAATAATACGTACTATGATACAATATATTACTTGAGACATTACCATTTGACAGTACTATCGTTGGAGGTCTTGGGTGACTACTAGCAAAATTGGAACTGCCAGCAGCTTGACACAGCGACAAAATTCAATAGAATCATGATGTACTCTATACATTTACTACTAAATCAAGCTCGCGAACGATAAGACTTGCCAGTGGTCCTAAGGTCTATTTCAGGGCTTAGTTAAATGCCAGGCGGCTAGAACAGTCGTCTCAAAGACATAGATTCCATATCTATACTACCAATCCGAATTTCAACGTCTGTGGTTGGTGGGAAAATAGCCAAGATGCCAAAGGCCCCAACACAAAGCGCCAACGGAAAAGCCTGTTTAGCAATCTGTCAAAGAAATCAAGCATGAAGTCAAAAGACAAGATCTGAATGGCCCGTCCCAGAAATATCACAGCGCCTATCATTCGCTTAGGCAGTCCAAGAGGTCACGCAGACCATACTAATGCAGAAGACCTATAGAGCACGGACGTCTTCCGGGCGCCTTTGACGCCTCCGATTAGTACCAGTGGAGCCCCCTAAACTGATCGACCAGGGGAAAGGGTCTAGATTGCGACTACCAGTCCTCCTGACCATGAAAAATCTTTCAGTCATCAGCAAACAAAGAGCCACCACGCAGCAGAAGTAAGTGAGATCAGCCACGATCACACCAAAGTTCGGCAGATCGTGCCCGATTGCAGCAGCTTCGGTCTGGAGCCGCTGCACCCGTCCCCTAGAAGGAAAAAAACAACGCCTCAAAAAAGCAAGGTGACCTGTCAGAGCGAACCTCTCATGTTGAAACTTGCACATGACCCCCGGCTTTTTTCTTTTCTTTTATCTTTGACCATTATTGGTGCGCAAGGCGCTCATTCAAGGGCCATCGACTTGACCGGACGCGCTTTTGCCCTGAATAAAAAGGGAAAAAGGGAAAAACTAGGAACCCCTGAAGTTAGGCTGAATTTGCACATGTGGTGTCATCTGAGCATGAACTACAGATCATCATATCGCCCCCAAGTAAATAACATCAAACGAAAGGGAATTTTGTTTCAAGTTTGGGGCAATGTGATTTCGTTTTACAATATTACGTACGAATCGGTCAGTTGAGAACATATGAATCAGGCACGGAAGGGATTTGACCGTTTGAAGTATAAAATGTCGGGAATGGCGTTATGAAAAGTAAAAAGTACAAAATACAGATAAAACAGACTTTTGT